AAATTTAGTCAACGACCATCAAAATGCTTCAAGTTTCTCTATTGTGCATATTTTTCGAGCTGTCAACTCACTATCAGACACTCGCCCCACGGAGCGAGCTAAATTTTTACACGCTTGCCACGAATTCTCAATAGTTTGCTCTGCGCCTTTAATACCGTACGCTCTGAGTTTCGATCGGGAAACACGCCAGGCCTGGACTTTTGCGCACTTTCGCTGCTGTTATTTTTACAAGATTTTCTCAAAAATGCCTTTTAAAACATGCTTCTTTCATGATTCCGTTACTTTTTTTCACTCGTCGCAGCTTGGTTTTTTAGTTCTCAGAGTTTTTCGGTTTTTTTCAATTCCAAGGAAAATTTGTTTCTTCTGGTTAAAATTGAGTGTCACTCTCTTTTTAAGCCGATATTTGTTTCTGTGAAAACATTCCCCCGAGAAAAAAAAGCGAAAAAAGCGAGAAAAAAAAATAATAAATAAAATCCCCTGGAATATCCGCGAAATTCGACTTTTCTAGCGGCGGCGTTTAACAATTTCGCAGAAAAAGCTATCGATCTCGGTCATTTCTGAATATTTTTTGACGATTCGACGCTCAAAATGTGCGCATTTCATTTCTCTATCGATTTTGTTGCTGAAAACTGAAAAAATCTTTTATTGTTTTCAATTTGTCAAAATTTTCGTTTTTTCATTGAAAATCTTAAAATGAATAGAACTTTGTCGAATCAGCATTAAAACTGCCCGTTTTGTGCTGAAAAGAATCAATTTATCACGAAGAACAAAAGTTGTTAGCTAGAATCCTCAAAAAAAATATATTTAATAGCTTATTTTTCAGCAAATTTGCTAAAATCAACGTAAAAATTGAATGCCAAATTTGAATGGCGCCTCCCGTAAATCGACACGAGTTTAAAGGCGCATGCCTGGCAAATTTCCATCGGGGAACCCCGTGCGTACGGTCGAGCTTTTTTGCCTAGATTTTTGTTGAAATTGGCGCTTGTGGTGGTACGGTATTAAATGCGCAAGACTGCTTCTGATTCCTTCCGAGTTCATCTGTCCAACGGTGTTGTTTTTGGTCTCTCTGCTCATTAATGAGTCACCCCGACACATCACCTACCGTACCCCCTTCCCCCGATTTGCAGCTGCCTCAATATCACTTTCTGATTTGCCACGTCATCTTCCGGTGTTTCACTGTTGTTTCTGCTTGATGTCCACCCGGGGATTTTCCACCTGCTCGTGTCGCCGATCTTCTGCAGTCTCGACTCCTTTTCCGTCAAATCGCGTTTTTCCAAATCGTAAACTTTTTTGCATACATCAAGTTCATTTCCCCTCCCTCTCTCCCTCCCTCTCTCGTGTCCATTTCGACCGATTCTCTCTCTCTCCCGCAAGACGAACACTCAAAAGTAACGAGGTCCCGCATCGGTTCGTCTCTGTTTTGTTGAAACATCGCGATCATTTTCTGCTTTTTCGCCAGCGGCCCATTAGCATATATATATTCGCTTTCGATGCCTACACGTCCGTCCATTCGAAATGAATCACATCCCGAAAAGAGCCGAAAAAAAAGGAAATGCCCTCTCGGAGAGAAAGAGAAAGAGAGTGAGATGAGCGCAAACGGGGCGCCACACGCGTCTTTTTCTCACTTGATTATGTTGCCGATCTTCCCATTCTGGCACCACTTTTGCAGCATTTAAAAGATTACCGTCTCGAGATGTTCTTTTGGGGATTCTTGTGATTCCGTTGTCTAAAATCTCTATTTCAAACAGTTTCTATCATGATTCTGTAAGGTAGATTTCTGCGTCTTTTCGTTATTTCAAAATTTCATTCAAATCCACTGATATCGCACAGTCCGAGCTCCTCGTCCCCCCTCCCGGTCCTTTCGTTCGGGTCTACTGCTTCTGTCTACCTTCCTCTTCTTTTCTTTATTATTATTGGTCGGTGTGATTCGGAATGACGTCTTTTGGGTATATATATGTGTATACACACGCCCCACCTATACAGATTCTTCCTGAAGTCTGGTCTCTTTTTTGCAAAGAGTCCCTTAGGAAATGGTTTTCCGCGGAATTGTAGTGGATGATCATTGAGTTATCAGACAATTCTGGAAGCTTCCCGACTGTCTGCCTAATCTTTATCAACTACTGTATGTGATACTGAGTTAGTTTACAGTTTCACCAAGTTAATATCAAACCGTATGACTAGGTCTACATAATGCTTGTTTCAATATGGCTGCCTCAAATCATACTCCGTTCCAATTATTTTCGCAACATTTGCCTCCCATCGAACTTTGTTGTCCTGTCTGTACGCGCCCTGCCCATTATCGTAAGTGAACTTGGAAAAGAAAAGAATGAACTTTGGCCGGGTCATCCGCTCATCGAAACACACGAACTGTCCTTGGAAACCATGGAGACTAAGCTCGGTGAGGAAAGGAATCCGTTTAGCAAAAAGTCGGGTTGAAAGAGATGTCTAGGAACTCGGAGAGGCGAGAAATAGTGCCAGTAAAGCGTTTTCCAAGAAGTTGATCTGCTTTCGAAGCGAGAAAAGACCTTGATCTGTGATGTTGAACAGTTGAACGTTATCATGTCTTGAATTCTTGATCTTCAAGACTTTTTATTCACGTCGATGTATCTCAACTGCTGGTGGTGATATCAAAAAATGATAAACTAAGAAAATGTTAACAATGTTTTCATAAACAACTCTTTAGTTGACAACTTTTTGATATCTCTACCGACAACTGAGATATATCGTCTACTGTTATTATCGATATCAAGATTCTCCGCATTTTTGGATACAGTATTAAAGGCGCATACCGTAGCCTAGAATGATGTCAGCAAACCGGCAGTGCGCGCAAAATCAAAAGCTAGAGAAGAAATTTTGAGGCAGAGGAAAGAAAGACGGAAACATTATACAAAAAATGATCCATTTCTTGTCTCTCCGTTTCGGATTCCCATTAGGATCGGTTGGAGTTGATCACGACCATCATCATCATCATCATATTTCTAACTGGTAACCCGCTAGTTGTGACGTGGCACTCGTCCCGCCATTCCATTCCTCCTACAATCCAAATACAACAAAAGACTGTGAGGAAATAGAGGGGCGGGGATGGTCGGGGGGCAAAAGTTCAGCACCAGCGGAATCAATGAATCGAAAGTGTGGCGGGCGCCTGCGTCTCCGCACCGTCACGTCTTCCTGTCCATCTCCTCCGAATTCAGCAACGACCGACCGAAAGAGAAGTGTTTCGATGATCGCCTCAAGATTGTCAGTGTTCCTCTCTTTGATTCTACCGGAGATTTTCTAGGATCGAAGTGTAGGTGAGAAATAGTTGACACAGTTACTCATTGTGCCACAAATATGACAAATTCGATTCCGACTTCTATTAGGACTTGCTATCCGGGAAAGGACTGTAGTTTGTATGTATGTCGGGCTAATTGGATTGGATTCTTTGTGTGCTACGCTTCCTTACGATGCACTTTCAAAGTTGATAGGACTTGTGAGTATTTTGTAGCTCGAATATGCTTCAAGTTGGAGGAATCCTCTCGGTTCCAAACGTTTTGTGTGAAATCTTCATTTCTAGTGCTTCGCTTTTGTAGTTGACGCCTTTTTCCTATAATCTATTTTAAGACTATTGTAGTTCTTCAAGAGCCGTCACTTCAAAGAGCTACAGTTGTCTTAAAGATGATGGTACAAAAAGGGTTTCAACTAGAAAAGCAATGTACTGGAAATGAAGATGCCATGCAACAAATTGCAGAGCAGTAGACAGCTTCCCCGCTCTTCCATGAGCTCCCGTTCCACTCGCTCTGCTCTTGCTCATTTCCCCCTATTCATCCTCGCCACCTCTATGATTTGATGTCATTTTGGCGCCGTATCACACTTCGGAAGACATTCACAGATCACAAACTCCAGTGACCGAACGCTCCGCCCCTTTTACCCAGGCTCCGCCCTCTTCTAACTTTAATTCTGCTGAAAAAAAGCGTAGACTACACTGTTTTCACGTCGATTCTTCTTCTTCTTCTTCTTCTTTCTCTCTCGATCTTGGCGGGGATACTGTAGGATGAGAAGATGATAAAACAAGTAGCAGTGTTCGCACAGATCATCACGATCAACTTCTGAATTCGGAATTGCATAGATCAATGACGTGGCAGCGGGCCCACGCGGGTACAGAATCAATCACGTTTGTGATACTGACCAATGAACACTTCTTCTTCTTCTTCTTCTTCTTCTTCATCTTCTTCTCTCGTCGTCCGACGTCCCGATCAAATTCGATTTCCATCTTTTGGTTCATCTTCTGGCCACTGTCGATCCCTCCGCCCCTTATCACCAAATCCTCTCCTCCACTCATTTTGCACATACTCATTTTTCTTCCAGCTATTATCAAAATCAGTAACTCATCAAACGATGATGATAAGAAGAACAGAAAACGTTGGCGAATGAATCAGTGATCATTGTCTCTACACAAACTAGATGTTGCCATCGCGTCGGTTTGGTTCTACCATTCTGATATTGTAGCTCTGAAGTACTGACTAGTCAGTGTGAAGTTGAAGTATTGTAACTGAATTTTTAATTCCTCCTCCTTTCCCTAAACCTCTCTTAACCTCTATTATCCATGTGTTCGAAAGTGTATGTGCGCTCCATTGAGCAATTATGAAGCGAATCCAAATCTATTGTCGCCCTAAAAAAGTGTTCCAAATATGATCTTGAATACTCGCTAGATTTCAGTTTTTGTTGACGATGTATAGGAACCAAACACCCACAGTACCCGCCGTGACGAGATCCCAGACTCAAGATTAAAACCCCCCAGTGGCCGATTATGTGCTGGATCTCCTACTCGCTTTTCGTACCCATCTCGGTCTCAAACTTGCGGCGCTCTCATCAGATCCTTCCATCTATCGGCCCTCCGATTCCTCGAAAGATTCCTATCGATCGGGCGTCAAATCTCCGATTGAGACCGTCCGTCCCCGTTTCGCCTCCGTTTCGAAATTGTCACTCGAAGAAAGACTTTTGTAGTGTTCCGATGAACAGATATGGTCTATGTCGTTTCGGATCCTCATTCCTCCGGCTTCCTCAACTTCTTGTTCACTTGGTGTTACTGGGCTTTGTCGTTTTTCGACAAAAAAGACGACAATAACAGTACGACACCAGTGAAACAGGGGGAGGGGAGTGTTTGCACAGCAACTGGAAACATTCGAAACGAGAGTTTTGAGTTGGTTGTTCGCTCTCTTGCGCTTTGCCACTGCTCATGGATTTTGTTAGGTACACACACACACACACCTCTTTCTCACAGTGTTCGCGATCATTTTAGCATGATTATTATTCATTGAAATCTCATTAACGCTGTTCTCTTCCTTCTCACCCCACCCCACCTCAGTTTGGATACTGCTCTACTCTACGTACAGTCTTGTTTGAGTCGTTATCACTCACTCCTTCTCTTTCTCCCGTTTCTACATACGTACTTTGTTCCAGGTTCCTGTGCTCTGCGTTTCACCACGTCGTCCTCCACCCTTGTCATGGAACTGTTCCGATCGCCGCCGCCGTCGGCGCTCTTCTCCACTCCGTCGGCGTTCGTCGCCGCGGCTCAGTCGGTCCTTCAACACTCGTCGCCCGGCGTGATCGCCTCTCCGAACGGACATTCCACGTCGCCAGTCACCTCCGCCTCGCCGCCCGGCCTTCCGCTCTTTCTCCAGTTTCCGAGCACGTCGACCACGACGAGCATCCTCATGGATACAGTGCTCGCCGCGCAGAAGCTTAACCAGCAGCAGCAGCAGCAGTCGCTGAACTTTATCGTCTCGAAGCAAGAACCGCCGATGCTTTCGACGACGACGTCCAGGAATTCGCCCCCCAACTCTATCAAGGTGCGTTAGCGCTTACGAAAGGTCACGATAAAAAAAAGAAAAACAACTACATTCCCAGCCGCCGGTCTAATGTGTTCAGGTGTTTAGCAGACTATCGCATTCCGAAAGCGAACCAATATTTGATCTGAAATCTGATAGGTCAACGCGAGAGACAGACGAAACTGAAATTAACATTTTGTTACATTGATGCTCTCCCACCCCCTCCTCATTGCTCCAAATGTTTTCAATTTTTGAATCTCGGTATGATTTACCGGTTTCGGCGATGTGGATGTATGCATCAGATACGACCTCCCGGTGGCTCTCGCTGAAGATCGCCATCAAATCGGGAGAAGGCCCGAACAAAACAAACAGACATCGGTTACAAATGCAAAAAGAGGAACGCCTTTTATGGGCTCAAATTGTTTCGTTCTTGCTCTCTGATCGATGCTCTTCCACTCCTCCTTCTTGCTTAGTCAGGTGCGCACACGTATGTACTTGTGTGCAAACGCGCCGCCGCAAGCCCGAATCATGAATTGGTCATGAATTCGCTCCGTACTTGTGATCGATCAGTATCAATGAAACAAAATGCCAACCGGAAACATATTGGAATTCACGTGTCTGTTCGAGGTGTTTGCACATGAGCGGCGGCATTTGCGAAAAGAGACAGAGAATCGGAGCATAGATAAAATTGATGTCGAAGGGGTTAATGGGTTGGACTACTGTAGTTGGTTAGAAGCGTCCCCGAGAGCACTAAAGCTATGAGTACTGTAGTCCCTGGAAGATCACTTCATCTACCGTAGTTCATTCGCTCATTCTTCTTCCAATTTATCCACTTGATCTCACTTTCTCTCCCGCCTCACTTTCTCTCAACTGTTGCCAATTTCAATTTCAATTTCAATTAGAGTCTATTTTTCGCTGACCCAATTTCCGGGATCGGGTACCAAGTAACAAACTGATAATAGTGACAGTCTAAAAAACTAGTGAACATGAACAGACAAACAAGAGATCAACGAGACCATCTCAACTCAAACTGCGCCATAGTTCAGTGTCTGCGTCTCTTCAACCGGCACACTCTCTCGTCGCACCTTGTGCTGCAAACGCAACAAAATGTAAACTTTCTCTGCGCGTACCTCTCCGATTCGCCCGCTCTTTCGTCGGCCCTCTCCGCCCGGCGCACTCTCTCTCCGATTCGTCTCAATGTCTGCGCATCTTGCCGGTGAGACGGGAAGAAAGATACGGCCGCCGCGTAGGCCAGAATGCCCCCTCCTCCTCGCTCTCGCGCTCTCGATCATACTTCGCTCTCCGTATCAAAGGATCGCATGCACTTTTCATCTTCTGATTCCTTCACGACGGGCAGATCTCGGCCCTTAGTCCTCCCGCTTTAACTTCTTTTCTTCCTCCTCCTTCTCTGTTTTTGTAGTGTCACGGTTTGAGTGGTTGCAAATTGCAATGTTCAAAGTAGACTATAGTCTTGCAAGATATGGGAATCGAGTTAACATTCGTTCCAAATCACATTTCGGAGTGCACCTTTACCTGAAGCCTAATCCCATTCCATTCTTTCATTCTTCCGTGTCTAATCCCCCACAGACATCTAGCACAAAGCTCGTGTTCCGTTGCTCTGAGATCCGAGTCCAATTAGCGCGTGTTCTCTGAAAGCGTGTCCAATTCGAATTTTTGTATGTGCCACGTGTTTTGGTTGTTTGAGTCAGATAGAGTGTATGTATGCTCTGAGTTTGCTCAAACCGCTCTACACACAAATCACAATGAAGACAAATATCTCATTTCTCCGGACTTGTCCGCCTATCTAATCCTCTCCACCACTCGTACTCTATCTCTTGTCGTCTAAAAAGAGCACCCGACACAACTTTCATGTCTCAAACAGACGCACACACACATACACAATTGTTGCATATTATTCCGAGAGAAAGAGAGACCGAACTATAGAAAGAAAAGAAGAGGACAAACACAAAGGCCAAAGACTGCCCGGCGCCCTTCCTCCTCCTCCTCCAGAGCTGTTTGTGTGTGTGTGTGTGAGTGCGTGTCATCGGAAATGTTGCACATCCGCCCCACCCAAAAACACCCTTGAAGCGTGCGAAAATGCGTCAAGAGTATTCGGTTTCGACAGTGACAAGTACTGCGCGAGTACGTCATTGCCTCCGGAAAATGAGGACGAACTACTTTAGCCAGACGTCACTTTCACGCTTTTGGGAAATAATGAAGCCCGCCTAATTCAATTTTTTCGAAAACAAACGCTCTTGAAAACGGCTATTTCCTCAAAAATGAGAAGTTAAATCAAAAATACGACTCTAGTGCGCACTCTGAAATTCGATAAGCTATTGTTTTCAAAAAAAAAGTGTCGCAAAATTCGGTCTATGACGCAAATCGTTCAAATTCCAATTTAGTGCGTTTCGCTGGTCTAGAATTTGATAAAAACGTTCAGCTGTGCGATCTTTGGACAGCAAAATTGAACAGATTTTTTCAGATTTTTTTAACTCAAAGAACAGACAGCATCTTTTGTGTGACAAAACCATCGAAACAAGTTTGGGTAATAAGTTTTACGCGTCGTCTCGTTTTCACTTTTCCTCTCTCCGTTCTTTCTCTTGTCAATACTTCTTTTTTCGCGAATAAACTGAAACAGAGAAAGACGGAAAAGGCGCAAAGAACCGGTCTTTCGGCGGAGGAGGCGACAACTGAAAATAAGGTTTTTCCGACACGAAGTCTATCAATCGATTAGGCGTCTCTGCAGACAGTTAGTATCGATATCATCCACTTTGAACAGTTTTCCCTTCTCCGTGACTTCCGTGTTTTGCTGATAATTTCAAATTGTTTACTGAAAACCGCATAACCTTTTCGAAATGCGATGGAATTTGTACCCGGAATTCCCGGTCTGATCATGGGTTTCTTGCTTTTGAAGGCGTCCAGAGCAAAGAGCGCTCACCGAATCACGGCGGATTTCGCAAAAGCCAATAAGCCGAACGGATTATAAAGTCTCCTCATTACTTATCCGGATCTCTGAGTTTAGAACGAAGCACGCTTCGATGACTTCACAATATGCATACTCTCATTTTTAGCCATAATAATGACGTGACTATTCGAGAAAGAGAGGTGTGTGAACCCGCTTTTGCTTTTGGTATGCGAATAACCATAGACAGCAGAGAGCACAAAAAACGTGCGTGGTCTGTTGTTGTTCCGTCGATCGGCGTGTGAGCCGTTGCCATGAGCTCCCGACTGAGTAGTGCTCATTAGAGTGAGCTGTACACCACCGAACCTAAGCTCCTTGCTCTCATTTCTCACCTTCTCTCGTTCTTCTTCGCAGCATTTTCCACGAGTGCCTTCTCTTTTCTGTTGTCGCCGTGCGTGTACGTGTACGGGTATCTCTCCTTCCTTCCTTCTTCTCCAACACAAAACATCCACCACCACACAGAGCGGCCGCAAATAGGACATCCTTCCTCTTCCTTTTTCTCTCAGGTGGTGCCCTTTCTCGAGTACCCATTCCGGGCGATGAAACTACACACACCGAAAGCATTCTTCATCCTGAGAACAGGTCGAATTACGTTTTGTTTGTGTAGAAGAAGAATAAGAAATACGAGAACAACAATCGGTTGGACTGAGCTGAGCTCAAGCTCCTCGTGATGTCCTTTTCGTCAGTTTTTTTGCTTCCAGAGGTTTCTATTTCTGACGGTTCACTTCTTTTCGGCGTCTCAGATCAGTATGTCTATCCTCTCTTTTTCTCTTCCTTCATTTTCTTCTTTGCCTCGTCTCGTCTCGTTCTCAAATGGTTGGCTTCAGATGAAGAGCGACTGGGGCTCCAGTTTCTTCCATCCGCACCAGTCTCAGACTCCGTCGCCGTACCCTCCGATGGGTCCGCCGCCCCCGCACTCCTCCTCCTCCTCATTTTTCTCGCCGGGACCACCACAGCACCATCACCATCAACAACATTCGCACCAGTCGCCGCAAATGAGCAGTCAGTTGCATCAACCGATTCCGATGGTGCATCATCCCTTGCAGCAGCACCCCATGAAATGCTCGCCGGACCGGGCGAGCGAGCAGGAGACTGTGCTGCCCGGCGGCTCCTCCGTTTCTGGACAGATTAAGGCAAGAGACTGGAGGCTGGGAATGTAGTTTGAGAGGGGGAAAACAAAACGAAAAAGATGATTGTTATTTAGACTAGACGAGCAATAATAACAAATGCATTTTTCAGGGCGAGCGATGTGTCGGCTGTGGGAGCGAGTCGGCGATTCGAGTACATTACGGAGCCAGCTCATGCCACGGATGCAAGGCGTTCTTCAGAAGATCCGTCTTCGAGGGGAGGGTCTACATGTGCTCGGCCGAGAATCAGTGCGACATCACAAATGGTAAGTGGAGGATGATGATGGGATGATAGCTAATCAAGACAGTTTTCAGAGTCTCGCAACCGATGTCGTGCCTGCCGCCTCCGCAACTGTCTGGACGGTGGAATGAACCCGAAGCACGTGCGAGAGGAGCGCTCGAAGATCGAGCGAATGCCCGGCAACACGTGCACAGTGTCGGCCACGAACGGAGTCAGCCACAATCAGCCGACGACTTCGGCGCAGAGCCACGGGTCCTCCTCGTGCTCCTCTTCAAACTCTTCCGCTCCTTCTACCCTACATTCCTCTTCCAACAGTTACTCGGCCGCTCCAATCGAGTCCACGACATCTTCCGGATCCGAATCAGAGGTTTTGGACAGAAAAAGCGCTCCGGAGAGCCCGTTGACACTGTTCATGGTGGCTCTGGAGAAGCAAACGGAGCAGCTGACCGACGACGAAGTGCAGGACAACGATGTGATGGGCGCCTGGAGCAGAGACGTGAGTCTGACGTTCGGACTGCAGCATCCGCAACTGGTCATCAAGAGATTGCCGGTGAGTTCTATTGACATTCTGAAGACATCCTCGACTGACTGAGAGCGCTTGCAGCTCACGTACACATGCGAACGGATAATGGACGCCTCGGACCTCTACCTTTCCTGGTACCGCTCTTTCGTTTTCTGCGCCGATTGGGCGATGGGAATCCCAGAGTTCCGAGTGCTTCCCCTCGCCGATCAGACGACTCTGTTCAAGCAGAATTTTATGGCGTTCGGATGGATCACTTTCGCCTACAAGTGCTTCATTCTCAAGCAGAACACGGTCGGAATCCCGCTCGGAAACGGAGCATTCATTCCGTACAACGATGAGGATCAGAAGAAACTTCCGGAGCGATGGCAACTCACCTACGGAGTCGTCTGCAAGAAACTGATCGAGCTGATCGTCAAAGTCATGATCGAGCTGCAGATGAGCGAGGAGGAGTACTGTCTGATCAAGACCATCTCTCTTTTCCAGCAAGGTAAGCAGCTCATTCAAGTTGAAGCTTCCATTTCTTGTTTTACAGATTGCATTCTCTCGGAGGCCGGTGCCGGAATCTGCTCCCGAATGCGTGATCGTCTTCTCGATGCTCTATCGATCCACATCGAAAAGAAGTTCCCATTCCACACTCAAAGTCAGCGACTCACCCGAGCCCTGAAGATCTCCCTCATGCTCCCCAGCTTTTCGGTTAGTCAAACATGTCAGATAGCCAAGAAAAAACTCTGGATTTTCAGCACATTGGCCAAGTGGAATCCACGCTGATCCAGCAGCTGACAGCCGCGGACCTCCACCAATTGAGCGGTGTTCCGATGGAAATCTGTGCCGCGCAACAATCCGTGTAGATTCATAGATTCTTTTATTTTCCCAGCTCCGTCCACCTCATCCTCCTTCCCGTTGCCTTTTCCCTTTTCCTTTCCTCTTTTCTGTGATACACCCATTTTTTCCATTTTCCTCTCTCTCACTCTCTCTCAAATCGTGTGCTTCTGCGGGTGTTCTGTACTCTCTGTCTCTCTCTCTGTCTCTCGAATTCTGAAAATCCACCTCCTGCTTCTTCTCCCATCTCCGTGTGTCTTCTTCAGTGGTTCCTCATTCAGTTTCAACTTGTATTGAATAGATTCTGTTATTTATTGAAAATCTCTGTCAGATTCGTCTTGTATTCGCGATGGCTTTATTGGTTTTTGAAAATAAACATTCAGGATAATAATAATAAACGTTTTTTGAAGACCAGAGTGTTCAGTTTCAGTTTATGGTCTAAAACAAGCCACTAGAACGTTAAAACTCGGAGAATCGACACGTGTAATCCGGAATCTTCAGCCCTTCTCCAGCTTCTCGCGCCATCTGAATGTCGACGACAGTGTTGACTCCGGTTTGCATCCAAACCGTTGTGAATCTGAAAAATGGGCGTTTCGTCGGTTCATGAGAACAATACGAGTACCACCAAAAGAAGAAGAATGTTTGCACAACGTTATCATCGTCGACACCAGAAACGTAATGCAAAAGAAGAGGAGAGGAGCAAGAGAAAGAGACAAAAACTGTGTGAGCGGCTGCATCCCTATCGATTCTTCTACTATCAAGCAAGTTATTTGTGCCCCAGAGACCCTAGTCTACAGTGCCCAAATGCCAACGCGTCCCCCAGTTTCAGTTCGATGCGTTTTACCGCCCGTTTCCTGATAATCGTCTCAATTGTCTGCATCGCTTTCGTCTTTTGGCTCTATCAATCTGTCGCAAACCGCAATGCTTCAATTGTGGAGATCGACGATGAGGAATGGAATCGAATCGTAGAAAAGAGAAGGAAAGAAGTGAACGAATCGATTGGATGCCGGCACATTCTTCATGCTTTTGGAAAGAAATTGAAAGTTGAAGTGCTTCTCATTGATCCGAAAGTTCTGGAAATGATTGGAAAGGAACGGTGTCGGGAGTTGAAGGCGTACAAAGAGAGGATGAAAGTGAGAAAGAACTTTTATAGCATTATGGGATCGAATACAGTTTCAGGTGGCCACTAACTCGAGAAAGGACTTCAGCTCAATCAATGATCGATACTTTGACCCTGCTTACTTTGAAAGTGATGAAACGAAAGACTACTTGGAGTTTAAGTTCGAATCAGAACCGAAACGAATCATTCCAAAGTTAGTCCAAGAGAATCCAAATCCAAGCATCACAATTGTTTACAGACAATTCGAAACGGAAAAGTTCGGTAACCTGGCGGTTCCCCGGAAGCCGTTTCGATTCCGTCAATTCTGGGAGAGATCAAGAGTCGTCGAGTGTTTGAATATGTCTATGAACAGAAATGAGACCGAACCGGTGAGGAAGGAAAATTGAACACTTTCGTGTTTCTTGAAGTTTTCAAAAGAATCGCTTAGTGGACACTGCACTTTGTAGATGCAAAATAACAAAAATAGGCCATTTTTGCAGAGAAAACTAAATCCAAAGTACGCAACGTTCGAGTTGTCAAGACTGCGCGATGTTCTGGTGGAGTACGACATGTTTCCGTTCATCAGCGAGGGAACACTTCTCGGTGATTCCATTTTGAATTCCACGTCTAACCGCTTTCAGGCTGGTACCGAGAATGCACCCTGATCCCGCACACAAATGACATTGACATCAACATTATGACGACGGAGTACAATCCAAAGTTCATGGAGGATATTGCCGACGGAAAACTCGGTTTCAAACTGAACAGACGGTTGGGAAAGGTGAGAATTGAATGATTGAAACTGGGGTTTGGAAGAAATGATCAGTTGGAAGATTCGCTGGAACTGACAGTCTCGCCGAAAAGCGGCTACAAAGTTTTCACGGATATATTCTGGATGTATCGGCAACCGACCAGCAACGGAACCGACTACAATTGGATCGGAAGTCTTTGTGGTAGGAAATCTACAGTACCTTCACTTCTAAGTGCTCTAAATTTCAGGCGACGGCGAGAAAGTCCGCTTCAACTTCCCGCTCTTCGCGCCTTTCTGCTCGGCAGATCTGCACGGACACCTCGTCTGGACGACTTGCGATCCCCGGAAGATAGTGGAGCACGAGTACGGAGAGAAGTGGAACGAGGACTTGCCGTCGGATCAGTACGTCTGGCACAAGTCGGTCAAAAACGTGGAAAGAGTCGGATGGTATTCAATGTGGCAGATGAGGAAGATACGGTTTCAGGATGGCTACGAGTAGGCGCACAATTGTGTTATCGTGATGGAACTGGTGCTCTAACTTATTTTCTTTCATAAAAGTGTTTCTTGCCTCTCTTTCCCGCATTTACTCACCCGTTTCTTTTGCCGAACATCATGTCAGTGTCGAGTCGATCTCCGAACATCACCGTCCGTGTCGCATCGAACTTGTTCGCGTCGACTCTAGACTTCAAAAAGTCGGCCATTTGTTTGTGTGGTTTCCCAAACACCGCCGTCGGTTTCCGCCCCGAAACGTTTTGAATGGCAGCCGACCAAGGACCAGTCTCCGGCAGGATCATCCCGCGAACGGGCCCCGGAAACGTGGTGTCCTCATTGCAAACGAGCAATTCGACGTGGGGATCTGCCAGGTAATTGGCCGCTTTCATCAGTTTCGGATAGCTGAAACATTTGACTTCAAGCGAAAGGGACCATTTGCCCGCTCACCTGAAATGCGAGTCGAAACTCACGACGACGGCCTTCGGCTTCCTCGTCACGTCCACTTCGAAAATGAAATCTCCGTCCGTATAGTCGTTCTTGTGATCCTCTCCGGTCCCGAAACACTTGACTCCGCCCCCTTCTTCCAGACTCGTTTTCAGATTCTCCACTCCGATCAGATAGATCCACTCGTCCTTGAACTTTTCAGAGTTCGTCAGCAAGTAATCGATGAGCACGATGGCCGGACTGATCAGATTTCGTTTTCCGAGACGACCGAAGCCCATTTTGCCGACTTTTTGCCTGAATATTATTGGAGAAACAGTCGGACAGATCTCTTCAAACTTACATGTACTGCTCTAAAGTTTTCGTCGAGTTATTCGTGGTGATGAACACGGACTTTGACTCGTCGTTCAGCAAAGTATTGATCCAATCGGCTGCTCCCGGCACAGGCACATCTCCCGTCCAGAGCACGCCATCGGCATCGAAGACGAAAGTGTCAAAGTTGGCGAGAAGCTCGGATTTCGAGACGATTGGAGGAAACATTTAGGAGAATACTGACCTTCCGAGACACGGGTACACGCAGGAAAAAGAAGAAGAAGAAGGAGAAAAAGATGATAAGATAAGAGAACGAGACATCATTGAACGTTTATTTCGGGGGAGACGGAGAGAGATTGGCAAGACAGCCCACATAATACACATTGACGATTTTCAGCGCGGTGAAAATCTGCTTTTCTTCTTGTTTTTCGTTGATTATTGTTGATCGGTCGTGGCGTCCTGAATGCGTCCGAGCAGTTCGTTGAGCACGGAAGTCAGCGAGACGGCCGTGTTGAGCGAGTTGATCGGATTCGACTGAAACGGAGGACAGATTGGGAGGGGAATGGAAGTTGGCTCGAACGAAACCTGTTGAGCGGAGTCGTCTTTGAGCTCGTCGAGCAGCTGGCTCGTGCTTCTTTGCGGCAAGTGCACTTTGATCACCAGCGTGTCCACGTCACTATCTGCAAATCGGCATTTGACAGGCGTTCTCCACCCTACTATCAGCCGACTAACCGGTCACGTTGATCGTCTGCTGGAGGACCGTGCCGAGCGTGGTCGAGTTGGTTTCCGAGTCGAAGAGCAAGTTGCTTCCGGAGCCCTCCTCGTCGTACACGAGTCCGGATCCTTCCTGATCCCTGGCAAGGATCGGATTCGACGCGGAGCCCTCGTTGAAGTCGATGAACTGAAGGCCCGAGCTTTCGGTTGTGTACGAGGACGTCTGGAAATAGACTTGTGACCTACTTGTAGTTATAAGCGAGAACAAAAGAGGGGAGCACTCAATTTTTGAAAAGCGAACCGAATCGGAGGCAAACATCGTCGCTTTTGGCACTTTGGACGAGCAAACAAAATGAGCAGTTCATTGGAACAGTGCCCCCCTCCCTATCAGTCTTTGTGCTATCAGTTACACAAACAATGTTCGCGACAAGATCAGATCAGGATCGGTGTTTCATAAAAAGTGACAATACAATACTCACCTGATTAGCCTGCCTGACGAACCGAGATCTGGCCGAGACGGCGGCGATCAAAAGCAGAGAGCAGGTAACGAGTCGGAACATCTTCACGGATTCGGCGGTATAGTGTCCCTCTTCGCGCGGCCGCCAAAGTTTTATACCCGGAAGTGGTGGGCGGAGCCTCCCCAGGGTTACGGTAGCTTCTCCTTCTGCCAGTTCTTCTTGCAAACTGTTTGCCGCTGTTAAACAATGTCAAGCAAAGGTGGGGAGGAGTTGAACTGTTTCCACCTTGTTCTCGTGGTGATAAATCATACTTTTGAAGGTCGCGAACTACTGAAAAAGAGTGTGCGCCTTGTAGTTATGCTTTGGAGAAGTTTTGGATGGAGCTAGAGGATCTGGAAATAACTAGAAGCACGTGAAGAGCAGCGGGAAAGAATGAAGAAGGAAAGAAAGAAACAGACATGTTTGGTTTTGGGCTTAGAGGGTGTGAAAACAATGGAAAAACAATGGATTTTGTGTGTGCTGTGGTATTTCGAGACCTGTTGATATCCGAGCATTCTCAGAAATGTCACAAAATGTCCTCAGCTAACATCTCTGGAAAGCTTCACTTCAAAAAAAACCCGGGGTCCCAAGAACTAGCCCCTAGGAGCTCCAAGGCGTACAAATTTCCGGTCAGACTCTATTCCTCGTATCTTTTTGAGCATTGTTCATGTTAGGGTCAAAATATTAGCATCTTGGGCACCCTGGCATCTGAATCCTCAGTCCAGCTTCACTTTCCCCCTCCGATGTCACTTTGCTCTCGATCTTAAGTTAGTCTTGATATCGGATTTTCGATCTTTGTCTCTGAGGTTCCTCTCCCATCAATTTACTTGGACCTGAACTTTTGAGCACTCGACTCTTTTCGTCCGCTGGCTACTGGTGTGTGTGTGCTTTAACTCGTTTTGATCGAAAAGAAAGAGAAAGAAGCACCAATGCTCACTTTTATTTTTAGTCTCTCTCTCTCTCTCTCTCTCTAGCTCCCTCTCACTTGTAAAAGAGAGGAGGTGACAAGTATTACTTGTTGGCACAAAACGTCCGCCCGACACGGCATGCTTTTGCAATCCAAACACTCGCCGACTTGTGCACCGACGGTTTTTGACGCTTACGAGAGCAATGCACACCGAAACGGCAAGCAAAACACGTGTGCCGACACGGTCAAATGTTGACCGGATTGCGATACGATTGGACGGGGGAACATTTTGAATTCCCGCCAACGAAAGAGGGGTCACGTAGCGTAGGCGGTTTTGAATATCGTCACTGGAGCACGTATGCAGTAAGACACCCCCCGGGGCCCTGTTGAGAGGCACAACAGGTCCGATCTCGATCGATTTAACCACCAGCAACGCATTTCCTCTTATTATTCTGGAGAGCCGTCCGTAATATTCCACTGTTCTCATCGTGTTTATCCCGTTTTCCTTCCATCAATCCAAAATGACTAGTGGAGGAAAAAATTGGGACGATTTGTCACTCGAATTGAAGATGAAGTTGGTCAAGAATACCGATGTGGCCACTGCGTAAGTATTATAATTCATTAATATCTTGCCAACAAGATCTTTGCAGGTACAACTTGAGACAGAGTTGCCGTGCCAACAAGACGATAATGGACCACCACGGATATCCGGTCGAACTGGTCGAAATCTCGCAACCCGACGGATATCTGATTCGGGCGAAAGTCGTGTCATCCGGCGATCAGTTCATCTTCGAATTGGGAGACCCGTCCTACGAACCACCCTACGGAATGACGCGTCTCGTTTGTGAACCAGGGCCGTTAAAGAGCATGCCATCATTCCGACGCTTTGTGAAGATCATGATGATCGGGAAAATTGAGCTGCTTCTGTTGCGGAAGTGTCAGGTGACGGCAAAATTGAGGGAGGTTCTCGAAGAGGTGCTCAAACACACCAAGTTCTTCGTGTCGGGCATCTGGACAGTGGGCCACGAGCGTGAACTTATGATGTTCTTCCTGGAGAACAACAAAGAGCCGCTGAAGAAGATTCGGTTCGGCGGAATGGTCAGAAGAGAGTGCCCTCATAGCGACGGTCTGCTTCCTTGCCGCTCTTGCTTGCGCGAGAATGAGCGCATCGATCCGTTCATTGCGCATCCGAATGTAAGAGTACTTGTCGGATTGAACTATTTACTGATTCATCGGCATCTAATTTCAGTTCATCCAAGCCGCACACATTCAATTCACAAAAACGAACGAGTTGGATTGGACGTTAATTCAAAAAATCACAAAGGTAAGAGAGAAAAAGGTCTGATAGTGAGACTGAATCGAATTTTACAGATGTGGATCGAAAAGGACGCGAACGTCGGAACGAGAATGATCCATTTGGCCATTCGAATGCAATCCATCAATATGTTTTCTCGTGGCCTGTTCCCAGACCGATTTGTGTAAGAAAAGATCGGACAGAGCCTTCAAATAAGCCTTCTTTTGATTTTCAGATACTCGAAATTTAATCAAGTCCGCATCAGAACGGACAACAAAGAGAAACACATTCTTCTTTTTGTGAAGCAAGTGATGGGAAGAGGAGACATTCTCATTTTCTGCGTGATTCCGGCGGATCGTCCACTCGAAGACAGTTTCGACGATAACCCGCTCTGGAATCCCCAAAACTTTTAATTGCCTTCAAATTGTTATCAATTTTTCTGTTTCTTTTTTAAATTGTAATTGCGAAGCTTTGAATGATTGAATGATTATAATTTTTGAGGATTTTCTCTCCGACCGTTTTTTCAAAGTCCGTGGACGCTTCAATCCGGAAAAAAGGAGAAGAAAATTGAATATCACTGATAATGAAATTCTTACACTCGTCATGTTATTTAATTTAATGGCTAGAGACGCTGTACGCGTACGCGTACGGATGAAAATAATCGCAACTCAATGCAAATAGACCGATTTTAAAATTCATGCAAGAGTAGCGTGAATTTCTGGCTGAAATACATGAAAAGCAGAAGTCTGCGCAGATTTGAACTCGCTCTAACTTCGTGTGTCGGTTTACGGTAAACTGAGCGCAAAGCGTTATTCTGGAGCTTCGTATTAACAAATGTACGTTTTTGTATCATTTCCGCCTTGTTTCTCTCCTTATTCAAACCGAAACCTTCCCGTTTTTGCAGAAAATGTCAGATAAAACTCAGGAGGAGCCGGTGAAACGAAAAAAGTATGCATTTTATCAGAAACGAACGTGTAAATGGACAATTTCTTTCCAGGCACATGGAATTCACGCCGCTGACACCGGAAACCACTTTCCAGTACGCCGACCTCAGTATTAAACACACCGACCCTGAAAAGTATGTTTTAGTGCAAAGAATCAAGCCCGAATCTCCATTTTCAGCACACTGGCGATGGTGAAAAGAGCAATTCGAATGGGTTACGACACAGTAGGAATTAATATCGATTTAGGAGACATTTTTGATTATTATACTGAGGTAAATGAAATAATAGAGCTTGATATTTCAAAAACGCATTCAGCTGGATATGTTATGGACGCCAGGAAGTCAGACTGCTGACGGAGAGCCTCCGAAGAAGAAAAAGAAGAAGCAGCAGCAGAGGAAGGACGAACTGGCCGATGGAATTGCTGGAATTCTGGTTAGTCACTCGACAAAAAAAATTACAATTTTCAACTTTTTCCAGAAAAAAAAACTAATTCCACCCCCGCACTTCGTCGACGTCTCCCAACTGGACACATCCGAGCTGGAGAAGCGCGGAAAGGTGTTCCGACAGTTCAGCCGAATCACTTTCACTGCCAACGAACAGGTCGTCATCAACAAAGTCTTCATACATCCAACTATCCTAGTAAGAATTAGAAATTCCGGGCAAAAACTTACATTTTATGAATTTTCAGTCCTATGACATTGTAGCCGTTCGGCCTGGAGACGCGTCGGTTCTCGATACACTGACACGAAAAACCGAGCTTTTCGACATCATCACAATCGATCATTTGGAAGAGAATAAGGTAAAAACAGCAATTTTCATTAAGAGACGAACCTGAATTTCAGGCAAAATGGTTGTCCTTATCGAAAGTGATGGACAGAATCCGAGGAGACGGAGTGTACTACGAGATTGCCTACGCGGAGAGTCTGTTGCCGGTGACGCGAAGAAATGTAGGCGTTCGTTCCGTTCATTCACAGTTAAATTCCTTTTTTCCAGACGCTGTTCCACGGCCGTCTGCTCATCCGGTCCCTCAAGTCCAAGAACGTCATCTTCTCGAGCGGCGCCGAAACGATGCTGGACCTCCGCTCGCCCGTCGACGTCATGAACATGTCGCTGCTGTGGGGAGTGGCGAACAACGAGGCACGAAAGATGATATCCGGATTCCCGAAGAACCTTCTTCTGCAAGCAGAATGCCGCGGAACCGGAAATGGAGACGTGTCTTCGATCAAACTGAGCGAGGCGGAAAAGTTGGCAGGAGAAACAGAGAAAGAGGGAAAAGAGGAGAAAGAGACGGCGCCGCCCATCGAGGTGCGGATGAATCACTCACAGTATCAGGCACTTCTGCAGGCCACCAAGAACGCCAACGAAATGATGAAGAAGATCAAGGCGACGAAGGCTTGATCATCAATTGTTTTCTTTTTTGTTACTTGTTGTTATTCGTTTTTAAATCGAAAAAGTTTATCCAAGAATAAACGGTTGCATAAAGAAAGAATCAAAAATAAATATGCATAATCAGGTTATTTCCAGAATCAGACAGCCAACTGATCCATCGTCTGCTGAAGCATTTTGTCGATGAAGGCGTCCACCGTCTTCGCCTCCTCGTCATTTCCGTTGAGGATCGGAATCTCCGGAGTCGTCGGCGCATCCGACATCAACTTTATCGTGCCTGCAAAACAATCGGGAGAACGTGGAAGTTCGTCTCCTGGTCGCTTACCGAAAGACACTCTTCTTCCCCGATTGTGCGGAGCCGCCAGACCGCCCGGAGTCGGCGGCTCGGACATGAGAGAGGGCGAAATGGAGTCATTGACAGACTCCGGACGGGACAAGCGAGGCGACGGAGGATTCATCGAAAGAAGACGTGGCAGCGAGGGATACGTTCCATCGGGAAACACGTGGCCGATGTCGACGTGGTGGATGGCTTCGCCCACGCGGAATCCGACCTTCTCGTACTTGAGCGCCGTCGCGCAGAAGACTGTCGCGTCGAACACGCGCGCCTCGATCTCTGGCGACTTGAAGAAGATCGATCCGAACGGCACGAACGAGATCTGCAAGAAAGAATCTAAATGTGGCGAGAAGACGTGAAGTGCAACTGACCGAGTACTGTAGATGTGGATGCTCCGAGAGCACGTGAAGAGCCTGCTTGAGCGACACCGCCAGGTACGGCCAGATGAAGCGCATCGGACGGTCCGCCTCGTCGCCCTCCAGCTCGTCGACACAGATGCGCGCGGCGAACTCGATCTGTGTGTCGCTGAACCTCTGCACGTGCAGCCGCACCGGATCGCTCGTGCACAAAACGCCGCCCGTCCACTCGTAGCAGCTCTCAAAGTGCGGCTTCAGCGAACGGCACATCTCGCGGAACGTCGACTCGTCCGGCCCGGCGAGCGGGAAATTCAGCTGCGCGATGAACTGGATCTCTCCCTCGAGCGGGTCGATCGTCCAGTGCAGCACCGGTGGCTTGCTCGTCAGCTGCTCCTCGTCATCCGAAATCGCGCACGGTGTGATTCTGGCGAGCGCGTCGATTTCGGCCTTTAAGTTGTCGTTGAGCGTCAGCAGACTGTAGTTGATCGTCGGAATCGTCCTCCACTCGTTCAGTTGCTCCAGTCTCTGCTCCTTCCACTCCGTCTGCGGCAATTTTCTGAATAACACAATATCATTGGAAAGCGGCGAGGATTAAATTAAAACACTCACTGAACACGATCGATGGCGGTCTGGTTGAGATCGTGCGCTCTGCGGTACTCCGTCTTCACGAGATCGTCGAAGAACCGCTCGTCCGTCTCGCTCCACTCCGGTTTCACGATGAACAGAGAGATGCTCTTCTCGACATTTGCGAGAAAGTATCTGATGGCGAAACGGAGATTCGAGTCACGCAACTCTTCGACGCCGACGACAATGTGGCCTGGAAACTTGCAATGAAATACAGTGACCCTAACTTCAGCAACTTATGCCCAACTTTAGCTTAAAAGTTTCAGATGTTTACCGAGTTGGTACTTCAAAAACTGACCGGTGAACGGTGGTGGTCTGTACTCATCGAAGACCCTTTCGGGACCGAGTTGGAGGATCCCCGCGAGGGAATCTCTGAGAATCGAATTGTGCGCGATGGCGAACATCCAGAACTTTCTCTCTCTCTCTCTGCAAAGAAAATCATTGTGTTTTCTATTTTGGGCCGCGCGAAAACAGCTGCTCAATGGAATTCAGAAGGAAAGACTCGGCAGTAATTGATTTTGCAAAGAAAAGAAAGAAAAACACGTCATGTTGGAGCACGAATCCGAGATAATTGACACATTGAAGAAGGAGGGGAATGAGATTTCGAGGAGCAGAGATACTGTAGAATGGATGGGATGAAAGGAAAAGGAAAAGTAGCACTCGGTCCATCATCATTATTTTGCATACATAACTAACCGCCTAAACTCATTCATTTTGAAAGCGCGACTCGCCCGGCCGCGCTCAAATACTCGAGTAAACGGCCCCGCTGCTGCTTCTCGACGAATAAAAAGAGAGGGAAAAGTTGAGCGGCACGCAAACGAGACATGGATAAATTCAGACGGCGCGCGGCGTGCTCCTTCAGCTCCTTCTTCTCCTGCTTCTGCTTCTGCCGCTGCCTTGCCTCCTCGCTCGTATCAACACTCTAAACGCGGAAATTAATAGGCACGGAGGGCGCCCTTGCCGTCGCGACAACTCTGTCAAGACGAGGAGTTGAGAAGGGGAAAGGGATTGGGGAACGCACTGATTTGAACGGCAAAAACGGATACTTTTGGATCGCTTCACTTGGAAGGGCTAAATAGAGACTCCCTAGCCAACAGAATCTAGGGACCAGGTTTCAAACTGATCGGATTATCTCGTCTGGGGGTCGTTTTTGCGAAAGTGTGATCTTTCCGGACTCAAACCAGTATATCTCCGGACCAGATGATCCGATCGGTTTGAAACTTGAACCCAATTTACATCAATCAAAGTCTAAGAATCCTGCAAAGGTTGGGTTCGTTTGGACTATGCTACAAACTGTGTTAAAAGTGAAGGCCTCAAAAAGCTTCCAGAAAGCCTGGACCGGCTACTTCCGATCAGAGAGTCAGACAGATCGATATCCAGATCAAGCAGGCGCCCGGGACCGAAATGATGTACCATTTCGGGCTGACTTGTCTGAAACAAAGTATCCTTCGAGAAAGCAACATATAATTAGAGTCACCAAGTTTATGCCATCAAGGTCTCAGTTGAACCCGACTTCTGGTGCTCAGAACCAAGAGGACCCTATACGAAAACTAGAGATTGATGAAGAAATAAAATAAAATGAAAAGAAAGCGCAGAAGGAGAATGTCCTATAATTAGCTGGCACACACGCACACAAAAAGAGAAGGAATCTGTGAAGGAATGAAATGAGAAGAAGGACACACACACATTTATAATTTATCGCTCACAGACACACTCCACGAGCACTTTTTTTGAAGAAAGATTTGGACTTTCGGTTCTGGTACACCTTCTGACTATACAACTACAATATCTGACGCACAACTCTTTCCGTCAGAAGATATTCGGAGATGGCCGAAACGCCCATCGAAATCTGTGGCGATGACGTGAGTCGTGGGTCGTTTCTGCAGTTTCTGCTGCATAACTTATGCGTCGTTTGAGTGCCACTTTCGTTGCTCGCACGGAGCGCTTTCAGGAAGGAAAAGTTGATGAGGTGATCGGAAATGGGCAACTAAGCGAGTACTAAAACAGTGCTCACCAGAAGTCTACATGTTCCGGAAAGCTCCATCAAACGGAGGACCAAGTAAACGCGTGAGCGGCATAACCGGATTCGTTTCCGTCGCTTCCAGCTGCTCTTTCTTCTCGTGCTCACATAAATTAGACGCGGCTCGACGAGCACTGAGCGAGCCGCACCCACCGCCAATCCGAGATTGGTCTTTTATTGCTGCGCGCCGAGCGGTTGTAGTCGGCAATCAGAAGGCACGAGAAGCGAAAGAATATGAGGAGGAGCTGTGTACCTTTGCTTCGGAGGGCCAATACCACTCGACGCGAGAACAAAAAATCAGTGGTCCAAAAGAAATTGAAAAAAAAGGGAGACGTTGAGAGTAGACACGCCTGGATGTTTGTAACTTGAGTAGTGTGGAGAGAGCGGAACAAACGGAGAGACGCAGAAATTGAAAGCAGTAGTATTTTGATGGTCGCATAAACAGAAGTGAGCAAAAAGTGCTTGAGAAAAAAAAGAGGAAGGGGCAGAAGCTTTCGATCAACAAAAAAGTTCAACTGTCACGTCACACGGTTTTTTAAAACTTTAATTCCCTTCAATCAGCAACACAAAGACAAGAACACTGAAAAATCAAATTAAGAGGCAATGTCTGAGAACCTCGAAATTCGCTAATTACACCGGGTCACTAAAAATTCAGAATGCTTCAATTTGTCTCATATTATACCCAATGGGTACTTACATAACAGTGATACATCAGACAAGTTTTGGTCCGGCTCCTTGGTCCCTAGTCCGATCACGGTCACAAAATAGGTCAAACCTGTAACTAATTTCAAAACAATGGTAGCGTCTCAGACTCAAGGCCATTCGATTTCTCGCATCTTTTTAAGCATTTTTCATGTTGGCACCAAAAATGTATCACCTTTCCTTCATGGAGAAATTTCGGATTTTTCGTGAAAAAGTTGAGTTGTTGTGCAGTATTCCTCCGTGGTGAAAATTTTTTGCACTTCATAGCCACGATTTTATTTCAAATTCATCATCTACGGACAATTTTACGTCGATATACCATACTGTCGCACATTTGCCGATTGACATCAAAGGAGTTTTTTTCAAAAGTTTGATCCGGTCTCAAAAAAAAGTTTCTGTTCTGCTTTTGGAAAACGTACAGAAACAAGGGAATTCCTGTTTATAGACGTTTTTCATGCTAAAAACTGTAATTCTGTTATGTATTCGTCAGGTACAGCTTTGTAAACGTAGCGATTAAAACATGTTGCTATTTTTTGTCAGCCGGATAGATTTTTCGAGATGTGTTCGCATTTACCCAATATTTTATGCTTTCTCTCGTTTTTATTTTTCAATGTTTATCTAACTTTTTGTGAAGCATTTATTTGGTCGTTCTCCGATTGATTCAAGAACGGTAAACGAGAAGTACATACACATGGGGCAACACTCAACCACAAAAGTACATCAAATAGGTATAAAATAGGTACAAAGCAAATTTTGTGTAGCTATTCTTCTTACTATTTTCAAACTGCTGATATCATTAGATGGTCAATATTACAGAATATAATGAAACTCATTGTTTTCCTGATTGTACAGTTGCTCTTGCAATGGTCAATTTCTCCCGTCAAGTAATTTGAAGTCATTGACTAGAACATGCGAGTTCGAACATGCCGGATACACTTCAACTGTGATTGGGTCTATTGATGAAGAACGAAATGCTGTACTGTCGCAGAAGCAGACCAAGTTTTGGTACTTTGAGGAAGAAGATGAAAATGAAGTGGAAAGCGATGAAGTGAGACCGCGGTACGAAGACGCTTTGGGAAAGATATTTACATGCCCAGAGGAAGGATGCTCAGCTGCATTTTTGAGATATTCAAGCGTGGTCAAGCATGTTGAACGTGGACAACATATAATTCGACCTGAACGGCAGACACTTCGTTATTTTTCATTGAAATATTTTATTCGTGGTTTGGAAGAAGTGGATGAGTCAAAAAATTGCCCAATATCTTCGGATGCTGTGAAAAAACTGAAGGAGACGAACGAGAAGACGGAATTGGAGGACGGATGGGCACTCCAAGTAAGACAAAAAAGAAAACCGTTCGAGGACGACGTCAAAAAATTTTTAATCGAGCGTTTTGACGGAGGCTTGAAAGAGAAATGTCAACATGCGGATCCGAGAATTGTTGAAAAGAGAATGGCAGAAGCTAGAAATCCGGACGGTTCTAAGCGGTTTTCAGTGGATCAAAGGAAAGACTTCCGTCAGATTGCCGGTTTCTTCTCCCGTGAAGCAGCGAAAAGGCAATCAAAAGCAGCACGATCGCGACGCGCTCAAGAAATGAAGGATGAATCGTGGAAGGAAGACTATACTATTCCAGAGGAAGAGCATGACGATGCTGGAGTGATCCGATATTTGAAACTTGAAAGCACTTGGACTATCGGTGATTCTTTTTATTACGCACTGATGGAATCCAGTGATCCCATTTTTGCTATGGAAGAAACTGAAATGTGAAGAAAAGACGCTTTATAACTTTCCTGTTTTAGGTTTTTCTCATGTACTTATGCTGTTGAGTGTTGCCCCATGTGTACATATATGTACTTCTCGTTTACCGTTCTTGAATCAATCGAAGAACGACCAAATAAATGCTTCACAAAAAGTTAGATGAACATTGAAAAATAAAAACGAGAGAAAGCATAAAATATTGGGTAAATGCGAACACATCTCGAAAAATCTATCCGGCTGACAAAAAATAGCAACATGTTTTAATCGCTACGTTTACAAAGCTGTACCTGACGAATACATAACAGAATTACAGTTTTTAGCATGAAAAACGTCTATAAACAGAAATTCCCTTGCTTCTGTACGTTTTCCAAAAGCAGAACAGAAACTTTTTTTTGAGACCGGATCAAACTTTTGAAAAAAACTCCTTTGATGTCAATCGGCAAATGTGCGACAGTATGGTATTTCGACGTAAAATTGTCCGTAGATTATGAATTTGAAATAAAATCGTGGCTATGAAGTGCAAAAAATTTTCACCACGGAGGAAAACTGCACAACAACTCAAGTTTTTTACGAAAAATCCGAAATTTCTCCATGAAGGAAAGGTGATAAATTTTTGGTGCCAACATGAAAAATGCTTAAAAAGATGCAAGAAATCGAATGGCCTTGAGTCTGAGACGCTAGCATTTTTTTGAAATTAGTTACAGGTTTGACCTATTTTGTGACCGTGATCGGACTAGGGACCACGGAGCCGGACCAAAACTTGTCTGATGTATCACTGTTATGTAAGTACCCATTGGGTATAATATGAGACAAATTGAAGCATTCTGAATTTTTAGTGACCTGCAGTTTTTGAACTTCTCAGACATTGCCTCTTAAATGTTCTTACTCACTCCTTTCAACCGAACTTCGTCGCCAAATGAATCCCGAGAATGAATGTGCGGAGATGTTTGGTCTACTTTTCAGACGGAAAAAGGAAAGATTGGGCCAATTTGCTGGCGCGGAAAACAAGCGTTTCCACCCACCGAAAAGTAAAGAAGCACGTGATTAGACAGTACATTCCGTACACTTTCGTCTCGAAGAACCGATCAACATGTTGATACTTTCAAAGAACAATCGGTTAGTCTCGAACCGAAAATAGGCGGACAAGTGATAAAAGTATTATTGAAATCACAAGTTGTGCGAAGTTCGCACTGTGAACCACTGATTTTCGGTTCGCGGACGTCACCGATTAGGCAAAACTGGAAGAATTACAGTCCGAAACGAGATGAGAGAACAAACGGGCGCTGATTGTTTGCAACTTTATTTTTATTTTTAGACTATCACCCAACCGAATGACCTTTTTCGGATTGTTTTCAGTCTTGCAACAAAAAAAAACGGTCGGCGTGCCGCGTGCCCGTATCTTTGGTTCATTTCATCTGAAACAAAAAGCGAGAACAAAAAGGGAATTCAATTTGAACTTGACATCCTGACACGACGTCTTCTAGCTCCTCAAGTGCTCTTTTCGCCCAACTAGGAGTCCGAAATCATTTAGAAAGGGTGCCAAACATCGCGGCGAAACAGAGCGAATTGATGAATCTTTCAGCGGGGAATACGCAAAAAAGTGTTGAGGAGGAAGGAAGATGCAAGGTTTTTTTGGGCTTTTTTTTAAATGGTGATGTGAGAAAAGGAGATGTAGTTGATTGCCTTCCAATTGATCGATTGAAGACGAAGTTCGTTCTGCAAGTACCTTTTCTGAAAAACTTCCGTGTACTCTATGTATTCTGCATTCTGTATCTGTTGCGACATTGACAAAACACGAGGCCGTAGCCGTGGCCGCAACGAAACCTGGCATTCTCTTCCACCGAGAAAACTAGGCCACGACTCTGGATTTGTTCGATCGGCTGAGTACACGTGCAAGCTCAATTTTCAATGAATTTGTTTCAACTTTTGCTCCAGCTCTTTAATCTCAATAGTATTTTAATTTTTTTTGTTTTGTTTAGGCGAAACAATGAGCGAAGAACCAGAAGAGAAATACACAGGTCCGATTCTGCACAAAGCGCCTGAAATGATTGTGACGGTCGGCACAGGCGGACTCCCGACTTCAATACCGATCCGACGAGACCAGAATATTCCGTACAGAGGACCGCCGCCAAGGAAACGAGTGATCAGAGCGGATGAATACAACGCGTACGAGGTAAGAAAATCAAGGACTTGTAAACGAAAATTTGAACTTTTAAATTCAGTCAGTTGATTATAACCGACCGGGACCATCTCATCAAACAGAAAAACAGAAATTGGAAAGACTTTTGGCGCTCGGAGGCCTCGGACCGACTCCGAAAGCCGTACTTGCGAGTGCGACGAGGCCGAAGTCGTGGAATCCGATAGAGGAAATGCGGATAAATAAGAGGAAAAAAGAACAGAAAAGCCCGCTGAATGCGAGCATCATGAGTGTTCTCGGCACTTCGACCGAGACAATGACGGACGACGCCGAGGCATTAGGTCAAATTACTGTGGGCAATCAGACTGTGGAGCAGGAGGAGGAACTGACGGAAGAGGAGAGACTCGCCAAAGAGGCCAATGATAAGGTGTGAGCTGAAAAATTGAGTGAAAATCTTGATCCTTATGTTTCAGATTATCAATCGATATCGAGAGATCGGTCGTCGAATCTGCGAACTCGAGCTTTCCGATTTTGCGGTCGAGAAACACAAAAGCGATAGGAAGACGTTCATGATTGCGTCTCGCGGAGAAGAGATTCTTGCGGCCGTCCGTCGCAATCTGACCGTCATCCAGATGAAACTCGGCGAGCACGCGGCCGGCACCATCTTCGAGCACGTCGACGCACTCACCAGCTCGTTCGCCAACGTCTCTCCTAATGCGCTCACTCGCCTCAATCGGATTGTCAACGAAAAACTGAAAGAGCGCGCGGAAGCGGCGGTGACGGCGGCGATGGCAGCAACAGCCGCGGCAGGATCGGCGGAAGTGAAGGTGGAAGAGCCGGAGATCAAGCAGGAGCCACCGGAAGACGATTACAGTTACTGATCGACTTGTCATTCCTTTTTATCTGAATTCAAAACGTTTTAGTCTTTACTAAAGTCTTTTCATTGCAACAAAACTGCGTGTAAATCGCTGAGTTTATATCAAATCTGCTCTTCGTCTTGTCCTTCAAACTCTTCAGATTTCAGAAAAATGAGCGGTGCGCCGAGTTCGTCGCGTGCGGACACGCCGCGTGTGTACATTCCGATCAATCGCAAGCATACAATTTCACAAATGGAAAAATTCGAATTGTCGCTCACTCGCACCAACAAACGAGTGTATGTGGGCAAAAAGAAGGTGCACGCGGATCCGAGAAAAAGGCGGATTCCGCAGTTGCCAGTCAATCAGGAGCCGACGGTCGCTGTAGAAAAAGTGGTCATCGGAGCAGACGGAAAAGTGCCGTACCTCGGACCGGCGTACAAAAAGTATGCGCCGAAAAAGACGAAAGAGCAGAGATTGGAGGAAGATTTCGAGGAGAGATTTCTTCAAGCTTCACACGCTCGCTCTTCTGGGAACGAACAATTTCAACCAGGTCTATCCCATGAAACGACGTCGAGACTGTGGAATCCAAAGGAAGAAATGGACGATTCGATGGATACGATTGTGAGGGAAACAACCGAGAAGCAGAGGCTCAACAATGAAATTAATGAAAAAGTGAGCAAAATGTACTAGAAGCCAATAAATGTACTTTTTTGCTTTCAGTTCAACAGACTAACCCGAAAACCGCTGCCCCAGAGAGTGGATGTGGTGGAGAAAAGAGCTCCGATGAAGGTACCGTACTTTCCCACCAAACGGAAATTCCCGGTGACTTTTCCGAAGAAAAACGGCATAATGCATGACAAGAGTGTGCAGACTCAGAAACCGAGAAGATTCTATGAAAAGTCGATGGAGAGTCAGACGGATCCGACGGATTTGATGAGCGAAGACGAAGTTCGGGCAAAGAAAGAACAGGAAGCGGTGAGAGATCTCAAGTAGAGAGAATACATAATAATCTGGAATTGCAGAATGAGAAGGCGTGGTTCGAGATCGGAAAAGCCGTCTGCGACATGAATTTGATCCACTTTGCCTCGTTCGGACCCCCGATTCTGGCGGCTGAAGTCTCGTTCAGCGACCGCGAGATCTTCACTTCAGTTGCTGCGAACTTCCGACAACTGGTAGAATCGATGGGGGCGGCAGCCGAAGCAACAGTGATCAAGAAGAACTTCAAGCAGTTTTTGAGGGTGGTGACCGGATTATCCAATGATACGGAGCAGCCGAATGTAAAGAACAACTAATAGGAAATTCGGTTTTTCTGAATGTGCCTAATACTCGAAACCTAATAAACGTGTTTATGCTGCATGCTGTCTTGCCGTCCAATTTTGCTCAAATGGAACACGTTTTTCCTCTTTTCAATGTTTCTTCTCCTTCTCCGGAAGGTTTTCAGATGCTTGAACCCCTTCGATTTGTAAGTTTACTTTTCTTTTTGCTCATTTTTTTGTCCAAAAATAATGTTTCTGAAGTGTTCTGTTTCCATTTTTAGACACTTCTTAAATACATAAAATTCGCGAGGTTTGATGAACATCTGTCACTCGGCACAATCCGTTCATCGCAACCCTTCTCTCTCTCTCTAATGAGCACCCCTCCCCCTCTATTCCCCATTGCGCATTCCGTCCAATCGATGTCATCGACGTTTCCACTTCTGTCCCTTCCCAGTGTTCCACTAATACATGTTATCCGATTTTTCAATCCTTTGGAGCTGTAAGTACACTTTTTCTTCTTTCCTTTCAGTTATTCTTTCTTTACAGAACGGAGTTCAGTCTTTGCTCGAAAACAACTGAAAAATGGACAAGAGAAGCACGGCTGAATCTTGTAGAATTCGATGTCACATTCGGAAAATATTTTGATATGGACCTTATTTTCGAACAGTATCCAGGCACAGTATGGACATTTGTGGTAGAGAAAAGAAAGAAGAAAGTTCTCGAAAAGCGAAGGGACAGTCTGCAATCGACTAGAAGACGCTTAGAAACCTACACCGATGATGATGGATACGTCAGGATACGTCACGTTCATTTTACGTACTGGAAGTGTAGATTGGAAGGAATGGAACACTGGATGCGACACTTATTGAAGATCTATCAAACTCCGATCAGAATAGTGCAAATCCGTTTGAATACATTTCCCAAAAACGTTCAAGCGACTTTTAATTTGGCTTACAGCTTTCAGGACACTTTTAGACAAGTGACATTTGACGGGAGAAAACTGAGCGACAAGGAAATCCGATACGCGCTGAATAATTGTAAATCGGATTTAATTTACTGTCGCTTCGAACCCAAAAAGAAGGAAAGATTCCGATATGACGGACAATTCAACTGCAGGCTTCTTCTGATTGACAATTCCTCGTGGATCACAACACCGAACCTGCTCCAAATGAACATTCCCTATATCAGTCTTCGTCAGTCTGCACTGACTGAACAGCAGATGAACGAATTCTTGAAGCACTGGAAGGCGGGCCTTGTTCCTCAGTTGATTTTTCTGCTGGTATTTTGGGACTCGAAAGAGGGGGAACGAGACATGGACGAAATTTTGGATGGATTGGAATCCACTAAAAATGCTGCGGATTTCACGAGAAAATACTTACTGAAAGTGTCGAATTGTGACTATTTTGCAACTAAATACTCTTTTTCAGAGAGGACATTGACGGAAATTTGAAACCTTACCTCATATGCCAAGGATACAACTTTCGGAACAAGAACGGAAGAGAGGCGACGATAACAATCGACTTTGATGCAGTATGTTACCTTACAATGTGTGTCTGGCCCGAAGCTCCCTGACTTTCTTCTGTCCCCTTTCAATTGTCACAAAAGTACATATTTTAAGGTTCCATTGGACTTTGTTCACTATTTTTTCACTTCCAGTAGCAACTAGAAAATAATCAATCTCCGTTCTTCATTTCCATGTCCATCAGCTTTGTCGAATTGTGACGCTCGTCTTGTCCGTTCAGAAGGCGTGACGCGTCGTCGGAAGTGGCCGGAATCAGCTTCTGCCATTCGATCTGAGCACGGACAGTCAGTTGATGCTCGTCGGATTCGATCGAGTTGATTCTGAAGGATTACAGTTCGAGATGAGCGCAAGAAGTCTAGAATTACCGGTAGAAGAGCGTCGTGTTCCTCGCGGACATGTGCTCCTGCACTTTCATCGGAAGGAACTCGTAAATTGGGAACTTCCGCTCCGAATTGTGCTTCAAATCGGACGTCGACGAGGAGAGCGCCGAGCAGATGGCTCCTTCGAAGAACGACGAAACCATCGATCCGAGCGCCGATGTTCCCTATAATTTTGTGATTTTTTCTTTTTGTTCTTCGTTTCCCTCGTCGTCATCATCATAACTATATAACTATTTAGCGTCGTTCGTTTGTTGAACAGTGCGACGACACGGCACTCCTCCGCTGTAGGGTTGCGGAACAGGCGCCTGTTTTCGCCTGTTTTGCAAAATATCCACGTTAAAATTGCAAAACAGGCGAAAACAGGTGCCTGTTCTGCAACCCTACTCCTCTGATTTCCTGTTAGTATGTTCCCTTTTCATAATATTTACAAAAAGACATCAACACTGGTCTCCTCGAGAAACTGCGAAGCAGTGTGCCTGATGAACGATGAACTGTGTGATGGCCGAGTCGCCGAGCGTCACTCCGAGTTCAGAAGACGTGCACGGCGTCGTCGCACTGTGGGCATCACGATTGATCATTTTTGCAAAGAATTCGATTCGAAGGCTCTCGAAGAAGAAAAACTCACATGATTGAGACCGACTTGCACATCGCTCAGAGCGAAGAATGATTGGAAAGTGGGTGGATGGGGAGGAGGACGGCGGTGACGGAGCACACACACTGTTTTGTTTTGTTTTCCGGATTTTTTATTGTTTCCATAAAAGATAGGGCGACGGCGGCTACTTCTTCTTTGTCTCTATCGATCGTCGCGGCTCGCACATTTGGACGTTTGAACCTGAAAATTACAGAATTATAGAAGGAGAAACACACTTTTAAAAAGATAAAGCCGTAACTTTTTGAGGTACGCCGCGCTGACCCACACCCTCATAAAGCTATGTTTGACCTCGAAATAGAACTGGACTGAGCTCAGTTTACTGATGGGCTCATTCAGTCGAAAAACACGGTATTTCCCGGGAAAAATGCGATCCAAAACCAGCACAAAATAGAAGAACTAAATTTTTAGCTATTTGAGTTGAGTTTTTTTGGACCCATTCAGTCGGGAAAAAACCATAGTTGCCACGGGCCGGGCCGGGCCGAAATTTCCAAAACTCCGGCCCGGCCCGGCCCGGCCCAGTCGGCCCGGTTCAAAAAGCGGGAATTCAAAATTTGAATTATTGATCGCATGAAGCCATTTTTTGTAGAATTAGGGGATTTTTGCAAGCATCGAACATTGAAAAACAAATGTATTTCTCATAAAAAATTCATAATAGCAAAAAAACAAAGAAGAAACACTAAAACTTTAGTTCGAAAATTTTTTTTGTAATAACGAAAAAAAAATTTCCGCGAAAATTTGAATTCCCGCCTTTTGAACCGGGCCGGCACTTCACCGACCCGGCCCGGCCCGGCCCGGCCCGGCCCGCATGGCCGGCCCGAAATCTGGCAAGTCTGGAAAAAACTAGTTTTTTACCGAAAAAAACCCTATTCGAACGAGGAAAAGACTGGAAAAAACTCCGGAAAAAGTGAAAAAGTTTTTTCTACAGTTCGTTTTGAGACCCGGCGCTTTAAATTCATGCGCCTTTATATAATTTTAATGCCCTCCAAAATAATACAGTAAATTTTTGGCGGTTATTCAAATTGTTTAAAGGCGCATGCCTTTAAAGCGCCGGGTCTCACAACGAACTGTAGAAATTTTTTTTCACTTTTTCCGAAGTTTTTTTCCAGTTTTTCCCTCATTTGAATAGGGTTTTTTTTTCGGTGAAAACTAGTTTTTTTCTTGACTGAATAGGTCCATTCAAGATGGAGCGTCACTGTTTTCCTTTTCCAGATGTCTTCGTATAAAAATGACCAACAGGCTCAGACGAATCATCAAAAAACAAAAGTGGTTTTGCAAAGCGCACCGCCAAAATTGAAGACGTATAATCATTGAAAAATGACTGATCAATCCCAATCAAACATATTGTGCAGCACTTCTGAGGATGCGGACGACATGCGCGCACAGCGTGCCCTCGAAGTAAAAGCTAATGCCGCCGCGAAAGCTGCTGCTCGAGCCGCTGCTCAGGCAGAAAAAGCCGCCCAAACTGCGGAGAAGAAGAAGAACAAGAAACATTGAGTTTTGTTCAGTTTTTCAATAAATGTTGACGGATTTTGCTTTGCCCTTTGTTTATTTCCAACTTGGTTCGTCCGTCCCCACATTCATTTCTCAAACAAAAAAGTAGTGACTGACAAGGGAAGGTTGTGACCCCCAACTTGAAAAATTCTAAATAGCACGCTCAAATGTTTTCAGAATTTGGCCGATTTTTTTGGATTTTCTGAAACGTTCCAAAGTTTCAGCATTAACAAAGGAGGAGTGATTTTTTGACCTCCCACGTGACCATATTTGCATTTTCTTTCGCTTATCCGAAACTTGTTGAAAAAGTCGGTTTGATATATTTTGTTAGCATAAAAAAACAGATAAAAGAGGGTGTCAATAGTTTTTCAAGTGCATTTGTGATACGCTTCAACGAAATGTTTGAAATTGTGCGTTGTGCGAAATGAGTCCAATCTGAAGAAGTCTTTCACTGTGCTCCCCTTGATCAATGCGGCTGGTCAGTTTGCTCCGAAGTTGACGGTCATCATGAAGGAAGTCCGCGGCGTCTTCCCGGCGAGAGGGATCTTCCAGGCACACAACCTGGTTGTGAAGGCGCATACTTCACACATGATGACGAAGAAGTTGATAATCGAATGGTTTGTTGAGGTTGTTTTTGACGGGTTCATGGACGTTCACCTTCTCATGGTCGACAGTTGGCCGTCATGGAAAGACAGAGCAGCGATCGACAGCGTCAAGCCACCGAACAAACACGTCGAGACGGCCATTATCTCCCCCTGGAACTACTTCGGACATCCAACCTCTCGATGTCGGGGTATTCGGACAGTTCAAGAAATGATCAAGGGGAGCACAGTAAAATGCTTCTTCAGATTGGACTCATTTCGCACAATTTCAAACATTTCGCTAAAGCGTATCACAAATGCACTTGAAGAACTATTGACATCCTCTTTTATCTGTTTTTTTTTCGCTAACAAAACATATCCAACCGACATTTTCAGCAAGTTTCGGATAAGCGAAAGAAAATGCAAATATGGTCACGTGGGAGGTCAAAGAAGCGCTTCTAGTTGTTTTAATGCGGGAACTTTGGGACGTTCCTGAAAAACCAAAAAAATCGGCCAAATTCCTCTGGTAAATGATTCTTTGTCTGACCAGAAGATTTCCGAATCTGATCCGAAAGAAAGCGACCTCCTGACCTGGCCAGACCAGACGCAGAGAACTCTCTGATCAGACTCGGAAATCCCCCTGATCAGACTCGGAAATCGTCTGGTCAGACTCGAATGCGGAAGCGGAGCGTCGTATCGCGCCTTGTTTAGCAGTTTGTGAATTTAACTAGAATTTCGCAAAAATTAAAGCTTTATTGATAGAACCAGTAAAACAAAAACAACCGAGAGGGTGGACACGTGATTTGGGAATACCTAGAATACAAATACAACAACAAAAACAACGACAAATGCGTTTTTTTCACTTTTTCCACTCTTATGTTATCCTTCTGTTTTTTTCAACTGTTTTGAATCTTTCAATTGATTCAGAAGAAACTGAGAACGCGTGAACAGTGAAATATCGTGGAAAAAATTGGCAAAAAAGTCACCAAAAATGCTCTTTTGGCAGTTGCAGTCTTTGGAAGGGTAACAGAGTGTAAAAAAGTAAAAAAACCCAATGAACGTACTTAGAATGTTACTCAGTAGGTGCCGCAGATTTTTGGCCGTCATTTGCTCCATTATTTGCCGCTTCTGGAAGATTCTTCATGTCGGCACGTGCTTGGTCGCTGTAAGAGAGATTTTCGATTTAAAAGTAGGAAATTGATAATGTTCTCACCATAAATAAGTTAAGTGGTTCATGTACAAATGGGTCATAGTCTCAATGAGAACTTCTTTGTCCATTCCCGTCACTTTTACGCATTCAGGCATCAACCCTGGAACAGTGAGAGGTGATATCGTAAAGAATAATAAAAGCACATACACAGCGGACCATTGACGATCTGAATCGGCACAGGCGTATACTTCAAGGGGTTATCGGCCATCGAGTATTGGGCTCGAATAGGTTTTGGAAGAATCTAAAATGCAATAAATCACGTCTTAATGTACAGGGAAGCTTACAAAATTCATCCAGACATTGGCAATGGTCTTCACAATACTTTTGATCGATTTCTTACACGGTTTCATAACCAAGAACACTTCGTTCACATTGATCATAGCTGCAATGAAGAAGTTATAGCGCTTTCAAGATATACCTTACGATCATCGTGCTTGATGTTGTCGATCATAATAATTTCGCACGACGCGGCGACAGATGGAGAAAAGGTTGCGATTACTTCTTCCTGAAGTACGGTTATTCATGAGCACACTGTTGTCAGCGATGAGGCAAATACGCTCCGCTGAACTCGGTTTAGCCCGAAATTCATACGATATGATTTTTGCTCTTTTCTTTTACAAATTTGCAACCAATAAAATCGTATTTTTTTCCAATCAGTTCTATTCTCGTGAAAAGGATGCATCTTTGCCTGTTTTAAACAAATTTTCCTAGAAATGAGGCTCATATTTGATCATTTCGAAAAACAAATCAGATTTGCTTTTCGGATTTTCTATATGCTGTCAGACTGAAAACGAGAGTGGTTATAGTCACGGTACTGGTAACGGGTTATCCTCAAAAGTGGCTTCTTGAAATGTTCTTTTTCACGATTTTTAGAACTAACAACGCGGAAAAAAAACGTACGAACTCATTCTGGTTCGGCTAGCATTGAGTTCAGCGGTACGAATTTGCATCGCTGGCGACAGTAGCTAGAAAAACTTCCTCACATCTTTTTTTGGTGATTGTGGCAACTCTGGCGGACCTCTCCCGTTCGTTCTGCATCTGGAATTTCTGGCATTGTTTAAGGGGTAGTGGCACTAAAAAATGTTGTCTCACAATTTAGCTCACGTGATGACCTAGAGCCGACTCCGCCCCTTTTAAGCCAAATAATTTAAAGGTTTTAGCCCAAATGACCTACTAAAAGTGATTTTTAACACTTTTGCACAACTGAAACTGCACTTTATTTTGGATTCTGCACCGAATGGCGTAATTGCAGGAAAATTGTTTTTAGTGCCACCACCCCTTTAAGTGTTAAGTACAATAACCAAAACTTACCAGCGTTAAGAGACCAGCTGTCGCCGAAGCCAACAGCTTAAGTTCTGGACTTCCGGTTTTTGCTATGGCCTTCAACTCGTCGAAATTGATGTCGAGTCTTCCCCTTGTTGCATTGGCCACTTGTTTCTGAAATTGAATTGTAAATATTCTTGAGAAAAAAACCAATAATTCTGACTCTGAAGCTGGAGAAGCCTTCTTCTGGTGTGCTCAATGCCTTGTCACCAAGATGAGAATTCAAGTGCAGGCTTCTTTTGATTGACAATTCCTCGTGGATCACAACACCGAACATGCTCCAAATGAACATTCCCTATATCAGTCTTCGTCAGTCTGCACTGACTGAACAGCAGATGAACGAATTCCTGAAGCACTGGAAGGCGGGCCTTGTCCAATTGGAGTTTTTGCTGGTATTTTGGGACTCGAAAGAAGGGGAACGAGACATGGACGAAATTTTGGATGGATTGGAATCCACTAAAAATGCTGCGGATTTCACGAGAGAATACTTACTGTAAGTGTCGAATTGTGACTATTTTGCAACTAAATACTGTTTTTCAGAGAGGACATTGACGGAAATTTGAAACCTCACCTCATATGGCAAGGATACAACTTTCGGAACAAAAACGGAAGAGAGGCGACGATAACAATCGACTTTGATGCAGTATGTTACCTTACAATGTGTGTCTGGCCCGAAGCTCCCTGACTTTCTTTTCTCCCCTTTCAATTGTCACAAAGGTACATATTTTAAGGTCCCATTGGACTTTGTTCACTATTTTTTCACTTCCAGTAGCAACTAAAAAATAATCAATCTTTATTTCAACATTTGCATTAAAATACACTCACAGATTACTTATAAACGATGTTTAAAAACAAAATAGTCGTACATATTATAATAATGTCATGTTTCACAAAAAAGCAATTTCATATAAAGTTTTGTTTGTTATTGACTACATGCAGGTAAAATGGGACAAAATGTGAGCCGGTCATAAGCACTATTGTACACGTATCAAAGATAAAACCCATGGGACTTGTGGCAAAGGGGGAGGAGCATGAAACATGAAAAATGGGTGGAACCATGGCAAAGTGGGAAGAATGGCAAAGTGGAAAGGGGATAACGATCATCGCTTTCTCGCGGACGGCGACGTTTTCTGCAGCAGCTTCGACGTGTTCGGAATGGAGCTCTTGAGATCTTTGATGCACGCTTCAGCTTGGAACATTGGCAGCACGAGTCGCGTGCTCAACGAGAAACTTCCTTCGGCTGCAAGAATTGAACGTTTTCAGATTGATTCCCTCATCATTTCTCACCTATATCAATTGCGGCGTTATGAGGATCGATTCCGCAGAACTTGCTCAATTTGAGCCCTTTTCCGTAGGTCAGATCTTCGATGGCGCTCTTCAATTCGGGCCACATCATGTCCATAATCATTCCGCGAATCAAATCGTTCATGAAAGTTTTCCATCCGCCCGGGAACGCTCCCTGCTCCATCTCGATCGTGGTGTCCAGCAATTCGACGCCGGTTCGGAGTGTCCCGTTGTCGAACGATGGGCGGAGCTCTGCCTGGATCGTGAGCACGAGCGAGACGAACACCGTCGTCTTTTTGCTGTCCGGATTGACTACTTCCAAATGGATTCGATCAGTTCTGAAAGAGGCAAAATACGAATGAGAAAGGGATCGAGATGAACTGACTTTGTGAGCTGGAGGGAGGAATTGGTGGCCGAGATTGTGGGCCTTCCTTTCGCGTTCACATTCACTTGGAAGTAGCACTCCGTGCAGAGGGTCGAGAGAAATTCGCGAGAATCTGGAGGGATTATCGGGCTGGAGACTGGAATCTGTTCGTTCATCCACTCGAAATTCCAGTCAATCTACAAACAACTCGGATGAATACATTGGGAACTGCACACCGACCTGGTCGAGGATTTCGTTGAGAATCGCGTCCTCAAGCCACACGGTCACGAGATCTCCGTTCTTCATTTCCATGTCCATCAGCTTTGTCGAATTGTGACGCTCGTCTTGTCCGTCCAGAAGGCGTGACGCGTCGTCGGAAGTGGCCGGAATCAGCTTCTGCCATTCGATCTGAGCACGGACAGTCAGTTGATGCTCGTCGGATTCGATCGAGTTGATTCTGAAGGATTACAGTTCGAGATGAGCGCAAGAAGTTTAGAATTACCGGTAGAAGAGCGTCGTGTTCCTCGCGGACATGTGCTCCTGCACTTTCATCGGAAGGAACTCGTAAATCGGGAACTTCCGCTCCGAATTGTGCTTCAAATCGGACGTCGACGAGGAGAGCGCCGAGCAGATGGCTCCTTCGAAGAACGACGAAACCATCGATCCTAGCGTCGATATTCCCTATAATTTGTGATTCTTTCTTTTTGTTCTTCGTTTCCCTCGTCGTCATCATCATCATAACTTTATATAACTAGCGTCGTTCGTTGGCTGAACGGCTACAGAAAGGCAGAGAAGAATGACGACAAGTGGCAGGAAGAGAGAGAGAGAGAGAAGCAGGTTTTTAGTGGCAAAAGAGGACAGAATTAAATGGCAAAGAAAAACAGTGACGAAAAAGAAAACGAAAGTACCTTATTGACGAGCCAACTGTCTCTCAGTTGGAAGCCGACGTCCGGGCTGAACAGAGCGCACTTCGAAAGAGTGACCTTCTGTCTGTCGACGATAAATCGAAGATGTCCACGTGGCACTTTCACGTGCGAATCGACGAGCGAATCGGAGAACGGAAGCGGCCAGATGACGTCGGAGAGGTTCGCGTGCGAGATGATGTTGAGACTGAAGAACGGGAACTTCGAACACTTTTTCGCATATAAATTGGATGTAATCCGGGTGCCAACTATACATTTCGACATTTTATTTGCCTTTTGAATTGAAATGTGTCGTCCTTGACGGGAACACATTTTGTAACTGTCAATGGGAACCGAATGGTCAGTCCTTCGGAATCAAACTCACTTCTCGAAGAAGACGTGCACAACTTTGGGTCGGAATTGCACAGACACATTTCGATAGGAGACGGTGTTGTAGAGCTTGAGATGTGCCAGAGAGCCGAAGGTCGGTTCATCGTTCGACTTGAGAAGAATCTGAAATAAGGCAATTTTTCATCGGCTCAAGGAGACCCATAAATATTAGCTCATTCCGTTTCTCCTCCTCATTATCTTCTTCTACCCATTCACAATTTCACATTCGAATTCCGAAGGTCAGTTCGACCAGCGGTGTCCTTGTCTGGAGAGGGTCAAATAAGTCTCGAAGTGGCAGGAAAACGGGCAAAACGGCGAGAGATCGGTGCCTCCGATCGACACTCTTTTATTGCCGCGCCGGGTGGATGTTTCCGAGAACGGAGACAAAAGATACGGATCATCCGCAAAATGTTTTGTCTCGCTCGTGTCATCAGTGTCAGGAATGAGAAAGATTTGGAACAGATTGTGACACTTGTGGACCGAGGTTGATACTAATCAGAATTCCGACTTCTAATCGCCATTGGCACCTTCCTACGACGGTTCGCTCTTCGTTTCCCAATTCAAAACATCGTTTTAGAAAAAGCCCGTCTAATTAGGTGAAGCGGAGAAAGTGAAGAGAGGAGTTTGTTCTTCCGTCCTTGGGCGGCGGCAAGTCGTCGCACACGAAAATGGCTTGTCATTTCTGGCGCAATCCAATTAGACGGTCCTTTTCGCCGCCCGGTCGACAGAGGGAGGGAGAAACGGTTTTTGGGCACGACGGAAGATTCGATTAGGTTCTGATAATCGGATGTTTGTTTTGCGAATGGGGATTTGAATTAGAATTAGACGTAGGTTGATGGGATGGGATCGAATCGTCCCAAAGAGTACATGTAACAGAAGAGAGATTTCATTCAGACGCACTGATTCCGTCCCTTCTATTCACGCTCTTTTCCTTTTCACAGTGCGTGTTCCTCAATCGAAAGTAGGTCAAACGTTTCAAGGATGACTCAATAGGCGGCCGCGGATTCAGGCATGAGGAGCGGAGGGAAGAGGCAAAACGATCGGGTAATCTGGTCTTTTCCGAAGCGAGAAAGAGAGCGCAGAGGGATCGAAAGTGAGGAAGAACACGATGATTTCGTCGAAATGAGAGACCAATTAGCCGGGTCACCGACAGACACTTGGGTCGACTGGTAAATTAGGTTCTGAGGACTTATTAAATACAGGTAGCTGCTGGTGAAAGTGTGACGTCGCTTCATTCCGATTATGATGCGAAAATGTTGCTTTTTGTGACGACGGGAGCGAAACGGAACGGATGAGTCATGGCAAAGCTTTCTTTTTCCACAAGAAACGACTAACATCAGCGACTCTGGTCTCCTCGAGAAACTGCGTAGCAGTGTGCCTGATGAGCTGTGTGATGGCCGAGTCGCCGAGCGTCACTCCGAATTCAGAAGACGTGCACGGCGTCGTCAGCACTGCGAGCATCACGATTACCCATTTTCTGCAAAGAATTCGATTCGAAGGCTCTCGAAGAAGAAAAACTCACATGATTGAGACCGACTTGCACATCGCTCAGAGCGAAGAATGATTGGAAAGTGGGTGGATGGGGAGGGGGACGGCAGTGACGGATGCACACACACTGTTTTGTTTTGTTTTCCGGGTTCTTTATTGTTTCGATAAAGAAAGACGGGGCGACGGCGGCTACTTCTTCTTTGTCTCGATCGATCGTCGCGGTTCGCACATTTGGACCCGCGAGTCTGGAATTTAAAGAATTTTTGCAAATTCAATACGAAATTTCGAAGACGAAAGTGAATACGAAGCGCCGAAATTACAGTCGGGCAGCGGTTTAGTGGTGAGAAATTGGTTGGCGCGAGTTTAAAATTTCAAACATCTCCGTTTTGAGCACAGAGACGCAGAACGTTCGATAGGACCGGAACGACAGATGTGCGCGAAAAACGGACAGACGCCTCAAAAAACATTGTATTTAAAAAATTACGGGCTGACAGTCACCGTCAATCAGGTTTTCTGGTTTTCTGGAGACGTCCGCCGACGACGCGCGTCGTTTCAAAAATCGAGGAAAAAACAAAAACAGACAGGGAGGCGAATTGGGCGAAATTGGGGGGAAAGTTTGAGGGGAAAGGGGGGCGAGAAACCACGGATGAAAGTACAGACGGGTGTGCGCGTCGGCTAATTGTACGGCCTCCGACTCTTTTTTTTGATGAGGCGGAATGGAATGGCTACGAGTAATGTGATGATGACAGTTTTCGGGGAAAACTGCTCGACACGTGATGTTATGCTTGCAGATTTCTGGCAATCTACCGAAATGCCACGTGAAAACTCGGTCGTGATTGTGACTCATGTACTGTTGTGAAATCCATAAAGAAACCATCGGTGACCCCCGAGGCGTCGGTGACTCAGCGTTCGGCGACAAGTGTAATGTGAGAAAGGTTAGAACAAAAGAACAAGGAATCTGATTGATCGGTAGTCTCTGTTTGCATAATTAGAGAGAAGAAGCAGAAGCAGAAGGAGAAGTTTGTCTTGAAATGGATGTACATCTGTTAGAGTGTGTAAAACCGGGCAACAAACGAGAATACAAGAATCATGCGCTGGAGACGTCAAGGGAAATTGGGAAAGAAAGAGAAGAAAGGGGGCGGAGTCTCCTGTCGCGCGAGAAGAAGAAGAAGAAGAAGAAGAAGAAGAAGAAGAAGAGGAGGAAGACGAAGGAGAGGAGATAAAGAGATGGTGAAGGGTGTGTGGACACGGACATATGACGGACAGTGCCGCGAAATGATATGGACGGAGAGGGAAGAGAGAGAGAAAGAGAGGGATCGGGACGCCAAGACTTGCCATCCGAGGATGATGTCCTCTTCCGATTACACCACCATCGCCGACAGCTATCAGCAACAGCTTCTCCCTCTCTTTCTCTCACTTGTCCTTCTTTTTCTTCTCCTTCTTCTGCTGCTTCTTCTTCCACTTCCACTTATTTTTCCTCCATGAACTGCTAATATGTTCCAGATTTTGAATGCCTTTATGCCGTCGACACCATCTCCTCCTAGTCCTTCTCCCTCTTCTTCTTCTTCTTCTTCTTCTTCTTGCTCCGATCGTCGTCTCGATCGGCTCGCACGACAGTGACAAAGATTTCCACCCGCTTCTCGCCGCTCCGCGAACGCTTCCAGGCGTGCGAGTACGCATTCTGCCACGTGGATTGGCCTATCTCAATCATGTTTGTCTCTCCGCCCATTCGTCTGACTCGAAACCGTTCAGATAGCCGCCAATCTGCTCGCCGACCAGCTGCCGAGACTGGTCATTCCGGACGTGGAGCACATTCTGCCGAGCAACCAGGGAAACATTTATATATCAAGAATCCGCCTCTCACGGTAGGGACCGCTTCGTGTTCTTCTCCTTTTTTTTCGCATTCTTCGTACGCTCGCTCGTTGACAAGCCCGTTTTCCGCTGTTCTTTACACTTGACTGATTGTGTGATATTTATCTCTACGACAAGATTTTCGTGAACTTTACGGTCTGTGTAAAGTGGAACTTTATTTGGGCGGTTTATGGGCCAACAATCAAAACTTTCATTCATTCAAGATTCCGTCGAGCAGAATATCATCAGCTGAACTCGACGGCTCCGAACAAGCTGTCATGGACGATGCAGAACATGGATATTGGGTATGTTCGAGCTGAAAACTCAAAAAACAACGGAATCAATCTGATTTCAGACTGCTCGGAGATCTCAGCGGATCCGTGAATATTGTGGTTCCACTGAACCTGACTGGACAAGTCGAGATCCTCGCTCAAGGACTCACTTTTCATTTGGAATCTTCGGTAAATACGTCGAAAGGAATACAACCACAATAGTTGGCTTTTTCTCCAGATAGAAAAGGGAATAAACGGTTCGGCGAAAGTGACGTCACTCTCCTGCTTGGCCACAATCCGCGACGTCACCGTCACCAATCACAACGGCGGACTCTTCGGACTCGCGGTGTCCGTGTTCAAGCAGGGCGTGTCGGATAACGTGCGGCACATGCTGCAAGGGATTATTTGCAAGAAAGTACGGAAATATATTGACGAGGACGCGAACGAGAAGCTGGCCGAGGCGCAGACTTCCAGCAAACTCGGCGATGCGCTGGAAACGAACGCGCTCCGAATGATATCGGTCGGCGGGGAGGAGAACGCGCGAATCGACGTGGCGAGCATATTCGAGCCAGCACTCGCTTCCAAGTTCTTCATCGACTTCAGGTGAGAAGGGGGGAAACAAATGTAATTCAAACTATTTTGTTCAGACTCAAAGAGCACCCGATCTGCAGCGAGAACACTGTGGAACTCGGTTCCTGGGGCGAGATCTCGTACATGGGCCAGGGGGACACTCCGTTCGGACCGGTCGACGCCTCGTGGCCGGGCAGATCTCCGTTCAAGACGAACGTCGTCGACTCGCTGACCAATAAGGACTCGATGCTCGAGCTCGTCGTCTCCGATTTCCTCCCCAACTCTCTGCTCTACCATGCTTACGTGTAGGCTCTAACTAACTTTTAATCTATCCTCTTACTTCCCCTTCAGTCAACGCTTCATAAAAGTGCTGCTAACTCCGAAAACGAAAGGAGTCGCCTCTTTCCTCCGAACATCCTGCGAAGGATCCTTTTGCATATCCGATCTCGCTCCTCAGCTCGCCGAGCAGTATCCCAACTCGACGGTGGAGTTGGCGATGAGTGCGACCAGAGCGCCGGCGATTTTGTTCAGCGAAAAGAACGGAGGAACCATTTCCATCTCGATGGGCGGTCTCGTCGTCGTGTTCGCAGTGAACGGGAATCAACGTCGGCAGGTGATTGTCGTGGATTTGGACGTGGTCGCCGACGCCAAACTTTCTATTCAAGTCAGTTCGAGAACGTTCTTTTTTTTTTCTTAATACCAATTCTCAGGGCCATAATGTAAGTGGGTCTGTGGAGCTCAGAAAGTTCGAATTGAAGCGGCGGACGGGAACGGTGGACATTTCGGACGCGGAAATCGACGATATCGCCCTGCTCGTCAGTCATTTATGTGAAAACCTTCTCAACGGGCTACTAGTCAACGGAATGCCGATCCCATTGCCACACGGTAAGTCTTGGCTCTTCGAGCTGCTCCGCACTGCTCACTTTTCCAGTACTTCGCATCAAAGACAGCCACATAAACGTGTTGAGCAGAAGAATGCACATCCAGGTCGACGTGGATGTGGACGAACGACGCCTTTCAAAGATCGCCTCGCAGACTTTCTTCAAAACTCCGCAGTTCTCCGATGTGAACACCAGTCAGTTCTTCCTTTCCCCTTCAATATCGACCATCTTCCGTTTCAGCTCCCATCCGCCGATTGGTCCGTCCGATGGCGTTCCTCGACGGTCGACAACACATTTCCCACTTCAACTTCAACAATTGGTCAACTGATACGGCAAAATAACCAAAACGGGAACATTTTTCGCTCATTTTACACCCCACCCCTCTAGTCCTCTTCTTTTCCCTTGTTTCGCAAAGTTACGGGTTTGAAACATGTCTGTACATATTTGATCAATAAATTAGTTTTTCTGATTCTGAACCAAGGAAAACATTGAGAAACGTACACGAATGTACCCCGTGTGCTCTAATGTTTATCCCTTGTTGGAGGTCCGCCTATCGATCGGTGATTACCGCTCACGCGACCGAGCAACAGGAACCTGAAATGACCAGAGATGTTCTTCGAACACTGCACACATTTGAAATGTAAGTCTTTTCATCATTCTTCTCATAAATACTCCAATATTTCAGTTTGGATTCAACATTTCGCTCTTCGAATTGAAGCGGAGGACGGGAACGGAAACGGAAAACAGAAGAAATCGAGGGAAGTGAGAGGGAAAAGAGAAGGAAAACACAATCGAATGGAGCCAAGGGATGCGGATTCGAACGACGCCAGTGCCCGATCCGACTCGCCTACTCCTGCACCATCAACAAGTCGCAAGGCCAGACCCTCTCGAAGTGTCCTTCTTCACATCGGACCCAAACCTTCATTAATGAAAAAATTTTGACTTCGCGCACAAATTCGAGTGTCGATTTACGGCTAAACAAGGAGCGGAGAGTGCGCGGAGCGTCGTATTCCGAAGCAGTGTTCTGCCGGATCCAGTTGTTTTTGATTGACTTTGAGCTCACGTTCCTCTTTTTCGTTCGTTTTTTCTCACACGAAGTTATTTTTTCCCTCTCAGAATTCAATGGAAGTCGATAATGTCAAGCCATCGAGTTCCGTTCCTCAGAGAAACTGGGAAAAAGAAAATAATGTAAGAAATTGGTTTTAGTGCTCATTACTGGAGGAAGCTCATTTTTAGGTGCAAAATGTCGACTCTATTTTCGAATATAACAACAAGCAACAGGTAGAGATTCGAAATGCGAAGCCGTGGGACAAGGATCCGCATTACTTCAAGCAGGTAAGCAAAGTATCGTTCCGAGCTCATTTTCTACAATTGCATTGCATTTCAGATCAAAATCTCAGCGATCGCCCTTCTGAAGATGACGATGCACGCGAAACGAGGCGGAAACCTAGAGATTATGGGACTTTTGCAGGGCAGAATCGATGCCAACTCCTTTATTATTCTCGATGCGTTCGCTCTTCCAGTCGAGGGTACCGAGACTAGGTACGATCAATACTTGATTGAAAATAAAATCGATCGATGTTATTCAGAGTGAATGCTCAAGCGCAGGCGTACGAGTACATGACTGTCTACACCGATATGTGTGAATCGGAAGGCCGTCAGGAGAAGGTCGTCGGGTGGTATCACTCGCATCCCGGATACGGCTGCTGGCTCTCCGGAATTGACGTCTCCACGCAGACACTCAATCAGAAGTTCCAGGAGCCATGGGTCGCCATCGTTATCGATCCGCTGAGAACCATGTCCGCCGGAAAGGTAATATACATTTGAGAAGTTGCGAAACCATTGAATCCCTCAATTCAGGTCGACATTGGTGCTTTCCGAACGTACCCAGAGGGATACCGCCCGCCAGATGACGTGCCGTCCGAGTACCAATCGATTCCTCTCGCCAAGATCGAGGACTTCGGAGTGCACTGCAAACGATACTATTCACTCGACGTCAGCTTTTTCAAATCGCAACTCGGTGAGAATCTAGCCGAAGAAATGACTAGAGAAATCATTCAATCATTCTCAGATGCGCATATATTGACTGCTCTCTGGAACAGCTACTGGATCTCCACTCTCAGCAGCTCTCCGCTCTTCTCGAACGTCGAATTTATCAATAATCAGATCCAAGATATCAACCAGAAACTGTTGGCCGTCGAAAGGAAGGTTCTGATCAGCGATCGCAGCCCGGACGCCGCGGATACCCTCACCAAGGTGGTCACCGACGCGATGGCAGTCGGCGACGAACTTGAAACGGGCCGAATCTCGCACTTTGTGAAGCAGATGCTGTTCGCGAGAAAGGGAGGATGCGGATGCTCGCACGCCGCCGTCCCTGACGCTGTCATGGAAGTCGTAGAGCCGGCCGTCGTCGAAATGGCCGAGGAGGAGTGGTGAAACGGATAAATTCATATAAAATCAAATGCACGTCACTTTTTATCCACTTGATACTGTTCCCACTATTTATGAAATCGTTCCGTTCTTTCCTCAATGTATTGTTCCGTTTGTTTCGCTTCAAGTTGTTCATATTTTGTTCTTTGGTAATCTGACTTACCAGATGTCCGTCCTTTGTCGGCGCATGCGAGCGCGCGCGCGAAAGTCTGCACCCTCCGAATACTCGCGCCTCCCACAAACGATCACGCCGATCGGTGGCAGGCTATGTGCACACTTCTCCCGTCCGGCCGCAGACGTCCCTTTCGTCTTGGGATGTTTAGCTGTCTGGCATCGGCGCGCACAGACGAGAATGTTATAGAGTTGACCTTCCGTTATCGCGTTAATTGTTATTTTCACTGCACTTGAAATTTCGCTGGTGCAACATTGTTTCAAATTTAAATTCGCGCCTCCCCCTCTGCTTCTCTGCACCTCTTCCCCGTCACACTTGGCGCCCGGCACATTCCAAACAGACCGTGTCCTTTCCGCTCGTATACACTTTGTCGCTGCTCTCTTTTTCTCTTCTTTCTAGGCTTGTTGCCGTGCTAATGGTCCCAATTTTCGAAGCGATGGGCTCAATGATCGAACTGTTGGCCGCGCGCGCTCATGTTGTGACTAGCAACTCGACAACAATTTCGTAATCTCGCGATGTCTCGTGTTGCTGTGACTAAGCGCCTTTCAGTCGGCCACAGCTATGCGGCGTATGCGCTCTAATGTGTCTATTTCGCAAAAATTGGAGCCACCCGCCGAGTTCTTTTATCGGAAAATTTCGAGCAAAAAAAAATTGTGTTTTCCGATAAATGTTTCGAAATACCCGAATACTGCTCTTGAGGTTAGTGTTGCCGAATTGCTTTGGCAATAGCGCTCTACCTCATACTACAGAAATTCGCGGCCGTGGCCGTGTTTTCATGTAAAATTGCGCTTTCCAAAACTCACTCTGCGAGTTCGCTTCAATTGCGCAATGTTCCCACCCTTATTTCACTCTCACTTGTGCTACTCGGCACGCGCCTACTCGTTTCCGCTGTGTTTCATCGCTCTCCGCAGAACAACGAATTAGTTTTCACTTTGTTTATCAGCGGCAGCAGCACATTCCGATATCCAAATTGGGCACGCTCTCTTTGGGCTGCTCTTTTCTTCCCCTTCTCGTCGCCTGAGTCTCTTTTGTCGCCTCCCTTGTGATCGGCTTTCGCAACTCTAGCCCTCATTTTCAGTAGTGTGACGATGTCCGACTTCGACGAACTCGAACAAGGCGCTCTCTCCGATCGAATCGACGAAATCGACGAGAACGAAAAAGAGGAGGAAGATGATGATGAAGAAGAGGAAGAAGAAGGCGAGATGACGCCGAGCGATGGAAGATCCAAGCTTTACCTCGTAAGTCTTTCAACTATACATGCTCGCTTAATCATGCCTCTACAATTGCAGATCGAAAAGATCAAGGAGGTGTTCGTACATCCAAAGACGAAAAAGATCCTATTCAAGGTTAAGTGGCACGGCTACGAAGAATCGACCGACGAGCCGATCGAGAACTTCGATCTAGAGTTGGAGCACCCGGTCATCAAATCGTATCTCGAAACGCCTGAGGGATTGGAGCATTATAAGGGCGCCGTTCGGTATAGGGATCAGTTGTTGAGTGTGTCTTCGAAAAAGAAAAGGGCAAGTCGAGAAAATGACAGTGACCGAATGCAATTGTGGAAGTTTAGGGCAGGAAACCGAAAAAAATCGTGTCGAGAAAGAAGAAGACGGTATCGGAGACGCCGCCGAGCACGTCCAGTCTGGAGAGTTCACCGGAGACCGCTGAAGCGGAGAAGAAGAAGGATAGAAAGAGAAAGAATCCGAAGGAACTTGATTGTGCGGAGCAGCCGAAAGCGGAGAAGACGTCCAGAATGCAGTCTGGGTGCTCGGAGCACGATGACGGTTCTGAGCAGGCCAATGCCGTCCCCATCGAGAATCCACCAAATAATGATCTTGGCGAAAGTTCGCAGACGGCGGACCAGCCGACCGGTAAGTTGAAGTGCATGCAAAACGGTTCGAAAGAGACGTCTCCGATTGTCCCTCCGATCGCCACAGTGTCGTCTCTAAACGTTCCGCATCTCAGCGCACTTCTAACGGACGACGTCCGCGCGTCAGAAAAGTCGGTAACTCCGATGTCTCCGACTTCTTCAAGAGAATCGAAAATCAGATTATGGGCGAGAAACAATTGGATTTCAGATGTAAGATTGAACCGAAATAGTGAATCAACAGCTAATCTTTATCGTTTTCAGAGAAGAAACGTTGCTCCGCAGTCAGACAACATAAACGCTCTGTCGCAGGCCATTCACTTGATGGACGTCGACTATATCCGTGTGCTCCTTTCCAACATGTCCGTCGCAGAACGGCACGACTCCATCACCCAGCAGCCGTTCCCCAATCCTCTGCCACTGCACGAACTTCTCTACTTCCATTACAAGGTTCAACCGAACAGGGAAATTCAGGTCACAAGGGTCTTTGACGCCATTCTGAAGCACGTCTCCGCCGAAACTTTGAGCGCCGGAGATCACGACGGAAACACGCTCCTGCATCTCGCAATTGTAAACGGATACGTGAGTGACTGTCTGATGTGACGGACACAAAACGATATTTATGTTTTAGACGGACGTCAGCGAGATGCTCATCGAGAAACGAGTCTCACTTCGAGCAGTCGACAGCCAGGGAATGACGCCGGTGGACAAAGCGGTCGAGGTGAACGACGAGGATATTCTGGAGCAGCTCCTCCAATTGGGCAGCTTCCCGAACTATGTGCCCAACTTCACGCCTGATGACTTCAAAATAACGCAGTCGAGCTACGGAGAACGGCAGCAGAAAAACGAGAAGATCCGGCAACTCTCGCGCCACGTTCACATTAATCTGTTGAGACATTACTCGAGCCTGATTGGGATCTGCTGCAGAAAAGTTCGTGCCGCGTTCGGAGATCAGATCGAAGAATTGGATAAGTTTCCGTCGATCACATTCCCCATCAGATATGTCGGAGAGGCGGAGCCTCGGTGGGTCGGCCGCTTCAATGTGTCGGAGGAGGCGCTCGTGCCGATAGGAAAAGCTCGATTCATGATGTTCGTCTTTCCGCTGAAATGGTGCATGTCGAAAGTGAGCGGAGACCTGACAGTTCTATAGAGAATTTCTGTTATGTTCCAGTCTCGCTTCAAAATCGCAAAGGAAGGCTCGTTATCGGCGCTTCCTTGCTTCAACTCGGAGCGGTGCGAGTTGGCAATTCCGCCGTATGTGTTCATTGTGGAGCCGAAGAAAGGCCTGAATCCGGTGGTCGTGCAGCCAGTGACGGGAAAGCACAGCAGCTTCCTCGTCTGTCAGCTCGTCCGGTGCAACTGGAAGCCCGCTACTCTGGACATCATCCCAATCATCCGAACCATCTCGTCGAGACAATCTACGAACTTTGAGGTTTCGAACATGTCGGAGAGTGAAATCGAAGTAAGGATCGACGCGTCCGAGCATTTCAACGTGAAGCCAAGAAACGGACAAACCTGCCCGTGGCTGATTCCTCCCGGACACAGCCTTCTTCTGAAGGCGACTGCCGAATCGGCGGCTACGGTAGGTGCAACTAACACGGGAGGTACCGAACGATTAATTTTCAGGTTGGCCAGGTCATGACAATGACTTTGAAACACGGCTCCAAGGGATTCTTCGAGCAATCGATCAGTCTGCGCGTCAAGCAAGTGGAATAACCTCCCTTTCCTCCCTTTCGTTTCCCTATTCTATTCTGAAATCCAAAAAGTTCTCAGCCCATTATCTGATTTTCGATTCTTTCCGTAACTTTTATCTTGTTTTGCATCCCCACAAATTCTTATCGTTCTGTGCAATGATACTCGTTTATTCTTGTCAATATATTTGCTAATCTCTTACCATCATTTCTGTTCAATTGTCCCATTGTCCTTTTGCTAGATTTTTTTCTTAACTGGCCCCAGTTATTCACAGAAATCTGATTATATTGTCGACAAATCACTGTTTGTTTTCATATCCCTTTCGGACTTATCATGGCTCGGCCGCCCCATATTTTGTTAAAGTTTCGATATTTTCAACTTAACTCTGCGATGTTGATTATTCATGTTCATAAAAACATCCAATTGATTGATCTAATATGTACACAAACCCGTAGCGTTGCGAATCAAGAGAAAAGAGGACTAGAGAAGTGGAAAATCGGTTTTTCTCCCAAGTAGTCCAAAAGTTTAAGCGTTTGGTTTTTTCCACATTTATTTGCGTATTTGGGACAAACGAACAATATATGAACATATGGACATGTACACTTTTGAATAATCGAGGTTCGGGGACAAGAGAAAAGAAAACAAGAAGGAAAATACAAGAAACATAGATCTGCAAAAGTGTAAACGATGGGAGAAAAATAATAATTAAGGATAGAAGATCGTGGTATCAGAGTGGGCCGTGATGAAAAAGTATGGAGCGATTGGGACGAATCCAGAAGGGATTCGACCGAAGAGAGAGAGAGAGAGAGAGAGAGAGAGAGGAGAGAACAATCGTCACGAGACCCGTTTCTAGCTATGTTTGTATCAGGGAGGGACAGAAACACATTGAGTGGGTGGAGCTCCAGGCTCAAAGAGAAAATGGGTGCCAGGTAATAAATTATTACTGGGAAGAAAGGAAAGAGGATAAAACTGCGTTTGTATTGAGGTATTTCACACGGGAATCTGGGGGGACAACAGGGAAGGGACAGAAGTGAAACATCACTTGTTTCCGTACAAGAGAGGAGATGGGGAGACATAAAAGAACGAAGGACGAAACAAAAATGCATTTTTGATTAGGGTGATTAGAACAAGTTCTTTTCGAATATATTGTTCATGTTGATTACTTTGTCGTGGCGATCGGTGCGACGTTGACGGCACGTACGGGCGGCCACCTTGTTCTTTCCTGCAAAACACATCAGTTCAGATTCCGAAAGAATCCGTCTCAACTCACCGCGTCGTCGAATCTTGCGAATCAACTGTCGCTGATACTCGCTGAGATTCTCGCTCTTCAGCACTTGCTGCAACTCGCTCAACGACATCTCCGAGATTTGGAACGCCGTGACCGGAAGTCCGCTGTCGGAGGCCAACTGCTCATCCTTCGACTGACGCCCACGCTTGCGTTGACCCGATCCGGAGAGTGGCACCACTCGGCTGATCTTGGTCGGATGTGGAGAGCGCGGAGACGACGGTCGTTCGTAGCGTGAGCCGTGGCCCGGAATGAGCTTTCCGTAGAAGCGGGACTCAGTGAGTGGGCCGCTCGTTGACGAAGAGCTTTCCGAGTTGTAGCGTGGCGATTCCGAGGAGAGGCGAGAGCAGGTGGAGGATGAATCACTGAAAAAGGAAAAGGATTACTCAGACTCTGAATTTCAGAGAAAGAAGAGGTGCACTAAGGTCCCTGGGGTCTCTCTAATCAGTTGATCATAACGGAAAAGTACGCTCGAATCCTTGCACTTTGCTAATAGAGCATTCCCGACAGAGTAGTCACTCACGTGTTGCAATCGCTGTACGAATGTCTGTGCGAGTGGTACGGATCGAAGAGCGACGCGGTGGCCGAAGCGGTCACACGCTCGCTGTTCGGGCTCGTCTGCGTTTGCTGCTGACGTCCAGAAGAGGAGGCGGTGGTGGTGGTTCCTCCGATGAGTAGCGGCGAGAGCGGAGTCTGCACTTGGTACGAGTGATCGTAGTCGATCTGTCCGTTCGAGATCACCGTGTGCAGCGAGTCGTTCTGCATTCCGACGTAGACGTAGTTGCTTTGTGGGAACACTGGAAAACCAATCATAAGAATCGGAGCGAGAGATATCGGCAGAATGGGTTAGCCTAGAGAATGAAAACAAACCAGACGCGCCTCTATCATAAGTGCTAGAGAATCCCGAATACGGAAAAGCGGCCATCTGGTTCTGGGTCAACTGGTCGAGTTGTTGCGACGGTTGCGGGAACATTTGCAGGCGGAGGCTCTCGTACATCGAATTAAAAAACAGTTTCGAACGGGCGTCGGTAGCGGCGAATGGCGGGAGGTTGTTGGAAGGGGAGGACGGTGAGGAGGACATTCAAAACGAGCTCCGCTTCTAGCACTTTATATACTTAGAGGCTCTGTTTAGCGCGATACGCCCCACCCACAATAGTTTCAGCAGTTCAGAAAGGGGCGTGGTCACCTGCCTCATTAGTCTCTCAACTTCGAGTCTCGGGAAAAGGGGGAAAAATTGGTTATCAAGGAGAGAGGAAAAGATTGAGAGCACGCTAGAGATAAGAAAGAAAGAGGAAAAGAAAGGGAGCAACGCACCGTCGCTTGGGGTCACTTCAGTCGGCTCGATCCATTGCTGGATAGTCAGAGCATCGGTGGTGTTGAAGAGAGTTTCGGGTTGCTCGGCAGAAGAAGTGGGAACACTCGAGATAGAGATCTGATTGCACGAGTCGTGAATCTCTTCCATTTCGGTCACTGAAATTACCAGACGTTTAGAAGGTCGACGCCAGAAGCCAGAATCACTCACAATTGGCCTGTGTGTAGACGATCGCATCGGACAACGAGATGTCGTCGAGAATCGGCTTCTTGTCCTCAAACAGAAGATTCAGCTGTCCCTCTTCGCGCGACACGTCCTCCAGCAGATCCGCCAGATCCTTGTCGGTCGGCAGATCATGGAACCGCCTCTGTGGCGGCTGCTGATCCTGACCGTCTCGCACTTCTCGCTTCACTTGTTGATGCTTCTGGATAGTGCCGAATGACGGGTAGAAATCCTGATAGTACGACTTCGAGAGGTCCTCGTAGCGTGCATTCTCTTCGGCAGTGAGCGGCTGAAATGATTGATTATTGGGGAAATTGTTTATAACCAGGTGAAATTCGAAACTTTCTCATACAATTCCATCTCATTCCTGCTCATTCATCACATTCTCATTCCCAATCAATGAAGCTACTCATCGTGTTCTCTCTGCTCATTCCACTAGTCCGTCCCGTTGTCATTCCCAGTCCCCTCAAATCCTCCTATGAATCGATCGCCGGCCAGCGTGCCATCAACCTAGATGTCAATGTCCGTCTGCTGACCGTTTTAGCTCTTCAACAAAGTGTGAGTCTCTATCCCGGAAACCTGTGCCCTTTCGAAAAGTCCAGACGGTGATGTACTCTTCTCCTATTCCCCCGAGGTGTTTCCCCGCGAGCTGACGCACCCGTCGCTACGTGCTCTGTTTGACCCGCTTTCTCAAATGCACAAAGTACTGCTTTTTTGCCAAGTACGTCAACTGTACGGTCAATTGTCATCGTCGAACACTCCTGGAAAACGCCCAAGCCGCGTCGGGTGTGATAAGAAGCGAGTCACCGACGAATTCTGATAAGATGGGCGAGAAAAATAGAAATGACGGCATTTTACGCATCAGACTAAACGGAGAAGCAGGAAAAGTGGCGTGCTCCGCCGCGGAGAGAGGGAAACCGCGCCTTATCTGACCGAAGAATTAGGAAAAGTGACGATTGATTACAGGGCTGGCAATTGTACGAAGATCACTGGTACAGACTGTTCGAGGTGGATCTCATGTGGATTCCGGCCGAGAACGTGTGCCGTTCGATGGGAGGCCATCTTGTTAGCATCAAGGACGAATCGGAGAATCTATTCGTGCACAAGCTGAGAAAGAGTGGGCAATCGGTTACCGCGGAGGCTACAATCTATCCCTATTTTTCAGAGAACAACGTCTGGATTGGCTTGAACAAACTGAACGACTCGTTTCAAGTGTACAAGTGGTCGGACGGTTCCGATGCCGACTTCCTCAACTGGGACTCTTCGCAGCCGAACGAGCCCGAGGTCGACTGTGCCTACATGGCTTTTCATCAAGAGCAACGTGGCACTTGGTTCGATTACGGATGCCGCGAGATGTTGCCGCAGTTCTTCGTTTGCGAATTGCCAATGCCATGACTCCGTTTTCAACCCAATAAATCATTCAATTCTCCCCCTACTCACCGCTACTGTCGATTTCTCTGTGAGAGTCTGCAAATCACATTCGTACTGCTCGGCGGGTGCCACCTGACGAATGCCCTTCTCTCCGGCAATGTCACTTCTCCAGAGCACATCGATCAGATCAATGTCTTCCAGAGTCGGCGAATCGTAGTCGTATGCAGAGGAAGTGGTCGGGCGGGCCGAGGTAGAAGCTCCGCGACCGAACGGCGACGCGGATCGGTGTTCGGTGAGGATGGGCATGACGGGGATGGTGACCGGCGACGCCGAAATCATCCGTCGGTCGTCTCGCCAACGGAGTCCCATTGGCCGGTTGAACGGCGGGTAAAAGTATTGCTTGTCCGGAGCATCGTACTGTTGCTGTTGTTGTTGACCGAAATTCCGGTTGTCGTTGTTATTCGAGGCGTACATTTCTGAAAGTAGCGTAAAAGTTCAAAAGTTCCACTTTCCAATCCGAAAAGGCCGTCTATTCATCGGTAAAGTGCATCGAAAGTCCGCCTGATTAAGACGGACTCAAGGCCCCCCGGGACGACCATTTGCTCGATGGTCAGACACCTTTTGACGTCTTCTGCAGCAGCATCAGCAACTTACTCGGAGTAGAGCCCAGGAAGGTTTCGATTGGATCGAGGGAACGAGTACGGGCGGACGGCGAGATCACAACGATGAGTGATGATGTGGCGAGTAACCAGACGATTACAGGCTGCAAAAAAACGGTATAAGGCTCGTATTTTTAAGGAAATTAGTGGAGAAAACAGGAGGAAATTGAAAACATTGCAATTTCGAATCATCTGACAGGCTGCTGAACAGGGATGAAGAAAAAAAGAAGAATAAGACCTCCTCTCTCTCCCTCTCCGTCTCTGTATTCCTCTTCGTTTATCGGGTCGTGAGAGGGGCGGCGTGCGTGAGTGTTGCCAGTTCTCACATCGACCGATTTTCGATGATGTCATCGACTTTTGGCCCGGTGGTAAATTCAAATTTCAGATATTTCAGAGGAAAAGTCGAGTCTAAAAGACCTGATCGTCCAGAATTCTTAAAAAAAAGAGCTCAAAATTGAAGAAACGTCAGAAGAAGAACATCAAAATGATGCAATTTTCAAGAACGATCAGGATGACGTGGCTGTGAATGTGAACAAACCATCCGATTTTTGATCGGATAGTTTCCGACGAGAAAAACGTTACGGTACTAAATACATTGTAACGCGTAAAGTTCACTATGAGCTCCGGCTCGACAAGTTTGCCATAGAGAAAAGAGCAAATAAATGGGAAGGTGAAAACACAAAGTTTTTGACAGACCGAGGAAGAGAGAAGAGAACTGTAGAATACGGTAGTCGCAGCGAGTAATTTTTCGAAAGCTAATTTAATTTACAGCATAGCTGCATAGGAACCGAGAAATTGGGCCTATCCATAACGTTAAGAGAATGACAGATACCGTAATCATGAGACCGCTCGCACACAATTCAAACTGGCAAAAACTTTAAATCAATCTAAAACGAGAAAGGCAAGGTGAGACTGTCGATTAGAGATGGCTGGACAAAAAAAAGTCAAATGAGTTGATCTATCGCGAGGGCAATTCGGGAAGAAACCTCTTACGATAAGAGACAATTTCACGCGACAAAGAACCGTTTGAGAAATGCCCGAGTAAAGCAGCTCACTGATATCAGTGCGGGAATAAGAAATGTGACAGACGGAAAGGCCAAAAGTTATGCAAACTCGATCGGAAAAAACAGCAATGGCACAAATGTGAACACAAAAACTTGTGTTGGTGCACGGTGCACGCCTTCTCTCCACGATGATGTGTGGTCTTCTGCTACTGCTGGCTGCTACCATAGACCGCCGCCGCGATAAACAGCCATCAGGGCGGAAAACTGCGTCTAACATCACATTGGATCGTACGGGAGGTGGAAGAGTAGGACACGCAGACACAAATCGGTCTTAAAACAGTAAACTGCGAGGTTTCGAGAGAAGGTACCAAACTTGACGGAAAAGTTGAGCGAAAACTCGGTGCGTGCACCAACAAAACACTGTTCTCGTCTGCCGTCTCTTCTTCTTTTCCCTCTCTCGACCGCCGAAAAATGCTGACAAATGCGAGAGAGCGCGCCGAAAAGGTAGATCACAGACGGCGCGAGGTAGCTTTGGGCGTGGAAACGCCGACGAACAAAGATTTTGTGACCGCCGTGCCCGAGGTCTTGGGGGCAGAAAGTGGCGTGTATGTGTGTGGACACGGATAGACACGGATAGGAGAGAAGCGAGCGGATGCAGTAAGACTTTCTGATCGGACATACTTTGCCGCCCGAAAATATCCGAGGATATAGTCGAAATGTAGCCAGAATATAGTCGTGCGGCGATTTATGATCCGCCTCGGTGCACGCGCGGCAAACTAAATTGAATCGGACTGATAAGCGGAGTGGTGCTTGAGAAGGCGACGAGGTGATAAGAACCGGCAGGTCGATTTGTTGCAATGTGAACATTAACGAGGCTGCGTTCTAGACACGAGAATCCGAACAGGCAAAGACTACTGTAGATAAGAATAGGTGCAACAAGAGGCAGTAGCACTTGCGCGCTTATTAAAAACGCACTCGTTGTTCGTCGAGTCTCTCAGACCCCAAATCCGTGAAAAATCTCTTAAATTAACCCAAGTGTTCACCGAAAAGTGGTCTCTCTTCCAAAAGCACGCCGATATAAAAAAAAATGGTAGTTTTCTGCGGTTCTTTGCAATTCCGATGCGTGTTTGTGTCAGACAGTTGCCCTTTGTGTTTATCGGTCGACCAGAAGAAACCGAGCAGAACACAGTCGACGGAGGAAGAAAATCGGAGATAAGAACTCACTCAATTCGCAGAGAAATGGGGATCCAAAGTGGTTGGGCTCGTGATGAGTTAAAATTGATTAGGAGAGAAGCGGAAAAAGAAGAGACGAGCTCCGGATTATTGCGAAGCTCGTTCGGGTGATCACGTTTTGTTTAGGTACAACGATTTTTCGCGTCGCCAACGTTATAAATCTAATTTTACACGTGTGGGAAGGTGTGTGACATAAATAGAACAAGATCCAAGCTCGCAAAGTTCTCCGATCTTTGACGCTGCTATCGTCGGAACCTGCCATCCGTTCAAAGTCGTTTTCCACAAGGTACGTGCAACTCGCCGACTTTTGCGTACAAGTGTACCACACCCCATGCTTCTCCGTTGAAAACCTGATAAACTTTTCATGGATGATATCATTGCAGACTGTCGGTTATCAGACAGTTTGATCAAAAAATTGAATTCGAAGGATGGCCAAGTTCGAAAAATCAAGTGTCGTCTGCACTCGTTTTAAGGACACGGAAAGGCTCAAAACTGAAACGGGGAAAAACTGGAATGGGAACGACTTTGTCTGGAGAACTGGAGAACAATCGGAAAACTGTGATTGAGAATGGTGATTCAGACAATTTGTCACATTCTGCTAATGCTGCTGATCTTGTAAATGTCAGAATGGAACCCATTTCTTCCGCTCTGCTCACAGACCCGTTTCAAAACCGGCCGCTTTTCGACTTTGTCCTTTTCAGCACGAACTCGTCGTTCCGGCTTCACTCTTGCAGAGACACGAGAGCAACGAGAGAACAGACGACGAGACGAATATGACATTCGGGAGAAGGATAGGCGAGAATCACGGAAAAGGCGGGAGACAGTTAGGTGACGAGGGCGATGTGACTGATAAGAATGGTCTGATTAACGGAATATGCTGAACGGTAAACACTCGTTGATTTCTGTAATATGCGCTCAAATACAATGTAGCTGGTTGAAAGGAAATTGAAAGGGGGATCGTCTTCAGGAACCAGGAAACATTCGAATCGAATAAGCAATAATTGGGCTCAGAAGATTAAGGAGTCAGATTGCCGCATAAATTGAGTCAGAATTGGGGAAAAATGAGCGCGTCTTCTGTCAAGAGAAGAGAATAGAAAAGTCACCCCGTGAAATGATGATATTGTGGTGCCGTTGATTGATAAAACTGACCGACAGCCCATGAAAAGTGGCGCTCTCTTCTCCTCCTACTCCGTTCACTTCTTCTCCGTCGGCCGAGCACTGTCTTCTCGCTGCTGCTCGCGCTCGTCTCGTCGCCGACGTGCTTCGCTGACGGCGTGCTGATCCGCCCATGGACGAAATCGGTAGATATTCACGGACTGGTACGGATAAGACCAGAGTCCGAATCGGGAGAGCACGACACGACGACGACCTCCTCTGAAAATGGAAAGCAAGTTGGAATTTAAGAACGAAAGAAGCAGATATCAATTGGCTCAAAAACCAATCAGTCAAATTCAGAAGCAAGAGTTTAAAAAAATTAAAAGAAAAACTTTACTTACAAGGAGAACAAGTGAAAACAATTGTACAAAGGTGAAATAATATAAATTGGGATCATTACATATTTCTAAACACTTCAGCCATCTAAATGGGCGCCCTGAGCGCGTCACACTGAGCAGAGGCCGCCTTGAGATCGGCGAGCATCAGAGCCATCGCGCGGGTCCATCGGACGTCTGTGTTCAACGTCATCACCGCGTTGTACTTGACGCCGTTGTCGACGAGCGAATCCGCGCTTATCTGATATGGCGTTTTGAACGCGCTGCTCTTATTCTGAAAAGAGAATGATCTAAAAAAGAATAGAAAACAGCAGTACCTTGAGTTCTTTGAGCAGAAACTCTAGAAGTTGGAGGAATCGTCGGATGCCGGCGTCGATGGCGGAAGAGCCGGAGAGCGGAGTGCCCTGTCCGTACAGCGGGTACGTCTCGACGTCGTTTCCGTTCCGACGCAGCTTAATGTACGAGTGACTTCCCATCGCGACGGGCACCAATTCGTGATGTTGGACGTTGATACGCTCCATCAGGATCTGAAGAGGGAAAATGGAGAGGAAAATGGGCGAGGAAAGCGGGGAAAGGGAGATCGACACAAAACCGGTGGGCGAATCTCGCGAGAACTAACCTCGAGCAGAAGGACGACCTGTCCGAGGGCCGCGTTGATTTCCGTGAACTCCACCGGACTCTCCTTCACGTAGCCCAGTCGGAATCCGTTGATTTCTCCGACGATTCCGTCGACCCAAATGTGGAAGCACAAATCCAGCACGTTCGTATCGATTAGTCTGGAAAAAGGGCGAAAATAGAGAATGAAACGTTTGGTTTGGTTGCACTCACTTTCTGTGCTGAACTTCGGCATACAGACGCTCCGCTTCCAGCGATGCCAATTCTTCTTGATCGTCGAATACTGCTCTGAAAATTACGAAGATTTAGTGGAGAACGCTGATGGGCTTGTTTAGTCGGATAAAGACAGGTGAAAAACCAAGTGTTTTTTGAGGAAAAGCGAGACGTTTCGAAGAAATACGAAAAACTTCAAAAACTCACTTCAAATTGTCGCGGTACTTTCTCCACAAGTCGGCCGAACTCTCGATCGACGCCTCCGCCGTCCGTCTCTTCTGCTGCAATTCCAGATCGAGCTGCTCCTCCTCGACGAGCAACTTCTTCAGCTGCTGCTCCAGATTCCGCTCCTCGTCCGTCGCATTCTGCAGATGGGCCTTCAGTTCCGGAATCGACGTCGTCGGATAGTTCTCCCGCATGTACTCGATGTACGCTTTGTACATGGCGTTCTCCTCGTCCAACGTCGCCACCTGCACATCCAACTCTTTGGCGAGCGCATCTGAGCACTCCTGAAACACGTGGAAAACGATTTTATTGAGTTTGAAATGAGCGAAAGACTTACAATGCAAACGGGCGCTTCTTGTGGGATCTGAGCCTCGGAAATGAGCTTCATGAGGTTGCGCGAGTGGCCTGTCAACGTTTCTGTGATCACCGATTCGGCCTGAAATTGTCAATTTCACTGGAAAAGTTCACCGAACGCTCACGTACCCGTTTTTCGGAATCAGCCGATTCCGGACGTTGCGGGAACTCGAGACGCAGTGGACATTGACAATTCAGACACACGTAACTCCGCTTTTCCATTTCTGAACTAAATTGTTTTTGCTTTTGTAGTGAAGATGAAGATGATAAGGGGGTATGGGCAGTGAGTGAGATAACAATTCCGAAAAGAAACCTCTTATTCACCTCTTTTCTTAAATCGATTACTAAAAAACACAAATGGGAGTGGGGAACACAAAAAGTCACAAAATTATGTCATTTCGGAATTCGGACACAACTAAATATTTGGTCAATGTCCCGAGCGAATAACCTTGTGAGTAAAAGTGAGAATACGAGCAGATGTCTCCTCTTCAAAAGGCGACGGACCAGCTAGTTATAAATCGATGTGGTGGCCGGACGATCGCAAGGCCGATTGTCGTGAGAGGACTGACTGGAGGCACCGATTACGCGGAGACGAAGAAGACGGGCGCCGCGCGGAAAGGCTATTTTTACGAGCGGAAAGGGCGCGCGGATAGACACGAGGGTAGACAGAGTGTCTGTCTGTCCACTTGCACTTTTAAACTGTTTGTGTGTGCGTTTGCGTTCACTGATCTTTCTGCGATCGAAAAAAGGGGGAAGCGGAGTTGCTCGTTCACAAAAAAACACAAGATGCGATGCCAAGAAAACTTGTAAAGCGACAAAATGCGATGAAACATCCAGAACGATCCCAACGGCGGCAGACAGGTCCCAGAGCGAAAGGAAAGAGAGACCAGACGGGCAGTGTGCGCGGATTTGAATGAAGCGTTGGCAGGAATAGGGACAGACGGCAGGATTGGTGAGTTTGAATCGTTTTCCAGTAAGGGAACAGGTCGGAACGTTTCAAGTTGTTTTTCTTAACTCGGAAAACCTGATCTTTTGAAGGACAAAGTCGAGAAACCCGGCAAAATCACGCCGAAAAGTGGGAAAAACAGGTCACGGACGGGCAAAAGTCACAAGATTTCAGCTTTCAAACGTCCTTTCTTCATCCTCTCAAAACCAGAAGAACCATGACGAACAGCTGTGTTTTTGGCCTTTTCGACTTGTGATGACTATTGCGAAAGCGCGCCCCATCGCACACTCCGAATGTTCTGGGCAGACATTCTCGCCTCGTCTCTGTCTCCTCGCCACCTTATACGAACAATAACTACATCTGTAGGACGTCTCTTTTCAACAAAAAGATGTTTGGAATGAAGAGTTGAGTGCAAAATAGGTTCGACACAATCGGCAGAGGAAAAACATGTTTTGATTGAATTTCGCAACTTTGTCTTACTTTAGTTGACGTTTACTACAGGCATTCCAGCTTTTCGAGGGACTCTACTATCGCGCTCTATGAAAATTGTGAAAGCTTTTCAAAAGTTCTTCACTTCAGTATATGTAAAATGTGAGAAAAACGGCGCAAACTTCAAACTTCGAAATGCCGAATGATTGGTTTAGTGCACACTATATAGTGATAAAAACATTTCGCCCCTTCCTTTTCTGTGAGTTGACCATAACAGAAACGTCTGGAATGTCTACGCCTCTCACCTTCTCATTGTGCTGCTCCGGGCGCAAACTCCAAGGGTCAGGAACAGTTAGTGATAAGAGAAATACGAGTTGAAAAGTGGTCGGCGACAGGCCAATTTTATAGCCGATTCCGAGTGGTACCAGTCACTCCCCTCCGGTCTAACTATACCTACTTGAGTTCAGCGCTTTTTTCGCTCGAAAATCCGTTCGTTTACCTATTTATTTGGACGACGAACAGATGAGAAAAAAATAGGTTGAGAGAAAAAAGAGGGAAGACGCGAGGCACCCAAAAAAAATCATGTGGCTGGGGGAGCCGACCGGCCGGAGGTCTGGTGTTATTTGCCAGGTTTACACCGAACCCGTCGGATCTTTGGACAACGTGACACTCGTATTTCAACTTTCGAGTAGGACAGACCGAGAGTAAAACCCAAAAAACCGAAGAAAGTCGAAGAAAATAGCCAGATTTTGGGCCAATGACGGGGACAAGAGCGATGCGTTTTAAAATGCCCCGCAATCAGTTTTCTGCCAGGCATGCGCCTTTAAACCGAAACAATTACTGTAGCACTCGAAACACACCGTAATGCGCCGAGATTCGTCTGGAATAGGCAAATCAGACATCGGATAGCCGAGGAGAAGCGGCGCAGAGACGCAGAAGCGGGCGAGCGTCTCTGCGTCTCGCGTGCTTCATGGGTGGCGCGGCCGTGCCTGCCGGTACTGGTGTTCAGTCTGCTGCTGGGCCTCTCGCGCCGAGTGTGCCCCCAACTTGTGTGTTGTCAAAAAGCGCAAATAAATAAATAAATAGGAAGAAGGAAAGAAAGAAACACGGCATCATTATCGATGAACAACGAACGACACGAAGGTTTGAAAGGGGCTGTATCCCGTTAGAAATGGAGAAAAACTCAAGAATTTTATGCATTTTCATGTGAACAAGTGAAATTATATTATTCAAAGCGATATCCGCGTTTGTGCAAGATGCCTTTCAGAAACTCAATGCTCCTTTGGCCCTGACTGTCTAACTTTTCGCCGCCAATCTGAATCGAATCCTTTTTTTAGCTCAATTTGCGCATTCAAGTACCAAAACGATGCGATTCTCCTGCTCTTCGAGCTCGTCCCGTGGCTCTTCTCTCACAATTCGGCATCTCAAACTGGGCTTCGAAAGGATGAGCGCAGCGAAATATTTGTAGTGAGACTCAACGTCTGTCAGCATGTACTGGGCAATTCCTTCGTCGAAGATCTGCAGAGAAAAGACTTGTCGAGAATGATCGATTTTCAGATTTTTTACTCGGAAAATTGCATGTTTGACGATTTTGAAATTTTTGATCTAAAACACGGCGCGGCCCGCGAAAAATCTCGAAATGATACCTTGATGCTGCCATCGATTTCCCAGTCATGATTCCATCTTTCCACAAAAAGAGCGAGTTTATCCACGTGGATTTCCGTGATTGTCGGCCGGATGAGTCGCGTCGAAACGTCCTTCTCACGGAACATTTTTTCGTTTTTCGCTGAACAATCCATGAAGAATTGAGGGAAGCAAAAGAAGAAGAAGAAGATAATAATAATAATAATAAAGATGACGGAGTGGACGGGAAACGACGAAATGGATTTAAAATTGAAAGATTGAGATGGCTGAGAGACGAAAACGAGAGAATTTGATAAGGATGATCGTGTTTTGATCGTCCCTTTATAGGCGAAGCGACATGCGAAAACAAAAGGTCGCAAAAAGTAATAATTTGACTCACAGAACTGTCACGGGATGAATGGAATATTGGCAAAGAGGTAGGTAAACAGAGAAATGAGACAATTTTGTGTTGTGAGTCATTCGGAAAGCAAGAAAAGAACAGATGAATGTGCGAAGAAGAGGGAATTGGTGAAAAATGAGAAGTGAGTGACCGCACATTTTAATGAGAAAAGGCGTGTGGAGGATGTAATATCACACACAGGGACCCCACCGAAAGCTGTGCAAATGTCAAGAGTGCCAAGGGTTTACATCTGGGAAAATGCCCGATTTTTTGTTCACCTGTGCCATAGATTTCCGCATAAACTTTAAAATTCAAAATGCGGAGGCGAACTCGTTTGAGTGTTTCGAAACGAACAATTGCCACGTCGCACTGATCGTTGAGACCAATCCGACGGCAAATACGATCAGTGATACTCTTGGAGCACTCTGTTTGCCGCTCTTGTTTTCGCAATTCGAAAGTTTTTCAATGTGGGGGTGTTTTGAGGGATACTTTTTGCAGAGAATGGCAATTGACTGAATGTGAAAATGTTTGAAAACTGCTTCTTCAAACCTGTGAATCAAGCGATTTGGACTGTTGACAGGGCTGAACATTTCGTTTCTCGAACCTTTGACCCAGCTTCAATATTCCGATCGGACCCCCAACTTTACAAGATTTTTATGCTTGGATTGAAGTACCCTCGGTTCAAGTTTCAGAACGATCAGAGCATGTGGTCCGGAGATTTGTGGATTGAAGGCCGAAACGCTCGATTTTGGTCCAGCTCTGTGAAAAACTAAGAGAAATAGTGCTTATCGTTGAAATCATCGTTGAATCTTATAGATAAAGCTTTATAAAGCTCTTGAAACTGTGAAAAAAAGTTCGGGTGAAATGTGTAGGCCTCAAAAAGCCTAGGACGGTTATTTGCGCTGTCCTGAAACATGCAACACAAAAATTTGAGCCGATGTTATCGCTTATTTTTCGAGAAAACCGTCAGATTCAAGTTTAACGTAAAAATGAGAGTTTGCGGCTTTTCGGCGGCTCTCGTAAATCGACACAAAGTTTAAAGGCGCACAACCGGTGGCTTCCATTTGGAAACCATAAAAGAAGGAAAGAATTGAAAAAAGTTGTTGTAATTTGAAGTTAGACGCATGAAAATAAAAGGAAATAACAAAATTGAGACGATTTTCGAAAAATTAGTTGCGGGCAAAGAGGCTCAACCGGCAATGAACAGTTTGGGCCACGAGAAATGTTGCCGACACTCAATATTATTTGAAAAACACTCAGACACTAAGAAATCTTATGAAAAAAAACAGGAAGTGCATGTAAATGTCCGCTCGTACACAGCTGCACCTCGACCAGAGAAGAATGGGAAAGAATAAATAGGAGAACTGCGAATGAATGGATGAAAAACAGTGTTGACAGCGAAAAAAATGGCGGAAATGTTTGCATAAATTCCGACGGATTAGTAGTAGTGAAGTGAGTCATAGACTAAAGGGGTGGCCAACTCTTTTGGAAAGTGTGGCTGTGGCGGCAGTTCGGAAACCGAAAATGAAAGTAAAAATATCAACAAAAGAGCACACATGACAAACAGAAAGAACACGGAGCACACACACACATTTTTAGAAAGAAATGTGGGGGTGCGCAAGCAAGTAGTTGAAGAACAATAGTACATGCGCAAATAGACTGTCGATGAAATTGCGACGGAATTGGATTGGAACTTTTTGGCGGTGAAGGAGGAGACGGAAGAGGACATTCGACATTCGTATACGATTAATGGTATGGAAGAAGGAGGAGATGAAGAAGAAGAAGTTAACCGGACCGACCGGCTATTCCGACTGGAAACGACGATTAGCGTTCTCTTCTTGCAACTTTTTAAAGTGGACTACGGAACATTACGAATAGCCGGATTTTCATCACAAAGAAGCTACGGTCCCATAAATAATGGGGTCGGATGGTGCCATTCGGTTGAAGTTGTCATTTTCAGCAGAAAACCGGGTCAATGTATGCCGAGAACCAAGAATGACCTTCTGCCGAGACCTTATTACGATGCTGGACTGACGCGAAGAGAGCAGAACAAGGACCTTCTTGAAGCTTCTTAAAATACTTTTTCTATTTCTGAAAGGCTCGGAAGATTTCTTTTTTTTTCTTTCATTTTTCATGAGATCAATCGCACTTTCGAAGATCTCCAACTCCTACATTCTAGTATCTTCTTCACTTTGCGTCAGTCACCTTCCGTAATCAGGCGCCTATTGGAAAGGTGCGAGTTGAGTTCCGGAGGTTTCCGACAGCTTATTCATCAGGCGACCCATTCATAGGCCATCCGTATTTATGAGGAGAGGTTCTGGAAATCGGTCAAGATGCTACGTGATACAAGACATTTAGTAGGTTGTAGCCGCTTCTTCCGTGAATGATTTCCTCTCACAAATTCCATTATCCGCCAACTCAACACTAGTCCTCTTGTTCCGTGCTCGCAAATTAATTGGCTCAAATAGATTTCCAGATGGACTTTCCCACCGTATTCTCGTTCGTGCACGCCGTCATCGCCCTGCTCGGAATGTCGTCCAACCTACTGCTCATCTACATGGCACTCTTCGAAACGCCACGCGTCATCCGTGCCTATGCCACGTTGATCGTCAACTTTGCCCTCACCGACTTTTGCGCGTGCCTCTTCGATCTGTTCGTGCAGCAGAGAATCGTTCCGGCCGGACTCACACTCGGCTACGTCTCCAACGGATTCTGCAAGTACTTTGGACACACCACGTGCTACTTCGGGTCGGTTTCTCCCATTTCATTCTTGTCAACTGACTCGTTTTCCTTTTCAGGTACAGCCTCATGTTGCACTTCCTCTCTCACTCGCTCTGGTCCCTTCTTCTCTCCTTCTCCTACCGCTACTACATCCTGTTCCGACCTGCTCCGTCCCGTGCCACATTAGTCATCATCACTTTCATTATCTATCTGCCCTCCCTCTTGCAATTCGTTTCGTTCCTTTGGGCGCAGGATGATCCTGAATTGATCATGAAGATCCTTCACTCCAAGTTCCCCGAGTACGATCTCAAGGGACACTGTGTCACTGGAACTGTGAACATTGTCCGCTTCTCCGCCCTCTTCACCATCCTCCACATGACCGTTCCGATCACTCCCGTCTACATTTGCATTCTGATCCTCCGTCGAAAAATCATCTCACAACTCAGTTATCAGGGGGTGAACATCACAAAGGACACGAGGAATCTTCACTCTCAACTTCTTATGGTACCGATTCCTAGTACTCTTTTCGCTTACTTTACAACATTTTAGGCACTGACCTACCAAGCTGCAATTCCGGGTTTCTACCTGTTCGGCGTCGCTTCCTACGCCATCGGCCAAATCGGAATCTACAATCATCCGGTGCTCGAGTACTTCACATTCTCCTCCTTCCTCTTCATTCCCGTCCTCTCGCCGCTCGCCTCGTTCATTTTTGTGACTCCGTATCGGAGATTCATCAAGAAATCGCTGTGCAAGATGGCAAAAGTGGACCCGCAGGAGACGTCGTCGACTCCGCACAACTACACCAGTCACATTCATGTCATTGGATAATATATTTTCGTTGGTTTCTGATCTGATTTCTTTCGAATTTGTTTGCTGCCTCGTCAGGGTTTGATTGTGAGCATTCTTCCACACATTTCATTGTATTCATGATAAAGTCAGCCACTTCCAGTTTTCGTCTTTTCAGAACCTGTCTCGTTGCTCTCATTCTAGACGGTCCGCAAATCGCATAACTTCACACCTTTATTACATCTTTCTATAGTAGTAATAATGTTTAGAATGTCAGTATCAGGAGCCCATAAAATACGGTTTCAAACTTGTCAGATACATTGTCTATATTATCTGTATACTTTCGTTGAACAGTGGTGTGTGCTAATGCTTGCATTAGAGTTATACTACATCAATAGTGGAAATGAACTCATTTCTCGTGTCTTTCTCTCGAAAAGCAAAGTTGTGAAAACAGAAAACGACGGAAGCTCTCGATATACAGAATGTTCTTAAAGTTTGACGAGCAAAGATGACATATAGTGTGGGTACTGCATAAATTACTATTCACCAGTGTTGAGCGGAATTCCGTCTGCCGTCTTCCGTCTTTCGTCTTCCGGGATTTTTTCTTCTTACCGTAGAAGAGTATTAGCTTTTCAGAAGCCATTTACTAGCCCCGAAGAACGCGAATTTCCACGGGCAGTGACCCAGATCCAAAATTTTTGTTGCTTTAGTTATTTTTTGAAAAAAAAAAAACCGGAGAAAAAGGTTCTACATTGACGATTTATTTTGTTCCGTCTTCCGTGAGAAAAATTTTCTTCCGTCTTCCGTTTTCCGTGCTCCGTAAAAAACATTCTCTTGCGTCTGCCACCTGCCGTTTTCCGGAGTTCAAAATTCCATTTCCGCTGAACTCTGCTATTCACACGACCAGAGGTACATCGAAAATGAAATTTTTAATTTCCGCGATTGCGTAGCACTTCTATCATTTGTTAAAGGATTCGATCAAAGCGAAACAAACATTTCATTAAGGGTACTGTATAATCCATTAAGCTCAAACTTGCTAATCACTTTTTGATCCCTAGCACATTTCCTATTAGCAGACGTCTTTTGTCCTCCCCCTAAATACCTGTTAGCTCTGTTCTGTGTCATACGTATTTTATTCACTAGTACACGTCGTCCCTATTAATCCGCATCCAATCTTTGATAGTTCATCCGAACTGATTAAGGTGATTGACCGACTGAAAGCGAGTATAAATAAGCGAGGCTCTGCGAAGAATCGTCTCGCCTCGCAATGATCTCGTTCGCCGCCGCGTTCTCGGTCGCTCACTCGACGATCGCCATCCTCGGCATGACGTTTAACGTGTTGCTCATCTACCTGGCACTGTGCAAGAGTCCCAAAGCGATCCACTCGTATGCCACGTTGATCGTCAACTTTGCCGTCACCGACTTTTGCGCGTGCCTCTTCGACTTTTTCGTCCAACAACGCATCATTCCGGCGGGCAGAACACTGGCCTACATTTCGAGTGGAATGTGCGAGTGGGCGGGCACTGTCACGTGTTATACATTGTAAGTGAGCCTTCTGAAATGTCCAAAGATCCGTGAGATTGTTCAGGTACAGTCTGATGCTGCACTTCCTCGCCCACACCCTCTGGTCCCTTCTTCTCTCCTTCTCCTACCGCTACTACATTCTTTTCAAGCCGTCGCCATCCCGTAAAACTCTTCTCCTCATTCTCCTGATCATCTATCAACCGTCAATGATCCAATGGGTCTCGTTCCTTTACGCTCAGAGTGATCCGCAGGAGATTGTGGAAATTCTGAGGGATAGATTTCCGGAATACAACACAACGGGACTTTGTGTCTATGGAACTAAGGACATTGGCACCTTCGCGGCGCTCTACACAATCTTCCACATGACCGTTCCGATCACTCCCGTTTACATTTGCATTCTGATCCTCAGAAGAAAGATCATAAAGAAGCTCAGTTTCCAAAATGTGAACATAGCGAAGGACACGAAGAATCTCCACACTCAGTTTCTCATTGTAAGTTCCCTCAACTCCCGACAACTCTTTTCAAACTCTCGATTTCAGTCGCTCACCTACCAGGCCGCCCTTCCCGGCTTCTTCTTCTTCAGCATCGTCTCCTACGCACTCGGACAGTTGTCCATCGTGAACAGTCCCGTCCTCGAGTACTTCACTTCCTCCGGCTTCCTGCTCATTCCCTTCTTTTCGCCGCTCGCCTCGTTCATTTTCGTCTCTCCTTATCGTAATTTCATTCGGAAAACCGTTTTCCGGGTCGCGCCGGACGACTCTTCGGCCACTCCGAATCAGATCGTGACCAGTATTCATATGCTCGGTTGATACGTAATAAATTATGAACACCTGAATAAGTATGTGCACTTTTGCTGTTGAGCATAGAGATTCAAGATCAAACTCCATGCACGGAATGTAGAAAAGGGCGTGGCCTAATCTGAGACGCGATTTCTGAAAATGGCCGCAATTCCAGGACTTTTCCGATATTTTTGTGTTTGATATCGACGAAAGAAGAGACATTAAAGAGAGAAAAAATTGAAATTTTCGTCAAAACGCCGCGTTTGAGACGTTTTTGGCATATTTCGCAATAGGCTCTCCGCGGCCAATCGCCGCCGCAATTTCGGAATTTTCATACCGACCGATGTGAATAATTTTGAGACGAAGTGAGTGTCGGAAGTGATTAAGCACTGGTAATACAAGTATTTTAAGCGTTCAAACGGCAAAAAGTATCGGCGAATGACTGAAATTCGCGCATTTTCAGCACAAAACTTGAAAATCGATTCAATTGATTCATTTCTGAATGAAACCTGCTCGTTTTAAGCTCAAAAAGTGCGCGCGACGATTAATTTAATAAAATTATGCAATTACATCGTCGAAATCGTACAAAATTTGGGTAATTTTTGACGAAAAATATGAAAAATGGGGTTAAATTTCGAATTTCACGCCAAAATGGTGATAAACCGTGCACGCTAGGCCACGCCCCTTTCTACGTTTTTGGTCGCCGTGCGCGCTCCAAAGAATCTTCTGCAAGACCTAATTCAACCTATTCAAACAAACTTCCGTGCGATTCAAGTCACGCACTTTTTCCGAGTAGTATGCGGCATACTGTATGCCAAACTTTTGTTTTCAAGAAGGCCCAAAGTTGTAAAACAAGTGTTACGTCGTTCTAGACGTATGATAATTTGTAGGATAGTGCTAAGTGATCTGCCTGTGAGCTACCCGCTAGGTTATGTGTGTTATTCTCGCTTATTTGTCATCATTCTCCGTCGCCCTCCTTCAGAGGACGAACGCCCATTCAGTTGTTACTCGCAGCACACCCAGTAGCTACTCACTCTCATCTACTCGCTCAGGTCTCAGAGTCAAACGCTGACTCTGATTCCTCTCTCACCTACTATTCTTCTACTATTATATATTCTTACGGCTTGGGTACTCCCCGGAATAAACCGTTGTTTCCGCAAACCCAAAACCGTAACAACAACACAAACACAATTTCTCAATATTTTCATTTACGTCTCTCTCTCTCTCTCTCTCTCACTTTTTGACGATTTTTTTGCAGTCTTGTACATTTGCTGTTTTGAGATTTGCTGATAAAACGTAACTTATTGAGTCTCAATAGTCACCCGAAAAGATCAACGATGAAAAGTTGTCGAGACGCACCGCCCTCTCGGGAACTCAATCGTGTTTCCCAGCGGTTTTTGACGTCAACAGATATGATTGTTTTGCGCCTTTTCTTGTTCCACTTTCTTCAAATTCCATGTCCGTATCCAGATGATATCCGAAGAAACCTATCGAATCCATCGGGCCATCATCTACTGCGTCGTTCTGATCTTCGAAGTGTTCGGCCTGTTCGGCAACATCAATCTGGTTGTATTGACCGTCAGGAAAAAGACATTGCAGACAAAGTACGGTGAGTGGGCTCAGATCTTGCTCCCAAAAGATAACGACCTTCCAGGCCTGATCCTCAGCCTCCTGGCCACCCTCCACACCCTCTGCCTCCTCTTCGAATTGGTCGACATGAGCTTCAGCATCGCCGCCACCCTCTCCTCGCACCCAATCCGTCGCTCCGTCTGCTTCCACGTCATCTTCTCCTACATTTTCATTTATTCGCTTCAAACCGGCACCATGTCGGTTCTGTCCTTAGACCTACTCATCAAAATTATGTACCCTTTGGCCCATCGGAACTTCCGAGTGCGCTCCTACTTTGTGGCCCTCTTTTTGGTGCCGGTTGTCTACGGTTTTGCGACTGTTTTCTTCGGGTTCTTGTACTTGGATGATGCAGAATTACAGGTAAGATTGAAGTAATCCGAGGGGTAAGGCAAGAATAAACTCTTCATTCAGATGTGCAATCCTCCGTCGGCCCTGCACCCTCTCGTTAACGCCAAATGGTACTCGTTCATGATGGTTTTCACACTTTTCACTCTGTTTTTCTACTCGACCGCCTTCCTTCTCATCTATTTGAAAGTACGTCGACGCAGCAAGGATATAAAATTGATCGAAAAAAAATCGATGAAGACTTTGAAGTTCCTCATCTGTATCTTTCTCATCTCACGATTCATCACAATTTCACTGGCAAACATACTCCTCGTCCTTGGAGTTGATAAAGATATCTCTGGTTTAGTGCAGAACTACAGTGTGCGTTTGAAGTTTCACTTGAAGGATAACTGTCATTGGATTGCAGATAATTGCGGGAGTGATAGGCTTCTCGCAGAATGCGTACGTCTGTTACTTTCGGAGCAACGAGTATCGGATGTTGCTCCATGAGCAGATCTCGAAGATCCATCCCAGATTGGCAAGGATCCTTTCGCACCGTTCGGCGGATTTTAGTGTTGACAAAGGCAGGAACAGACAGATTTCGATGGTCTCAGTTAGCACGACGAAGCAATTGGTGGAGAAACAGAAGCGATTACAGTTCTGAGCATTCGCGAAACGATAATCATAATTGACAACAATAGCGCGTTGAAAAGTAGAATAGAAATGAATAATCGCGAATAAAATTATCTGAGCTGTCCTTTTGTTTTAAATTGACAATTCTGCTCTTGGACCTTCTCATCACAATTCTTGTTCCTTTGGCTTATTAAAACGTTCAAGTTCCCTCAATTTTTTAAAAATTGCCGCGTACCCGTTTTTTTTAATTTTTAAAAATTGGCATGGACCCCTTCACTGTCACGGGTACGTAAAACAATTAACTTTGATTGTATGAATAAACTCTTCCACTTGACTTGTGATTAAAACCTCATTCTTTTCTGCCTCAACAATCCAATTTGATTGTGCTGACGTTCAAACGTTGTTCGATCTCCTTTGAAGATATCCTCTTCCAACACAAGTGCTCGACAAACGTAGTAGCTCATTAGTTCCTCTTCTTGCTCCTCGTCAACCCACTCCTTTCCCTTCGCACTCATATATCCAATCCTTTTCGATCTTTGCTTTTCCACCCAATAACCGAGTCATAACTCAAATCTAACTAGGCCTCCGCCCAATTTCTCGGTGCCAATCGGACCTCCAATGGCTTCAATGACTTCTGAGGAAGCATACAAGACGCATCGCGTTCTTATCTACTCGATTGTTCTCATTTTCGAAGTGTTCGGACTGTTTGGTAATGTGAATTTGGTCTTTGTGATTGCCAGGAACAAGATTTTGCAGTCAAAGTTTGGTGGGTAAAACACAGCGCTCAAATCGTGTACTATTAATTTTCAGGTCTCATTCTGGCGTCCCTGGCAACTTTCCACACGGTTTGTCTGTTGTGTGAACTCATAAATTTGGGATACGGAGTCGCAGGTACGGTACCCTTTTTCCAGAAGCGCTCTCAGATCTTCTTCCCTCGTTCCAGCCACATTCTACTCCTTCCACATCTTCCGAAGCGTTTGCTTCCACTCCACTTTCCCCGTAATTCTTGCCCATTGCCTCCAAACCGGCACCATCTGCGTGCTCTCCTTCGACCTCTTTCTCTCTATTCTGACTCCCATCAAGTACAGACGCTTTGACATTTCCTGGTACTTTCCCCTCCTCTACTTTCTCCCTGTCTGCTATGGTTTCGGGATCACACTAACCGCCAAGATCCTTCTAGACGACAAGGAGATTCCGGTAGGCTCTGCTCTGGCGGGCGGGCTTCCGAGCTTCGAAAGTATCGGTTTCAGATGTGCAATCCACCGTCTTCGATGGTTCCATCTGTAAGCAAGTGGTGGTATCAGCTCATGTTCTTTTTCGCCTTCATCACAATCTTTTTCTACTCCTCTGCTTTCGGATTGCTCTCGTGGAAAGGTTTGTTTGGGCGGTTTGTGGAGAACAGAGAACGGGCAGTTATCGAAAACAAGAGTGATTTCCTTTCTTGTTCGGTGTCTGACGTATCAGATCAGAAAAAGGGTGAACAGTCGAGGTCTAAGGGGTTTTTACTCGATTTAGTATACAAAAAGGTCTCATTCCAGTACGTCACAAGTCAGTGGACATCCATCTGATCGAGCGAAGAGCCATGCGTACTCTCCAAGTGCTCATTGTCTTTTTCCTGCTCACCCGATTCATTTCCACCGGCGTCGCTACAATGGTCACTTTCCTGAAGGTGAACTCAGAGTACGCGTCTCTCGTGCAAAATTACAATGTGAGTCTGTGAGTCATCTCAAAATCACGTGTTTTGAATTGCGTAGATCAGGACGTGATTGAGTTAGAATTTTCAAGGAAAGGAAAAGGAAGTAAATTGGCGGAAAGTGAGAGTTGTTTTGCAAGAGAACGATTGAAACGGAAATCCTTTTCAGGTGATACCGGCGATGGCGGCGTACTCGCAGAACGCCTACGTTTGCTTCTTCCGGAGCAAAGAGTACCGTCGGTTGCTCACCGAGCAAATGGCTCTGTACATTCCGTTCGTGGAGAGTTCGCAGAGTCTGAAGCAAGTGGAGAGGAGCACAACGAAGCACTTTTTGAATAACTGTGATACTTCGCGGAATTCGGCACGATTCTGATTGTATTAGTTACTGTTTCATAAAGGTGCCAAGTTCTTGAAGTTGGTCCCTATCACAAAGAAGTAGTAAGCTTACCAACAGAGGAAGTTTCAACACTGCTCACGCGACTAAGTATGTTTTACCGACAGACATAATTACCAGACTTGCCAAATTACGGGCCGGGCCGAAAATTTGCTAGCCCGGCCCGGCTCAAAAGGCGCGAATTCAAATTTTTTGGGGGAAATCTATTTGTTCGTTTTTTTTGCGGGGATCAAAATAAAAATAAAAAAAACTACGACACTCCGACATTAGGAAAATTCTACTAGTGCTCAATAAAAATCGTTATTATTTTCTTCTTTTTTAATTGTTACTTTTGCTTTGATGCCAATAAAAACTATTTTTGAGAACTACATTTCTTTTTTATGCTCGATACTTGCAAAATTCGTTAGTTCTACGAAAAACAAACATTTTATTTAATCAATAGTTCAAAATGGGCCGACCGGGCCGGAGTTTTGAAAATTTCGGCCCGGCCCGGCCCGTGGCAACTCTGATAATTACCGATAAACACCTCTACGGTAAATTTATTGTAAAATTATCGGTTTATCTATCAAATTCACTGGAAGAATACCTGAAACATTCACTTTTGATAGTTGAAAATTGACATGAGAAAAAATTCGGCGTAGCCGTCATGTCATCTCAAATTATGAAAAAAAGTCGATGGGAAGAATCTCCAATTTTATTGCGATAATTTATTTAGTAACTGGAAATCTACAGGAAAAGCTTAGCCTAAAAATTCATGGGTTCATTTTTGAAAGTTCCCGGAGTCCACTGTGTGTTTCCTGTGCATTTACCGAAATTTCAGTGTTGAATAAGGAAATCAAATAAAGGAAATATAATTTTCAAAAGTTTCCAGAATTCTATTACACACAAAGACTATTATTTTGCCTCTCGAGACGTTTTTGTGATCTTCAAAAGCCATTCTCAAGTCCATCGAAACGGCCAAGAGCTCTAAGAGGCGTCGCTGGCGGTAGTGCAATGCAAGCGCGCTCCACCACACTCGCGAATTTATTTGTGCGCCTCAGCGATTTGAAGTGATTTGAAGTGAAGGTTTTTGGCTAAAACTGCGTGAATTTCAGTTGGTTTTGGTAGTTTTCGCGGTTCGAGCTCTCAAAATGCTTGTAATTACGGGATTTATCATTCTTAAAACCAATTCTGTCTGAAAACAGTCAAAAATGCGCAAAATGAGAAGTGCGGTTTTTAGGCGGCGATCGGCCAAAAAATGCGCCAAAACGTCTATAATTCTGAGAATTAGTGTGTTTTCATGTCGAACAATCATTTTTCACCGCCTTTGACCACAAAAATCAGAGAAAACCTGCTCAATTCATGAAAACGCCATTTGGCCGAGGCCACGCCCATATTGTCAGCTCTGGAGACCGTGAGTGAGGAAACAGCGGCGCACGGCGACCAAAAACGTAGAAAGGGGCGGGCCTAACGTGCACGGTTTATCACCATTTTGGCGCGAAATTCGAAATTTAACCCCATTTTTCATATTTTTCGTCAAAAACTACCCAAATTTTGTACGATTTCGACGATTTAATTGCATAATAACTTTGTTAAACTAATCACCGCGCACTTTTTGAGCTTAAAACGAGCAGGTTTCATTCAGAAATGAATCAATTGAATCGATTTTAAGTTTTTGCTGAAAATGTGCGAATTTCTGTCATTCGCCGATACTTTTTGCCGTTTGAACGCTTAAAATACTTGTATTAACGTGCTTAATCCAGACTTGCAACGGGCCTGGCCGGGCCGGGCCAAAATTGGAAATTTTCCGGCCCGGCCCGGCCCGGTCGGCCCGGGAGGATGCACCTAAAAATTCAAAGCGAACTAGAACTTCGAAACGAACATAATTTTATAGACTTAAAATTTTATAGACTTAAAAAGGCAATGTTATAGCATAAAAACCTGTTAAAAAATAGAAATTGCTGTTTAAAGTCGCAAAATTTTCACAAAAATTACGAAAATTTTCTCAAGAGTGGGCGGAGCCGGGCCGGGCCGACGATTTGCTGGCCCGGGATTTGGCAAGTCTGGCTTAATCACTTCCGACACTCACTTCGTCTCAAAATTATCCACATCGGCCGGTATGAAAATTCCGAAATAGTGGCGGCGATTGGCCGCGGAGAGCGTATTGCGAAATATGCCAAAAACGTCTCAAACGCGGCGTTTTCACGAAAATTTCGATGTTTTCTCTCTTTAATGTCTCTTCTTTCGTCGATAACAAACAAAAAAATATCGGAAAAGTGCTGGAATTGCGGCAATTTTCAGAAAACGCGTCTCAGATTAGGCCACGCCCCTTTCTACACTTTTGGTCGCCGTGGCGGTGGCGAGAAGGTGGCGAAACTGCGGCGGAAAGCGGGTCGAACACACTTACAACCGTGTTTCGCCACAGTGCCGCCGCTGTTTCGCCAGAACTCCGAGTGCGGCGAAGCGCGCTTGCTTAGACGAATGCGTTTTCTCGCTTATTCTGGTTTCATTCTTGTAATTAGTAATGGAAAGTGGTAAAAAATAAGTTTTTTATTCAAACAAAACAGAAAAACGAAGGAACACCATTAAAGCAAACTTTGGGAGGGGCAAGATAGAAAAATGATGAGAGAACTGGAAGAAAAGACGGGAGATAAACGAATGCGGGGGGAAATAAATGAGTTTTGATAGAAGAACCGCCGGCCAACGAAAATCCCTGGCCGCCAATTGCCCAGTTCTGAAAAACTCCGCGAAAACTCGGAGAGTATCGGATTGTCTGAAATTTTAGAAAAAATAGAGAAAACTTCAAGTAATGAGCTTTTCGAATTTGGCCGGTTTGTAACAGATAGCAAATACGCATTTTTTGGAAAAATTCGTTCATAGAAATCACATTTTTCGTAGCAAATTTTCGTCTGGTTTAATTTAATTTGTATATTTCGTTTTGTATACATTTTGTATTGTTTGCAACTATTTATTTGAACCCGATCAAGTGCAATCATCAACACAACAAAAACAAAAGAAATAAGGAGGGGAATCTGCCGCCGAAAAAATTCTTCAGGTTTGCCGCGCGCGCGCATACATGCCGCATGCATGCCGCATGTATGCTGCAGGTATGCTGGCGCGTGAGCAGTGAACGTTCCCATTTGTTCAAAAACTGCTCATCACTGCCACGTCACCGTCCCTGCCCACGCCCTCTTTCCTCTTTTATTGTTTCTTCCTTATCACCGCCCAACATTTCAGCAACCCAAATTCTCGACTCACTTTCACATTGTGTACACATGTCAGTCCGAATTCATTCTGTTTGTATGTGTGTGTGTGTGCGTACATTCCCCCGCTATCAGAGTCTGTTTCTGCCGCCTCAAAACAGTTATCGGGCTTCGATTTTTGGTTGCGATTCGGCCAACCAACTTTCTTTACGAATCATTCTAGACATTTTATCGATTTCCAACACTTTCAGGTAAAGAAGACTATTTCAGAAAGATGACCGAACGGAGCAGGCAGACGAACTCGGTGGCGACAGCAAAGCAGATCCGGATTCCGAGGATTGCGATCGCGCCGCCGACGAGCCAGCTCACCGGAATGCATTATATTTCACGTGAGTTGGGGAAGCCGTGAGTCACGTTTGGAATTGAATGTTTTGTCAGTGAGTAACAACTGGAACATTCCTATTTCAAAAATAACATAGAGAAAAGAGCTAGTTCGCGCCACCGTCTCCAGAGCTGACAATGGGCGCAAGTGCGCCCCGCCCAATAGAGCGATACATTGGCGCGAAATTCGAATTTTAACAGCATAATTTGTGTTTTTTGCCAGATTAGCCACGAAAAACCGATAATTTCTCATTTTTCTCTCGATAGACCGATTATATAGGCTATTACGAATTTTTTAAGCGCAAGATCGTCAAATTTGGTCAAGTCGAAAATCATATTTATCCGTTTGAAGGTTTTTGGCTAAAACTGCGTGAATTTCAGTTGCGTTTCGATAGTTTTCGTGGTTCGAGCTCTCAAAATGCTTGTATTTACGTGATTTATCATTCTCAAAACCAATTCTGTCTGAAAACGGTCAAGAAAGCGCAAAATGAGAAGTGCGGTTTTTAGGCGGCGATCGGCCAAAAAATGCGCCAAAACGTCTATAATTCAGAGAATTAGTTTGTTTTCATGTCGAACAATCATTTTTCATTGCCTTTGACCACAAAAATCAGAGAAAACCTGGTCAATTCATGAAAACGTCATTTGGCCGAGGCCACGCCCATATTGTCAGCTCTGGAGACCGTGGCGTTCGATGAATATTTCGCATTTCAGCGCACGTCTCTTCGACGATTCCCCGCCGGCATGACATCCTCACATCGCCCACGTATATCGCCGACCATCTTCCGTCTCGTCGGCTCTCCGAGATCGACAGCCCCTTCTACCTGCCCTCTCTCTTGTCCTCGACAGCCGACCGGGCCCCCAGAAGCCCTTTGCCGATCAGCGGATACTCGACGGCTCCGCTCAGAATCCGAACGGACGTCTCCACTCGCTTCGTGGACACTGTCACCGATCACACGTTCAGTGGTGCGCGCGACTTTTCGAGGGATCGGGCACTGACTTCGGCGGACAACCACGCGGACTTCATCCGACTCTCCGACTACCCGGCCACTTCTGCTGTGATCGGATTGCAGCCGCCACGGATCCTGACGCCCACACCGAGTCCGTTGACCAATGAGCTCAACGATCCGGCTTCGATCGTCGCGGAGACTCCGGAAGACGTCGACCGGCTCGCGCTCTTCAATAATTCCTCGTTGGGATATCAGAGAGTGTGCTTCCTTCTGTCGAGATATCCGGCCGTCGCAATGACGATCATCGGCACGTGGATGTTGTGGGGACGCGGCTTGGGGCTGAGTTCGAAGCAGTCGAACGAGAACGTCTGCTATATTGTCTCATTCGTCGCCGGAGTTTATATTCTCGTCAGTCAATTGCTTCTCTCCACCGGGCATGGCAATTCGTACAAGAAGGAGAAGATTCTGTCGAACCTCTATCACTTCTCCAACACAATCGGACTGCTCATTTCGATCACCGTCATCGTCTTCGCCTCGATCTCCTTCCAACACGTCAAACGAGTCAAGTGAGTGGATATTATCCATTTCCTGAAGCCTTCAATATCTTTTCCCAGCCATAACATCGACACCTGCACGTGGCAAAAGCCCGAACTCGGCGGCAACGTGGCATTCTACTGCTTCACTCCCAACGAGCGAATGATTTTCCTTTCGATTCTCATCGGCGCGGCTGGTCTCGTCTGCATTCTCTACTTTTTCAGCGGGATTTACGGATGTATTGGTGAGTTTTTTTCAGAAGAACTGAGAGCAGAAGAAGAAGGAGAAGTTGACATTTCAGGTCAATCGTTGATGAAAAAGAAAAGAGAGGACGAGTACAGACAGTACGCTCAGGCGCACGATAACGCATCTTTCCGATTCTGAGAAAACGGAAATGGACTCGATTTTGTGAACAAACTAAATTTTTGAATAAACTATTATGTTTTCCTATTCCAAATACCTTCATCTTTGACTCTGGGGCTTCAGAATCCAAGTATACTGTCAGAAAAGAGGATTCTCAAAGTTTGCACTAAAATCGGGCGGAGACGGATAGCGGAAAAAGGAAGTCGGTAAAATCCTTGGCAACTTTTAACTGTTTCACTAAACTATTATAGTTCCTGATTCCTTCAGTGTCTCTGAAAAAATTTCAAATTTATTTGAAATCAACAAATGGATTGTCGGTGATGGGATGCTGAGTGAAAATCAAAAACTGAGGTAATGGAAGGTGCTGAAATCAATGTGGAGGGAGGGGGAAAATGGGAAAGAAGCCATCACACTTATCACAACTTGCGCGTAGAGTACAAAGGTGTGGGAGAATGGGGGGAGCGAGGGATCAAAGGGATCTATCTGATCACAACAGAACAATGCTAACGACTGGAAGAAGAAGAAGAAGAGGGAGAAGAGGGAGAAGAAGAGAGACCCTGATGGTTGACGAAATGGTAGATCAAGATGGGAGGGGGGTCAAAATGAATGCAGGAATATGAAAAGGGTACTAGCTGCGAGTGAGACCGTAATCAAATGTTTTGAGGGGACGAGAGAAACAAACGAGTCAAAAGAGTGAGTGGGGAGCACAAAACATGATAGCTTTCCAATCATTATTGCAAAGAAGTGAAGAGAGAGAGAGAGAGAGAGAGAGAGACAAGTGAAAGAGGAACAAAAGTGAATAACCTAATAAATAGCCTAATCGGGGGGTGGGTGGGTGAGATAAGTTACTAGGTGCTCATGGACGGATTCGCCGATGCCGGACGCTGATGTGTCGCCGCGGATTTCAGTTGTGCACTGTCCACTGAAATTGGTTCAGTTTTGGTTTTGGGTGATTTCTGAAACAAAGGGATGGTTGGCAGGTCGACAGTGCTGGCCTAGAGGCACAATGCGTTCAAAACGATGTATCTCATTTGCCGGTAGAGATATCGAAAAGTGGTCAAGTGACAAAATGTACACAAAGTGTTAATAAGCAATGCATTAGTTGCAAACTTTTTGACATCTCTACCGACAACTCAGATATATCGTCTCGAATGAGCGGTGTTAGGCGCACGAGGCACAAACTTGGTGACCCAGGGGTTCTCTGTAGAAACTTTGATCAACTTCGAGTGAATTTCATAGTCAATTGACAACTTTTCTGTGCCAACACTCCTAAGACTACAGTAGCTCATCAAAATTACGTAACTTCCAAGCGCTACAATTGTCTTCACAATGGTTGTACAAAAAAGTTGTCCACTAAAGTTCTAGATGCCAAAAATGTACAAAACAAACTTTGCAAAGCTATAGGATAACTCCTGAAGTTGACAATTTTCAACACAGCAGATTTCGCTCACCTTTGAGAGTGTGTCCGTTGTGCTGCTCGCCCACATCCATGAGTTCCTCCTTGATCATCATCTGTCCCTCGATGATTCCTCCAGCTCCTCCTCCTCCAGCTCCTCCTCCTCCTCCTCCTCCGCTCATTCCCGATCCGTTGTTACCGTTTCCGGCGGCGGCAGCTGAAGCAGAAAGCATTTGTAATGGATTGTTGCCGTCGGCATTGGCTACAAGCAGCCGAGAATCACGTTCCCCGAAATGTTGCAGTGCTTACCGAGCAGCGAGAGCACACTGTCCAATCCTCCGTTCAGCTGGAATTGCTCGCCGGACAGCGACGCCGGGTCGAAGTTCTGCATTTCCAAAAATGAGCTCAGAGCACTCGGATCATAGTATTTTTGTGGCGAAATCTGAATTGACTTGGGATGCTCCGGGGAGGGATCAAGAAATGAAAAAAAGAGAGAGAGAGAGAGAGAGAGAGAGAGAATGAGCATGTTGCGAGGTGTTGATGTCAATTCAAAGTTCGCCGTTTCAGCAATAACATATAGGCTATAGGACACTACTAAAGCGAACTCTAAAAAGCAACATTCAACCGACAAGACAAGCATTCTCGACAGAAACGGGACTCACATCTTCCGGCAACGGCGTCTGCGGCTGGCTCCTCGTCGCCGACGTTCGATTCGGTCGCCTTCGGTAGAATTCCGAGTCGTCCACCGTCCAAACGGCTCCTTTCACGTTCTGCTCGACGCGTTGGAAGCATTTGTGGAGCGAGAGATTGTGGCGGACGGCGTTCTGCAAATGGAAAGCATTTAAGTCGATTTATCTCAATTGTCTGTAGATATATCAAAAAGTCGTCAACTGACAAAATGTTCTTCATGTTTTAATAAGCAATTTGTTAGTTGACAACTGCTTGATATCTCTACAGACAACTGAGATATACTCTCTAGAACAATGCCTGCTCTTCGAGCCTTCGTCGAGTGGTTGTCTTTCGGAATTTTTTTCAAACTGACCAAGGTCGGATCGAATCCAATCAAATGGAAATCATTTTTGCTTCTTTCTTAAACCTTCAGCGCCACGGTCTCCAGAGCTGACAATGGGCACAAGAGCGCCCCGCCCAATAGAGCGATACATTGGCGCGAAATTCAAATTTTAGCAGCAAAATTTGTGTTTTTTGCCAGATTAGCCACGAAAAACCGATAATTTCTCATTTGTCTCTCGATAGACCGATTGTATAGGCTATTACGAATTTTTTAAGCGCAAGAGCGTCAAATTTGGTCAAGTTTGAAGGTTTTTGGCTAAAACTGCGTGAATTTCAGTTGCTTTTCGGTAGTTTTCGCGGTTCGAGCGCTCAAAATGCTTGTATTTACGTGATTTATCATTCTCAAAACCAATTCTGTCTGAAAACGGTCAAGAAAGCGCAAAATGAGAAGTGCGGTTTTTAAGTGGCGATCGGCGGCTATCGGCGGCGAAGGCGTAAAAGCGAAATCCGCGAAAAATGCGCCAAAACGTCTATAATTCTGAGAATTAGTGTGTTTTCATGTCGAACAATCATTTTTCATCGCCTTTGACCACAAAAATCAGAGAAAACCTGCTCAATTCATGAAAAAGCCATTTGGCCGCCGAGGCCACGCCCATATTGTCAGCTCTGGAGACCGTGATTCAGCCAAACAGACCTAAGATTGCATATCACACCGTGTTGTAACAATCTTCCAAAAGTCAATTTGCCCCCCAAACCTCGCATCTCCTTCTCCCATCTCTCATTCATCCATTCATCCATTTTTCGTGCCCCTTCTCCCTTCGTTTACGTTTTTTGTGTCTGCCCGGCGCGGTGTCTGTCTGTGCACACGCCTGTGTGTCACTTGATGATGTCTTTGCACTTTTGCGCCTCTCTCTCTCTCTGCCAATCCCTTGTGCTTGCCCCCATGGTCGAACACTCAGCTGATGCATTCAGGCCCGGGTCGCTGTTTTGTTGCATGCACTTTCGCACTTTCGTCGCGCCCGCAGAGGCACACGATCATATGACCTCGGGGGAGGGGGCAGCGAGTAATGTGATTCGAAAGCGAGGGAAAACCGAACAAAAAAAAACGTGAGGAGAGCCTACCTTCCACGTGGCAGCATTCCTTCGAAAGTAGGCAAAAGTGTCGGTGAACCACGTGTAGATCTCGTTGAGAGTTAGCTGACAATCCGGCGACTCCATGATGGCTTGACGAATCAGAGATGCGTACGTGTAGGGAGGCCGCACGTCGTTCGCTCGGTAAAAGTCTCTGGAAGGAGAAAAGTCAGTTTCAAGAAAATTTGCGCTCGTACTGCTGCTGTTCTTAAGATACCGTCCTTTCAAAACGATGTATCTCATCTGCCGTTGGGGATATGTAAAAGTAGTCAACTGATAAAATGCTCATCAAGACATGGTGTACATTTTGTCAGTTGACAAATTTTTGATATCTCTACATTCAACTGAGATAAATCGTCTAGACTGTCTGTTTCAAAAACTTGGGAAATTTAACTTTTGCAAAGAGTTGTTTCCTCACCTATTCTTGGCAATATCGGTGGCGATCGGTTGTACCGTCTTGTCCGATATCCGACTCCTTCTAGGCACAAACGACTTCGAGTCCGGATTCGGCGACGTTTCCGTGGAGGCAGAGCTGGCGGCCCGTTGAAGAGCCGGTCCCGCGGAACCGCTGGCCTGCTGGGCCGACGGAGTGACGAGCTGATGGTTGACGAACGAGGGCATCGAGCTGACCGACGGCACCGTCGAGATGTGGCTGATGGATGCGGGCGCGGCGGTCGAGGCGGCGACGGTGGCGGCGATGCTCAGCAGGGAGGAGGCCGCTTCGGACGTCTGAAAAAAAGGTCCCTTATGCCATCTCATGAAAGAGACACAACAGCATAAACAAGATGCTGCTTCATCCATGTTTTTCCTAAACACGGTACACTGCTGGGGTGGGGTGTCAACTGACTTCGCCCAGTTTTCTCCTCTCAGAAGAAGGGATCAGAGATGAGGGAGGAAGTGAGAGAGAGTGAGAGAGAGAGAGAGAGAGAGGGTGCGCGGGCACGGGAACACGACAATAACAACAACAACAACACCATCAACTAACTGGTTGTTGTTGTTGTTGTTATTGTTCGTTTTCGCTTTTCGCTTTTCGCTTCTCATTTCCCCGGCCAGTCTGGTTCAGAATGACTCATCGCGCGATGACATCTCACCGATCAACGGATAGATAATAATGAAGTACACATGAAGCGTTTTTCACTTGTTTTGGCTGAAATTTCATCGAAAATGCGCGTCGTTTTTCCACGTGTATTGTTCAAAAATGGCAAAGAAGACACATTTTCGCATGGTTTCTATCGAAAATTGACATAAGCGCATTTTTCGGTTTCACAATTATGAGAAGAGTTCACAATGGTATTTTTCGTCGATTCTCTTTTTCTCTTGAGCATTTTCTTTCTCATGTTTTCGCGCTCCAATTGCACTATTTCGATCCCTCAATTTGCTCTTTCTCTCCGTTAGTTTGCTGCTGCTCGCCCAACAGTTGCAAAGTGTTGTGCGGGAAAAAGAGCAAGAGGAAGAAGAAGAAGAAGATGCGCGCCGCGTCGAAAATTGTTTATCATCAACACAAAATAGAAGCAGCGGCGGCGGCGGAGCCACGATCCGTGGGGTGTATTTGCGTGTGTGTGTGTGTGTGACCACAAAATAAACATACACACACACACACACAAATTTCTTTCTCTTTTCTTTTCAATCGCATATCACATGGCACTCGCAGACAAACAAACAAACAAGAGAGAGAGAGAGAGATGTGCACTAATAGTTAGAAGTTTAATGTTTGATCTGTTCTTTTTTCAGACATAAACTTTAAGCAAGCACATCTAGAAGCTCTTCCAATTCCACTTAAGCGCTCTCTTTTGCCAACACGCGCTATGTTCCATCTGCTGCACTATCGATTCGACATGTAAACAAACACACACACACAGAGCGTATTTCGACAAATACTCTGTAAATAGACAAACATTGCCTGTCGCTCGCCGTCTCCTAGTACACACTTCCCTCTAGTACGGAAAAATAGGCAGAGGGGAGGTTGCGTAATGCAATCCTTTCCAATGACTTTGGCATGACAGCCAGACAGACTTGAGCAAATAGGAGAGCCTTACCGGTGAGACATGATTGGCCGGCTGATGTTGTTGTACTTGTTGGGGCATCGAGAAGGCGGCCGCTTCGATCTTTGGTGATTTCATCGGACTCGCCGGCTCGATCTTCCCAATGTTCGGGGTCGTCGTGTCCGGCGAGGGCTTCATCCGCAAGTGCTGCATCATGCCCTGAAGTCGATTCCGTTCCACACTCAATTTGTGCTCCAAACTCTCCACTTTCTCGATCTGCGCCCGCATCTCCTCGTTCGTTCTGAAACGTTTTCGATGGAATGAGCGCTCAAAGAAGGACGGTGGTACCTGTCGCAGGGCGGATGCTCTTGTTGCAGGTGAACAATCAGAGCGTGGACCGAGTCACAGGGCTGGTCACAGTTCGGCCACGCACACATACTGTGCTGCCAGAGCGCGTGTTGCGGAGTGCTGATCTGCGTCGGGATCGTCGTGTGCAGCGGCAGGCTGATCGAGGTAAGGTCGAGCGCTGCGGGGAGCTGCGGAAGAAGCATCGGGTTGATCGACGAGCTGAGGAACATTTGCTGGAGGAGACGGTTCGCGTCCGAAGAGCCGAGCGACATAGAGGCAGACGAGGTGGAGGTGGCCAGATGCGAGAGCGAGGGCGTCGTGGCTGACTGCGTGAGCGTCGGGTGTTGGGGTCGCATCTGAAGCTGAAGAAAGTTCATTATGACTAGAACTATGAATGAATAAGCTGCCTCGTCGGGATTAAGAGCTCCAAAGCTCCGCCTCTCCCCTTGGGGTCCCATGATCTCAAAAGAAAGAAAGACTCACAAGTCGCTCCTGAAGTGCCAGCAACAGAAGGCTATCGTTGATCGGCGCTGCGTCGAGAGCAAGACTGGCGTTCGCTGAGATGGGTGGCGCTTGAGTCGGTCGTGGCAGCGATTCGGAGGTGATCATCGGCGGCGCGACGACGTGGTGGTTCGTCGAAGAGCCCGAGCGATCTTCCTGTAAGCAACCAGAGGGATCAGTCGATTCACGAGATTGGGGTGAAGCGAAAGGAAAAGTGCAAACGAATTAGGAGCGGATTGGTGGGTGATGGTGGCCACGAAACACAAAACATGTATTTAAGATAATCAAAACACGTGTGCTCCCGAGTGTCGACGGAAACCGAAAAGGCCAATGGTCCGTCTCTCTCTCTCTCTCTCTCTCTCTCTCTCTCTGTCTATGTCTGGGTCTCTTCTCTCTTGTCTATGTGTGTCGCCCTTTTGTTTGTCAACACCGGTGTTGGTTAGAGACTAGGTCTCCTCGATTCGAACACTATTTCTAAGGGAGGGAGATCTCGAGAGAGGTCGACTGGGAGGATATATATGCAACTAACAGTTGCATACGTCACCATGTTTGGCTAGTCAGAAGTTGTGGTCGACCTTCCAAACAGTACAAGAAACGAAGATCCTGGGATCTTTAGAGAAAGGAAGAAAAACCGACAAAATGCGATTATCATCCTTCTCACAAGACAACAAAACAACAAGACAACAAAAAAGAAAACAAAGACCCGTGGGCTTCCGAATGTTTCCCTGCGCACTCTCTACGTTTCGTACGGAAACCGAGGGGCGATGACGGGGGGAGGAGGAGGAGAAGGAGGAGGCGAGGGGCGGTCTGTACTCTAGTGCACACACACTTTCCGAAGGATGCAGCAGCCAACCCACAACTCTCACAGCCTCTTTTCTAAATACACACACACTGTTTTGTTTCCTGTCCGCACCTTCTGTCGCATCGGAATAGCGATGATGATCATGCTGAACCCGGGCAGACAGACTGAGAGAAGGTGTACTTGTGAAGAGTGCAAAAACACTAAACTGGCTGGTGACCTTGTGTACGTTGGTATATGTGTTCCTTATGGTTTTCTTTCAAAGATCACTCTTTCTACAGTAATCAATCTTTGAGCTCATCTCTCGAAAAGTGCAATGCAGTGGCTATCAGACCATGACCCGTCCCAATATTCTAAGAATATTGATGTCTCATCATGAAAAAGGACACAAAGAAGACGTCAAAATCGGAAATGAACTAGACTTTCCGCTCCAATGAAAATTATGCTTTTCGACCGAACCGGCCATGAGCCGAATCCGTTCGAAGCTAACTTTGGCAATGAAAAATATGAAAAACTAGGGAGAAAACACAAACAAGAAGCAAGTGTGTGTGTCTGTGTGTGGGCGGGGTTTCGCGGAAAACGAAGAAGAAGAAGAAGCAGAAGCAGTCGGAAAACAAGATGAACGCCGAGAAGAAGAAGAAGAAGAAGAAGAAGAAGGGGAAGCATAAACAAAAACAACAATATTATTAATCACTCACAGACACACACACTGAGAAACTGGTAAGTGAACCGGTACGACCACATCTTGAACGCGGTAATTAGCACATATGTCTGTCTATCTTTCTAGGCGAACAACGGAGAGGAGGTGACAATTGGACGGGTTGTTTGGTTTGCACTTTTGATGGGAAAATGGGAGAATACTGATAATAGAGTCGGTGGGAGGTTCGAACTTTTGTCGCTCGATTGAAATGATATGCAAAAATGGTAACCACTAGGCCACCGGCACACTTATCCGCTCCCGCTTCTAGTGTGAACACATAAGCGCTCTACCGGGCGTTGCGACCGACCTAATCCGAAACCGATAAAAACTACAAAATGAAAATGTCAATCTCTCTCTCTCTCTCTCTCTCTAAAAATCCTTCCAAAATTGCATTCAGTAAGCGAAAAGTAATCCGGAGGACCTCCCGGCGAGTGCATAATCCGCCAATCACACGCCGAATCGTCAACTTTCAGAGAGTAATCCTTCTCGAGTCTCAAACCTCAAATCTGTGAATTCTGAAACTCGGAAGCACACAACTAATTGAAAAGCTTTCTAATCTCTTTCAAATCGTCGCATCATCATCATCATCAGCATCGAGAGAGAGACACGTGTCTTCCGCCCCATTGACGACTGTTGTTTTGATAGCCAAAACTTTCGGGGTGTGTGATTGTTTGTGTGGGGCACAAAATATGCGCGGATTAGTCAATTGTGACAATTAAATGATAATCCGATAAGAGCCGGAGAGGGTGGATATTCGATGATGATGATGAAGAGAGAGGCTTTTGCGTCAAACGTCGCGTGAGGAAGCGGGCGGGAGGAAGAAGAAACAATCCTCATCAACAAACATCAACGCGTTGTCATAGTTTGGGGAGGCTACTCGGATCACTGGTACTGTACTCGTTCACGTTTTGCCGAAAAATTTCACAAAATTTTACTGCTTTACAAAACTGTCAGCTCGTGTCGCTTTTGGTTTTGGAGTCATTTTTCTTCTTTTGCTTCTCATCGGGTGGGCGAGAGAAAAGATACAGGTGCCAAATCACAAAAAAAACAAATGGTACCTGGAAAACGCGCGGTGAGGTGAGGATGAGGGAAAAAAAAATGGACGAACGAGGCGCTCTCATTCTGCCTCCATCTTTTTGCTGCTTTGCTTGTTTACTCCTCCACAAAGGTCATTGCGATGCGCGTGGACGAGAGAGCACGCTGAACCCGGAGACGCCGACATTCTCGGATGGGATCTTCTTTTCTTTCTTGTCAACAACGCCCAGAGCGAGGAGACAAACAAGAGGCGGAAAAGACAACAAGTGCCGGGTCCCCGGTGACGTGGCAACAGCTGTCAGCCCCCCATTCCACTGACGTCTCGGGCAAAAGTGCAGACTGACACATTTCGAAACATTTGCGAAAGTGACCTAGGTACCATGGCACCATGGCGGAGGTGACAAATGGCGAAAAGAACGAAATGGGCTGGCGTGTACTAAGTGTTTACACGAGAAACGGACAGAGCCGCCGTTTTCTCGGGCACCTTGTCGAGACAAAAAGTTGCAACGACCAAAAAAGATGAGGAAAGGAAAGGAAAGGAATGAGAATACATATGTGACCTAGAGACGAAAGAAACAGGAATGCTAGGAGTCATGTTGTGACGGATCTGAGAGGATCGACGGAGTGTGACAAGAGACGAGCGACGGACGCGGCGGCACCGAGCGGAGTGTGACTTTTTCAAGATCATCACGAAAAATGGTGAAAAAGTGATGGAGCACGTTGGGTTTTTTACGGATTTGGAAAGCTCATTTTGGTTCGAGCTTCTGTTTTGAAGGTGATGATTGAGATTATTGCTAAGACAAGTGCAAATTAGAGGAGTTACAGTTTGGAAGACTATTCGGAAACACTTGGCTACAGTTTCAACATTCTCATATATCACGCGCTCATTTGAAACTTGCTAATCTTGCCTTGAGTTGCGATTGTTATTAGCTGACTGTAAAAGTTCACCGAAATGTTCTTTTAAGGATCAATTTGTCAATGGTAATGTGAGAAAGCTTGAACACATTTCAAAATGGAGTGGCTACAGTTTCAACTTTGTGATTTCTTGGTGGTTCGGTTTACAGTTCAATTGACGACAAAAAATCTTCACACACATTTTCAGAAAGATCGAAAAAAGACGCTTAAAACAGTTTCGAGCCAAATTTTGGCTTTACAGTTTCATAAAGCTTTCAAAGAAAGTGAAAATCAATAAAAGCGGTTACCAAAGATGTTACAACATTTACAGAAAATAAAATGTAGTACATGACACTAAATTCGCCGGTTTCGAGCTAACCATACAGTAGGATCCTAAAGATACGTTTCTAACCCAAGACTTCAGGAAATGGTGACAGTTTCAGTTTCACTATTTCTTCAGTTCGGTCCGTAAAGTGTGGTTTTCGTCAAATATGGAGAAAACTAGTCGTTATTCCACATTTCAGTTGGTTCAGCAATCTTTACAGTTTCATAAAGTTAATAAGTAGACGCCTACATTCAGTTGCTCACTTCAGGATTTTGATGATCTCAAAAAGGTGAATTCTCACAAAAGGTGTCCTAAAAGTACGGGAAAAAGGATTGCGAAAAGCAGTCAGGAATACTGGGTCACCTGTTCCGCATGTTTGCCGAACAAGAAGAAGAAGAAGAAGAAGAAGAAGAAGAAGAAGAGGAAAAGTGTGAACAAATATACGGAAACGTCAAAAGTTTGTTTCGTTCGCAGGTCCTTCGTCTAATTATTGTCATCTTTATCAAAATCAGCTGACCCTTTGAAGGCGTTAAAAAAGAAGAAGAAGAAGAAGAAGACGAAGAAGAAGAAGAAGAGGAAGGAAGATGGACACGTGAATTGAATTGACAGCAAAACGAGGGAGGAAAACAACAAACAGATAGGTAGGCTGAAGAAACGAAAAGAAAACAGGTGACCCAGAAAGTGATGACACCTGGCACCGTGCCAGCACTCGTTAATCAGCTGATCAGTGGGGATGTCTTGTAAACAAAACAATCACAGGATTTGAGAGTACTTCGGGTTCATCCGAGTGCTGTCCATCTCTAGACGGTCACTTTTTCTCTTGACAACTTTTAAGGATCATTTCTCTGGAAGGAGCTATGGAGCATAACTAGTTAGACAACTCTGATGCACCATAACTCTCTTCCAATACTCACAAAGATTGTGTGGCACGAAAAGTCCCTCTAAAAGTTCTAAAATTATAGGTAGACGGTGTAAAATCGAAAGCGAATCATGACAGACAAGTGAGACACGACGGGAAAGTGCAAGTCAACAACAGACACACACACACACATACATACAGATCGACTTTTACGATGATAAAGGGCGTTGAATCGTTGATCAGACAGACGAGAAAGAAGAAGAAGAAGAAGAAGAAGAAGAAGGAAAAGAAGTGCAGATCACAAGTACGGTATGAACTGGGGAGGGAAGAAATCGATAAGGGACGGGTGGCAGAAGGAGCAAGAGGAGAAGATGAGACAAACAAATGAAAGCGGAGGAGAAGAGTGAGGGGGAGGTGGAAAGTGACAGGTCATACTTGGAAGGGTGACAAATGATGAGACTGCAATCGTTTTGTTCTGAAAGAGTTACTGAAACAGGGAATCTTTTTGAGATCGAACTGACTTGAAGGACCAGGTACCCGAATGTTTGGCGACGCGTGACGCAAAGATCTCACACATGTCCCAATTCAGGATCCGAACACCAACCTAGAGAGTTTCCTGGTCCTGCATTGGGCCCCGCACCGATTTAGGTCAAAACTATTAGAGAAGAAACTATGTTGAATCTCAAAACCGTCCTAAGAAGAGTTACCGTTACAGTAACCTTTTACATTCCAAAGAAGACATATAGAGGCTTGTTCTCAACAAAATGAGCTAATTCAATCGAAAGCGGTTACCCAATTACGTTTTGTTTACAGTTTAGTTTACATGCCAGAGTGTTTGGCTAGTCGAGTTCGCATGTTTGTTTATGATAAAATTGGCCAGCCTTTCGTAGGACTTTCTGGCTTTTTAGGGCTTCTAGGGGGTCTGGTTCGAGATGTTACAGGGCCAGTTTCCGGTTGAATAGTCCAGAATTTTTACGGAAAGCATTCGCATTGTTTGTGTTTCAGTAAGTTATCAAAAGGAAATGAGCACTCTTTGAAACAGTTCCTTTAAATGACATACACCCCCTCCCCCGTAAAATATAAACTTCCGTAATCATTTTGGTTTTGACGGAGTGTCAACACAGTCGATTGTGAAGGGAACAAAATACGTTGTTTACAGGTCAACGTGGGTATTTTGGCACCAGTCTGAAGTACAGTAGGACGAGAGAAAACGAAAAAGCGATTACAGTTTCGAGTTGGGGATATGGACTGCGCGAAAGAAGAGAGAGAGAGTGATTATACGTTTTTTGTTTTCAACTTTCTTGAAGTTTCCCAATACTCAAAATGAATACGTTGAATTCATTATGTTCAAGTCAAGTTAGACGTACTTTCAGCAGAGTCTAGGGACTAGAACTGTCAGGCTGTGTACTGATTGAATTGACCCTTAAACCCGTAGATCCTTAGACCTTTACTGTTAAGTTAACCCCTATTACAACTATTATAGTTCATTTCAGTTTCACGATGAGCTTATAAGAGGTGTAGACTTTTCTAGTTGTCGCAGTGTAGCGTTATAACCCGAAAAAAGGAACCGAAGCGGACGGACGGCCAGAATCCTTTGGTGTTGTGATGCTGCTGTGGTGTTTTGTTGTCGTCGTCGTCGTCGCCATCGGAAGGTGTTTTCGACGACGACGCCGGCGACGGAGAGAAAAAGAAAAAATAGACGGGCGGCCGCCGTGACGAAGAAAACAAAATAACAAAAAATAGGAGGAACACGAGGAGATGAGTTGTGCTCTGCTGCCACTGCTGCTCGACGTGGACAACAAGAGGCGATTCCGGAGGAGAAGGGAAAAAAGAGAAATATTTGGGAAGCGGGGGGGGCATAAACACGCGCGCCGGGACCCGAACAGACACAAAATTAAACACAAATAACCTTGTTTTTTTTTTTTTGGATTTGTCTCTCTCTCTCTCTCTGTTTTTCGGGAGTGGGCGAGCGGGGGGAACTGATGATGATAGTTGATGGTTTGTTTCAGAAAAAAACAAGCAACAAGGAAGTGTGGCCGATTGGGTTATCAGAGTCTTTTGGTGACACACAAAATGTCAACGATTTCGAGGATCGTATGGGACCGGTAGTATAGGATTTTGAAGAAGTGTTGTCGTTTGAAACCGACAGTATAGGAATTTAGAAGCAACTTTTCTACAAAATCAGCTATTTCGCATGTTCACCAGAATAACTAACATTTGTGAAACAGTTTTCATACTAAAATTACCGTTTCATAAACTCTACTCCAGCTTTGGCTCAAAATAACATAAATAATTCAAGGAATATATAATAAAAAAAAGTACTGAATGTCAGCAAAATACCGGTCCTCTAAAGTTTGAGACTAAATTTCCGGGTCCCAGAGAAGACAACGCAACGAGTGAGAATGTACAGTTTCAAGAAGCTCCCATCCTGTCCAAATCTATAAAACTATTGTGGATTCAACGATTTCAGATTCAAAAAGTACACCACTGACGCCGCTATTTTAAGATTCACTTACTGTGGACCTCTGAAAAGAAAGGCAACTTTTTCAAATACAAAAGGACGTACTGGATGGCTTTCGAATCCCTTCTCTTTCCGATTGCTCAATCCACGTGTCAAGATGACGTGGCAACTGGGAAGAAGAAGAAGAAGAAGAAGAAGAAGAAGTGTGTGGGCCAGACGGCCAACTCACAGATCGTCGCGCGCGAGATCACGAGTTGTTTTTATTATTTTGTTATTCTTTTTTTTTTGTTGAGGCGAACGAACGAGAAAAAGAGTGAGAGAGTGAGAGTAAGGGGTGGTGTTCCGCGTGCCTCGCCTCTGTTTTCATGTTTTCAAAATAGCAAAATAGCGAAAAATTTCAGTCTGTGAAGAAGAAAATAGAGGAAACACACACACACACACACACACGACTACCGTAATCCCGTGTGGGGGAGAAGAGGAATGAGAGGGGGGCGGGGAAGGTAAATAGAGTAAGCAAATGCGATTGGAAGGAGTGGAAAAAAAAAGAACTTTTTGAGGTGTTCTCGGTCATCGGAGCACAAGAACTTGGAGCCGATTGGGGCGAAATTCGGGCGAGCGCCAGACAGCCATCAGACAGGTGCAAACACCGAAAATTTGACAAATTGGATATATTCAAAGCGCAAAAAAGGGCTAGAGGAGGCGGGGAAAGATGTGGAGGGACATCACAGAAAAACAAGGAGTTATTTACCGTTCTGTTTCTGTTTTTCATTTTGGCTTACCTCGATTAAAAGTTTCGAAAGACACGAGGGAACCGACGGCGACGTCATCAGATTCTGGTGCATCTGCAGGAATTGCTGCACGGTCTGGAGGGGATCGACGCCGGCGGGCAGATTCGACGCCGGACGGATCGGGTGCGGGGTGTGCAGGTAGGCGGAGGACGAACCGGAGAATGCGCCGATCCTTCGGAGATTCGACTCGCTGCTCGTCTTGTGCATTCCGCCGCCGCCGCCGCCGCGCAGCTCGAGAAGCGGTCGGAACGAGGGTCTCAGCGGCTTCTGCACTTCTTCTCCTTCTTCTTCTTCGTCTTCCTCTTCATCGACGACGTCGATCTGATCCTCCTCGTCCTCGGCGAGCAGGTGCTGGTTGTTCTGCGTCGGCGAGGTCACCGTCGACGTGGATCCGGTCGTCGAGAGGTGTTGGGCGGGCGTGAGCGGCGGCGTTTGGATGTAGAACGGCATTTCAGAGACACGGGAAGAATTGAGGAAGGATCGTCCTGTGCGGGCACTCGAAAGGGTAGAAGGGAGGCAAAGTGGGCGGGGCCTTCGTTTCTCTGCGCGCTCTCTTTCTCTCTCTCTCTCTCTATCGTGTGTTTTCAGTTTTGAGAACGAGAAGGGAGAGGACGGAGGGAGCGGGGCCTTAAAGTGCAGAACGTCTCGTCGTCGGCGTCCTCCGCGCTCGCCAATCTCTCTGCCGACGACGACGTCGACGACCCCACCGATTGCTTGTGTATTCTCTGTTTTTCTTTCTTTTCGTTCCTTTTCCCTTCCCGTCTCGCGCATTTTTCCGAGAGAATACGAGAGAGAGAGAGAAGGAGAAGGAGGAGGAGGAGGAGTGTCTGGCACTGGAATGGAGGGCACTGGATGACTCAGAAGGTCCGCGAGCAGACACGGAAAAAGAGACGGATGACACCCAGAGATCACCTTTCGACTTTCAGAGCTTGTATCTTTGGTGGCAGGCGTTATTTCGAAATGTTGACAACTGAAAAGTTGAGCCAAATGTCTTTATGAACAACTTTCCAGTCGATCATTTTTTTCTAATAGTCTCGGTTTTCGAGTTATGACCTTTTTTCCAGACACTACAGTTTCAAAAAGCTGTTAAGATCTCTGGTATTTGATCCCGTAGTTTGTCACCAAATCTGAAAATGTGAACTGATTGCAGCAGTAAATGTTTGGAAAAATCATAATAAAAGTTTCCTTCTTGTTTCTACTGTGTGAAATCGTTCTTGGATTTTCAGAATCTGTAAAACAGACCTACACGAAACAGTAATCTTTGAAACTCTAGTTTCCGGGATTCCAAAGTTTTTCAACAAATTAATGGCATTTGAGGTATGCTTGTGACCGATGATTCCAGAGTCAAAAGGAAGACGGACTACTGTAGTACCGTAGCCCGTCGAAGAGTGCACATCATTTGTCAACCCGTGGCTGTCTACTCGATAAACCTCGCTCGGCGCCGCCACAGCTGAAAGTTGTCCTTTTCCGATCAAAGTCCGTCTCGCCACCCGCCATTGTGTACAGAAAAACAGAGAGAGAAGAAGAGAAAAAGCGTCGGCCGCCGCAGCCGATAACTGTTGGTTTTTGAGAGTGGCAGTCATCCGGCCGGGGCCCAAAAAGTGCACACCGAGGACTACGCCTTTTGCATTCTTTCTCTTTCTTTCTTTCCCTCCTGAAGATCCGAAGCGAGTGTGTACTATTTGTGTGTGTGTGTGTGTGAGGGAGAGGGAGACTGGGGGTGAGTGTCTGACGAGTTTTTTGTCGACGAAGGACTTTGGCTGGGAGGTACGGTAGGAGAATGAGAGGAACAGGAAGCGATCGGGGGCAGGTTTCATGCAAATTAGTCACTGGAACTTGGAAAGAACGAATAAACGCGTGGGAAAGAGACATTCCAACAGGGATCCGGGCCATTGGGATCACAAGTCGAGCTGTTTCATTCGGATCATGTCCTGAGTTCCCGTTTGATCCAAACTTCAGTCGTCGACGACCGATCTTGACACCAGATCATCTTCAAAACCAACTTGAAGTGTTACTGTTTCCACTCCGACGTATCTCCTCAGAACCAAATAGTTCACATCTCTCTGCCGATCTTTCTCCTATTCCCCATGGCGCCCCCCATTCCAATTACCCACGCCTTCTCATGAGCATTATGAGAAAAGCGGGGCGTACCGGTGAAATGGCGTGAGAATGTGATGATGTCTGTGGGGACATTCGCAGAACATCACAGCTCTCGTAAAGTCGATGTGACATGGAAAGGTAGAGAGATCAAAAGGGGGGGAGCTATTGTGGTTTACTGTTTCGCAGCATGCATTTAAAGTGTGTGTCATTGCTTGAGCTGTTCGTATAGGTTCGATTAAAGTTCCAAACCGTCAATTAATGTTTCGCAATCTAGAATCTAGAAGAATTTCAGCATTTTCAAAGTCCCAGTTTTCTTTTCACAATCTCCTCTATATGAATTTCAGCCATGATTCATGATTCATGCTCCGCCTGCAGACGTGTCTAGCTCACCTATTCCGCCTGAATGCCTCCTTCATTGTTTTCTATTCTGAAGCGAGCGAAAAGGAGCTCTCAAATGTCATTTGTTGTTGTTTACGAACTCTCTTTTTCTGCTTTTTCTTCTTCTTTTTCCGTGTAAACAAAGCGAGAGAGAGAGAGGGAGAGAGAGAGAGAAAGAGGGGAAGTACTGCTTCCAGAATGTGCATAAAACGTGCGGATTGGGATAAACTAATCCGCCAAAAAAAAGGGAGTCTAATTTGGTACAAGATTCGAACTAAAACTAATCCCCCGAATCAAAAATGGCACCTCATTGTTTTATTTTTAGATTTTCCGATTGACACTACCCCCGGCCGACTACACTTTGCCCCGACTGATGTTTAGTTACTGAGGGGATGCTGGATGCACTTTTCAAGAGATAACGAGACGGCACAAAACGGAGAGGGACCATTCGAAAGGACACTGCGAGGACAACGTTTGGAAGGGGCAATGGGGAGCATGTTTTTAGGGGGGGAAAGAGAGGGTTTCAGTTGTGGGGGGAGCACATTCTGACGCTTTCGGAATGGCAAGTTTGGCCTTGTCATGAAACTTATTGTGTTTCTGAAACTGCTCTTGTAGAACACTCTGACATTTGCATTCGTTTTGTAGTAACATTTTTAAACTTCTGTTTGTTTCGTTTGAAAATGAGCTAGAAGGTCTATAAGACCCCCACCTGAAGTGTTGTGGTTTGTCTCTTTCGTTTCGCCCTGTACAGAATAAAATGTTGCTGCTCACGAATATCGTTGAAACTACAAACAATCAGGCGAGGAGGGACGTGCTTCTCTCAAGTGCATATCCCTTTTGTTGGTGTCAATCTTTGCTCACAATCTCAAATCGCCGCGCCCGTGAAACTGTACTGACCGGTGTAATGCCAAAAAGTACACAGAAAGGAGGTTCGACACGTGCTTGCGGTATTCATGAAATCGGAATGTTATTCTTACAAGCTTTTTTATCACCAGCAACTAGAGCTCATCACGCGTTTTATAAAAACTATGAAACTGTAACTGGCAAACACGGTCTCCAGAGCTGACAATATGGGCGTGGCCTCGGCCAAATGGCGTTTTCTCTGATTTTTGTGGTCAGAGGCGATGAAAAATGATTGTTCGACATGAAAACAAACGAATTCTCAGAATTATAGACGTTTCGGCGCATTTTTCGCGGACTTTGCTTTTTCGCCTTCGCCGCCGATCGCCGCCTAAAAGCCGCACTTCTCATTTTGCGCTTTCTTGACCGTTTTCAGACAGAATTGGTTTTGAGAATGATAAATCACGTAAATACAAGCATTTTGAGCGCTCAAACCGCGAAAACTACCGAAAAGCAACTGAAATTTACGCAGTTTTAGCGAAAAACCTTCAAACGGATAAATGTGATTTGCGACTTGACCAAATTTGACGCTCTTGCGCTTAAAAAATTCGTAATAGCCTATACAATCGGTCTATCGAGAGAAAAATGAGAAATTATCGATTTTCCGTGGCTAATCTGGCAAAAAACACAAATTTTGCTGTTAAAATTTGAATTTCGCGCCAATGTATCGCTCTATTGGGCGGGGCGCACTTGCTCCCATTGTCAGCTCTGGAGACCGTGGCGCGCAAATGTCAAAAACTGATAACGTTTGTTACAGATAGATACGCGGATGCACTATAAAACGACCGCGGAGCACAGGATCCGTCAGTCTTCACATCTCGATCATTTGCAAGAAGGAATCGAGAGATGAGAGTCCTTCTGGAGCAACTTTTGCGGAGAAACTCAATAAACCGTCCCTGCTCAATCCGGCAACATTACAACTCCAAACGTCTCAAAATCTCCAAACAGCGCAACATCACGAATATGCACGAACTGGTAGGGAAAGTAATCGAAATGGAGGATGACTGTGCACAATTTTTTTCAGAGCTGGCGACGATGAATTGCCGTAAAAAGTGACAAACTTTTCTAAACATTGCAAGGAGTTGAGACACGGAAGCGATTTCCGATTCTATTCCGGAGGTGTGGCGATGAGAACAGCAGAATTCTCGGAAATTCTCTTGGAGCCGCACGTTGATGGATTGCCAGCAGAAGATGTGCAGAGAATACAGGACCAGGAGGATGTGATTGAGGATTTCATTCAAAAGCACAAGACAATATGCCCGCAGCTTGTACGTTCTCAAAGTGTACCATGCTCTTCAAACGAAAGTTGGTTGTGCTTGGCACGAATGTATCGGAAAGATGGACGGGGTGGGGGTATAAGGCAGTCTGTCTTTTTGGTGCTAAGTAAGTTGGACCCTCCACTTACAGATCTATAATATCCGAAACTTTCAGTAAGACGTTCAAGCGGGCGGTGACTGGAAGAGATGCCAGTGGATTGTGCAAAGCTTCGATCTTAACTTAACTTTCCCTAACTGCCAAGCGCATTCCATTTCATTCCCAAACCGTTTCCACTCGACTGACCGCTCATCACTCCGTTCTCATTTGTTTGCTCTTCCCAAGTGGCTACTGATTCGAAAAAAACACGGAAAAATAAGCGGCGGGCGGTCTCTCTGGACAAACAGTTCATAACTTTTCCTCGCGCTCCCACGCTTCTTCTTCTTCTTCATCTTCTTCTTGAGTTTCTCGTCTCTTGCGTAGAGGTAACTTAATATTTGCCCCGAAAACGGAAATGAAAGTTCTTGAGTGGTACCTGGCCGACGGGTCACAACACTATGCAAACCGCTCTCACACCCTTTCCCCCGACCTCCTCCTTCGTGCTCCCAAATCTGTGCTCATGAAGCTGCTCGGGCTGTTGCTCCTGGTCCAGCCGCTGCTCGCATGGCCCCATTCGATCATTCCGCTCTCCTACGACCTCCTTTTCAAACTGCCGATCCGAGAGTTCAATGGATTCACCGGATCCATGGTCCTTCACTTCAATCTCTCCTCGCTGACCGATAATATCACTCTGGATTCGGTCGATTTGCACTCTTTCCGCAATATTTCTCTGATTTGCTCGAGCGATTTGACGGAACCCGCGTTGAAATCGATTCGAATTCTGAGGGAAAGCGTCGAGTTCAAGTTCGACAAGGCTCTCTTTCCAGGACAATATCTGCTTACTATCGGTGAGTACTTGGGAACAAGAAATGGGTATTCACGGTTTGAAGTTTTTCGGTTTCGCATAATCTTCTCAACTAGTGAATCATTCTTCTGGAGCTCTTTCTGGAGCTATAACGAACACTTCTTGAAGTTATCGGGAAGACTTTTTCAAGATTCCTCAAGTTCTAGTATGACATTTTCTAACCAGAAAATGGGATTACTGAAATCCTATCAGTTGCCATGAAAAATGCACTTGTTGAAACAGTCGATATCGTTTCCATCTTAACCGGTAACTATCAGCAGAAAAAGGCTGGAATGGGGTTGGCTAACGAAGAAATCAACAGAATCTGACTGGGGATGCTTACAGGCGAGTACAACGGTCGCATCGGGAACGCGTCGGAGGGTCTTTTCGAGCGCCGCCGTCCGCTGCTCTACACGACGCATCTGCAGCCGAACCACGCGCGCCGACTCTTCCCGTGCCTCGACGATCCGGCGGTGAAGGCCGTGTTTCGGCTGTCGATCGTGCACCCGACCGACACGGTCGCTCAGTCGAACACGATTGCGATGGACGTGCACGTGGAGAATCGGAAGTGGCAGAGGACCATCTTCCAGGCGACGCCACCGCTTCCCGCCTATCTCGTCGCGTTTTCGGTCATGCCCGACTCGAATTTACAGGTTTGACAGGGGTTTGCGAACTTGAGAAATTGGTGTGTTGAAATAGAAAACAAGACTCAGCTCAAGCAGATGGATGTATAGGAAGAATATTGTCGCTTCTAACTTGTCACCCAAATGTATGCTCGTGCTGAAACAGTAAATCACAGATCAAATAAAAATTGAAAATAGTTTTAAGGGGTTTGAAGCTGAAAACCTCTAAAGATTGTACCAAACAAGGTTTCGATCAAGCGATTTCGCAAAAAAATTCGCAAAAAAGGCAATAGGATCTGCGACTCGAAGGATCATCCTGACCAAAGTCTGGACCGCAGTAACTCGCAAAGCATTGCAAAAAATAAAAGATACTTGTGACCTGTCGCTAAAATGTGCGAGACAGTAAAAAAAGTGGGTAAATAGGACGTACTACATAGCAGCAAGTCAAAAAAAAAACAACAACAGCTAGGTGTTGACACACAGGAGAGAGAGAGAGAGAGAAAGAGAAAGAGATCAACAAAAACAAGGTTCTCTTGTTTATTTACATCTTTCGGCATCGTTCTGGATCCCTGCAGTATACGTACAACTTATTTGTTTATTAGCTTTTTCTTCCCCAAGCAAGCTCACTTTTCAACACTAGTTTCCACTTTTTGAGCAACCCAAGGGACCAAATTGAATCAATTTGCAGCTCTCGCGTCAAACATCGTTCGGCGTGACGGTGCGAGTGAACGGAGAGTCCCGTGCGATCGTGCTCCGAGTGTTGGACTGTGCTCTCGCCAGTTTTGAGATCCTCGCGGGTCTGGTTGATGTTCCGTTGCCTCTGAATAAGGTTTGAAAGAACAAGATTTGAACGCTCAATAACTTTCATCTTCGCTGAATAGCTCACCACAGCAACAGCACTCTAATACCGTCTTTTCAAGACTACGTATCTCAGCTGTCGTTGAAGATATCAAAAGAGTTTCAACAGACAAAATGTACAGAATGTCTTTCTCAGCAATTTATCAGTTGACAACTTTTTGATATCTCTACCGGCAGCCGAGATTCACTTCTTTTAATAAACGGTACTGGGGTCTCTGTGCTCTAAACCTTGTAAGCCATTCAGCAGAAATATAGATTCAGGTCGACTTTTCCAGGGGTATTTTCACAAAAAAACAGTGATTTCAGATCGATTTCATTCTCGTGGCCGACTATGACGGAGGAATGGAAAACTGGGGACACATCACTGTTTCGGAGAGTTTGGCCACAATGGGAGACGATGCGCATTTGATTTATCTGGTAAGATTAGAGCATTCACAAGTCCATGAAAAGCGAAGGGAACGAAATTTACATCAAATTAATCATAAACCAAAAATCCTTGAAACCGTCCAACTGAAACTGTAATTTTCTTCCAGATCGCCCACGAAATCGCGCACCACTGGATCGGAAACCGCGCGACGATCGACTCGTGGAGCTACATCTGTCTTCAAGAGGATCTCGCCGACTGGCTGGCGCTGAAGGCCGTCAAGGCGTTGTTGACGGACGAGACGAAACTGCAGAGGTTCCAACTGGCCCAATACGTCGAGATCCAACTCGTCGAGGACTTTTTGAGCCCCGGGCACTCGTTGTACATGCCAGAGAGGATTAGTCAGGAACTGGTGAGGGTGGAAGCAATTATGATCTTCTCGGAACAGTAAATAATACGTTTGCAGATAAACCGTCACTGCTACCTGAAAGGAGTGGTCCTTCTCGATACTCTGGAATCGGTGGTCGGGGAGCAGTTCATGCTCTCCGTCATTAAGAGCCTCGTCGGATCGCATTCCTCGTTCAATCTCACCACATTCACTTCCTACTTCGATCAGATTCGGGTGGATCGGAATGCCACTGTCGGACAGGTATCCTACACTGTTTCACCTTCGCTTTTCACACTTTACTGTCAATTTCTTCCCGCTTGCAGATCTACGAATACTGGTACACGACGGGCGGATATCCGTCGATTCTCGTGGAGAACAACGGTCCTTCCTCTCGTCTCCAGCAGCTCTCCCGTCCCCTCTGGCCCCTTAAAATGACCTCGACCCTCTCGATTCCGCAGTTCGTCTTCTCCGAATCGATCGTTTTCGCTTCCGAGTCCGCTCCTCTCCTCGTCAACCTCAATTTCACCTCTTTCATGAGAGTCAACTACGATTCGCTCACCTGGACCGCCATTTTCAAGTCAGTTCTCTTTGTCAAGCTTCGATTCCTGGATCCGAGCGATTCTTCAGGTACATGTTCGAGGAGCCCGATCTGTTTTCGGCGGTCGGAAGGGCTCAATTGGTCTCTGATTTCTGCTACTTCTACGCGAATGACAATGTGGAAAATGGAAGTCTTTTGAAGGAAGCTGTCGTGGATATGGTTAGTTTCTTCGTTCCAGACGATGTATCTCAGCTGCTGGTGGAGATATCAAAAAGTGTTCAACTGATAAAATGTGCAGAATTTCTTAGTGATCAATTTATTAGTTGACATCTTTTTGATATCTTTACTGGCAGCCGAGATACATTCGTTTGAATAGACTGTATCTTCAAATTGCAGGTGTACGCGAAGCCGGAGTACTTCGAGCTGTGCGACTGGAACCTCTACTGGTGCCTGTCCCGTTCCGACCGCTCTCTTTTCCATCAGATCGTCCGCAGTCTGGCCCTCCGTTTTTCGTCGGCCACATTCGAAAGTTCGACGGCGTTCGGCTGCAAGAACGGAATGGCGGCCCGCAATTTGAATCAGTTCTGCGAGAAGATCTTCGGTCGAAAGTGCATTTGAACTGACATTTATGACATTTCCGCACAATTCTTTCAAAAACGAATCTCACTAGCGAATCTAGTCCAAAATCCAGTTGAAACTGTCGAATACCGGTTATTTTTCACCTTATTTATTTGTCATTCAGTTCATGCACGAGAGAAATAATAATAAATTCATTTATTTGAACAAAAGCGATTAATAATATGATACTGAGAAGACGACTATCGATAAAATGAGTTTACTTAACTGAATATAACATGACAGAAACTGTAAATTTTGCAATAACAACTTTTTTCAGCAAAATTGGTGGTCTGTTTGATCCGAGTTGTCCTCTATTATCTGTTCTGTAAATACGTTCGTCGTGAACTAACACACATTATATACCAATTCTAACATAGACCATTGGAAACGGTACTTTTCAGTTTCACCAACTTGATATCATTCTTTCTGATGATACTTTCTGATAAACCCCTCGCATACATGCCACAACAATACAATATTTAAAATGCGAGTCCATTTCTCGGCCTGTTTGGCACCAAGCAAACGTCGCGACTTGTCTGGAAGAAGCGCGATGTTCGCGAGTGCCAAGCAGTCCGTCGGGACATTTCCAGGCAAAGGAGTTGTTGACGAAAAGACGGAACACAGAGTTGAAACGAGTGTTATCGAGAGAGAGAGAGAAAGAGAGAACACTTTACAAGTATTGGAAACAGGAAACCGGGAACTCTGTATTGACAAGAGATTATGGTATTTTGATGTCTAAGACTTCTGTTTCGTGCCGTTATATTTTTCGGAATTGAGTTCCACCTTTTTTACAGAAAATTATAACAACAAGAATAACTGTTTCTGAATTTTCCGCTTCAAAATAGATGTCTGGGGGGTGCCGTTATAATACAGTTTTTACGGTATATTCGTTCGTGAAATAAATTGAAAGCATAGATTGCAGTGAGTCCAGTTAAATATGGTATCCAAGAGTTTTTTCCCGAAAAATATTGGCATCTGCACATTGGTCTGTCATTTTCAAGATGAAACTGGACTCTTTACAGCAATCAAGTCATCCGGTCGGGTCGAAAAACTGCCCGGTTTCAAAAATGATCGATTTTCTGTACAAGCTAACACAAAATTACGATTTTCGAAGACAATTTGACTCAGAAATCATGTTTTGAAATGTTAGTACCATTCCAATCGAGTTAAAAGTGTCCTCTTAGATTCTTGCCCACATGCCCAGTTATTACAGTTTCAGAACATCCTGATATGTCCAACTTCATCAAATCACATCGTTATTTAATCCTCGTTCAGTGCACCTTTCCACTAGTTCCAGATCTTTCCGACAGAACGAATCAAGCATGCATCCGCGAATAAATCGGCCGTGGAGGATCCACCGAGCCGCCGATCGCTCTGCAGCTGAATCCACACGGTCCCCTGCGCCGCCCGTATTTGCTGGCATAACCGTGTTAACCGATTCGCCTCTCGCTCTCCAATTTTTATGTATTTCGGCGCCGTATTTGGTATGAAATGCGCGCGCGCCGTACATTGTATGCTATTTGTACGCCTCGAATGCAAACACTTTTGCGACGGTATTTATACTTGTTACCGCCGGGCACTGGAATCCAAAATCCGGAAACTTCCGTGATGACGTGGCAGAAGAAGAAGAAGACGTGGCAAACGTCAGGTTCCACTCAAAATGGCGTGGAGATACGCATCTCTTTCTCTCTTTTGTCGACGCAAAAAGTGAAAGTGGTGAGGGAAAGAAGAAGAAGAAGAAGAAGAAGAGGAAGAAGAGGAAGGGATTCTGAAGAGGGTCACCGGCGAATTAACATTTGACTCTCAAGACCGGGTTTTTGAGAAAATCGGCCTAAATCCGATCGGTCTGAAACTTGGGCCCAAAATACTTTAATTCAAGTCCAACAAGCGTGCAAAGTTTCGGTCCGAAACTTTTTGAAGAAAAAGCTGAAACGGAAAGTTTCGTTGCGAAATTCGACTTTTCCAAAGTTTTGGACCAAACCTTTTGGTCCAAAACTCTGCTGACCTAGAAGCGCATCGAAAGGACAGAGCGGTAGAACTAGAAGGGAACTGAAGAAGAGTTTTAAGTGAAACTGTAATGTTCAGACAGTTCAGAAACATTTTCCTCCGCCAAGATTTCCCTCAAACCCTTCTTCCCCTCTGATTCTTTCCGATCAACACCTGGAGGAGGCCGTCGATCACTCGCTCGCCGCTCAAAAGATTCATTTCCATTCTCTCCTCTCCGCGACAATCCGAATGTCCCTTTGTCCCCTTCGAGGGCGCCAGACGGCAACAGAAAGAGGGCCTCCTCCGATTGCTAATGCGAAAATTACCAGTCTCCTCGTCTGCGCGCTCCGCCGATCCGAACACTGTCTCGTTTCGAGAAAAGAGGAGCGATGTCCTCGAAGACAACAATAGAATCAAAGGGATGGACGTTGTGGGCTTTCGGTTTTCCTTGATATTATCAGTTTCTGTGTGCAAACACCACCACGCAACACTGCACAGATCTATGTGTTTCCGACTACAGTAACCCGCCGCTAATCTGCTATTATTGTTGTTTTGATCCCTTCCTCCTTCTCCACTTTTGTAGTCGGCGATTCAAATTCAAATTCAAATCCCCTACCGTAATCCCCGCTCCCCGTCGTCGTCAATAACACACAAATATTGTCGAGTTCCCTCTTTCGCTCGCATTCCATTCCATTCCATTCCAAATTGGTGCCAATCGTATCGTCGAGCTAATAGCCATTTGTGGGGTGGAATGTGGAAAAAGAGAGACTGTTCCCAAGTGCTAATGGCTCGGAAAATGGTCAAATGAGACTGGGAAAGTGCGGCCGCAAAGAGAAAGAGAGAGAGAGAGAAAGAGAGAGAAAGAGAGAGAGAGAGAGAGAGAGAGAGAGAGAGAGAGAGAGAGAAAGAGAGAGAGAGCGCGCGGAAAGGGCAGTCTCATTTGAATCACAAAAGGGAACCACGAGTAGGCTGGAGATGAGTCACTGCACACCTTTTCTTTGTACCCCGCCAGTTGAACAGGGACTCGAACCTACTGGGAACGGCTCCGACAACACTTCAGATCAGATTTGAACTTTGGTTTGAAGCTTAGGAACCTAAACAGAGTCATGACGGTTGCGAGACTGGTTGCGAAACGTCCTAGTGTCCAACTGGTTTTATAACGACGTGTTTCATTCACTTTTAGATAATGAAACTTCCTAAAACTTCTGGAATCCATGTCCGATCATCAGTCATCCAGCTCAGCGAAACCTGGGACTCAGAGAACGGTACCATGGTTGCGAAATCAGTTGCGAAACGTCGCCAAGGCCCTTGGGTTGCAAAGTGACGACAGTATTGGTTGCTAGAACTTCAAACTCTGTGGAATGTCTGGGATCCAGTTTGATCCACTTGAATTGCGCTCGATCTATGGTGGCAAAACGTCTCGATTCCTAATCTCCAGGATCCTTGGCGTCAGGAATCCAAGAGACGATGGTTGCAAAACGGAAGGAATCAGTTGGAAAACACGCAACCAGATCCCCCGAGTCCACCAACAGTACCGTTTCAGAATGCTGTCATAGTTCTCAAGGTTCTAACTGAGCAAGTGACACCTACCAGAGTCTTTTCTCAAAATGAATAAAAATCTCTTCACCGTCGGCTATGGTACAGCACAATCCGCGGGTTGGCCCGTCAAGGAAACGTCCGTGAATTCATGCAGTGCCATTGCGAACGGGAAGAGACGACATATTGAATAGAAGTGTGTCTAGAAGTGGAATGAATGAAGGGACGACTAGTCGGCCAAGCAGCACCGACCGACGAATGACTGTATTCGGAGGAGGGGGGGACGGAGGAGGCGGGGGAGAGGAGGAGGAGGCGCCGGGCAGGACGCAGCAAGCCCCGCCCCCCCACTTTTGCCGCCTCGGCCCCTCCGCTCTCATTACGGTCTTTCGATTTCGCATTTCGAAAATTGTCGATCGGAACCGAGCGACGACGACCGGACGCCGCCGATTTCCATTGTTCTGTGTGCATTTGAAATACTGTCGAGGTCGTTGAACGGCCCGAGAGAGAGAGAGAGAGAGGGGGCAAATTACACCGAACTGAATTTGTGGGGGGGGACGACGATGACGACGGAGGGGAAAACAGAGGACGAATGAGGTTTCCGGAAAAGTACTCGGAGGCTAATTCCAGTTTCATCGAGTTGTAAAGCGCTTATCGGAACTAGCAAATGGCTATTATCGAACCAGAAAGTAGTGATGGTGAAACGTGGAAGAATACTGTTTCAGTTGGTCGTCAAGTGCTTCACTTCGAGCGAAAAAGTACTATTCACATGATTATCTCATTTGTATGACTTTCGAATAGATACAGAACAAACGATTTGTTGGAAAATTGGGCCGGGCAGGGCGTTTTTCGTTGTTAGGTCTCGACACGACCGCGTTTCTTCGGGCTACTGTAGATTTTAAAGGCGCAGCACTTATTCAGAGGGAACTTTTTTGGATTTTTACAGTTTCAACGGTTGGTAAACACTTGAAAAAATTCACAAACAAGCTATTCGAAATCTCAACATGCGGACTCACCTCGTTCTTCGAAAGCCGAGTAGTGTCGACTGACGAGAGCCCATTCGGAGCTCGCGAGAAAGTGGGCGTGGCCTCCTATCACTGGATTATCTCGGTCTAATCCCTCCTCTCGCTTCCTCCAATCAGCCATACTATTGAGAGATTAGAGGCGGCTCGGATAATCTGTGCATTCCACTAATCAAAGTGGCGAGAGAGAAAGATATAATGTATTCGTATGTAAAAACAAGGCACAATTGTGTGTTTGTGTTGGTGTATGAGTATGCTGAAAAATGAGGTTTGCAGGCAAAAAAATACATGGAAAATCCTAATTACATGAAAACGGGCAGGCGGGAGATCGCACAAAATCGCAAAAAATGGTGCAGAAAAGGGGGTGAATTCCAGAAAAAAAGAGAAAGATATCAATGGGAGAAGAATGAGGTGATCACAGAGGAAAACGGTTTGGAGCGATGGGACAGGATGGGTAGGGGAAGTGTCACAGACGGGGGGAAAAGTTTCGATGTGAATGGAGGGAACCCAGAGAAAGAATTCAATCGTAGATATTTAACAAATGATGATAATGTTGGTAGCTTAGAAAAAGAAGTCGTGGAGCAGTGTCTGCCGTTTGTGCTCCGCGCGGTGCATGTGCGCTTCCAGGGCTCCGCGTGCGGTTCCGTCGGCTCTCTCGACCGCCCACGCGAGCTCCTCGACCTCTTTTTCCAGTTGTGCTTGTTGGTATTCGAACTGAAAAAAATTTCAATTTCTTAATAGTTAAAGGCTGTGTTCTTGCATTCTGCTAGACAGACAGACAATCGAATTAGCGCGATAATTCATATTTGTCTCATTATCGAATGAGCGACAACTCAAAGCACAGTTTCAAGGCCGACTCTCTCGCGTCTCGCCTTCAAATCTATCTCTTACTTCGATAACGCCAACAATCCCGCAATCCGTCATTATCCGACCCTACTTCTTTCGATAATCCGGCTCGGTCGGTGCGCCACCACAAAATCTGGCTAAATCGACGAGGGGGAAGGTGGAGGCGACCGGATGAAGGATTTCGGTGTGAAAGGGATTAGTGGCCGGTGTATGGCGGCGCAAACCAACGACGGGGAGGTGAGAGGAAGAAGAAGAAGACACTTCGATTAAATTGGACAAGGAGGGAAAGGAAAAAGTCGTCGAAGTGTCCGGATGAAGGGAGATTAGAGCAGGAAAGCAACGCGAACGACACACACCGAATACTTTTGGAAATTTCTAAAATCGTGCATATCTCCGTTTTGACCGCTTTCGTTACTATTGGGCCATTTCAAAATGAATGCGCTCTGTTGGGAAAAACTTCTTTTGTGATCTCTCTAGTTTTTTCAGTTTCGAAACAAAGTTCAGTTCTATTTGAATTCTGGAAGAACGTTATCAGATCGAATTCACTTTTAAATGCCCTGATAGTAGTTGAACGGCTGCAAATCGTAGAATTGCCACTAGGGTTGCGAAATATGTTCGTTCCAAACATTTTTAGTTCTGACAGAACTTTCAGAGAACAATTTTTCAATAAAAAGCTGGCCGGACCGAAGTGAGCCTTCTGTTAAGAGCACTGACACGTCACCCTAGCTTTCTTTTCTAAACTGGTTTCTGTCTCCGTCTCCATCTTTTTCAATTTCGAAATGACCACCCACGAAGAATCGGGATGGCCCCATACAGCGCAAATGTGACAGTTCTCATCACACACACACACACGCACACTGGTTTTTCTCATCGAGCGCCAATATTTCTTCTCCCACCGAACAATACAATTGTGTCTTCTGGAGAATTGGCGCACGGAGACGAAAAGCAGAGGGGTGGTGTATTTGTACGCGTGTAAATAAACAAATGTTCGATGGAAACGAAGGTGTCTTCAAGTACTTTTCAACGTCTTCAGGCCACTTTGAAACGGAAAACTCTTCAGATTTCGGCGATCTTTTGAATTAATCGTTCTTTGGTACAAGAGTGAAGCCTGTGGAGCGAACGATCAGACAGATACTCACCAAATTTTTGCGCGGACCGGCCTGGAGGTAGTAGGCGAACGGATAAGTGTACTGGAGAGTGTAGCGACATTTCGTGAGCAGCGAAACCGATTTGTGCAGATATTGCCAGTCGATCCACGTGCCGTTGTGCTCGTTCACCTTCGCGTCGATTTTCTTGCGGATCTTGTCGCGCAGCTCTTCCTCCATTTTCAGCGACTTTGAATGATTCTCGAATCGCTCAAAGTAGTGGAGGTACTTTTCGAGGGCTCGCCGCGCCTTCACGTGGTTCGCCTCCGCCGCCACCGACGGATTCTCTTTGTATCGACTGCACTCGTAGTACTCGCTGCCGTGGCTTTTCCAATCTGAAAATGAGAGATGAATAGAGGGAAGGGAGGGGAAAGTAAAACAGTGTTACCTCCGAAGCACATCCAACAAAAGTGGTGTCGGCATCTGGTGCACTGGATGTGATTGCATCTGAAACACAGAACTTCAGGTTTGTATCGGTACTCAAATTCCGAAACATGATTTCAGAGACGATTCTCTCTTTTTCATAAAGCCGATTTTTGACAATTCTGAGAATTCGTACCCTCCGGCCTTTTCGATGCAACTGTGGCACTGTGGACAGTCTTTCGTGTGCGCACTGATGTAATTCGCCGTTTCGCTGTCGTCCGCGCACTTGGTCATCCACTGTTTGATGGTTTCGCACGACGTCGGAGCATGGTAGTCGGCGCCGCATTTCACGCTGAAAGAAACGATGATTACTACTTTTCTGCTGAAGTCTTGGAGCAAAATCTCCTTACTAGGGATGCAGAACAGGCGCCTAAAATCTCCTGTTCTGCATCTCTACTCCTTACCAAAACGAAGTGTGGCATTGCTGGCAAGTGACCCGCTTCGGCTTCGCTTCCGTCGATCGCACAATCACCTGACAGTCGTTTCCGATGCAAAACTTGAGTTGTGGATGCGAATTGACCATGTCTCGCAGCAGAAATCGCTCGTATTTTAGCTTGGGCACGGGCGATTTGTCGAGAATGTTGACCACAAACTCGGACGGCGCGTACACTTCGCAGTCGGACTCCATGCACTCGATGCGTGCGGCGACGCCTTCCGACAGTCTCGATTCGACGTGGCTCTTCCAGCAGTGCTCGCAGAAGCAGTGTCCACAGCTCAGATGCGGCAGTTCGGGGTAGCCGTCCATCGCGCACACGGTGCAGTAGCCGGTCTGTGCGGACGCCGGACTCGCAGACACCCTCCGAGGGCCTTCCAATTTCGCATCCACGTGGCTTTTTCGCAGAAACTCGTGGCGATCCGTTCGAAACTGCTTCGCCACGTAGTCCACATCCCAATTGTTCGCCTGTAGCAGCAGCCTTCCGATCTTTTCGCTGATCGAAATCCTCGCCACCAGTGCTTTTACTCCGTCGTTGAATACCCGTTCGACTTGAAGAACTGAGAGACACTCGTAGTCGGCTTCTTCGGAATGCGTCGGCGCGACTGCCACGTCATCGGTCGCATCGACGTCCGCCTCGTTGTAATAGTCTTCTGGAAGGAGGAGAATATAACGAATTGAATTTCAAGTGCCAGCTATGCGCCTTTAAACTTGCGCCGATTTACGGGAGCTAGTACTTTTTACTAAGTACTTTTTTTTGTTTTTTGAGTAGATTTTAAGACTAATGTTTTTCGAGATAAATTAAACCGTACCATCTCCGTATCCGCCGTAATCATCGCCGGACGTGCAACTCATGTCCTCATCGTCCATTTGTGCCTGAAAATAAAGGTTTGGCGATGAAGTGAAATCGAAACGGATGTTGAAACAACTTTCGGTTGACCAACTTTGTCAAAAGGTTAAAAATAGGAAAGGGGTGGGGGGGGACAATTGTAAATCGTCTTCGTCTTTCTTTCTGCTTCAAAAAAGGGTAAAAAGGGGGAGGGCGGCGTTGAAAGCGTCAATCGGAAATTATTACAGCGTCGGCCGAGGCGCCCAACCTGCCGGGGCCTCTCTTTTTCTCGCCGTCTCTCCGGCGCCACACGCTCTCGCCTATTTGTTTCCTGCGCACGCGTTCCAAAAATTGGCAAAAAGAGTGATTTCCGGTCTTATCGCGGCGATGCCACGTCATAACGAGAGCGAGTGCGAGAAGAGAACAAGAAAGATTCTTGAGCCGAGATTAGTTGCCATGGAAACGAGGAGTCTCGGCAGCTTTTCAGCTTTTATCCCGGGGGCGAAGAAAAATGATGAAAATAATGAGAAAATGTGTGGGAAGATCGGCCTCTGCTCGTCGTTTTTGCGCACAAAAAAAGATATATACTGTAATTTGAGACTCTGGGTAATATGAGAAAATAGGGAGGAAGAGGAGGCGCGGGAAACTTTTGAGGAAGAAAGGACAGATAAAACCATAAAATATGTTTTCCGAACTGATCATGGCTGAAACGCAGACGAACAGACTGATCAGGCGCACTTTCTTCGTCGGAATTTAGATCAAAACGCATTTTTGAAGAGCTAATTTGCTTCAGGCGAAAACTCGACCACGGCCACCGCTTTAATATAGAGCGCACGACGAAAATTTCGACAAAAATTGCCAGATTTGCATAATTTCAAGAAAATATCGTGAACAACAAGTAGTTCAACGTCAAATTTGTACGTTTTTGACAAAATAATCATAAGTTCGTAACTCAAAACTCTCTTCGAATCAGAATCTTTCTCCCAATTGTATACACATAAATTTCGATCACGAGTAGTCACACCGGCCAGTGAGTGTACGAAACAGAGGAGGCGAGAGAAAGAGAGAGGGAAAAGAGTGGAGTGCGGGCCGGCGGGGGCGAATTGATCGGCGACGGAACGAGTGCGGTCGGCACGCGGAAAACGAAGAGAAACTTCGGCCATCGGGTTTCGAGTTCGTTGTTGCAAAACCTAGTCCTCGGGTGTTCTTTTTCGGCTGCAGAGCAATGCGCTCAATGCATTTCCGCGAAACGAGAGCGGAGATGCAGACGCGCAGAGACAATGTTTTGACAGCTCGCGGACGGGCAGAGCCGGAAAACCACGTGAGAATCGGTCGGGTGATGACGTTGCGAAAGGAGAGAGAAACCGAGGAGTACATCGAAATGAATTATTGATGGAGATTTGAGAGAAAAGTGCACAGAAAAGTGAAACTTCCGCTTCAATGACGCATTCGAACAAAACGGAAAAAACTTTATCACTGGGCATGGATTCACTGCTGTAATGAGGTCGTGGGGAAATAGATCGGTGTGGGAAACAAAGAAAAACAAACAAAAAAAGAACCGATCATAGTGAGATGGCGGTTATTAAATAAAATATATCAATTTTACAGAAAACATTTGGCAGCTATCCCGACTAATGTATTTTTTTGTGCGTAAAGAACACTTGCGTCACAAAGCTCATCGGCTTGTCGAATTGTCCGTTCAGCTCGATGTGCGCGTTTCCGGGCACAATCAGCTCGCGTTCGTACTCTCGATTGTCGAGGATGTAGAAACGACGTCCGGGCTCTCGGAGTTGGTGCATTTCGGTCGCTTCCACCTCCGCCTCGTTCGCCGTCAATCCCGCCTTCTGTCGGAGCAGTCTGAAAGGTTAAATGTAGAAGTGAACTCGATTTTTATTCCATTCTTACGTTAATTTGTTAATTAAAAAGTCTGCGTCACTTTCGACAAAATTGAATTTGGGCAGCGAGCACGATGCAGGCGTTTCGGTTCTCGAGCAATAGGTGACTTCGACGCGGAAGAGTACTATTATCAGACGGCCCTTTCGCTCGGACACCATGGTCTGATAGCTCTTGTGAGCATCCAATACTTGCTCGATCTGCGCTTTACTCTCCTCGTCAGCATACAGCTTCATCTCTTCGCTGACACCGTCGCGGAATCCACCGGACTGCGGATGGAAGAGACACGTGAGCACCTGTTGAGTGCCCTCGCCGAGATTGGAGACGTTGTTGCACGGAGAGGCGCGTATCATGTGCGGATAGGTTATGGCGGCTGAAAACAAAAAACGGTGAAACTGATTTGAATACCGTGAATACTGTAATAGAAGGGAACCCCAATATCGTTCATTCAAGACGATGTATCTTAACTACCTGAAGAGATCGAAAAGTAGTCAACTGGCAAAATCTGCGCAATGTCTTTCCGAATGATACCTTTACAAACAGTTGATATACATCGTCTTGAATGAACCGCATTGGGGTGCCTTCCTATTACAGTATTTACGGTGGTCTAGCCTACTATGAATCTCGACGTTTCCGCCGAATCTTTCAAACAGAATCGCGTTCGTACGATTTGCGACCGAAAATTCCAGCAAGTACGCCGTCTTCTTGATCATTTTGACGATATCTTGGTAGTAGTCGGACGTCTCCTCATCTCTCTCGTTCGGCGGTATTTTTGCAATCCAATCGGTCAGATAATCTTGCAGTCTGAACACCTTGTTCGTCGGCACATGCGTCGCCAACGCGTTAATATCGAGTCCTCCGGTCGACAGGTACCATCCGATGCGTAGCGGATTTCCGCACTGGACCGCGAGCAGGTGCATCACGTCGACACTGTACTCTCCGACCGTGTCCTCTTGAATTCCGATCGGCTTGCTGTACTTGAAGAAGATGGCCTTCTGACACTCGGCGCCCTCCTTCATACAATCGAAGAAGACGTCGTCGCGGAAGGGGCCGTCGTTTCCTTCGACGCCGTGCTGATTCTGTCCCGAGTCCTCAATGAATCGGAATTTATCGGGAAGAAACTGAATGAAGACTTCCATCCAATGACACTTCCGATGGCCTGGGCTGCAGAGCACTTGCTGAAAACGTATGGGTCCCATCTTTTTGGAGAATTCCGAAACAACAAGCGTTCTTCCGGACGGATCCTGCGACCAGAAACGGTGCCGGCAAAAGGCTATCATGCTGACGATGGCTGCGTACTTGTTGAGATCGTACTCGGCGGAAAAGGATGTCTCGAAAATGGTTTTGAATGTGGGGATATCGTCTCGAGTGTATGCCTTCGTTAGCATCTCCATCACGTTCATGAACACCTTGTCCCGGCCCCACTTCGGCTCCATCGCAGTTTTCACTCGGTTCCAGTTATCCTCGAACAGAATCTTCGCCTGAATTTCCGCAATTTCCATCTGAGTCATTGGCTTCTTTTCTTCCTTCTCAATCCTTTTCGGACTCCTCTTCTCGTCCTTGTAAAGTACCGCCGCGCAATCAAAGTTCTTCGAGAAGATCTCAAATTCAGCGTTGTCGTACCAGAATTCGTTGAGCATCTCGGCCGACTGACATCTTCTCTCTTTGACAAGGTTGAGGGACGTGCTGAAAGAGCGGCGTCGGCGGCAAGGTTCGCGGCTCTTCCGATCAATCTGCTCCAGTTGCGCCGTCACCTGCGCGTACTCCTCTTCGGCCTTCTGAAGCATGAGTTCTTCTTTCTTTCATTCATTCATTCGTATCAACGTACCTTCACTCTCTCCTGTCTCGCCCTCTCCTCCTGCTCCCACTTCTCCGTTTTCTCCTTCTCTTGTACTTCTGCATCGTCGAAACACGAGCTGGTGTCACTCTGCCACTTGATTTCCGCAGCCAAGTCGGGCCGTTCGTGGCTGGCCATCAGCCGCTCCGTCGTCGAATCCTCCGAATCCCTCGACGTCGGCCGTTGCGCAATCGTCCTTCTGAGGTCTTGCGGTCTCATCGGCTCCGTGTAATCTTTGAGACGAGTCGGAAAGTGTGACCTTTTGCCGGACGGCTGTGGCATGAGACTGTCGGTGACCGAGCTGCACGGCGGAGTGATCTTGTCGGGCGGATTCGTGCTGGAGACGTCGACGGACTTCTTCTGGATTCTCGGAGTGTTCATGTTGAGCGGATTGATTCCGGGAAGAGCCAGCACGGGCATTATGAGCTGAAACGAGGAAATTCTGAAGGAAAAAGTGAGACTATATGAATTTTTGATTGAAAATCTCGCGGCTGGAAGCGAAAGAAGCAAAAACAATCTTGTCACTGTAAAATTTAGCGGCGGCAATTGGAATTTATGTTATGTGTGGGCGATGCGGTCGCCGACAGCAGTGTGTACAGTCGCTGTCCGTGGGTTACGGTCGAACAAGTTTCGCTCATCTCGAGCCCGCCGCATGTTGCTCACTTACCCATTTTTGAGGCTTCTTCGTCAGCATTATTCGACGACTGCCTGTTGGCTATTAAACGATAATATGGATGACGGTCTGTCTGCGCACAAAACAGATAACATGTGCCGTCCGTTCTGTGTTGTGCGGTCAATTTTGAGCGCGCGCGCGCAAAAATGCAAATGGTCCGTGTGAGCCGCGGGCCTACACCAAATTGGAACATTTTGCGGTTTCATTTCCATTCGGAAACGACTGACCTCTACTTACCGGCTGACCGTGTGTATTTAACCGAAGAGGTGCGTGATCGGAAGACACTTTCGAACTCATATCGTCCACGCTCTGAATATATATTGTTGTGTATTTACGTGACCTTTTGACGTGGTTACTGAGTGTTCTCATAATCGAGAGTTCACTTTGTGATACTCGTCAGTTCTTAATAAACTCTCTAAATAGAAGTCCGAGCTTCCTCAAAGAGTCGTCCCTACGTACACAACATATATACATATTTCGGGCGGATTTTTGAAGATAAACCGTCTGAAATATATTTTTTGCCGGAAAATTCCGATCTACAGTATCCTCTTCAAACTTAAAGGCGCAGAACTACAGCTCGCGGCGCTGGCTTGAAAAGTATCGCTCCGTAGTCGCACACTCTGACGAAAGCATAATATGACGGTTACGGTTGACGACCAAAAAGCGCCAACATGTCGGCTTCATTCTTATCAAACTCAAACTCAAACTTACTTTCGAAACTCTGCAGGACGGGCCCTCGTCTGAGCTTACTCGAACCTTCTTCGGAATTCTGAAAGAGCAGTCGCTCATCGACGCCTTCGCGCCCTCCTTCTGCTGTCTCCGCTCCGTTTCCTCGTTCTCGTCCGATCCGCTGTCCTCCATCTTCCTTTTCTTCCGCTTCTCCTCTTTCTTCCGCTTCTTCCGTAGGATGTCTTCCGGATCTTCCGGCGTCAGAAGCCGTTGTCTCTCTCCTTGACGCTCCTTCTTCCGCTTCGCCTGCTCGTTTATCTGCGCGAGCCGATCGTTCCGCTTCTCTTTCTTCTCCTTTTCCGTCCTTTTCTCATCTTTCTCCGCCATCTTCCTCTTTTCTATTTCATATCTTGACCGAAGATATATTTCCGGATCGATATCCATTTCATTTGTGAGATTGAGTTGTCTCGCTACAAGAGCACTGTAAGTTTTCTCCAGTGTCTCGTACTTATTCTCCAGGTTCTTCCTCTCTTTAAATTTTGTGAGCTCGATATTGTCTTTGAGGTTCTCCTCGGGTTCCCATGTTCGATCTTCGAAACCGTAGCCCTCCCATATCACCTGAATAAACCGTTTTTTTCTGTTTTCGGAGCAACTCAAAAGAAGCGCCTACCAAATATGCCCATTTAGAGTGCTGGTCGTCTCCATTTTCGATCGACTCCGGCGTGAATTTGGCCTCCCCGTCGATTACTTTAGTCACCAACTCATCAAAAAGACACCGATCGATGATTTTGTGCACTATAAACTCTTCCATCTGCAAGTAAACCAAAGTTTACAGTAGCGAGCGAATTGTGGGCAGTAACGAAGAAAAGTGATAAGAAAAGAAGGAAACGGCGGAGTTATGGAATCAAAACCCTCTTTGGATCAGAAAATCTGATAGGTCTCAAACTTGGGCCCATTTGTCTAGTACCTAACTAGGCACTTAACAAGATTTTAAGCGAATCGAAAAGTAACTTTTGCTGTCGACTTCTGAACTTCAAGAAATGCTCTGAAATTCTCACTCTTCAGGCTTAGTTTTGATACTTTTTTTTTGAGTGCAAAAGCTAGTCTGAAAAAATGTTTCAGAGTTTCAGAAAGCGTCAGAAAAATTGTAGAATACGGTTCGAATCCTTAAGCCGTATTTCGAGTGGTCTCCGGAAAACAAGCGTGAGGCAAATCATCCGATATTAATCTGCTCGGATTGACACTAACTAATGAGAGGTGTGAACTTCACACTGTGAAGCACGACATAGCGAAAAGGGAAAGTGTCAGCCTAGAAAGAAGCGTTTAAACTTCGCATCACCACAACGCTGCTTCTGAGTCGCTACGAAACAGTGAGCGCTACTGAGTGTGCGAAAAAAAGAAAAAGAATTGGAGGACGAGAGAAAATATTGTTTTTCTTCTCTTTTTTGCCAGACGGCCAGCTATCTGTCCGAGGTCATAACTTATAGGACCGGGCACGAGGATTTAGAGTGGACCAATCGATTGAAGATCATGCTATTGTAAAACTGAGAGAGAGAGGACCCCGAACATTTGTGTAAAATTGACATTAAAAAAGATATGTAGAAAAGTACAGAAAAGCAAAAATTGGAAGTTATGTTTAATTGAACAAGATAATGCGAATCAAGGACAACATCGTTGGCACGAAAGTTTGAATTTTTGTATGTATTAGCGATGGGGCAAACTTGCTGAGCAGAAGCCACCGATGGGAGGAAAAGAGAAATATTGACCACAATCTGGAAGCGGTGACAGATTGGTAAGTACTCAAAACACCAATTTGGAGGACAAGAAGCGACAAAGTTTATATAGTTTTGTCAATTTCCTCTTCTTTTCACTCTTTCTTTTCCAAGGACAAAACAGTGTTAATAAAAAGAGCATTGAAATAATTAAAAACAGGGGGGTTTGCTGCTAAAAACCGGGGAAAAGGGTAAGAGAGATTTGAAGAAAGAAACAGGAAGAGATCAAAGTTCTACGTGACTAAATTAGCATAATCATCGACATAATGTTGAGCTCGTAAATATCATGAAAAATAAATATTTAGACGAAGCGAAATATATCCTAATCTACATGCGAAGGCTAAAATAGAGACAAAAAGACAATAAGCGTTCAAATTGTTCAGTTTTTTGTATTATAAAACAGGAAATTCGGTGGGATCACCAGACTTGGGTCTCGCGCACTTCACTGATTATGACGCTGGCTTGTTGGAGAGCCTGAAAATACCACAAACTTAGCTGAAACTTTAAATATTTTATAAATACCTTCATGGTCTCGAGAGTATCCCTCCGTCTCTGTGCCATGTCTTCGGTCTCGGCTAGCAAATCGTCCATCTCATCCGGTTTGTACAACTGACGAACAAGTTCCGATTGCAGATTATCCTGGAAATTATCAGAATTTACATTCAAACTATCAAAATGAAATGCGTACTCTGACAAAGTTGACGAGCAGAGCCATAATAGCTTTCGGCACACTGTCCTGAATGTTTTTGCGGACGATAATGAAATAGTTCCGAATGAGACGTTCGATGATGGCGACGTCCCTCTGCTCGCGGCTCGTCAGCTTCCTTCCCAATTGAGTCTCCGGCACTTCCGGCAGGAAATTCGCGGATTGCTCTGAAACTTTTACGAATTGCAGGGGCAGAAGCCTATTCTAAGTCCTACTCTCTTGCGGAGAAGCCTTGTTGTTGCTCGTCGCATTCCCAAACAGTCCCAGGAATCCATTAGAGGCTCTCTGATTCTGTTGTTGTTGCTGTTGGAGCACTGAATTCAGGTCCACTCCGTTCACACCTTGTGCCGGGGCAATTTGCTGTAACTGAAGAAGATTCAGCTTTATTCGAGCACAACAAGGTTTATACCTGTTCTCCGTGCGCACTGACCGCCCGTTCGCCAGTCGAAGCATTTCGGTGCCTCGTGCGAGCATGCCGGTCGTCTAAAGAGAGCTCCTCCTTGAGAAGAGTCACCAGATTGGCCTCTGTGAATTCTGGATGTTTCGTGTTGATGTAGGCGAGTTCGATGGCCACCAGGTTCTCGACCAACTCGTTCGTCGGCTTCAATCTCTCCTTCAGCACCCCGCTGACCACCTCGTTGATTTTATCGTAAAGCCGCGGGAATCGGATCATCTCCTGTTGGGTCGTGAATCCGCAATGCTGCACCATTCTCTGCATCTCCTCGTGCACGAGTTCCACACATCTCAACGACGGTTCTTCGAGTCTTTGGATCTGTCGTTTGACGAGTAACTCAAAAGAGACTTCCGGAACGAAAAGGGCGGGGCGAGGGCCGGTCGCGTTTCTTATCGCAGTCAAAATGTCCAATTGAGTGAGATTTTCCAGCGGGTTCACCAATTCCAGCGACTTTCCGAACGTGTCGTGGAAGATGTAGCAGATGCGTGCTCCTCCGCACAATTCGGTCGTTTCGATGTTGCGTGAGGTTCCTTCGATGGTCGAGGTGTAGGCGGTGGCGAATCGAGTGATGATCTGCAGGAGAGTTCGGTTCTTGTCCTCGACGGGCTCTCCGAAGGCGACAAGATCCGATTGGCACTGTGCATTCATTATTGAGACACGGGCTTTGAGCGCTGGAAGACAGTTGCGGATGTGGTGCATAAGGAGCTGAAAAAAAGGAATTAGGTTAGAATCCAAACATTTTTTACCATGTTCAACCGCTTCGCCAAGTAATGAGTACCATTTCTGCTCGCCAATGTCGGATACTTCTTCTGAAGGTAGCTCTGCTCGTCCTTCACTGCATCCGTGATCGCCTTGTTGTCCAGAATAGCCTGTTGCGATCGGTTGACGACTCCGATGATGCCCAGCTTGACGGGAATCACTTTTCCCATCAAAACGTCCATCGCATCGGTGCCCTGATCCATCAGGTCCAGTTTCGTGAGCACTGCGAGTGTTCGCTGGCCGCCAAAGTCCACTTCTCTCGCCAGTTTTATTGGTTCGGAGGTGGCAAAGTCCTGGTTAGCGGGGGTGACTGCGAGAATAATCGAGGAGGGGTTGGAGATGTACAGGAGGATCATGTCTCTTATCTGTTCTTCGATGTTCGCCGGCTGGTCTCCGACCGGGATCTTTGTGATTCCGGGAAGATCGACGAGCGAGAGGGAAACGACACGATGCGAGTATATTTTCAGACTGATCGGCAGCAGCGAGATGCCCTTGTTCACGCCTGTCACTCGGTCCGTCTCGTCTTCGATTTCCTTCCGAACCAGGTCGAAATCTGTGAACACTTTCGATCCGGTGTGCTCGAACATTGCCCAGTCGTCTGTGAGTAGTGTTCCGTTCGACCGCCGTCGTTTCGTCTCGTCGTCCGGTGCCACATGGTTCAGCTGGAGGATCAGAGGCCTTCTGGTGACGATACCGGTTCCACGTGGCAGGAAATCGCGGCCGACGAGGTTTTCGATAACTGACGACTTTCCGGCACTCTGCGATCCGACGACGACGATCTGTGGCAGCTGAATCTGATCCTCTTTGCGTCCGAGAGTGGCGAAAACGTCTTGAAGTTTGTTGACGACTGGAATGAGATTTTCCATCTGAAACATGAAAGAAATTAATTTGAAATGTCGAAATGTACAAGAGTTTAGAAATAGCAACAGCAAACAGCCAAAATTTGCCCTTGGGGTCAGAGAAAAGTAGGAAGACAGAGATTTGATGCAATTTTTGCGCCAACGAGAAACCGAGTGATAACAAGTGATAAAAAAGTCAGCAGGCGGCGGGAGCGTACTTGACCTTCGATTGATTGAAACGAACACTCGCACACGGCCGTTTTATATCATCTTTTCTCTATGTTTATCAGCGCTTTGGTTACTCATCTTCTAAATGTTAAAATTTGAAACTCTGAAATTCGTTTGATAAACAGAACCGTTTTGCATCAATGTGCGTAGGTAACACTTCAGAACGATTAAGAAATGTAAAATCTCAAAGATCAGTTTGAAAAGTGAGTGGAAAAGATTCAACAACTCGGGGAAACTTGGTGACATCCGTCTGTTATCCGATATTTCCGACTCTCGCGAGCTTGTGCAAACACCATCACGTTCGCATTGCAGACTTGGCATCGAACCACACGCCAATTACCCGATCTCGTGCCGATTCTCGGTGATTTTCTGGCTTCTCATTCACTCAAATTCTCAAGTTCTCTGCGATAAACTTCAAAATGGCTTTGCACGGCAGACTTTTCCGAACTGTTGTATACAATGCAGCCAGCGACGGAAAACTGGAGAGAATCATGGTGAGTCAATGATGTTTCTGAATTTCGAATGAAAACATGTGTATTCTCGCTGCAATCTTGCCTGTTTTTCAGGTTTTCACCGAAAATCAGCGAGCCAACGCCGCCTGGCTCCACGAGTGTTTGAACGCAGATTTCAGTGATCAATATCCGCTGGTGATTGCCGCGCGGAAAGGTCACACGGCGGTTGTCGATTACTTGGCAAGTCCCTGGAATTTATAACTCCTCAATTTCCTTTTCAGCTTGACTTGGGAGCCGATCCATCTGTTCGAGGCATTGTCGAGTTTGACAATGATAATATTCGTGAGTGAAAAACCTTTTCATCTTCATTTTCAATCGATTGAATTCACAGAAGGAACGCCTCCCTTATGGGCTGCTGCAGCTGCCGGACACCTCGACGTGAGTATTTGTGCCTGCTCGCTCAAAAATGCATAGTTTTGTGTTCAGATCGTCAAGCTTTTGGTCGAAAAAGCGAATGCAGACGTGAATCAGACGACGAACACGCAGAGTACGCCGTTGCGAGGTGCCTGCTACGACGGACACGTCGATATTGGTTAGTTTTTATAAAAATCTATCTAAACTCGAGCGGTTTTCAGTGGAATATCTACTGGAAGCAGGCGCAAATCCGCACATCCCGAACAGACACGGCCACACTTGTCTCATGATCGCCGCCTATCGGAATAAGCCACTGGTGATCTGTCAACTTTTAGATCACGGAATCGATGTAAATACACAAACTGAAAAAGGTAATTCTGAAAGTACATTCATCTCATTTCTTAAATCCAATCTGCTGAAGGAAACTCGGCACTGCACGATGCGGCCGAGAGCGGAAACGTGGAAGTTGTGAATCTTTTGCTAAAGGCCGGAGCCAATATGCTCCCCGACGTCCATGGAGTCAATCCGCTGATATGTGCCGCACAGAGTGGATGTGCAGAAGTAAGGAGCTCTCAAGTTTAGGCCAATTCTTATAAAAATTTCAAATGCAGGTAGTAAACGTCCTCTCCGCGAGTGTAAAATGTGCAATCAGCCGTCGGGATGCTCTGAAATTGCTCGGAAGCACTTTGCTGGACAAGAAGATGGACGCGATGTCGGCGATGATGTGCTGGCGGAAAGCGATGGACGTACCGCTGAACAAGAACGAGCAGAAAGTGGTGAGCACGGCGACTATCATCGTTTTAGCGCAAAATTCAAAATGTTTACCCAATTTTTCATTATTTTTTTTCGTCGAAAACGACCAAAATTCTGCACAATGTGCTTGCATAAATCTGTGAAACGAATCATTGCACACATTTTGGGTCTCAAAGATTTCAAAAATGGGAAAAAAAGTGAATCGATTTTGAGTTTTCTCTGTTCCAGGTTCGTGAAATGGAAACTTTCTGCGAGGTGAAGCCGGTTTACGACAATCTGCGAGAGATTCAGCACGATTATGACGTGGAAATGATCGACGGAAATCTGGAGGCTCAAAGAATGCAGGTAAATGGTCCCTCGTCCTCATTTTCTTCTTTTTATTTTTGTCGGCCTCTTTTAGCACCAATTCGCGGTGGTGGATGAGTGGCGGGAGCGTAAATTGACCGGAAAACACACCTCCCGTCTAATTGGTCCCCCCTTTTTTTCTCGCGGCTGTTGTTGTCTTTTCGGCGCGCCTTTCGGGTGATGATTGTGTCGGAAGTGGCCCCTTTTCCGAGTGATGTTCCGCGTGCACATGAATTGGAATGAGTATGAGCCAGTGGGGCAAAAGAGCACGCGAGCCCAAGAGACGCGGAGACTAATGAGTGTGACACGCAACAATTCGAAGCGAGATGTCAGTTGATATATGACAATGAGCACACTCTCACTCGCGGCTCACTTTGACTCGGAACATTCGCAAAACGAGAAGATTTACGATGATAAAGTGTGGCGGCCGGACACTAGCCAATTGTGTTGCATAACGGATATGGGTGTGTAAAGCGGCACCGCTCTTTGTGCCAACGCTTTTGGATTTACCGCTTACTAGGAGACAGAAAAAGTTGGTCCCTCTGAAAAAGTAGATACTTTATTTCCCACCTGTCAGCCCTCATTAGTCACGGTGACCGTCGTATCTGTCCGTTTGATTTGTGGCCCTTACGTCACTCGTTCAAGAGCCATCAAGGCCATAAGAGGTCCTGAAAGGTATATGTATGCGTAATCTGTCTTTTGGCATTCCTAATCAAACAATTCGGATATCTGATCGGACCTGTTCTGATCCTTGAACTTGAAGAGCAGAGCACAGCCGACCGGCGGGCTCCAGAGCAAGAAGTAGAGTAGCATAGATTAATGTCCAGATTTCTAGAATTTCCTTAAGTGGCAGCAATCTGGACCGGAGTTTCATACACAAGACTAGCGGTTTCTTATTTTACCGGCTTACTCTAATTTTTCAGTCTTTGATAATCCGCGAACGAATCCTCGGCGGCGCGCACTCGGACGTCCACTATTATCTCCGTTTCCGCGGCGCCGTCTACTGTGACATGGGACAGATGGACAAGTGCTACGCCCTTTGGAAACACGCCCTCGAGCTCCAACAAAAGTAGTTTCCTTTCTTTCACTTCTCCCTTTTCTCATTCCTCCTATTTCCAGACACTTTTCTCCGCTCCACCACGGCTCCATCACCACTCTCCAATCGTTCCAAGACACGTTCGTAATGACACTCAACGACCACGTCATCGATCATCGCGCGGACCGTTCGCTCCGTGTGAAGCCGTCTCTCGTTGAGTACGTCTTCAACAGTGTCTGCCATGAACTCGAGCGAGTGCAAGCATGGGGAAACCGGCCGATCCTTGAAGACACCGAATGCTGTGGACACGACAATTGCGCGCACGTATCCGAAGAGGGAGAGATCAAGAAACTGGTTCTGGTGGCCGTGGAACTAGTCAATGTGCTCGACAGACTCTCCCTTCCGTCTCCTGGCGGCGAAGAGGAAGCCAAGGAGGAGAATGTGAAGCTGAACCTCGAAAGATTAGTAACGATCTGCGAGGCACTGCGCGTGCCGCTCCTCCATTACGCCCTCGAGGAAAAGTCCGCCGAAAACCCGGACATGCTGGGACTCCCGAAAGCCGCAGTTCTTCAGCAGCTCCTCGACATGCGCATCGACGTGAACGCGGCCGATCGCGACGGAAACACCCCGTTGCACATCTTGCTCCGCGCCAGAAAACTCCGAAGGAGTCTGCTGAGAGCTCTGCTGAGCCGTGGCGCGTGGCTGTACGCGCGGAACAAAGAGGGAGTTGTGGTTATGGAGGAGATGCGAAGAATGGGCAGGATGGACGGCTGGAACATGTCCGGTACCAGATTAGGTGAGCTTGGAAAATGTTTCTTGCTTATTAACTGCTCGTTTTGTCTGCATGCTCTACTTTTCCGTTCCTGTCCGTAACGTACGTTTATATCGAGAATTTTCCCATTACTAATATATTCTCGCACGCCGTTAACTCGTGTAATCAACTTACTTTGAGCTCGTTCCCATGTGTACTCGCGGACGTTCGAAATCCGTCGAACTAATCACTCTCAATTATACATTTCTACTCGCACCCCGTTTTGTGTTCAATGAGATTAAGCGGTGGCCGCCCACTTTGCACCCGGCACAAAGGTACTCGATGATATCCATTTACTTTTCATTTGCAGGCCGCTACATAACTTTGGCCGGAATAACGGCGAACGCGATGCGCTCCAAGTACGAAGGAATGTTCGACGGCACCGAGGAACTCGTGCCGCGAGACATTCGCCGTTTCTACATGGCACACTGAATTAGAAGACATAATTTGCACCCTTTCTCTATTTGATCGCCACGTTTTCACATTTTTTGTCATACCATTAGCCCATGTCTTTGAATAGCTCAGAAAACAGTTCGTACCGGTAGATCCGCTCACCCGTCCTTTCCGAGTGTAATAAATCCATGTATTTAAAGAGGGAATGCTCGGAAGAGCAGATAATCATCTCATCTCATAAGTTTATGAGGCCCCAGAGATTTGGGACCACAAGTCGCGGATTTTTAGTAGTTTAGGGTTGTTGGTTTCAAGTTTGTGGCACTTGAAGTCAATTTCCGGATTAACGGTGTTTACGGAACCCTTAACCGAACTATTCCCTTTCAAAATGTGCATAATTAGCATAGAATTACAGTTTCTCAGTTACCAATCAATCGAAAACTCACGATTTTATTAGAATTTACCCATTTTTTGACCGAAACTGGTAGAGAGTTAGGCGGAAACTTCCGAAAGTTCTATGAAGTTCCTCTTGCCGATTTTGACGTTCTTCCCGTATTCTTGAGATGATTTCCGTCATTTAAAGCAAAAACTGGAGTCTGATTTTTCAAGGCTGGAGGAGGATAGTTGTCAAAAAATGTTGGAAGAACCCAGCTAAAATATGATAAAACATCTTCGAAACTGGAATATTTCTAGAATAACAACGGCTTTTTCCTCATTATTATCCGTTCTTTCACTCTTCAATCACCTGAAGAAGCCTTCTCTCTCTCTCTCTCTCTTTTTCTCTCTTTCACCTGAAGAGATGAAAAGTGGGCGGAGTCTGTGGGAAGAAGCCCACCAGGTGATAGAAGATTGACATTTTGTCCCCCCGGACGAGAAGGTTTTTGGGGAAAAACGGCCGGGAGGACTGGAAGAAGTATGAAAGTGTTTATGTTTGTTTCTCCTCTCTTTCTCCTTCTTCTTTTCCCATTTCTTGCATTATTTACACCAGAAAGCCGACCTCCGCCTCTAATTTCCGCCCGGCTACTCGGTACGAATCAACTGATAAACACTGATAACAGACCCCCTTCCTTTCCTTTCCTTTTCCCGTTTTACGTTCAACTTAATGACCGAGCGTATCGAAATTGTCCCTTTGGTGAGGAAAAGGAGGGGCGGGGAGGGATGGAAATGCACCGAGAATTGATAGGAAATCGAATCAGTCGTCTGCGCTACGAGCATTTTCAACCGAAACAACAATATTCGCGTTTTTTTTGAGAGGAAAAGTGCATAGACCCTTGCTATTTCCAAACAGTGTGTACCGAGTCCAATGGAGCGCATTTACTGACTGGGGAAGTGGTCGAGACCTACACGGAATCCTACCTGATCTGTCGAACCGCGCCGTTTTGTGCTCTTCGATGCGCACAAACCTTGTCACTAATACAGTAACCTTATCTATCACCAGACCTCCTCGTTTTGTTATGCAAATTCCAAGTTCGCTCGGCCAGGCGGCATCTCTTTCTGTGCTCATTCTTCTCGTGTGAACCGTCCACGTTCTACTGACCAACTCAATAATTTTTGTTTCACAAATAAATAATAGCTGTACACTCCGATATTCAAGGCAATAAATTTAAATTCGACCGTAAAGATATCAGAAAGTTGTCAACTAGCATCAAGATCATCAAGAAATCTTGTACCCTTTCTCAGTTGACCACTTTTTGATATCTCTACAAAGAGCTGAGATAGGGACGGTTTTATGTACGGTACGCCTGAATCACTCACGACATTCGCGAAGGCAGACTCATTTTGAGCTGTAAATGAACTTTCAAATGCACTGATTTTCGAGAACTCTGTTCTTTAAAGTTCTTTAAATCTGTAATATTTATGTGATTCACTGTTGCGAGAATAGACCATTACACAGTTATATCAATTCATTTCACAGGGGAAGGTTGTGACCCCCCCTCAACTTGGAAAATTCTGAAAAAAATTCTCAACAATCATAAAAATTCTGAATAGCACGCTCCTCAAATTTTTTCCGAATTAGGCTGAATTTTTCGGATTTTCTAGAACGTTCCAAAGTGCTTTTGAAGTGCTTTTTTGTATTTTTTTATTTGAATTTTATTCTGCTTATCCTAAACTTGCTGAAAAAGTGAAAAAGCCAAAAATTGAGAATTTTTTCAGAATTTTCCAAGTTCGGGGGGTCACAACCTTCCCTTGTCAATTTCTAACAATTTAGAATTACCCGTTATTCCCGTCTGAGAACGTTCGATTCCCCCATTTTTTCCGTTCCCGGTCCCGTCGGTCATCAAGATCATTAGCCGTGGCCGGGGGGGTCCTTTTGCCTTCCGAAACATCTGGTTTTTATTACAAGATCCGCTTCTCCTTCTTCTTCTTGTTCTGTCCGTTTTCTTTTTATATTCCGCCCCGCACATTTCGTGCCCTACAACTTTTTTTGCGATTAGAGATGGAGGTGGACGTGCCGGACGAGGAGCCGTCGGTCCCCAACGATTCGGCGTACAGTGACTACTTTCTCGACTACAAATCAAGTGAGTTTGCATTTGGATTAGTCGCATTGTTGTAATAGGGGTCAATGGGAAGCAGTTTGGCACTTTGTTAGCATGCCACTGAAGGACCACAGGGGGTAGGGGTAAACAGGAAAACGAGCAGAGATCTGTTGGGCGTCAATGCGAGACAGGGTGTCACTTTTTTCTCGATTCTACCCTTCCTATTGTGATCTTGATATTGTAGACATCAAGTTTCAGTGCTTCACTGTTCCAACGCGTTCACAAAGTTTAACATTCAGAATGTGCTTGGATGTTACCCTGGCTCGAAATTTCTAAACAGTTTCACCGTGTTCCCAACTGTTCCTTTGCTATTTTTCGGAAGTTTGTTCTTCTTCGGAGAAACTGCGAAAATTTTGGTAGTTTTCTGTATCTTTCACTGAAAATCTGGCAAATGATACTAAAAGTTCAAAGGCCTCTGTTTCGCAATGTCTTAAACTTGGACGGTCTCGTCGGCTGACCACTCGAATTAGCTTCCCGGTTCGATTTCTTGTCATTTAAAAAGATACAATATCAGTTTCACATGGTCCCTAACTCGACACATTTCTTAACCTAAAGTCATTTCTGGGAAGTCCCTCCTTCGTTCAGCTCTTTCTCGCCCTTTTCACAAATCTCCTCTCCTCTTCCGTCGCGCAAGGTGTCATTGTTCTCTGAGACACACGTGCCGCCACTTAATCCCCTCCACCAGTTGGTCGGTCCCTTCCATTCACACCCATCGCCCTCACCTTGACGAACCACCGCCTCGAGAGCGTCCGTTTGCCGCCAAATGATGTTGTTGTAACATTTCCTTTGAGAACGAATGAGAATGATGATGATGACGATCACCGGCGGTTTCTTTTTTGATTGAGCACAAATACAGGGGGGGAGGGGGCAAATGTCACTGGTAGTCAGTGTTTTTGCATTGTTAAACTTTGAGCGAGAGAGGAGGTCACGACAGGTAGGAAGGAAGCGGGAGAAGGAGTGATAGTACAACACAAATGTTATTGCAAGACGGATAAGTTTATGGCCGGCAAGTTGTAAACGAGCGAGATAAAGTGATATTGGGAATGAATGAGACAGAGGTTAATGGAATATATATCAGCTGTCGACGGGTTGACTACGGTATTACAAGTGCAAGTAGTATGTAGTACTACTGTTTCAGTAACTTCAGTAAGATGTGGATAAAAGAGAATATTGATATCACTTCATGGATCTTGAACGTTCTCCAAAGAGAAAGTCACTTGTTTACTGTTTGGTCACTTTTGCTGTTTTTTTAAATGAAATTTAATAAAACAAACTGAAATGCAGACAACTCTCTTAGACGTCTGAATAGTTCCAATTTGGAACTTCCAATAGAAATGATCGCGTCGAAACACAAATCTACCGAAACCCATTGTTGTATCTCAGCTGCCGGTAGAGATATCAAAAAGTTGTCAACTGAAAAATTGCTCATGAAGATATTGTGCATATTTTATCAGTTGATCACTTTTTGATATCTCAACCGACAACTGAGATACATTGGCGTACAGTTTCACCAATCTTCTCGAACAATACGCTTTCTTTTCTTCCATCTCAAATGTTTATGTCGTCTTCCTCACAGCCGCAAGCATTGTGGTCCCTCAAGAAAACAAAAATGAACCTCTCTCTCTCTCTCCTTCCACTCTCAAAATCACGTTTCTGCGTCTCCTCCGCCCACAGTGGTCCCTCAAAATCGCGAGCAGTTGGTTTAGTTTGGAGGGTGTGATTTTTATGATGAATCGGCGGTTTTCTGGCTCAAACGTGTGGCAATTGGTGAGTGGAGCTGGAAAAACGTCATGGGGAGAGGCAAGGAAGTGTAAAATTATTAGTGGAAGAAGAGGCGGAAGAAGTATCAATGGGGGACCACATGAAAAATGAGCACACTTCAAAGAATTGGTACTGAGTACGGTAACATTGACTTGAGGCGCGTTCTGAAACAGGGAACAGAACTTTTAGAATCGTAATCTAGATTTGAGGGGTTACTAGTCACTCGGCAATAAGGATTGGATTGGGTCTCGCCACGAAAACAGTTCTTACTGGTGGTTGGGTAATAGTGACTACACACTGTTATTGCTCATGAATTGGTAGATTGATAGTTGTCGCAGTTGAGAAACGGAAAATTTGGTTGGGGTCTCGCAACGAGACCCCATACTGTAGGCCTTCCGTTACGAGACCCTTTCTCCGACGCTGACAAAACCAGTGCCTTCCCTAGCAACGCCAGACACATGAGCAAGTGTTGAAACAGAAATGTGAGCAGCGCGAGCGAGTCACAAATAATTACCGTTCCGTACCGTTCACATAATCATCATCATCGGGACAATACGACATAAATAAGAGAGATGCCTCGGCCACAGACCGCAGCAGCTGTTGTTGCTTATTCGAATTACACCCCCCTTTGCTTCGTTTGCTTCCTTATACCCTCCAATCCAACAATCCGTTCTAATATGGCATGACACATTGGCCCTATCACCGATAGGTTTCCCTCTGATTTCCCTCTGATTTCCCTCTGATTTCCCTCATTTCTTCCCCCTCTTCTTTTGCCTTCTGTCATTTGACCTTCTTCGTCGTCACTTTTATTGTTTATCGAAGGCATGATGTGTGTCCTTTTGGAAAGAGCCACGCCAACAGCACCGAGACACGTTTATTACTCGCATTTTATTAGTTGGATTTCGAAAAAAAACACACACAGGGAACGGCTGGCTGGGAAAGCGATTCGAAAAAGTGATTGGACGGCAAGAGAAAAAGAACGAGGCGCGCACTTTTACTGTTTCCAAATGACGACATGTTCGAGGTTGTACCACAAAAAAAAACAATATCTAGGTGTCCTTTTGATCTAGAAACTTCTATTCATCACTGCTTCATGAGGTTTGGAAGTGAACAAAGTTAGTGATGGAAGTACTAGTAGGGTTGCATCTAGATCAATTTTCCTTATTTCCCTGCTTCAAGTAGTCTGTATGATCACTTCTCAATGGACAATAGCTAGATGACAATCAGAACAAATGGATTCCTGTTTCATGATCTTTTCCATGACACTTTGCTCTCTAATTTTCCACTGTAAACGTGGCCTAACTTTTCAAACTCGGCCCCGAGGTCGCTAAATTTGCACTGCAAAAAGAGTTTCTCCACTCTAAAATAGTACCGTTTCAAGAACTTCCCAAGAGAAATTCAGATTTTCATCCAAATTCCTGTATCGAATCGCCAATCAATCTATTCTGGAACACTACTGTTTCAATAGGGCCACATGGTTGAACGCTCATTTTGACAATTCGATGGTTGTCCAATTATGTTCTCTCAAGTTATCAGTTATCCTCTAGACGTTATTGTTTCATCAAGTACTTAACTATTTGCTCCAAACTTTTCAGTTTCAACACGTCCTTTTCAATTCGCTGCTCCAACTTTTCACAGTTCACTCCTTTTGATCACCTCAACATTCCTATTCTCCATTTCAAAGACGATTTCACCTATTTTACACATGTCTTCTTCTTTCTCTTCCTCTTCTTGTCCTTCCGGTCGTAACCATATACGTAATACATCTTGAATAAACACACCAACTGGCCCGCCAATCCACAACGACCTTCACAAAGAGAGAGAGAGAGGGAAGAAGAAGAAGAAGAAGAAGAAGAAGAAGAAGAAAGCAACATGTTCGATACGGTTGCCACGTCTTCTTAAAACATCTGTCGTCGGCCCATCAGAATCCGCCCGTTTTCGATTGAAATCTTTGGAATGAGAAAGAGAAAGAGAAAGAAGAACAAACAGAAAGCCCATTGAACTGAATATATATCTCTGTTTTTTGTTCCCCATCCTTTTTCGGCACTTTTCAATCGTCTCTGCGTCTCCGCGACGCCCTGCTGATCTCTCGGACCGTCCGGTAAACGCTTTCAATATCTCATTACCGCACCACACTTTACGAGCGTGACTAATCGCCCGCCACTGTTCCCTTTTCTGCCTTTTCCTAGCGGTTTTTCGCCGGGGCCGGGTCTTGAAACGAACATTTCGTGGCGAGACCCACTTTTGAGTTGTTAAAGATTTGATGGAACTGGAAAAGTTACAGTTTCATTAGCCTATCACATTTTTAACGTGTTTTCCAATGAACACTTCGTTCCTTTTGTTCTATTCGCCCATTTCTTTTTCCTCCAACTTTCATAGGAGCAAAGAAAAAGTTGGCAGCAGCTAGATTGTAGCGTAGATATCGGACCCATTCCCCGTTAATTTCATTTTCTTCTCGCCACTTTTTCGCACTCCAATTCTTTGTTTTTTTGAAAACATTTCGGTTGTTTTTGTTTCTGTTTCAAGTTGAAGATAAGTTCTAGCTTCAACATTCACACTGCTGCTTTGTCAAGAGTTGGATAATTGGGATGTATCTTTTCCGTACTCTGGTCCCAGTGGTTCATAGATCTGACCATAAGAAACAACTTGTTCAGGTTCCAGCGAAACGAGACATTGGGGGACTTCCATTGCATGATTATCAATTCAATTTCTAGCTCCAATCATATGCCCACCATGAAACAGTAATCTAAGCCGCCCTCGCCCTCCATGAAACCTTTTCTGACACCTGTCTGCAAAAAAGAAGACACCATCTGTCAGTTACCTCCTCCTAGACTATTATTAAACTCCCCCCACCCTTCACTTCTCTCATATTGTACGCTTCTTTTCCTCTTTTTCCATTTTATCCGTCCCCAAAAAGACCGCTACCACGCAATTAGAAAAGGAATAATCCGCTTACCACCACTACGTCATGGCCTCCCAATAAAAAGTGGGTAATAAGCGGCAAGATCAGAAGGAGTGAAAAGGGGAAATGACGTGCCACGTCATTTTGTACCTGGGTGATAGGAGAGCTTGTTACCGCGCTCTATCGCGACTTGAGGTTTCCAGAGTTTCAGAGCCTTTAGTTGTACGGAGCTTCGTAAGTGGTTCACTTATTGAAACTTTACTTTTTTGGAGTATACAATAGTTTTGTGTCTTCAAAGCAATATTTCTCGAGTCTACCAAGACTAGAGCTCACAAATTTCTCAGTTTCAGACAAGTTATGAAGTTTCTTCTATGAAGTTTCTTGAAAACAAAAAAAAACCCAAACTATGAAGTTTCTTGAAAACGGAACTTTTCTGATGCAAAACAACGCCCTTTATATGCACTTTTGACAGAAATTGGGAAAAATCTGGAAAAACGGGCGGTACAGCGGGATTTTTTTTGCAAAATTTCAGCGAAATTCCGACTTCCGCTTTTTCAATTCATCCAACTTTGCTCTAAAAGTTTCCCGCTTCGAAAATGATCTATTTGAAACCGCAGAAAACCGTCCGCTTCTCCCCGTTTCCACACCTTTTCCATCCCAAAATGTTTGCTCTCTTTTCTTTTCTTTTCATTCATTCGAGCTCAAACTCTCCCTTCTTCTTCTTCTACTTCTAGAAAAGCCGCAAAGATTGCCAATTGCGATAAGAGTGAAATGTGTCTCCGGGATTAAAAGTTGTTCCCTTTTATGCTTTCGCTTCCCTTCCCCGAAGACCCCCCCCCCCGTGTACGAAATCACTGAAAATGAAACTAGAAATGAAAAAAAAAGAAGGGAATGGTGTTATGCAAATTGGTGTTTACCCCCCCGGGCCAAAAAAAAGGGGAAAAGGGAGACATCTCTCTCTTTTTGTCTCTCGGAAGTTGTTACCTCCGAGTGCTTGAGCGAAGAAAAACGAATGTTTCATTTGGTTTTTCGGTCCCGCTTGGTTAGTCATCTTTCTGCAAATGTGGCATTGTTTTGGCCAAACAGAAGAGAGAGCCTTTTGATTCATTTCCTTCCTGTTCACAACTTTTACTCTTTCACCTGGTGCGTATATTTTTGGTTTTTTCGCTACGACAGTTCTTTCTTCATCTCATCGGGTTTTGATTTTCCGTTCCACATTTAACAGTACATTTCTGCTGCTATTTACTTGCAAACTCACAATTGGCGTTTCCTTTTTCAACTTGTCAGTAAAATAGTCTGTTCGGTGACTCTGGTCAGTTATACAATTCGTCCGAATTGCAAAAATTTCGCTAAAGACTCATCTTGAAACTGTTTTACTTGTTTTTTGAGGCTCTATGCTCCAAACTGTCGGTGAATGATGCGAAATGTGAAGAAGAACTGAAAACTACGACATTTCGAGCTTACCTGAACATCATCTGGACTCGAAGAACATGAATAGAGTTTCTGTTTCATGCTCTTTACAAGTGTCTAACTGACAGCACTCACAATACTGAAATGTTTCGTATTCCTCTGAAAATGAACGAGCGTTCCTGAACCCTTATGGCTCGAAACATGAAAAGTTCCTTTTTCTTTCCCCCCACTTTCATATCATCTTTTTCATTTTTTCGGCCCACATTGCAAGAAGCACATTTTCCCTCTGCATCATCAAAAAATGCCCGCTTTCTCCGCCCGTTTTTATCCATTTTTCCGATCTGCCACCACTTGAAAAGTGGACGGATGTCCATGGCCTTTCGGCTTTTCCGTTCAAAACGAGACTCCGCCCAGGCGTTCGGCGGGATACGGACCGGGAAAAAGGGGGCGGGGCTTAGGAGGGATCGAGAGAGAGAGAGAGAGAGAGAGGCAAGGGGGAGGGGGTCCTCTTCTTATCTCCCCGCTTTGTTTTTGTAGACAAAGAGTGACCACTAGTTGCTGTTTCGCTTCCTTTTCATAGCCTCTTTTTTGTTTTCAAACTATTGCACTTCAATTTTTACAGTTTCAAAGTGCTCATTTACCGCTATTCGAACTAATCATTTTAATCTCCCAAACAGATTTAGCATAAAAAACTGGAAAAAAAGTGATTGTTTGGCAAACATTTTCTGTTTCAGTACATGATTAAGTATAGGAAAAGTAGAAGGTAATAATAGTTAGTTAAATTATTCAATTAACGAGAAATTTGTTCCAAAACCGTGTTCATCCGAAAAATTAAGTCTAGAAATGTCGTTCCTGCCAATCTTGAGCAAATTCTGAGCTCTGACTCACCAAAATGTCCGAAAATTTATAAATTCTACAAAACTTCACCATTTCACACACTTTCTATATCTGAACTCTGATCCAGTAACACTGATCCAGTAACAATCTGTTATAAATTTATTTCTCCATTCTGCCTGAACTCGTTTGACCTCTCTTTTTTCTCTCTTTTCGGCCATTGCACAACGTCTTCTCGTGTTCTTTTTGGCCCGTAACATCTGTGATTGACTCACGAACACTCACTTTCCCTTTTCTTTTCTCTTTTCGGCCGGCCGATCATCGAAATCCGAGAGCATCCTTCCTTTCTTTCTTTCTTTCTTTTCTGCTCCACAGCTGCCCCCCTCCTCCTCCTCCTCGGACCGATTAGCACCACCTTTTTTGCGGTGACTTCTCGACGGGCAGTCCCTTTAATTAGTCATTCCACACACACACACATTCTCTATGCACCGGAAACACTTCTATAGAAACGGCGAAAAAAAGGGACGCACTTTTTGGCGAATGAGCGATTGGGACCGTGCGAGACTTGGTTTCGGTTTCAATTGACGCTTTTCGGACCACTAGGTTTTTGTTCGTGATTTTTGTAATTTAGTGCCATCGGAACTTCCGGTATGCTCAATTTTAATAGCTTCTCTCGAGTACGAGTTATGATTTCAATGCCTGTTGCGCCGCTTCCACACTTCTTCCAACTTTTGTGAAACTGCAATCCTGTCTCTCTTCAACTATAAACATCCAAAATAATTGCAGTAATGGACGAAATCACAATCACATCACATCCGAAATCCGGTTATGTCATCCGAAACAAGCCGTTGCGGCTCGTGTGCCGAGCCAATCACGCCACACGGATTCGCTTCAAATGCAGCTCCAAATGGGTGAGTTTTGAAGTTTCATTCGCCTACAGTAGTCCCTCTTTTTGCCGCCAATTTCGCAATCGAAAGTGTTCCCAACGGACCGGGGACCAAAGCGGTCCCTAGCATTAGCGGGGCTCTCCAAAAGTCAAATCTATTGTTTACCCAACTTCTCCCCCTTCTTTATCACCTTTCACTGGCTGTTTGCAACAATAATATTTGGATTGAAGATTATAGAATCCTCGTCTCATTTCGAGATGAGAAACGTTTCGGAAGGCGGTGAAAAGCGGAATGAAGGCAACGATAATTAACATTTTATTGACGGGGGGAGGGGGGGGACGGGCGGCCGAAATGACAAGGTTTATGATGGGCGCACAGGACCAGGTGGTCAGATGGGAATGCGTGGGCGGACGCGGGGGAGGGGAACGGATTGCAGTTTCAAGTTGGCCGTTTAGGCTGGACCGTCTAGTTGTGTTCGTTTGTCTTCATACACCATCAAAAATTAGAGGGGTTTCCACATTCAAAAGTATCAATTTTACATGGATCGACACAAAATCCACTTCGTAAAGTCGATGCGAAAGAGTGTGGAAAAATGCTCTTTTTCGGCTTTGGAGTTGCGAATACTTCCCCTCATTATCAGTGAAGAAAGAATTAGATGAGAAACAGTAACTTTTGAAATGAAATCATTCAAGTTTCAAGAACCCTGTGTTCTTCTAATTAACGTCAAAATGTTTCTCATCGTAATGGTACTTTCCGCTCACTCTAGTCCTTATCTTTGAATCCTCAGTTTCATAGTGATCATATCAAACTGCTCCAAAGTTGCTCAACGTTTCGGCCCATTCACATTTCCTCGAATAACTTTCCCATGGGTCACAGGCCGACACGAACTCGTCGTTCGCTGCCCCATTCCATTAGTTTACAAGTACATTAGGATTGTGCCTCTCTTTTTTCGATCCCAATGCTTTTTTGTTTCATCCTCCCCCCTCCTCGCCCTCTCTTTTCACTATCATCATCATCACTTTCGAGCACACACACACATCTGGAGACTGTTTACACTCGTTCGATACGTGGAAGAGAGGAGAGCAGCAAAGTGTCAAGAAAATGTATACGAACCACGATGCAACATGTGTTCACTGAGAAAACGGGACTAGCCGGGGGAACCGGGGAGACGGTCCTTAGAGGTTCATAACAAACACTTGAGGTCTTTGACGGAAATTGGGTTCTTTTGAGATCAGCAAGTATTGATTGTTCTCGGTAAGACTGTTTTCACCCACCGCTACATATAATAATGATTATGCGGCTATTATTCATGATCTGTCTTCTCTCTTTCCGATGATTATGCTGATTGACCTGTTGTTCCCCCTCTCTCTCTCGCTCTTTCTCTTTCCTATCCGTTCGAAAGGCGATTTGGAACAATACCCGCTCCCCGGGAGACCTTCCTTCCCTCCCTCCCTCTTTTTACCCATTTCTCGTTTTTAGTTGAGAAAATGGCGCCAGTTAGGTAGGTGGATGATACGGTTCACAAGATTTTTGGGTCATTTCCAACGATTTACTATGGATAAGCGCATTTAGTTTTAAGTTTTGTCTCTGTTTCGAAAAGATGTGACAAGCGAAGATGAACGCAACTCTTTTCAATTACATTGCCAAACTATTATAGGGGCACCACCGCACAGAAATGGCGCTCTGTTGAGAAACTCTTTTCGCGGTGCAAATTGAGCGGCCTCGGGGCCGAGTTTGAAAAGTTAGGCCACGTTTTCAGTGGAAAGTTACTTCGCGGCCCGGAAATTCGGCCAGATTGCGAACAGCGCGCCCTTTCTGTCCGGTGCCCCTTATAATATGTACAACTTTAAGAGAAGCGCGCGGCGAGCAAAAACGTAGAAAGGGGCGTGGCCTAGCGTGCACGGTTTATCACCATTTTGGCGCGAAATTCGAAATTTAACCCCATTTTTCATGTTTTCCGTCAAAAATTACCCAAAATTTTGTACGATTTCGACGATGTAATTGCATAATAACTTTGTTAAACTAATCATCGCGCACTTTTTGAGCTTAAAACGAGCCGGTTTCATTCAGAAATGAATCAATCGAATCGATTTTCAAGTTTTGTGCTGAAAATGCGCGAATTTCAGTCATTCGCCGATACTTTTTGCCCGTTTGAACGCTTAAAATACTTGTATTACCAGTGCTTAATCACTTCCGACACTCACTTCGTCTCAAAACTATCCACATCGGCCGGTATGAAAATTCCGAAATTGCGGCGGCGATTGGCCGCGGAGGGCGTATTGCGAAATATGCCAAAAACGTCTCAAACGCGGCGTTTTCACGAAAATTTCAATGTTTTCTCTCTTTAATGCCTCTTCTTTCGTCGATATCAAACACAAAAATATCGGAAAAGTGCTGGAATTGCGGCAATTTTCAGAAAACGCGTCTCAGATTAGGCCACGCCCCTTTTTACACTTTTGGTCGCCATGAGGAGTGATGACTAGTCTTTCTAAAACTCATAGAGCGCTTCAATTTGCAATTACAACTAAACTCTCATTAGAGCGCGCTTGCATCCCAAAGCACTGAACCCCCCGTACTAATCGAGTCAACTCCTACCCTTGCTCTTTTGTTTCTGGCTCCTTCTTCTCAACCTTTTTGTGCAATTCACCATTCATACACTCCATAAATCAAAGTGAAATGAGCCCGGGAATGTACACTCTTTTTTCTCGTGATGCATTGCTTTTTCTCTCCTCCTCTCGCCTCCAAATGCCTGTGAAATTGGGGGGCCGAAAGAAACCTTATAATTATGTTTTGTTTTGCGACTCGACCAGAGTTGTAGAGAGACGTATAATACTCTCTCCTCCCGAGCCTACTTTTCATTCCTCACATTCCCATTTTCAGATCGACGACTCGCGCGCCGAACATTTGACTGGAATCGACTCGACGTCGGGCGCCAACTTCATCGAATCGTCCGTCGAGATCTCGCGGCTCGACGTCGACACTTCCGGCCACGTCGACGCCTTTCAGTGCCAGTGCTACGCTTCTGGAGACGACGATCAGGACGTCGTCGTGTCCGACATCGCCGCCGTTCATCTCGCCTGTCAGTTTCCCTCTTTTTTTTCCTACTTGTATAAGCAAAAGTGCTGGTGTCGGTTTCACAAAATTCATGAAACTGACGTCTTTTTGGTTTTCTAATACCACTTTACGAATGATCTGATATTGAACACGTTATCAGACGTTTTGGCGGGAAATTCACATTTCAAAGTGAATTTTCATGTCTCAAATCCATCCGATTGGCACTTACTTATCTTGTAGAGGTGTGAAACGTGCCTGATTAACGCCTCGAATTGACATGTGACCCCTGTCCGATTCGGCCGTTCTCTCACCTGATTAATAGCCAAATGTTTGTTGTGCGACGTGTCTGTGCCTCCCGCCCACGCACACTGTCTGCCGAAGGAATCCGGGTGATTTATTCGAGGATACCTGTGAGAGAAGAAGAGAAAGAGAAAGAAGAAGAAGAAGAACACCAGTTGGCGTGTGCTCCACGAGCCAGACCATTTACTTTTCGATTTTAATGCTCTTCCTCCCCCCTCCTCTTTTCCATTTTGATATTGCACTTTTCCGAGAAAGTGTCCGTCGATGGCTAATAATTGAATTGCATTTTGTACACTATTCAACGCCTGTTTTTGCGAGAGAAAGAGAGACATGTAGTTGGGGCGAGAGAGAAGGAAATGAGAAAAGTTGTACAATAGCTGGAGAAGTGTACTGTTTCACTGTGGTCACTTTTCAAGTTGGCAATATTTTCTGACTAGTCTGGCCCCACAATTGCCTTGTTATTATCATTACCGGGAAACGTGATCTATCTATTGTATGTGTGCAAGTTCGCAATGTCGACATTTTTGCAAGAGGAAGCAAACGCGCTCCACTTTCTGTTCGCCAACGAGAATTACAGTTGAAAAACACTGGAATTTGATGGATTTCCGAGTTGAGCGCAGCGCATTTGCTTCTTATTGATCAGAAGAGCAGAAGTTTGTTTCAGTTTCATAAAACTCGTGAAAATGTCGCTTTAAAGAGTGCTTTTTGATTTTCGCAATCTGTCTTATTAAAACAGTAACCGTCAGTTCGCTAACTTTGACACCCGGTCCCTTCCAGTCCGCCGGCCATAAAGCCGCGACGGCCGTCTCAAAAGTTATGAGATTGCCATCTCTCTCTCTCTCTCCCTCCTTTTGGTCCCCTCGCGTTCTTTCCGGGAGTGACCCAACAACGAATGGCCGTAAAAGATTGCGCAATTGATAAAACGGTCCTGGAGCACCCGACGAAGAATTGATGATGTCGATCCAGTGGTTCCACGCACTATCTGCTGGCATCTACATGCACTTTTCCATTTGCATACGAACCCCCGGGGACCGCCACCCCATCCCTCTTCTTTTCGTTTCCTTTTCGCTCATCTGTTTACTATTTTCACTTTTTTGGGACCCTATGTATATGTTTATGTCTAGATTCGCGCACTAATTTGTTTATGACGTGTCTGCGTCTGCGGTCCCTCGTGAGAAGGTCGCCGAACTCTTGAAATCGAACCCTCATCCGTTCGGGCTCCATTTCGGCGGATTTCGAACGGACCTACATACATAGCAATGTTATTGGAATAAATCTATTCACTGGAGTTATTGAAACCTTTATGAAACTGAAAAAAATTGGTCCTTACTGGTTAGTTGCACATTTTCCATGTTTTCAGTGAGAAAGCAAGGTATTGTAGAGTTAGAAACTCGATTTGCTGGCCTTGAAATACCAAAATTAGGAGCGGACGTATCGTTTTGAACCGGACGGTCCCATAGTTTCACACAACATCGAAACAGTAACCCCAAATATTGACCGAATGCCTCATAAACTCGGTGCCAACTTTCCAAAAATGTCACTTGCCACGTCATGTCAACTGCCTGTTTGCCTTTTTGCCCCCCTGGTCCCTGTTTGCTCAGCTAATTGGACCACCTTTCCATCATTCCATTCGCATCCAAATACTGTCCGTTTAGATGCCAACTAAACTTTACGGGCCCCTCTCTCCCTCCTTCTCTTTCTCCCGCCCATCCGAACGGACGAATCTGTGTGGACGGCCGAGGCCACGCCCCTTTTTCTGGCGGTACGGCACCCTCTTTTGTCTCAATGTGTTCGCGGCGCGCAAATCGCTTTGCATAGGTGATTTTTTGCCGTTTTTACCCAGATTTGGGGCCAGAACTCCTGTCCAACATTGTGGTTTTTCGGGTTTTTCAGCTAAACACGAGCTTTTGAGGCCTTAGAAATTGCTAAACCTGAAATATCGGACACAAATTGTGCAATAGAGCACATTTGCATCATTTTAAGGTAATCTCGTAATCAGATTTGCTCAATAGACACTTTGAAACAGACAATTTTTTTCGGTTTCCAAAACTTTTCAAATTCAAAAGCATCCCAGAGACGCGCTTGCTCCTTGACAGACAAGTTTCGCCTGCGAACGAACCCTCAACACCTAATCCCCGCCGCCGTTTAATCTGCCACCAACCTTCCCCTCCGTTTCCGTTTTCGTTCTCCCCCCATTCTGACTTTCATGATACTTGCTCCGGGCCCACACAAATATCGAGTTACCTCGTGCTAAACGAACAAATATAGTCCCGTTGATTGTTGGTGAGAACGGAAGCAAGAAGAGGAGGAGGAGGAGTGTTCAATATTCAATGAACATGCGCAAGTGTTTGACACATATGTCTTCTGTTTCCCCTCCTCCTCCTCCGGTTATTATTGATGCATTGTAATTTCCTGTCTCTCTTTCTCTTTGACCCGCTGCTTTTCGAATACGATTGTGTGGTCCCCCCACAAAAAGAGAGCCGCCTGTTTGTGCTCTTTCCGTTGCCAGTTGATACAGGTTCGAGCACCAAACAGAAGGGACCTATGACATGATAAGTCAACAAATAAACGGGTGACACCAACCAGTACACTACTACGTAATAGGGGTTGTTTGAATAGCACATGACCACTAGATTACATTCCGACATGAGGTGTCTTTTCTGTTTCACACACTTTACAAAGCTTCAGGTGGTTTAGTGTTTAGTAGTATATACGTAGGTCGAAAGTATTACTTTACTGGGCTAAGAAGCAAACGCGCTCCACTAGACTCTTCACAGTGAATTTTAAGTGACTTGGGAGGTGTTCAGTAGTATTTATTCTACAAGTGATTTACCGTTTCACCAAGTGCTCAGTGACAAACTCTGAAAGTACAATAGTCTCTAGGCGCACTAGTCTTCTTTTGTCTTCAATTATGCTTCGAAATATGTGGTCGGAAGAGAAGTAAGTGTTGCCAATTACACTTCTTCCGATCCAACCTATTCTTCGCCTTTTCCTTTGTGTTCGACCTACCCGTACTTCCCGAACAATCTTGTTTGTCCGCTTGGATCCGGAAAGAATAGGCAAGGACAACTGACCGTTTCGTGAGGTTCATTCGAGGAGAAGAGACGTTTGTACTCAGTTCTTTCAGTTATACTCTATCTTTTGAAGTTTTCTTGATATTCAGGACCATATAGGGTCCAAGTCAATCCTAAGGAACATTTTGACCAACCCACGGCCAAAGCGGACTTCCCAAGCCTTCTAGTTGATCATTCCGATTGTAGGTACCTCTTTTTTCACCCCTCACCCGATCGATGCTATCGTAATTGCTCCTGCCACGTCATCTAACCTTCTTTCCCACTCCCAAAAAGATGTCTATCGGCTAACAACCGTACCACGTCATCTCGATAATCTCCCTCGATTGTTGCGTAACTTTGTCTGTCAACAATTAGACTTTCTCTCTCTTCCTCTCTTCTGCCTTCCATCTAACGAGTCGGGCGGTCCACTTGAAAACGTGAATGCTCACCCAATCAGGCTATACAACTGAATTCGGACCCCCCAAATTAACTTGTTGCTTCTTATTCTTCTTTTTCTTCCGCCAGGGACTTTCCAAAACCAAAATGATCCGTCTTTCAGATATGCGCAAGCACTTTCTCAAATCGCCCGTCGCCCAGCGGGTCCAGGAGGGAACGACACTTCAGTTGCCGTGCCAGGCGCCCGAATCGGATCCGAAAGCCGAGGTACGTACATAAAATGAAAGCGGAACACATGTTTTATGCATCTATGTATCATTGCGGGGGGGGCTAGCAGGTGCGGGAAACCCGAGAGAAAGAATCTGAGAAACATCTGGTCGCACTGGACCCACTAACAATGATGACCTTAGTGGGAGACTTAATGAGCCAAGAGGGCACGAGAAGAACAAAACTGGATTATGCAATTCCAATCCATCTGACGCAATCATCATCATGAATTGCAGCTCGCCTGGTACAAAGATGGAAACGTGGTGCAAGCAGACGCCAACGTGATCCGCGCGTCCGATGGAAGTTTGATTATGTCCGCCGCCAGGCTCACGGACAGCGGAAATTACACGTGTGAAGCGGTGAATGTAGCGAATTCGAGGAAGACCGATCCGGTCGAAGTTCAAGTTTATGGTGAGTGTTCCAAGATGAGGCTCAAGAAATTTGGTGTCAATCGGCTCTTTTTGAATGGTAGTAAGGGGATCCTTAATTTTGGAAATTTCTGGGGAGTACACCCTTGTAGCTCATAGCCAAGTGGTTAGCTTTTTGAGTGCTAGGCGAGAGACAAAAGTTCGATTCCTCGAGTCGATTTCACTCTTTTGCTTGGCCTTCCCCACTACCTCTTCACACCCCATTTACCAATTCGAACCCCATTCACAGTCGCATTCACATTCGAAATGCGTTTCATTTCAAACCGAACCCAACTCACTTGTTACTTTTTTTTTCTTTTCACATTCGAAATAGAGAGAGAGAGAGAGAAAGAGAAAGAGGAAAAGATCGTAAAACTTGAACGTTATGTAATTGTGCCCTCCTCCTGTTGTTCTCCTGTTGTCGTCGGCGAAAACGACCTGACGGCGGCACATTTGAAAAGAGAGAACCGACTATTATATAACTTTTCGCCGAGTGTCTGGCCCCGATGACTCGTGTCTTTTGTTTTTCGGTAAACGAGCAGGACCGGAGTCATGTTTACCGGCAGACGGTCCCCGACACGTTTATAGGGGTCACTTTTACTTGCATATGCCTCTTCTCATTCTCACTTTCCCCCCTTCAACACATCCATCTCTTTTTTCAGTCGACGGCGGTTGGTCCGAATGGTCGCCGTGGATCGGCACGTGCCACGTGGATTGTCCCCTGCTCCGTCAGCACGCACATCGCATCCGTGACCCGGATGCCGTCCTTCCTCACCAGAGAAGAACCCGCACGTGCAACAACCCGGCGCCGCTGAACGGTGGCGAATATTGCAAAGGCGAGGAGGAGATGACGAGGAGCTGCAAGGTTCCGTGCAAATTGGACGGCGGCTGGAGTTCGTGGAGCGAATGGAGCGCTTGCTCGTCGAGTTGTCACAGGTACCGGACCCGCGCGTGTACGGTCCCGCCGCCCATGAACGGCGGACAACCGTGTTTCGGCGACGATCTGATGACGCAGGAGTGCCCGCAGCAAATGTGCACCGCCGACTCGTCTCGGATCGTGATCAGCGACACGGCCGTCTACGGATCCGTCGCCTCCATCTTCATCGTCGCCTCGTTCATTCTCGCAATCATCGCCATGTTCTGCTGCAAAAAGAATGGGAAGAAGTCGAAAGCAAAAAAGCCTCCGAAGATCGCGGAGAAGTCTGTCGGCGGCATCTACTATTCGGAGCCGCCGGGAGTCCGTCGTCTACTTCTGGAGCATCAGCACGGCACCCTGCTCGCCGAGAAGATCTCCTCGTGCTCCCAATACTTTGAGCCTCCTCCTCCGCTGCCTATCCACCCTTCGACTACTATGAGATCCGGCAAAAGCGCGTTCAGCGGATACTCCTCCACGAGAAATGCGGGCTCGAGGGCGGCTCTCATTCAGGAGTGCAGCTCGAGCTCCGGCGGTTCATCCGGAGGAGGCAAACGCACGATTCTGAGGACTTCGAGTTCGAACTGCTCGGACGACGAGAACTACGCGACATTGTACGACTACATGGAGGATCGGAGTGTGCTCGGGCTGGACACTTCGCAGAACATCGTGGCCGCGCAGATCGACAGCAATGGCGCGAGGCTTTCGCTTTCGAAGAGTGGCGCCAGATTGATCGTTCCGGAGTTGGCGGTCGAAGGCGAGAAGATGCTCTATCTGGCGGTCTCGGACACACTCACTGATCAACCGCATCTTCCACGTAAGTTCATCGAGTCTCTACTTGTTGTATGCTCCCAATCATTCCATTTCAGCCACCGAATCAGCGCTCTCGCCCGTGATCGTGATCGGCCAGTGCGACGCGTCAATGACCTCGAACTGCCTGCCCGCCAACATCCTCCGCCGTCCGGTCGTCGTCTCTTTCCGCCACTGCGCCTCCACTTTTCCGCGTGACAACTGGCAGTTCACTCTGTACGCGGACGAGGGTTCCGGCTGGCAGAAGGCGGTGACAATCGGAGAGGAGAACCTCAACACGAACATGTTCGTCCAGTTCGAGCAGCCCGGAAAGAAGTGCGACGGATTCGGATGGTGCCACGTCATGACGTACTCACTCGCCAGGATTATTCTGGCCGGACATCCACGCCGCAACTCGCTGAGCGCCTCGAAACGGGTCCATTTGGCCATTTTTGGGCCCGTGGAAATGTCGGCGTACCGAAGGCCGTTCGAATTGAGAGTCTACTGTGTTCCGGAGACCGGAGCAGCGATGGAGAGCGTCTGGAAACAAGAGGACGGCTCTCGGCTCTTGTGCGAATCCAACGACTTCATCCTCAACGAGAAGGGAAACCTGTGCATCTGCATCGAAGACGTCCTCGTCGGCTACGTCTGCGACGGACCGGACGTCGTCGAAATCTCGGAGACCCAGCACAGATGGGTGGCGCAGAACGGACTGCACTGCTCGCTAAAGTTCCGTCCGAAAGACCCCCATCAGAGTCCGCCGCAGTTCTCGACGCGAGTCATCGTCTACCAGAAGGCCAGCTCCACGGAGCCAATGGTGATGCACGTGAGCAACGAGCCCGATCTGTACGACAAAACGAGCGAGGAACGAGAGAAGGGCTCCGTTTGCGTCGAGTTCCGGCTTCCGTTTCCCGTCAAGGACGAACTGGCGAGGCTTCTGGACATGCCGAATGAGGCGCATTGCGATTGGAGGGGACTCGCGAAGAAGTTGCACTACGATCGATACTTGCAGGTGAGAAATGAGACCATTAGAACTATTGTGTTAAACTTTGAAGGACAATAACATCTTCATACCTAGTTTGATACGTTTTTTGAACTAGCACTTCTAAGCCTACCTCGGCAATCGTTTGTAGCTTTTAGAAAGTTGCTCAAAAGTTGCGGAGAACCTGCAGCACTCCTACAGCACTCTTAAGAGTGGCTGTTCCAAAAAGTTCTCAACTAGAAAAATGAAGTACTAGACATACAGGCTACAATCTAAAAAGATTGAGTCAAAATCAATGTTCGCAGCTCTGTTATACTCTAAACTTTTCCAGTTCTTCGCCTCGTTCCCGGATTGCTCGCCGACCTCTCTGCTGCTGGATCTTTGGGAAGCGTCGTGCTCCGGCTCGGCGCGAGCAGTGCCCGATCTGCTCCAAACCCTCCGAGTGATGGGTCGTCCGGACGCGGTGATGGTGCTCGAACGCTTCCTTTCCGCGTTCCCTCAAATCGTCTCGCCATGAGCTGAGGATTACTGTACTTGCACGTCGTCTTCATTTTCGGGTCCTTCTTCTTCTTCTACTGAATCCGTTCTGTTTGCTCCGTCCCTCGAAACCGGTGAATCCCTCTGCCTGCGCCTTCCCAATGCCTTCTCAATTCTCCATGATACTGTTGCTCCACTATTTTTTTTGTCTGTATTTCTCTCTCCCATTCTGGTCGGTGTATGTGCTATTCGGTCAAAGTATTGTGTAATAAATGTTGTCCTCTTCGAAACTTCTGGACCCACTTGACATTTCCGAGTGTGTCCCCCCGTTTGCAATCACAGAGCAAGTGTCGTCGTAACACTCGGAGCTTTTGCTCTCCGAAAAGTCGTCTGGGGGATTAGAGGGACGGCGCGACGCGTCCCCAGACTCTAATCAATTCCGAATAAAGAGTTTCGAAATATGGAAATGCGCACAAATGTTTTAGATTTTCACTTGGAAGGGACCAACTGTGAGAGAGAGCATAGCAAAGAGAGCACAAAATAGCCGCAAAAGACAACTGATCACTCGGCCTTGAACCAGAGTTGAGCGGAAGAACTCACGGAAGAATTTTTATCTTTTTTAGAACATTTTTTCATGGAATGTGGTCAACTGACGAAATGTATAGAAAAGTGAACTCTGCTCATAGAAAAATAAATGTAAATTAAGCTTTTCATACAAAAAAGTTATTCGAGTTTTTCCGGCTAACGGAAGACGGAAGGACATTTTCACGGAACAACTCGAATAACTTTTTTGTATGAAAAGCTAAATTTACAATTATTTTTCTATAAGCAGAGTTCACTTTGCTATACATTTCGTCAGTTGATCACATTTCATGAAAAAATTTTCTAAAAAAGATAAAAATTCTTCCGTGTTCTTCTGTTGAGTTCTTCCGCTCAACTCGGCCTTGAGTCCGTGACCGTCAAGGGTTCATGCCAATTTCGAAACAAATTTCAGCTGGTTGTACATAGTTCCATCAAAAATAAAAATCAACCGCTCACAAGTTCCATATGCAAATTGCGCGATACATTAATTTTTTGTAGTGCTGCTCGTCGCACCCATCTGTCCCCCGGTTTCCGCTCATTTAATCCGCGCACTCCATCCGCGAATGCACTCATTTTTCAATCCGAGAGTTCCTTCCTTCTTCTTCCTTTCGTTGCTTATCGTGGTCTCCGATCAGTTCCTCCCATAAATCCTTTTGGTGGCACAATGAGCACGCATTCCGATGGGCCCAAAGATGATCAATCATGACAAGCGTTGAGGGAGCGGGAAATTGAAATGAAATTGAGCTGGCATCGAGGAGACAATCAAATTGGGAATTAGGGAAAGGAATTGAGGGACTTCCAACTTTCAAAACCCCTAACTTATTTCCTAAAAGTCCTACAGAACCTCTAGAATAGAGGACAAATAATGGAATTGGTGAAAAATGGATAAATCAAGCACAACTCGAAGTTTTATTCACATACTTCTTGAAAAATCACTCTAGCAGACCAGGCTTCGGATATTGTAGTCTTTCGGATGACAAAAATGCCACCAGTGCTCGGTTCCTGTACCTTCCGTCTACGAAAAACAGTTTATTACGAGTATCGAGGTTCAAACGACTTTAATCTAGTAAAAGTTCATAAAAAGTAGTGATGAAATGGTGAAATGATTCACTTTTACACTTTCCCCACCACTTTCGCCCCCCAAAATTCCGGCCAAACAGAGAATCCAACTGCGAGCAGCTGAGCCAACAACACTCATTGTCATCCGGCACATCCCGACGGCCGAATACAGTTTTTCAAACAAAGTGCAGTTTTGTTTTGATTCCCACTCGTTTTCCCGTTCGTTCCGATCATGAAACTGCCGCTTCTCCTGATATTGTCCGTCTTCGGATCCACGTCGTCGCAGCTGATTTCGCAACAAGAACTGCTCGGAGTCAACCAGAATCAGGCACCGTTTCAGTATGTCTGCGGCTCCGATCCCTATCGATTTTACTCGGAATTTCGTGAGTTTTCTTGATGGGATCTAGAAAATTCACAGGAAAACGTTCAGCGTGTAACATGTACCCAGTGTGTATAAACGGAGGATTCAAGATAAACGTGGGCTGCTCGGCCGACTATCAGTGCACTCCGTACAGTCAGAACGCCGTGTGCGTCAGTGAGTTCGAACATTTCCATCATTTTCAGACAAGAATGTTCAGATAGCTGCTGCTGCACGGTGCCCAGGATCATTGGTCCCGACACGACCACCAGACGATTCTTCGATGCTTCCGCCACTTTCAAATCGCATTTCCTCGTTTTCTCAACTGTTTTCATTGTGGTTTTACTGTTTTGATTGGATGTTTTATGCAGAAATGAATAATAACGGGTTTTTCACTTTACTCAAAGTTGTCACAAATGTCTTATTCAATCGAAATCTCAAAACTTTCTCTGTTTCGCTGTGGGATAAGGACACGATACTATATCAAAATGGGACATATGTGTCTTTAACCGTCTGAGATACTTGGCCAAGTAAATCACCAATTCTGACTTCGAAATCGGATTCAGCATATCAAAAACTGTCGAGATCCATCTAGAAAACGCAGGTGTTGGACATTTTGACTCCAAAAAGTTCATAGAATTAACCGTTTCCGGAAATGTTCTTGTTTTCGCAATTGTTTGGGCTCAAACTGATTTGACCAATTGATTCTTTGGCATTTGTTCTTTTTGTGTTTTTCGCTATAGTCACATCGTCAAGAGCGCCGGCGAACACATACAGTTAAGGGTCTTGCCACGATAGTTGCATGTGCTACGCAGAGTTGAGCGGAAGAACTCACGGAAGAATTTTTATCTTTTTTAGAACATTTTTTCATGGAATGTGATCAACTAACGAAATGTATAGCAAAGTGAACTCTGCTTATAGAAAAATAATTGTAAATTTAGCTTTTCATACAAAAAAGTTATTCGAGTTGTTCCGAAAAAAAAAATGTCCTTCCGTCTTCCGTTCGCCCCCTTTTTCGCGGAACAACTCGAATAACTTTTTTGTATGAAAAGCTAAATTTACAATTATTTTTCTATGAGCACAGTTCACTTTGCTATACATTTCGTCAGTTGACCACCCGGTCCACCCGGTCACCCCCTCTTTCCCCTATTTTCTTTAATTTTTGCGCGTCTAGCCACCCGGCCGGACAGTTTTCTCCCTATTTTCTTTAATTTATCAACTTATTCCACTCAATACTGAATTTTTGAAAGAAAAAAAAAGTGAGTTTTTTGAAAGGACTTTCATCAAAGTCATCGAAGCGTTCCAGATTTTCGTCAAGAGAAACCTACGCTGCCGACGATAGAATCTATCGAAAATGTTCCGTGGAAAGTTGAAGATCGCTTTATCAGCAACATCAAGAGACTTTTTGTGAGTCATTGTATCGTGAAACAACAATAATGGATGAATATTGTTTAGATGACTTCTCGGAAAATATTCACATCATCTAGGGCAAGAAGATTTCGGATTGAAAGTATCAAAGACCTCATTTTGGATCAATTGAGAAGTGGATTCATCATTTCACTTGTAACAACCCTTATCATTCGATATATTAACCACCTTATCTACCTCTTTTTGTCGTCACTCCAAGTTGGGAGGCTCATCTGTACGAGATCAATTCTACTGTCTTTTGACACTTTTTTTAGTCTTGCACATATACTCTTAACATATCGACTCAATAACTATTCCTATATATATACATAGAACCAATGTAGTACGTAACAACACACTTCTTATCGGTTGTATTCTCGACTTTTAAAAATATAGATAAAAATGTTTGAAACACATATTTATTTTGCACCGAAACATCTCAAAAACAACAGGGAAAGAGATCCTAAAAGGCACTGGGAGAGAAGAAGAGAGAATAGAATCGGAGGGGGACCCGTCGGGGAGAATTGAGCGGGAGGGGGGCAATCAGAGGAACGTCGAGTTGGTGTCGGCGGCGATTTCCTCGAGGATCAGGTCGACCTGATGCGACTCGGCGATGCTCGCGCGGCTCTTCGACGTCTCCTGCCGCACGATCATCGAGCTCTTCGACGGCTCTTCGATGACGGAGCAGGAGGAGGAGGAGAAGCCGCGCGGGGCGATGTTTCCGACGGTGTGCACGCTGCTCGGCCGCCGGCGACGGATCTCTTCGCTGCTCTCGTTGTTGTTGTTGTTGTTCAGCAGCTTGTCTTGTAGGGACAGCTTTTTCACTGCAAAACCGGCATTTTCCAGACTTTTCGGTTGAAAACGTACCCAAATCGTTCTTGTCGCTGATCGGAAGACTCGCCGCCAACTGCTCAATTACTTGCGGAGGGATCGCTCGAGTTTGCGGTTGTGCCGGAGCGTTGCTCGTGTGAGAACTCTCCTCGGCTGAAACTTTACCCATTATTATTATTACCCCACTCTTTCATCCATTTCTTTCCAATCTTTCATTCCAATCAAAAACATTATTAATCTCTCGCTGAAACTCACTACTGGGTTTATAGGATTGGTTCGAGGACATCGGTTGATAAGAGTGGCATCCATCGGGGTTGTACGTCAATTGGCTACAAGAAGAACACCATGCGGGGAGGGAAATGGGAAGGGAATCAGGCATCATGCCTTTGGAAGGGAAACGGACCACTGCAAACCTACCTCATGAACCTCATTTGTTGGTTGACGAGACGGCCGACGGCGGATTGGCGCGTCCGCACGTTTTTGTACGGTTGGAACAGCACTATGTACACCTGCAAATGTGGTTTGTTGACGTTGGGACACCAATGTTTGTGTGAAAACACTAAAACGGCTGAAATAGACCGTAAGAAAACTCACTTTTGGAGCGAAGAAACAGATGAGAGCGACGGTGCCCGAGAGGGAAATGCACATGCACAGCGAGGTGATTTGAATCTGGAAAAACCCATGTATCTCAGCTGTCTTTAGAGATGTAAAAAAGTAGTCAATTGATAAAATGTACACAATTCCTTAATGAACAACTTATTAGTTGAAACCTTTTTGATAACTCCACCGGCAGTCGAGATATACTCACTCTAAAATCGCTCTGCGTCGCAAAGTAGATGGGCCCGAAAGCGAGCCAAAGAATGCACGTGGAGTACATGGTAAACCCGATGTGCCTCGTTTCGTTAAAGTTCTCGGGAATCTTGCGGGTCTTGAACGCGTAAACAGTGCAGGCGACGATCAGGAGAATGTTGTAGAGGAGGGAAATGAGCAAGTGCGAAGTGGTGGCTTTGCAGGTGAGCACCGCTTCCGTACGCGACGGGAACACGACCATCGTGCCGGGAGGGTCGAAGATCAGCCAGACGAGCGTCCCCACCAGTTGCACCGACACTATTCCCATGCAGATTCCGACCTGAATTGGAAAAAATATGAAGGACTTGTTGGAATCTTGAAATAGATAACTTTTGAAATTATTATTTATGTTTTTTCAAAGTTTTACAGCTTCTAATTCTGTATTTCAGCACTTCCTCAACTTCTAGACAACTTCCGTGATTTCAATGGCGACGGCGTTCTAACCTGTGCTTTCGGAGTGATAAACCTGGGCCGTTGGGCCGAATCCGGCTTGAAAACCCTCGCCAACCGATTGGTCTTCGTGATGATGGCCGCGTAGATGGCCGACATGGACAGTCCCATCAGAATCTAAAAGATTCTATGAACTTTTCAAAGGATCTCGAGCCCCAATGTACCCTTGTCAACGAGCAAGTGATAACGGTCGGTTGGGAAACGAGAAAGAAGGTCAAAGTGTAGCACATTCCGATTCCCGACATCATACAATAGCAGAGTTCCCTTCCGGAAGCCATGATCTGAACGGGACCACTTACGATTAGAAACGTGTGAGGAAAGAGGGAAAGTACCACGGGAGTGTTGGAGAACTTGAGGAAAACTGAGACGACGAAGATGGTGGAGGCGATTCCGAGAGTGGAGAAAGCGGCAGGAATGAGGGACCAAGTGGTGTCCCATCTGCAAATATTGTAAGTTTCCGTTTTGAGCAGGTCTCAAGTGAACAGCTCGTTAGGCCGGAGACAGTGATGAAAAGGTCCAGCAATCTTTAGACTTACTGCATGGAAACGGGCGGAATCGGGACGCAAAAGTGGAGAGTTCGGTCCGGCACCATTCCGATATCACACTCTTCACAACTGAAAATGAGCTCGAATTTGTCGCGACGTGGCCAAAAGTGTTACCTGGTCTCATTGTGGATGCTCGTGGAAGTGTCGCACGGAATGCACGCCCAACAGCACGTCTGATCCTGATAGGCGCGATAGTGTCCCCGCGGACAGTCCGTCGAGCACACACTCATCGGCCGTTCCCCGCTGGCCGTCTTGAATGCGTGCCTGATCTTCTCGACTTCCACCGACAGGAAGTCGTCCGTCGAGCGCCACTTGCCCACTTTCTGATAGATTCCGTTCATGTCCAGCTGGAAGACGTCGTACCGCCCGATTCCGTCGCCGTTCGCGTCGATTAGGGCCGGCTCGTTCTCTGCGAATTAACGAAACGTTGAAGAAAACGAAGAAACGTGGCGATTCTTACTGTTGAGCGACATGTTTCTGTAGTACTTCTGAAGGCGTTCGCCTCGGAATCCGGACTGCGCCAAAGAGCATTTGTGGAACGGAGTCGGACCGCAATCGTCCTCGATGTACATCGATATCGCTTTCGCAATGATCTTGACAGTATCCACCACAAAAGGCACATACGACTCCTGAACTTTTATTGAATTCCCCCAATATTCGACTGAGAACTACCTGTTTCAGTGTGATGTTAACCATATCGAAGCAATCTCCGAACGTCTTCACTTCCTCAGTTTCCGTACATCCCAAGTAGTCGAAAAACTCCTCGAGGAACACGAATCCTTTTGGCGACAGAGACCGGAAGTACTCCAGATATCCCTTCTCCTCCCTGACCATCGGAGCAATCGTGATGGCTCCGTAAGTACGGTGCTCGAGCCCACGGACCACTGACTGTTTGATGCCCCAAGAGTCGGAGGCGACGAACCTGTAAAGGGCTGATGTTTTCTGTTCTTCAACCGGCGACTTTGTTGATTCTAACCAAAAGTGTCTATCGAGTTCGGAACGTCCTTCGGCGACCAGGTTATCCAGTGTCTTGAGAAGTCTCTTCAAGTTGTCCTCATCCACAAACATGACGACACCGCGTGCTTTTCGCGTTCGGTGCATTCGAATCAGAAGGTCTCTAAAAAATCGATGAATTGAAAAAACAGAAGAAAATCAGAAGGATGATAGGGTTCTGAAACTGTAAAACAACCATTATCCCTGGTTCCAGTTTCAAGCTCTCCTCAATCGTTTCTCACCTGAAATTCTTCTCGGTCCACCGCCTGGAAATCTTCTGAACGTCTCCGTCGATGCAGATGCCGTTCTCCGCCGCCGCCGCCCTGAACGAATCCATTCCCCTCTCGCCGTAGGATCCGGTGTCTGCGATCGCGTGCACGTACGTCCATTCGAGGGCTCCGATCTGAAAGTGAGTCCATCTTCCGATGAATCTTTATTTGACTCCCTACCACCCTTGCCATCACTTGTGCTTGCAGGTTATCCGGAGGAACGACTCGCGAGAAAAACGCGAATCGCGGCTTCTCACTGAGCTCGGCGCCAGTCGAACTGTAGCTCACTTGGGGAATCTGGAAATGTTTCACTGTTTCGCCAAGGTTAGATAAAACTTTTCAGTTTTAATGCTTTATTATTAACTCCTTTTTTATTCTGTAATATAGAGTTTGTCCTCGGCAATTTTCGCTTTGGAAATTAGAATTGAAAGTAAAACTCTATGAAGGTAGTTTTAATCTCCTCGAATACATATGTGAATAAGAATAAAAGTGAGTATATAATATCAGATCGCTTACCTTGAACAACTGCAACATGGACGCGACCATCACACTGACTTGGCTTCCGGCCGCTCCGACGACTGCGACCACCGGCTGACGGGTGTAGGATCCGGTCGATCCGTCGGCACAAGTCACTCCGTCACCGTTCGACATTACCGATTTGATGAACTCGAGCGTTTGCTCGAGAGCGTAACTGTCCACCGAACTGCAAGAAACGATTGAAAAAAGGAGCCCTTTGGGATGCTCATTGTGCACGCGTAACCCACCAAGTATCCAAAATCTGTGCTCCAAGACTGGCCTGCGGCAGCAGTTGTCTGTCTCGGTTCACTTTCTCCAGCGCGAACAGCATGGCGACCATCCGCTGCACTCCCTGGTCCGCCTTGATCTTTCCGCACTGATGCGACGCGTTGCGGCCCGCCTCATGGATCGGAAACAGTCCGCCGAGCACGATTTGCCCGGGCACCGTCACTTGTTTGACTGCCGACGTGAGCGAGAGCACGAGGAGGAGGAAAAGGAGGAGGATCTGAAGGGGCGGCGGTTGGGACGCGCATGTCATATCCGAACGACTGGCACCACGTCGTTTTGCTGCTGCTGCGATTCGCGTCGCACAGGGACTTCTGCAAAATGGCAAGATTAGAATGATAGGGGGTTTTGGTTTTGAAGCGGTGAAATTCTTAATGTTAGTTTTTGATTGAACTAACAACCTATTGTCAACCGAAACGAGATTTTTTCAAATGTTGTCTAGATGAAACAGTAATCGTTTCAACTTGAAAATGAGCAACAAGAATTCGGAAGCGCCCAAGATTGGGTTTGAAGAACCGGGAAGATTCTAGAAACGTTCAAAAGTGCTCTCGGATCACGGGCTCAATCAATTCAAGGGCAAGAGATCGGACTCGTAAAGTGTGAGGCAGGCAGTCTGAAAGCGAAAGTAAACATGGCGACGGCGGAGAGCGAGGAATCGAGATTACCATGAATTATTTAAGACGAATTATTTAGGAGAAGAAGGGCTCTCCTTTCCATCCATCCTTTTTATGCAAAGTAACTGGATAGATATGGGGAGAGGGGGTGTCGGGTTGTGTGACGTGGCAATCCGGGATAAGTTGGACAACGGATTGGCGGGAAGCAAGCGGATTAGGCGTGCAGGGGCTTCCCTCGGACACCTTTTCGCGCGAAGAACGCTTTCAGAGACTATTTTGAGCAGAAAGATGGGGAAACAAAGAGAGAGAGAGAGAGAAAGCGAATAATAAAAAGAGAAGAATAGAGAAATATTGTAGAACTGCAATATTTGCGGAAATTAGTAGTTGCTCGAAGAGATTGTAGGTGAGGAAACGAAGAAAAAGAAAGTTTGATAATGAGAGGAAATGCTGAAACAGAAGTATTGAAGACTAGGGAAACTGGAATCTTTGAAAATTACTACGACACATCCCATTCAATGAAATTACAGATTTATAGAAAAGTTGAAGTGAATGTAGTGAAACAGAGGAGCTGAAAATGAGAGCATGTGCTCGGGCAGAAAGTGAGTCAGATCATAATCTGATTCTGAGTCGCCCCTACCCTTTTTCCTGCAAAAAAGGTGAAAATTTGTGCGCGTCTGGCATTTTTGTCGGTGGGAAAAGTCTGAAAGTGTGTGAGAATGAAAGTTCCGAGAAGTGTCAGAAATGGAAAGGAAGAGGCACGAATCGAAATAGATCGACACAACTTGGAGTGGGATTAGACCAGCAAATATCGAGGATATTTGTCTCCCTCTCTCTCTTCTTCTTCTTCTCTATTTCTGGAAAGATTAGAGAGCGAGACGCGCGGTTTTCTGGAAAAAATCAAATCGGAAAATGATGGCCGCGGATGGATGGATTAGTGAGCCGAAAAAGGGAAAAAGAAGGGGCAAAGAGAGGAATGCGAATGGTTTCGGACAGAATTTCTGAATTAGATCGGGGGGAAAATGTGCACAGAGCTAGTGAAAACTTGAAACCGACAATAGAAACACAATAATTACTTTGAAACACAAAAAGTGTTGATAAAACTGTAAATTACAGTTTCTATGCGCTTGAAAGTGACCACGAGAAAAGTGTACACATTTGAAATATTGTGCCATTCATTGGAAACCCAAGAAGAAGAAGAAGAAGAAGAAGAAGAAGAAGAAGAGGAAGGAGAAGAAAGGAAATATGAAAAGTGTGAAAAACAAGGAAAAGTGACAGACAGAATGTCTATTCTTCGCTTCCAAAAAGAGAGGTGAATGATGAAGTGCTTATTGCCCACTTGCTCATTCCATTGAACTGAAAACGAATCGCCGCGAGAGTGGGAGCAGCCGAAAAAGCAAGTTATGCGTACGCGCTCCTCCAGAAATACGTTGGGGAGACGAAGAAGAAGAAGAAGAAGGAGAAGAAGAAGAAGGAGTCTACCGGAAATCCCCTCGTCACACAAACCGACCCTAATTTCGACTAACCGCCCCGGCGCCCAGCTGACTGATGATTTGCACACCCATTGTTGCCCGCCGATTTCTGTTTTTGCCGACTGATACTGTCCATTTATACGTCTTCGTGGCAAAACAAACACACTTTCATGAAACATGAATATTTCATGATTCATCAAAGACCATCCGATGTCCACAATGTCCTTTGCAGTACCTTTCTTGTTGTGTTGGGAGAAAACAAAATGTGAAAAGTAGAGGGGGGAATCGAACTTTGGAGTTTAGAGGCAAAAATGAGCGCGTTAGCCACTCGGCCATCCGAGACACTTTCGCGCATGCTGCCTTTGTGGTGATACCCTCGATGGTTTGACGTTCATCTTCGATTCAAAACGTGTGAAAAGCATATTTGCCTGCCATCGTTTCGAAAAGAGGGAAATCTCTAGAAGACCGCGATTTGTGCTCTTGTTTTTGAAAACGAAAACGTAATGGGCAGTTAGTGGCCGCGGGAGGGGGAACCTGGCAGTTATCAGCGCCTCTGATTAGCACGTCAAACTGGGAATTCTCGGGAAAACGAGAAAATGGGACGAAAACAGGTGACTGGAGCATCTTTTCGGGATCGGAAGAGCTCGCATACAACGAATTAGTTAAGAATGGCGAGAAAAATGAAAAGAGTGTGAAACTGTGATTTGTGGAACTCGTGCAAAAGTGATGGAAAGGCGCGAGAATACGCGTCGGATGCAATCAATAAACGATTATGCAAATGGGCCAAAGGTGTTCTTTTCGCGGAAAAAGAGATCAGAGAGGCACGCAAGTCTAGACAATTCCAAGCATTTTTATTAAACATTGAAACGGTTTTGTGAGGAAACTGTTTCAATGGCTTGGTGAAACTGGGAACATTGGGTTGAAATTTGTTTTTGATTTTACTATTTATCCAAACTTTGAGTGAGCATACGTCGGCAAAAGTGACGCTGTTTTGAATATCTTTTCGTCGAATACTTTATTTTTCTAGTCTATCAATCACTTTCAAGACTACTCCAGAAGCTACAGTAGGTTTAAGAGTGGCCAACTAGAGGGATGAAGTACTCGACACGAAGACATTACACAAAAATGTTAAGGGTTGTACAAAACACACCCGAAAAACAGCTATTTCAAAGATAAACTTGAGTGAAATTGACGATGTAAGGAATCCTGGAGAGAGTCACAATACGAATTAAAAAATGCATTGCATATGTAACCCGAGTGAAACAGTAAAAGTATAACACTTTTTTCATGGAAGGCGAAGGTGATTTGCGAGAGTGAAAGAGAAGGAAAGGGGAGGAAAAGTGGGCCGATAATAGCGGGAGAGGAACCCATTCGACGGCGCACTAGTTCCCCGGCAGCTCATCCGAATTAGCAGAGGAATATGCCTTCGCTCTCACTCTTACATTATCAACAACAAATCTTTTTTCGATTTCCGGTCCCTTTTCCTTATTTTTCTTCCCTATCATTATCATCACAAAAAACCGGTAGGAAATGAGGAAATAAGACAAAGAACGGACCGGCGGAGGAGCGGTGATAAAAGTGGTGGTGGTGGCTCTTCCGAAATTGGGTGCGGCGGGATGAAATTCGAAACGAGAAGGCGAAAAAGTGAAGGCGTGAAGCCGCGGACGAGTCCAGATTGGCAGAAATTCGACACTTTTTTTAATGGAGCATCGAGATGACCCACCCGAATTGGGCACAACAACAGCACAAGGAGTGGGAGAAGAAGGGGAAGAAGAAGAAGAAGAAGGAGGGGTTCGCGAACACGTTAAAGTGAAAAAGACAGTATTGTCTACAATAGTAGGTACCTTGTGAAACTGAAAAGTTTCGCAACTTTTTGACCCATCTGCAATACTAAATGTTTCCACATGTTTCCAGATCACATGACCCGATCGGCCGCTTCATGTTCGCTGAAAATGTTTCCTGTTTCAAAAAGTGAACAAATTTACGCAACTTTACTCTTTTCTTACTGCTCTCTGTTTCACATAACTTAGCTATAAGTTTACAATAGCCATGTTCACGAACATTTCGTGTGTTGCGCACCTTTGAACAACTACCGTAATTTGCATGCTCCATTTTGAGAAAACGACGTTTTCTAATGATGTGCTCATAGCTTTTATTTGAAACTGAACGTTTTTTTTTTGCTGGCCTAGTAATTAGAAAGGAATCTTGATGCAATCGTAAGGCCGAAAAAATGACCATTTTGAAACGGGGAAAAACCAGTCGAAACATTCTGAAACATGTCAAATATTCTGATCATTAATGTATCGAAAAAGTCCTCTCCCCCTTCTTCTTCTTCTTCTTCTTCTTCTACTTTATTTCCCTCTTTTTCGTCTAAAGTGAGCGCCCATTGTTCGACGGCATTCGCTCGGAAATCTTTGTGAGCTTTGCGGGCCGACAGATCAAATGGAATGACCTCGAAATGGAAAAGGGACCACCGAAAAGTATCCGATTATGTTGTTCCGGCTTCTTCTTCTTCTTCTTCATCTTCTTCTTCATCTTCCTTTCCGGATGGAATAGGTCAAAGAATTTAAGGATTAGATGAGGAAAAATAGAAAAATAAAAAGTTTGACCTATAAATATTAGTGGAAATGGGAAAGGAAGGAAGGATTAGAGAGGAGATGAGATTGGAAGGCTAAAAATGGACATTTCAGTGACACAACTCTTTGATCTAACGAGAGAACGCATTGCTTTGAGAGACATAATGAATGATCAAATGGGCGTTAGGAAGATGACGCCTATAACTTTAGAACCAGGCATTTTCACAGAAAACTGTCAATTGGAAAGTTGTAGAGCTCAAAATTTGCAACAACTTATCAGTTGACAACTTTTCACTAAAATAATTGATTCACGAGATACAGGCCTCGATTAAAACGCAAAAAAAACCTTATGATTCGGTGCTCAAATAGAAGGGGGGCGTGAGGGGAATTGTACTTTGAAACATGTGAAGAGGGTCTCTCTCTCTCGAGGGACGCATCTCGAGTGGAAAGTGATAAATGATGGGACTAAAAAAGTGAATGTGTTGAAAACGAACCGATTCGATGATTGATAGCCTCTATTATTATCGACGATACAACGGAAAAAGAACAGAACATTGGTGGGAAACATGATTAGATTTAGAGAAGAAGAAGAAGAAGAAGAAGCGAGGGAGAAATTATACAATTATAACGGGAGCAGATGGCAAAATAAAACAACTCTAATCGGGGGGGGGGGAATGCGAGAGAGAGAAAGAGAGAGGAACCAAAGTTTTATGGGCGGAACAGAGATTGGGAGCTCGGAAATGTCTGGAACCCTGGTGCAACATGGGAAATTCGGGCCCAAATTTTTCAGACTTATAATACTTGGATTGAAGTATTTCGGTACCAAGTTTGGGACCGATCAGACTATTCGATATTGCAAATGGGTCAAAAGTTCAGACCATTAATGAGTTGGAACGGTTTTCTGATATATATTGTTGATTCGGTTTCCAGTGACTATTGATGATTCAAATTCATTTGTCATGTATGTGAAACAAAAATTTTAGAAAGATCTACCGTTTCAAGAACCAGACATAAGTTTTGTCTAATTCCAACGTAATTCCATGCGAGGACAAAAAAGAAGCCGAGAAAACCCTAATGGATTCCGTAGGCCCACGAAAAAATGCGAAATTAGGAGATGAGGAAAATATTCGTTTCGGTGGTGGTGGCCCGTCGAAAACAGACACAAAAGCGCCTTGGTTTAGTATTATTATGAGAATGATGGTATGGGAGTGGAAGGTGCGAAAATGGGCCGAAAGGAATTAGAAAAAGGGGGGGGGGGGCACGAAAACAGAAGAAGAAGAAGAAGAAGAAGGCACGATAATTGAGGAGAATTAGTGATGAACTCGGCGGAGGGAAGAAGCAATTGCCAGTTTTTAGCGTTGGCTGGAATCGAACCTGCGTCGGCCCGCTGGCAAACGAACACGCTAGCCACTCGGCCGCGCGGGCAAATTTGGCGCAGCGCCTGGTGTCCAGTGATAAGCGCGCGGATTTTGGAGGTTTTGAAGATGGGCGCGGTAAAGATTCCATGAAGTGAACGTAGCAGGAGTCGTTACTTTTGAAGTCTACCATCGCTCAAAATGTTTGATGTCTTCTAAAAACTAGTCCTCTTCTCCTCAAGTATAATCCGGTTATCACAAACATCTCGGCTCAGGAAGGAGCCACTCTGGGCCCGTTTCCTTCCAAACTTTTCCTCTTCTTCCTGCACGAATTATGCTAATTTATTCGATGGTTAATGTATTAGCGCACAACAACTCTTTTCGCCCCGTGATTTGCATCGTCTTCCCCCCTTTTCTTTATGCGCCCCAAAAAAGCAAAGAGAAAAAGGAAATGGAAATGGAGGAAAAGAAGGACTCGGACACTTTCTCTTTCAAGTGTTTTTGGGGAGGGAATTCTGCTGAAAAGGGTGGACAATTGAAGGTTTTCAGACGATTCTTCCGGTGAGATTGCTCGAATTTGAGCGATAATGTTATAGTCCTAGGAGACGAATTAAGTTGATGATGTCGGTGGCGCAGTGGTTGTGTTTTGGACTTTGAAGAATCAATCGAGTCGCGGGTTCGATTCCACCTACCTGAAAAAACGTTTTTGCACATGATATGAGCAAGTCGGGACAAGACAAAAAATAAACTTCTCTCACGAATTGGCCCCCGCCGTCTCTCCGTATCCCTCCACTTCTCGCCGCGTTTTCCTCCTCCAATTATAGTACAAATACAGTAGGAGGTGGCGAAATAAGGAGATCGCACAAGAGGGCGGCGAGTTTCTGTGTGCGGAACCTCTCCACTCGGGGTGCTCAAATTCGCACATCTCGAGTGTTCTCTGCGCGGTCAACACCAAATACAGTGCTTGAGGCGCAGAAACGTCTTCTTCTTCTTCGTTTCATTTCAATTGTTTCTGCGCTCTCATCGAATTTCGCGTCCGTCCCGTTCAGTTCAGTTGTCTCGGCTCAATTTGGAATGAGGAGGACGACGAGTCTGCTATTCTTTTGCGCTATCATCGGACAACAATTCCGCATTACTGTCAGTTACTTTTGGAATGAGGAGGCGATCACTAAACAGAGGTATGAATGGATGTAGTGCAAGTTTATGTACAATTGAAGCTAGACGACTAATCACCACATTCCAGACCGTTCGAACCGTCGCCGTCGCCCTCAAACGGCGGCAACACTCCGTCGAACCTCGGCTGTTTCATGTGCACCCAATTGCTCTCGGTCACCAAGCACCGAGTGGGTCTCTCGGAAAACCAGTTGCGGAACCAGTTGTACGAGAAGTGCCGCGTGCTGCCCTCCGTTTTCAAGGTGCCTTCTCGCCCCGCGAACCAATGAATTCCGAGGTCTCGATGTTAGGAAAATTTGCAGGATCAGTGCTTCGCGTTCGTCGAAACCTCGTTGCCGGAGATCTACTACTCGATCAACTACGACCTCTCCTCCAAAGACGTCTGCGTGCGCATGAACTTTTGCGACGCTTCCAATCCGTTCGCAGTGAGTTTACGATTTGAATGAAGGGAACGAAAGAAAAGAGATGTTCAGGTCGGAGGACCTCTTCCGCCGATTGAAGGAACCACTGATTTGCCGGATGTCGAGGAAGAAGAGGAAGAGGAGATTCCAACGACGACGACAACCAGAAGACGTACAACCACAACGACGACAACCAGCACAACTACAACCACTCCTCCTCCACCGCCACCGACTCCAGAAACAGAAGATCCACGGAAGGAGGAGCATGCAGACCGCATCGGGCACAAGAATGTACTAGAGGTGATAGGATCAGAGAGATACTCTCACCGCTCATTGTTTTCAGATAATTCTGCCGCCGGCCCTCCGTCCCAAGTACGTTTCTCGCAACACGATCGTCGAGACGTCGCGCGAAAAGGTTGCGGAGAAGGAGGAAGTGGTACAGGAGTTCCGAATTCTTGAGCCTTTTTGATTATTTCAGGACGAGAAGCGTTTGACGTGCGCTTTCTGTGAACGAATGCTCGAGAACGCGAAGAACTACGCAGTCACCTCCAAGGTTTCCGATCGGTTCCTTTGATTCTCAATAGAACGCATTCGGATTGCAGACCGACATCACCTCGTTCGCCAACACCGCATGCGCTTCGCTCGCCAAAGGTCGAAATTCGGATCAGTGCTACCAGATGGCCGACAAGAAGATTGCCGAACTGGCAAAGTTTGTGGATCAGCAAGTGGTCGACGCGTTGTGGTGCGCCGAGCTGAATCGGTGTTAACGAACACGAAACGGAACGAATCTCATCATAATTTATTTTGTACTTTATCTATAAACTCTCTAATTTCTCTTCGACGTCTTCTTGACGCGATGCTTTGTGGAGCAGGTGAACGTGACGATTCCGTCCTTTTCCGAGACGATCTGAAGGTCGCCAGAGTCCGGACGACGCTTCACGTTCAACTGGAAACGTGGCACTTCGCAAGATCTACTTGTGCATCTCCACTCACCATCATCCTGGTCCTGGACCTCTTCTTCGTCACCACCGTCTCCACCTTCTTCACCGGCTCCGGCTCCTTCTCCGGAATCGGTTTGATCGTCTCCTCTTCCTTGTTGGGCGGCGAGGAAGCGGGCGATCCCTTTTGTGTGGGCGCCTCCGTCGCCAGCGACTCCTTCGACGAGGCCAGGTCGGTGGGCAGTGTGCGGCAGTCCTGGTCCGTCCGATCGTTCGCCTCGCCCTTCTCGCGGACCGCCGGCGCCTCGTGAGCCGTGTCGAGTTCCGTGTACGATTTGCGACGGTTCAGAGTGCGACGGGCGCTTTCCACAAACTTTACCGGGTAGAATTCGGCTGAAGGAATCTCCTGAACGGTATCATTTCAAGATTAACATCCAGCTCTTATCTGTGACTGACCCTTTTGACGGCAATTTTCTTCACCGGCTCCTGCGCCCACTTTTTGAATCCGGGACTTGCCACCGGCGATTCCATCGGACTGTCCCTTCTTTTCGCATCGGTCGGCGCTCTCTTCGTCCACTTCTTGTAGTAGCCTGAATCGTCAATTCCCTCGTTTTCTGCCACGTGGCCCATCCTCACCCCACAGTGTCTCTGCGACTCCCTTCTCCTTCTTCTCCTGCTCCGTTCTCGCCGCTTCCGCCCTTCTCGTGCCCGCCGGCAGATTCTCAATGTCCTTCTGATCTTCGTCGAGCCAGAAATGCTCTCCTCTCGTCATCGGACGAAAATCGTCGGCCTTCAGAATCTCGATCTTCGCCGTCGCAATTCTGCAATGTTCATTTGTTTTCAAGAGCCATCGTGCACGTGCTCACTCACAGATCAAAGTTGGAGGTGTGGCTGGCGTCCCTCTCGAAGCCGACGTCGATGCTCATCGCCGAGTCGTTCGTCTGCTCGAGCCACGCCGCCACCGCCCCCGTGATTATGTCTTGAGCTAGCTGCAGAGTCGGATTGCACAAAGGAATGGAATGGAACGAGCACCAACCTCAGCGTTATGAATTTCTGTCATTTTCGCTTCTTCCGACGATGATAAGGAATAATCCGTTTTCCACGTCTCCCCTCTTATATCGAATGCCCTTCTTCAATTGGAAGAGCTCACGGGAATACGTTTTATTCAAATCAAATCAAAAAGTTCAAGTATTGAGAAAGATCGGGTTGAGCAGCAGCCGCGAGAAGTGGATTTTGGGGCAGGAAAAGTGGGAAATGAGGGGCGAGAAGTGGAATGATGGGCGGAAGAACGGGTGGTTGGGGCAGCTGGAACAGTTGCGAAGCGACGATCGGACGCTTGATCAGCGACGAGAATCCGACGACGTCAGGGCATGGAGTGGGGCTGGAGAAGGGGTGTCAGAAGCACTTTGCTACAATCTCGCTCACCTCTCCTCGCTCGGCCTTTTCCTCTTTCTGCCGCCAGTATCCGGACGAGCCCAAGTCACCGATATCGATTTGCCGTTCTGAATCAATCAGTTCAGAATCCATCTTTAACGATCAGCTGGACGCCCACCAAAACAGTGCCGTCCATCTCGGCAATCTTCTTCTGCGCATTGCCACGTGTATCGAACAGCACGAATGCGTATCCGTCTGCCACGTGGCACTGAACCACTCCGTGCTGTACGCCGCCGAATGCGTTATACAGTTCCGTGTCGGACATTTCCCGCGAGATTCCACGCACGAACACATTCGAAATCTGAATTTTATGGCGTTTTAGGTGTTTTCACGTCTCGAGATGGCTCTCACATTGCTCATCACATTCTCTGCCGGTTTTGGTTCGCGTTTCGCAAAGTTTACTTTTGTGAAGAGCTGCAAAAAAAAGAAGAGGGTAAGGAGTCGAGAAGCACGTGGAAATCGGTGGAGAATCTGATTGAATCATTTTGAGCGAGAGAGAGAGAGAATATATGTCGAATCAGTTGGAAAACGATAATAGCAACTGAGGAGGAATGCGTTTCATTTGCCGGCAAAAAATCAAACCTTCCGTTTCCGGTTTCACGTGTTCTGTAAACGTGGACGCTCAACCCGGTTATCAGTGTGTTCTCAATGAAATACATACTAACCGGGGTGAACTTGGTGAGGAGGACGTTCGCTTCTTGCGGGTTCCGGCACTGAACGAACGCGAATCCACGATGCCTCCTCGAGCCATTTTCCACTATTTCGATGCTCACTTCGAACGGAGCCGCCGATTGAGCAATGAGCGTCTGAAAATAAAATAGTCTCGTGTGCCTATGAAAACTGAAATCGCCAAAAAAATATGACTATGAATTGCAGACTTGCCAGATTTCGGGCCGGCCATGCGGGAAGGCCCGGGCCGGGCCGGTAAAGTGCCGGCCCGGGCCTGGCCGGGTCGGTGAAGTGCCGGCCCGGCCCGGCCCGGTCGGCCCGGTTCAAAAAGGCGGGAATTCAAATTTTTCGCGGAAATTTTTTTCGTTATTACAAAAAAATGTTCGAACTAAAGTTTTAGTGTTTCTTCTTTGTTTTTTTGCTATTATGAATTTTTTTATGAGAAATACATTTGTTTTTCAATGTTCGATGCCCTCAAAAAACCCCTAATTCTACAAAAAATGGCTTCATGCGATCAATAATTCAAATTTTGAATTCCCGCTTTTTGAACCGGGCCGACCGGGCCGGGCCGGGCCGGGCTGGAGTTTTGGAAATTTCGGCCCGGCCCGGCCCGTGGCAACTATGATGAATTGTGCTTTTGAGAGAAAAAAAAGCGACTAGTTAAGAAATGCACAACTGGAATTTTCGAAAAAGGGAACTTCAAATGATTGGCTTGTGAAAGTGTAACATCTTCTTCTTGTTGCTCTACATGTGGTTTTCAAGAATTTTTCAACATTTTCTATTGCATTGTGTGATCATTCATTGCAAAAGCTTTTTCAACACTGAATGTTTCAGCTCAATGTGCTCTTGAACGCAATGAACTTGCAGACATCTCCCAACTTCCGGCCGTCAATCTAATATATTCGGGCGTTTGCCCCCCTTTTGAAAATGAATCATATTACCTGTTAGCCGCCCTTCCATTCCTATCCAATTACATACTCACTCACCCGAATTTGGTCGCTGCTCAAACTGGTCGAGAATCCGCCGACGTAGAGTCGATCGTAGAAGTTGTCAGTGTGTGAAATCATTCGTTCGTCGTCAGGCGGAGAGTCGAATGAGGTCCAACTGCATGCGGATTGCGTGATAACACCTTGTGTGTGTGTGTGTGTGGAATATTCAATTCGACCGGCACACGAACGAAGCGAGAGAGGGTGAGACAGGAAGGTCCTGAAATGAAATGAAATGAGCGAGAAGGGAGAAGGGGAAGAGGTGTTGCCGGGCGAAGAACAAACACCTCCTCCGGGCCCCCTTGTTTCTACCTCCAATTATGAGCAGGCCTCCCTCCCGCTTTTGTCTCAGCTTTCGCCTCTTTTGTGCCCGAAAAGTAAAGAGGAGAGGGCACGCAAAGTGGCAATAACTTTTGAATTTTTCACCGCCTTGTTCGCTGTTTCTGCTAATGTCTCAATTAGGCCGTGGCCTAGAAAACTGCACAGCAGAAACTCTTCCGGCCACGGCCATCATTAGTAGGATCTTCAACGCGCTCTACCGCACTCGGTGCGACAGAGCGCGTTTGCTCAGGCTCTTTTTTAATGGGGATTCCGAAAATAACATCCATTTTTGCATCGGGCGCTCTCAAAATGTTGCGGCCTAGAAAAACTTAGGCCATGTTGTTTTTCCCGTGGTTTTTCGCATTTCAAAGTCAGGTTCAGACAAAACAGATGCTAGGAAAGCAGGTTTTCTAGGCCACGGCCACCAATTTTCAACAATAGATCTTTTCGAGATGTGAGAAGTGCAAAATATAGCGGACCCCAAGTGATAGCTAGTCTTCGAAACAGAAACCGTTCCCCGCCGACGTGCTCACACTCACCGCTTCTTCCAGACGCGAGAATCCTCTCAATCGTCACTATAAACCGATCGTTTTCTCCTCCGAATCAGCCGCTCTTCCTCCAATCCGATCGACGTCTCGCCAAACCAAATCTCCTTGAATAGACGCCGAAATGGTTGACAATGAATGCTCTTTGTCACGATACCTTTGTCATGTAAATGATCATAATCAACCACAAAAGAAGGAGAGACCATCCGAGACGACAGATTTGCAGTTCGCGCTCTTCCGCACTGCTCCCGATCACCGATTGGGAGACACTCGGCATCGGAATCCGACTGGAGCCGACTGGAACTGGAAATGTTGAAAGTAGGGATAGAAGAGAGCGGAAGACAGCGGAAAAGAAGGCAATTTATACAGTTGTCTGTTTCAGAAACTCAAAAATAGGCAGATGTCTTCAAGTTTCACTTATAATTTGCAAAAGTTACAATAAGAAACTCGAGCGCACAGTATCATGATGTGGCGCTAGAAAAGAACCGCCCGGATTCAAACTGATGCTCTCCGAGACTGGCCCAAACCTTAGCAGGAACTAGAAAAACTCTGCACTTGCATTCAAGTTCCTGAGTGCGTTTCAAACATTTTCTGTTTCAAGCACTCGTGAATACTGTTTCAAGCACTCGTGAAATACTATCCATTTGAAAAAAGTTCAGTCCAAACTGCGAAAATACCGGTAAATGCGGTTCTTGTCGACGACAGCAAGAAAGTACGATTCTCTCGCTCGAAACCTCGTGTCTTCATTCAATAATCGGCTAGAAAAAAGTTTCCGGTTTCAAAAACTGATTATAGGCTACTCATTTCAGCCAGGGCTGGGCAATTTGGACTTTTGAACCACTTGCAATATTCCGATCGGACCCAAACTTTGCAGGCTTCTTGGGCATGGGTTGAAGCATATTGGGACCAAGTTTCAGCCCGATCGGATTATTTGGTCCCGAGAAATGTGGATCATTGGCCGAAATTTGCCGGAAGCCCAAAAATATTGCAAGTGGTTCAAAAGTCCAGGTCAAGGGGGCCGGCCAATTGCCCAGCCCTGATTTCAGCTCATTCTCATTCTAATCTTAACACGTCGAACAAAAAAGACAATTTAAAGTGACACTTTAGTTGTTCTTGTTGTTTGCAAAAAGTGGTCAGGCTCACAAAAAGTGAGCTGACAAGAGTTCTCTCTCACATAACTTATTTCCGGGCCACAAATCCGGCAAAAGTGTCAAAAAGTGTTGACAAAACCGGAAATATGGGACATGCATCCGGGCGGAGCGCTGAAACTGACGGCACGGATAACACTTTCCGACTCCGACCAATCGAATTATCGGCATTGAGGACGGAAAAGAAGAAGGAGAAGGAGGAGAAGAGACGGATATTATCCATCCTCACACGCACCATAAACATATGTCTGAGGAGGCGCACAAAACGGAAAAAAGATATGGAAATGAGGGAGGAAAACGGAGAAAAAGGACATGGACACATACATTTGTGGGTGAAATTATAGAGAAACGAGCGACGGATCGTGACGGTGATCTTTGAGCACATTCAGCACTTTTGAGGATTTTCGAGCGACACGTGGTTCAGTTCGAATTGCAACTTTCCAGATGTCCGTGGCTAGACGATTTGCAAAGAAAAGAGAGCATGTTCACTTCTCCAACTGCAAATGAATTTCGGAATTGAAGCAGCTCTTGTGCTCAATTCAAGAATCTCATCAATACTAAAAGAAGCGCTGAAAGTGACAGCTGAATTCGCGTCGAGAATGAGAAAAGAGCAGTTGCGAGTGAGCAAGGAAGTCAATTCGATTCGCGAGTTGTCGTCAAACATCAATCAGCCGTAGGTGCACAAATTGGGGGCCGGCTCCCCGTCGAGATTCGAGCCGCATGTTTCGATGAAATTAGATGGAAAGCGAGAAAAGTGAAAATTGACAATTTCCGCTTGTTTTCAAGTGAAAAAGGCGCAAGTGGCTCACCGATTTTACGGCTCAAATTACAGAAAGAGTTTCAATGTTTCTGGGTCTGCGTGTGAGGCAGCATGATTTTTGACGGGAGCAGACGGAATTGTGGTCGAACACACAACCGGGAACAGACATTCGAGGTGAAGTTTTTTGTGAATTCTGTTACAAGATATATTCGAAAACTGCAAACATTTCATTAGTTTCGGGTGAACAATCATGGAAGATCGACGAGACTGGACTTTCGGGCCGGTCCGGGAGTCGTTGGGATCTGCACGATGTCACTTGTTTTCTGAAAAATCGATATCAACTCAAGGACGCATATTTCCCGATTAGACAGGTTAACTAAACACACGAACATTGTTACGGGAGGCGGCGGTTGGCATGATGACGTCGGAGAGCTTCGAAGTTGGCGCCTTCTCGACAACAGTCTCGCCAGCCTTGAACTCTTTTCCGCTGAAAATCATCTCTTTTCCACCTGCACCCCCTCGGAAACCGACTCTCCGTTCCACTCGTTGCACTCATCGAACTGGCAGCAGCAGAAGGTACTGTCCTTGGTTTGGAAGTGACATCCGCTCATCTGAAATGGAAGATATTCAAGGATATTGTTGTAGGTTGGGACCGACCGGACACTTCTCCTCCATACTGTGCTCATCGCTCCACGAGCTGCACTCACGTCTGGAACATTCATTATTGTGATCGGTTACGTCATGCGTCACAAACAGAGCAGGAAGCTTATGATTTGAATGATTTGGGTAAACAGTGAGGGACTGTTCGCAAAAGGATTACACAAATAATACGCGCAAGGGGACGGAATATACGCACAAACCTCATTTCGCCGCTTTTCTTATCGATGCGCTGGATGCACCAATTCGAGATTCCGCCGCATTCCTAAATACACTCACATCAATTTGTATTGTCCATTTCTTCAACCAGTACCTTTTTGGCCGTCTGCGCGTTGCTCTCCAGTCCTTTCACAGTTCCTTCGTAGCATCGGAGCGCGGAAGAAACCGCACAAAAAACGGTGAAAATTAGAAGAATAATCGCGATTTTCGCCATGATTCAGAGTGTGTTTGTTGTTGGCGGGTAACTGAACCGAAGGCTGAGGGCCCTGATTGTTACACAATTTGATAAATGATTCGTGTTTGTTTTTGAGAAGAGATATCGAGAGATTTTCTTTGGTTTTCTGTTATGTATGAGCTACAGTAGTCCTATCATGTTCCCTCTTTCTGCTCATTATCTGTCCGTGGTCAAGGCCCGTCGCGCGGAGGGCTGGGTTCAAAGGCGCATTGTGCGCGGGTCTCGCAACGCGCGCGGAGCGAACACCTGTCACTCGGCGTACTCCTCGTGGACTATTATAATTTACCTACTTATTCGCGCCGATTTTCGATTGATTTCCGTTTTTTCTGACGATTTTTGAGCAAATCTTCAAGCAAACGAACATCTTGCTCAGTACCTTTATGCAAGCGCGCTCTATCGCACTCCGCGCGGATTTTGAATGGAAAAGCGTTTTGCGAATCAATTTGTAGCTCTTCCTTCGATAAACTTATTAATTTTCAGGAAAATGTCAGGCACGCCGCTGAAAAAACGACGAGCAACGATTCTGGTAACAGGTCCGCAGAGCAAGAAGACAATTTATGAGGAAGACGAGCAGAAAGCAGAAAATGAAGCTACACTTCAAGACGTGAGTTCTATTTCTTTCTAAGATTACCTAAATACTTGATTTTCATAGCTAAATTGCATAGTTTAAAAAACTCTTGGCAATAAATTTCGTTCAGATCGCCCTGGTCCGTCAACGCCTTCAAAACGAAATGGCCGTCGTGAATACTGCCTCCGGAATCGAGATTTTGATGCAGATTGTCATTGACGAACTTGATATTATTGTCAGTTTCTGGGTTTTTTATCTCGAAAATCAACGAACCATTTCAGCGTCATGGAATCCGCGAGAATGGCGAACGAATGCGGCGTTTCTTACGCGATCATTTCGGCGGAAATCAAATCAGAGCGATTCTCGTTCGCATTTTCTCAAAATCAATTAGTTCGAAGAACATGTTGGAGTACAACAAAGAGGCGAAAGTGATTCTGAATGAGATTTGCGAGAAGGAAGACGACTACAAAATGCCGACGTACACGCTGAACGATATCGAAGAAGTACTTCTGAGCGACGATTTGGAGGACGGGGTTATTCAGCGACGAACCGAGAAGTGGGCACGTCTTCCGATCAGACGGAAGTCCTTGTTCTCCGAATTCGACGACGATCCGTACAGCGAGTTCCGGAAGCTGAACGTGCCGATGTCGATGACATTCGACGAGGAGGACGAGGACAGATTGAGCATGCCGAGCACACGGACCCAGATGACCACTGACGATCAGATGGCGTCGATTCAGAATCAGTTGGCGATGCTTTCGAAGCAACTTTTGAGTCTTCAGAAGGGCGGTCAGCTCAAGGCGGCTAGGGGCTCTTCAAGGGCCAGTTCCCGCAAAGGTGGACGGAGAATGGAGAAGGTTGGTTCGGTGGAGCGCATTTTTGTATTCAAAGAAACTGTTTTCCAGAAAACCTCCCTGGAGATCTCCTCCACGTCCTCCTCGTCCGATTTCTCCGAAGACGAGGGCAAAGGACCGTCCGTCTGTTCTCCGTCGCTCTCTTCGCATAGAAAAGTGTCCGAGACCACTTCCGTTGCGCCGATGGCTCTTGCTCCCCCGCCTCCACCGCCTCCGCCGATGATGCTTCAAATGGCTCCTAGTTCCGCTTTGAAAGAGAAAGAAATGAACACTCCGGTGAAGCCGGCGCCTCTCAAACCTGCTCCGAAATCGTTGCCCGCCGCCGAGACGATTGTCTCGAATCGACCGTATTTGACGGATATTGCCAATGGACGAAGTTTGCTCAAAAAGACTATTAGGTAAGATTTGATCAGAGATTTCTCAAGAATTTGAATTATTTCAGATCTCCCGGCGGCTCGCCCTCTGGTCAAATCCGACATCAAAAACGAGCGGTCTCCTCGTTCGAGGCGGCCCTCCGCGACCGATTCCGTGGCTTCCACGGCGACACCTCGTTCTCCGAGCAGGAGGAAAACGGCGATGAAGATGTGAATGCCACGTGGGACGAGTAAATAATGTTGGATATTTGTGTAATTATTGTCTGGTCACGGCGAACATTTGTGTACATGGGTAAAATTTCCCGCCCGTATTTTGTCGCTGCGTATCGACTCACATGCGTTTTAAAGGGGAACGGTTTGCGATACAGAGTGATAAAAACGGGCGCGAGCATGTTCACAAATGTTCGCCGTACTGGTTATCTCGTGTTTTTTTTTTCTTATTTTCGCTTCCTATCCCAAGTAGTCTCATTTTCCCTTGATTCTCTTCCCTATTCGCTTTCTTTTCACCTGTCACTGAAAAAAATCTCAAATTCTCTTTTCAAGGCAGCGAACAGTTTATGTCAAAATAAGAAAGCGATGTCAAAATACAATATACATAGTTGCATTCCTTATAATAATATAGATAGTGACGGGTTGTAGGGACAGTTGTTGGTAAAAGGTGGCACCTCTCCGCGGTAGAAGAGCACTTCCTGCAGAATCAAAAATTTATATTTTTTCCTTCATTCTTTTTTTCTTACCCGTACATGAGCCTCAACGGCTCTGGCCTGTTTCGAAGTGGTAGTAGTTATTCCAAATTTAACAGCACTAAGGTCATTGGGGGAACATCCAATCAGCGGGCCTCCACAAGGATAAGTTGGACTCCAGTGGCAATATTATGTTTATAGAAAAAATCTTTGGCGGGCGGTGAAGTCCTCCGAAAAGTGTGTTCCCTAATGTATCATTGTTGAAAATGTCAGCCGGGCTTACCTGTAATTCTGCCGAACAGTGGAGAACCGTTCAGTTCCCCCAGCCAATTGTCAGTGTACAACTCCTCGAACACTTATTAGTCTGTGTGACCCATTGTGAACTTTTGAATATTCTTCACACTGTTTCTGCGGGTTATTGCTACTTAGTCGAGTTTTACAAATGCATTTTTTTTTAATATCAGAGACACAACAAACCGACAGGAATATACGAGAACTGGGAAACGGGGTTTAGAGGGTAGAAACCAATGTAAAGCTATGCTTTAAAAATTCAGCTGAACTTTTTTTTGTTGATATCTCTACGAGCAAACACTACAAAACTGATATTATTGCATTCAAGGAGTGGTTCTAAAATGTACGTCTTAACACGAAAGGAGCTACCGTTGAGTATATCTTTTATCCACTTTACCCTTTAAAAAATCGCGATCCCTCTCGTTTCGCGTCGATTGGGAAAAGACAACGGGATTTTTTTTAGAAATGAAGTATGCACAAATATTGATAAATAGAAAATCATGATTCGGAAAAGCGTAGAAGTGGTGTGGATTTTGACATGAAACAGGTGAGCGGAATGGGATTTCACGGGGAATTTTAAGCAATTTATTTAGGCATTTGTTCTCCGAATTTGCTCTCGTGAGCCGAAGATTTGGCCGGAATGAGCACTGGGTTGTGGACGTACGACTCGCACGGATAGCACCAGACGGAGAGGTCGGCCATCGAGAGGGCCATGGGATGCGACGTCTCCTCGAAGTGTTTCACCGCGTCTTGGTTCACGAAACGACCGCAGTTGTACTGGAATCAACTAGCTTTTTAAAGACGAAAAAGGAATGATGGGGTACCTTCCAGCAAGTGAGACACGTCCAGACTTCCGCCTTCTGACGGCAGCTCGAGCACTCGGTTTTCGAGTCGATTCCCTGCTTCGGCAGCTCGGTGACTTGCTCTAAATGCGGGCACGTCATGAGCGGAACGACGCTGTATGCCGGGAAGGAATCGGTATCCGACGTGGCATCCGAAGACGTCGGCTTCTGATCGCTGACCATTTCGTTGAGTCCGTGATCGGCTGGGACGACCTGGAAGAAGCGGAGAATTAGAAAATGGTCAAACACAAACAATATTAAGATATTTATTTCGGGACGAGAGCACCCTTTTACGGTTAAACTCTGACAATGCGTGTAAAATTTATTGATTGATTAGCACATAGCACGGGACACAATTTCAGAGTTGCAGATTCTGAATTCTCTGCACGACGTCTTCCAAATTGTCGGATTTGTTTCGATTTCTGTCCGATCGGGTCGGAACCGGATCCGACGCCGGTTTCCGCGCCGTTCTCCGCACGCTCCTCGGTTTTCCGTTTTTGGCGACGAGCGACGAGTCGAGCACACTTCCGACGATGATCTTAGAGAGACCCCACATGAATAGACTGGACAAGACAGAAGGTGAAGGACGGAATTACCTGGAATCCCTTCAGGATGCTCCAATACTTTTGTTGTTCGGCGCACACTTCTCGAATCGTTTTGATGCACGACGCGACGATTTTCTTCTGGAGACTCGCGAACTGCTCCTTCTCGGCCGTCAACCGTCGGAGCATTCCACGCGTTTTGAGCACCTCGCACACGGCGACGGCGGAATTCGAGATGGAGGTGAGGTTGTAGCCGCCCTCGAGAACGGTGAGCACCCGGCCGGAAGCCAGCGCGCTCAGCTGGTAGGTCATCAGTGCGTACGTTTCCGGAGTCACTTTGTAGTCGCCGAGCGGGTCGTCGGTGGCCGCGTCGAATCCGGCGGAGATGATCACGAAGTCGGGGTTGAATTGGTAGGCGACGGGCAGGATGATCCTTTGGAAGGCGATCTGGTACTCGGCGTCGCCCATTGTCGCTCCACTAAACGGCACATTCACGGAAGTCCCTTCTCCTGCATCCTAAAGAGTTTGTACAGAGACTTTTGAAAACAAACGGGCAAAAACGAACCTCTCCGACGTCGGAATAGTCTTTCGGCTCGCCGATCGGGTAAAACGTGCCCTTGTCGTGTCTGTGGATCGACATGTACATCACGGATTCATCGTCGTAGAAGATCTCCTGCGTGCCGTTTCCGTGATGCACATCCCAGTCCAAAATGAGTACTCTTTTCGCGTTGTGCTCTTTTTGAGCGCGTTTCGCGGCGAGCGCGGCGTTGTTGAGGATGCAGAATCCGCTGGATTGAGATGCGGAGGCGTGGTGTCCGGGAGGGCGGACGACGACGAACGCATTCCGATGTCCGGCTGCTTTTTCGAACACTTCGTCAACTGCCTGGAAAAACAGCAGCCTTAGGACACGCAGGTTGCTCAAAAGTTCGGACCTCGAAAGCTCGTTACCCAGCCCTTGCCTAGACTGATAATAATACAAAGTTATGATCCGATTGGATAACTGACTATTGAAAACAGTCCAGAAAGCCTTTTGAATCCCATCTCCTAATCAGTCTGAGCCTAATCATGAACAAGCAAGTCTTCCTCATAAGATCGCTTCCGAATCAGTCTTTCTCTCTCAACAAAGCAAACAAAAAAGACACACCCAATTTGGGCAACTCTTCCTTTTTCATTCCCTTCTCTCCCTCTCAAATAGTACACCTTTCCCCTCCGTGTTTGCATTATAACTCATGTTTCCCTGCTCACTGCCGCCTGTTTGCCCCTCTTCTCGCAAATCGACCAGTTGCTTCTCGTTTCGGGCCCTCCCCGCCGACGCGTTTGTTCGCTAAAAAGTGATTGAAGATGTTCGCAAAACTCGGCTGGCTCGTTAAACAGCGGAAGGCAGATGTGTTCGGAGTGGTTTCCGTCTTTGCGTCCGGAGGGGCGCCCACAAATGAATGCATAAATCATTCATGCCTTTTTGCCGCTATTGTCTCGTGCGTTGCTACGCACTTTGCCACAATCCTCTGCACATTTGTCCTTTCCTTTCCTTTTTCTGCTCTTTTCGACCTCCGAATATCCGATTTCCCGCCTCTCTTATTTTCTGTTCCCCGTCAGAATCCGTCTTTCGCTCATCAACATTTACGTGACCGCCCTTCATATTTCCCCGCTCCAAACCCCTACGTGTAGCGCTTATTTTAAATCAAAACGTATTTGATAGAAACCTTTCTGGTCAGTTTTTCAGATCAATTATCTCCTTTTTATTTTCTAGCCGAATCAACTTTCAGATAACAAAAATATGTCAGAACCACTACCGTCTCGTCTCCCGGAGCACAGTGCTCCCAACTTTTTGAACCTATTATTGCCCTACAACATCATCCCACTCGCCATTTATTCAATCTTCTTCCGATTGGCGCGACGATACGTGAAGGCCAACTTTTGGCTCAAATTCGAGGGATTCAAGTGAGAACAAGAGAGATCAAGCTTCTTCTAGAAAACTTAGAACTTCAGACGATACCGACTCCAGAATCTGACCATCTGCTGGGTGCACGCCGTCTTCGTCGGCCTCGCCGATTTCATACTGATGGTCACTCATCCGCATGAGATCTTCCACGAAGTCATCGAGTGGTACGACCCGATCGCCGCCCAGTTGCCCCTCATTTCTGTCGGTTAGTTGAATGTATGCATCATGAAATTCTTTAAGATTGCAATTTTCAGCCTATTTCTTCCAAGACGCCATCGACATGTTGTCGTACGAATGGTCCAGTTACACGCTCGAACTGCTGCTCCACCACTCCGTCACTTGCGCGGCTCTCGTGGCTCCGGCCGTCACGGGCCGATTCATACTCGCAGCAGGATGGGCTCTTCTCATGGAGGTCAACAGGTGAGCGCCCTTGGCTCTTGTTCTAATATCAACATCCGAATCCCTTACAGCATCTTCCTCCACGCGCGTACAATCCTCCAGATCTGCGGGCTCTCCACCCAGTTCCCCGGCTATTTCCGCGTCGTCGTCTACGCCAACATCATCAGCTTCTTCTTCTTCCGCATCGTCTCGCAGTTGCTCTGGACGTGGTGGGCCGTGTCGAACGTGCCCGGCCTCCACTGGTACTACGAGTGCATCGGCCTGCTTGGTCCGATCGTGTTCGGCTGCATCAACGGAATGCTGTTCATGCGACTGCTCGCCTCCGACGGATTCTTGCCCGAAAGACTGCGCGCGCGCTTCACGGTGACCCGCGATCGGACGGAGGAGCCCGAGAAGAAGAAAACATAGGTTTCGATGATAATTGCCACACTTACGGTTGTTATTTTTGGTCCTCACGGGTTTTTCGCCTATTATGAACTTAATTTCCCCCTTTCTCACCTGTAATACGGTCCCTGCGGCGTTCCTCGCCACTTTCAGAGTGCTTCTTGTCAGGTAGATACTGTTGAAATCGTCGTCGCACTCCGAGAACAGCTGCGCGTCGTCCATCAGCTCCGTCGTCTTCAGATAGTCCAACATCTTCCGCGTGTGCACCGTCAGAATCTCGTCGTCGGTGGCCGACCGATCGCATTTCCGTTCGACGCTTCCCTGAACGGCTTCCGAATCTCGCAACGCCTTCATTATCTTCCGAGTTCGTCTCGGGTTCTCCGGATGGCCATCTCCTTCTTCGAGGCAAGCGTGCTCGCTGTCGCCTTCGTTGAAGAAAATGAGCGTTTCGAAGGCGTCCGTAGGGTTTTCCTCGGAGACAATGGCCGTTTCCAGCTGTTTTTGAAGTATTTCGCCCGTGTCGGCGGGCCGCTTCGATGGATCGTACTTGTATTCGACGGTCGAGTTGATGACTGGCCAGTCGGCCAATCGCATGGTCGTCCTGGAGGGGAAGTAGTCGAAGCAGTTCCATTTGTGCCGAAGGACCGAGACGAGAGAGACGCAGGAGGAGACGGTGCTTTCTTTCGGAGGTGCGGACAGAGAGACGAGCGAGGGGGCGTGGCCTAACAGCACTTTTACACACTTTTGGACCGCAACTGCCGACATCTGATGATTGTAGCCTCCCTCCAGGACGACGAGCATTCTCCCCTGCGCCAATGCTTTCAGCTGGTAGATGAAATGCGAGTATCCGTCGGGAGTAAGACTCATTTTTCCGACCGGATCGCCCTGCAGAGAATCGAATCCGGCGGAGACGATCACGAAATGAGGGTCAAATTGTGTGGCGAGTGGGAGAAGAACTTGGAACAGGATGGAGAGGTAGTCCGAGTCGCCGCATCCCGTCTCGTTGAGCGGAAGGTTCGCATTGTATCCGACCGCGTCGCCCGAGCCAATGTGATCAAAGTCCGACTCGCGAAGGTGCGGCCAGAAGAGACCGTGTTCGTGGCGATGGATCGAGAAGTAGAGCACTCTGAACACCCGGATATCACGAGATCTTTGATCTTTCCAACCTCTTGTCCTCGTAGAATATCCTTTGGGTGCCTTGTCCGTGATGTACGTCTAAATCGACGATGAGAATGCGATCAGCGCCGCAGTTGAACGCCTCCTCAACTGCTTGGGCGGTATTGTTGAAGAGACAGAATCCGCACGGCTCTTTTGCGTCGGCGTGGTGTCCCGGAGGTCGGACGGCTGCGAATCCGTTCTGCGCCTTGTTCTTCATGATCTGATGTGTCAGTTCCCGCACACACGCGACCGCTTCTTTCGCTGCTTTTATTGAATTCTAAAAAAATTGTTTTATCATTTTCAGGCGTTTGTTTCGCTTGAAACCTTGGTCATGAACACTGAATCGTACTTGCCGCACAAGGAGTTAATCTCTGCTTGCGACAACTTTTCCGCACTCAGAATCTCGTCGACCATTTCCCTCTGATGGGTCGCTTTCAGATCGCCGTCGTCGGTTTCCAGAAACTTTGTGAGCACCGTGCACTTCTGAAGCAGGCCCGTCTGCTCCAGAAGCTCTTTGATTCGATCGACACGACTGGAGGATTCTGGATGTGTCGGACAGGCGGTGTTCCGGTGATCGGACTGCGATTCATTGAATCCTATGAGTGTCGGACCCTGAAAATGTTTATGCGGATTTTGAATTCAATCGGATAAACTTACCGTCCTTCTTTTCTTTTCTCCATCTTCGAACAACATTGGAATGTGCTGAAGGTCTCGGCGATTGTTGGGGAAAAGGGGCGTGGCCGAGGCCACGGGTTCGGAAAGTATTCTGCGAACGTCCTGGACGTTTAGAGTGTGGAAGAAAGAAAAAAACAATTTTTGAATGTCAATATTTTATTGAAAAAAATCGTTATTTAGCGTACTCTTCCTCTTGTCTTTTCCGCTAACGATTTCCTTGACAGTTTTCGAATTCTGAAGATAAATTGATTGAAATGGAAGAAGTCGGAACAATCGAGTAAAAAATTAACGAGATGCACTTTTTTTTTGAAGTAACTAGTGTTGAAGAACAAACAAAAAATTGGTAAAAACCGACGGCGGAACCACATGTGACTAATTTTGAAGCGGGCCGTGGCCGAATACCCCCCGCCTCGTCCCTCTCTCTGCGTCTTGTCGCTTTTTTCTGGGCAATGACACATTCTTCCATTTTTTCTGTGTTGTTTTGTTTTTTGATGGCACTCCCAAATAACCAGTCCGACCAGAGCGGCAGGCGACTACAAAATCAATATTTTTCCTAAACAATTTCAAATTTAAAGCGATTGAATTTCAGAATGGCGACAGAATCTGGTGGTTTATCGAAAGAAGAGTTTATACTCGTTCAGGAGCAGCTCCTGCAATTGCGAAATGAGAATTACGAGCTGCGGGAGGAGATCAGGAAGAAGAATCAGGTGCAGCAGCAGCAGAGTTCGCCCAAGAGTGAGGCTCTTCAGTTTGCCAGCAAGGTTTGTTGGGATTTTGATGTGTTGAATGAATAATAGTCGTTTTAGCTAATCAATAGAGCATCATCTTCCAAAAAAGATGAAAAAGACGGAGAAATTGAGGCGCTTCGGAGGAAACTTGAGACTCAGGAGCAAGAGTTTCGTCTTCAACAGTCTACGCTTTTCGAGGAACTCAAAACTGTAAAACTTAAAACTGAGAACAACAAAAGGAAATTCATTTTTGCAGCTGTCGAATCAAAATGAAACATTGAAAAATCAGATGGCATCTTACACAGATCACCCACTGGAAAAAGAGGTCGGAAGGCCAGTGATAAATGTGACAGAGCTGGAAGACGAGATCAGAACTCTAAAAGAGGAAAAAACGATGCTTTGTGACGGTAAATTTTTGATAATTTCATCTGAAATTCGAATAAAACGAATATTCAAGCAGAGTGTCGTGATTTGTGTGTAGATTGTGATTACGTAGCAAGCCTCACAACTTACGACATTTTGTATAAAGAAAGGAAACGACTTCTTTATTACAGAAACAGTTCCAGCGCTCAACGAAAGAATATCACATCTGAAAGAGCAAGTGGAAAACAATGAAACACTCAATATCCAACTGGAGGATCGGCTCTTGGCACTCAAATCCGAAAATGAAGAGCTCAAAAAGCAAAGTGAGTTTTCTTGGCCGTTTTGTTTCTATTCTGCATTTCAGAAGGCTCATTTCAATCTGAATTTGATAAAAAAGAAGAAATACTCAAAAACCTTCGTGTGGAAAACTCGGAAATCGTCAGCAATTCGGATTCTCGAGTGGAAGAGCTGAACAGTAAGATCACGAGAATGGAGGAGGAAAAGAACAATAATGCAGTGGAAAGACTACAATTTCAGCAGGTTTTCCGACTGCTAAAGCTGTAAAAACAACCAGAAAACGTATTTCAGGAACTTTCCGAGCAATCCAGCCAGTTAGAATCTTTGAGGGCTGAAAATCTGAAATTGAGCGAAAAAGTGAAGAAACTGCAAGAAAACTCCGTGGCGGTAGAGGATATTCAGGCCGAACACGGGAAAAAGACTGGAGAACTGAAAAATGTAAGTGCCCTGTTCTTTTCTCACATATTTCTGCGATTTCCAGACGATTTCCGAGCTCACAACTCAACTCGAAGCTCTCAAATCGGAAAACCACAGTTTGAGTGCGGAAATTCAAAAATCTTCCGAGGAATCCGCGAAAAACCAAGAAAAACAGCTCGAAGATCGAATTCTGCTTGTCGAGACTCGTTATCAGCTAGAAGTTGACGATCAAAAAAAGAGGTTCGACGCCGAACAAGATCAATTACGCCTGCGGATCACAAGTCTCGAGGAGAAGTTGAGGGCGAGCGACGAGGAGAAGAAGTTGGCGGTGAAAAAGCAGACAGCGCTGGTGAAAGAGCTGCAGAAGACGTTGAAGGAGGAGCGGAAACGGGCGGATTCGTACGAGCGCAAAAGTGAGGAAAGGGCCGGATGGCACGTGGTACCGCCCGAAAATGATGGTCACAGTCATCAGGTGAGCACAGACTCTGGGGGTTCTAGAAGGATTTTGAGAGATCTCAGACGTTCGACGGCAACGAAAGTGTGTCTTCCCTCTCGGCGATCGAGTCGGAAAACGTGGAATTGATCACCAGACTGGCCAGTTTGCAGAAGATTCATTCGGAAAACGCAGACACGGTTTGTCGGGGATTTCAGTTGAAAATACAAAAATTTTCTTCAGATTCTGCAATTGGAGTCGGAAAATAGCCGTCTCCGACGAGAGGTGACCGAAAAAGGCGAGCTGATCGAGAATCTGATCCGGGAGAAGCCGCTGGGTCCGGCTTTCCAGGCTCAGCAGAACTCTGCGCTCACCCCGAAGCTCGAGGTGTCCTTCCGGAAGCTTCTGAACACTTTGAGCCAAGATTCGAGCACTTCCGACGTCCGCGAGATGAACAAGAAGTTGCAGAGAATGCTCGAGGAGACGCTCTCCAAAAATATCATTCTTCAGAGGGTAAATTCATTGAACATTGGTTAGATTTCTGCAAAAATTCGATTTTTAGGACCTGCAAACGATAATGGAACGGACAGGCCTTTGAAAGTGTACAATTTGTAGATAACTGAACATTTGCTCGCTTTTCTTTGTATTTTTTGCATTTTTTAGCTTGAAACTATTTTTTATTTAAATTTAAATCTAAAGCTAGAGATTCATCATTTGTACGAAATGAATGAAAAAAATTAACGCTAAATTTTTAAAAAATTAATGGTTTTGGTCGATTTTCCCCGGATTATCTTTTTTTTATCTTTCATTATTTTACCAGAGTTAAACGGTATTCAGATGGAAGTAGAAGTTCCGGGCGGTTCAGAAGCGGCCGCCGCGGACACTGGAAGCGAGGCAAGTTTCCACGTGTCGCAGGTGGACATTCCCGAAGAGGAACTCGACGAGACACAGGTCGAAAGCGCCGAGGCGATGTTCGAGCATCTCGCCCGACTTCCCTTCCAGGTCTTCATTCTCAGCGAGTTTGGAAGACCCATTTTTGTGAAGTAAGAACTGAAAATGGAAATTCTTCTACAAATTACCCCTTTTCAGCAGCGGAAACGAGGTGGAAATGTGTTCGCTGTTCGCTCTGATTTGCGCGTTCGTCGATCGATGCCGCACGTGGGGCGACAGTCTCCTGACGATGACGTCACAGGACAAGTACATTCAGTTCCTGCACAAATCGCCACTCATTTTCTGTGTTGGTTCGTCAGTTTTCGCAAAACAAATTCCATTGGTTTTAACTTTTCAGTGTCCAAGTATCCGGAGCAACTGGACGAGCAGTTGGAGGTGCTCTTTGAGCAAATCTGCTCGATTCTGTCGAAGAGTCAGTTGGAGAATGTCTACGTCAAAAAGGGCGACAATTACGATCTGCGGAAGCTGTTGCGAGGCACCGACAGACTCATCGATTCGTCGATTTCCTCGTGGAGAGGGTCTTCGATCAATCTCGTGGATTCTTCCATCTCGGCCATTCCGATGAACCCCTCCGATCGCGAATTCCTTTCCACAACAATGGCGACGTGTCTGGGAGCCGCCAAATTGGACGGCGCACTTTTCGGAATCATGATTGCGCATCGACAGATCGCCGCGATCGTCCGCTTCAAGAAGTACGTGATCCACCCACGGGACATGAACATTCTCATCAACCTCGTCTCGGACAAGTCGTTCCAAACGGATTCGCAGAACTGGGTGCCGATCTGTCTGCCACGGTTCAACGACACCGGCTTCTTCTACGCCTACATCTCGTATCCGTGGCGGGAGCAGGACGTGCCCGCGTGTCTAGTCCTTCTTTCCGTCAAAAGGGACCATTTCGACGGGCTCAAGGAGGTTCGGCAGGGGATTGTGTCAAAGTTGGAGAATAACTCCAAGTTCTTTGCCAACTTTTCGCAAGCGACCAGGACTCCCAACCTGTACCAGATCTCTCAAATCGGCTCCAACTCGGAGAGTCTCTGGTCGTTTCTCTACCTAAATCACTCGTCAAGACAAGTTTGTCTTTCTGCTTCCAAGTCAGTTATTAATCCATTTTCCCTTCGAACTCTTTCTCCTTCAGAATTCCGCTGATAAGCCGCGACGAACGATGGGTGACCCGATCCGAGTTGCGTCGTTCCGCTGCCCTTTCCGCGCGGCATCCGCATCTCCGCACCCTTTTCGTGCGCGGAACCAAGCATTGTCTGTTCGTTTGGGTCACCGATCTCTTCTCGCTCTACTGCATTTTCGGCCCGTTCGTCACCGCCACCACCGCCTTCCAGATCGTCGAGAAGCTGCTGAAATCGCTGAAGTCCCACGAACAACGCTATTTTATCATCAATACAACCTCTTTCTAGCATATTTTGTTGTTATTATTGCCATTTTTCTTGTGATTGACTACTTACTTTTGTTACTTATTAATTTATTCTTTCATCAAAATATCAACGATTTTTCGATCCTCAAACGACATCGTTCGTTAGACTAGGAAAATTAATTGAGTTGGCGTGGCAAAGCGCTCGTTAATCGATCGTTAATTACTGTGCACGCGAGCGCATTCGCACAACCTCCTCAGTCATTCGTCATGGTCCCTTTCCCTCTCCTGCGACTGGAATCTGAAATAGCCAAAAAATCCTTCGAAATGTGGATTCATTTGAAATGTGAGTCGTTTTGAAATGTTCCCCGTACTTGCACTCTTTGTATGCGTTTTTATTGTTCATTTTCCGTTTCCATCAAGTTGATTCTGTTCAATAAATGACATTTCACCAATGCCACGTCGTTCGTTTTTAAATAAACAAAAATTTAATCGATTAAAACGTACATTCGAATGTGAATGTCGGCGGGAGGAGGTGGTGTGTTTGAAGGGGGCGCTGGGCGAGTCGCTCGATCGAGAAGCGAGCGCCTCGCCGTCGCGCGCCCTCCCGTTTCACCGTGCTGTCTCGGCCGCCCGTCGCCCGGCCGCTTCCCTTTCGCCCCTCTTCACGTCGGTTTCTTCTACCCGCCTCCCCCTTCTCGCTTCTTTCCACACTGAATTCCGACGACGGCAACCACTGGCAACCAGAAGCCTTTCCACACTTTCTTTTCGCTAATTACCTTGAACTCTGCCTTTTCTGAATAGTTTAATAGCGCTTTTGGGCGTTTTTAGGACGTTTAATTGGTTTTTTGTGATGCAAACGACTTGCTTTTCTGCACTTTTAGACGCATCGAATAGTCTCTGTTAAGGGTTAGTGACAATTTGGTTTTATTCGGATTATCTTCTTCAAGACATTTTTCTGATTTTTAAAGTAGTTTCTGCTTGTTTTTGGGATAATCTATTGAGATATTACCTTTGTACATTTTTTAGAAACGTTTTTGGGCGAGGATTATACACTTTTTGGATTACACAACTTGAAAAATAGTTTTGTCGAGTTTTTCTGCAATTTTGCATCCGTTTTCGTGCTGAAATAAGCTTGCCAAACGCCCTTCTAGATATTCATCGTACAGACCACTCAATTTTCCGCGAATAATCTGAAAATCGCCAACTTTTTCAACTGAAAATCCAGTCTTCGTGCCGTTCCGCCGCCAATCGATATCCGCTTCTACATTGTCATTAGAGCGCACTTGCCGCCCACCCGCATGACGCCGGCATTTTCGAATTTTAACCTCGTTTTTAGGCCAAACGTTTTTCCATTTGATAAAAAAAATGCAGGCTTTTTTCTTGTCAAGCCTGTTTTTCAGCGTATTTTCCTCATAAATTTGTTATTTTCAGGCAAAAAATGTCAACGCGCACCACTCTGCGCGACGATTCGCAAGAACCTTCCACTTCCACGGCGAATCCACAATGGTGAGCTTTTAAGATCAATATCCCAGTGAAAAAACGTGTTTCCAGCACGTATTTGTATAAAAGCTAAAATGTCTACTTTTCAGTCCTCCAAGCATCGCAGCGCTGCGTCGACGCGCGGATAATTTGAAGAAATTCGAGAGATTGATCCCAAAAATTCGTCCAGTGTCACTTTGGCACCTTTGTACGGCGAAACAACGCGGCAGGAGACTGCAAACACCTTTTTCAACGGTAAGAATTAAGCTTTTCCCATAAAAAATGAAGAAAATCGATATTTTTAGGAACTGCGGGCTCTACGATTGTTTAAATTCAGCACACTACTCAAACCACATCAGGTAGGCGGCGGCCGGCAAACAAATTAGAATTTTCCACATTTGCAGACTTATTTGAATGATCTCGCTAGGAAATTCGGCTCCACTTACGAGGAGTTGTGCCAAGATTTGCGGTTTTTCGCCTATTTTGTTGGTTTTTCGTATTTTTGAGTGTTTCACTGTAATTTGTTGAATTTTAGCAAAAACAACCTGGTATTCGAAACGAGGCCGCATATGAACTCTTTAAACACGTTGCTCATTGTGTTATTTATTCGGAAAATAAATGGAAATCGGAAATCGATAAGAAAACGTTGTACGACTCGGTGACGGCGAGACTTCTGAGCGTAAAATCTCTTGAGCACGAGCAAACAATGAAAATGTTCAATTTTTCAGAAGCGAATAGATGAAAAGGTAAAAGAAGAGGATGTTGAGATGATGGATACAAGCGAGAAAGCAGGACCGTCAACAGAATCGCAAAATGAGCGGGAAGTGACGCGGGGAGGAAGAATTTCGTGGAGTGTTCGCTTGCCGGCGCTGAGCCGACCGTTTAATACGGACCAGGATGAGCACTTGGAGGCGATGCACGCGAAGAACAAGATCGGGTGCAATGACTCAAAGTTCAACGCCGCCATCGAGAAACTGATGAGAACTGTGATTGTTAACAATCGAGGGGTGAGAAAAATGGAAGATTTTTTCAATTATTAAAACTGAAACAATTCAGGTCCGTACGAAACCGCGTCAGCTGTCCGACATCGAGTATTACGGGGACGATCATGTGCTGGTGGCGGCGAAAGTCAGCTTCCGGATCGAGAACCTCATGCAGATTGCCGACTTCAAGTTCCCGGACATACACGCGGACGGCTACTTCCCGCCTGAAGTCACCGATCGGCATTGGTACCTGTACTCCGCGTACACCGATGCAAACGACACGTGCAAGCGCGAGTTCGATGAAGTTCGAAAGAACGGCCGTGGGCTCCGGAACGGCTTCGTGAAGACCAGTGCCACTTGCGACGAGCTGTACGAGTGGCACATGGCCGGCCGACACATTCACGGCTTTTTCGACGTGTGGGAAGAGTCGGATCGGGGCTGGAAAAGGGCGGACGGAAAGTGGATATCGAGACGCTACCTCGTAGACATATACAATCGCGTGATGTTCCCGTTGTACGTCGGCTGGGAGGACTGGCCGAAGCCGTTGCGATGGGCGTTCGATAAGTACAGTTTGTATGGGCTGCGCCTGATGACGTTGATTAGAAAGCACGCGAAGGGGCTCAGCAGCGTCGGAGACTCGTTGTTCAGCAAGTATTCGATTGAGGTGGAGAAGTGGAGCAACAATTTGGCGTCGAACAAGAACAGGAATCAGTATTTGGTGGACATTCAGACGGAGAACACTCGAGTGGTCGAAAGGTGTTTGGGAGGAAGTTCGGATGGAAATTTGGTAGGGAAAAAGGCGGGGAATTTGATAGAACTCTAATTTTGCAGACTCCCGCGACCCCGCAAAACGAAGACGGAAGAAAGAGAAGGAGGAAGGGTCGAAAGTCGGAAGTGGACGGAGCGACGCCGGTGAAGATGGCTCGAACTCCCCGGAAGCTGTCGGTCGCGGAACCGCTCAAGTTCACGACGCCCTCAACGTCGTCGGCTCGATCGCTGAACCAGCAACAGCAGCAGAAAGAGAACATGGAGAAGCTGATGATGAGCCCGCCGCCAGGAGTCACTACGGTAGCCGCGCTTGTCGCCGCCGCCGTCTCTGCCGCCACCACCACCGCCGCCGGAGCACTCCAACCACAGAGCGTCGATCAGTCGTCGCCACGTCGCAACTCGCAAAGTGTGATTAAGCGGCGGCACGAGGAGAGCACGTTCCAGCCGGCGCCGGTGCCCACAAAGAAGCCGTCGGTGGACAGGTGGGAGGAGCAGGGCAATATGGACGAGGAGCACGTCGAGGAAGAGGACGAATCATCGAACGGAGAAGGCGACGGACAGAGGGAGACACCCGGAGTGCCCGGAGGGAATGTGTGGGTGCCAGCGGACAGAGGACGGGAAGTGGCGCCGGAGCAGTACGCAAAGGAGATATGCGAACATTGTGAGTCGCCCGAAAAGTACCATGGAGCGCAGTTTGAGTGGTTGCGGAGAACGAATGGCTGCAAGAAACGTAGAGTCTAGACAGAAACTAACCCGTCCCCCCGGTGTTTTGTGCTCGTTTCCTCTTTTCCCTTTACCTCCCCCCCCCCCAATTTCCTCCTAACTTTTTCTCTATTCCTGCCACGTTGCAGACGGCATCAAACGCGGTCGCTTCGACTATCTTGACTCTGAACTTCTGAAAAGGGTTCGGCGGAATTCTGCTGTTGCGCTTCCGCTTCCGCCTCCTTCGTTCTCCATTCCGCCAGGACCGCTGGCTGACTTGGTGGCGGGTATGATGTTTTTTGAAATTGAACCGATAGAGGGGGGCGCGATTTCTGATGGTTTCCGTATCGACAATGTTGTGTTTCGTTTCAGACGGAGAAGGTGACAGACAGCAGAATCAGCCGACAGCGCCGGCGCTTCCACCGCCAAAGGCGAAGAGACAACGCAGGGCAACGAATCCGCCGAAGCAGAATCCGCTTTCGACGCTTCTGTCTCCGGAATCGTCGTCCACACCTTCCACGTCGACCACGCCCATCTCGTTCCCAATCAACGGAACCGCTCCGCACGGCGTTCCGCTCGCCAAACCAAGAATACTGCCGACTCCGCATCATCCGGAAGCTCCACCTACCGGAGTTACCAAGTTTCCAGTGAAAGTGGTCGCGTCAGCCGCGCCGAAGACTCCCCACATCCAGGCTCCCGCTCAGAACGGAGTCACCGTCACGGCGACATCTCCTTCCGTTATCGTGCCACGTGCCATCAATCTGGCCGTGCAGAAGAGAACTCCGCCGGCCAGGGTCCAACAGACGACGCCGCAGCAGAGAAGGCCTTGTGAGTAGCGGACATTCTTGTTTTCGTAAATCCTCGTCGAACAAGCTTCAGATGTTGCTCGTGGACAGCGCCAGATGGCGGACTTGCAGAACGGGAATCGTCTTTTGCAGAAAACAGAAGAAGTGGATGAGAAAACGAAGAAGACGAAGAATTACCATCCCGTGGAGGGCACTTGCCGACGGGCGTTGCCGTTCGGCGAACAAAGAAGTGAGTTTGGAGCAATGAGAAGGAATTTTCGATTAGCAGGATCATCAGTCTGGGTTCGGAGTATCTGTCTTGAAAATTTCAGCTCGATTGATTGGGCTATCCCATCTAGAGATATACTGGTTTGAATCTGAAAAGTCCTCACTTTTTGCAAAAACCATGGATCTTCCAAGCCAGATACTTCAAACCAAGCCCGATCTGATAATCGTAAGTGAGTCAGAAGAAGTCCCGCCCTGAAAATCAGAATTTCTGTTGAGAAACAACTCATTTTTGCAGACTGCCCACTGCTTCCACACCGTAAGTTTCTCTCATCGTCGTTCTCGTGCGTGTGTTGTGTTGTCTAACGCCTGTTCCTTTTCAGTGTGCCAGCAGCAGCACGAAGGTACGAGAATGTCCTCGTCGGCGCCGCCCGTCCAAATGCCCACCCCGCCCCCTGCCCCTCCGCAGCCAGTCCAGCGTTCGATTAGCAGTTCTTCTCCGTCGGCGGGCGCGCCTTCAGTGCCCTACCGCCCACGCAGTTTCAGCAATAACAAAGTTGGTACACCGACGACGGCTCCACCTTCAACGATCACTCCAACACGTTCGGAGGCGGAGAGAAGTGTAGGCGCTCCTAATCATCGTTTGGACGTGCCATGGTACGCTTCAAATAATAGGCAGGCACCTCCGTCGACGGGTCCGCTTGAGCAACAACACTCGTCCGGTCCGCTTCTTCTCTCACCGCCTCCCTCTACTTCTTCGACTCCCAGGACGAGGACATCGTTCACTCCCATGCCTTCGAATCCACTAGGGTAATCACAATCACAATACGTTTTCCGAGAAAAAAAACAGAATTTTTCAGTGCCCAAATGTTGGCTCAAATGCAAGCCCAAGCGCTGGCTCAGGCCCAAGCTCAATTCCCAGTTCTACCGTCGGGCCGTCCGTTCTCCGGGCAAACACGTACAAAGCTCGGAAACATGACTCCTCAACAGATCGGAGACGCAATACGAAACGAGAGTGCTCGATTCCAAGAGGGCGGCCAGGAGGGACCCACCGTTCGCACTTTCCTTTTAAATTTTCAGCCCAAAAACTGACCCTAAACCCCTTTTGTTCTTACTTTTAGTCTTCAAAAAACCCCTTATAAACTAATTTTGCCCTCTTCTTTTTTATATTCTTCAGTACCGGTCGCTTGTGCCAATCGACCGTTCCGTTCTATTCATGATGATCCTCCCGCCCATTCCAAACTGTCCCGGTCGAATTGTTTAACCTGTTAATTCTTGTTATCTTCTCCCTCAATTCGATTATTTTTCTTTGTACTTAAAAACAAAAAAACATTCCGGTTCATACTCTATTTTGTTATGATTCATGAATCAATCCGATGAAATGTACACATTCCCGTTTTCAAAATTATTATTATCATTTAGTTCGTCTTGGCCTTTCCCTTCTCCTCCTGCGTCTTTGCCAAATTGTACTTTCTGCCTCCGTTCCTCAAATAGTGCTCCTTGTAGAACTGAACCCAAAGGTAGAAGTAGGTGGTGAGCATAAAGAATCCGATGGCGGTGCCCCGAAGAGAATAGGCCAGTCCCTCGACGCCCTGCACGTAATGTTGGTACGTGACGTGCAATTGGGCGGCGATCGCGACGGCGAACTGCACCATTTGAGAAGTGGTGATCGCCTGGGCGACGGACGGCGGGATCGGCACTTTCAGCGATTTGAGCAGGTAGTATCCGTACATGAACGCGTGGATTATGTAGTTCATCCACACGACCCAGACCATGTGCACGGCGTCCTCGTGGTAACAGACAAGGGCGTAGTATCCGGTCAGCGCGTGGTGGTACCTGCAAAGAAAAACAAATTTGCGTCATTCTTTAACATTTTTTTATAGAAAAACTCGTCAATTTTGGGCTCACGAGTCACCAAGTTTGGCGGGAAATTCGAAACGTTCTCACAAAACTCAACTAACCAGTGCATGAAAATGAGCGGGCGCTTGCGAAGAACGATGAAGACAGTGTCGAGAAGTTCGGGAATCTTGGAGAGCACCCAAAGGAAGATCCAGTAGCCGGAGGTCGAGTCGGTGTAGAGATCGGAGACGTGCGAGTAGGTGTCTGCAATGGGTTCATGTGGATTAGTTCACTTTTCGAAACTCACGGCTCAATCCGTGCGTTCTGATGACGGACACGAGGGTGGGGAAAGTGAAGAGGAAGCCGAGGAGACTGAACGTGGAGAGGATTCCGTTCCAGACGTTGAGCGGCGTGCTCAGGTCGAACGCCTTCCGATCCTTCATGTAGTACTTGAGGCCGAAGATTGTGGCGATGTAGGCGACGGCGAGTTTGGCGGAGAAGCCCTCCAGGCCGCGCGCCACCTCCTTCGCCGCCTCGTAGTTGAAGTTCGTGCCCAGGATCTGGTCCATCGTGGGTCCTGGCGAGTCTGAAGCCACCGAACGGTTTTATAGAAGAAGGGAAAGCGAAATGCGAAATGCAAAATCGGAATCTCCGCCTCCAGAAGAAGTGATAATGAGAAGGTGAGAATGATAAGGGGCTCACGCCACGATCGTCCGATGTGACATGATGGTGCATTTCATGTGAATACTGATAGCTCCCCAAGTAAGGGCGGAGATCCCGACAACTTGCAACGTTAGTAATCTATCACAATAGGCGCCGAGCTTTGTGAACTCACAACTTTGAATGGAATAGAAAAGAAAAATAATATCAAAATGGGAAATGGGCTGATAAGAAATGCAGGAAAGAAGTGATGAGTGGTGAGTGAAGGTTCTGTGAGCTGCGAATCGAGTGATGTTTGACCGAAAATATTGTGTTTCAACAAACTCATAAAGTCATATACTTGAAGTATCCATGATGTGATAAAAAAAACGAACAAGATAATAAAGATGAAACTACAGGAAGTTACTCGCTTCTTGATTTTGTTAATTGTCGTTTTCGTTGAACTGAAGCCCTCAAACTGATTAATGGGACTGGAAAGGGGAGAAAGTGCAAGGCTACAACCAGAAATGACGCATTTTTTTTTGTTTTTTGGACCCATCGTTATCGAATGCGGAATTCCGCATTCGATAACGCCAAAATGTGCACATTTTCAGGAAATGAAACTGATGATTGATAAGCGAAAAGAATTCATTGGCCGAAAGCATTCAAGTATTCAAACAAAGAGACGAAACGATACTAGTTGAGAAGCTCGACGAGTAGCGGCGAGCAATTGGGAGACGGGGCGGCACGCAGCAGCTCGGGAAGGTTGCGGACGACGGTGTGGAAGCATCGGGGACGCAGGAGACAGATCGGCGAGGTGTTCAGGTCGAGCATCTGGAAGAGAGCACGAGAGTCGTGTACTTTCAATGATTTGTAGGATCGAGTTTCAAATCAGTCGTGAATAGAATCCGATCAGTATCTGCTAAATAAACCCATCTCAAATGAGAACCGCTTGAAACAGAATTGGTTGCAATTAAAACTGGCTGTTTTTGAACCAGATTCCAAAAAGTTCCGATTTGTCTGATTTGAGTTTCTAATTTTTCCTGTCCCAACTCTTTGGCAATACCTTCTCACGGGAGTAGGCGCATTGGAAAGTCCGCGGTTCCTCGTCGTTCTTCGAGGAGACCATGCTGGGGAACTGAATGTCTTTTCCGATTATCGATTGATTGAGGACACGTACACGCTTTTGCACAAATATTGTCATAACATTCATACAGAGACGAAGTACTACAATGGCTACCCGGAAATTGATTAGAAAAAGACGAAAAGCATTGGATTATTAAATTAATCGGCCTTCTTCTCGGGCTTCTTCTCGGCGATGAACTTCTTGCCGCCTCCCTTGATGTACGATTGGTAGTAGAAGTTGCCGAAGAGGACGACGTAGGAGATCTCCATGAGCAGACAGAACCAGTAGTAGCCGGTGGTCGAGTCGACGGACTGTCCGGTCAGGGCGAGGTATCCGACGTGGAAGAGGATGAAGTGGGTGACGACGAACTGGAGGATCTGCATGGTGGTGATGTTGCGGGCGATCCACGCGGGCACTTTGACGCCGAACGAGCGAAGCATGTAGTAGCCGTACATGATCGAGTGTACCGAGAAGTTCATCCACGTGATCCACGTGTTGAAGCCGAGGTTCGCCTCGAACGACATGAACGCGTAGTTCATGGTGAGCACGTGGTGGTACCAGTGGAGGAACATCAACGGCTTCTTGCGCAGCACGATGAACAGCGTGTCTCCGAACTCGGCGATCTTCGAGAGCACGAACAACCAGGTGAAGAATCCGGAAAGGCCGTTGTAGAAGTCGCCAATGTGGATGTAGGAGGCGAAGAAACCGCGGGTGTAGAACTCGTGGAGGAGTCCGACCGAGGTGGCCAGCGAGCCGGCGGTCGAGAAGATCGCGAGAGCGGCATTCCAGAGGTTCAGCGGACCCGTCAGCTGAAACTCGACAGTTCAAGTCTATGCAATTGACATTTCACACTCACATCGAACGGCTTTCGGTTCGTCATAGCGGCCTTCAGTCCGAAGATGACGACGACGTAGAGCATGGAGATCCAGAAGGCGGCGTGCTGGTTCTGTGCCACGTGGCGTTTCGAGAGCTCATGACTGAACGGAACGGTCGTGGCGACCTCGAAGAAGGAGACTTCTCCCTGCGCGGACGGCATCTTTACCTGCAAAACAATGTTGAGAAAAGTAAAGAGTCGAGTACGGTAGGCACAAAGTACACGGTACTCAAACAGAAAAGGAGCAAACATTTGGAGCTGCGAGTTGGTCACAAAACACGATCATTTGCCCCTTTTATACGCACTTTTCCGACGCGCTTTTCCGTCTGCGTTTCTGCGCGCAAGACACCGGCTGGTGGTCTGATTTTTTCGGGCAGAAACGAAGAAGGGGGCGGGTTGGAAATGCAAATCGGAAGAAAGAATGGGACGATCGGAGGGCAAAAAGGGGCTGTTTATCGGTTCGGAACATGCATTTGAAAGGTAAATTCTCTGCAGAGAACCTTGAGAAGTTTTAGGTCATCGCGATAAATTAATCAAACTTTTCCATTCCAAAATCCTTTCAAATTTCCAGAAACTTTCACCGAGTTAATCTTTTAGTTGAACGAATAGTCAACTAATTTGAAAGGTATTGATGGTTTTTCATAAATCGACACAGAATCCGGCCGGCCGGAATACAAAAATTCTCGGAGAAAAGTTTGCAAAATCCAGAAATTTCTCGAAAAATAAGCTAAAGAACTCGTTTCCCCAACCTTTTTTGTGTTAAACCACGAAAAAAGCGTGTCAGTTCACGAGAAAATCTCAAAATTTGGAAAAAACTGCTGCTTTTGACACGTTATCTATTTTTGCACGCATTTTCATAAATTTAATTTTTTTTAAACAAATTTTCGCTGTAAAATCACAAAAAACCAGTACTTAGATAAGCTTTGAATATTGATTTTTCCGGGTATTTCGAGAAAACTTGGCAGAAAAGAAGAACGACACCGAATTGAGCGGTAGAGCACGATTGCATACTTTATGAAAACACAATTGCAATACAAATCAATCTCCGAATCCGACTCGAAATTCCGTTGTTTTTCTCGCCCTTCAAACATCATTCGTTCGGGTAGTTCTCTGTAGTTTACCCAGTTTTCATTCACAGATCACTCCACTATTCACATGAATTCCCCCGTCTTCACCGCGTTTTCTCATTCTTTGCAGTCTCTCTCTCTCTCTCTCTCTCTCTACTTATTTTCGACCGACCGCCGACTATCAGCACGATTCCTGTTACCGAGCTCCGATGGCGAGTTCGGATGGTGTGACTGGAGTGATAAAGGGTTCTCCGCTCACGGAAAATGTTATTATTACAATTGAAAAAAGGGAAGTATAACAAATAGTTTAAATTAAGGGAAGCAATCAAAGAGGAAAAAGATCACACTGATTGAGGAAGGAGATTTAGGGGCGAATGACTAGATTATTCTGGAGATTCGGTTCAGATGAACACCTCGTCGACGATCGAGTACTGAGCACGGCCCGGCTGCGGAATGAATTCGAGCCAATCGGACGGCGTGTTCGGCAGGAGACCCATTGTGTGCACTTTGTAGATGGCAAGGGCGATGGCTCCGAGGTTTCCGAGGATGTAGATGATCTTGTGGATGATCATGTTTCCGGTGGCAGGGCTCTGAAATGATACAATTGCTGAAAAATTTCAATGGATTCGTACCTCGAGCGGTTTGAAGGTGGAGTTGACGGCGAGAAGAGCCTTCAACGGTCGGAAAAGCATCATTCCGACCATCATAATCGGGAAAATGGAGACTCCGCCACCGGCCATGTACATCATGAACATGTTCATCGGCAACGACTTGGCCGGTCCCATAGCAGTGTCCCACACACGCTTTCGAGCCAGATGCTCGTGTTGATCCGCGGAACGCTCGGCGTCAACCTAAAAAAAACAGCCATTTTATATGATTTTCTGACTTGAATTGTATTTATCATTGTTATTTAATAACGTGTTCAAGAGAAAATGTCAGAAAACGACTCACCGTGTGCTGAACACTGGCCGTTGTCGAGTAGAAGCCTGGCGGATTGAAATTGCTGTCCGCAGTGCGGCAGTTCTTCGAAGAATAACTGTAGTCTAGCTTCCACGTCGACAGCGACATTCTGAAAGGAGATTTTTAATGAAATTACTTTGTCAAATCGATGAAAACACGAGAAAACAATATTCGCGAAAAAATCGAGTAATACGTCAAGGGCTCTGCTGACTCGTTTCTCGATCCACATGCTTGCGTGTTCTCGGTGAGCGCATAAATTTCAAATTTGCGTCGTTTTGTATTGGAAATCAGTAAAGATTCGGTCTAATTTGTGTTTTACAGCATAAATCATGAGTGGAGCAGTTTATGGAGGAGGTATGTTCAAAATTATTCAATTTTTTTCTTGTTTCATAATGAAAAAAGTGATTTTTTGCAGATGAGGTCAGCGGCCTGGTGTTCGATGCCGGATCTCAAACGTTTCGTGTCGGATTCGCCGGAGAAGAATACCCGAAGGTAAGAGCTTGATCAATTAACAAAGAACCTTGCTATTTTATCGATTTTTTCAGGGAGACATTCCGTCCTACATCGCCATTCAGGAGCCACTTCCAGATGAGACTCTCGAGAAACAAGAAGCCATGGAAGAGGTCAGTTAACAGACTGCTCGACTGAGGGAATCAATATTTCTGTTCAGGGGGACAGTTCGAATGTGAAGACGAAGCGAGATAAGAACTATTTCATCGGAACCACCAAAATTATCGTTCCGCGTGCCAGAACCAATTTGCAGAGTTTCATGAAAGAGGGATTGAGTGAGAATATTATGAAAAATGTTGTTCTAAATTCGATATGTTTTCAGTTGAGGATTGGGATTTGTTTGAGAAAATTGTGGAGCACTCCTACGAGAACATTCTCTATTCGAACCCTGCCGAGCACCCGGTTCTGTTCACCGAGAGCGCCTGGAACGACCGTGCCCGCCGCGAGAAGCTCACCGAGCTCATGTTTGAAAAGTTCCAAGTGCCGGCCTATTACCTCTCGAAGAATGCGGTGCTCTCCTGCTTCGCACAGGGTCGAACTCACGGACTGATGGTCGATTCGGGAGCCACGCAAACTTCTGTGGTGCCCGTTTACGACGGATACGCAGTCACGCACGCGGTCGTTAAGTGCGGAATGGGCGGCGACATCATCACTGAGCAACTGGCGCACATGCTCGAGCAGCAGAAGATCGACCTCGTGCCGACGTACAAAATCGCGTCGAAAGAGGAGGTCAACGAGGGGGAGGCGCCGAAATGGACGCCGAAAAAGGGGCTTCCGGAGGTGACGGAGAGCTACGATAAGTACATGAAGAAGGCGATTCTGGAGGACATGTCGGCCACGATGCTCCAGTTGTGCGACACGAACATAGACATGGACTACGTGGAGAAACTGCCGTCGACTCCGTACTCGTTCCCGAACGGATACACGAAAGAGTTCGCGGCGGAGCGGATCAAGCTGCCAGAGTGTCTGTTCGACCTCTCGTTCCTGCGCGCCGACGGAAAAAAGGACGGGCTCATGACGATCGCCCAGATGGCCGCCACTTCCGCCAACCTCGCCGACATCGACATCCGACCGACGCTTTTCTCGAACGTCACCGTCACCGGCGGCAACTCGCTAATCCTCGGATTCACCGAACGTCTCAACTACGCGCTCGCCACTAAATGCCCACCAGTAAGTGCCAAAATCCATTAGAACCCGTTCAAATTATGCTTTTCAGACAATCAAACTGCGCGTGTTCGCGGCTCCAACACAGACGGAGCGCAAATACGGCGCCTGGATCGGAGGATCGATTCTCGGATCACTGGGAACGTTCCAGCAAATGTGGATCAGCAAGGCCGAATACGACGAGACCGGCAAGGTGATCGTGGAGAAAAAATGCCCGTAGTCCCGACTCCTGCCACTAATTTCCCTCTCACGATCAGATCTCTTCTCTCTGTCTCCTAATTTATTCATCCCTTTCCACGTTTTGTATCATCTCCTTGTACTATGTGTATTCTGGCTATCTTGTTTTTGATGAATTTCCGTAAATTTAAATAAAGTTTGGACGAATTTTCAAAATGCTGGGCGGTGAATGGGGATGTCCCATGAAAAGTACTTGAAATAAATTGATGTATTTTTCACTGAAAACTTTGATTTTCCGATGAATTTTCCACTATTTCGTCGAATGTTTTGCCACGTCAAAGACGAGGTTTTGTATGTGAAAAAGGAGGAATTCGAGGAGCCGATCACGGACAAATGGGTCATTGATATGCAAAATGTGGAAAAGTACCGGCCGATCGGTGAGCGAAATTATCAATTCTCCATGAAAACAGCCGAATTCGTTGCAGGACCCACTCTTCCGGACGGATCGATCAACTGGCAGTGCGCGTGCATGGCCGGAGGGTCACTCGTCGCCCACCGGTCCCGTTCCCGTCCGTTTTCCCCTCGAGACCCTCCGTTTTCAGATGCGGCAACTATTTCCGCGAACTGTACGTGTGCATGAAGAGCGACGATCAAAGGGATCCGTCGGAAAAGTGCCCGAATCAGTTTGTGGACTGGGCCGCCTGCATGCAGAACATGAGCGGTCCGTTTTTGGATCTTTGCACGACTATCAGTCTTGATTTGAGGCTTTTAGCGTGAAAGTTTCAGCCTAAAATGCCTAACTTTTTGCGGTAGCTGAAAATAAAGCTCAAACTTGCGGTTCAGAACCGATCACTCTGAAAAAGACGATTTTCAGTTGAACGACGAGAACAAATGAGAAAAGCGATGAAGGAAGACAAGGAGGAGCTGAAAATCAATCAATAATAGTTCGGTCTCTGAAAGTAGCATTTTGATAGATTGAAAATTTAATAAATTATCAAGTTTTATCCGATTTTCTTCTTATTTTCAAAAAAAATCGGACTCATCCAACTGTCTATCTTAACTTATTCGATCGAACAGTTTTGAAATTGTCTTAAGTGGCGCCTGGAAAAGTTTAAAAATAGCCAAGAAAAGTTTGAAATTTCACTTGAGAAAGCAATGTAATTGAAGGTTAGAGCGGTGTCTAGAAGAAATATGCAATTGTTGAAACCGTTTTTTTTCGTTTTGATAGGTAAGCCTACGAGAAGGTATTTTATTGAAAAACGGCCCGTGTTCTGCAACAACACCATTTTCTTACGCGTAGCCTCCAGTCTAGACACTTGTCAATCAATTTCAGCCGCTTCAACGCCTCCTCGACGAATCCGCGAGGTTTGGACCGCGAAAAAGAGTTTGTGGCTCACGCCATTTGCACAGAATCGTCGTCCAAACAATAATGATACCGTATCATTCTTTTATTTCATGATTTGTCCAATGCTCAATTATTCGCCTTGCAAAATAGGCATAGTTAACTTTTCGTGTTCCCGCGAGAGCACACTCCTTTCCCTCTTCACTCTCTCTTATCATCAACCAATATAAAAACGTGGTCTTCGTGATGCGGTTTCGGTTATCTATTCGCAGTCGAAAACGTGTGTGAGAAAAGTGTCCGGCTGGTCGAAATTACAAGACTAGACTAGCCAACAATGCTTCTTCTGAACGCGTTGCTTCTATTCGGATTAGCCGCCTTTTCAGTGGATTCTAGTAAGTACATACGAGAATTATAAAGTGAATCTAGGATTTATTAAATACGCATTATTATCAAGAAAGTGAAGCAGTCATTTAGTCAGTGACCATGTGTGCAGTTTCGAGTGAAAAAATCATAGATTTCTGTTTCAAAGACAGTTCAATACCATTTGTTAGAACAATAACCACACCTTGCAGAATCGGTTCCGTGTTCGGAAGTGACGAAGGATCACGGAATAGTGTGTCGGTGCAATGCCACGTATTGTGATACGATTGAGCCGCTGGGCACTGTGATCGCGGGAAAAGCGGTGGTTTACACGACGTCCAGAAAGGGAAAACGGATGCAGAGGAGCGAGTTGAAGAAGGTCTCTTCGTCGAGTGGTGGGTTCGAGGGATACACTTCGAAACAGACCTTGTCTCAAAGGTTTATTTCGGAAGCGCTTTACAGTCCGTTTCATAAGTATAGGGCCACCCCTAAAATTGAATATATCGTCTTTCCCAAACAAAATACCACTCCAAGACCTTGAAAATCGAAATCAGCACTTCCAGAGTGTTTTCAGGGGTGGCCCTATACTTATGAAACGCCTGCAGAAGCCACTTTTTCAGATTTTCCAGCACCATGGCCTCAGCACCCACTGTACTGGCCCCAAAATTGTTTTCCATAGGTAACTTTTCATGCTAAATCCGATTTTCAAGGTGCGGAGGCATGATACTACCTGAGGAAGACGTGCCGGTGATTTTCAGGGGTGGCCCTATACTTTTGAAACGGACTGTATTGACAGAATTATCACTGAGCGAATATTGATTTTTTTGATTATAGACTTGGTGGCACAGTAATGTTTGTTTGCAGCCAAGACGAAAGTGTACGTGAACACCACTCAAACGTACCAGCAGATCATGGGCTTCGGAGCGGCGTTCACCGACGCGGCGGGCCTGAACCTCAAGACTTTGCCTCAGGCCATGCAGGATCAGATCATCGAGCAGTACTTTTCCGAGGAGGGACTCGGCTACGTGTTCGGAAGGGTTCCGATGGCCTCCACTGACTTTTCGACGCACGAATACAGTTATGACGACGTGCAGCTGGACTTTGCCCTCAACAACTTCAATTTGACGACTGAAGATTTCGAGTACAAGATTCCGTTCATCAAGAAGGCGATGACGGCTTCTGGCGGCAATCTGAAGCTCTTCGCGACGCCGTGGAGCTCTCCGGGATGGATGAAAACGTCGGGGAGGATGGTGGGCGCCGGAGAGCTTTTGGGCGACCAGAACGGGAAATACTACCAGACATGGGCACAATATTTTGTCAAGTGAGTACGGTTTCGACATTGAATAAGTGGGGAGAAGTATCGTTTCAGATTCTTCGAGTTCTATCACGCCGAGGGCATCGATTTCTGGTCGTTGACGCCTCAAAACGAGCCGACGACGGGCATTGATCCGTTTTGGAAATGGCAGACTCTCTTCTTCGACGCGTCCATGGAGAGAAACTTTATCAAAAAGCTGTTGGGGCCTGCGTTGGCGGCTTCGAATGTCACGAAGCATCTGAAGATTATGATCAACGACGATCAGAGGATCAATCTTCCTCACTGGCCGAATGTGGTAAGTGATTGTCTGCATACGCATCGACAAACTATCAGTGTTGAGCGGAATTCCGTCTGCCGTCTTCCGTCTTCCGTCTTCCGTGGTTTTTTTTGTTCCGTCTTCCGTCTGCCATCTTCCGTGAGAAAAGTTTTCTTCCGTCTTCCGTCTGCCGTCTTCCGTAAAAGAATGTTTCTTCCGTCTGCCGTCTGCCGTCTTCCGGGATTTTTTTTCTTACCGTAAAAGAGTAATAGCTTTTCAAAAGCCATTTACTAGTCCCGAAGAACGCGAATTTCCATGGGCAGTACCCAGATCCAAAAGTATTGTTGCATTAGTTATTTTTTTCAAAAAAAAAAAACCGGAAAAAAGGCTCTGCATTGACGATTTTTTGTTCCGTCTTCCGTCTGCCGTCTTCCGGGAAAAAAGTTTTCTTCCGTCTTCCGTCTGCCATCTTCCGTGAGAAAAATTTTCTTCCGTCTTCCGTTTTCCGTGTTCCGTAAGAAAAATTTTCTTCCGTCTGCCGTCTGCCGTCTTCCGTATTTCAAAATTCCACTTCCGCTCAACTCTGCAAACTATACGAAAATCGTCTATTTGTTGTGTGTCTGAAACTGTGACCTTTTCAGATTCTGACCGACCCGATGGCGGCCCAATACGTGCACGGAATCGCCCTCCATTGGTACGAGGACTTCATCGATCCGGCCACCGTCATCACGGAGACCCACGAGAAGTTCCCCGACTACTTCCTGCTGGCCACTGAAGCCTGTGCCGGGTACTTCCCGGCCGACGGTCCCAAGCTGGGATCATGGGCTCGAGCGGAGCAGTACGCGAACGATTTGATCAAAGACATTGGAAACTGGGTCGGAGGATGGGTCGATTGGAATTACGCGCTCAATTTGGAAGGCGGTCCGAATCTCGCCAAAAACTTTGTCGACTCGACGATCATTGTGAACGCGACGGCGCAAGAGTACTACAAACAGCCGCTCTGGCACGTGATGGCCCAGTTCAGCAAGTTTGTTCGACCCGGAAGTACGCGGATCCAGACGACGATCATTGAGAAGTCGGTCGATGTGGAGGGACTCTCGTTTCTGAATCAGGACGGGACCAAGACCGTCGTGTTGTTGAATAAGAACGAGGTGAGTGGGAGACCATTGTATATCAGTTGTCTGTAAAGCTATCAAAAAGTTGTCAACTAGTAAAATGTACGGAATTTCATAGGGAACATTTTATTAGTTAACATCTTTTTGATATCTCCACCCGCAACTGAAATATATTGTTTTGAATGTACGGTATACAAATGTACATGCGAACTTTCTCTCTTCAGGTTCTCGACTTCGACGTGTCTGTCAGTGACGTCTCCGCTCCTGACGTCATCTACGACCTGACGATTCAGGCAAACTCGCTGCTGACCATTGTGTATAAATGAAGACTTTACTTTATTACAATTTATGTACAGTATTAAAGAAAACCCGAAAGACTGGAGAAAACCCAAGTGTTGAGGACCTGATTTGACAATTATTTGGTTTCTTTTTTTTTCAAAAAGAAAGATGGTGCCTGGTTATCCATGAGATCCAGCGACTCGAACAAGGGAGGCGGCGTTGAGACAAACTTGGGCGCCCATTGAGGAAACGTTCCGGAAGAGACCGCAGCAGGCGATCTTGCCGTGTCTGGGAAAGAATTGGCGGATAAGCGGGAGGGATCGGAACTCGGACTCACTCGAACGAGGCCTTCCGTTGCTCCTCGAGCATTCGCGCCTCTTCGCTCCACAGTTTCGCGTAGCACGGAGCACTGAACTCACTGTTGAGCATGGTTTGGACGGCGGATACGGTAGCGGCGATGCCTCCGAACGTGGCGAACACTAAACGAATGGTTTTGAGTGCTGTTTTCGGTTTCCGACCAAGAAACCAAAGATTGAAGAGGAAAAGAAAGGGGGTACCTAATATAAGAATGTTAAGGAGCAGCTTGATCTTGTCCGAGTTTTGGAAGATTCTGAAAACAGTTAAAGTTGAATAAGTAAGGCCCATGGCCCATATAATCCACGTACTCTTTGACCGTAATCCTCTCCTCATCCTCCTTGTTCTCTCGCTTCTTCTTGATCGTTGTCAGCGAGAAGTTGAAGAGAATCGGGAGCACCAAAGCCATCAGGGTTACTGTAGATCCGCCCACAAGGTCGAGAAGAACGCCAAAGTTGGGGATGGACTCGGCGACGAACACGACGGAGACCATCACGAACGCGCGCGAGAAGATCCGTTGCCATCCGAAATTGTGCGACAGGTTGAGACACTCTTCGAACTCTTGATTCAAAGGATTGAAAATGATGGTCAACGCAAGTGCCACGTGGAGGGTAATCAGCAGATTGACAGTAGTTTGGATGTTGATGTTCTGCAAACAAAGCCCGTCAGTCTCGGTGTTTAAGAGAGGCTTACCTGGATGGACGGAATGATGGAGTCGGTGAGAGAGCTTCCGTAGACAAAGTATCCGCTCATCGAGACGGGCAGGTAGAAGATGAAGACGACGAGAAAGGCGATGGAGACGGAGCGCGAGAAGTGATGCGGCTTCCGCATGTCGTGTTGGATTGTCGGGAAAGCGCAGTGTCCTCCGTAGGAAAACATGACGGTGCCGAAGGACATGAGAGTCTTGGGCAGGTCGAACGGAGGATAGAACACCTCGTTGTGGCACACGTGATAGTCTCCGATCGAGCCGACGATTATGAGAACGACCGAGATCGTCGTGGTGATCATAGCGGCGACGACGGCGAACCAAAAGTCTTTGGGCGATTTGGGCAGGGTGAACGGGAAGACGAGGAGGCCGACGACGAGGATCATGTAGCAGAAGCTGACGTGCGTTCCGAAGTTCGCGTGCAGCATGTTCTCTCCGTTTTTCGCGGCGAGCAGGACGAAAACGACGGCCGTTCCGAACTGGGTCACTTGCAGAATTGCAGAGACAAAATGACTGGAAATTAGTGGATCTCTAGGTGACCGGAAGAGTGCAGAACTCACGCAAACCTGGGCCCGACGGCTCGATGTCCCATTGCTGGATAGGGTTTGCGGCAGTGGTCCCGATACTCCGGATACAACTCTTGCAGTATTGTCCAGTTGTCGGCCAGCAGTATACCGGTGTACGTGCAAATGAGCGCGGTCATGAGGAGCAAAAAGGCGCCGGTGACGGCTCCGGTGCTCACGATGGCAGTCGGAAGAGCGATCAGACCGCCGCCGGCCGTTTCGCCGACAATGAACAGCGCGGTGACGAGCATTCCCATGCCTTTCTCGTTGATGTGCGGTTGCGACATGACCGGAATCTGACAATATTAATATGTAGCGTTTGAAGGAAAAAAGATCAGTGTGCAATGAGAAGGATAATATTGGATATGGGCCAGTTGAAGCGGTAATGTTACTATTGGACATCCAGTATTCAATTCGACTTTTCAGTCGAAAAATGAGAAGCGTCGAAGGCGAAGAAGAAGTAGAAAAAGAAGGGAAATGATAGTTTGCCAAAGGTTTGTACATGTACTACTACAACTTGTTACAGTCCTCTTTACACTGACCCAAGCGGAAGAGTGATAGAGATGGCAATGTTTCGGCACTATCTCTCTTTTAAAGACGTCGCAATTTTGGGAGGAGAACACATAAAAGTTGGAGTGGGAGGAGTTCGAAAGGTGATTAGTCCTTGACGATATCTGCGTTTGGTCGGGACTAAAACCGTTTGAAATTGGACGATATTCAAAGGAGAGAAAGTGAAAGTTACCATGTTCTTCGAAGAAAATTCTATCACGTGAGAAGGGAGGTCTTCAAAGATTGCGAATGACAAGAAAGATCAAGGTTAGGAGGATGAACCGGAATACTTTGTGATCTTTTCGGGACCGCTAGTTTTGAAGTGAGGATTTTGGAGTTGAAATACGCTTTGAAACCGTTATGAAACTGTCTTTGCTTCGAAGTACGCTTTTCACTTTCGACGTTTTGTAACTGATCAAAAGTTTGCAGAATAACCTCGTGTAGTGAAGATCCGATGTCAGAGCGAAACTTTGAAAAAAAGATGAAACCGTTTTCTTTTTTTCTTCAACTTCTGACCGTGATCACTAATCTCCGTCTGGGCCATTTTGAGAAAATGTAAACGTTGGTGGCAAGTATCATCACTGATCTGATCGGAGGTAATAAAAGTTTAACAGTTCAGTTCAGCAAAGTCGAAAAGTTATTTCTCTCGTCGATCAACGATTTCCAAATATTCAAAGATCGCGTGACTTCAGACAGGAAATAGTCCGAATCGAGTGCAAGTGTCCGTTGTTTGTGTGGGAAAGTGGCAAAACAATGGTACAGACTACGTAAGGATTACAAGTTTTTGGGGAAATTGTATTTTGGGCTTTTTACACAACCCGTAACGTCTTAGCGTCTAGCAAAAATGAAAAAAAGAGCACCGCGAATCAAAGCTTCGTGCCAAGAGCAAAAGCGTTAGCCACACGGCCACGCGCACACCTGGAGCAGTCCGATGCGAGGGCGTAGACAAGAGCGCTGGGTGGCTGGGCGCTGCTAGAAACTGATCTCCGAGTTAAGAATGGATTGAATGTCCACTCGGAACCGAACCATAAAAATCGTCATCGGTCTGACTGTAGACACAAACATTTCAGTTTTTGGTTGACTTTTTCTGTTTCCTCTACGTCACTTGACCGTTCAAATGAAACGACAAGGAGGGTAATCAGAAAGAACAAAGAGGAAATGGAGAACGGTGTAAAAAGAATTAGAAACTTCTGCAAGAGATTCAATGTGAATTCAGAATTCGCACTTGTAGTAGACAGGACACGTTTTGAAGAAGCAGATTTATGGGCGGTTCTTCGTCTTCGTGTCTCTTTGAGAGATGATAATCACGTGAAAATGGATGCGCAAAGTTTCTTTCTCACGGGGGCGGCAAAAAAGGAGAGACGAATTAGCTGAATAAGCGAGAAGTGTCATGTTTGTGTGCGACGAGAAGCTGCAACTTCTTGAGCACAAAAGGAAGCGAAGGTCTCGTGCCGGGCTCATTAGTTGAAAGGATTCTAGATTTTCACGTCGTCCGCCTTCTTCGAATACTTCACGACGCCTCCGTCTTCTGTCCACTTGGCCGGTTTGTCGGTGAAGAAGATGAACGAGAGCACGTTCGCCTGAAATAATTTATCAGATGCTGAGGGGTATTGAAAGCGTAAATGGACATTTTGAAACAGTGAGATTTGGGTCTCAAATCGATTTTTCACCAACTTATGGGGCTATTCAGCGTATGTTTGTTTTCCGTTTTTTTTTCGTTTTTTACATCGCTGAATTGGGTTTTTTGACGTAAAAAAAACGTATTTTTTTAAACAGCTCACTAAGTTCTAGAAGTTTCTAAGGATATGTAGATAGCCTTCATGAAACAGCAGTTTCGTGTTTCAAAATGAGGACATCAAACGATTACCGACAGTAATTGTTACTGTTTGCATGATCCTTTTGCTCATTTACAGAAGAAAACTGGAAAATACGAGGCTCTAGGGCATTCGTGTACTTTTTGAAAAAGAAGTCTCCGGTTTCAAAATCATGGTAGTAGAAGTTTCACAGTATTATTGTGTTTAAAGGAAGTCCCAACATCTCACAAAGATCTTCTGAACTTTGCAGGTTTCCTGAACTTGGATTGAAGTATATTGGGTCCAAGTTTTAGACCAATAAAACTTGTAAGACCCCCGAAAAGCTCAGCCCTGCCGAAGACATACCAGGAAAGAAAACGATGCGAGCGTCAAAAAGACGTGACTCCATTGGGTTTGATTGGCCTCGTCGGTGACGAAGAAAGAAACGAGAGCGGGTCCCGAGAATAGCGAAATGCATTTTGTGAACTGAATTGCAGAGATTACGGTCGACGCGAACTGTCTGAAAATGTTTTTTGTTTCTTGGAAACTCAATCGCGCACACTCCGACCTCGAGTGCAAAGTGCCGCACTTGTAGAACCCGCCGCAGTTGAAACTGATGAAACATTCGAGAATGGCGAGACAGATAACTGCCGAAATGCTGTGTTCCGGGGGGATTTGACCGAAAATGATGAAGGAAATGCCGACGAATCCGACGGCCAGCGTGTTGAAGATGTGGATTTTCGAGAGTTCCGAGACGCATTTGGCCTTGTCGCTCAGAAAGGCGCACACGAAACGGAACGGCAGATGGATGGCCGTCAGGAGTCCCAAGTAGAAGCCGATTAGTTTGATCTGAACAGTTTCCAAGTTTATCAAAAAGTTTGGAGATCGTTCCGGACTAACATCGAATCCCAGAACGCTTCTGAAGTAAATCGGAGCGTACGTGGCAATGAGAATGAGTGTGGAGAGCTCGGTGAACGCGCAGAGCCAAACTGTGAGCACCACGGGACTCGTGAAGATCGCCGTGTACGGAACGGCCATTCCGTCCTTCAGATGAGCCTCAGACTTGTTCTTTTGGATCCGTCCCAACTCTTTTTCGCTGACACTTCTATGCACCGACGGGTCGTCCTTGTAAACGAGTACCCATGCGGTGAAAACGATCAAGCATGCGATCGCGTGCAAATAGAAACTCCATTTCCAACCCAACGAACTAGCACAAATCTGCAAAAAAACGCGATAGGTCCCACCGAGATTTGAACTCGGGTCGCAGGATTCAGAGTCCTGAGTGCTAACCGCTACACCATGGAACCGACGGCTGGCCAGGGCTGCGCGGGCAAACACAAGACCGCTGCCTGCCGGCCGCACTCACCACTCCGCTCAATCCGTTCGTGATAATCGAGGCGATGGAGGTGAAGGAAGTGAGTGTTGCGATGAAAATTGCCGTCTCTTTTAGGGGCGCCCACTTCGAAATGACTATTCCGATGGCGGCGAAGTCGGCCGAGTACGCGACACCCTGCAATTACTGACAATATTCCCGAAAATTCAAGTAAATACCTGCAGAAATCTCAAAATGATAAAAATTGACATTGACTGAGAGGCGGCCCAGGGGGTCAGTCCGGTTGTGATCGCAGAAAGGACACCAGCGAAGAAAAAGGGAAATCTGAAAGTCATTAAGATTTTTTTAAATAAAACTCTGAAAAAAAGGTCACTTTGCTCCGAATCGAACGTAAAGGATGTTAATCGGAAAGGTTCCGAGCATGGTTCCAAATGCGACCGCCCATAAAATGTACTTCTTTTCGGTCGGAGTGTAGTCATAGATGCTCGTGAGTGTCTGCAAATGGAAAGATTTCAGTCCGACTTTGTTGAAACTCTAGAAATTGCTGTTTTACGAAAAACCTGTTTAATGCGCCACGGCCTCCAGAGCTGACAATATGGGCGTGGCCTCGGCGGCCAAATGGCGTTTTCATGAATTGAGCAGGTTTTCTTTGATTTTTGTCGTCAAAGGCGATGAAAAATGATTGTTCGACATGAAAATACACTAATTCTCAGAATTAATTAACTTTTGGCGCATTTTTCGCGGACTTTGCTTTTTCGCCTTCGCCGCCTAAAAACCGCACTTCTCATTTTGCGCTTTCTTGACCGTTTTCAGACAGAATTGGCTTTGAGAATGATAAATCACGTAAATACAAGCATTTTGAGCGCTCGAACCGCGAAAACTACCGAAAAGTAACTGAAATTCACGCAGTTTTAGCCAAAAACCTTCAAACGGATAAATGTGATTTGCGACTTGACCAAATTTAACGCTCTTGCGCTTAAAAAATTTGTAATAGCCTATACAATCGATTTATCGAGAGACAAATAAGAAATTATCGGTTTTTCGTGGCTAATCTGGAAAAAAAACACAAATTTTGCAGTTAAAATTTAAATTTCGCGCCAATGTATCGCTCTATTGGGCGGGGCGCACTTGCTCCCATTGTCAGCTCTGGAGACCGTGCGCGCATTAGTCTATTCAACTATTAAAACCATCTAGGCTACATACTTTTTTGCAACATGAAGCAGTAATAACTCGTTAATTTCCTAGGAGCTTCAATTTGTTCTCTAAACAAAGATCGTTCCCTCAGAATCAAATAGAAGTATCGTTTTTTCACAAGTTACCAAGCTGGTGAAACTGTGATTTCAACTGAATGACATCGTCAAACTACAAATTCCATGGTTCTAGATTTGTCACGTGTCCAAAGTGTTTGCACTGAAACTGCACCGAGAGGAGGATTGTTGAGAGTGTTTGGTTGCAAATGTCTCCATAATTACGACGGAGAACAGTTTTTGGCAGTGTGGAAAATGGGGCAGAAGAACACGATTGGAACATTATTGAACTAAAGAAATTCGTAAATTTCACTGTTTCTAGAAGCCGATATAAAAACTATGTGTTTTCATTGTTCTCCACCCGAGAAATGAAACTCCAATCTCTGTACTGGTTTTTAATTGAACCCTTCGAACCCTCTGTGTCTAGACACCCTTTTTTAGTGCCTAGAATCGGGTCCGACGTTTTCTCGTTCGTGTACACCTCAAAAAGTCAGTTTCCAAAACGACAGTGTGCTCGACTTCCGCCTACAGTACCCCGTTGACGTCGCGCGCCTCGCTGAGGTCATCTTTCATGCAAATGAACGTAAAATTGATGATGATGTAGTTGGAGCACACGGAAACGAGGCACAGGAAGCTGATGAGCACGATGAGCACACGGAAATAGTCGCCGCACACGCGCATTCTCTCTGAAAATCGATTGAGAAAGGTGTGTTTTGTGGCGAGAAACAATCGGAAAACGAGTTTGTGGCACGAGGTGGCAATCACATAATAATAATGAAGACGAAGAAGAAGAGGGAGGGGGAGGGAGAGAGAGAGAGAGAGAAAGAGATATTGTCCGTCTGCAAAATAGGTTCAGGCAGGTCAATTTGAACATTGAAAGTCAGTCAGCTATCATCCGATTCTGCTTCTATTTGTGTTTTCTTCTCGCAAGAAACGGAACGGAACAGACGGTCGGAAACGAAAAACAAACAGTGTATCGCGTACTTCTTTATTTATTTACAACCCGCAATCTGATTAGGAATCAAAATGAAACAAGACGGGATACTGTAGCTACAGTAATCCCCATTCAGGCCGAGTCGCTCGCCTCGTCGATCACGTCGTTGTGGCTGTTCAGGATGCCTTCCGACACTTCTGGCCGACGCGAACGGACCACGAAATCGGAGGAGCTGAAATAAAGTATTATTGTTTTTCTTTCGAAGAAACAAAAAGTATAACGAGTCTTAGAAACTGTAAATGTATGGTAATACTTGTAACGTTTATTCAACACGATTTATCTCAGTCGCCGGTAGAGATATCCAAAAATTGTCAACTAACAAATTATTCGGCGAAAAATTTTGTACATTTTATCAGTTGACAACTTTTTTATATCTCCACCGGCAGCTGAGATACGTCGTCTTGAATGAAGAGTACCTGAAATCCCTCCAATTTTCGCAATGATCACTATGAACTCATCACTTTTTCGTTTGTTTACATGAAGAGTTCAGAATGATCGATCAAAACTTGCAAAACCGGAATTTTTGGATTATCCGTTTGTACGTAGTCGTTGAAAACAACTCAATTCGAAACCAGATATCGGTACTCCGGTGTGAATTCTATTTCCATCGACCTAGACGGTGTCAGAGATCACTATGAAGACTTTTCTGGCACTTGATTTAAGTGTTTGGAGCTGAAAACGTGCTGAAAGTCACATCTTGGCCTAGGATCCGATGGAGTTTTCTAGGCCAAGCTTGTCAAAATGTCATTTTTCTCGGAACAAACTGTCCAAGCTTCAGATGAGACATATTTCCATAAAAAGGGCGGTTACCAAAGTCAAATACCCCCGAACTTTTTCTATGACCATCCTGAAACAGTACCTGACAATGGAGAAAGGCACGAGAAGCAGTGCCGCACTGATCAAATACAGTAATCCGGGGAAGAAGGTGAGCGTTTTCGGATAGAGATTATTGTAGATCGAGGTGGCGACGAGAGTGGTGACGCCTTCGAGCAGGGAGATTACCGAGAAGATCTTCCCTGAAATTATACGTTTTTGAGAAAAAAAGAAGAAGAAGTGTGAAACCTTGTTCGTGCATGTCAATTAGAGAAGAGATGAACGCTCGGAAGCCGGTCGAAACGAATCGATTGAACATTACCACGACTGGAAAAAAGCGTTGGCTTTGAAGGCATATATCTCAGGAATCGGTGATGATTTCAAAAAGTTGTCAACTGCAATGTTGTAGCAAATTTCAAGAGCTCTAATTTTGTAATTGACAACTTTCTCTCAAAGTGTACCGTTTTCGAGTTGACTGACCTGCAATCGAATAGGCCATCGGTTCGTTCTGCACAAAGGCGAACATGACCAACGAGACCATTTTGAAGGACAATCCCAGACTGGCCAACATTCCGTCGGACATCCATTTCATGCGCAACAACGGGTACAAAAAGAGCACGGCGGCCGTCGTGATACCGTACGAAAGGCCCGAGAACCAGCCGTATTTCTTGTCGCCCCACTTGAGTTTGTACCTCAAATACGAGTACTGAATGTCCGAGAGTCCCGAGAAAATGAGCATTTCGACGCCGAACGCGAGCAGATTCAGCGCAAGAATGAGACGAAACGGGCGGGATTTGGTGAGCACACGGTAGAACTCGCGGATCACCGAGATCAGTTGTTTGCCTGTCGTCGAGATGAGTGCTGAAAGGAAATAGTACATACTTTCAAGTGAATTAGAATGTCTGTTTCGCAATACTCTGAAACTTTCGATTGTTCGACATCTCAACAGTATCTCTAACTGTCTCGATATCATCGGAACCCACAAGTGTGCTCATCCGGCCGGACGGGTTCGAACTCGGACTCCTTGGCCAGCACGAGCAGGTAGACGAGGGCGACGAGTTGGAGGCCGAGGATGATGAGGAAGGTGACCGCGTAGCCGCATGCTCTGAGTATTTCAGTACTTTTCAGTTTCACTGGGTTCCTAAAAGGTCACAACAAGGAGTTTGGGTGCTCAGTCGTCAGCATGTAAAACGAACGGTTTCAGTGGTACTACACAATATGAAATGAGGGTATTGAAGGTATGTTACTCACTCTCTGATGGTCCCCGAGAGTGCGAATCCGACGGTGCCTCCCAGTCCGATGGCTCCTTCGACTCCGGCGATACGGTAACTACGGTAGCGGAGCATGCTCGTCTTCACTCCGTACGTCAGTGTTGTCGCTGAAAATAAGAGAATAGAGTTAGAAGTGAGTCTCTTGTCCAACTTCCCCTCAAAACACGTCGTTTCAAACTCACAAATGATGGCGATGAATCCGCCGCAGAGTCCGAAGAGCGCGTCGCTGATAAGGAGGAAATAGACGGAAGTGTGGATGAAATACGACTGGAACACGTAGTTGATGGTGCCGAGAATGCAGCCGACGTACGGGATTATCAGCGGGATCTTGATGCTCCAGTAGTCAGTTGCTGCAAACTATTATCTCTGTCAAAGTGTACACTCTATGCTACCGAAAGACCATTTTGAAACAGGGGAACAGCGAATCTTCTTCAACTGAACCGGAATGTAAAACTACCGCACTGAATGCTCATTTTGAAACAGTGACTTGAGAGAGAGAGGGAGAAAACTGACCTGCGCCAAGGAGAAGAGTGGTGACGAGGGAGGGGCAGAGGAGGGTGAGTGAGGAGATGAAGTAGAAGTGATTCGCCGCACTCTGGATGTCCTTGTCGTCGTAGTAAGCGCCGACGTCGCGGCAGAACGACACGTTCTGCAAATGATTCACTTCGGCGCCCACAATTACCAAACAAATATTATAGGAATGGCGCTCTGTTGAAATGGCGCTCTGTTGAGAAACTCTTTTTGCAGTGCAAATTGAGCGTTTTCAGTGGAAAATTACTTCGCGGCCCGGAAATTCGGCCAGATTGTGAACAGCGCGCCCTTTCTGTCCGGTGCCCCGATAATATGATCGCGGTGTTTGTCTGCAATCGCGCTCTGTTCGCAGTATGGCCGCGAAGTAATTTTCCACTGAAAACGTGGCCTAACTTTTCAAACTCGGCCCCGAGGCCGCTCAATTTGCACCGCGAAAAGAGCGTCTCAACAGAGCCATGTTTTTTAAAAGATTTAACATGCCGATCATGGATAAATCAATGAATCGGTTGAACTATTCATTACTTCATCACACTATTTTGAAACTGTGAAATCACAAACATTTCACAAAGCGACAATTCTCTGTCAATGCGAATGCTACCAATTTGAAAGGTTTCCGTCCCCTTTTTGAACCCGTCGATTTCGAGACTAACCTGTTGGTACTTGATCAGACATTCCTTCTCGTAAATGAGATTCTGGAAGACCGGATAGTTGAGGTAGGATCCGAGCATGTAGAGACACAACGGAATCTCCATTCCCAACATTCGGAGGTAGCGAATCATGTCTGAAAACGATCAAATTGAGGGCCAAAACGGGGCGAGAATGGCGGCTGGTCACCTGTTTTAGTGGCCAAAACACGAGAGTCGAGGAGACGCAGACGCAACGACGGAACGGAACAACAACAAGGACACACTTGTGTGAGGTCTAGCGAAAAAATGGAGATGCGGGGGGGAGGAAATCGAGCAAATTTGTCAGTGTGAATGTCAATGCAAAACCGACGAAATTGGAGTGATAAGAGAGGGGAGAGAGGGCGGAGACGCAGACGGCGAAACGGAGGGTAATTTGATGAAACGGCGAGGAGGAGGAGGCACAGTTCAGTTTCTGGTCGTTTCCGTGTGCTGTTGCAACCGATCTTTTTGATCTGAAGTGGTTTTCCCTTCTGTTTTGCAATATTCCAATTGGACCAGAACTTTTGGGGATGAAGTGAAGTATCTAGGGACCTATTTTCGTGTGGCTTTCGCCGAAATTCGATTCTGATCCTGAACGACCTCGAAAAATCTGGAATTTCTGGACTAGAAGACTACTGATACCGCTGTAAAGGGCGTCAAAAGTTACATCACTTACTCGAAAATCACTGTAAATCCGCTGAACTTTGGACACGAATATCTCGAGATTCAATCATTATTTCAAAACGTGATCAACAGAAAAGTTGTAGACAATTTTGTGCTTGACAACTTTGTAGTTGTTCGTTTTATTCCAAATACCGTCATTCCAAAGTTATGGTCTCATTTTTAACAGTTACCTTTTCGCTGAAAAAAGATGGGCTAGAAGTGCTAGACTCTTGAACTTTTCGTGTATATTAGGGGTACGTTTTACTGCTGTCGCGCTCTACCGCAATCCCACGTGAATTCAGTGCTAAATTGGAAAAGGTCGGGTTTTCACGTAGGATTGCGGTAGAGCGCGATTGCAAAGCAATGCCGCCATAACAAGAATGTATAACAGTTAATGTAATGTTGTAATGTTTTCTCTTCAAAAAACCGATTGTATTGTGTTGATTTGGAAACAGGATAACACAAGTTTATCAAAAGAGGGGCGGGGGAGGGAGAAAAAGGAGACGACGAAATGGAATGGACCGACTAACAAGGAGAATAAGTAAGCACAGACGGGGATCGGAGTGGAGGGGAAGTTTCGGAAGAGAGGCCGGACCGGATCAATGGTCTTTTGGCTGCGGAGCCGGGGCGACCGGGTAGGCGCACGAGGCGAGGTACTCTGTGAGACGCTGTTGGGCCTTCTGGAGACGGTCCAGCTGATCGAAGACCTCTTGAACTCGATCCGACGGGCACGCGGGCTCTTCCGGAGTCACCACTGGGCTGAAATGAGAGCGAGTACGTGCGATTTGTGATTCACTTTCTGCACGCAAAACACTCTTCCTAATGAGATTGAATAATTCTGGAAAAGTTTTTCGCGCTTTGAAGCGTATCGCGTTTTATAATTCCGAGTGTGAATACACTTGGCCTAGAGATCGCCCCACGCAAAAGTTAGGCCACTAGTCGGAAAAGAGAAGGGCTCGAGAATCGGAGGGCAGGTGAAACGAGACGTCTGCTCGCATTTTAATGGCAATCTGATATGGACACGAAAAAGAAAGAGCTTTGGTCGGAATGTTTTCGAGTTACATCCCTTTTTTGTATAATAACAAAAATCAGAAGGTCTGCAGCACCGATTGGATTATCCACGGATGTTTGCCAGAGTGGGATTAATCGAATAGCGCCGGATCGCATCGTTGGACTCTTTGGGAAGTCAAACTCACAACTGCGACTTGTGCAGCATGGCTCTTTTCTTGGTCCACTGGTCGGTGAACGTCATCTGACCGGCCGAGAAGGCGAGAAGCATCACGAAGCACAGCATGGCGAACAGTTGCATTCTGCTTCTGAAAATCACAATGAACGTTCGCTTGAATAGAAGTTTATGAGAAAACGGAAACAGGAATTGTTGAGATGATATCAAACGTTCATACCAGATTCAGAAGACGTCGTATTGTCCTGAAACTTGCTTGAGTGTCTTCTACACATCTTTTACTTCATTTTTGCAGTTGACACTCTTTTTGTGCCATCACTCGCAAGACTACAATAGCTCGTTGAAGATTGTATACGATTTTCAAATGGCGCAACTTCCAAGAGCTATAGTAGGCTTAGAAATGACGGTACAGAAATGGTGTCAACGGGAAAAATAAAGTAAAAGGTACGTAGATTTCAGTCAAAACATTTCTAGAACGATAGGACGTCTTCTAACGATGATATGTGTGCTTACACACATTTCTCCCTTTCAATTTGATATTATCGATCGTAAGGGTCCTTAATCAAGTTTTCCCTCTGGAAAAGGGCTTCCGGCTTCCGGCTAAAAAGTCAGTAGCAATGACTCGTCACAATCCCTTCCTAATAAGAATTATCCGGCTAATCCTCGTCTCATCTGATTGTGTTTGCACCAGATTCTCTAGTACTGTAAGTGTTCGTGGCGGGACCGGACAACTTTTACGTGGAAATTCGGAAATACAATTGAGAGCACGAGACGTAAATGCTAATCCGATAGAAATGTGGCCGGGGGGGGGATTAGAAAAACGGCGCGACTTTTTGATTGGCACCGGGATTATTCCCCCCGGAAATCAATGGGGTTTCCACGGCGCTAATCCTTGCTCCGAGGGGTACGGTAGGCACCTTGTGACGAATATTGGCCAGACTTTTGATGCAATGATCTTTTAAAGTTCGCAAAGTTACGCTCCGCGAACAAAAGGATTTGCGGTTTTTGGACGGGGAGGAAGCCACAACAAATCTTTGATCGTAAAATGGATATATGAATAATAATAGGAGTTATTATGGCGCGAGCGGGACAGCAAAAGACGGAAAATGCACCGGGGGAATCGAACTTGCGACGTGTGTTTTGGCAAAACTGTTATCCACTTGGCCAAGCGCACACTTGCGATGTGGGACTGTAAGGGCGTATACATAAGCGCGCATTGTCGATGCTAAGCGGCACTGCTAGAAGCCGGAAATGACTACGAAAGGAAGAGGAAATATGGAAGAATATCGAGAAGTTTCCCACGCCGCCGTTTTTCTTTCGGAGAAACCACAAAAGCACGAGAATGAGTCAGAAAAAGGGAAACGGAGGCAGGTGGAAGGATGTCTCCGCGTGATGAGTGAGAGCCGGAGCCGCAAGAAAGGGGGCGGCGCCACGAAAGACGGAGCCACAGGGGGCGGGGCTTGCGAGGGCAGGTGAGTGTCTGCTCCCTCTCTCCCTCTCCCCCTCTCCCGACTTTTCGGTTGAATTGGTGACTAATTGGAGGTGCGGGGGGAAGTGATAAACAGACGCGAGAAGGAGAGGATGTCTGGAGGTAAACAGCCCACTCACCGCCGCCTTCTGACACCCTTTTCGAGTGTCTGGATTCCAGAAGGGAAGATGCTTGGAATCATGCCAAACTCGATTCGAATCGGAAATGAGTTTGGAAGAAGAAGAAGAAGAAGAAGGAAAAGTAGACGAAGTGAATGTGTTTTGATTCGATCAAATCGAGCAAGAAACCGAGTGGATGACGTGGCAGTTGCATAGATGAATTCCGAATCAGCTGCGCTCGGAGCAGTGCAAAATTTTCGCGACACGCAACAGATTTTCATGTTTCGTGCTCTATTGAAAAGTACTTTGTGGTACGTGGCAGCCATTGAACCGGGTTCCCGTCGCGTATTAACAAAGGATAAAGTTGTCGACAGCTTAGCCAGGGAACTTTTCATTTTTTTCTACAAAACTTATCATTTATTAGCTTTATTTGAGCTTTATTAGAGCTCGATGAAACTGTAAACGCATGGATCTTTTACTATCAGAGTTGAGCGGAAATGGAATTTTGAAATCCGGAAGACGGCAGACGGCAAACGGAAGAAAAATTTTTTTACGGAACACGGAAAACGGAAGATGGAAGACGGAACAAAAAAATCGTCAATGCAGAACCTTTTTTCCGGTTTTTTTTAAAATAAATAACTAAAGCAACAAAAATTTTGGATCTGGGTCATTGCCCGTGGTAATTAGCGTTCTTCGGGGCTAGTAAACGGCTTCTGAAAAGCTAATACTCTTTAACGGTAAGAAGAAAAAATCGCGGAAGACGGAAGACGGAATTCCGCTCAACTCTGCTGCAAATGTTCACAAAAACTTCATTTTCCCAGCCCTCTCTACCAGTGCACACACAATTCGCCAAGAACCTCAAGTGATCCATAATTAATTTCTGTGAAAAAGTGTTCACACTTCTGAGAAACCGACAATATTTTCGATTTTTTCGAAAGCGTGGGCGAACACGTGAGAACTTTTCACACTCGCAAACAAACGTACGACAGAAGTGTGGGCAAGTGCTAAATTTGAAAATGATGCGGTAGAGCGACAATGCCAGAACCAATTAGCAATCGATTGAATGAAGTGTATGAATGAATAATTGCATGTTCACACTTTTCAGAAACCGAAAATATTTCTTTCCTCTTTTTCGAGAACTTGATGAATCAGACAAAGGTACGAATGGTTTGGAGTCATGTCTGGTCCCAAAAGATCAAAGTGTGGTCCCAGTTGGATGGTCACAGTTATGCACTAGTTCATCACTCGAGCAGTTCCTCTTTTCGTCTAGACGCGCGCTCGAAAAGACACTAAAAAACCGGCACCCGAACAGAATTTTCGATTAAACTCTTTTTGCATTTTGCACTCGCTCGCTCCTCTCCTCTCCTCTCCTCCAATTTGTGCGCTTTTGTGCCGAATGCTGCTCCGATATCCATGCCGCATTCAAAAATGCGCTCCTTTCGACCGAAGACTACTTGATCGCTCAAAGACGGAGCAAGAAAAGGGTGCGACGTCACTTTTGGGGGACGGAATTCAATTCGGAAAGGGAATCCAATCTTTTTTCCAATCATTTCAGGTGAATACGCATCGCTTTTCGAATCGAAATTGATGGAAAAAGAGCGGTGTTTTCCGCCGAAATTGTTCGGGCACGAATCTGGAGGAAACGAGTGTTTGGCTGAAGGAAATGGCGATGCGAATAACAGTTTCAGCCCGGAGCGAGGGGATACATTTTCAGAAGATTCTTGAATTTACAACGGAATAATCGATAACGATTCGTCAGTGTTCAGAAAGTCGATTGAGTGCTTTATAGGCACAACGAAACGGTTATTATTGAGCCATTTCAATGTGAACGCGCGAAAACGGCTCGGAGACACGAATGGAAGAGAAACACCAACTAGTCCCCCGGCCGTGTCGATTTACGCGCACTTTTTCGTCGATTTTCGCAATTTTGTCTGTTTTTTTGCTGTTCTATAAACACTTTCTCAGATTTTTCAGTAGCAAATCAGAAAAAAAACGGAAAAGAAAGCATTTTTCCTCTAAAAAAGCAACAAATTGCAAAAATCGTCGAAAAAATGCGCGTAAATCGACACGGCCGGGGGACGAGCGCGTGTTTCTCTTCCGTCTGTCGTTTATTCTTCCAGTTAACCACATTATTGTACCGCCACTCGGTTCGAAATCGTATGACTTCTAAAGGCTACAATAGTCTTGGGAGTGGTCGTACAAAAAAGGTGTCAACTGGAAAAATAAAGTACGAGACATGGAGAATTCACTCAACACATTTTCAGAGCGATCCGACGTCTTCTAGAGTTGCCATGTACACCCAAATTTTCAAAAATTTTAAAAGACAGCATTTTTTATCGGTTTCATAATGTCATTGTTGAGATTTGAGAACATGCTGAAACTGGGATCCCCCTCAAATCCAAGTCCAACAAGTTCATGATTGTTTCTATCCATTTGATGACGTGGCACTAGCTCCCACTCAATTGAAAGTCTTCAAAGTATTCGATTTTTCGTGACGTCCACACACTTGCACAATCCTTTCCGTTTGTATCATTCTGACCCTCAAATCATCTCAATTCCTTCTCAAATCCTTTCCAAATCACATTCCAAGTACGTTTTCGTCTCTCGAAACAAAACAAGTACCGTATGCCAATCAGATGGGCATTATTTCTCGTTTGGAAGTGATTTTGATTATTAGGCCGCGGATTATAGTTGGCAGAAAAGATTAGGAAGCGATGGATTCTCGGGAAAAACGGAGGGAAACTAGGGGGACTAAATATGGGCATTCTCGGATGATAGAATGATATCATTTGCATAAATGAGTGCAAAATGACCTGCAAGTGGTCAGAGCTCATCCAGAAAGAAAGCATTTTCAATGAGGAAACGGAAAGGGAAACGGAGTAATTTACAATTCAGACTTGAAGTGGGATTCACAGAAAGTTTTTCCGTTTTGAAAAGATGAAAAGGAAACTAACTTGCTGCTCATCCACGTTCATGATTTTTAGGATTTTTCGAAGTATTGTCACAATGCCAGTGTGGTTGCGGCAAAGGAAAACAAAAACTCGGTTTCAGAAACAGTAAATATGATTTTGTTTTCAACTTTTTCGTGCTCATGGTCTAAACTGATGTAAACCAAGTTTCGCGGTGGCCGAACTCGACAAAGGAGAAATTCTCGGTCACTGTAGACTCAGTTTCTGATATCCATCAAAGCGGTGACAAAATTGAGTGTTTCAGTCCGAGAATATAGGCTGAAAAGACAACTTTGCTGCAAAAAACATATCTAGGTTAGAAAGGTCCACAAGGTGCAAAGTTCTTCCACAAATCAAAGACAATTGTGTTAATGTCCCCCGAGGTCCCTAAAAGCCGGTCCCCGGACGGACAAAAGACTCGAGTCTAGACTTCATTCATTTGGGATCAAAGAGTACTGAACAAAAGAAAGAAAGTCTCTGCTCATTTTTTTTTTTTGGAGCGGAATTATGGTTTCCCAACAAGAGTATTGTTGTTTTGACCAAATACCTTCGAATTTATAATTTCTGACTTGTAAAGACTGAAAAACCCTAGTTTTGCTCAACATTTGCCGACAAAATGTACGCTTCTTAAGAGACTGTAAACCCGGAAGTTCCTCCTTCAAAAATGACGTCTCCGCGCACTTTTTAACTCGATTAGAAGCCGTGTACTTTCGTTGCACACTCACATTATCTTGTACCGGACTGGAAATCACATTTACAGGGTTCTTGTAACAGGAAACAGTTGAAAATAACCACGAAGCCATCCACAATTCCATTCAGAAGCCATTGGAAGATCAAATGTTCAAATTCCGGATTCTCTGTTTCGTGATGAGACCGAACACTAATTTAAGGAGTTATTTTAACGGGAATGACGGACGGGAATGAAAAAAAGAGCCCGTGAGCTTCGTTTCTACACAAACACCACGAATAGCACATTGTCTTGGCCATCCTCAGAGATCCCCCCTCCGCTAATCCGTTTTCCATTCGGCGTGAGGTTTCAGAAATAGAAATAGAAATGCATAGACGACACACGTGCTATTGTAGGACGGGCGGATTAGAGTGCGCATTGAATGGATGCAAAGTGAGGTATTCTTATTCTTATTACGCACTCGCAAAGGATGACGATGCGGAATAGACACGTACGAGCCAGATTGGGCGGGGATGACAGAGGGGAGCACAGCTCTGTCTAACTTTAGAATAAAGGAAACATGTTGCAGCAGACACAAATACTAGAAAACGACAGACTGAATCTCGAAGCCAGATCTAGCGTATTAGACAACCTCATGAAACACGAAATTGGTTACAAAGGAGCTCGAGGAGTACCTCAAATTCACTGGCTAACTCAGAACTTTGAGCCCAGAAACTCAACCAAACTATGCGATTCCGAAACTTGCTCAGAAGATGATCTCCATTCAGAAGCGAGGCGGAATAGGAAGTGCGACGCGTCAAAGATCACTGTCGAAAACGCGGGCGGGCGGGGGGTCCTAAGAACCGAAAGAGACGAGAAGTTGTTGATGAGTTGTTGGTCACGGGCGGCGGCACTCTGCTGCCTCCTTGCCTTCAAATATGAATTATTCCATTAGCAGCAACTCTCACAAGTCTACCTGAGACTCTCGGAGAGCACGGGATTGCGGAGGTGCAACTTGCAACAAGGGGGTTGATGGATTGAAAACTTGACAAAAACATACTACTACCAGGAATCTTCTATGAAACTAAAGAGGAGCTGCTGAAACTGGAAAAAAAAGATGCAAAATGGCTACTTTCTCAGAATGTCAGAGAATGAGAATGAAAAGGAAAAGTGCACACTTTTTGGTGAACTTTTGAAAATGGAAAGAGTCGAGCTGATTTGGCTTTGGCATTTTTATGTTTTTGATTGGGGTTTATGTAGGTCACAAAAGTTTGTACCAAAGATAGAGTCATCATGATTCATGAAACTGCAAAGGACAGTGTGAAATAGTCTAGTATTTCCGTTTCAGAAAAGTCAAAAGTACGTAGGGAAGGTTGACAATGTCAGTGTTTTTTGAGGCTCCTCAAAAAGGCACCGTATTCTCAAACGACAATCTGCGAGTGCATCCATCGAAATCTTCTGGTTTTGCAAGAAAAAATTGATTAGTTGTCCGAAAGTGTGGGAGAAAAGAGAAAAGTGAGGGGAAAGAGTTCTGGGAAAATAACAAGCTGGAAATTATGAGAATGAAAGTGTGTGTCTGGCGGAGAGAAGAAATAATTATGAAAAGAGAAAGAGATGACAACAAAAATTAACCAGGGGACTGGAGAACGGATTACAGACGAAAAAGTTATGGTCAGAGAGAAGCTGTACAAATTTGAGGTATCAGTAGGCAAAGTTTTTTTTAATTAATGAAATTGACTTCTGGATCTATTAGACACCTCTCAGAAACTGTAAACTATTCGTAATGGCGGTGACTCGTTTCGCGTTCGAAAATTTCGTGCTGCGCCTTTAAACTACCGTAGTAAACTACATTTAAACTGAATTTGCAAATTTCTGTGCTAAATTGATGAAAACATGTCTTTTTCGCCCGTTTTGCCGCATTTCGACCCAATTTTCACTTCACCACACAAAAATTTAGCCGAAGACTTTCAATACACCTCAAATGGTTTGTGATAGAACCAGACTTTTTCAAAGTAAAATGAAACTGAAAAAACTCTTGAAATTAGTCATTTACGTCTGAAAAACGCAGTCAATCAGATTGGTTATTCCAAAAATATCTAAATGTTTTGCTTTTTTTGCTGTTTTTGTGTGACAAACCATGCTTTTAATGAGAAAACAGGGCAGAATGAGAGAAAAGCGTTAAAATGCTCGAAATAGTTCGCCAGCGCCCGAAAAAGAGGAGCGCCTGTCCGCCGCATTAGAACCCTCCTCCGTCTTGCTCTTCCGTTTTCGGTCGTCAATGTTTGACAAGCCGTCGTCAAACCGCATGCAAATGTCTGTGGATGGGCCGAAGGGACCACGGGATCCCACGCCCAACGAGTCCTCGGTCCGCCTGCGTCTCCGCTTTCCGTGCTCTTTCCCTCCCCCCTCTCATTCTTGTCATTCCTGCCCGCACACACAAAAGTACTGTCCCGTTTTCTCTCTTTTCTGTTCACAAAAATGACCGCGATTCGATGTATTCTGCTGCTTTTTCTGGCGAATTGTACGAATGGTTCCACGACAAGCGTCGATTTCAAGTTGAAGGGGAACGAGACGACGATTGAGGAGGTCGAGTTGGAGCAGGATTACGGTAAGATGACAGAAACAGGCCATCATATGGGATAGGTGGAACAGAAATGTTCACTTCAACTGCTTCTGATTCTCTGAACTGATTCTGCAACTCTCAAGTGCTCCATCATCTCAGGCTCACAAAGAGCCCTCTCTCTCTCTCTCTCTCATCTAATTACTCTCTTCAGACCCATCATCATCATCCCATTTCCTCGCACTTCAAACGTCATCGCCCGTGTCTGTTCTGGTGTCCAAAGATGCCAAGTGTGCGGCCATTCCTCTCCTGGAAACCGCCGGAAGTGCAGATATTGAGATTCCACTGGACACGTGGCACAGTGTCATGGAGTGCGGTTTCGGGAAGAACAAGGGGAAACTCTATTTCCACGTGGCAAGCGAAGAGCTACCGGCTCACGGAACCCTCAGTTTCTACACCAATCGAGCGGTTCTGCGGGCCGAACCGACGACAGTATCCCAATTGGATGCGAACCGTTTTCAAGTGTCAGAGAACAACGCGTACACTCGGAAGATCAAGTTGGAAAGTCTCGCCGACAGTGTCGAGATTCGTTTGACGTCGGAGAATGTCGAGAATGCGTTGGACGTCTACATAACCTTTTGCGCGACGAACAAGGGAATTCTGTACACGACCTCCTACGCGCCGAGTTTGGACATCACTCTCAGAAGCCCCCGGATGGAGTTGTATTACGGTACGTTCATTCTGACTTCTTGAATCGTTTCCAATCTCCAGACGCCTACTCGTGCGACTCCAACATCACCTTCTACAGTAACTCTTCTCAACCGGTCTCTCCCCTCATCATACGGTACTTTCAAACATTCTCGAAGCTTCTATCACACACACTTTTTCAGTTTGGAGTCCCAATACACAATAAACGGCACGATAAGTGTGTTCGTAAACGGAAAAGAGCCGAATGCGGATAGCCACGTGGCACAGTACGAGACGGGAACGTACACGGTCAACGGGGGAGAGCAGAAGACGTTCGAGCTGAGATATCGGTCGAATGTGCAGAATATCCACGCGTTTTTGGATGTTGTGTAAGCCTTCCGACTTTGAATAGAAGTTTCCCTTGATTTCAGCACCGGTTCCATTTCTGTCTACTTGTCCCCGTGCAAAACGGTTCCGATGGATGTCTATTACTCGGATTTCGCAATTAGCGCTCATCAAATCGATATCAATTTGGAGAATCTGATTGCCAATGTGAGTGAAAAGCGATTGAACAATGTTATTTTGACATGAAAACATTTCGCGCATTCTTGACCGTTTCTAGACAAATTCGATTTTGAGAGTGATAAATCATGTAAAATCATCGATTTACAATCATTTTTACAAATTTTACAATAAAATACAATAATTTTAAGCGCTCGAACAAAACAAAAATAGCCAATACTACTGAAAAGGAGGAGATTTTGCTACAAAAATATAGATGACCGCGGTGGAATTTTCAGTTTCCAGACAACTTGCTCGCTGCTGGAAATCGATGCGTCCACCGTGTTTCTGACCGTCCGCCCTTCGGCCACTTCCACGTTCACTCTGTGGATTCCGGGCGAGAGAGCCACGTGGCACATCGCCGTCTTCGTCGCCGTCGTTCTTCTGCTGCTCGCCGTCGCCATGCTGCTCATCGTTCATTTCGGGAGACGAAAGACTGGAAAACTGGTCATCAACTACTTTCAATAAAAGAACAATTCCATCTTTTTTAATACTTCTGATCTTTCCTATTCCTATAATCTCTAGTTTTGGGTTTTTGGACACACTTAATAAAACCATTATTCATTGTGTTAATTGTCCAGCAAACTCTGTGATGGAGATAGAAGGGGGGAAGAGAAAACAGCGGTAAATAATGGGTTAATTGTGATAATGGAACAGAGAAAAAATGAATTCGTTAATGAGTGGGGGGGGAAGTGGGAAGAAAAAGAGGAAGCTCACTGTTTGTAACAAAGAATCGTTTTTGGGGCATGTTTGGAGAGGAGGAATACCGGTAAAACAATGGTCTGTGGGTTAAAAATGTCTTGATTTTGGAACAGTTGGAATTTAATTTGCGGGGTGCGGCGCTCGATTCTATGCCTCGAGGGGAAGCTTTTCTCGTGTTTGAGAAATTTCAGGAAGGGGATAAAGCAATGATTAATAAAAGAAAACTATCCGGTGGTCCATTTTACAGGTATCGAAAAATATTTAAAATGTGGTACAATGACAACTAGGAGCGATTAATATCTACTTGTTGCCGGGCGTGGCGGCGCCGGATCCGGCCGGCGAAGTTACGGGCGGCATCGTCATCGCACTGGGGAACGGCGGCGGGTAGTGGGGCGTCAGTTGCCACATGTGGTTGCCCATTCCGTTGCCGCCGGCGTTCGGGTCGCGGTTTCCGGCCAGTTGGAGCACAGGTGCATCTGAAAATTGGCAAATTTCCATCTGAATCTGCGCTTTTTCGCTTACGTTGTGGCGGTGGTTGCATTTGCGGAGTCATCTGCGGGTTCATCATTCCCGGATGCGGAGGCATTCCCGGCATTCCCGGCATTCCTGGCATCGGAGGGAATCCGTAAGGCATTCCCTGAGATCCTCCTGCCGCCGCCGCTGCCGCCGCTTGCTGCTGAATATGCTGCTTCCGTTGCATTTCCATCGCCATCACGTGCTGTATGAATGCGGGATTCTGCCAGGCGGGGTGTCCGGGCGGGAACGGCGGCTGCATCTGCGGTGGCGGCGCCGCCTGCTTCATCATCATGTTCGGCGACATGCCTGCCTTCTGCGCGGCCGCCATCTGCGCCATTTGGATGTGTTGCATTTGCGCAAAGTGGAAGTGCTGCTGCGGAGTCATCATGCTCGGATGCGGCGGCATTCCGGGCATTCCCTGCATCGGGTGCATCGGATGCATCTGTCCGGCCGCCGCAGCCGCTGCTCGGGCGGCATGCTGCTGATGGTACTGCTGCATCGCCGCCATGTTGGCCGGAGACGGGGTGTTCGGCGGGTAGACGGGCGAGTTGTACTGCGCCTGCTGCATTTTGCTGGGCGCGGACATCGGGTAGCCGCCGGGCGTAATGTTGTTCGGCGGCATCGCTCCCGGAAACATTGGTGGAAACTGCGGGTATCCGGGCGGACCCATGCCCGGCGGGTAGCTGGCTCCGGCCGAAAACGACGGACCCGGCGGCATTACGGGCATCATTCCCGGCATTCCGGGGTGTGGCGGCATTCCCTGTGGGTATGCCTGCGGTCCCGGCATTCCGGGGAACTGTCCCGGCGAGGCGAAGGGCGACTGTCCGTTTGCTGCCGCGGCCGCCGCCATCCGTTTCGCCTGCGCTTGCTCTTCTTCCAGCGATTTCGAGATTCCTTCCAGCTTTTCCATTTTCAAAGATCGTTCGTCTCTGAAACGATAAATCGGTTCAGGGGCTTCGAAATTCAGGGGAAAACTCACTTTTTGGAAGTCTCCACGACCTCATTAATGTTATTTCCGGCGAGAAACTGCGAGTTGGCCATCAGCTCAAGCTTTCTCATCGGACAGTGATCTTCAGTTTCTGCAGTTGGAGTACTTCCGCCGAGCTTCGCCTGTTTTGACGAAGAAGACGTTCCTTCTCTGTCCTGATCTTCTGAATCCAACGGCGCCTTCCTTTTTAGGCCTTGATTGGACGGCGGATTCGATGTGGAAGGCCCGGATGTTTGTTGGTTGAAACTGAGCGGGTTCAGCGGGTTGCCCGGCATCGAATGGTGGTACATCATCGGATGGTGCATCGGATTCTGATTCTGATTCATCGGATCCATCACGTCCATCGAAGATGACGGCACCATAAAGTCGCTCAGCGTCGGGTTGATGTCGTCCAAATTCACCGGCGAACTCGCGCATTCCAACGGATCGTTTGAGCGAGGATTGTCTATTCCGAACTGAAACTGAGGAGAATACTAGAGACTCGGTTAGGGAGTGTTTACCGGACTGCACGCGAATCCATTGTTGTGGGCTCCGGCGCTGGTGCCGCTCTGATGCGAGGACGGCTGCGAAGACATCGGCGTCGTGGATCCCTTCTCGGAGACGTACGACTGAGCACTCGAATTTCCAGTAGAGCTGGTGCCGAGGTGCGGTAGGTCTTCCTTGTTGGCGCGGTACCAGGCGCACAGCGAATCAAACTTTTCTTTCTCTCGTTCAATATCAATCGCCGCTTGATTTGCCATATCAGTTCTAAAACAGATCGATCGATCGATAATCAGACACGAATTGGGGAGAACTCACGTGAAATAGTAGACTTCCTCGTGCGGTCGGACCGCTCCCAGAGGAGTTGCAGCCCTTCGTGCAGCCGGCGGTGACGTGGCCTCCTGGCTCGAAGGGACTGAACGTGCGTGTGCGGGCGACGAATCGGCCTGCAAATCAATGATGAGACCAAGAACTTCGAACTCGACAATCTGTCCCTGTCGCGCCAAATTTTTTATCAATTGTGTCAATTGTGTGATAGTGGCCTACCTTTTTTCGCGAATTGATCTGATTGAAACCATTTCTAGGCGGCGAAACGTTGAAAGTTGAATATCGCGCCCGAAAAGTGTGTGCAATAGAGCGCATTTGCATAGTCGCGCGTGAGAATTTCGATTTCTAACCGTTTTTAGAGGAAAATTTCCAGAAAATTGTGCGTACCTGGTATCCCTGACTCGTCGACGGCATCGTCAACGTATTGTCGTTCTCGTCCTGGTCGCCAAGCGCATCGCAAGCCGACGACGGCGACGGAGACGCTTTCGGAGTGACGTCTTCGTCCGTCGACGTGTGTTTGTCGCTGTCGGACGAGACCGGCGATGAAGACGAGCTCGACGGCATTCTCTCTGCAATTTCAGAATTTCAGTTTTCGTGTTTCGACATCAAACACCGTGTTTCGATGTCATTCGACCAGCAACCATTTTAATTCATTTGGTTCTTCTCGTCGGTGGTGTGATAAGAACAACTGCGCTCACCTTTTATCGTCCTTTTTGTGTCACTTTCGCTGTTTCGCCTCTGCTCCTCACAATTGCATTGAAACGGTCTGGAAAATATTGCGATGCGACGAATAAGAAGAAGAAAAAGAAGAGAAATTTTCCGGAGAACGGAAAAAGTGAGAGAGCGGGAAGACGAAATGATCTTTCTTTTTCGAAAAAAAAAACGATGATGATAGGTGAGGTGCAACGGAGAGAAAGAGAGGGCGAATAGTGGCCAGGTGCGTGTGCCTGGCAGCGACCGGCGCAGAAAGTGATAGGCAGGTGAGGAGACGGAAAGAAATTTTTCGAAATCGAATCGTGGGTCTCGACACGAAAACGAAACACCTAGCGCTCCAATTAGCAGAGTGAGAGATTCGCATTCAAAGTCATAAACCTTATTTCTTCTCTCTTTTCGCTCTCCAGTCAGTTAGTCTCCACCTACTTTCTTGCCTCGGACACGGATGACCTTCAAATTGGCACGACGCCAAGTGGTTGTGGGTGTGGGTGTGTTTTCTTTGCAAAGAGAGTACGGAAGACGGAGAGACGGAGAGCATCGCTGCGCCAAGGGCGACGGGGCCGCGCCGCGCTCGCAAACAGATAGCAAGTACGCGACATATGAAAATGGAATAGGGGAATGGAATGGAAGAGTTTTGGCTTTTCTGGAAAAAGAGTCGGCCGAAAACATCGGGACGCCGCGTCGTCGGTTCTCTGCGTCTCCGAACTCTTTGCACACTTCGTCAAAAACTAAAAACTCCTCCTCCTCCTCCTTCACTCCTCTCGAATCTACGACGGGCACAGCAGCACGCCGAGCAGGCAGCGAATTATTATTTTTCGGGGCGGTCTATTGGCGCAGAAGGAGAAGAAGAAGAAGCAAAGCGCTCCATGCGCCATACTCGTGTCTGCTCCGTGAGCATTTCGAGAGAAAAAAACCCGCGACACTCACGACATCGCTTTTTATGAGAGGTCCATGTCCCGAATTGAGAAGAAGAAGCAGAAGAAGAAGAAGAAGAAGAAGTAAAACGGAGAAGAAGGAGAGGGACGGCGGGATGAATGGAGTTGGGGAGGGAGCGAGCACAAAACTTTGTGTGTGTGTATGTGTGTGCATTCGGATGAATGGGTGGAGTAGGTGATGTCAGAGACATTCAAGATGGAAGAACGGATAGTGGAGAGAGAAGCTTCCCTGGGCTACGGTACTTCTAGAAATTTCCGTTTCAAATCGTCTGTACATGAATTGCTCCCCACGGGGTCGTCATGGGTACATCGAAAACTAAAATTTGAACTTCCGCCGACGGTCGATTGCGTAGCGCCCCTATCTTAAAGCATTAGGCCAAAGCAAAATTTTTGAAAATTTCAGTAGAGCGCACTTGCGCCAGTGTACCCCGCCACGATTCCGTGCTCCCGTTCCCGAAAGTTCTCAACGTAAATTCTACAATCACAAAATTTGAATTTTCCTAGTTTTTTTTTTTTTAATATTCACAAAAAAGACCTATTTTTCACGCTTTCCGACGATTTTTCGTGACACATTAGCACGAGAATAGCAGAAAAGAGAGTTTTTGACACCATCTACAGTATCTCGCAAAACTTAAAGGCGCAGCACTGTCTTTAATGTGGTTGGCGTCGACTCGATTGGTCTCGCCACGCGAAGCAACCAACAACTTTATGTACCACGCCCAAAAACAAAAACCCCCCGCAACAAAAAATCAGCGTCCACTCCTCCAATTAGCGGGGGACATGCGCGTGCGTGCGCTGCGCGAGAAACCCGTGAAAATGGTGGTGGAGGAAAAAAGAAAACTGTGAGAGTGAGTCTCTCTCTCTCTCTCGCACTGTCGCATCACTAGCGTCATCAGCATCAGCAGTGGTAGCATCAGCAGCGGCCTTGAATTCGGAAATAATGCCGTCGGCGATCACGACCACGACGACGGTGCGGAGGCGAAGGAGAAGGTGGACAAGGGGGGGGGGGAGGAGCGCCAAAAAAGAGAACATCTTCTTATTCGCCGTCTTCGGACGGACGATATCGATACGGATTGGAGGGTGAAAGCGGAGGAGTACCTAACAAGGAGGACAGCAGGAGACACACGGCCCTACCAAACATCTGCCCATCCCTTCTCAGAGAAAGAGCGTCCCTCTCGTTCTCTCTCTCTCTCTCTCCGATGCTAATTTGCGTCCGATACTTGTCTCTGCGTGTCTCACAAGTATACACACTCTTTCTGCGGCTCGCCGAGCCATTCGAACATGTCCAGATAGCTGCGGCCGGACGGGAGAGGTCCCCAATGAAATGGAAAGCGCGCGAGCGCGCATAAGAGCCGAATTGTTTTCACCGATTGGTGGATTGGAAGAAGAAGAAGAAGGAGAAGCAAAAGCAGAAGGAGTATTCTTCTTCTTCTTTTTTTGAAGAAGAAGGACTGGAGAAGGGGGAAAGCTTTCGCGTAAAAGGAAAGGGATGACGCCAATTATGCATAAATCATCAGTCGATAATTGGATGTAAACGTTTCGATTCGTACGATTCGACCCGACTGACCGCCTTTTTTGGGGCGAAGGCGGGCACGCGGATTAGTACTAGGTTAATTGACCCATCCGAGTGTTCAGACAAATGTTCGAAAAGTTTTGAAACAAGATAACATGAACAAAAAAGGAAGCGGTATGGAACATTCGAGAAAATCATAATAATGTCCTCATTCCTTCCCGAGCCTTCTTCTTCATCTTATTCATGAAGAGAGCGGAAAACGGGAGACTGAGAGGGACCCAGAGGCCCGATGATTGGTGTGTAACCGGGCAGACGAGAGAGTGCGGCGGATCGGGAGACGCGGAGATATCTCTGACCCTCCGAGGAGGAGGACGACTGGCCAGTGCATGTGTGCCGTGTATGCCAATACGGTTTGATGGTGGTGGGCGGCGAGAGAGTGCGCGCACCCGAGGAGGCCGCAGACGCTCATGATGTCATTGCTGATCTTTGTGGCGAGGCGACGAGAAATTTGGTGCAGTACAGTGTGACTCACTCGTGTTTGAGGTGCCAGCTAGTACTGGTACGGCAAAAGTACACTGCGAAACAGTTTGCAAAGGGAAGCGCGCTCCAACGGTCGGACCAAGTGACGTAAAAAACATGAGTTCTCTCCTTGGGGCTCAAAGAAATAATCATAACTTTTGCCTCATCCAATTCATTTATATCTTCTTTTCGCCTCCCGAGCTTCCGCTACCGCTTCTCCACAACAAATTCCACTCTTTCTCTCTCTCTCTCTGACTTGCACATATCACATCACAATTGTGTCAGTTGAGTATGTGTGTGTGTGTGTGTATTACGACAAGTTTATTGGCAGCCAAGAAGATCGATTGGGTGCAATCTGCCGTGGGGGGTCCCGCCCGGAAAGAGTGCCCACACAGGTGTCCTTTGGCCGCTCGAACAGGTGTGTACGTTCCCCCCGTTTCGAGTTGACCTTCGGATGACGTCAGCAGAAAAAAAGAGAGAGAGAGAGAGGGAGAAGAAGACGACACCTTGTTTATGCAGTTGAGCTCTCTCGCGCGCGCGCGCGCCGCAGATGGTCTATGATCAGAAGAAGAAGAAGAAGAAGAAGAAAGTGTAAGAAGAGGTACGGTAGTTAGGTATTCTGATGGAACCGCCCAGAATGAGAAAGATTCTAATTGTAAGAAGAAAAATCTGGAAACTAACTAAGGTTCTTGAAACCGACAATTATAGGTTCAGAATAGAGTTCGCTCTGTCAGTGACATTGTACGCGGACCACTATTCCTCCTGTCTTATGGTACCGTTTGCCCGTGTCCCAACTTTTTTGATACCCGATTCCCCTCAGCACGACACCTTTGGATAGCGAACATAGCATTTCGAAGCGAAAAAAAGACAAAGCATTTAAGACCAATGACTATTGAAGCTTTTAATCTTCTATCAGTTTGTGAAATACCTGTAGAACGTATACGGAATAGTTGAAACTGCAAGCAGCTAACCAGTAGTACCACGATCTTCAAACCGTCAAAAAAGCGGGTGAGTAAACATCGAATAAAACAAAAAGAGCACGTCTTCCATATCCGATGCTCATTTATTTCAGCGCGCCTTTTGAAGGCGCCGCCCTTCAAAAGGACATAAAGGTGGCGGAATGGGACTCTAGAGATATCACGGAAATTGAATAAATTGTGGTGGAGCCGTCGGTTGGTTGGAAGGACGGAAAATAAGAGCACTATTACAGCGATCCGTCGGGGGCGAGAAATAGTGGGCGGAAAGTGAGAGAGCGCAGAGAATGGGAAAAGGAACATCGGCGAGTCACGTGTACTTTTGGATCAAAAAGTGAGAGAATGATGGATCGAGACGATGCGGACAACAGATTTCGTTTTGAAAACTGACTGCCACGTGGCTCACAGGCAGCAAAACACACAAAAAAGCAAAAAAGCAAAGGCACGAGTAGTTTTATGCGGCATTTATATATTTTTTCATTTTTCTCGGCGGACGCCACTCAATTTTGCAAAAAACCGAAATGAAAAAGAGCTCTTGCTCTTCTTCCGAACAAAACGTGCACACGACTTTTCCTTGGCTCCAGATCTTTTTTTTTTCTTGAGATGTTTGATAAAGAAAGACAAATTACGATTACACTTGGCGAGGCGAGGGGGGAAAACCGACGACGAGTTGTTTATGGCGCACAGCAGGAAAAAGAAGGAGGGCTTTTAGGAAGGACACCATTCTGGGAAGCTTTTTCTGTTTTTCGGCGCGAAGAAAAACGCAAAACAGGCGACGGAACTTGGAAAACGGGATGTCAACAGGCGAACGAACGCGCTCTTTCGCTCAGGTTGCGGCCGTTCTTCCGTTTTCTGGCAAATTCTAGGCCAGCGGCCTGAAGAAATGCGTCGAAAACGATAATTTTGGAAAGCTTTAGTGTAGATATCAGGAAAACCGGTCGAAAATCAAGAAAATCCTTTTTACGGCTCTTTACGGCCTAGAATTACTTTAAAATAGGAGACCGGAGGCAACTTAAGCGGTAGAGCGTGATTTATTCGAAATTTGGAACAACGCAAGTTCGCAAGGACTAATCCCTTCACAAACCGCTCTTTTAAACGAAACGCGAAGGTGTTGAAAGCGGCGGCGAGACCAAAAGAGGTGTCAATTGATAAGAAATCAGAGTGAAAAATGGCGGGCGCATGCAGGTCGGGAAAAAAAAGACCGGAAAAGGGGGAAGGATTGTTGTCGGCAACGATTGTTTTCGAAGGTAACGGGCGAAGTCAAAATTGAGTTGTAATTGAGATCACGGACTTCGGCGGGGCGATTAAAAAATGATGATCAGTTGCGGTAGCGGGGCGGAATGCGTGGTGGAGGACACTTCTCGCGTCGTCACCTCCGTCGGCAAGGTCTTTTTGCCGTTTTCTCTGCGTTGCGGATCCCTCTCGCATGGCGTCCAGGTTGAACATCGCCAGAAAAGACATGACACGATTAATTACGGTGATGAATTGGACGTCGATGGAGGAGGAGGAAGAAAGCGGAAGGGAAGCGCGTGATTGGGTGGAAATCGGAAAAGGGCAAGTGCGCTCCGAGGAGAACACGGAAAACAGCTGAAAAAAGTTATTTTAGGGCAGTGCCTAGGGATTTCTCCTAATGAGAAGCTTCAAATAGTCAAAATTTTATCGATTTTTAAACTCGCGCGCTTTTGAAAAAGATTGATAATGCAAACGCGCTCCATTTAAGCTTCAAATATTTGAATCACAAAACTGTTTTCGAGTCGTTTTTCTTCGATTTTTCAGCTTTCCGACTCGAAAATGACAAGCGTTTCTGTCGAAAAATTGTTAGATGCTCTTGTTGTGACTTCTGGCGTCACCGACGTTGGCAAAAACTGGAATAATCTATCGGAAGACCTCAAATTGCGGTGCATCGGAGATATGGCCTTCAAGACAAAGTTGTTCTTTTTGTTTTACATTCTCTAACTTTCTGCTCGATTTAGAATTCGTTTTGGAAGCACAAGTCGTACCGAACGAGCCCTAGTTGCTGAAACGCGTCATTCTGTCAACATTCTCACAATTTCGATTAATCCAAAAGTGGGAATCATCACTGCGAGCGCGTCTGTTGACGGTAAACTAGTATCTGCCCGCTCGCCAGCTCGTCAGAGATGAATTACGTAGTCTATCCGGGCACTGATAAATTTTCAGCGACGTTCTCTCGTTTGTCGCCCAAATTCTGAAGCACGGAACAATTGGCCGTGTCATTTTACTGCATCAGAGTGAAAAAAGTCGCATCTGGAGGCATTCGAAAGGCTCAAGGATTGTGCTCCGTTCCGAGTCTCTGAAATTTCATGTAACGGTGGTTACGATTCTTTCGCCCGTTTCTTTATTGAAAACAGCGAAGATCGCATCAAGAAAATCGAGCTTAACGGCGCTCTCAACGACGGGAAAGCATGCTAGAAGTTTCACAACATTCCACAGTTCCGTGAAAATTGCTAAAAACTACTTTGGCGTCGACTATTCTCCGTTCGTGGGTATCACGCAGGTAAGAAAACGGTCAACTTACTATTAGCCTGTAAAGTCTTTAATTATATCCAGGATTGGATTGCGAATGGCGCGAAGATCAGATTGAGGAGGGAATACACGTATCCGCTGTGCACAGACACTTCCGCCGATCAATTTGCTGAAATCTACTCGCATTCTGTACAACTTTCAACTAATTTTGAAGCGAATTAATGCTCTTTTTCAGAATCCGGGATGCGTTCGATACTACCAGAAGCTTTATTGTCGTTCCGAACAACCGGGAGACCCTCTTTGTCGTCGTGCTTGTCGATAATCGTGGCACGGCTGTGGAAAATCCCAGCGTCATGGAAGTCGTCGATGTCAATATGTATTTGGACACATCGAAAAGAGGAATCGAGAAATCTCCAAAAGTTGTTCACAAATTCTCCACGAATTGGGTTGATTTACCGCCGGAAATCAAGCTGCATTGCATCGGAGACATGGATTTCAGGACAAAGTATAATTTTTTTTTTTTTCCATTTTTCCGGTCGTTTCAGAACAAGCCTAGGTAGCACGAGTCGAACCGAAAGCGCCCTCGTCGCTACAAATCTTGCGAAACAACGGCATCATTTCCCAGAGCTCTGGATCGGAATCGACACGAAAACCGACGATTACACTGTGAACACGACGATTGACGGCGAGAAATTGTCGATTTCGACGAATGGTCTTAGTTTCCTGACCAGAAACAACAAAACAACCGCCGAAAGCGTCATCGCGTTTATCGCGCGAGTTCTGAAGTACGGAGTGATCGACCGGCTGATTCTGGCGCATCTTGGCAAGAAGGACACGTATTTAAAGGCGTTGGAGGTGTTCGAGAAGTGTGCTCCGTTCAAAGTCTCGAACATTACCTCGAACAGCGATAACGAGGCGTCGATGCTTTTCTTTCTCAAAAACTGCGAGGGACACGTCAACAAGATCGATCTAATGGGCTTCGAAGGATTCGTTGCGAACGAAAGCGCGTTTGAAGAGTACCAAGCGATTCCACAGTTCCAAAATGCGAATCACATCAAGATTACTTCGGGAAGAACGTCTCTCCGTTCCTGGCGATGACTCAGAAGTGGATTGAGAGAGACGCGAGAATCGGAACGATCATAGAGTACATATTTTCGCCAAAAAATAGGCCGTCCGCCGGCCCTTTCCGTCAGATGTTCGCTTCTCGCATTGCGTAGGCGTTTGAAGTGACAAGGAGAAGTGCTTGAAGTTGAAATTTTCAGGTTCCAAGAGCACGAACGGAAAAGAGACACGATTCTGATCAAAACGAACAACTCGGAGAAGAAGATTCTGTACACGCTCCTCGACTACATTATCCACATCGAAGTCATTGATTCCGGACTGTTTGGCAACCTTTTCGGCTGATTTTTGTTCTTATTTTGCTGAATTTGTTTTTTTTGTTTTTAAGAAGATCCCGTTGAAAATTAAAAATTGCATTATTCTTTCGGTTCGCTGGTCAAATCGTTTCCATCATTTTACTTTGGAACATTTTTAAATTTCCCGCCTCCAATAATCGCTTTCAGAATGGCCAAAACGTCGACGAGAAAGAAATCGAAGGCCCTGCGCAAGAGCGCAAGATCTACGGTAAAAAGTTTTCAATCGAATTTCCAGACTTGCAAAATAAGGGCCCGGGCCGGGCCGAGAAATGTGACTTCACTTACAAAATTATATTGAAAACTGTCTACCAGAGATGCACATATGTCGGCAGCAAGAATTGGAACGATCTGCCGGCGGAACTGAAGTCGCTTTGCATCGAACGAATGACTTTCAAGACAAAGTACACACTTTCCTGTCCATTATCTCACTTTTTACAATTTTAGGACACGTCTGGCAAGGACGAGCCACACAGAAAAGGCGCTTGTCGCTTCAGCGAAACCGCATCATTTCGATGAGCTCTGGGTCGGCTTTGACACGGACAATGACGATTTCACCGTTAAAACGGACGCCGGCGACGAGCACATCGCCGTTTCGACCATTTATAGGTCTTAAAATACAATTGGACTCATAATCACATTTCTTTTTCATTTTTCAGCACACGTTACGGATATTACACAACCAATTACGCCGGTGTCACCCGGTTCGCCGCGCACGTTTTGAAGAACGGAAGAGCCGAAAAACTGAATTTGGCACATTCCGGACTGAATAATACGTATGCGACGGCGTTTAAGGAGCTCGAAAAGTGTGCTCCGTTCCGAATCGCCGAGATTTTATCGAACGGCGACAGCGAAGCTTCGGCTTACTTTTTCATCAAAAATTGCGAGGAGCAGATCAAGACGATCTATTTGATGGGCTCCGTGGCGAACAGAAACGCGCTCGCCAACTTCGAGGCGCTTCCGCAGTTTGTGAACGCCGCGAAAATCACGGCTTTGGACGGCTACTTCGGAAGAAACTTCTCGCCGTTCTTAGAAACTGTCCAGGTATTCTGTCCTTTTGAAATGAACCCGAGTTGAGTCGGAGTTTTCAGAAATGGATTAATAATGACGCGAAGATCGGAACGTCGAAAGAGTACAAGTTCTCGCCGCGCTACAAACTGGATATGGCCGTCATCATCGAGAGATTCGATCAACGCATCTTGTACTTTGAAAATTAGCGGAGAAAAGCCAGTATTTGATGAATTTGCAGATTCCGCGACGAGTTGACCGCTTGCATCGTGACTAACAATCCGGAAAAGTACATTCTGTTCGTTCTGCTCGACAACATCATCTCGTGCGAAGTCATCCGCTCCAATTCGCAGAAAAATCGCAAATAGTCTCTTTTTACAATTTTCTACGTTGTGTTTTGTGTAAATTTTGATTCAATCAAATTAATTGTTTTGTACTTTTATCTATTTTTCTTTTTCTTCATTTCTCATCGGTTTTATCCCTATTTTTCTATCTATAACAGCTTGAAAAGTCTGTCAAATTTACCGTTTAGGCTTTAGAATGGACGCACGAAACCGAAGCGTTGTCTTTGGTTCGCGCCATAAAAAACTAGGTTAAAAATATTGATTCATGTTACTCACTCTCTTCGTGAATTATGATCAAAACCAGCAACGAGCTACAAAAATTTCTGATGTTCAGCACGAACACACTTGTTTTTCGAAATGTGGCCACTCGGCGGTAGGGCGCTATTTCCAAAAATCATTGTTGCAGATGGGCGACGAGTTGAATTGGAATGATATGCCGCCGGAAATGAAGGAGAAAATACTCAAGTACACAGATCTGAGAACCACGTAATCCGCCAGCGAGCAGAAGTTTTATAACTAAAAAGAAAATTTACAGAATTCAAATGAGAAGAACTTGCAAATCGAACCAATTGATAATCGACAACCAGGGACCACTGCTGGAGTTGATCGAAATTGCGATGGTCTTAGGTTGCCACTCGAAAGTCCGAATCCGAACAAAGAACCACCACGAGGAGCTGTTTTTCGCTTTCGACTTTGACGTTTCCCAGCGACCACCCTTCGGAAGAGCCTTGAAAAAACGTCCTCACGAAACACCGTCTTTTTCCCATCTTGTGGACGTTTTGAAGAACGCGCGCATTCAGACAATATTTTTGAAGTGTCCGATGAGCGCGCAGCTGAGGGAAATGCTCGAGGAGCTCGCGAAGCAAGTGTCCTTCCAAATCACAAACTTCTGGATTTCTGGCGCCGATCGCGAGGTCCTATTCTTCTTTTTGGATAGAAATGAGGAAAATGTGAAGAAGATTCGGCTCGGCGGACATTTATCGACGCCGTGCGAACATAACCAGCGGCTGTGTGAAACGTGTTTACGAGAAAAGGGAGAATTCAATTATTTGCTTGCCTGTAGAAATGTTAGAATTTCATTTTTCGCTCTTTCTTGACCGAATATCCATTTTCAGTTCGTCCGCACCAAACACATTCAATTCACACCGACCTGCTTGGCAGATTGGCCTGTCATCGAGAAAATCACCAGAGTACATTGAAAACAAACTTGTTTTGATAAAGGATTGAATGAAAATTTTGCAGATGTGGATTGAAAATGACGTGGAAATCGGGACGAGAATGGTGCATCTCGCACAAAGAATGCAAAGGTTCACCACTTTCGCAAACATGTTTCCCGAGCGAGTTGTGTAAGAATTCTAAAGAAGAACATTCGTAAAATGTATTTCCAGCTCGAAAAGGATCTATCAAGTGCGAATCCGAACCGACAATATCCAAAAGCACATTTTGCTGCGCGTCAATCAGTTACCTAATCGCGGCGAAGCGCTCACTTTCCTCGTGATCCCAGCCGATGATCCGGCCCCCGAAGAATCGGTCGTCATCTGGAGTACGACCTGATTTTGTTTAAATCTGTCAAAATTGTTAAGCGTTTCTAAGAAACTGAATACTGCTGTTATTTATCTCATTATTTATTCTGTTCCATTCATGAATGTACTTCGAAGATATTTTGTGTTTGCCGGGGGGCCGTGGCTGTCTCGTGCTGGCCTAGCATTCGCCGCACTAATCGGATTTCTTCATTTTGTCGTCGTTTTTTCGGCTACTTTAAATATTTGCGTGTTGTGTCTCGCTATCACTTGTTCGTTTTCGTATTCACTTTTCACCCCATTTTCAGACCAGAAAATGATGTCGTCAAGCAGCGGCGGCGGCGAAGTATCGATCCATTCGGGAGACCTGCTTCTCGGCACCCTCTCCACCTCGATTTCCAAATTGGAGCAGCAGATTCGCGCGACGCAAGTATCCCAGAAGAAGCTCAATTCGGATTGTGAGACTATGGCCGAGGTGAGGCCTCGATTCCTTTTTTCTTCCGTCGGAAAACTTGATTTTTGTTCAGTATCTACGGGATTTGAGCGAGTACGAGCAGCCGGTCGACCTTCTGCCGTACGTCGGAAAACTCAATGACTCGACGATTCGGGTGAACAACACGCACAAGGTTTTGCTGACATTTTTTGCAAAAATGTATAATTGTTATGCATTCCAGAAGCTCGACGAGTTGCTGGACAGACTGACGAAACTGCAGAGACGGATTGCGCGCGAGACGTACAAACAGAAGAACTCAATCAAAGAGCAGGAGCCGCCCGTGCAGCCGGAGCACTGAAAAAGCAAAAAGAAAGCGACCTTCGCCCCTTCCCCTTCCCTCAATCACACCATTTTTCCCGTCTTTTGTTTGTGCATACTCACTGTAATTTCTTCTATTTATTATCGATCATGTAAAGCAAACAAATTTACTTTTAAACCTTCTCATTCTAGTCACTTCCCACTTCCCAATAAACGAGTTCTATCGAATTGGTCTACAAAAACAAGCGTCCGCCATTCGTCTTTTAATTACTTTTCTTCTGTTTTGTCTTTTTTTTCCCATCTCTTCCTTTTCTTATCAATCGAAAGTTTGCACTTTCTTGATAACCGCGCAAAGTGATAAAAATCGCAACATTGGACGGAATTCCAGCGGAAAATTGAAAATTGCGTCTTTCTTCTCCAATTTTCATCAGAACGCCTATTGTACTTTACTTCGTTCGAAAAAAAGGGCGACAATGTCAAAATTTGAATAACAAATTGTCTAGACTCTTGGTTGATGTGATATGTGATCATTGATTATTGATCAGTTGAAATGTCCGTTTCTTGGTATTATCCTAATTCTAATCCGGACCGAAAAGTGCATTTTTCTCGATAATATCCCGTAGAACAATGTCTCGAAAATCATTTTCCGAAAATAAAAATTAATGAAAGAAAAGGTCAGTACGGTCAAAGACCGGCGATTTTTTGAAAAAGGTGGTTTTAAAGTTCAAAAGAGCAACGGATCGTTTCTTTGCAGAAAATAACAGCTGCTCCCGTTTTACGACTTTTTGCGACGTTCATTTTTTGCGTTCCTCTCGAAACTAGAAATTCTGCAGTTCTCCGGTTAGAAACCAAATCCAAAAAAAAGCGCCAGACTTTCTCACAATTAGCATATGAATATCATTCGGTCTCCGCCATAAAACCTCCGGGTCCGAGCAGACTTTAGTCCATTTTTGTCCGTGTCCGCAGCTCCGGGAGCCGAGATCGAACCAGCAGGAGATCAGTGATCATGTCACTGTCTCGTTCACGTCAGAAGAGAAACGAGACACCTCGTGGCCGCGGGAGCGCATTTCGCCTGCCCCTCCGCGCTTATTACTGCTCCGTCCACGTGTGCCATCTTGACAAACAGTCGATCTTGCTCCCTCTTTTTTGTTTCGTGTGCGCCAACTCGGAAAAGAAAACGAAAAAGAAAAAGAGAAACGAGGAGAGATGAAATGAGAAAAGGGCAAAAAATGGGGGTTTCCAACCAACCTAAACCCCTCTTTCTCATTTCATTTCCATTAGCCGTCTCTTTTTTCGCCGTGAAGATGTCCTCCGTCAGATAACCTTGCTTCCTCTTTCTCCGTCCTCTTCATCTTTTCATTATTCGATTCTTTCTAGACTCGGATCGTCTTCTCGCCAAAAATGTCCTCGTTGGCATCTAGAATCTTCTCAAAAGCGCTCGTCGGCCGGACCCTTCAGGCGCCCGCTGCCGTCCGCCAGTTCTCCGCCTATCCCATCGACGACAGCATGTTCGGGCTCAACGAGGAGGAGATCGCTGTGAGCTTGACAAAATTCTCTCAACTTTTTCTGACCGTATTCGTTTTCAGCTCCGTCAGTCCATCCGTCAGTTCGCCGACAAGGAATTGGCTCCTTTCGCTGATAAAATCGACAAGGATAACGGGTGGGATGGGCTCCGTCCGTTCTGGAAGAAGCTGGGCGACCAGGGACTGCTCGGCATCACCGCGCCGACCGAGTACGGTGGCTCCGCAATGAACTACTTCTCGCACGTCATCGCCATGGAGGAGCTGTCCCGTGCCGCCGGCGGAATCGCGCTTTCCTACGGAGCACACTCGAACCTGTGCATCAACCAGATCGTGCGCAACGGATCCGCCGAGCAGAAGCAGAAGTACCTGCCGAAACTCATTTCCGGAGAGCACATGGGCGCCCTGGCCATGTCCGAAGCGTCCGCCGGTTCTGACGTCGTTAGTATGAAGCTGCGCGCCGAGAAAAAGGGCGACAAGTACGTGCTGAACGGCACAAAGTTCTGGATTACGAACGGACCGGACGCCGACGTGCTCGTCGTGTACGCGAAGACGGATCCGTCGAAGCACCAGCACGGCATCACGTGCTTCCTCGTCGAGAAGAACACGCCCGGCTTCTCGCAGTCGCCGAAGCTCGACAAGTTGGGAATGCGCGGGTCGAACACGTGCGAGCTCGTCTTCGACAACTGCGAGATCCACGAGAGCCAGATCATGGGCGGCATCGGCAAGGGAGTCTACGTGCTGATGACCGGGTTGGACTACGAACGACTGGTTCTTTCGGGCGGACCCCTCGGGCTGATGCAGGCCGCCTGCGACATCGCCTTCGACTACGCCCACCAGAGAACCGCTTTCGGACAAAAAATAGGATCTTTCCAGGTATAATAAACACCGAGTTTCCGCGTCAAATGATCAATTTCAGCTGCTGCAAGGAAAGCTCGCCGACATGTACACGACGCTGAACGCCTCCCGCTCCTACTTGTACATGGTCGCCAAGGCCGCCGACAAGGGAAACGTGTCGAACAAGGACTGCGCCGGAGTCATCCTCTACGTGGCCGAGAAGTGCACACAGGTGTGCCTCGATGCTATTCAGATCCTCGGCGGAAATGGATACATCAATGATTATCCGGCCGGAAGACTCCTCCGCGACGCCAAGCTCTACGAGATTGGAGCCGGAACTAGCGAAGTGATCCGCACTTTTCAGACAATCCAATAAAATCCATGAATTTCAGGTTCGCCGTCTCATCATCGGACGTGCGCTCAACAAGGAATACTCGACCTAAACGACCACTGTTCCCTCTCGATCTCTGTGTCTTTGAGCTTCTCACGTAAAATAAGATTTTGTGACCCATCCACCACCTCTTCTCGTTTTGTGCGATAGAATACCGGTTTTTGTAGGATTTAGTGGAAATTTCTATTTACAAAGCATCCTATTGAACATTTTACCTATTTATTATATGAACCTCGGAATAAAATTCTCCTTATTTTCATTTTGACAACTTCTTGTAGGGAAAGGTTGGTAATCACTTTGTATCTTGCTCTTTTTCCAATTTTCCACAAAAAATTAATGCAATTTCCGATTACGGTGCGCGATTTTCTGTATGCACCGCCACGCGAAAATGCACATCGCGCGCGCTCGTTCGATTAATCGCGATTGCAAGGGTTTTCTCGTCATTTGAAGACGTTTTCGTCGAAAAAGAAAACTACATCATCCTATTGATTTTCCCTTTTTCTGTCTAATTCTTGATTTTGAACACAAATGATGATCATTCCAATCTATCTTTGTTCCAGAACTACAGCATGTACGCCGACGAGGTTGATAAGGAGCGAGACCGCTCGACGGGCTACAGAAAGAGGTAAGTCCACTCGGATATCGATTTTCAGACAAATTAATGTAATTTTTTAGCTTCGGAAGCCATCGTTCCAGTGGAATCGAGGGAAAATGGAAGCGCGACAAGTTCCAGACGGCGAATCGCTCGCCAAAGCCGAGTTTCGCCACCAAGAAGCGGCAATTCGTGAGCAAGGCCGGAGCCGCGGCAGCCGTCGCCTCCAAGAACATCACGACCGCCTCAATCCGCAACCGCAACGCGCCGACGATCGTTCGCGAAGTTCAAACCGGCCCGTCGACCCTGTTCATCAGTAACCTCGCGTCGTCTGTCACTCAGGAGGATCTCGAGGAGCTGTTTGCCGAGTACGAGCCGGAAGTAGTCCAATTGCACTTCGACTCGAACGGAACCAGCCTCGGAACGGCCGATCTCGTCGTCCCGCAGCCGCAAGTGGCCGCCATCCAGAAGGCGCTCGAGGGAGTGCTCCTGGACGGACAGCAGATCGAGGTGCTCGAGACGAACCCGGCCAAACAGGTGTCCGTCTTCGATCGCATCAAAAAGGTAAGAATTTTAGGTCCCTGAAAGTCATTGAAAAGAAAAAGAGAAGCCGGAAGGGAAGTGAAAGACAGGAATGGATACGTGAGCGGGAGAAATTATCCGCCAGTGATCTCTTATCAATCGTTGTCCCTAATGATCCTTTAGCTATCCATTTTCATAGTTGAAAGGAAAATTGCAGGTCGGCCGCCAAAACGACTTCAAACCGAAGATGCGCGTCGTCGTGCAGCAGCACAAATCGGCTCGCTTCGTCAAAAGAGAATACTGAAACTTGGCGTCATCTGAAACCAATTTATCGATCCATCCAAATTGAAATATTTATTTGTGTGAAATCTCATCGTTCCCTTCTTTTTTTTGCTGTTTTTTCTTTTCCCATTCTGTTGGATGATCTGAACCTGAAATTTGACTTCTCCATTTCTTTCCAGAAAAATTCTTTTTCAACACCAAATTCCTCAATGTCACCAGACGATATAATAAATGTTATTAAGCGTCAGAGAGAATTCAAATGTTTATTCATTATCATGTGTGACTTTTAAAGAACAGAAAGAAAGCGAGGGGACTTGAACGGACTATTAACTTCTAAAAAAAGAGAATCGAGAATAAAGAGAGACACGACTAGAGGCAGTGCTTAAATAGAAGAAAAGAAGGAGGATTTGGGTCTCGAAGGGGAAATTTATCGATTAAAATGTGAACACCGTTTTGGGGAAAGGAAAATGAGAATAATTGAGTGTGAAGTTGCTGAAATCGTCGGGAAATTAAGCAAATTTGCGGCGGGGAATAAATATAATGATTTTGAATTGATGTAAACACGCTCTACTGCGAACATTGCGGTTTTGCGCGATTCTAGTCCAGCGGAGCCGCAAACCTTGAAATTATCACAAAATTACCTTCAAAAGGGCGTTTTCTGTAAGATTCAACAGAAAATAAAGTTTTCCGGCAAGTTTGCGTGAAGAATTTGTTTTTTGACAAGTTTCAATGATAAATTTCGGAAAATCGTGCCTTTTGACGATGTCTTCGTAAAAAATTCAAATTTTGCGCCGTTCCCTGGCATAAAATGCGCAAAAATGGTATGGCGGCCGGGATTTTCGCGTTAGAGCGCACTTTACTAATTTCAAAGCGGAGATGATTGAATCTTAAAGCGAAATTTGTGAAAAATGTGGGATTAGATGAGTAATGGATTAGTTATTATTAAAATTCGCATCCAAAGAGGGCCAGGCCCCTCAGAAGCTCAGAATCCGAGAAGAGCGACGACGGCGAGAAGGAGGGCGGAGATGAAGGAGGAGCACGTGGAACACCTGCAAGAAGGCCACTAATTAGGGACACAATATGGAAGAAATGAGCGAGCACTTCCGGCCGCCCGCTAATTGGCTACTTTAGACGGGCTCAAGAGGTTCGAATCGAAAACGGAATGGACAAAGTGCACTGTGGGAACTGTTCTTGACTTCTATTGCATTTACAGAAACTCGATGATTCTTCAGCTTGTTTTGCTAGTTGCGGATCCAATGCGAGAGAAAATCAACTATTCGTGAGCTTGATGAAACAGTTAAAGTTTGAATAGAAATACTAGAATATTAGACAACGCTCAAAATAATGGAAATCAATTGCGCACTGTTTCGCTGTCATCATAACTAAACATTTCTGTCGATATCTTTTTAAAAGCGACTCACGTCAAGTGTCCCTTGGGGCACCTCTTGTCGCACAGTTCGCCGTGCCATCCGTCGCCGCACTTGCACGCGCCGTTCTCGAGTTTTCCGTTGTTGAGGCACGACTTGACGACGTCGCAGTGCTCGCCGGTGTAGTGGTTTCCGCAGACGCAGTGGTCCCCATTGTTGCGATACCGGTGCTGCTGGGTCGGGATGGTCTTGCGCCAGCACGCGAGACGCTCGCAGAGACGGCCGTCCCACGGCGGCGGGCAAATGCACTCGATCTCTTTCTTGCCGACCGCGATCGTTCCGTTGTGATGGCACATGTGCGGTGTGCATCTGGAATCAAGAATAATGCCTTTTGGACTACCCTTATGGAACTATTTCCATAGAAAACTCTCCACTTTCCAGTTTCAACACGTTCGTATTTTGCTCAGCTATTATGGAAAATTCAATAAATACTTAATCAATTTTCGATATTTTGCTACCGCACAAGTCTTACAAATGCAAATTCAGCGCGAAAACCTTTTTTCAGCACAGTATATCTCAGCTGCCATTGGAGATATCAAAAAGTTGTCAACTAATGAATTGCTCATCAAAACTTTGTGTACATTTTATCAGTTGGCCACTTTATGATATCTCTACAGGTAGCCGAGATACATCATCTCAAATAGACTGTGTTGGGGTGCCGTTTTTAAAGGTACATGTTCCCAGTTTCAACAAGTCCATAGTATCTTCTCAGGTTCTGCAAAGATCTTTTGGCAATAAATTTGAATCCCGCTGATCGCCGCTTCCTCGTCAATTTTTGAGAGAGAAAAGGGAAAGATTCAAAAGTTGACAAATCCGGAATGTCCTTCAACACCTTGCCTCTTCGCTTTTTCGGTTTTCTTTGCCATTTGTATGTACGTTGTCTGCTGCCTCACAAATCCCGTTTGAACGAAAGAATGAAACATTTGGATGTGATGAGGAAACGATCCGAAAAGAGAGAGGGAACAGGTGTCGAACGTCTTTTCGCGTTGTCGTTTATGTGTCTTTTGAGTGGGATCAAAACATAATGAATATACTTCATGAAGAGCTGAAAGAGCCAGAATTGACGAGTGAGTCTCAGGAAAAGTTGATCAGCACAGTTCAGGCCCTAATAAAAGCTTTTGGATACTCTGGAACCGTCAATAATTGAATTATCGTTACCATCGAAATGGAAGCAAGTTACTTCCAAGAAATGAACGTTTTGAAACAGAGCAAACTTTTTTAGTGAGTGGAAAAATGAAACGGAAAAGTGTCCAGTTCAAAGTTAACAGCTAACATAGGAGTTCTCATGGAATCGTACCTGAAGAAGTTCTTAAAAAGAGACAAGGTAACAATGTTGCAAAGTTGTCTCACCAGACTATTGTCTCCTAATTGAAACACAAATGTTTTACATTGACAAATCACGAAGTCGTAGACGACTATCTTTTGGGCGCCAATTCAAATTTGAATGCTATTCACAGTTTCAACATGCCTACAATATCTCACGACAATTCCGTCGTTTATGTTCGAAATAGTCAGAAACTTAACGATTATTACAATAGCGTTATCGTTTTGAAGGCTTTGAGCCTCTTTTTGTTGTCAGTAACGAATAAATTGGAAGACAGAAAAGTTAGCCACATGTTGCTACAAAATGTTTCCAATGAATACAAGACGTCTTAAGACGACGTTATGAAACCGTAACCCTTCGGTACTTGATGCTACCGTTCATTCAAAACGGCATATCTCGATTGCCAGTAAAGATATCAAAAAATGGTCAACTGACAAATTGATTATCAAAAAATTCTGTTTATTTTGTCACTTGACCACTTTTCGATATCTCCAGAGACAGCTGAGATACATCGCTTTGAATGAGCGGCATCGCAGTTTTAACGGTAAAAACGTTGTACTGTTCCACCAAACTGTCAAAAACCGGACTTTTATGATAATTTCAGTACGAATAGGACTCATGAATGTTTCCCATTCCCCAATTGTTTCATTCCATTTGTGTGCAGTGACCGACCAACCAACCACCTGCGCATATAAATACTCAATTGCAGCTGTCGAAATGAATTGTGTCACCCCTCCCGTTTTCCCTCTTTTTTTCCCCTCCTTTCTTTTCACTGTTCATTTCGTGTGCTGAACAATCGGATTATTCACTCACGAAGTGCCGAAGAGAGTCTCGCCGGCGCCGCAGCCAATGTATTCGTTGCAAATCGGTCCTGAAACGAGAGATGAGAGCATATTTCATGAGAAGAAGAAGAAGAAGAAGGAGGAGGCAAAAGAACATCTGGCGCCGGAGAGAAGGCCGTTAAATTTTGATGAATAACTTTCGGCGATGAGTTTTCGTCCATCAAGTTTCTTCTTTCAACGAGATTTATGCGAGGTTTTGTGTAAATTTCCGTAGGAAAACAAGAAGCGCGACAGTTGAATCAGTAAATCGAAAGAGCGGAAAAGAGCGAAAGCGTTTGTGATGCGAACGAAACAGTAACGAACCCTTCCACTTCTCGTCACAAGTGCACTTTCCGTTCTTGAGCGAGGCGTGCACACGGAGCACCTTGCACTTGTGCTCCTCGTACTCGGCGTTCAACGTCTCCGAGTTCCATCTGTCGCACTCCTCGAGTCCGCCGTCCATGATTCCGAGCCCAAAGTAGGAGTCGTCGCCGCACGATCCGATCGGGATGTCGCTGAAATGAGATCGGCAAAATGCATGATGTAGTATTGAAGAATATGCGATCTCATTGTGACTTTATCAAATTCTTGAAACAGTAGCAACAGTAGCGACGTTTTCATTTTGAGATGATCAAACTTTGAGCGTGTATTGTGAAGCTAATAGTGAATATACCACTCTAAAAACTTTTGTACATCTTCTTTATGCCTAGTACTTTATATTTGTGGTCCCTTAGGACTACTGTAGCTCATTGAAGCCAGGCAGCTTCCATGCGGTACATCGTCGGGAAAAACAAAGAAAACCCAATACCGTCCATTCAAAACGATGTATCTCTGCTGCCAGGGGAGATATCAACACGTGGTCAACTGACAAAATAGCCACAACTTTATAAATAACATTGTTTCAGTTGACTACTTGTCGATGTCTCCCCTGGCAGCTGAGATAAATCGTTTTGAATGAAAGGTAATTGTTACGCTTCAAGATTTTCCTTCTTTTCGTCCGCAGATATCACACTAGTATTGATATATCAAGCATTTGATGACATCATGAAACGGTAAGTCCACTTGATGCCCAAATCCCTTAAGAGTGATGGATGGATACAAGTAACTTCCTCTTCGCCGAATGTTTGTGTTGTTGCTCCTTGAGCCGGTGTGTCGATGACACTTGTCGGTCATCATCATCATAATATTTAGACAGACTCTCTCGGAATTGTTGTTGTGCTCCGAAGAGAGGTTATCACTGAAATTGATCTATCCGCCGGAAGAGAGAAGGGCTTTGGTGGCCGGAAATTAAAGGAGCACATCTCCTTTTCCTTCTTCTTCTTCTTCTCCTTCTTCTTCTTCTTCCGTTTCCCCCCTTTCCTCCACCACTACTACTACTATTTATCTGTTTATCCGTCGTCGGCCAGTGGCACCAATTTGGCGGGAGGGCAAAACGCCAAAAAATTTGGACAGAGGGCTGATGGCAAACAAACATTTTTTGAGTGCGCGGGCGCGCGAGAAAAAGAGAGAAGAGGGGGGGGCACATACGCCCCACAAAAATTGCATCAATTCGTCGCGCGCGCGCGCGCGGAAAAAATTGCGTAGAAAACAAACAAGTACGTGTTGACCGGCGCACATTTTGAGCGGCGAGAAGCGAGATTTGGACACCTAATGGATTAATTTACGGGGCCGATCGCGTTGAAGCATTGATGATATCAAGAGTACATTATAAGAAGGGCTCTGGTCTTTTTCAGATCCCTCAGAAAGCCGGTTTGGACCAGGGACTGATGAGGACGGACCAAGAAGGTTGGACCTAATTTCTCAAGTTGGTCGAGCAATTGTATGAAAATCAAGGCGTGCTCCTTTTCAGACCATCCAGAACGCTTTTTTAAAGTGCCAGGGACTTGGAGTTGGTTTTTTTGGATCCAGGATGATACCAGCTGAGCCTGGTCCTTTTCGGATCGTCTAGAAAAGCGCTAAAGACCGAAAGAGGTTAGAGTAGAAACGGATATTTGATATTTGGCCCCCTTCCGTCCGTCGACACAACAGTAGAAGTAATCCGAGAACTTTTCCTCGTTTGGGACGTCTTTGTGGGTGCCACGTCATCATGGACGACGACGACGTGGCAAACATGTGTGATAAGCTGGCGGGAAGTAGAGTCTATCTCTAAACGAGAAGTGCACCAAGCTCTGAGATTTTGGCACTTTTCTGAAACGGTAAGGAGACTTTTTTGAAAAGCGAACTTGAAAGTGAAATCGTCAAATCAGAGGAGTTTTAGATCTAACGGACGTCAGGGTCCCGAGTACGGTTGGTTAGGGCAATGTAAGATTAGACTGGATAGATTTAAAGTTGAGGACCTTCTATCCGGTCCCTCCCACAATGATTTTAGAACCCATTCCTTCCAGCTCAATTCCCCCCCTCCCTTCATCTTTTTCTTTCTTTTCTCCCTCCTTTCTCGGCCAGAGCCGCGCCGCCGCCGCCGCTTTCTTCTATTTTTAGGCGGATGGTCAGAAATCTGAGTAGCTAGAAGACTACAACGTTGCCACGTCGTCACCCCAGATTTCCGAGCACCGGGGATTATCCGATTCACTGGCGAACTGACCTGATCTTGACGAGCAAATTTCCGTGCGTATCCTTGATTTTCGGGCGTTCCGCATCGGCGACGCCGACGACGCACAAAAGAAGCAGCCCAATCGAGAGAAGTGCGCCGACAGTGACGGTCATCTGAAAATTGGGCGATTCTGAAATCTAAAGACTGAAAAGGTGTCGTTCGTCAGAAAAAAAAGAGAGTGGAGAAATAGAGGGATGGGGAGGGGCCCGGGGTGGAAATGAGCGAGCGAGGGAAACGGGAAAAGGGGGCGGGGCTTTGGGAGGGGCGGCGAGAGTGGCGGAGACGGGCAGAGAAGTGGCAGAAACAAAACATTTTCCCTCTCTCTCTCTCTCTCTCTCTCTCGCTCCTTCTCTATCACTTTTATATTGCGCGGAAGCTTAGGCGCCATCGATTTTCAGACAAGCGCGGGCTTGTAGGCTCGCGCAGAGAATGGGTTGGTTGTTGACACCGGAAAAGGAGGCAGTTGGAGGGGAAGAAAGAGAAGAAGGAGAAGAAGAAGAAGAAGGGATGGGTACGGTAAATATGGAACAGATACAATTCAGTTCCATGAAATCGTAGTCTAGTGGGTCCAGAGGAATTCGAGGTTAGCTTTCTGAATTTTGAATTAAATCACGTGTTGTTTAAATTGACTAGGCTTCATGGACTTTATCAGTGTCTAAAGACTAGTTTATACCAGAGTTGCCACGGGCCGGGCCGAAATTTTCAAAACTCCGGCCCGGTCGGCCCGGTTCAAAAAGCGGGAATCCAAATTTTGAACTATTGATTAAATAAAATGTTTGTTTTTCGTAGAACTAACGAATTTTGCAAGTATCGAGCATAAAAAAGAAATGTAGTTCTCAAAAATAGAAACGAAAAAATAGATTTCCCCCGAAAATTTGAATTCGCGCCTTTTGAGCCGGGCCGGCCCGTAATTTGGCAAGTCTGGTTTATACTACCGTAAACACTGTATTAGAAGGGCGCCCCAATACTGTTTTGTAAAAACGATGTATCTCAGAAGTCGGTGGAGATATCAGAAAATTGTCAAGTAAAAAGTTGCTCATTATACAATTTTGCACATTTTCACAGTTGACAGCTTTTCGATATGTCCACTGGCAGCTGAGATACATCTTTTTGAATAGACGGCATTTTTATTACAGTTTTTTTGCTTCCGGAGTGAAGATGAACGTGATCGAACGTAAACAACGATGAAAAGTTCATTGCATGAATTGTGAGGTGTGTGAAACGGAAACCCAAGCAGCTTCCAACCGTCCGTATACCTAAGAAACCCCCCAATTTCCGCCCTAAGCTTCCAGGTAGCCCTTGCACCTCCGTGCACTTTCTCCGTCTGCCCTAATGCAATAGTGAATAGGGGGGCTTAGTTGCCGCTTCCTCCTCCCCGGACGGAGGCTGCCAATTATGAAAGGTGGGGAATGCGGCGTGGGTGGGTGGCAGGTGGTGTTCAGGGCTCGATGAGCCGGTATAATGCTCTGTGTGAAGAAGAAGAAGAAGAACAGAAGAGGACACATGTACATATTTATCGGAAGGACACTACGTTTAGCACTCGTGGCAGAAGGTGAGGGGTCTGTCGAATTGATTATGCGCTCGACGGGGGGGATCAGAGTTGTGAAGTTAGTAGATTTCCAAAGTTGAAATAGTTCAGAAGATTTTAAATACAAAGACTGTTTCACAGTTCTCATAATACTAGTAGAACAATCGAGCAAACGTTGGTCCGTCACGAAACAACTGTATTCAGGGCTGGGCAATTGGCCGGCCCGGGCTTTTCGATGGCCGGCCCTTGACCTGGACTTTTGAACCACTTGCGACCCAAACTTTGCAGAATTGTTGAACTTGGATTGAGGGCCATTGGGACCAAGTTTCAGCCCGATCGGACCGAGATATGTAGATCATTGGCCGATTTTTTTCAAAAAGCCCGGGCTTCCGCCAATTTCGGCCAATGATCCACATTTCTCGGGACCAAATAATCCGATCGGGCTGAAACATGGTCCCAATATGCTTCAACCCATGTCCAAGAAGCCTGCAAAGTTTGGGTCCGATCGGAATATTGCAAGTGGTTCAAAAGTCCACGTCAAGGGCCGGCCAACGAAAAGCCCTGACTGTATTCAAATAAGTGATGCTCTTCTCTTCTCTGTCAGTTGCATTTGTCAAGTGATAGCCATACGAAATAACTACTGCTTCAAGTAGTCTAGCTATTAAAATGACAGTGTATTTGTAGATTCTAACTCAAGATTACTACTCCAAACTTGTAAGATTCGGGGTCTAGTAGATTTTAAATCAAAATTTTTGATATCAAAAAGTGCGAGCGCCAGATCGACTTTTGGGACATATAAAAGTTGAATGAAACAGTGAAAACATCGTTGTGCAAGATCAGAATACTTTGACCTCTCCTCCTCCTATCAAATGTTTCCCAACCCCACCCACTTCAGACCTATTTCATATTATGTCCGTGCCAATATACACAAGCTTTGGCCCGCCAATTCTAGGTGTTTCAGTGATCTGTTTTCTGCTCGAGTAAGATCTTGCTCATCGTTATTTCCTTCTTTCATCTTGGCACAAATGTTACAGGCTCACTGAAACAGAAATCTGATCTATTGAATGAAGAACGAAGGATCTTCAGTTATGCAATTATTATGCCATTCTCTCTCTTTCTCTCCAACCCTCTACAGCTTATTTTCCTTCCGGTTCACCGCACTCTCAAACACCTCCCCACCCTCTTTTTCTCTCCGGTTTTGAATGCAAGAAGACGGTTGTTTGTGTACAAAAACATTCACAAAATGGTGTAATCCGGCGGGAAATGGTGACGGACTCGACCTTGGCCAATGCTTACATTCGGCGGCTTCTACACAACGAATTTCAATTATTTCGACGCATTTTTTTTGAGAGCGGAATTGACAAATTGAATTCGATGATAAAAGTTATTTTCGTATCGATCAATGATTTGCGAGAAAGGGGTCTCGACACGAAAACGTTTTCGATCAGCGTTCACGGTAAAAGCGAAGCCGTTGAGCTCAACGAAAAGTTAGGCAATTGTTGAAACTGTGAAGGCAATTATCTCGAATCGAGATGAAAGCGTTCGAAATGAAAGAGAAGGAAGTGGTTGTGGGGGGCAAGGAGTGACAGGGGAATTGAGGCGAGTTCGGCCCCCCGCTCATTATAATTTCCATTATTATCCGGTCGCTCGTCCGGATGTCAAAGTAACAAAAGAGCAAATGCACATAAAAGTCGGACGTTTCGAACGAAAATGGGCAAATAGAAAGAGAGGGAAATGTACCGGTGGGCGCCAGATAAAAGTGCTCTTTTTTTTGAAATTCAAATGGAAAGTGGAAAGAAGAGAGAGAGAAAGGGTGCTAACAAGGCACGCACACACTTCTAATACCTAATTTACGATGGAATATGTGTCAGAAATTCGATTAACCCCACAGCAAGAAGAAGAAGAAGAAGAAGAAGAAGAAGAAGGAGAGATTCAATTTGAAGGCCGAACATTTCGAATGAGCCGACGGGACCGGAAGGAGTTACACTTCCGAGTGGCGTGAACGATCGAGAATGGCGTCGGAATGGGAGTGTGTGGGCGGAAAGAAGGGGCGAAGGGTCGGAAAAACGGGGAAAGAGGGACCAGTTTGAAGAATAGGAAGAACGCGAGACTTTTCGAATGTGTAGCACTTTCAAGCGTTAGCGGAACAAGTAGCATGATTGAGCAAGGATTGAGAATTCATAAAACATGAAAAATATTGTGAAACAACTGAAACTGTAATACTTCACTTTGAAAAAAGTCATTAGCCAAAGTTCTGATTGGGAAGTCTTATGAAACTTTACTGAAACAGGCAATTAAGCAGAATAGGATAACATACACAAAACTTTTAGGCCCTTCATTCAGCGATGTAAAAAACGTAAAGCTCGGAGGAAGGAGACCACCTTCCGATCTGATCCGTATCAAAAACGTACACTTTCCCATGAGAACACCGAGACTCATAAAGATGTTAATCTCAAAAAGAGATTGTGGGGCGGTTATTCTCGGAGGGAAACGGTTCGCCCCGCCGCCGACCATCTGCCACCTGCTTTTCTTGCGTCATCAAACGGAAATTGGGTTAATTAGAAGGCGAAAACGGAATCTTTGTTGGTTTTATTCGACGAGCACGAGCCACGCGCCGATTTGTTTTTTGGCTTGTGCCAATCAGATTATGGAAAAAAAAAACGGGCGGCCTGGGGGAGGAGGTTGAGCCCCTTCAAAACTTTCGTATAATTTCTCGGACGTTTGCGAATCATTCACCGAATTTCGCAGAAAAAAAATACAGAAAAGAGTTAGGAAGAGAATTGATAAAAAAGAAGAATGAACCGTTTTGGGACCAACGTGAAACAGAAAAAGTTAGAATTCTAAAAAAAAGTAGATTTTCGGATTTTACTGTTTCAGATTACTAATAAATAGAGCGACGTGTCGACACGACTTACAGTCAATAAACCCTTGAGCAGATAAAAAAGAACAATTCTCGCTCTGAGTGAGTGTTCATGTCCGATTCCAAACTTTTCTGCAAATAGCCAATTTATTATCAGTGTGTCACTTTCGAAGCGGAAAACGGCAGCAACTCGTCAAAACTTGACACAAAAAATTGGCTGTTTTCGCTTGGCTCATTCCGTTTTGTTGCCATTGGCAATTCCCCCGGGGAGCCGTTGATGACGGCTCTGAGAGCAGAAAAAAACGGAAAAACTTTCGTTCCCTTGTCCTATTTCCTATTTTTATGAGGTTTCGAAACGGAGAAAAACGGGCAGAGAGACTAATTGAGGCGGAGAGAGCAGTGCATATGGAATGGATAGGCAGCGAATAAAATAGGGATTGGTTTTGACACGAACACGGAATTGCTCCGTCGACTTGATTGATTGGGCACACATTCGGAGAAGGCGATAGAGAAGGGACTTCCCTTTGTTTTCTCAACCGCCAATTCAATTTATTTTGTGGGCGTCTCTCTCTTTTTTTCCTTTTTTTAACAAGATTTTTTGAGAACTTGAGAATTACTGTAGACAATAAGTGTGCAAACACCGAATGCCAATGGATGCACTCAATTCGACTCAATTGACGCGCAAACAAAATTTCCGGAAACGCAGGGTTTCCAGCCGACTTTCCAGCCAATTTTCGGCGTTTTTACGATGCAAAAAATGCCGTCACATTCAAGACGTGATCCCGAAACACCACCACCGTAGGAATCGCCACCACCGTCTCCGTTTGCACATTTTTCTAAAATTTCAGATGGTTGACGGAACAAAAGAGCAGCCAAACGGCCGTCAGAGATCTTCGGAAGTACATTCGACTCTTGACCACAGTTGTCGATAAAGCCGATCGTGCCGGACGACGAATTTCAGACGAGGGCGTTCGCGTGAGCTCGGAAAATTCAAATTTTCGGAAAATTTTTGAGAAATTCAGGTCAACAAGCAAATAGAGAGAATTGTGAATGACGCGTTGGCCGCGCACGATACTATTCAGAAGCACGAGTTGACGGAACTGAAAAAATGCGCTAAAAACGAAATAAAACCCGCGGTGACTCCGTTGAAGATGAATACGAGCAATGTGCCCAAGAAAAGATCGTCGCAAGAAATTCCAAAAATACCACTCAAAATGGTGAAAGTTGGGCACGAAACTCCACTCAAACCTCTTTTTCCAACCCTCCCAGAGGTTTAGTATCTATTTTCGTCACTTGAAATGATTTCCTTTTCCAGATACTCTCGGATTCCTTTGCTCCCGTAATGTCGCCACGTCCGCAGCTGTACAGCCCGTCGCGAGTGCGCCTATTGCCGGTCCGACCGGCCGGAGGCATCAGAGGAAGCCATTCGATTCTCAGAAACCGCCACCGATTCACTCTTCTTGGGATGTTTCTCGGCGAGAATTTGGCCGAAAACCGGATGACCGTCGCCGGAGTTCTCACCAGAATCGGGTTTCTCGCTAGAATTGACTGTTTGTATGTATTATTCCAGAGTTTTGGCGTTTTCGAGTGAAATCCACATTCCGCCGGATCAGAATACTGATTCGTACTCCGCAATCGATACCGTCCATCGGGTCACTTTTGCGTTGAATGAAAGATTGGCGACGATGCTTCTGGAGAAGTTCGACGGCGACGAGTGCGATCTCAAAAAGCATCGACAGAATGAGCTCTCGGATTTCAATGTTGGACATAAATATAATTCATTGAAACATTCAATTTCCAGGGAATGCTGCTGATGCGAGAGCTGACTGAATGGGATGCTCTCCGGATGGACACCGCCCGTGTTTCGCTTCCGATATTCAAAGAAGTCTACCATCCGATCGACGGATTCGCTCTCGGAACCCAATTCGATCGGATCATTGTCTGGCAGGACCACGTGAAGATGCAAGAGATCACAATTGAAGACCTCATCCACAAAAATACCCGTCTTTTCATTCGAATCCTCTACAATTTGAACCCGATCGGAATGGAGGAGATGCGAAGTTACGCGATCGATTTTATGAAGCACCCACCTTCGAATAACTCATAATTTCCCACTTTTCTCTAACTTCTCTGTCAAATGTATTAAAAATACCATATACACATGAAATGTTGTCGCAGAATTCTGCGGCGCGTTTGAATGATTTGAACATTTCCGTGATTTCCAATTTCGTTGGAGGTTTCACCCCGATTTTATTTGAATTTCTGTGTCTGTGTTTGTCAGTCCAACCGCACTCCCAAAATGGCCTGTAATTCGCTGCCCTTGTAAGCCATCTCTTTGATTTTCCCCCCAAAAACTAATCTTTTTCCAGATGGCTCACCGACAAACTAGAGAACGAGCTGATAGCTGTATTCCCTAGCCAGCCCTTAGATAGCTGGAACAGTGACGCATATTTGAAGGTTTTCCGATTGTTCAGAGCTTTAGTGCTCTTAAAAATTCTCTTTTCAGGGCATGAAACTGATGTCAGAGCTCACAAATTGGGACAATCTGAGAATGGAAGTGGATCCAATGAAGAAGGCGTCATTGACGAGATTGGTGTGTACGATCTCATTATTAATAGTAAGTACAAGTCTGTTTTCAAAAAGACAGAAGCGAGAGCGATGCTGGAAACGTAAAAAGTAACACATGACGTTTCTCGTTTTATTACAGAATCCGGCAGAAAATGATGAAGGATATCATCGAGAATGCTCTTGAAGCACACGCGAAGATGATCACAAAGACGATGAGAGTTGTGAAGAGAAGTGTCATAGAAGAGATTGAGGATTGCCAGTCGTCCATCGCGTCAGCGGTGCTTGCCAGAGACCACGTTTCCTTCTCATTTTATTACTAGAGCATCAAAACCTCTCCGGACGAAGTTACTGTTCCAGCCGGACAAGTAACTTTTACTGGTTACACTATGGAACAGCCCACGCGTGTGCTCACTTTCGAGGTGGACGATGAGAGAACGGCTTCCATTCTGAGCACACAAACCAATGGAGTTCTCGATCTAAACAATTATTCGAAGGATGACACTGCTTGTAAAGTCAAGGTGAGAATATTTCTCCGGCTTCGCTTTTGCCCCCCCTCGGGTTTTGCTGAGTACGATAAATTGAGCGTAAATAACATGCTTGCAGGGAAGGCTTCTGATAGAAGCGAGTATTACTGTGAAGGCCTCATCGTCAAGTATCCAAATGTTTTTACAAGCACTATCCAGGAACTGCAACCGGCAGCCGAAGAAGAAATAAAAGACCGCTGCTTATGTCTTCCGAGGCAACAGATAATTACCGTTGTTTTTTTGTTTTGTTGTTAAAGAATTGTTACCAGATTTGGTTTTATTTTTCGGAATATGAGTAGTTCATAATCACTACTATTTGGTATTTTGAATCTTCAGATGAAAGCCGATCGCAGTAACAGTTTCAGATGGAGCAGTCGAACGGCGAGCCGGTTAAAACATTCGTCGATGTTGCCGAGCAGACGGGCCCACCAGTTGACAACTTCGAGAGGCTCGCCGAAAAGCCGCGTCACAACAGTTTCACTTTTGTCGGCTACTCCCGCAGCGAAGCCTGCCTGACAGAGTCTGAAATTGCGGAAATACTCACTTCCATCGGGTATTTACCAGAGGATCCGGTTTGTTTAATTTTAAACTTTCAGCATCAAAAGCTCTCCGAACGATGTGACGTTCTCAAATCTTCCAATACCACTAACATTTACTAATTATCCCCAAGACCGTCCGGTCCGTGCGATCACTTTCGAGGTGGACGACGAGAGAACGGCTGCAATCCTGGGCAAATTTGCCGACGGAGGTCTTGATCTGAAAGAGTTTTCGAAAGGAAACGACAAAAATGCTGAAGTTGAAGTACAAAAATTGTTTGACTGAATTTGAATCATCAACACAATTTCAGGGATTGTTTCTGATAAAACAGCTCTCGATATTGGACCGTGTGAAATTGTACGTCACCAATTTCTCGAAACAATATCTCGCCGAAGTCTACCCTCGCAAAGACGGATACGCAATCGTGAATTCTCCTCTAATCCACGACTTGTCTCCACTGACTGTAATTAAAAATGAGGAAATTATCGAGAGGATCGTCGTGGAAGACCTCGTCGTCAAATATCCGGATGTTCTGAAGAAGATTACTCAAAAAATGAGCCATTGGGCCAGAATGAGGCTGGAAAAATATCTAAAGACCCAACTGTAATTAATGTCGCTATTCTTGTATCATTTTCTACTTTCTTGTCGATCTGTTATGCCGCGTCCAATGTCTCGGAAAAACCGTAAAAACCGCAGGTTTTTCTGTCCAAAGTCGGCCGAAATTTGCGTGAAAAACGGGGGTGCGCACAGCTCAATGAGTGTAACCGTACCCCTAAAACTACGGTATTTTTTGAAAATTTGTTAATTTCTTGAGGTTATTTGAAAATACTCAAATTTCCTGCGCACATTTTCAAAAAATACCGTAGTTTTAGGGGTACGGTTACACTCATTGAGCTGTGCGCACCCCAGTTTTTCACGCAAATTTCGGCCGACATTGGACAGAAAAACCTGCGGTTTTTACGGTTTTTCCGAGACATTGGACGCGGCATTATAATCACTTCATGTCGAAATATACTAATTTAATTCGTTTCTTTGTTGTCTCAGTGTGCCGGTAGTTTCTACTTTACAAATGTACCTCAAAGCGTTCCGCGCATTCATGAAAATGTACTTTTGCAGCCATGGCTCCCAACGACGGAACATCGAAAGACGAAGTGCCGAAGTGAGCGCCGCCCTTCCCTCACGAATCCATAATTCTCTTTGAGATGGCTTACCGACAAATTGGAAAACGAACTCGTCGTCAACAACCTCCGTTCGTACATCCGCGTTCTGGAAAGTGTCACCGAGAAGGCAGCTCACGCGGGAACACTCATTTCGGAGGTCGGAAGGGTTACGGACGGAATCCGACAGAAAATGATGGAGGATATCATCGAGAATGCTCTTGAAGCACACGCGAAGATGGTCAACAAAACTGTGAGAATTGTGAAGAGAAGTGCGGAAACAAAGGATTCTGATGATGGAACTGATGAGAAACAATCCAGTGCTTCAGAGGTGCCATCGAAGAGATCGACGGTTATCGGTCGCACGGAAGTTCCAATTGTTCAAAAAGTAGCCGTGTGTACTCCTAGAAAGTCTTGTAAAGTTCCATCAATGATTGTCCCTTCTGCGCGCATAGTCGGAAACATGAGAGAGAACCAGTCGACCACCGCACCGGGAAAAAGTCAAAAATTCGTACTGCTCGGGCACTTATGCTTTGGTCACTTCAGTGAAAAGAAGGAGTTGGTAGCGAGGGCTCTGACTGCTATCGGGTATTGATATTGTTCAATTTCAATGACAACACCCTTTTACAGCATTGCAACGATTGGTCATGAAGTGGATCTTGCACAGTTCGGACCGTTTTCTAATGGCTTCGAAGCTTTGACAGCTCTTATTTTCGAGGTGGACGACCGAAAAACTGCGATTATCCTGAATCTTATTAGCGATGGTAATTGTTGTCTGAAAAAATATACCACCGATTTCCGTCTCAAGGCATGTCTCTCTTGTAATTTCGGCGAAACCCTATAAGAAACTCTTTCTTATAGGATTTGGTAATCATGAAGGCGATCTCACGCTGGAGAGTTCTGAAAATGGAGACCACCCGTCTCTGTACCGAGTTTCTCACCGAGAAATATTCCCCGATCGATGGATACGTAGTCACACATTGTGAAGAGGCAGCAGTTGTGAAGAAATGCGGAAAGTTGGTCGAGAAAATCACTGTGGAGGACCTCATTGCGAACTATCAAGATGTATTCGAAAAGACGATCAGTTTGCTGGACCTGGATGCGAAAAACGAGATGAAGGACTACGCTGTCGATTTTCTGAAAAGATGGAATACTTCGCGGAAAGCTTCCGCTGCTGATAACGCCTCCGGCAAAACTAGAACGGATCAAGAGTCCATCAAACCAGGTCGTCAAAGATTTTCTCTTGTCGGCTTTCCGGCTACAACTTTCACTAAAAAGCAGAAACTGGTTGCGAAGGCACTGACTTCTATCGGGTACAGATATCGCTCAATATTGCCTATTTTAAATGTATGACCTTTCAGAGTGTCTACTGAACCCTCGGAAGTGGCTCCAGCGGTCGGACAAGTCTGCTTCCATGATTATTTCTCCGGCGAGATGTTTTTTTCTTTCACATTTGCGGTGGGCGATGGAAAGACTTCTTCGATTCTGAATCTGCTTTCCGATAATGATGTCTGTTGTGTGGGACAGTACACGGATGATTCAGCGATGAAGGCAGGTTTTTCTTCTCTGTTTTTGCGAATATAATTGCTTGTTGTAGAGAGTGAAAATCATGAAGGAGATCAGCGACTGGGACATTCTCAAAATGGAAACCGTCCGTTTTTCTGTCGTATTTCTGAATAAGACCTACTCTCCGATCAATGGATATGCCTTCGAGATGTGCAACAACTCTGTGGATGTGAAGAAATCTGGAAATACTGTCGAGAAGATCACCGTGGAAGACCTCATTGTCAAATATCCAGATGCTTTCGAAAAGACTATCAGAGAGCTGCTGGACAAGGAAGGCAAAATCGAAATGGAAAAGTACGCTGCCGAAATTTTGAAGGCCCACAAATAACTAATACTGCATCTTTTTGCTTTTGTTCTGTTCCTGTTGTTTTGTTGTTTCACTTTCAAACCAATATAATGTTGACGAATCATTTGTGCTCTTCCCAAAACTTTTCATTTACTGAAGTCACAGGTGATTCGCGATCGGTCTAATGAGAACGTAGGCCTATGATATGGCATATATCAGATATGCCTATCATGAACCAATCGCGAAGAAAAATTGCCTACAATACGTTTATCGCGAAAATTCTCGAATTCGCATATGATAGGCCTATCATAGGCCTATTTACCCTGAAAAGTGCTCGCGATAGGTCCACTTAATATAGATTTTCCTGGAATTTTGAAGAGTCCCCTTCCCGGTCCCCAGTTTCCCAGAGAACCCCAAACAACAAGAAAACAAGTTTAGAGGAAAAAGGTTTATTGAAGGAAAAAAAAAGAACGCATACATAAAAAAAGAAAATAATTGTCAGTGGAGCAGCTTGGCGACGTCGAAGTTGAGCACGATGACGGTGGAGGAGGATGGAGAACGTCGTGGTGTTGGAGAAAAGGCCTGAAAAAGAAAGTATGTGTGTTTATTTATTCAAGTTTATTTTTATTTAAAAAGTTATGTTTATACCTGTTTTACATGTTTAATGGTAGAAATATCTCACCTTTTCAAGTTCTTCTTCCTCGACAGTCGGCTCCTCATCCTTCTTCACGGTGTCTCCATCCTCCATCACGAGGTCCCTATCAGAGTTGAGCGGAAGAACTCAACGGAAGAACACGGAAGAATTTTTATCTTTTTTAGAAAATGTTTTCATGAAATGTGATCAACTGACGAAATGTATAGCAAAGTGAACTCTGCTCATGAAAAAATAATTGTAAATTTAGCTTTTCATACAAAAAAGTTATTCGAGTTGTTCCGTGAAAAAAGGGCTAACGGAAGACGGAAGGGCATTTTCACGGAACAACTCGAATAACTTTTTTGTATGAAAAGCTAAATTTACAATTATTTTTCTATGAGCAGAGTTCACTTTTCTATACATTTGGTCAGTTGATCACATTCCATGAAAAAATTTTCTAAAAAAATATAAAAATTCTTCCGTGTTCTTCCGTTGAGTTCTTCCGCTCAACTCTGGTCCCTATCCTCCATCACGATGTCCTCATCCTTCTCCACGGTGTCTCCATCGGACATCACGACGTCGTCAACCTTCGGCTCGTTGCTCTCATCCTTCGGCACGTTGTCCGGCTTCTTCTCACTGCCGTCGACCTGCACCTGTGCCTGAACTTTTGGAGTAATTGGACTCGAGAAATGCTCGAATTCCAATTCTCTCAGTTTCAATTCAGACACTCTAAGAGCCTCACTCAACTTACCCATCTCCCCCTCCAGCTTACTCACCTGCTCCTCCAACTTACCCTGTTTCTCGTTTCCCCACTTGACTTCTGACTGAAGATTTGAGACTTTGGAAATCAGGATAGCTTTCGCTTTTTTGAGATCCGCTTTCTCAGCTGTAAAGTTCTTGAAGTCAATCAAACTGGCGGAAGTTCAAATTTTAATTTTCGATGCACCCGTCACGACCCCGTGATAAAGGCGCATGCACAAAAAGCTTTCCAACGTTTGCACACGGCGTAAGATTTCAAAAGCCAACTTCAGCCAGATATTTGTGTAAATCCACCTGGAAATCCGATCAAAAGCACTAAAACCTTTGAAAGACGCAATAACATTGTTATTTAAAAAATGATGGCTTCCAGAGGGATTTTACTGATTATTGACTTTTTTGAAAAGCTCGGCGCCATTTCTGTGCAATAATTAGGCTAGTAAATCGATTTTTATGTTTGCACTCAAAAAACGGGGCATAAAGCTTTCAGAAAAAATTGGAAATCTCCTGACCGCTTTTTCTAACAAGAATGATCTAATTTTCACTGAAATTTTCGGAAAAAAGCAAGGTTTCCGTTGAAAAATTGTCGTGGCTTAGGTTTCTCTAAAGTTCGGCCACGACGTGCAAACCTCAGCCATTTCCGCAATTTTTTGCCGAACGGTACAAAAAGGGCGTCGTAAGTTATTATAGGGGCACCGGACAGAAAGGGCGCTCTGTTCGCAATCTGGCCGAATTTCTAGGCCGCGAAGTAATTTTCCACTGAAAACGTGGCCTAACTTTTCAAACTCGGCCCCGAGGTTGCTCAATTTGCACTACAAAAAGAGTTTCTCAACAGAGCGCCATTTCTGTGCGGTGCCCCTATAATACGAAAAGGATAAAAACAATTTTCAAAAAATGTTTAGTCAATCTTCGTTTTATTGTACTTTCTGTTAAAGTTCTACTGAAACAGACAAAGTAGGTGGATTCGTGATAAAAATAACAATAAAATTAAATCAGAATTCGATCAAGTTTAGAACGTGTTCAATAGATGCTCGAACCGTTTTCGCGGGCACTTTCTGGAACAAAAAAGATTAATAAAATCAGGTAACGGAGAGCTTCTCCACCTCATCTTGCCCCTCCAGCCTCCGAATTTGGGCGCCGACCTTTTGGCGGAGTTCCGCGAGAGCAGGAGTGCATATTTCGTCCAACAACTTCTGGAATGCCGTCAGAAACTTCTTCTTGCTCGTCATCGCCTCCATCGGAACGCATTTCTTCTCCAGCAACTTTGCAATAACAGTGTTCTGCTTCTCGAATAGTTTCTCCATTGAACGGAACATTCTGAAGTCCGTCGTTTCTGGTGCCGGCTCCGGCTCTTTCTCTTTTACTGTCAGTGGAATCTCGAGTACTCCGTCGTGCTCTTTGTACTTTAAAATGCATCGTTGTCCGTCTAAAATCAGCTCGGCTCTTTGTCTGAGCTCTTCCTCGAAACTCTCATCCACCGGCGTCTCCGTGATGTATAGCATTCCGATCCTCGTGGCCAAGGGAAATTCTTCGAGGCGATTAAGAATTGGACGCAAATATCGATGGAAACTGAAACAATTACAAGGGCTTCTCAACTCTGTGATCTCTGTGATAAACTGACAGTTGACTGAGACTTCTCAGAGATCTCTCCGTGTTCATGACGCGCTTGCATTCAACGAAAAAGTTGTCCAACGATAGCGGATAATTCGGTGCCTGTGCCTGATCCACCAGGAACTCTAACATCGCCGCCTTGTCCCGCTTTAACTCGTCCTCAACACGCAAATTTACAGCGCCATCCCTGTACTCCTTGAACTGCACTATCCGCCAATCCTCCGAAACTTTGACGCTCGCATTATGTTTCAGCCTTTTCAGGAGATCCCGATCGATTGGAACTCTGTACATCATCAGCATAATAACTTTTGTAACGAGATGAAGTTCCTGGTTTTCATGGACAAATTCGAATATCAAATGACGTAATCTGAAATGAAATGAAGGAATTTCAATTGGAAGATTTGACGGAAAAACCTGGCTCTGACTGCGCTGAACGTCCGCGTCGATCCGTTCGAATCCACAAACTCCTCCCATAACTGTCTGGGACTGAGAAGCTGTTTCGTATTTTTAGTCTTTTCAACCAGGAACTGTATCATTTCGGCGTCCTCTTGCGCAGTGAAGCACTCCTCTCCTTCTCCGTCTTCATTTTCGCTCTCCGAATCGGGAAACTCCTCTTCCCGAACCCTTTTCTTGTGCGGTCTTTCGTCAGACTCCAGCTCCAATCCTTTCCCCTTGTACCACACAATCTGTCGTTTCCTGTCCAGCTCCAGTTCGGCCTCTTGCCTCAACTCATTCGCGAAATCCTCATTGATAGGAACTTTCATTGCGAATAGCACTTTGATCCTGGCATCTCCGTCGAGCTGATCGACCAGTTTTGGCGTTAGAGCTTGGGTGAAACTGCAACATCGTTTTTCGTTTTTTTATTTCCAGTGATAGTTGTGACATTCTTGAACGTTCCCTGACCGATCACCAGGACACGTTTGCGTACTGTCCCGGGTGAGCGAAACTCTTTAAAGCAATTCTTATTCATGGTAGGCTAAAGATCTCTTAGGGGTGGTAGTACAAAAACGCTGTCAACTAGGAAGGTACGTAGATTACACTGAAATATTGTTGATAATGATGTGACGTCACCCAGCTCTGTTATTCGCACTTAAACTTTTTATTTGTCAACAGAAGAGACTACTTACTGATTGCGAATGACATAATCACGACGATCCGATCCGCTAACACTCTTGAACTTCCTCCAAACATCCATCTGCTTCACAGGCCACTCTTCGTTCTCAGCCATTCCCAACAAGAAATCCAACATCTCCTTGTCCTCCGCCTCACTGAACGGTCGCTCGTTTTGCTCGTCAAAGTCTCCGAGTACAAATGAACCGCTTCTGAACTTGAGAATACACCGATTCTCGTCCAATTCCACGTCGCCCCCCTCCTCCAGATCATCGAAAAAGCGTTGTGTCACCGGGGTCCGTGTGAAATAGAATATTTTGATGCGGGTTTCTATGGTGTCGTCGGCCATCGGTAGAACGTCCAGTTTCGGAGCCATCAGTACCCGGAATCGTGTCTCGATCGCGTTCACCGAGTGCCTCGAATTGGTTTTTCGCCAGAACTCCTTCCAAACTGTGTGCATCGAAAGTGGCTCTTTCGCCGCATTGGCAGCGTCGCAGAGGTGTTCGAACATATCCCAGTCTTCTAGTTTCGTGAAATCCTCGATTTTCGGGACCGTTTCCGGCTCTCTCGGCAACTCGAGCACTCCTTTATCTCTGTACTCTCGCAGATATCGGAGCTCGGTCACACGCACCTCCGCCCCTCTCGCACGCAACTCCTCCACAAACTCTTGCTCGAGTCTGGTCCGCGAAAAGTAGATCATCCGGATTCTCGTCTCGAAATCGAGCTCTTTCATGCGATGCAGATTCTCCGAAAGATCATTGCGGAACCTAAACTGTTTTTATTGACTTCTCCTTAAGTCTTTTCGGAGTTGTTTACCGCTTCTGGATGCTCTTTGCCGACCGCCGGTTCCGATCTCCCATGTGCTTCACGTATTCCTTCCAGAACTTCTCCATTCCTTTCGTCGGCGTACGCGCCGTCCCCGCCTTCTCCTGCAGATATTCCAGCATCGCCTTATCCTCTTCGGGAGTGAATTCCTCTTCGCCGCCGTCCATTTTACAACTTGAAAACAGCAAACAATGCAAATGCGCTCTATTGCGAGCGCGAAACTGAGAATTTGATTGGCGCGAAATTAAAATATTCAACGAGCTACACAACTCTCAAAACGGTGTTTTAAAGAAAACGACTTAACTTTACATGTTGAAGAGAGAAACATAACAAAAACAGAGTAGAGTAGAGATTAAAATTGTTGTCTCTTCGGTGTAATTTCTCTAAGAGAAATTAGGGAATCGGGAAAAGCGAGTGTTTCGGTAATAAGTTAGGTCGTTTTAACCGAGCCAACTGGGCTCTCACGCACAAAAGAACACACAAACAATTGACTATTACTACTCAATATTACACGATATTCTAACTCAGACAAAACCAAAAACAAACAAAATGTGCGAACACAACAAACGAATTGTACAGATACGAGAAATTCGGCGCCTTATTCTCATTCTTCGTCCGATTCGGACTCGTCCGCTTCCCTTCCAGCTCCCTTTTCCGTTGATTTGCATCCTTGGGCTTCCGGGATGTCCTTCAAGTACCTCTGTAGTCCCTCTGCTGATCTCCAACGTCCTCTGCACCGCACCTCCTCCATCGAAAGTCTTTTCGCTCGCAAGTAGTTCGCTCCAGCTCGTCTGAATCCGTGGTGCGTCGCTCCCGTTTTCCCGATCGCCTTGAGCATCTTCGAAGCCAGGGCCGAGATGGATTGCTTCGACAGACGTTTGGATCCCTCCAAGTTCGAGAACACGTACTCGCACGTCTTCTTCTTGCTTCTGAGTCGCCACCTGCACATCAGAATGTCCGCGTCGCTGCCCGGTTCGTAGTTGAAGTACGATCGACGTCCCTCACTTTACATGTTGAAAAGAGAAACATAACAAAAACAGAGTAGAGTTGAGATTAAAATTGTTGTCGTTGCTCTTCGGTGTAATTTCTCTAAAATTAGGGAATCGGGAAAAGCGAGTAACTAAAATAGAGCAAGCTGGGTGTGAGACCAAGTGAATCATGAAAAAAAAACAAACTAGGCCGATCGGAAGGTAAAACAGCATTCTTACATAACAAGAAGAGAAAATAACAACAAAAGTCAATAAAATGCACTTTAAAACTGCTTCAGCACTGGCTCCAACGCCGAACGAATCGAGCGCATCGGGATTCTCTGAAAAGCCGCATGTTTATTCCGTCTTTTCATGTTTTCACCCACCTCATCCCGGTTTCCCAGCTTCTGAAGCGCATCGTCGACTCTCTGCAGGGCTCCGCCCAGCTCCGGATCATTCATCGTGAGAATGAGCGTTCGCATCGACTGCAGGAACTTTCGCTTGCTCGCCGTCGACTCCTCCTTGTTCAGAAGTCTCTCCATGATCAGCGTCTGCTTCTCGAACATTCCCTTTAGCGAATCCATGAACATTTCCATGCCACCGATCATCGTCTTTTGATCTACCGGCTCCTCCTCTTTTCCCTCGTCTTTCGTCGTCTTCAGAAGATTTTCCTTGTCTCCAGTGTTTTTTGGGATTTCTTCTTTTTCCTCATAATTCTCAGCTCGACGTATTCTGTCCCTGATTCCCGAATTTGTTCCCTGACCGTTTTCTTCGTGCTGCGATCGTTTTCTCGCCAATCCACTCGCTTTTTTCTCAGTCAGCAAGGTCAATCCATTTCCTTTGTACATCGAAATCCGTCCCTTTCCGTCCACTCGCACTTCTGCCGTCTCTTTCAGCGCTTTCAGAAACGATGTGTCGACCGGGCTTCGGGTGATGAACAGTATTTTCACTTTTAACTCCGTGTCATATTCAGCTTTAATATAAATTTTCGGCAGAATGGTTATTCTGAAGCGGTTTGCAACGGACAACGCAGATCTCTTCACTCCACTCTCTTCCGCGCACTCTTTCCACAAATCCGTCGCTGGCAGCCAGGTCTGCATCGCCTTTGCCTTTTCCTCGATAAACTTTAGAATTTGATCAGTTTCTTTCGATGTGTAAATGTTGATCATTGACTTCGAATGTACATCGCTCAGTTCAATATCCCTATATTTTGTGATGAATCCGTTCTCGTCCACCTCCACGATTTCGTTATCTCTCAACTCTTTCAGAAACTTCTCAGCAATCGGAGTCGTCGTGGCGATAAACATCAGAACTCGCGTTTCCTCGTCAAACTGAGTCATCAGGTGGAGCTTGGGTGCTATAGAATGTCGGAAATGCCAATTCACACTAGCAGGAGCGCGCATTGATCCGTTCTTTTTGATATATTCCACCCAAATCGGCGTCAAAGCGATGGGACGTTTTTCTCTTTTCGCGTGCTCCGCCAGCAAGCTCAGAATGCCCTCGCGATCTTCGGTAGTGTAAGCTGGTATTCTTTTGCGCTAAAAGAGGGAAAACTTCAAATTTTATGACAAACTGAAAAGAAAGCAAGTACCTGGTAACTTTTATCTTGCGAAACGTCGGAAACGTCGGCGTGGACGCTACAATCAGTCTCAGCCTGTCCGTCTGCCATTTTCTGAAATTTATCAGAGTTTTAATGAGATTTTGAGTGAATAAGCGTCGTAAGCGAGTTGGTAGCATCATTTTAGTTTTTCAGCAAAAATTAGGCTGAATTTGAACAAACGGAGCAGTAGAGCGTGATTGCATTTTGTTATTCTTTTTGAAAAATTTTAGGAATCTGAATGCTTTTTATAATTTTGCTCCTTGTTTTAGGTCGCGTTTAAAGATATGCTTTTTCTAAAATTCTGCGTATTTTTCCTTAATTTTTAAGGACAAAAATGTTGCCGAGTTCAACAAGATTCTCAAAAATATGTCATTTTTAAGTGCGCGGCCGTACATTGCATGTTGATTTTCTCAGCCATCGCCTCGTGTATCTCACACAAACAAACTTGTTATTGAAAATTTTAATCTGTTAATTTGTTTTAGTTTTGTTTGTTCTAGTTCTAGTTTGTTTTATAAATTGTTTGTGACATGGTTTCCTAGCCTCTTTTCTCTTCTCTTCTCTATTGTTAATTTCATTTGCAATTTCACATCTAAATGCCTTCAAAGCTCAGAAGATGCCCGTTTTCAGAAAATGTCCGGCTTGTGGGCCGTTGAAGAAGACGAAGAACTGCTGAAGTTCGTGGTCGAACAGGCCAGAAAATCGAAAGAACCGCTGAATTTGAGACAGTTGTATAGGGATTATACGGCGTCCGGAAGGACGGACCGGACCGAAAATGCGTGTTACGACAGGTCAGGGATGGAATTTTGACCGTTTTCAGATCTTCAGATCATCCGAACTTGGCACGATTATCAGTCCGACTGAAACTTTCAAGGTATATACTCCAAGCCAAGACTGATAATCCTGCCAAGTTAGGCTCCGATCAGATGATCGGAAATATGCCAAAAATGCAAAATGAGCTCCTCCTCACAGATTCCGCTCGCGCATCGGCCCGAATGTCTACTCGATGGATCATCTTGATTTGGAAACCAAAGTCCGCATCATCGTCGCCTTCTCCGTTCCGATCAATGAAGAGTTTCTGAAGAAGTTGCGAGAGCACGCAGAAGTGAAAACGGACGAAAACGGATGCATCCGGATGTATAGGGAGCAGGGCGGTCTGGAGATAGAACGAAAGACCCACCGATTTCGTTGTTCTCCGTTCAGAAAAGAGGATGACGAGCGGGCGATGCAGTTCCTCGCGAAAAGGGCGGTGCAAACGAAGAAGTGCATTTCGATGTGTGCCTTTTGGCAAGAATACACGAGGATCAGTAAGATTAGCGCATCGTGGAAATCCTTGGATCGAAGGTTCGTATCATTTTGAGCCAAGACGCAGTAATCGCGCTCAGTTGCTAATCTGGCCGAGTTTTTGTAAAGTAATATACATGATTCTGAACAGAACGGGTTCGCAGTGTAACATATGAAACGTTTTCAGATTCCGTCGATACCTGGCCCCCATTATTCATCTGATGGATGAGTTTGACACACAGACGAAAGTGCTGATGCTCTTCTGTTCGAGCACTCCGGTCGAGAAGCAATTTCTAGAAAAGTTGAGTGAACGGGCGGTGGTGGAGGTGGATGAGAAGAGGAAAATCACAAAGTACGCGGGAGACGGACTGGAGCTCATTCAGAAGAAGAAGGAAAAAGCTCGGAGTTCGATCGGTAAGAGAAGGATATTCCTATCAGAATCAGAATCGGAATCGGAGTCTTCTGAATCCCGTCCGATTCTTAGAACGCGAAAAAGGCTGAAAAAGATGGTTGTGGACGAAGAATCGGATGAAGACAGCTCGGGAATGAGCTCCCCCAACGAATACTCGTTCCTAGACGGCCCGCCTCCAGTCAAAATTGACAAAAAGGAGAAGGAGCTGTTCAAAATGGGCGCGGTGAAGACGGAAACGTCTTCGGAACCTCCGGAATACATGGAGAAGTTCATGAGCTCGATGAAAGAGATGATGAGCTCGCAGGCGAGTCCCGCCCCTCCGGACTACATGAAAGACTTTATGAGCTCGATGAAGGAGATGTTCGAGTCACAGCTCCGATCGCAAACACAGGTCATGAGGCAGTTTATCGGGTAAGCAGATCTCTCTGACACATGCAATAAATATATATTGTAGATCGGGACCGACGGCTGCCAGCTTTACGAACGCGAGCAAGAAGATTGTGCTCAATTACTTCAAAAATCTCATTCAAGAATTGGACGACCCGGAACTGAGCATGACTGAGCAGAAACTGAACGAGTCGATCGGAAAACTTAGCGCTGGCGATGAGAAACTGTCGGCGGAGGAGATGAAAAAAATGAAAAGCATGCTGAAAGGCCTCGACGACATTCTGAACTAACTATTTTATTTGTTTCTGTTACCAATCTTTCTGCTTTATTATCAAAATTCAAGTTTAATGCTTTTTTCTCTGTTTCGTTCAGATTTCTAACAGTCATTTCACTGTGTAATATCAGTTTTCTTCTCAAAAACTCTTATAAGGATAAGTTGTTCTGCAGAAAATGGCGCTCCCTGTCTGGTCAAAAGAGGAGGTCGACGAGTTGATGAAGTTTCTGGAGGAGAAGGCGAAAAATGCCGAATCGCCGCTTTGTTTGGCTAAAGTGCAGGCGGAATACGCTCAAAGCGGAAAAACTTCACGATCTTGGGCGGCGATCAAAAACAGGTGCGCCGGACGTTTAGCTGCACGGAAAATCTTCAGTGATTACAGAATAACAAGAGACTTGGCTCACAGAGTTCATACGACAGAGCAATTTGACACGGAAACGAAGGTCCGCATGCTATTTGCACTGAGCATTCCAGTCGAACCGAAGTTCTTGGAAGAACTGAAAAAGAATGCGGATGTCGAAGTGAACAAGAGGGGATGTATCGAGAAATACAGGGAAAGGAAGGAAGGGGGCTTGAAATTAGCGGGATATGCTGGAAGGAATAGCAAGTCATTTACGGAGGAGGAGGATCAACGAATGCTCATATATGTGGCTCGAAAAGCCAAAGAAAAGAATCGTCCGTTTCCGATGCATTCTTTGTGGAAGCAATATGCGGTTTCTGGCGAGACGACTCGCGCGTGGTATACCATCAAAAAGAGGTATTAATTCTCAGAGTCAAGAAGAAAAGTTTAAAGTTTTTTTTTTTGAGATTCCGTTGCCATTTACGCTGGAAAATCCACCAAATGAAAGAGTTCGACACACAGACGAAAGTGATAATGTTGTACTGCTCCAGAACGCCGGTCGATGAGCATTTCCTGAGAGAATTGAGAGAAGCAGCGGATGTAGAAGTGGACGAAGAGGGAATAATCATCAAATACCGAGGTGATGGACTGGAATTGGTGGCGGAACTGACTGGCAAACGAAGTGTGCGAAGAAAGCGCAGTTTGCATGAGCATCTGGAGATGGCAATGGAGCAGAAAAGGCAAAGAACTGACCAGTTTGAAAATGTCGGATTGGAAGAGGAGCTCGAGTTCGGAGAACCGTTCCGTGCGGTCAAAGAGGAGAGCGCCGACGATTTCGAAGAACAGCCGGCTGTCCCGAACACCCCGGAAGAAGACCTCGTGGCGACGATAATGAAGGAGGTGACATCCTTCGATTTGTCACACTACATCGATGAATTGTCGAATTCGTGCCCGCTTGGTTCCCTTGATGAAAGCCGGCTGGGTTCCGTTGATGAAAGCCCGCTGGGTTCCATAGATGAAATCGTCAGAAACATGCTGCAGTCGCAAGTGGAGACAGTGGAGAGGTTCGTGGTCATAGATTTTCAGAAATATTTGATAAATGTTTATTTTGCAGTCCCGCTGCTCAACCGAACAGGTCCGTGAGCAAGAAGATCGTCTTCAGTCAATTCAGAAACCTCATTCAAGAGTTCGAAGATCCAGAGATGGAAGAAACACAACAGAAACTGAGCGATTCGATCCGAAAACTCAACGACGGCGACGAGAAACTGTCGGCAAAGGCTGTCAACAAAATCAAATCGTTTTTCAACGAACTCGACGATATTCTGGACTAGAAATGTCATGTTTAATTTAGTTTATCTTTTCTTGTTGTTGTTATAATGAACGTTTTGTTGGAATTGCATGTTTTCTAACTATCAAATTCAGTTTTTCTGTGAAATACCGCCTTTCAGCAAACGCGCTCCATTGGGAACTTTTGAAATCCGTTTCGAGACCAGTTTAAATTACAAGTTTCTGCACGCTTTTCTCACTCATTTTCAAGCTTTCGAAATGACTCCAAATGAGTCGAATAACGTTTTCACCGACGAAGAAGACAAATCGATGCTCAGTTATCGGAAAAAAATTCAAGAAAAGCTCCCCACCTCAGCAGAATCCCCCACGAAGCCGCCGGTCATAGACATGGAGGCGATGCTCCGTGGATTGGGACTCATATATAAACAACCTTAAAAAGCCCCCCACCAGTACAAAAAAGGTAGGGGCTTTTTCCTGACGACGGGGGGGGGGGTCATACTTCTGCTCAACAATCGCCCCCCGACAGTGCAAAGGGGGCTATTCTTTAAGAACTAGGTATTTTTTTAAAGGAAAGCCCCCCACCCCCCTCCTTTTCAGCAGAGGACATATTAAATAAGAGCCCCCACCATTCAAATACAGACCCACACTTAGAAAAGCGCCCCACTCGTGTGAAACTCATTAAATATCAGCCCCCTTTTCTGAATTTCAGGCAAAACACATCGAAAACGTGTGTTTGATGACTCATTGGGAGGCTTTCCTTTAATCCTAGCTCGGTGGGGACTCAGTGCGCGGGATGGGTTTCTGATTCAAGTACTTCCGGGCGTTCTTGTTGTTAGGTAATACATCTGCTTCCAGGACGCTAAGCTAAGGAAAAAGATCTCAGTTTGCTTTTCAGTGCAGCCCTTATTTGAATTTACCCGACCATTCTATTTCTGACAAATGAGCTTTTCGCGAAAAGTTTCATAAACGTTCAGATTCAGAATGGACGCGATGGAGGCAAGCGAAAGCGCGACAAGCAGACGAACACGATACTTCAGTATTGAAGAGGACGAGGCCATGCTCAAATATTTGGCGGAGCGTTCGAAGAGCACACGGCTCCACATGACGACTCTTTGGCAGGCGTTCAAAGAAGACAGCGGGTCGGCGCGATCCTCGCACTCTCTAGCCGCACGGTAACTTCTTTTTGGGTGCAATCCCATAGTACTTAGGTAGAGAAAAGTTGACAGTTAGACGAACAAAGTATTAGGATTAAAAATTGCGCCCAAAAATTTCAGATCTATGTGACGTCTTCTGACTGTGAAATGCACCCTCAAAGTTGTAATCAGTCTCATTTTCAGATTCAAAGCGAATTTAGCGTCGAGAATTCCGGAAATCCTCGGAATTGACGAAAAAACAAAAGTGACGATGCTTTTCGCGTCGAATACGCCCGTCGGTGGCCAGTTTCTGGAGGATTTGCGAAAGAACGCGGACGTGGAATTGGACGAGAAATGGCGAATTGTCAAGTACAAAGAGCACGCGGAAGACGGACTCGAGCTCGTCGACGAAGCGTTCTTGCGGCGATTCACAGAAAAGGAGGACGCCGAAATTGTGCAGTTTGTGGCCGACAAGGCGAAGGATTCAGCGAAAAGGCTGTCAATGACGGCCGTCTGGAGCGAGCTGGAGACCTCGGGACTCCTCAAAAGGACGGCCACCGCTTTGCAGACTAGGTTTTGGATTCAAATAGAAAATAAATCGCATCTTGCATCGTTTACAGATTCAAAAATCACATTGCCCGAAAAATTCATAGAATGGAGGAGATTCCTGTGGAAACGCGAGTGCGCATGCTGTTCGCGGCAAGCGTTCCCGTCGACGAGCACTTTTTGAGCATTCTGAGACACTCGGCAGAGGTGACGGTCGACGAGAAGGGCAAATTGTTGTTTTATAAAGCGGCGAACGGAACGGAGCTCAGATCGAACGCCGGAATAAAACGGAAAAGGGCACAGATGGCGATGGACGCGAAGCGGAGGGCCGAGAAGCCGCCGGTCATAGACATGGAGGCGATGCTCCGTGGATTGGGACTCAACCTGGCGCACATAAAACAGGAGACACCGCCGGTGACAGAGAGAGTCGAAAGCGATAGTGACATGTCGTTGAGCGAGGTGGAAATCGAAGAGAACTCGGACACCGAACATCATCCGATGCGTCTCGAGCAGTTTCTGGAGAAGGAGAACCCGGAGATGGTGACAGTTCGTGTCAAGCAGGAGCCAGTCAACGAGCCGGAGGTTGCGGTGCTCTCCGAGCAATGTCCTCTGTCTGTCATGTCTGCAGGCCCCTCGCCACCTCCCCCGGTCGCTCTAGACAATTCGGTTCAGAAAATCGATGAGCTTATGACGACGATGAAATCTTTTATGATGCAACAACTGGTCAGCACTGGGTACAATCATCTGTTTTCTCACTTTTTTTCAAACTTTTGATTCAGATCCGCGCCACAAGTCCCGGCCAACAGCTCCGCGACCAAGATGTACAGCATGAAGTCATTCCTCCTGCTCTTCAAGGGTTTCGTGTTTGGAATAGATGTGCCGGAGCTGGCGGAATATCGGCAGATACTGAACAAAGCACTTCAGGAGCCGATGGACGAGCAGGTCTCGCTGGACAGAGTCGTAGCGTATGTCGGCGCGTTCTTTCCCGAGTTTCTTCACGAGTACGCCACTTAATGTCCTGTTTTCCGCCCGTTTTTGTTATCCTTTCACTGTTTTGTTATGAAATTATGAAATTATAAAGTTTCACCGGTATTTGTTGTCTTTTATTGGTCTTAAACCATTTAATTTTTGTTTTCGAACATTCTCTAACTCGCGTTTATTGAAAAATCGAAAAATGCCATGTATTCCAGAAAATGTTCAAGAACACAATCAGCACGAAAGTCGAGAACATTATGCTGGACTTTTTGGTCGAAAAAGCGAAAGAAACGGTGCAGAAGCTGAATCTCAAAAAACTTTGGGGCGATCTCGAAGATTCGGGCAAAATTGACATATCGGCCGATAAAATGGCCAATCAGTACGTCGAATTCGGCAATCCGATGAGCACAATCTATTTTTGCAGCTTTCAAAAGAAGCTGGCACCGCGAATTCATGAGATGCAACTGCAAACGGACATAAAAGTGATTATTCTGTTCGCTGCGAGCATTCCGGTCGACAAACACTTTCTGCAGAAGCTGAGAAATAGAGCGGATGTTGAGGTGGATCGGGACGGAGCCATCTCCAGATACACGCCGCGGAGAAGCGCGCAGAAACGGAAACTTCGAGAGGAAGCGGAACTGACGATCGACGGAACCGTTCCGATGCCCATTCTCATTCGCCCGATCAAAACTGAGCCAGACTCCAGCTATGAGCTGAGTGAGATCAAGAACGAAGAAGAGCAAAAGTACGATCCGGGAGAAATGGGCGGAATGATGGAAATGTTCATGAACTCGCTGAAGGAAATGCTCGACACACAGACGATGTTGATGGAGAGACTTCTGGACAAAGAGGAGCCCGTGACGAGCAAGAAACAGATTTTGCACTCGATTCGAACGCTTATTCTCACTTTGAACCACTCGGAGCTCAGTGGAGCACTTCAGAAGGTCGATAAAGCCATTCAGAAGCTCGAAGAGCACGACGAGGTGAGGAAAATGAACAGAACCTTGAAAAGATACGTTTTCAGAAAATCGCGAAGAAAAAGGCGCGCTCCTTAATTGACAGCCTCGTCGGACAGTTCATTGCTTAATTTGCACCCGTCTATTATAATTTTTTTGATTTTTAAAAATGTATTCTGAATGTTTAAAAATGTTTATCCAAATTAACTCGTTCATTTGCTTCGGTTTGAAAACCCGATTTTCATCTACTTTTGTTCGGCGGCGCGCGCCTGCATTTTTTCACAGAGTTCTTTCAGAATTCAAAAACTACTCACGACTCACGACAACATGAGCCAATCTGAGCATTTTGACGAAGAAGAAGAGCTGACGCTCTCGATTTCTCCGTCGGCGAGACCAAGGCGAGTGATCAAAAACACGAATTCCAAACGATTCACTGAAGAAGAGGACGCGAAGATTGTGAAGTTCCTCGCCGAAAAAGCGGCGACGGCAACGGAAACGCTTCCGAAAATGGCGATGTGCGAGGAGTTTGTCAAGCTGACGGCATCTCAGAGAAAGGCGACAGGAATTAACAACAGGTGAGGAGGGAGTATATGATGCATTCCAACAAAAACTTCAGATTCCTCCACATCGGCCCGAAAATCCAGAAAACGGAGCATTTGGACACGGAAACCAAAGTGCGCATTTTGTTCGCGTGGGGATTTCCAGTCGACAAACACTTTCTGGAGCATCTCCGAACGGAAGCCGAAGTGAACGTGGACGTCAAAAATAGAATCACACTGTTCAAGGGAAACGGGCTGGAGCTGCCGAGTGGAGAGCACGCGAGAAAGAGACCGGGGCGAAAAGCGACGGTGTTCACTGCGGAGGAAGACGCGGCGATACTGAAGTTCGTCGCCGATCGCGCGGATCTCTTTCTCGAGGGAACGATGACGGTGAAGGCAATCTGGAACAATTGCAAGACGGAGTGCTATTCGACGCGACAATGGCACGCTCTCTACGGAAGGTTTGACGCAGAATACACAGTCCTTTAGAAATATTACTCAATTTCCAGATTCCGTGGCTCAATCGCTCCGGTAATGCATCTGAGAGAGGACATTGACACGGTGACAAAAGTGAAAATATTGTTCGCCACCCGAATATCGGTTGATCCGAAGTTTCTGGAGAAGCTGAGAGCGGAGGCGTCGGTGAAAACGGACCCGAGAGGACGAATAATCGAGTACAAAGGCAACGACGGTCTCGATCTCAATATGAGCTACAGAACTCAGGATATACGTCGGAAAAGGGCCGCCGCGACGGCTCTCAGTGCTCCAGAGCCTCCGATCGCGGAGCCTCCGATCCGTGTGATCAAGCGTGAACCGTCTCCCGATCTGGAGAAGTTTCAGGAGAATGAGAACAAGAGCATCGTCCGAAATGTCAAGACGGAGGGGGAAGAGACTCCCGACCTATTCGTGCTCAAACACTTGGAACGCCGTCGTCGCTCGACTTCTTTGACTCCGAACATCGACGTGAGCGGACTCGTGATCCATTTGCTCAACTTCTTCAAAACGCAAAATTCTCTGGACCAGAATCAGCAAAAAAAGAACAAAAAGGAGTTGCTCAAGAAGATCCGCGTAATCTTGAACGGAACCGAAGATCCGGAGCTCGCCATGTTGGCGCAACAAGTCGACGAAATGGTGGAGAGAGGATTATTCTAGACTCGATTTTAACCAGATACTGTTGAATTTGAATTGTCTGTTTGGTAGACTTGTTAAATTTGTTCTCGCTTTGTTAATTCTATCGTTGAAATTGCTGAAAACGCCCTTTTCTGCACAAATCCAGGTTATTTGACCCATAACTGATACTGCTTTTTTTTCTAAAAGTATTAAAATTGGTCTGTGTTGTTTAGATGGAGTTCACATCTGAAGAAGATACCGATATTTGCAAATATCTGGCCGAAAGGGCCGTCGAAGCAACGGCCCGCTTTTCGATGAACACTTTCTGGCAGGAGTACGTGGATTCCGGACGAACCAATCGCACTAACGAAGAGATTTCACAGCGGTCAGTGAAAGAAAAGCCAACACGACTATTCCAATGGAATATGTTCAGATTCCAGGCTCACCTGGCGGGAAATATTCACGGAATGAACGAATTCGATGTGCCGACGAGAGCGATGATGCTGTTCGCCACGAGAACGCCCGTTTCCGGCGCATTCGCCACCTTAGTTGAGGAGGAGAAAATTCTGAATATTCTCGCCGAAAAATGCACGTTTTGGACGCGCCCGGTGACGTTGAAAAAGCTGTGGAGAGAGTTCCAGTCTCGCTATAACTCCATGAAAGCGTTTGCGATTTTTCAAAACGAGTTCAAGCACAACGTGGCTCCGAAAATTGAGAACTCGGCGCGAATTGGTTTGGAGACGCGCGCGCGAATGTTGTACGTGACAAGGACGTCGATCAGCAGACGGTTCATGGAGGAGGTGAATCGAGAAAGCGACGTCGAAGTGATCGTGAACAATCGCATGAGAATTATAATGATCAGGACGAGGGACGAGGAAGAAAATGAGAACCGGAGCGAATCGAACGGGATGGATTCCATGGAAGACTCTGTGACGGACGATATCTACGACGGACCGACAATTCAGGAGGCGCTCGAGAAGATTGTGCTGGGAGAAACGGACGAAAAAGAGGTGCACGTGGAATGGCCGGACGACATACTCAACTCGGAGCTCCTCAACGAAGAATACCGCTGGCTTTCCGCCGAACTCGTCGACTAGCAGGCTTCGATTCTCCGCAGATTCGCCTGTCAATACAATAATACTTATCCCGTCATCTAACAAATTCACCCGCACATTTCGCACATTCCTAAACTATTTCACCCGTTGTATTGTTCATTCCGATGTTATTTTGGTTCTTCTAGATATAAAAAGCTCTGTTTTGAAAACGCATTCACCTTTTTTGCTGCTATTACATATTGTTAGTGTTCTTCTAAAGACACACTGCATATTATTAAGTATTTGTGGTTACTTTTCATAAAATAAATGTCTGTTTAAGTTTTAACATTCTGATTTCCTCGATGGAAGAAAAACGTACGAACTTCTGTTTTTCGCTGATTTTTTCTGTTCAGTACAATTCGTTCGCCCTTTTTTGGATGCATGTTTTGCTGAGCTGCAGCGCTGAAAAATAGGAGGTCCAACCTAATAGAACTTGGCAGAATAGAACTGCAAAGGATAGAGCTTTGCAGAATACTTAGAACCGCGACACGATAGACTTTCTCTCCGCGTTTCTGCATTTTTGCGTGACGGCGAACGTCTGCGTAGCAGGCATTTCATTTCACGATAAGCGGAAACATGCCACACTTTGAAGAGACGCAGACATTTTCTTTTTGCAGTGAATGGCGACTGGTCGGCCTAATTTCGTGCCTCCAACTCCTAATATTTTCCTACTGAAAAGCACGCTTCGAAAATGGTGATTGAAGGCGTACTCGCGCCTTCCGACTCTGGAAAATTCATTGTCGAGCACGGAAATTTGGTGAAAATCAATGACAGCGGTGTGAAAAGAGTGGCCGAGCAGGTGAGTCGATTCTTCTCTCGAAACAGATTAACTAAAGCCTTATTCAGATTCTGGAAGCGGCAAAAGACGGATCGATAAAAGAGGCGCTGTTTCTATCGCCAGAGTTGCACCCAAAAACAGCAGATAAGCAGGCTGTTCAGTGGTAAATTTCTAAAATGCCACGTAGAAGTGCCTAAAATCTTCATCTTCCAGGGTATTTCTCGTGGATACCATAAACTTTTCGTTCTGGCCCGACGAAGGAGAGCATTACGATGTGAGTTGGAATGGAAAGAAGTACACTGGCTACTTTTCCGCGTGTGCCGCCGTCAATAAAGCTCTGGCCGCCGGGGTTCCGGTTCTGTCGGCGGAATGGATGAAAAACGTGGGAAAAGAGGAAATCGACAGCATTTTCAAGTCGGATTCCGGTCATTCGATTCCCCTTTTGGAGGAGAGGGTAAAGGCGATTAATGAATCCGGCAGAGTGCTTCTGGAGAACTTTGACGGCGAATTCTACAATTGCGTCGTGAAATCGGAGAAGAATGCGCAGAAGCTCTTGAAACTGATTGTCGAGAACTTTGAATCGTTTCGCGATTTTGCAGAATTTGCCGGCCAGAAAGGTTTGTCTCACGAAAGAGTTCGAGCCGCCCGAAAAGCATGCCCTTCTTGCAGTTTCCCTTCTGAAACGCGCGCAAATCCTTGTCGCCGACGTCTACGGCGCTCTTCTCGACCATGACTCCGTCGCCGACTTCTCCGACATCTCCAAAATCACAATGTTCGCAGATTACCGTGTACCTCAAGCACTGGCATATCTGGGAACCCTCGAGTATTCGGAAGAGCTTCTGGCGCAGCTCGGCGAGGGAAAACGGCTGGAGAACGGATCGAGAGCAGAAGTGGAGCTCCGCGGTGCATCGATTGCTGTTTGCGATGTCAGTTTTACACATTTTTCCAGTAGAAATGATTATTTTCCAGGAAATCGTGGCAAAAATGAACGAATTACGAGCGTCGGACGCGAGATTCGCCGAAGTGCGTGAGGTGACGGCCATGGAAGTGGACGTCTTCGTCTGGGGATACAGAAGGATCCACGCAGAAGACGTCGAGAAGAAGATTCCGTTCCATCGCACCCGCTGCATCTACTACTAGCTGTCTTCAACCACAAAGTCAATATTCTAGTCGTTCGCTTTGTTTATACCTTTATACCCTTGTTTTTGTACGGTTCTCAAATTTCCATCACATTCCACAGTGCCTTTTGCATTAAACATTTCGTTGTTTCGCTCGACCCCTCCTTCATTCATCTGTTTTCGCTTATGTTCATGGGTCCAATCAAACCCGTATACCTTTTCCTCTGTATATTTCAGAACGTTCAATCCAAACTGAGTTTTCAGGTAATGTTCAAAAAGTTTGACGACAAAGAGGATGTGACGGGGGCAACGCAGCTGAAATCCAGCGTGCAGGTATTGAATTCCCAAAGGGAACTCGGTGAATCATTGTCACAATTACAGAAATCGATTCGGAAGAAGTTGATCGAGAACTACCCGTATCTGGAGCCGCACCTCGAGGAAATTCTACCGAAGAAGGAGAATTTCAAGGTGATCAAGTGTAAGGAGCACACCGAATTGCTCGCCGATCACACGGGCGTCGTGCGATTCGTGAAGACTCGCAACACGGATTACTTCCCGACGCTGCGGACACTTCACAAGTATCCGTTCATCCTCCCTCACCAACAGGTCAGCATTCCCAGATAAGATCACGAGCTCGTTCTCCTTCTTCAGGTCGACAAAGGAGCCATCAAGTTCATTCTGAACGGCTCGTCGATCATGTGCCCGGGACTGACATCCCCGGGCGCCAAAATGACTCCGCTCGTGCCGAAGGACACTGTCGTCGCCGTGATGGCCGAGGGGAAACAGAACGCACTGGCGATCGGACAGATGACGATGTCGAGCGAGGAGATCGGCACGGTGAACAAGGGCAACGGCATCGAGAATCTGCACTATCTGAACGACGGACTCTGGCATCTTGCCGAGAAGTCGTTAAATTGAGGAGTACGCTAGTTCTGATTGTGATGATGTATTTTATTTTTGTCTGTTCATTTTTCTTCTCCTTTTCCTTAATTTTTCGCATACAGAAATGATGATAAACATTGTTCGAGATCTGGTTCCGAATAAATTTGGTAACTATTAAAATTTCAGCGAGATTGTTTGCTTTGATTCGTCCTGAGCACTCCAATGGACTCAATCGGAAAGTTTTTCAGTCTCAACTCGGGTGTTTCATTGAAGTGGCTGAAAAGTTTGATATAATTTTCTCCGTTTCCCCATGTTTTAATGCTTCTTCTCCTTTTCCTTTCAAGACGGCTTTTGACTTGAATTTCTAGCCACGGTCAGTCGCCGATGCAAGTGCGCTCTATGGAGACGCGCGAAAAAATCTGACGATTTCGAGCTCCCGCTCTGGCGCTACAACGTAGTATCTATAAATCGCACGGAATGGAACTGTTACGATGTGGAACTCGCAGTTAAAATATTGCGAGTTCCAAATCGTAATAGTTCCATTCCGTGCCAGTTCTGCTTCGTTGTAGCGCCCCCGCTCTTGCTCATTCTTTACCAATTACCGCTAGTAATACCTTCCTCTTCTTTTTGATTTTCCGTTGACAATTGGCTTTTCTCTTCTCTGCCCGTAGCTTTTCTTCAAAAATCTGAAAATTTCAGTGAAAATGGTCAATTTCGCCGAACTCGTCTCTCGCTGCGATAACATCGAACAGAATATCGAAAGCGTCGAGCAAGCAATCGAGGATCTCCAGCATTTGTGCGACGGAATGAACTTGGTGTAAGTGTGAACATATCCCGAATTACAAAATGCGTCTTTTCCAGCATGGCAGTTGTTTCATCTTCGTCTTCGTCGTCGGGAATTTCATCAGGCGTCCAGTCTCGTGCTAATTCGCCCGACAACGAAGCGCCGCCTCCCGAGGATGAGCATGCGGAGCCGAATGCGGAGCCGAATGCGGAGCTGAATGTGGAGCCGAATGCGGAGCCGAATGCGGAGCTGAATGTGGAGCCGAATGCGGAGCCGGATGCGGAGCCGAATGCGGAGCCGAATGCGGAGCCGAATGCGGAGCCGAATGCGGAGCCGAATGCGGAGCCGAATGCGGAGCCGAATGCGGAAAGCGACACCAGTGTCTCTAATCTGGAAAACGAAGTGTCACCGAACGAATCGATTGCCGAGCAGAATAGCCCGGTGGAGAATGAGGTTCTCGGCGAAGAGACCGACGACGAGACGACAGACGATAGCTCGCACGAAATCGATGTCGTTCAGGACAGAGAGCAGCAGTCGGATAGCAGAGAAAGGCTCGGAGACGTGACTGCGGAAACGTCATCCGGAAGGCCAGACCAATCGAAGAGGCCATCTGGAGAAGAGGGAAGTGGCGAGACGCAGACTCCGTCCACCGAAGATGCACAAGGAAGCGAAGGAGGCTCCGAGGAGCAACAAATAGAGGCGGACGCGAGCACGAGCCAGAATCCACGATCTTTAGAAGCGGCCTCGGTCAACGTCTCTTCGCAGCCTGGATTTTTTACCGTTGTCGATGAAATGCTGTCCGACGCCGAGCCAGACGCGCAACCTGTACCGGTTTGTGGACTAAATTCTAGACGAGAAAAAAAATGTTATTTTTCAGGAAGAGGAAGAATGCTTAACGGAAGAAGATTATGCTCGAATGGCAGAGATGGCCGAAATCCTTGCCAATCTCGACATTCAACTGCATCCCATACTGTAGATAGTTCAGTCCCCTTTTCCCATATTCTGTGCTTTTCTTGTGATATTTTCTACTCACGCCATTTATATGTATTGTATCATATCTAACCTATCCCTACTTTGCCTATAATTTTACCGAATTCCTGTCTTTTCTCATGAAGTCGTGAGGATTCACTGAGGAATCGTTGAAAAGTAAACGTTTCCACATTTTCGTGTTTTTAGTAACCGTTGCTCAACATTTGATGAATTCGGGTTCTCTTCTCACTTTTCCATGACCCCTTCCGCCGTTTTCCTTCTTTTGATTGTACTGTTATCAACTATTCAGCATCTACAGAGGCATCCTTTATTTTCAGTTCCCTTTCACAAGTTCTATTTATCCTTTTTTGCTTCGATCACGGCGTACGTGTTCAGCACGAACATAACATCAATTGCGGCACGCTCATCGCACGTGTACTTTCTCCTCTCGCGGCGAGGGTTTCGCCCATATTACTTTCCCGTAAAAATGGTCGGAAATGTAAAAAATCAGAAAGATTTGTTGAAAAATGAAAGAATTCCTTCGAAAACTGTTTGCGGATGTTAGATGTATGGGAAAGTTTATCGAAAACTTCCCCGCGTGCCTCGACGAAACGGGTTTCCAGATTTTGCATATGGGAGTCGTCGACGGATTACATTGGTGAGAGAACACAACTTTTTAGTGCTCCAACCGTTTCAACGCTTACTTTTTACCAGACTTGCCAGATTACGGGCCGGGCCGAATTGGCTTCTTTTTTTCCTGAGTGACGTCTGGATTCCTCCAATTACGTTCGAAATCAAGAGATTTATGGCGTCGAGGATAAATACCAAAAATGTGGGTTTCAGTGGTTTTTCCCTCACTTTTCTGCAATGCAAATGCGCTCCATTGCGACGCGCGAAAAGTTCCGCGGAATGGTCATTCGATTCCGATCGAATGCTCCCGAAGCCCGCTTTCGCTCAGTTTCCACTCGTTTCTTCTCTTTTCTCGTTCATGACTTCTTTTTGCAAATTTTATAATTCTAGTGAAAATGGCCGACGGAATGCATCCAGCCGCTCTCTCCTATTTTACCGCTCGTTTCGATCGCATTGAGGAGAAAATCGAAAGCGTTGAGCAATTCGTCCTGGAGCTTCGGCAGCTGTGCGCCGGAATGACGTGAGTATAATTATGATCGAATTGCAATAAAACTACTGTATTTTCCAGCGGAGACGCCTATTTCTCGTCGTCGGGTGTTTCGTCAGGCGAGCGGTCAAAGTCTATCTCGCCCGACAACAAAAGAGTCGTCGTGAGTCTATCGAGTCGGGAAGTGTCTGTGTCGCCAAGCGAATCGATTGCCGAGCGGGAGAACTCATTGGAAAATGAGGTTCTCGGCAAGGAGGTTGATGACGATTCGACGGATGAGATCTCGCACGACCTCGCTGTTGTTCAGGGCAGAAAGAAGCAGCAGGAGTACGCGGATCGCGGAAACTGGTTTGCGGACGAAGACGTGACCGCGAAAACATCTTCCGGAGGGCCAGACCAATCGGAGAAGCCATCTGGAGAGGGCGGAAGTGGCGAGACGCAGACGCCGTCCGCAGAAGATCCACAAGGAAGCGAAGGAGGCGCCGAGGAAGAGCAAAAAATGGAAACTGACACTAGCACGAGCCAGAATCGTCCATCGCAAGGACAGTATCTGACTTTCTCGCCGCCGCCGGTGAAGCGGCGTTCCTTCGAAGCCGGCGCGGTCCCCGCCTCTTCGCAGCCCGGAATTTACGCAGTTGTCGATGGAATGGCGGTTATTCCGCCGTCTGCCGCCGAGCCACGCGCACAACCCCAAGCGGTTTGTAAACTAAATTCAAGACGAGAGAAATAAAGTCATTTTTCAGGAAGAGGAAGAAGAACGCTCACCCGAAGAGTATTATGCAGAGTTGGAACAGTTGTCCCGCTTGCTTGGAAATGTCAATATTGAAGAGCACATTCCTTCCGCGCCCGACGCCGATCACCCACTCGAACAACAGCCGCCACGAGGCCCAGAGGAGGCTCAAAACTAATTTAATCATTTCCTGTATTATTTTTGTGATATTTTCTTATGTGTATCATGTCTAACCTAAATATCCACATTCCTTATCGTTGCCATTCTATTTCTGGCGAGTAAGGTTCCAGAACTGTCTGGCTTCTATCCTAACACCCTTCGTTTGCCCTCTTAAAGGAGCGCGAAGTATTGAAATATTTATTTCCAATTTGGAAGAAACTTATACGCTTTAGGGTTTGCCCTTGTCTCGATTCTCATAAAACTTCCACAACTTTTCGTCCAACTTGGCAATTCTCTTCTGCTCCCTCTCTATTCTCCACGAAATCTCTTCCAGCTTCGTTTCTTCCGTTTTCCTGACTTTTCTGTAATTTGAATGTTTTTCCCTTTTTTTTTGCCCTATTACAGATTGGCATTATGAGTTTGTCGAAGGGCGTGCAGTTGGCTCGTTAAACTGCTCAATTTGAACGCTTTTTCGGAGAAATCGTCGACGAGAACTTGGAACGAAGATTCGAGAGTGCATTGGTACTGAAAATGTGCTTTTGTTGCATTCGATTGCACGCGACGGGTTACCTTTTCGGTGATTTCGTTGCAAACCGCCAGACAGCCGAGTGCCTCACTGATTCGACTGTTTTGCTGTTCGATGTTTCTGAAAATGCTCCAATCTTCCGATATTGCAGGCGTTCTTACATCTCAATCGCCTCCAGAAGTCCCCGTCTCTCGAAGTAATTGGTCCGTTGCTCGTGAAATGCTCCTTGGATCTTGGCGAATCTGATGGACGGGTCTTGCGGCAAAAAGAAGCAAAAACTCACGACTGAAAGGCTCTGCTCAAGTAATCCACATCATCCACTTTTGGTTTTTCGTTTATATAATTGGCAAAGTATTGATTGTCAATGCAAAGCGAAGGAGTGATGGTGGGGATCGGTGGCAGAGAAGGCGGCGTCGGATCTGAAGGCACCGATTCTTCGACTGCCGGCACGGGAGCAGCCTTCTAAAACGATAAATATTCAAAGGCGAGTACTTTTTGTCGCCGACCGATCTGCCCTTTACGTGTACTGACGGCAATTTCACAAAGGAAATGCGCCTCGTTGATTTCTGCCATCGCAGTTTCGAAGAAGACGTCGCTCCTGTTTTCAGGTGGGGTTCATTGAGTTTAAATGGAACTCACTCACCTGATATTGGTGGAAACATGGAAGACGTTGAGCAGGGAGAACAAATCGAAGAAATAGTGAAGGTGAGGCGGAAGTAATTGCAATTTCAAAATTTTTCTGCTCATTGACCCGAAGAAAGTGCCTTCGAAACAACTGAGAATGCATGAAATTTATTGCAATAAGTTTCATAAACACATTAAAAATGAGAAAAAGTGAAATTATCCGAGTCTAATAGGAGTGTATCTCCAAATGACGCTGTTGTTGTAGATGGAGTAGCAGGTGAGCACGATCTGTCCGTTCTCGAGGGACCATTCTTCCCGCTGCCCCAACTGCTGGTTCCGCATCACAATCTTATTGTTCTCCACACTCGTAACGTAGCCTCTGCCGTTCATCGCGCCAATCGGATAATCGAGCACAATGTTGCTTGGCGTGTTGGTCAGCACCATCCGGTTGTTGTCGATTCGGATGTTCGTGATGTCCTGGAAGTCGGCGCGGTACCTCCACGTGCCCACGACTCTCTGCAGGATGTCCCCGCCGCCCTGGGTTTGTCCGTTCCTCAGTTGCTGCTCCAATTGGACGATTCTCGCCTGCTGCGCTTGCCATTGAGCCAGAAGATTCGCGTTTTGAGCGCGGAGCTGTGCGATCTCATTCGCTGACGCCGTATCTTTGGCCTGAAGAGCTTGGATTTGAGCGCTCAAGCTCGCGATTTGCGACGTCAACGCCGCCACCTCGGCCTTCAGTCTCGCATTCTCAGCACGCAGATCCTCGAGTTCTTTGGCCGATCCGCCGCAGTTTCTCAACTTCTCCTCCAGCTCTGCGATCTTTGCATTTGCAGCTGCCAAGTCCGCCTGAAGCTTCGCATTCTGAGCGCTGAACTCTTCGAGTTCCTTGGTCAGTTGTGCTTCCTTGGCCTTCGAGGCTTCCAGATCGGTTTTGAGTTTCGCATTCTCCGCAAAAAGATTTTCGAGTTCTTCTCTCTTCTGCGCATCCTTTGCTTTCAGCACTTCCAGCTCGGCCTTCAACTTCTCATTCTCAGCCCGAAGCTTCTCGAGTTCTTCGGAGCATCCTCCGCTTTCCGCGCCTTTTCCATAAATCCGAGTGCACGATACTTCATTGCGGGTGACAATAACGTGCAACTTTCCGTCCTTCACATATCTCTCCTCAGTCTGTTCCTCACTCGAATCCTCGCCGTAGAACGTGCTCTTCAGAGAGTTTTCCGAAATGTGAATCAAAATGGATCGAGATCCGATGGGAGTCAATTGAAAGAGTTCGGCCGAGATCCGATTGAGCTTCCGATTGCCGACTGGATCGTACATTGTCACAGTGTCGGCGTTGAACTCGATGACATTGTCCGCGTATTGGAACGTGGCATCGGCGAGATCTCCGGCCGCCCGTTTCTCCATAAACTGCTCGACGCCCGTTGAGCCCAAGATCTTCCATCTTCCAGCCAACGCAGTCTTCAGTTGCTCATCGTCCTGAAAAAAAATGTTCGAGGTACATCATAATTTTACCACTGAAATGAAGCATACCGAATCATTGGCTGACATGTTCGTCGGCTGTCAATTGAGTGTGCTCTGAAAATGAAAAGGTTTCCATACAACACAATAACTCGAGAAACGTAATGAAATGAATGCCGTGTGACCACCCATTCGAGCGATAAGATTATTGTGTGCATTTACATCAAGTGACCACATTGATACCCATTCTTAATTGTAGTTTCTTATCTTGACCAAACTACACACGGACTTTGCCAGGAAATAGATAATAGCGACCATTCTCTCTTTAAGGATCAACGCGAATTGAATCAAATTGACTCTGTTGAGAAATTGGTCGATTCGATCACAAAAAGGTGAAGAACCATGCGTTCAAACATGAACGTTTCGTGTATGATATTATTTATTCATTAATAATGGAAGAGAAGTGGCCATCTTTATTATAGAAATCCAGTAATCAGCATCATTGTATATGTTTTGCCTGTTCCGGACACCTTAGAAAGTTGAGAAATAGAGTTTCGGTAATATCCGGGACCAGGCTTGTCCGATGTTAAGTGCGACGAGCCACGAAGCACCACATCACGGTCCACATTGATCAGTGCGAGGAAGGCGATTTGAATGCCGCCAAACGGGTATTCCAGGAACATTTGCGGCCACTGTTTGAAGTTGTTCGATCGGAAAATATCATTTCGATACTTGGCCACCGGGAATTTGTCGTATTGCTCCGTGATCGCTTTCGTCGTCGTCTCTTTCTGATCCTTCCACAGTTTGCTGCGATGCACTATGACACTAAACTTGCCAGGCGCAAACGAAAAGACGGTTTGAAGCGTTTTGTACTCTTTGCTGGGCATTTTGTCGGTTGACACTGAAAAACGTCTTGACGAACGGTGATCTAGATTGTTACTCACAGAATTGAGTAGAATATCCGAATGCGTATGGCTCCGCGGTCCGTTCGTTAGTTTCATTGAACACAATCACCCAATAATGAACGTCGCTGTAACAAACTCATCTTTTCTTATATTGTCTAATGCGTCAACTCACTTGGACACCCACGTTTTCAGAGTGCTCAGCACTTGATCTCCGATTTGCTGCTTACTCAAATTCTTTGTTCTATCTTGCTTTTCCGTTACTAATGGCAGCAATTTAGTTGTCCAATTTTCCTCCTGAAATCAAATTAAAACAAAGTGATACATATGTGTGCTTCTCACCTGATACTGACTTTTCCACGTCTTCATTTGGTCTTGGAACGATTTCACGTTCTTTAGCAATAAAAGTGGAATCGAGTGTTCCGTGTCGTCGAGTATTCCGTCGATGAAAAGTTCGATGAGCATCTGGAACAAAAACGGGCGCTTAAACAAGGAATCTTCTCTCTGTTTTTGACTCACAAATTGGAAAAGTATACCATCGAAAATGTCATTCCATTTGTCGAAAGTCGCCTGTGTTCTCGGATTCTCTGTTTTCAGAATCACCAGGAGAGGGTTGGTTTCAGGTCGTTTCAGCGATGCAATGAAACCCTGAAACAGGAACAGTGTCACTACGTCATTTCCTCAACTAACCCTCGCATATTCCATTCTTGCTTTTGCCTCCAACCGCTTTTTCGTATTGTCGATCACAGTTTTGGTGGGCACATCGAAAAAGTCTTTGATGAACTGCCACGTCACTTGTGCTTGTTTCGCCTCTCCCTAAACGGCTTCCGTGAGTACACACACACGCAGAACTCGAAAACTTACATTGAAAAAGTTTGCAACGGTAATATTTTGCTCAATCTCTTTCATTTGACCACTCAACTTTTCGTCCAGCTTCTCAATCGATGCGGCAATCTCTTCCAGCTTCTGCGTCACTTCTCTCTTCTGCTTTTCCGACGCGATCTTTCCCGATATATAGTCTTTGATCACCGAAAATCCTTTTGTGAACTTTTCGAGTGTGGCAGGCAATGCTCCGGTGATCACTGCGATTTTCGCGGCGCCGTCCATAAGTGCAAGCATCTCGGATAATGAAAGCACGGGAAGGACTGAGAGTTTTATGAGGATTTCTTACGAGAACATTTCAATTTGTAACTTACGCGCCATTGTTGATGGTTAGAGCGGACGACTCAAGTACAGAACACGTAAAATACTACTGTATGTATGTAGGAGAGCATCACGAGTTGCTTGCTATCTTTCGGTTGCGCCCATTCTCGATCGGCAACAAACATGACGATTCTTATCTCCGAAAGCATCCATTCTCTTCGGCCGTCCATTCTTGCTCCTACAATGGAATTCTACGTTGTGGAGGATGCGTGCAGAATCATTAAGCACTGTATGTCCATCGGAAGGTTCGACTATGAATTCGTGTCGACCAACTTGAGCGCCATCGCGGAAACTGCAAAGTTGGCAAAGAAGTTCGTTGGCAGCGGAGAGACGGTGTGCGGCAATCCCGATCTGGCAATATTCGCCGATCTCGAGAAATCTATTCGCGATTTTTCGGATCAACTTGTCAAAAGTTTCGATCAGTTGAACGCGCTGATGTTCGAACACCCATTCTATCCGGTTTGTCCTCGAAATGTTGACGTTGACTTTACCCACACTCTTCAGAATCTGACTTACGCGACGTTCATGAACACCCTCTACATGGCTGATACTGTGTTCGATGCGAGCAAGAGCACTGTCGACGCCTACAAAAAGTTTTCGAGCCAAAGACAACCGATGAGCTTCGCCACGGTACGGTTTTCAGCGAATCTTCGAATCGTTGTTACACACGATTTTGCGTTCAGAAACTGATAAGCTACTTGCAAAATGACGTTACGAATCCGATGAAGAACTACAAAAACTACGCGGATTCAAACTTCGACTATCGTAGCCGCAGGAATGTCGTCGACGGAATTCTGGCACAATTGGTTGGTCGTACTTTTCCGAATCGGATGCAAAGTATTGTCTTTCAGTTATTTCTGGAAGCCTACTCGAATGGATTCTTCTTCGGAGGAAATATGGCCAACTCGAACAAACTGAACGACAGAATTGACGAGATCAGACAAAAGTATTCAGAATGGGAGAACGAGTTTAAGGCAAGACTTGATTAGTTTGTATACGTTTGAATAACTCAACTCGACACGGCGAGCAAAAGTGTAGAAAGGGGGGCGTGGCCTAATCTGAGACGCGTTTTCTGAAAATTGCCGCAATTCCAGCACACTTTTCCGATATTTTTGTGTCTGATATCGACGAAAGAAGAGCACATTAAACAGAGAAAACATTGAAATTTTCGTAAAAACGGCGCTTTTGAGACGTTTTTGGCATATTTCGCAATTCGCAATTTTCATAGCGGCCGATGTGGATAGTTTTGAGACGAAGTGAGTGTCGGAAGTGATTAAGCACGTTAATACAAGTATTTTAAGCGTTCAAACGGCAAAAAGTATCGGCGAATGACTGAAATTCGCGCATTTTCAGCACAAAACTTGAAAATCGATTCAATTGATTCATTTCTGAATGAAACCTGCTCGTTTTAAGCTCAAAAAGTGCGCGCGATGATTAGTTTAACACAGTTATTATGCAATTACACCGTCGAAATCGTACAAAATTTGGGTAATTTTTGACGAAAAACATGAAAAATGGGGTTAAATTTCGAAACCGTGCACGCTAGGCCACGCCCCTTTCTACGTTTTTGGTCGCCGTGAACTCGTCTTTAAGGAAAAAGACCCACTGCATGCCGCGCGTGCAACCGTCAGAAAGTGTGCTGATGCTGGTGGTTACCTCTTCGCTGAGATCGAATCGAACGTGGTTCTGATTGCGAGCATTGGTTCGGATGTCGTGCAAGCAGTGAACAATCCCGGCAAGAAGGCGTTGAGGGGAAGACTGACCGAATTGGCAACTAATATCGACCAATTGGCCGTGAGAATGAGCGAGAAACTGAACACGGAAAAGAGTTTCATGACGCAACACAACTTTTACGAGGTTATCTAATGCCGAGCCAGTGAAGTTATTGTTCTTTTTAGGAGTATGTGACAAAACCTCAAAAGTTGGAAACTCTGATGCGTCTAGCCATTGCTGATCCTTCGTCTCAAAAGATCGAAGAGTTCCGGTCAGCGTACAACCAGACCCCGGCCACTACAATTGCCAATGTACCGAACACTTCAAGAGCTCTTGAATGTATTGATTAAACGTTCAGAACCTCATCGCCAGCCTTCAAAACCCGATCACTAATATTTTGAAACTTGCCGTGTTGGGAGACACGTACAGAACTGCGGAAACATTCAACAAATGGGAGGACATCGTTGTTGGAATCATGTCTCAACTGGTATGCTCTTTAGTTTCTCTGATAGTTTATTGTAAGCAAAGTGACCGTTCAGCTCTTCCTGGAGTGTTTCAAAGTCCGTCTTTTGGGCAATTCAAAGACGTCTTCTGCGGATGAACTGAGATTGAGAATAGGAAAAGTGCGGCAAGATTTGGAAAGTTGGAGAGGCGAATTCAAGGTGAGTACTGTTTATTAGGTGAAAATGAAGAAAAGTATTCAGGAGAACTATTGGCCGAGTGTAGTCAAGGAGCTCGTAGTGGATATTGAGAAGAACAATCCGGGAACGGACAACGAAACATTGGCAATGGCAATCAACGACGCGTTCGTAAAGATAATGACAGAGTAGTTTGCACGGGAACCGCTATATTGTTGTTTTGTGATTCCAGTGATACCCTGTCCACTTTGGTGTTCAATGAGGGTGTTGGCGACAAGAAACAGTGTGTGAATGGTGCAGAAGAGTACATGCTCACTTTCCTCAACATCGGCAATCGTAACATCATCGTCGGACGCAGTCAGCACGGAAGAGAACTCGCTCCCCAACACACCCAACACGTCCGAGATCAGTTTGTGGAAGAATACTCTAGCGAAAGGTTTGAATTGATACTACTTTTGAAATCCGAAAATGTTTGCAGCAAAAGCGATTACACTCCGTTCGTTAGCAGTCTTTGCAACAACTTTGGTGTGGGATATGTGGTCATGACGAGTGCTTCTCAACAATTGGCATTGGCTCACACCTCCGCGTACCCGCCTGCCTATCAGTCTGTTCTTGGAATCACCGGAAGCGCCGAGGACGTGTTCTACATAGTTATCGGATACTTTTAAGACACCAATAAGTTGATATGGCACTTTGAGAGAGATCTTATGATGATGTTGCGTTTGATTTCAATGTGTTTGCTTTTAATGCATCACTTTTATGGCTTGAAATGAGAGTTCACTTGTACACTGCAATCAGAGAGTAGGTGGTCGGATTGCCATCCGATCCACGAATCGATACTTTGGTCGACCATCCCGGCGCCTTTCCAGGGGGTATTGGAGCCACTCGGACCGCGAGCTTTTGTGTCTCTTGGATCACCGACATGCTTCCATGCCTAAACATTTTTGATGGAGTTTTGGGGGGTCGAATAGTTTCTACGAACTTTTCTCCGAACAACGCGTCGAACGACTCCATGTACTTTTGGGGAATGCTCTCAAACCTGGAAACGTTTTCACATTTTACCGCTTTCAAGAATCGTCAGCTCACTGTGTGCCGCTCAAATCGATAGCTCCAACATTCTTGACTTCTCTTCGCAGATCACGGACTTGTTCGGCCGTGAAGGCATGATACTCGTCGCTCCGGCAGATCACAACCCAACTTTTTCCGTGTCGAAAGTGCTTTGCCTGTTTTCCCTCCAATGCGTACGAGGCGTAATCGGTGCTTTGAGTGGGTTCATTGAAAACGAGCACGTGGAAGGTGTCCCTGAACATTATGACGTTTTGCTTAACTTGAGAAGACTGCTCACTTGGGAAACATCCGTCTCAGGTAATCGATAAGAATGTCCGCTCTCGCCTCGTTGTCCACATTCATGTCTTGCACGTGCTCCACAATCGCCGCCACGTCATCCGAGAATGGATCCGGCCGGTATGCGTCTTCCCATTCCGGATACTTCTTCTCCAACTCTTTGATCAACTTCTCCAGCTCTTCGCCGTCTTTGTTGTCCTCGCCGAACACGAGTCGTTTCAAATATGCCTCCACAAACAGCTAAAAAGGTGTTGTTATGGTTTAAAATCGAGCTAAAACCTACAAAATGCTGAAGATACCCGTCGACAATGTCCCTCCACTTTACGAATGTCGTGTTCGACTTTGTCGCGTCCGCATTCATGGCCACTTTGATCGGATTACTGTTGTCCAGTGACATGAAACTGATGGTTTGCTACAAAAAAAAAACGAAATAAATCGATTACATTTTCAATGCCTTACAGCCGCATCCGCACTCAAATCATTCTTCTGGTACACTCCGGCAAGTAGATCGAACCCTTCCTGGGTTGGATTGAACAGGGTATCTTGCGCAAATTTGGTGATTGTCAGCAGCTTTTGGATGTAGTCCTGAAAAAAACCAAAAGTTCTTGAATTGATCTAATGTCTAAAAATCCTACCGTGTAGAAGAGGTTCTTGGCCATAAGCACGTCCAAACCATCGTAATCGTCGGTCAACTTCTTCGCCAACGTCCCGATGCGCGCCTCCAACTCTTTGAGCTTCACGAGCACATCACTCGGAAGGGCGGTCCCGTTGGCCACAAGAGCAGCGGTGCCATAGATGTCCGCGAGGTTGGGCGGCTCGAAACGGCCCAATTGAATGCACTTGTTCATGTACTTCAGAGTCTCGTCGAGGGCTTTTGTGTCTGACAGTTAAATCGATGATAGTTTTGCAAGTTCGGAGGCTTACCAGTCATTTTCCGAGAAGAAATGGTACTTGGGTTGGTCTTTTAAAAAAGCAATGATTAGAATTGCTGAAAATGTTAAGAGGTACGTCAAACTTGATAGCTAACAAGCGCGTAGGTAACAGAAAGAATAGAGAACAGTTAAATTCATTCGATACACAAAACTGTTGGAAAGATCAAAACTTGATCTCGAGGGACCTACATACAGCTGTTGCATTGTGAAAAGGTCGGTTTGTCAAGAGACAACTGTCGTCGGGCACTTACTGGTAGCCCGCAAAAAGAGTGAACGTTTTGCCCAACCCTACACCTGAAAAGTGTTCTTTCTCGACGCGAATACGAGTGAGAGCTCCTGGAGCGGTGTCCACATTCCCGACCGCCAAATTGAGAGTCTCCGACACGAGCGCCACGAATCCGAGGCCTTTGATGCCGTTCAACGAGTCGACGAACAGAGTGTAGTCGTCTTGCCACGTGGTTTGAGTCAAGTTCTTGATGTGTGCCCTGAACTGATCCTTCTCCGACTCGCTGATCGACTTCCACTTGGCACTTCGCGTCACGACGACATTGGTGCCGCCGAGATGGACGGACTGGATGGCCAGGGAGGACGGTCCCCGCAGCACGTGGTTCTGCGCTCCGTCGCACTCGTTGTACACCATTGTGAACGTTGTTTCTCTGCAAATTGCCTTTGATATCCTTGAATTTGGAACTTTGAACTCACTTTGGAAAGGATTTCTTCAACGTTTTCTCCAAAACGGCAACCTTCTCATCGTTGCCCGTGTTCTCCTTCTGGATGGTCTCAATCACACGTTTTGCCATGTTAGCCCATAGCGGATCCTTCAAGGTGATATTATTAGTTTTCAGAATGATCAACATTTGTCCCCCTAACCACAGTCTCTTCCTTCCACTCGTCCAGTTCTTCGCTGAACAGCTCAATTCTCCGTTTCAACGCATTCGGTGCGTACATGCTTCGTGACTGGTACAATCCGTTGGCGAAACTTTCAAGGTACAACTAAAAGCGATTTATGCGAAGACACATAAAAAATCGACTCACAAAGTGGGAAAGTATCCGCAAGAACGCAGTGGGCCAGTCTTTTGCAGCAGTTGAAGTTTGCACTCGCATCGGGTTCGTGGACTTTTTCTCAAGCAGACTTATCGTTTTCTGAATATTATCTGATCGAAATTTGTTTAAAAATGAGCGTACTCATTACATAAGCAGTCTCAATCGGTGAGTTCATATCATACGAGTTTTTGAAGTACTCGAAAGAGTCTTCACCGGGATTTGAAAGAATTCCATCGAACATTTGAATCAGATTGTCGGAAATGTCGGCGGCTTCCTAGAACATAAACAGATAGTCAAACATCAAAGTTCAAAGTTCAGACCTGATAAAAAGAAAGAGTACTGGCTGCTCTGATTTGCTCGAAGCTCTCGTTCACGCTCTTCGCCATTTCTCCGACGCTCTCCCACAATTCCTTCAATTTCGTCGCGTCTATCGTCTTGTTCTCGATTGATTGTTTCAAAAACTGTCCGGCATTTGCTAGTATCTCAATTTTGGGTCCAATTTGTTGAAATGCATTCGCTCCGGTTGCTATGCTCGTTCTCGCGATTCCAGCCGCTTCCGCGATGTGCTCCATTGCGTCTGTGAGGAGGTGTATCACGCAAAAACAGCAACGGAAATGAATGAGAATGACGGATGACCCAGAACCCAGCGGGAGAGTGCTCCGAGCAGTTGGTGAGCAGAAAGGGGGATAGAGGGAGGGATCAAACTAAATACACTGCAGGATCTCCTCAGATGACTCTTATTCGTTGTGTAATGCCGCGTCCAAAGTCTCGGAAAACCCGCAAATCTCGCGGATTTTGCAGTCCAAAGTCGGCAGAAATTTGCGGGAAATCCGGGGTGCGCACAGCTGAACGAGTGTTACCGTACACCATAAAAACTACGGTATTTTTTTGAAAATTTCAAATATTCTCGAAAAAAAATTTAAATGTTTATTTAAATTTTTTTAAAATTTTTTATAATTTTTAAAAAAAATTTAAATTTTTTTCGAGAATATTTGAGAATATTTGATATTCTCGAAAAAAAATTTAAATTTTTTTAAAAATTTTTTTAATAATTTTTTTAAAAAAATTTAAATTTTTTTCGAGAATATTTGAAAATTTTTCAAATTTCTTGGGTAAATTTTTCAAAAAAATACCGTAGTTTTTATGGTGGTGTACGGTAACACTCGTTCAGCTGTGCGCACCCCGGATTTCCCGCAAATTTCTGAACCCTTTGGACTGCAAAATCCGCGAGATTTGCGGGTTTTCCGAGACTTTGGACGCGGCATAATGTGAAAAAAACATGGGGGAAAGAACAGTGAACACATCTTCTTCATTGAAAGCACACAAATACATGTTGAATGTCAAATCGACTCGTATCAGAGGTTCCCGTATCAGTCGATAAGCGCGTTCCACCACTTCTCAATGTCTTTCGTCGTTTCACTGGGCATCTGCGGTCTCGGACTTCCCTGTGTCGACGGCACCGGTAGAGAGGGGGTTATCACCTGCAAAACGGCGCGGAGATTATCGGTAGAGCGCGATTGCTTGCTTACAAGTGGGGAGTGTTCTCCCATCAAGTCGTCCGCCATGTTCTTCGGCGAAAACGGCGACTCTTCGCCGCGTTCCTCGACGTCTGGCAGGTCGTAGACATTCAGTTGTAGCTGAAAACATGAGAATTCGGGGTAGCAAAGATGATGCGAAACAAACGGTTGTACATGGAAAGCGACAAAGGGGCAATGCAGAACAACAACTCACATGGAAATTCTTGGGCTGTCCGGAACCCTTTCGGATTTCCGAACTAGCTCGTTTCGGAAGCAATTGGACGGTTTCAGGCGATCGCGACTGCAATGGAAAAAAGGAAAAAAGCTTGAGGCAGGGAAACACTCGGACAATGGATGGACTCTTTCACTTTTTCACTTCAAACTATAGCTAAACACTCGGGGTCAGGTCAGAATCTAAAAGGGATTGACATGTACCTTCACTTGTTTCTTCTCGCTCGAACTTCCGATCATAAACTTGCGAGCGGCTTCTTGGAAGAGTCCGGCTCTCTGAAAATACTTTATGAATGAGTGCGTGAATGGAGGAGACTAACCGAAAGTACATCTGGAATGCTTCCCCTCCGATTCTTGACGTTCGCCTTCTTCCTAATCGGCGGCGGCGTCTCTTCTTCACTGCTCTCCGTCTCCTCACTCTCCACACTGTCTCCGCGGGTGGTTCCTTCGAATCGAAGACGTTGCGCTATTATCGGATCGTCGTGTGAGATGGATGAATGGCCGGACGAATGGAGTACGGGATGGCCTCCGAGGAACGACGGAAGCACGCCTTCCACGTCCTTCAGACTCGGGTTTCTCAACTTTCGAAGGCATCCTTCGAGCCATGTTCGGATCGTCTGCTTCGCCACTTCTTCTTCTATTATGAACTCGAGTTCTTCTCTCTGCAGGAGCTCTTCGAGTTGCAGAGACTTTCTAATGTCCACTGATCGGTAGGAGAGCATACTGGAACAGAGGAAATGTAGGTTACGGTATATTATAAACTCTTCAAAACTCACTAAAGCACATCATGAAAGGAGACCTCCTCGCCGTTGTGCAGCCGTTCCATCTCATAGCACATGTGTTTGAATAGTATCCGATCTTTCTCAGGATCCACTTCCAGCCTGCCTTTCAGCAATCTCAACAGGAACTTCACCCTCCCCACTGGAATCGTTCGCTTCTGCTCTTGATCGACCATGTTCCAGACGTATTGGAAGTTGCGAATGTCTGCATAACTGAGCAGAGCGTCCTCTTCCGAAGAGTAGAACAGCGAGAAGTTCTCCATGATGATAGCTGAAAGGAGGATGGATATCTAGAAATCAGAGGGCAACTGACCGACGAGAAGATTCCGTACAATATAGGTGATGATGAGGTAGAAGGAGCAGAAGTAGATGATGGCTCCGTAATAGTTTCCGCAGTCCGTCTCCCAGTAGTTCATCCCTTCGATCCAATAGCAAAATGGCGCACTTCTCTGAACATACCCTACTCATTTTACAGTAATCCTTGCAGTCTTACCATGCAATCATGCATAATATCATTCCAATCCTCTCCGGTCAAGCATCGAAACAAGACGACGAGCGCTTCGGAAGCCGTTCGGAAGTTGACGTGTCTGAAGCAAAGTATATCCATTGGATTACTGTAGCACTCACTTGCTTACTGCCATTCCGTACTTGACCATCGGAAAGAGGATGACGCCGGTGTAGGCGTAGAACAGAACGAGCAGGAAGAGGGCGGTGATGATGAAGAACGAACGGAACATCGACATGACCACAGTCAGCATCAGCATTTTCAACGTCGAGTTTCGACTGGCAATGGTGAAGAATCGTAGGATGACGACGAGATATCCGAAAGTGAATGTGAACTTCTTTAGCTCTACTTGCACAGTCACATCGATCTTCGAAGAGGGAAGAGCCACGAAGAAGTGGAGGAAGATCCAGATGACTCCGAACACGGTGATAAGCAGATCAACTCGATTGCGTCTCGACTGCCAGAATCCGGAAAACGTGTACGCGATGACTTTGAGGATGATTTCGACGACGAAGAGCATGTTCATGACTGCGGAGCACGCGGTCACTGTGAACACGTACGTCGATCTCTGCTCCTCCTCCTCCACATTCCACGGAATCACCAGGGTGAACGAGTTGAGGACGACGAGAAGAGCAAACGCCTGGTTGAACCATCGACTCATCGTCAGATCGTACAGTTTGGTGCGTAGACGCGCGGATTCCGACGGTTTTGGGGGAACGTGAAGCGGCTGCGCCATCTTGAGACGCGCTTTCAGGTCGTGCCACCTTCTCTGGTCAACGGTGAGAAGAGCGGTTCCTCGGTTCTGAGTGTAGTTGGCGATGACGACGCCGACGAAGAGGGTGAGTCCGATCATGCAGCCGATGAACACGTAGATGTGGATGAAGACGACCGCCCACGGACCGTGACGGGTCCACAGAATGTCTCGGATCACGTTCCATCCCTTGAAGCTGAGCGTCTCGAAGAGGGCGAGCATTGCGTTGCCGACGTGGTCAAAGTTGAAGTTGCGGGGATTCGTCCAGACGCGTGGCACCATGATCTTCGGGTGCATTGCTTCCGAGTCCTTTCCATAGACTTCCAAGCGGGTTACGAAGAGCTTCTGCCAAAAGACGCCGGTGCAGTTGTCCTAAAAGTTGACATCATCAAATGGAACTAGAGCCAGCTCTTACCCTTGACTGAACAGTCGGGTCATTGCAAGCGGCGAGTTTTCCGCCGACAATCTGAACTCCGAAGCTCGCAAAGATGAACATGACGACGATCATCAGAATGGTGACGAGCACGATCTCTTTGAAGCCTCGAAAGAACTCGAGAACGACGCGACGGATGTGAGGCACCAGCGTGTAGATTCTGAACCACTTGAGCTCATGAACGAATATATATCTAAGGATACCTCAGAGGTCTCATTGCCCTGCAAATCATGAGAAACTGAGCCAGACTGTTGATTTCCACGTGCTTTGGCATCCAGGCAAGGAAGATCACAGATGTCTGAAACGCATAGAGGATAAGGAAGGATACTGTATGCTTACAAAGTAAATGAAGAGGTTCATGACACCGCCGACGTCTCGGACCACTGCTTTCGGGGTGAAGAACAGGCCATTGGCGATGATTTTGACGACGAGTTCAAAAGTCATCGCAAGTACGAAAAAGTAGTCGCAGATCTGCAAGTCTTGAGTACTCTACGAGCCTACATGAATCTTGTTGAATACCTGAAGATAGAAGTTGTTCATGACGAGGTTCTCGCCGGTTGTGGGCCAGGGACTCTCGAAGAGCATAGAAATGCACGAGAGGATGGTGACGGTGGCCATCGCCCAGTCGATGTAGGGCATGATTCCGATGAGCGCCCTGATCTCCTTGAACCTCTTCTTCGTCTTGCCGCCTCCGTTGATGCCGTCGTCCTGACTGGCGTACTTTGAATGCACCAGCTTCTTGCAGAACTCGCGGAGCTGCGAAGCTCTGCCGACGAGGAAGAGGGGCCGGTCGAAGAACGGATGGTTCTCGCGCATGTCCTCCTCGATGCGGTTCCGCGTGATCTCCGCCAGCTGTCTCTTCTGCTGCAGTGCTCGGATGTCGATCTCGCCCTGCTTGGCGTTCTTTTTGGGCGCCGAGTCGGAGGGCCGCGAGAGATCGCCGTTCTCGCTGTACATGTTGAACTGCTTGTTTCGCACGGCGGTTTGAAGGAATTTTCCGGTCATGGACCGTGATTTTCTGGAAGTTTCTCGTCAGAATTGCTTCTGTAAATGATGTTGACCTCGACTGGACTATGGACAAGAAGGACCAAACTGATAGGGTGAAAAGGAAAAAGGAAAAGGTGAAATTGAAATGGATGAATGGACAAGGACCACTACTACTACTCACGTGTGTGTTGGGGGAACTCAAAAAGGTGGATGTGGTAGACCCCCCCTACTCCCATTTTTTGCAAAACCTACGGTAGGGCGTCTTTTCGCGGGTACAAACTGCCGGACGAACGTGTGAAATGAGGCAAAAAAGACAACGAATTAGACAACGATTGACGGGTGCGATCGGACATTCTGCAAAGGGGAATCGGGACGAGATGAGATCCTGTGGGGGGGATTACTGTAGTTGAGAGCACACACACACACACACAAAGGGGTTAGGGAACAGAAAAGGGAAGAGAACACGGAGAAGGAGGGCATGCGGATGGGGGGGGATCACTTGCGGACTCACTCGAGAAGGTTGTTGAGCGAACAGCGGAGCGAGGTGGAGCCGATCTGACGGAAACTGAGCCCGCTTTTCGAGATTTTCCGTTTGCCCGCCGATTTCATGAGTTTTTTAGGGAATTCAAACTCGGTCTCCATGATATCAGTCGATTCCAAACTGTGATCCACTGCGAACTGATGCGTAAAACTGCCACGCACTTTTGGCATCGGAAAGTCACTGTCCGCTCTGAAACCAAACAGTCTGGGCTCGGAAAAACAAGGGCTGCAACTGACTTCCGCATCGCGGCCATCTGAGGTCTCGTCGGAAACTTTTCAAAGACTCTGAGCCTCCAGGGAAGCGTGGATCTCATCGACGTCGTCGCTTCTCTCGCCTTCAACTGCTTCACCTTCTTGAGCTCCTCGTCCATTTCCAGGTTATCCAGGATTACGGCGACGAACAACGAGAGCACAATCTGAAGAGAATGTGCAGTTGTTGGCTCCAACTCTTGCAAGTCAACGGCTTACCAAAGTGACAAAAAGATGATAGGCGACAAAGTAGAGGGCAACGAAAGGGACCAGGTTGTCGTCAGTCGCTCTCAGCACTTCTACAACTAGATCCGTCCATCCCTCCTGAGTGATGATTTGGAACATGGACATGAACGCCTGGAATAGAGCAAAAGTTTACCGTTTCAAGTTCATCATGTAACGATTACAAGTCTACACGGTTGATTGGTAAGGGGCATTATCTATTTACCTGCGGAAAAGTGCGAAAGTGATGAAGATTGGGAACCGAGTAAAAGAGTTGGAGTGAGATTGCGGAGCAGCAGCAGATGAATGCGATTGTGAAGATCACGAGTCCGCCCAACTTCTTGCCCGGACTGAAAATCTTCCAAACGAAATCCTCCAGAATCGGAGACGCCTTGATGAGCCGTAAAAGTCGGAAAGTTTGGAAGTAGGTGAAATAGTTTCGTTCGTAGAAGAACTTGACGCAATTCAGAGAGCTTCCGATGCACAGAATGAGTTCGAATTTGAAGATGCCTCTTCGGATGAAATTGCGGAATCCGTAGCACAGTATTTTGATGATGCACTCCACGTTGAAGAGGATTGTGAAGCCGACTTCGAACAGGTAGAAATTGTGCTTTCGGGGAACGTCCGTTTCGTCGTGTCGGTAGACGAACATCGCGTTTCCGATGGCGTTGAGGACGACGAAAATGATGACGAAGCATTGGAAGTACATGCTGCGGAGCATCTGAACATAGACACTTGATACGACTTGAAATGGATTTACACTTACCATTTGCAACTTCTGCTTGGGTCCCTCGGTCTCCACTTCTCCATCCAACCGGATCAACCTCCACCCCTCGTCAGTCTTCTCCAACTTCTTCCTGAACCCCTCGTCCAACGTCACCTCCTTCTTCTGCCACATCTCACTGAACTGCACGCGAATCTCAGCGAACGTCTCCGTGATCACCGCAATGAAGACGTTCTTGACGAGCCAGGCGAGAAAGAAGATGAGAGTACAAAAGTAGAGAAAGGCGAGGTACGAAGGCAGCGAGTCCATGCAGTCGTACAGCACGTACACCCATCCCTCTTCCGAGGCGGCCAGATAGACGGTGAAAACGGAGGCGCCAAAGTCGTTGAACATTCCGTAGAAGCCCTCGCCCTTCGCGTTCAGGTTCAGTTGCATGCACACCATCGGATTCGGGCACTCGTAGCCGCCGATGCCCTCCGGCGCGCACATCGTGTCCGGAATCGCCAGATCCATAATCGTCACGTTGTTCGGGTCGGTGTCTGCAAATGTATCGTTGGAATTGTGTTTCAGATACTTTGATATTGTCGTTCTGCTTCTAGGTTTTCGTTCAGTTCTACACAACTCACCGAGGTATCATTTTGGCTAAAGAACACCGTTCTTCAAGCGAACTGATGAGAATAAAGGTGTTGCACCCCGACGTTTAATGAGAACGCGCGAAAACGGTTCGGGGACACGAATGGTAGAGAAACACAAACTAACCCCCCAGCCATGTCAATGAAAACATCGTGAAAAGACTCACGTGGCTGCACACAATGATAGTCCATTCGGCCGAATAGTTGAATGCCGAAAATCGCATAGAGTGTCATGAAGAACACGAAAAACAGTGTGACGTTTTTGACTTGTTGCGATGAACGTCTGCAATCCAATTTGGCTCTTCTCGTTCGGAGAATCGCAGTTTGAGACTCACTTTAACAGTTGTTCAATCCGGTTTTTGGGCAATTTGAACTTGACGATCAATGGTATCAATCGAATGATGATGAACGGCCGAATGGACCGGATCGCGCCGTACCAAGTACGATAGTTGAGGTGTAGAAACGGAAAAAATGTGTCTGAAAGTATGGGACCATGTAATGTTCGTCTAAAAAACAAGATCGATTACCAATAAGTTGATAAACATGAAGAAGGAACGAGAGTAGATGAATGATGGAGATGAACACGGAGAATTGCGACCAGCGATTCGATAAATATGAGGAATCGCACTGCAAACACTTTTTGCCGACTGTTTCAAAGGAGGAGCTCACTCGAAAAATGCCTTCGTAATGGATGCGAAGGACTGAATCCAACATAAAAATTGATACAGAAATGAAGTCGGCCACGAGTATTATGTAAGTCAGCGGTGGGCACAGTTCGATCGTTCGTGGCGTGTGCAAACAGACCTGAGGGATCAGAATGAAACAGAGGACAAAAAAAGGGTGGTACCGTTATCATTGATATTGTACATGCGATTTTGAGGGCCCACTCGACTCGATCACTTTCTACGTAACCTGAACAGAAATTTGGGGGGAAGTGTGTGATTGTTTTGCTTCAAAGATTCCAAGTCTAAACTCACTGCTCCTAACTGGCTTCTTGTGCTGTGTGCTGAGCATGTCCGAGATGGCCGCGATGCTCTCGCGTGCTCCGAACGGCGCCACCGAGCCGGGTGCTCCGCGCGACGACGAGTTCTTGCGGGCCAACATCGCCGACGAGAGGACCGCCGCCTTCGCCACTGAAAATTCATTTTTCAGACTCCCTTCTTCTTCTTCTTCTTCTTCTTCTTCTTTATTTCTCTATATCATATTCATTGTGGGAATGAAGAATTGGAAAATGAAACGAAACTTGATACTTTTCCTTTTCTATGCCATTTTCCCTCGAAAACTTGTTGTTTCATCTTTCGTTTTGGCAACAAAGAGCGCGAGAAAAACGGATAGATTATCAAGGGAGCAATTTTGAATGAATGGGTGAGGGAGATAGAGAGATGGAGAGAGAGAGAGAGTTGGTATACGGGAAGCAATGAAATATTATAGTGTTCGTGCCTAGATCCCGTCCTCGGGAAGCTAAACAGTATTTCCAGCAATATCCGAGAGGCCAGAGGTCTCAAAAACTGGATTTCAAGCTCTAGTACACAAAGCTCAAAGATACGAATCCAATTAGTTGGAACATTAGAAAGAACACATTGAAGTTCTTTAGTTTTTCGATAAAGTACGTAAAAATGCGTGGGTGATATTGTAGGTTTAGGTGTTTGTGGACAGGTGGACGACACTTCGAAGGAATACAATATGACTAGTTATGAAGCCAACACTATCAGAACTGACGCACGAACCAATGAACAAACTGTTTGGCGAGTTTACAGTTTCCCGCAACTTGTCCACGAACCCGACAATATCCGGTCTCACCTTGAGAATACTTTCTCTGATTATGAACAGTAGTGATGAGACTTTTCTTTCGTTCCGACATGACTGTACTTGTGGTGTCGAAACAGAAAGGGGGGGAAAGTTCAAGAATACTCGTAGCAGATAGGGATAGATAGTGTAATGGAATTGAAGAATGTGCCGCCCGGGACAAAAAGCGACTCCCTCCTCCCCTCCTTCCTCCTTCTTCTTCTTCTTCTTCTTCTTCGTTTGACTATGTGTGGAGAGCGGAATGCGCTTGTTGCTTCTTCTTCTTCTTTCAAATATCTGATGCTCTTCTCAATGCTCGGCTCCAAACACTCGCCGCCGCTCCGCCCCCACCCCACCCCTTCCTCTCTCTCTCTCTGTTGAGCCCATCAATTTTTGGGGGCGCTGCGAAGAGATTGGCGGCGTGCGTCGAGCATTGTTTGCTCGCGCGGGTAAATTTGTTACAATTTCAGACGGCAAATGAGATTGTTTGCTTGCTCTTTTCCCCGTTTCGAAAAAGGGTACGAGTACCGCTAATGCCACGTCATTAACTCTTTTTGGCGCCCAAAAAAAACGATGAAGGATTAGTGTGGGGGGATCAAGTGAAAGAAAACAATGGTTCCCGGCGGTTGGGGGGACCCAAACGCTCCATTTTTGAAAATTGTGCAACTTGGAGCAACTCTAGACGTCTTGGAGCAGTTTCAACGCTCTGAGACGCTTTGCAACTGCAACTTTTGTGCAACTTTTTCAATATTTACGCAATTGTAGTCAAAAATGGTTCCTCTTGTGTCTGTCGAGTTGACTTGTCGTTCTAAATTGACTTTTCGGGTGGGGGGTACTCCGGAACTTCCTTCCTCCTCCCATCATCCACCCAACTTTTTATCGTCCTTCTTCTCCCTCTCTCTCTCTCTCTCTCTCTCTCTCTCTCTCTCTCTCTCTAAATCCTCACAAAAAACGAGGCGCAAAACGATTCGGGAGCAATAAAAGCACGGAGGGAAAACACGTAAATGCTCTCTCTTTCTCGTTTTATATGTTCCGCCGCCAGCAGACTGAACTTTTTCTGTGTGTGGTCAAGTGAAAGGAAGAAGAAGAAGAAGAAGAAGAAGAAGAAGAAGAAGAAGAAGAAGTTAGTGGAGGGAAACTTCAATTGGTTTTCAATTTGGGAAACGGGGGTTTGTTTTATACTTAAACCGGGACACGAAATTGTGGAGACTTCTGAAGAGTTTATTGGGGACCAGCACGTTTTCAGGTGAAAATTGAGTACTCTATTTTTCCAGGCGACAACACTTTTTTCTAGGACCGCAAAATAGGTACTGAAACGTTAGTGTTTCAGTTTACAAACCAATCTACTTCATTCTTACAGCAGAATGGAAAAATTCATGGAAAAATGAAAAAAAAATCGGTCAGTGAATGAACAACTTGTTGCACTTAAAATGGGTGGCTGATTCGATGAATAATTTAGAAAGGGGGAGAAGGAGAGGGAGAAGAAGAAGAAGAAGGGGGAAAAAATGGAAAAGTTCATTATGATCGGGAGAATGTGCTTGAAAAAAGAACAAAGAAGCATTGGGAAGGGAGAAAAAGTTATGAAAAAGTTGTTGTCACTCTTGCTCAAAACATGCCCATCAAAAATTGTCATAATTTGATCCAGATGTGAAAAGAGCGAGGAAAAGTAGAAGAAGAAGAAGAAGAAGAAGAAGAAGAAGAAGAAGAAGAAGGTTCTTTCGGAACACACGCGATGAATAATTTCGGCGCCGAGAGGATAACGGAAACGATGAAAAAGAGAGAGAGAAAGAGAGAGGGAGGTCTAAAACGGAGATAAATGGTCATTCGTCGAGCAAAAAGAGGCATCAAATTAACTTTTAGGGGAAGAGAAAGAGAGAGAGAGAGGAGAATTTGCCTAACATTAACTAAAAGCACTTCCACATGATTGTTTCGATTTGCTCTGGAAATCAAAAAGTACATGTTTGAAGCAAAACAGATTTCCAAGCGACGGAAATCGAACCCGCGATGGTAGTGCAAAATGCCAAAACGAAACCACTGCGCCATCGACGCTCTTGGCTGCGGCAGCTCTCAGGGCTGTAAGGTTCTCGGTGAAATTAGCAAAAAGCAGGCCAGCGCGTTAGTCAATTTCCATTCAAATCAATAATTTAAAAGTTTTCTTTTAAAAGTACGGTTTCGCTCTCAGCATATTAACGATTTCTAATCATAAAAGCAGTCATTCTACATTTCGTTGGATTTTCTGATCTAGAAGTTCGCAAAATCGAGGCGAACGAGCGCAATGCGAAGCAAACTTCTAAAAAGTTTGGCGAGAATTCATTAAGGATGGGAAAAGAGTTGTACACTTAATAAACGCCGCCTTTCGCTTCTTCTTCTTCTTCTTCTTCTTCTTCTTCTTCTCTTCCTCTTCCGAATTACATGTGCATAAAGGCGTTTGCTCTTTTTGTGATTTTTCTCGGCACCGGTTAATCGAGAAGCGCGAAAAGCTCGTCGACCAGAGTTTCGGGGGGCCAAAGTTGGTGTAATTCACGCTTAGCTAGGTCCCTTAGCTACTAGTTTCGAGTTTCAAGACCTTCAAGAAAGTGTACTAGAAAAATGAGGAGAATGATAAAAGTTTTCGGGAAAAAAAACGTGAGCAGGGGAGTTTTGAGCACAAAAAGCTTGCGGCTGTTTTGTGTTGGGGCGTGCCACATTTGGTGCTGTTGCTCAATTTAATTATACGGGGGCGAAGGGCGCATCCGGACAGATATCGAGCCACGCTTTTCCATTTCACGCCTCGAAACTCGGCGCGCCTTTTTGAAACGAGCGCACAAAAACGGAAGGGCACTTCATTTCCGGGTCGACAGCTGCTGCCCGCCCTTTCCGATTCTTTCGCACCCAAAAAGAGACGATTACGGTAAGTACAGTCTGCGGGTTCATTTTCTGAGATTACGAAAAGCGTTGGAGGTGCTATTAGATTGACAAACTGACTGTTGGCAGTAGGAAAAAAGTAAGAAGGCTCGAGAAATGGCACATTCATTTGAACTCGTTAATATCATAAGAGTGAAACCGTACTTTTCTCAAAATTTTTCAATAAAAGCAAAATGATCAATTTGAATGGTAAGTTACTAGAAAGGTGCTCTTTGCTATTTTCGCTTGTAGCACCGAGAACGTCACAACCCTGGGAGAAGTAGGCGCCAAGGGTGTCGGTGGCGCACTGCCAACATTTTGGCATTGTACACCGTCATCGCGGGTTCGATTCCCGCCGCTTGGAAATTTCTTTTGCCTCGAAGAATATGTATCTTTTGACCTTCTGAGAAACTTTAGCATACAACCAACAAAGCGGGTATGTATGCTGGCATAGCAGTAAAGCTCACTTGAAAATTATCTATATTTTATCAATTGACTTCAGAAGTAGATCTAGAGAAACGGAAACGTTTGCAAAGCGGACTCACCCAGTAACCTGGTCGGCGCCGACATCTCCTTGGCTCGTCCAGTCTTCTGAAAAAAGGGAAATCTAGGAAAGGAATGTGTGTGTGTGTGTGTGGAAAACTTGATATCTTATTGCATCCTAGGTTGGAGCGAGCAACCGAAAGGATGCGAGGAAACGAAGGAAAGAGGGTGTGAATAAGAGGAAAATAAAGGGTGCCGGGGACCCGTTGTTGGCTCACGGAGCACACACACACACACACAGACACGCACACATTCGGACGAGAGAAAAGAATCCGGGGTGGTGGTGGTGGTGGTGTCGTCGTCGTGGAAGAAGAAGAAGAAGAAGAAGAAGGAGAAGGAGATGTTTGCCAACCACAAATTATCATGTTTCTTTCTCTTTTCACACTTTTTCGCGTGTGACCACTACTATTTCACGACGAATGGGCCGGTGGTTGCCAAGTGTCGCTCCCGGTGGCGAAACGACAACGATCAAAAGTGAAGGAGGGCATCAAGAAGCAATCTGCACTTGAGCCGCGAAATGAGCCACGACGACGACGACACTCCGCGCCTTTGAACTTTTGTTTATAAATGATGAAAATTCGCTCGCCGCCTTTCCTTTCTTGGCCAAGAATTTAAGGAATTCATTCAGATGGAAAATGACAGTTGTCGTTCGGTGGGATTAACGATACGTATCGAATTTGGTGCCCGCGCCTTTAGTACCGTACCTCGGCAGTTTAATACTGTTCCAAACTGCTTTTTGCAATCACTATATCTGTTTTTTAAAGTAAAATGGACACACATCAGTTTTACTAATAACCAATGTGAAACGGAAAAAGTAAAAATGAGTTCCTTCCAGAACACTGGCGAAAAAAGACGCCTTTTTGTGAATAATTTCAAAAGAAAAAGACGTTCAAGCTCGTTTTGTTGTCGGAAAAAGACGGCAGAAGGACGAAGCATTTTATAAATTGGCTCATAAACGTCGAAATGATTGGAAAACACAGATAACTGGCTTTTGAGCTTTAAAAATAAAGAAATTGCTCGGTTTTTCAAGACAAAAACAAGCGGGACTCTCGGTTTCGCGGCTGATCAGAGAGAGAGAGAGAGAAAGAGTGCGGATAGTGTAACATACAAAAGGATGTGCTACCAAAGAGGTACAAAAAAGATTTGAAGTGTTGTTCTTTCTCTCTTACTGACAGGGGGTGTTAGGCTCTCCGGATGAGATGAAAAGGGAGCTGTGGATGTACACACACACACACACACACTCACTCGCACCCAGCCACCCCCAAATGACAAGAGAGTGTCCCCCGGAATACTTCTTCCTCCTCCTCCTCCTCCTCCTCCTTCGGCCGAATCCCCCAGGGGCGATCTCTCGAGTTGGCGGTGAACGAGGAGAGGAATAGACGGGCGCGGCACGCACGCACCGATTTGTCACCCCCGCGGGGCGGGCTTCTGAATCTTCGCACGGTCCGCACGATGCTCCTAATCTATGTGCGAATTGTTCCGCGCTCGAATTCATTTGTCAAATTTCTCGTGCAAACTTTGATATTTTGAGCATCTTCAAATCGTCTAGTTGTGAAACGGTGAGAGTTACGCAACTTTTGTAGCAGACCGGGGAAATGGGAAAAATGAAACCGAAAAGTCGACTGTGCAAACCTCATTCCTAACAGCAGCTTGCTCCATCAACTGTCCGTCTCCGTCTTTCTCCTGAAACGAGAAATGCGCACTTGTGAGGGAACGAAAAAAAACGCCTCATCATCATTGTGAGAAGCCGACGTCTTCAATAGAAACGAAGCGAATGGCACTCTTGAGAGTGTACATTACTTATGATTTATTTGATGTGGGTGTGGAGAGGAAAGAGCAGGGGACGAGCAGTTTCAAGACGTTATAATGCGATTTTCAACACGGGGGGAATGTGGAAGAGAAATTGAAGATGGAACAGAGTTGAGTTTGATAGCAGACACAAAATGTTGCGGTTGAAACTGTAGGCAACTGTTTCAGTGGCACGAGTGGGAGTCTAAACCCAGGGCGAATGGAATTCAGAACTGTTGCGGGACACTTTGCAACTACAAGATTCAGCTGGAAAGACGATGCATCGATTGTGTATTTTCGGGCCAAATAATAGAATAAAAAGTGCTAATGCTACAACATCAAATCACAGTTTTGAAACAGACATTTTACCTGCACCCTATATAACCTAGAATTCTTATACGGACGACTTTCAGAGCTTAAAACTTCAAGAACCTTCTAGAGCTTTGTGAAAAGCACGGAACAAAGCCAAGATCTTGTTCCATTCTTGATAAAGAAGTGCTCTAATTTAAAGAGCACGTGAGCGGGTGTGTACTAAACGGAGAGACTTCTTTTTGCCGTGGCGAGCATTCCACGTGTCTCGGGGGACCAGTTGTCTCTCCACCAATCGTCTCCGAGTTTTCTTCCAAATCCGAGTCGCCTCTCTCTCTCTCTCTCTCTCTCTGGAGATGCTGCATTCTAAATTTTTGCAAAACTTTCAGCTTTATATCAAATGGGAGTCCCGTCTCAATGACAAAGTTCCCCCCCCAAAAAAAAACAGTCTGAGGTGCAAAACAAACCGAAATGATGCGTTTTCCGGCCCGATAACCGATTGATAAGCGCACTGTTTTCAACAAAACCGTATAAAAAGAGGAGGAGAGCACAAAAACAGGCTTCGCAGTCTCTGGCGTAATGATTCTTTCTATACTTTTTCTGTGTTTTTTGCTCGTCCCCTCCGCGACACAGGCAAAGTATCGAGTCAGAGTGGAAAAAGCGCCGTTGCTGAGGCACGCCCCACAAAAGTACGGGTTGAGGAGGTTCGAGCCGCAGAATCAGTGAGTCTAGAGGCATTCTATTGTACAATTGTGTGCAATTAATTGGTTTGTCAGAGTCCAACATCAACACGTGGCAGACTTTCGCGACTTTGCCTACTTTGGAAACATCTCCCTGGGCACGCCGGAACAGACGTTTTTGGTAGTTTTGGACACGGGCAGTTCGAATGTGTGGGTGCCGGATAACAGTTGCGGAGTCAATGATCAGTGAGTCTTATAAGGGAGTATCAATGTACTCACAATGTACTGTTTCATCAACTTGTTCAAGGTTCAGATTATTCACTTATTCACTCACCAGCAAACTAAAATTATCTCCTCCTTACTTTTTCAGTTTCTCCGCATGCGCCCACAAGAACAAGTACATCTCCTCGGATTCGGGGTCCTATGAAAAGGACGGTCGAATGTTTCAAATCAACTACGGGACCGGAAGTGCTTCCGGCTACTTTGGCAAGGATACGCTTTGTGTGAGTATTATGAGAACGGGATATTGTGGAACTGAAGCAGTATTCGATTGTCTAGAAAGTTATATTTTCTATTGCTACACAAATTCCCAGTAAACAGCTTGTGAGAACATAACGAATCCGTGAAACGGGACTTTTTAGAAATAGCAAAAAGTTGTCAATTAACAAATTGTTCATTAAGAAATGATGTACATTTTCTCAATTAACCACTTTTTGATATCTCTAACAACAGCTGACATATACCGTATTTCTAGAACAACAATATTTTCAAGTACATTCCAGTTCTCGGATACAACACTGTGCATCAAATCGCAAGTGTTCGGCCAGGCGACGCACCTCGCTCCGTTCTTCGCGCACCAGGAGATCGACGGGATCCTCGGCCTCGGGTTCACGGACCTCGCGGTCAATCGGGCACCGCCTCCGTTCGTGAACGCCATCGAACAGGGACTCGTCGACGAGCCGATCTTCACCGTTTATTTGGAGCATCACGGGATGAACCGGGCTGCGAGTGGCGGCTACTTCACTTATGGCGGCGAGGATCCGGACCACTGCGGCGAGATTCTCACGTGGATTCCGTTGACGAAGGCCGCCTATTGGCAGTTCAAGTTGCAGGCGTGAGTCTGTTTTCGAAAGAAAGTGCCGAATTCTCAAATTTTGATTCAGGGTTGGCATCGATAATATCTCGGAGCACACGAGTGGCTGGGAAGTCATTTCGGACACCGGAACCTCGTTCATTGGTGGCCCTGGGACTGTGATTCAGGCCATCGCAAAGGTAACCAACCTGAATGGAATGACTAAAACAAAAACGTGTTCAGAAATACGGAGCATCGTACGATGAATTCAATGATTTGTACACTGTTCCGTGTGCCAAAGTGAAGAGTTTTCCGTCGTTGAAGCTGAAGATTAACCATTTGGAGTTTGAGATTCAGGCCATCAATTTGGTCGCTCATGTGAGTTAGGGTGATGTACCTTCGAAACGGTATATCTCAGCTGTCGGTGGAGATATCAAAATGTTGTCAACTAAACAATTGTTCATCGAGAAATTTTGCACATTTTATCTGTTGACAACCTTTTGATAGCTCTACAGGCAGCTGAGATACACTGAGTATCGGTCGTTTTTTGTACTGTCCAACTGAAAAATCAAAATTTCTGTTTCACTAAACTGATAATACCGGATTGTCTGGAATTTCATATTCTTAGTAGTCGATATACACTTTGAAAGCGGAACTTTCGTTTTAAATTCAAAATGTGACATCCGGACGTCTCAAAACGACGAGATTTCAAAACCAGACCTCCACTCGAAACCCTTCCATTTTCAGGCGGCGGCCGGCGAATGCGACCTGACTCTGTTCGAAATGTACGGCGGCGGGTTCGGTCCCTCGTGGATCCTCGGCGATCCGTTCATCCGCCAGTTCTGCAACATCCATGACGTGAAGAACCGGCGGCTCGGCATCGCCGCCTCGAAACAACCGGAAGACGTCACTTTGTGATCCGTTTTGTCGCCTCCGCCTCCGCCTCCGCCGCTTCTATTTATTTATATTGTACATCACCGGAAATGCAAAAATGAAATGAAATGACTTCAAACTTTCAATGATGACGGAGAGGTGACGCAACGGATAATTGTGGAGGCCATTAAAAATGAGGAGAGAGAGCGATAATTAAGATGATGATTGTTCTCACATTGACTCCCTCGCCCTGAACTTCAGACCGACTATTGTGTTTCGTCGACGTTTTGTTTCGAAAATCCATACATTTTACTTGGTTTTTTCACTTGATCACCTTTTTCTAAAACCGCTATGGACTCTCAACTTCTATGAGCTACAGCGGGCTTCAAAGTGATCGTACGAACAAGTGATCAACTACAAAATTAAAGTGCTAGGTATGAAGATTAAGCCCAAAAAATTTTAGGCCGATTGAACATCTCCTCGCTTCACAGTACTGGTCTAAAGTTTGGCAGAACAATTTTTAAAAAAATGGTTGCAAAACGTGTCCTTTCTATTATTTCTCTTCCCATCCGCTGGCTGTAAACCAATAATATCGGATTCTGCTGGAAATTTCGAGAATTGAAGGCTCGCCGATTGCCCTTTTTATTGTTTTCTTCGACACAGAAAAACACATTTTCTTCGTTTTCTTTTCCTTTTTATTTAAATTCTTTCCGTTTCAGATAAATCTCAAAAAGTCTATAATACCTAATCCATACCAATGCAGTCAAGATGAGAGAAAAATAAAAATTGCGTGAGAGATTTCAAAAAACGACGTCCAACCTCATGAATTTATGGACTGATTGGTTGGTTAGCGTTGGTCATTTTCGGTGATTCCGAGGTTTTTGGTGTTTTCCGGTCTTTCTCCATTAAAATTAAAAAGCGCAAAAGAGTTTTGGGCCCGGTGGGTTTGAACTCGCGACCTCTTGCGTACAAGCCAAAACTGTTGCGGATACACCACCATGCCCACTGATGATGCTCTCTCGGAGGTCGGTGACCTGCTCGGTGTTTCTCCGGATATTTCGGTAGCACAGTTAAAATTAAACGCGAAAAACTCTAGAATTCCCGCCCACGGTCCCATTTTTTCCTGAATATCATCACTCGGCGTCTTTCAGATGACGCACTCCTCCAACGGCTACATTCCCGTTCGTATTCCCTTTAAATATGCCTATTTTTACCCGATTTTATGTATTCGTGCTCAAAAGGGATACTTTTTTTTCCCGACATACTTTCTAATTCCGATTGGTCATTTTTGGAAGTGAAGTTTTCAGTAGTTCATCGATAAATGCAAACGTTTCATGACATTATTGAAATAGTAATTTTTGAGACACCCAATCGAAAGATGAGAGGCTTCTTTGTTCTCGTGCCTCATCTGAACTCATTTTCGCATTTCACCTTTCTGGTGCCGCTCGAGAAATGCATTGTATTCACACATTTTTTTGACTGCGAGCTCATTCTCACTACGAACAAAATTTCGGGAACTTTGGCGCTGCGCCTTTAACAATACCGTACCCCTGATGGCATAATTTACGAAGCAAAATGTTCATTTTTTCGCGTCGTTTTTGAGAGAAATTGTAAAACACATAATTCGCAGACATGAACCCCTTTGGCGACATGCTGAAAGCGAAGAATTCGAAGCCACGTCACACACTCGCTTCGTCAAAAGTTCGGTGCGATTGCAGCTGTCCCTGTCATAGGCACGTCATAAGAATCAGAGGGGGAGGATTCTGGAGTAGATGTGTCAAGTGTCACTGAAATTTACTTTTCAGCACGCGAACCATTTCTCGGATGTGCCCGTCCCAAAAGTTTTCCGCGCGCGCAACGAGGAAGCAAGAAGGAAAAGGAAAAAAAGGGAGAAAGAAGGAGATAGAGGTCACTAATAAGATTTAGGAATGAGGGGAAGTACCTTCTAGAATTAGGCAGGGCCGCACGAATTAGCGACAAGAGAAGATATTGAGCTTTTTTTCTCTTTTGATCTAAAGATCTCTTTTCTTCTTCTTCTTCTTCTTACGCTTCAGTTGTATGACCATTCGTACATGGTTTCTTGTGAAGTCTCCACGTCGAGTACATTGTTTTTGTAGCTATGACGCTCAAAATGCACCATAGCCAGACATGGTCGTACAAAAAAGTGATCAACTACAAAAACAACGTACTAGACATGTAGATTTCGGTAAAAAACCGTTTGTAGAGCATGCTCGATATGATTTTTGATGTCCGAACCAGTTCGGATCATATTTTGCTTGTTTCCCTCGCTTCCTTCATACGTTCGCCTCGAAACGCCGTCGTAATGCGGCTGATCGGGGCAATCTACGATTAGTCAGCTCTCTGATCCTCTCCAGCTCATTTAAAAGCCGTTCCCTGACAGTTGTGTCCAAGATGTTCCCTTCGAAATCGTGGGTGTAACCGATTCGTCGACTCGAAACGTACTGAAAACGAGGCGGAAACCTGTGTGCACCTGCTTCCTCCGCTCCGCCTCCTTTTTCGAGCATTGACTTTTTCTTCTTCTTCTTCTTCTTCTTCTTTGCGACGACTACTCCTTGTTGTTTATGTACATTCCTTCTGCTTCTCTCGACATACATACATTCCACTTAAAACACACACACACAGAGAATGTTCGGCGGCCTTTCTGGAAAATGTCCGTTTTTGTGCTCATTTTTTGAGGAGCGTCTGGAACACTAAAGAAATAGTAAGAGTCCCCGTAGATGCCAGTTTTGTAACGTGTCTTTCTAGAACTTTAGCTGTATTCCTAACTTTCTAGCTATATGTGATCAGCTACAAAAACAATGTATCAAGTCTAAAAGCTGCTCTTCTGCTCTTTCCATCCACCCTCTCCTCGCTCACTTTTCCCCGTTTCTGAATGACTCGGAAGAACCTGAAATCGTTTTTTTTTTCGAAAAAGGAGCCGATGCTCAAGTGCCTCCTGATGGCTTTCTCTCTCTCTCTCTCTCTCTTCCTTCCGCCCCGGTTTCCAATTTGGAAAATGGAAAAAGTTGTGTTCGTTTGTCAATTACAAAGAGGAAGAAGAAGAAGACCCTTCTGGGAGACAGGAAAACCTAAACCAAACCACTTTTTTCAATTGGAAATCCCAATGTTTCGTCTAGTTTTGGATTGCAATTGTTCTAATTGATGCGCTGATTTCATCGCCCTGTGCGCTGCCCTATATAATGTAGCACCTAGTGTATTGGTATTGTTTTGGATTTGTAAGCGGGCGGTGCTCGCAAGTTCAATCCCCACCCCGTCCAAATCCCTTTTGCACTTGTTTTGTCACCGTGCTTTGTACGTGTCTGATGTCCAAATCCGTGCCCGCCCCCAAAAACTTTCACAGCTCAATAAAATGCCGGTTGAACGCCTCTTTTCCAGCTCACCGAGCCAATTTTGACCGAATTTTAGCGGAAAATTCGTTGCAGACAGATTTTCCGAAAGTTCCACGGACCACTCCTCTGTTTATTTATTTATTTTCGCTCTCCTCGAGACCCACCCATTCGAGCGCTAAATTGGTCGTAGACGCCCAAAAAAAAAAACGCTGAACATGACGGGAAAATGAATGGAAAATGTCAGCGCGAAGACTTTGGCAGATCAAAGTTTGGGATGGGCGGCGAATGTGTCGAAAACTACGTAATGGGGATTAGAAATGAGGGGGGGTGGTGCCAGGTGCTTTCGGATGACGTGGCACACGGGGGCGCTCACTTATTTCTCTGGAAGAAAGAATGCGGCGCACTTCGAATAAATCACTTTTTGAAACACTTTCGAAAAAACTTCAGACTTCTCAGAAACAGTGAACTCGCATGATCAAAAAGTCATGCGAAAATGTGATGGCACTGCCGTTCCTCCACCTCCATTTCACACACTGCTCTCACTTTCTCCGTATGAACCGCGCAGTCCTCACTCCTTCGCCTCTCTTTCACTCTTTTTCGCCTCCTTATTCGGTGTCTGAAAGTTTCCGCAACCTGCCTTATCCAATTACCATTGCCCCTTTCCTGCCCACACCACTTTCCGCCTCTTTTTCTGGCCTTTTCACTCGATTACACACTCGTTTTTTGTGCCGAGCTGCTGAAATTGAACCCGTCAGAAGAAGGTCTCATACAATAATTTCGTATTTTCATTGCGCGCTCATTCCAATGAGTCAGTCGCTTTTCTTTTCTTTTCTTTTCTTTTTTGCTGTGTCTAGGTACTTCCAAGATTGCTCAGAAACAGGTGAAAAGAAAGTACATTTTGGGTCGTGACCTTTGAATCTGACTCATTTTCAATGATCCGTTCGGAGCCTAACTTTGCACGATTATCCAAGCGGGTCCAAAGTACCCATCTCTCTCAAGAAACATTGTTTTCTGCACTCCAACACACCTAAAATCACAGTTTCAAGCCGTACAAAAACATTTCTGAAAAGAAAGTTCGTCGGGTTGTCTGGAACGCTCGCGACACCGCTTTTCTCAACTATAACTCACTTTTGACACTTGTCAATACACGTTCACCCAAAATTTCCTAGTGTTAAAGTTCTTTTTTCTAGAGTTTCTCAAAGTTCTCTTGGATGTTGAGCACAAGTTCCAAAATGGTGTATTATGGCTTTTCCGAAAGGATACACAAGTCTCTTTTGAACATTGAATGTTAGAAGCCAGAAACTAGTGGAAACTCTGAGAGAGAGAGAGATGTTATTTCGTTTGAAGCGTTTCAATTATTGTCCAGGTGCAGTCTGCTGAACCCATTTCCTTGAAAACTTTACTTTGTGACGTCAATCTATCCACGGTTGCCCCTCAATGACGAAGCGTTTTTCCTCGACACCTTCACTTATATGTCTCGCCGTTTTGAAACCGAAACCGTTTGCAGAATGTCCTCCACGTGTCCACTACCATCGAGTTTAGACGAGACGGACCTACGGTTAGCCGCTGATAAAGTGAGTCGGGGGGCGAGAAAAAAAAGGAGATGCAGAACAATCGAACGCAATTATTTGTGCCGCATCTTCCATCTTCCTTTCCTCTTCTTTATGGGACCAATAAGGGTTTGTGTCAGGAAGAAAAGAACGGAAATGAAGTTATTGGCCAGAGGAGACGTTCTCTCCGATGCGAACCTCATCTCGGGGCTAAAAAAGTTCAAACAAATGCCATACAAACTCGGATGTTTTGTCGAAATGACTGAAATGATCTCTAGAATATATAGGACAAATGAAAAAGTTACTAAAAATTCGCTAATAACCGACCACAGCTTATACAAAACTCGGCGGCTTGGCGCTAATCCCTGAACGAGTTATTTGTGAAAGTGGACTGAAAATGAACTGAAAATAAGATGACCACCATTTTCCAGTGTTCATTGTCGTTTTTGAAAGCGAAATGGCTGTTTGGTCATTTCGAAAGGCACTCCGGATTATTTTGTGTTCCAAAGTGTCTGTAGCTCGGGAGTTGTTCATCGAACACTTTGTGTTTTGTATCCAATCGAACAATGCGTTGAGAAATGCGAGACGAACTACAACCATTAATCCGTTCTGACAGAGAAAACACAAATTCTGTTGATCCCGCGCTCTTGTTTACTTGAAAAAAGGACTGACAGTTTCGAAAAGTTGTCTTCAGAATCGGTGAGGAGCATCTCAGTTCTTGTTGCAGATCCTGAGAAACCAGTCGTCGGGAGAGTGCACTTTCCAAATGTTCTACGATCAAATGTACTCCCTGCACGGCGTCTACTTCATCTTCGAATCGACGCCGTTCGTGCATCCGATCTTCTCGCAAATCTTCTACGGAATCCTCTTCACGCTCACCATATTTCTGGCGCTCATGGGCAACTTTACAGTCATGTGGTCAGTTTGGCGCCGCCATTCAAGTGTAGTACAAATTAGAGGAAGAGATGAGTTGCAGGATTATTCTGTACCACCGTCAAATGCGCAGTGTCACCAACTATTATTTGTTCAATTTGGCCGTGGCCGATGCGTCGATTTCGGTCTTCAACACGGGATTCTCGTGGTCCTATAATTATTATTATGTTTGGAAGTGAGTTTGCGGCAGGTCCGCCTCTTCTATGCTACGGAAATTCTAGATTTGGGAGCTTCTACTGTCGAATCAATAATCTGATGGGCATCACTCCGATCTGTGCGAGTGTCTTCACAATGATTGTGATGAGCATCGAAAGGTCAGTTACTGCACGGCCAAGTTGGACTTGAGACCTCGAATTTCGCCTCCAAAAACGCATAGCGGTCTTTCAGGTACTACGCAATAATCCATCCGCTGAAAAAGAGGCCGGGAAGGAGATCGACAGTCACCATCATCATCATGATCTGGTTTCTCGCCTTCCTTTTCGGCGTTCCCGCGTTTTTGGCCTCAAAGGTTCGTTTTCACTTCGGTGAAGCTGTGACAACCACACAAAACAATCTATTTTGTACTGTATTCATCGAGACGTGCAATATCAAAAGAGAAAAAGAGACTGGACGGAAGAGTCAGTTAAATGTTTAGGGTGGGGGCTTCTCAAAAGGGAAAAGTGTTGCACAATAAGACGCGCGGAATATTACGAGAGTGTGAAACTGTACTTTTTTTGCCCAAATTTCACGAATAAAAGAAGGAATCGTTTCAGGTTGACGTCTACTACTTCTACGACGGCAACACGCTTTACGAGAATCCTCTGTGTCTCGCGGACAATTTTCCCGGCGGAACCAACTCGCTTTTGGGCCAAGTGTGAGTGTTCAACCAGGCAAAACACATTTGAGCGTATTCGTCAGATAATCTGAAAAGTCCTTCTTTTTTTTGGCTAGAATGTGTCCCCCAAAACAGTAAACTGTATTTCAGGTACAACAACGGACTGATCACAGTCCAGTACATCCTCCCTCTTTGCATCCTTTCCGCTGCCTACTATCGCGTTGGCGTCGAGTTGAGAAAGGTGAGAAAAAGAGGAGGAAGAGATCAAGTGCAACCGCTTGATTCCAGGACAAAACAGTGGGCGACGTGCGACACGCGAAATCAGTGGCCGCGAAGAAGAAGGCGTCGATCATGCTGGCGGTGGTGGTGTTCATTTTCATGATCGTCTGGTTTCCCTACAACGCCTACTACCTCACTCTTCATCTCGTGGAGCCGATCGGCAACCGCATGCTCAGCCTGTACATCTACATTAACATCTACTGGCTCGGCATGTCCTCCACCGTCTTCAATCCCGTCATTTACTACTTTATGAACAAAAGGTCAGTGTTTCGGGCAGTAGTGCTCATTCGCAAAATGTCGTTTCGTTTCCAGATTCCGTGTCGGATTCCACCACGCGTTCCGTTGGCTGCCGTTCGTGCGCTCCGACAAGGACGAGTACCACACGATCCTTTCGCAAACGCGGCCTTCGCTGATGCCGCCGATGACGCAGGCGCACACGGATTTCTGACAATTACAGAAAGATAGGAAACATTCGGAGAGTGTCATTTAGGCCCTGAAACGGGTATCATCTGTACGAGTTTTCCATCGAAATCACCCCATTTCATAAATGTTTTTCAATTCGATATCAATTTGATTTGAAAATTGAGCACTTTTCATTGAGACTAGTATAAATTCGATAATTTATACATAAAAATCTATCACTTTCCACCGTCCGGTTTCTTTTTTCTCTGCACCGACGCCATCTGCTTGAACCGCTTGTCCGCCATCGAAATCTCCATCAAAACGTACTCTTTTACCGACGGCGATTCGATTTTGTCGCTAATTTCCTCTTTTACCCGCTTTAAAGTGTCCGTCGGGTACTTTTGACCTGAAATTTTAGCTTTTCAGTGAGACATTAATCATTTTCAGCTTGAAAATGACTTACGGTAGTAATCGAGCAATTCTGTCGCATAAACGAGCCAAACGCAGCTCTCACATCCCTCTTCACAGCACAATCCGGGCTCCGGCATCATCGGCGGCGGCTGAAATCGAAAAAAGAACATGGCTTTTTGATTATTCATGGAATTTTTTTACTTTGCGCTTATGAGACAGTCTTTGTCAAATCTGAGCCTTTGTGGATGGGAAAATCAAATTTTACTGATTATCCACACGTTTTTTCATTTACCGCTGCGAAAATCGACTCACCATGTTGAAATTGGCTAGAAATCGTCGTGTGCATCTGGCGATAATCGACAATCCATTGTTCACTGCGATGCTCATCCGGAGCCCTGAAACGCGATTTTAACGATTTTCGAGCAAAAAAACTATTGTTTTTGAAGGGATTCGGCTAAAAACAGGTTCAAAGTGTGTGAAATGTGATTGTTTATGCTTTTTGCACTGTATAAACTTGAAAAACTGCAAAAGATCGGTGAGAACGAAGAGAACAGCGCAAAAACCGGAAAAAAAGGTTTCTCCACGAGGAGTCCGCGGCGTGCCCGTTGTTCGGCCACGCCGAGTTTCCTAGGCCATCGAAAGCAAATTGCAGCCCGACGCTCAAATTTGAGTGGTTTTTGAACGGAAAACTGAAAATCACGGTTTTTTTACCACCTAAACTTCTTGCAATTTCGCTCTGCCGCAATCCCACTTGAAATCCCGGCTGCCGACGCGACATTTTCCAATGAAGCACTGCATTCACGCGGAGATCGGTTGAGCGCGATGCGGCTCTCAGTGTCGATTTACGGGATACGGTTTTTCAACTGAAAACACTGTTTTCCCGAGTATTTACGATTGTGCACAGTTTTCCTTCAAAACGTTTGCCTCACGTTTGTTCATATGACCGATAGCTACAAAACGATCACAGAGTGCTCGTGTAAAAGTGAAAATTCGAAGAGTAATTTCGTTTTTAAAATTTGGCTTGAAAAAACGAACTTTCGGAAATTTTGAGAAAACAGTTGACAGAATCGAAAAACAGTTGCCTCACGACTGTTCAGTAGACAAAGGCGGTCATTTTGAGCACAGAGACGGCCCATAAAATGCAAAAATGACTGAGAAATTTCAGTTGTTGAGGTTCAGAACTGAAATTCACAGAAAAATGCAAAAAATTCGCTCTTTCTTGTGGCCAAAACGCTAATTTCAAATCACAGCTGTCATAAACTATTCTGACAATCCCTGTTTTACCTAATTTTCCTCATTTTAGGATGAAATTTCGGGTTTTCGCAGAAAATGCCAGAAATTTCAGTGACCTGCTTTTTTTTTCAACGACACTCCGTTTTAACGCGGCGCTCAGTTTAGCATTAGCCATTGGGGAGACAATGAAAATGAAGTCTTCTAATCGGGTGAGTTTAAAGATTTGAACCAAAACTATGTACAATGCGGATCACATTGAGACCAAATTTTGAGAGCGCATTAGTTCGGTCAAAATGATCATGAACTGACCCTTCGCAAGTTCAATGTAAATACACACATGTGTTCTACATCTGTTCATTCGTATCATTCTCCTTTGGTTTTCAAACACGATAAAGCCACGTATCGTTCCGTTTTCTGCTATCATTATTTCCTCCAAATGCACCCTCAATAAAACACACATTTAATCGTCCTTGTCATCGTTTTCTTCTCCGCCACAAACAATCGCATTTCATCACCGCTCGCTATAAGAGTGAGCAAAGCGGGCTGTATAAAACGGGGAGAAGGACACACTTTACAGCCGCCTCACAGTTTTCTCTCTCTCTCTCTCTCTCTCTGTCTCCGCTTTTCCTCGTCGATTTTTCGTTTTTTCAGGCGCTTAACAACTCCGACTTGTTCCAAATAACAATAACAAAACAAAACTCAACAAATCAAACCAAAACCCAAAAAAAAAAGAAAACAATGTCTACTGCCACCGAGCGTCGTCTTTTCGCGGCCAGAAGATCGTCAAACGGGGAGGGCAGCATCTCCGTTGTCACCCTCATGGCACTCGATACCGGAGAGCGATACGACGTGAGTGAGGAGGAACTGATCAAGAAACATAACATTGGGCTCGGCGACTTTCTGAATCTGGTGGTTTCGTCGAACGAGGATGGCAAACTAGTCAAGGTCTCGCATCCGACGACCGTCGTGGAGGGCGATGTGGCCTACGTGAGTCCGGCACAATCTAGAGCCATTATTTATGAAACACGTCCAGGTGCCGCACATCTTTTGCAATCTGGTCAGTGTCGGCGAGCAGTTGGTGTTCCGCAGTGCTCTGTTGCCCGATGCTCTCTGCAAAGACGCACTTCCGCTCGGGGAGTACGTCGTCAGAATCAGTCTGTGAGTCTCATTTCCTCTTTCGACTTGCCCTTATGCGCTCTCTTATTTCAGACTTCCCGCTCCTGTGACCATCTCCTCCGACGTCGTTCTTCACTTCGAAGGCACCAATCCGATTCGCCAGCAATCGAACCAGATGACAGTGAAACCAGAGAAGAAGGTCGTGGGCGCGGGTTTCGAGAAGAATGATCCAGAAAAACTGGTGGTCGGGGCGGGATTCGACGCGAAGAAATCGGAAAAGCTGAGAGCTGTTGTGTTGAGCACCTCTGTGAAGGATGATGTGTACACGCACTACCTGTGGATCCTCGAGAAACATGCGTTAGTTACCCCCCGATCAACATCCCCAAACTATTCATTTTCTTTCAGGGAGGGTCGTTTCGTCTCCCAGAATCATCACCTGCAAAAGGGACACTTCTTCGAGGGCATTTTCAAAGAGAATGTGAGTAGCCACAAGTACCAGCCAGACTAACGAAAAGAACCCGTTCTGTAGGCGCTCAAGAAGTGGACGTGTCAAAAGTACGAGAGCGCCGTCGAGACACTGATCGCAGGGGGGCTCGACGAGAGAGATCGTGTGTGGTTCAGGGTGAAGGTGGACAAGTTCCGACCGGCGGGGGCCAACAGCAAGTTCGGAGGCGTCCACGCAAAGTACATCGGCGAGATTGTGAGTTGATCACATGAAGATGAGCCCCCCTTTCAACTTTTTGTGTTCAGGTGGACGGAGAACTGCCGAGCAACAAACTCTCAGCCGCTTGCAACGGAAAGGAGGTCAAAATCCAACGGCGTCGAGTCGATAAGGGCGAATACGTGTGGATGGTCATCGAGATTCTGTGAATAAATTATCGGTTCTTGTTTCTTGTGCGTCTTTTTTGAATAAAGTTTGTATTTACTAAATCCAGGTACCTGAACTGTACTGACTGCTGTTAGTCAAGATTCTAATTTCAAAATTTCAAAATTAGAATCTTGACTAACAGCAGTCAGAAAAAAATTTGGGGACATATTTAATCGACCTTGTAGAAAACTAGACTGTTTGTATTGCAAAACCGTTTCAGTGATGACGGACGGTTCAAACGTGCCACATCACTTCGGTAACACCCTTCTTCCCTCTTCATTAATCATTTCATCTGCCGCTGATAACGAAGAAATTCACAAACTCCATCAAATTGCAGATTTCGCAACTGAAATTCACTCATTTAATAGAATTGCTTGACGCGTCTTCACATGGAGGGCGGAGTCGGAATTGAGTCATATAAAACAACAATGACATCATCTAACACAAGCAATGGACGCATATAAAAGAGCACGTTGAAGTGTGCATTTCCGTCGTTTCCCGATTGAAGAAGTGTCTCTTTTTTGTGTAATCAACATCTTGTTTGCAGGATCAAATCAACCGACAATGTCCGAGGCCATCATCAGATTCTGGTTTGCCGCCAGAAGAGAGAAGAACGCCGACGGAACAACCTATCTGGTGCTGGTGGCTCCAAAAACAGGAGAGCGAGTCAATGTGAACGAGGAGCTGCTGAGGAGTGCCAATGTCGTGCTCGGTGACTTTCTGACCGCCAAACTTTGTCCCGGAAGCCCACTGAAGGACTTCAAGAAGACACAGCATAAAGCACAGCTGAAGGTGCAAGTAGAGGGAAATGTGGCATACGTACGTGTTTTAAAAACAAAACAAAACAGACGAAAGTGCGAGATTTTAGGTGGAAGACGTGAAGGTGACGGTGGTGAATGTGAACGGGAAGTCCTTCTTCAGAGGGCAATACTTTGCACAAGCCAGCTCAAGGACTGATGTTAACGAGGGAGAGTACCTTGTGAGAATCAATCTGTAAGTGTGATGGGCTGCTAGGAATTGCATTCATGTCTTGTTTCAGCCTCCAAAAACCTGCCGTAGTCAGTCCGACAGTGAACGTGCACTTCGCAGGAACACTGCCAAAGCCCGTTGGTGCAGTTTTTGGAGCCGGCTTCGCACCTTCTCCTCCTCCTCCTCCTCAATTCCAAGTCGGTGCAGGATTCACAGCCGCCAAGTTAACAAAACTGAAGGCCGTGGTTCTGGACGTGAAAAGAGAGACGGGCACTCATTTCCTCTGGGTCTTCGATAAGAAAACGTAAGTTCCCCTTCAAATTCACTCTAGTTTCTAATGTTTTCACTTTCAGAGAGGGCTACTTTGTCTCCAATACCCTTCCGCTTCAGAAGGGACACTTCTTCGAGGCACTATTCACGCAACAAGCGAATGGAAAATGGAATAGTCAACAGTACGAGAAAGCGATTCAGTATCCGATCAAAGGAGGCCTCGATGCCAGCGGGAAAATCTGGTTCAAAACGATCCTAAAGACCTATCAACCGGCGTCTGGTAATCTGAGATACGCCCAAGCAACATCCGATCATTTCGGAACTATTGTGAGTTTGAAATGAGCAGAAGCATTGTAGTAAAAGAGTAATTTCAGGTGGACGTCGATTCGAAACTCCCGTCGGATTTCAGCAAGAAACAGGTGAACATTCAACGTCGCAGACTCGGATCCGAGTACGTCTGGGTGGTCTCCGAAGTTCTCTAAACTGCATAATGTGCGTTCTTTCAATAAACATGTTCAAATTATATACTTGGTCCATATGTTTCAAGCTGAATAGGTGTCAGATTCGCCTTCTATTATTATTTGAGGTCCTTTTTCAAAACCTTCCAAAATACCATGAGGTTCCCTTGCTCCAACCGATGTATCTTTCTCTCTTTTTCTCTCGAATAGCGAATCGATTCGAAGTGATTTCACAACTTGTTTCTCATCAATATTTGTCCACATTCACTTTGATATTGTCCGTTTCTTATCAATTCTCCCGTCTTCTTCCCTCTAAACTGCTCTTTTTCACATCATTTGATTCTTAACGCTAACAAGAGCAAATCGTTTGCCAATAGAGGAAACAGTTATAACTGCCATTCTTTTCTCGTTGCCCTTGATTTTCAACTATACATTTTCAGGTAATTAGAAGATAGTTATAATCATACATTGGACACATTTACTGGAATATTGGAATAATTAACAGAAACAAAGTGAATATTCATAATTGAAACCAAAAAACACTCAAGAATATGTCGGACGAGGCGAGCAAATACTTCTTCGAAGAGAGGTCAGTCAGTGTCTCGTAGGAGTCATCAAAGTGATAATAATTACAGATCGGACTCAACCAACCATACTCCAATTAACGAATCCGCCTCTCGCTTTAGCCAGACGGTTTTTCTTGAATTGTACAAAAAAGCTGGGATCAACGGTGAACCATTCTCCGGATCTTCGGTGCCCAGCGTCCGTGACTCGGCGCTTCCCATCAGATATCCGACTCCGCAACCCCTTCCGGATCTTTCGGCGCTCGCTCGATTCGTGTCCGGTGCTCCCCAGTCACCGGTTCCTCGTCCACGGACCATCACTCCGGCTGCATCTTTCGCGAGCCTCTCGTCTACGAGCTCGGACACTCCGCAACCAAATTCAATCAGAAGAGTTGGAAACATTGCCGACGCGTCCAAGTTCAAAGCGAAAAGAGTGTTTCTTCTGGCCGCCCGTAGACTTCGCAATGCCGACGGATCCTTTGCTCTGATCCTCGTCGAACCAAAGTCCGGGAAGAGATTCATTGAAAACGAGAAAGTGTACAATGAAGTGCACAGACTGTCGCTCGGCGACTTTTTCACTGCTCAGACGGACGGGAAATCGCTGAGCGTGCACAGAAAGATCAAAAATCACGGGGGAGGATTGAAAACTTCCGTGCAGGGGGATCTCGTTCATGTGAGTTGCATCCAATTGATATTGATCAAACAGCAACGAGTTTTACAGGTCGAAAACGTTCAAGCGACACTTGTCAACAGAAACGGAGTACTGGCATTCAGAAGCAAGTATTTCGACGACGCACATTGCAACGAAAAGATGCCAGAGGGAGAATACATCATCAAGTTATTTGCGTGAGTTGATTATTGCTATTGTGTATGTGCACTTTGTGCTGTTTGTTACAGTCTTGAGCCACCTCAAACGACGCCGTCGAAGAAGTTCTTCTTCCATGCATTCAGTTTCTGTCAAGTGTCCGCAGCTGGAAAGCTCATCCAAGGAGCCGGATTCGCAAAAAAAGAAGATGAACCATTGGTACCCATGCTGCAGAATCTGACTGTCGGCACTGGATTCGCCTCCCAGAAGTACGAGGCCATCATCAGATTCTGGTTTGCCGCCAGAAGAGAGAAGAACGCCGACGGAACAACCTATCTGGTGCTGGTGGCTCCAAAAACTGGAGAGCGAGCCAATGTGAACGAGGAGCTGCCGAGGAGTGCCAATGTCGTGCTCGGAGACTTTCTGACCGCCAAACATTGTCCCGGAAGCCCACTGAAGGACTTCAAGAAGACACAGCATAATGCACAGCTGAAGGTGCAAGTAAACGGAGATGTGGCATACGTAAGTGTTTTGAGAGAAAAAAGAGAGAAGAAAGTGCGAGATTTTAGGTGGAAGACGTGAAGGTGACGGTGGTGAATGTGAACGGGAAGTCCTTCTTCAGAGGGCAATACTTTGCACAAGCCAGCTCAAGGACTTATGTTAACGAGGGAGAGTACCTTGTGAGAATCAATCTGTAAGTGCGATGGGCTGATAGGAATTGCATTCATGTCTTGTTTCAGCCTCCAAAAACCTGCCGTAGTCAGTCCGACAGTGAAGGTGCACTTCGCAGGAACACTGCCAAAGCCCGTTGGTGCAGTTTGTGGAGCCGGCTTCGCACCTTCTCCTCCTCCTCCTCCTCCTCAACTCCAAGTCGGTGCAGGATTTACAGCAGCCAACTTGACAAAACTGAAGGCCGTGGTTCTGGACGTGAAAAGAGAGACGGGCACTCATTTCCTCTGGGTCTTCGATAAGAAAACGTAAGTTCCCCTCCTTCAAATTCCCTCGAGTTTCTAATGTTTTCACTTTCAGAGAGGGCTACTTTGTCTCCAATACCCGTCCGCTTCAGAAGGGACACTTCTTCGAGGCACTATTCACGCAGCAGGTATTGTGACATTTTATGCAATTTTTAAGAAAACCCATTTCAGCCGAATGGAAAATGGACAAGTCAACAGTACGAGAAAGCGATTGAGTATCCGATCAAAGGAGGTCTGGATGCCTACGAGAAAGTTTGGTTCCAAACAATCTTGGAGCATTATCAACCGGCATCCTTCAATCTGAGATACGCCCAGGCAACATCCGATCATTTCGGAATCATTGTGAGTTTGAAATGAGCAGAAGCATTATAGTAAAAGAGTAATTTCAGGTGGACGTCGATTCGAAACTCCCGTCGGATTTCAGCAAGAAACAGGTGAACATTCAACGTCGCAGACTCGGATCCGAGTACGTCTGGGTGGTCTCCGAAGTTCTCTAAATGACTGCGTGTTTTCTCATAAATGTGTTCTACCTTTCAACTAACATTGTCTACAATAGAAAACAGTATTAAAGGACCAGGGAACCCAAAAATTTTTTGCTTTTTTTTGTGCAATTTTATTGTGACTGTTTGAATTGTCTCTTATTGCCTCATACACTGGTGAAATGCTGCCTCTCAAAAATGCCAATGAACGAAACGGCATGCAGTTGAAGTTGTGGCCGTGGCCCAGCGCCAATATGGCCTAGAAATATGCGCTTCTCGGCCATTTTATTTTTTCCGCTTTTTGACCGGTTTTTTCGCGATAAAATCGCCCTTGTTCCACGGAAACCACTCATCTGGCACTTCGTATCGACTGAATGAAAACAATTTTTTAGCAGTGAAAAAATAAGTAAGTGCCGAACAAATGTCAATCAACTGAAAAATGGGAGAAATCGTGCATTTTTGAACAAAAAACCGGTAAAAAAGCGAAAAAAATAAAATGGCCGAGAAGCGCATATTTCTAGGCCATTGGCGCTAGGCCACGGCCACAACTTCAACTGCATGCCGTTTCGTTCATTGGCATTTTTGAGAGGCAGCATTTCACCAATGTATAAGGCAATAAGAGACAATTCAAACATGCACAAAAAAATTGTTGGGTTTCCTGGTCCTTCAAGTGTCTAATCGATTGCACCTAACTTGCACTCACAGTCAGTCAGTCAGTCAACAAAGTTTCCAATGCTCCGGCCGACCGGCCACTTTTTTTTATATCATTCGTTCTTGTTACAGCACAATTGATTGAATGAAGTCGATAAGTGTTGGCCGTCGGTTTCTCTCTCTCTCTCTCTCTCTCTCTCTCTCTCTCTCTCTCTCTCTCTCTCTCTCTCTCTCTCTCTCTCTCTCTCTCTCTCTCTCTCTCTCTCTCTCTCTCTCTCTCTCTCTCTCTCTCTGACTCTCTTTTTCTTCCTGACTCTCTTTTTCTTCCTGACTCATTCCTTGAATTTGTCGTTTTCCTACAGTGATTTCCTCTCGTTCTCCATCCAATATTTGTCTCCTTCTCTACATCACTTTTATATTGTCCGTTTCTTATCAATTCTGCAGTCTTCTTCTTTCGCTTCAAACTGCTCGTCACATTTGATTTGTAACATACAATTTTCAGGTAATTACATCGTTATTATACCTCTGCAATTGGTGACAAAATCACTGAAAAAAACAATAAAAACCCATAGCAAAAATTAACTGAAACCACAAAACACTCAAGAATATGTCGGACGAGGCGAGCAAATACTTCTTCGAAGAGAGGTCAGTCGGTGTCTCATAGAAATCATTAAAGTGATAATAATTACAGATCGGACTCAACCAACCATACTCCAATTAACGAATCCGCCTCTCGCTTTAGCCAGACGGTTTTTCTTGAATTGTACAAAAAAGCTGGGATCAACGGTGAACCACTCTCCGGATCTTCGGTGCCCAGTGTCCGTGACTCGGCGGTTCCCATCAGATATCCGACTCCGCAACCCCTTCCGGATCTTTCGGCGCTCGCTCGATTCGTGTCCGGTGCTCCCCAGTCACCGGTTCCTCGTCCACGGACCATCACTCCGGTTGCATCTTTCGCGAGCCTCTCGTCTACGAGCTCGGACACTCCGCAACCAAATTCAATCAGAAGAGTTGGAAACATCGCCGACGCGTCCAACTTCAAAACGAAAAGAGTGTTTCTTCTGGCCGCCCGTAGACTTCGCAATGCCGACGGATCCTTTGCTCTGATCCTCGTCGAACCAAAGTCCGGGAAGAGATTCATTGAAAACGAGAAAGTGTACAATGAAGTGCACAGACTGTCGCTCGGCGACTTTTTCACTGCTCAGACGGACGGGAAATCGCTGAGCGTGCACAGAAAGATCAAAAATCACGGGGGAGGATTGAAAACTTCCGTGCAGGGGGATCTCGTTCATGTGAGTTGCATCCAATTGATATTGATCGAACAGCAACGAGTTTTACAGGTCGAAAACGTTCAAGCGACACTTGTCAACAGAAACGGGGTACTGGCATTCAGAAGCAAGTATTTCGACGAGGCACATTGCAACGAAAAGATGCCAGAGGGAGAATACATCATCAAGTTATTTGCGTGAGTTGATTATTGCTATTGTGTATGTGCACTTTGTGCTGTTTGTTACAGTCTTGAGCCACCTCAAACGACGCCGTCGAAGAAGTTCTTCTTCCAAGGATACAATGCCCGTCAAGTGTCGCCAGATGGAGTTGCTCAACAGCCGGTCCAAGGAGCCGGATTCACAAAAAAAGAAGTTCAACCACTGGTTCCTCTCCTGCAGAATCTGACGATCGGCGCTGGATTCGCCTCGCAGAAGCCAACGGAACAGAAGGGAGAAGCGATGATCGGAGCGGGATTCGAAGACGGATCCAAGAAGTTGGACAAGTTGAGGGCAGTTGTGCTGAACCGCGAGGATCGGGATGACTTTCACATTCACTACCTTTGGCTTGTTGACAAGCATGAGTGAGTTCATGTTCACATGTTTTTGTTGTTGTTCAAAATCATGTTCAGAGAAGCAAAGTTCAACTACAAGCTGCCGTTGGAGAAGGGACACTTCTTCGAGGGATTCTTCAGACCAAAAGTTTGTGATCATTATGTTCGAGACTAAGAATAACGAACGTCGTTTTCAGGAAGAGAACAAGAAGCGAATCTGTCAAAAGTACGGAAGACCGGAGCGTTGTTTGGCGCCAGGAGGGCTGGATAACAAAAAGAACATCTTCTTCAAAGTTTCCATTGAGAACTTTCAAGCTCCGGGAGGGAATCGACGATTCGGACAGACACATTCTCCGTTTTTCGGCAGTGTTGTACGTTTAATTGTTCATTCGTTTGATGATGAGTTTGTCAGTTTCCAGATCGATAAATACTCGAAACTGAGCGCCGATTGCAATGGCGGCGAGATGAAAATCCAACGTCTTCCAATAGAATCGAAGATTGGAGAGGCGACGCACGTGGAGTACGTGTGGGTCATTGTCGAAGTGTTGTGAGCACCTTATAGTTAAAAGTATATCAAACCCACTCATTCTTTTATTGTGAACTAGATTTGTTAACAACAATAAACGTGTGTTCAACAGTTACGAAACGACACCCACCAATTCATAATCTCTTTAGTTGTGTTACGTGGACGTAGCCGTATAAAATGAGACACAATTTCAGAAATGTACGGTAAGGACAAACAGATATTGCTCACATTGTAACTAGATGTTCAAAGCGACAATATCAGGTGCTCAAGTTATCAAGAAGGCTGTAGTGTTGACGATTACCAAGAAAGAGAAAGTTAATGGGTGAACGAGTATGTCTAGACAATCGACGCTTTATTTTCAGAGAAGGAGCCTATTTATCAGTGGTCGGTCTCAAACACGGACAATTATTTGAGGTGTGTGAAAGTCAAGCACGTGGTTGGATAATATAAATCGACAGGTTCTGTGATCACGGTCTCCAGAGCTGACAATGGGCGCAAGTGCGGCGCCCCGCCCAATAGAGCGATACATTGGCGCGAAATTCAAATTTTAACAGCAAAATTTTTGTTTTTTGCTAGATTAGCCACGAAAAACCGATAATTTCTCATTTGCCTCTCGATAGACCGATTGTATAGGCTATTACAAATTTTTTAAGCGCAAGAGCGCTAAATTTGGTCAAGTCGCAAATCACATTTATCCGTTTGAAGGTTATCGGCTAAAACTGCGTGAATTTCAGTTGCTTTTCGGTAGTTTTAGCGGTTCGAGTGCTCAAAATGCTTGTACTTACGTGATTCATAATTCTCAAAATTAATTCTGTCTGAAAACGGTCAAGAACGCGCAAAATGAGAAGTGCGGTTTTTAGGCGGCGATTGCCGGCGATCGGCGAAAAACCAAAGTCCGCGAAAAATGCGCCAAAACGTCATTAATTCTGTGAGAATTAGTGTGTTTTCATGTCGAACAATCATTTTTCATCGCCGTTGACCACAAAAATCAGAGAAAACCTGCTCAACTCATGAAAACGCCATTTGGCAGCCGAGGCCACGCCCATATTGTCAGCTTTGGAGACCGTGTGATTGCCAAGTAGAAATGCAGATTTGGAAGTTGCTCCAACACTTCTCAAGATAAGACACTCTTGTCATTTGAAAACTGATAACGAGCGTCCAATTCTCCGCTTTCTTCCCACTTCGCTCCTCCAATATTAGTGTTAGCAATGGTCAATCTACTCGACAAACGTCTGTTTTTCGCGGCGAGGCGATGCTACTACACCGATGGAATCACATTTCTCATGGTTATTTGGTACGTGGCGGCTCTCTTCTTTCTCTGGATAACGATCACTTTTCAGTCCGTCCACTGGACAAACGCTCAAGGTCACCGAGAAAAAGCTATCGGAACAGGGAATTCGACTCGGAGACTTCATTTTCGCTAACGGATCGCCGGAGAATGTGAAAGAGTACACAGTGACCGATTATCAGTTGGACATTCGAATTGACGGCAATTTTGCGATGGTAAGTGAGCAAACAATGCATTCGCACACCGCCGTCTCGTCAACACAGGCGCACAATGAGAAAATGGGGCGGAAACGAGACGAATTCACCTACGGAATAGTGCCCAGAGCTAAATGTTCAGTTCAGTCTTTTACTTTTTTCAGATTGAAAACCTAACAGCGGATTTGGTAAAAGAGAACGGAATGCTGGTGTTCAAAACGAAACAATTAGGATTGGTGAAGTCGCTGGATCAATCGTTGGCTCTCGGAAAGTATCGGATTACGGTCAGAGCGTGCACCTCTTCCGACAACTCGCCCACCGCCTTCAACAACTATTCGTTCTGTGCGGAAGCCAACGAGAAGCTCCGGGACACCGCTTACATTCCCCGTCTCTACCCTTCCTACGCACCTCTTCCATCTCTCCCAACTGCCTGGGACTCATTTCCTAGTCCAGATGAACCACTGCCCAACATCGATCAACTGAATCTGAGCTCTTTGTTCAACAATTTCTCCACCATATCCAGTTCGTTCAAGATGCCCGGTTCATCGGATGCACCTTCGGAACCAATTCCGCCGGTCTCTACCTTCCGAACGTGCCTAATGCCTCCAGCTGATAGTGAATCTCCCGAAAACGTAACAGTGGGCGCTGGTTTCAAGGTGAAAGAGTCACCGATCCGAAAAACGGTAAGTCAATGCAAAGTCTCTTCAATGTCGGCTGGTTTCATTTCAGATGAGAGCGTTCGTGATTTTTCGGATTAAAAAAGACGACTCTAATATCCACTACATTTGGGTTTGTGACATTCAGAGGTTAGTTGCGCTCCGAATTCACACAGTTCACATACGTTCGACATCTCAGACGCTTCCAATTCATTTCAAAACATCATGAACTTGATATTGGCCACTTTTTCGAGGGACAATTCGAACAAATGGTGATCCTCTAAACTATATCGTTCTTCTACTAGCATCTTTTCAGCCAAACGGAATATGGTCCCAGAGATATACGAAATACGAGCGGCCAATTGATGCATTCATTGAAGGATGTGTGAACAAGGGACGGGTTGAGCTGACTGTGACTATCTCGAATTACGAGCCAGTTGGCGAAGGGAGAAAGTACGCGCAAGTACGTGCAGAACACATTGGAGTCATTGTGAGTCATATCTCAGCGGCCGATAGAGATATCAAAAAGATTTCAATTAACAAATTGCGTATTATAAAATTGTGCACATTTCACCAGTTGACACATTTTTGGTATCTCTATCGGCAACCGAAATATATCGTTATGAATAAGTATCATTTTCAGATGGACGTATACTCCAAACTACCTGTCAACTGTCAGGAACGACAAGCGAGAATTCAACAGAGCAGATTAGACAACAATCTTTTTGTATGGGCTATTGTCGGAATCTAACTCACTTTTGTACTGTCGTCCAAAGAACTTTGTCAGACTTTTCGATTTCGCGATCATTCTAGATCGAAGAGTACAGTCTAGAGTTCTATTTTTTCCATTTTCTCGATAACTTTCTCGTCCGGTTCAATATAAATCACTGTTTCGGTTTTCACAGAAGAGTTGTTGAGTTGACTTGTCTCTGAAAGTTTTCTTGATATTGTGAGTCTTAAAGATGTCCTGGCCACGTCATACCAAGAAGATACGAGTTCAAAAGGTGATATTATCGTTCGCATCTTTTGATAAAACTAGAATTTGCACATGAATAGCCCCAATCCGCTTGATAAACCAGCAAACATCGAGACACACAACAGAAAAGTCGATGATTTTCCAGTTCTTTCTTATTTTTCACTTTTTCGCGCAGAATCTCGCTGCAAATTGGCCGGTGAGTGAGCTGGATGGACCCACCGGTTAACTGATCCATCTAGACATGTTCCGCCACAACAAACTGTCCCCCAGGGGGTCTATGGACTGAATGGACGGTCACCGGAAGGCAGGAATGCGCCGGAAAATGCGGATCTTGTGATGCACTCTTCTACACGAGAACTTGCGCTTCTTCGAGTGCTGGGTGTGAATGCGAGTGAGTCAATCGGTATCCTAGGCTGTATTGAGCTTCCATTTAAAGTATTTCCATCTTCCAGAGGCGCCATCTCCAAATACGAGCGTTGCAACACTCAAACCTGTGCCTATCCTGCTCAACGGACGTGCTGCATCCCGTACGTGCCGATGCTCATCAACGGATCGATGCAGTGCGGGCCAATCCCGAAACAAACCTCCAAATACACGCCTTGCTGTCCGATCGGTGGTCTTTGGAGTAAATGGAGTGGTTTTGCGAGGAACTCGGCCGATACCGCTTGGATTCGAACCCGCAAGTGTGCGTCAGCATCGGCGGGATGTTCCTGTGTTGGCGAGAGCGTCGAGAGTCAGACTGATTGTCCGTGTGTCTATGAGATGGATCAAATCGACCGGTGTGCAGGCAGCCAGGGAAGAGTTCGAGGCAACACGTTGGAGAGCGATCACGCCACTTGCAAGTACGTGGCGAACATTTTGGCGAAGAATAATGGTGGCACGGCGTGCAACAAGTACACTACTTACAGTAAGAGACATCCTACCATCCTTTCCCACTTTTATTTTCAGCTTCGTATAATTATGTATCGGCACTGGCGATCGTGTACAAAGGAGAGACAAGCTGTGAGATGGACCGACCATTCCACTGCAACGCTCCGACTGGCGACAGAATGCCGTTCACTCTGACGTGTGACCTGGAAACTCAGTACTGGCGGTATGATTTCAATGGCCGCGAGATCGAGGGATGGCTTCAGTTGTACCTCAATCCCAATTGAACTTTCCCTCCTCAAAATAAATATGGTTTGATCGTTTCGGTACAGATCTTTTGCATCTTCTATTGTATTCCACCTCTTTTGTTAACATGTGTCTACACTTCAAAAGACGAAACTACACTTTTGGAGACGATCTCTTTTTCTTCTGATTCTAATTGAATCCAGCTTTGCAACAAGTTGTAAGACATCTCAAAATGTTATAAAACAATAGTAACTCAGGCTTGTGCTTCTGGAAAAAGCTGTCCGGACGGATCCTGCGATTCTCTATACAACAGTGCCGGGTGTAATTGCAGCGGACGCACAATGCATTCACACTTATACAGTAAGTTAACAGAAAAAGTAGTGCACGATGTTACAATACCAAACGTTTAGAATCCTGGAGATACGTGGCTCAAATCGGAATGGTTTAAAAATAAAGTTAACAATGTGACCAGAGCATGATAAATCTGATAATTTTATCGATATTTTCTTTCATACACGATGTGTGTTTCGATGCCGTCTCGCCAAGAATTGTTCGTGATCTGTATTCTTATCCTCTCGATTTGTATGTGCGAATTGTTCGCGGTTGCCTACAAAACCTGAAACTTTGATCGTTGTGTTATGTGTCTGCAGATATGATGCTCAAGCCTCTCCTCCTACTGCCCTTCCTAATTGTGCCGTGTATGGCTACTTACTCGGTGAGCTTTTCCGTTGAATATCTATGAAAGATCGGGGACTATTTAAGACATGCTCCACAAATACTAGTTGTCCGAGCGGAGGTCTGTGGAGTGAATGGGTCACAACTGATAACTGCTCCACGTCCTGCGGCTCTTGCTCATCCCTCTATCACACCAGAACTTGTCTCTCCGAGAACGCGAATTGTAGTTGTAGGTAAATAGGTGTTGCCAAACTTCCAACCTTTCAACCTTCCCTTTCTAGCGGCAACTCTTCCGTCTACCTACTCTGTAACACCCAGGCCTGCGTGAGTCCAGCCCAACGGACGTGTTGTCTGCCACACGTCTCCATGATCCTCAACAGTTCTTTCCAATGCGGTCCTCTCCTTCAAGACACCTCCTCCTCCACGACTTCCTGTTGTCCGTCCAGCGGTATCTGGAGTGATTGGAGTGGATACACTCGCAATGACAACGATACCGCTTGGATCAAGACACGCAGTTGTCTATCGGAAGATGCCGGATGCAACTGTACCGGCGACTCCACCTACACTCAGACGGCCTGTCCGTGCAGAGCAATGACGGATGTTGCGTCGTTGTGTCAGGGATCGTATCAGTATTACGCTCAGAACGGAACAATTGATGATGACACTTGCGTTTATACGGCGTACCTCTGGAGTCTGAATGGTACCACCAGGCCGTGCACCACTAACGGCAACTACTTTACGCCCGTAATCCGCTACACGAACCCCTCAAACGCAAGTGCATGTCTGGAAGATCGTCCGCTCGACTGTGACTCGACGGACAACACAGACGGGTACATGACGACGACTTTCACCTGTAACCCGGAGAACTTATACTGGATGTACGACTATCGTGGAGTATACGTTAATGGATGGGTTCAGATTAACATTCAATTAGCCACACAACTTACGAAATGAACTGTCTTTGATTCTTAAAATGTTTTGCTAAAGTTTAGCGTCAAGCTTTTCAACTTTAAGCACATTTGCATGACAATACAGGTCTCGAATGTTGTCTATATAACGTTGAAGATCGTCCGGACACGGAAATGAAATTCGAGTTTCAAGAGAAGATGCTGCGTCTGCCGATCTGTTTTTTGTTAGCCGTCTTTGTTACTACCCCTGGTCATGCAGCACTTGAAGTGAGTTGATTATCTTCAAGTTTTTTACAATATTTTGTTTCAGGCATGCGCTTCTGGCGTTACGTGTCCGACTGGAGGCATCTGGAGTGAGTGGGCGAGCACTCACAACTGCTCAATGTCCTGTGGATCCTGTGCGTCACAGTTCTGGACCAGAGAATGTCTGTCTACATCTGCGAGTTGCGCGTGCACGTAAGACACCTACTCCTTCCAATTCTAGCCTCCCCCGTACTGCGATTTCAGCGGTGACACGTCTCGCTACAAGCTCTGCAACACCCAGACGTGCACGTATCCTGCTCAGCGAACGTGTTGTGCCCCATACCTTCCGATGCTCCTCAATGGATCGATGCAGTGTGGACCGCTTCCCAAGAATACCGACACGACCACCTCCTGCTGTCCTGTTGGCGGGCTTTGGTCGGCTTGGAGCGATTTCGGACGGAACGACAATAACACTTTATGGGTGAAGACGAGGAGTTGTGTCTCGGAAAATGCCGGATGTCCGTGTACTGGAGACTCCCTACAGACTTCAGAAGCGTGTCCGTGCAGAGCGATGATAGACGTGACGAGTATTGTCAAAGGCAGTTTATCTCCTTACGCTCAAAACTACACAATCGACGACGCGACTTGTCTCTATACAGCCACAGCGGTGTATACGGGCGCTGCGTGCACTTCAAGTGCGGGCAGTATTTATCAAGTGCCTCTGGTCAGATATACAAAACCGAGCGATCCCAATACGAAGCAGGAACTTCGAAACTGGAACTGTGCTGCATCGGATATTGCCGGAAACAACATGTACTATTTCTATTGCGACATGACAGTGCTCTACTGGAAAGAAATGGCCACGCAGAATTATGTCAACGGATGGATTCAGCTTTACTAAGCATGATAATAAAATGCACGATTCAATCAATAAACAGAATTTTAATTTGTCTAACCGGTTAAGGTGAGCTATCAAGCTTGTTAGCCCTAAAATTGTTCCAAATCCATGGTTGTATTCTTGATCTTCAACTCAGTTCGATTGCCATAGTACATCTGCCCTATTTGAAAGTTTTGCGGTCCCGCCTTTCTCTGACGTTACCGTCTTAACCATCTCTCGGCGAGATCTATCAGAATAGGAACAAATGGTCATGCTTCCTCAAACAATTCGTGTGCATTTCCCCGGTTGTAAACAGTTATGCCCACTTTTGGCCATTGTTGTTTAGGAGGAGGGGCACACACCTACAACTACAATTCGCATTCTGGTGTGATAGAGGGATGAGCAAGAGCCGCAGGACGTGGAGCAGTTATCAGTTGTGACCCATTCACTCCACAGACCTCCGCTCGGACAACTAGTATTCGTGGAGCATGTCTGAAATAGTCCCCCGATCTTTCATAGATATTCAACGGAAAAGCTCACAGAGTAAGTAGCCGTGCAGGGCACAATTAGGAAAGGAAGTGAAAGAAACTTTACAGGTTTTGTAGGCACCCCCCAAATAATTCGCACATACAAATCGAGAGGATAAGAATACAGATCACGAACATTTCTGGGAGAGACGACATCGCAATATACATCTTGTACAATGCACGTTGCAAAAGAAAAACAAGTTTGGAATGAAAGGTTGATGTTTCATCGGTTTTCTTGCTCTTTGATCCAATCGTTTTTTTTGTGTTGCTCGCCCAGATTTGAATATGAATAGATGTGTATCGAAATCGGAATAAGTATAAGGATTCAACGCGGACAGCCTTTGACACCGGTATAGAATGGTTTTTTGGAAAGTCTCCATCATCTTACCGCTTATTGCCGGTTGCTCCAGTGCGACGCTGTCGGTAGGATAACTTTAGTGAGACCCGAAACGTTTAATTTTATGGGTTAATTTACAGGCGTGTGCTACTGGAGTCACATGTCCTCCGGGAGGACTTTGGAGTGAATGGACAACCACTGGCTCCTGCGCGACGAGCTGTGGAGCATGTTCCAACCTATTCTACACCAGAACCTGTCTCTCACAACCCAGCAATTGTAGCTGCACGTGAGCTCAAATATCAAACTTCCCAGCTGTTATTATCTTGTTATTTTCAGTGGCGTCACTTCTCGTTACATACCGTGCAACATAACAACTTGCACGTTCCCTGCTCAGAGAACCTGCTGCATTCCGTATGTCACGATGCTCATCAACGGATCGATGCAATGCGGACCAATCCCTCAAGACAAGTCGTCCACCTACACTCCGTGCTGTCCTTCCGGCGGTCTTTGGAGTTCGTGGAGTGGGTTTGGAAGGAACGAGGCGAACACCGCCTGGATCCAAACCCGTCAGTGTCTCTCCTCGAGTGTTGGATGTCCGTGTACTGGAAGCACCATCAACACGCAAACATCGTGTCCGTGTCCGGCTATGCAAAGTGTCGATAGTGTTGCAAGTGCGTGCAACTACTCGTACTATTACAGTCCTGCCAACTTTTCTGTCAACGACGCGACGTGTGCGGGCACTGCTGTCATTATTGCTAACAACAACGTGCGGCCGAACGTTGCGTGCAACCCGTACACAACCTACAGTAAGACACGGCATTACTTATTCAAATCTGCGTTTCTTTTTTTTTTCAGAGTATTTCTGGTACACACCGGCGATTGACTTCACAATTCCGGAAAGTTCCACTTGCAACCAAGATCGGCCGTTCAATTGTGAGCAGAGAAAACTGGACGGATGGGACGGATTGACAATGAACATTTCGTTCACTTGTGACACCGAACTCATGAAGTGGCGATATGATTGGGGAGGATACGCTGTCGACGGATACGTACAGCTCGTCGTTGCCTTCAATACAACTGAATAAATATGTTTTCACATTTGACTGTGAACACCAGGGCTGGGCAATTGGAGGGACTTTTCGTTGACTTTTGAACCACTTGCAATATTCCGATCGGACCCAAACTTTGCAGGATTTGTTGGACTTGGAGTGAGGGCCATTGGGACCAAGTTCCAGCCCGATCGACTTTTTCCATAAAGCCCGGGCTTCCGACCAATTTCGGCCCCATATGTCGGGACCAGATAATCCGATCGGACTGAAACTTGGTCCCAATGGCCCTCGAGCATTTGAACATCATCTACATATCAAAAGCTGTCACCTGCAAGTATTGAGCGGATCTGTTCCGTCTTTATTTCCCCCTTTTTTCCAGTCATTCTCATCCGCTTCTTCATGCTTCATGTCCGTGTCTCCCTCATGTCTCCCTCTCTTTCTTCTCTCACTTCCATCGTTACCAACTGTCCGAGTTTCTTGTCCCCCCCCAAGTGATGTCCTTACAAATCACAGAAAGAAGATCATTAACTACAATCAACCGGTCTGCTAAGCCTCGATTCGCACGCTCGCCTCCTTCACCCACAATCAATGGTCAAAAGCATTGTTTGCAGGTTTTCGAGTCAATTTGATAACGGTTTTGGGCAGTGATGGATGATGCAAGCATTCTCACGTTTTGAAGGATCTGTCACAAAACTATAGCTGCTGAAAGTTGCACAGATCACTGAAACAGTGAGACTTCCTTCACTTCCAACTTCCCGATCACAGTCGCGTTCCTCTGCGTCTCTTCTTTTCACTTCACTATCGCACGGGCACAATTGTGTCCTCTCACTAAACATCACTAACCAAAAATGAGGTTTTTGAGTCTATTGCTCTTGGTGGCCTTTGTGAATTCCTACAAGATCCTTATTTATTCCAATCTTTGCGGCCATAGTCATGTGAAAATTTTGGCGGCTGCGGCGTTGATACATTGACCGATGCGGGACATAATGTGGTAAGTACACTGGTTTCTTGTGAATGTTCGATTTACTCAACACTTTCAGACAGTCCTAATGCCCGTGTTTGATCAGAGCCTCCGCAACCAAACACGTCTTTGAAATCAACCAAGACTACAATTTTTGTGGAGCAAGCTGAGCCGGTCGCCAAACGAATGAATGTTATGAAAACGTTCTTGAGCAATCTGTGGACCGACGATACTGAAAACCGGTTGCTCTTGCTCAAAGTAAGTCTTTATACCATTCATAGCCAAGAGTCGTCCTAGTTCAGTTGAAAAGAACTAATCAAACGCCCTATCTGTTTTTCATTCATTTCAGCCATTATTTCACCTATAAACAACGATTCTGCCAACTCTTCTTTATCGTCAACAACCGAAGAGAGACTACAGAGAAGTAACACGATGTACTGTTTTTCCTGCTTATAAAAGGCGTCCACATTTTTCTAATTGTAAATCTAATCTCTGATATGCGGTTACTAGCTCTTCTATTTCTCCTGATTGCGACGTCATTCGTGGATTCCTACAAAATCCTCTTCTACACGAATTTGTTCGGTCACAGCCATGTGAAAATGTTGGGTGCCGCTGCCGATGTTCTGACGGAAGCCGGGCATGATGTGGTGGGCATTGCAACTCTTGGTTCTCAAAATCTATGAAGTCCATTCCAGACAGTCCTTCTGTCAGTCCTAGAATCAAATCTTCGCAACAGAACGTCCCTGAAATCGACGAAAAAGACAATAATCATAGAGCAAGCCGCGGATATCAAAGAGTTGATGGAGGAAATGTTCGCGTACATGGCCGAAATGTGGACTGCCGACAACGGAAACCCTTTGGTGATTCTGAATGTGAGTGCATTGTATACCGAATGAACGCGTTGCTGATGTTAAGGCACAGGAGACTGAGATGATGATCAAAACGTGCGGGGGACAGTGCAAGAAAGTGCTCACGGAGCCCGGTCTTATTGAGAAGTTGAAGGCGGAGAAGTTCGATTTGGCAATCACAGAACCGTTTGACATGTGCGCTTATGGTAGGTTTCTGGTGCTTTTGGTACAGAAATACATGTTCATGTAACACTATTTATTGCGAGTTTCTTGATCCATTCCCCCAATTCCAGCCGTTTTCGAAGCCATCAACATCCGTGCGCACGTGGGAATCCTCTCCTCTTGCCGTTCCGATCATGTCAGCAGGGTCCTCGGCCAGCCGATCGCAGCCAGTTATGTACCTTCTGGAGGGTCGACGATGGGAGATCGGATGACTATGAGCGACCGACTCTTGAACTTTCTTCAGTCTTTTACAGCTGATTACTTCTTTTCGGTCATTGGAGATGCAGAGTTTGAAATCGCCAAGACCGTTGTGCCCATCAAGAGATCTTGGAGGGTTGGTTGTAGTTTCGAATCGTTCAGAAAAGTACACATCTTCAGGAGACGCTACCAGAAGCCACGTTTATTCTATCAAATCAAATCGCTTTGCTAGACTTTCCGGCTCCGACATTTGATAAAATCGTTCCTATCGGAGGACTGTCAGTGAAAACAGATAAGGAACATCTCAAACTTGATGAAAAGTGGTCAAAAATTTTGGACATTCGTAAGAAGAACGTCTTCCTCTCATTCGGATCTATAATGATTTCCGAAGACATGCCCCCGGAGTTCAAGGCGTCGTTTCTAAAAGTGTTTGCCTCGATGCCGGACACCACATTCATCTGGAAGTACGAGAACGCGTCGGATCCTCTCGTGGAGCACCTGGACAACGTGTACCTGGGCGAGTGGTTGCCCCAGAACGAACTGCTCGCCGATCCGAGACTGAGTGTATTCGTGACGCACGGCGGACTCGGATCGGTCATCGAGTTGGCGATGATGGGCAAACCGGCTGTGATGGTGCCGCTGTTCGCCGATCAGGGACGGAATGCGAACATGCTGAAGAGACACGGCGGAGCGGCGGTGCTCGATAAGAACGGACTGGCGGATGCGGAATTGGTGAGACGCACTCTCGAGCACGTCATCGCGGAGGAGTCATTCCGGCAGAGTGCACTCAGGTTGGCGGAGATGCTCAGGAATCAGCCGACCAGTCCCCAAGAGACACTCCTCAAATATGTCGAGTTTGCGGCGAGGTAACTGTTTCAAGTAGCTGTGAACTCGCGGGCACTGTTTCAGTTTGAATTGAATTAATAGTAGGAGAATTTCAAGCAAGCTGCTGCAGAAAACGGCACGCGCGCAGCAATTTGAACGCGAGCCCGTACCGAGCACGTGAGCAGCACAGTAGCAGCACACCGTCAGCATGTGTTGAGCATGGATGCGGCAAGCAAACGATATAACGGGAAAGTGAGGAAGCAATCTCGATATGCGGCACCCGCGCAGCCATGTGAGCAAGCTGCTGCACAGGGAAGCATGGATGCAGCATGGATGCAGCTACCCAGGAAGGAGCAAGGAGCTCTGTTGGCGCAATAGAAGCGCCTGGCGCCCAAATTGTTGATTGCGATTAGTTGCATTTTTATTCCGTCGATTTCTTCAATTTTCACTGCATTTCGCCCCGATGATCAGACGCAAAAGGAAAAGATGTAAGTAATTCTTATGATTTCAGAGAAATAAAAGTCTTTGCAGTGACAAAAAGTCTCGAGAATGTAGAACAAAACTTGATATGTGATGACGATTCGATGAATGACGAATATCCCGAAACGGTACAAGAAACGGAAGATGGAGAATCAGATGAAAGCTCATGTAAGAACTAATAATCATTTCTTTTTCAGATTAACCGAAGAGGGAATCGAAAAAATCATCGTTTTCAGGCGATTATGAATTGGAAGACGAGGCGATTAATTCTGACGGAAGAGACGTATATAGTTCTTCGATGAGAACTTTTGAAAAGAACAGAAAACAGATCAAGATTATAAAATACTCGCATACTATGTTCACTTCCTGGTATCTTCCGGAAGAAAAAAACTACAAAGGAATAAATCCGGCACCATTTCCAGCAGTGCTCTACGAAACACTGAAAGGTGAGTCTTATTTTTTATGATCAACTTCACAGAAATGTGTTCCATTGCAGACTTGTTCCTCATGTTCTTCAACTTGGATCACCGCGAACTCGACGTTGATTTTAGAGCGGAATTCCGCAGTCTCGGATTCCTGGACGCGTACAATGACGATTTCAACAAGAAGCCATTCTTCAAAAGACTCTCCTCTGCTCGAAAGAGTTATTTGACGGGAACATTTCGAGCACAGCTGAAGGAGGCCTTGTAGGTACTTCAATTTAATTCTCATGAAAGGAGTCTTTTCCAGGATCGAAATCCGACATGCCAACTAGGATTCGGTACGCGGAACTTTCGAATTGCGCAAGGTATGAATAACACATTGAGTTGCACTGTAATCGCGAATCAATTTCAGCGGCCAGGACTGAGAAAACAGTCAGATCCTTCGTCCACAGCCATGCCGAAAATCGAGAAAAAGAGAGAGAATTGGAAGCCGACGATTGCTGAGAATCATGAAGAGCACATCAAGCCACCGACAATCAAAAGGACGAGATCTTCGATGAAAAAAATGATAAATTCCCGGCATTTTTGTTATTTTTTTCCATTTTTATTGTTGTTGTTTTTCTGTTTTCGTTCAATAAACCGTTATTTTGAAAAAGAACACTGAAACACAGCGTGATACGCGCACGGGAGGAGCATGGAATGGGCAGCTTGCTACGTGCCGCACCCTTCCTTAAAATTCTCTGAAAACTGATTTCAGGTTCGGCAAGCTCCCCTCTCTGGACAACTACGGACGCCATCAGTCGTACATCGAGTACTTCTTCCTCGATATCATCGCCATCTCCCTTCTGGTCACTCTGCTCATCTTGTACATTTCCTATCGGGTTCTGAAACTTGTAGTCCGAAGACTGTTATACTTGAAATGCTCTGCAAAAAAGAGCAAGAACGAATAACTATCATCTACATGCCTACGACATCATGATCTTCTATTTTCAATGTTTTAATAAAATCGTATACTTCTCGCTACAACGGAATAGAACTCGGAAAATTATAAACTTTTATTCGGCATAGTTATGATCGATTGAAGTAGACGTATCCTGTCATAGGAAGAATGAAAACTACTCGAAACAGTAATCATAGTAAAAAGTCAGTGGTAGTCTGACTCCAAACTAATCGAATGATCAATTTGTTCGTTCCTTCTTTCCACTTCACCTACAAACAACGATTATGACAACGCATTTTTATCGTCAACAACCGAAGAGAGAGACGAAATAGAAGTACTGTGATGTACTGTTTTGCCTGCTTATAAAAGGCGTTCACATTTTTTCACTCTCAATTCTATTCTTTGATATGATGCGGTTACTAGCTCTTCTATTTCTCCTGATTTCCACGTCATTCGTGGATTCCTACAAGATCCTCTTCTACACGAATTTGTTCGGTCACAGCCATGTGAAAATGTTGGGTGCCGCTGCCGATGTTCTGACGGAAGCCGGGCATGATGTGGTGGGCATTGCAACTCTTGGTTCTCAAAATCTATGGAGTCCATTCCAGACAGTCCTTCTGTCAGTCCTAGAATCAAATCTTCGCAACAGAACCTCTCTGAAATCGACGAAAAAGACAATAATCATAGAGCAAGCCGCGGATATCAAAGAGTTGATGGAGGAAATGTTCGCGTACATGGCCGAAATGTGGACTGCCGACAACGGAAACCCTTTGGTGATTCTGAATGTGAGTGCATTGTATACGAAATGAACGCGTTGCTGATGTTAAGGCACAGGAGACTGAGATGATGATCAAAACGTGCGGGGGACAGTGCAAGAAAGTGCTCTCGGAGCCCGGTCTTATTGAGAAGTTGAAGGCGGAAAAGTTCGATTTGGCAATCACAGAACCGTTTGACATGTGCGCTTATGGTAGGTTACTGCTGCTTTTGCTACAGAAATACATGTTCATGTAACACTATTTATTGCGAGTTTCTTGATCCATTCCCCAATTCCAGCTCTTTTCGAAGCCATCAACATCCGTGCACACGTGGGAATCCTCTCCTCTTGCCGCTACGACCATGTGAGCAGGACCATTGGCCAGCCGATTGCAGCCAGTTACGTGCCATCTGGAGAGTCGACGATGGGAGATCGGATGACCATGAGCGAACGATTCTGGAACTTTCTTCAGTCTTTTACAGCTGATTACTTCTTTTCAGTCGTTGGAGATGCCGAGTTTGAAATCGCCAAGACCGTTGTGCCCATCAAGAGATCTTGGAGGGTTGGTTATAGTTTTGAATCGTATAGGGAAGTACACATTTTCAGGAGACGCTACCAGAAGCCACGTTCATTTTGTCAAATCAAATCGCTTTGCTAGACTTTCCGGCGCCGACATTTGATAAAATCGTTCCGATCGGAGGACTGTCAGTGAAAACAGATAAGGAACATCTCAAACTTGATGAAAAGTGGTCGAAGATCTTGGACATTCGGAAGAAGAACGTCTTCATCTCATTTGGATCAGTCATAAGTTCCAAAGACATGCCCCCGGAGTTCAAGGCGTCGTTTCTGAAAGTGTTCGCCTCGATGCCGGACACCACGTTCATCTGGAAGTACGAGAACGCGTCGGATCCTCTCGTGGAGCACCTGGACAACGTGTACCTGGGCGAGTGGTTGCCCCAGAACGAACTGCTCGCCGATCCGAGACTGAGTGTATTCGTGACGCACGGCGGACTCGGATCGGTCATCGAGTTGGCGATGATGGGCAAACCGGCTGTGATGGTGCCGCTGTTCGCCGATCAGGGACGGAATGCGAACATGCTGAAGAGACACGGCGGAGCGGCGGTGCTCGATAAGAACGGACTGGCGGATGCGGAATTGGTGAGACGCACTCTCGAGCACGTCATCGCGGAGGAGTCGTTCCGGCGGAGTGCACTCAGGTTGGCGGAGATGCTTAGGAATCAGCCGACCAGTCCCCAAGAGACACTCCTCAAATATGTCGAGTTTGCGGCGAGGTAACTGTTTCATGAAGCTTTGAACTCGCGGGCACACTTTTAATTTGAATTCAGGCTCAATTTTACTTATTTCAGGTTCGGCAAGCTCCCCTCTCTGGACAACTACGGCCGCCACCAGTCGTACATCGAGTACTTCTTCCTCGATATCATCGCCATCTCCCTTCTAGTCATAACCATAACCATTTACATATTGTACACTATTCTCCAATTTTCCTTCAGGAAACTGTCGAGGAAATCAAAACAGGAATAGGCATTGAATCATTCTATTTGAACCAGAAAGTATGTAATAAACGGGTTACCGTTTCCATGTGTGTGTTTTATTTATAAGCAAGATAATTTTAGTGCTTCAGATAGAAAAAAGGGTAAAACCGTTACTCATAAATTGTTTTATTCAGTGAGAGACTCTTTCCATATCATTATTTTGCTTGACAACTGGAAAGTTAGCGACGATGGGAAAAAGTGCATTCTAGCTCAAAAGATGCGCCGAAAAATTCTGAATACGTAACAAGTCAATCGATTCAAAATAACCTTATTGATTTTTGAAATTTTTGTCAAAAACTTCGGAAGTGTTTATGTTATTTTTGTCATCTCGTAAATACACGCTCAGTGCTCAATGTCCCCTTCCGTCCATCAAATTTGCCGGCAATGCCACGTCGATGTGCTTCGGGTATTGCAGTTTCAGGTTCTTCATAAACTGCACGAATTCCTGCTTGCTCTTAGTCAGCCGTGGATTCAGGTGTTTCTCCTCCCAAACCTACAAGTGGTATGAAGTGAGCAAAACATCAATTGCTGTCACCCACCGTTGTCTGCATGACTCCATCGTAATTGTGTCCGACGTAGAGCGTGTAGTCTTCCGGAAGTGTGAAGATCTTCTCGTGCACCGAATCGAACAGTTTCGACGGGCTTCCTCAAATTTCTCAAATGTCTCTCTCCATAACTCTGTTGAGTGGTTACCTTGCTGAAAATCGGTGCGCCCGCACGCCCGGATGAGCAGTGCATCTCCGGTGAACGCAGACTTCAGCGCGTGTTCCACATAGGTCACACATCCGTTCGTGTGTCCTGGGGTCTCCCTCACTTCCAGCAGCAATCCTCCGATTTCAATGAGCTCTCCGTCTCTGACGTACTCGTCCGCCTCACCGCCAGACTCCCGGCCGAGCACCGACTTCATCGCCGGAAACGCCGTCTTCAGACTGTTCGTTCCGGTCACGTGGTCCGCGTGCACGTGCGTGTTGAGTCCGTAGACGAGCTCCAGGTTCAGGTCTCGGATCAGCTGGACGTCGCGCGCGGCCGTGTCGACCACCGGGTCTATGATCACCGCCTTTCTCGTCTTGTGGCATCCGAGAACGTACGTGTACGTGTTGGATTCGAATTCGATCAGCTAGAAATTTATGGTGCTACACTACTCAAAATTGCCTTTTGTTACCTGTCGAAAGATGGGCGAGTTGAAGATCGAGGCTCTCATTTTCTAAAAAAAAATCGATAATTGTCCAACACAGTTAGAAGAAGTGGAAATAGAGGGTCAGTCTGCCCTTCTAAAAACGATTCCTTTCGCTGTCTGCATCTCGTTCTCTTGTTCGAGAGAAAAACGACAAGAATCACGTTTCAAATAGATCAAAAATCGTTTTTTGATCGTCAGAGAACGTGCTGAAATGACTGCAACCAAAAAAAATCTTGCCAACGACCGAAATGCGCTTCAACATGGAAGAGTGATTGCAAATTGAGCAATTTTTACAAAAGAGGCGTCAGATCTAACAAATCGAGTTGTCAAAAAGAGAATGGAAGAGAAAAATGTTTTTTTTACTAAATCTGCGAAAAATCTGGTTTGAAATCAACGTCTTCCTCGTTTTCTTCGTTTTCGTCTTCTTCGACTCCGTTCTGTTCCGCTTTCACGTCTTCCCCGAACAGCGCTCCGTATCTGTCGCCGATTTCGAACTGAAAATGTCTGAGAATGAATTCAATTCGGTGAGCTCAACTCCGTACCTTTAAGATATCCCTTCTGAGAGTTCCGATCTGCACGGCGAGTGTCGCCCGTTGTTGCGGCGTGAGCATCGGAGTGAAATGTTCGAAAAAGTACTTGAAGAAGACGGTTCGATAGTTTTTGATGTCTGTGCAGTAGGCCTTCGTGCCCAGCATTTTATCACGCGTTTCCTGAAAACTTTGATTTGGCGGAGGATTTTGTGGACTTTTACCTCCAAAATGTGAAGAATTTTGTATCCGGGCGTCGAGCGCTCTCTTCCAAACGCACAATCGATTTGATATTTGAGCTCGAGCATCAATTGGTACTGAACAATAATCATTGATTTCTAGACCTTGTGAAAAATGTGCTAACCACTGGGAACAAGTGCTCCATGCACATTGTGTGCTCTTTGCACGCGATCGCCTTCTTCGCCTGCTCGATACCGATTTCTCCGAAATGGACGAGCGGCAGAAGCACTTTGAGCACTTTGAAGATGCCGTTCAATTCGATGAAACGCTTTCGCGGATCCGATAGATTGCAGATGAAACAAATCGGCGGCGGAGGAGGAGCCGGAATCTTTTCGTTCTTCTCCGTTCCTATCATCACTTTGAAAGTGTCGCAAAACTTTTTAAAGTACAAAAGCCTGTAGAGATTGAGCGTCGGCACACGGATATTCGGCTCGATTTTGTAGGCGTTGCGCGAGTCTTTGAGTTCTCTGAGGAACTCTATTCCGGGCGGAGCGCCGACCAAGCAGGACCGCGAGTGCGCCACCACTTCTCTTTGCAAACGGATCATGTAATTGTAGACCGGATGCAGGTGCTCTTTGCACATTTTGTAGACGAACTGTCCTCTTGCGAACAATCGGATCGCCGCGCCCCGATCGAGATGTTTGTAGTGAACGAGAACGAGGAGGATCTTGGCCACGTTGTCAGCCGCGGTCAACTCGATCCAATCGGAGAAGGTTGTCGGCTCCCAGCACACGAAGCAGTGCGAGCTGCCGTTCTGAAAACTGTCGGAATTATTCGTTTTTATCATTGGCAACGCGTTTTCCGTACAATTTCACAAAGTTCGGGTATTCTGACGAGCGGATTTAGGTGATAACACAGATTTTGAAAGCATTCGAGTTGGACAGTGGTCAGCGGCAAGTTCGCTTCGTGCAGAAAGTTCAGAACGGTCGAATCCGTCCTTTTGTGGAATTTGAGTTCTCGTTTCGTTAGCTTGATCATCTGGAAAGTTTGCATACACGTTTCTTTGAAGGCTCTATCTGAAAACGTCGAAAAAACAAGAGTCGGGTTATTGCGAATTGATTTTTTTAAATCGCAAATGTGCTCGTGCCAAAGACTATCAGAAATTAATTAAAGGAGCAAGCTCTTTTTCGTCGTTGGGTCTCGCCACGAAAAGGTTCACTCGCTGATAAAAAAGCAGCTGTTCTGCTCGTTTTCCGCTCGAAAACTAATAAAATTGCCAGTTTCCGTCGGTTTCCCGTGGCAACGTGCGCCATGTGACTTGTCTGGTTTCTCGTTTTTCATATTTTGTAGTCGACGTGCAATTCTGATTAGAGCAAATGTCAGGGCAGACGCACAGAAAAATGTCACCTTTTTCAGATATATTTTTGATTTCAACTGTTTCATTCACACGTGAAAACGTCTTTTTCCAGATTATTTATTAAAGCATCAATTTCCATTCAATCCAATACCAAAAATAAAGATTATTCAATAAAAAATGGCGATTCCAATCCTCCTCAATCCTCTAGATTCTTCTTTTTTTTTTTGGTTTTTTGTCGTCGTGCCGGGTGCGTCGATCAGTCGTCCTTCTTCTCCTCTTCGGTGCAGTCGGTCGGAGCCGGTCCGACCGGAGTGTCGTCGTAGTCGAGATCCGGGCGGCCCGGATGGGTGTGCTCGATCTCCTGCAAATTTCCGGATATTACTATTTGCTTTTGAAAAGAGCCGACAAACCTTCTCGGGAATCGGCACGCTGTCCTCGTCGTACTTGGTGTAGTCGACCTCCACATCGGGCACCTTCTCCTCGTTGTCGCTCATCTTTTCAGAAGCGGTCAGTCGGTTGAGAGCTCTCAAAGACGGAATGAGCTCGAAAGCGGCTCGTCGGCGCAGAGCCCGCCCCTCTCTAATTACCATGGATACGCGTGCTAAACAATAATTTCGTCTCGCTTCCATAGAAACAAGCGCTCATGCGTGTGACCGGTCAGGCGCTTTTCGGCTGTTTTCGCGTCCAAAAGCGATATTTATGTATGAATCACAAGACTCTAAACCTGGGCCCGCTGCGCGGTCGAGAGCTGATGCTTTGCAAAACCGTTCGAAAGTTCACGTGTTCTATTCTTATTTTCTCCGTCACAGCTTTTTTCTGTTTTAGAAATGAAAAAGTGTGCGGATAAACCAAGATACAAATAAATAAACAAATGGATAGACTCCTCAAGACTTTTATCAATAAGAATGATCATAGGCGGAATCCTCGAAATAAATATGGATGTGTGTGAAGCAAGGGAAAACGGGCGGTAGATAACAAAGAAAAGGGGGACACAACCTAATAATGCAAATACAAAACATTTGGATTTCTTCTTTTTGTTAACTTTTTTGAGAGAAATGAACCCGGTCTCTTGTATAAAAATCTGAATTTCTTAATGTTAGAACTGTGTTTGAAAGAACGGAAATAGCCTAAAAATGGATGAAAATGGGAACCGGAAAACGGGAAACGAAAACGACGCACAGAATGGGAATCTGTGGAAAGGGAGCAGGGGTCAATAGTGTCCGGCCCAGAGATCTCCGTACTTGAAATCGGCGAACGGGCGGTCTCCGTATCCATCTGGGATCACGCGTCGGATGTTGATGCGTTGGAAGAACTGCAGCCGATGGAAGTCGGGCTCCTAAAACATTAAAGTTAGGCAGGTTTGTGCTTCGTATGTTTATGTTGGGGAAGGAGATGCTGCATCGTCGTTTTTTCGGCTCTAATGGCCATCATCATGTGGGTTTCAATTCGAAGTTTATTTGGACCCATTGATCTCACTTTTCTCGAAGTTCAGAGTTCATTTACGCGAGGTTTCACGTGAAACCATTCGTTTTCCCCATCAAAACTAATTTCTCATCAATTCTCTCTCAAACAACGCCCTTCAATGCTTATCTGTCAATCATCTCGCCTCCACGAGGTTTCCGACTTTTTTACCCCGCCCGGATGGACAGGGTTGCAAAAATTGTACTTGGGGTCTTTAGTAAGGCCCGGTAAGAAATTTGAATTACAATCGGTCCACCACTGCGGGGGGTCATTCTGCGTGTGTACGGACGTCTCGCGGGTTCCGCACTCCGCTATCCCCGCTGTGGACAGTGGGCGGGACATGTCATAGGCTAGTGGAGACGGCAGACGGCGAGCGGAATGAGTTTGGAATGTTTTGTGAGGGAAAAATAGGTTTTTCGATGAACTTTGATTTTTTATTTCAAAAACTAATAGAATCGTGCAACTTTCGGACATTTTCCGAATGAAAGCCTAATATTGTCCGGAAAAACAACTTTACAGTTTAAAATGTTTCTTTTCGCCGACTTCATCATGCTTTTATCATGTGAAACATCACTTTTCCCATTCTATCCCTTTCCACTCATCTTTTTGACCGCGACCGAATGAAAACCGCTGCAAAATCGCATTTTTATACAGTTCTCGAGTTGTGCCAATCAAACAAAGTGTTATGGGCGAAACGAGAGTTTTAAAAATGTGGAGACGGGCGGGAAACGAGAGGAAAAGTGAGTGGGTGATGATCGGCAGCAACAGACGGCTGATTGAAAGTTTCGGGCGGAAAAGTGATGAAAAATGCGTAAGGAAGGCTATGTTCAGCACCATTAGACCAATTATTTTGTTGGTTTTCCAACTAGTTTTTAAAAATGTCAAAAAAGTCCTACCGAGAAGGTTCCATCTGTGACTGGGCTCAGGGCAGCGTATACCCGCTCTGTGTCGTTTCCGTGGATATGGTAGGCGTTGAACTTGGTCACTTCTGGAAGAAAAATGACAGTTTTTACTAAAATCCGAAAATATTCAACAAAAAAACGTACTGGCTGGGAAGTAGGCTAGCGGGATCTCAACTTCTCCTACCCAACGATCGCCGACCCATTTGTTCCGCACTTCCAGCTCGAGTTCTTCTCCTGAAAATCGGTTTTCATTGATTTTCAATGATTTCCCTGAAATTTTACCGTTGTTGATGGGATGACGAACTCCGTCGAAGAGCAGACAAAGCCAGTGCCCGTGCGGTCCGATCTCGACCTCCAGATACTGCCCCCGGTCGTTGGCGAAGAAGAATTCGAGCACTTCGTAGTCCCACAACTAAAAATTGGAAACTTTTCTCCAATTCTGATAAAGTCAAAATTTTACCTGTGGTGTTATGCCTGGGGCGTCCATTGGCTCTGGATCATCGAAAAATGGGGCCTAAAATCAAAAAATTAAGAAGGCTCTGAAGTGAAGTTTTCACTCACATCAAACGATATTTTGACGACTCGCTTGTGTGGACGTCCCACAAGTCGCTCGAAGTGCCATTTAAGCTCAATCTGCAACAAAATATTGTAAATCTTCAAAATCAGGTGCGGAAAACGCACTTTAATCGGGTCATGAGCCAGCGGCAGACCATCCCAGGTGTGATCGATAGTGTACTTGACGCCGGCCATCGTGTTCATGGCCTCGGCCTTCTCGATTTCCTCGTGGTCGGTTTGTACCATAGTCCACATGATGGCGAGTTCTAGAAGTAAACGAATCGAGATCATTATTACGATTGAGAGGAGGAGAAGAAGCGGAACAAAATTATAAGAAGAACGCGTCGGAGATGGGGTGGATTCGGTCGGAAACCAGTTTGTGGCGCGGGAAAATTGGGATAATAATGATTTTCGTGCAAGACAGCGCGCAACAATTTTTTTGGGTGCAAAAAATCCGGTGAAACGTACCGAAAATAAGCAAAAATCGAAAGAGCATCAATTGGAAAAGCGAACCAAAAAAGTAGAAAATATTTAGAGCCCGCAAAACACGATTAGAAGAGCTGAAAACCAAGAAAAACTGAAAATAGGCCGAATTCGTATTTCTTTTTCGCAAATTCCGCCACCACTCGTGTGTAGCGTTACGTGACGGTGTTTGCACACCGGACATTAAATCCGACGACAGGTGTCTGCGTCTCTCGCCGGCGCACACTCTTTTCGCGGGCTAGCGTACGAGTTTGCAGAATTCAGCGGAAATTGAACGGATTTCCGTGCGAATTTTGGAAGAAATCGTCTTCTGACCGTCACATGCCTGCAAATAATGGTCACGAGACGCGGGAAAAGTGAAAATGTGTGGAAGAGAATAAAAGTGAAGCAAACAAATCAGCTGACCACCTCGCTTTTCTCCCCCGCTCCCAGTTTGCTTATCGCGCATTGTTGCCTTTCACGCTGCAGCGGACAGAGAGAATGACGAGCGCGGAGACGGCGCACAGTTTTTCCGAAATCGTGGAATGAGGATGTGGAGGAAAGGAGAAGAAGTCGACGGGCGGAGACGATCGTTAGTTGTTGCCTGAAGAAGCTTCCGATATAAACAAACGAGAAGCTAACAACCGATATATTCTTCAATGGCAATGTTTGTACCCGAAGTGCACCATAAAGTCGTGTCGATTCATGTGTCATGCGGTTTGCAGCATTAAACAAACACGTCATTCAATACAGTTCAGAAGCATTTTTACCTGTCCTCTTGCGAGGTCAGGTCTCCACAAATTGGTCGTTAGCTTAATTTAAGGCACGGCACAAGCGAAGAATGCTGGCTGCTTATAAGTGTTCGCATGTACCGACGGTTCACGGGTTCCGCGCTCTCCTATGTAACGCACGGGGAAAAAGTTTTCAGAAATTCGGTGTGCGCCTTTAAATCTACAGAAACCGATGATGAAAAATGAACGATTCAGGGGAATTCGAGGCTTTTAAAGAATGGAAAAGCGATCAGGCAATGTTATGAAATGTTTGGTAATCTATTTTCAGAGAGAACGTCAGAGAAAAACAACAAAGAAGAGCAGAATGACGAAATATTCGGACATTATGATGGCCCAGCGTGAAAAACGTTGAGTAATGAGTGGAAACAGTCTGAAGGGGCCACGGACAAACTCACAAGTCAATTTATTAACGTTTCAGAACCTTTTCAAGTCTGTTTCACGATTTTTCAGAAAGTTCTACTAGGAGTTGCAAGGAAATTAGAAAAACGGTTCAGGACAGTTACTTTAACCGTAGAATTCCGAGAGAGTTGAGTGAGTTTTCTCTTCAAAGGGCAATTCCCAAAACGATTCCGAATGATTCCATTTCATACAAAAAGTTCCATTGAAATTCGAATGATCCCTGACGGAATATGTTGTTGAGACTCTTTGAAAGTCGTGATGATTCATACTTCTTGTTCTATCCAAAACCTTCTCCGATTCACGTGAGAAACCACGAACATGTCAAAAAAAAGTACGGACGTGATCTTGATTGCGAAGATGCGGAAGATCGTCTTCTTTTTCTGTCGAGAATCAAAAATGGTAACGTCTTTTTCGCAATGAGAAACGGAAGCGAATGACTGATAAAGGTTGCGCGAGTTCTAAAAATAGTCAAGGTTTTTGGAAGCTGAAATTGTGCTTACAGAAGTTTCGCGAAAGCATTTGTTTCGGTTTCGTCAATCCCATATTTCACTAGATTCGGGAAACTTAAATTTATAGTTTTCTACTGTTTCAGCATCATGAGAACTACACGCTTTGAGCTCATTTTCCAGTTTCTTAAAGCATATAAAATCAGACTTGCAACGGGCCGGGCCGGGCCGGGCCAAAATTGGAAATTTTCCGGCCCGGCCCGGCCCGGCCCGGTCGGCCCGGCCCGGCCCGGCCCGGTCGGCCCGGGAGGATGCACCTAAAAAAAATTGCTGTTTAAAGTCGCAAAATTTTCACAAAAATTACGAAAATTTTCTCAAGAGTGGGCGGAGCGATTGATTGCAACTCTGGCACGCCATTTTTAGCAATTTTGCCGCACGCGTTTTCCTCTTCCTTCATATTTTTTTTGCATATTTTTTTTGAGGTCTAACTTCCGGGCCGACCGGGCCGGGCCGGGCCGACGATTTGCTGGCCCGGCCCGGGATTTGGCAAGTCTGTATAAAATGATCATCAAAATGTTGTGGTATCTATGAGACTACTCATCGAACCGACGTTGATGTGCCAACTGTGAACTGTGATTCTTCTCTGCGACTCTGAGAAACCGCCAAACCGAACCGCGAGGATCTAGTCATCCGATCAGAGAACCGATCGATCCATCGCCCACTTTTTATCTCAAAATCAAAATACCAAAAAGTCGAAGGACGCGCGATTTGTCTGCGTCTCGCGCGCTCTCCGGCTACCGTATAAAAGACGAGTCGACTTTGAAAAGTTGTTGATGATTTTATCATTCTTTATCATTCGTCCTACCGGTTTCCTCGTGATATTTTCTGCATTCTCTGCTGATTCGCGATCCGCTACAAATCATGCATTTCCGAGCGTTTCTTTGTGTTTTGGTGCTCTTGCTTGGTGGGTTACTTTACCTGTACCGGTACCTGTATCAACCATCTAATCGCAGGCGTCAATTCCAAGCCCCACCCCCGGAACAATCTGCTGGAAGCCTACTTCAAGCACCGAGAGGCTCACAACTCGTTGCATAGTAACCGACACGTGTTGCGGACAAATGGACGGAACTACTTGGATTACTCTGCCGAGGAGGCGGCCAGAGAGCCCGGTAGCTTTGTGAAATTGCACGAGAACAAGCTGAAGGGATGGCAGGGACTGTCTCAGCCAGTGTCCCCGCATCGGGACGAGCTCAGAGCCGCCACCATGATACAGGTACGGTCAAGGAGTATCCGCATAGATTCTAGGAATCTATCATAGCTATCATATACATAGTTATTATAGATCGGGCCGGCATAAGACACTCTTAAAAGTCTAGTTCTACTTATATCACTCTCTATGAAACCGTCAAAGTCTATAGTATTTATTAATCTATCATGGCCGGGCCTAGAATACTGTTTCACGAGTCACATTTGTTACAAGCAGCCTGAACTTACTAGTGGGTTACATGTTTTCCCCTTCTTTGAAACCTTGACGTCAAGTTTTGCGCCCAAATGTTTAGTTCCTTCCAGTTTACGCAAATATTCAGTCAACCAACGGTATTCGGTTCTATCACAGTAGTTTAATGCCCAATGAAACTGTCAACGAGTTAACTCGAACTTGAAAGATCTAGTTGATTCATTGATAGGTATATGAATGCCATCTTCATTTCATTTCAGAAGCTGCACAGCTACAGTAAGCGTCTAGCGGGTCACATTGCCGCCGCCGCCGCCGCCTAATTCCTTCTCTGTCCCTTACAATCCTATCAAACCATGTCATTCATTTGCGTTTCTGTTTCCATTTACTATACAAGTTCTCACAAACCAACAATCAGATGTATTTATTTTTGTGATTTTGTTGCGCCGAAGATTCTGATGAAGATATTTGAACGAACGAAAAGAGGAAGAGGGGGGGGGGGAGCCACACACATACACACACAGACACCGATTATATGGATCTTCGGAAGCGCGGCTTCAGGTTCTGGAGCAAGTGTTGCAGGTATTGCGGCGCCTCGCCGTCAAAACTCATCAGACGGGCGCGTCGGAATCTGAACAGGACGGTTTGGAATTGATTTGTCAACGTAATGGGGACTGGCTTTGAGCCAATGACTACTATTTGAAACTGAAAGGTTTTTCATGGACTGGCCTTTTTTGGAGCAGAGGTACATGATCTTGTAAGTAAATTTTATGGGGATACACTGTCCTACCTCGGCGCGAGCACCTGATAAATATTGTCGTATCCGGAAACGACGGCCGCGTGACTGACGGCCAGAAGGGCGACCATGAGGGCGAGGAGCACGAACAGCGAACTGACACGTGGCATTTCGGGATTCACCTGACAAGAATATGACGGACTTTGAAGCTTGAGCGGAAGGTAAAATAGAGAGAGCGAGAAAGAGAATAACACATGATCGGAATCGAGAAATTTCTCACACCATTTCCCGTTTCCCACGGATTTTCGGGCCTAAGCTCAATTTTCAATAAAAGCAAAAGGTACGGATTTTTGCAAAACACGATTAATAATTCAGAGAGTAGGTAGGAGTCGCGGGGAGGGCCGTTCCCGAATAATTCCGAGAGGAGAAGTGTCGGGCAATCATCATTGGAAAATTGAGAAGAAGAAGCGGCGGCGACGAAGGCAGAGCATAGTCTTTGGGCCGTTGAATATGAGAAATGGATACTACCGGGGGCGTGCTAATTAGAAGAAAACGAAGGAAAAGGAGGAGAAGGGGGGAGAGGAAGGTCCTCCGGGGAAATTGAGAGACGACGCCGAGAAATCGAGGGATTTCCAAGTAATGCCGTTTTTCGGCACATTTCTTGCATTTCGGACACTGCGAGTTTGGTATCGATTGGCTCGGGAGGAGCAAACTGTCAACACAGTCGTTATTGTGAAAAATATTCGATGGTTTTCACAATTTTCGGTGATTCCCGCAAAAAGCTCGTTAAACAAGGCGCCGTGTGTAATTTCGGAGTGTCGTTGTTTCTAATTCGAATCAGTTTCACAAACTGCTGAAATTCGTGCGGCAAATAAGTGTCTGCATAAAGAATTAAGCGCTCTCGATTCAAAACACGCGAATAATTCATCGATTCTTTATCACGACTTCCTGGGATTTTAGAGTATTTTTGCAGAAAAACCACATTTCGGAGCGGCAAGAACTAATAAACTTTTTTTTATAAAGTTGGAAAAAGGCAGCTTCACCAACATCTTAAAGGAATCCGAAATAATAATAATAATGTCACTGGCTAATCCGTGTACATTAGTATTTGGCCTGCATAAGCGGATACGTGCGCAGGTTGGATACAATGGCCAACTCGAGACTGGATTAGTCAAGTAGAAGGAGCATGGAAATGCAGGCATCAGTTTGATGCTCAAAAGAAAGCTTGCTCCCAGTTTTTTTATCGAGAAACTTCTCTTCATTTCGGACCTCCTTCATTTTGAGCAAATAAATAAACGAAAAATGAGAGTGAGTGACGAAACGATTGGAAGAGCGGCGGCGATGGAAATGGAAATAGAGAGGCGCGAAATTCATCCGCGAATCATTGTTTTCTTCGATGATTCGACGCGATAGCACAAAAGAAGCGGAAATGAGTTTGACCGTTGAGATTTGAGAGTTCAAAAGTTAATTGTAAGTTGTATATTTACGGCTGTTTTTCGCGAAAAAGTATTGTGATTTCTGTTTCAGGTTCTCGTTTTGAAACGGCCAGCACAGTCGTTAGTGCTACTTCTAAATTTACAATTGTTAGCACACTTAATCTTAAAATTCAGGAGTTTTAAGCCAAAAAATCACAGTTATCGCTCGAAACTTGAAGCATTTGGTGAAAAAAAAAGAAAAATATACGAAAAAAAAGGGCGTGGCCTGTAATCGAACGGGATTTTCGTACTTTTTTGCGCGGAAACCGACTTTTCAAGAAACTGACATTGAATTCACCATGAAAACTAACAATTAGAGGTTTTCTTCTCGCAAAAATGCTCTTCCGAGCTTCAAAAAACGCAAAACGTGTTTCTTGGAAACTAATTTCTCGCTCAACGACTTGTTTTCCTCCTTGAACGGTTTCGCGATAGCACACTCATTCCAATCTCCCTAAAAACGTCCATTTCGCCGAATGAAAGTGTGTTTTGACTGGAAAACTGTAAAAAACACAAGTTTAGTAGTGTTTTGTGGTGTGAAACTGGCGAAAGAGTCGGAAGAAAAACAGAATGAATCTTTTTTCTCGAAACTCTTTTCGGAGATTCTTTTCAAATCCATTCGAGTGTGAAATCAGGAGCTTCTTCTTTTTCTGCTTCTTCCGACGCTCCGCCCACTCGCTTCCGAAATGACGTAGTCGCACATAAAATCTACTCGCAATTATCATGTCATTGTGTGAGAAAAGAAAAAGGAAGGCAAGTCACGAAACGTACCGGATGCCCTGTGGTGGGGCAATTCCCACACAAATGAGCTCATCGCGAGAAGCCGCAGCATTCTCAATTTTCTTTTACGACGGACTCGGCATGGTCAGATGACGTCTAACACACTATTTATCGGTGGTGGTCGTACTAACAACAGAAATTAGAAAAAAAAGGGCGGCGGGAGAATAAATGGATCTACATGGATAGAAAGAGTGTTCAGACGGGCCACGACCATTGTCCTTTGGGCGCCGACTCGACGAGCGGCTCCCACGCCTTCGAATCCACGATGGCTCGCGTCGTCTCGAGCTCCAGCTCGGCCTGCTGGATCACCTCCTCGATTTGTCCCATCCCGATTTTCTGCTCGAGCTTCTCAATGTTGGTCTCAGCCTGGACGAGCGCGAGACGTTGCTTGACTACCTAAAAATTTCTAAATTTTTTTCACCATTTTCTGAAAATTGACACTCACAGCTTCGGTGAACTTGCGGTAGGCGGCGTCCCGGGGAATCTGCTCCAGGGCTCGCAGAATGCGGCCGTAGACGACGGTCAGAGCACGATGCGGATGCTCGTTGACGAACAATCCGGTGATTCCGGTCGTCTGAACAGAATCATGGTTTATTTGGTGAATCCAGTACCAAAATAGCGTTACCTTTTTGTGGAAATCCTCTGAAACCTTGCTTCTGGCCTTGAAACGGTTGATGTACGGGTTCTCGTACATGGTTCTCTGCTGGGTGGCCCGAACCACAGCAGTACGCAAGAAGCGAGACGACATTCTGCGAAAACATTGGTTTGAAGATAAGCAGGACACTTTTTTAAAGGTATAATACGCGTTGAAACGCAAAAACAACAATGAAACAAGGATTAAAAAAGAATTCTAAAGCTTTATTAGAAAATTTGGAGATTCTACATGGCGAGATGAGGATTTGGAGATGTCACAGGTGGCAAAGGCGGTTCCGAGTTGGTTCTGAAAGAATTCAACTCGTATTCATGTTTTTGAACAAAATAGAAAGGAAAACTCACAATTTTCGGATTGTAGTCACTCGATGAAGACAAACTTGCGAACTCTTCCGTCGGAACTCATTTTGGGCAAAGTTTTGGCTGAAAATTGACAAACTAACGTTGCAGTAGGGTGAAGAATGAGTCGAGGAACGATTTTTCAAGAAAAAAGTGCCAAAAAATGCTTCAGGAGTGTGCATTTCAGCTGAATTATTGGAAAAACTGAAGAATAAATGTGGAAAGCGCAGCGGAGTGTCGTTGTGCGCGCTGTTTAGCGACGAGGAAAATAGCAGCAGACGTTTTCACGGTACACCGAGGTACCGAGGTACCCAAGTAAAGTATCATGAAACTGATCTACGTTATGAAATTATTTGGGTCTGTGCTGGAATCTGTAAAGAAATACATAAAAACAAAGGTTATAAATCCTCAATCGACCTCGTTTTTTTTTAAAGTCCAGCTAGCAACACATCAAAATGTTGTGGACTTCTGAAAACGAGGCACGATGCGCGCTCCAAAGCGGCTTCGTTGCTTGTTTTGAAACTTCACGTGCTTATTTCATAATTCCTCCCTCACAACTCTTTTAAAAAGGAAAGTGGGGACAAACATCACCGCCGTGGTCCTCCCGGGCGACAAAGCGACCATCTCAGTCCATGGCGAAGAAGTATAAGTGAACTCGAAAACCGGCGTCGGGCAAGGAGATTGATCCTCACCGTCTCTCTTCAGTTTTACGCTCTAAATGCTTCTGGACGAATGAAAGGTCTACGGATAGATGGAAAGTCACTCCGACGCCTCGCGAGTTCGTCGAGACACGGACACAGAGGAAATCCCGGACCGCTGTAACTACTGTAATACGATTCAAGCAATAGTTTTAAGTTACTGTGTGTACAATACTTTTAAGACTTTAGGAATTCTAGGTTTGGTTGCCGAGAAAACTCGCAAGAGCCTGTACTGGCCTAGAAAAAACGGCTGCGGACTAAGGGCCGTGGACTAGAATACGCTGGCCGACCTTCGGAAAAATATCCGAGCGTTTGAAAATTAGGAAAAAATCTGAACTTTTTGTGTTAATTTGCTGATTTTCAGGTGTTTTTGCTACTAGTAGTTTATGTGCTAAAAAATTAGTTTTCTTTGTTTGTCAATCGTCTTAAAAACGCATAAAAACGACGTGACGCCGGTTTTATCGTCAAAAGACTAATTTCTCGTTATTTCCGCTCCGTTCTACTTTTTCCCATATTTGTTTCAGTTAAATTCGTCCAAGTTGAGTCTGAAGTGTGAAAAAGGTAACACTTTATAGCGTGCCATCCACATTTTCACTCTCTTATCGCAAAAGTACATAAAATATCACAAATAAAAGAGCGGACAGCTTTTTATGGGCCAAAAAATTTGTTTGCTCGCGAGTCAGAACACTGTAGTCGAGAAAGTGTCAATTTCCCGTTTCTGCCTGAAAAACTTGAAAAAATTGTCAAATTTGTGAAAACTAGTTTACCGCCGGCCTTCGAGAACGTTCCATCAACCGATATGATCCGATCTGTCGGAACATCGGGTGATTTCCGCCATTTTCATCAAACGGGTTCGTTTTTCGGAGCCAAAGTCTCGTTTTCTCTCATTTCTCTAACTTTTCGGCGATCTCGTCCCTTATCATGTCATCTATCAGCTCTTTTCGACTTCTTCGTCGACGCTGCCCGATAAGCCTTGACGGTTTTTGGGTACGAAGGCCGTTTTCCACTCTTCTTTTTCATTTCGATCGACGATATGGGGTGATGGGGCGGAGCTTCCCCGTCTGCGTCTCGCACTCTCTCGTTTTACTACTCGCAACTGCCCTTTGGCCAACTCCGACCGCCTGTTTACTATCATCTTCTCTCCGCGCTCTTTCTCTCACTTTTTCGCAACTCTTTCTTTTCAAAATCTTTTTGCAATAGTTTTGGAATTCTTGCAGGTAATTTATCTTGTGGGGAGATGGCTCAACACCCGCTCGTTCAACGGCTTCTCGACGTCAAATTCGACACGAAGCGCTTCGTGGCACTTGCGACGCACGGCGGAAAGAACTTTCCGGACGCCGAGGGGCGCAGTTTCTTCAAGGATCACTTCGATGTCACCATTCAGGTGAGAACGCCGAATTTTTTGAGCTTCTTGTGGCTCAAAAGCGCGATTTCTCAAAGATCATGACCAGATCCAGATGCTAGTGTCTGTTTCTCGCAAAAAGTAGCCGCTTTTCACATTTAAAACTGCTTGTAGCCTACGCATAACCGGTAGAAACGGCTAAAGTTTCAAAAGTTTCTTGCAGGCCTCGATCCTGTACATGGTGGTGGTGTTCGGCACGAAATGGCTGATGCGCAACCGTGCTCCGTTCCAACTGACGGTCCCGCTGAACATCTGGAACTTCCTGCTCGCCGCCTTCTCCATCGCCGGCGCCGTCAAAATGACCCCAGAGTTCTTCGGAACCATCGCCAATAAGGGATTTGTCGGTAAGGAAATAAAGACATTGCAAGAAAGAGGGGGGAGTATCAAAGTACTGTTCTTTAATCAGTGACATCGTGTAGTCGGCGCTTATCAGTCGGTGGAAACATGAATGAGGCGACTGGGAAGTAAAGTACAAAAAACAGGAAAAGAAATCGAGATGTTTGGATCTTCTAGTAAAGGCTTCTGTCCGTTTGGATTATCAGATCCTGACTTGTCGGGCTTCAACATCCAGATCATATAACGCAAAGGCCGATTTCGGACCGACAAATAACTTTTTCAAATCCAACATTTCTGAAATAATCGACCTTTCTTTCCAGCCTCGTACTGCAAAGTGTTCGACTTCACGAAGGGCGAGAACGGCTACTGGGTGTGGCTGTTCATGGCGTCGAAGCTGTTCGAGCTGGTCGACACGGTGTTCCTGGTGCTGCGCAAGCGTGCGCTGATGTTCCTCCACTGGTACCACCACATTCTGACGATGATCTACGCGTGGTACTCGCACCCGCTGACGCCCGGCTTCAACCGCTACGGCATCTACTTGAACTTTGTCGTGCACGCCTTCATGTACTCGTACTACTTCCTGCGTTCGATGAAGATCCGCGTGCCGGGCGTCATCGCGCAGGCCATCACCTCGCTCCAGATCCTCCAGTTCATCATCTCGTGCGCCGTGCTCGCCCATCTCGGCTACCTCATGCACTACACCAACGCCAACTGCGACTTCGATCCGTCGGTGTTCAAGCTGGCGACTTTCATGGACACCACCTACCTCATCCTCTTCCTCAACTTCTTCCTCAAATCGTACGTGCTCGGCGGCGGAAAGGACAAGTACAAGGCGGTGCCGCAGCAGAAGAAGAAGACCAACTAATTATCGTCGAATTCTCCCCCTTCACTTGTTTCCGGGTCCGCCCCCTGTTTAACATTAGTTCTTTCTTGTATTTGTTCGATTGGAGTTTTTCATTAAAATTGCATTTTTCATGGGAGTTTCTCAAAAGAAAATGTGTTCTCAGAAGAAAAGATGGGAACCAAAAGAAGCAAAAACAATATAAAACTGAAGGATCGCCTTCAGTTTTATGCATTTTTTCGGTTCTTTATTGTGTAATTTTTGAATTTGTAATCACTCCTCGCTCTCTCTCTCCCTCAAAAAACGTGGGAACCGATTCTCTCGCCCTCTCTTGTCCACGTTTCGGCCCCTCCGTGCCCCTGTATTCCCCTCATCCGCCACGTGTCCGACCGTCTCGAATGTATCTGAATTACTTCGCGACGGACGTCTTCCACAGGAGCGCCGTGTGTGAATCCGACGCCTGCCGAGCCGCGAAAACGATGATTGGCGACGTGTTCAAGTGGCGATTCGACGCCGACCGACTCTGGAGCCTGCTCGCGAATCGCGACGAGCACTTCCCGCACATCCGAGCACGACGCTTCGTTTCCGAGCACATCGGCCTCTTTGTGCAGGTATTTTATGCGTTGAAAGCGGAAAAATTCCGAGTTTTTTGGGAAAATAAAACATAAAAGCGGAAATACTCGATTTTTGATTTTTAACAGTCGGAATAATCGTAAATTGACGTAAAAAACAAACTAGAACTGGAATTTCTTGTTGCCGATCGAGTTTAGGCTTAAAATTACGCTGTGAAACCAGAATTCCCCGCAAAAAAGTTCACTCTGTAACTTTTAACCCAAAGTAATTTGAAATTGGTGGGATTTATTGGCCTAGAATAGAGGAATTAAAGCAGAAAAATCGAATTATAATGGGGTTATTCAGGCTGTAAAAAAAAAAATGATTTTTTTTCCGTTTTTTTTACGTCAAAAAACGCAATTCAGCGGTGTAAAAAAAACGAAATAAAAAACGGAAAAAAACCTACGCTGAATAGCCCCATTATGTATAACTTGTCCACTTTGCATCAAACCGCCTTTTTTTCAGATGACGGTCGCCTACATGATCATAATCTTCTCGATCAAACGAATAATGCGGAACCGCGAGCCGTTCGAACTGACCAACGCCCTGCGGCTCTGGAACTTTGCGCTCTCGGCGTTCTCGATCTACGGCTCGTGGGTCATGTTCCCGCACATGATCGCGCAGATCCGCTCGCTCGGACTCTACGGATGCGGCTGCGAGGGACTGACGACTCTTCCAAGCGACGCCGAGTACTGGCTCTTTCTGACGGTCCTCTCGAAGGCGTTCGAGTTTGTCGACACGATATTCCTGGTGCTGCGCAAGAAACCGCTCATCTTCCTGCACTGGTACCACCACGTCGCCACATTCCTCTTCTTCAGCGCCACCTATCCGACGCCGTCGTCGCAGATCCGCGTCGGCGCCATCGTCAATCTGTTCGTGCACGCCTTCATGTACCCGTAAGTTCTGTGCATAAAAGAGTCCGGTGGAAGAGACCACTGTCTTCAGGTACTATTTCATTCGCTCGATGAACATCAAACTGCCCGCCAAGATCTCGATGATGGTGACCGTCCTGCAGCTGACCCAATTCATGTGCTTCATCTACGGCTGCACCCTCATGTACTACTCGTTGGCCACCAACCAGGTCGCTCTCAAGATCATTGTCCCATTCTTTTGAGATTCGCCCATTTCAGTACACGTGCGACACGCCGATGTTCGCCCTCAACTCGACGTTCGGCCTCAGTCTCTCCTACTTTGTGCTCTTTGCCAACTTTTTCCACAAATCGTACGTGCAACGTGGCGGAAAGGACAAGTATCGACAGAAGAAGGACGATTAGGCGGAGAAGAGGAAGAAGAAGAAGAAGTAGATAATAACTTGTTTACCCCATTTTTCCTGTAAAATGTTGATTAGTTAGTAGTTTTTTGGGTGTTTGCGTTTTAATAACTGTGGTTGTCAGTTTCAAAACGCTCATTTTTGACGAATAAAACGGAGCACACTTTGGTTTTTGAAATTTTCGATTTGTATTTCCATCGCGCTCTATCGCTCGAGTAAAACGGCAAAATTTGAGATGTGAACGTCACGTCGAAACAGTGAATATATTGTGAATGAGGAGGAGAAGGGGTACCCGCGAATGGGGGTGTAAACCGTATGGAAGAGGGCGAATTATGCGACAATCTAAACGAAAAAGTATGGATAATATCAGGATGGCGGGGATTTGTGGAGCATCGAAAGAGCCGTCGAGTAGTCAGGCGGCGCGGTCAACGAGACGGTATCGGACGACTTGTTGTGGGTCTGTAACATCAGAGAGACCGTTTTCGGAGATTGTTTCATTCCCACCTCATCCAACACCACAATCTCATCATAAGTGGGCAAGGGGCGGCTCGGAAGGCCCCTTCCGCCACAGCATTCGTCGTGCGGACCCGGAGCCAGACACGGAAAAGAGGCGGGCAGGGACATGTTGGCCAATAGGCTCTCCTGCAAATGGAAAATAGTTGCGGAGCGGATGGATGATATTGTGGAGAGTGAGTACCACAGTCATTCGCTCAATCTCCTTTTGACGCTTCTTGCTTTTGTAGTAGTTCACAAAATTGATGATGGCTCCGAAGATCATGACGCCGACGAGCCAGATGATCGGCGCGTAGTTCATCACGTTGTCGGCGGACATCTGCAAACAAATTCACGAATATTATCGGTTTGTAACGGGTTGGATAGTAACACTCAAAAAGTGTCGACTGAAAACAGTAAAAGTAGTGGTTGCAACACGAATCGATCGATTTTTCATGTGATCGGGTTGGAAAACAAAAATATGAGAGTGCGATTTGGGGATGGTTTCGAATGTTGACAGGAAATGGACTGATCGAATTAGAAACGATCGATCGGAATGGTTTCTTTCTTGAAAACATCGGATAACTGTCACCGTTTCTTCAAAAGACGATATCTCAGTTCTCTGTAGAGACGTCAAAAAGTTGTCAACTGAAAAAATGTGCAAAATTTTCTAATAAACAGTCTATTCGTTAACAACGTCTCGGTATCTCTACCGGTAATTGAGTTATAAGGCCTTGAATGACACTTGTAACTTTGTATCAGTTGAAGTTGTTCCTTCAATACGATGTATCTCAGCTCAGGGTGGAAATATCAAAAAGTTGTCTTATGATAAAACATTTATCAAAACATTCTGCACATTTTATCAGTTGACACCGTTTTTATAGCTCCACAGACAACTGAGATATAGGGTCTTGAATGCAAAACTCTGACACTTACATCCATTTTGGAGAGAAACATGACGATTGTGACGAAAAAGGTGATTCCGCCCATCACCAAAATCGTCTGGATCTCCCTCGAATCCTTGTCCAACAATTCTCGAGTCCTGGGATCCATTGCCCGCCGTCTGAAACTCTGAAACGTTCAGAAAAGTCTGACGCGACCCAGAACTAACCCTTCAGCATCGATCACATACAGATTGCGGGTCATTTCGTGTCTGAAAGCCAGTATGAAGGGCGGTTTTATGCAGGAGAAACGATAAAAATAGACGAATTCGCTTCTTCTATTTCGGGACGTCGAATCGCTTGTAAAGCGTGTGAATGGACGGAGAAGAATGGAAGAGGGGCTCGAAAATAAACATGCGCTCAGGTTGTTCTTATCAAACACGCGTTTGTTGCCAAAAAAACAAAAAAAAACAAACAAATCGAACGACGAAGTGGGTTGGAGACAAAATGCGAATTAGTTCCCTTTTCGTGGTCAGACAGATGACATAATTGACCCAATTTTTGGGGATAGTCTCTGTCTGTGAAGGTGAAGAGGAGCGATTCGGAGACGAACAAAACACGGTTCGTTTTTGAAAGACAGTTGAGAATGTGCCGACTGTCTTGTTAGAATCAGGAAGCAAAGATCGATCGATCAACGGGAAGTACAGAAAAAGTACAGTTTCGACAAGTCTAGGGGTACATGTAGACGATTTATCCAATTCTGACATTGAAATGTGCACAACTGAACAGCCATATATGAAACTGTAAAACTTCTAAGTTATAATATCAAGCATGTGAGTCAATACACTCAAAAAGTGTACATGTTCCTCATTTTCAACATGACTCTCAAAATTTCTACACATTGACTCTAAATCAAAGCTTTGCAAAGCTAAAAAAGTGTCAATACTGACTTATAACACCCGAATCGGCACGTCGGGCGGAAAACGAAAACGAAATCGAAAGGGGGGAGGGGAAAGGATGATCGGACGACGGGCGGCAGGATTAGCGAGAATCGGAGACACGGTTTCCGTTGAAATTTGCGAAAACATGTGAGCAAAAGGCTCGGGGGAAAACATTGGCGAAAAAACGAGGGCGAAATGGGAGGCAATTCGGAAGGCAAAGAAGAAGAATTACAAGACAGTCGGACAGTCGGAAGAGGGCGCAGAGAAACTGAATTGTGTGCGCAGGAAACGATTTTTTAGAGGGGGGGGGGTCACGTGAAAACGGTTGTGAAGTACGGGCGGACATGAAAGGAGGAAAGCGAAAAGGAAAGACAATGGAGAAGCCGTGTGTGTGGGCGTATGACCTGAAGAAATGAAGAGGAAGAGGAAGAGAGAGAGAGAGAGAGAATGGTCATGAAGACAACGGATTGATGACGTAATTGAACGGGAATTCGTGATGATAGGCGGCGGGGAGAAAGAGAGAGAGAGAGAGAGAGAGAGAAGAAAGAACAGAAGCATGATGACGTGGCACTTGGGACTTTGGATGTATCTCGGCTGTCTGTAGAGATAGGGACTAGTTGTCAACTGATAAAATGTGCGAAATGTTTCAATGAACAATTTAACAGTTGACAACTTTTTGACATCTCTACTGGCGATTGAAATATAATGTCTTGAAAGCATACATGATTCGACCAAAAATTCCGGTCGTAATGTGGCGCGGTAACTTCACAAATTGGTGAAACAGTGAAGATCATTATGGAAAATGCAATATCAATCTTCACGATGTTCAGTGAGAAAGTGGAACCTATCAGATCAACAAGAATATTCTGACATTTGAAAGTGTTAATAGTTTTTTACCTGAAACAGTTAGAATGTACAGTTTTGTGATCGAATTAGTTGATTTGCCGACTGAAATGACCAATCGAAGTGCTAATGGACTATCATTTCAAAAAGCTAAATGTCCTAAAAGATATGTTCAAGTTGTGACAGTAATAATTTACAGTTTCAGAGTGTTGTTAACACATTTGCCGTTTCAGTGCCCGCAATCCCATACTGATACAGGAAAAGAAAGAAAAGAAGTTCGGAACCGCTAACTATGCAGTGAATCTCGACTTCAACTTCCGTGTCTTCCTTCGAAAAAAGTCCTTGACCGGTGGAAAACCCGCCGAAAAACAACGTGATTTGTCTCTAGTTTCTATTAAATTACCTGAAGATCAACCGTCTCCGATCCTTGCTGTACTCTTTCATCTGAAGACAAACACTGCTGCCACACAAAGTATGACCTTTCCTTACAATGTTTGATATAATAGATGAAGAAGACTGCGTGCCGATTTTTTGCAGACCGGTGTGATTGGGGGAAATGCGACAGAGATGGATGGATCGTCGACGGAAAGTGATCATCAGCCATGTTTTGGTCAGGAAAAGACATCGTCCGAGCAATCAGGGAACACATTTGAATAATCTGCTCACATTGTACAATACCGTTTATTCAAAACCATATATCTCAGCTGCCGAAAGAGCTATGAAAAAGTTGTCAACTAAACAAATGTACAAAATGTTGTGATGAACATTTTATCTATTAACAATTTTTTGATATCACCACCGACAGCTGAGATATACGATTTATGCATATCGATTTCAAACACTAACTGAAGAGATACATGACAAGCCTGAAACGTGCAATTTTCCGAGTTTGATGTGTTTCTATGTGTTTCGGAAGGACCAATATATCATGTTTTTGTACTTCAATTCAGGCTAACGCCGTATATCACGTTTCTGAAGAAATATGCGTTGGAGCAGTGAACGGATACAAAAACAGTTTATTTCTCTACACTTTGAGAAACAGAAACCCGTACTCCGATTCCCAGAGAGCACGTTCAAAAAAGCAGAAACGTGAAGATGAAAAGAGTGTCGCTTATCAGCTGTAAAGTGTGCATGATAACGAACTTTCTCCAAAATGTGCCATTTTCATCCAAGACCCGTCTCTTTCCGTTTCTCTTTTTGTTCCACTTGTCCCTTTCAATCGAAAATCAATGTTTTATTTTTGGCTGTTTCCGTAGTGTGTTTTGTGTGGAAAAGAAGTAGTGAGATTGATAAGAGAAGGTGCACAAAATAAACATTTCGTATACGTTGACGACTAGCCGTTTTCGTTTTTCACCGGTTTCATTGTGTCCGATAAGTGTCAGACCTGTTTTGATGAGCTAGTGCGTCAAGAATCTCGTACGATAGATCACGCTGGGTGTTTAAAGGCGCACAACTCCATTAGGAGGCAATTTTGACACCGGACACCGTAAAATAAGCGTCCTTTATTGAAAAGTGTAGAAAAACCGCTCAATTTGGAGCGTTTACAGTTTCACACCCTCCTCAAACTTCAATTTCAACCCAGCCGTCCCCCAGACCGTCAATCTTTGTGCATGTAATCAGGGACAAGTGTTATGTGTATGTGTGTGGCTTCTTCTCGACTTCTTGTCACAACATTCTCGCGGATGATGATGAACAACTGTCTGTTGCCGCGACAAATGAGCTACGGGACGGACAGCGGGTCGAATAACACAAAAACAAGTGATCAAGGCGGGAGGGAGGAGGAGGAGCACCGCTTTTCTGATTTATTGGACCCTCCTCGCCCTGTTGGTTCCGTTTGGCTGCACAAGTAAAGTAAAGCGGAACTACATATTGGTTGCGAACAGAGTCTAGTGAAGTTTGCCGAATTCTGAAACTGTTTCCCATGATGACTCCATGATCCCATGATGCTTTCGGTACAAATGTGTACCATGTGAACTCTATCTTTCTCTCCTTCTCGGCCATTTCGCTTGTTCTTCTTCTTCCACTCATTTATGAGCTCTTTTTACGAGCTCCACCCTCGGAAAAGATGCTTGGGAAAATCATGAAACGGGGCGGAGGAGAAGGAGAGCGAATGTATCATTTTCGCACGTCTCTAGTCTTGATGCCGTTGTTCTTTGTGTATTTCTTAGTCATCCCAGTTGAGGTTCACTATTAGCCTATTTCCATCATCCTCGTTCTCACAACAGTTGGAAACAGTAGAAGTGATAACGTGTTTGAGCTGAAAGGTATTCAAAACGATATATCTCAACTGCCGGTAGAGATATCAAAAAGTTGTCAACTAGTAAAATGTGTATAATTGTTTAATGAGTATTCGATTAGTTGACAACTTTTTCACAACTCCACCAACAGCTGAGATTTATAGGTTTTGAAAAAACTGTTTCACTAATCTGTCAAATATCACTGTCAGATATATATATTGTTTCAAACGCCCCCTGCTTTTCTAGAACTACCGCATATCAGCAGGATTTAGCAAGATTTTGAAACTCCAGTTTCACGGTGTCATCAATTAGGTCTTGGTTTTCCGAATTCTAATGTGGGACTTACTTTTGTCATCTAATAACTTTCTCGAAACTGAAAAGGCTGTTCCTTCCCTTCCTTTAATGCTCCTTTTCGCTCAATTCCCCTCCAATTCCTAATTAGTCGCCATTTATCCGTCTCTATTATGCACAGCATAATAATAATTGGAACAATACGCCTAAATAAGAAGAGAGAGAGAGAGAGACGCAGGAAAAGGGCGGGGAAAGAGAGACATTCGAGGGGAAAAATGTGATTTTACGATAAAAATAGTAGTACCTCCTGCGGCGGCCCGAAATGGACTATTATTATTATTATGATTATTACGCAATCCCTCTTATCATCACACTTTTTGTAATGTTTTTAGAGGGAAAGAACAGTTTCACCAAGGCGGTTGATAAGAGACTCGCCGAGGCGTTATTTTGTAGGAAATGTGAGCCGCCCGGCACATGATCCGTTTCGTTTTTCGGTTCTCGTCCCATTTCGCTCTTTCTTATCACTTCCGGAACTATTCTTTGTGCTTCTCCAATCATTTTACCCGCCGATTTTCAGAGCAGAAACAGTGATGCGACTATTGATCTGTTTTTTAGCTGCTTGCGTGACAGGTATGCTCTTTTTTCCCCATCTTCCAAGCATAAAAAAGACTGATATGATTAGAAATTTACAGTTAAAAGTGAAGGAAAGTTTACGGTTTCATCTAGTTTTCTAATATTTTCCACTATTCGCAACATTTTAATAATGACTTTTTGATTTTTTAAAAATTCGAGAATGACACGATTCTAGTCACTTGATGATTACTGTAGAAGTAGATCGATTTTAAAAAATTCATACAATCGTCCAATTGATTCGAAAGCTATTATGAAGAAAAGTTACTGAAACAGTGGGAGCTAGAGAGTCTACAACAAAGTTTTAATTGATGTTACACATAGAGAGCGTATACCGTAAATACTGTATTAAAAGGGCACCCAGCACAATGATCTAGAGCAGTTTTAAGTCGATTTTCGAACGTTTCACAAAGGCTCATGTTGGACGCCCTTCTAATACAGTATTTACGGTAATCATTGATAGCCGCTTTTCGAGCGAAACTGAAAGAAAACACAAAACTTGACGAGATATTGATGAAACAGTGAATCGAACTAGGAACTTTCAAACTTTCAAACTCTTATAGCGTCAGCGGATTTCTATTCAATCACAATTGACATAGAATCGAAAAGAAATGAACCGTATGAAACCGCAAGTTTGCAGACGTATTCTCGAACGAACTGACGAGATGCTGTGCGGGCGGAACGCGTCACTTCAAGAACTCGAACACGTGCTCGAGCATCAAGAGCGAAGGGACGAGTATGTTGTGCCAGAGGGCCGCCGCCATCTGTTGCCTCCGAAGTCTGCTGGATCATTCGTGCGACTCCGGCACCGAGATTGCGAGAGAGGAGGAGAGTTGTCCGAGCAACATTAACGTTTTGGGCGGCGGACTCAAAAAGGAGTGCTGTGATTGTTGTCTGTTGGCCAAGGATCTGCTCAGTCGGAACGAGCAGTGCATTGCTCCAGTTGGGTTTTCGGCTGGATGCTTGCGAAGTTTCAACAAGTGCTGTAATGGAGAGTTTGAGATCACCCATGCTTCGGAGATCATTACAGGTAAGAAAAAGCCTTCCGTGGATCCCCATTCATTTCAGTACCGTCTCAGGCCGCCCGCTCAACGATCCTCACGTCCTGCACCTCGGCGACAGATGCTCTTCCTCGAACTGCGAGCACTTGTGCCATGACCGTGGTGGCGAGAGGGTCGAGTGCAGTTGCCGATCCGGTTTCGACCTGGCCCCGGACGGTCTCGCGTGTGTCGGTGAGTCTTCTCTCTCTCCGCATCGCCGCTTCTCCCTCCCTTGTCCGTTTCCCCCCGTACCTCTGTGCTTCTCAGACCGAAATGAGTGTCAAACGCGGCCTTCCCCGTGTCTTGCCTCCGAGGATTGCGTCAACACGATCGGAGGATACATTTGTCAACGCAAAATCTCGCGCCTCGTCCCTCACCGTCATCGTGCGAATCGAGTGGGCAATGCGCCACGCCGGATGCGAGACGATCCGTATTCTCGTGCGGGAGAATATCGGGAAGCGTCGCAGGCGAACACAGAGTTCGGATGTCCCATCGGATGGTCTTTCCAGCACGGACAATGTGTCGGTATGTATAGGTGCTCCCGGAAACTTGAAATTTCTTCTAGATACCTATCAGACGTTGTAGTACACTCTATCATGAGTGCATGTAACAATTTATTGGCAAAACTATCTGACCGATTCATCATACATCAAAAAGCCCGTTGAATCACATACAAATACAAAAAAAAACCAAAAATTTCGGTACTCCTAGCAAGCGGAGCCCTTATCGGCGGTGCTCTACACGTTTTGAATTTAGAGAATTAACCTAGTGTTGGGTGGAGGCGGTGTATGTGAACCGACCGGACGTGGAAGTCTTCGGGGTGCCTCTTCGAGGGAGCTCTAGGACCGTTGCATCTTTACGAGCCGAACGGGAGCTTCCGATCCCTTGAACGTCGAATCTAAAGTTCGTCAACTATCAACAGTTATAGGAGATCAATCTAGACCGAAAGGGGGGAGCACCGCCAACCAGTACGAGGAGACGCGCGCGCTTATGAAGGGTAGGCGAACGAGACGGCCGACGTATCGCGGGTTCCGCCCGCTGCTATGTTTTGTGCGCTGAGTGGGCGGAGCCAGGGCACAACTATACCGTCCATTTAAGACGCTATATCTCAGCTGCTGATTGAGATATCGAAGAGATGTCAACTAACGAAATATTCACAAAGAAATGTTGTATATTTTATCAGTTAACAACTTTTTGATATCTCCACCGGCAGCCGAGATATAGTGTATTCAGAATTGGCATTTCGGCAAGAAAATTCGGTGTCTTGTCTGAAACTGCAACTCCTAATGCTGTGTGCACGTGCTTTCCCTCCAGAGTGCTCCCTGTCCCATGCGTGTTCCCTTCCGAATCAACACTGTCTTCCCTCGCCGGACAACAATTACGGACTCGGCACGTGCGTCTGCAACCGAGGATACTACTGGAGTACCGTCAATCATTCGTGTGAAGGTTCCCCCCTGCATGCTCATTCTTTTCTTCTCTCTTTTTCTTGTTTCTCTTTCTAACTTCTCACTCGCAGACATTGACGAGTGTGCCACGTTGATGGACGATTGTCTGGAGAGCCAGAGGTGTCTGAACACGCCCGGCAGTTTCAAGTGCATTCGGACTCTCTCGTGCGGAACCGGATACGCGATGGACTCGGCGACCGAGCAGTGCAGGGGTGTGTGCTTCTTCACTAACATTTATAGTTACTACCGAAGATTTTGTGATCAAATTTTTGCCACGCGCATGTCTAAATGCTAACTTACTTTAGAATTGTGAACGTTTTTGGCAAACGCAAACGCAAACACAAAAAATCAGTTTCATGACTTTGATAATAATTGTTGATAGACGTCGATGAATGCAATCTGGGATCGCATGATTGTGGAGCCCTGTACCAGTGCAGAAACACCCAGGGAAGCTACAGATGTGATCCGAAAAAGTGCGGAGACGGAGAACTGCAGAATCCGGTGACGGGCGAGTGCACTTCGATCACTTGTCCCAACGGTTATTATCCGAAAAACGGAATGTGCATTGGTTAGTTTTTGAGAATTGCTCAGCTGTTTCCATTCGGTTACAGACATCGACGAGTGTTCGAGCGGCCACAATTGTGGCTCGGGAGAGGAATGCGTGAACACTCCCGGAGCATTCAGATGCCAACAAAAGGGAAATTTGTGTGCTCATGGATACGAAGTGAACGAAGCGACCGGGTTCTGTGAAGGTGAGCGGTGCAGTTGTGAAACTGAAATTCATGTCGAACGAACATTCCAGACGTGAACGAATGTCAGCAAGGAGTTTGCGGGAAAATGGAATGCATTAACCTCCCGGGTACCTACAAATGCAAGTGCGGACCTGGTTATGAGTTCAACGACGGCGTAAGCATCGATTTTTGTGTGGCTGAACATCTAGTTCATACTGTTTTCAGAAAAAAAGATGCGAGGACATTGACGAGTGCATCAAATTCGCCGGACATGTTTGTGATCTGTCCGCCGAGTGCATTAACACGGTTTGTTCTGGGGCTATCGAAAGAATGATTGCATTTGAGAGTGGCTCGCGTAAAATGGGGGGAGGTTGAAGCAGAACAGTTCATTTTGAGTCCAAACTCCCTCGTTTCGTTTTCCAGATCGGCTCGTTCGAATGCAAGTGCAAACCGGGCTTCCAATTGGCGTCGGACGGTCGAAGATGCGAAGACGTGAACGAGTGCGCGACGGGAATCGCGACGTGCGAGCAAAAGTGCGTGAACATTCCGGGCAGCTACCAGTGCATCTGTGATCGAGGATTCGCCCTGGGCGCCGACGGGACCAAGTGCGAGGACATTGACGAGTGCTCGATTTGGGCCGGCTCCGGCAACGATTTGTGCATGGGCGGATGCATTAATACGAAGGGATCCTACTTGTGCCAATGCCCGCCCGGGTACAAGATTCAGCCGGACGGACGGACTTGTGTTGGTGAGAATTGTTGAATAATTAACTTTCCAAAGAATCATTTTGCAGACGTCGACGAGTGTGGCCTGGGCGAATGCGGCGGTTCGGACAAGGTGTGTGTGAACACTCTCGGATCGTTCAAGTGTCATTCGATCGAGTGTCCGACCAATTACATCCACGATTCGCTCAACAAAAAGTTAGTTTACCTCATTCATAAGTTACAGTTGCATGAATCCTGCATTGTTTGCAATTCATTGAACGCTAACAGAATGTTTCGTGTGATTGCAGTCGTTGTAACCGTTCGCCGTCGGCATGCGGCCTTCCGGAAGAGTGCTCGAAAGTGCCCCTCTTCCTAACCTATCAGTTCATCTCGCTCGCCCGCGCCGTTCCGATCTCTTCGCATCGGCCGGCGATCACTCTGTTCAAGGTGTCCGCGCCGAATCATCCGGACACTGACGTCGCGTTCGAGTTGCATTTGAAGACTACGATTGTCGGTAGGCGAGCTATTAAATTTGCGGGCAGAAGGGGGGTTAAAAGTGAAACTGAACATTTGAAAAGGTTACCTAAAAGTTGCAATTAAGCTCTAGGGGAACATTTTGATGTTTTGTGACGTGCGGACACTGTAAAAGTCGTTACTAACCCAATTGCAGACGCTCCAAACGTGCTGCCGGCAATCCGTGCCAATTTCCTTCTGCAAAAGGGCGAGAAGCGGAACAGTGCGGTCGTGACTCTCCGCGACAGTCTCGACGGTCCGCAGACGGTCAAATTGCAGTTGTTGCTGCGGATGAGCAAGAAGGGAAAGAGCGTGAACACGTACGCGGCGAATCTGATTGTCGACGTGGCGGCACACAAGAGACATAATACTGTGCATCCGCCAGTCATCCGATTCTAGCATGATGTTGAGTGTGTGTGTGTGTGTTCTCTCTGTGTTTCCCGATCTCATTACTATAATATTGTTGTGTTGCCTCCTATAAACATTTTCCCGGCCTTCTCTTCCAGTCAAATCGCCGACGGCTACTCGTGCATCAAAGTGTGCTCGGCCGAAGACACCGAATGTCTCGGAAACCACACACGCGAAATGTTGTACCAATTCCGCGCGGTGCCCTCGCTCAAATCGATCATTTCGCCGATCGAGGTGTCGCGAATCGTGACGCACATGGGCGTTCCGTTCTCCGTCGATTACAGTCTCGATTTCAAGGGACAACGACACTTTCAGATAGTACAGGATCGGAATATCGGTGGGTTTTCAGTGCTGCGAATATGTGCTAGGAATGAAACGGTAAAACCAATTTTAGTCCCGTTTGGGAAACTTTTCATGATTCCGAGCTTCTCAGGAGTCTCATTTTCACAAAATTATCTTTCAAACCACTCAAAAATACACTTTTGTACCGTTGTTTCACTATGAAACGTGAAAATGTTGAAATGGCCGTTTCAAGTTGTGCTCAACACGAAACCTCCATCCAAAAGTATGTTTTCCGTGCCATTCAAAGAAAAAACAAAAAAGATAGCATTCTCATTGTCGGCTCGAACAACTTCAGGAATCGTGCAACTCGTGAAGCCGATCCGTGGTCCGAGCGTGGAAACGATAAAAGTGAACATTCACACCAAGTCGCGGACCGGAGTCATTCTCGCCTTCAACGAAGCGATCATCGAAATCTCCGTCTCCAAGTACCCGTTCTAATCGGTCCCTTTCCGCTCCTCAATTCCTATTTATTTCCGGTCCGTTCCTTTTCTATAAGTCTCTAACAAACATCCGTATATAAACCGTTCGACCTTTCTATTATCGAGGGATTAATGTTGAACCAGCCAGGGGGATATTTCATAATGACGGTCTGGGCATTCGAATGAATTTGGAGTTGCCCCGGTGCGGTGAGTTGTTTTACGGTCTCGGAAATGAAAATTAATCTATACAAGGCGGACAAACCGTCATGTACAGTATAATTAGTATAAAGTTTCACCGGGTTTATGTTACTTTTACCTCGAGAAACTTGATGTGCTCAAATGAAACGAAAAAGAGTGTTTGGATACATGCCGACGATCGGTCACTTTTCCCCCAAACACTTTGAAAAACAGTGGTGCGGATGGATGGTTGGTTGGGGCCGATGGATAATAATTGGCAGCCATCATGCGTTGACATAGACACCCATAAAAAGCAAAAGAGAACAGAAAAAACGGTCTTTTCGCCTCGCCGCCATCATCCGTTTGCGCTGACCGTATTTTGTTGTTTGCAATTTTAATAGCATTTGTATAAAACGCGTATAAAACGCGTAGAAACGAGACTTTTTGCCCGAATGGAAAATGGTGTCGCTTCCAGTTCCGTTAGTCACTGATATTCTGTTAGAAGAGGACGAGCATGACGAGCGTAAGTCTGTGAGGGGACCGAAATTTGGGGGGACTATTCTTGAAAATCATTGATTTTCAGTCAAAGGCTCAGCAGGAACACTTTCGGACGAGGAGTTGCTGGCCAGGACGATCGAAAAGGCGCTCAAGTCGAAAAAGTTGGCACAATCGCCAAATATGACGTCATCGATCAAAGTGGCGCTGACCGCCGAGGACCTGCTCGACCAGATCGGAATGTGCGTTTGGATCTATTTGCGTGGTCGGAAATATCCGGAAAAAAAACAGAATTCGGCTTGTAGCACAAGTGAAACAGTAAACACGTAAACTACTGTTTCACTATGTTCTGAACGGTAATCATTCTACGTATTCGTACAAGAGCTGTGCCTGCGTATAAGGTCACAGATGGATTGTAGATGTGGTACAAACTCAAGTTTTGACATGTCGGGAAGTCTAGAATTGAATAAACCTCATAAGATTCAGATTAGAATTAGGATCGTCAGAATGAGATATTGCGTTTTGCAGCTGGAACCCGTACCCGCTCTTCATCACATTCTCGATGGCATTCCTCTGGTTATTGTCCGTCATGCCGACAATGTCACCCAGTTACATGGCGCCCTCTTCTCCGTGCACACTCGACAACTGCTCGTTTGTGACTGTTCAGAAGGAGGTGAGTGAACATGACGAAGTAATGGTGCAAACACACACACATTTGTGACGTTCTTTTGCTAAAACGACAATAATGAAAAACTTTGGCTGAACAATTTTCAGTTCAACATAACCAAAACTTTTATTGATCCCGGAGAGATGACGGCTTCGGTCTTTTTCCTGGGAAATGGAGTGCTTGGTCAGATTTACGCGGTTGCAGCTGACAGGTACCCAACTTTTGTGCCAATCGGATCCATCCACTGTTTCTAGAATCGGTCGTCGTCCCGTGCTCATCGCAAGTCTCTTCATCTCTGGTCTCTCTGGAATCGCAGCCGCCTACGCACCAAACTTTGAAACTATGCTTGTCGGACGCTTCTTTCAAGGCAGTTGCTTTACAGTAATCCCCTGATCGTACAGTACTACTCCTATATCTACCGGTATCCCCCTTCAGGCGCTCACAATGATCAACTGGGTAATGTGCTGCGAGAGCATCAGTTTCTCCGGCCACGGCTACGCTTCCGTGCTGTTCGGTCTGTGCTGGGTCATCGGATATTGTTCGGTTTCGCCGCTGGCCATGTACTTTTCCACGTGGCGATACGTTCAATTGGCCACCTCTGTGCCATGCGTGCTCTTCGGCGTGCTCATGTTGTTGTGAGTTGCGCATCTCGGCTACCGCTAAACACATCAAAAAGTTGTCCAACTTTATTAGTTGCCACGATTTTCCCATCTTAACCCGCAACTGAGATATATATCAAAATTCCAGCACCCTCCCCGAAAGCTTCTCATTCCTGGTGGCCAAGCGGAAGCGCGACGATCTCGTGAAATGGATCGAAATAGCGTCGAGAGTCGGAAACGAGGAGATTGACTACGATGCCGATCAGATTGTGGACATGTCGAGCAGAGAAGAGGACAATAAAACACTTGTGCAGACGCTCAAACTCGTGCTTCAGTCCAAACTGATGCTCACCTACACCGTCGTCGAGTCGTTTTTGTGGTAAGATCCGTGACGAACCCCGGTGGGACCGTAACCGTACCTTCCAGGATCGTCGACCTCATGATCTACAGTGCCCTTTCGCTCTCCTCGACCGGCATCGGATCCAACAACATGCACCTCTCGTACATCTTCTCCGGCCTCGTCGAGATCCCCTCCTACTTCCTGATCCCTGCCGCCATCGACTGGCTCGGAAGGAAGCCGTCCGTGATGGTCTGCCACTTGATCCTCGCCTTCTCGCTCCTCTCCATGTACCTGTTCGATCATGAGGCCGATCCGGAGATCTTTCTCATCATCTGGCTCATTGCCAAGTTTGCCGTCGCGTGTGCCTTCATGCTCTGTTTCGTGTACGGAGCAGAGTTGTTCCCCACTAATTGCAGGTAAGCAAACTTATAAAATGTGAAAAATTTTGCGGGTTGAAACGTTTTCGATATCTCTACACACACACACACAGCTGAGATGAATAGTTTTGAATGGCACGGTTTCACTAATCTGTGAAATATCATAGTTTTCACAATAACTATTGTCATATCCAAAATTTACTGTAAAAATGCTAATAGCAGCTATAATGACTATAATAGTCGTTTGTCAACTTCTTGAAACCGTTTTTTGTTGTTGCTGTTTCACGACTTTGATATCAAATGGTTCTGAACCAAACTTGCATTCAAAATGGCTCTACGTGTAGTTTTTTCAGAAGCATCTGCCTGGGCGCGTGTGCGACCATCTCCAACGTCGGAGCAGTCATGGCTCCACACGTTCCTGCCATGGTACACGCCCTTCCAATCCTTCTGCCATTCCCATTCCCCATCCGTTTCAGGACATCTTCTTTCCGGGCCTACACTACCTTTTCTACGCTCTCTGCGCGTTCATCTGCACAATTGTGACCACGATTCTTCCGGAAACGAAGGAACATCACTGCACGTCGAGAAGTCAGCAACAGTCCCTCGCTTGAGCCGAACGGATTCACGTCTTCACAACTTACAATACTCATTCTCTCAAAACTTTGCATTCAACGCCAAAAGCTGAAATTTCAGTAATTGAGTTGTGGAGATTCGAATTTTGACCAATTCTCGGGTATTTCTAACAAAAAAAGGATGTCTGTTTCATGTGCTTGTTTTGTAATAAAGTGTGCATTTTGCGATCAATAGGTTGACGATCCTGATCAATTTTTTTCAACTTCCTCTTTTACTGTGTTCAGTTCTCGAACAATTACAGTTTCACAGTGTCCATTTCTATCGATTCACACCTTATCGTCAATTATTGCACATGATAGTTACGCTAAAGTCTTTTATTCTCAAAAGAAAAGTGTCCGAAAAAAGAAGGGTTTTAAAAAGAAAGCATACGCGACCCGTGAAAACTATCCTATTTGTTATTCCTCTCCTTCACTCCACGTTCTGCAGCGGTTCTTCCTCTCGCCGCACTTCCGTTCTCTCTTTCTTCCGCCGTTTCAACATGAGCTCTTCCGGATGCCAGAATCTGAAAATAACCGTTATGAGTTTAATCATTTTTTGAAACATTATACTTCAAATAAACGGTGACACCGATCGAAATGATGAGAATGATGACGCACAAGAAGAGGAGGAAAATGAGCACGTTCACAAACTTGTGCGGCTCGTTATCGTAGTCCTTGTACTTTTTCCGGTATTTCAGCGTCGTCGGCACGCTTGTCGTTGGTTTCTGTCTGAAAGTGCTCATTCTCGCCGTCGATTTGGTGCCCTCCAGCTCGTCCATCGTCTCCAGAATACTCTTCCTCGTCGCCGCTTCCTTCGTCGTCTTCTGTGTCGACGTGGCCACTCTCTCCATCACTCCTTTTTGTGCATTATCCACGAAGGTGATCCACTGTTTCGTCTCTTCCGTCGGGTCCAAACACACACTTTCATTGGTGCCCGGCAGCGATTCGAGCATCCACACTTGGCCGTGTCCGTTCAGATCGCACAACACTTCGTCGAGGTCGTCTATCTGGAAGTATGACACATGGCTCCGTGGCTCAAAACCCAAACATCTTTATCGGCCACTTCTACTTGATAATAACGTCTAGAAACAGGAAAACTTCAAGTCATGATAATCGAAAGAAATTTTTATTTACAAATTAATAATTCCGGTTTCACATCTAAAATGTTCAGTGCATCCAGAAACTGTAAACTCTAATTATCTTATCCCTCTGGAAAACATAACTTTACTGTATCAGCTTTCTCAATGTCATGTTTACTATCCTGTTTTTGTTCTCTTCAACCCATTCCTACCTTTGCCCGATTGTTGCCCTTCATCAGCCATCTCTGCAGATCGGACGGCGATTCGCAGTCGCACGCGAATCGAGTGAAATTTCCGCCGATTCGAACCTAAACACTCCTTTTTTTTTGTTTATCACCACCGATAGCGAAATCGAAAGTGAATCACTGCGCATTGATACGAACAGAAAGGGTTCCTACATCAATCGGAAACTGGTTTTTACTGTCCAAGAAATCGAGATGAGAACACTAACCTTTTTCAAAGAATCCAAGCGGACGAGTGACGTGGCAGTCGGTTGATTCAACGGATTATCCGAGAGGTAGAGATGGGTGAGCGAGGGAAGTTTCGAGATGGAATCGGGGATCGACGTGATCGAGGAGGCGCTGATTTCCAGATGGGTCAGGTTGGCGAGCTCCGAGAGTTGCGTCTGGAAACATGGAATTACGGTTTTGAACAGCTTGTACAGATGAATAATAGGAAAACACATTACCGAGACTTTTAGACCCGCTTAACATAAAAAATGCTCCGAAAATTGAGAACTTGAGTGTCCTTTATGGCATCTAACAAAAGAGCTTTCAACTAGACTCATAAGAAATTTTGAAATTTCAGATTGTATTTAAAAAGTGCATAGTAAAATGATGTACTTGAAACAGTACTCTTTCTGTTTCAACTTTTCATAATCTGCGAACCTATAATCACTGCTTTTAACTCCCCCCCCAATCCCATCAAAATCTCACCATTTCCATCGACGTCATCTTGGTGTTCGTGATCTTTAAAGCTCTCAAATTCGTCAACTCTTTCAGCATTCCAGTCTGAAATTCCTCTCATTTCCTCCCAATCTCTTTCTCATTCCCGCCGCCCCTTTTCCAACCTCAAAAACCTTCCAATCGGTCTGATCCATGTGCAATTGTGTGAGTGGGCTCGGCAGTTTTCCCATCTTGTCCCATCGAAGTTTGTCGCAAACCATTATGTTTTGCGACGTCTGAAACAATGAGAGAGGTGATTCAGTTCCTGGTTCGGTACGGTTCGCTTCCTTATCATTTGGGCATCCAAGAAAAAAAAGTGAAAAGTGTAAAGTAAGGGCGTGCGCGTGATCCTTAGAGGCGCAGAGAGACGCGGGTTTGGGTATAAAAGGGGAACGATTGGGACGGAAAGGACATCATCCAAGTGATCTGTCATCATGGAGGACAACAAAATCAAGGTGAGTAGGGACCGTTCCAAACGGTGCCGGACGATCGATCCGATTCCAGGCCTACCGTCTCATCGGCTACGCGGCCGTCTCTCTTTCCGCCGTCGGCATTCTCTCCGTCTGCATCACGCTCCCGCTCGTCTACTCGTACGTCTCGAACCTCCGCTCCCAGATGCACTCGGAGCTCCGCCACTGCCGTGACACCGTCAACACCGTCTACGCCACGGCCGTCGCGATGCCGTCGCTTCCCGGCCGTGCGAACCGTACCGCCCGTCAGGCCGGCTACGACATCGCCGTGCAGGAGGCTCCGGCTCAGGAAGCTTGCGATGGGTGCTGTCTGCCCGGCGCTGCTGGGCCAGTTGGAGCCGCCGGAACCCCGGGACGTCCAGGACGCCCAGGAGCTCCGGGAGCCCCAGGACACCCAGGAAAGCCGCCACAGTCGCCGTGCGAGCCACTGACTCCACCACCATGCCCAGCCTGCCCACCAGGACCACCAGGAGCGCCAGGAGCACCAGGAAAGCCAGGAGCCGAGGGACCACCGGGAGGACCAGGACACGACGGAGCGAACGGAGGACCAGGAGGGCCAGGAGCTGAAGGACCACACGGACCAAACGGACACCCAGGAAAGCCAGGACCACAGGGACCACAGGGACCACCAGGACATTCGGACGGGCCGAAGCCAGGACAACCAGGACAGCCGGGAAGAGCGGGACCACGTGGACCACGCGGAATCGCCGGACTCAAGGGCAAGGACGGAGCCCCAGGAGCGCCTGGACAGCCGGGACCACGCGGAGGACCGGGAGAACCGGGACTCGACGGAGCTCCAGGACAGCCGGGAGTCGCCGGAGCCGACGGAACCCCAGGAGAGAAGGGAATCTGCCCCAAGTACTGCGCCATCGACGGTGGCGTCTTCTTCGAGGACGGATCCAGACGCTAGACGCCTCTCCGATCATCACTTTTTCGGTTTCAATAAACAATTTAGCATTGCAAATTCTTTCGAAAATAGTACCGTGCACACCACCCGAAAAATCGGCAAAAGCTATACTATACAGTTTCCAGAACATCCCTTCTCCCCCAACCGATATTTTCAATCAATCCCATTTTTTTTCGATTGGGAAACGCTAAAAAACCCACGCGAACACTGGAAACGTCGGCGGATCGGAGACATCTGCACGTGGGCGGACACTGGAATCGGCACGAACACTCCTTCTTCTCGCAACATTCGCATTCCGCCTCACACATCTGAAAATGACTGTTTCGTCGTTTATGAAACTTTTGAAACTGAATCGCCAACTCACATTCGAGTACTTGCAGAGCAACTGATTCCGGGAATGAGCCAACGTCAAGAGCACGCGCTTCTCCGGCTTCAGAATGTCCGAACATTGAATCGCTTGCAAATCGCCAATCGATACGTTCTAGAAATTGACTTTTTAAAGATTTTCAGCAATACAGTACCTTGGATCCAGCATCGATCAGCCATTTATGATTGCAATGGCACATCAACGGATTGTCGGCCAGGAACACCTTCATCTGATGCTTCGACCCTCGGAAACTCGCCGATTTCACCTCCGCGAGACTGTTGTTCTTCAGATCCACGAGAATCAGATCGGAGAGGTGGCCGAAGGCGTGGTCGTGGAGGGAATTCAGACGGTTACTCGACAGATCCACGTGTTTGAGCTCTGACGGCAGTACGTTCACGGCTCCTGAGACCAGGCCCGATATGAATTCGATTCGGTTTCCGGCCAAATCCAGACGTTTCAAGTTGCGAGCACTGGCGGGCACGTAATGGATCGTCGAGACGAGGTTGTGACGGATCGAGAGATCGGTCAAGTTCTCAGGGAATCTGAAAAAGTGTACGGTACTTTGACTAGCGCACTACGGTACCTTCTGAAGTCAATGTTCGTGATTTTGTTGTTGTTTATCGTGACCACTTTCAGTTTTGTCAGCGAAATCAGCGTATTCGTCAGGAATCCAATGTCATTATCGCTCAGATCCAAGTGAATTAGGTTACTGTAACAGTCACAACTGATATGATAAACCTTGATAGGCGAATGCAATTACTGAAGCGATCGTAAAGAGTACGGTTCAATTCTCAATCGATTGCCGGACAAGTCCAAAGTCATCAAATTGGGAATGTGGGCGAAGATTTGTCTCGGAAAGTCGGTGATGTTCGCATTCTTCACAATCAACGAGTAGAGCTGGCCGAGGCCCTGTAAAACTAGAGTTAGAAGGCGTCTCGGATGGGTCCGACCGCGAAAAGAGTCTCTGGCACTTGATCAATCAGACATCTGTCCAGTTCGAGACGGTCCAAGTTGCGGAAACCTTGGAATAGGGCCGGCGGAGGAGTTGAGATCTTCGGGGAGTGGTACGGACATTTGATGGTGAGAGTTCGGACGAGATCCGGACGGGCCAAGTGGAGAGTGGAGGAGTTGAGCTGGAAATTAATGGAAATTGGGATTGATTTCTGTTTCAGTGAGGTGTCAATTGTTCTAACCACTTTCATCGATCAATCATGTTTCTTTATCTTTGATTCTTGCGAGGGTGACGAGGAAAATTCTAGTCCATTTGCCCCGGGGTCGCAGGCCGTGGTACTAGGCCACGGTTTCCGCCGAGTCCCCCGGCTGAACAAGAAATTATTAGGCCACGCCAGAAGTTAGGCCAGGAGGCCGAACCGAAGAAACTCGGCCATGGGGAATGTTTCACGAATTTCGCGCTTGTTCTCTGTCAATTAATGCTTGTTTTCGGCTGAGTATTGTATTTTTTTATCTCAAAAATGAAAGAACGCAGTTTATAGAAGCTTTATTATTTTTAGTAATTGTTGTCAACAGAGAAAAATTGCCAACAGCAAAAACCAATAACAGCGCTGTGTAATGTTCCTGCAAAGCAGTAAGAACGTCCTCAAAATGCTGTCGGAAACAATTGCGGCTAAACAGAAAGCGCGCGTGCCAAACTTGCAAAATTGCGTGCGGCAATTGCGCAAGACCACGCCCCTTCTTTGAATGGTGGCCGAGTTCGCGGCGGGTTTCTCACTACACCCTCGCAAAGAATCACCGTGTATCAAAAATTTAAGGCAAAAAATTGTCATCGAAGTGTCGAATTGATAACAAAATGTCAAGATTTGTTTTTCGTAATTGCGAAATCGAAATAATCCGATTTTTTGGCAAAATCTGTCGATTTTCGCAAGTTTTTCGATGAAAGTATGTAAAATGTGTTTTATTTTGTACGATTTTAGAGCTAGAAAAGTGGGACAACGAGCATTTTTGGTGAAATTTAAAAGAAAATGCATTTAGAGACGAAAATGGAAAAGAGTAAATTGCTGAGTGCGGTGGAGCGCGTTTGCTCAGTCCATTCTGTCCGAATCAATAAATTGAAACATTTGAAGACAGTTTCAACGAGATCATGAATATATCGAGAAAATGATAGTGGCAGTATAACATTTCAACGGTTTTGTTGCATTTCAGTGTGCTCTCCTCTACAGATCTTCATTTTTAGACGTCTCATTGACGAATCCCTCCCCCTCATTCATCGTTTTGTTCATTTCCATGTACTGTTACGTGATGCCAACTCACGCGTCGCCTAATTGATAATGAGGCGCCACCCCGCTGCCCCGCAATTACCTGTTCCCACTTGCAAATGAGATGCACTTGTTGGTTTTGTTCGTTATCCGCATAGCACTGACACCGTTTCGGACACGGGAACAACGGCGATGACGACGTGGCAACCGAGAGAAGAAGAAGAAGAAGAAGAAGAAGAAAGAGAGGGAAGACGGACATGAACCATGAAGAAGCGGATGAGAATGGCACCTGCAATGGGTTTTAAAGCAAAGATTCGAAAGAAGAGGAAATGGAAACGGAAATTACGGCTGGTATCGTTATGTTCGCTTTATAAAATGGCCAACTTGACAATTTCACTTCTTTAAGTGTTCGTGAAACTGTAAAAAGAGAATGCACGTAAAAAACCCGGACTTCTGAGTTTTAAAGACTATATTTCGCCTCAAAACTGTGGAAAAAGCGGGCGAAAGCAGCGAGAAAACAGTAGGTAACAAACGAGCGAAAAAGTGAGGTCAAAAGTTGCGCTTTCCTATGAGAAATGATTTTTTGGGGACAAAACGCAGACGAGGCTGCGTGGCGAGGCGCAATTTGAGCGGAGGGGGACCACGGACGGAATGTTGTCCAAATACATATTCATTCATCTTTTTTTCCTTCCCCCCTCGGCCTTCTGAGAAGAGCGGTCCCGGCGGAATCAGAAGACGACACAAAATGGCAAAGGGTCGCCCGTTTGACTGGCCGAGAAGAATGATTGCCGCGCGTGGAAGAGAGATCCTCAATTGAGATTTCATATATATTTCCGAAACGGGCAGCACATGAACTAGTCTTTCTGCCGGAAAAGAGGCGGGGGGGGGGGCGGCGACAATCTGATTTACGAGTTATTTTGCCATGAAAAGTTTGAGAAGAGTGATGGGCAATAAATTGAATTTGTATAGTTTGGAAAGTGAAGAGAGACGCAAAAAACTGACATCAAACAGCACACGAAGCAGAGCAGTGAAAAGAGGCGAACGGATATCTTCTTTTTCTGGCGAGAAAGGGACCGATTCCTGTTTTTCAAAGAGGCTGAAATTGTTTGTTTTTGGTCCAGGCAATTCAATGCAAATGATGTGTTCAATTGAGAATTCAAGCACAACAACTTGAATCTGAACACATTTCTTGGCTGTAAAAACAGATATTGTCCCTTCAAAACGGTTTATCTAGAGAAATTGAAAAGTTGTCAGCTGATAAAATGCACATAAAATGTTTTTTAAATGTACAATTTATTAGTTGACATTTAGCGCTGCTTGTAAGACTACAAACTACTACTTTTAGGGCGCTGCTCTCGTGAATGATTTTCACGTAAATTCAACCATACCAATTCCAGTCTGTCACATGGAAGCTGGCTACATGTTTCCTGAGATAAATCACCAGAAACCTCGTGGGAATTGGTCCACATTCATCCTGCACGTCATCGTTTTTTGGGTGACTGGACTGCCGCCGGTACGTCATTTGCCCTGAGGAGAATAGCCGGTGATGGCGGCTATGGCGCAGTGGTATCGTTTTGGATTCGTTAAAACTGGTCATCGCGAGTTCGAATCCCACCGCATAGACATATCTTTTGTGATGTTTATTCTCACAGAAAACTATATTCCTAAGCGTTTTCAATCGAAATTCCATGTTAAAAAGTTGTAAAAGCGAAATCGATTTTATCGTGGTCATAGTTCCACTTAAAAGCACACAAAAACCGTTGCGGGAACCAGACAATGGACAAAAGTGAAGGAAGCTAGAAGCAATTGGACTAGTACCCAAAGAGACATGGAATTGGCAAAAACGCAGAGGATTCGAGTGATATGACACGGTGAGGGAGGGAAATTCGCGAAGGAATCGGCGATCACAGGTAGGACGATTCGGCGGGCGGTCCGCTGTTCGGCATCTGCAATTATACATTGTTCGACGAAAACGATAGGGTTACGGTAGGTAATTACGTACTGTCATATGTCTAAATTAGGTTCCCAACCGTTTGTTGTGATCTATCGGTGTGGGGAGCGACTGGAAGGACAGGCAGACAAAAAAAAAGAGACAAACCCGAATGAAAGAGGTCTGTTTGATGTCCGATGGTTTCGGCGACTTTGTGCCGCCTCGCAACGTTTTGATGAGCATCTCTTTGAACATCGGATTGAGCCACGCGTACAGAAACGGATTCGTCACGTTTGTGAGCATCGAGATTCTGCAAAGAAGATGTAATAATGGTTTAACTACACAACTGCACTTTCTCTCAAAGGGTTTTTGATAAAAAGCTCATGAAACAGGACGTTTTTAATTTCACTATTCTTAACTAAAAAATTGAAAGGGGAAATTATTGGTTTAGTTAGGGTACCTTATAAACTTTTGTACCTAATGAAACAGTATTTTAATGGAACCTACCCTGCCCCCCTAATGATATTCAAGACGGTATATCTCAGCAACCATTAGAGATATCAAAATGTTGTCAACTAATAAATTGTTCATTAAGACATTTTGCACATTTTATCAATTGACACCTTCTCGATATCTCAACTCGCAGCCGAGATACACTCACAAATGGGCGGTCGTCGAGACGATGTAGGTGTGATCGGTGTTGGTGGCCGAGTTCTCGTCGGAATGGAAGAAGAACTCGTCGTACTCGATCATCAGAGTGACAACATTGTGTGGGAGCCAAGTGAACGCAAACAGCAGAACCATGCACGAAAGAATCGTGGTGGTCCTTCGTTGTTGGGCCAGAACCGCGAGACGTTGCTTGTTCTCAAGTCCATTTTGGACGGCTTCCTGCAAAAATGCTGTTAAATTTAGAGGGTTTGAGAAGTGAAAAGGATAAAATGTTAGTTTTCGCTTGGATTGAATTCACTGAACAACTGGCTATGCCTTGACCCCAAAAACACCAGAATTACTATATACACAATATAGGATTGACTAAGAACGTTACCTTTACAATCAATGTGACACTCTGAAATGGTAACATTGATTTTGGGTCTGCAAACTTTGCGTTTTATTGACTAACCGCATTGATACTGATGATATGATTGGTGGTCCCGCAAGTTGTGCTGTTCTCCAGCAGTTGAGATCGTTCGGATAGCTTTTTCAGTTTCGTCTCCACCCTAAACATCCATTTTATTCTCATTTTTCAGTACAGGGGGTTCACCTTTGTCTCAAACGCGAAAAGATGTTGTAATAGCAGAAGGCCATGGTGGCAAACGGGAACAAGAACTGCGTGATGAGCACCAGGAACGCGTAGCCCTTTCGGACCTCGGCCAGCGGCCAGTGCTCCGTACAGTACTCCCCGCACAGTCCGCCGATCTTGTCGACGTCCATGTACCAGCCGTAGGGCATGCAAACGACCACACTGATGACCCAGATGAGCAGAGCGATCATCATCGCACTTCGGGAGCTCAGCTTCTGTTTGTGAGGCCGGACGACCAGGTTGTAGCGGTCGAGGGCGATGGCGGAGAGCGAGAACGTCGAGACGAAGATCGAGGCGCCCTGGGAAACATTGGAATGAAGTTATTTCAGAGAACAACTCGAATGGTTGATGGAATCAAACAATACCTGAACCAACGGAATCAGTTTGCAAATCGGCGACGAGAAGAACCATTGCTTGTAGACGTTCGTGATGAAAGTGATCGGAAGACTCGTCAGACACATCAGCACGTTCGAGGCGCACAGATTGAGAATGAAGATGTTCTGGACGGTTTGCAACTGACGGTGCTTCATAGTCAGGTATCTGAGTGAGTGAGGAACGTTTTTGAGTATTAGTCAGTCACAAATAATCGTCAGCGTTCAAGGTTGACTCTCGTGTTCGAAAAACTCACAATACTGCCGAATTGCCGAGTATTCCGAGCAGAAAAATGTGCAAATAGAGGATGGAGAAGGTGACGAGGACCGCCGGCTGGTTCGTCAGGTCCGGATGCTCGTCAATGTACCGAGTGCACGTCTCCTCGGTCTCGTTGATCATCTGAAACGCTCAACTCTAACATTTCTAGCCGGATTCCATGGATCCACAGGTCAAAAGGGCCATCAGTAACCCAATTAGATGACGTGGCAAAAACGGGAGGGGGGAAGCGGATGATGATGATGATTGTGTGCGCGGTGCGGCGGTCTTGAGCCTTCCGAGCAATTACCCGAGTGCTCCCAATTAAAACAGGCTCAGCCCCCTTTTCCCTTTCCTTTTTGGATCATCATTAGGACGGGGGGGGGAATCGGGTAAATAATTGAGAGCGAGTCTGGTGGATTTCTGAGAAATCCCCCCTTTCAGAGCTCACAAACCAAAGTGTTCTGTGTGTCGAGAAATGATCGAATTGAAAGCGAAATGTTTAATACATTTGAAAGTAGGTTGGGGCCGGGAAAGGGGACAATTGTGCTCAAAACGGCTATTAATTTGATGACGATTCGAATCGATGCGAAAAGAATTCAAGTGGAAATGAGTTAATGAGGAGCATGATGAGCAGATGAGCAGCTAGTTCCGGTTTCGAGATGGTAAAAACGCTTAGTTTGCAATTGTCAGTCAAGGTTGAAACATGATAAATGAGAAATTTGTGAAACGGAAAACTCAATACTGTTTCATTAACGTTTGAAGATTGTAGAAGGTTTCGAGAATTTCGGTGCTTGATCGGATTCGGAATCAAAATGGTGCGTGACACTTTGAATTCGTAGACCTTAGATCTCAAAAAGGAAGGGCAATGAAAGGGGAGGAAGTGAAAAGGGGCGAATTCTAATGAGAGCGGCCGTGTTGATGATGTTCTCTCGGTTCGACGCAACTTTTCCTCGTCCAAATATTATTATTCTCCAACTCGAAACACCACTTGGTCGCCGCTAAAACGTTTCAAAGAAGTAAATGACGAATGGTTCTCGGAACGAGCACTCTGACCAGTGCCAACAAATTGATCATCGGCAGCGGCATCTCTGGGTTTATTGAAATCAATAAATAAGAGTGTTATTAGCATTTTTAATAGTGAAATAAAGTTGAGCTGGAGACAGAAATCACGTAAACTTCACACACAATTTTTGACAAATTTTGATAATAGAAGAGCCAAAAGTCGTGCTGGATTCGATTTCTCAAAGTTCAGCCGCCTCCAGACACGTTCGGAAAGTGCATTCTTCCGTTCTCATCGGTGGGAAACGGGAGAAAAAGAGGAGAGAAATTAGAAATGCGCGGCCGGATGACGAAGGAGCGCAGAAAGAAAGGTTAATTTTGGAATTGGAGACGAGAAAAGGCAAGGGGGGGAATAAAAAGAAAAAGTACCGGCAGCAGACTGGGAGACCAATCTATTTAATTGGCAAACACTTAACAGCGTGCCCCGTTTTATTGCTCGTTTGCTCCGTGAGCCCGAAAAAGAGCAAGGAGAGAAGAGGGGGGAGGAGGATAATTGACCGACATTCTTTCATTCTCATTCAATTCGTTCGCGCGCTTCACACCTTCCAAAATGCCGGAAATTTCGGTCGTTTTGACCCGCAAATAGCCGCGAAATTGGTTGTTCGCGAGAAAAAGCGAAAACGATGAAATCAACGATTTGAGCCTAAGAGTGGGCAGGGCAACAGTTTTCTAATTTAAAATCACAGTTTCGGTGAGCGGGTGAAACAGAAATACAGTAAACGGAAGATTAGTTGCAAGACGATGTAACAATTTGAAAAAAATGTGATCGAAAAGTGAGTAGCTACCAAAATTTTTGTTCAAAACTGCAGAAACCAAGCCGAGAAACGTTTTTGGGGCTTTATTCGTAAAAATGATCGCTACCTGGACACATTTTCCCTACATTTCCAGCAATTTGATTCGATATACAACAATTGCAACAGTTGCAACTTGATCCAGTTGAATATTAGGCTTCTGTGGCCTTAAAAGTTACTAATCCCTCTTCAAAGTCGTTGGAAAACAAGGTCTAAGCAACATTTTTCGGAAAAAGAAACGTCCCTAATCACAATCACTTGATTTTAGAAGAAGATAAAGATAGCGAAAAACAGAGAAGGATTTAAAGAGGTAAAGAGGGAGATGTATCATGAAATGAGGAAAGAGAAGAAAAGTTGCAGGAAAACGAGAACTACGTAGACGAGCCGAAGTTGTTCCTGTGCTGTGTGGCCGAACAAATCAATAATAATCACGAGACGGTCCCGTCTGCGGCGTGGGTCTGCTTGCGCCATGGGTCTGCGCGTCGCGTGGGTCTGCTTGCGCCATGGGTCTGCGCGTCGCGTGGGTCTGCTTGCGCCATGGGTCTGCGTGTGCCATGGGTCTGCGTGTGACAGTTATCCTTCTTTGTGGTTCTCTCCCAGAGTCCCAAGTTCGTCACCATATCCGTCAGTTCCTCTTTGACATTGAGCGTCGGGCCACGATGGCTCCTTGAGCCGAAACGTTGTAGTTTGTGAAATGAGTGCAAGAGACTAAACAAAGATGATCCATCATCTCCTTCCAAGAAATAAGAATACGACGCACGAGAACCAAATAATCGAATCACTCAAAAAGAATTTTTTGTGCCATCCAAAACGTTCAACTACAGTCCAATTTTCCGTTTCAACCATAGCACATTTTTGAAACTGGCAAAAATGTTTAGTCAATTTTTACAGGAACTGAGTTGTAGTGAAATCTATTGATAGATTGCTCATTTAAAATGCAAATGAAACCGAAATTTTGTAGCCTTGATGACAATGCGATCACAATTAGAACGAAAAGTCATCAGGGACATGTAAAAGTACAATCGCCCTCAAAAAGTGCGAGCAAAAACGATTTTCGTGGCAGCGGGATTCGAACCGGCGCCGGACAGTTTACAAGTGCAAAACACAACCACTGCGGCGGGTGCAAGGGTAATGACGAGCAAGCTCAAAAATGCGAAAATGGTTAACCTATTCATTGAAACTTTTGCACAAAAAGTGGCAGGAAAAGATGATATTCATACACAATCATGGGAAAATCGCTTCTATTTGACTCCACGACATTCGGAAACAAAATATGATCAAATTTCAGCACTTTTCAGGCCAAAATGCGTGTTTCTTGGAGCAGAGAAGCCCCAAAAGGCGGCGAAAAGATCAAAAACTGAGGATAAAGAATCGGGGAGAGAATAGAAGAGATGAGACACTCACTCGCTTGTTATTATTTTATGACAATCCTAGGATATCAGGTAACACTGCCTTCGAATGGGCCTTCTGACGAAAAAAGAAAGAACGAGAGAGAGAGAGAGAGAGAGAGAGAGAGAGACAGAGAGATCCAAAAGGTCTGAGTGTTAAAGTTGTGAAAAAGGATTAGTGTTTGGTGGGATTAACTGACTGGCCCGACACAGACTGAATACACTTCTGGAACTGAACCCTTTTTCTGACATTTGTTCCTTTTGTCAACCCGAAATATTGTGGTCACTCGTAGAAAATGGAAGCAAGCTTGGAAGCAAAAATGGTAAAAAAGATTTTGAGGCAGTGGCGCTCGAACCCGCGTCGAAAGGTTTGCGAGGCAAAACTACTACTACTGCGCCACACGCGCGCATGCTGCTGCTCGCTGCAAGGGTAATAGGGTGCTAGGTGGCCGCAGGGATTAGAACGAAAAATATTCGCCTCAAAGTTAGGATTACCAGGGAAAACTGACGAAAACCGAGTTTCCTGAAGAAAAAATGAGGCTCAAAAGTTAGTTCCGGTCTGGATTTGATTGACAAGACGTCAAAAAGTTGAGAAGATGTGTAAATTCTCCTAGTTTTTCTATTTTTAACTTTAAAGAAAGTGTGCAACTGCAAAAACGGTGCATCAGAAACCACGGGGAACTCTTTCACAGGAAGTCTCCAAAATTGACAGAAAACTGGCTGACAGGTGTCTGAAAAAGAGGGAAAAACAAGAAAAACAAGGCTGAAAATGAATAAATGAGATGAAGATGAATGGAGAGAGAGAGAGAGAGAGAGAGAGTGCACAAGAAGTCGTACAGGAAAACGAAAAAGACATCATCCGTTGATGCATTAATGCGACGACGAGCATTTTGTGATCAGCCAGATGTGTGATAAAAGGGCAAATCTAGGATAACTTGCAGTTTGTGGAGAGCGTGCATTTGATGTTGTAACACGTGTTTTCCATCTGGGAGAAACGGGGACAAACCGGGATTTGGACCAGGCTTCGATCTTTTGGACCACGTGCCGTACTTCTATTGGACTCGAACTTTTCAGGCTTTCGGACTTGGATTGAAGTACTTTGGGACCAAGTTTCAGACCGCACGGATCTCAGGAGATATGTAGATAACTAGTTTTTGAGATCTTTCGGCCTTCCATCCACATATCTCTAGACGAGTTTTTCCGAAGCCTGAGAAGCCTAGGGGACTTAAAAAATTGCTCGAATTTCTAGGTAGTTGCAAATTTTTTTTTGCGATACACTTACACTTTTATTTGCAGTTTCAGAACGTTCACTTAACAAATGACCGTTTCGAACCTCATTACGTCCTGATAAAAATAAACAGTTTCACGGCTACAATCTATAAAGTTTGTAAAAGCCATTTCGCAACCGTTTTTCCAAGCCAAATGGCAAAGTTGTTCATACTCTCTAGTAAAGCATGGATGTGACGGAACAGTTGCGAAATGTCCTCTAAGTCAAAAAAAACAAGCGTGAAACGGGATGAGAAAGGTGAGAAAAGTAAAGGAGGAATCAAAAGATTTCGGATCTTTTAATTGAAAACAAACAAGAGGAGCCGCACAGAAAGAGAGAACGGGAGCGAGGCCGTCGGGTAAGTGCCCTCACTTTTATTGTGTCAACCCGTTCGAGCACATTTCCGGAGGACGGCTGGAAATGTCTGAAAGTACCGCTTCCGGAACACAACAACAACCGCTCCTCAAATTGTAATGGGACTGACCTGAGCCGTGTGCAGCTGTATCAACTTTCTGCGCATCTCCTGCAGCATTCGGGTACCGTCCGACTGGCGAAGCATGTTTTTCAGCGCCTGCAACAAGCAAAAAGTGGATGTATAATAGTAGGGGAGGGGGTGCTGAAAATGCTGAAAATGACAGGAAGTTCGACGCCCACCAAATATTTTTCTTCAAAACTCGTCTCACAGGTGGTTTTCCCCCGCCGCCCGGGACAATGTCTGAAAATGAGAGAAAGATGGAGAAGAAGAGCGATTCGCACTGTTTCTGTGAGGGAAATGCGGGGTCAAAGTTTGGGTCTGCCTGTTTTCGGAATCAAAAAGTGAAAGTGTGACGAGATGATTTGTGCATTTACAGGAGTTCTTTTAGAGAGAGAGACACTGTTGTGACTTGTTCGAAACTGCAATTTTCAGTTTCACAAACATATTATTTAATATTTATGGTAGGTATTTATAGTAGAATGAATCTTTTCCAAGTTCGTTTTGAAAAGGATTCGGGGGATTCGGAGAACAATTTCAAGAATAGAGAAATGAAATGAGACACGAACTTGTGTAGAAAATTGAGCCCGAAACTCGATTTGTCTCTGTAATTTCCGGCCCCTTTTCCGTTCCTGTTTGTGTTCGGCAGCTTCAATTGCCTTGTTATCATCCGGGAAACGAGATTCCGATAGTCGGATTCGATTTCACTTCATTCCGCCTTTTTTTGGCTTCCTTTCGGATCATTGGTGGAATTCGAGTCAAATGACTACAAATCATGGGTGGAAAATGAGAAATGCCGGAAAGGACAGGTGAGAAATGTGACGGAAAACCGGAAATTTGACAATTCGTGATTTATGATATTCCAGAGAACACTTTCGGAAACTGGTTGGCGTCTAGCGCAAGCAATACTATCACTGCCCTAGGTGCCAAACTGCTTGATGGTGTGCGTGGCGTAGTGCTTTCGTTTTGGACTATGAGTTAATCGGCGGGGGTTCGAATCCCAATGGTCGGAAAACATTTTTGCACTACAATTTCATTTCAACACGCTCAAAAGAAGATGTCGAAAAGAGCACAAAGTTCAGGAAGGCCGTCTCTCTTTTCATTCTTCTCGTGGCGCAAAACGTGCGAGACGTGAATATCAATAGGCACGGAAAGCCGCCGTTTCACTCCTCTCCCACATCATGAGAGTTTGAATAATTTAGAAGGCGGATGACTGACGGGCGGAAGATTTCACGCAGCCGAAGGGTTTCTTTGCCGCCTCAACAAGGTTTCCGAGACTGACTCACGACGAACACGCACACACTTATTTCCGAACCAACACGACATCATTCAAAATCGTTTCGAAGAATTTGCTCGCATTCGAAATGACATGACATTTGAACATTCCTTGAGAACGATGTTTTCTCTTAAAAAGATCGAGGAACTGAACAGGAAGCTGTGTGCTCCTGACTATTGTACAACCGTGTTTCATCACTGTGACATGAGATCACTGTTTCGACTTTCACACCAGTGATATAGACTATTGGCGCATAAAGGTGAGCACAAAGACTCAAAGTGCCGACAACTCTCATATACTCTTTTAAAGACTCACCACGAGGTCCGGCGCCTCGACCCGAGTCTTTCCGATCGACATGATGACGTGTCTCAACTGACTGCTTTCTGTGGAGGCGGTGACGGTGCCCTCCTGAAGAATTAGAATTTTTGTGAAAAAGAATGTATGTAGGTAAAAAGGAAGATTATCAGAAAACGTGTCTTATGAAACTTTGAATCATATTTTGATTGGTTGAAAAAGTTGACATTCGGACCACAAAGGGAAATGATTAACGAACTGAAAACTGCAAATTCATGTAACCGTGAAACTTTGAATTTTGTTGATCAAAACGCTTTAATAAGACTATTGCCACGACGTGGAAAAGTTATAATTCAAAATCTGGACGAAACCGACAAAATAATCATCCAAATATAGAAATTCGACGAACTTTGAAATATTCAGAAAAACCGAAGAACACGGCTCTTTCCGTGTCGCACTTTCCCGCCCAAATCGATGAATTATTCAGGACCGAGCAAAGCGTGTTCGACCTTTCTTTGAAGATTTGTTAGCGAAAAAATACTCGAAATGAAGGTATCAGAAAGTCATATTCGGGACGTGATTCGATCAAATTTTGAGATTATTGGATCATGACCATTCTGGGAATGATTTGGCAGAAGGCAAAATGTGTTACGAACACATAGAAAACAAGAAATGCGGAAAGTGATTAGAAATGACGAGGTAGTGAAACATTTTTCTCTGATTTTTCCGAATAGTCTTGTTTTTCATACGGCTCAAAGAGCTGAAATAATAGATGGAACACAATTGTCAGACACTTGAAAAATTACTAAAACCGTAAGTTTGTGAGTGCAAAGCAAAACAGAGCAAAGAAACATTGTGCGAGATGGGGAAGAGGGGGAAATTCATAATTTATGAAAATATTTACTTATAAATTGGTGGCGGGGTGCCTGCTAATGGATTCTAGGAGAAAAGAGGCCTCGGATGCATTCAACTCTGGCATTCAACTTGATTACAAGATTGTGTAAAACTGTTTTCTTCACTGCACCCGGATGTCGTTGACTCAAAACGATCTAACTCAGCTGCGCGTGGAGATATCAAAAATCTGTCAACTAACAAATTGTTCATAAGGAAATTTTGCACATTTTATCAGTTGACCACTTTTTGATATCTCCACAGACAGCTGAGATACATTGTTTCAAACGGAACACTGTTTCAAAGTGAGCATTTCCAGAGAGAAACTTGCATTCTTCGATTTGTGTAATTATCAGGAAACAGTTCCAAAAACTAGCAGTGCTAAAACTGTGCGCTGAAACACGAGAAACGCTTGCAAAAGGAGGCGTGCGCGCGCGCGCGAGAGAGTCAGCTCGTTTTTCCATTAAGCACAGATCTCTACACTATCTTTTCTCCTTTTTCTCGCCGGAAAAGGATTAGGAGAAGAGTAATTTCAGGCGGGAAGCGAGGAAAGAACACCGTGAATTAGTCGGCCACTCGAGATGTAAATAACTACTCGCTTGACTCACCATTTGGTTATTTTCTTCCAGAATAAGGACGACTAGGTTTGGGAGCGTTGGAATGGAGAAAGGAAAAGCGGGCAAAAGGTGGTGGAAATTAATTAGGCCTCACTCAAACTCACAACTTTTTGCTCTCCGAGTGCCCAGTCTGCTCTGGAGACGAAAATAAATGAGTTTTTAGGAAAAGGAAGCGGAGAAAATGCACTTGTTTTGACACTTTTGCTCGAAAAAGGTAGACACGGGGGCTATAACCTCAGTACCCTAGAAACTACGGTCTGAGTGTGGCGTGGGTGGCGCAGCGGTTGCGTTTTGTATTTGGAATCTAGACGTCGCGGGTTCGAATCCAAATTGATGAAATTCTCTTTTGCAATCCACAATAAACTCCTTTTAGTTCCTAGTAAAATGAGAATGTAAATTAAAGACCTCCTGACGTTTTAAGCCGAGAAAATACGGAAGTTTGTGTCAACAATTGGAAATAACGAGGATGACGGCATTGTTGGGCGGTGAAATGATGGAAAGAGGAGCGTAAATGAAGTGACCACAAGTCACAATATGCCATTTACTCGGAGAATGTCATCGGACTACGGTACTCGTAATTAAATGAGTACGAAGTGAGTATAGATCTTCCGTTTCAGTAAGTTTTTATGAGATCGGCAAGAGTCGTAAGCTAGCAATAGTTTTGGTAGATTAGCATTTTGTGAACACTCAAAAAGTTCTGAGAGAAAAAGCGATTTTTTGTAGTCTTATTCGCCGGCTGGCCGATTTGATTAGTTTCTGAACTAGATTTGAGGAAAATCAAATAAAAAAATGGGATTATTTGAGCGATCGAACAGTGAAATCTAGCGGTAGAAGATCCCAACCCTATAAGCTACAGGGCGATGTTGCGCGCCAAGCGCAGTGGTTGCGTTTTGGATTCGGGCACAAACTGACAGCCCGGGTTCGAATCCCGCCGGCGAGAAACTTCTTTTGCCCTACGTTTTCATCTCCAAAAAATGCTTTCCGATCACGAAATACGTAAGAAACCTGCTGAAAAAGTCATGAGTGGTGGCGTTGGGCTCGTCGATCAGAAATTGGTCTCACTTTTCCCCTATAATTACCCTTGAAAATGGAGTTTGAGCTCGGTCTCTTCAGAATTACTCATCTTCTCGTTTCTTTTACACACGTCTGACTTCTAACCTCAACTTCTTCTTATTCTCAACTGCTTCTTCTTCTTCTTCTTCTTCTTCCACACGTCACACGAAAGAACTCTGAACTTTTGCTGCTCGAAACCGGCCGCCTTTGAATTATAAATTAATTGGCGGCGGTTGCGAGACGAAAAAAAACGGAGGGGGGGGAGAAAAGTTAGTCATCGGAATGCGAAGAGCAGCTGAAATGAAACGCGCCGCGCGGATCTTTGCAATTCGACAGGAAAACGCGCTGATGAGCTTTAATTTGAGGCAGCAGGAGGAAGCTGTCGGATCGCATTTCCGAGAAGACAGACGTATGACTTGGAAACGCTAAGAACGTTTGAACTTTTTGTTTCCATACAAATTCTATACGTTGTTATAATCGTTTTCCTGTTTTTTGTAGTCCCCACAATGGGAAAGTAGATAGATGTTTGGTGTGGGTTTCGAGTAAAGTTCACAAAATTGGCACCTTTGTTCGCACGTCAGACACACACACACACACACAAAATACGTGTGAAGAAAAGGACTATACACGCAAAAGCGTCGACTGACTTCCCCCATTTCAAAACTATCCGAAACGGCACGTAAAAAAGTGCTCATTCTCTGAGCGCCTCGACGAATTACCAATTCATAGGTGGTTTGCGAGTGCCGCCACTCAATCAGTTGTCTATTATTGGCCGAGTTTTCTGGAAAATGTGTGGGAAGAGTCTACCGATCAATTCGGTTCCAGTTGGGGCATTTCAAAAGATTGACATGATCCACAACATTGAGAGGTTCATTATCCACTTGTCACACAATTTTTTTCACTTTTTAGAAACAAAAAATGTTCAGAGATGTACAAATCAGGGCAAAAATGAAGCGTGAGATTGTATGTGAAAAGAAAATTGAGAGAAAATCGGTTGAAGTGAGGAATTATGAAGAATCTTCCGTTTCAGTTAGTGTAATTTTGCAACAAAACGGGTCGATTATCAATCAATAGAGTTGTCCGTGATTTATGTGCAAAACTACCGTAACGCGATGGAAATCAGAGTGGAGGACACAGTGTAATGAGCAGAGAATGGAGCCGTTTTCGTTCTAATTCGATTTGCGACACCGCTTTCTTTTCATGAATAATTGTCATGTTTTCGTGTCTTCTTTTCAGTCGGAATGAGGCCAGAAACCGGCAATTAGCAGCCCGAAAGCCGCCTGATTTCTTGGCCAAAATGAACAAGAGAACAATGGAATGCTTACCTCATCACTCGATTCCACCTGCTCGAGACAAGTGCGTGGGAGTTCTGGAAGGCTTGTGAGAGATTGGAAGAGAGTTGAGTTGAGCATTGAGCAGAAATTCGAGCAAAAGAAATTTGTGAACTTTAAATCTGTCACTAAAAAGTTAGTGTTGGCTTACAAAGTTCTTGACGTCGAGTTGAGAACAATGAGAAAATTAGGCCATTTCTAACTATAATAGGTCTGGAAAAAAGGCTAGGAACAGTGCCCCAAAAAACTTGTATTTTCAGCGGAAATGCACGAATTTGTGGTAGAGAAAGCGAAGGGAATGAATGGGAATTCCGTCGAAGTCATGTTTTGTTTCGGTCCGTTGACAGATATGAAAAAGATGAAGAAGAAAAGGGAGAAGAGGAGGAACGTGGACACACAGAAGTTATGATGATGATGATGACGATGGGATGTTGGGCTTCTAGAAGCTTCTTGACAGGTAAGACCGCTATTGGAAGCTCGGTAAACAACAATAACGCTGAAATTCTAGTTTTTGCTCGTTTCCGACACTGATCTTGCGTGAAAATCGTTTGAAAAGCAACAGAAAACTAAAATCACATGATTTTTGTCGAAAGAAAAAGATGAATTCCAACAAATCCCTGGCCCACACACGAAGAAATGGACCACACGAAACAGTTTATAAATATATAGATGCACTTTGAATGAGACACTCAGTTATTGTAGGGACACGTTTTGTGAATGGTCCTTTTACAAACGGCCGTCGGGTTCTCGTCGGTGTCCTCGATAACGGCCTGCACAAACGAAAGCGAATTGTCTCGAAAAGCAAAGAAAAGCAAGAACTCACGTGGGCGATATCGTCGACCATGAGTTTGCAGGCGGCCTGCGACGCCTTGTTCTTGACGTGCTCGACGCAGTACGCCTCCATGTGATGCTCCATAATCGCCTCCTCGCACTCGGCGTACATCTCGGCGATCAGAACGAGATCCAGACAGATCTCACACGTCGCATCCGAGTTTTCTGGAACCGATTCTGGATTCCTGATCAATTGTGCCGATGACTTACGGACTGGCACGTATCGCTTCGCCATTTTGGTAATGTCCACCGCTCCACACTGATCATTGTGGCCAATTGGGACCGAATAGGCGGTAGCCAACACGGCGAACAACACTACAATATCGGAATAAGTGAAGAGGAGAATGGGGGGAAAACTTACAAACGAGGGCAGAAGTCGTCTTCATCATCAATGATGTGCTCGAAAAGAGTCGAATAAATCAAACTGATAAGTGTGCGGCCGGAATGCTTTATTGGAGACCGTTATCAGTTGGAAACACGTGGTGTGATACCATCACCGAAACGAAATGCGATCCGGTTTGAAGCGTAACATGTTTATGCACAGAAACGGGCAAAAGGAGCAGAAGAGCAAAGGTCGGCGGTTGGGAAGAAACGTTTATGTTGGAAAACTTCACTGAAGCTTCTCGGTTATTCACATTATTGTGTTGCCCGCGTTCAGCTCTATTCGAAAATGTGTCATTCAGCTAAATTTGATCATATTTCACCGTGTTTGCGAACCATGAACGATTGGTGCGCGCTCCCGTGCGGTAGGCAATCCTCGTTCTCGCAGGATCTCCGTTATTGATCGGTTTACGTTTTCGAAAAGGATTAAACGTGTATCACTTTCCAAATCTCAGAGGTTAGTCAATTTTGAATCTAAAATATGCCTTGTTTTCCGTTTTTTTTACGTCAAAAAATCCAATTTAGCGATGTAAAAAAACGAAAAACAAACATATATACGCTGTATAGCTCCCTTTAATTCAAGCAATTTTCAGTTTCATCATGTTTTCTTGTACTACTTCAATTCAACACTCTTATATCCCCAATAATTGCCTGCGCTCATCGCAACTCAATAATCGAACCCAATTAGATATTATATTGTCGTGCCCAACAACTTGTACAGTATTCGTTTCCCGTCCCACTCCCAAATATTGTCCGTTCTGCCAAAATGTGGCCCTCCGAATGCGATCTGGAACCTCTGGATTCAATAATCGAGCGAATGAACCCGATTCCCGGCTTTCCTTATCCGATGAAGTCTGCCAAGAACGAAGCATTTCCGCGGAATGTCGGGGATCCGTGGATCGGAGCGTACACGAAGAACGGCTACTGGTTCAAGTTGGAATGGGCGGGAGAGGAGGAGTGGAAGGAGGTGAGCATTCAAAGCAATAGATCTCAGCTGTCTGCAGAGATATTGAAAAATTGTCAACTGATAAATTGTTCATCATGAAATTGTGTACATTTTATCAGTTGACAACTTTTTGATACCTTCACAGACAGCTGAGATATAACGTTTTTAATGTTACAGATTGCCAACGAGATGTGGTATCGCAATGAGTTTCTGGTAGACTCTAAAAGCTTCGTTTTGTACGGAGAAGCCATGGGTAAAGATAATTTGAAGCTTCTGGTGGCCAAAAACATTCGTAAGTTGTCTTTTTGAGTAGGAAATACATCGATTTTGTTGCAGGCGGGGAAGTGCTCGGGCTCGCACTGCTTGCCAGACACCCCTCTGCTCAATTCTCGATCATCGGCGCTCTTTTCGTTCAGGAAGACTTTCGACACGTCGGAATCGGATCCATTCTGACGAGGGAAGTGAAAAAGACGGAGAAGGGGGTGGCTTTCAATGCGAGTCAGTTCTGAATTTGAAATTACTGTTTTTCACGTGCCACATTTCCAGTTTTGTATCTTCTTCCGACAGTGGTCAGAATGCATTTAGAAGCTAGAACCATGAGAACATTCGGAAGGATTCGAGTCCAGAATCCGAGTGGATTCACTGCTTTGAAGGTACCGTCAACACTGCACCCCAATACCGCTGTATCTCAGCAGCCGGTAGAGATATCAAAATTGTGTCAATTGATAAAATGTTTCAAATTTTCTAATGAACAATTTGTTAGTTGACAACTTTTTGATATCTCTGCAGGCAGCTGAGATACATTGCTTCCGACCTCTGCAAAAACATTCAATGGCATTTAGGAATCGAAAAACGGAATAGTGTTGAAGTTTGGCAGCGAAATCGAGTTGGATGAGGATTGGGAGAAAGTGATCGAGTTCGGAGAGAGTTGTACCAACGAGAAGAGGAATTGGAAGGCGTTTCTGGAAGATGAGGAGGGAAGAACTCAATTGGTGGCCGCTTTTGACGAGGTAGTGATGAAACTGAAAACATTTCATTTGCGGGGGTAGAACTCCAATACCGTTCATTCAAAACGATGTATCTCAACAGTCGGTTGAGATGGAAAAAAGTTGTCAACTGTTGAAATGTTTACTAAGAAATTATATACATTTTATTAGTTGACAACTTTTAGCTATCTCTACCGACAGCTGAGAATATCCCAATTCCAGAACGCGGCTTCGTGCGTCGTCGGCATCTCAGTGCTCCGTGAAATCCACAACGAAGACGGCCACATTCCGGACCTGCTCGTGGCTCCGCTCTACGCAAAATCCTCTAAAATCGCGGAGGCTCTGCTCGCGAAGACTTTGAAGAAGCATTATGTAAACTTTTTCGTGCTTCTCATCTTCTGATTCCTCATATTCATTTCATAGAATCCCGAAGACGACTACGATTTCGACGTGGACCATCTGGCGATCTACCGTCGTTCCGTGCAGCTCTTCGTCTTCGCCGCTTCCGAATCCGCCGTCTTTCCGCTTCTGAGAAAGTTGGCTGGAATTGACGGAAGCATGGAAAAGGATCGTCTCACTTACCAGACTTGCTCGGATTTCCAGCTCCCCGCCATCTCGCATGACATGATTTTCGCAATTTCCGATCCGAATATTTACACGTCCTGACCCGAATGTGTCAATATTTTTGACTTTCCTTTCTTCTCAAAATAATCGCCTCCCATCGTGTTGTTTCTACTCTGAAATGTGCCTGGCGGACGGCTGAGCTAATAAAATGATGGCCGGATGGGTGGGGGAATACAAAAAGGAGCCAGATGAGCTCACGGAGCACAAAAACGACATGTTTTCGCTTCTCATTCTGTTTTTGGCTGAAATTTCAGCACAATCCACTTTTTCAGCGGGTTTTAGGTGTGAGAACGGAGAGATTTCCGAGATTGGCAAGTTGAAATGGGATATTATCGGCCGAAATCAGTTTTTAGCGTGTAAAAAAGGTTGGTTCGGCACGGTTAGCTGTGAGAACAAGACGATGACGTGTGAGCAGAAACTGTTTTGCTGTAAGTCCTTCTAAAATCTAAAATTCATGCACTCCCCCACAGGTACACCATCTTTGACAACTAGAAAAGGAGCGAGTACCCTGAAATCGACGAGTACACGATCGACAACTAGTACAGTTTCGTGGCAAAATGAGTGCGAAAAGTGTGATTTGGCCGCCCGTCACTCTTGTTTTATCAGTCTCCACTTCCCGGGAAACTTGACGACCGAGTCTCCGAATCCGGACTGTTTGGCGTGCGAAAACTGTTGTGATGACGCGTTTCCGCACAAGTAAGTCCATCGGCAATGCATTTTAAACAAGTTCTGAAAGCACAATTCGCATTACTTTTGTGATTATTGAAACCGAACTTTGGCATTGACGTTATATCTCGGTTGCCGGCGAAGATATCAAAAAGTTTTCAACTGATAAAATGATCCTCATAAAATTCTGTACATTTTATCAGTCGACAACTTTTTCATATCTCCACCGGCAGCTGAGATACATTGCCTGGTATTAGGGTGCTCTTGTGAATGGTGGCCGCGGCCTAGAAATGTCCTAGGCCACGCAACTCTCCCATAACCAATACACATTTCCGGGCAAAACAGTTTAAATGATCGCGTGAAAACGATTCCAAGTGTACTTTTTCAGTTGAAACAGTTGAAATTCAACAAAAACCAGTTTCAAGGTGACTATATTTGTTCTGAAAATGAGAAAGTTTTCATTTTAAAAAGTTCTTTTTATTTTTCAAAAATCACATTTTCCAGGTGCGAAGTGTGGAAGAATCATGATTTCTGTGATTTGGAGTGGTATTCGAAGGACAAGCGCCAGATTTTGTGCGGCAAAACGTGTGGAATTTGCCAATAATTCATTACTTTTCAATACAAATAAATAAATTGCCGAAAACTGCGAGAGTTAAAGCGTTTGGGGTGGGGGGAACTTTGGAAAACGGACAATATCGCAGAGGAATACTGGTTGGAAAAGTGATATAAAAGCGGGGCGAAAACGAACGAAAAGAGAACCCGGCACGTCGAACGGATATCATCCGATCACTATTTCTACTCCTCTTTGCTGTCATCGACGACCATGAACAGTTTTTGGATGAAAACTGTGAAGCCTTCTGCAAAAGTGCACTTTTTAGGATCGGGAAATGAAGGAAATTAAGGCCTACCAATCAAAGTATTGAAAAACTTTGGCTTGTTCTTCCATCCGATGAAGATCACGTAGACCGGGACCGCGGAGAGCATGATCAGGAGGCCGATTCCTGAAAATGTTCACAAGTTTGATGCATTTCGAGTGTGTTGACTTTAATCACAGTCACAGTTCGCCATAACAAAGTGGTGAAAAGGCACAAATTTCAGTTTCACTCACTTGTTACATCTCCACTGTTTTGCTGTTCTACTACTTGACTTATCAATTTAGTTTTTTTTTTAAACTGACCAGTATCCCTCGGCGCGGCGATCATCGGAATGACGACAAGAGCAATGCATCCGGCGAGGAAGATGGCCGGCCAGATGAGCGGCACTTTGATCGGCCGGTCCGCATCGGGCATCGTCTTGCGGAGCCAGAAAAGTGCGGCGATGGCGGTGCCGATGGCCAGCCAGTAGGAGATCTGCAACGGATCAGTCAGTTGTTGGTGCTTATGAAATGGACCAACCTGGATGTAATTGATCAGCTGATAGACATCCTTTGACGCCAGCAGATAGGCAATCGAAAGGAGTCCAGTGAGGATGACAGCCGGAATCGGCGTCCTCGTGTTCTTGTTGATCATAGTCAGAAACATCGGCATTTGACCCTCACGCGCACCCGAATAGAAGAGACGGGAAGAGGTGAAAATGACTCCGTTCGCAGATCCGATGGTCGAGCACGCGACGCACAGCGGCATCACGAACGCAAACTTTCCGTAGAGTTTGTTGGCGAAAAGGACGGCGACGGCGGGCGATTCGAGCATCTCATCGGGCGAGATTGCCGTGTAGAGGGCCACGTTCGTGAGCACGTAGATCACTGTGCACGTCGTGATCGAAATGGCGATCGCCAAAGGAAGATTTCTGGAAAGAAAACCGCATTTGGTTAGGAATTTCATGACTTGAAACCGAAGCCTTGCCTACCTTTTCGGGTTCTGCAACTCTTCGACAATAAAGTTGAGGAAGTTCCAACCGGAATAGGCGAACAGTCCCGAGTAGAAGGCTAGAGAGACCTTTGTGAAATCCTGGGAAGTGTTTTCGAAGATGTTCTCGAACGAATCCTTGTACTGGGCTTCGCCTAAACTTCAACATATTGAGAATAGTCTTGAATCGAATGACTGACCGAAGATAAGCAGATACAATCCGGTCAAAATGATGAGGAACAGTGCGACGACCTTGGCGATGGTGAACCAATCCTGGACGAGAGTGGCGAGACGCACCGAGACACAGTTGATGGCGGTCATGAGCACTGAAAGCAGCATTTATAATGATCTCCATCCAGAAGCTACCCTGTGACAGTTGTCGGAACACTTACCAATCAACAGAATGGCCAACAAGGTGGCGACGCCGTCCGGCGGAGCACAATCGGGGAAGAAGGGACGGAGTCCGTAAATGGCGAAGGTGAGCGCGACGATGGTGACTGTGCACGGACGGACGACAATCGCCTCGATCCAGAGACGGATGAACGCGACGAACGGACCGAACGCCTCCATGATGTACGCGTAGTCGCCGCCCGACTTTTTGATGAGAGTACCGAGTTCCGCGTAGCAGTAGGCTCCGATCGCGGTGAAAACGCCCGAACTGGCCCAGACGAGCAGCGAGAGCCCGACCGAACCGGCTTCTGAACGAATGTTTTGGTATTTACTTGAATCGTGTTTCAAGAAGGCACTATGAAATCGTTTTATAAAAAAAGAGTGATAGTCTGTAATGGTTCTAACTAAATTTCCTAGTTTTTCAAACTTTGGCCACACGATCACCTTCAATACTCACGTTCTTGCACTCCGGTCGGCGAAACGAAGATGCCGGAGCCGATGATGCAACCGACAATGATGGAGACTCCGTTGAAGAGGGTCAACGACTTGGCGAGTCCCTTTCCGTCGCCCTCCGCCTCTCCTTCCGCCTCTCCTCTCCCCTTCAGCGGCTCTTTTTCGGCCACCATTTCTGAAAATGCAAGTTGAAGCTGAAAAGTGAGAAAGGATGACAAAATAGGGGCTTCGAATAGAGGTTAAATCTCCCAGGGATACTGAGAAATGATGACAAAATGGTGGGGGCGAAAATGGTGACAAAACAATGGCCTGACCGCGCAATGTTTTTCGATTACATCAGCCAGCTGAAAGAGCAGTTTTCGAGGGGGAAATCGAATTGAAAATGGAAAAACGGAGGGCAGGATGAATGATAAGAAACAAGGGGAATAACAGGGGCGAAATAGGGAAGAGAAAGAGAGAGAGAGAGAGGAGACGGGGTCACTTTTGTTTGTTTAGCTACTGATAAGTGTGCGGAGAAGTAGCAGAGAAGAGACGAAACGATCGACAATATTCGGGGAGGGCGGGAAAGTGTTCGAAACGGACACACTGTTTCAAGTAGATCATTTAAGAAGTCTTTCTCATGACTATTTGATCTATAGGGGGTTCCGATTTAAGTTTGGGTTTTGTGAAGTTTTGAGATTTTCGTAGCAATTCAGAATAGTACCTTTTGTGAAGTTCGGTTTAAAATAAAATGTGATGTTGAAACAGAAGTTAGCTCATTTTTTAAATAAAACTTTAATACTTTCACTATTGGATTGAAAACTGCGGAAAATTTGCTTTTCTTAGAGAACCGTTTCACAGAAGGATTGTGTCGAAGCCTTGAATTCGGCTCATAACTTGAGAATAAAGCATTGTTTGATAAAGAGCTAATAGTGGTGAGCACAAAAAATTACACTAAAGTGGTCAAATCGAAACCGTAAGTTAGATTTTCGGCAAAAAAGTTTGCGCAAAAAGTGTGAATGGATGCTGCTCGCGGGGCGAAACCAAACCAAACGAAAAGGGGGGAAACATGTGGGAAAAAGGAGAAAAAGAGAAAGAGAAAGAGAGAGAGAGAGAGAGTCAGAGAAGAAGCAGTCCTTTGTGGCCATTTGAAATGGAATTGATGGTTTTGCATAGAGAAAAATAAACATTTTCGTCTCTTTTTCACTCGTTCGGCATTGTTTCAAATGCGCCACAAACAAGGCGATAAATTAGACGGAAAGGGTCAAATGGGACGACGCAAGAAGATGATGATGATGATACAAATCATTCACTCTCCGTTCTTCTTCTTCTTCTTCTTCTTCTTCTTCATATAGAGTGAGAGAGAGAGAGAGAGAGGAAGAAGAAGAAGAAGAAGAAGAAGAAGGCAATTACGTGGGTGTTTGATAATGGATTCTGATAGGAATGCGCGGATTGACGGATTTATCAGCGGGTTCAGATTCAATCTGACTAGGAACACTTTCGTGCCAACTTTCTTTTGATATTGTCAATTTACCTTGCCAAGATTTTCATTGTCATCGCACTTATAATAAGCGAATCAAAAAAGCCAAAGTTTCGAAGCTATCCGCCTTCCAAAAGCGATTTTTCGATGGATGAAACAAGCCATTCGCGAGAGCCCTCAAATGCATGCGAAACAGAGAACAATTTGAAATGCGAGCAACGAATGATCTGTTTTCGATGGCAAGACTACACACGAATGAGCTGTTATCATCGCTTTCTGCGTACTCACGTACTCCGATCAAACAGAGAACTATTACCGTTTCAGAAGGATCATATTTTTCAAGTTATGCCGAAGAAAATGTTCTATTTAAGACAATGGTTTTTGAATAACAAAAGTGACAGAATAAATTTAGTTCAAAAGTTGCGATCTAACAAGCTTCGTTCCACTCAAAAAGACTACAAAAAGTGTAGGTGCACTCGTACTTCCGATGGGAAACACACAAAAAGGTTAAGCCGGCGGTGGTTATGCTCATTGCCCGGTAACCAGTGCACAAAAGGAGCCACCGAGCCACAGGTGTCAATATTTGCACAGCAACCATACAACATACTAGGTAGTCCGGTGGGCACAGCCTCCTCCCTCCCCCTTTTGTTTATCCAATTTTGTGTCAAGTCCTTTTGTTTGTCTGCTTCTCCGAGAGAACCGATTCGGCCGAGCGGCCAGATTGTATCACAAAAGGTGACATTCACGCGACCATGTCACTCACGTCACTTCGAGAGGAACGGAAACGGAAACCGATTGGAATTGAGGAGTTGTGCGGATAATTGAGGATCTGAGGGACCTGATATTGTGGATTCTCGACAGACGCAGCCAAATGGTATGCAATTTTGCGCGTCGGTGTTGCTCTGCGTACAGTGCATTTTATGTTACGCGCAAAGTTCATTTTTTAGTTTTCGATGAATTTTCTGCAAATATTCATCTCTTTAAAGCGTTTTTCTCCACTTTCTACCTCAATTAGACCTTTTTACAGATTCCAGGTGAAGTAATACGAGAAGAGAAGTCGATGCGATGAAAAGAAACGCGTAAGTAAGTGAAAGTAAGGTTTTATTCAGAAAATGAAAAAAAAAACAAGGCTTTGGCCGGGCTAGTTGCAAGCGCGCTCCACTGCAAAAAAACCTTGGCCGGCCAATGATACGGTAAGCAATTCGGTTCACTGAGCGGTGTTTTCACACAAATGAAATTATTCAATGACGACAAAATCGAAGAAATTATTTTAAAAAGAGAAGAAGACAAGCAAATTTCGAAAATTAGCAGAAGTGAAATGAATGAGAACGAGATGCATGAGAAGGAATCGAAAGAGAAAAATGTATAAGAAAAACGTTATGAATCGAATTCATCGAATTTTTTCGAAATCAGCATCTGTTCCAGCAATTGCAGATCCGTGATGTTGGAACCTGGTTTGTATTTGTAAGAGGTGCTTCGTGACCGGATTGAGATAGACGGCCGTGAAGTGGACGGTGCCGAAATCTCCGATCATTTTCGTGATGGCGTCGTCCGCGAACTTGATAATAACCTGACGTAGAGAGGACTTTCAGTTCGTCCAAGAGCGCCAGTGTGACGAGAACCACATCCTTAAGCGTGTCGGAATTTTTCTGAAACCCACGAGATTATCAGCACCACGTCAATTTTAAGTTCCCTTACCTGGAAGTAAATATTGCTCTGTTTCAAGGGCTCCATAATCTGCGCTAACTCCTTCTGCCGTTTGCTAGATTCGGCCGTGATCAAGAAGCGGAGTTCGAACTCGGCTTTCACAGGCATTTCGTTGATGTGCCCTGCGAGAATATCGATCGATTTGTAAACGGACTGCATGCAATCGTACGTAGAAAACCATCGGGATTCTACCGAATCCAGCAGCTTGACTCCCACATCTTTGTACATCTGAATAATAGCACATGAGTTCACATGGGACTGAATTGTTTTACATTTTTCTCCTTTTTGAATGCGGAAACAAAAGTCATAAACTTCTTTATCTTAAAAAATTGTCGTGACTCCATCACAATTCCTCTTTCACTGATATTCATCGAGTCTTTCGACAGTGGAATCTTCCCGAACTTCCTCAAATCCTCCACAGTTATTCCAATTCATAAAAAAGGATCCTTCACAGATCCTTCCAATTTCCGACCGATCTCACTGACACATCCGATCTCCAGACTCTTTGAAAAAGTGATACTCAGCTCTATACGTCTTGAATTCTCAGAAAGAATCTCAAAATTCCAATACGGATTTATGAACAACAGATCGTGCACACTCGCACTACTTGATTCGATATCAAAAATCCAGCAAATAACTGCGAACAGAAACAAGTTTGCTGATGCCCTGTTCTTTGATTTTAAGAAAGCTTTTGACAGTGTCCCGCACAATCTCCTCATCTGCAAACTGAAGAACTTCGGCCTTGACACTAAAACATGTGATTGGTTCGCCTCATTTCTAGAAAGTCGCTCATCTGCCGTAAAAATCGATAATTTTATCTCCGACATCTCCTTCCCAGTACTATCAGGCGTTCCCCAAGGAACGGTCACAGGGCCGTTCCTATTCTTGGTCTTCATTAATGATTTGCTAGCCCTTTTTCCCCCGCCGACGTCCATGTCACCGCGTTCGCTGATGACTTGAAAAATTTTCGGAGATAACCCAAAAACGCTTCAAGAAAGTGCAAACATTGTCGCATCATGGTGCGAAACCTGGCAACTAAAGCTAGCAGAAAATAAATCCGCAGTTCTCCACTTTGGAAAGAAAAATCCCAAAACCAGATATCTCCTGAATGGCATCGAAATCGAATCAAAAGATTCCGTGAAGGACCTCGGCATCTGGATAGACGACAAGCTCAAATTCGATAAGCATATCACAATAGTTAGCAATACCGCCCTCTTGAAATGCAAACAAATTCTGAAAGCCTTTCGCTCCTCGAACCCCAGTCTCTACTTTAAACTTTTCAACGTTTACGTCAGACCCATTCTCGAGTACGGCTGTGAACTTTTCCATCCCTCATCGACATCCCTCTCCAACAAATTAGAGTCTCCCCTTAGATTTTTCAGTAGAAGAGTCTTCCAAAGATGTAACATGCGGTTCTCCTCCTATAGCGACCGTCTCAGTCAATCTAATTCAAAATCGATACTCCACAGAAGGGTTCTTCTTATTCTCAGAACATTCCACAACATAATCTCGCACAAGTACCATTTCCCCTCCCTAAGCATGTTCCTCAAACCCGGCGTCTCCCCCCGTCACCCGTACCTTCTATCCTCCCTTGGCCTACCCCATGACTCTTTCTTACATACCCATCTTGCCCTTTGGAACCGAGTGGCCAAGTTGTTTCCCGAAAGACTGTCCTCTGAGGCCTTCGCGGCGCGCATCGAGAAGATCCCCCCTAGCTTTTTGTATTCTAACTGACCTCTGGCTACTGCCGGCCAATGGTCATGTCAAGCCATTGTTCCTTCCCCCACCCACATTCCCCCTCTCTCTCTTCTTTCTTTTTTTGTTGTAATTTTTATTCATAGGTGGCTGAAGAGAATAAATGAGTTATTATTATTATTTAAAAAAATGGTGGAGAATTTAAAAAAATGGTGGAGATTTAAAAAAATGGTGGAGATTTTAAAAAAATGGTGGAGAGCTAAAAATGGTGGAGATTTTTAAAAAAATGGTGGAGAGCTAAAAAAAATGGTGGAGATTTAAAAATGGTGGAGATTTTTAAAAAAATGGTGGAGATTTTTAAAAAAATGGTAGAGATTTCAAAAAAATGGTGGAGAGCTAAAAAATGGTGGAGATTTAAAAAAAATGGTGGAGAATTTAAAAAAATGGTGGAGATTTTTAAAAAAATGGTGGAGAGCTAAAAAAATGGTGGAGATTTTTAAAAAAATGGTGGAGATTTTTAAAAAAATGGTGGAGAGCTAAAAAAATGGTGGAGATTTTTAAAAAAATGGTGGAGATTTTTAAAAAAATAGTGGAGAGCTAAAAAAATGGTGGAGATTTTTAAAAAAATGGTGGAGATTTTTAAAAAAATGGTGAAGAGCTAAAAAAATAGTGGAGATTTTTAAAAAAATGGTGGAGATTTTTAAAAAAATGGTGGAGATTTTTAAAAAAATGGTGGAGAGCTAAAAATGGTGGAGATTTTTAAAAAAATGGTGGAGATTTTTAAAAAAATGGTGAAGAGCTAAAAAAATGGTGGAGATTTTTAAAAAAATGGTGGAGATTTTTGAAAAAAATGGTGGAGATTTTTAAAAAAATGGTGGAGAGCTAAAAATGGTGGAGATTTTTAAAAAAATGGTGGAGATTTTTAAAAAAATGGTGAAGAGCTAAAAAAATAGTGGAGATTTTTAAAAAAATGGTGGAGATTTTTAAAAAAATGGTGGAGAGCTAAAAAAATGGTGGAGATTTTTAAAAAAATGGTGGAGATTTTTAAAAAAATGGTGGAGATTTTTAAAAAAATGGTGGAGATTTTAAAAAAATGGTGGAGAGCTAAAAAAAATGGTGAAGAGCTAAAAAAATGGTGGAGATTTTTAAAAAAATGGTGGAGATTTTTGAAAAAAATGGTGGAGATTTTTAAAAAAATGGTGGAGAGCTAAAAAAATGGTGGAGATTTTTAAAAAAATGGTGGAGATTTTAAAAAATGGTGGAGATTTTGAAAAATGGTGGAGATTTTAAAAAATGGTGGAGAGCTAAAAAAAAATGGTGGAGATTTTAAAAAATGGTGGAGATTTTAAAAAATGGTGGAGAGCTAAAAAAATGGTCAAAAATCCAGCAAATAACTGCGAACAGAAAAAAGTTTGCTGATGCCCTGTTCTTTGATTTTAAGAAAGCTTTTGACAGTGTCCCGCACAATCTCCTCATCTGCAAACTGAAGAACTTCGGCCTTGACACTAAAACATGTGATTGGTTCGCCTCATTTCTAGAAAGTCGCTCATGCTCATCTGCCGTAAAAATCGATAATTTTATCTCCGACATCTCCTTCCCAGTACTATCAGGCGTTCCCCAAGGAACGGTCACAGGGCCGTTCCTATTCTTGGTCTTCATTAATGATTTGCTAGCCCTTTTCCCCGCCGACGTCCATGTCACCGCGTTCGCTGATGACTTGAAAATTTTCGGAGATAACCCAAAAACGCTTCAAGAAAGTGCAAACATTGTCGCATCATGGTGCGAAACCTGGCAACTAAAGCTAGCAGAAAATAAATCCGCAGTTCTCCACTTTGGAAAGAAATCCCAAAACCAGATATCTCCTGAATGGCATCGAAATCGAATCAAAAGATTCCGTGAAGGACCTCGGCATCTGGATAGATGACAAGCTCAAATTCGATAAGCATATCACAATAGTTAGCAATACCGCCCTCTTGAAATGCAAACAAATTCTGAAAGCCTTTCGCTCCTCGAACCCCAGTCTCTACTTTAAACTTTTCAACGTTTACGTCAGACCCATTCTCGAGTACGGCTGTGAACTTTTCCATCCCTCATCGACATCCCTCTCCAACAAATTAGAGTCTCCCCTTAGATTTTTCAGTAGAAGAGTCTTCCAAAGATGTAACATGCGGTTCTCCTCCTATAGCGACCGTCTCAGTCAATCTAATTCAAACCATTTATACGTTTTCAGCCACCCATGACCAGTTTGAGCCCACTTCCGGCCACCTACCCTCCAAACTGCGGGAGCGGTGGTATCCCGTAGCATGGGGGGAGGCACTCGCAGGCCTGTCTTCGCGGAGAGAGAGTTGTATTTTCGCGAGCATACTGGCCGACTGGTTAGCATTGCAGACCATCAAGTTTCTGTTCTTAGGTTCGAATTCTCGCCTCACCGAATCTTTTTGCTTTCTTTAACAACGGTCGGGAAGGGGTGAAACTTACTTAGAAGATCTTCCACTGACCCAAGGTTGCCCATCGCCGACAAGAAAGCTATCAGACTGATGATTCAAAGCACGTTTCTGTTCGTTCTGCTCCACTTCTAAGTAAAAATTTGGATTCACAACTTCATCAGCGAATTCATCTTCATTCTCAGAAGGTAGTAAAACATCGTCCTGTATGAGAAGAGTGTGGTCTGGAACAAAGAATAACCTGGAAAGATGGATTCCTGCTTACATACCTCTGTCCAAGAATTGTTTGAATTTGAACATCGCTGAGTTATCTTTTACTCTACTGGTGGCGAGAAGCCGATGGTTGGTGCGAATCCAATGAGCAACGAACTCGTGAGGATCGAAGTTTTCCAAATTGAACAGATTCAGCCTAACCCTGAAATAGTTAGTTGTTGGCACTTTTTCAAGCTCCCTTTACATTAACACATCATTCAACGTTTCGACAATCATCTTCGAGCGTCTCGAGTTTCTCGTGTGGAACAAGATGGAGAAGGCTCGCTCGACATCTGCTGTCGACCCGGGGAGTGCTGTTATGAAACTTAGCGCCTGTTTCATGAGTGGTAGCGGAGACGGCCAGCATTTAACTTCGTTCGCCACAAACTTCCAGACAGCCGCGGGATTCTCAGCCAACTTCAATACCGTTTCTCTATTCAAACATTTTGGCAAGTTTTTCATAAATAGCATGTATTCGGCTGCCAGATCGCCGTCCGTATTGAGAAGTCCTGATATGGATTGAACACTATTCTCTACCGTTATTTTCCGGTCCGCGGGAGTCATCCAGTTACTGCCTGCCACTGCTGGTTTAAAGTTCACCGAGAAAACAGTATCTAAGTCCTTATTCCACAAAACGTCGAGTACAAGATACTCCGAAAATGCTTCGAACATTTTGTAGTCGAATCTGTACTCGGCGGAGTCCGCGTTCTTCGTCTTTCTACGGGGTATGGGTGCATCGTCGACTGACTTCAAAACCAACCCTTCCCTTACAGAAGTTTGTAGGTCTTCAATCATGGAGCGCGGAGAAAAAGTGTCCCAGTCCAATGCAGCATAATGCGTAATCACGTGTGGCATTTTCTTTTTGAACTTCTCCGGATCCTCACATTCCATCACGGTTTTTTTCATCGGTATCACTTCTTGGAAAGCGTTGTCCAGGAGCTGCTTAGAATTTCTGCTCTTATCTGCTGATGATTCCAATCCTAGCAGTTCGAGGGTCTCTTGCAGTTCTTAGCCCTCCTGCTTCGAATTCAACTGGCGAAACTGGACCACCTTGGATTCCGTAATGTACTTCGCCAATGCAGCTGAGCCCCCCTGTTTGGAATGAATGCTGTCCAAGTGAGCCTGGCACTCAGCATCCAATTCTTTCTTGGCACCTTTCCTAATGTCCGCGTTCAGACGGAATACACCCGGCCAGTCTTTATACGAGTCCAACGTAGCTATTGGAACCGACTTGAAGTTCCCCTCATCGCTGAATTGCAGGCCGTGCTCATTTGCCTCGTCCGAGTATCTCTTCTTCCATTCTGCGTCGTATGCGATCCGACGCTCAAGTTTCGGCAGCAAGTTCCACACCAGTGTAATAGGGGCTGAGGTCTGCTGGGCTAACTTCGATGTTTCGGCTAAAACTTGGAGCGCCGTTTTCCACATCAAAGTGGCGGCGAATACTCGTGGATCTCGCATGACGTATCTCAGGGAAGCGAATACAACCCTCCTGTTCTTGTTTTTGTCTTCCATATCGAGCTTATTAGCCAGGCGATGGTCTAACACGTGGAGGATACACTGCCAACCGCGGCGGAGAAGGTTGGTCAATGCTGCCAGCTCCGAGGCTACCCATCTCACTTCAAAGATCTTTTTGATGGGGTGAGGGGTGAGACCGGCAGCAAGACAACTACAGCGGTAGTCCTCCACCAACTTCTTGTTTTGCACGGACCCAAAATACCTAAAGGTAGTGGCATAGATGGTCCCTATAAGGTTTCTGAAGTGCGATTGGATGTGGTTAGTGACGAGATCCACTTTATACGCCATGCAGATGGCGTGGAAGAACGGCCGACCTGCGCTCACTTTCAGTTCCGTGAGTTTGCCTCTGAGCCCGTTCCTGTGACCTGAGAACACGCTCCCTCCATCGGAGCCAAATCCTACTAGGTTGTCCCAAAACTGGTAGGCATACTCGTTTTGTGACGAAGTGAGACCATGGCGAAACAAAAGATCGGAGTCCGCATCCACCAGTTCACGCATCTCCGTGTAGACGCTATCTAAAGAAGTTCTTCCTGTTGTTTGGTCTTTATTCTTGCGAATGATCTCAAACTTGGGTAATTAAACCTTTGACTTAACATTATAACAGACGAGGAGACGATAGTAATAACGCCTACTCTCAAACAACAATTTAACTTAAATAAGAGTCACTACTACAATTGAGAACGAAGGAAATGAGTGGGACTAACACAAGAGATCTCAATTGAGCAGTAAACAGATCACTGAAACACCTAGAATTGGCGGGCTAAAGCTTGCGTATATTGGCGCGGGGGCGCATGATAATACGCGCAATTGCGGACTTAGTATGAAATAGGTCTGAAGTGGGTGGGGGTAGGGGAACATTAGATAGGATGAGGGGTCAAAGTGTTCTGAGTGCTAGAAGATCTTGCACACTATCCGTGTTCTCGACGCGTAACTCGATGACACCGTAAAAGTAGGTCATGTAATCCAGGCCGCCTACAGATGCTCTTATCATCAGAGCGAGGTATTGGTGTGAATCTGCTGACGTTGATGTGTCCGCCATTTGTGTGCTTTTGTTCAGAGATACTTTATTGCATGAAAACCGAAACGTTTTTTTATTACAAGTCGATCAGATCATTGACTGCTTGATTCCTCTCGACGTTCGGCGCGTGAGTCGGCTTCCTTCCAGTGGGCCCGGCCGTCAACGCTAAAAACGTCATTCTGTTCTACATAGATTTTCTGTTTTTTGGGAAATTATTTATATTCCATTTAAAAAGCCATTCGCAGAATGTCTTTTTAAATTTACAAAAGACCGCAGCGAAACTTTTTGAATAAAAACATACCACACAATTAGTTGCACACAAACCGCAATAGTACAGACGAGCTCGACTAAGCACAGGACTGCGCCGACGTCGTCGACAGTGGCCTCGTCGTCGGTGAGCGTACGGAAGACATCGAACACGTTGCACCAAAGGTATCGGCACGATGAGAAGCTCGCCATAGAATCCTGAAATGTTTCGTATTTGAAAATAAACGGTTCAGTCGAAACGGACGGACGAATAAAAAGTCAAATCGTTGAAATTATACGGCGAAATCCCACGAAAACCCACGAAAACCCAATAATTTCTCACGAAAGCGCGAAAAGAAGTCAAATTGTTGAAATAATACGGCGAAATCCCACGAAAACCCGATAATTTCTAACGAAAGCCCCAAAATCTCAAAATACGGTCATTGTCGTGTCGTGGCGGGACCCGCTGAGTTTTGAAACAAAAAGCAAAGCGCCTTTGAAGAAAATATTCTTTTTTCTTAATTTTTCGGGTGAGTCTTTTTTTCCCATTAAAATTTAAAATTTAATAATGATATTTTCTGAGATCGAAACAACTTCACTGACATTAGTGTTCTACCGCGAAAAACTAATTACTTACAAACTTCATTCAAATTTAGCTCCAAAATTGTGATTTCTACCTACCTCCCTTTAAGTCGGGTTACTGTACCTCCAGCGTGGTGTTTTTCGAACGAATTTCGAAATTTCGAAATTTTTTTTCAGTTTTGGCCCTTTCTTTCCGCATGTATGTTCCAACTGCAGAAATTGTTGCAACGAGTCCTGAAAATTCAAAATTGAGTTTTTTGCAACAAATATGTAACGAAAAATTGTGTTTCGACATGTTTTAAAAGATAAAAACGAGAAAAAGATTTTAATTGCGAAACCAAAAAATCCAATAGTGCGCCAAGTGAGTGCAACATGCGCCAGCAGTCTCCTTTGGTCTCATGTCCACGCTGTGACTCAGTGTGTCGGCGATAAAATTATCGACTTTTACGGCAGATGAGCGACTTTCTAGAAATGAGGCGAACCAATCACATGTTTTAGTGTCAAGGCCGAAGTTCTTCAGTTTGCAGATGAGGAGATTGTGCGGGACACTGTCAAAAGCTTTCTTAAAAACAAAGAACAGGGCATCAGCAAACTTGTTTCTGTTCGCAGTTATTTGCTGGATTTTTGAAATCGAATCAAGTAGTGCGAGTGTGCACGATCTGTTGTTCATAAATCCGTATTGGAATTACTGTAGATTTAAAGTCGCAGCCCGCATTTTGAGAAAATGTTGTTTTGCGTCTGCCGCGGCTTTCGCAACTTACGCAGCCAAATGGTATGCATTTTTGCGCGTCGGTGTGGCTCTGCGTACAGTGCATTGCATTGTATGTTACGCACAAAGTTCATTTTTTTAGTAGTTGATGAATTTTCTCCAAACTTCATTTCTTTAAAGCGTTTTTCTCTGCTTTCTACCTTAATTAGACCTTTTTACAGATTCCAGATGAAGTAATACACGAAGAGAAGTCGACGTGATGAAAATAAACGCGTGAGTAAATGGAAGTAATGTTTTATTAAGAAAATATACGATTTCTTGAAAAACGTCTCTAGATCTTCTAATATTCTGATTTAAAAAGTTCACTCACATGACTGTGAATGTCTTCGAATAAAAAAAACTAGAGTGACAGCTCGCTTTCGCGTAAAAATTGGTATTTTGCCGGAAAACAGTGACATTTCGTTGAAAAAAAATTTTTTTTTCAAAAACCATCTCTAGATTTTTTAATTTTTTTGTTTAAATAGTTCACTTACATGACTGTGAATGTTTTCGAACCAAAAAAAAGTAGAGTGACAGTTCGTAGAAGCAAAACAAAATTTTTTTCAACGAAATTTCGCTGTCTTCCGGCAAACTATCGGTTTTTCCGCGAAAGCGAGCTGTCACTCTATTTCTTTTTGGTTCGAAAACATTCTCAGAAATGTAAGTAAAATTTTTGAACCAAAAGATTAGAAAATCTAGTCACGTTTTTCGAGAAATCGTGCATTTTCTGAATAAAACATAACTTTAACTTACTTACGCGTTTCTTTTCTTCGCATCGACTTCTATTCGCGTATTACTTCATCTGGAATCTGTAAAAAGGTCTAATTGAGGTAGAAAGTGGAGAAAAACGCTTTAAAGAGATGAATATTTGAAGAAAATTCATCAATTCAATATCAACAACTAAAAAAAAGAACTTTGCGTGGAACATAAAATTCACTGTACGCAGAGCAACACCGGCGTGTCAAAATGCACAGACTGAGGATCAAACGTTTGGTGAACGTCGCAAAAGCCGCCGCCGCCGCCGCTTTTTCTTCAAATTTGCAAAGAAGGAAGCCAATTTTTGTCTATTTTTCAGATCGAGCGACCGATCACGATAAAAAAGGAAGGAATCCAGACGCGTAACCGGAAGATGTCGACGAAAGAAGCGCAGAAGATCAAGAAAGAGTCTACGGGCTCAAACGGCTCCGCCTCGCTGGGAATGACGACGCCGACGGCTGCGGGACTCACTTCGAACCTCGACCTGGCCGATCCGTCGTCCGTCTGGGGCATGAAAAGCACGCAGCCGATGCTGATGGCCACGCCGACCGCCTACTCATTCCCCACCTCGAACTACTTCTTCACGGGCGGCCCCACGTAGGCTGGTCGAACAGGCGCCTGAAATAATGCAAATCTGAGCAATTTGAAACTGAAAGCTGTTCAGAACTGCCGATCTCATCGTGTCAGTTGATTTACAAGTGTTGTGCCTGTCCGATTCGAGGTTCGCATTTCACGAAGGAATCCTTCCCACTGCCACCTCGGATGTGATTGAGAAGCTTTTCATAGATATTTACACAAGTTTGTAAGTCTTGAACAAATTGGTTCTGATAACGGATATTCAGTTTCTGCTCAATTGGCTGATAGCTCGACGCTCTCGGTGTCAGACTCGCCACCCGTTCCTTTCTGCTCTAGACAGTCTCATTCATGAATCCCGACGTCAATAGTTCTCGAGTGAACGTATCGCTGAAAGTGAATTTCTATTTATTACGGCTCTTTTAATGTAGATTTACAGACGGAGATGATGAAGTACACAACGGGAGTTCAATTGGCTCGGCCATCATCATCTTCCGATCCTCTTCTTTTTTGGAAGACTCACAAAAACGAATATCCGATTCTCTCGTCGATCAGCAAAAACTTGCTGGCCGTGCCGAGCAGCTCAGCAGCCACACAACGGCTATTCTCGTACGTGTTTGTTATTTAGAACGCAAATAAATGGAACCTTTTCCAGATCCGCGACATACTTGACAAATAATGAGAAACGCAATCGGATGAAGGCGGATACACTGGACGCCGCCATCTTGCAGGTGATGTCCAATTCAAACTTGCTAAAGTAAGTGTTTCTAACCGTTATAATCCAGTTATAATTTTTTAATTTTCAGCGCCAATTCAAAAATGTTCACGCAGAACGGAGAAGGTATCGACGATGAAGAAGATTTGGAAATTGAGCGGACTGTTGATACCATCTCTCGAACCAGCCAGATCCATCGAGCCAGCCAGGTCCTTCGAGCCAGCCGGGGACCTTGAAACTGCGACTGCGTGCAAATGCACATAAGAAGTTGACCAAGTAAAAAAAACCGGTACCTCCGAAGACGAAGAAACGAGTGCCAACTCCGCTTCCAGATGAAATTCTGAACAGCGATGACTCTCTAGAATTGCCCTAATTTTATCGTGTGCCATTTCGATCCTATTCAGTTGTTCCCTATGAAATCCCTATGATATGTTCCCTTTCAATGTTCCCTCTTGTTCCCTATGAAATGTTAACTGCTTCGTCATCAATTTCGAAACGTTTTATGTAAAAATTACAGATAGTTCGACGAACGGCGGAAGATTGTTTATTAAGAGAAATACGAAAGAAAACCGGTTTTCAATTGAAAAAAGAAAATCCGAGTCGACGGTGGATGCAAGCGCGCCTCATTGACAACTCGCTTCCGCATTGGAATGCTGGAAATTTTTTTTTGTTCTTTTCCTCTATTCGAAAACCCGGCTCGTTCGTTCAGCCCACCTATGTGACTGAAAAACACTGTGGCCACTGTACGCGGTGTATTTTTTAATGAAAATGTATCAGAAAATATGTCAAAAATTGTAACAAACGACAGAAATTGACCGAGACTTTTGGAGGTGCGAGAAAAAGCGAGACGAGAAAGGACGAGACGGCGGAATACGGAATTGAATACCTTATCACTGGATTCTCGACACCACCGACTCCAGTGCACGCGGCAACGTTCATCAAACGATGGAAGACAACTGATCAGAGTGCTCAATTCGGCTTCACCTACACGTCTGTTGCGCAGGCGGGAACGCCCACCAAAGGGATGGTGGGTGAATTTCAATGTGCAACCTATCAAGACGCTCTAAACTTCCGATGTGGATTCGATGAGCATTTGTGCAGTTGCATCGCGCAAGGAACCGTGCTCAGATGTCCGTGTCGACACTTTCACCTCGATGCGGTGCTCAAGAAGACGCTACTACCGAGAGGTGAAGCAGGGATCGCCATACTAACGGAAGGAGAACTGATCAACACGAAGCTGACAACGAGTTCTTTGGTTTCGATTCAACTACAGTTCAGGAATCAATCAATTCATCGGATCGTGAAAGACGACAACTGCAGCATTGCAACGACGACGATCACGGGTTGCTTCTCCTGTGGAAAAGGAGCGTTGTTGACTGCGACGTGTACCTCCATGGTTCACAAAAGGATCGAAGCGACAGTCAAGTGCCCGACGATTGGAGTGGATTTTCTAGAATGCGGTATCAACGGAGTGCGAGGGAAAATCAATTTCCATTCGACCCAGCGGAAGATCGAGGAAACTTGTTCCATTTCGTGTGGAACAGTTAAGCAGGAATTCTCCTTGCAAGGAGAACTAGCGGAAGAAGCAACGTTCGATGCGTCTGGACTTCGGGATCGGTTTGCGGAATTCACTCAGAAGATCGGGGAAGGAGGAATTTTCGACGTCATCACGGGAAAGATAGCTGCCGTTTGGAGCACCATCACTTCATGGATCGGCTCGGGAATCGTCATCATGGTTGTGCTGGTTATCGGAGGAGTATGTTGTGTCCAGTGTGTCGGAGGAACGTCGGTTGGCTGGCGCTACATTCCCTTGGCACGGGAGTGTCGCAGATCGCGATATCGACGACGGAGGAGATGATCAATGACCACAGAACAGAGCATTCCCATCGACTCTCACGATAATAATAACCATCCCCATTCCTCACCGTTCCCAGGCACATTCACGGTGATTCGATTAGCGGAACTCCGTTAAATACCCCGGAATCGCTCTTCTCAGTATATTCTCTTCTATTCTTTCTTCTACTTTCTACATTCTTCGACTTCTACGATTCCTTCCGAATAAATCGTTACACCATAGCCCGCACCTGTTTGTACAGATGAAGGCGACAAATGAGCAGATCGCGAGTAATCTCATTGCGGGCAGTTCAACGGATAACGGCAACGGTCCCTCGTGCAAATCGTCTAGGATTTGTAAAGTGTTCGACCAGCACGTGCGCGATTTGAGCGAGATCGAACGATACGAATCGGAAGCAGCAGTGGTGTCTTTCATTGGTACTCTCTCGAAACGTCACAGACCACGAGCAGATCTCGGACTCAACAGCTTGTCGGACTCGTTTTACGACACTCCCGCCTCCTTTCCGTCGATCTCATCGTTCCCTAATAATTACTGATTGTTGTCGCATCTATTTGTTCACCTGTTAATCTGTTTGTTATAATTTACCCTCCATTCAAAAACTCGTTTATTGTTCAATAGTCTTCAGATATTTCTTAAGGGCGGTACGCTGGTCTTCCGCAGTTTTGTACGGATCGATGAGAATGGGTGTTTCATAATCGAACTGAACAGCCTCACGTTTCGGTACTGTGAGGTTATGGATCACACTAAGAGCTAAAATAAGACCTTGAGAAGACGCAGGGCAGAGATTGAGAGCGCGACGGAAGACGCGGAACTTTGTAGTCAGAATCCCAAACAGATTCTCAATCTTGACGCGCGTTCCGCAAATCTTATCAATGAAGTCCATGTTCTCCGTAGTACGATTGTGGTCTCATATGGCTGCATCACGTGCTTGGACAGGCCGAATCCGTTGTCAGCGAGAATAAACGGCGGCATGACGGAGTTGCCACCGTATTCACATATCTGGACGTACAGGATTGGACAGCCGGCCGAGCAGACTCCAGACATTCTAGGTGATCAGCCATTGTTTGCACTACAGACGACATTCGATCAATTTCCCCTTTCGCCTTTCTTTCCGTCTTCATCTTGGTCGATTCCACCGCGAATTTAGTGTCGTTGTCCAAGGAATTGGCGTAGGACAGCAGATAGTCGAACCCATAGTGCTGTGCGGATCCCATGATCGTGTGAAGGCTGGGGGACTACACGCAGCAAACGGATGAACTTGAACACGAACTTCCAGTTCGGTTTCACTCCCTTCCGATCTTTAGGAGTCCCTTTTTTACTGTCCCTCTCGTACCCCGCTTCCGTTCGCATCCCGTAATTCTGTCCACGGACATATTCACCAACTGTTGGTTTTCCTTTGAAATAACACAGCGCACATCCGTAAGTGCACTGATGGCCGTGGTGTCCGAGCATGTCTTGAAGGAACTTCATATCGCCAACCAGGTATTGACGTACTGCAATCGTTCGGCTCCCCCTTTTCGTATCGATCGTGACCGATGTCAGATCGTTCAGCTCTTTCAGGAGGTCCTGCAGATGAAAAAGGATGGCTTCAGCGCTTTCATCGTCATTGAAGACGGCGATTGGAATTTGGTTGACGTGAGAATTCGGGCAACTGATGTTGCCAATTGCAAGGGCCAATTTGAACTCTTCTGATCCTTTGTCGCCTGAAGAATTCATTCCCCGCTCCCTTTTCAGTTCATTTCGTACCAATCAGCCCGAGCCAGATCTCATCCTTGGTGGTGCCATCGAACAACAGTTTTCCACCCTCCGCCAGTAAACTAAGATGCTTGTTCAAATAGTTTCGAATGTTGACAATGTGAGATACTGTTACGTCCTTCATTTCTCCCTTTTTGTTCTGTCTTTGTACAGTGAATACGCGGAAATCATCGGAAGACACTGCCTTGCCTTCCATTTCCTTGATGACATTCAGGGAAGGGAAGGGGTCGGGAACTCCGGCGTTCCGGAAGAACTTTCTGATCAGAGTGTAAGAGCGGCGGGTGAAGTGACCGGAATTGTAAAGAACGAAGGCTTCTTCGGCGGAAAGCTCAGTTTTGTGGAGTCCCTTCTTCTGCAAATCTCCAATAACGTCACGGACGAATTTCGAGCAGTTCGGTTGCCCTGGTTGCCCTGGTCGGTTTTATTAATTTCTTCGCAATCCACGTCTTCATGGTTTCCTCCTCGGGGGATGCCCCATCACCGCTGCCTGCTGTTACTGTGCAATGATGGCGTGCCGAATATCCGCTTCAATTGGGTCGCCGTGTGAGATTTCTGGACCTGAAAATAACAACAATACTCTCGGGGGGTAAATCAATGTACTCTCAAACGGTCACCCCGCTTTCCGACGTACTCTTCGGCGACGACGTCCTCCATCTCCGCTATTTCTGTCGCATTCAGCAGCGCGGTCTTCCGCATTCGCACTGTCTCTCTTCTAAATGACGACGTCGCGGATGTGCTCTGTGCCGGAGGAGGCAGCTATCGACGTGGCGAGCACTCTCGAACGGAAGTTTCCTCACTTATTCCAGTCCATCACGCCGATTCGAACGCTGAAAAATCAATATTTTCATGATTTCTAGTAAAGAAAACTCACCATTTCCGCATCTCCGCGCGTCACCGACAGTTTGCCGTAGATCTCGATTGGCCCGGCAGATGCATCTAGAGACGTTTTTTGAGAAATCTTTTTTTCAACGAAATTTCACTGTTTTCCGGCAAACGATCGGTTGTTTCCGCAAAAACCACCTGTCACGCTATTTCTTTTTGGTTCGAAAACGTTATAAGTGATGTGAGTGAACTTTTTAAACCAAAAAAACGAGAACATCTAGAGACGTTTTTTGAGAAATCGTGCATTTTCTGAATGAAACCTTACTTTCACTGATTTACGCGTTTCTCTTCTTCACGTCGAGTTTCTCTTAGCTATTTTTTGATTTGGAATCTGTAAAAAGGTCGAATTGAGGTAGAAAGTAGAGAAAAACGCTTTAAAGAGATGAATATTTGGAGAAAATTCATCAAAAACTAAAAAAAAGAATTTTGCGCGGAACATAAAATGCACTGTACGCAGAGCAACACCGGCGTGCCAAAATGCACAGACTCGGGATCATACGTTTGGTGAACGTCGCAAAAGCCGCGCCGTGGCGCCTGCAAAAACGTCCTTGAAACAAAGAAAGACAGTCTGTGGCACAAGCAGGGCGTCTTGGAAAGTTCTCATTTTTACGAGACGCTTGGTTGAATACTCACAGGGTCCACTTCTGTGTTCTGCACGCGCGCGGCTAATACGTTGGTTCCGGCGTCAGTGACTGCTCTGGATATTTGGTAGGAAGGCACACTCACTCCCTCAAGTATTCCGCACAGCAAGCTCGAAATAGATTCAGCTGTAGCCTTTCCGTTTAGGTGCTGACACATCAATGTTCTAATGGAAACAATATCATTGAAATACTCGGATCTCTCTTTCAAAATCATTATTGACAAAGATCACGAAAGCCGCAAACACATGCAAATCCGAGCACTTGGATGTCCAGCCATCGAATGTGATAACCAGATTCTGCAAGTGAATAGTACGTACGCTGAGCATTTAGATTCATTTCCAAACCATCTACTCTTTCAATAACCTCTCGACTTGGGTTTTGGATTCATCTGCAGCTTGAACGATTTCTTTTTTTACAACCTCTCCCGTGAGAACCACATTTCCGCCAAGTGACTTCATGAATTCACCGAAATAATGGTTTTCGACGAAGATGAACGTAAAAATACGGCTCTACAACAATTATTATCGCCTTATAGTTTGTGAGAATAACTCACAGAGAGAGCAGGAACGAGGGACTTTTAGAAGAAAACGCGGCATCACAGTCGTGGGCTCTCTCGGCCTGGAATCGGTGGAGAGGAACGCAAAGAAACAGAACATACTTCCTCGAGATGATCCCTATGCAACCGTTGAGCATGTTTATTCAGACTGCTTGTGTTGTGGTCGACGGTCTCAATCAGTTTTTTTTTCAATTCAATTCATTTATTCATCGCAGAAAGAAAAAGGAACACCGGTAAAAAGAGGGGAACACCAGAAGGGGTATATATATATTTGAAAATTGAGAAATCTACGAGTGACTGCAATTGGGAGGGGGAAAGGAAGCAATTACAGTTATTGACGATTGTTTGGCACATAAGATGCACTCAGCTTTATTTTGATTCACTCGATGATACAAGCTCCACACTGCCTTTTTTCTTGCGGTGAACATCTGAAAAAAGGGCAGAAACCGCCCACGGGAGTGGCTAGACGAGGGGAAAAAGTTTAGCGAAAAAATTACACATGTTCCGTCTGAAACCAGCCAATTTGCAATTTGTTCCCACTGACAAAACGCTCGACTAACAGATTACAGATACCCGTTCGATTCCTCTGCTGCTCATTCTTCCGTGGTTCCCTTCTGCTTTTCCCTTTTCTGTTTCTTCTTCTTTTTCTTTTCCTCCTTCTTCACCTTTTTTCATTTTTTGTCTAATAAAATTGTTCATTTTCCTTTTCTGTATTCCTTTTCTGAAACACTCCTACCAAATAGTTAACTTCTACTCCATTTTTTCCAATCTCAACACTAGACTGGTCGAACAGGCGATTTCAGGCGCCTGTTCGACCAGGCTACGTGGCGCCGCCCGTGAAGAAGTAGTTCGAGGTGGGGAATGAGTAGGCGGTCGGCGTGGCCATCAGCATCGGCTGCGTGCTCTTCATGTCCCAGACGGACGACGGATCGGCCAGGTCGAGGTTCGAAGTGAGTCCCGCAGCCGTCGGCGTCGTCATTCCCAGCGAGGCGGAGCCGTTTGAGCCCGTTGACTCTTTCTTGATCTTCCGCGCTTCTTTCGTCGACATCTTCCGGTTGCGCGTCTGGATTCCTTCCTTTTTCATCGTGATCGGTCGCTCGATCTGAAAAATAGACAAAAATTAGCTTCCTTCTTTGCAAATTTGAAGAAAAACGGGGAGCGTCGGCGGCTGCGCAAAACAACATTTTCTCAAAATGCGGGCTGCGCCTTTAAATCTACAGTGAGCCGGGCAATATTTTTCAAAAATGTTGAACAGTTTTGAGCACAAAATGAGCTAGAATTATCAACGCCGTGACAAAAAGAGACCGGTCATCGTAAATCCGGAAGTTAAAAGATTATAACTGGATTACAACGGTTGGAAACACTTACTTTAGCAAGTTTGAACGACTTCTCTTTGGAACGGGTGGCAAGTCTGACACCGAGAGCGTCGAGCTATCAGCCAATTGAGCAGAAACTGAATATCCGTTATCAGAACCAATGAACAGCTTTCAGTTTCAAATTGCTCAGATTTGAATTATTTCAGGCGCCTGTTCGACCACCCTACGTGGGGCCGCCCGTGAAGAAGTAGTTCGAGGTGGGGAATGAGTAGGCGGTCGGCGTGGCCATCAGCATCGGCTGCGTGCTCTTCATGCCCCAGACGGACGACGGATCGGCCAGGTCGAGGTTCGACGTGAGTCCCGCAGCCGTCGGCGTCGTCATTCCCAGCGAGGCGGAACTGTTTGAGCCCGTCGACTCGTTCTTGATCTTCCGCGCTTCTTTCGTCGACATCTTCCGGTTGCGCGTCTGGATTCCTTCCTTTTTCATCGTGATCGGTCGCTCGATCTGAAAAATAGAAAATTAGCTTCCTTCTTTGCAAATTTGAAGAAAAAGCGGCGGCGGCGGCGGCTTTTGCGACGTTCACCAAACGTTTGATCCTCAGTATGTGCATTTTGACACGCCGGTGTTGCTCTGCGTACAGTGCATTTTATGTTACGCGCAAAGTTCATTTTTTTTTTAGTTGTTGATGAATTTTCTCCAAATATTCATCTCTTTAAAGCGTTTTTCTCCACTTTCTATCTCAATTAGACCTTTTTACAGATTCCAGATGAAGTAATACGCGAATAGAAGTCGATGCGATGAAAAGAAACGCGTAAGTAAGTGAAAGTAATGTTTTATTCAGAAAATGCACGAATTCTCGAAAAACGTGACTAGATTTTCTAATCTTTTTGTTCAAAAACTTTACTTACATTTCTGAGAATGTTTTCGAACCAAAAAGAAGTAGAGTGACAGCTCGCTTTCGCAGAAAAACCGATAGTTTGCCGGAAGACAGTGAAACTTCGTTGAAAAAAATTTTGTTTTGCTTCTACGAACTGTCACTCTACTTTTTTTTGATTCGAAGACATTCACAGTCATGTGAGTGAACTTTTTAAATCAAAAGATTAGGAGGATCTAGAGACGTTTTTCAAGAAATCGTGCATTTTCTGAATAAAACATTACTTTCACTTACTTACGCGTTTATTTTCATCGCATCGACTTCTCTTCGCGTATTACTTCACCTGGAATCTGTAAGAAGGTCTAATTGAGGTAGAAAGCAGAGAAAAACGCTTTAAAGAGATCTCTCCCTCTCTCTATAACTTTTTCGATACGTTAATTGCAGTCGCTGCGGTGACATGACGTCTTCTTCTCGAAGAAATCGACTCTCATCGCGCACTCTCAACAATATGTTGCTGAACTCCGCCCTGGGGTTGCTCAAGTGAGAAAGTTAGTATTTCTTTACTCCAACTTCTATTTTATAGGCACGAGAATGGCTCGACTTCCAAATATAATGTTGAAGACTACATCAGTGACGACGATGACGACGATGAAGAGTTGTTCTCATCAACCGAACGCCAACGGAGAAGCAGCGTCTAATAATCCCAATAAATGCCTTCAATTTTATCGCTTTCTCTCAAAATTTTTTTTAACCGGTCCATAAAATGGTTTTTATTTATTCATTCACGTCCATCTATCGGTTATATTCACCACAAAATTTATTCTCCTCTTTGACTACACGTGATGCCACGGGCCACGGGAATGTCGACAAATTGTCGACAATTTATCGACTATCGACACTAAGCGATTGTCGACAAGTAAAGTGGGCAAGTGTTGTCGATAGATCATTTGTCGACAGTCCGCACATTTTTTGTTGATCGACATTAATTTTGTCGATACTGTTGACATAAATTTTCTCGACTTTTATCGACTTTTCGACAAACTCTCATGTCGACACGTCACTCTAATCAACAACTAAAAAATTGAACTTTGCGCGTAACATAAAATGCACTGTACGCAGGGCAACACCGACGCGCAAAAATGCATACCATTTGGCTGCGTATGTTGCGAAAACAGCGCCGTGCGGCGGCAACGGCGGCGGCGCAAAACAACATTTTCTCAAAATGCGGGCTGCGCCTTTAAATCTGCAGTAAGCCGGGCAAAATGTTTCAAAAATGTTAAATAGTGAGCTAAAATTATGAACGCCGTGACAAAAAGAAACCGGCCATCGTAAATCCCCCGCTACACTTCCGGAAGAACATCTTTGCAAAATTCTCATAAAAGCGGCACAGTTTACTTACCCAAGACTGTGCGCAATAAAATAATAATAATAATAACCATTATTATTATTATTATTACCGCCCCCCAAAAAGTTAATGAGTCTTGAGACACAAAAACGCGATCCGAGCCACGAAAACTGTCATCAATCACACCGCTCTTTAGCAGTAGCGCGATGCGATAACGACGGTCAAGAGATCAGATATAGAAATATTGTGGCGGTAATGTTTTGCTAACGGTGGTGCGCGCCAAGTAATTATCTGTCGGAACGGACGGTAAAAGATGCCCGAATGATGATAGCGCACCGCCGCGTGATTGTTTTCGCGGCAAACGGCTCTAAACTTGCGCAACCCGCAATTTGTCGGCTCCCGTAAATCGACACACCGGTTTAAAGGCGCACGTACCTTGTGAAGCTTGAAGTAGAGTCCGCACGCATTGCACACCGGATTCCCGTCGCCGTTTCGTCTCCACAGCGTCGTGTTGTTCGTGTGGCAGTTGACACACGTGACGCCAGTCCTTTTTTGTGCGTTCTGCTAAGAATTTTGTCATTTTTCGTTTTTCATTGAGCGCTGGGTGGTGGTGGTGATGGTGTCAATTAATTGTCTCTCTCTCTCTCTCTTGAGGCTACTGTACGCAACTTCAAGAGTCTCGTCACTTGCCACCAAATCGACCCCGACCTCGGGGGAACTCTCTCTCTAACAATTTGTCATTCATCCATAAAAGGTATTGCTCAATGACTACGGGGGACTCCTGATGTTATCAAAAACCGCTACCGCCCTAATAAAAAGTCTCTGCACAACGTCCGCCAAGGTCGAGCCATCAATGTGACAAGTGCGGGGGATGGAGGGAGAGGGGACCTATTGATTCTTCTTCCTTACCTGCCGCTTCTTCGTCTTCACCAACGGTCGATTCTCCATGTTCGTCTTGTAGTACAACCCGCACGCATTGCACAAATAGTTTCCGGCTCCGTCGCGACGCCAGAGCGGTGTCGCGTGAACTCCACAGTTCACACACTCTCGGTCTTCGTTGTTGCCTGCAAACAATTCGATGCTTTTCATGTCTCTCTGAGACGCTGAGACTCACAACTCATTCGCTTTGCCGACGAGCTCGACGCCGACGAGGAGGAGGTGGAACATCCGGCGATGCCTGTGGGCGTGAGTCCCTGACTGCACGGCAGCACCGACTGCACCACGTTCGGCTGTCCTCCATTCCCTTGCACAATGCTCACGTTCACCTGATTATTGACCGTGATTCCACTGGCAGAGGTGGCGGCAGCGAGCGGATCGTATCCGTATCCGTTGATCGACGCCGGGTAAAAGTAGCTTGAGTTTTGGGCTGCAAAGAGATGGACGATAAAGATTAGAGCGGCGGGGAACATGTCGCGAGGGGGGGCGAATTTTATAGCTCTTGGTGGTCATACCTCCGAACACGTTGTTGTGCATCATCATGTTTTGTCCGCCGACGATTCCGTCCATGTTGGACGCGGTGGCGACTGTCGCCGCTCCCGTGTACGGCGGATAATTGAAACACATCTGGTAACCTGGAAAAACAGAAAAAAGTGGTAGGGAAAAGGCGCTTCTTCTAATTTCCCAGTTTAGACCGGAAATTGGTCTAGGACTGGCAGAGAAAGCAAGAAAAGCGAAAGAAACCAACTTGACGGATTATTGTAGTCCGTGTAATAGCTAGTGGTCGCCGTGTTGTATGTGAAGGCGGCGGAGCTCGACTCGACGAGAGGCGCTCCGGAAGACGTGGCGGACGGGCCCTTCTGCTCGTAGTTCATGTCGTCGTCGTCGGCCTGGAAGAGGCACAAAAAGTTATGAATTAGAAAGGGCTTAACGACGAGCGGCGGCGGTGGCGCGAGATAGAGCAGCGAGGAGACGGAGAGATAAGAGCGGAACATGTGTGGTCTCGTGATGATAACCATCTGCGGCAAAATAATCAGAGGTGAGATAAGAGGGAGAAGATCAGAGTTACAGATTGAAATTGCAGATGAACCACACACACACACACACACACAGAGGACTCAGTTGGTCATCGAGAGGGGGGTCTTGAAGATTATCTAGGTCTATCTAGATACGGTCTTCTTCATTCGGACTGAATCACGCACGGTGGACACGAAGACGTGGCCGGAGGAGGACGGGAGAGACGGGCAGAGAGAGGGGAGGAGTCGGGCAAACGAAGCTAATTGTCGGCGACCAATCGAGTCGCTCGAGGGGGCGGGGCCTCTGTCCGTCGGAATGAATGCTCTTGTATAAGTGAGAAGAACGATGAGCCAGAAAGATACGGACGGAGGAGCACACCTGTCTGACAAAACGATGACGGAATAAACGGTCCCCACGAGTAATTATGCGGGAGCCCCAGCCCCTCTCGGGCGGTAGAATACAAAAAAGATGAGATGGATACGTCTCCGAGGCGGTAGATCAGAGTATTGACGAGTATGAAAAACTAACCGGAGCAAATTGAATGGAAATTTGGATAAAGGTGTCTGGGGGGCTGGGCGGGAAGATAAAAGCTGTGGCTCCCTCCTTCGGCTCCCGGAGTCGCCCGCACCAGTTGATTAATGAGCATTCCGTCGGTGTCGGCACCCACTTTACCGCAATGACATACTGCCCCTCGGGCCGGTATCTACGCCAATCTTGCGTGCTGATTTCAATCGAAACAGCCGTTTTTCAGTGGCCGGTGAGGGTGGATCTATTTACCACACGTCTCTTTGATCGCAGTCTTATCACACCTGGGTGACGTGGCAAGACAAAGAGCGACGCGTGGATTGAAAAGAAAGGAAAGAAGTGAGAAAGGATCGGGGGGATAGTAGGTTGGTTGCAAAACATGAGCCACGGATCGAAAAGAGCATTCCACTGAATGCCTTATCGACGTGGCTAAACAGTAGACTTTTGGGAGCTCACTATCAGTTTCAGGAGACGGATAACATTTGCTCGATTCTTATAGAACAGTGATTTGAGATGGTCAACCCGAAATTACCTGGAAATCTTGGGAAAAGGTAATTTTGGGCGTGTGGATCAATTGGATTTATTGAAAAAAGAAGCAAAACGGGAGGTTTACCGATTTGCCGAAGCGGTAAACTCATGAAAACATGAAGAAACGACTACTGGACGTTTCGAAACCGCGACATTTCAAAACTAGGCAAAATTTCGGTTGCGGAATGTCCGTTAATCAAAGAAACGAGTAAATGAGAACAAAAACGCGTTTCGAAGACCAAACAAAAGTGGCAAAATTTTGATTGCGAAATGTGCGGGGGTCGAAAAGACGAGAAAACAGAATAAAACTAAACTACCGATTGTTCGCGTACGCCCTCCTAATTAGTTCATCATCTTGCGTTGTCACCCGGTCCTTCCGGTCTTTTTGACGTGGCGGACTCTTCAAAGGGACTCCTCCTACACATTACACCTTTCGGGACGGACCGCACGTGGAGGAAGTGAGCAGTGGTGGTCACACTTTGCCGCAATTTCACTTTCTGGCCAGGATCCTCTAGGAGCACCTTCATCTTTCCAAGTTTCTCCAACTTCTTGTTGTTATTAGTCACTTTCACGAGAATACCGAGCGGGCTATCGGAATGAAAATGGAAGGGGACAATATTCATCCAACTTATGCGATAGATTGAAAGTGCAAAGTTGAGAAGAACGATGTAAAGTTGATGAAACTGCAAAAGATACAGTAGTTGCCCTCAGTTGAACTCATAAACACATCCTGACCTTGAGCACTCTGTCACCCATAAACTAAGAATTTCGGTTGCGTCAGTCGTAAAGTCATAAGTGAGTCCGAGTCTGAACAGTCTTTATCAAGTGGGTCCATCTTATCTTGCTATTGAAACCACACACACACACACACACTTATTGTAAAAAAAACGTGAGCAAAATCGTTAGCCACTAGGCCATGCGCACACGTTTGCCAATCGCTGCCAGGGCATATACATACTTGCAGCTGCCAGCAGAGTTTAACAGTTTTTCAGAGCAAAAACTCTAAATTCTCTACTTTTCTTCCCCGGAGCACTCATTTTAACCACCTGACTGACCCCCATAAACTCATGATCTCAAAGTTCATAAAAAAAGCACACACGAGTTTTATATTTTTCATTGTAAATCACTCAATTTTGACTAGGAGCACACGTTTTTTCGATTAAAAACGACTGTAATTGATGAGGATCTCGCAATTAGCGAGTCAAAGTTTGAGGAGCAATTAGACACCGAGACGGATGGGTTTGAAGGAGAGCGAATGGACGAACAGATGAGCAGAAGGCGTCATCTGGAGCCCGGAGCCGTGGCGCGCGGTCCCAAGCTGTCACTTGTACACAATCTGTTCACTCATTTTCGTCTATGAAATTCATGATTTCCGGAGGGGGGAAGCCACGCACATACGCACATTTCATCGAAAAGGGGGGGGGAAGATTGCAATCAGCGATATTTAGTGCCCACCTTTCGGCAATAAATCAGTGGCGTAAAAGTTAGTTTTGGGTAAGATTCGAGTCAAGGTTGATGAGGATCGAGTGTGGGAGTGATGGGGTTCAGGGCGTGGGCTGGTAGGGACCATGGGATGACATATTGAGTTGAGCCAGAAGGATCGGATCATCTGACTGGTTGTTTGCGGTTTCGAGCGTGGCACAATATTTGTCACTGTTCGACTTACTCAGTCATGCAGTCTAGTAGAGATTTCCGAATTAGCAGTTAGTTATTTAGTGCGGTTGTGAATGATGAATGTCTAATATGTTCTCGTTCCTCTCGATTCACTCATTTACAGTACTATTAGTCGCAGTACACAGTGTGTCACCTCAGTGCGACGCGTTCGATTCAAAAGAGTCGCCACGTGGCAGATGTCTTCGTATAATCGAGGTGCTAGTCGGTGAAAAGGATCGGTTACAAGGGCGGGCAGGTGCTGCGGAGCCCTTGATCCAAGCGATGGGACGACGGTGATACCGGAAGTCGCAGACAATGCACCAATTAGACGCCTCCAATTATAGGGGACCACCACTGGGAAACTAGGAAACTAGGCAACTGCTCAGAACCCTGAGAACCTGACATTTCCAACTATAATCCGATTCGCAGCCATTGTTGTCCCTCCACAAAACAAAAGTTTCTAATCACAACCATCCCATCGTCTTCTCATAACTTGTACATTTCCAATCATTCGTCCAAGTTTGTCGGCGTGTGTGCTGACGTGGCAAAGGGCTCACTGACTGGATAATTGTATGCAGGTGTGTGAGTTCTCATGAGGTGGCAACTGGGAGACTCGGTGTAATTGGGATGAGCGGTAACAAGGGACTAACTGGGCAACTGGCTAAGCACATGGATTGCGACGTGGCAACCGGAACCGATTACTACTGTACGTACTTTTCTTTTTGTGGCGATGACAAGCGAGGCATGTCCTATCAAGGCCTCTCAAAATTAACAGTCAACTGGGTCCGTCGGTCCGTCGGGGACCGCCTAATGATAAGGATCGGGGGGCCGACCTCGTGTCACTCAAAAGTCGCGTTTGCGCGGCGAGAAAAAGACTGAGTGGATGAGGAAAGAGGGACCATCACTCACTTTTAATTTGAATGAGGTAGCCGACCGACAAATGGGCATATCAGATAAGAAAATGATGAATAGTTGGAGGGGTTTCACAGTTTCATAAAGTGCACAAAGCAGCAATTGATTGTCTTCTAAAAGCGGACGTCTACCAAACAATGCTACTTCAGGATTGAGCTATTATCTTCGTTATCTCCAGAACTATGCGTTGAATCAAAACTTGGTCAGCTGAAAAATAGTAGGCAATTTTGTGCAGAACAACTTTGTAATTAACAATTCTATCTGAAAACTCTTCATTTTCGAGTTATGCAAGTTTTTCTGAATACTACTGAAACTTTATAGTTTCCGGTTTCAGCACTCTGACTTCAGGTCTCGGAATGTGATTTCCATCCCTTATCTCTTTCTCTGTCACGGAAAACGGAAACCGGGATTGGAACCCACACAGTTTGAAATGTGATAAGAAGAATCGAAGAAAAGATGAATCAGAAAGAGAAGATGATCAGTGTTTTCACTCAATTGATAACTCTCTCCTCGTGCTTCGATTTCATTGTTTCCCATGCCAAAGTTGACGGACAATCTCGTGGTTCTCACCCATTGTTGTCCCCTCCTCCCACGCACTCTTTCTTTCAGGGCTCCCGTCCGATCAGAGGTGCTAACGCCGCAAAGTTTGGGAGACAAATCGAGCACGCGCGTAGAGAGTCTCAATAGTGAGGGACCAAAAGGAGGAACAAAAAGGAGCAAATATGCTCACAAAACGCTTCAATTCGAACAAAATCTTATCGGTTTCATGAAATTGTGCTCAATAGGATTCGGAGGACGCTAGAAGAAGCGCAACCAGTCGAGCAAGCTGGTTTCCGTCGCTCCTTCTCTACGATCGAGCACATCCACTCAGGAAGTTAGGCTGGGCCGGACACGTGGCACGAATGAGATGGATCGACGCCCTCAACAAAGAAGTCACAATCCGACAAGGAAACCGAGTGGTCCCATGGAGCACCATTGCCAAAGATCGGAAGGCGTGGTGTGCTGTGATCCGCGCCCACACAACGTGAGCGAGGAACGGATCGACTAAGTAAATAACTGATATTTTCTACTTTTTTAAATAGATCCTTTAATCACCGTTCGCTTGAATCTCCTTTATGATCTCAAACTTGGGTGATTAAACCAATTAACATTATAACAGAAGAGGAGACATTAATGATAAGGCCTACTCTTAACAGGTGGGGTTGGGAAACAAGATGCACTCAGCTTTATTTTGATTCACTCGATGATACAAGCTCCACACTGCCTTTTTTCTTGCGGTGAACATCTGAAAAAAGGGCAGAAACCGCCCACGGGAGTGGCTAGACGAGGGGAAAAAATGTAGTGAAAAAATTACACATTTTCCGTTTGAAACCAGCCAATTTGCAATTTGTTCCTATCGGAATGGCCAACTGGCAAAACGCTCGGAGTTCAGATCCCCGTTCGATTCCTCTGCTGCTAATTTTTCCATGGTTCCCTTCTGCTTTTCCCTTTTCTGTTTCTTCTTCTTTTTCTTTTCCTCCTTCTTCAACATTTTTCTTTCTTTGTCTAATAAAATTGTTCCTTTTCCTTTTCTGTATTCCTTTTCTGAAACACGCCTACCAAATAGTTAACTTCTACTCCATTTTTTCCAATCTCAACACTAGGCTGGTGGAACAGGCGATTTCAGGCGCCTGTTCGACCAGTGAAGAAGTAGTTCGAGGTGGGGAATGGGTAGGTGGCCACCATCAGCATCGGCTGCGTGCTCTTCATGCCCCAGACGGACGACGGATCGGCCAGGTCGAGGTTCGACGTGAGTCCCGCAGCCGTCGGCGTCGTCATTCCCAGCGAGGCGGAGCCGTTTGAGCCTGTCGACTCTTTCTTGATCTTTCGCGCTTCTTTCGTCGACATCTTCCGGTTGCGCGTCTGGATTCCTTCCTTTTTCATCGTGATCGGTCGCTCGATCTGAAAAATAGACAAAAATTAGCTTCCTTCTTTGCAAATTTGAAGAAAAACGGGGAGCGTCGGCGGCTGCGCAAAACAACATTTTCTCAAAATGTGGGCTGCGCCTTTAAATCTACAGTAAGCCGGGCAAGCAAAATTTTTTATAAATTTTGAATAGTTTTGAGCACAAATTGAGCTAGAATTATCAACGCCGTGACAAAAATACATGAGATCGAAAAGAGCATTCCACTGAGTGCCTTATCGACGTGGCTAAACAGTAAACTTTTGGGAGCTCACTATCAGTTTCAGGAGACGGATAACATTTGCTCGATTCTTGTAGAACAGTCTTTATCAAGTGGGTCCGTCTTATCTTGCTATTGAAACCACACACACACACACACACACACACACACTAATTGTAAAAAAAACGTGAGCAAAAGCGTTGGCCACTAGGCCATGCGCAATCTCATCTTTGAATTATGTTTCATGAAACCGATAAGATTTTGTTCGAATTGAAGCGTCTTGTGAACATATTTGCTCCTTTTTGTTCCTCCTTTTGGTCCCTCACTATTGAGACTCTCTACGCGCGTGCTCGATTTGTCTCCCAAACTTTGCGACGTTAGCACCTCTGATCGGACGGGAGCCCTGAAAGAAGGGGTGCGTGGGAGGAGAGGACAACAATGGGTGAGAACCACGAGATTGTCCGTCAACTTTGGCATGGGAAACAATGAAATCGAAGCACGAGGAGAGAGTTATCAATTGAGTGAAAACACTGATCATCTTCTCTTTCTGATTCATCTTTTTTTGTATTCTTCTTATCACATTTCAATCTGTGTGGGTTCCAATCCCGGTTTCCGTTTTCCGTGACAGAGAAAGAGATAAGGGATGGAAATCACATTCCGAGACCTGAAGTCAGAGTGCTGAAACCGGAAACTATAAAGTTTCAGTAGTATTCAGAAAAACTTGCATAACTCGAAAATGAAGAGTTTTCAGATAGAATTGTTAATTACAAAGTTGTTCTGCACAAAATTGCCTACTATTTTTCAGCTGACCAAGTTTTGATTCAACGCATAGTTCTGGAGATAACGAAGATAATAGCTCAATCCTGAAGTAGCATTGTTTGGTAGACGTCCGCTTTTAGAAGACAACCAATTGCTGCTTTGTGCACTTTATGAAACTGTGAAACCCCTCCAACTATTCATCATTTTCTTATCTGTTATGCCCATTTGTCGGTCGGCTACCTCATTCAAATTAAAAGTGAGTGATGGTCCCTCTTTCCTCATCCACTCAGTCTTTTTCTCGCCGCGCAAACGCGACTTTTGAGTGACACGAGGTCGGCCCCCCGATCCTTATCATTAGGCGGTCCCCGACGGACCGACGGACCCTGTTAATTTTGAGAGACCTTGATAAAAAAAGAAAAGTAATCCCTTCCGGTTGCCACGTCGCAATCCATGTGCTTAGCCAGTTGCCCAGTTAGTCCCTTGTTACCGCTCATCCCAATTACTCCGAGTCTCCCAGTTGCCACGTCATGAGAACTCACACACCTGCATACAATTATCCAGTCAGTGAGCCCTTTGCCACGTCAGCACACACGCCGACAAACTTGGACGAATGATTGGAAATGTACAAGTTATGAGAAGACGATGGGATGGTTGTGATTAGAAAGATTTGTTTTGTGGAGGGACAACAATGACTGCGAATCGGATTATAGTTGGAAATGTCAGGTTGTCAGGGTTCTGAGCAGTTGCCTAGTTTCCTAGTTTCCCAGTGGTGGTCCCCTATAATTGGAGGCGTCTAATTGGTGCATTGTCTGCGACTTCCGGTATCACCGTCGTCCCATCGCTTGGATCAAGGGCTCCGCAGCACCTGCCCGCCCTTGTAACCGATCCTTTTCACCGACTAGCACCTCGATTATACGAAGACATCTGCCACGTGGCGACTCTTTTGAATCGAACGCGTCGCACTGAGGTGACACACTGTGTACTGCGACTAATAGTACTGTAAATGAGTGAATCGAGAGGAACGAGAACATATTAGACATTCATCATTCGCAACCGCACTAAATAACTAACTGCAAAATTCGGAAATCTCTACTAGACTGCATGATTGAGCAAGTCGAACAGTGACAAATATTGTGCCACGCTCGAAACCGCAAACAACCAGTCAGATGATCCGAACCTTCTGGCTCAACTCAATATGTCATCCCATGGTCCCTACCAGCCCACGCCCTGAACCCCATCACTCCCACACTCGATCCTCATCAACCTTGACTCGAATCTTACCCAAAACTAACTTTTACGCCACTGATTTATTGCCGAAAGGTGGGCACTAAATATCGCTGATTGCAATCTTCCCCCCCCCCCCTTTCGATGAAATGTGCGTATGTGCGTGGCTTCCCCCCTCCGGAAATCATGAATTTCATAGACGAAAATGAGTGAACAGATTGTGTAGAATTGACAGCTTGGGACCGCGCGCCACGGCTCCGGGCTCCAGATGACGCCTTCTGCTCATCTGTTCGTCCATTCGCTCTCCTTCAAACCCATCCGTCTCGGTGTCTAATTGCTCCTCAAACTTTGACTCGCTAATTGCGAGATCCTCATCAATTACAGCCGTTTTCAATCCCAAAAACGTGTGCTCCTAGTCAAAATTGAGTGATTTACAATGAAAAATATGAAACTCGTGTCTGCTTTTTTTTTATGAACTTTGAGATCATGAGTTTATGGGGGTCAGTCAGGTGGTTAAAATGAGTGCTCCGGGGAAGAAAAGTAGAGAATTTAGAGTTTTTGCTCTGAAAAACTGTTAAACTCTGCTGGCAGCGGCAAGTATGTATACGCCCTGGCAACGAGCAGCAGACGTGTGCGCATGGCCTAGTGGCTAACGCTTTTGCCCACGTGTTTTTAGAATAAGTGTGTGTGTGGTTTCAATAGCAAGATAAGATGGACCCACTTGATAAAGACTGTTCAGACTCGGACTCACTTATGACTTTACGACTGACGCAACCGAAATTCTTAGTTTATGGGTGACAGAGTGCTCAAGGTCAGGATGTGTTTATGAGTTCAACTGAGGGCAACTACTGTATCTTTTGCGGTTTCATCAACTTTACTTTGTTTTTCTCAACTTTGCACTTTCAATCTACCGCATAAGTTGCATGAATATTGTCTCCTTCCATTTTCATTCCGATCCCCCCGCTCGGTATTCTCATGCCGATTCCATTTGTTTCATGGTCTTCAAACATGAGGAGAAAGACCGAAAAGGCGACGAAAACACATCAGAGTGAGGCGAATGAGTACGGTAGGAGTCGACGGCGGCGGCCCGACGACGCTTATCGAATGGCAAGATCTGAAAGAGGAGAGTGACACCTCCAAACACGGCTTGAGACTGTCAGAGAACAAGACGACGAATGGAGGAGGAGAGGAAGAGGAACTTTTCCTCATTTGACCTACATTCCTGAATGTGAGTGGATCGGTGAGCAGTTGTAGTTGAGGTCTAGTCCTCTTATAGTTTCCTAAAACCGAAAATGTTATTTGCCAACGAAGAGAGTCCATTGAAGTCAGCGTTTTGTTGTAATTGAAACAGAAACGTATTTTCGGTTCAACTCAAAGTCAAACTGACTTGAAGGGTGCCGGGATTTCTATCAAACTTCTGCGCCCTGGACGACTTGCATCAGAAACAGCAGTTATTTTGTGGAAGACAACTGTTTCTATAGGGTTTCAAGAAAAATGAACTTTTCATCAGTTCGGTATAGTTGATTTTTGTTGAGCGGAATTCCGTTTTCCGGATTTCAAAATTCCGCGCTCAACTCTGGTTGACAGACGTTTACAGCTTCAAAAACTTTCCAAAGGATCATGACAATGTAGTAAGAGTCGATTATAAGCTGTTCATTACACGCGTTTTCCAATTTCCTCACTCATCCCGGCTCATCCTTCTGTTCTCGCCCCTCTCAGCCACCAGGAAACCAAATAAATTCATTGACGATGACGAGAAATCAGAGGAGGAGCCGCCGCGAAAGAACAGCCGGGTGCCTCCTTCTTCGCCTGCCCCGTTTAGCATAGACGAGGACAGATTTTATGCAAATATCATCAGCTTGTTCGTCTCCTCTTCGGGTCGTAACCCGTGAGACGATTGATGGGTTATCGAGAGTCTGACACGCTCATAACAAAGAGCAAAGCGGGGGGCGGGGGAGAATTCATTGACAATAACTTAATCCGCCGACAGATTCTGGAGGGAGGAGGAGCTGCGAATCGGGAAGGAAAGGGGGGAAATGGAGGAGGAAATGAGTGGCGAGGAGACTTCCTTCTCGATCCGATTCACAGTTTCTCAACTTCTTTTCATCTTTACCCAATTCGCAATGTTCAATGATAATTGCGTTCAGAGCAAATTCATTTTCTCGCTCGCTACTATGAATTTTCAAATGCAAATGCGCCCAGTGAAAACAAAGTATCTGAAATTGATCTCACGGCTGAAAACTAGGCCCAGATGATCAATAAAGCGCATTTTCTTCAAAGTCTTCTAAAACAAGTTATTTTCATGCAAATTTAGAATATCTGTTCACTGTTTCAAACACCTTTTATCTTGAGATTCTTGAGACATTCATTTAATTGTAGGGCGTATCTTCTATTACATTTACTGACTGTTTTGCTCACACTATTTCAAGCTTCTCTTGATGTTCGGGAACATTTTTACCTGCAAAACAGTCCTAATTCATTTAAAATAAGCTTTTTTATATGACTACCGTTTCATCTCGCACTTTTATCAACCATTGTTCAATTGAACAAATTTTTATTGTTTCTGCCTACTTTTAACCCCGAAAAAAGATTGCCAGAAACTTGCCGCAACATTACTGCCCCCCGTTTCCATGTCATCGATCCTTCATCGATTCTTGTGAGTGTGCAAACCGGAAGAACATATTCACACTTTGATTTTCTCGTTTTCAAACTCTTTTCATTTGAAATTCATCTCAAAACTGTTTCCTTCTCGAATAATCCGAACTTTTGGTATCTCTCGTGATTCCCGTTTCACAACTTTTCATTCATTTTGAATTGATACTATTATCTAGACAGTGTGCTTGATTCGATATTGCTTGTTTCACAACGGGAATTTTCAAAAGTGGTCGCTTTTCTACTTTTTTTTATTCATTTGTAACCAAAACCAATGCACCCACCTTTCCTCCCAAATGTTACCTTGAAATCATGACTTTATAGCCCTCCTCCACAAAGTTTATAGCCTCTCTGACACGTGGCACTTTAACGGCTCGTAAATAAGTGAGTACTCGTCCCCCTAGCACTTCTGAAATACGCCACGACGTCATCCATCTCCCTGGTTCCACCACCGTTCCGCAGATCCTTATCGGCCCTCCGAAGACATTCGCACAACACAAGACTGATGACGTGGCAGGACCTGGTCCCTTAAAAATACCAGACCTAGAGGAGTGGGACTCTAGATTTAGGTATACATAAAGTCTCTTGGGAGATATGGGCGAAACTTCAATTATTATGATGATGAGGTTGGAGGGAAACCGAAACTTTGATGGACACCCTTCCCGCCGATAACCCTTCGCGGGTCAGGAGCTCCGAGAGCTCTGAAGAAGGAGAGGGCTCACCGCCGTCTGTCACCTATCATTGTGATGCGCCGCGCGTTTTCCATGAGCGGAAGCCATGAATCTCGATTAAGCGAATGATGGTCCCCGGGGGCCGATCCGCCCGCTTTATTTTCCATTCTCGGATTCGATGTATTCTATTCGCTCGAGAAAGATGGATAGACACAGAGTGAAAGTGACTAATAACAACAAGAAGTTGGAGAAACTTGGAAAGATGAAGGTGCTCCTAGAGGATCCTGAACAGAAAGTGAAATTGCGGCAAAGTGTGACCACCACTGCTCACTTCCTCCACGTGCGGTCCGTCCCGAAAGGTGTAATGTGTAGGAGGGGTCCCTTTGAAGAGTCCGCCACGTCAAAAAGACCGGAAGGACCGGGTGACAACGCAAGATGATGAACTAATTAGGAGGGGGTACGCGAACAATCGGTAGTTTAGTTTTATTCTGTTTTCTCGTCTTTTCGACCCCCACACATTTCGCAATCAAATTTTTGCCACTTTTGTTTGGTCTTCGAAACGCGTTTTTGTTCTCATTTACTCGTTTTTTTGATTAACGGACATTCCGCAACCGAAATTTCGCGGTTTCGAAACGTCCAGTAGTCGTTTCTTCATGTCTTCATGAGTTTACCGTTTCGGCAAATCGATAAACCTCCCGTTTTGCTTCTTTTTTCAATAATTCCAATTGACCCACACGCCCAAAATTACCTTTTCCCAAGATTTCCAGGTAATTTCGGGTGGACCATCTCAAATCACTGTTCTACAAGAATCGAGCAAATGTTATCCGTCTCCTGAAACTGATAGTGAGCTCCCAAAAGTCTACAGTTTTTGGCCACGTCGATAAGGCATTCAGTGGAATGCTCTTTTTGATCCGCGGCTCATTTTTTGCAACCAACCTACTATCCCCCCGATCCTTTCTCACTTCTTTCCTTTCTTTTCAATCCACGCGTCGCTCTTTGTCTTGCCACGTCACCCAGGTGTGATAGAACTGCGATCAAAGAGACGTGTGGTGAATAGATCCACCCTCACCCGCCACTGAAAAACGGCTGTTTCGATTGAAATCAGCACGCTAGATTGGCGTAGATACCGGCCCGAGGGGCAGTATGTCATTGCGGTAAAGTGGGTGCCGACACCGACGGAATGCTCATTAATCAACTGGTGCGGGCGACTCCGGGAGCCGGGGGGGAGCCACAGCTTTTATCTTCCCGCCCAGCCCCCCAGACACCTTTATCCAAATTTCCATTCAATTTGCTCCGGTTAGTTTCCCCCCTCTAGAGCTGTTGGGTCTAGCAAAAAAGAAGAGAAGCATTTGTTTTCTCTCCGCCATGATTTAATGGGGTGTTCAATGAAGCGAGCAATGAGGATGGACTACGGTAGCCGGAGAGCCGAGAAGCCGACGAGCATCCGGTGGGAATTCGGAACAAAATGAATCTAGTCGTGTTTTGTTTTGTTTGAGAACAACACATATTGCATACTGTAGTGCTATTCACCTCGTTCCATTCCAATCCACACCAAAAACATCTTCTAGCACCAGCTAGGATCGCCAATTAACACCATCTGGGCCTTGAAATCGTGGTTTCATCCCAGCCATTCTAGATTTTTGCCCGCTCAGACCTGCCAAGTTTCGATCTCTCATTCATACTCGTCAATACTCTGATCTACCGCCTCGGAGACGTATCCATCTCATCTTTTTTGTATTCTACCGCCCGGGAGGGGCTGGGGCTCCCGCATAATTACTCGTGGGGACCGTTTATTCCGTCATCGTTTTGTCAGACAGGTGTGCTCCTCCGTCCGTATCTTTCTGGCTCATCGTTCTTCTCACTTATTCCCTATCTCGACTTCTTCATCTTTGTGTGCGTTCACGTAAGTCGGTTCACGTTCCATTTTGGTACGTGGAGGCGGAACGTGGCGCCATTTTGTTTCGTTTTTGACTCATTTCTACCGCGTCTCCTTTAGTTTTGTCAATTTTTCCTGAAAGTTTTTGTTTGGAAAGTTTTCCGGTAAGCCCCCGAACCCTGGTTTTCTCAAAGGCCAAGCAACTAAACGTTTTAGAGAGTATGGATTATTGTGCGGCGCAGTTGATTTCCGATGAAGATGAGCACTTTCAGTTTTTCGAGGTCCAAGAAGAACAAGAGGTACCGAGTCGCCGCATTCATTCCGACGGATAGAGGCCCCGCCCCCTCGAGCGACTCGATTGGTCGCCGACAATTAGCTTCGTTTGCCCGACTCCTCCCCTCTCTCTGCCCGTCTCTCCCGTCCTCCTCCGGCCACGTCTTCGTGTCCACCGTGCGTGATTCAGTCCGAATGAAGAAGACCGTATCTAGATAGACCTAGATAATCTTCAAGACCCCCCTCTCGATGACCAACTGAGTCCTCTGTGTGTGTGTGTGTATGGTTCATCTGCAATTTCAATCTGTAACTCTGATCTTCTCCCTCTTATCTCACCTCTGATTATTTTGCCGCAGATGGTTATCATCACGAGACCACACATGTTCCGCTCTTATCTCTCCGTCTCCTCGCTGCTCTATCTCGCGCCACCGCCGCCGCTCGTCGTTAAGCCCTTTCTAATCCATGGTCCCTCCCATAACTTTTTGTGCCTCTTCCAGGCCGACGACGACGACATGAACTACGAGCAGAAGGGCCCGTCCGCCACGTCTTCCGGAGCGGCTCTCGTCGCGGCGAGCTCCGCCGCCGTCGCCGCGCCTTTCACCTACAACACGGCGACTACCAACTATTATAAGGACTACAACAACCCGTCAAGTTGGTTTCTTTCGCTTTTCTTGTTTTCTCCGCCAGTGCTAGACCAATTTCCGGTCTAAACTGGGAAATTAGAAGAAGCGCCTTTTCCCTACCACTTTTTTCTGTTTTTCCAGGCTACCAGATGTTTCTCAATTATCCGCCGTACACGGGAGCGGCGACAGTCGCCACCGCGTCAGACATGGACGGAATTGTCGGCGGACAAGACATGATGCACAGCAGCGTGTTCGGAGGTATGACCACCAAGAGCTATAAAATTCGCCCCCCCCCCTCGCGACATGTTCCGCTCTAATCTTTATCGTCCATCTCTTTGCAGCCCAAAACTCAAGCTACTTTTACCCGGCGTCGATCAACGGATACGGATACGATCCGCTCGCTGCCGCCACCTCTGCCAGTGGAATCACGGTCAACAATCAAGTGAACGTGAGCATTGTGCGGAATGGAGGACAGCCGAACGTGGTGCAGTCGGTGCTGCCGTGCAGTCAGGGACTCACGCCCACAGGCATCGCCGGATGTTCCACCTCCTCTTCGTCGGCGTCGAGCTCGTCGGCAAACTCGACCTCGACGCCCAAATCGACAGGCTTGGCGAAAGCGAATCGGGCGTCAGGAGCGAATAGTTGTGAGTCTCAGCGTCTCAGGGAGACACGAAAAACATCGAAATGTTTGCAGTCAACAATGAAGACCGAGAGTGTGTGAACTGTGGAGTTCACGCGACACCGCTCTGGCGTCGCGACGGAGCCGGAAACTATTTGTGTAATGCGTGCGGGTTGTACTACAAGATGAACATGACGAATCGACCGTTGGTGAAGCCGAAGAAGCGGCAGGTAAGGAAAAAGAATCGTTAGGCCCCCTCTCCCTCCATCCCCCGCACTTGTCACATTGATGGCTCGACCTTGGCGGACGTTGTGCCGAGACTTTTTATTAGGGCGGTAGAGGTTTTTGATAACATCAGGAGTCCCCCGTAGTCATTGAGCAATACCTTTTATGGATGAATGACAAATTGTTAGAGAGAGAGTTCCCCCGAGGTCGGGGTCGATTTGGTGGCAAGTGACGAGACTCTTGAAGTTGCGTACAGTAGCCTCCACACACACAAATTTGTTCTCATTTCGCCGCGGAAAACAAGAGGCATGAAAATGAGGAAAAAGAGCGCGCGCCGATAACGATCTTTCACTTTGGTCCTCTTCGGGCGCTCCCCTCTTTTCCCCCTCGTTTCTATTCGATTCACTGCTTGCTTCTTCTGAAATTCAAACGTCTCTGACGACGGCAGCGGCGGCGGCCGCGCGGAGACAACAAGAATGTGAGCGGGGTACGGTAGTCGGTCACGGTTGTCATCGGCACAAAAGTGGAAGAGAGAGAAAGAGACAATTAATTAATACCATCACCACCACCACCCAGCGCTCAATGAAAAACGAAAAATGACAAAATTCTTAGCAGAACGCACAAAAAAGGACTGGCGTCACGTGTGTCAACTGCCACACGAACAACACGACGCTGTGGAGACGAAACGGCGACGGGAATCCGGTGTGCAATGCGTGCGGACTCTACTTCAAGCTTCACAAGGTACGTGCGCCTTTAAACCCGTGTGTCGATTTACGGGAGCCGACAAATGGAGGTGTTGCGCAAGTTTAGAGCCGTTTGCCGCGAAAACAATCACGCGGCGGTGCGCTATCATCATTCGGGCTTCTTTTACCGTCCGTTCCGACAGATAATTACTTGGCGCGCACCACCGTTAGCAAAACATTACCGCCACAATATTTCTATATCTGATCTCTTGACCGTCGTTATCGCATCGCGCTACTGCTAAAGAGCGGTGTGATTGATGACAGTTTTCGTGGCTCGGATCGCGTTTTTGTGTCTCAAGACTCATTAACTTTTTGGGGGGCGGTAATAATAATAATAATAATAATGACTATTATTATTATTTTATTGCGCACAGTTTTGAGTAAACTGTGCCGCTTTTATGAGAATTTTACAAAGATGTTCTTCCGGAAGTGTAGCGGGGGATTTACGATGGCCGGTCTCTTTTTGTCACGGCGTTGATAATTCTAGCTCAATTTGTGCTCAAAACTGTTCAACTTTTTTGAAAAATTTTGCCCGGCTTACTGTAGATTCAAAGGCGCTGCCCGCATTTTGAGAACATTTTGTTTTGCGCCGCCGCCGCCGCACGGCGCGGCTTTCGCAACATACGCAGCCAAATGGTATGTATTTTTGTGCGTCGGTGTGGCTCTGCGTGCAGTGCATTTTATGTTACGCGCAAAGGTCATTTTTTTAGTTGTTGATGAATTTTCTCCAAATATTCATCTCTTTTCAAGTAATGTTTTATTCAGAAAATATACGATTTCTCGAAAAACGTCTCTAGATCTTCTAATATTTTGATTTAAAAAGTTCACTACATGACTGTGAATGTCTTCGAATCAAAAGAAAGTAGAGTGACAGCTCGCTTTCGCGTAAAAATTGGTCTTTTGCCGGAAAACAGAGACGGTTCGTTGAAAAAAAATTTTTTCTGAAAAACCGTCTGTAGATTTTTTAATTTTTTTGTTTAAATAGTTCACTTACATGACTGTGAATGTTTTCGAACCAAAAAAAGTAGAGTGACAGTTCGTAGAAGCAAAAAAAAAATTTTTTAACGAAATTTCACTGTCTTCCGGCAAACTATCGGTTTTTCCGCGAAAGCGAGCTGTCACTCTACTTTTTTTTGGTTCGAAAACATTCTCAGAAATGTAAGTAAAGTTTTTTATCCAAAAGATTAGAAAATCTAGTCTCGTTTTTCGAGAAATCGTGCATTTTCTGAATAAAACCTTACTTTCACTTACTTACGCGTTTCTTTTCATCGCATCGACTTCTCTTCGCGTATTACTTCATCAGGAATCTGTAAAAAGGTCTAATTGAGGTAGAAAGTGGAGAAAAACGCTTTAAAGAGATGATAATTTGGAGAAAATTCATCAACAACTAAAAAAAAAGAACTTTGCGCGTAACATAAAATGCACTGTACGCAGAGCAACACCGGCGTGTCAAAATGCACAGACTGAGGATCAAACGTTTGGTGAAGCCGCGCCGTGAGCCGGTCCCCGTTTTTCTTCAAATTTGCAAAGAAGGAAGCTAATTTTTGTCTATTTTTCAGATTGAGCGACCGATCACGATGAAAAAGGAAGGAATCCAGACGCGCAACCGGAAGATGTCGACAAAAGGAGCGCGGAAGATCAAGAAAGAGTCGACGGGCTCAAACGGCTCCGCCTCGCTGGGAATGACGACGCCGACGGCTGCGGGACTCACGTCGAACCTCGACCTGGCCGATCCGTCGTCCGTCTGGGGCATGAAGAGCACGCAGCCGATGCTGATGGCCACGCCGACCGCCTACTCATTCCCCACCTCGAACTACTTCTTCACGGGCGGCTCCACGATCGACGACTCGATGGACTACAAGAGTTTCCAGCCGATGGTCGTCGATTTTGGCGGAAATTGGGCGAAAACTGAACGAATCGACGGATAGTCGGCGACTTAGTCGCCCTCCTTTTTTGTTTTTGTCCAATTGTGCGCACATGAATTTCCAGTTCTTTCTTCCCTCTCAAAAGTGTCTGTGATATCGAACACATTTCCACCTGTACAACAGATAATCGAAAAACAAACGTAGAATGTATTTATGCGTATTATTGATTGAATCCCTTTCTCGCTCGAACCTTTTTCACTTTGGCTCAATTCTTTTATGTGTAATACCTCTTTCTTTTTCTCATTCAGTATTTCTCGTTGCTCGACCCGGCATTATTTTCCCTTTTTTTCATTCTTTCACCAAAAATCATTCATCCATTTTCCCCCCTCTCGCATGTCTCACGCTTTGACATTAATTTATTATTGATAGAGAAAAAATAAAACTCAAATGGCTAGAAAGTTTAAAAAATGCGATAAATCACCGAGCATCGTTCAGCATCTCTCGGCTCGCCGAGCAGCTGTCCGAGCAAGACGCACAACTTTTGCGGTCCACTGATTTATTGGGTGAGAAGAAGCGAAACAAGAAAAATTGATGGGCTCGGCAATTAGTAATCGGTTTGAAGAAGTTGGCGCTCAACTGGCGGCAGGTCGACGAATGAGTGGGAGCACCGAACGGATCGATCGGAGACGGGTCGATCCTGGGACCGGGAAGCCTCTGGAACCCTTAGAACTTTGGCAACAAAGCTTTTCATCGTTTTGTTTTTTAAAAATACGATACCAGTGAAACATTACTGTTTCAACATTCTTATTTACACGTAACCTGTGATATGTTTGAGCGATATTGAACCCGAAGAGGTGAAAAAAGACGAAAGACGAGTGTATCTCAAACACACGTTTATTCAGAGTGAATAATAGGTAGCCACGGTCTCCAGAGCTGACAATGGGCACAAGTGCGCCCCGCCCAATAGAGCGATACATTGGCGCGAAATTCAAATTTTAACAGCATAATTTATGTTTTTTGCCAGATTAGCCACGAAAAACCGATAATTTCTGATTTGTCTCTCGATAGACCGATTGTATAGGCTATTACGAATATTTTAAGCGCAAGAGCGTTAAATTTGGTCAAGTCGCAAATCACATTTATCCGTTTGAAGGTTTTTCGCTAAAACTGCGTGAATTTCAGTTGCTTTTCGGTAGTTTTCGCGGTTCGAGCTCTCAAAATGCTTGTATTTACGTGATTTATCATTCTCAAAACCAATGATCGGCCAAAAAATGCGCAAAAACGTCTATAATTCGGAGAATTAGTTTGTTTTCATGTCGAACAATCATTTTTCATTGCCTTTGACCACAAAAATCAGAGAAAACCTGCTCAATTCATGAAAACGCCATTTGGCCGCCGAGGCCACACCCATATTGTCAGCTCTGGAGACCGTGGGTAGAAGAAATGCTAATCCGAGAAAAGCAGGAACTAGGCTACACACACACAAGAAGCTAATAGTCGTAAACTTTGATGTTTGCGGCACCGAGAGAGTGTGTGCGCAGAGAGAGGAAAGCAAGAGAACACTTCAAAGTTGTTCGGAGTCATCGGATAGTTTTCGCACTGAACGTACTCTTCTCCGAATATCAGAACACTCTCGTCTGTTGCCGCTTTCGGAAGGAAACTGATATTTTCAGCAACTGGATTCGCCCGAATCGGTTGGAATGACGGTTTGGCAACGACGACGGAAGGGGCGACAGCGGTCCGATTCCGAGTGGAGAGGTCTATCACTGGCGGCGGTGCGGACGGTTTCACCAGTTTCTGTCTCTGGAAACGGAGAATTCAGTGAATTCTGCAAACAGGAAGGAAGGAGATACCGCTGCCTGCTGCTGCAATGCTGCTTTCCGCTGTGCCAATTGAGTCTGCATGAACGCCATCTGTATGTTGTTCATCGTTTTCGCTGAAATGCTCTTGCTTCGAACGCGTCGGCGCTCCCTTCTTTACCTTGTTTCGGCGGGGGCGGAGCAACTGGAATGTCATCTCCGTCGTCGTCGTTGTACATTATCTCTGAACAAACGTTTGGCACACGTCAAACTCGTGCAAAACTTGTCAGGAAAACGGTATTTTCAACAGCGCAACTACAGCTAACGTGGAGACGAGACGAAGAGGTTTTTACAGATTGAAAACGGTTCATTAGACTTTTCGTATAGTACATATTTGAAAGAATTTCAGGCTGAGTTTAAGAAAGGAATTGGAACAAAGTGTCTAGCGGAGTGGCTAACAGTAACCTTTCGAAAAATAACAAATGAAACGAGATATCAATGTAAAATTGGAAGAGGATCTAGTAGACGGCGGATCTCTTGTCGCGCTGCTTTCCGCGCACTTGCTTGCGTTGCTTGTCGGCCGCGTCGTGGATTGCCAGCTGAAAATAAACAAATTATTTCCAATAGAAAATGTTTGCCTAATTCTCCTTACCCTAGCCTGCTTATTCATCGTTCCTTCGACCTCTAGTGGAACAGGTCCCAGCTCGAAAACGTCACGAAGAACAGGATTGTATTGCAATTGCTGGGCGAGTCCTCCGTGCAAAAGATCACAGGTGATGTCGTAGAACATTTTGATGGCACACGAATCCAATGCTAGAGTCTGCTGTCCGATCTTCACGCACACTTCCAGAGTATCGTCCTCGTCGGCAATGAACAAGCGAATGTCTCTGACTGCGTATCTCTGAGCTCTCCTGTCCTTTTTCGCCTTCTTCTTCGAGGAGTCGGCGGCCATTCTTCCGAGCAGTTCGAGCACGTGTTCCTTGTTCGGGAAACGGAATCCGGGACGAGTGTCCTGCATGAATTCGTGCAGGAAGGCGAGGGCTTCGGCGGCTGCCAATCTCACTTCAAGCTGATCCGAATCGAGAAGAGTCACGACCTTCGGCTGATCTGCGATCGCTCCGTTGATTGTGACCGCATCAGCATCAAGAAGCATGATGCACCATGCAGCCAACGATGTTCCGATGAGGCTAGCCGAAGCGCTAGTGGCCTTCGTTGTTGCCCATGCGAATCTGCACGCCTTCACATTGGCGGCCACCTCATCATCCTCGCTGCATGCGATCCTGGTCAGAATAACCAGGGAAATCGCGCAGGCGATTCGGAGGAAGACGCATCTCGATGCGTCCATCAGAATTGTTCTCATCTGATTCATTGGCTCGGCGATGAGATCCGAGATTTCCTCTCCAGCCTGAACGGCGACAAGGCCGACGAGAGTGGCGAGCATGCGCGCCTCTCCGTCCGGCTTGTTTTCAATTCTAGCGCAGAGAGACATCAAAGTCTCTTTATTTCTGCTGATGAATTCGGGCACTGGCTTGGCAGTCAACGCGATATTCACCCGATGGAGCCCGTCTGTTCTTGTCTTCGTGCTGGAAAACAGAAAGAAATGAGGGGGATTCTTTCGAATATGCTTACTTTTTTTCCTGGGCTCTATCCAAATTGTCTACCAGTTGATCGTAGACATCATCCAAGTCTTCGACGGTCCCCATTATTGACTGCATGTCCTCGTCGTAGGTGACCGCCGACGAGTCACTTTCATCCGAATCCGAATCATGTCGGCCGCTCTTTGCGGGGCCGCTGTACGGTGCCTTGTCCTTGTTCTTGTTGCGATGATTTTTGCCCATATTTAACTGATTTCCGTTGAGACTGAAAATAATGAGTAGAAGAATGCGAAGACACAGAAAAGGAGAAAAGGGATTGCAGATGGCATAAAATCAATATATTTGCACAGAGAAGACGCACAAGAAAAAACAGGGGGAAATGGAACGGAGAGAACGCAAAGGACCGTCGAGCTCGGGAGGACCGAGCAAGGACTGAATGAGGAATGGAGGCGTACCTGGTCTTTTATACTCTCCCTACGCGGCGCGTCTCGATCATTCGCTGAGGTCAGATATCGATCAGTGAATGTGTGCTCCCGGGAATCAAGACGAATCTGACGACGTGAGCGAGCGAGCGAGCGGACAACTATTTGCGAAGGGGTGTGCAAACGGCGACAGAGACAAAGGCTCTGCATCATGCTATTCACAAAGGAATCTACGAGTGGTTCGGAATCGACTTCACCCACTTTGGAAGAACTACGACTGGACAGCAGACAGAGTGAGATCTTGACGGCTTGGTGAAAGATTTCCAGAAATGTTGTTGCTTTATAGAATATGCCAAGACATGTTCCTGAAGCTGCATGAGAACAGATTCACGTCAACTCAATCGGTCGATCAGCTCTTCTGCAACAAGTGTGACAAGTTCCTCGCCGATCGTTTCGTCACCGGAACCTGCCCAATGTGCGCATATGACGACGCCAGAGGAGATCAGTGTGACGGATGTGGAAAGTTGATCAACGCGGTCGAACTGAAGGACGCGAAGTGTGTGCAAAGGACCTCCAGAAGTGAAACAATCGACGCACATCTTCCTCTCGCTCGAAAAGCTCCAGCAGAAAACCACCGATCATTTGGACAAAGAACTGGCCAAAGAGGATAACCGTTGGTCGGCGAACGCTGTCGGAATCACAAGAGCCTGGATGAAACTGGGACTTGATCCTCGATGCATTACGAGAGATCTCAAGTGGGGAACTCCCGTTCCATTCGACCATGAACACTCTCATTCTTCTGCTCGGACTTTGCTCCGTCGCTGCTGCTCAATTCGGAGGATACGGTGGACGCAGAGGAGGACCCGGCGGACCCGGTGGATACAACGAAGGACAAGGAGGAGCGGGAGGATTCCCCGAAGGACCCGGCGGATTTCAAGGTGGAGCAGGAGGAGCCGGAAACGGAGCGGGAGAGCTCACTTACGAGGCGAAGGGACGACTTATTTGCGGACTGACTCGAGTCGATAAGGTTCGTTTGTGATTTAAATAGAAGAGTTCTTCTGAATATCTCTTTTTGCAGGTGCGCGTTGTGCTCTGGGATCGTTTCCGTGGCCGCGAGAACATCATCTACGACGAGACGTACACCGACGATCGGAGGTTCTTTCCAGCAGGGAAACCGCGGACAGTTCGGAGGCAACAGAGAGATCTTCGCGCACGGAGGCAGAAATGACTTCGGAGGAGAGTCGTCCATCACTGTCTGAATAAGTGTACAATAATCTGAATGTGTAGTGTATATGAATTGAAGATACTCGCAATAAATTTTGGTATTCGCTCTCTTGTTCAAATACTGGAAATGTTAATCTTCAGATAAATTGGAGGTCAATGGAAAAGAGATCAAAACTGTCGGCTGTGGTAGTTGTCAACATTCTGGAAGCCAGCAGAAACGGACCGTCCGCCAAAAAACCGTCCGTTCATCATTACGAAGGCCTTGATGGACTGCGCATTGTTGGTGAACTCGACGAAGACACGTACTCGGCGGCCCTCTTCCTCTTGTGATTCGTCCTGAAATCCAGAAGCTCTAATGATATTCTTTTTATAAAATCGATGCTCACCACGTGAACAAGAACATTGGCGACCTGTCCGCACTTTTCCATTTCCTCCCGAATCTCATCTTCGAACTCTTTCTTGGTTTCATCCGTCGACACTTCGCTCACATCGATTAGATTCCACAACTGAAGAACTTTAGTCGCATTTTGCACAGCTTCCATCGAATTCGTCGCAAAAGTGGGCGCTTTCGGTGCTTCCGCCACAATTGTACCTCCCCGAACTCCCGTCTTTTCAATCTGCAGCGCTGTGCTCATTCCTTGCTCCGACTTTCCGAGTCCTTGTCCTTCTTTGTATCCGTGCTTCTTCATAATGTTCGCAGCGATTCCGAGCCCTCGGCTCGTCGCTTTTCCGAATGCGGGAAGGAACGAGGGCGGAGGCATTAGCACGGACTGTGTCGGCTCATCGGTCTGTGGCGCAGGCGGAATCTCATCCTCAATGAGCATCGTGGGCGGTGCAATCGCCGCTCCTTTTGATCGTTTCTTGTCCTCCTCTTCATGCTCGCGAGCCAATCGTTTTGCAATTTCCCGCTCCACCTTTTCCTTCTGTTTCCGCTCGTTTATTTCCTTGGTATCAATAATCAAGTTTGTCAGTTTGTAAGAAAAACGAAATTTGTTAGCAAATGATTGTGTACATTTTATCAGTTGACAACTTTTTGACATCTCTACCGGCAGCTGAGATACAATGCTTTTAACTTTTCACTCACCTCCTCTGCTCATTCTCGCTATTGAAGATCCGGTTGCGACGAATCCTTCTCAACACTCCCTAAACTCGATTGTTTGCGAATGTCTATCACATAATGACTAACTGACCCTCTTCTCGTTCCGATGTGAAACAGCAGAAGCTTCCAGTAGAAACAGAAGAGTGGCGAGGAGGAGAAGACTCCATTGGATCTTCATTTTTATAACTGATCATTCGGCTCGTGTTTTATACTCGTGTCCACTTCCGTTTCTCCGTTTAAACTAGCGATAAACAGTTCGGATCGACTTGTTTATTTACTCGAATGGTCAATAGTAAGATAGGAAAACAGAGAAAGGTTTACAATTAGAAAAATAGTAAAACAGTCAACCAGTTGTGTCATGTTAGTGAAACCATAATGTCTTTTTTGTGATCGTCAACTTTAGAAATGCATAAATTGAAACAGAAATGGCACACTGAATCTCATGGTCTGAAATCCGAAAAAAGCGTTTTAGTCCGGATCGAAGTGTGATTTTGAGATTTCAGTGTGTCGGATTTTCTTTTTTGCTGGCTATTCGTCAAGTTTTGAAAATAATTGACGAGCTCATTAAATAGCCTTTCATGTTTGCCGACGCTACTTTCTCGAGTTGACAGTGTCAACACAACTGATGCTTGTGTTTTACAAAAACTCGACTTTTACATTCTTTAACGTGAACGTATCCTAGTGAAAACTTGAATAGTGACTGAGAAACCGAAAAAGTTTATTGGAGACCAAGAGACCAAAGTAATCATTTCGCAGTAGGAGTCGATATTATCCGATCGGACGTTTCACGTGTCGAGTGGTTCGTTTGAATCCTCCGTTTCCATGACTTCCGACGCCCATTCCCCTCTGCACACGGGGTCGTCCGGCCCTCCCGGCTCTTCCAGTTCCTCCGTTCATCACTCTAAACGCTCTGGCGCCGGGACGATTGAACTTCTTGAAGGTTTGAGCCTAAAAATGGACATTCAAACATATCCCAAATGGTTTTTAGTGCTTTACCTTCTTTCCAACCAGTTCCGAAGTGACATCCGAAGCGCTGGAGGCCAGTTGAACGAGGAAAAGGACGAGGAAAAGGAGGACGAGTTGAAGCTTCATTGAAAAGTGAACATTCGGTCACCAGAGACCTCCGTTTCTTTTATACATTTCCACCGTTTACTTCCCGGTTTTTCACCGGTCACTTGTTTATTTGTTCGCCGCTTCACGAGCTGTCAACACGGCGAACGGGTAAAGGAGCCAAACGGGTCACTAATGTCACCAAAACACATTCTTTTCGGTTTCCAGCTGATCTCAATTTCATGACCGTTTTGTGCCTTTTCATTCGACACCTACCTCCGCTTCATCAATCAAACTGGATTCGAAACGAAGCCATCCATTTGGGTGGAAATTCAGATTTTTCAGAATTGCTCGTCGTGCACGTTTATACGGAACTTTGAGAGAAATTGCTGTTTCACAAAGTGCACATAATCTTTCAGAAACGTTCAGATAACTGATAACGAATATCTACGAATTCTGGGACGAACTGGTGCCTAAACCCCCTTTATTTCTCAAATATTATCCCAAAAAATGATCGAAGAACCGCAAAAACATTGTTGATATTCTATTTCCGGAAAAAATTCCAGGTTTTTGAATAAAGATGAGTTGTTTGTGCGAAACAATGCAAAACTTGCACGTCATGTGATCATTATTCATATTTTTCGTGTCCATTCATTCGATTTCTTGCTTGTTTGATGCATACTTGAACCCGGAAATGCTGTTGAACGAAAATAAATAGAAAAAGATTACGGTATTCGAGAAACTGTGCAATGCACCCGATCTCACGCGCATCCTCGTGGACAGGGGGCTCTAAACGAGGAGGGGCGTCGAGAGAGAAGGGCTCTAAAAAGTGCATGAAAGATGCACCAGATGGCATCGATCGATAGTCGCCATTGTTGTCCGATTCCATCGCACCACAGACCACAACACATTCTGCTCTTTTTCGCGCATTTTCGCTCGTTCCCGCTAAAAATCACTACCAATTCGACTCTCCCGACGCAGTGCGACGACGCCCACAATTTGCATTTGTCCAGATTAACCGTGCCGATCATTCAATTCGCCGCATCTCGTGCTCTCGAAAGTGCATTTCACCGTCAGAAACGGCCAAATGCAAATTTTCACCGGCGAATTTACATTTTTCGTGCAAATTTAGCGTACTGTAACACCGAGTTTTGATATAAAAACGAATTGCGTCGCTGATTTTTCAGTTTTTAGATCATTTTCCACCTAAAAAACCGAAAAACTCCTCTGAAATTGGATTGGATTAAGGGTACGGTCTACAAAGTCCGCAGATTCGCGTGCCCGTGTACACACCGTTTCCTGGAGGGAAAATTTTATTTTTGAACGTTTGTCTTCGATCTTCCGTCATTCCCCCATTGTTTTGCTGAATATTATGAGTCATCCGTCAAATTTTGTACGTATAAAACGTTGAGAAAAGAAGAACGATTCGTTCGGTAAAATCACATTGGCTTCCAGCCAAGAGTAATTCGTCAAATATCACGTTTCTGCGTCGCGCCCCGCCTCCAATTTCCGTTATAAACAATCGAATCCATGCGTCGAAACGTTCTTTACCACCGCAATTTGTACGTTTTGCAGGGAAAAGGCTCATCGGCACGCAACCGATCGCCTCTATCCAAAGTCTTCGAAGCTGTCGACAATTGAATCGTCCCGTGGAATGCAAAAGAGCCAAAATGTGACCGCAGCAACGGAATTTAATGGTGTGGCGGCGGCGCCGAATGGCGGCCATCACACCTCTCCTGACACAAACGCAGGAATGGCAAAGGTTTGTGTGAAAATCGCAATTTTTAGGTGAAAGTCTAACGAAAAATCGGTGGTTTTTCTTGGTTTTCACCAGTTTTGTCGCCTCCCGAATTTCTCGGAACCGCTAATTTCCGTGAGGGTCGAAAAACCGCTGTAAAAATCCAGTGAAAACCGATTTTCTACACAAAAAACTGTTACTATCGGCGCATTTCAAATTGAATGCGCTCTGTTGGGAAATCCTAATTTTTTTTTCAATCGCGACACGATTTTAAGTTGTTTTCATTCGAATTCTGTAAGAATTTTCCCTGTTTTTTATTGGCGCCCACCTGGAGATCACAATTGCAACAGAGCGCATTCAGTTTGAAATGCAACAATCGGTTTTTATTGGTTTTTGACCAGTTTTACGGATGTCGTCGAAAATTGGTTTAAAAAATCGGTTTTCTCTTGATTTGTCGTGCTACAAAGTATGAATTTCGCCCCGCGCCTTCAAGAATTTGTTATCTTTCGCATAGTAGTTCTCGTCGGGTACTTTGTGTAATAACCGAAAAAATCTTCATCCCCTCCCCCCGCCGACAACAATGAAACAGACGCTGTCTCTCCCGTCAGAAGGCACTAGGTCAAATACACATAAATTTGACTTTTTTGTTCCAACCTCACAGCAGTTACACTTTGATGATATGCCACCCGAAACCCCCTCGCGGCGGCACGTGACTATCCAGACGCGTTCACGTGCAAACGGGCCGGCGAATAGGTGAACGTAGGGTTATTGCGATAAATGAACGGATCGGATGGAACTGGGTGGAACCTTTTTGAGCTTTGAACAGTTCATTCGTTCGTCGGTTCCGCTTCAAAAACGCGGAGTTTGACCGTCAGATTTGTCGCGCCGATGGTTCCGTCCAGAAGCAATTTGGCCGTACTCGGAAACCAGAACTAGATAATAGCTAGTCAAATATGTACTAGAAAAAAGTACTATCGGGACATTTCAATGTGAATGCGCTCTTTTGAGAAACCGAGTTTCAGTTGTTTTCATTTGAATTCCGAAGCAATTTTCACTGGTTTTAATTGGAGCCGGGCTGGAGATCACGATTCGAACAGATACATATTTTCTACATTTCTTGGAAAAAAAAGGGTAAAAAATTGATCACGGAACGGAGAAGGTGTTGCGTGATGGGAAAAGAAGCAGCAATCGGGCAGTGATAAGAAGTGTCCTCTCCGAAAATGACGTCTTCGACGTCTTCGTTGACCAAATGGGGCGGCGGAAGCTTTCGGGGGTAAGGATGTTGAGTAAATATACGTGTCTCGCCACCCCCTCGTTCCTCTCCATGTCTTCTCTGTGTGTGTGTGAGTGTGTGTTGCCGCCTAAGACAGTTTAGGACCCAAAATGACTGATTGCATATCGATACGTACATGTGAAGGCGTTGAATGGAGAAGGAGAAGAAGGAGAAGGAGTAGGCCTCCAGTGATAAGAGGAGGGGCCACCGCCCCAGAAGACGTCGTCCTATGATCAATTGTCATGTCGCCCTCGCCTCCTTCTCTTTTCGTTTCTCCCTTTTCAATCCGCTTCCCATCATCCCTCGCTCTTTCCTTCTCTGCTTCTGCTTCTGTGGCGACAGTTCGGTTTTCGTTTTGAACAGGACTGATATAGTGAAATGGAGGAGGAGGAATGATAAGATGGACGGTCTGATTGGGATAATTCGATTTGGGGTCGTCAATAAGCTTTCTATTAGTTTTTCCACCCCAACGCCTTTCTTCAATTAATCCCAATCCACTCTAGTCTCATTCGTCTGCTATACCAACTTTTGAACGTATCATAGTGGTTCCTACTCTAGTTCATCCCATTGATATCAGGGTTCACAGGTTCTGCTATCATATCATCTCTCTTTTTGAACCCTTATCTCTCAGTTCTTTAGTCTCTGCCGATTAGGTTCAAAACCCAATTATGTCAAAACATGTGAAAGCGTTTTTAAATTATTTTTTGGCAATGCTGAATAGCCCAATAAGTTTCCCTTTTCAACTTTTCTTCTTTCGTTCTCCACTCCTACTTCCTCATTTCTATAAACCGTACTTCGTTCTCTGATCACACAATATCTAGGATTCTCATCTGACGGTTCTCCTCGAGAAAAGGAAAAGCGGAACGGGAAGTCGCGGCATGAGATTGCGAAGAGCTCATACTTACGATGAGGTGAATGACCAGGGAAAACACGAATGACGTGGTGAACAGATGAGAACAAGAACATCAGAAGATATTTTTTGTCGCCTCATGACCTTCCAGACACTCTGGTGTCTCTCACCTTCTCAGCATGTCTTTTGGTTCGCCGAAATCAACACAGTTTCGAGAATGGTTTTCCCCTTCTCTCCGATGCGTTCTACTCGTATTCTCTCGTCCGTCTTTAACAATTTGCCGCTGAAATCTGAAAGAGATGCCCATTATCGCTATAATTCTTGTCGTTTGTTTTGTCGGACGCCTCATTGTGTACTTTTGGAAGCGGGAACCGAAAGGCGAACACAAGAAAAAGGTTTTGCTATTGGTTTTTCGATTTAGATCGAGTAAATCGCGCAAGAATCGTGTTTTTCGATTCCGATTAGAATTCGAATTTTCCCGAGATTTCTGGCCAACAATTGGCGTGAACAATAGAGCGCGTTCGCCTTTTAGGGGGGAAAATAGAAAAAATTCTGGAAAAAAAGTGGAAACATTTTTAAATGTCTCTGGAAACTTTTAGAACTTTTGTCAGAAGAAATTTCCTTTTCTGGAAGTTCTCCGCTTACAAAACAGTGAATTTTGTCGAAAAAGTAAAAATTTGACGAATTTCTCTAAAACCCTCCATTGCCGTTTTGCAGAATGTTAAAGTCGGAAAATTTTCCGAATAGCACTCAAAAAAAAAACTTTTCTAGTTGAAACATTGCACAAACGGTTTGATTTTCAGGATGCTAAAGAGTTTGGCTGCAGTCTTGCCGATCTTCGCGGACTCATGGAAGCTCGCGGCGCAGAGGCGATAGTTCGAGTGAGTTTTGATCAAATTTGGTTGAAAATAGGTCTTGGCGCTGGTTTTTTTTTGCTCTGAATTAGTCAATTTCCACGTCTTCAATCGAAGAAACGTTTCGATCTTTCAATCTCTGCGCGTCATTCTGATTTGTGTCTCTTTTTCTCCTTCTTCTTCTCACCTGCTGACCGTGTTGTTAAAAACTGATATAATAGATTATGTGAGTGTGGGAAGACCTTGAAACAGGAGAGAAGAAGAAGAAGAAGAAGAAGAAGGGGACAATAGAGAATAGGCTGGAAAGTAAGTGACCTGAAATAAAACATTTCGGTCGAGTAAACAATAGTCATGCGCCTTCCACTTTTACAAAAGGTCTAAAACAATCCACTTCAGCTGTCGACGGAACACGAGGGCGTCGAGGGACTGTGCAAGAAGCTGAAGACCGACTCGCTGGTGGGTCTGAGCGGTGAGCACGCGGACCTCGAGAAGCGACGCCACGTGTACGGAGCCAACACGATCCCGCCGGCGAAGAGCAAGGGATTCGTGCGACTCGTCATCGATGCGTGCAAGGTTTGAGCAAAGCCACCTCTCTAAGAATCGGGTGACACTTTCAGGACCCCACTCTCATCATCCTCGTCCTTTCCGGATTCATCAACCTCGCACTATCATTCTACGAACCGACGTCGGCCGCCGAGGACGCGACGCAGACGGTGTTCAACGCGACCGCCGCCGCCGTCGTCGGATTCGTAAACGCGACGACGACGGAGGCGCCGTCGGAAGGGCACGGCACCGCGTGGATCGAGGGAGTCGCCATTCTGCTCTGCGTCATCGTCGTCGTCCTCGTCACCGCCGTCAACGACTTTTCGAAAGAACGACAGTTTAGAAGTTTGCAGGTGAGCACTGAATTCAGAACTCAAGTGTCATTCATGCGTTTTTCTTCAGGAAAAGATCGAAACAGGCCAAAAGTTCTCAGTGATCCGCAACGGAGAGGCGATCGATGTGCCCGTCTCGGACCTAGTGGTCGGTGACATTGCGCGCGTCAAGTACGGAGACCTTCTGCCCGCCGACGGATTCCTCATCCATAGTAACGATCTGAAAATCGACGAATCATCGCTGACCGGCGAGTCGGATCACATCAAGAAGAGCGTCGAGTCGGACCCTGTCCTTCTCTCGGGAACCTACGCAATGGAGGGATCCGGAAAGATGCTCATCACCGCCGTCGGAGTCAACTCGCAGACCGGAATCATCATGACGCTCCTGGGCGCCGGAAAGACCGGCCTCGACGACGACGACTCGACCTCCACCTCGTCGAGCTCTTCCTCGTCATCCAGCTCCTCGAGAAGCTCCTCCAATGCCACGTCTTCGGACAGCTCGAAATCCGGCGACGACGACCTGACGGCCAAGTCGGTGCTGCAGGCGAAGCTCTCCAAACTCGCCCTACAGATCATCTACTGCGGAACGACGATCGCCGTCATCGCGCTGATCGTACTGATCACCCGATTCTGCATCGAGCATTACGTGCTCGACAAGAACGAGTTCTCGCTCGTCGACATTCAAATGTTCGTCAAGTTCTTCATCATCGCCGTCACCATCCTCGTCATCTCGATCCCCGAGGGTCTTCCGTTGGCCATCGCCCTCGCGCTCACCTACTCTGTCAAAAAAATGATGTACGACAACAACCTAGTCCGCCATTTGGACGCCTGTGAAACCATGGGAAACGCCACGTCGATTTGCTCGGACAAGACTGGAACGCTGACGACGAACCGAATGACGGTCGTCCAGTCGTACATCAACGGAAACCACTACATGAGTCAGGAGAGCCAGCCGCACGGCGCCAACCTGCCCGGATCCACCGGCCCGCTCCTCATGGAGGCGATCGCCATCAACAGCGCCTACAATTCGATGATTGTGGAGCCGACAAAGGCCGGCGAGCAAGTGCAGCAGCTGGGAAACAAGACCGAGTGCGGATTACTCGGGTTCGTCAACCGACTGGGTGGAGACTACGCGGCGATCCGAAAACGATTCCCGGAGCACGACTTCTACAAAGTGTACACGTTCAACTCGTCGCGCAAGTGCATGATGACGGTGGTGCCGTACGCAGAAAACGGACAGGCCATCGGATACCGGGTCTACTGCAAAGGAGCCTCAGAGATTGTGCTCGGCAGATGCACATATCTGCTCGGCTCGGACGGAAAGCCGCATCAGTTGACGGGCGATCGATTAAAGGAGATCACGTCGACGATCATCCACGAGATGGCCAATAGCGGACTGCGAACCATCTGCGTCGCCTACAAGACATTCATCCGAAAGGGTGCCCGCGAACTAGAAAAGACTGAGGTAATCGGAAAAGACGGCGAATCAGAAGGGAAAGGCGAAAGATCAGAGAATCAAGAAGGTCTCCTTCTTCTTCTTCTTCTTCTTCTTCTTGTTCGCCGAAACAGGATCATCTGTTTTCTTCTCGTTTTCTTCTCGTGCTTCCCATCCTAATCTTTCCGTTTTGCAGATCGAATTCGCTGAAGAGTCGGACATTGCATGGGACGATGAGGACTCGATGTACCACAACTTTACGGGCATTGCCATCTGCGGAATCCAGGATCCGGTGCGTCAGGAAGTGCCGGCCGCCATCTCCAAGTGCAAAAAAGCGGGAATCACGGTGCGAATGGTGACGGGCGACAATATTATGACGGCGCGGGCGATCGCCATGTCGTGCAAGATTCTCGAGCCCGGAGAGGACTTTTTGGCGATGGAGGGCAAGGAGTTCAACGAGCGCATTCGCGACGAAAACGGAAAGGTCTCACAGGCGAAACTCGACCAGATTTGGCCGCGGCTTCGCGTGCTCGCCAGAGCCCAGCCGGCCGATAAATACACTCTTGTGAAGGGAATCATCGACTCGAAAGCGACGCCGCAACGGGAAATAGTCGCCGTGACCGGGGACGGAACGAACGACGGACCGGCTCTGAAGAAGGCCGACGTCGGATTCGCGATGGGAATCGCCGGAACCGACGTGGCCAAGGAGGCGTCGGACATCATTCTCACCGACGACAACTTCACCTCGATCGTCAAGGCGGTGATGTGGGGAAGGAACGTGTACGACTCGATCTCGAAGTTCCTGCAGTTTCAACTCACCGTCAACGTCGTCGCCGTCATCACCGCGTTCATCGGCGCCGTCACCGTCTCCGATTCGCCCCTCAAGGCGGTCCACATGCTCTGGATCAACCTGATCATGGACACGCTCGCCTCTCTGGCCCTCGCCACCGAGCAGCCGACCGACGAGCTGTTGAACCGAAAGCCGTACGGCAGGAAGAAGTCTCTAATCTCGCGAACGATGGTCAAGAACATTCTGTGCCACGCCGTCTACCAGCTCGTCATCATCTTCACCATCTTCTTCTACGGAGACTCGATCTTCGGCATCAAGACCGGACTCTACGCGCCGCTCTTCGCTCCCCCATCCCAACATTTCACCCTGGTTTTCAACGCGTTCGTCATGATGACCGTCTTCAATGAGGTCAACGCGAGAAAAGTGCACGGAGAGCGCAACGTGTTCAAGGGACTCGCCTCGAACCGCGTCTTCTGCGTCATCTGGATCACCACGTTTATCGCCCAAATCATCATTGTCCAATTCGGAGGCGCCTGGTTCTCGACGGCCCCGCTCACTCTCCAGCAATGGATCGTCTGCCTCGTGCTCGGCTTCTCCACACTCATCTGGGGACAGATTGTGGCGACGATCCCATCGAAAAAGCTACCGAAGGCGTGGAAGGTCGGCAAGGGCGAGGTCGAGGCGGCCAAGATTCACATAAACGGCGACTACAACGTGCGTGCTCGTTCCCGAGCCGTCACCCTTCGTCGTACCGGAAAGTCGTTGTGGGTGCGCGGAATGTTCCTGATCGGAAATCATGTAAGTGATGAGGACACTGTTGTTCTTTACGGTTTTTACAGCGATTCGCACTCGGAATCCTCGTTTTATACCAGAAAACTGTAAATTTTTAGCGCTCATGTAGTGGATAGAAACCATTTAGAGACAATATTTCTATTTTCCGTCCGTTTTCAGCTTCGTGTGCTCCGCGCGTTCGGAATGGAGAAGAGCGAGAAGGCGGCGTTCGGACGGACCGCACCGGCGATGACCGCCGAGGCCGCCGAGCGTTGGCGCGCCAGCTACCGCAAGTACCGTCATCAGAAGCACCAGGAGAAGAGTGAGTAGAAGCTGAGCAACTAATTTTCACGTAAATCCATATTCAGGAGCCACCGCCGAGACTGCCGAATCGGTGAAATCGGCCGACTGGGCCAAGGAGCAGAAGGAGAAGAAGAAGACGTTCAAGCAGATAAAACAGGTCGCGCGCGGAAAGAGTCTCGACAAAGAGGCCAAGAAGGTGCGTGCTTCGAATAGAGAAAAACGCTGCTTTTTCTACAAATTTTGAATTTCAGCAGCACAAACGACACAAAAAGGACCAGACGAACGTCGACATGGAAGACATTGAACTCCATTAAAGAATCGCTACTGCTTCCTTTCCAAATAGCCATCACACACATATTCTCTAGCTGCTTCCCGTTCTCGTAGATGCTTTTCCCCGCTCCCGCTGGCTTTTTCCTCCTCCCCTAATTTCTCTGAATTTGTTTTTGAAACTAACTAACTTTTCGCCAAACAGTGTGTGTACAAGCGTGTAGAAACATGACGAAACATATCCGTTTTTCACTTTTTCCTAGGCCCCAAACTCATGTTCTCTCTTTTTTGTTTATATATTCCGAATGTTCCAGAATTCCAAATGTTTTTGTTTCCGATGAGCCCCGATCAAAATTCTGATATGCAAAACCATTTAGCGCTTCAGCTAAAGTTGCAGCTCCTCTTTTTCACTTTTTCTCTGTAAGTTGCCCCACTGACTCTGTATAATTTATATCGTCTCTTTTATTTCCCTCGTTTTCGCCCCTTCCCCCCCCTCCTTTCTCTGTCTGTGTCTCTGTGCTGTGTATGCTCTCTTCCTCCCTCTCACTTTTTCTTTTCTTTTTATCAAAACTGACGTATAGGGTGCGAATACCCTTGAAAACAGGCCGAACATTTATAAACTTTGAAAGTTGTTCATTTTTGAAAGATGATCACGAATCGATATGTTTGCTTTGGCACAATAATTTTTGCTATTCCGAGCAAAACCTGAAAATATACATGAATTTTGAGAGGGAACTCCAATTTGAATAGTTTTACATACATTTCGGGCAAATTTCTGCGCGCATTCACAGTCAACTGATCGCTGTGCGCGACGCTTATAAAATCGATAATCTCTTGCGATTCGATCGGCATTTTCAGAAGCGTTTTCCAGATTTCCTCGATCCGACGGTCCAATTTCTCCTTGTTCTGCTCGATTCGCACACGGTATCGCTGAAAATGATAACTGCTTCAGTGGGTTCATAACTTTAACGACTGAAATGAGATTTTCAATACAAAAATACGAATTGTGGGCTTTAATGTAAACAATACACGTTAAGACCCATTAGAGTTTCAAAAAGTTGTTATTATTCTGCAGTCTCATAGACATAGTTTTGAAGTTTACCGTCTGAAAGTAGTTGCACTCCTCGCTGAGCTCCCTCATCGATTTGGCCGGCAGAATTCGCATCGCCTCCTTCGCTCGATCCCTCTCCACAATCAACACTTTCAGGTCTTTGTACAGTGTTTCCGAGAGTTTGAATGAAAATTCTCGAAGCCTACAAAACGGTGACATCTTTCAGAAGACTGTTGGCCACTTACACGTTCTCCTTGTCACTTCCATTTCCACTGAATCGGGTGGGAAGAGGTGTTTGAGAAGCGGTAGTTCTCATCAGAACGGGCAAACTGGTGGCCTCTGAAGTGGCACCATCCAAGGGCTGAAGTTTGAAGAATCTGTTCTCGACGGTCTGATCATCGGCCGCCAGAACTTCATCCAATTCCCGATCCTTCTCATCTTTGCTCATTCTAGGGGCAACGGTCTCAAAATCAGACAATATCACCAAACATAGATGGGAAACACTTACAACGACAGTTTTGTTGGTTTGAATTCCGGCAAAGTTTACTTTCACAGGCGACAAGGACATTCCGATCGACCTGTAATTAAATAGGGTTGCTTTGAATGTTTACGGTTTCTGGTAGTTGGGTTTATGAGGTGTGACACTATTATAGGGGCACCGCACAGAAATGACGCTCTGTTGAGAAACTCTTTTGGCAATGCAAACGGGGCCGAGTTTGAAAAGTTAGGCCACGTTTTCAGTGGAAAATTACTTCGCGGCCCGGAAATTCGGCCCAGATTGAGAACCGAGCGCCATTTCTGTCCAGTCACCTTCCACGGCGAGCAAAAGTGTAAAAAGGGGCGTGGCCTAATCTGAGACGCGTTTTCTGAAAATTGCCGCAATTCCAGCACTTTTCCGATATTTTTGTGTTTGATAGCGACGAAAGAAGAGCACATTAAAGAGAGAAAACATTGAAATTTTCGTGAAAACGCCGCCGCGTTTGAGACGTTTTTGGCATATTTCGCAATAGGCTCTCCGCGGCCAATCGCCGCCGCAATTTCGGAATTTTCATACCGGCCGATCTGGATAGTTTTGAGACGAAGTGAGTGTCGGAAGTGATTAAGCACGTTAATACAAGTATTTTAAGCGTTCAAACGGCAAAAAGTATCGGCGAATGACTGAAATTCGCGCATTTTCAGCACAAAACTTGAAAATCGATTCAATTGTTTCATTTCTGAATGAAAACGGCTCGTTTAAAGCTCAAAAAGTGCGCGCGATGATTAGTTTAACAAAGTTATTTGGCAATTACATCGTCGAAATCGTACAAAATTGGGGTAATATTTGACGAAAAACATGAAAAATGGGGTTAAATTTCGAATTTCGCGCGCCAAAATGGTGATAAACCGTGCACGCTAGGCCACGCCCCTTTCTACGTTTTTGGTCGCCGTGGCCTTCAATTAAACGAAATAACAATATCTGACGAACCTATCACTTGCCGAAGTGGAAGGTCCATTCAACGGAGCAGTGAAACTGAGATCACCGTTTCGATAATTACTGTCCTTTTCGTAGAGATAATCCCAGAATCTGAAAACGAAACTTGTTTAAAAAAAAGTCATTTCCGACATTGATTTGGAACTTCACAACATTAAGAAAAACCTAACGATTCACGAATGAAAAGCGACACAGAAGCTACTGCTTCGAAACCGTTAAAAATATGCGCTTCTCGGGGAAATGTGGTAATAAATAGATTACAGAAAATGAATCGACGAAAAACGCTCACCTATCCACATCGTTCACATCGATTTCGCTCTGCGCCTCCGTCGCCTCCTTCAAATTCATCGTGTACGTGGATTTCTTCAGACTGCTCACGGAGACCGTCGACGAGATCACCGATTCTTCGGTGTTCTGGAATATGACCGACTGCTCTATGTAGTGGTTGGTTCGAAACAATATTTTCTATAAAGTCACTTTCTTGAAACGGTATTGTCAAAAATTTTGGAGTGTACATATAGGCGAAATTGAAACAAACAAAAGCATGGTGTTCAAATATATGTATAGGAAGTGTACCTGATGGATCATTTGTGGCTTCTCGGGTGTCGTTTCCCGTGTCTCTGGTTCTACATCTTCTTCTTCTACTCGTTCACTTTCCTGCTTCCCATCTCGCCGTGCTTCTTCTGCTTCTTCCACCTTCCCCAGCTCCATTTTCGGCTCTTCGGCCAAGCTCTCGGTGGACGCCTCGACCCACATCTCGGTCCGACTCTTCCGTTCCTCCTGATCCACAGTACTCGAAAGATGGCCGGATGTCTCGATGAACGACCGCATCTCCTCCTCGTAGCTGATCTCTTTCGCCTGACTCGAAGTGATGTCGTTCGACGAGTGACTGAAACGACTCGCTTTTTGTTGTTAATCGCAATCGGGTTTCAACGGTGTATGAAACCATATCGGTTACTAACGTATTGTCACTGTTCGTCAGCGAAAGTGTGGACGGCATCTGGATTTCGGGGAACTCGTTGAAGGCGTTCGGCACTTGCATGCCCACATCCGAGGCGTCTGACGGGATCTGCAACATGAGCAGACGATAGATTTAGAGAAAAACGGAGATGTTCAGAACGGTTTCAAGCAAGAAATATGTGGTCACGAGTGCATTTTGAGCATGCCGAATTTCACTTACAAAGCACCGATCTAATAGGGTTTCACGTGAGGGGAGATCACAGTCAGGTTTTCAGTTGAAATTACGGTAGAGCGTGATTGTCAACATGACTTTTTTCAATTTCAAACAATTTCAGTTTCGTGAACGTTGTAAAAGGCAGAAATGTGTAACGGATTTTTAATAGTCTATCAAAAAAATTTGTTCAAAACGAGGTCCCATTTCTTACGTAGGATTTTTTGAAAAAATTGTTTCGGTGTCCGTGCGGCGATACAAAAAAATTAGAGAAAATGGTAACTCATTTGGAGCCCAAAAACTACATAAAATCTAGGAAAGACTACCGTGAAATGCAAATGCAAATGAAAACGAAATGAGGTCTCGATGGGGCATCTGCTACCTGAAGGAGAGGGAGAAAGAGAAAGAGAGAGAGAGAGAGAAGGTATCCGTTGAGGTGCCCACCCGTCCACGCGTCTCTCTCGTCCCTTCTTCTCAATTAGCAGTCGTCATGGAGACGTCACGGAGCTCTTGTTTTTGAAAAGGATACGAAAATGGATGGATACACTCATTTGTTGTGACTGGAGAGCCGGGGGAAGGGAATCGACGATTCTCGATGGGGTTTTGTGAAGATCAAGACTTTTCACTGCTCAAAATCAACTCAACTGAAACTGAAAAAGGTTCGACTTGGACATTGGGACCACCTCTGATTCGTACTAGCTGTGAAGGAGGTCGAAAAATGGGGGGAAAAAAAAACAATGCACGCGTTGCGCTTTTTTCTTCATATTTTTACATTGCTGAATAACCCCCAATCTAACGTCTCAGTTTCAAGAACACAGCAAATCGTGTTGCATTGACGAACATTATTATTAGTAGTCTCATGGGTAGGGGGCGCAAAGGAGGGGGCGTGGCCTGACGAATTTTCTCTTGATTTCCGCGCGCGCATGTTTGAGGACCTGTACCGAGGTCCCCAGACCAAGTACCATACTCGTAATGTTTTACTTTATGTAATCGACCATGCTGAATCTAATGAACAACTCCGTTTCCCACGAAAACGCACCATTTTCTCAAAAAAAGGCGAAAACGAGAATGGAAGTCAGTCTGAGAGCTCGTGTGGCCGGAGTTTGTGCAACACGCGCCTACTTTCAAGTGATTCCAACAGTTTAAGGGACGGGGAATCCGTTTTTTAAGTCAGAATCAGACAATCTAGTTTCCGATTTTTTTTACAGGTCCTCAAACTGGCACAAAAAATTGTGAAAACATTTCAGCGATGACCATACTTTTTTATGTTTGGAATCCATAGATAAACTCTCTGAGAACCCAAATACAAATTTTCAGAGCTCTAGACAGTCTAGGACCAGATTTGTGTTAATTTTAGTAGAGCCAGTTTGGCCGAAATTGTAGTTTTTGGGGGTTTTGAGGGTCACAGGTACCTTACACGCGGCTAATTTTCCCAAAATCGGATTCAGCATCAAATTTCCGACCGATCCATGTCGAACTTTTCCATCTATCTAGTTTCCGTTTTTTGAAAAGTGACTGTAAAGTGTAACAGTTTTGGATTTGAGCACGCAAAAACACTAATTTGACACCTAGAAGTGGACCGCGCGCTGCCAGCTTTTCTATGCCATTGGCGGCCGGCGCGCCTTCGCCCGGCTGGCGCAGTGGGAAAGTGCTCACTCGGCAATCTAAAGGTGCCGGGTTCGAAAATTTTGACCTCGAAAGTTATTTTGCTTTCTTAGAACATCATTTCTGCTCCTTCAAAATGTTGACTCTTTGGTTTGGTCCACCAGACAAGGATAAAAAACGCGTGCGGCAAACTTGCTAGTGAGACTCCGCCCCCTCCTCGGCCGCCGACCTGAGAGAAAACAGGGCGACTTTGGAGTGGTGTAACTCGGGATGTACCGAAAATTTTCGAAAAAAAAATTGGGAGCGTACTCATATAGAGTAGGGGAACACATTCCAACAAGAATTTTATAGAAATTCCGAGTTTCGTGAAACCCGTTGCGGTACCTACTCATGGGTGACACACCCACACACATCCCGCAATTTCTAGCTTCGACTCTGAGGCAATGTTTCTGAAAAAGTGCGCAAACTTTCAGCATGATCGAATAGAAAGTTGCGCTAAAGTTGCAATTTCTTTGCAAACCTTTGTTGTTCGCACGTTAGGAATATTCCTTTTCCAAATGTTCTTGAAGCACTCACGTGTGCCTCTTTGTGCTGCTCCTCCTGTATTCTCAGCCGTTCCCTTCTCCGATGCTGATATTCGACGAACGAAGATTGAATCGATATCGAGTCGACCGTCACATTCCATTCTGGTTCACTGCAAACAGGCCAATTTTATTCTGATGAACTTCAGAACCTCGGAAACTTTTTAAAACAGTTTCGACTCCAGATGAAAATTTTTAAGTCTATGAACTTGCATTATTAAGCAAACCGATAGATTTTAAATGTTTGTTCTTATATTAGCACAATGTAATTCACAAACATTCTCATAAATTTCAATTGAACACTGTCTAAGACTACGCATATTTTTTTTCTCCTTTTTTTCCATATAGTTTGAAACATCCTATGTTGTAAAAAAAATAGATGAAGTAAGCGATGACGATACTTCAAAACCACTTGAAACACCTATTTTTGTTGCAAAACCTGAAGAAAACTCACGTGCGGCTGGTCATCGCGACGGCTTCGTTGCTCGGATTCACCGGTTCGCTGTGACTCCTCCGAAACAACATTCTCCGTTCCGTCTGGTTCATTTCACCTAAACACCTTTCTCCTGTTAATATTTGGGCTTTAAGCAAGTAAAGAATCGAAGAAAAAAAAGAAAGCTCACCCAAAACTCTGCTGGTATTGTCCATCACTTCGGCGGCCATTTGTGTCGAAAAGAATTGATCGAGCCTGAAAAGAAAGTCCGGAAATTGAGCGGATATCCTTTGCTCACGTTTGTGGGCCAGGAAAGGGGCAAAGAGATGAATTATGAATAGTCTGGAAGGTGAGAAATGAGCGAGAGTCAGAAGCGATGGAAAAAAGAAGCGAGACGGGGGATTTGTACGACTACAATTGTTCCCTTTCGAGAGAAAGATCGGATTAGAAGCTTCTACTAACCGCTATGTATTGTTGAGACATTTTTTCATGAGGACGGTGAAGAAACATGCAAAAATATTGTTCACCCTGTTTATTTTCGCATTCGCTTATTGCTCGAAATCATGAACGGACACTATTCTTAGTGAGAAAGGAATAAACGAGCCAGTATTGACAATCACACTTTCGTCATCGTTTTTTCTCTTATGAACACGGTGAAACAGGCAAGATTGCTATTTGGTTAACATCTTTTGGTCACTGGTGGTAAACTATCGATACGATTTAGGGGCGCAGTCGGTTTCGAAAAATTAAAAAGAAACGGATTGTTACGGTTTCAAAGAACACATTTTGAACTTCAAGATTTGAAGATAGGAATAATGACAAGTACAGAGCATCATAACATGAACGCTGTGAAACCGCAAAGTACTTTTCATCACACCTATTTTATTTCATTGCCCTACTTTTGAACTGTCTGCAGATTATGGAACATTTAGATCACAAACGTTTCCTGTTCAAATTTTGCACGTACAACGACAACTGTGTACAGATTCTCAAAGTCAAGGGTTCAACAAAACGCTTCAGTTTCAATAAAAAGTTATAAGAAAGAAGGCTGAAAATGAATACTAGTTGGTATACAGAGACGAAAATAGACTGCGACAAGCAAAAATAGAGATGCTACTGATGACAATGATGAACAGAATAATAATATCAGTAGTGAGCAAGACGGATTAGAACGAATGGATTAGTTTTGGAAAAGTTTAATGATCCCAAATGACGGTACCTTCTTTTAGTGCTCCGCTCCTTGATTGGAATGTGTACAGTGCTGTGTGGATGATAGGGGAGCTGCAGGAAGCAGAACATTGAGATGTTCTAGGAGAGCATCTGCAAGAACACCCAAAGTTGTACATACCTTCTTCTTGTTCCTCTCCCTCTTCTTCTAATTATGAGGTTTCCCCCCCCCTCAAAAGGGACCGCACGGATCCGAGAGGATTAGAGAGACGGAGAGGGCAGGTGGAAACGAGGGGGGGGGGGGGATCGGTTTCAAAGTGCAATTTCCGCGCAAAATTGGATGTAGTCGGAAGAGAGTAAGAGAAGAACAAAGAGACGGAGAGGCACAGACAATTAGACGGCGGACAGGTGCATTACTCAAATGAATGCACACGCAAACGGGAGAGCAGAAGCGGTGGAGAGCCGCCGGCGAGCAAGGTGGAATAAATTTTCGGTGACACACACACACGTGAAAGGGGAAGAGAAAAGAAGAGAAGAGCGTCCTTTTGTTGGGCGCAAGCGGTTTGTGAGAATACGTTGAATTGAGGACAAGAAAGGGGAAATCGAGAAATGTACTGGGAAAATTGTCTCGACTTTCGAAAAAAGAAACTTATCGAAGAAAGCATGCAAAACTAATCCGACGCCATAATCTGAATGAATGTGCAAGGACGAATGATAATCCGAAGAGAAACTTTTGAAGAATTGGGAAGCGGTTTTTTTGTAATCTTCTACTGTTCAGCAGAATTACAGGGCTCACGGCGACCAAAAACGTAGAAAGGGGCGTGGTCTAGCGTGCACGGTTTATCACCATTTTGGCGCGAAATTCGAAATTTGACCCCATTTTTCATGTTTTTCGTCAAAAATTACCCAACTTTTCGACGATGTAATTGCATGACTTTGTTAAACTAATCATCGCGCACTTTTCGAGCTTAAAGCGAGCAGGTTTCATTCAGAAATGAATCAATTGAATCGATTTTCAAGTTTTGTGCTGAAAATGCGCGAATTTCAGTCATTCGCCGATACTTTTTGCCGTTTGAACGCTTAAAATACTTGTATTAACGTGCTTAATCACTTCCGACACTCACTTCGTCTCAAAACTATCCACATCGGCCGTTATGAAAATTCCGAAATTGCGGCGGCGATTGGCCGCGGAGAGCGTATTGCGAAATATGCGAAAAACGTCTCAAACGCCGGGTTTTCACGAAAATTTCAATGTTTTCTCTCTTTAATGTCTCTTCTTTCGTCGATATCAAACACAAAAATAGCGGAAAAGTGCCGGAATTGCGGCAATTTTCAGAAAACGCGTCTCAGATTAGGCCACGCCCCCCTTTCTACACTTTTGCTCGCCGTGGCGGGCTTTAAGTACTCAAGTTTGAGTTCTTAAAACTGTATTCGATAGGTCATCCTTGACTATGTGTGCCCGCACTCGTTCACTTTCTTTTTTCATGCTGCACATTATGATCGTTGTTTGAAACAACAAAAAAACGAATCCTTCACACTTTGCATTGTTGTTGAACACAAAAACGAGGTGAATAACGCATGAATGGTGTCCAGGACTACCACGCATCGCCGTTTCACACCTTGCTCATTCGCCACAAACTTTAAGCTTTCCTACTGGGTCGATCAATGGCTCTCGCGACTTCCGATGAAGGTCTCCGAAGGCGTAAGGACTCTTTGTCGGTGAGTGGAGTCGAATCTGTGGGCGTATCAAAAAACATTCGCAAGTTTAGGACGAGTTCGATTCGGAGTTGGATGACAACGAGATGAAGGCGATTGTGAAGGATATCGAGGAGGATAAGGTTCACGACGAGAGTCCGGACACCCGTTGGACGTGAGTTGCAAAATCAAGGTAGTGACAAAACCTGTCACTATCACGTTCGTTTTCGTGCCTATCCGACTTTGCGTTTGTTCGACGATTCAGGCGGGCCTTTCGCATTAGTGCGTTCGTTTTCATTTCAGCCGCTTCAAGTCGCACATGAAGGAGTGGGGCGAGACGGCGACGATCCACGGAGTGCCGCACATGGCCCAGGCGCACACCAACTACGCGATCATCGTCTGGAGCATCATATTGATCGTGAGCGCCGTCGGATTCGTCTACATGTTCACCACCATTCTGGCCTCGTACCTCGCGTTCAACGTCGTCGTCAATCTGAACACCGGCCTCGATTCCGAACCGTTTCCCTCGATCACTTTCTGCAATACCAATCCGTACAAGCTGAGTAAGATGAGCGATGTTCCCGAATTGAATGCCCTTTTGACTGTGTATCAGGCTTCGGCGGATGGTGATTTGTCATAAATACTTCAGAAAAAAGGCACAAGCAAGACAATAAATGATTAGAATGGAGACAGGAAGCCAAAAAGAGGGGAAGGAGGAATCACATTGAGGGGGTGTATTAAGTAACTATTCAATTAAACTGAACAAAATGCGAGGGCAAATGCGTTGAAAGTTAGATTTTCTTGGTGAAATTTTCGGGAAAAACGCCGCGTTTTCCGTCCTCGAGCTCGCCGAGCCGCCAGCCGTCGTCCAGCTGGTCCGCGTCGTTCGCCTCAATCACCTTGATCTTCATTCCCTGCTCGAAACTCAGCTCGTCCGTGTCCACCGCCTTGTACTGATGCGTGGAAGTGACAAAGTACAGCGTCTTCCGTTTCTCATTGGTTATTCCATCCAGCGGCTTCGGATTCGCCTCTTTGTCCGGATCTTCCACCTCCGTGCTTTCGTCTTCATCGTCGAATGGATTCGATGGCTCCTAAAAGTTCAATTCAGTTGTGGTGCGCTCGACCGCATCTCCAGAATCTTTACCTTTTTTTCGCGTCTTGCGGCGGCGATCGCTTGCTCGGCGGCAGCTGTTTGTTGGGCGTTTAGTTTCTGAACAACAACCCACACATTATTACATCTTTTCGAAAAATAAAAGCGGGATATCATTTTCCGCATGTCAACCACGAACCGGATACACTTTCGCCTCGATCTTCTCCTCCACGTCTGTCGGTGTCGTCTCTTTGTGATTCTCTCCGTCGTCGTCCTCAAACGGATTCGTCGAGTTGGCCAACGAAACGACACTTTCCCGCGGTTTCGCGATCGGCGTCGTCGCGGATGGTGCGGGTGCGGGCGACGCGAGAACGGTCGGGGAGGGCGTCGATTGGCGGAGTGACGTATTCTGAAAATGGATCCGTTTTCGTGGCGAGACCCTTAAGCATCTACATCTGCAGATTTATTCGGGTCCGGAGTGGGCGGGGCGTCGGTGGAAGCAAGGGAAGTCGTGTCGATTGGGGTCAGAGCACGGGCTTCCGGACGGGCAACTCTGAAAATTTGAAACGTTTCGGAACTTTTTTCGCAAGGAAATGTACCTCAAGTAGTCCATAGACTCTCCGAGCGTGTCCAGCTGCATGACGATCTGTTTGTGGAACTTGCTCGCGTCGGTCTGATAGACGCTGTTCGCGTTGAACAGCGTCTGGAGCGTGTCGACGAAGAACGTGATGCGACTGTCGTAGACTGCCGGAAGAATCTCGAGCAGCTCGTTGTTCATCTCCGAGTACAGCTGCTCGGCGTTCTGCAGCTCCGTCGTCGCCTTCGCCAACTTCGGGTCGTTGTCTTTTTTGCTCGACGCCTTCACACTGTTGAACGTGTTCTTCGCGCTGTCGTAGTCGACCAACTTGCGGCCGCGCTTTTCGATTTTCTTTTTGTGGTCGGCAAACTGGTTGACGTACTGGGTGACCGTCTGCGGAAGGTCCTCGCAGACCGTCTTCTCGAGTTCGTTCGTCTGAATGTCCAGGTTCTGAAAGAAGCATACAAAGTATTTCTGAAGAGGAGTAGTAGCAAACTGACATCGAAAATTGCGGTAAGATGTTCACGGTCGGGCCATTCGGGTTCATACGCCTCTCGGATCGTGTCACGGAGCTGTTTTTCAGCGGTCAGAAGTGTTTTGAGGGCTGCTGCGTACGTCTGCAACGGGATTTTGTGATTTCGCAACAATTTTGGACATTCTTCCAAGTTTTTGTACAAAAGACCAGTTTTCAGTCATTTTTATCGTGTTTTGCTTAGAAATCTGACGAAACCAGTTAGAAGCTTTATTTTTGGGACTAAAAACCAGCGTAAAACGCTTCTGTACAATTTTTAAAGCGCATGCATTGAAATTCTCGCCGTTTCGAGTGCTCACCTTGACATCTTTGTGCAGTTTCTCGCACGCTTTGCTCTGTTTTACGAGGTTGGCCGCGTGCTGATCGAACACTTCGTCCTGCGTCGCTTTCGCCTTTCCGATACCCTCCAGAAGCTTCTCCTTCGTCCGATTCGTCGCCTTTTTCAGGTGTTTGTTGAACAAATCGGCCATCGCGCTGAAAATTGCGAATGTGGGAGAATGGGAGAGAATGTGAACGCATTGAAAAAGGAGAAGAATTCAAAAGATGACGTGTCGCGTTTTGATAACAGAAAAGAGAAGAAAGAAACAGCCTGTGGTGTCATCCGCCCCTCAGCGGCCAAACAGAAAACGAACCGAAGAAGACCAATAATCGATCAGGCGGCGAGAGTGAGAGAGTCGCAGACAAGGAAGGGGAGGAGAGAGTGCGGCGGGGCGAGAGACGCAGACACATTCGGGAAGACGGGCGAGAGAGCGATTAGCGCCCAGCTGGAACGACACATTCCACGCATCACTCGGAGGGCTTCGCTTTTTTCAGTGCGGAAAGACCGACGAACCGGGAAGACCAAGGATCGGCGGCAGAAAGTGCGCTCTATTGAGAAATTTGAGGATTTATAGAGAAAAAGTCGATTTATGGACAAGAATCCCTTAGTTTTCGAAACAATTGAAAGGGAATAGATAAAGCTCAAGATTACGAATATCTTAAGAGTTCGAACAGTGAAATTAGTTAAAAATGATTGAAATTGAAGGATTTTTACAATGAACGTTCATTGAGCTTAAAAATAAACTTGCTCGCTCGCTCGCTTATAAATTGTCGGTCAGAAATTGAACACTCTTTGGTAAACAAACGTTTCGTTTCGATTTTGATCAGAAAACACAATTTGATCTATTTTTCCAAGCGAAAGTTGATCTTGCGTGAAACCACAGCGACGACTATTTTTGCACTGTATCGACGTGGAGAGCGGTAGAGCGCGAGTTCTACTTAATCAAGCCGAATTTCAGTCATTTATTTGATGCATAAGTAAATGTGATTTGCAACTTGACCAAATTTGACGCTCTTGCGCTTAAACAATTCGTAATGGCCTATACAATCGGTCTATCGAGAGACAAACGAGAAATTGTCGGTTTTTCGTGGCTAGTCTGGCAAAAACCACAAAATTTGATGTTAAAATTTGAATTTCGCGCCAATGTATCGCTCTATTGGGCGGGGCGCACTTGCACCCATTGTCAGCTCTGGAGACCGTGGTAAACATCATTTTTGAAAGCATTTCATTGACATTTCAAAACCGAAACCTATATTATCCGTTTCTCCGTTACGAGCAACAACTTCCGGCGGCCTCACTCTCCTCCACAGTCATCATTGGTCCCAGGAAGAAGTACCCGGTCGCGTGGCCTAAAAAACAAGTAATTGAACTAACTTGTTCAAATCTTCAGTTTCAAAAAGTGCCTTTTACAGTGCAAATGTTCTTCACGTCTAATAGTTCTTTTTTCACGTTATCAAAACCTACCAGCGAGAAGGGATAGGAAAATGGGCCAATTGTAGGTCATGGAGACGAGCATGAGGGAGTAGTCGACGAAATGTTGGACGAAAAGGAGGACCGAGGAGAGCGCGTGGCTTTTCGAGAGGATCGAGTCGCGGGTGAACCTAAAGTATTTGTATCTCAGCTGCCGGTAGAGATATCGGAAGGTTGTCAACTGAAAAAATGCACAGAATTTTATAATGTGCATTTTATCAGTTGACAACTTTTTGATATCTTAAACGGAAACTGAGATATGACGTCTTGAGTAAACGGTATTAGGATGGCTATACCGTTCATTCTAGACCGTATATCTTAGTGGTGGGTGGAATTATCAAAAAGTTGTCAACTAATGAAATGTTTATAAGGAAGTTTTAAACATTTTCTCAATTGACAACTTTTTCATATCTCCACTGGAAACTGAGATATATTGTCTTGAATGAGCGTTGCAGAATATATCGTATTTGAGAAATGTTCGCGTTAGAAGAAACATGTGCGGAACAGTAACTCACGGTGCCAATGAGACGGCTTTCGGGTGAAGTGGTCTCGTTTCCGGAATGTTCCAGATTCCCTCTCCTTCCGTCGAACAGCAGCAGTCGACTTTCTGAAAAACGCTCGATTATGGTCCCCCTTTGAAGCAGTAAAACTCGCCTTCTGCTCGGCCACCTTCCCACTAGCCACCAGTTTCATTCTTCCGAATTTGAGAATCTCGAGCCCGATGGCAATCGCAAAGATTCCGAGACACGAAAAGACGTAGGCGGTCGTGGTGAGGGGTTTCCACTCGCGGAAAAGGATGGGCTCCTCGATTCGGAAGTGGAAGTACATCTCCATCATCATGTGCATCATTTTGAACGTAAATTACTAGAAATGGGTCAATCGAAATTTTGCTTATTGGAGAAGAAAAATGGAAAAGAACAAGTACAAGTTGAGTTCAACAAGTTCGAGAAACAGAAAAGTACAATAGTAATTGTTAGAACTTCATTCAACCTAATCACTTTTGCCTCCGAATATCAAAAAGCCGATTGTCAATCCGACAACGACTGCTAGTCCCAACCAGATGGAAAAAGTCATGAAGATGAGCATGAGGCAGTAGGAGAAGCCGAGTTGAACGAAAAAGAGACACGTTTGGACGAGGTGCGTGGACGAGAAGAGGCGGGAGAGGTAGCTGAAGATTTGAAGCGATGTATCTCAGCTGACGGTGGAGAAATCAAAAAATTGTCAACAGATAAAGTGTGCACAATTGTATAATGAACAATTTGTTAGTTGACTACTTTTTGATATCTCTACAGACAGCTAAGATACAAAGCTTTTAATGAACGGTATTCGAGTGTCGTTCTATTGGAAACTCTGAAGGTGATTTTTAGACATAAATTTTGAGTTTTTTTCTGTTTCATCAGGTTCCTAAGTGATTTTTGTCGTTCAGAACAAAAGTAGGAAGGCTTTGAGCTTACCTGCTCTTCTTGCTATTCGGATTTCTCTTCTGAATCAGTCGTCTCGTGTACTTGATCAATTCGAGCAGAATCCCAGCGATAGCAATGAGAACACAAGCCCAGATCATTGCTGAAAACGAAGATCGATATTGTATGTCCACTTTTCCATCGTTCCTCACTTCCAGCACTGGTAATGTTCCACGTGGAGAAGAGTACAGTGTCTTGTGGTTTCGTGTGGAACCACATCCACATGAACGGCCCGTTGTCCATATCCATATCCATATGATCCATTTCTCGACGAAAATAAGTAAAGTAGCCTTGGAAAGGTGTCTCGTTTGAAAAGGAATGATGCAAATGTCCCGTACACAAAACCACATAGCTCCAAACTGATAAGAAAATGGCGTCGAAGATAAGAAGAATGCGCGCGCGCACCGAGAATAGACAAACTTTTTGTACTGTTGTTCTGTAAATTTATGAATAATCACTGTTTCATAGTGTGTTAAGGTTAGGAAGAAGAAGTTGATAGAACAATATTCTGTTTTATTACGATTTTACGAAGTTGATCGGTAGATATTCTCACATCTAGGAAGCTAGTCAATTTACTGCTTCAATTTACTGCTTCATAACCTCTATTTCAGTGTTTGTCACTTTTAGAGAACATTCATTTTATAGTTTTTCTTCAAACTCATACAGCAACTCACTATCTATCACTAACTATCATTTGTTAAATAAGGAATTTGTATCATGTACAGTTTCACTTCGAACTCTCAACTTGAACTTTTCTAACACAATTAAACCGGTCCAGTGCAAGATGGAGATGACGACGATGGGCGGCGCGGTGGCCAAACGGCACAAGATGTGGATGTGGTACCACGTGGAACTCGAGGATACCGTACTCGTCAAGAGTTGGACCGTTTTCGATGCGGCAAGTAAGTCTAATCCTTATCAGAGAGAAGTAATTGAGAAAAACTATAAAAGAAATTTGGAACTCATTGAACTTTGCATTACGCCTTTCCTTCTCTAACCTATCCGAAACAGTACATTTTTGAGCAATGGTGTGGACGTGTGCGGTGATTGGCGCTGCTGGAATCGTGCTGGAGGGGCTGAAGTACGCGAGATGGGCGAGTGAACAGCACGCGAAAAGCCATCAGAAGAAGGCGGATTCGAAGACAAAGTACGGAGGAATTGAGATTCCCAAAAGAGAGATTAAGGGGCGGACACTGTGGGTTTTATGATCATCTTCATTACTTCCCTAACTTGAAGGGTCCAGACTTTGGATCCAGTTGCTATTATCTATTATGAATGTATATTCACAACATTAACCTACCGTAATGATCATTTATAAAAACGATGTGAACGTTTAGGCCCAAAAGCTCAGTATTACAGTTTCTGGAAGCGTCACATAATCGACACGTTCTACCACTTTTGGCAGTTGCTGTTGGCCTACATCCTCATGAACGTCTACATGGTCTTCTCGGTAACAATCCCCTCCAACTCTTCGGAACCTTTGCCCTGTCCTCATCTTGCAGGTCTACATTTGTTTGTCGCTGTGTTTGGGCCTCGCCATCGGACACTTCATTTTCGCGTCGAGAACTGGACAATAGTTAGACGAATTTCTGTAAAACTTTTATCTAGCTTCTAGAATACATAAATGTTCATAACTTTCCGTGCGTTTCCAAATTCCAAACATCGTCTGATTGTGATTAGTCTTTGTGTTTTGAACAAACAACCGTGAGATATATCCGCCGGAAGCGGAACCGAAAAAACCACAAGCATTTCCAATATTGCTGCTCTGTGACAAATGAGTTTGCCGCCGTCGGCGGCCGATCGCGCCTATCAGGATTTCAACGGATCCTACGTGGACGACGTGAACAGCTACGTGACCGGAGTGATCAGTCTTCTCTCCAACTGCCTCCTCATCTATGCCACGTCACAAGTGAAGAGCTACACGAATTCGGTCCGATGGTCACAGTACTTGGTATCCCTGCTCCGCATCGTTTTCTCGATTAGTATTGCGCTTTCGTGTCCGGTAACTTTTGAGACTATCAGAATGACCCGGACAATTCCGACACTTTAGAGTATGGAATATGCGGAGGAGACCGAGTCGTTGTACATTGTCAAAAATGGCATCGATATTCCGTTGGTGGCCGGAGAAACCTGCCTCGCCGTGTTCATCGTCGCCATTGTGATGTCGTGCAACGGTCCCGCTGTGCAGTACCTTCAAGTCACTCTTCTGTTGTCTGCGTGAGTCAAAAGTGCGCGTGTGTGATCACTTTGGAACAAGATTTACTCCTACAAACAGACGGAAAAATTAAAATAATGTATTGAGTGTTAAAAATGAAGTGTTTTTGTGGGTTGGTCTATGAGTTTGAAGAAAAAAAGGAGAATGAGTGTTGTTCAAAAGTGACAAACAATAAATTGAAAGAGATGAAACAGTAAATGATTTTTTTGTCCAACTCTGATCAATTTCGGATTGTACTATTCTATCAATATTTTCCTAATCTTAACCCAACTATGAAACAGTAGTTGTTGTGAAAGATGTTTCCCATTTGAGGCGACACCCTCTTTACAGATCCACAAAGTCGCAAAGCAACCGAATCGTCTCGCTAATTCCGCTCATGGTCGGTGTGCCTACAGTAATCCTCGTCTATTTCGGCTACATTCCCTTCTATTTCAACGTCGCCATTGCCAAAATGATGATGGAGAAGATGGGTACGCAAGGCACCGCCGCTTTTCTCATTGTCACCGTTCATTTGGTCAGTTTTTGAAGGGCTTTTGAGTGTTTAAAATGAAATTTGGTTTGTTCCAGAAGCCCATAGAGAGTAACAACTGCACATTTGAACTGATGTCTCTGATCTGCACACTATTCATTCTCATCGTCATGTTCTCGTCGCTTCTGGTTATAATCGTGTGTTATTTGAGTATTCAACGGAAAATGAAGTATCGAAATGGGCTGAAAACCGGCTCGAAGAGCACGCAAAGCACTCAGGAGCAGTTGAACAAGGTGCTCTTGATTCAGGTGAGAAATGAATCAATGTAGCTCAGCTGTCAGTAGAGATAGGGACAAGTTGTCAACTGAAAAAATGTAGAGAATGTTTTGATGAACATTTTGTTAGTTGACATCTTTTTGATATCTCTGCATATAGCTGAGATATATCGTTTGGAGTGAACCGGGTTGCTGAAGCTGTAATTTTAAGTATACTGTTTCACTGACATTACATTTTTAACGATACCAAACCACATTCAATGTGTTTCATTTCTCAGTTCGTGTTCCCGTTCGTCACCATCCACATGCCCTTCTACCTCACTTTCATCCTTCCGTTCTTCAACGACCCAATCCGCTTTTTCACCGACAACATTCTCTATTTGTGCTCCTGGTGTCCGGCACTTGATCCCGTTCTTGTCATTATCATTGTCAAGGTATCCGTGTTTTATGTAGTTCGATTCAAAAAGTATACAATAGTATTTTCAGAACATTCGAGAGGTGGTGCTCCCTCGAAATATTGTCCAATTCCGCGTCTCCGACAAGAGCAGCGAAAAGTGCCGAAATTCGAGGGTTTTTGCAATCAGAGCATAACACCGTCGATCTAGTTTTCTCAATGAATAATTTGTTCAATTTCCGATCCTTTCCGGGTACGCGCTGCGTCTTTGTTTTTCTTTTTCCAGACTTCCCGTAATGAGATTCCGAGCGTGAGCAACCAGAAACCGCCCCAGTTCGATGAATTTCCCGTCGGTTCTCGGCGGCAACGTCACCGCGATTCCCTACCAAAACTTTAACGATTCGTACGTGAACGACGTCAACAGCTACGTGACCGGAGTGATCAGTCTTCTCTCCAACTGCCTCCTCATCTATGCCACGTCACAAGTGAAGAGCTACACGAATTCGGTCCGATGGTCACAGTACTCGATCTCCGTCCTCCGCATCGTTTTCTCGCTGAGCATCGTGCTCACTTGTCCGGTAACATTCGCCATTCGAATGAGTCATTGCAGTGAAACCGAATTGTAGAGTATAGAATATGTGGCTGAAACCGAGTCGTTGTACATCATCAAGAACGGCATCGATCTTCCGTTGGCGCTCGGAGAATCGCTTCTCGCCGTGTTCATCGTCGCCATTGTGATGTCGTGCAACGGTCCCGCTGTGCAGTACCTTCAAGTCACTCTTCTGTTGTCTGCGTGAGTATGTAAAACGCTCTAATTGCAGAAACCTAACAATTATACAGCCGATCTCCTAATAATATGTAGTTTGAACTTGGTGTACTTGGGGAAACTGCGAAACAGACTTTTTTCGGGAGCTTATTGAAATCTTCTAAAGTTGTGTTGTGACGGAGCAGAGTTCGGAGTCGTTTATTAATTATTGATTGAACGCCTACTATTGTGCTCCAGAAACCGTAATGCTCAATCTCAGTTCCGCCAAAAGCCAAAGCAACTCGATCATCATCTCCCTAATTCCCCTGCTCGTCGCTATTCCTACAGTAATCCTCGTCTATTTCGGCTACATTCCCCTTTTCTACGACGTCCAAGTCGCCGATTATCTACTCGAAAGGATGGGTGCTCAGGGCTCCACGTCCATCCTCGTTATCACTGTTCACTTGGTGATCCGGCGCGTTCACTGTCCAAACGAATGCGATAGTTTCAGGCACAAGTGAACGAACTCACAGGGCACTATGACTTTGACATGATGTCACAAGTGTGCACATTCTTCATTCTCATCGTCATGTTCTTGTCGCTTCTCGTCATTATCGTTTGTTATCTGAGCATTCGGAGTCAGATGAAGTACCAAAGTGGAATGGGAACCGGCTCGACAGCCACGCATTCCACGCAGGAGCAGTTGCACATGGTGCTCTTGATACAGGTAATGGGAGTCTAAAGAAGAATTGTAAACTGATCGAGATATCTTTTTATGGAAACGTATTGAAACAGTAAAGTTTTTCATTGCCGTTTTCCTGGAAAAAAAAATCTCATTGACGGCCTGATTCGCTAAATAAAGTACTTTTCACCACCATCGTTGAACATTTGCGTTCCAATTATGAGGCTATTCAGGGGAAGAAAAAATGATTGTTTTCCGTTTTTTTTCCCTATTCAGCGATGTCAAAAAATGGAAAAAAAAAACGGAATGAAATGCATCGCTCGCAGCGATTTTCCGGACGCGATGCATGCGGCTACTGTCAGAGACGTTTTATGAGTGGATTTACGAAAAATGTTCTAATTTTTCTGCAAAATTGCCACGTTTTCCAGCTATTTTGAACCAATTTTCACCGAAAAGCTCAATGTTTTGAACGATATGACGAGGCACTCGAAACTATCCAAAAAAAAAACAAAGAATTCAAGCGAAATCGGTCAGAAATAGCGGTAAACGTGGCAATTTCGCATCAGTTACCATAACAGATAAATAAGAACTGAAATTCCGTTGACAATCGGTTGAAAATAGCGGGAAAACGTGGCAATTTCGCTGAAAAATTAGAAAAAAAAATTCCCCTTCTCGTAAATCCACTCATAAAACGTCTCTGACAGTAGCCGCATGCATCGTGTCCGGAAAATCGCTGCGAGACCCGCCGGTAAAAAACGCCGCGAGCGATGCATTTCTTTCCGTTTTTTTTTCCATTTTTTGACATCTCTGAATAGGGGAAAAAAAAACGGAAAACAATCATTTTTTCATCCCCTGAACAGCCCCATTATATTGTTGCTCGTTGCAGTTCGTGTTCCCATTCATCACCATCCACATCCCGTTCTACATCACATTCATCCTTCCGTTCTTCAACAATGAAATCGAATTTCTCACCGATCACATGCTCTACCTCTTCTCGTGGTGTCCTGCAATCAGTCCGATTCTTGTCATTCTCATGGTCCAGGTAGTCGAAATTATTCTCTGTTTTTAAAAAAATCCGCCTTCAGAACATTCGAGAAGTGGTAATTCCCGAGAAAATAGTGATTCGTCGATTTGGAATGTACGATAGGAGCAGTTCGCGCGTGTTCACAACGAGATCATAACTGCCAATTATATTGTCGACTCAATACTATTTTGCCCCTCTCTTTCTCTCTCTCTCTCTCTCTGTTTTGCTTGTATTTGTGTCAAAAGTATTGTCCTGTTTCCGCCTGTTCTTAAGATAATTTTTAAACTTTTCTGGTATTCATTTATTCGATTTACAAAGGTTCTATTGAAAAAACATGGTTCTTTGAAGACATCGTCAGAAAAGACGAAAATTTGGATAACTTCCGTCACAATCAACATTATTGTAAAAGTCGGCAGTGAAAAATGTAGGTCTCATTACTTTTTACTGTATTAACGGGAAATTATATCATTCTTCACTTAGGTACCGTGATAGAAGCCGTAAACGTTTCGGTTTGATAACACTCCAATATCATTGATTCAAAACGGTGTATCTCAGCTGTCTGTGGAGGTATCAAAAAGTTGTCAACTGATAAAATGTAGAGAATGTTTTGATGAACATTTTATTAGTTGACAACTTTTTGATATCTCCACTGACAGCCGAGATATTGCTTTTTGAATAAACGGTATTGGTATACGGATCAAGTATCAACTAGGGACTCCCAATTAGCTCGTTTATGAGCGGAACAAGAAAAGAAAACACGTTTTTGCGAATTTCTAATTACAAGTAACATATTTTCGCTCTCCCTGTCCCCCTCGTCTTCTGCATTTCCCACGAGTGCTCGTTCACAAGTTCATTTGATCGTAACCCAAATGAGCTTCGCGTACTCGAAGAATCCGTGGCTCGAAGAGATCAACTGCGGAGTTTCGGGCGCGATTTCCGTTTTCGCCAACCTCCTTCTCATCTACGCCGTCGCGCGGGTGAAGAGTTTCACGAAACACGTCCGCTGGGGACAGTACTACAATTGCGTCTTCCGTTTGCTCTTCTCCATCTCTTGTGGCATTTCTGCACCGGTCGGCATTAGTTTAGACGCCTTAATGTCTATTCAAAGCATTTCATCTCAGCTGTCGGTAGAGATATCAAAAAGTGGCCAACTGATAAAATGTACAACATTTTCTTATAAACATTCGATCAATTGACAACTTTTTGATATCTTCACCACCATCTGAGATACATCGGTTTGAATTAACCATATACGTATTCAGACCGTATCATCGAAGAATCCGCTCGAACTCCCGTGGACTCTCCTCCTCACCATGTTCATAGTATTCGTACAGTACTTCCAAGTGGCCTACGTCCTGTCGAGTGTGGGGAAACACACGCACAGAGAGGACTTTGCAGTGGTCTCGGCCATCTACTCCATCCCAATTCTGGTCGCCATTCCCACTTTCACCGTCCTCTACATCGGCTACACCCCTTCTCCGTTCCAATTGTCCGCCAACCGGGACCTGGTCACTCGTATCACCGGCCGAAATGACAGCAATTTTCTGATTGTGTCGAGTAGGAAGGTACGTTTGGAATCAGGATAAAGATTACTGTAGGAATTCGAATTTCAGATGCTAGGGCCGGTTCAAGCGGGTCAAATTGCTATTGTCGCAACAATCTTCGCAGTTTTCATAATGTTCATCTCGCTGTTTCTGGTCAGAGTTTTCTTTGCGCACATTCGGAGGGCTATGAAGTTGAAGATGAAGAGCTCGAATTCGATGAAATCACAGAAGCATTCGAATCGATTACTCTTGGTTCAGGTCAGTTCAACATTCGAAGCAATGTATCTTATTTGCCGGTAGAGATATCGAAAAGTTGTCAACTGGTGAAATGTGCAAAATTTCCTAATGAGTATTTTATCAGTTGACAAATTTGCAATACCTCTGCAGACAGCTGAGATATCGATGTTTCCAGTTTCTGTTCCCGTTCGTCACCATCCACATCCCGTTCTACACGGCGTTCATCCTTCCGTATCTGAGCATCGAACTCGAATTCGTCTCCACAAACCTACCGTACCTCTTTGCCTGGTGCCCGGCTCTCAACCCGATTCACGTCATTTTCACTGTCAAAGTACGTATATATTTCCTGTTTTCTTCCCCAACTAATATTGTGCTTTCAGAACATTCGCGACATATTTCCGAATCGCAAAAAGTCGTCGACGACTGCAGTTCAAGTGACCTATTGATATTGACTTTTTTGACTGTTTTACGGATGAAATGAATGAAATTCCCAAGAATTATTACGAAAATCAAAAGATGAACTGTTTCTGCTCGAGTTGAATTGCATCCGCATTGTAGAAAGAAACATTGTAGAAAGTGGGAATTGGAATGTGATTTTCGTGGTTTCGCACGCAGACGACCAGAGATCAGAGTGATTCGGGAAGTTTTTTTACGAATTTTAGGAATACGGAAGACGAAGGTCGGAAAGTATGAGACATCTTTGAAACAGTAAAACAAAAGTTTCGGAAGCAACATTGATGACGTTCCATTCCAGTGTTGAGCGGAATTCCGTCTTCCGTCTTCCGTGGATTTTTCGTTCCGTCTTGCGTCTGCCGTCTTCCGGAAAAAGGTTTTCTTCCGTCTTCCGTCTTCCGTCTTCCGTGGATTTGTTCTTCTTACCGTAAAAGAGTAATAGCTTTTCAAAAGCCATTTACTAGTCCCGATTTACGCGAATTTCCACGGGCAGGCACCCAGATCCAAAGCTTTTGTTATTTAAAAAAAAAACCGGAAAAAAAGGTTCTGCATTGACGATTTTTTGTTCCGTCTTCCGTCTTCCGTCTTCCGGATTTCCAAATTCCATTTCCGCTGCAATCTGTTTATATCCATGCCCCTGCAGCCGATCTTTGTATCAATAACGTTGTCGAAACAGTAAGAATCAGGAAACAGACAACGTTTGCTCTCACAAACATATCACAGTTGTACTCTGCCCATTGTGCCGCTTGCAAACGAAACAATCGTGTAGCCTACAGTAGTCCTTCTCGAAAGAATAAGCCAACGTCACTCTTATTCGCTCCCCTCAAGCTCCCTGAGCAATAATAAATCAAAATGATTGTTTTCGGGCTCAATCTCGTCGTTAATTTGTTGACTTCTCAAGTGCATGCGCATAAAAACAAAAGTGAATAAATGCCGGGCAAAACTTTTCGACTTTTCTGCGCCGTCGCGAAACCTTGTTAGCCGGCCGACATTTTTTGGCTGAAAGTCCGTTTCAGGCGTTTCGTTTTTTTTCGAGAATCACTTGCATTCCTTATTGTTTGAGAGTTTACACTTAAACAAACGCCGGAAATCTTTAAATTTGAGAAAATGTCAAATTTGTATCCATTCAGAATGAGAATTGTTCCCCCCTGTGTTTTGTGTTCACTCGGCGACCCCATTCAATCACTTTTCTCATTTCTCAATTAGAAAAAAACGCCCAAAAAACAACGTCTAGAATGCGTTTTTCCTTCCAAAATCCGCAGATGATGGAGCACTACACGACGAATCCGTGGCTCGAGGAAATAAACGCGAGCGTGGCGGGCGTCGTGAGCCTCGTCGCCAATTGTGTGCTCATTTGGGTGACGTGCAAAGTGAAGACGTACTCGGAGACCGTCCGATGGGCACAGTACTACTCGTGCCTCTTCCGAATCGTTTTCTCCGCTTTTGTGCTCGTCACGAGTCCGGTGAGTGACAATTTTGAAAAATGATTTTTTTGTCAGCTTCACACAATCCTGAACTTTATGACACTTGTGAAACTTTAATCTCTACCGGATATCACATTTTGAGACGGTGATGTACCTGTCGGAAGTGAAATCGCTGTACATTGTGAAGGGCGGAGTCCCTTTGCCCCGTGAAATCGGCGCCTACTTTCTCAATTTCTTCGTCGTCTTCGTGATCACTTCGTGCACAAGTCCGACTGTTCAGTTCCTACAAGTCGCCTATATTCTCTCGAAGTGAGTCCATTCGAAACTTTATATCTCAGCTGTCTGTAAAGATATCAAAAAGCTGTCAACTGGCAAAATGATCATTATGAAATTGTGTACATTTCATCAGTTTACACCTTTTTGATATCTCTACCGCCAGCTGAGATACATCGTTTACAGCCCGGCCCTCAATAACCACGGGCTCTTCCGCTCTCTGATCTCTTCGATTCCGTTGTTCGTGGGCGTTCCCACGTTCATCCTCATCGGAATCGGATACTCCCCCAGTGCGTACGAAATGGACTTCTCCGAGAGTTTGATAAGAGAAATCACGGGAAACGAGGACAGTTCGTTCTTGATTGCGTCGGAGGAGAAGGTTGGTTAGGGATGGATGGATAATACTAGAGCACTTTGTAAGATCTACAACGAGGCCAGCGGCAACTATGAGTACGACGTCTCCGCGAGAGTGTGCACCTTCTTCATCTTCTCCACCATGCTCATCTCTCTGATTGTTGTCATCGTGTGCTTCTCGCACATTCGACGGCAGATGAGGAAGAAAAAGACGATGACGAGTCAGTCGGTGAAGTCACAGAGACAGCTCAACTTGCTGCTCTTGGTACAGGTATGGACTTTCTACTGACGCCAAGCCAGTTTTTTTCATTCTTTTTTAGGCCAAAATGAGGTTGCCACACTGAATTTAAAGCTCTCTCTGTTCATTATTTTGCCTCAATCTGAAACATTAATTTTCCGACAGTTCCATTGTCCATTTCCGTTCAAATATTCCAGTTTCTGTTCCCGTTCGTCACCATCCACATCCCGTTCTACACGGCGTTCATCCTTCCGTACATGGACATCGAGTTCAAATTCCTCTCCGCCCACCTACCGTACCTCTTCTCGTGGTGCCCGGCGATCAGTCCGATCCTCATTTTATTGATGGTCAAGGTAGGGAGTGAGCCTTGCTCTTAACAGTTCCGAAATGTCGGTTGCAGAACGTCCGCGACACGCTGCTGGGCCGGAAGAGTCCAAACAACACGAATACGGGAATGACGTTCACTTCGAGTCATGCACTTCACCTCAAAAACTCGGTTTCCCTCAAAACATGATGGATTTATGGGAATAAAGTTGATTTTCTTCATAAATCACATTGGAAAATGGAAATTAAGGGGGGTTAATATGTGCACTTTTCTGTTTCAGTGTGTTCTTGTTTGCACGCGCTTTTTCAGATATTCTAGTCTCGCGGACTTGGAAATGTTTCAGAATTGCATGGTATTTTAGTGTACACTAAAAACGTTACCGTTTCAACAACTTCCCATATATCGGTTTCCGTTTCATGTTCAGTGTTCCAGTCTTGAAGGATATTATGGTTTCAGCGTAACCAGAAGTTTTTTTTAGATACCTTCTTCGGTCGATACGTTTTTTCCCGGTCCGTGACCCCGATCAGAACACATTTTTCCCTTTTCCCCCATCCATTTTCGTACTCTCTTACTCACACCCATCCCAAGGGACGTCTTTTCTCGACGTAATCAGAACGAAAATGAGCACATTGCGGACGTGTGCAATTATAAGAGATTGAGAGCGGGTGTCTGGGAGCCGAGTCTGGAGACTACGCACGCTTCGAGCACGTTCTGAGTTGAGCCATGCACTCGCAAATCTGAAGTCTACCCTCTTAGGCTTTCCAGTTTTGCTGAAACGGCTCAGCGACATTTCGCAACCCAACTGAGCTACTTCGCGAGAATTCTCGCTACTTTTTTATCGTCTCGCTCCCTCTCCACTCTGTCTCGCCTTCTGTTCATAGTTCTGATATCATTACGTGTCACTCCATCCATCATGACACATTTCTAAGCGCACAGCCCACGTGCCTCACTCCCTCATCCTTCAGATGCTTCCTCCGATTCCATCGTCTTTGGAGGACAATCCGATGGACGAAATCAATAGTAACGTGGCGGGAGTGGTCTCCCTCGTCGCCAACATTCTTTTGATCTACGCCACCTCCAAAGTGACCGTCTACTCGAGCTCGTTCCGCAAAATCCAGTACTACGTCTGTGTCCTCCGCCTTTTATTCTCGCTTGTCACCGTTCTCACGTCGCCGGTAAGACGTTCAGGGCGAAAAAGAGAAGAATTCGAATCCGTTTAGACGCTGGTATACGTGGCAAAGATGAAATCGCTGTACATTGTCAAAGGAGGCTTCTATCTTCCAATTCCAGTCGGTACGTGTGTTTAGATTGCTCATCGCTGTTTTTGAGGTTTGATTATAGATTGCTAATGCTGTTAACCGGTAGTTAGCCAAAAACAGAGATCGGAAGGTGATTTGTGATCGTGTAGAGTCCGAAACCAATACTTGAAACGTGTTCTTTTCAGGCGAACTCTTCCTCATCATCTTTGTCGTGTTCGTCGTGATTTCGTGCAGTTCGCCGACCGTCCAGTACCTCCAATTGTGTCATTTACTCTCAGAGTGAGCCCATTTCCCTTGCCATTCATTCCCCTCGAAACGCCTCAATTCTCAGTCGTGGCCACAAGAATGAGCGTTTCGGTCCGATAATATCGACACTCTCCATGCTCACAGGACTTCCGGCTCTCGCTCTCGCGTCCCTCGGCTACACTGCCACTTATTCAGAGCTCATCGAGGCTCGCGACATTGTTTATTATTTGAATGGAGAGGGAGACAGTGCATTTCTGATGGTCACTGTGAATAGTGTGAGTTTTCATAGAATGGCACACCAATACCAGGGGTGTGCGGAAAATATTTCGATTTTCCGAAATTTTCCGATTTTCCGAGAAATTTTCGGAAAATTAGTGTGGATTCAAGGTCAATTTGTCCGAAACCACCGTATGCTTTTTAAAGGCGCATCACAAAATTTTTGGAAGGGTCTAGCAGCGAGCGTCTTTTTAAATTTGAAACAACCGCGCGTCTCATTCTCACTGACAATCGGAAAACACTGGACCCGGAGAGCTTCTCTCGGCTAATTTTTTTGCAAAAAAATATTCCATTGCTTGGCTTCCGCCCACTCAAGTGATTTCAAATCATAATAAGCATTTTTTTGTATTAGAACGTTGTTTAAACACTTTATTGAACCAATGAACAAGTGAGTTTTCCGATTTTTCCGATTTTTCCGAAATTTTCCGAAAAAAAAATTCGGAAACCCCGATTTTCCGAAATTTTCCGAAAAAAAAATTCGGAAAAACCGATTTTCCGAAATTTTCCGAAAAAAAAATTCCGCACACCCCTGACCAATACTACCAGTTGTCTGTAGACTATCTTTTTGAGCAATTTTTCAGTCGGCAACTTTTCACAACTTTTATTTTGTACGGGTAACGGTGGATCACCATGTACGTACCTATTAAAGTTTGACGAAAATAATTGTAAACTATTAAGCGACTAGTCGAAACTGCACTTTTTGCAGAGAATAGACGCCTCCTCCGGACAACTGACAATCGATTGGCTCTCCCAAATCTGCACCTTCTACATCCTGACCATCATGATTCTATCGGTTTTCACAGTCATTCTATGCACATTTTATATCAGAAAACAGCTGAAAAAGAAGATGATGAGTGCGCAGGCGAAGAAGGTGCAACAGCAGATCAACGTGATGCTCGCCCTTCAGTTCACCCTTCCCTTTCTCACCGTCCACGTGCCATTCTATGTTTCGTTTATTCTTCCAATGTTCGATATTGAGAACAGCTTCCTCTCCTCCAATCTACCGTATCTCTTCTCCTGGTGTCCGGCGATCAATCCGATTTTGGTGATGGCTTTGGTTAAGGTGCGTTGTGAAACCGAAAAGTAATAACTTTGAGTGTGTATTGCGTTCTGGTACTTTATGTTTCCAGTTGACTAAATTTTCGTATAACTATTTCTATGCCTACTGTATTTCCAAGAGCTATAGTAGTCTTAGAAACTTTTATACGAAAAAGTTGTCAAGTGGACAAATGAGGTACTAGGTGAGGGTTTGTAAATGTTACGTACGATGAAAAAAGGCCAGAAATCGACTCCCCCTCGTTTTGCAGCTAATCGAATGCAATTTCAGAACGTGCGCGACCTGCTGCTCTGTCGATTCGCTCCGTCGAAAGTCTCTTCGGGCAACATGATTCATGTGCGGCACTCGCAGGTGCTCAGCGCACGTGCTCAATGAGAGTTCACACCGCTAATTGTCACTTTCCATTTAGCATCTCCCCTTACTCACTCTGTGCTCGCTTCTCAAACTTGGCCACTCAATTTAATCGCGTTTTATGTGCTACTTGATTTTTTTTTGTTCAAAACCAGTGATCGAATGATAATTACTGGAAATGGAATCGATTACAGTTTCATCAAACTTTTATTATAAAAGTTCCGTACCTTCGTTTGCTTATCTCAAACTCAAACTTGGGTAATTAAACCTTTTACAACAAACGAGGAGACAATAACTATAACGCCTACTCAAAACAACAACTTAAATTAAAACAACGTCGATCACAACTTTTCGAAGGAAAAAAAAAAAAATTAAATATGGTCACTACTACAATTGAGAGAAGAAATCAATCAATGCTAACTAACACATGAACTCTCAAATGGGTTGTGAAAGAATCAAAATAATTTTTTTTCCATGCACTGACCTACGCTTTTGTTATAATTTTTATTTTGATTCCTGTAATCCCCTAATATCGCCATTTCCCGATAAATAAGTGCCGAATAGAAAACAACAACTCTCGTCTCACTTCCGAGCTCTCGGAGCTCATGATCCGTCTATGATCGGTGACGGATAAGTCACTTAAACAGAGGAGGTATACATATTTTTGCCTCCCGCTTCTTCTCCTTTCATTCTACCCCAATCCGTCTCTAGAAAATGACAGTTTTCCAGGTTCGAATAGGACAAAGCAGTGTTATCAGTATGTTTTCTTCTTCAACTCTTTTCATAACATCCGAGAACTCAAAAACTTTGCAGCCATGACCAGCATGGACAGCATCAACGACACGTGGTTCGACGAGGCGAACGGCATCGTCGCCGGCGTCGTATCGTTCGTTTTCAACGCGGCACTGATCATTGCCACGTCACAAGTGAAAATCTACTCGCATTCGGTGAAACGGATGCAAATATTCGGCTGTGTACTCCGTCTCCTCTTCTCCGTTTCCGTCATTCTCTCGTCACCGGTGCGTCGTCGATGACGCAGAATAAACGCGAGCAAATGCAATTATTACCTTTCAGACTCTGGCATACATCACCGAAGCCGAGGCGGTCTACATCGTCAAGGGCGGTTTTCAACTGCCAATTCATTTTGGTTAGTTATTAAAAATGCAAAAAGATTCTGTCATCCGCAGGATTCGAACCTGCGCCCTCCGGAGAGGACTGCGACCTGAACGCAGCGCCTTAGACCACTCGGCCAGAATGACATGTTTGAGAGAAGGAGCGGAGGGCGTAGATATCAAAGGCGGAAGGGGGGAGAGGAGAGCGGGTTGAAGAGGAAAATGGGGTAAAAATTTGCAAAATTGGATTGAAAAAATTTTTCAGGAGAGGCAGTACTAATCACCTTTGTCACTTTTGTCATTTTTTCGTGTATGGGACCGCCGATGCAGTTTCTACAAGTCGTTTTTATACTGAAAAAGTGAGTTTCAAGTTGAATATCGTCAAATTCTCTTCATCAAAGTTTATTTTCTAACTGTTGTAGCTCGGGGCAAAATCATTCAAAATTGTTCGTTACTTGCAAATATGTGGAAGTTGAAACTGTAAAGTATAAACGTGTTAATTGCAGAAGCAAACGGTCCCAGAAGGAGGTGGTGTTCCTGACGTCGGCCGCTTCGTTCGTAGTCTCGTTCACAGGGACCGTGCTGCTGGCGCTCGGCTACACTCCGGACGTGTCGGACGACAAACTCTCCACCGAGATTGTGTACAATCTGAACGGAAAGGGCACGACCGCCTACCTGATCGCCTCGCTCGAACGATACGATTACTCGCTCGGCGACTGGGTGCCGGACCCCGTCTCCTGGGCATGCACCCTCTACATTCTCGCCGTGCTCGTCATCTCGACAGTGATATCAGTCATCTGCTGGCTCATTATCAAACGACAAATACAGCACGGCGCGATGAGTGCGAATTCGGTGAAGGCGCAGCAGCAGTTGAACACTGTGCTCATTGTGCAGGTACGCGCGGGATTGTACCACCATTACCAAGAGTAAGATGTTTCTGAACTATGCAGTGGAGTTATTGAAACTGTAATTCAATCTAATTTAGCTCTGACATTCTTGAGCACTTTTCTTCGCTCTCTATGTAGTTGACACGGAACCCCAGCATTGCAATGCGCAAGCGAGTTGTCAATGGGGCGCGCTTGCATCCACCGTCGACTCGGAGTTTCTTTTTTCAATTGAAAACCAGAATTTTTTCGTTTTTCTCTTAATAAACACTCAAATTTTGTTCTTTGCGAACCGTCGGGCGATTGTGTGAGTTAAAAGCATCGTTTGAAGCGCGAAACGAAGCAGATTCGTTCAGAATTGATCAAATTGAGGGATTTTGTCGAAAACTACTGAAAAAAACGGAGTTTTAACGATTATTTGCCGAATCGAGTTCGGACACTGCCATTCGAACCGTCCAGTCAACGAGGAGTTTATTGTGCATCTTTTAAGCGCTCAACCGTCGAAAAATATACAGAATTTAGATAATTGAGGCAAATTTTCGATTCCAAAAGGAAAAAATTCTGTAATTTTCACATAAAACGTTTCGAAATTGATGACGAAGCAGTTAACATTTCATTTTTTATTCATTTCTAATCATTATCATAAGTTTTGACACTGATTGGTTCTGAAAAGATGGGGATAATGCAAAAAAAAGCGAAAATTGAAATGAGAAACTCTACAACGACGCTCCGGAATTACGCACGCGTTACGCGCCTTGTTTAGCGCACGTGAATTGCGCCAAGGGAATTTTTTATTGGAAGGGGCTGGGGTTCCGTGGTTGATACTGTTTAGAAATAACAGCTGAATCTCGAGATATATCTAATTTCAGTTCACGCTCCCGTTCCTGACGATCCACATCCCGTTCTACGTCTCATTCCTCATGCCGCTCTTTCGTGTCGAGACCTCGCACCTCTCCATCTACCTACCGTACCTCTTCTCGTGGTGTCCCGCACTGGGGCCCATCGTCGTACTCATCATGGTTGAGGTTTGTTGAGAGAGAGAGAGAGAGAGAGAGAGAGAGAGAGAGAGAGAGAGAAGAAAAATACATGGAAGAATGTTTCAGAGCATTCGAGAAAAGGTATTCGCGAAGAAGGTGTCGGGCAGTTCCCGATTGCACTCCAGCGGAAACATCGTCATCAAACCCAAGAATTTAGGTTGAATTTCTGTTTCGATAGGCACATTTCATGTTCGACTATAAGATAAAGATTAATGGATGATTCAATATTTGAGGTCTCTGGGCATCGGAATAGTGATCGGTTCGGGCGGAGAAATGTCCGATAGTCGGTAGATCGTATACCCTTCCGACCTCTTCTGAGCAGTCCATTCGGCGGCGGAAACACGAGAGAAGAGTGTGTAGAAGACGGAAGTGACGACGATCGTGATGACGAGGAAGTAGAAGACGAACGACCACTGAAAACGGGATTCAGACTGTTTAGACATCTCGAATCTTGCTTTTTAAGTTTGCTTGTAATCTTGGTGAAACACTTTCCGTTTTTTCAAGATATCTCAGCTGTCTGTAGAGATATCGGAAAGTTGTCAACTAATGAAATGTTCATTAACAAATTGTGTATATTTTATCTGTTGACAACTTTTTGGTATCTCCACCGACAGCTGAGATACGTTGCTTTGAATGCTCCCCCTTTCCTAACCAACCTCGTGTCTCGTGTTAGTCGGCACCGCCGCCTGAACTCCCATCGGAATGAGAATCTGAGCGATTCCAGCGATCACCATGTTCAGATTCAAAGCAAAGTGCGAGTGTTGGGCGGCTCTCTTCAAATCTCATGTTTTGTTTGGCAAAATCTCTGAAGGACTCACAATTTGAATGGTTCGACTGCAGATGACGGGCACGAAAAAGTGCAAAGAGGCGAAAATCATCATGCAAACGAGCGCCCACACACGGTCGTCCAACTCGAAAAGTGCAGAGATAAAGGGAAACGGGGAGAGAGAGGGGAAAACGTACGAATCCAGTGAGGAAGAGCGAGAATGCACTCATGGATTCCAGAATGAGCAGCGGAATGACCAGCGTGAGTTTGGGACCACAACCGAATTTGACGTCTGGAAAACGGAACGAAAAAGTCTCCATTTGCTAACAAGCAGAAAAGTTTAAAAGAAACTAGGAGAAGAGACCCAGCTGATACAGTAGTACTCTATAGACTATAGAGTACTATAGTTTTTCTTTTTGAAAGCACTTACCCAGCAGCCTGCCACATCCAATTTTGATGAAAATTGCAATGAGCTGAGGAATCGCCGAGAAATATCCAGTTTCTCGAATCGTAAAGTGAAGAACCTGGCAATTTTGGTTACGGTTTCGTTCCTTTTACCCCTGATCCCTACTTGTTTGATGAAGATCGGCGAGTACTGTTGATAGACGATCATGGCCAGATAGTAGCCGGTGAACATGAGCAGACTGATCCAAATGGTCCAGTCTTTGAGGAGAGCCCTGTACGGAACCGTCTCTTTCTCCTTCGTCGAATGCTTTCCCGCCAGAATGTACTTCTTCTCGGCTTCTTCGAGGTTTCTGGAAGATTTAGGGGGAGAATGAAACGGAAAAAGATTGCGCCCACTTGTTATCCTCGACACTGTCCGAGTAAAAATAGGCGAAAGCGGCCGAGGCGATGAAAGTACCTACTCCAAGTACGTAGTAGGAGGCTTCCCATCCGAAAAACGAGGAAGAACACATTTCACCGCCGAGAATCATGGTGAAGAGGGGGCCGAATTGCGAGGTGGCGAGCATGATGGAGAAGAAGAACGAGGCCTCCGAGTGGGGCGTCCATCTCAGCACGACGTCGTTTGTGAAGTGCAGTTGGCTGGCCTGCGCGAATCCGGCGAAGAATCGGCAGACGAGGGCGGGCCAGAAGCCGAGCGAATCGGCGAGCGGGTAGAAGAGCGAGGAGAGCGCCGAGACGAGTCCGTAGGAGAAGATGAGCACGCGGGTGCTCAGGAAGTGGGCAAAGTAGAACGGCGCCGGGCCGAGACACATTCCGATCGCGGTGGCGGTGAACATCCAGGCGACGTTCAGGGAGTCGAGCAGGTAATAGTCTAAAGACAAGATTGCCGCACCGTCTCCGAAACTTCCCTTCCAATTTTCTCACCTGGATCCACTTGCACCGCCGCCACTTCACTCTCATTTCCGCTCTGCTGACAAATGACGGTAAAGCCGAACACGACTCGGTTACTGTAGACGAACGTCATGGATACGGTAGCCAGAAATAGGAGGAAGAATCGGAAATTGTTCATTTCGACGCGAGTTCATTCGATTGGTTTATTGCAAAACAACTGTGAATTACAACTGTTGTGGCATCACTCGGCACTCGGTTTCGTCTCGTTTTCATTTGCATAAGCGTCGTCCCGAGTGTTTTTCGACGACAGATGTATGATTATTGCCTTTTTGGAGTCTGTCAGAGGACAAACGTGGTAAAGTTTAAATTAAAACCAATTATTTCAAGAATACCCGATTCTACCGACCGATTTATTATCAGAGCTTCATGAAACCCACAGATTTTTCCGAAAATGTACGCAGAAAGTGAATGTAAATCTTCATATCAAGTCGGTTAGTATGGTGAGAGCACAATGCGTTCAAATTGACGTCGCGGAGTTGCGGGTGCGCACGTCACTTCATCACAGCTCAAGGGTCCGAGTCCGACAAGGGAGCGGAGCATCGGAGAGACCTGCCAGTCGAACGGTTCCGTCAGGTCCACCTGCTCTTCTCTGGCGATTGACAGCACCGTATGCGCGAGTTTGTGGTAGTTTGGTCTCTCGTGGCTTCTAAAGTCAACATTTGGTTTGTGACTCGGTCCAAATGGTTCTTACGCAGTCTTGACGATCAGATCGAACACATCCATCCACCCCTCGGAAAGGCCCTCGAACAATTGGAGTTTGCCGCCGTCCCTCCGACAGTACATCTTCCATTCTCTCACTTTCGCCAAGTTCAGCGACCTGTGCTCATTGTGCCACGGAAGTCCGCCCTTCAGCAGATGAACGACCATGTAGAGCCAGCCTTCGAGGTCGTCCGACGGCGACTGATCACAGAATCCGAGCGAGGAGAGCGGCGCGTAGGGGAACGTGCCGACTGAGGGACCTTGCGGACGCAGCAGGTGCCGGCGCCCGTCCCGCTCACTGAAAAACTATCAATTTCACGGATACGCGTATAAAAGTCGTTTCTGAAACCCGCTAGATGTGTTGTCAACTGAGAAAATGTGCACAATGAGCATTTTATCAGTTGACAACTTTTTGACAACTTTCATCTAAACTCACAGAAATCTTCTCGTGAGCCCAAAGTCCAGCATGTACACAATGTTGCTTTCGTCGCCGAGTCCGACCGCAAAGTTCTGTGCCTTCACATCCCGATTCAACCATCCGGCGTCATGAAGCACTCTCAATCGATCCAGTGTTTGCAGGGCGATTTTGTAGACGGTCGACGGCGAGAATCGTTTGTTGGGCGCGAATTCGAGAAGAGTGGAGAGGTCGGGACCGACGAGTTGCATCACGACGTACTTGAAGTGGTCGGTGCGGCCCGAGTCCTTGAGAGCCGGGAATCCGGGCTGATGGCCGAGTGCCGACAGCACCGCGTGGTCCAGCTTGAGCACCGGCCGGTAGCACCCGGTCTGTGCCTCCACCTTCATCGCGAACGGCACTCCGTCCTCTTCCACCAAAAAAACCGACGAGAACGGACCGGTGGCGATCGCCTCGCCGAGTTTGTACTCGTGCGGACCCAGTTTCAAGCGACGGCCCTTCTGAAATTGGTCTTTTGAACTCGGCGTCTGCTGAAAACTCACCAAAGGCATCAGAATGTTGGCCGTGTTGGCGGCTGCGTGGCGACGGAGCGGAGAGACCATTCGAAGACTAATCTGTTATCGAGTTGTGGTGAAGATTCGGAATGATGAAATGGAGAGCATCGGTAAAGATATCGAGTTTTTTGCGTGAAGGTTATCGATAAGAATTTCACGTAACTAAAAAAGTTTGCAAAAAAAATCGTTCTTTTTTCTATTTCAGCTTGTTTATTTGTTGAGGTCACGGTCGTCAGAGCTGACAATGGGCGCAAGTGCGCCCATACATTGGCGCGAAATTCAAATTTTAGCAGCAAAATTTGTGTTTTTTGCCAGATTAGCCACGAAAAACCGATAATTTCTCATTTGTCTCTCGATAGACCGATTGTATAGGCTATTACGAATTTTTTTAGAGCAAAAGCGTCAAATTTGGTCAAGTCGCAAATCTCATTTATCCGTTTGAAGGTTTTTGCGTGAATTTCAGTTGCTTTTCGGTAGTTTTCGCGGTTCGAGCGCTCAAAATGCTTGTATTTACGTGATTTATCATTCACAAAACCAATTCTGTCCGAAAACGGTCAAGAAAGCGCAAAATGAAAAGTGCGGTTTTTAGGCGGCGATCGGCGGCGAAGGCGAAAAAGCAAAGTCCGCGAAATCCACGAAAAATGCGCCAAAACGTCATTAATTCTGTGAGAATTAGTGTGTTTTCATGTCGAACACGCATTTTTCATTGCAGTTTCATGAAAACGCCATTTGGCCGCCGAGGCCACGCCCATATTGTCAGCTCTGTTTGAGCGGAATTTGGGAATAGCTCGCGAAGAACTGACAAGATTCGTGGCAACATTGAAACCGAAAACTCTGAATTACAGTTTCAGTCAGTACTTATTCGTTTCGAAAATCATCAGATCTCCCAGTTAAGTTTGGGAAGTTCCACACTCTGAACGCCCTGAAATCAGTTCATCGTTCCGGTCCAAATGTCAACGTTTTGCGTCTCCGTCGCTCCCCAATAATCACACCCTTCTCTATCTTCTCATAACATTTTTTGGGGTGCGGTTTTCCTCGAAATCTAATCAGCCGTTGTGAGTGTGTAATGTGTACGTGCTCCGCGAGCCCCCCTAACTTTTCGCGTTTTCGATTCCGAAACGATTCGTCTCAATTCAATTTCCAATTTCCGGAAAGCGGAAATTGAAATTGGAAGGTTTCGCACCTCTTTCGCACGTGACAAACGGGACATTCATCTCCAAAAACCGACTGGAAAAGTTCCCCGAGTTGCCAATGGTAACCTTTCCCATTCGTAAATTCAATTGGCACGTGTGACTTGATCACAAGTTGCTCGCTCAAAAATTGCTGAAAATCGCTCGGCGCTGCCCACTTTTTGGTGCGAATCTTTGGAAATTCCCGTTTTTCTTCGATGACATACTTTGGTTGTGCTGCTCCAGTGAATGTGAGAGAAAGAGTCATTCTTGCAGAAAAAACAGCTGAGATTGACTTTGAACATCAGCAACAACTCGAAGCTCGAATTTTTGTTCCTTGTTTCACTTTAAGGCTGTTTTGCCAGTTAAATAGCCTATTGGGCGCTCGTGTTTTACCGTAAATAATAATTGTCGACGTTTTGACAATATGCTTTCTTTCTTTCGATGTACATTTTCAAGATCCTTATATTGGGAACATTGAATGCCAGCAGTCTATGTCTTGTTAGTGAAAAGGAAACACAAAATAATGTTTTGCCATTGGCAACGTTATAAATTAATGAACACAATGTATTGAATGGAAATTTCTTGGATTTGGAATAAGCCCTGCTTGAAACAGTGAACATTTTTCTGCGGTTTCAACTTTACCACTTTATTTTTCTTAGATTAGCAGATTTAATAGCAAAGTGCATATGTTTAACATCTGTTTTACAATACCTTCTTTTTCATTTTCAGTCTTCACCCTGTTCGAAACAAATCTTACAGTAGTTTATCATTCGAATTACTCGATTCATGCCCCCCCCCCCTCCAAAGTAGTGCTACTTATTAGAAGAATCAACTTTGTGTCTTTTACAGTAGTTTTTCACTACGCCGCTGCTGAAAAACACGTGGAAATTGATACTGAAATCGAGAAGTTTAGCGAATCAGCTGGACACAGGTGGATTAGAAGGCGTGACGTCGGTTAGAAGCAGTCAAGTATCACATATCACACTCAAATTTCCAATATTTTCAACTTTGCCACTTTCTGTTTCAAACTTGACGTTTGAGGCTAGTTCTCATAGAGAAATGATAAGAAATTTGTCACTTTTTGTTCCCCCTTGTTGTTGTTTTTGTCCCCCCCCGAAAAGCCACGTCATCAGCATCATCGCCTTCTTGTGTTCAGAATGACGACGAGCACGTTGCTCACCTCGACGGACTTCTCTCGCCTGGATGATTCCAATTTGGACTTTTACGACGAGGTGACGACGACCCGAAAGTCCAGCTCCAGAACCTATCCGTTATGCACCGAGTTGTTCTGTGGTCGGTCTCAATTGAAACAAACGAAATGGCATAAAGCGCGCGCGCACACTTGCAGACTTGTACTTCTCGCCGAAAAAGATCATATCGTTGGGAATGATGGTGGGACGGGTGGCGATCGCGTTGCTCATAATGCTTTTGGGGCTCAAAATGGAGAAGGACTACATGCGCAGCATCACCAACACGATCTTCATTCCGATCGCCGTCTCGGAGCTGTTCACGATCTACATCGAACTCGCCTACTTCCAGGACATGTTCACGCAGTCGCCCACGCAATCCAAAGACTTCCGCGCGTTCGTTTTACATTCTTTTTGCTGTTTTTGAATGGGCATGAAGTGATAGTCGGTTTTGATTAGTTACTGATCGACTGTCGACTACTAATCGCATTTCATTTTCCAGAACGTACATAGACTGGACGTCGGACTTTGTGGGCATAATCAATGATTACGTGTCTGTGAACACCCTCGTCCTCCTGCCGCTTCTCTTGTATTGCGGACGGATTGCCACGTTGCCAGGCGATCGAATCAACGCGTTTCCCACAAAGTAAGTAAACGAGACGCTAGAATTGTTGGGTGCCGAAAGATCAGAGCGTCAGAGTTCGCGAGATTGGATTCATTTCATCGAACAACATTCTAGATGGCAAAATTGGAATGCCATAGACACTTTCGGTTTTAATGGATGGTCTTAATGGAGTAGTCGAGCACACACTTACTTTGCGAACCACTTGAAACACAAGTTTTTGTTCGGAACTGTTTCTGGCCCGATGCAAAGTTTATGAAAACAAGTGACAACGATGGAGAAATGATATTTTTCCAAATCTCAACATGAAAAATGAAAAATAATTCTAACACAGTTGAAACGGAACTTACCACCTTTTCAATACATTTTCCACTTTCAGCATGATCTGTCTGATAATGCAAATCATTCCGTTCTTTATTTGCATCCTCAACTACATCGAATCCCTAAACGGAGCGATCGTGCTCAAAGTCCTGGCGGCCACGTCGCGAGTCGTCACTCTTCTCTGCTTCTCCGCCATTCTCGTGCAGATTTTCATTGTAAATTCCAAAATTGAACCTTTTGAACCTTCAAAACCATCATTTGCAGTCGATCGTGGTGGTGATGCGAGAGCTACCGGATGAGGCGGCCACCTCCGTCGACATGCAGATCCGAGACGCCCGCAGTCGGCTGGCATGGACCCTCGCCTACATTATCATTCCGTTTCTGACCATGATTCCGTTTGTGATCGAGGCCATCTTCTACATCTTTCAAATCAACGGACCCGCGAACAGCGCAAGCAGAGTTGTGAGTTATCGGTTTTCAGTTTCATCAAAGTGCTGAAATGAAAGAATTCGGTGCTTTCCAGGTCAAACTAATCTGTGACATCCTGATCATAATGGTCAACTTCTACCGTCCGACGTGGATGGTCATCATCACGATGATCTTTCTGCCGCCGTACCGTCGTGCCGTGCCGCTCCTCTTCTGTTGCTGTTCGTGCTGCCCGAAAGTGAACGTCGAACCATTGCCACGAAAAGAAAACGAGTCCAGTCTTATGTACCGATACGCCGATCTGTGATGATGAACGAGCGACTGGTGCAAAATGGGAATTTGTCATGTGTCCAATGTTGAATAAAGTGTAGAAACGTGTAGAAATCATGCAAGCAAAAAGAAGCAAAAGAAGAAAAAAACGTACCCGCAAGCTAATTTCGATCTCTCGATTCAAAGGCAAAAGCGTTAGCCACTAGGCCAGCCTAACGACTGCCTCCGCTTTGTTGACAGGTCGTATATAAATGCGCTGCTCTTCCGGACCTGCTGGAAAAAATCTTCTTCTGTGAGTCGATCTTGCCCAACTTTCCGGCGATATCTGAACAAAAAGGACCGAACAACGCAAATACGAGCATCAAACCGCTGGAAATGATAAAAACAAGGCGATCAGTATCAACTCATTATTTGCAAAACATTTTGTTCCATAATACTTCATGCGAGAAACTGACGAACAATTTTAATTTCAGCGCATTTGCCAGTTTCATTAAAGTGTGATCTTGACGGATCAATATGTTCTCTGGAATTCTTTGTAACGAATAAACTTCAATCAATTTATAAAAATAAACATACAAATAGATGAATTTCACATCAAAAGAATCAGAAAGACATGGTACCGGGCGGAGGGGGTCTTTGAGTAATGGTCCTTAGGAGGTGAGTGATGATAATATCACAAAAATGGCAATAAGGGGAAGGATTGGGGAAGTTGAAGGCGTCGAATTGATGGTGGAGCCATTGCAGAGCGGTCCTCGACACGAGCAGACACTGAAAACGGAAGCATCTTTGAGTTGGACCCTAAAGTTCAACGTGGAGGATTTATGTTCCCAAAGACCCAAAAATTTGAGTATTTGGAAACATAAATCCCTCACTTTTCACTTTTTTGTCAATCCCCCGATCCCCCTAGCTCATCATGTTTTACACGACACTTTGCCGCGGGAAATCGGGCACCCGTGTAGTCCGTCATCGACAATAATTGATGAGACTTAATCCATCAGCACATGTGTCCATCGGATTTCAAGTGGCTCGCCTATTGGATAACTCACTTGATCGACGACTCTTCCGGACGGCCGCCGCTCACCAGTTGGGTCAGATTGAACGTGTGGCAGAACGAGTGCGCGGCCAGTGCGCCTACCGTACCTGAAACACTGAAAATGAACACAAGGAGAGGAATGGCACTGAGATGAAACGTGTGAAGGGAATAGTCGTATGGAGAGTGTGAAACGGGAAACGAAACTATTTGTGGTTTCACGCTAGGGCGGAATGTTTACTGTCTAGTACAGATACACTGACGGAATGCGATAATATCAGTTTAAGAGTGATCACTCTCAGAAACGGCCATAACTTGTGAACGAGTAGAGATATCAAAAAGCGTTCAACTAAAGTTTTATAGCCTAGACATGTACCTTTAACTTTACAGTTGATAACGTTTTGGTATCTCTACCGGTTGAGGAGATAGAGGCTAGCAAACAGACAGAACCTCAAGAAAACATGGACAAAGTGTATTGTCGATAACTTTTTTTCCGTCAAAGCGATTTCCCAAGGCAAAATTTTTGTATACGGCTTTTGTTTCGAGCGCTGAATCTAATGGTGATAGTCCCGTCAAAATCTATTCGTAAAATGGTGTACTTAAGTACAAACGTTTTCTCATTTTGTTGAATATCTCCTTTGAAAATTTGTTTCGTCAAGGATAATCAATTGCATTCTTGAAGACCATCTTATTAGCTACATTTTCCTTTTTTTTACCAAGTGTTTTACTCAAAAACTGACGAAGATGCGACTTTTCGAAAAAGAAATACAGTTTTTGCATACTTTTGATCATATCTCGGCCCAAAACAGAGATGAAACCTTTTACGTCGACCAAAGCACTTCAAAATTAGAGAAAGATATCAAATTCTCGTGAATTCTCAATGAAACTTCACAAAACCTCACTAAATACTCATTCCAGAATGATCCTGCTGTCGTCCGGCCAAAAAATCGAAGTTAGGTTCGATTTTAAGACGAAGAGTTATGATTGACACCCAAAACTCAATGAAAGTTGGTTCAAAAAATCGGGGAACCGAGAAGCTTGTCGGAAATCGATGTAAAACGGTCATAATCAGTCTTAGAAGACGTTATGGCTAAAATTAAAAATTATTCAGTTGACCCTCTGGCTAATTTCAGTGGTGAACCTATAATTAAGTCACTTTTTCGAGAAATCTCGATTTTTGGAAAATTTCTCACTGAAGTCTAATGGTTTAGCGCCCAGTTTTCGAAATATTCGAAAAATTGAAGTGAACCTAGTGAATTAGGACCGGTTGACCATAATAGTAGAGTACTTAGAGTACAGATAGTTAACATAACTTTTTGAAACTGCAATCGTGTTCTGTCGAGAAACTTCGGCTCTATTTGAGTAAACAGGTTCCAAAGACAGGATCCTGGTCCCGTGATAATAATAAGGAGCCAAGGTCGGCTTACAGGCCCAAATTTTCAAAAAACGCCTTGAATAATCGACTTGAAACACCAATTTACTGTTCTCAGCTCTTACAATCGCGTCTCTCTATTCGACTCGTACCAGTTTTCGAATGTGCAATTACAAGATACGTCTACGAATGCATATAGATCCCCCGACACCTCGGCTTCCTTTTCGGTGAGTAAAATGAGCGGTCGGTCGGGAATATGTGATACTCTTTGTTTCCCACACACTTTTGACACTGCTAACGAGCCGAGGAGTCACGAGCACTTTCCCACGGAAACGCGCGCCCACGAGAAAGTGGTCATTAGTCAACACAAGAGCAATGCACTTTTTAGATGCGAAATGAGTTGCAACTTATCAGTCAAGTATATTACCACTACGGGGAAGGTGGATTCGGATTAATGTGCTCTGAAACTGAAAATCTAGGCAGTCAGTCAGTGATCATCAAGTGCTTTCTGGTAAAGAATCGAAAAACCGTTTTTTTGCTTTTCACATTTGTGTCGAAATGTAGAAAAAAAAGGGAGATTACTGAAAATACTGGATAGTTGATGACATAATATTAGTGAAACAGAAACATTTCTCAAACTAGTACCAATCAAAATTGTACTCAACAACGCGAATTGCCTAACTCTGTGATATAACAGGACTTGTGGTAATGTTGAAACAGAAACAGTTTCGTTTCACAACGTTTCAGTGTAATTTGATGAAAAGAACCGTTTTATTTGCCCTAGACCTCTTTTTGGACAGTTCAAACGGCTGCGGGTCCAAGTTTTCCGACCAACTTTGCTTACCGGTTCGATTGAATCCGAAAAGAAGAACGGATCCCCAGCAGCCGCGAATGTATCCTCGTGCGCCGGTTCCTGAAACACTCCCGTTTTCTTTTCTGTCGATTCGCCCTCAACTACAACAAGTCGCCCTCCCCTCCCCCCCCCGGAAACGCTCTCTTCACTCAATTTCAACTCGATACAGCCAATTTGAGTGTGTCGTCCCTTCAATTTGAGTGAGAAAAGGGTCAAAAGAGAGAAGGATTTGCGGTTTTCGAGACGAAGACGAAAGATATCGGGTTATCATGATTGACACGTTTCACCTACATTTCTGACAACTTTCGCCGTGTGAAATGTTGTTGTTGGACAATGAAAAAATGAGAGAAAATATCGCAAAAATCGATGAAAACGTCTTGACAACTTTTTGAAGCCTGTAGCTGTCAATAGAATCATCGAAACTAACCAATCTTCAATTCCTCGATCATCGTCACACAATTGGCACTTTCTTCGCAATAACTGTACGGAACATCGGCTCCTCGAGCTTGAGGATCTCTGAAAGACACCGAGAGACTAAATTAGCGTTAGAAATCAAAAAGTCGAAAAGTTATGAATAACTTATGATAGTTTTGAAACGGTAAAGGACATTTAGACATCGATAGCCTGACATCGTACATTCAAGACTATGTATTTTAGTTATTTGTAGAGATATCAAAAAGATGTCAACTAATAAATTGTTCATGAGGAAATTCTGCACATTTCATCTGTTGACAACTTTTTGATATCTCCACCGGCAACCGAGATACATTGTTTTGAATGCACTTTTTTGCTCACTACTCTATCAGTTTCAGTTTCACAACCTCCACTTCAGTTGCATTGTTTTCTGCATTTCCACTACCCAGCCACTGATTTCCACCAACCTGCAGTGATCAGTGAACGCGCGTGGCTCCTGATAAATCCTCGAGTATCCGGCGAACTGCCACGTGGCGCCATAGTAGCGCGACATGCAACTGTAGCACTTTTGCGCGGCGGAATTTCCGGGCGACGAGCCTAGAACGAGACGTGTAGAGTCGGTTTGAAGGCGCGAGAAAGTCGTACTGTAGGCGGAGACGTCGGGCGGCGGATAGAAGAGAAGGAGGAGGAGGATCCGCAGCGGAAGCATCCTTCTGACATCCTACTTCTAGGCCCGCAGCACCATTCGGATCGATACGGACGCGAACTGGAAATGAGCACGTTTCTGGCGGGAAGGGCATAATTTGGAGGCGGAAAAATGAGCACGAATGGGGGGGGGGCCGAGAACAGAAGAGAAAGAGGCAGAAAACGGGTGTTGTTATGAGGAGAGAAGGTGCGAGATATGAGACCTCCGAGGGCGAAACGAAACGGAGAACGAAGAAGAAGAAGAAGAAGAAGACATTTAAAATTCTTGCACGACAAATTTGGGGGAAGGTGAAAACAACACACATTTTCGGGTCGGGTATCAAGTTTTGACAAGTTGTCAGGTGGCAATTTCACGAATTTCCAGTTTCAAAGTGTTCTGATGAGAGGTAAAATTAGACAAACATTTCACTACGAACCCCGGCATATTCTCACTAGCACCTCAAGAAGCAGCAGTACTTCATAAGTTATGGAACAGTGAACCCTTTCTCTTCTTCTTCTTCTTCTTCTTCTTCTGATGCGTGTGCACTTTCCGCTCTTCTTATCCCACTACTTGGCACTTTTCGCCGGCCGGAAAAGGTTCCAGAAAGAGTAGAGGGGGACAATAGGTGTGAGTGACATGGTGAATAATTGAAGAAGGACGGACGGATGGCGGCGTCGCCGACGAGAGAAAATAAGAAGGCGAAACCAAGAGGAATGTGCAAAAAGTGAGTGGGAAAGTGTGGAAGCGGCTGGGAGAGAAGGTTCTCGAGGGAAAGTGACTGATTAGCACGCCGAAAGTCATCAAGCACTCTTACTGACTTTAATGGTAGCGGATAATGCCGGAGCAACGACATAATGCAACCGAGGGACGTTTTGCAACCCACCTCAGCAAAGTACGTACCTCGGAGGAGACCAAAAAACTGGAAGAAACGCGCGAGAAATGATTGGCATAATGTGCGGAAGACGACATCCGGCGCGACAGGAGGTGAACATGTGCGACGAAAACGAAAAGATTATGAAAAGAACATACACACAAATGAAAAAGTGAAAAAGCATTTCTCTCTCTCTCTCTCTTCTAATCATCATGAAATCACTTGTGGCTCCGCCCCCGATGGTGCTCCAAAAGGGGCGGAGCTTCCGGGGAGAAGCCTCTCGCATTGCTATTGTGTGTGTGTCTGCGACGGCCGAAACTTATTCTCAAGAGAAAAAGAAAGAAAAGGTGAGAGCCTTGGAGGAGGAATGTGAGCCACGTGGGAAACGGTGGTAATTGGAAGGGAAGGGAAGGGAAGAAGAAGAAGTTGGTGAGCAATAACAATAATAATAATAATAATGGGAAAGGTTCGTAGGCTTGATGAAACAGATAAGTTGAATGGCGAGCAGTATTTCAAGTTTTTGAAGGCTATTGCTCTATTTTGGAATTGCGGAATTCTCGGAAATCGAGACGAACAAGCTGCTAACGCTTCACCGAAAAAGCAAAAGAAATTGAAACGCATTGGGGATCGAACCAAAACCCAACCGCTGAACGAGCAAAAGCCCTGCCACTGCGCCACGCACGACACCTTGTCTGTTCGCACCTAGAGTGAAGAGATTATCGGCGGTTATCAAAATTTTGCTCGACTGTCACTCAAATTCTAATAAAGTACCCTTCAAACTGACTCAATCTGCCCCAAACTTCACAAACATCATCTAGACACCCAAACGGCTCTAATTTCGAGTTTCGGTGCTGATCGGTTAACTGAGCGCTGAGAAAAGTTGATAAAGAGAGAAAGACAGACAATTAGCAGATTCGTAATCCGTAGTAGTATCACGGGTTCGAGTCAGAAAGTCCGTCGTCTGGCCGTCTATTCCTCCGCGCCGCTCGCTCAAAAAAGGTATCAAATGTCTGCCAATTTGTGGTGGACTCTCCTCACACATTTCTCTCATATTCACCTCTATAGACCCAATTAGACGCCTCCTTCCCCCCTGTGTGTACGTCATCCACGAATTCCACGGCTTCACAAAATAATCAGACGAACAAAAAAAAGAAAACAAGGATTACCCGGGGCAACCGGAGAGAATGGAATGGAGTCGGCGGGTGTACAACTATAAACTGGAAATGGATGATATTGTTATTTCACTCAGGCCTCCCGGCGTATTTTCAGAGAAATCTTGGCTATTGAGGGGGGCACAGGAAGTGATAAGGATGTCACGAGACTCACGAGAAACAGTTGGCCAAATTTGAGAAATGATTTGTGGCATTCTTGAAACTGCGAAAAAAAAGTGAACACTAATGCAAATGCCCTTCAAGTAACCGAAAATATTCGGAGAAAACGGTGAAAATGAGCGAAAAACAATGCCAAAAAAAAAGAGGGGAGAAGCCGGACAAGTGGCCGTGGACAACCTTGTCTTTCTTGAACTTTGATCAGGATTGGAAGAGAGACATTCACGTTCTATTCGTGCGAGCTATTAGTTTCAAGTTGCCAATCGGTTCAGTTCTTGTCACTTTCGAGAAACTGTACGTTTTTGGAAAACTGTAATAATGTGACTGTCATGAGCAAAAAAATTACTATCAATCAAGATCTTGAAACTGGGAAGTGGTGTTCTGAAATACAATTGGGAGAAAAAGAAAGATGTGACAGTGTAACCAAACACGCAAAACAAATTACGCTGCAATGGGGATCGAACCAAAACCGACTGTTTGACGGGCAAAACGGCAACCACTGCGCCACGCACAACACCGCTCTTGCGCGCTCGTAGTGCGTTGACATTCCCGGTGGCAGAAGCTGTTTTTCCGCATTTTCGGTCGGGAAGACGTTTTCGGAATTTCGTTTTTTTCGCGCGCACCCCTGCTCCCGACGGCTAAGAGCCTAGGCAAGTTGAGAAATGTCAATTAGGAAAAAGTAAGAAATGAGAAAAAAACGCTAAAAAGTGTCAAAACTCATCTTGCCCGCCCATTTGCTCGCGTCTCGAGCAGGAAAACTCATTCTACGAGGCGCGGGCACCCATTTCAATGCATATTAGCCCGTCGCCCGCCCCAAATATGAATGAAAACGAGCGAAAAAGAAACACTTTGGCTCGCGTGTCATTTCGGCGACGAAAACCGACTCGAAATGGGTCAGGAAAACAACACAACGGCGAATAATTAAATTTCGAGGAGCGAAAAGGGGTCAACAAGGACTTTATTTGTCAAAAATATTTGATGAGAAACCGGGGGAAAGGGGCGAAAAACGGATGGGTTTCATCAATTTCACACACGAAAATTCGAATCCGCGCAATTTGTGGGGAGGCCACCACGAAAAAAAATGATGGAAAAGGTAGTACGAATTGGAGAGGAAAGAGGTCATCAATCCGCCTTATTTCACCAGAAGAAGAAGAAGAAGAAGAGGAAGAAGAAGAAAAACAGAAAGAGGGAGAGAGAGAGAGAGAAGGAAAGAAAGTGTAAACAGGAATTGTAGCTGTGCGAATTGGCAGGTGAACCACCGTCGGCTTTTCAATTATCCCATCCCATAACAAGAAAGTAGTTAAAAACGGAATAGGAACTTTTTTGGCCTAGAATCCCGATTTTACCCACTTTTCCCACCCAATTTTGACGCCAAAAACTATGAATTTTGCATTGAATTCACCCGAGAATGGGTCAGAACTTGAAACTAGGCCTAAAGCCTTGCAGATGGCCTAGAAAAGCACTTTTTTGCGTCTAGTGTGGACATATGTGTGTGAGACTGTGAAACGTTCAAAAACGTTCAAAATATTATTCATTTCTCAACATGTTTGATCACCGCCGTCCTGGCTTCAGACGTTTGAAGTGAACATTCGGAAACGGTAGACATTTTAGGAGCTTTTGAATTATTGTCGGTTTCAGAAACGTTTCATCTATTGCTTGTGGCAATAGCGCTCATTGAATAACTGCTTTCCAAACACCATTCAATAAACATCACTTATCTCTGCTGCCGTTTGAGATATCAAAAAGTTGTCCACTGAAAAATTGTTCTTTCGGAAATTTTGCACATTTTATCATTTGACAACTTTTTGATACCTCTCCCGACAATTGAGATACATTGTTTTGAATGCACTTTTTTGCTACGTTTTTGTCAGTTTCAGAAGCTTGTTCGAAATGAATTCAGAAGCTGTGACTTTGATGTAGACCCCGATCCTTTCGTAGAAATTTTTGCTTTCCCAGTTCATAACAGCAACAAAAAAAAGGGAAGAGACAACTAATCATGGGCGGAAAGAAAGAGGACAAGTTGCCCTTCTTCAATAATTCATTCTCTTCTGTTCCTCCTCCTTCTTCTTCTTCTTCTTCCTCTTCTTCTGCTCCCTTTTCTTCTGCACCACTTGAAAAAGTGCATTCGAAGGGAAGCCTAAGAACTTGCGAGAGAAACGGAAGGAAAAGCTGTTCCGGGGCGAGATTAACACGACCAAAAATGGAATGGAAATGAAAAATAAACAGACTTTTTTGCGTTCCTCATCCAAAAGTCAAGTTGACTGCCTTTTTCGAGCGAAGCGGGCAAGAAACAACAACAATTCGAGCGAGACTACTAATTCGTTCGATTTCCGGCCGACACGTAAACTTTTTGAAGTTGTTCAGTTTCAGAGGGCTTCGGATAGAGTAATAAACGCTTGATCATTTAAATCTTGATCATTTATCTTGATCATTTCTTGATCATTTCTTGATCATTCTTGATCATTCTTGATCATTCTTGATTATTTAAAACGTTACATGAAACTGAAAAGAATGTCTGACTAACAAGTGCTACGGTAAAAGTGCGACAAGAAACGGGAAAAGAAGAAGAAGAAGAAGAAGAAGAAGAAGAAGAAGAAGAAGAAGAAAAGGAAGAGAGTGCGAGTACTTGATCATCTTTTCCGTGTTTGCAACACCCACCCGAAAGCCCCTAATCCCTTTTTCGGGTCGAACATGTACGCAATATATCAAGACGGATTATAAAAGTGAAATATGTCCGATTGAAAGATTTCATCCAAAATTTTCTACTTTTCTGCGAAAAATCGGCGAAACGAGTACGGGTCGGGCCGGGTAATAAAAACGGGCGCCAAATCGGGCCGCCTCCGCCAATTTTCATTTCGCTCTTTCGCTCTCGGAGCTCTTTCAGTGCACAAAGTCATAAAACGGCGGCTCTCGGCGAGCGATTGGCAGCCGGAAAACCATATGGGCGGATTATTACATAGAATCACTGAAATTTTATTACTTTTAGTCGGTATTACGCGTTCTTCAGGTTGGAAATGCACGAAAAGGGCTGGAAACTGGAGGACAAGTTTGCAACCTACGACACGTAAACATACATGCACCGCGTGACAGTCTCTTTCCCCGTTTCCCTAATTTTTACTGTCGCCACGTGGTCTAGTTGGATCCAACCAACTACTATATTCCGGAGGACAATGGATCAGCCGGATGACTTGGAGGAACCGTTCCGGATCCATCTCAACTTGGACAATCTTCCCGAGGTTAGAAGGGAGCCGCACGTCTTCTTCGAAACTTTCAATGAAATGTGTTCAGGAAGAGGCAAAGTCTCGTTTCTCGCTGCTCTACGACGAACGGACGAAAAGTATGCGGAAGCGGGAGAACACGAGGTACCTGAGACCCGTATTCATCGATGGAAGCGACGTTTCGAACAGGTACCCTCAAATTGGCCGTCGCCTAGATATCATGTTTTTCTGTAGATTGAACCACATGATCCGCAAGAACATGAACCTTTTCCCGGTCGACAAGTCGGTCTTTAACGTCCGTGCGGTCAGCATGGCTCTCTGGCACTTTATCTCCAGGGGACACGCGGTTAGTAAGGACCATATAGTGGTCAGTTTCAATGAGAACACAAACTTGGAAGTGTCATTGTTCAGTAATAAATTGATAAAGGGTTCAGTCCAATAATCCAATTCACAGCTTCAGAGTACTGGCAAATTGTGTGATAACTCCAAACTGGATTGGCGTATTATCTCAAAACTTCTACTTTCCAGGCACTCGTCTTCCTGCCCACAAATCTTCGCGAGTTCGCCAAAAAGTGCTCGGACCCGCACGAGCTGTGTCTTCTGTCCAAGCTCGAGTTGATTGTGTTCGATGAGTCCAGTGAGTGGCCACCTAAATACTGTTTCACATTCGGCATTCGTCTGTTTTGTACTTTAAAAGGGGATTTGTTTGCGCATTCTTTTCGAAATATTTCGAAATTTTCGAAATTTTCTGAAAATTACCGCAATTCCAGCACTTTTCCGCTATTTTTGTGTTTGATATCGACGAAAGAAGAGCACATTAAAGAGAGAAAACATTGAAATTTTCGTGAAAACGCTGCGTTTGAGACGTTTTTGGCATATTTCGCAATACGCTCTCCGCGGCCAATCGCCGCCGCAATTTCGGAATTTTCATACCGGCCGATGTGGATAGTTTTGAGACGAAGTGAGTGTCGGAAGTGATTAAGCACGTTAATACAAGTATTTTAAGCATTCAAACGGCAAAAAGTATCGGCGAATGACTGAAATTCGCGCATTTTCAGCACAAAACTTGAAAATCGATTCAATTGATTCATTCATTTCTGAATGAAACCTGCTCGTTTTAAGCTCAAAAAGTGCGCGCGATTATTAGTTTAACAAAGTTATGCAATTACATCGTCGAAACCCGTACAAAATTCGGGTAATTTTTGACGAAAAACATGAAAAATGGGGTTAAATTTCGAATTTCGCGCCAAAATGGGGATAAACCGTGCACGCTAGGCCCCACGCCCGTTTCTACGTTTTTGGTCGCCGTGCATGGGCACATGCTCATTGCCTTCCTCACAACCAAAGTCCCGTTCCAGCCTCACCCCTGCACCCGTCCTCGGCCCTGATTCTCTCGCGAACGATTGCCACGTACGCGCTGAACAACGACGGTTGCATAGTGGGCAGCCGGAAGAAGTACGCACTGCTCGGCCAGAAGTTTCCCGAACTCTTGGACCGGGTCACCAACGCGCTCATCCGTCCTTCGTTCTCTCTCGAACACGAGCTGAACGTCGGCGACTCGGTTCGTATGGTCCTGGCGGTGAGAGAATATCCGAAGATTGGAACGGACGAATCGGAAAGGTGGTGTTTTTAGGCAGACGAAGTGCGGCGGAACGAGGAGACGGCCAGCTGCATGAACTTTCAGATGTTGGCCAGCGATCAGGTCATCATCATGAGCAAGTTGGCGAGGATCATCGGAAAGAGTTGGTTTTTGAGCTCAAACGGTTCTTTTATTGAAACATGTGAAGCTCTTGCTTGACATTCGAATTCATCTTGAAGCAGAACACTTTGTTCTGGCAATCGCGCTCCACTACCAAAAACCTACTTTTGAACTGTATGAAACGGAAAATTTTGCACGTTTTTGGAAAATTTTAGTCTTTTTTATCACTCTTTTTTTTTGAAAAGCAAATTTTTAATTAAGTCGTTAAAAGTCATTCGGGCGACATCATCAAGGTGAACAAGTGCTCGTATTCAAACGGTCTTGAAACTGTAAATTTTTGATTTTTCAAAAATTTTGACCTGAAAGTCAGAATTTTGCAGGTTTTCAACCGAAGAAGGTTGTTTGAATGGCTTTTCAGTGGAGTGTTGTTTGAAATTGCTATTATTTTAGCCTAGAACAAAATGTTTTGGCTCAAAATTTGAGAAATGAAATTTGCAGACGCGATGATCGATTTGTGCAGCCGTGCGCGCGAGATCAACATTGTCTCGGCGGCGTCGCGTGATCTGCGCAAGGCTCCGATGCTGCGGCGGCAGTCCCCGTCGGCTCACCGCGTTCATTCCTCGCCCTACCACTTCAACGATCCGTTTCTGCCCGAATACGTGGCTCCGCCGCCGCCGAACGCACTGGAAACTGTCAAAAGACCGTCTCGGATCGGCCACAAACACTCGATCTACCGAGTCGGAGGCGAGAAGATCGCGGCGATCAAGGAGGAGGGAGAAATGCCCGCCTACCGTCGCAATGCGCTTATCAATGCGCTCGAGCCAATGTTCGGGCTCGAGAAGGCGACGACGCTCGTGACGAACAATCCGGAAATGACGGATATCAATGAGTTGGTCGAGATTGGAATTGTCGAGTGAAAATTGGAGGATTGGAGGATGGCTAGAAGAAAATTACATTTTAAACTAAAATTCCCGAATAAAGTTGGCCTAAAATGTGCGATTTATCAAGGGACGAATAACGAGGGGAGTGGCTGATAAAACACGAAAGACAGGAGAAATGTGGGAAATGGAGATGCAATAGAAATTTGACATGGACATGCGATGCAATAAGGGGGGAAATTAAAAAATTGAGAAGACGTCAGGCGCTTTCAATCTTCAACGCCTTCAGAAGAGCCACGTCGATGCGGTGTTGAGCGACGGAATGGCGGCGGAACGTGGAGTACTCGCGGTAGATTGAATGATCCTCGGCGATGGCGACGGCGAACAAATCGACGAGCGTCCGCATCACTTCCCTCGTCCGTTCCGACGCCACGTCAATGCCGGAGAAGGTGTGCAGACGGACTTCCACGTCGAGCAACGCCTTCAGACACGATTTATTCCTCTGAAATGCGCGATTTCCTGCGAGAAAATTGGGAAAAGCTACATCACAGTGGAGGGCGAACGAGAGACATGTGGCTGCGTGCGCGACCACGTCCGACGGATAGATGCGGTTGTGAACGTAGAGCGTGGAGAGCTCCAGGAGGTACTGGAAAAGGGCAGGTCGGGTGAGAAACTGATGAGGAACCAGTAAAAACGTCTTCTTTTTCGTTTTTTAACCGGTCTTTTACTCGACTAGCCGGTCAGATGATCAAAAGAAGGCAAAAAAGTACATGAGTTGAGTATATTATTGTGGGATTGGCGGCGAGATGAACGAGCAGATAGGTGGCGTAGGTGAGCGGAGTGGGCACGGTCACTTCGAACGAGAGCGCGTTGAGCACCACGCGTTCCAGAAGAGAGATCTGCGAAAAAAAAAACGGAAATTCAGACGAAGTTTTGATAATTCACCATCTTGACGGTCTTTCCCTCGACGAGATTGTGCGAGATCGCAGTGTAGACCGTCAGACAGTTGATCTCCTCGACTTTGCTTTAAAAAAATCGCGTATTTAGGGGGCAAAACTCGATGAAATACCTTGCAATGACCATGGTGACAGCGGCGAGGTCGACAAGAGCCTCTTTCTGGACGATCATCACATCGAGACACTGGTCGAGCAGTCCGACGCTCAAATGGAGGGTTTCCGAGCAGACTTTGAGCGCGAACCGCCGCGAGAACAGATTCAGAATCGCCGATTTGCGATCTTCCACGCTAAATTCGCAGATTTTGAGGAAAAACTTCGCAGTTTTCGGGGAAATTGGGCAGTAAATAACCCACGTGGGCTGATTGCCGCACCTGCACTTGGTCACCGAACTTTCCAGCAAAAGCTCTTCGTTCGTGAGCACCAGAGTTCGCGGGCACGGAATGGCCGACGCCGATTTTAGAAGCGCCCGGTACATCTGAAAGAAGAACGGATTTCGTTGATTTTCTGAGCGAAAACCTCATGAATATCGATATTCGAGCAGAGAATCTTCTCCATTCTTTTTTGACTCTCGCGCACATCGCTGCAAAAATCGGCGAGCGATCGTGCGGGTCTCGCCGGCTCCGGACACTCTTCCGACGACTCTTTCGCTTTTTTCACCTCCGGTTCCGACTGTTTTGTGGGTGAAACAGGCTGAAGATAGAATTTAAGCAAGTTTTTCATGAAAACAACTCACAATATGCCGTTTTTGCACATCTCGAAACTTCAGTCCGTCGCCGACGTTGTTCTCTGTTTTTTCGTCCGATTTTGCTATAAAATTGACTAATTTTTAAAGTTTTCCCTGTAATTGCTATGAGAATCTCTCACATTCTTCGTTCAGCTCGGGACTTTTCGTGTCAGCGAACGTAGGTGACTGGCTGTGACATAATAACGTTTCTACGCTTGTTCTGCTCTGAAATTTCGAGTTTCTCGCATGAAAATTGAATGAGTGTGTAAAACGTACTGTAAGTTGCGGGAAATTTGACTGCGTTTTGCTGACCATTGGCGAAAATCGCAATTTTCACGACAGGAAGTTAGGAAAGCTGTGAAAATCAGCAGAAAACAGTGGAGACAAATCGTTTCGGGACCAGTTGTCGGAATCTGTGTTGCGCCTTTAAGATTACAGTAACCATTGCAGCAAAAACCAGATTTATTGATGAATTATCTGTTTTTATTCGCATTTTTATTTATATTTTCTATTTTTCTATTTTTATTTGCAATTTAGCAGAACTGAACAACGTAATTGGCTCCTTTGCAAGTGAACGTCGAGCTCGCATCGTCATAAGCGTACGAATAGGCGCCCGGACACGCGTTCTTGAACATCATCGCAGTCTGGCTCTGTCTGCACCTGTCCGGAGTTCCAAACTCGCCACGACAGCACTCTTGATCGGTATTGTAGGCCACGCAGCCGGATTTACACGCGACGGTACGGCCGTCCTTCTTGATTGCCAAGTGGTTTGGGCAGATGGCGTTGACGTCCTTGAAGCATCCTCCGGCTCGTTTGCAGCCCCCTTCTCCGCCGATCACATCGATCAGCACGGGGATATTATAGCCGTCCACCAGGGAAACATCGTAGAAGTCCAGGCCGCCGGCTCCGCGGAGAGTGAACTCGGCCAAACTGGCGGGAGGAACTCCTCCGGCTCCATTGCATTGTTCTCTGTTCTGAAAGACTAGGTTCCATTTATACCATTTCAATGAGTTTCAGATTAAGCATATGTACATATTGAATAAGTAAACTCACTCCACAACTGCCGGTGGCACAGTTCATGTTCCCATCGCACTGGGTCCTCGGCCAAATCCTTCCGGCGGTCCATCCATCGTCCACGTACACACTTCTAGTTTCCCCTGAATTCAGCCGGAATCCCCCGCCGTTCGGATTACCAGGACCCAGAATTCCGGCCCAAGTGGTGAATGGGCACTTATTGTACACCTTGATCTCCCTGGCTTCCAATGGAAGAGTAAGGAGGAGCAGAGACAGAAGAAAGGATAGGGAAAGCATTGTTTTGAGCGGTGAGAATATCTAAAACAGAATGGATGGTTTGGAGTGGTGATGAACAAGATTCTAGAAATGTTCGGTCAACAACTAAAGGCGTCTATTTATACGGAGCGCCGGGCGCCATGTGTTCTCCTGCTTCTCTTCATTTCTCTGTGCTCTTTAATTGTTGACGTTCGAGACGACTCTTCTCTTCCACTGTTGCGCAACTCCTTCGTTTAGTGTAACAACGTGTGACTGAGCCCCCGAAAACAATCCAGTGTTACAACTTTTTTGAGTCATGACGAAGAGCAAAACCAAAATGTATTTGCGAGTAAAGAATATGGTTTTTAACAGAACTGAACAACGTAATTAGCTCCTTTGCAAGTGAACGTCGAGCTCGCATCGTCATAAGCGTACGAATAGGCGCCCGGACACGCGTTCTTGAACAGCATCGCAGTCTGGCTCTGTCTGCACTTGTCCGGAGTTCCAAACTCGCCACGACAGCACTCTTGATCGGTATTGTAGGCCAGGCAGCCGGATTTACATGCGACTGTACGGCCGTCCTTCTTGATTGCCAAGTGGTTTGGGCAGATGGCGTTGACGTCCTTGAAGCATCCTCCGGCTCGTTTGCAGCCCCCTTCTCCGCCGATCACATCGATCAGCACGGGGATATTGTAGCCGTCCACCAGGGAAACATCGTAAAAGTCCAGGCCGCCGGCTCCGCGGAGAGTGAACTCGGCCAAACTGGCGGGAGGAACTCCTCCGGCTCCATTGCATTGTTCTCTGTTCTGAAAAACAGATGGATCGTCGAATATTATTCATTTCAAAGCGGTAAACTCACTCCACAACTGCCGGTGGCACAGTTCATGTTCCCATCGCACTCGGTCCTCGGCCAAATCCTTCCGGCGGTCCATCCATCGTCCACGTACACACTCTTCGTTTCTCCCGAGTTCAGCCGGAATCCGCCGCCGTTCGGATTGCCAGGACCGAGAACTCCGGGCCAAACGGTGAACGGACACTTGTTGTACACCTTGATCTCCCTGGCGTCCAAAGGAAGAGCAACGAGGAGTAGAGACAGAAGAAGGGATAGGGAAAGCATTGTTTTGAGCGGTGAGAAAAGATACTGTCCGTTTCCCTTTAAATACGCACTTGCCGATCATGTTGATAGATCAGCCGGAAGTTGACACAAAGAAAGAGCGGAGTAAACACTCGTCAGTTGTTTTTGACGTTTTCGCGCCGAAAGGTTATCGGTATCACACTCTTTTTGAGAAACTATTTTTATTTTCAACCATTTCAATCACTGAATTGATTTTCCTAACAAAACTGCACGACGTACTCCGCGCCGTGCTGACACCCGAACGATGACGTGGCATCGTCGAAGAGAAAAGAGTAGGCGGTCGGGCACGCGTCCTTGAACGTCTGTGCCACGTCGCTTCTGAAACACTTGTCCGGAGCGGCGAAGCTTCCGCGACAGCATTCTCGATCGGTGCGGAGGGCGTCACAGGCGGAGCGGCACGCTATTGTATGGCCGGCTCTCACGACTCGCAGACGTTCGGGACACAATTCGTTGATGTCGGCGATGCAGCCGCCGGCACGACGACATCCTGGAAAAGAGGGGCGGCTCAAGTGTGACTTCAGTTTCATAATTCTAATAAATTTGTGTGCTCTTTTTTCATCTTCAATTGTTGTCGAGCTCGTCTGCAATACTTTCCAAAAGTACCAATCAATCTACTCACTTTCGCCGCCGAACGGCTCAATCAAAACGGGCACATTGTAGCCGTTGATCAGCGAGACCGCATACACATCCTCGTCGTTCGCCTCGTCCAAACTGAACTCGGCGGCCGTGAACGGGAATTGGCCGACCGATCCGTTGCATTGTTCACGATTCTGAAACGAAATGTGGCAATGGAGGATGGATGCATCAGATTTTCGAATTTTCTACCACTTTGGAAAACACTAAAATTTTGAATTTCGCGCTGTACACCCCTCACCCCACAACTTCCGGTCGCACAATTCATCCGACCGTCACACAGTGTTCTGGCCCAAATGACGCCTTGCCAGTCGGATTGCACGGAAATCTTGCGGGATTGCTCGTGTTCGAGTCGGAAGCCACCGCCTGAAACGCCATTTCTGGAGGCGCCTATCGAAAATGTCGATTAGAACCTTGCGGATCGCCCGGTCCAAGAATTGCGGGCCAAACTGTGAACGGACATCGGTTGTAGATCACGATTATCCTTTCGGAAGCGCAGTGAATCGGAAAACGGAAAGCGAGGAGGAGGAAGAGCATCGTTTTTCAGCTTGAGCACCTTTTTCCTAACCCTGCAGAGTTTTTAAATACCAATTTTACTGTTTTGGTCAACTTGTTTAATTAGATGGGAAATCGGCTCCAAGTTTAGTAGTGCTTTGGATAAACGCAAGCTGAACAAATAGAGGAAAGGTGAGGAGAAGGTTGTTTTGAAAAACAGTACAAGATAAATGTTTGAAAAGCATATTTACAGTTTCACTTTGGGCACTTTGGATACACTCCTGATTCAATTTCCACTAACAATAAACGAATTTGTCACTGTCTCGTTTTCTGCATAGTTACCAGAGTTGAGCGGAATTCCGTCTGCCGTCTTCCGCCTTCCGTCTTCCGTGGATTTTTTTGTTCCGTCTTCCGTCTGCCGTCTTCCGTAAAAAAACTTTTTTTCCGTCTGCCGTCTGCCGTCTTCCGGAATTTTTTCTTCTTACCGTAAAAGAGTAATAGCTTTTCAGAAGCCATTTACTAACCCCGAAGAACGCGAATTTCCACGGGCAGTGACCCAGATCCAAAATTTTTGTTGCTTTAGTTATTTTTAAAAAAAACCGGAAAAAAAGGTTCTCCATTGACGATTTTTTTGTTCCGTCTTCCGTCTGCCGTCTTCCGGAAAAAAAATTTTCTTCCGTCTTCCGTTTTCCGTGTTCCGTAAAAAAAATGTTCTTCCGTCTGCCGTCTGCCGTCTTCCGGATTTCAAAATTCCATTTCCGCTCAACTCTGATAGTTACCCGTTTCTATTCGGAAAATTTGATGTGGCTAACGGAAACAAACATTCAATTTGAGCAATCTGACTCATATTCAGAATCTTGGTCCCAAGATCCTTCACTTGCTGATCGGAACGGGTCCAAAAGTCGATTGGCTATTCGCGCAGCTCTGATTCTATGTAATGTACAAAAATGGCTGTTCTTTTTCACGTTTGTCTTCGGGTGTTCATCGTTCGAGTTCACTTGAACGTTCGACCAATTATGTCCGGAAATGACAGAAATTTGATTAAAGCGAGTCTCGGTGTAAGTTTCCATTCTTTAGTCTATCCTATTGTTGCATATAAATCGTTAAGTTTTGTGAAGAACGATGTACTTTCCAGAGTTGAGCGGAAATGGAATTTTGAAATCCGGAAGACGGCAGGCGGAAGAAAATGTTTTTTTACGGAACACGGAACACGGAAGACGGAAGACGGCAGTCGAAATTCCGCTCAACTCTGGTACTTACAGTTTCAGCGACATTGTTTAGATTCTGAGCATTTATTCGCATTTTGATTGGATTGCAGTTCCAACTTCTTCGAAATTTCGAATTTTTCGCTATTATTTACAAGCTATATGAAACTGTAACTCGTAACTTTCTGTGCATTTCAGAACGTCGGAAAGCTTCAAGATTGACCAGAACACAGGTACAGTATAAGCGGGGAGTGGGGGTGAGGGGTGTAAAGATGATGATGATCATCGAGTGGGTCACATGCGATCTTTGCCGAAGACACTCTAAAGTTCGCATCGGAAAAAGGGCGCGGAGACAATGGTAAACGAGCGCGGCCATCAGTGGGGCGAATTTACGTGCCATTGTCTTCTTCTTCTCCTTCTTCTTCTTCTTTTTGTTACCGATGATCTCATCCAATTCAGCTGCTGCCACAAGCCCGTCGTCCTTGACCTTTCCCTCTCTCTCTCTCTTTCTTCTTCTTCTTCTTCTTCTTCTTTTTCTCCCTCTCGAACTTTTTCTTCCCTTCCCTTCCCACTGTAACTTGTTGTGTTGTGTGTATGTTTCCCTCCCTCTTTCTCTCTCTCTCTTTCTCTCGACCACTGTTTGTGTACGCCCTCAGAATTGATATTTAACAAATTCTTGTCACATTTCCATCATTTCTAGTTTCGTCCTCGCCAGTTGCTTCTACTTCTTCTCTCCCTTCTTCTTCTTCTTCTTCTTCTTCTTCGTCTTCTTCGTCTTCCTTTCAAAAGTTCGAGTTCAGATGACCATTCCGTTGCATTTGGGCGTCACCGATGTGCCCAGTGTCAAAGAAATACTTGGATTCGGGTTTCAGGTCAGTTTTTTTGATATTTTGAGGCAATTTGTTCACAATTACTACCGTAACCCGTAAACGAAAAAATGACTGTCAGTTTCAAGTGATCCTGAAATTGAGATCCTCAATTCTGTCATGTTTGTATATCAAACTTGTTGAGTATTGAGTATGTTGGACAATACCATTAATTCAAGTCTATATATCTCAGCTGCCTGTAAAGATATGAAAAACTTGTCAACTAAGAAATTATTCATTTGGAAATTGTGCACATTTCATCAGTTGACAACTTTTCGATACCTCTACCGGCAGCTGAGATATATCGCCTTAAAGGAAGTGTCCTCAAAAAGTACTCTTTTTCTGCCCGTTCGGACAGCCACACTTCCCCGGTAGAGATTATTGAAAAGCAATGAAAACGGGCGTCGAAATTTGAATAATCCTCTTGTTTGCCACAAACCGTTTCGATGGGTTTTTGAACAAACTCGGAATGTTTCAAAAGGGAACAAAAGAGTGCAATTTGTGATGAGTTCAGCAAGCGATGCTGTGCATGTCCGGCCTTCTCGTCTACCCGTTCCTCATCTCGAACTGCGCGTGTGCCGGAGCAGCGGCCGTTCAGCTCCGCGTCCAATTGATATCGGCCACTTTTGTGTCGTGCGGAATCGCCACCATTCTACAGACTACATTCGGCTTGAGGTGTGTTCATAATTGCATTGTTTTTTTTTCTTCATTGCACCAGAAACGAATGCATACTGTACATAACGAATCTTGTCAAGTTTGTGAAGCGCAAAAACCAATTTTCAGATTATCAGTGCTTCACGGCCCCGCAATGGCCTTTCTGCCGCCGTTATTGGCCTACAAGCAACAGAATCTGTGCCCGTACACGGAGCACGACGACGTGCCGCCCGAATTCTGGATGGGACGGATGAGAGAGGTGCACTCACTCGGCGATTTTTCCATTCACAAATTCCTGCTTTGAAACTGAAACCTAGTTGTGTGGCCTAGAAACATCTTTTTTGACATTTTTTGACGCTTGGAACATGATCAAGTTCAATCAAACTCATTGGGGAAGTCCTCTGGTTATGATGATGCTGTGAAACATGGGCAACATTCTCAGAACGATTCTCTAATCCAAGAGACTTCCACACTAGAGTTGAGCGGAAGAACTCACGGAAGAATTTTTTTTATCTTTTTTAGAAAATGTTTTCATGGAATGTGATCAACTGACGAAATGTATAGCAAAGTGAACTGTGCTCATGGAAAAATAATTGTAAATTTAGCTTTTCATACAAAAAAGTTATTCAAGTTCCGTCTTCCGTTCGCCCCCTTTTTTCACGCAACAACTCGAATAACTTTTTTGTATGAAAAGTTAAATTTACAATTATTTTTCTATGAGCACAGTTCACTTTGCTATACATTTCGTCAGTTGATCGCATTCCATGAAAAAAATTTCTAAAAAAGATAAAAATTCTTCCGTTGAGTTCTTCCGCTCAACTCTGTTCCACACTCGTTCAAACTGTAACTATTCGACAGTCCCTCACTTCGCCAAGTTCTAAAATCGAAATGGATGATTTGTTCAGATCCAAGGAAGCCTCCTGGCCGCCTGTCTCGTCTTCGTCCTCGTCGGAATGAGCGGAATCGCGGGCCATCTGTCCAACCTGATCGGTCCGATCACCATCGTTCCGTTGATGCTCCTGCTCACCTCTTCCATTGTCCCGACAATTGAGGAGAAGCTCTCTCTGCACTGGATCTCTTTGGTGTCAGTCTCAATTCCTACTCTATTTCTCCAATCTTTGCTTTCAGTATGCTCTTGGTCGTTGTTTTGATGGCTGTCTATCTTGAGAATACCCGTATCCCTATCTATTATTACAGTCGTCAGAAGAAGCAGATGGTCTCCACAAGGATTCGGTTGTTCGGACAGTTTCCAGTGAGTACCCTAGTCTTGTGTTGTGATCTACCGTAATCCGTGATTTCTACAGTATCTGCTCAGTATGCTCCTCGTCTGGTTCATCTGTTTTATCATGACTATCACCGACCTGGAGCCCTACAACGGAGCAGCCAGGACCGATAACAATGTGACGATGATGGTGCTGAGGGAGTCGCCGTGGTTCCAAGTCCCTCTGCCACGTAAGTGTAATCAAAGGTGATCCAGTCCCCTTACAATCCCGTGCTGCAGTCCCGTTCGGCACTCCGACCATCGGCGCCGGCATCTTCTTCGGCTACCTGGCCTCTTGCTTCGCCTCGATCATCGAGAACATCGGCAGCTACGATCTGCTCGCCCGGACGAGCCACCAGAAACCGCCGCCAAAGGACGCGGTGAACCGGGCGATCGCAGTCGAGGGCATCGGATCGCTTCTCGCGGCGCTCGTCGGAGTGAGCAGCGGCGTGACGACGTACGCGGAGAACATCGCGCTCATCCACATCACAAAAGTGGCGAGTCGGACGACGATGCAGTTCGCCGGCGTCGTCCTCATTCTGCTCGGCCTCTTCTCCAAGTTCGCCGCGATTCTCGCCTCGATTCCCGATGCGCTCGTCGGCGGAATCCTCACGATGGGCATCTCGATGATCGGCGGCGTCGCGTTGAGTAATCTCCAGGTACGCGTGTCTTTTCGACAACAATTCGCACATTTTTCCATAATTACTTTGATACGAGAAGAAAAAGCAGCCTTAAAGGAATCAACGCATGCTTACTTTTCAGTAAATAAGAGCTTTTTGAAACGGAAAAGCGTTTCTGTTTATGACTTACTTCCAAGTTGAACTAAATCTCACAAATTGTCACGTTTTTGCGCAGAAATTGAGCTATTTCGCTAAAAGTACGATAGAGCGCGCTTTCCAGTTATTGAACGAGTTCAAGCTCACTCACTTTTCCAGATGATCGACTTGAAACTGTGCCGTAACCTGTCGATAATGGGCCTCTCGCTGCTGCTCGGTCTCATCGTCCCTCTTCACTTTGAAAAGCATCCGTTGAACACGGGAAACGTGGAGTTTGACAATATTCTGAATATGTTGCTCAACATCAAGATGCTCGTCGGCGGCCTCGTCGCCACTTTCCTCGACAACACCGTTTCGGGGGCGAGCCGCGAGCAACGTGGCTTCCGCGATCACCTTCTCGCTCCGTCCACGTCTTCTTCCGAATCCGACTTCTCCTCGGACGCGTGTTCGGTGGAGAGCGACGCCTACGCATTCCCCGACTCGTGCCAGCGCCTCCTACGCGCCGTCCCACTCCTTCAAAAGCTGCCAATCCTGCCAACACTCAAAAAATCTCACTTCAAATCGAATCGGGTCTAATTTTTACTTAACTATGTAAATAAATAAATTGTTTCATAATCCAGATAGATTGAAAGATGATAATTGAGAAATTACACCGTACAATCAGCAGTCAAATCGAGATTAGAGGCGAATCGGACCGGAGTGGGGAGAAAGTGATTATAAAATGGTTAAAATTGATAATAAATTAGTTTGCCAGAGGCTTAAAGATCCAAAAAGTCGGGAACTTCGGCGTCCTCGTCCAGAACTCTCTGCTTCTCGAGCTCAATCAGCGTCTGATACTCGGCCTTCAACTCCAGATATCTCTTCATCGAAAGCACCTGCGTCTGCTGGAAATATCGCCGCACCGAGCCGCCCGGGATGTACTTGGCCAGATTTCTGTTCAACTTCTTCCGCCTCCTCCTTCTTTTCACCTTCTCTGCCGGCTCTCCGTTCTCCCCTTCTGGCGGCGGCGGTGGTGGCTTCTTCCGCTTGAACTTCTTCTTTTTGTGCTTCCGATGGTGGTGGTTGTGCCGGCGGACGGGCGGTTTTTTGACCGGAGCCGGAGAGCACGGGGGCGTCGAGGTCTCGGCCGGATAGGGGTCCGAGGAGCAACCGGGCTCATCCCTTCTGTTCCTCGGCTCTTCGTCGTCTTCCTCGGGAAGCGGAGCTCCGACCACTGCAGCCGCTGCTTCCTGTAAACGCTATGAAAAATGTTAGTGCTATGCGCTCAAATCCGGCATTCGTTACCCTCAATTTCCGTTGCTTCACTCTTGGCGGCACCAATTTCGCCTTTCGCAGACATCCGTACTCCCGAATCCGCAGCTCCTTCCACCGTCGGTTCAGCTTCCAGAGCCTCGCGTACATCGGAAACGGCCGTCTCTTTCGCCTTTGCTTCAGAAATCGAATCTCGAGAATCAACTTAGCGGTCGCCAATTCGAACCACGGCCGCCGACGTGGTAACTCCTGCGGAACCACGGGCGGCTGAAGGTTCTCGGGATCTCCGGGTCCGAATTCGAGAATATCATCGATGAGAATTTGCTGTTCTTTCCGTTGTTCCTCGTCGAATCGTTGATACGGAACGGAGGGATCGTTGACAATGAAGTCCTGGACCATTTTGACGGCCGAATCCGCGTCGACGAACCGAATGAATCCGAACTGACGCGGTCGCGATCCCACGTTGATCAGCGGCTTCTTCTTCGGTGGAATTCTGTGAATATGCCGACGGACAGGTTGTTCTTGTTGTTGCTGCTGTTGTTGGTTCTTCTTCTTTTTCGGAATATGTCTCGGACGGATCCATCGCGCACTCTTCTTCGAAATGCGCACTTCGGCGACCGTTCCGTAGCAATTGGCCAGCCGCATCAGCTTCTCTTCTCTACAGCCTTCCGGAAGGTTATCCACGTAAACTGTGGCCGCTTCCTTGTCGTAAATCGGCCAATACTTCAGAAAGAGCCCTTTGTCCGGCTCGTCCCGTTCGATGGCGAAAAGTGTGGAGTGATGGCTCACGGACATCATGTGGGAATCGCGGAGGGTATGGCACTGGAGAAAAATTATTAGAATTCAGACGAGAATAGTGCAGGCGCTTACATTTTTGACATAGTTTGAGATCTTGAGTTGCTTGAGTACTTGGTTCAAAGGCGCCCCTGGAAAAAAAAGATTTCTAGGCAAATGGTTTCGCAATCGCTCACTTGGAGTGCCCATCGAATCGGTTTCGGTGAAAAGATGATAGATGAGAGGGACCGTCGGCGCCTCGACCAATGCTCTTTCAAGCTAAATATTCAATTCATAATTTCCCATCAATTTCAGACCAATTCGTACCGTTCTGGCCATTTTCTGCCGCAAATGATTGACTTTCCTGCGTTTGCAGAGCTTCCGTCTCTTCTTTCCAACCTTTTTGTTAAACTTACGCTTTTTTTGTTCTGAAATTGAAAAATTGCTAAAGATAATCAATTGTAAACGCTTCTCACCTGGTTTTTTGATGGGTTTTTTGTCTTTCTTTCCAGTTTTCAGCGCATGATTCTTCGACTTGCGCGCTTTTTTCGCCGGCGTTCTGTTCAGACTCGACGTACGTTTACGTTTTCGCTTCTGATTACTCGGCATTCCAACGTTCTGCAAATTTGCGAGTGTTGAGAGCAGAAAAACAAAAGTTTTGCGGCTTGTTGTTTCGAAAACGCGCCGTTAGCTGCCGAGTGTGCAAACGCGCTCCACTGCGAAAGTACGCAAGTTTGGCGTCAATTGTGGTGCAAACACGTGTCGATTTACGAGACCGATAAGAACACGTTTGTTTTTCGGAGCAGTTTCAGCCAGTTTAAGCGCTCGAAACACGTGGAATGTCATTTCGAGGAGGTCAGATGCGTGGTGAGTCACTTTTTGAACGTTTCAGGCAGCGAAAATTCGCCAAATTAGTCAAGAATTGAAAAGTTTTCTCGCCAAAAAAGAAAATGCAAAATTTTTGAGTTTTTCAGGGCCAAACGAAGACTCGAACTATTTGGAACGACACAATGATGATTTGGTGAACGGATTGTCGTCGAAAGTCGCAGCTTTGAAGCGTGTAAGTAAGAAATTCAGAAAAAAAGTAATTCCGCTAAAAATCAAAAGAAAACTGAGTAAAACAGACAAAAACAGTAATTTATTTGTTATATGTAAGTACAAAACGGAGAAATGTTGAGAAACTCGCCTCTATTACAGATTTCTGCAGTCAAATTTCTGTAAGCATTCAATGTTTTCTGTTTTCAGGTGACAATCGCGATCGGTGATGACGTGCGAGAGCAAAACCGCCTTCTGAACGACATGGACAGCGAGTTCGACTCGTCGAAAAGCCTTCTCTCGTCGACAATGCGCCGCCTGGGCATTGTGAGTCGTGCCGGCGGAAAGAACATGCTCTGCTACCTCATCCTCTTCGCCCTCTTCGTCTTTTTCGTCGTTTACTGCCTCTCCCGCTGATTGTTTCCCCCAATTTTACCCATTTCTGTACATGTTTGTACACTTCTAGTGTTGTTCTCCCCCCCAAGACCCGGACTAACTCCTTCCACTTTCCAATGTGATCGTTTCTATTTATTCGAGTGAACTCAAACTCAAACTCTCGTTTTTCAAATTTTTATTTCAGAATTCAGAAGACACAAAAACGGATAATAATTGGAAGAGAAGGTTTTTTTGTGAGAAAAATTAATCCGAAGGATGTTGGTGGAATTACTTGGCCCAGGCGGCCTTCTCCTTCTGCCCGTCCTCCTCGTCCATGGCGAACTCGTTCTTGTCGACGACCTTCAGCTGGGCACGGAAGTCCACCTTCGTGGCCTCCTTCTTCTTCAGCTTGTCGAACTTTCCTTCGGTCTTAGAGACCTTCTTCAGTGTTGGCTTCACGCTGAAATTAATAATTTTATTGATTGATTGAGGGGGGGAAACTCACAACTTGCCGCGAAGGTCGTTGACGGCGATAGTGAGCTCATTGATCTCAAAGTCCTTTTGACGGACAGTGTAGCTCACGTCGTAGTTTTCCGATTCAAGCTCAATGAGACGCTCACGGATCTCATCGTAAGTGGCCTCGAGGTCATCTGAAGATGTGTATTCAAGGCAATGTGTCTCAGTTGCCGGTGGAGATACCAAAAAATTATCAACTAATCGAGTATTCAAGAAATTCTCTACATTTTGTTACTCTTATATCTCTACAGACAGCTGAGATGCCGTTGCTTTCTATTAAACGTTTCGGCTTTTAATCCGAACTTTTTGAATGCAATGCGAACCCTTGAGACATTGAAGAAACAGTACGAAAATTCAGATTCAACAAGAGCACAAGTGGACTTTGTTATAGCCTATGAGAAACAAGAAACAAGCGTGCTCACCCTCTTGCTCCAAATCCGGAAGAGGGATGATTCTCTCCTGCAGGATACGCTGTCGCTCCTGCTCTTTGAGCATCTGCTGTTGTTTCAGATCTTCGGCGGCCTTCATCATCAGCAGCTTTCGGAGCTTCTTCTTTCGCTCCGGCGTCAAGAATCCCTTCTTCGCCTTTTTCATTCTCGACGCCTCCTCGAGACGCTTTCGCACCTCTTCCTTCTTGCGCTCGCGCTCCGCCATCTTGCGCGCCTGACAATGGATATTGTTCGACTGGGATTTCTTTGAGTTGAGAACAAAAGAGACAGGGGTTTCAAACTCAAATAACTTAAATCGAAACTGATAAATTTTTCCTAACTCACTTCTGCATCCATGTGCTGATAAGGCTGAAATACCAAAACCCAGTGAAAAAGTGGCGAGCCTAACTAGTAGCCTAACTTATTACTCTACTCACCTCATCGGCGTCGACGTCACTCATGTTGAGATTAAATCTGCAAAACAAAAAGTTTAAGCGAAAACCCAAAAATATCCGTAAGTAAGTTGGGAAAGGATGGCAGGGCGAATCCAAGTGTGTGTGGGATACGCGCTCGGCTTATTTGCGATCTCAGCCACCACGGGAGCGGGGCGGGCGGGCCGCGCCTCTTCAACTACAGTAGCGGGCGAAAGAGCGCGTGGGCGGGAGAGACGGAAACGGAGAGCACTCCTCGAGAATATCCACCGAGGATTGTGTAAAAAAGAGCGAATGGAATTGTGTGTTGAGGAGGAAGGAGTTGGAGGAGCGAGGGATTCTCATTGGACTAATGTTAATGGCAAACCAAAACGAGAGAAGTTGCATTGAACACTTCAAAACTACAAGAAACTGTACACCACAGTTGTCAGCTAACTTTCAATGGAAACAACGGGTTTTGTACAAGTTTGGAGCTCGATGAGTTCTAAGAAATTTTCATTGTTCAATCAAGCAGTAATTAGACTTCCATTGCTATTACAACTTAAAGCAGATAGCAAATATGTCGACATTGAGAAACCGGAGACAAATTGAAGGAGGACCCATTGTTTTGTTCGCGTTCGAGAAAGTTCTAGAGGCCTCGATGAAACGGAGCTCTCTGCAAGATGACATTCAACTGAAACTATTGAGCATCACTGAGCAAATAACAAAGTTGCAAAGCATAAACGTTTACCGTACTCGCCCACCCACTCTCAGTCTTTTCTCGTCATAAACACAGATAGCTAAAAGACAGAGAAAGTGCTCGAGAAATCGGCGGTCTTGCGCATTTGTTTGACTATACAGATATCCGCGTGCTTCTCCCTCCCTCCCTCCCTCTCTTTTTATCACTTTCCACACGCAAATCCGGCTGCTCGTTGATCAAGGCAGCGAATACTTGAGGCGGCGGGTGGGGGTGGATGAAAGAGTAGTACTTATCACTGAAAAAGTCATGGGTGACTGGGAGAAGGTGACGAATCTCGGAAACATCCCCCTTGTTGACTGAAATGCCCGCTGGTACCGTCAACAAGCGAGCGCCAACAAATCATGCTCATGCATCCGTGATAACACGTGAAGCAGAAGATTTTGAGTGGGGGCCATGTGGTTTGGTTTCATGGCATCACAAGTTGCTATTCCAATGGGATCACTTTTTTCCAACGCTACTCTCCTAATGCCGCGTCCAAAGTGTCGGAAAAACCGGAAAAACCGCAGGTTTTTCTGTCCAAAGTCGACCGAAATTTGCGTGAAAAACGGGGATGCGCACAGCTCAACGAACAATGTAACCGTACCGCTAAAACTACGGTATTTTTTGAAAATTTGCGCAAGAAATTTGAATCCTCAAGAAATAGGTTGCACGGTGATTTTTTCTCGGGGTGCAGTGGAGAGAGGAAGAAAGTTCGGCCGTCGTCCCGTGAACTGTCGGCTGCTGATTTCGCCGGCCGGTGGCACGCTCCCCAAGCATTTTTCCGCGCGCCAAAACTTCTGATGCGTGCTGTTCGAAGAATACTCATTCATTTTTCCTAATTTTTTGGGAACGAGTTCATTATGATTAAAACTCGCTAGCAGCAACGAGAAACTCGCAGAAAAGTCTAGGGGTGACTGCCGAAACTGTTTTTGTTCGAAATATGACTGCTCGTGCGTGCTTTTTGTGTCTCTTTGTTAGTTTACATCATAATGAACACGTTCTCAAAAAATCAAGTGAAATGAATCAGTATTCATCCGACGGCACGCATCTGAAGTCTCAGAACAGCTGAGGAGCGCGCGGGCGGCGGACGGCGGCGCGCTCTCCAAGCCTTCTTATGTGCGCCGCAACTTCATTTCACTTGATTTTTTCAGAGCGAGTTTATTGTGATGTAAACTAACAAAGAGACACAAAAAGCACGCACGAGCAGCCATTTTTCGAAAAAAGCTATTTTCCCATTGGCCTATAGACATTTTTGCGAGTTTCTTGTTACTCTTTGTTAGTTTTGATCATAATGAACGCATTCACTATGACAATGAATAAGATGAATAAGTATTTCTCCGGCGGCACGCATCTAAAGTCCCTGGAACGCTGCATCGGAGCCTTCGTGGACGACCTTCTGCCGTTCGGCCATGTTTTGGGACCAAAAGTAAACTGGTCGGGACCAACTTTTTTTGCTGTTCTTTTTTTTTAAAAAAAAAAGCTCTTTTAATTTAGAAGAAAAGTATGCGGATGATTAAGAATTGTACGGTCCAGTTTTTGAGAAAAATCTGGAAAACCCGTTTTGGCCTAGTAGAACGGCGTGAACCCGCGGCCAGGGTCGCGGGGTCGCGGACTAGAAACCTCCGCGAGACCCCAAAGAGAAATCACCGTGGATTGGAACAAGTTGGACCAGCAAACCACTTTTTGTCTGTCAGACTCTTCTGAACAACATGAAACTGTACTTACTTTGTAAGAAATAGCGATGTTTCAATTTCAAGCATGCTCAAGGTTAGGGCTCCGTGAACCTTCAAAGGCATACTAAACAAGGTGACAGCGTACAAGATGTCTTATAACACGACACTTTGAAACAGAAAGTTCCGATTGGTTTCTATTGAAATTAAAGATAATTGTGTTGTGCCTTGTGCAAACTTCGTAAATCTCGGAGCATTCTCAAAGACACTGAAAGTAAGTTGCGGGTAACAGAGATCATTTGATGCTGCTCCCCCAATAGACTTTGAATGCTCCATGAGTCGGTGTAAGATTCATGAGAATTCCCCGAAGCCCGCGACATTTCCCCGTCTCGCGCTCTAATGAGTTCCCGTCGACTCGCTTTTCCTCATTAGCATCCATTTCCGCTTGCCTGATGCCCGTGACTCATGTCTCTTTTCACGAATCAAAGTTCAAAATCCGTCGTCAGATTATCGGAAAAGAAAAGACAGCACAACATAATGTCCATCGCTCGGCAAAAGCACTTTTTGTATGGCAATTGATTGAAAGCCCGGGATTAGACGTGTCGCCCATTCTGGAGCCTATTAGGTAGCATTCGGCGGCTCCGAATCAGTGCGTGTTGTCGTGCCGTCTCGGTTGTCCCGGTTACCACTTCGAACAACTTCTTCTCGTTTTCTTCGTCTCGCTTTTCTCGGCTTCCGCATGAGCTCATAACAACAAACAACGGGCAGTTTGCTGCTCGATGCTCTGAATCATTTTTCTCTGTTTCGAACACTGCTTACAGTCTCAGCTCTCTTAGTTCGACCAGTTCGTGGCGAAACTTGAGTCAAGCACGTTTAGAGTTAATAGAGCCTTCCACATCTGTCTTTTTGACTTTCCAATTCTCCAAAATTGACATTGCTCAACGTCCAAGTCCTTTCGATCTTATCTCACGCATCTTTTTGAACCCATAGATCTAGCCTTAAGCTTCCCTAATCCAAAATTTTTGTTGATTAAGAGATTACTTTTACTTTAGCTTCACTTCACTAACTAAGCCGCAATCCGACTTTTCCGTGATACACTCTATTTGCTCGCTGCTGTTTTGCCTCGATCCATGAAAAAGTGTGATTTCTTATTTTCGTGGCAGGACCCACACGTGCTCAATAACAATTCCGTTCCTGGTTTCACCTGCTCTTTCGGCATAAATAAATCTCAAAACTCGAGTCTTTTTAGTTTTCCTTTCTCCTGCCGCAAACATTTTGTAGCGCCTTTAGTGGAATGGGTCATATGCACACAATTGGGTCCTTTGAGACAATATGACCTATGACAAACGGATGGAAAACGTATGATATTGTGGCTCTCGTTGCGTGGTATTCTATGGAAATGTCCCAAGAGCCTTTGGTTCCCATATTATAATGAGCTCAGTTCCTCACAAGTACACACCCATTTCGCCTACTTCTAATCCAGTTTCCCGCTCTCTAATCTTACCCGCTTTCACATCAAATGCGCCCCAGGTTGATTAGATTTGCGCGCGCATGCTCAAACTACGATTATCACGCTTCACCTCACATTTTTCCCTCCTAATGGCCCAAAAAGGCCGCGCCCCTTTTCTCAGTGACTGAAGCCTCTTCGTTATCTTGATATAGATGACTGAACCTTTAGGACATCGCCCCCCACCCCCACACCTCATTTTCTAATTTCCGTTACCACGTGCTAGTACACGTTTTTAGTGCTCTCTCGGAAATAAGAATGCTGCTGCCTGGCATTTTAGCTTTTCTCCAAATCGAAATTGCAGAAATCTAAAGCAAAACAATGGGTATCAGTGCGTCAGCGTTCGTAAGAGGCGATGGGCCGATCAAGGCGTTGGTGCTCGGGTGCATGCAGTCCGGAAAATCAACGTTTATTAGGCAGATGGTGTAAGTTGGAGCGAGTTGACTTTCGTGAAACTGTAATTAGTTGTGGATGTCTCACGAGCAGGTGTCACGGGCCTAACAAGCTTCCAATCCGAGATAATTACACACCTTTGTGAAACAAGAATCGCCAGCTTCTCTTGAGATTATTCTTATTAAGATATTGAGAAATTGATTCTGGTTTCACAAAGTTTTTGTATGAAAGTGTACTCATTTTCCATCCGTAAACACAAGTTTTTCAGGAAGAACGCCACAAAAAACGTGTGCGCCACAAGAGAATACTACCGGTATTGTCTCCAGCTTCACCTCCTCAACGTACGTTTGTCTCAATCTATTCTCGAATTCGGCACCATTCCGCATCTTTTCAGGTCTACCGGGATCTTAGAAAAATGTGCGAAAACTTAGACATTAATTATGGCGAACTGGCGGTGAGCGCACTTTTCTGATAGTCAAAACTCAAATAGGTCGGTCGGTTCAGAGCGAATTCGAGACGATCGACACGTATCGACATCGCGAGTATTTCAATGATAACGTGATTAACGCGATCAACAAGCTCAAAAGGTCGGGGCTTTTCGATTTGTGCAAATCGAGGCAGCGGGTTTTGCACATGCTGCCGCAGAATTATAATCAGTGAGCGAATTCAGCTGATTTCACTGACAACTGACAACGCCTTTTTTCAGTTTTATTCAAAACACGGAGTTGTTCGTGGACAAGAACTACGTGCCCACCGAAATGGACATTCTTTTGTCGTACTCGCAGACGATAGGCGAGAATCGGGAGCTACTCACGTGCGGTTCCATCAAAATAGAGTAAGAGAGGCCGGGGATCCACTAGCACTAACAAGAACTCTTGCTCAGACTGCTCGAGATGCCGGGCCATCACATTTGGCGTCAAAAATGGGCAGAACGATTCGCCGATCAGGACATGTGCATATTCGTGATAGACATGAGCGAAATATGCAATCCCAACTTTTATGATGTCAGTTTTTAGGGGGATATTTTTGGATGAACGTATTCATTTCAGAGAGGATTCCTCGAGAACAAGACCCTGGACATCTTTAAGGAAGTTGTGAATCACCCACTGCTCAAGGGCATCTACTGGGTGCTAATTTTCAACAAAATGGACATTTTCGAGGAGCACGCCGCCGGATTCGACTTTAAAAAGTTGGCCTCTCATCTGGACACGGCCGAGAGTGCGCGCAACTTTTACCGCTCGCAATTCCTGCCAGTGGTGCCCAAAACGAAATTGTTCCATCACAATTTATCGTTGATTTTGGTAAGCTTCCCAGTTATGAAAAACGAAAAATTTTCTGTAATTTTAGCACAAGGAAAGCCAGACGTTTATCGGTGACATGTTCAAAAAGATCGGGCGGCTCAATCGTGACCGGAAGCAATTGACGTGACCTTATCCTTTAGACATTTTTTATGTTTTTTGTTTAATAATAGAATAACAATAAAGATTTCAATTGAAAAACATGTACCTACTCGTCTATTCAACAATACAATTCTCGATTAAATGGTCTAACCGGTCCTCCATGTGCTGCTCCTGGAGCCGTTCGACCATCGCCTGCAGGTTCTCTCCGGCCGACAGAAACTCCTCGACGCCCGTCACGGCCATTTGGATGCGATGGTCGGTGACGCGGTCGTGCTGGAAGTTGTACGTGCGGATCTTTTCCGCGCGCGCCTTCGATCCGACTTGCAGCTTTCGTTTTGACACGATCTTCTCCAGCGACGCGTCCACTTGTTTCTGCATTAGAATCGCCGCTAGACGTTTGTACGCAATCTGGAAAATGTTGAATTCTAGGCTAGTATCTTTTAGCGATAGCTGCCTGCGTACCTGAATATTGAGGTGCTGAAAGCGTTCGTCCATGCAATGCACCGCAATTCCGGTCTCTTTGTGCGTCATCCGCACCGCCGTCGACCGTTTGTTCACGTTTTGGCCGCCGGGTCCCGACGCTCGCATTGCCTCGATTTTCACCGAATCACTGGGCACTACCACGGATACCTGAACGACTGGATGCTTATTTCAATTTTCAGACGGCTTTTGCTCACTTCTTCGGGCTCTGGGAGCACTGAAACACTTGCCGTGCTCGTGTGCATTCGGGAATCATTGACGGGCACCCTTTGGACTCGATGGACGCCCGCCTCGAATCGCATTTTCGCGTAGACATTCTCGCCGGAGACCGCAATCAGAGCACTTCTCACACCGCCCAAAGGTACGTTATCTACCTGAACACGAGTTAGAAACAATGAGTCTTTTCCTCCGTTTTCCCACCTGTAACGGTTCCCATTTCCACGAGTTACACTGTGCCAATTTCATGTACATATCCAGAAGTTCGCCGGTGAACAGCATGGCTTCCTGTCCGCCGGCTCCACTGCTCAATTCAATCTGGCACTTGGAGAGCACGTCGATGTTGGTGAGCGGAACGATTCGGGCGGCCAGCTCGGCGAGCTCTGACTCTAGAACCTCTTCAAGTGATCGAACATCATCCTCCGCGAGCTTCCTCATCTCCTCCGCTTCTTTCGGGTCACTGACGATGGAGCGCAGTTGCGAGAGCTCCGACCGCGTGCCCCTCACCACTTTCGACTGTTTCGCAACCGATTCCCAGTAGCTGATCTGTTCCGGCGGTGCATTCGAGTTGCCCTCCTGGCACTGTGCCAACCGTTCTTCGACTGTTCGCACAAACTTTTCGCCGTTTTCGCCGCTCAACAGAGCTGCGGAGGCGGAAGAGTGTTGTCTGACGAAGAGCCGAAGGAGACGCATCTGGAAGAAGACCGGTTACATTCGGAGGGGCAAAACAGCGCAAACCCCTGCTAGAAACAAGTCATTCTCGTGCTCTAAACTTGCAAATATTTGTGAATAAACTCCTCTTCCCATGGCAAACATTCGAATATTTACATCGTTTTTTTTTGCGGATCGGAAATAACCGCTCTGCGTCTCGCGTGTTTGTCTAGTTCCTCGATGCTCGGTTCCCATAAACTGGTACTCGTACTTACTGCAGAAGGCGCTCCGAGTATAAATATTAAGTTGCGCCGAGTTTTCGAATCTATCGAAAAGTTAGTGAAATGACTCAAGTGACGCTTATTTCGCTCGCCGTTTTCTGCGTTCTCTTCCCGACGACGTTGGCCGCGATTCAGTGTTGGGTCGGTCAGGAGACCATTTCGAACGGAAGACGCTTGGATTCGGAGATCGGAGGACCGTATCAATCGGGTGAGATTTTGAGCAAACACTTAGCAATAAATTTGAAGGATTTCTCCCTTTTGTTGATTTTATGCTAATTTCTGACTCCTAAGGATCTGTAACAGGTTTTCAAGTTGTTCTAACTGTCTGAATTACGTCTATGGGTCATATTCGTTCAGTTTCAATTGACCGTTAGGCTGATTCAAGTATGGGGACGGAAGCTTAAAGGACAGACGCATTGTTTTGTGAAACCCTTGTCAGGCACCTTCTCAATCATACTTTTCCTCGAAAACTGAATCAAAATTTGAAAATCCCCCAAATTTTCAGTGCAATGCAACGACGCCGACTACTGCTTCAACAGCTACGTGAAACGACACAAAAAGGGCGACGACAGCTACACAATCACGAAAAGTTGCGGAGAGACCGGAAAGTGCTTTGTGAGTCAGCGCATTTTGTTGCATATTGGGAAACGGAAAGTGGAAACGAATACGAACAAAGGTAGAATCGAAATGAGAAGGAGAACACGAAAATTCCTGTATCAAACAATTTTTGAGCCCAAGAAGCTGGAAATTGATTCGTATTTGAGCTCTAGACAAGACTTTCATTGAAAATGGCATTACAGGAGGACGGGTGCCGCGGTCCAGGACACGAGAAAGTCTGCTGCTGCAGCGACAACATGTGCAATTCGAGCAACGGTCTGAAATACCCGACCGCCGGCATTCTCATCATCCTCTCACTCGTTTTCAGGCCCTAACTGAATGCGCGAATGAGCACTAACGACTCCACCCACGCAACTCTGCTTCTTGTTGTATATACGGGCCCCTCTCGAGCACTCGAATAAACTTTTCACATGACACGAATTATTGACTATTTCACAACCGTTGGGTCTCGAAGCGAAAACGGCCTAGTCACGTTTTCGTTGAGAGACAATGGCGCTTTAGCTCGTTTTTGTTGTAAAATTTTGAAAAAAGACCTACCGAAATTTGGTTTCCACTCTTCCACTTTGATACCGTTCTTTTCTTCCCTGAAATGTTCGTTTTCCTCCTATTTTCACGTTTTCAAGTATCATTCTAATGCAACTTCCACAAACGAATCAATTCCACGCTTCCTTTCTAAATTTAAAAGGCTTTATTACGTGAGAGAAACAGAAAGCGAGCGAAAAAAGAACAGAAAAAGCTATACAGGAGTCAGATATACGGCAGTAGATGAGATGTTTCGTAACTTGGGGGTGACGGATAGGACGTGACAGGGCGGCATCGGTGTTCGAGTGATAAGCGAATTAGCGGTAGGAGGGGGCATCTAGATTTGGTCATTTTCGAAAGTTTAGGGGAGTGTTCAAATGGCGGCGCGTGCGTGTGGCGAATAGATTCATTTCGTTGTCGGTTACGAGATGAAGTCCTTGGAAACCATTCGAGAAACGATGTGATCGGAGAGTCCTTCTTCGGCGAACGCCGGATTTCCGACCTGGTAGATCTTTTTGATCACCGACACGTTCGCGATCTTCGGCAGTCCGCTCATCAGCGGCTCCGGCGTTCCCTTGATCTTTTTCGCCAATTTCTTCATTTCGGAGCCCGATTTGTCGTCGAAAATCGCGGCGATGATGGCCGTCGAGTGATCGGCGATTCCGAATGTGACCAGCGAATCGGAAATCTGGAAAAGAACGTTTTTTTCAATGAAAAAATTCGCAAATTTTACATTTCTGCTGGGAGAAAGCGAGTATACAAGTTCCGCGGAAAGATTTCGGGTGCTCATGCGGTTGTGAGCCGACTGATGAACAGCCCGATTGGCGGCGGCGAGCAAAACGAACGGCTCCAGAACCTGAAAACCGCTTTTGAAGACGTTTTTCTCGAAAAATCACTTACAAGTTCAGCCCGAATCAAGGCCGCATCGATTTTTCCGTCTTTCAGTAATTGCGACAACTCTGGCTGCAAAGTATCAAATTTCTTTCTTTGTTTCTGGGAAAGTTTACACAAAAATCGAACTCACCGCATTTTTAACGTCTTTGAACAGACAAACTCTGCACGTTTTCCGTTGAGTGAAGTCGTACGGATCCGGTTGAAGCTCGTAGAGATGCGAATGTTTCATCTGCAAACCAAAAAAAGGATACTAAATTTGCGAAAAAAAAACGAGAAAAGTAATCGAATCGAGGCAAATTGTGGCAAGATTACTGGGCAAACATGTCGGCAGATGCTGTCGGCACGAATTTTCGGCATAAAGTTGGCGGAAAACAAGCGAAAACAGCGTAATTTCGCACGGGAAAGCGAAAGTGTAAACAGGCACGAGAAGCACGTCAGCAGGTGGGAGGGCACGCCGAACACGTCAGTGCCGGCGGGCTTACGCGTTTTCCGTTTTTCCGGCGGAATTTCAAATGTGGACAGTATTTCAAGGAAAATGCGTATTTCAGCCTCAAATTTGCGTCAATACAAAAGATTTTGAACTTCAATAGATTTATAATCCGAACTTTGTCAAAAATGCAATTGAAAGGCACAAAATAATGCGAATAAATGGAAGAATGAGGAGCAGCGAGGAGCAGCTTTGAAAGTTAAAGTTGGGTGAGATACATTTAAAATTAAGCAAGTTGTGGGTGTGTTTGTTTGTTGAAAGATATTATAAATTAGATTCAAAAATAATAACAAAGGAAAAGAGGCAAACAACCGGTCAGAAGGAACGGGATTCAGAGAGACGGCGGCTTCGGAGAGAGGAGCCCCGTGGACAGTTTAGAAATAGAGTTTAGAGTATTGTCTAATTAAAACAAGTCCTAGATGGCGTTTATCCGCACGTCGCGTGGAAGTCGGTCTTCTCGTGAATGTCGAGAGTCACTCGCTCCAGTCTCCGGTTCAAGTCCTCCAGTATCGCTTCGTAGTCGTCGAGTCGCATCTCAGTCGAGTCCTTTGACAAGTCTAAAAGAAGAAGAAGAAGATGTTGTTGAAGAGATGTCTATGGAAGAAGTACTCACTGTCGATGTCGTCGTTGTGTCTCTGCGCCTGATAGAGCAGCTTGGCGGCTCTTTCTCTCAATTTTTCCGCTCGCTTCTGCGGCGCCTCGTTTCCTTCCGTTCGCTTCTCGAGCAACTCGTTAGCCCGCTCCAGATCCGACTAAAAATTTCAATTTTACTCAAAACCACCTCTTTGGATAATATCTCACCTGAATCTGTTTGTTCTTCTGCTCGGCATTGGAAGCGGCGGCCAACGCGGCATCCACAGTGCTCAACGCATTCTTGGCCGACTCGGAGATCTGCAGATACTCGACCTTCACACTGCTCATCACGCCCTCCAGCTCCGACAGTGTCGCGTTCGCACTCTTCGCCTTCTCCTCTGCGGCCGCCGTCGAGTTGCGCGCCTTCTCGATGAGTTCTCTCGCCTGCGTGCCGAGTTCGTCGATCTCCTCGAGTACGGTGGTCACGTTGGCGTGCGCCTGTTCGGCCAGTTGCAGAGCGTCCTTGATGTCGTCCATCGCCTTCTTCAGCTCTTCGGCTTCTTTGTTGGCGGCAACCGCGCGGGCTTCCAGGTTCGCGGCAATCGTCTTATTGCCTCTCGTCTCATTCAGAATCTCCTGGATGTTGTTGATCTTGGCGAGGGACTCTTTGATCTTCCCGGTCAGCTCCGTGATCTGCTCGGGTGTCAGACTGATCTGTTTGGCCAGCACCTCCTCGGCCAAGTTGCGGATCTGTTCGGGCGTGCTTTTCTGCGCGTTCAAGAACTCGCTGATCTCCTCGGTGATCTTGTCGAGTCCGGCTCTCGATGCGTTCGCCCTCTGCGCAGTGTGCTTCGCCACATCGTACGCCTTCTCCGCCTGCGCCTTGGCCTGAGTCGTCGAAGTGAGCACGTCTCTGACGATGGCGAGCACCTCCTCGGCCTCCTTCTGCTTCTCGTCCAACTTGGTGTCGGCTTCGGTGGCGAAGCTCTTCGCCTGATTCGCCTTGCTCACGGCTCCCTCCATGCACGACTGTCCTCCGCAAAATCCGCAAGATCCGGGTCCACCGCAGAGAGCGTCGCACGGGGCACTCGAAGCTCCGCACACTTGCTCATTGAGTCGTGGCAAGAAGTTCTCAAGTCCGTGGAGCAGGGTGTCTGCCTCGTTGAGCGCCGCCTCGTTCTCCAGGTACTGCTTCTCGAAGTCGTTCTTGTTCTTCTCCAAAAGCTCGCTGGCCCTGAGCGCCTCGTTCTCCGCGGCAGCCAACTTTCCGATCGCCGCGTCAGTTCTCCGCTGCGCATCCATCGACTTGGCTCCAGACTCGCGCGTGATGTTGAACGCTCCGAGCACATCGGCCTCCTTGATCTTGCTCGCCTTGTCCTCCAGCTCCAGAGTCGCCTTTGTCACTCGTTCGGCCTCCTTTTGCAAGTGTTCCAGGTCCTTTTGGGCGAAATCGACGGCCTGCGTGATGTTGGAGATTCTGGATTCGATGGCTCCGAGCTTTTCTCTTCCGGCGATCACTTGCTTCCTGAGCAACGCCAACTTCTTGCTCATCTCCTCGATGTCCTCCTTTGAGATGTTCGCATCGGCCAACGCCTTCTTCGTCTCCTTCAGCGTCTCCTCCATCTTCTCAAAGTCCGAATCGTAGGCCGACGCGACTCCAGTGTCCTCGATGTTGTTGGCAGTATCGATGAGGGCGTGCACCTGCTTCTGCAGCTTCATCATAATGTTGTCCCACTGATGGAAGCACTCTCCGCACGGATGACAGTGCGGCCATTGTCCCGTGAATCCGCGAGCACACTCGTTGCACAGAGCTCCGCCGCTTCCAGAGTTGCACTCGCAAGTTCCGTTGTTTCGGTGACATTGGAGACTCTTCGCGCCCGTCGGATTGCACTCGCAACGATGGCAGCCGTCCGGAGTGGTCGGATCTCCCCAGAACAGGTCCTGGCACTGATCGCACTTTCTGCCTCCGCGGTCCCCTTTGCACTGACACTGACCGTCGAAGATGTTGCATTGGAGGTGCGGAACGCCATCGTGATTATTGACGACTCCATTCGGATCACATCCGCACGCCTCGCAGCCCGTCCCACTGGCCAAGTTGAAATGATTCTCGGCGCATTGATCACACGGCATTCCGACGACGTTCTCGTGACAAGGGCATTGTCCGGAGACACGATCACAGGCGCCCTTGGTCGAGTTGGTTCCCAATTGATTGCACACACATCCCTGACAGGTCTTCATCTTGGCATCTCCGTAGTAACCATCCACACAATGCTCGCACTGCGCTCCTTCCGTATGATGCAGACACTTGAGACATTCGCCGGTCGTCGCATCGCAACTTCCCTCCGCCGACATGTCAATGTTTCCGTTACAATCGCACCGTTCGCACGATCCTCCGACCTCTCTCGGCGATCCCCAATGGTTCTGGGCGCACTCACCGCACCGCTCTCCCTGGTATCCGGACTTGCAGTTGCACACAATGTCCTGCGTGTTGTTTCCAGAGTTTCGTAGGTAGCACGTGTCCGCGTGCTGATATCCGCTGGTCGGTCCACCGGGGCACGGGCAAGGTTTGCACGGGATGCCGACGCCGAGTCTCGGATCTCCATAATAACCGTCTTGGCAGCGATCGCAATAGTGTCCGGTGGTGAGGTCGCGGCATTCGATACACGCTCCCGTGGACTGATCGCAAATGTTCGCGTGGTCGTTGCACTGACACGTCCGGCACTCGGGGAAGCCCCAGAAACCGGGCTGGCACTGGTTGCACTGTCTTCCGTAGATGCCCTTCTCACGGCACACACACTGTCCGGACTGCTTGTCACAATCGTTTCCGAGCGATCCGACGGCGTCACAATCGCACTTCTGGCATCCGGACGGTCCGAATCCGTAGGTTCCGATGGCGCATTGATCGCATCGTCTTCCGACGACGTTCGGTTTGCATTCGCACTGTCCTCCGAGCACACTACAGATTCCGGAGACGGAGCCGGTCGCGTCGCAGTTGCACTCGCTCGTCTTGTTGAGAAGAGCGGCGGCGACGGGACACACGTACCTCTCGCACACCTCGTTCCGCTGATCCTTGAAGAGGGTAAGCGAGAGGGCGAGATGTCTGCACTGATATCTGTTGTACTCGTCACGATGCTGCTCGGCTCTCGCCGATCCTTGGAAGATGTGAAGATCGGTGGTGGGCGGGGCGAGGAGGATCGAGTCGATGAGAATGTTGGCGGCCGCCCGTTCGTTCGGATGCGAATTCGTGCGCTTCTCGTTGAACTGCACTCGGATCTCGTACTGAACTCCGGCCTCCAGACAGATCGCTGGTTGCACTTCGATATATCGCGATCCCGGATAGATTCGGGCGATGAGGAAGTCATCGGACGGCGGAGAGTCGGCACAGAAGCCGGCTCCTTCCGTCTCCGGCCGCACAATCGTGATCTGCACGTTCTCCCATCCGACCGGATCTCTGGCTCCGTCGTGGCGAATGATCACGTTGTACTTTTGCGACACCTCGACGATTGGATTGATGGTGATGATGGATCCTTCGGCGACTTGCGCGAATCCCTCGCCGGTCCACGTTTGCTCGTGCGGCTGCGATGGCCACTCGCGAGTCTTGACTTCTCCGCGCGTCAGGTTCGCGTACTCGGCCTCGTAGACGTAGTGCGTGATGTCGGCGCAGTAGAACGAAGAGTCGGCCGTCTCGCACCGTCGTCCGCTGAATCCCTCTCGACACTTGCACTGTCCGCTCGTCAGATCGCACGTGTTGTCGTACGAGCCTCCGATGTCACAATCGCACGCCTTGCACCCGTCGACGTGATCCGACAGTCCGTAGTGTTCGGGCAGACACTGATCGCAGTTCTCTCCGGTCACGAGCCGCTTGCAAGTGCACATTCCCGTGTACTTGTCGCACCCCTCGTTATTATAGGTTCCGAGCAGGTTGCACGTGCACGCCACACATCCGTCAATGTTCGATTCGGTCAGGTTCCAGTAGCCGTTCTTGCATCTGTCGCACCGGTTTCCGTCGACGTTCGTCTTACAGTAGCACTTTCCGGCGACGAGTCCACGTTCGGCGTCCTCTTCTCCCTCGCAAATGCCCTGAAAATCGGAGGTTTAGGAAGGCTCCAAAGGGAACACAATGTCCCACCTTATTCTGCGATCCGGCCTTCTCGCACTCGCACGGCAAACACACGTGCGGATCGTCGATGGTCCGTCTCGGATCACGGTAGAAGAACGGTTTGCACTGCTCACAATTCTTTCCCTGCGTGTTGTGCATACAGTCGTCACAGACTCCTCCCGACACGAAGCCTGGAAATTCGAGGGGTTTCGAATAAATTAAGTGAACATCATCAGAAATTGAAGCATAACTCGAAAACGACAAGTTTTGGCGCAAAACTTTAAACTACAAAGTTGATTGGCACAAGATTTGCAACAACTTTCTAGTTGATCACGTTCTCGTACAATCGGTGGTTCTCGAGATTCGGGTTTTCAAAGATAGAAGACTCTCCTCTACTCACCACTCGATTCATAAACGGCTCTGTCGAAGTGACATCTCAACGCGTGCCGATTGCAATTACACTGTCTGCACTCGTTCTTCTCGTCTCCGATCGCCGGTCTCCATGGCAGATCGTTGTAGAACGCTTTGCACTTTTCGCAGTTCAGTCCCTCCGTGTTGTGCATGCACTCGCACCGTCCGTGCACAATATCCGCTCGCTCCATCACCGTGTTCGCGCTCACACGCGGATCGATCGGGATGCATCTGGAGGCGTGACCGTAGCAGGAGCACGATCCTCGGACGACGATCTCGTAGATGGCGTAGTAGTACTTCTCGTCGATTTCTGGCCTGAAATGAGAGAGGTGTCACGTCAAAAAGGCGGTGCAAATTGTACCTATAGTCGAGAAGATCGTCGCCGAGAGTGTGTAGTTTTGTGAAGTTGAACCGAAGATTTGTGATCTTCAAAAGTTGCGAAATCTCGTCGGCGTACGGATTCTCGGTCACAATGTGCGGCGAAATGACCTTGTAGATTAGCTCTCCGCCCGTCGACGGTGCCACGTCAGAGTACTGCGAAGTGCAAATCACATCGCTGTGCTTCTTGGGCGGTCCCTCCGCAATTCCGGGAAAGTTACTGTCGCAGTCGTAGGCAAAGTATCGGTACACTTGCCACGTCTTTCCGAAATCTGCCGATCGTTCGATGATCATGGCGGCCGGACGGAACGACTTGAACGTCATGATCAAGTGGGTGAAGTGGAATTCCGCTTCGAGATCCAGCTGGATTGTGACGTTTTGAACGCCATTCTCCGATTGCCACCACGGGTTTTTGGATTCGATCACTTCCTTGACGACGTTTTCGATACTGAAAAAAGAATTTATTAGTTCTTCTTGTGCTTCTGCCCCTGTTCTGATTGAATGAAGAGCAAAAAGAAAAAGTGGCTCGCCCCTGCGCTCCTCCGGGGCAATTAATCAATTCCGGCCGCTTCTCCTCCCCCTCGCACTATTACACCCGATTCAAACTCACCGATGTCCTTGTCGGCTCGCCTGATCCCTCGAATCACACTTGAAGCACTTCTTCTCCTCCTCCAAATGCGACACAATGCAGAAGCGTTGAGCGCGTTCGAGACCGCACGTCGACGACGCCTTCAGCTGGCTCTTTCTTCCGATGAGCAGATTTCCCGTGATCGGGTAACACGACCGGTCCTGACACCGATCTTCGTTCGTCGCCTGACGCACCTGTTGGGACTGGAGCAGCGGTGCGAGTAGGAGCCACACAAGCCCTATCCAAAACGGTCGCATCATGCTGGTGCGAGACGTTTCGAGGGCGAGATTACGCGAATACCTGTAAGATTTAGAAATACACGAAAACGAATCGGAAAATGCGAGCGACGGTGACCCCGGGCCGGACCTCGGAGACAAATGACACTTTCTGGGTTGTGTGCTCGCAGCATAGAGAGACACCGAAGAGAAATTTTTTATTAGGCGCAACAAATGCTCCGCAGAGCACACGAAAAGAAAGTGCAGAGGGGGGATGGTTTGGGATGGGACAGCTGGGGTGCACGTGTGCTTGGTGCCACGCATCTCACAAGTGGATGGTACCAGCGGGAGGCACGGATGGAGTATTGGATCGGAAAAGCGGTGGTGAAGGTGGAAAGGATGAGGTTGGCTGTCAATTTTCATAGGAGCATCAAACAAATATCAAAATGAATAGGCAACGATTTCCAAGAATTGACCACTGTGAAACTGTATTCTGGCTCTAATCTTTTGTCTAATATTGTAAGCAGAAACGAAATGGAAACGAGAGAGTAGCAGCTGTCTGAACGCTCGGAACGAAATCAGAACTCGATGAAACGGAGAAGTCGCCGATATTGAGTGTACAAGCAGAAAAATGACCCCCTAGAGGGGTATCATAAATCGGAACCGCAATAAACAGTTATTTGGCACTCGTAATTTCAGTTTGGGGGGTGTCTGGCGAGCAGTTGTGTGGCAGAAGAGAAAGACAGACTGTAGTACACATTTACGAGTGTCTGGAGAGGAATAGAGACGAAGACGTTCGTTTGTTCGTTATCAATGATCGGGATGCGGGCCGCGTATCATAATCATAATCATCATCAAGGTCACAAACGGGAAATCTTTCTTCGAAAAAGTGAAATTGAGTGTCTAACAAGATAGTAATAAGCTGAGAAGATTCTGAACCGTATAACTTTTTATAAGATGGAAGAAACTGAAAATATGATTTTTTTTTTCAACGTTACGTTAGTTTAACAAAAGTTGTTCGGCTCGTAAATGTTCAGCAAGCCCTCGAAAGCTAGTGCAACGAGTTGCGAACGCAACGCCAAATCAACATTATTATCATCAATTGGACTAGGCAGAGAGGGTGATAAAGACACAACAATCTTATGTGGAGAAGGAAAAGAAACAAGAGAGAGTGAGTGAATGTTTGCCCGTGAGAACGAACGCACCGGGGGTCAGTTTGGTACTGAACAAACAGAAAATCAGCGGTCCCGGTCCGGCGAGGCCCAATACAAGTTGTGTTTTCCCGCGGGCCTAGCCGTCTTCCCGCCATCCGATCGGCAGATGCTCCATAGGCTGCGTCTCGCCGGATGGCACGCTCTCTCGTCGGATGACCTCGAAAGCGGGGAGATAGACATCGGAGAAACGGATGAAAAAGTTAGAGGTCCCAGTGCTCTACCATTTGAAATTTAGAAGAATCCGAGAGAAAAAGGTGTTAAATCAGCAACGCTTAAGTAACAATCCTTAAAAGCAGAAAAGTAACATAATAACTTTATGAAACAGTACATCCAGTTAGAGTTTCAATTTCTTGTAACCACAAGTGTCAGCACTTTCCAATCGGCCAGCCACTTCCCACAGTTCCCCGCAATTTGAGCCGGTCCTGGAAAACCGATCCCCCCCTAGAGAGGTATCATAAATTACGTCATTTGGGGGGTGTCTGGCGAGCAGTTGTGTGGCAGAAGAGAAAGACAGACTGTAGCACACATTTACGAGTGTCTCGGAGAGGAATAGAGACGAAGACGTTCGTTCCTTCGTTTGTTCGTTATCAACGATGTCGGGATGCGGGCCGCGCGCAACATAATCATAATCATCATCAAGGTCACAAACGGGGGAAAATCGTTCGAAACGGTGAAATTGGTAGGTAGGTACGGTTTAAGTGACAAATTGAGAATATTCTGGAGGCTATAGGGAAAGTGAAACGGAACATGTGAGTTCAAAATTGAAAAGCAAACAAGAGGTTAGTACAAATTGCCGACTTGCGAACACCAAATCAACATTATTATCATTAGTTGGAGAACAATTTTACGTAGAGAAACAAGAGAGAGAGAGAGAGTGAATGTTTGCCCGTGAGAACGAACGCACCGGGGGTCAGTTTGGTACTGAACAAACAGAAAATCAGCGGTCCCGGTCCGGCTGGGCCCAAGATAAGTTCTGTTTCCCCCCCGCCGCGGGGCTAGTCGTCTTCCCGCCCTACGACCACCGATCGGCAGATGCTCCATAGGCATGCGTCTGCGTCTCGCCGGATGGCGCGCTCTCTCGTCGGATGACCTCTGATACTGGCGGTAGTTGGGCCGAGAAAGCGAGGAGATAGGCGGCGGATAGCGAGGAGACATCGCAGAAACGGATGAAAAAGTGAGAGGTCCTAGTGCTCTTCCATTAAATTGGAAGCAATCGGAGAAAGAGAGAGAGAGAGATGGATGGGGAGAAAAAGAGCTGATTTGTGCAGAGCAAGTTGCACACGGAATGAGTCATTCGGCTCAATTGCTCTCGGGCTCATTTATCTTATCGCTCCCAATGATTTCTGATGAATGGAAGGAGAGACTAGCCTGTCTGCTCATAGATTCTTGCTTCAAGAAGGTTGCATGGCAGAGTTGAGCGGAAGAACTCAACGGAAGAACTCACGGAAGAATTTTTATCTTTTTTAGAAAATTTTTTCATGGAATGTGATCAACTGACGAAATGTATAACAAAGTGAACTCTGCTCATAGAAAAATAATTGTAAATTTAACTTTTCCAACAAAAAAGTTATTCGAGTTGTTCCGTGAAAATGTCCTTCCGTCTTCCGTTAGCCCTTCCGCTCAACTCTATTGCATAGTTGAAACATGCTTCGAATATAACCCTTTTAATTTAAGAAAATCTGGAAATCCTTCCTGTTTTGGGTGGGGTTAACTTTCTGTTTCAATGTGTCCAGTTATGGCCATCAAACTTTTTTTGAACAGTTGCAACCCGAAAAAATGTTAGCTTTATTCCTTTCAAGTTGGCAGAAAAAGCGGCTCTCTTGACCTCGGCCGTTTCAAATTTCACCGCGCTTACACTCGTTCCCACAACACATTTGTTGTGAGTTTTGTGTCATTTTCGGCAGTAAACAAACACACACACACACACTTTGCAGTGGAGTCACTATCTCAGCTGCCGGTGGACATATCAAAAAGGTGTCAACTGATGAAATGTGCAAAATTTCATGATGAGCATTTTTGTAGTTTACAACTTTTTGATATCTCTACACACAGTTGAGATATATTGGTGTGAAGCATGTTACACAGGTTAATAAGAAAGTTTTATGGAAAAGCATCACACCCGCATCATTTTTCCCAGTCCATGCGCATCGAATCCCATGAGAAGGGAAGATCCTCCGTCCACAACAATCGATTGTCCGATGTGGCACCCGGATGACCTGAGCATGCACCATAGGGAACGCACTGTTCGTGCGTCTCCATGAAGTTGATCAGCTGAAATTGAAAGACACTTGAACGCGCACAGTCAGACGGACTCACATTATCATAAGTTTCCTGCGATATTCCCATCACTTTCGCGAATGAATTCACCCGAATCCCTTGTTTTATAAGGTAAACCGCGGCGCTCTTTGTGAATTGATCAAGTAAATTAACATTGGATTCTGAAACTCTTTTCTATATGTGAAATAATGAAGGGGAAGCTCGTTACAGCATGAGTACCTTTGCCAAGTGACGGATCGCTTTCTGAGTGAGAGTGATAATGCTCTTCACATGAATCTCCATATTCTTATCATAAACTTCGACGTCCTTGAGCGATTCCCGCCCTTCCCTGCGAATCATTGAATATGGCGCCGGCTCCAGTTCACGAGAACATTCAATTGTCCGAACTTTGCGACGGTCGAGGCGATCAGCTCATCCTGGCCGGCTTCCGAATTCAAGTCAACGGCCACCACGAGAATGTTCTCTTTCGAAACTCTGGCATTCCGAATCTCCAGCCGCGTGGCTTCTAGCTTCCGGGCGTTTCTTCCGGTTACCGTCACTTTTGCGCCTTCTTGAGCCAAAAGAAGAGCCGTCTTCTGGAGGAACCTTTAAGAAATCGGGGAATGATCACAGGGTTCCAAGGGGTTCCAGGGTTACCAGTGACAAGGGCGACTTTTCCGGAGAAACGGGACATTTGATATAGATGTGAATCTGTTGCGGTTTTATACTAATGTCTAAAAAAAGGTCGCAAACCGGACGGGAAACGTGTTTTATTTTTAACTTGGTGATCCAAGAAGCCTGCCCTGTCTGGTTGATTGGAAAGAACGACAAACTGCACACGATGTGATCGGAACGATTTTGAATCAACTGGAAATGAACAGTGGCAACGAATTGAATGTTCGTTTGAACATAAAAAATAAATGTTTGGGGAAATGATGGTTTCTTTTCAGGCGGATTTCCTGAAAGCCTTTCTCGTTAGTTTCTTGTTTCCTCCTTTGTGCATTTTTCTGACATGCCATAACACAATCATGTATCCGAAACGAATCATTTTTACCGTGAAAATCACTTCTACCGGCCATGTTGTTCTTCGTATTAGCCACGAATTCGTTGTGTTAAGGCCTTCCTGAACCGGAAAATGATTTGAAAGAATCTGCTCGAAGGGGGGCGCATGTTGTGCGGAACGAACAAGAGAAGGTAAAAGAAATTGAACGGTTCTCGGGCAGAAAAGATTTTCAGGCATCCCCTCGAGCAGTTCCTCGCCGAAAATGGGATGAGAGCGAGTCGGGAACGCTGATCTTTCTCAGCACGAACGACCGCCGCGTGCAACACGACATCGAGCAAGCCGTTCTGAGGCTGCCGGTAGTTTTATGAGTCTAAAAAAAACGTAATTTAAGGCCCGAGTTTGCAGCGCACCGACAGTCCGTCGCATGTTATTCATGAAGACCGAGCAGGACATGTTCCTCCCACGTACCAATTTTCAGTCGTTTTGTGTGGCATCCTTGCGACAACCACGAAGACACTTCGCCGCGCATCGCCGTCTTCCACCGCGTGCAACAGAAATAATAGGAAAAACTTCAACCTTCAGCCCTGTGAAGAAATCATTTCAATAAATTATCAGTGGAAATAAAAAAAAATTAGAGCACAATTCGATAATCGGCGGAAAAATCGTAGAGTTCAAGTAGAAGATGGGCGAGAAGGAAGCTGGCGGCGAACGTGACGGTCGTTTGAATGAACTCGATGATTTTGAAGCCCGCGTTCACTGAAAATTTCGTTTTTTGCAAAAACCTCAGAAATGCTACCAACTTATTCGCTCGAAAACGTTTCCGTTTCCCATACTCGCCTGCAGCACGGCGGCGATCTCGTTTCGCGTCTGATTGTTGAGCCCGGCGGCGGAGAAGCGCGCGACGAGCGTCACGTAGAAAATGGCCCAGAGAACGCCGATGTTGATGGGTCCGGAGAAGAGCATGAAGGCTCGGGAGAGCAGTCCGAGCGTCACCGCCACCAGCGCCACGTTTATTCCTTTGACTGGAGGCGTCGGAACACTGGCGACGTTCGGGACGGAGGCGGCAGCGAAGTGGGCGGCGAGTTCCGGCGGAAAACCTTGGAAATTGAGCATCGGATCAGCGACAGGAGCAATTTCGTCGTTCGTACTAGGATCTGCAAGCATTTTACTATTGGTTTTTTTACACAGAAATCGACTAACTCGGCAGAATATTGTAACCTTCACCTCCCTCGATCGCCGGAGCATGTCTTCTTCCGTTCTCATCGCCTCCATTGTTCAGAATTCGATTGATTCGGCCCTCCGAGTTGCCGAGAATCTTCTCAAGGCGACGCTTACGTCGCTCTTCGGCTGTCAGTGAGCGTGCCGGCTCTTCTGCTTCGGTCATGCTGAAAAAATTAGTTTCGGCAATAAACTAGAAGAAAAATAGATGAAAAACGTGTGAAGACAGCTCAACAATGTGCTAGATTTGCAATGCGGACTAGGAAAAACGCGGCCACCACGCCGTGTACTTCTCGTGGACAACCAGTTTTCTTGCATTTCTGCCCGTTTCTCAGCACTTTCAAACGAATATTTCATTTTCAGGATGATTTTCTCCTCACCATTGCTCAAAGAAAAAGCATTGGCACGCGGCAAGTCGATCTATCCAAAAGTGGCGGTGTTCTCCGAAATTCTGCCGCTCGCGTCGAAGAATCGCGTTCAAGCCACTCAAAAACCACGTGCAGCTAGTGAGTTTCTTCAAATTTCACCGAATTCTAAGCAAATTCTCTTCAAAAAGCAATAGAAAACAATTTCAGGCTCTTCGTGCACTCAAGAACTGCAAGCGCTGTTCGGATGCCTCAAAAAGTGGGAGTTTGACGATCAGCCGTGCGCGAAGCAGCACACTCTCTACATGGATTGTGTTCATAAGGGAGCAGAAGAGGCGGCCGCGTACCGGGAAGCCGCCAAAAAGGTTTGTAACGTTATTCTGCAGTAAAATCGTTTGAATTTTCATTTTTCCAGGGAACACTCGGAGAAACGACGTCGGGCGGCAAACAATCGATGACGAGCGCTCAGTTTAACAAGATCCAGAAGCTGTTCCCGCAGCCGGACCTCGGCAAGCAGCCGTACCGTCAGATGAAGCGACTTCCAACGCAAGACTACGCCGACGACACGTTCCACCGAAAACATTGGGCCGGAAAGAGAAGCTGAACAATTCTCATTGCTTCTAGCCGTTTATAGTCTTTGTTGATTCATTTTTCTTTATAAACTCTCCAGACCCTTCTCCTTTTCGCTTTCAATTTGTGTCACTTGTCCCCTTTTTGCTCCGCTCCGTCCTCATTTCTGACATTCTCCCCCCAAATGCTCCTTCCTCTTCTTCCCTTCCTTTTTCTCGCCGAATCGACCGCCCATCTCTGCTATTCGTGTTACGGCGAGACGGTGAACTCGACGTGCTTCCAGAATGCTCGCGGAGCCGCGTGGGTCGAATGCGAGAAGGGAGAGTGCCAGGTTGGTAAATAGCAAAAGCAGAAGCGAGTGGAAATCTTTTGATGAAGTGAATGAAGGAAAAACACGCGCATTCCATTAGGAGGAAATGGATTTTAGTGGAAAACAAACATTTCTAAATAGCGCTTATGGCAAAAACGCTCGGAACATGAGCAAAGTTGGTAAGAATCAGGGGAAAAACTTGAAAGATTATTTCCGGCGCTTTTGAAACCGAAAATTTCGTGACCGAATTGAAAATAGCGAAACATTTCCACTTGGAATGCAAAAATAACACAACCGAAAAACGCATGTTTGGAAAGGAGAAAAAGAAGATGGATGTGGTCGCGAAGAGTGCTCGAACCATCGTCTTTTTCTCCTCTTTTTCCGCCCAGCCATTGAATTGTGCTCTCACCAGTTTTTGAAGTTGATCGACATCTTTTAGTTCCATTTAAAACATTAATTGAATGTTTCAGTGAAGCTAAAATTGTTTCTACTAGTGCATTCCAAAGAAACATCAGTGCACAGTTTCACATTTTCCAGAAGAGGTTGAAGTTATTTGTCCGTTCAATCACTGCTCTCTTAGATGTCGTGTTTGTTTCAGAGCGCTATCAAAAGTGTCTTACAGGTGTGGTCCCTGTACTCGTCCGACTCTCCCGCCAACGTCTACATGTTCGAGCGCTCGTGCAGCGGCGTCTGCCAGCCGGGATGCGTCCAGATCAGCGATATGGGGCATCGGTTCACGAGCTGCTCGACGTGCTGCTCCGCCAACTTTTGCAATGTCGGCTCTTCCGGCTCTTTTCCCTCTTTCGACGCTTTCTCATTACCGCTCATTGTTTCACTTTTGCACGTTTTGCCGTCAATAAAAGTGGCGTCGTAGAAGAGAAATACATGAAGCTTATTTACCTTCCCTTCTCTCTCTCTCTCTCTCTCTCTCACTCTCTCTCTTCTTCTCCATCATTTCCAGACTTGACGAGAGAGTGTATGAAGGATGGAGGGAGGAGTGAAATGAGAGAGAGAGAGAGAGAGAAAGAGTGTCGTGCCAGTGCCGCCGCGCACTTCCCACCTAGAGCCGTCAGAAGAAGAAGAAGAAGAAGAAGAAGAAGACGAAGTGACACTCTTTTCTGTCATTGCTCTTCATTATCCGCTCCTAATCCGACGTCTTCTTCTTCTTCTTTTCCGCTCTCTCCCTCTCTCCCTCTCACTCCGTCTCGTTTATCTGACATTTTCCGAAAGTTCTCGAGAGAAAGTTCGAGAAAAAGACGGAAAAGCGTCTGCATAATTTGTGTCGCATTCAATTTATTCGTGTTTTCTCCCGCCTCGTGGCCTTTGAATACGTGAAAATGGGAAAGTGAACAAGCAATATCTTCCGCTTTTTGCTCAACTTTGTTTCTCTGGCACCATTCCGTTTCAAAATGAGCCGATTCAACCTGCAAAACACGATGATTCATTGAAACTGACATGTTTTCTAACTGTTTTCGTAGAACTTGTTGTTTTTACTGTTTCACGGTAACAGTAAAACTTTTTTGTGTTTTACCTTTGATTTTTGGGACAGAAGATCTATTACAAAGCACGGTAGAGAGAAATTTTTTTTTGTCGAATTCCGTATTTTCCGGTTTCAACATTATCTTATCCACGGTCTCCAGGGCTGACAATAGAGCGATACATTGGCGCGAAATTAAAATTTTAACAGCAAATTTTGTGTTATTTGCCAGATTAGCCACGAAAAAGCGATAATTTCTCATTTGTCTCTCGATAGACCGATTGTATAGGCTATTACGAATTTTTTAAGCGCAAGAGCGTTAAATTTGGTCAAGTCGCAAATCACATTTATCCGTTTGAAGGTTTTTGGCTAAAACTGCGTGAATTTCAGTTGCTTTTCGGTTATTTTCGCGGTTCGAGCGCTCAAAATGCGTGTATTTACGTGATTTATCATTCGCAAAACCAATTCTGTCTGAAAACGGTCAAGAAAGCTCAAAATGAGAAGTGCGTTTTTAGGCGGCTATCGGCGGCGAAGGCGAAAAAGCAAAGTCCGCGAAAAATGCGCCGAAACGTTATTTTCATGTCGAACAATCATTTTTCATCGCCGTTGACCACAAAAATCAGTGAAAACCTGCTCAATTCATGAAAAACGCTATTTGGCCGCCGAGGCCACGCCCATATTGTCAGCTCTGGGGACCGTCTTATCCTGATCAGTTCAGTTTCAATGCTACTTTTCCTCCTCTACAGCGAAAGTGATTGTATGTGTATTCATCATCAGTTCGTTTTCAGATTATCCTTCGTATTTGGTCGGATTATAATGGTAGCATCACCCGTTTTCTGTTCATTTCAGTTTCATAATACTCCTTTCACCACTTTCATTTCAGCCTAATAATGTCCGTCACCTCGTTCCTCCGCCGCTTCTCGATCGACGCGGAGGCGGCCGGCGGTTCCTCTTCTTCCTCGGCTCCGGGCTCCGCGAGCAGCACTGGCGCCACGAAACGACGCGGACGGATCGCCGCGTCGATCGACTCGGCCCGTCGACGATTCTCGCTTCAGCACGGCTCCGGCACGTGCAGGGACCACGATCCCGTCCATTTGCAGTCGATCGCATTGCGAGGGAGGGGACGCGGAGAGAACGGAAGTCTGCCGGATCTCATCGAGGTGAGCTTCTTTTCAATTGGGTCACTTTGCAACCCGAATCTATTGTTAGTACTGTCCCACGTGAAAGCTCTTCGGCGCGCGGTTTGACAGTATTCATATTCATCGTTTGGGCATTACCAAGTAAATTACCATAATCTTCCTCTTCTTCTTTCCCTCTCAAATCGCAGTCAATTTGCTCGCCAGTGAAAACGTCGAAAACACTCTTCCGAATATTTTTTGATGAACTCGAAATCCGATTCGGTATGTTTTGGAACTTTTGGGCATGGAATGCGAGCGGAAAAGAGTCGATTAGGTTAGGGATTTCCACCAGTTTTTCAAAACTTTTTCACTGCTTCATAAACTTGATAAACTCACAAGTTTTGAGTTGGCCCTAGTAACATGCAGTCTCTCATAGATCCTTTAAAATTATTCACTGATTCAAGTACTAATAATATACACCGAAAAGAGTCCAAAAAGACAATGAACAGAAATATGAGCATAAAAGTAACACAATTCCGTTAGTTCTTAAAGTTGATACATGTATTGAGTAGTTCGTTATGTACTTGAAGGCAGCATGAAACTGACTAGTCAATATCATCAAGTTAAACAATCGTTTATGACTTCAAAAGTCCCCCAATCTATCAGAAAAGTCATCCTACCAAATGTAAAGTGTTCTTCTTGAAACAATAAAAACTTTGTTCGTGTGTTCTATCGCGAACCTCCAAAACACAAAAATGAGCATCCGAAAATAGTGCCCCCCCCCCCCAAAACTCGGTTATAAAACTGAGGGAAAAAGGGGAATAAAATTGCATAAAAACGGGCCGGATACCTCTTTTTTCCCCCCGGCCTCTTCCGTCCTTGTCTAAACTAAACTCGAATATTCTTTTGTCCTCCTCTTCTTTTTCCACTCGGATTTATGTGATGGGCTCCGCGACGAGCCGCCCTTCTTTGCACTTTTCCTCCGTTTTCCAGAACTTTTCCCCACTTTTTCCGAGACAATGAACACACAAACAATATCACGGAAAAAGTTTTCTTTTTTTTCCCGCATTTTCCAGTGATGATTCAGCAGCGAATCAAATGAAAATGAAAACATTGCGCCTTCCAATACCATCGGCTCTGTTCCAATATACGCTGACATTTGTGTCACCATTCGAAAAACTTGTCGGGTTTGTCGTAGTTTAATTGCAGTTTCGCAAACAATTCATGTTTTTTTTTCTAGCTTGAAACAGAAGAAAAGTTTGCGATATGGTTGGCAAATTTTACCGTTTCCAAATGCTGACAAGTATGCTCTTTCATCCTCTTTACAATTCATTTGTCACTTTCCCCAAGACATCTCTTCTCAAAAGGACCATAATAGGTTCTAAATGCAAAAATAAAGTGAAATAGGCTCTGGAAGCCAAAACCTGTACTATTTTCTTTATCTGGCTACTCGAGGAACACGTGAATAGCATTGACTAGGGTAAAACTAAGCTCCCAAATGGTACCTTTATAATATCTGACCTTCTTCTCCTCTTCTCCTTTGCCTTTCTCGTCCATTCACAAGTTCGTGCCTAATCCGACCACTTCAGGCAGGACCGTCCTCCCTTTTTCTCCTTCTTTCGACGTATTCCCACGCATAAACACACACTTCCCCGCTTCCGTTTTCCATTGTGCACACTCTTTTTTTTTCATTTTTTTTTCATTTCGTCCAATTGTTCTAGTTTCTAGAGAGATGCGAGTATTACAAAAACTGGGATTCTGCCTTGATAAACAGGTGAGAAATGGATGGGGAGTGACACAGTTTCAAATGAATGTATCTCGGCTGCGGGTGGAGATATCAAAACGCTGTCAATTGATGAAATGTACAAAATGTGTTACGGAACATTTTATCAGTTTACAACTTTTTGATATCTCTACCCACAGCTGAGATACGACGCTTCAAATATACAGTAAGTTGTTATCAGCACTTACTACGATATGTGGTCGTTCTGCTCACTATCAGAGAAATGTCTAGATAAAGATGATATCAGTTAGAAACAGTGGATTTCATAGAACGCGTCAAAAACATGTTTACCTGAAATTGCAGAAGCGGGAAACGCCTCCGACGTCCGGAGCAGCGGGTGCATCGGCGACGAAGCGTGTTTCCGTGATCGCAACCGACCGGGACCGCGCCTATTTTCTGCGACAGAAGAACATGCGACACAACAAGAACGGATGGGAGAAGGTCAGTCCTCAATTTCAATATTTTTTCATCTAAGCAGCGATTCAAGTGAACTGATTGAAACGGAAATTTCAAAAAAAAAAACAGTTTATGAAACAGACAATCTGTGCAAAGAAAGGTGTGAAAGTGTCATGTAACCGAACGAGCGGGACCATCAATCGTCGTCGTTCCCAATCAATCAGTCGGGTCACTCTCTGGCTCCCTTCTCTTTCTCTCTCTTTCTCTTTCTCTCCGTTCGCCAACTCTCCAGAGAATTCCGTTTCGTTTCGCAATGATTTATAGTCGGGCGGCGCCGGCTCTCCGCGACTCTTCCCTCCCTTAAAGTGCTCTTTTCACACTCTTACACTGTTTTCCTCCCCCATTTCGTGGCCACATTAGCCGCAACCACCGCAAAAACGATTGAATCTCGATGAGAACGAGTTCTTTGAGCACGAAAGAAGAGCAAATGACACATGACTCTCCCTCTCTCTCTCTCTCTCTCTCTCGCTCTTTCTTCCACACTTTTATCCTGTCCCAAGCCGCTCGAACTACGAAATTCAATCGAATCGCGTCATTTTCAAGTCAATTTTCTTCTGCACAACTTGTGAGATTGACTGATTCAAAGTGTGCTTATCAAAAGTTACTACGGCTTTGAAACAGTTAACCAGCTATTATATCTCAACGTTTGTGGCCTATGGGGCTTAGCGGTAGAGCAAAAGTGTCAGAATTTCGACAATATACTTTTTATGAGCTTTATTTTCCCTAGAAAATTGGACTTTCAACGTTTTGGAAGCCGCGTGAACTTGAACAGTACAATTTAGATGCGAATTTCACAAAATCTAAAACTTTTGTGTTTCATGTGCCCTCACAAGTGAGGTCCTAGAAACAAGTTAGGTACTGAAAAGATGATGTTTCATTTCGGTTTAACGTTTCAAATAGTATGAAGTTGCTCAGAAATCGATCGCAACTCTATGAGCTCCTCTTTACAATTTTTCACAGTTTCACACAGGTCCTGGTGGAATTCAATTAAATCTCTCAACTTCCCTCGACATTATCCGAGTACATTGTCGCTTTTTGAAGTGCCCCCTCGAGTAGTGCTCATCGGCTAGATAGAGAACATTGAAATGTGAGAAGTGATAATAAGATGATACCCATTGCAAAGTGTGCAGTACAAAGGTCGAATATTGAGGTTCAAAGGCTCATCAATATGTTTGAAACTGTTTCATGGACATCATGAAGCAATCCAATGCACACTTTTTCGTTGATCTTTCATCGGAAAATTGCTTTTTTCGGACAAAAACTCGACTCGGCAATCGTGTTTTCAGCTCGAAATGCGGATCGTCAAGTGCCGCCGCTCTTTTGTTTTCATTTCCGAGATCTTTGACACTTTCCACACCCACTTTCAGAAGGGTCCTCGTGGGAGTCACTGTCTCTCATGGTGCATTGAACATTCGAACATTCCACATATAAATTCGGTAATCGACTGGTCCTATAAACTCCTAAATTCTTGACCAAAGTCGGCGATTTGAGTTGTTTTCTTGGTGGCGTCCGAGTTTTTCCTCCGAAATTCTAGTCCCCCAACTTTACCGTTTCAACACCAGCTTGTGACAATTTTTGAAAAGTGCATCGCACTCTTAAATTCGCCCTATTCTTCTTCAAGTTTTATGACCTTTTCGTTTCCAAATTAAACTCATGCATTATTCAAATGTGATCCCCTTTTCCAAATGAGTTAGACTTCTTCTTCTTCTTCTTCTTCTTCTTCTTCTTCTTCTTCTTCTTCTCCTTCCACTTCCTCTCCGGGCCTGCTGCTCTTTTAAAAGAATAACGCGGAAATCTGATCCGAAACCCAAAAAGTTTGTCCTTCTGTTTACCCCTCTTACTTTACACCACCAACTTTGTCCCCCAACGCCCCTAAATCCGTGTGAATTGTTGATCTATAATTTATTGCCATTCGGAATGACCTTGACCGCCTCGGGGAGCCTCTTTTGAAGAGAGTTTGAGCACAAGTGGGCTCGAGTCCTTTTCAAGTTGAGGAGGACGAAAACTTTTCCAGGTGTGTTCAACCAAAATCATCAGAGCAACCCGTTTCGTTTTGTCTTCCGAACCATCTGAAACAGTGAGAGTGACTGGGTTTCGCGCGATTTGCTTCTCCATTTTACGGTTTCACGGATGGATCCGTGTTCTAGGCCAGAATCGTTGGTAAAATTGAAGCTCCACTGGTACAGATCATAACGCCAGTCTGGCGCCGAACTGAAGAGAAGCTGGTGAAACGGAGAACAAAGAAACGCGCATCCGATCGTTTTTTCCATCAAATTCCCTCCTTATCACCAAGTTTTATGAGAATCGGAAGTGCGTTTCGACCTTCAACAATATCTCTTCTCGTTCTTCCATTTGCAAACCGTTTCTTCTCACCAACTATTATTATTATCACCTCTTCAAACACTCTTAAAATCCGAAAAGCCCGGGCGACGGGGAGAGACAAATCTCGAATTACTAATGCACATTCGCCCCCACTCATTTTGAACGATTCTGCACGAAAAGATTGATGAAATTCCCGCTTTTTTTGACGGTGAGGAGAGGTCGGATGATGAGGGCTTTTTGATCCGTTAAAAACGGGAAATTGGATTTTCGTCGTCCCGTGATTGAATTTTTGCCGTTTTCTCCTCTTGGAGCACTTATTTTTAGAAAAAATGCTCCTCTTTTACGGTTTCTCGAAGCAATTTTGTGATGACTTGTAGGATCAATGGAGAAAATGTGCTTCTCCTACAATCCCTTCACGACGATTTGAAACAGTATTTTGATGAAAAAGTTACAGATTACGGGGGTCCAGTTTCGAAGGAAATGGCTCAAGTTTTGAAACTTCAGCGTCTCAAAGTTCATCCGTTCCTCAAACACTATCCGTTTCCACCAAATGATGCTCTTGTGTGCACAGGTTCACTGGTTCAAAGCAAACATCCATCCCGTTTTCACTTTTAAATCACAAAAAGGACCCTTCTTCTCCTATTCTTCTTTTTCTATTTCTTCTCCGCCCAATCGCTGCTCTATTCTTTTGCGTGCGCGCGCGCGAAAAAGAACGAAAAAAGAGGAAAACAAAACAAGTTGACAATGGGGGCCCTCCCCCTCCCCGAAAAGGAGCGATGAGAATTTGATTGGGAAACGAGCACAGCCCCCCTCCCCACAAAAGACGTCTTCTGGAGAAGAAGAGAGAAGAAGAAGAAGAAGCAAAAGGACATCAAAATTTTATACTAACTTTGAGTTTCGACTTTTTCGTCTCTCCCGCCCCCGGCCCGGCTCTCAATCAAAGCGTTTCGTTTTCTTCGTTTCGCCCGCCCGTTTTAGTATCGCCCATTTCATCTTCTTCTTTCTTTTTTCCGTAAAACAACGAGACTTGAACCTCCGAAACTGAATTTGTTTTCAATTTTTCAAAACCAGTTCCTTTGATCATTGAGAACTTTAAAACTGCGATCCGATCTGTTTCCCGAATGAGTCTTGCGTATCGTCAATCCCATCTTCTGCTCTTTTTGCTCTCCTCTCCGAGCAAATTTGTTTCCATTCAAAGATTTCCTCTCTCTCTGTTTCCGGTTTCAGGACTTCTTTACTTTTCCAAGACTGTTGAGCCAACTCTGATCTCAATGTGTCAGTCGCTGTGACAAAATACGGGCGGGAAATTCAAACCAGGTGCACAAAAAACAAATCATACTGAAATGTTCATCTCATACAATCATTTGTCGAAACTTTGAAACAGAGTGTGATGAAAACAATCAGGGGAGGGCCTTATAATAAATCTAATTAGAACTTTCGGTGTCTGTGTCTCTTCCCCGCCACTCTTTTACCCCCATATCATGGCAGATTCACCTTGAAAACAGCCACAAACAGTCCATTTTTAGTCGTTGTCTTCTGGCCGCCCGCACGGCCGCCGCAATCTGTTCGCTCTCCGTCTCTGCGCCCTCCGCCATCCGCACACTCTCTCTCGGCCTTCGGATAATCCGGTCAACCCAGATAGACGAAGCGAAAACGCTTCTTGTACACGTCCAAATGCATCTTTTTCCCTTCGTTTCCCGTCATCTTTTCGATGGATAGATGGCGGGAATAATATAAATGGACGATGATCAGGCGAATATTTGCATGATCTTCGAGCTTTTTCGCCGTTTTTAGCGTCGCCGCCGCTCCTCACAGCGCCAGTGGTGACGCCGCCGTGGCGACGCGAACAAAGTTTCTCAAGTTTCGTGCTGCGCCTTTAAAACTACCGTACTCCCGTTATGAGCGTTTTCTGTTATTTCAGCCGGGTTTTCTCACTTTTTAATCAATTTTTCACTCGAAAATCGCTGAAACCTGGCTGAAAGACCCGAAAAACCCCCCGCCAAAAGTGGTATGGGCTACGGTAGTTTTAAAGGCGCAGCACCAAAGTTAAAAAAAAACATTTTCATTTTCTCATGCGACCACGCCAAAAATAACTGTGATATCATCGAATTCCCAGACACTTTTGTCACGTTTTTCGCCCCGATATTGTGAAATTCACCACTACTACTAGAATCAGTGTAATAAGTGGGGGAGAACAGATCTTTGTGTGATAGCGATTCGGACGAGGAAGAATATAAATAAATCACTTTACTTTTCGGCAACTCGTCTAGACAACGAGATTGTCGGATTCTAGGCCACCGTTTTATCGTCAAAATTTCAAACTTTTCATCGCTGATTTCCGCATCGCTTCCCAACATTTTCCCAATCAGTGTGTGTTCTCTATGACTCATTTTTCGATTTGTCCCCCCCTTCCTTCTCTTTCTGTTTGTGTACTGGCCAGGGTGTAATAGGCAACGTTTTTGTGGCGCCCCAACATTATTTTTGCGAGATTGGGAACGAGAAAAAGGGCGTTTTCCGTTTCAAACTGGTCATGCTCGATTCTGAACATGTGCCTACTGCTCAAATACAAAATTGCCGGTCGCTCTTCCATTTTTCCGCAATTCTAGGCCGTGAGAGCCCGCGAAATTTGCAATTTTCCAAAGTTTCGCCATAAACACGCTTATTTGAGGAATCACGCGAGGAATTCCCAAAAATTTCAGTGAAATTCAACGAAATGTGTAGGAAACTGTAAAAAAAAACTCGCGTTTTGAAATTTTTCACATTTTTCTGCCGTCGCTCGATTTCCCCGTTCTCAAAGTATCGCCCAGTCGGCAAGTAGACCACCGGGATCTTATATTCATCGATGATCAGCAGGAATATTGCAAAAATCGTCGGGCGTCGGGCTCTTGCTGCTCCTCCGGACACACACACACACATTTTTATATCTTCTTCCTCTTTTTCTTCTTCTTCTTCTTCTTTTTCTTCTTCTTCTCGTCCCTATCTCTTCCACTCATTTACACATCATGAAATAAATTCTGGAGCTCTCGGTGCCGCCGCCGCCGGCTGCCTGCCTCCCCAATTTCCTCTCTGCCCCTGCGTCTCTTCCCTCTCCAACTCTCTCTCTCAGTGTCCATCCGGTCATTTCCCCTCCGTTTCTTTTGCCGTCCTTATCAGTCGATTCCCTCCTTCCCATCACTTTTTCTCTATTCGCTTCGATTCCACTCCGACCACCGCACTCAGACCCTGGATCACGGCGCGTCGCACGGCAACAAAAGCGTCTCGTCGGCCCGATTACCGGACGCTTTGGCTCTGTGTCTCAAGGCGACTCGCATGGAAACGAAAGAGTTCGAGTTCCGGCCCGCCAAGGAGACGTCGCGCTCCAAGAGTCCCGGCGGCATCGTCGGAAGACTCTCCAACTTTGCGCGCAACAAAACGCGCCACTCGCTCTCCGAAAAAGGCTCGAATTCGGTGGGCGGCGGCAGTGGCGGCGGCGGCGGCGCGTTCGAACGGCCCCGAAAGGTTTGCAACTGTTTGTCTATTCAGAATGTGTTCGTGAGAGAGTCTCTTCAAAAATCGACGAGGTGAAACTGTGAACTTTTCTCTGCACGGTTTTTTGTTGCTATATTCACACTAAATTTGTGTCGAGAAGCGTCAAAAACAGTTTTTTTTTTGAATAAAATAAAGCAATTTTGAAATTTTTTCGCTCTTCAGAACCGTCTTTTTGTGATTTACTTGTTTTTCCGATACCAATTCGAATTCCGCGCGTTTTTATGGCGATACTGCTCGATTTTGGCGGAAAAATGCCTTGAAGATCTCGCCTAAAATCTAAATGATAAACTATCGCCAGAGTCTCTGAAATGTTCGCAATGAAACGTAAAAAAAAACAGTTATTGTCGAGCTGCAAAAGTGTTGTTGTTCAGTTTCAATCAGTTCACATGGAAATGTCTGAAATCATTTTTATCACAAAATGTTCAGGACCTGCTGAAAGAGTTCCAAAAATGCAAAGAATCGCAGGAGCAACGGCTCGACCTGAGCTCCATCGACATTACGAGCATTCCGTCGCCGATTAAAGAGCTCTCGCAGCTCACGGAGCTCTTCCTCTACAAGGTACTCTTCTTCTTTTTTTTTTTCGGATCTGTTATCATTTCCGCCCCCGCTCCCTGTAGAGAATGATAAGGAAACGGGTTGTGATTCGCATTTCCGGCCATCATAAATCAGACGCCCACTCGCTTCTTGCCTCTTTCAGAACAAACTGACATGTCTGCCGACGGAAATCGGGCAATTGGTGAACCTGAAAAAGCTGGGGCTCTCCGAAAACGCGCTCACCTCACTGCCCGACTCGCTCGCCTCGTTGCTCTCACTCGAAACGCTCGATCTCAGGCACAACAAGCTCACCGAGGTACGCTACAAAGTGTGTGTACAGTACAAGTACAGTAATCACAGGTCCCGCCGGTCATCTACAAAATCAGCTCACTCGAGACTCTTTGGCTGAGGTACAACAGGATTGTGGCCGTCGACGAGCAGATTGGCAATCTTGTCAGGTCAGAAAGGAGCGGACGGTTCGAGAAGTTGAACGGAATGGTTTCCAGGTTGAAGATGTTGGATGTGAGAGAGAATAAGATCAGAGAACTTCCGTCGGCCATCGGAAAATTGTCCTCGCTCGTCGTCTGTTTGGTGTCTTATAACCATTTGACACGTGTGCCCGAAGGTATTTCCGGTTTCAACTGGCTCACAAATAACTAGCCCCCCCCCCCCTCCACTTTTGAAACGTTCTGTTTGGAGCTCGACGTTCGTATGCAGAAGAATCATATCGACTTGCAGAGATCGGCGAGTGTCACTCGCTCACTCAACTCGATCTGCAGCACAACGACCTCTCGGAGCTACCGTACTCGATCGGGCAGCTCACGAATCTCGTGCGAATCGGAATCCGCTACAACAAGATTCGCATCATTCCGAGCGAGTTGGAAAACTGTCAGCAGTTGGAGGAGTTCATCGTCGAGAGCAATCATTTGCAGCTCTTGCCGGTTAGTTTCAACGGTGAAACTGTACAATGTCAATCAGAGAAATAAGGGCACCCCAAAAACCGTTTGTTCAAATCAATGTATCTCAGTTGGCAGTAGAGATATCAAAAATGTGTCAACTAATAAAATGTTCACTAAGAAATTCTGTACATTTTATCAGTTGACGACTTTTTGATATCTCTACTGGCAGCTGAGATATAGCGTCTTATATTGGGGTAACCGATTTCCACGTGATTTTGTAGTTGCGACAGACTAAACTTGAAATCCTAGTTGCCAAATTGAGAACTTTTGAAACTGTAAACGTAAAACTCTGTAATTTCCAGCCGAACCTGCTGACAATGCTGCCGAAGATCCACACGGTCAACCTGTCGCGCAACGAACTGAGCGCGTTCCCGGCCGGCGGTCCCCAGCAGTTCGTGTCGACGGTCACGATCAACATGGAACACAATCTGATTGCGAAGATTCCGATTGGAATATTCTCAAAAGCCACGCGACTGACAAAGTTGAATTTGAAGGAGAACGAACTGATTTCCCTGCCTCTCGGTGAGATTTGCATTAATTTTCCATAGAAAACATGAATTCCGTGCAGATATGGGCTCCTGGACATCCATAACCGAGCTGAATCTGTCCACAAATCAGCTGAAAGTGCTTCCGGAAGACATCGAGAAGCTCGTCAACCTCGAGATCCTCGTCCTCTCCAATAATCAACTCAAAAAACTGCCAAACCAGATCGGAAATCTCAAAAAACTGCGAGAACTCGACCTGGAGGAGAACGAACTGGAGACGGTGCCCACTGAAATCGGTAGGCGAGTCGGATATTGTAGATCAAAGCGACGTTGTTCAGGATTCTTGCAACATCTGACCAAGCTGTGGGTCCAATCGAACAAGATCATCACCCTGCCGAGATCCATCGGAAATTTGTGTTCCCTTCAGGATCTGCGACTCGGCGAGAACAATTTGACGGCGATTCCCGAAGAGATTGGTCGGTTTTTACACTTTTCTGAAACTGAAATCATTCGCCAACTCTGTCCGCTTTGCTTTTTGTAACTTTATGTGCAAAGTCCAGTAAAATACTGGTATTTTACGCAAAAAACCCTATTTAAATGAGGAAAAAACTGGGAAAAAGAAACCCTGTTCGTTGCGAGACCCGTGCTAACAAAGGCATGCGCCTTTAAACAATTTAACAGAGCGCCCGGTTGTGTTTAAAGGCGCATGCCATTAAAGCGCGGGTCTCGCAACGAACACCGTCTTTTTTCTCTAAACTTTTTTTACAATTAGATGAAACAATGCCTAGAACAATAGCATGAACATCTATTTTTCCTCAAATGACTTTCATGAAACACTTTTTCCCGTTTCAGGTCACCTGGACTCTCTGAAATCCCTGTACCTCAACGACAATTCGTCGCTTCACAATTTGCCGTTCGAGCTGGCACTGTGCCAATCTCTGGAAATCATGTCGATCGAGAACTCGCCGCTCTCGCAAATTCCGCCCGAAATCACTGCGGGCGGTCCGAGTCTCGTGATACAGTACCTCAAAATGCAGGGCCCTTATCGAGGAGTTGTGATGACGCAGGGACAGTAACCCGCGCGCCTACCGTAATCCCTGTTTCGCTTCGTTTTTCAACGGGTCTTCCCCCACTAAACCGCTTCTTTTTCTGGATGTTCGATCACTTTTTTTCCTCCCCTCCCCTCCCTCCGCAAATATCATCAATTCTTTCCCGAGTTCTTCTTCCGCGCACCCTTTTTTCGTCTGGAAACGTCTTTTTTGTACTTATCGCATCAATCCTCCCCCTTTCATTGAATACTATCGCATCGCATTTTCTTGCTCCGTTCTTTTCATAAACGATTTCACGAAAAGTGTGCAAAAATGAGCGAACGGAAAAGCGCAATTGATAGAAAAGTGACAGAGAAATGATTGAGAAAAATGGGACATTCAAATTTTAGGGGACCGTGCGAAGTCGCAAACACGGCCACGTAAAAACACAGAAAAAATTATCTACCGTATGCTTAAAAAACCAAACGAGATCAGCTGAATTGACTGCAAAACAGCAAAAACAAGAGAAACGTATCGAATAAAGCATTCAGAGTACTTCGAGCACTCCGAAACAAGTGAACTAACTGATCGAACATGGCCGACTGTACTTCGTATCTCGGGCGGTTCTCTTCAAGCGCCGACAGTTGTGCGTGTTATGCAAATCCGCACACACACACACTTCACTTCGCCTCCAGACCCACCATAATAATAAACACGTTGATGATGAGACCGACAAGGGGGAGCCGAGAGGACACAAAACTGTATCAAACCGTCGAGAGAGGGAGGAGCGCGCTCGGCTGATGACACACCACTTGGCGGCGCTGTCGAACTCGCTGCCACGTCATCATTAAGAAGTACGATTTGTGAATGAAATGAGAAAAAGTGTGATGTTGAGTTGGCGAGACCATTACGTTCAAAGCGAGACATCTTTTGCTGAAGGGACCGTCTGAGAACCCGTCTGTCTTCATTCCAAACCGCTCTTTTTCCGTTCCCCGAGTGCTCCGAATCCGAATGGACGGAAACGGTCCGAGAGAAAAGGTCTCGTTTATCAAAACACGGCACAGGTTCTCTTTTGATATCATCTCCGCTGACATGTCAATTCTGGCTCGTGCGTCGTCCGACGCAACCCACTCAACCGGACATGCCGTTCCTATTTGTTGGTGCGTGGATAACGATCTGCACGGTATCGGAGAGGCGTGGCGAGTCGATAATCAGAGCGTTGATAGGGCGACCGTGGATCATAAATGGGACCGCTTTTTTGTGCTGCCCGCAGTGATTTTAATAGAACGCTTATCATTTTCTAGATACTTCAGAAGTTCGTTACAACCTCAAACCGGACGAGATAAGCGCATCGATAAGCGTGTCGGAAGAGGAAAAGAGTTTCTGAGTGACAGGAGGAAGAGTAACAGCGGGAGTTCATGTAACAGCGGGGATTACGTCCTCACCCAAAAGACTTACATGCCGATCCGATACAGACCGCTGGTTACGGTAGTTAGGAAGCTCCAGAGTAGTTGACTTGTCTTATCTTGCTCGCATTTCGCAAAAAGGATGGGAGGTTGCGTGCAATCTTATCGCCGTCCTTGGACAATACCACGGATATCGAAATGTTGTCAATTCGCATCTAAACAGCAACTCTTATCTGTGACTTGAATGCCAAGTTGGCGAGAAGAAATTCAGCATTCCAAACCTTTATTCAAATCATCTTCTTCCGCCGCCCATATCACTGTCGATTGGACCAACACAGCTGACGGGGGCTGCTAACTGTAATACGGTCCCGGTTGTCTCATGATCATCGGAGGTCCGTATCCTCGTGTGTTATGCAACTAGATGAAGAGGTGCCGCCCGTGCAGTGCGCCAGACATTTCTCTCGCATTCACCAGGTTGATTGCGTAATCGCCGCCGAGCATCGGTTCACTTTCAGACGAGCACGCAATACTTTCTCGTGCCGACGGGCCTTCTTCTCCATCTCGCACTTTCTGATTTCATCTTCTTATTTCGCACTTCTTCAATTAGTCTGAATATATTGGAATGGAAGAGGTGCGATCCCTTTCAAGAGGCCGACCACACAAAACAACGACACACGCGAGACGAGTTCGCACCTCAGCCACGTGGAGTCTCTGCGAGCACATGTTCAATTGACACTCTCCGCTGATCAGACTGGCCCGTCCATTGGCCCACTCTTGTTCCAGATCCACCGATTAATCAGCTGTCGTCTCCATAAATCGCCTGATTGTAAACCGTATCCGTGATATCATCAGATCGCCTTAACGCCAACCATTCGGGGCCAACAACGGAAACCGAGAGAGTCTTAGACCGAAAGAGCCCAAAACAGCACGTCGAACGGACTGATTTAAAAGACACTATACTCATGAAACGTGTCGTAAAACCACTGAGACACCGACGATTTACAAGAGCACGAGAATCTGGGAAGAAGTTATCGTACAACAAACTTTTATGACGAGCAACTCGGTTTCTTTATGGTTCATGGCGTGGAGGTCTGAGCTAATCTGGTTGCGATTTGACTGTAAAGTCACAATTAGACTGTTAATAGCTGGAGAACCTTCTCAGGATTGTAACTTTCTACCTTTTCTCTGCAAGATTTCCACAAATACACTTATCACCTTCTTCACCCGAATACCCGGATCTCGTTGTCCACAAATCGGCAATAAAATCATAATCATTCACTTCGTTTGGATACGGTAGTACATTAAACACTTAACGACATTTTAACGATTGTCCTGTTCACCGTATCCACGGTCTTTGGTGATAACGGAGAATTGAGATGATGTATGAGTTCGGATTCTCACACTTTCCATGTTACTTTCGTTTCCTCCGGATCTTGCTGTCCTGTGAAGTTCCTTATCACCTGGGCTTTTGTCCCTTTCTGTCATCTCCGCGTGACGTGGCATTCTTCTCGGGGCCACGCCTCCCAGTCATTCTTTCAGTTCAGCGCCAATTCCATCTCGATACCTCGCGTTACCGTAGCGTACGTCCTCCTCTCGGGAAGGGGGCGGGGCGTGGCATGGCATCAGAGTGAGATGAACGCATTCATATTCTGCTCACCTTTCTGTTCCGATCAGGGGTGTGCGGAAAATATTTCGATTTTCCGAAATTTTCCGATTTTCCGAAAATTTTCGGCAAAATTTTCGGAAAATTAGTGTGGATTCAAGGTCAATTTGTCCGAAACCACCGTATGCTTTTTAAAGGCGCATCACAAAATTTTTGGAAGGGTCTAGCAGCGAGCGTCTTTTTAAATTTGATTTTTAAATTTTACGCAATTTCTTTCGTTTTTCTGAACCGATTGTTGCGATTTGTGTTGTGAGAGCTTCTCTCGGCTAATTTTTTTGCAAAAAAATATTCCATTGCTTGGCTTCCGCCCACTCAAGTGATTTCAAATCATAATAAGCATTTTTTTGTATTAGAACGTTGTTTAAATACTTTATTGAACCAATGAACAAGTGAGTTTTCCGATTTTTCCGATTTTTCCGAAATTTTCCGAAAAAAAAAATTCGGAAAAACCGATTTTCCGAAATTTTCCGAAAAAAATTTTCCGCACACCCCTGGTTCCGATCACTTTTGCCGTTCCTTCCATTCATCTCATTCATCCGTTCTTTTCGTTCCTTTCCAATCTTATCTCCGATTTTCAGAAGAATGTCCGAGCAAGTGCTAGCCTCCCTCGCCAAGCAACAAGACGATCTGTGGAGACTGTTCAGTACGAACCAAAACGAAATGATCGTGACGAAAGGAGGACGGAAGATGTTCCCCAAACTCGAGTACACCGTGAAAGGTCTAGTGTCGGAGAAGCTCTACGCAATGATGTTGCACATCGAGCCGGCCGACGACAGCAGATACAAGTTCAGCTCGGGCAAGTGGGAGAAGTCGGGCAAAGCGGAGAAGCACGTGGAGCCGAAGAAAGTGTGGCACGCGGACGGAGTGATGACCGGGAAGCAGTGGATGTCCAGCCAGATTTGTTTCGAGAGGGTCAAGATCACGAACAACGTGGAGAAGAAGAGCGCCTCTCATGTAAGCCATTCATTCGTTCCCTACTGAATTGCTCACCCGTTCTCTTTCAGATCTTCCTTCATTCGATGCACAAGTACATTCCGGTCCTTTCGATCTACGAATCTCCCTCCGAGAGCCCGTTCAATCCGCAGGTCTCCACTCGTCTCGTGTGCAGTGTCAAACTGCCGTACACCGAATTCATCGCGGTCACAGCCTACCAGGTGAGATCATCTCAGCTCAAGAGATCAGATAATATTGACCGCATTAGCACGTGTATTAGCACGTGTCTTTTGTTTTCAAACTCTATTATCGCGTTGTCCCTCTGCTGCGAACTCACACCTTTTGCAGAACGAGGCCGTCATCAAGCTCAAGATCCAATACAACCCGTTCGCGAAGGGATTCCGCGAGGGAAGTCAGGGAGATCGGAAGAGAACGTCGCCGTCGGCGGACGACTCCACTCCAGAAGAAGGATGTTCACAGGTGTCTTCCCCTCAACCAAAAAGACGCATGTCTTCCGCTTCGCCTCCAATCTTCCAACCGACAATGTTCCCTCAACCGAACATGTTTTCCATTTTCAACCCAAATTTGTACAGCCCATTCCTGTCCCAGCTGGCCACTGCGAACCTGGCTTCATCTCCGTTTTCGTTCCCTCTGGGATTCCCTTGCTTCCCACTTCCTTTCCAAAATCAAGTTCTCAATATGAGTACTCAAGAATTGAAAGAGCCAAAAAAAAGAAGTTGAGCCAGAGATTGACGTCGTCTGAATGAAGACGTATCCTTGATTCTACTTTATTCTAATATGTCCCTCCCAAATCGGTTATCATTCCAAGTTCGGGTTTCCCATTGAAATGTCTTCTCATTTTAAGTTTTTATTGTTATTCTTTTCCATTCATTATTCATCCTCTCTTCGGTTAGTAAATTTACAAATCTAAAAACTGTATTGCTTGGGGAGCTAGCGGGTCGGAATTGGAAAAGAGTTCCTGAGTGGCAGGAGGAAGAGTAACAGCGGGGATTACGTCCTCGCTCAAAAGACAAACATGCCGATCCGATACAGATGTTACTGGCTAACCGCAGTCTTTTTTTCGCTCAATCATCCAGGTGACGTGGCCTTCTTCCGCCGCCCATATCACTGTCGATTGGACCAACACAGCTGGCCCGTCCATTGGCCCACTCTTGTTCCAGATCCACCGATTAATCAGCTGTTGTCTCCATAAATCGCCTGATTGTAAACCGTATCCGTGATATCATCAGATCGCCTTAACGCCAACCATTCGGGGCCAACAACGGAAACCGAGAGAGTCTTAGACCGAAAGAGCCCAAAACAGCACGTCGAACGGACTGATTTAAAAGACACTATACTCATGAAACGTGTCGTAAAACCACTGAGACACCGACGATTTACAAGAGCACGAGAATCTGGGAAGAAAAAGTTTTACGGTCATCCAGTGGTTATCTTAACGGAGTAGTTTACAATGTTTTAGAATCTATCCGTAGATCTGAATCTCACATTATTGCTTTTCTAAAAGTTGATCTGCTCAACATAATGATGATTGCCTTCCTTTCTGTTAAGATCCCATTAAAGGTGGAATGAGCTAGTAAATCCTCTCCAAATGATCTTCTGGTTAACGCGTTAAATTCCCATAAAGCTACAGTTACAGTCTTCTGTCAATTCGCATTCGACCCACAACAAAACAGTTTATCGGCGACGAAATACAAATCGATTATGAGCCATTCTCCTTCTTTTGCTCAATATCCATCCGTTGGGCGAACCAAAGGGTCGCCAGGAAACAAACGATTGTGGAAATGACGGAGAAGATGAAAAGGGAGTAGGCGGTAGATATGTCGGGAGCGGAGAGCTGTGCCTGCAAGAACTATATGTGAACCTTATTTCCCGGGGAACTGACCAGCGGGTTCGTCATGCAGGTGCCCAAGTCCTTGTCGTCCGATTGCTCGGAGGAGATGTCCCACACACAGACCGACGTCGCATTCTGAGCGCATTCTCTGAAAGAAGAGGCGATTTGGTTTTGATCCATTTTGCTCACTCACAAGTTATTCCGACATTTTCCCTGTTTGGTCTTCTGCATTTCAGTGTGCAAGTTGCTGTGCAGCACGATGACTCGACGGATCAGCGGGTCGCAGAATGCCAAGAAGAACCGACGGAGCGGCAGCTTCGGATCGCACAGAATGTTGGTTTGGTACGTGGTTAGCCGGACAGGGTGTCCGGTTGTTGCCGGTTCACGGAGTTCCACACGGGAAACACGCAAGCTGGCGGATATATTTCGTTGTGCGCATTTCTGGTGCGCGAATTGCGCGCCAAAGATACTGCATTTGATCACTTCCGCGCTAGTTTTGAGAGTTTCCCTCTGTTTTTCCGTATGAAAACTGGATATGTCATTATTTTATCGTGTTGCTGTTAGAATTTATCGAATAATTAGCATAATAGAAGTATTTTTTGTGGTTTTCAGGGAATATTGCGCCCAAATACTTCAAGAAGTGCAAGAAACCATGAGAACAAGCGGAATCACTCGAAACTGAGTATTCTGGTGGACCAAGAGAGAGCGGTTAGATATTAGAAGAGCAGTATCATTCTTCTCCGAGCAAACATTTTCAGATATCGAGACTAACGAGATCGTACGAGATGGCAGAAAAATGGAAAAGAAAACGAGCAAGGCAAATTCATTCACGAAACCGGGAATTATTCTTTCGGATGCCACGATTTACCAGCGTCATAAATGACGTTGTAATTGGTCCACTGCTGCAAAAACGAGAATAGTTCTCAGCTTCGTGTCGCGAACCGAAGCGTAATGCCTATTGACGGCATTCATCACTGCGTGCATGTGCTCGAATCCTTGCTCGGACAGCCGTCCCCACGAGCGATGAAGACGCAAATACGGAACGAGGTGCGCGCACACGATGTGAACTTTGGGAGTCACCGTCGATTTGGCGTGAATCAATCGCAGGTTTGTAGTCAGATGGCCGACGACTTGTTCGATTTTGTCGATCTCGAGATCCGTCTTCACAGCATTATTCGCATTTGTCATGAGGAACGACAAGCATTCCATCACTCGACGCATGATCACCGTTTCCTTGTCAGGGCGGAAAACGGAGAGAATGGCGTCGATGTTCTCAGATCGGAGGAGTGTTCTGATTTGGTTTCCAGTCAGATCTTGGAACCAAATCCTTGAATCACAACCGATATCACGCATGACTTGTTCAAGCCGTTGTCGCGTAGGTCCGGATGATCCTTTCAGGAGACTTTCCAGGTTTTCAACATCATCAGAAGCGGCGGCAAGTAGGTCACGGTCGTTCGTCAGCATCGCAGTGAGTGTGGTCTCTGCGCTCGCTGGAACATCGGCAGCATATCGTCCGCTGAAACAATGGATCCCTGTCGGCAATCGAGACATCTTCCCTTGCCGATGCTAATTTTGTGCTTGTCATCTGCGAAAATAAGAAGAGCACAAAGGTGGTGAATGTGTCGCTCACAAGATGCGCATTTGAAGACCGCTTGATCACGGAATGTCCTTTTTGCACTTGCGACAATGCAAATCGAACATCCACAGGCGTCTGATCGATCTTTTCTGGATCGGGAAGCTGAGCACAATTTCTGAAGAACATTGAGTGCGTCGGAAAGGAGAGAATCGGATTTCTCGAGCTCTTCAACTCTTGTTTCGTAAGTATCTCTTTCCAGTTTCCTTTTTTTCAGAATCTTGTACTGCCCCTTCAAGGTCGTGTCCAGCGTATCCGACCCACAATCCTCCTTGTTCGCCTTCGCCACGGCCCAATCGACGACATTGTTCTGTCCAAGTCCGAGAAAGGAATGAACGACCGGCGGAACAATATTATCGATATCGAAATGTAGGATAGGCTCTCCTTCGTCCAGGTACTGCTGCATACATCGCGGATTTCCGCTTGCTTCGAACGGAAATGATTCCATGGAAGCCGCGTTTTGGCCATGACTGCTCCACATGGCATTGCAGCTGAAACACGGATATCGAGAAGATTGTCCGTTGTGGTTTAGAACAGCACTAATGAATTTGCAATCTCCCACAAGCATCCTTTTCACGTCACGGACAACGAGCGAGCCATTCTCCATGTATTCCAGGGACTCTAACACATTCAATTGATCGAAAACGGGCAGCAGGTTCTCTTTCAGTGTCGCATGGTCATCGGATCCTTCGTACAGTCCGAGGAGAAGAATTCCGTACGGATCGTTCGGTTTGTCAACATTTTCAAAAATGAGCCCAACTTTCGTTTGATTGGATCCCTTTTCACCGCCAATCGCGATAAAAATTGCATCTCCCGTTCCCTCGTCAAATTGGAGCCGACCACTTTCCGAAAGAGCTTCAACTCGACGTCTCAAAAGACACTTCACATCTTTTGCCCGAGCGACGGCCGACGTGTTCCGGAAAACGCGATTGCCGATTGTTTTCTGTGTCTGATGAATCAAGATGTCGTAATCCTCTTCGGCAGAGTGCTACTTTCTGAACTCATTGATCGTGTGAACGGACGAAAAAACTTCGATGCCGAGGCGATCTCGAAGAAACGCTTTGAATTCCCGAAGGAATTTGGTGGTGAGCTTCCACTGTACAGTGGCGAAAAAGGAATCCCAGGGCGAAAGAGAAAAGTTGATGGCAAATGACGAGTTTCGCGCGATGTATCGGACGAATTCAGGAAGGAAGTCGTCCATATACTGCTCACCGACAATCCCCTGAATCGCTTTCACCACACGCACACATCGATCTTTTTTTAACTTGTCACAAATCATGTTGAACGGCTTCAATCTTCCAGTCCCTTTTGGAGACGCCATTTTCAAAGCCAAAATTTCATCCTTCAGAACTTTCTTCTCGCTGCTGAGCCGCTTTTCCGCAATTTTCCGAGTGTTGTTGATCGTTGCTCTCGCTTTTTCTTCCGTTTCCTTCCGGAAAACGGCGAAGTTCGAAAGAGCTGTGCTCAACTGCTCCCTCAGTTTGAAAAGTTCAGAGTGGGCCGTCTGCAACTCCCGGCGGAGAATAATTTTATCCTTTTCGGATTCCTCGTGTAATCTTTTGGCCTCTGATAGCTCTGTTTCGAGATTGCGCTTCTCCTCGCGAAGAACTGTGACGTTAAGACTCTCCAATTCCTGTTCTACACGCTCAACGAATAGATTTTCCTTGGATTCTCGTGCATTTCTCAGAATCTCATCGTTGATCACTTTACGCTTCTTCGGAGGCATATCTGTAACACTTTTTTCTAGTTCTTCCACAATTTAGCATAAATCATTCTGTGTTATTTGCTTCATGTTCTTTTCCTCCATGCACCTTTCATTTTATCCTCGTTCAGCCAATTCACAACTAATTTTGTCCTCCCACTAACCTAATGACTATTTGTCCAGATATAGCCTGACCGTTCGCTGAAGCTGTTATTCACCCGTGTTCTGAAACAATCGGCTCAAAATGAAGTAGAATGCAAAAGACGAACATGCGAGGAGTACATGCGATAAAAAGACGAAGAGTAATGTTCTAAAACAGAGAATATCATGCAAAAACATTCGATTTTTGTGGGCTCTGTAATATTTTTTGATGATCGATGTTCTTTTAACGACGTCCTTTTATTGTTAGAACTCCACGTGATGACAAAAATCGTCCGAATTTTCTGAAACATCAGCACAGCGCAGCGTCAATTCGGCAAGCTTTTTCTACCTTTTCACTTCAAACTTATAGAACTCGGTCATTTCTGAGAATTTTTAGACGATTCGGCGCTCAAAATGTTTGCAATAAAATTCTTTATCAAATTGAGAGAAAGGAATTAAGAATAAAACTCGAGAACCGCAGCGATTCGTCAATTTCCTTTTTTTCACTGTAAACCTTAAAATGAATAGAAATCGTTCGAATCTGCACGAATTACGCTCGTCTGGCGCTCAAAACATCGGATTTGCAGTGAAGAACAACATTGAGAGACTAGAATTTAGGAAAAACTAGGCCTTGTAGCTTAATTTTTGAAGAAAAGGCGAAAATCAACGTAAAATCCAAAAAAAAAAAACAATTCCGCGCCCGTAAATCGACACCAGTTTAAAGGCGCATAGAGTGCAAACTTTCCATCGGGGAACTCCGTGCGGTTTCACATCACCAAAGACTCTTAAAAGTCGGACGGAACGCGTTCCGCTTCAAAAAATCCAGCGAGGCGCCAAAGGACGCTGCTGGCGCGCAAGCGCTGGCGCGTTCCTCGTGCGGCGCGCGAAATGTCGGGTTCGAATGTTTTTGGTTCAGTCTTTTAAGTTTTAACTAGGGTCGAGTGGTGAGCACCCTCGCGTCTCTTGTTTTGTTATTGTGCGGCGTGTTTATCCATGTTTTCGGAATAAAACGTCGTAATAACTCGTGTGTTTTGTATTTTCTTGTCGCAAGACGTGCTTGGAAGTGTGCTGTGATTTTATCGCGCGCATTTTTCCAACTTGGGGGCCGAACCATTGTTCCGGAAGCAAAGCGTGAACCGTCTGCTGACAGAACTAAAATTCGAGAAAGCGGGCCAGTGACCCTGACGCTTCATCGAATAACCTCATTTGTCTCTAATTGCGAGTAAAGCGTGACCCGTCTGCCCGTAAGAGAAAACTGAGGAATCGGGGAGACATCTTCGTCGGAAAAGTTTTCGGCAGGAATCTCACACCCGATCACAGCAGTAAGTCGTTGATTTTCACATCGGAAGCAGTTTTTCGGTGACTATCATGGCTGACTGCTGGAAAATTATCGATTTTTTCAAGTAAATTTTTGAAAATTAGCGATTTTTTCGAGCAAATTTTCGCCGCGATTAAGAAGACAGCCGGAGAAGTACAGATTTTTGTGAATTGTTGCAAAGTCTTGAAGTCTTCGCGCCACAATTCACATCGTTCCGCTAAACGTTGTTGAAAAGTTGCCAAGCTGCAAATATCGATTTTCCAGAAATCGACACGAGAAAGAGGAAGGAGATGAGGCCAGAAGAGATGGAGCAAGGCTAGAACCGCCACGAGGACGAATTTGAAGATGGTCTTCTAGATGAAGTCATCGAAGAAGAGGAGGAAGGAGCCGTGGAGGCGAAGCAGATGGAGATGGAAGGAGAGCGCCAGGAGGAGGCCGACATTCTCAGATTCGACGACTTCGAATTGGTAAGGGAGTGTGCCAGGGATGTAGCGGTGGAGAAGGTGATAAAACACATTCGGTCGCAAGCGAAATTCTCGGTAGCGCAAACGCGCACGTTCCTGCAACCCCTCATCGACGAGGCGTACACCGCGGTGGTGAGGGCGAAAAAATACTGCGCCGAAATTGAGCTGTTGAGAAAGGAGAAAGCGGACCTCAATAACCGAATGCGTAAATTGCAGGATGGCTACGAGGAGAGCGCGAGAACGGAGAAAATGAAGCCACGATCTTCCGAAAATTGGCAAGAGAGCGGGCGCGAGAGGAGCTTCGAGGGAGCAACTCGAGACATCGAGCTGTTGGTGAGTATTTTGGAGCAAAGAGGAGTGGACTCGGTGGAAAAGCTGGTGGAGCTGTTCGACGATGTCGAGCAGAAAGAGTTGAGCTACGAGGCAATGAGAGATAAATTGCAGAAAGCTAGTGCGGCGCGCGAAAGGTCGGGTTCGAATGTTTTTGGTTCAGTCTTTAAGTTTTAACTAGGGTCGAGTGGTGAGCACCCTCGAGCCTCTGGTTTTGTTATTGTGCTGCGTGTTTATCCACGTTTTCGGAATAAAACGTCGTAATAACTCTTGTGTTTTGTATTTTCCCGTCGCAAGACGTGCTTGGAAGTGTGCTGTGATTTTATCACGCGCATTTTTCCAACTTGGTTTAATTACCCAAGTTTGAGCAGCACACACGGAAGGGAAGACAAAAAGATGGCACACACAACGGTTTTCAACACAGAGATCAGGAACGCATTGGGGAGGTACAACCCGGAGGCTCGGATGTGGGCAGATACGTCTTATTGGGCTGATATCTCATTGCGAGGTATGTACAGCAAAGTCTGCCATTGGCATGCAATCACCACTATTGTGAACGGGAGAAGTGATTGCGTTGTTCTCGAAGGGTGTGAAACGTTGCATCGCCAAGTGTTGGAGCAAAGGGATGGAAAAAGCGCAGACCTGGCAGTCATACTCCCAAACAAGATTGTGACCGCAGAGGTGAAAGTGCTCAAGACGGCTCGCGGAAGGGAAACACTTGAGAAGACGTTCGAGGCTGCATTCCAACAGCATGACTTCACCACCGCTGTAATCGTGTTCTTTCCAAAGTCTATTGGGGGTTTTGACTACGAGATTCGAGGAGAGAACCATGAGGTATTAAACGACCTACTCCAAGCGAACATCGCAGAAGCCATCAAAGGATTGGACGAGCTGTCGGAGACAATCTCGCAGATTTGTGTCACTCATGGTCAGGACTACGGAGCATTCATCAGAATGGAGGAACAGTTTCTAGAAATAGACGAAGATGGATCTAAAGTCATAACTGAGGAGGACAAAGAGCTCTCGAAGAAATTCAGACGGGAAGATCCAACAAAATTAATCGGGGAGATTGCTGATTGGGCAGAGGAAAGTGAAAAGGCGACTCTGGAGGAGCTCAGACTCGAAGAAATGAAGGAAATTATGAACAGTGGGGAGAGAGAGAAATTTGTTGAGCTCAGTGAAAAGAGCCTGAAACTTGAGATCCCTACAGAAAAGGACGGCCCACCACAAAACTACCAACCCTTCTGGCTCACAAGTGGCAGGTGTCCCGTCAAAACCGGAGCCGAGACGGACTATGAAGCATTTGACGCGCTGAAGAAGATGATGGCGACGACAAGCATTGGCGAGTTCTATGAAAGGGGAGTTATTGTGGGGTCCCGGCAAGTGTTCAACGAGGAGACCAACCTATTCGAGACAAAATGCGTTCCAAGGACTGCCAAACCAGATCGGAAATCTCAAAAAACTGCGAGAACTCGACCTGGAGGAGAACGAACTGGAGACGGTGCCCACTGAGATCGGTAGGCGAGTCGGATATTGTAGATCAAAGCGACGTTGTTCAGGATTCTTGCAACATCTGACCAAGCTGTGGGTCCAATCGAACAAGATCATCACCCTGCCGAGATCCATCGGAAATTTGTGTTCCCTTCAGGATCTGCGACTCGGAGAGAACAATTTGACGGCGATTCCCGAAGAGATTGGTCGGTTTTTACACTTGTCTGGAACTGAAATTGCCAGATTGTAACTTTATGTGCAAATAATACCTATTCAGTCCAGTAGAATACTGGTATTTAACGCAAAAAACCCTATTCAAATGAGGAAAAATACATTTTCCTCTATGGAAACCCTGTTCGTGGCGAGACCCGTGCTAATAAAGGCATGCGCCTTTAAACAATTTAACAGAGCGCCCGGTTGTGTTTAAAGGCGCGGCGCATGCCATTGAAGCGCGGGTCTCGCAACGAACACCGTTTTTTTTCTCTAAACTTTCTTTACAATTAGATGAAACAATGCCTAGAGCAACAGCATGAACATTTATTTTTCCTCAAATGACTTTCATGAAACACTTTTTCCCGTTTCAGGTCACCTGGACTCTCTGAAATCCCTGTACCTCAACGACAATTCGTCGCTTCACAATTTGCCGTTCGAGCTGGCACTGTGCCAATCTCTGGAAATCATGTCGATCGAGAACTCGCCGCTCTCGCAAATTCCGCCCGAAATCACTGCGGGCGGTCCGAGTCTCGTGATACAGTACCTCAAAATGCAGGGCCCTTATCGAGGAGTTGTGATGACGCAGGGACAGTAACCCGCGCGCCTACCGTAATCCCTGTTTCGCTTCGTTTTCAACGGGTCTTCCCCCCCACTAAACCGCTTCTTTTTCTGGATGTTCGATCACTTTTTCCTCCCCCTCCCCCTCCCTCCGCAAATATCATCAATTCTTTCCCGAGTTCTTCTTCCGCGCACCCTTTTTTCGTCAAGAAACGTCTTTTTTGTACTTATCGCATCAATCCTCCCCCCCTTTCATTGAATATTATCGCATCGCATTTTCTTGCTCCGTTCTTTTCATAAACGATTTCACGAAAAAGCCAGCTGCCACGTCATAAAGCGTCCGCCGAAAAACACATGAGCACTCATAAAAGTGAAGAATACACAGATGTTTCGGGCCGAACAGAATACAACATTCTCCCCACTGCACACAGCACTTTTTTGTGTTTGTTTTGCAGAACAATTTGTCGTCTCAAGGGCATACCCCCTATTCCAGACGATGCATCTCAGTTGGCAGTTGAGATATCAAAAATGTGTCAACTAATAAAATATTCACTAAGAAATTCTGCACATTTTATCAGTTGACAACTTTTTGGTAACTCTACACACAGCTGAGATGTGTCGTCTTGAATTAGCGGTATTGTGGTCTTACTGTAGTTACCGTTTCTAAACGTCGCTTTTATAGCGGGTATAACCGTATAGTGTTACTTAACAATTACCTGAAAATGTATTTGAATCCATTTGTAGAATCACTGAGACAGTTCTAGAATGAATATTTTCCATCTAATTGCCGATACAGTGAAAAAAAGATAGGACATCCCCCCTAAAATGACGTTCTAGAGAAAACTAAACATTTTCGAGAAAAACTGTGAATGCCATTCGATTCAGCATCCAAAATAACCTACGAAACCAATTTTTCAGATTCCTACCTCAAAAAATTAAAGCTTTGAAAAGTCTTAAAGACACCCCCCAAAAATGGAGGGATTTTTCAACTTTTTGTGCTTTGTTCAGATAATTTTCCGGTTTTTGGTTTGTTTTATTAAAGACTCATTACTCTTTTGTGTATTTTTTGAATTTCTGGCAAAACGATCCAATTATAGTGTTGTTCTGATAGATGTAAAGTTGTTTCGGACAAAATTCGAAATCTTTGAACAATTTTTGTTTTCGAATGTTTTATTAACAAAGGAAACTTGCTAAATGTTCACAAAACATGAAATAATAAAAAAGAAGTTGTAAAATCTGTCTAGAAAAATTGGTTTCATATTGTATTGCGGTCACAGGCATATTAACTGAACACTTGAAACTTGTGCAATTTACAGTGTCATTGAAACGGTAAAATGCATTGACTTTGAGTAACTCATTAACGGAAGGTTCTTCACACAAAAAAAAATGGTTCCCAAGTCGTCAAAACATTTTGAGACTTTAGACTCAATTTCAGTGACCTGGAGAATAAGAAAAGTGACAAAATAGTATAGAAATACAAAGTTGGCAGAGAGTTTCTGTTAAATATTCAGTAAACAAAGTGAAAAGTTGGTGAAGCGGTAAATTCCTCAAAGTTATGGCACCTATTTTGAAATTTACAACTTTTTGAGAGTACAAGAGTCAGTTGGTTGTTCACAATCGTCAACTATAAACACAACAAATCATCGCAACTTTTCGGTCATTTGCACTTTCACTGAAATAGTCAGTTAATGACGCATTGGTCAACTGTTAATAAAACAAATCAACTTTTTTTTTTGCACTTTCACGGAAACAGTAAGTTGATCCTGAAATTGATTAAAAGTTAGTTTATACAGTATACGAAAAAACAAAGAACTACTGTTTCAATCCGATGATAACACGTACACACTATACTTTGAAGAGAGAGAACAATTTCAGTGCTTCAAAGCCTAGATTTGCCCTTTAAGACTCATTTCGACCTAATCCCTCTCCTCATTTCGTTCCCATAACGCATAAAAACCGAAATTCGAGCCGCGCGTGCTCCGTTTTGCTCCATTTCAATCATTTTTATCCGTCCGTTCTCCCCCCGGGGAATCGCCCTCAAAACGAGATGTTGCAACTCAATTTCCGGTGCAAAAACGTGGAAAAGTTGAGCTCATTCAATTGAAAGTACGCTTTACTCTCTCTTTTTTGTCATTGTCATTTTCGTGTCGAAGGAACGAATGAGTTGCTCGTGTCTTTTCATTATTGAGAAAAGGTGTCGAATTTGACGTATTTCGTTTCAAAAAAGTATCAAATTTCATCGTGATTATCCTGAAATGCTCAAAATAAAGTATAATATTTTAGCTTTTCTTTGCGGATCTTTGAAAAAGAGACTGGATTGCTATATCAGCTGTGCCGTTTTGTTAATTTTCAATTCAAATCGACACATCTCAGCTGCCTATAGAGATCGGAAAAAGTTGTCAACTGATAAAATGCTCATTAAAACCATCTGTACACTTTGGCAGTTGACAACTTTTTGATATCTCTACCGGCACCCCAAATATAAAGTCTTTTTCGTATGGAAGTCCTAAGCTTTCCGAATTCAAAAATGCAAATTGCTCGCAATCTCCAGTTTCACAATGTCCCCAACTAAACTTCTAGCAAACTCTCTCGCTCGAATCTTGCAATTATGTCTCCAAACATTGCACTCTTTCAGAAAGTGTGCTCTGATGCTGTGAGTACAGCGGAAATTCACCAATATTATGTTATGCAAGGCGTACTTTGAGTAGCCAATTGGCATCAAACTTTGAACTTTAAGAATCTTAAGCAAAACTTTTTGATATAACAATTCTCTAGAAGATTAGTGAAACTTGGGTACTGTAGTACCTTTTGAAACGGATTGGCTTCCAGATTGAACCGCCGAAACTTGGCAGCCTTCTTGGACTTGGATTGAAGTACGTTGTGTCAAAGTTTGAGACCAGTAGGATTATTTGATTCGGGGATATACAGTTTTGATGCCGAACAATGCGTTTTCTCAAAAACCCGACTTTTCGGCCTGAAACCAGTAAATCTCCAGAGTAAATGATCCAATCGGTCTGAAACTTGGTCCCCAGATACTGTAATGCAAGTACAAAAAGCCAGCGACGTTTGGATCCAATTACAAACCATTATTACTGTTTCCACTCGTCGTCTTCCCAAAACACTGTTCAAAATGATAATTGAAACACTGAATACCAGAGTTGAGCAGGATTCCGTCTTCCGTCGATTTTTTTGTTCCGTCTTCCGCGAAAAAATGTTTTCTTCCGTCTTCCGTCTGCCGTCTTCCGGGAAAAAGGATTTCTTCCGTCTTCCGTGTTCCGTGTTCCGTAAAAAACATTTTCTTCCGTTTTCCGTTTTCCGTGTTCCGTAAAAAACATTTTCTTCCGTTTTCCGTGTTCCGTGTTCCGTAAAAACATTTTCTTCCGTCTTCCGTCTTCCGGATTTCAAAATTCCATTTCCGCTCAACTCTGCTGAACACCCTTTATCAACAATCCAATTTTTGGAAAAGAACGTTACACGGATTTTACGGTTTTACGAATCCGTAAAGAACAAATTCTTGCGCGCAGCACTGATCTTCATTTACAGTGTGTGAATGACTCATTTCCTTCGAGAATCGAGCCAGACATTTCAAAGATCTCTGTTATTCTGTTCACTCTGACACGTCATCTTCAGATGTATCCAAAAATTAAACGAAAAAAACAGACGAGGAATCGTCGAAGCGTACATCTCTTCCTTCAACTTTATTGCTCGGTTTCACTTCCCCCTTATATAGTCTGATTGTTTCAAAATGAGACAGTTATGTTTGGAAATCCGTCACAAAGTGTCCGAAAAGCCGACAAACCAGACCAAAACATCATTAACTTTTTGGGGGGTGGGGGCGGAGACCACCACAAGATGTTTTTTTTTCCAGATTTTCCCATAAACACAATTTCAGAACTCCTCTTTTTCGAATTCAATTTGATGAATTCAGCCCTGATTGCGCGGTCGTCCGGCGACCCTCAATCCGTCATTTTCCTCGGATGAGTTATCGTCACGGACCCCTTCTTCTTCTTCTTCTTCTTCTTCTTCTTCTTTCACTTCTTCTTCCTCTTCTTCTTCTTCTTCTTCTTCTCATTCCCATTGTTCTAATCGAATTACCATGTCGCCGGGAGCACATTCTCTTGAAGAAGAAGAACGGCGACGAAGAAGAAGGAGAAGAAGAAGAGCGAGGAATATTATAAACAGGCATGCTCTTTTCCGCCCTTCCTCTCGCTCCCTCTTGTTGTTTTTTGTCCTCCTAATTGCTCTCCCGCTAAGCCCCGCCCACTTTTTTGGTGAGCACAACCCGCGGCGCCACCACTTCTTCTCTGACGTCGTCTTCAGATGGAAACACAAGTTCCGAACGACACCGTCACTTCCGCCGACGACTCGGAGTTCTACGAACTGTCGCCTTTCGAGCTGGTACGTCTTTTTTCGATGCTTGACAACCGTGTACCTTCTGAAACAGATTTCCGAACTGAAACTTGAAAAAAACTCGACCTCAACGTGTGATGAGCACTTTTGAATCGAAATCAAACGAATCTGAGCAAATGGTGAAGCAGAAAAGTGCAATAGTTTTTCTACCGTCTATTCAAACCGACGTATCTCAGCTGTCTGCAGAGCTATAAAAAAGTTGTCGACTAATAAAATGTGCACAACATTATAATGAACACTTTATTAGTTGACAACTTTTTGATACATCCACTGCCAAATGAGATACTCTGTGTTGTATAAACGTAAACGTAATCCAGATTCTTCCCCAATATTTAGCGAACTTTTGAAACAAGCTTCCCATGTCTGTAAACACTCGGATCTTTGATTCTCCACACGGAAGTTTTCAATATCGCTTCCAGAAATGTTCGAAGTGACAATATCGCGTGAGCCCCCATGTTTTTCCGGGCCCAAAAAGCAAAAAAGCGTATTTAAAATTAAAATCGCTCTAGCCTTCGCCGAAATTGAATCTTTCTCATCGGCATCGGCTATACACACCCATTTCGTGTGGATTTGGGAACAGAAAAAAGAGAGAGGGGGGGGGGGGGAAAGTGAGAGTAATTACGGGCGATAATTGACCGGAAAGACGGACGGATTCTTCTGAAAATGTCTGAAAATGCGCGCAACGGCTCTCGAGCTGAGAACGATCAGAAGGACCAAGTTTCGGAAGAGCCCAAACATGTATTACAGAAAAAATTCAAAAATGTCTAGATGTTACCAACTTGAAATTGTAATTCACAACTTTTTCTTATCCGTAGGGTCCTTAGAAAACTCAAGTTCCAATTTTGATCGCATGTTGACGAAAAGAAGGAATGTTAGAATCTTCAGTACCGTTAATTCAAATCACTGTATCTCAGTTGCCGTTTGAGATATCAAAAAATTGTCAACTGATAAAATATTCAATATAATATTCTGCACATTTTATTAATTGACAACTTTCCGATATCTCTCCCGGCTGCTGAGATAAATTGCATTGAAATCCGGAATTGATCGCGTCCTAACAAACCACCGATCCAAAACCGAATATTGTTTTGCAGATAGTATGGTGCATGCTGTACGCGATCATCGCGTTCATGGCCGTCCTTGGCAACCTCCTCGTCCTCTACATTACCCTTTTCCGATTGAGGTCAGTTCGGATTTTGGCGTTTCCAGAAACCCAACACTTTTCGTGTATACGCATCGCTCGTTTTCACACGCCTTTTAGTCGAGCGCTTAAGGATCGAGTTTCAAAACACGAATTGGAGGGGGAAAAAACAGAAATCTCGAGCATAATCTAGTGAGGTTTTGGCGGCGGGGCGATTTACGTGCAGAGGAAGCGAAAAAAAAAGAGAATGGAAAGACACTAAACAAAAAAAAGTTCAGTTTCACATGCCTTTTGTTTGCAGAGTTCGTTCGATCACGACCTACTTCATTCTGAACCTCGGCTTCGCGGACCTCTTCACCGGCATCTTTGCGATTCCGTTCAAGTTCCAGGCGGCCCTTTTCCAAGTGAGTTGTTGACGGAACAACAACACCAAAGAAAAAGTCTGCAACAGAACGGATTCAAAGCGATTAATCTTGCCGCTTCGCTTGTTTTTTGTGTGCGAAAAAGATGATAAATTGTGATTCGGTGAAGAAGTGAACAACGGCGCCGGCGAAAACAACAATAGTCGGAGAGAGAGAGAGAGAGAAGATCAGAAATCGAGGGGGGAAGCGGATGAACCCTGTGAAACTGTGGGGAAAACAGAAAGAAGCGGACGGATAACAAAAGGCTGTTACCACTTCCCCGAACTCTCCATTTTTGATGAGCTTCGACAAAAGAATACATTTCTGGCCAGGCGGGGCTCAGCGGGCTCATGGATAAGAGGGGGCACTGCCGACTTGCAGGGAAAATTAAGGTGTTCGGCTTATCGAAAAGTTATTCCAGGAATGGTTCCTGCCACGACCGCTGTGTCGGATAGTGCCCTACGTGGAAACGGTGGCGCTGACGGTGTCAGTCTTCACGCTCGTCACCTCGGCCGTCCACGAATTCCGCACAATGTTCTTCTCAAAGTGCTCGCAGATGAGCCCAAAGTCGGCGAAACGATGCGTGCTGCTGATCTGGATCATGTCGGTGATAGTGTCGCTCCCGCACGGACTGTTCCACAACACCTACGAGTTTCCGGACAATGAGACCACTATTGTGCAGGTATGTAATTGATGGGGACTTTTCGAGAACGAAACACATCCGTTTCAGTGTCTGCCGGTGTACGCGGACGCCGGCTGGTGGAAGTTCTACAACGTGTACCTCGTCATTATTCAGTACTTTGTGCCGATGGTCATTCTCGACACGGCCTACACAATGATCGCCGTCAAAATCTGGACGATGAGCAAGAATCGCGTCGAGGTGGACGAGACGAAGACGGCGAATCAGAAGGTGAGGAGAGTGTTTGTGTGCGCCGGAATGGATCTGTTCGCAATGTGCCCCTTTCTGATTGCTTCTCCCTCAACTTTGGCATCACTGAAATGTTTCCTCAGCTTTTGGGTTTCGAGCAAAAGTTATAGTTTCAAGACCTTACATCATCAATAATTTGAGCACATGAGCGAGTCTTCTTCGCACCTCAGAAACATTTAATACGCGACTCAATAAATTCGCCAAAAAATGAGTAATGTAATTGTGTATGTTCCATGGCCACTTGAGATTTCCAGTCGTGCAGAGAAAGTACTGCTGTTTCAGCAAGTTTTGAAGTTCACTCAATTGAATCGAAGCTCCAGTATTGCTTTCGTTTTTATGAGGAAAACGGAATACAATCATTTTTTGCACAGCCTGAATAACCCCATTATAAGTTGAATATGAGAACGAACGCTTCACGTTTTCTGCACTGATTTCGCATCGCCCCTCCACCGCACCCTTCTTATCCCAATCCATTCCGCGTAGCTGCCCGTGTCGATGCTCAAAACGTCTCAGTTATCGCAGCTGATGCGCACGCTCATCATCGTCGTCGCCTGCTTCTCGCTCTGCTGGTTTCCGCTCGAGACGTATCTGGCGCTGAACGAGCTGAAACCGGAGATCAACGGCTGGAAGTACATCAATCTGGCGTTCTTCTTCTCGCACTGGCTCGCCATGAGCAACTCCTGCCTCAATCCCATCATCTACGGGCTTTATAATGTGAGTGAGACGACGACTAGTTGGCGGCCGCAGAAAAACGGATAGCGTTTCAGACAAAGTACAACGAGGAGTATCGTCGGCTTTTCCGCCAAATCGGATGCGTTTGGCGTCGACGAAAAAGTTTGAGTGACACGGTACGCTGATTCTAGTTAAATTTGATCAAAAGTAATCAATCAACGAACACTTGAATCATTTGAAATGTACTTGAAACCGAGAAAGTCCACTTATTCAGACGAAGCCCGAACGCCGATGGAACTCCTCAAACGACTGTCGAGATCAGCACGAAATCGACCAGATCGTCGACGGATCTTCGTCTTTCTCGGCACCGCCCGGCACTGCCGCTCACCAATAAACGTGTACTTTTTGACAAACACAAGGTCGCAATAAAGTTATTCGAGTTTTGCACTACAAATCTTTGAAATCTCGTTTTGGCCTTCTTCGTTTGTTTTTTCAAGCAACGTCTTCGGCCGAACCTCGGGGGTTCCATTCATTATCTGTTTGACCGTTCACTCTCTGTTCTTCCATTTCCAATCAATAATATCCGTTCTCCTTCCAAACCCTCGACAAAGTACAGAGCTGCCAGGGCCAAATCTGCCAGAGAGAAGAAGAAGAAGGCCGCGCGTGCTCCAGAAGCCGTTCCCGCTGCTCCAGCCGCCGGAGAAGTGATATACAAGCTGCAGTCGTCGGACGGCGTCGTCTTGCCGATCACGAGATCGGCCCGCAGGAACTGTTCGACCTCATCTCCGCCACCAACTACTTGGACGCGAAGCGCCTGCTCTACCTGGCGTGCAAGCGAGGCGCCGAAGTTCTCAAGGACGGCTTCGATCACGGACCCGAAGCCGAATGAATTCTCGCGTCGAAAAATACACTAGTTTTCATTCTAGACAGGCGTTAAAGAACAGGACAATAAATTCAGTCAGTCAATAAAATGCAGGCCCTCTTCCGGTTCCTCGTCGCTCAAATCGTGCGCGTACGAGAGCATTTCCGTCTTTCCGATCTCCGTCAGACACTGAACGGCCTTCTCGAACACTTGCGGATGCTTCTGGATCAGGTCGTCGAGCGTGAGCATCACGATCGGCTTGCCCGCCTTCCAGAACGTCACCGAGTCCTTGGTGAACTCGAAAGTGTGCCCGAACGCCGACGACATTTCCGGAAAGAACTTGGTCGCCAGACGAATCGTCGTCGACTTCAGAAACTCCCACTCGCTCAGCTCCTTCGACAGCGTCGTCTTCTGAATATGAAAAATAGTGAAAACGCGTGTGAATCTTGCAAACCTGACGAATAATGTTCGCGTCGGCGTTCGAGTGCTTCTTCAGATCGCACTCATCTCCGTCGAACAGATCAAGTAGGGCGACGGCTCTATCGTCGTCCACCTCGAAAGTCGCACGTCCGAGGAAATCGCTTTGCGAATACGAGGTCGGATTGCATCCGTACGGAATGCACACGTCGAATGTGCTCGTGTTGATTCTGTAAATTCTCGCATTTCAAATTAATGCACTTATTAGTCTAGCTAGGTCGCCGAATATCATATTCTTGAAAGTTGCAGACTGATCGGATCAGACCGGACTGATTTGAGGCAAAAAAGGCTGCAAAATAAGTACTTATTCTGCAGACCCCTCAGCACACATCCGCTCGGTCTGAAACTTTCAAGGTAGATACTCCAAACAAAGACATATAATCGTGATAATCGTGGGCCCGAAGCCTAAAGGCTTGTCCGTAACGAACCCTATTTCGGTGAGAATCTCGGCGGCCGTGTGCCGATCCCTTCTCCATCCCAATCCGAACTCCAATCCGACGAAAGTGAATCTATGCCGCACGGGCGCCGTGATCATCCGTCTCCGCAGCAGACTCCCAATCGTGAGCTCCGACGGCGGCGTTGGCGGCGTCTCTTCTCTCTTCACCGGCTCCTCCTCTTCCGTTTTCACTTCCGACGCATTTCGTCTCCGACGCATTTCACGCCTCTTTTCGACGGTTTTCGTGTACGACTCGAGCGCCAACTCGACAATCTCGCCCGTCATTCCCTCGTAGACGTCGCCGTCGATCGGGTCCGTCACGCTCTTCAGGATTCGGATGTAGCGACGGAGTTTCGACAGCGCCAGTTTGTCGGTGATGAGAGGACTGAAAAGTGGGGTGAATAGGGGAGAAGGAAGGGTGACACTTACTGATCTCTGGGGCTCGTAGCCATTTTATGGTAGCTTTTTACTGCAAAAAGGTTTTCATTAAAATCGAGCTCAGCCACACTGAATCCGATTTGCAGTAGATCACGATAGTCATCGAGCGGAAGGATCGATAAAACATTGAAATATCATCAAATTTAAGGTGAAAATAAAGTTAGAGTGTACACAGGACGTTTATATAAATAAGTATATAGGTAAATAAATGAGAATATGTAAATATGTATACATTAATTGAAATAGCGTCGATCAGGCAACTCCCGCCTTGATCGTCATCTCCAGAATCCCCGAATCTCCGCATCCTTCCAACAACTTTTTCGCCTTTTCCTTGGCCCTCAAATCTGCCGAATACATTCCCATCATCATGCTTCCGATCTGATCCAGTCCAGCCAGTGATTTGTTGAAAATGTTCGGATGGTTCACAATGAGCTCTTCCACCCAGAACCTCTCCGTTTTCATGCCCGGTCGCTTGAAGCTGATGTCGTTCTTCGTGTACTCGGCGCAGTATTGGGCGAAACGTGGATAGGCTTCGACGATCAACGGGCTCGCGATGCGAAGCACCACCATTTTGAGAAAGTCGCCTTCGACAAGCTCTCTGGTTAGAATCGAGTTCTGAAAACCAATCAGAATGGACAAAATTGAAAAAACGCGTACATTATCAGCCGTTAGAGCTTTTCTTCTGTGATTCTTCATCTGAATTAGGTCCTTGTCTCCGAACAACTTCAGAATACCGCCGACTCGCTGTTCTGTGACCGAGAAACCGATGCGTCCGAGGCATGGAGCCTTCGAAAATGACGGCTGAACCTTGGTGTTCGGGATCATCACATCGTATGCGTTCATTGTGATTCTGAAGGAGAAATTAGGGTAATTATGGTGTTCACATGTGGACAAGGGGTGTGGCTTCGCAATTTCGGTACGTTTCGGCAATTTTCTTGCGCGATGTAAATTAAAACGATATTTAAAGAAGAAAAGTGCCAAATAGACGTGAAATAATAATTTCCAAAGCATTTTCCGTTGATTCGGCGTCGAAAATTCGTTCAAAATTTCCGGGTGGGCCACGCCCCCGTTTCACGCAATGTCCGTACCCAATCTCAGTGAGAGCCTCGGCGACCGCGAAGATGCTTGCCTGTCTGTCACCGCTGAATTCTGGTCCCACAAGGAAGAACTGCAGCGGGGACCAGTGTCCGACCGGTGTCATTCGGTTTCGAGGCACAGAGGTGGGCGTGGCGACGTTGCGTGGGCATTCGACTCTTTCCATGAGCTGAAAACACGGAGTTTCCACATTAAAATCTTTGGAAATTAGGGAGGAAAACCATGCAAGGAGAGGAGGGGATCGATCCGGGCAGCACAATCCTCGCCTGCTTCATCGGAAGCATCGATTGCATCGACGAAGATCCGTTGTTCGGATGCTTCTCCACGACCATCATCCTCTTTATCGGCGCCATCGGCATCCTCGGCGACGGCGGCAGCGACATATTACTGATTCTCTGCAGCATTTTGAAGTGCGAATAGAGAGCGTTCGCAATGATCTCCTCGGAAACTTGATCGCCTTCCGGCACGTTCTCCGCCGCCATCTCGTCGGCGATTCTGTTCACAATGTCCGAGTAGGAGCGCAGATTTTTTATTACGATATCACGCGATATCTTGTCTTTTCGCCATCTGAAACAGAATTAATCGAGGTGAAACGAAAGAGTCGGCACTTACCTTGCCTGTTGAGAATCTGTGTTCCAACTGTCCATCTGAAAAAGGTTTGGTTTCAAAAAAAAAAAGGAATTGAAAGAATAGATATTCAAAATAGAACAAAACCGAGCATTTAAATTTAAAATCGATGGAATATAATTTTATTCAAGTCAATAAAACGATCTATTAGAAGATATAATTAAGTATTTTCAGTGTAAGACGTAGAAACAATACAATACATATAAAGTGTGAAAATGAAGATCAAGGTCAATCTGCAATTTTCAATCTCTCGCGCGAACAACTTCCGCCCGGTCGATCGTGAAACGGCGCGAGATGTTCTACGAGTTCTTTTTGAATCTGCCCGTCGAAGATCTTTTGTTATTAGCTGGTGGAGCAGGCGGTGCTTGCTCTTTTATGACTGATCTCGAATTCTTCGGGTCCGGAATGCTCTTGGAAACCGTCGAAACTCGATTCTTCCTTGGATCGGGGATATTGACCGAATCGCCTAGGAACGCGTACGCAGTAGTAGCACGAACTTGCTGTAAATCGTTCTGAATCTCTCTCTCCGCATCCTCCGAATGCTTCTTGGTCTTCTTTTTCAGTTTGGGCGTAGGAATGTCGTTCTCGTAGAGATTCTCCTCCCAGCCTAGCAGCTGATTCTCCATCTCCTCGATCTTTTGCTTCGCTTCCAGCCGGTCAAATGTTTCCTTGATCAGCTCCACCGCGTATTTCTTCATCTCATCTCGCCCGACGTCTTTAAGCAGCAAAATGGACTGGGCGAACACTTTCACGTGCTCCAAAATCAGATCTTCCACGTCAAGCGTCTTAACCTGTCGCTGATCTTTGAAAACTGTGAGCGAGTGCTTGAAAGTGTTGAAGGAGTAGCCGTCCTCGTACGGGTAGACGTTCGAGATGAATCCGACGGCGAGAAGGATCGTGTCGATTTTGAGCGCGTCCCATTCGGTCAGCTCTTGCAGCAGACACGTCTTCTGAAATTTAATTTCTTAGTTTCGGACTGTCTCCGAATTTTTAAATCCTCACGTAGAAGATCGGAAACTCGGCTTCGTCGATGTGATCCTTCAATTCGCACCGCTCCCCGTCAAACATCATCATAATTTGTGCAGTTCTCGCGGCGTTCACTTCGAAAGTTACTCTTGTAAACTGCGAGATACTCGCGAACGAATCGTGGTGCTGTCCGATCGGAACAACCACCTCATCGGGAGACGTCCCTATTCTGAACTATAAAATTTGCCGGACAACTTTGCAAATAGGGTACGTACCCGAGATCTGTGAGCATTTTGGCCACGAGAGTCGCGTCCTCACACTTTCCAAAGTGACCGCCCTCCAGGGCGAGGAAAGTGAATCTCTGGCGTCCCGGCGTGATGCTAGAGTGTTTGCTTCTGATGTTTCCGACCAGGTACGTCGGAAAAGGGTCGAAATCCGAAGCTGGCGGGTCGAAAGTGAGGAAAGCTGAGTCTGCTGCGGTCGCGGAAGGGTCGGTGTACTCGTCCTGTTGGGTCAGAGTGATCACAGGTATCTTCCTCTCGACGTGCATCTCCTGACTCTTCCGCTTCCTCACCGACTTGCTCATTTTGCCGACGACTTCCGCGTGAGCATCAAGAGCGCTGGCGATGATCGGCGCCATCATCTCCTCACACTCGCCTCGCGACGTCTTCTCGGCCAACGTCGTCAGAATTGCAGCGTACGAGCGCAGACTCTGCGCCACAATTTCGTTCTCCATCTGGAAATGAATAGTAAAATATTTAAAATACAAGGAATTGCAGAAAATTGATAATACATCGGAATAGAATGACCGAAAAGTGGGAAATACAAAACGAAATGCGTTTTTTATTGGCAAGAATAAAAGCAATCGATTTATCTATGCTTCACAATTCACAAATGCACACAATTGGGGGTTAATTTCAAATTTCAGAATCATATATACATTACAAAGTTAGTTTTTGCAGTTTTTCAGCATACATTTTCAACGGTTCTTGTCCGCTTATTGGCAATATGTTAACGGTTTTTTCAAAGATTTCATAGTACTTTATAACGAGATCTTCGAGGCCGATCTCCTCGATTAGGTGGCCACTCCGATGGACGCTGACTGTGAATTTGGACGAACTGATGTCGAATCCCAGAAAAGAGGGATACAGCTCGCAGAGGAAATCGACAGTGAGTCGCATTGTCTCCAGTTTCAGAATCTCCCAATCGGAGAGCTTTTTCCTCAAAACAACGCCGCAAAGGTCCATCCGACACCGTTTCAGCTTCTGCCCGTAGTCCCATAAGTCGCAATGGTCGCCGTCGAACAGCTTCAGAAGAGCGTCGGCTCTTTTCGATCCAAGTTCGAATGTGACCCATGCGGAATTCGAGAATTTCGACTTTCGACCATGTTTGTCCACGATCACAACTTGCGGCGAATACGTGGTTATTCTGGAAGAAGTGACGAGTTCGCAATATAGAAATGTAGTGATTACCCGATATCAGTGAGCAAATCTGCAATATATTGCCGATTGACCACGTAGGGAATGCCAAGAAGAGTGAATTTCTGATGACTTTTAACTTCTCTTTCACTTTCCGCACTTTGAATGCGACTACACTCGGGCGGCGGTGTTGGCGTAGCTATTTTCTCACTTTCCATAGACCCGGGTGAATATTCTGGAGCATCCGCTATTTCCAGTTTGACACGCTTCTCGGGAAGTTCAAAGTCGCCTTCCTCCTCTTTCGGCTCTTGTTTGATCGGCCGTTTGTTCGCCAACCTGCACGTTTTGTAGACTATTTTCTCATGCACGTCCAAAATAGTTGTTATCACGTCTTCTGTCAGATTCATTCGCTCCCAATCCTGAAATCATTCAAATAATCAAAATTTAAAATTAAAAAGTTCAGGTTTACATGGAGACTGCTTCGTTTTCCGTACTTCGCGATGTCTCGTCCGATACGTTCCGTATTTTCGGCGAAAGACTCCAGAATTCGTATAAATGACCGAATGTTGCCAACAACATTGTCGTTCTCTGATTTGTCGGTGAGCCATCTGAAGCGGAAACACATTTTCAGAAATCAGCGAGAAACACACTTTCAACTCACGATGGTTGTTCTTTTACGATAGTTTCGGGGCGCGCAACACACGCCATTGCGGCTCGGCCTAAAAACTCAAATTACATACAATTTTCCGCAAAAACTGAAGCAAAAATAGAAAGGAGAGTTTGAAAAGTCATAGTTTTTAGGTAGAGCTTGTCAATTTCAGCGTATTGAGTGCACGATATGTCACGCGGTGTTTGCAGAGAAGAGTACGACCGTAATCCAAAATGAAAAAAACAGACAACTCGGGCATTTGTTTGCTATTAAAAATTGCACAAAATAGTGGAAAAATATTTAGAAATTTATTGTCGGAGTTTATTTTATTTATTGGGCCATACACACATTGTAACGAAATATCTCTCTTCATAAGTAAAAATTATCGCCGCCTCTCTTCCGTTCTTGTTCTGAAAGTTGTATCCTCGACTCATCTCGTGTGGCTTCATACCTCCATTAACGTCCTCTCTCAAAAAGAGTATTTGATTGCTAAATAGTCACAATTCGCCACATACAGAAAGAAATCTCTCCTGAAATCTGCAGCATTCTTAGTGAATTCCAATCCATCCAAAATTAGTTCCGTGTCTGGCTGGCCCTCTTCCAAGTCCCATAAAACCAGCAAAAACTCAAATTGACGACCAAGGCCCGCCTCCGAGTCCAGTGCTTCAAGAATTCGTTAATCTGATGTTCGGTCAGTGCACACTGACGAAGACTGATATAGCGAACGTTCATTTGGAGCAGGCTCGACATTGCAATCCACGAAAAATTGTCAATCAGAAGAAACGAGAAAAAAAACAGATATTTCGGACATTTGTTTGATATGCATGTCGATATTAATATAGGAACAAAATAGTGACAAAATATTTAGCAAATTATTATCAAAGCTCTAGCCTCATTTCGAGTGTTTCTCCAAATACGCCTTCATTCTATTCTTCCCCTCTTCCGTCAGATGCGTGATAGTCTTGTCGACAAGTTGTTTGTTCTCCATCAACATTTCCCATTTGTACATTTTGATTTGGCTTCCGCTCTTCCACACCGTCAGCGTATCCTTGAATGCTTCGAGTATGAATCCCTGCGTCCACGGCCACGCATTCCTCAGGAACAAGATGGCGTACCGTGTGAACGTCATCTTCAGAACGTCCCAATCGGAGAGCTCTTTGAAGATCGTCGCATCCTAAAGTACCGGAAAGCATTAAATTATTTCCGTGTCTAGTACCTGAAGATAACACGTGAAATAGTTATCGCTGCTCTTCGTCAAGTCGCATCGGTCGCCGTCAAACTTCCGCAAAAGCGCCAGCGTTCTCGCGTGGTCCACCTCAAAAGTGATACGGGAGAGACTTCCCACCTCTTCGAACACGCCCATCTTCTTCTTCGCGGGAATACTGACGTCCGGCTCTTCGGTACGAATTCTGAAAGCTTAAAATAATCAAAAATTCGTGGTTTCTAACGTACCCAATATTGGTGAGAATTTCCGCAACTTTACTCTTGTTAACATCGTTTGATAAACCGAACCACACACTAAATACTGTGAATCGCTGTCTTCTGATGTTTCCGATGGCTGAAACGCTTCCGGGCGGACTCAATAACTTTTTCGGCGCGCCCATCCGCGGTCGATAGTCCGATTTGCTCCGATCGAACGGCAACGGCGCTTTAAACGCTTTCTCGGGCGTTCTTTCGTTCTTTTCCCTCTCCAATATCCTGTTCGTGTGGTCGTGCGCGTCCTTGGCAATCCTGACGAGCGATCCGGTCAACGAGGTCCGAACTCCGCCTTCCCGCTCGATTTGATTCGCCAGTTTTGTTAATATTTCGATGTAGGCGCGGATGCTCGACACCGGATCCGACATTATTATTCTCTGAATCAAATTTTTTAAAGTTGAAATTGCGAGAAAAAGAGCGAATTCTCTTCGATTTGAGATCTCCGTGGTCTAGGTTTCTGCCGCGGAAAATTACTTTTCCTTTCTTATTTGGCGCCGGGCCTGAGGTAACTTTGAAATAAAAAAAAGTATAAAATGAATCAAATCAACAGGAACATGAGAAGAAGCGAGTTTTAAACACATATTCTTCAAAAAGAACAAAGAACAAAAATTCTTCAAAATTCTTCTAGCACAGGCCTGTTTCTCGTCGTTTCAAAATGACTTCACCGCGCAGAATAAATCATCTTCTTGCCGTGCTCGTTGAGCGTCTCGTAGACGTCGTCAGGCGAGGTCGTCCAAACTGATCTTTCTGTGCTTCACGCCGTCCCTGAACATTGTCAGCGTCTCTCTGAATCTGTTGAAAGTGAATGCCGGATAGACGCGTCGAAGACGTTTCGCCGCTGACACCATGAATCCGATTTTGGCCACTTTTGAATGTAGGACCAAATCCTGTGAAAAGGGCGCATATAATTACGATAGAGCAAGTTTTGTGCGTACTTTGAGCTGCGGATCGGTCTTGATCTAGTTCGGATTACAGCGAATTCCGTGGAAAAGAAAAAGAAGAACGGCGGTTTTGAAATTTGACCAGAAATCGATATGAACTAGCGGACAAGATTCGTACAACTGTATTCAGAATTTGTGCGGGATCTTGTGAGAGATTCGAAGCCAGAAGAGTGAACGTTTGGCACGGATTGACGTCGATTCGGCTCATTCGACTCGTCGGGTCGGGCAGTACTCTTCGTCGTCGGAAGACGGGAGACAGTGCTCCGAGGAGCTGAGGGAAGCCATCAGCAACGGAAAATGATTGGGATCGGTCGTTCGAACCGGGTACGACCGAACGACTTCTGGTTGTTCAGTTGGCGGCTGCACTGGAGAGCTCGGATTCTCTATTATGTGTGCTCTTGTTGACCAAATCATTCGTTCTGTTGACAATTGTGAAATGCGCGTCGTGGGCCATTCCAATGATTTTCTCCATCATTTCCTGTCCGTTCACTTCTGGAGCTTTCTGATTTTCTTGGATGAGCGCGCCCGCCTGTGCCGTCTTCTCGACGACGTTTTCCAGAATTCGAATGTACGACCGGCGGTGGTTGACGACGATTTCGTTTTTGAATTTGACAGTGAGCCCTCTGAAAAAGATTTTACTTCATTTAAATAGATTATTTTCAAACGACTTACAATGGCGAATTTGAAATCGAGTTCGAGTTCATGTTAGTCTAAAATAAATTAATTTGAAGAGAAATGAAAAAAGTTTCATTTGGATTTCAGGTATCGACACGCCCGGAACTGTTTCTGCCGTACTCGTCTCAATTTAAAGGAACAACCATCTTCATTGCAATTTTTGACAAGGTTTCAAGCTATTAAAAATCTTAATTGTTAATATACAAAGCAAACTCTGCATTCATTAGTTATTCATATCGATCCTCTCAGCGCACGTTCTCTCAATTTCTCGGCTCTTCGCTTTCCCTCGTCGGTCAACGCCTCCAGAATTTTCCGGTAAACCTCCACGTGTTCGACGACAATATCCGCGAAGCTGATCGTTTCCTCGACGGTTCCGTTCCACGATATCGTCACATTTTCGCCGAATGCGGCAATAGTTGATCCATCGCTCGGGGACCACGTCTCCGCGAGAATTCCGGCCGCGCAGAGCATCAGTTCCATTTTGAATATGTAGTCGTCGTGGAAAACGAGCATAAGTCTCTACAACACATGCCTGTTTTTACATTATATTTAAGGGCTCTCACCCGGAGCTCCGGATCTTCATTGTGCATTCTCAGATCGCATTGACTTCCGTTGAATCTGCCCAAAATCGCCGAAGTTCTCGGCGGATCAACCTCGAAAACCAAGCGTTTAGTGCCGAAATTCCACAAAAACTTGTGGATCGTGTTATCCTCGGTCACGCTGATTTGCGTCGATGACGTGGGGATTCTGAAGACATCGACTTTTTTTCGAATCGATTCTGATCATGGATACCCAAGAAGGTTCAGAATTTTTGCCACAGTCGAAGCGTCAGCGACGCCGAACGAGAACAATGCGAATTTGGACGGACCGCCCCGAGGATGGGCGCGTGGAATGTTCGGAGGCGGCGCTCTCGGATCGAATGACGCCAAAATTCTCTTGGCCGGCGGTTTCGTATCGCGGAAGAAGAAGTGCGACGGCGGATTCGGCTGCTCAGTACGCCAGGTGACGTCAAAGTTCGGTTCGGGTTTCCAAGAGATCACGAGAGGATTGCGCGTTGGCCAATCTGGCTGAAAATGACAAATTTTCTGGGAAAATCAATGAATATTAAGTACAATATCTGGCGAATCGGTTCTCCACGTTTCTCCAATGGACGGAGGCAATAGCGGGTCTTTCTCGGGCGATCCCGGCTCCGTCTTCACCCGTTTCTTGCTGATTTCCTCATCTTTCTGCCGGTTTTTCGCGCTGCGCTTCACCAAACTGTTCGTTTTGGCGACCACTTTCTCGTGGAACTCAATCGTCATCGAAATGAGCTCGACGAGGATCTGCTGCCGTCCGTCGCCGTCTCCTTCCGCTTCTTCTTTTTCTTCTGGAGCACGTGCCGCTTTGTCGGCTAGACTCTTGAGAATGCGGACGAGCGAGTGGATATTGTTGACGACCAGCTCGCTTTCCAGCCGATCGGTGAGCCATCTGTAAAGGAGACGGAAGAATTCGAGCCGAATAAGAGGATTAATAAACTGACGATGGGTGGCGAGAAGGAGAAGTCATGACGGGTCTGGAAAAGGTGGAAAATGGAGAGAAAATGATGTGAACAACAACGATAATTGTGGGAAAAGAACCGAAAACGGAAAATTCTCATCAATTTGACATGTTTTATTATCCAATTTTTAAATACTTATTAACATTACATCGACACATTTTTGGACTGATAACTTCTAGAACGTTTGCGGATCGATCTTCTTTCGAGATCGGCGACCCTCTCGAACTCTCTCCGTCCCTCTTCCGACATTCGGCTCAAAACCGTTTCGCGGATTGTGGTCATTTCGAACACGAGATCCTTGAAAGTAGTGATCTCTTCGATCTCCCCGCCCGTCGTGATTTTCAGAGTCTCTCCGAAGACATCGACGGTGCACCGCGGATGGATTTCCGAGTAAACGGTGGCCAAGCACAGCATCGCTTCCTCCTTCAGACTGTTGACCCCATGATTCAGAAGCAGACATTTCTGAACATTGAGTTATCTCGTTCGCTTTTTTGAGCAGTTTCTCACGCCGAGCTCCGGTCTCTTGCTATGCTTCTTCAGATCGCATTGATCGCCGTCGAATAGCTTCAGAAGAGCAAAAGCGGTGCGTTGATCCACTTTGAAAACGATCTGTTCGGTGTGACACTTCCAAAATTGATGATCCGTGTTTTCCAAGTACATTTGAACTTGACCATAAGACATGTAGACTCTAAAAAAAGGCGAATCATATGCTGGTGTTCTCTAGTAAACTCTACCCGATCGCTTCCAGAATGTCCGCCGGTAACGGAAACTTCTCGAATCCGAAAAGGACAAATTTGGCTGCGGGCAGGGAGAGCGGAATGTTCGAGCCGCTGCCGAATAAAGGGGTGAACGATTGAGGTGTGGGAAGACGGACCGAAGAGCCGACGGAGCCAAAGTTCGTAAAGGATTCCATAGAATGGGAGTTACTGTCGGATGACAGTCGTCTTCTTCTGTCTTCTTGTGTCAGTCTGCTGGCGGAATCGGATTGTTCGGCCGGAATGAACACCTCGGCGTCGCCCGAATAATAATCCTCCTCCACGTCCTCGATCTTGAATCTTTTCACCGGCGTTCTTATTTCCTTCATAAAAGAGCTGGTTTTCGCGACGACTTCCGCGTGAAACTTTATCGTCATCGACATGACATCGACCATCAATTTGTGACGATCCACGTCCGATTCGTAGTCATCCGGCGCCGACGCGGCTTTGTCGGCAACGCACTCCAGAATTTTGATGAGCGAGCGGACGTTGCCGACGGCGATTCCGTTTTCCATTCGGTCGGTGATCCATCTGAAAAGATCATGGGATGATGGGATCATTAAGCAGGTTTAAAACTGCACACGGTGATTCTTTGCGAGGGTGACGAGGAAAATTCTAGTCCATTTGCCCCGGGGTCGCAGGCCGTGGTACTAGGCCACGGTTTCCGCCGAGTTTCAGGAATTTCGCGCAATGTTTCAGGAATTTCGCGCTTGTTTCATATTTTAGCGCTTGTTCTCTGTCAATTAATGTTTGTTTTCGGCAGAATTTTCTATTTTTTTTATCTCGAAAATGAAAGAACGCAGTTTATAGAAGCTTTATTATCTTTAGCAATTGTTATCAACAGAGAAAAATTGCCAACGGCAAAAACCAATAACAGCGCTGTGTAATATTCCTGAAAAGCAGTAAGAACGTCTTCAAAATGCTGTCGGAAACAATTGCGGCTAAACAGAAAGCGCGCGCGCCAAACTTGCAAAATTGCGTGCGGCAATTGCGCAAGACCACGCCCCTTTTTTGAATGGTGGCCGAGTTCGCGGCGCGTTTCTCACTACACCCTCGCAAAGAATCACAGTTAACTGGAAAAAAAACTATCGATTTTTTGCAGTTTTTGCCCGACTGTATAAGTGAGAAAAATGCTTACGATGGCTGCTGATCCGCTCCGCTTCCAGAGGTCATGATTTGGATTGTGAAGTGTCTAAATGAAAGAATGAAGGGAAATCGAAAAAAGCAGAGATAAATGAAATTGGTTTTCAGTAAAACCCACGCAGAAAAGCAAAGAACAAAGATAAAAACAAAACAAAATCTTTATTATGTAAACCACTATCTATGGGTAATATCGATGAATTCTTGAGTCATTCTGTAAAATTCATTTCTCAAACTTTGAATGATCTAGTCAGTAGTCACATACTTGACCTCGTCCTCAAAATCTCTGTTCCCTGACGTTCCTGGACTATCCGAACACTCCAAATCCACACTGGCCTCTCTGTCGGTCCCGGTCTTCGCCTCCTCGACCTTCAGAAAGTCGGTCCCCTTGATCTGGTACGTGACCACGACCGTTTCCTGCTCGACCTTCGGGAACATGCCCTTCCGAAGCCGGCCGCGTCTGTTGAACGACGCGTCGGGAAAATGAGTGCGGCAGATGAAGTTGTCACCGTCGGGATTGAGTCGAGCAGCGAAGTCAGGTCCCAGTTTGTGTGCCCATCTCGCCATATTGTCCCCGGATTTCGCGATTTTCGACATGCGGCTGCGCTCGTCGCGAAGCAGACAGAAGCGGCACGTCTCCGGCTGCTCGAGGTATTGACTGTGGCCGTCCAGCTGGGCGGTCGGCAATTTGAACGTTTCTTGTTCGACGAGTTTCACCGTTGAATCGTACTGATCCGATTCGAGTATCTGCTTCCGGGGCGCACGCAAAGTCTTCGGCGCTATAAGGCGATCAGCTTTTTCCGGTTTTCGAGGAGCAACCTGAAAGATTTTCCATGTTTATTCACTCATTCGTTCTCTCTCTCTCACATCATTATTATCGCAGTACTTTTCCATAAAACATATCAAAAGTCTTTTCAGCTGAAAAGCGCTCGAACTGACGCCTCGGATCTGCGTCACCAGGGACAGAATATCAGTGAACAAATCCGGTTTGCACTCGACAATTTCGTTGAGGCTCTGCACGTTCATCATATCGAAAATCGCATCGCAAGCGTCTCCGAAGTGAATTCGACAAATATAGGTCTTTGTGGGATAGTGCAGAAGCAGACGGGCCTCGCGAGTGCTGATTCGCTTGCGATGCACGGCGCCGAGGGCCACGATCAGGCGTTCGGTGTCGATTGTCACATTTTTGACGTCTTCCGGGTTTCTCAGTCGATTGCACAGTGCGCATCGCCGATTGCTTGGTTTTCTGCGTTTTCCAAGCATGTTGCACGTGATGTTCCGCGCACCAGTCGGTTCTTTTTCGTCGTCGTCTTCTAGAACGTCCATGAAGTCGTTCTCAAGTTGCTCCCATTGATCTTCTACATCTTTTCCATCGTCGGCGACTTCTACTGGTTCTTCCGTCATGCGAAAATATCGGTTTTTGGCGTGAATGGGCCGGTGAGCGCTGGGAACCAAATTCGGTGCTTCCGCTTCTTCCGCAATATCTTCCGGCTCTATTTTTACCTCTTTCGCCAGAAAATTGGCTGCCTAAAATGGAAAAATTTTCGAAATTAAATATTTTAAACCCAAGTACCGTTTCAATAATTTTTTGCTCGGTCTCTTCAACCGGACGAACGGAAAAATTGAACGGAGACGCTTGTTTCGATTGAATTTTCATTCTTTTAACAGGAAACAACGGCTTCTCGCTCGGAATCTTTTTGCTCGGATCTGCCGCCAGTTTCCCATGATTATTGCTGATGTAATTGTTCGTTCGGGCGACGACTTTCTCCTGGAAATCGAGCGTCATCGAGATGATGTCGTCGACCATCGATTGCTGATCCGGTTCTAGTCGATTTCCGACCGACACTTTGTTGGCGACGCTCTCCAGAATGCGAATCAGCGATCGGATTTGGCCGACGACCACTTCCGCTTTCATTTTCGCCCTGAATTCGTTCAATTGTTATTTGAATTTGAAAAACAGCTTACAATCCCTTCGGACCCGGCGGAATTACGTCTTCGGAGCTCATTTTTGCTCATCACACTCTGAATTTCTGAAAATTTTCAAGGGTGGTCGGCGCAAGGGACTAGAAAACTCTACGTCCACGGCCTCGTCCCGCTTTTTTTAGGCGCAAATAGAGCAATGTCTTTGAATTGTAATGGAAAAATTCGCACTTCAAAATTCGGCTCCCCGACATTTCGCAACTCGACGTTTCGAAACCGCGGCATCTCGATTCCCACGTGAACTTTGACAATGCATTTCATCGCAAAGTAGTCGGGTTCCGAAACGGCGGAGAGGCCAAAAATCTGACAATGTCGCTCTACCGCAATTTCACGTGAAAATCCAGCAGCGGCCGCGACCTTTTTCAATTCAGCACGGAATGCGGCTGCAATAAGATATTTGAGCGAAAGAAGCACGGCAAAATAATCGAGTTTGGAACGGAGAACGGAAGAAAAACAAGGAAGGAAGCTTTTTAATCACGAGTATCGATATTTAAATTGCGATATTTAAAGTACGATATTTAGGATATTTCCGATATTAAAATTTCTACGCGTTCGAAAAATTCCGTTCCAAGGCACTCAAATTGGCTCGTCCTTCATCGGTCAATTCTTCGCACACTTTTTGATAAGTGCATTTCGTTCGAGCACAATGCCCGCAAATTTGATAGTCTGTTCAACTTCACCGTCCCGTACGGTACGAATAGTCTCCCTCTGGAAGCTGTAGTTTTCGTGTAAAGTTTCTCTTCCTTCCTCGACTCACCTTCAGATGCGGATTTATTCTGTACAATTGCGGCCCACAAAACGGTTGTAGAACGTCTTTTCTCTGTGTTTACCATAAACACTATACGTCTGGCGCCGAACTTCCACGGCTGCTTCACGTCGCTTTCGTTCATCATTTCGACGTCGCCACGTCTCGTGGGAATTCTAAAAAAAAAAAAGATTTAGGACGGCAAATAACAAGAGTCCTGTTGAATACCCGAGCTTATTCAAAGCCTTTTTATCTTCGGACCTTCCGCTTGATTCGTCGGAAGAGAATCCAATATCTGCGGAACCGACGGAAGAGCTGCCGTTTCTCTGTTTTTCTCATTCTGATGTAGTATCGGTGGACGAGAGCGCGGGCGCTTCCGAATCCGAATCCAAGTCGATCACCTCGATCTTACCCTTTTTTTCGGAATGACCGTTGCTATCTCCTTGTTCCCCGGTTTTCTCTCTTCTTCTCTCGCTTCCTTTTCCGCATTTTTCTCGATAAAAGAGCTCGTCCGCACGACCACTCTCTTGTGGCAATCCTGGGCCATCGCAATGACATCATGCATCATGCACTGCTGATCCGCTTCCAGATCTATGGCGGCTTCTTCGGCAATACTCTCCAAGATTTTGATGAGCGATCGTATGTTGCTGATGACGATCTCGCTCTCCATTTTGTTGTTTTTTCATCTGAAAGGGCTGTTTAAAACTATTTTTCAACCGGGAAACTTACGATGAATGAATTCCGCTGCTGGGCGCCATTCTGAATTTCTTTTGTCGCCGGAATTGCATTTTTCGGGGAAATAGAGAAACCGAGCATCGGAACGGTAAGATTAAGGTCGGACACCAGAAAGAATTGAAAAATCGTCGTATCTTACTTTCATCAAATAATCACATTAGCATATAAACATAATCTTTTTTCATTGTTTGTGTCGTTTATTCTTCAAATTCTTCTCCAATTTATCGAGTAGCATTTTCCCTTTCGTCGTCAGTTTTCCACACACTTTCGCGTAAATATCCTTTCGAGTATCGATAACATCCATAAAGTTTATTTTTTTTTCGACACTTCCAGTGACGATCGTCACCACGTCCTTGAACGCGTCGACGGTGGAGCGGGGATTCATCTGAGCGAGATGATGTGCCACGTAGAACATCACCTCCTTCTTCGAGGCTTTCTGATTGTACACCGCCAGCATCATGCCCTGAATTTCTAGTTTGAAATTATTTAGCAAACTTCTGCGCTAATGGGGTTATTCAGGCTGTGAAAAAATTGATTTTTTTTTTGTTTTTTTTTACGTCAAAAAATCCAATTCAGCGATGGAAAAAAACGGAAAACAAACATACGCTGAATAGCCCCATTACTAAGGTTCCGCATGAAACATTTTTGACCGACGCTGCACCAAGTTTTGAGGGAAACTCAAAACAACTCAATAAACTCATTTGGATGTTAACGTGAGAGTCAAAAAGGCTCATAATGTTTGGAATGAGTTTCTTGTAGGAGTCGAAAAGCGTCAGTAAACTCATTTTTTACGTGGGAGTCAAAAAAGCTCATGAAGTTTGATTTAGTGGAACTTCCAACGCTACTATTTGTTTTCGAACAGAGTTCACGTCAAACTCGAAATGTGCCACTACCGACGCCCAATGAGTTGTTGAGTTGTGTTCGTTTTTTTTTTGACTCCCACTTCAAATGAGTTGTTGAGTTGTATGAGTTTTTTTGACTTTGACTATTTTTGAGAAATGAGTTTGTTGAGTTGGGTTCATCATTTTGCGTTTCTCTATTGGGGACCACTAGAATGACTCTTATGCGGAACCTTACCCATTAAAGACTCAAAAATGATGCAAACGCGCTCTATTGTGAAAACGTTTGCGGCCACGTTTTATCGCTCACCTTCAGATGCGGATCGTTACTAAAATTTTTCAGATTGCACTGATTTCCGTCGCACATCTCCAGAAGCGCCGTCGTTCTCTGCTGGTCGATTTCGAAAACGACACGGTCGGGATCGCGCGTCCAGAACGTCTGTTTGCCTATTTTGACGATCGTTACGTCGGCGGATGTCGTCGGGATTCTGAAAAAAGCAATGTTTTTCTCTCAGAAGCAAAACGTTTCAGGTCTAACCCAATGAGACTGAGAACACGTGCAGGACTGCGAGTTTTTAGGCCTCCGAAGCTCAACAGAATAAAACGATCCTGAGAGTTATTCGGAGACTGAATCTGAGGATTCTGAGCATCGGACACTGGTCTCGTAGAAGTGGAAGGACGATTGCAAGATGGATTCCAAGTTTGCGGTAAAAGTTGATCGACAATTGAGGGAACAAGTTGCGGAGCGGGTGTAGTTAGTGGCTGAAATCGATAAACGTGAAAATTTGGAAAGCAATGAGATTGATTACAACTTTATTATTGGCATTATACTTACTTTACAAGAATTAGTCATCGTTTGTACTGGTTGCGGCTCATCCGGCTCATTTTTCACGTTTTTTCTCGTATTTACAGGAGCAGAAGACGTCGAGGGCTCAGCCGGCTTCACAATCGGAAGAGAAGGTTCTGGAGACGATTCGAGATTGATAACCTCGATCTTGACCCGTTTTCCTCCCGCAAATCCGTCCTCATCCGATTTTCCGCGACTCTTTCGCAAGAATCGGTTCGTTCTCGCGACGACTTCTGCGTGGAACTCCATCGTCATCGAAATGACGTCGTCCATCATTCCCTGGAGATCGGCATCCAGCTGAACACCTTCATGTGCACTGCCTGCTTTCTCGACTATGCTCTGCAGAATTCGGACGAGCGATTCTATGTTGCTCACGACGATATCCTTCTCCATTCGGTCGGTAATCCATCTGGAATTCATGAAAATGACATTTTTGCATAAAATTAGAAACGTACGATGGTTTCTTGTTTATTTGCGGGTTATTGCCAAAATTCATTGTTTACCAGTCTGAAATTATGGAAAATTGTTGGAAGACAGCTGAAAAAACAAATATATCGATAATTTGTCGATAAAATTATCGAAAATCGTCACATTACTCATAATATTGCGCAAAATGTTTTTTTTTTGCGAAAACAGGTTTAAAAATCTGAGCGTGTCGATGGAGCGCACTTGAAAGAGAGCGGAGGCGGCATGTTCGAATATTTATTATTTTTTCATTGAAAATTGCATGTTTTGATGCAACAATTTGAAAATTTGAAAAAAAAAACAATCACAAGGCGGGCTTTATAGAATTTATCGATAAACGCCCACGCGATTTCCACTTTTTTTTTGTAAAGTGAAAGATAACGGAAATTGGATTGTGAAAAAAAAAAGTGAAAAAATCGGGTTAACAGTTGTTATTAGTGCGGTCTGTCATAAAACAAGTGAATCGCGTAATCCTCGATCTCTTCTTCGGCCTCTTCCGTCAAAAAGTGGATGCTTTTATAGAAAATCTCTTTGTGATCGCTGATGAGATTTTCCAAACTGATCGTCTGAATCGCGCGACCGTTCTTCCAGATCGTCAGAGTGTCCTTGCACACCTTCAGAGAATTTACTGTGAAAGTTTTGCTGAACTGCATCGCCGCCAGGTTCATCGTTTCCATTCGGATCACGTCCCACTCGCTCAGCTCTTCCATCAGCAAAACGCCGGCTCCGGCGAGTTTGCACGAATCTCCGTCGCATTTTCGCAAGATCTCGAAAGTCCTCATTTCGTCCACCTCAAAAGTGACTCGTTTTCGCATCTCTTTCGTCGAATATCCGCTGTTCCGTTGGCCTTTCGGAATCGCAATGGCTTCTGGGTAAATTTCAATTCTGAAATGTTCAAAACGTTTTAAATTTCAGTGATACCACAAACACACCCCAGATTATTGAGCACATTTGAAATTCGCAGTTTATCGGCGTCCGAACCTTCGAGAGATCTGCTCCAGAGCGTGAATCTGTGCAGGTTTCCGGGCTGAACTTCAAAGTGGTTTTTGCGAATTTCGCCGACTTTAAAGCGATCTGGGAGGGGACGCCACGTGTCAGAGATGGGCGGCGGGATGCTCGGAGTGCTCGGCGACTCTTTCACTTCGAACATCCGCCCCAAAATCGTTCCGTCTCGTTTCGGCGTCTCCTGCGGACTTTCGAAATTGCGCAACTTGTCCGCGAAAACGTTTGTTCTCGCGACGATTTCCGAGTGAACGTTCAGAGCTATCGTCATGATGTTCTCTAGCGTAAAATCATGATTCTCGTTCTGAAAATTACAATTTTACCGCATTTTCTGCTGTCTCACATTAGCATTTTCATCGTTTTCGTCGAGAATTTCTCGGCCCACACGTTCCGTTTTCTCAACCACGTTTTCAAGTATTCGAATCAGCGCGCGCACGTTTCCAACGGCAATTTTGTTTTCCAATCGGTTAGTGAGCCATCTGGAATTCGAATTTCAGCCCAATTTCTGCTGAAAGTGCTTACGTCGGACGCGGAGGTTGACGACTCAAGATTTTCATTGTTCTGGTGGAGCTGCAAAGGGCAAAAAAGGATTCCGTGAAGTACAATAAAACGAAGATTGACTAAACATTTTTTGCAAATTGTTTTTATCCTTTTCGTAACTTACGACGCCCTTTTTGTACCGTTTGCGTTCGGCAAAAAAATGCGGAAATGGCCGAGGTGTGCACGTCGTGGCCGATCTTTAGAGAAACCTAAGCCACCACAATTTTTCAACGGAAACCTTGCTTTTTTCCGAAAATTTCAGTGTAAATTAAAACATTCTTGTTAGAAAAAGCGGTCAGGAGATTTCCAATTTTTTCTGAAAGCTTTATGTCCCGTTTTTTGAGTGCAAACATAAAAATCGACTTTCTAGTCTAATTATTGCACGAAAATGCCGCCGAGCTTTTCAAAAGTCAATAATCAGTAAAATCCCTCTGGAAGCCATCAAAACTTTATTGAACGGATCGCTCGCTCAAATTTTACGTTGTCTCATTTTCTAAATAACACTGTTATTCACTGTTATTTCAAAGGTTTTAGTGCTTTTGATCTTATTTCCAGGTGGATTTCTACAAATATCTTGCTGAAGTTGGCTTTGGAATTCTTACTCCGTGTGAAAACGTTGGAAAGCTTTTTGTGCATGCGTCTTTATCACGGGGTCGTGACGGGTGCATCGAAAACTAAAATTTGAACTTCCGCCGACGGTCGATTGCGTAGCGCCCCTATCTTAAAGCATTAGGCCAACGCCAAATTTTCCACGACTCCGTGAGGTTTAATCTTGAGCTTGCGAATTTGCTGCAAATCCGTCATTTCGACACGGCCTCGTCTTTCTCTTTCAGAAAACATCGTCGCAAGGTGTGAACATGTCGTCCGTGATGGAAATGATGAAAGGAATGATTGTCGATGATCATGGAACTTCTGGAGAAAGAGAAGCCGTCCGCCGCGAGTGCTCCGTTCAAAACGATGAGCACCCTGGACTATCTCCATCTTTTCCGGTCCTTGGTTCTCGGAATCGACGCGCCGGAAATGAACGAAACCGTCAGAGGCTCAATGAGAATATCGAGACTTTGGAGAAGAACGACTCGGTTTGCAGATGGTTCAAACCAGAATTGCAAATTCATTTTATTTTACAGAAAGTTCCACTGGAAACCATCCGATCTTCGCTCGACACGATTCTCGATCAAATTCCGTGTTGCAATCCGAAAAAGTGAAAAAAATGTTTTTGTTTTGTTGTGTTTTCTTTTTTACTTGCCCCAACAATGAAAAACACAATTTCTTCAGTAATTTCAACGCGTTTCGGTGCATTTGAACCATAATACCTCTGTTCTTCAATACAATTTTTCCAATTTTTGCAAAACCTCTTCAGATGACGTTTTCGCCGGACGAGGACGCGGCGATTCTCGGTTTTTTGGCCCGGGAAGCGAAAAAAGCGGACGCGCCTTTGAATATGATGCGAGTTTGGCGCAAATTCAAAATTCACAGTGGCTCGAAGAGAAGTGTCGAGAGCATTTTGGCCAGGTTGGCTTGGCTCGAAAATGCTCCCCCAACATGTCTTTTTTTAAGATTTCGCACCTACCTGCGTGGATCGATTCACGAAGCGTCGCAATTCGACACCGAAACCAAAGTACGAATGCTTTTCGCCTCGGAGACCCCAGTCGACCGACAGTATTTGGAAAAGTTGAGAAGAAGGGCTGAGGTGAAAGTGAATCGAAACGGGGCGATTGTGCGCTACAAAAGTGAGCGATTCGAGCTGTCAGGAGTCAAGAAACTGGGATACTACTGCTCGGAAGACTCTGATTCTCAAGGGGAAGACGTTTCGAACGTGTTCTTCAGTAAACGAGAAGATTTGGACATTCTCAACTTCCTGGCTAAAAAAGCCACATTGAGCACTTCGAGTCACGCTCCGATGTCGTCGATCTGGCAGGAATTCGTCGTTTTGACCGGGTCCCGTAGAGCGGAACCGTGCATAACGCGTCGGTTCGTTAGAATCTGTACAATCTTTATTAAAATTCAATTTTTCTTAAAGATTCCGTGAGCACCTGGCGCCAGAAATCCATAAAATGGATCAATTCGACGTGGACACCAAAATTCGAATGCTTTTTCTCTCCAGAACTCCAATAAATCCGTGTTTTTTGGACGAATTGCGAGAGAGTGCGATTGTGGAAGTGGACAATGAAAGGCGTATTCTGAAGTTCGCGAATGATCGAATAAAGCTGTCAGCAACGGAACCGGAGAACGGCAGTCATGATATCGTCGGAAGATCAGAGAGAAAAAGGAAGAGACCCGTGAAATTGGACAACGAAATTGTCGATGATTATGGAAATGTGACAATTGAGAAGCAAATGAGCAGAAGGCAGAAACTGGAAGATAAAGTGGGTAAAACTGTGTTTTTTGTCAATAAAAACAGCAAATTCACAGTTTGACTAGAAAACGGGAAATTTTTGGATTGTTTTGATATTTTGGACTGTTGCTTGCATTCCTGTAAATTCGGCTACTCGAAAGCTGAAAATCTTGTTTGAAAACCGTTCAGATCGGCCCTAATAAAAATGAATAACCCTGACGCCATTTTGCGGCTCGAATCAATCATTCCGCATTCCGCAAACATACATTTTCACTTTCGCGAATCTCTGGCTCGGCGTCCCTTTTTTTCAAGTTCAAAATGATAATAAAACATTTCAGAGAATCACCACCGGCCTCAGAAGCTATAAAACGTTTGGCGAAGAGGAGGAGAAGCGCATGCTGCAATTCGTGGCTGAGAAAGCGAAAACGACGGGCGTCGCACTGTCGCAACGTCATCTTTGGCAGGAATTCCGATGCGAGACGGGAAGCGAGCGATCCCCCGAGAGTCTCCGAATGCGCTTCTTCCGATATCTGGCTCCGAATATCCATAAAATGGACGAGTGGGATGTGGAGACTCGCGCCAGAATGCTCTTTGTTTCGGGCGTTCCGGTGCGCGACGAGAAGTTTTTGAGAGAAGTGAAGGGGAAAATGGATTTGGAGACGGATGAGAATGGATGCATTCGAAGGATCAAACGTGTTTTCAGATATCCAGAAGTCGGGGTCCAAGGCTTTTACGGGGATTCACTGTTGGAATGCGCGCTGACGAGAATCAATGAGATCGAGTGCAAACCGGAGGGCGCTGTGAAGCCAAAACCCGTTGAAAATGACATTTCGATGAATTTCCAAGTGCCGGAAGACATGAAAGAGGCTGTGCTGGCTCAGTACTGCGCATTGTTCGAGAGAAACGAGGAGGCGGTCAAAGGGAAACAATCGGAAGGTTTCATGCTCGAAGAAAAGGACGATTTCGAGCTGGAAGAGCCGAAAAATAAGCCTATTTGGGAAGATTAGACTGGGTAAGGGAAATAGAAACCGTTTAGTAGAGATTCAAATTGTTTCAATTGTTCAGAAGTCCACGTCGAAATTCAATTTTGTTTTCCCGTTTTGTTGAATATTTTTGTTACTTACCACGTTGTTAAACAATAATAAATTGTTATTTTTCTCTATTATTTTTCAACTGAATCATCGGGGTTTCACACCCTGCCTTAATATTTTCATTGGGCACAGCTCAAAACATTTTTCAAGGCTTTCAGAAAATGGACTGGGCTAAAAACGAAGATGATCTCAGGTAATGTTTCAAGCTTTTCTTAGCTATTTTCAAACTTTTCCAGGCGCCACCAATTCTTGGAAAAGTTTGAGAATTGCTTAGAAAAGTTTAAGAATTTCTGGAAAAATGCTATTATTGCGATTCTTACTGAAGTTCCTAAAAAAAGTCGAAAAATCCGAAAGAACCTCTTAATGTTTCTAGATTCTGCGTGTTTCTGAGAGCGAGAATAGTGACGACGGAAGCGTTCGATTTGGACACCAAAATAGCCATTTTGAGTGTCACCGATTCGTTGACCGACAAGAAGTTTCTGAAATATCTGCAAAAGTATGTGGAATTGAAAATGAACGAGGACGGGCGGGTTGTTCGGTATTCGGAGAAGGAGCGATTGGAGGAAAATGAGGATGAAGAGGAAGAACCGAAAAGAAAGATCCAGAAACTTGAAGACAAATCCGACCCGATTCTGAATTTCAATCCGGATGACACATCCCTTGAACTCACCTGTTGAACTTAGAATTCAAATTTTTATAAATACTGCACTTTTTGTTAAATACGATACTCATTTTTATCTATTCTGTTTTAATATGCGAATTGACATTTTCTCGAAATAAGTTTTCATTGTACATTTTCCAAGTTCGAACTCATTTTTCTGGTCAAAGATCCCGATAATCTCTTTGAATTCGTCAATATTTTTGTAACAGGACTCTTCTAATTTCAGATGAAACGCATTTGTGTCGAGCCGTTTCTATCGGCAGAGGACGATGAAATGCTGGAATTCTTGGCAGGGCTGGCGCAAAACGCCACGTCACCACTCGATCCGCCCGAATTGTGGGGACCGTACAGACGGCTGCACGGCAGTGCTCAGACAGTCGAGTGGTTGGAGAAACGGTACAAAATAGTAAAATAAGGGCATGACTTCATGTTTAAAAAAAACCGCGTGAAATTTGCTTGTTTTTATTTCTTATTTCACCCAAAAAAAAGCGAGAATGTTCCAGATTCCGCGCCAACTTGGCTCCGTTCATCCACCTGCTCAGCCGCTTCGACACCGACACCAAACTGCGAATGCTGTTCGTCTCGAGAACTCGGTTCAAAGAGGATTTCATGGAGACGCTGAAAGCGGAGGCCGACGTGGAGATGGACGGAGAAGAGTGCATTGTGAGGTTGAGGGAATCCGGTGAGGTCCTCCAGGCGATCGAACCGAGAAGACCACACTTTACCGGGGAGGACATGGACATTTTGCACTTTCTGGCGAGAAAAGCGCGAGAAACGAACGAGCCGATATGTATGGATGCGTTGTGGACGGAGTACATGGAGAGCGGAAGGACGAGCCGATCGGTGGAGAATATCAAACAACAGTAATGCGAATCGGAAGGGCCTGGATCTTTGACCCACTTGAAATTTTCCAATCGGACCCAAACTTGGCAGGATTCTTAGACTTGGATTGTAGTATTTTGGGTCCAAGTTTCAGCCCGATCGGATTAGTGCAAGTGGGTCAAAAGTTCAGACCTAGGCCTGATTACTGTGCAATTCGAGAGCGTTTCCCAGTTTCCATTTTCCAGTTTCCGCGCTCATCTCGCTCCTGGAATTCCCGAAATGTCCGAATTCGACCTGGAGACGAAAGTCCGAATGCTCTTCGTATCGCACTCCCCGATCGACGAGCACTTTCTGACGCGGCTCCGCGAGCAGGCGGCAGTGAAAGTGTCGACGCGCGGCGGAATTCAGATTTACAAAGAGCACCGGGAGGGCGGGCTCGAGTTGTGCAAGATGCCGCCGAAACGGACGGAAGAGGAGGAGGTGGAGGAGTCGAAGGAGAAGGAGAAGACGGAGCCGAAGCGGAGGAAACGGGGCAAGAAGCGGAGGGAATCGGAGAAGGGCGGAGAAGATGAAGTTCTGACTTTCGATCTTCCCGTCGACGCCAGCTACGAAGCCCTCCTCAACTACATCGATCCGAATGCGTTTGAGCAGTTTTTTGTGGATCAGCTCGAGGACGAACCGCTCAACTTCTTCTTTCCTCGCTAATTATGATTTTTATAAATTGTTCCTTTTTGTTGAAAATCATCTTTAATATCAATCCCGGTTGGCAGCCGCACTTCTTTTCTTTCTTTTTTTTTCTGTTTTTGCAGACTGTCAAGTGTCTATTCACTCAGAATGTTTACCGCAGAAGAGGAAAAGTCGCCCACGAGCCAACCGATCGATAATAACGAGTTTTTGAGGCAGAAATCCGAGATCATAAATAGTCAAAAGACGACGGGACAACACCGAAAGGATCTGTTGTGCACCCGAGAGGATCTCGATATGCTCGAATTTCTGGCAGAGAAGGCGCGAAAGACGAAGAAACAGCTGAGCATGGCGGCGGTTTGGAGGGAATACACCGAGAGTGGCAGGTCCCGACGGACACCCGACGATCTGTACGCGAGGTTCGTGTTTTCGAATAAAAAATCTACCTAGTTTCAAAAGAAGACATAAAAAGAGCGAGTTTCAGCGTGAAATGCAACTTTTCTTCAGATTCCGCTACCACTTGGCGTCGCAAATTCATCAGCTGAAAGTGTTCGACGCACAAACTCGAGTTCTCATGTTGTTCGTCTCAAAATCTCCGATAGACCGACATTTTATGAGAAAACTGAAGGAAAAGGCGAAAATAGTGGTGTCGGAGAGCGGCCGAATTGTGCAGTACAAAGAGCTCAAAAAAGGAGGGCTCCGACTAACGGCCCCGCAGAAATTCACTCCGTTTACGGCGGAGGAGGATCGGCAAATGATAAAATTTGTGACGGAGAAAATTTTGAAGATACCGCAGCCGCAAGCGATGGTTTTGATATGGGAAGAGTACGCGAAGACGGCGAAGACCGGCCGCGATCCGTTGGAATTCTGCAAACGGTTGGTCCCAGTTGCTCAGTATCCTTATTTGCATGGATTTTCCTGCAGATTCCGCTATAATTTGGCGCCGAAACTGCACAAAATGGAGAATCTCGACGCGGAGACCAAAGTGCTCACTCTGTTTGGTTCGAGCACTCCGCTCCGAAGCTCTTTTTTGGAAAAGTTGCGATCGGACGGGGCGGAGGTGAAGGTGGACAAGTTCGGAAGGATCGAATTGTACAGGGATCACAAGAACGGCGGTCTCGAGTTGATTTCGCGAAACGAAGAGATGCTGGAGAAGATTAGAGTGCTCATGACTTCATAATATTTGCTCATTATTCGTTATATCAAAAGTTTCACCACTTTTTATTGGTTTTTTTCACAATTTCGGTTGCAAACCGACAACATTCTTCTATCTATTTGAAAATTTGAAAACAAGTGTTTTCCACGGGACTAGAAAACTCTACGTCCACGGCCCCGCCCCTCCCATCGACTTTTTTCTAGTCCGTCTAAATTAGGCTGGTCGAACAGGCGAAAACAGGCGCCTGTTTTTTGAGTTCGTGTGTCCATTCTTTTCTTTTTGTCATTTTCTTTCGCAAAAGTTCAGAAAATGAAATTAGAAGAAGAAGCGGACGAAGACGACACAATGCTCTATTATTTGATCGAGAAGGCGTTGGATTCGGATGCGATCGTCCCGCTCGACGAACTCTGGGTAGAGTACAAAGAGAAGACGGAGACCAGTTTGGCCGTCGACGATCTCATTCACAGATTCCGATGCCACGTGGCGCCGAGAATTCATTCGATGCAGGAGCTCGAGCCGGAAACAAGAGTTCGAATGCTGTTCGTCACAAGAACACCGATCGATGAGCACTTTTTGGAGGAACTGAGAGCAGAAGCGGGAGCGGTGATCGAGCTGGACGCGAGCGGATCCCTTTTGAAATACGAAAAAGAGGGTTTGGAGTTGAAGGCGCCAGTCGAAAGCGAAATCGAGGATATGAAAATGTTAAAGTTTCTGGCACAGAGGGCCCAGGAGACAGAATGCCTGTTGAAAATGCGTGATGTCTGGCGAGAATACATCGGAGAGAACGGAAGATTGACGGAGAGGAGTCTGAGGAAGCGGTGGGATGAAATCAGAATTCTAATTAACAAAATTATGATCCGTTTCAGATTCACGGAAATCCTAGCTCCGAGGATCCACTCGATGAACGAATTCAGTGTGGAGACCCGAGTTCGAATGCTTTTCTGCTCGTACTCTCCGATCGGCTCAAAGTTCTTGCAAGTGCTCAAAGAGCGAGCCGACGTGGTTCTGGAGGAGAAGCGACGAATAGTTTGGTACCGGGAATTCGCGCAGGACGGTCTGAAACTGTCCATTCCGGGCCAGTATCACAGCCGGCAGGAGGACGAGCACATGCTTCAGTACCTGGCGGCGAAGGCGCGCAAAACGAGGAAACCGATGAGTATGAAAGTGATGTGGGGACAGTACACACTCAACGGATTCTCGCATCGCACAACCACCAACCTCCGCTTCCAGTTCGTCTTTTTCAGTCTGATCTTTCAAACAACTGTTTTGTGAAATTTCACTTTTAAGAGAGGAAGGCCACTCTCAAAATTTTCCAGCAGAATATCGCGACTTCTGACAGTGTTGAGAACGGTCAAAGTTGAAATAAAAACAGATTATATAATTTCAGTTTCCGGCAGTACCTGGCCCCGAACATCCACCAAATGGCCGAGTTTGACGTGCAGACCCGGGCGCTGATGCTGCTCGCCTCGAGCACGCCGGTCGATGCGCACTTTTTGAGATATTTGAAAAGTCAGGCGGAGGTGAAAGTGGACATCACTCGGAGGATCATAAAGTTAGGTACCGCAACGGGTTTCGCAAAACTCAAAATGTCTATAAAATTTTTGTTGGAATGTGTTCCCCTACTCTATATGAGTACGCTCCCAATTTTTTTTTCCAAAATTTTCGGTACATCCCGAGTTACACCCGTTCAAAGTTGCCCTGTTTTCTCCCGGGTCGGCGGCAGGGGAGGGGCGTGGCCTCGCTTGCAAGTTTGCCGCACGCGTTTTTTCTCATTATCTGGTGGACCAAACCAAAGAGTCAACATTTTAAATGAACAGAAATGATGTTCTAAAAAAGCAAAACCACTTTTGAGGTCAAAAGTTTCGAACCCGACACCTCAAAATAGCCGAGCGAGCACTCTGCCACTGCGCCATCCAGGTGGAGGCGCGCCCACCGTCAATCGCGTTGAAAAGCTCGGTGTGCGCGGCCCCTTACAGGGGTGAAGTTAGTGCATTTTCGCGCTGAAATTCGAAACATATCTGACTGTAACTTTTTTCGGCAACGTGGAAAATTTTTATGCTAAACGGAATGTTGTTGAGAATTTCACGCAGAATCCGATTCCGTAAAAATTAGCCGTGTGAACGGTACCTGTGACCCTCAAATCCTCGAAAAACTAAAATTTCGGCTGAATAGGCTTTACTCAATCGAACACAAAAATGCTCCTAGGGTGTCTAGAGCTCTCAAAATTTATATTTGGGTTCTCAGAGAGTGTATCTATAGATTCCAAAAATAAAAAAAAGGGGTCATCGCTGAAAATTTTCCGCTAACTTTTCTGGCAGTTTGAGGATCTGTAAAAAATTTCGGCAACGTGGAAATCTAAATTTTACTTCAAAAACGGATTCCCCATCCCTTAAACTATCGGAATCACTTGAAAATAGGCGTGTGATCCCATAAACTTGGCCACACAGGCTCTCAGACTGACTTCCATTTTCGTTTTCGCCGTTTTTTGGAAAAACGGTGCGTTTTCACGGGAAACTGAGTTGTTCATTGGATTCAGCATGGTCGATTACATAAAGTAAACCGTTTTGGGTATGGTACTTCATTTGGGGACCTCGGTACAGACCGTCAAACACGCGCGCGCGAAAATCGGGAGAAAATTCGTCAGGCCACGCCCCCTTTGTTGCGCCCCCTACATAAAGTATAGAGAAAAGGAGAACGGCCCGAGTGCGAAAAGAGCGAAAACTGAAGAGCCGGATCAATAGATTTTGAACTTTTCTATCCTAATAAAGCATCCATTGATAGTTTTGTAGTGTTTCCAAAGTTCAAAGGTCGAACACCCATTACTCGTACCTTTTGTAAACTAATTGAGCGCCCTAAACATTCAATTTTAAGAAGACGCTGATATAATCGACTTTGTGGCCGAAAAAGCAAAAGCGGCGATTTTTTTCTGCAGGTATCGCTATTTAGTCGAGTTTTACAAATAAATCAAGAAATATTCATATCACTTCTTGTTGTGTACAACGTCAATTTTTCGGCGAAAATCGCCCGAGGCCCGAGAAGTGGCGATTTCGGGGAGACGGCCGAAGTTTTGCGCGTGGAGTTTTCTAGGTCATTTGCGAATAAAACTGCAGTTTTACTGGCGGTCACCACGAAAATCAAGCGAAAAAGGTGAAAAAAAAGGAAAATTGACCTGACCCGGAGCCAAATGACGTGGCAAGTGACTCGAAAATAATGGGAGCCGGGAGAACTTGTTATTTTTTGAGTAAAAGTCGTCGCCGAGAGGCGCGTCTGTGAGAACGATGTCGTTGAACGATGAGCCCGACGAGAACAATCACATTTTCTACGATCCGGTCACCGTTTTGAGGCCAATTTCGCGAGCAACTGGAATTAGTTTGGATCAGGTGCGGGTTTCGGTGGATTTCTGGCGAAAATAGATAATTGGCAGCTAAATTTTGTCGTCGTTCTGTTCGTCTCGTTCGGCCTCGGCTTCTGCTACCGCCTGCAGTTGCACGATGCGAGCCGGAGCACACGGGCGGCCGTCACCACCGTCATCGGCTTGCTTATGTGCTATTTTTGCTATGGAAAGTAGGATTTTTCCAAAAAGAGCCATTTCAAGCTGAAAATTAAAATTTCAGCGCCATCGCTCATTTGCTCATCAACGCCTTCGGCAGCTATCTTCTGATTCTCGCCGTCAATCCGAAACACGTTCACAAGTACGATTTTGCCAAAAAAAGGCACAATTTTAACAGCAAAAAAAACACCGATTTCAGAGCAGTTTTCGCTTTTTCGATGGGATATCTGATTCTGATTCACGCGTATCGTTGGATGTATCAGAAGACGTACTGTTTGGATGTGACCGGAAGTATGATGGTCGCCGTCGGAAAGGTTAATTTTATACAAAAATTCAAAAACAATTGCGGTAGTATTCGATTTTTTGGAGAGAACCCAAAATTACGCGAAGACGGCAAAAACCATAGCAAAAAGTATAACTAATTTTTTTGCAAGCGAAACAAACATTTTGACTCAAAAATTACAAACTTCTGCATTCATGTCGTCAACAAACCGAATTTTACGACATTTTGCACCAAAACAATCCATTTTGCACTTTCAGATCACTCTTCTCGCCTCGGCGGTGCACGATGGAATGGGAAGAGAGGAAGCGGAGCTGACTGGCGGCCAGAAGAGGGACGCCGTCAAAGAGATTCCGAGTCTGCTCGATTTCGCCTCGTACATGTTCAACTTCCAGGTATTTTTTCTCGCGAAAATGCGACCCGCAGCAAAATTTCGATTTATAGAGTGTAATCGTGGGGCCGATGAATCACTACTCGACGTGGTCAGGATTTCTGGATTTGGAACATGTGCCGAAGAATGAGAAAACCGGAAAACCGTACGATCCGACGGGAACGGCGATGCGCAAATTCGAAATCGCACTAGGATTCTCGCTCGTCTACTCGCTGCTCGCGCCGTATCTTCCGATGAGTCTGACGGCGGATCCGGAAGTGAACGAACGCAATCTGCTCGTTTGGTGGATCATTTCGGCGGTCGCCTCCACCGTTCACAGACTGCCGTACTACTTTGCGTGGACCATCAGTGAGGAGTGCATTTGCAAAGATTTTCAATGAGAAGAATGAGTTTAGCCGACGCGGTATGCAACGTTTCGGGCTTTGGATTCGACGGATTGGACAACGAGACGTTGGAGCCGAAGTGGTCGAAAACGACGAACGTGAAGCCGTTGAGGGTAGAGGTAATCGAACTCATTTCTTTGAAGCTACAGTAGTTTTGGAGTCAATTGACGTTGCTCCTCTATTGAGGCAGAATTTAGAGGCATGTTGATAGTCTTTTGATAGAAAAGTAAGAACGCTCAAAGATACCGTAGCTACAAAAGCAATTTTTGTTCAGTTTGGACAAAACTACAAAGAGATGGTGGACAACTGGAACATTTGGACGGTGGCGTGGCTGCGTCGAGTAGTGTACGAGCGCGTGGACGGTCCCTACCGTACCCTGGCAGTGTACGTAACGGGTGCCGCGTGGCACGGACTCGCCGTTGGTTACTACCTCTCGTTCCTCTCGAGCGCCCTCTTCACACTCTCGGCCGCTACGGTATCATCAACTAAACTTTGCCTGTTTTATCGTCATCCCTCTCCTTGCAGTTCCGACGCTGTATGCGTCACCGTTTCCTGGACAATCCGATGCACAAACTCGTGTACGATATAGTTGGAATGGCGGCGTCGAAGTTTCTGATCGGCTACATCCACTGGCCGTTCTACGTGATGCACTTTTGGCCGAGCATCTTCGTCTACAGAAAACTCTACCTCGCGCCTCATTTCATCGCCCTCTTTATCTACTTTTATCTGCCGCAAATCTTTCCGCCGCAGCCGAAAGCGAGCAAGAGCGGAACGACGATCATCACGGAAAAGTCGGAGATGTCGTCGAGAAGGAACAGCAGCACAAGCACCGCAATCGAATCGGAGACGACGAAGCAGAAGCAGAAGAGGCAGGAGTGACTTTTGGGAATTAAAACATACATGGAATTCAATAAAGATATCATTCTTACTAGCAAATACCTATTAGGTTGTTCGGAAAGTTCCAGTCATTTTTCATAGTATTTTTTTGAAGATTGTTTTTTCTATCGGCAAGCAAGCGAGTCAGTTGTCGTTTTATCAGTATGTTGGTCAGGTATTACAATCTTGGACACTTTGCAACTGTCACTAGACGTTTCGCAACCAATATGAGATATTTAGAGAGTGAGAAACTTGAAATTTGACATTTTCCAACCAAATCCATCGTCTGACAATTGATTTGATTGCGAAACGTCCTCTAGTCGTGGTTGCAAACCGTCCATCCATCTAAAGAACACTAGCCATACTGGTCCTAGCGGTTCGGCCATTCAATGACTGCGGATCCACCGCGTTCACAGGATGCTGTTGCCCTTCTCCCGTTTCCGACGGCTTCAGACGGAAAAACACTTTTATGAGCCACTCTGAAATCACATTTCTTCTAGATTCTAGAAGCGTTTCCTTTCTCTAATTACCAATGATTACATGACGATAGCACTTGATAATAATCATATTTGGAAGCGGATCGATGGCCGGATAAAATGCGATTGTGTAGCCGACGAACTCGGTGGTGAACGGTAGTTGCCAGATGACCATGGGAAAGAAGAAGAGGATTCCGATCGGGATGTACATCAGCACCAGCGGAATGAACGTCTGCACGACGAGCGCGTGGAACAACTGCGACTGGAGCGTTTTTGTGGCGGCCGACACGGCGGCGGTAGTCGAGATGCTCTGCGAGATCTCCCAATAGCACCGAGAGCCAAAGTAGAAAACGCAGAACATTGAGGAGATCTACAATATAAATATGTGTACATAACGGAAATACTGAGCTGGTGATAATCGTAACATTGCGTACGTTTTAGAAGTTGATCATACACGGTCTCCAGAGCTGACAATATGGGCGTGGCCTCGGCGGACAAATGACGTTTTCATGAATTGAGCAGGTTTTCTCTGATTTTTGTGTGGTCAAAGGCGATGAAAAATGCATGTTCGAGATGAAAACACACTAATTCTCACAGAATTAATGACGTTTTGGCGCATTTTTCGCGGATTTTGCTTTTTCGAAAATTTGTTTTTTTTTTCCTAGAAACCGCACTTCTCATTTTGCGCGTTCTTGACCGTTTTCAGACAGAATTGGTTTTGAGAATGATAGATTACGTAAATACAAGCATTTTGAGCGCTCGAACCGCGAAAACTACCGAAAAGCAACTGAAATTCACGCAGTTTTAGCGAAAAACCTTCAAACTTGACCAAATTTAACGCTCTTTCGCTTAAAAAATTCGTAATAGCCTATACAATCGGTCTATCGAGAGACAAATGAGAAATTATCGGTTTTTCGTGGCTAATCTGGCAAAAAACACGCATTTTGCTGTTAAAATTTGAATTTCGCGCCAATGTATCGCTCTATTGGGCGGGGCGCACTTGCGCGCTCATTGTCAGCTCTGGAGACCGTCTATATCAGTTTATGGGTGCCCTTCTATTTCACTTACAATCATATACCACATGCATCCAATCGAGAAAAAGATGCGCGGGTCCGGGTGGGGAAGTCCGTCGGCGCCGGTCGGTTGGAAGTAGACGCAAATGTAGGAGAAGTCCTTGATCGGAATGCCGTAGTGTTCGGCTACTGACTCTCTGCAACATCATTTTTGAATGCTCTATTATCCAATATTATAAGTAGTTGCACTACTAGTTTTTGGTAACAAAACTCCTCAAAAGTACCCCAGTGCCAAGATCTTCAAAACCCCGTCGTTGTATATAGATGCCATCCATCTATATATCCCCAATGGTGCCTCAACCTCAATATTTTTTCACTCTTTGATACTAAAAAACAAGCATTGCGTTATTTTCCAGGAATCCCGTGTCCCCAAAGAATGCTCACTTCATATAATCATCGGTGAGAGTGCTGAAATGAAAGTAGATGTAGCAGAGGACCGCCCACCACACAAAGTACCACATTGGCACGACGAACAGGACGTAGACGCGGCGGCCGGGCAGGTAGCGATCGCGGAACGCCCTGAAATTCAAAATTGATTTGAAGATTTTGGGCCTAGGTGCACTTGTTGACGGCTCCGTATCGATAGATGAAGTGAACGCCGAAGATGGCGAGCGAGAAGCCGAATAGGCCGCAATAGACGCAAACGAGCACGAAACTGGCCTCGCGGTTGAAGGTAAATAGCGATTTTTTAAAGTCACGAAGCACCACGAACGCCGCTTTGTAGGAGTGCACTATCTGCAAGGACTTCTTTTTTCAAATATCGAAAAACAGCCTGATCTAGGTCCTCAAAGAAATTTCTGTCGCCCTACTATAAAAACCGTCATCTTTGAACCCTTATATCTCGAGATATAATGATTATTTTGAAAAGTGATCAACTGCAAACTTGTTGTAAGGCTTGTGCTTAACAATTTTCTAGTTGATCATTTCATCCCAAAACCTGTCAATCTTGAGTTATGGTCTCGTTTCTAAACAGTATCCCTTAGGGCAACGAGAAATTTTGTCTGAATTTACAGGCTCGTTGAAGTCATAGGACTTTGAGAAGGTTTTCTGGTCTTGAAAGTGAACTATCGATTAAAAAGCATAATTTTACAAAATATTGTCCGTTTCCCAAACTGACCGGCTCCGTCAAAAGGTCCCAAATCGAGTAGAACGCCTCGAACAATGAAATGTAGCACATCAAGTACTTGTAGGCGCCCAGTTTCGCCGGCGATTTTGTCAAAATCAGAAAAGTCAGTATGAAATTGAGGCATAGCGATGTGATGGCGCACAGGATCTGTAAGATGGATGGTATCTTCGAAAGAAATGGTGAAAATTGAGGACGTACCTGGAAAACGATCATTGAACGCCACGAAAAAACGCGGGTAGACTGGCGCGATGGGTTTTTGTGAGTGATAATGAGAAAAATGGTCAAATTCCTAAGGGGAAAGGTTGGAGGAAACAAAGGAAAAAGGGGGCGGGGCTTTGGCTTTTCAAAAAACCAACAAACGTTGACCCGCTTTCTCGTTGGAAATTGGAAAACTTTGAATGGATATTGTACAGTTCTAAAGTGTCCTGTAGATCTAAAAATTTTTGTGTGAAAACTTGAAGTCTAGTACGTCATTTTTGTAGTTGATCACTTTTTTGTACGAGCACTCCCGGGGGTACTGTAGTCCTTGCAAGTTGAATTACACCTTCAGGAACTACAGTACCCCTGGGAGTGCTCGTACAAAAAAGTGATCAATTACAAAAATAACGTACTAGACTTGACGTTTAAGCACAAACAATTTCAGAAAGATTTCACATCTTCGGAGCCTACAATACTCGTTCAAAGTGCACTGTGACTATTTCGGTCTTTGTCTTCTCGTCTTGAAAACGGCCGTGATTCTCAGTGTTTCCAAAATATTCTCTTGTCGTCTGTTGTCTACTTTGACGTCGTTGCTTCGTCTTGAAATACGCAAGAAAACGATTGCCCTCACTACGCGCGTCTCCATGCACTTTCATAAATGATTCATCAAAATTGCCGGCCTCAAAAGTTTTTGAATGCAGAAACCGACAAAGAAATTCCTCCGGTTTCTTCAAATAGCACATAATAATGGTTCGAATTGATAGAGGTACGTTTTGTGTCTCAAAAATCGACATTTATGAAGGTTTAGATTTGAAACGATGTTATTTCTATCGTTTAAAAGTTGATGGCAATGTTAATGGCAGAGAACCGATTAATATCCAATCTGACTCTTTGGAATTCCCGAAATCTGCTTCTTGTCCAGACATTATTCGTATGACCTTCAGCACCAAAGCGAAACAATTGTTCAGTAGTTTTGCAGCCGTCAATCCTTATTTCCGGCCAAGGTCATCTCGTCAATCGTCTAGAGCAAGCAGTAATCGACGACGAAGAATCAGGTTGAAAAGAGCACATTTCAAAGTAGTTAATAATGAAGCGGATGTTTTGAAGTTGGAGCCGAGAAGCGGATCGAGTCAGACAAATATCGCCCAAATCTGAGCCGGAGCATGTGAACGTATTCTCAACGCCACAAACAAGAACAACAAGACGGCTTTCGGACAATTCGAGAACGCCTGGAAACAGAGAGAGTTCCGAGTTGATGCACGAACATTTTCCAAAAGAAGAGACCGATATGAAGAAGAAGAAGAAGAGTAAAAGATCAGTGTCGGCTCAAGTGAAACCAACGCCGAAATCTTCTAATGTAAGACACAGAGTCTTATGAAATTTCGCTTTTTTTATCGCTTCACAATAACGTTTTTCAGGGCGAACGCTATAAATCGCAAAAACTGGAGCACAAGAAAAAGAGACCGGCAACAATAAGTGCGAATTTCCGGAAATTCAAGTCAAACGCAAACTTGCGAGTAGTTCCCAAAGAACCGCTCATGAAAAAAGCGGTGAGTCTTTTGAAGTGTTTTGTTCTAAGATGATGATTTTCGTCTGCGCTCTATAATAATCCTTCATTCAGGAGCATCGCAAAACAAAGCACTTGAATCCACCACGCTGGCGCCACGTTGGAGATCGGAATCGACATCATTACCGCGACAACAAAACCGCCCGCTCTTTTGTTTCTGATCACTTCTTTTGAGAATGTCTTTTGTGAACAACGATGAAACAATTGACTATTGCAGCTCACTTTCATTCAAAATTTTGCAGTCGAATTAGACGCCTCCCCACCAGAGTTGAGCGGAAATGGAATTTTGAAATTCGGAAGACGGCAGACGGAAGACGGAACAAAAAATCGTCAATGCAGAACCTTTTTCTCCAGTTTTTTTTTAATAACTAAAAAACAAAAATTTTGGATCTGGGTCACTGCTCTAGAGCACTGCTCTACTGCCCGTGGAAATTCGCGTTCTTCGGGGCTAGTAAATGGCTTCTTCACGGAAGACGGCAGACGGAAGACGGAAGACGGAATTCCGCTCAACACTGCTCCCCACTCTCATATCGATTGTTCGTCTCTCGATGATGGCAGTCGAGACCGCTACCTTACTCCGTCACCACCAGTTGAGCGGGATTCCGTCTTCCGGGAAAAAGGTTTTCTTCCGTCTTCCGTGTTCCGTAAAAATTGCTCTTCCGTCTGCCGTCTTCCGGATTTCAAAAATAAATTTCCGCTTAACTCTGGTGACGTCGCTGGATCTGATTCCTCCTCCTCAGCGCTCCTAATCGCTCGATTCCTGCGCGCTATTGCGGGCCAGTTTGCGTGTAAACGCACAATATATCAGTGAGGTGACTCCCGCGAAAAAAATATATTTTGTTGCAAAGAACATGAAGTTGGATACTCATCTGGACTCCATCGTAGTAGTACTCATTTCCAAATGAATACTTAATAATTCTTCCAAAAAGTCACGCCCGCACACACTCACCTGAAGGCGTCCGAAAACGCTCGTCGATCCGGTGTGACGATGAATTATTCACGTGGTCGCATCTCGGCGATTCTGAAGACATGTAGACATAACATTTGCTCGTTTTCCACCTTCTCTCAAGGAAATGCCATTGCGCGTTCTATTCTTGCTCTATTTCAACGTTCCACTCGCATTTCCCTTTCGAATCGGTCATCTCGAGTTTGAGAATTCGAACGAGACACGTGTCCTGGAAATTTGTATGCGAAATTCGACGGAGAACCATAGGTAGGCGACGCAAAAAAAAAGAGAGATTTCCGAGCGGTGGGGGTTTGAAAGATTGCGGCCAAAAGTGTGCCACTTTCAGCATAATCTCCCTACCCTCATGCCACAACTTCAACGGGCTCGAGAACGCGGCGAACCTCAACTACGAGTACGCAGTGGACCTGCTCATCGGCGCCGCGTGCGATGAGGAAACGCAGACGGTCTCGAGACTCGCGCTCCGCTGGCACAAACTGTATCTTTCGTCGGCGCCGTTGAGCACCAAAGAGAAGTGGCTCAAAGTACAGTGATATTGGATAAGCAGAAAAAAAGTTTTAGAGAGGGCACAACGATTGCTCTGAAACCGCACAGTTTGGCCGGCACCGTCGAGGTTCTGTTGGCGGTTTGCGAATCGATGGGCTGGAAAGAGGTGGTTGACCCAAATTTTTTATTATATTTTTCCATAAATATCACGGTCTCCAGAGCTGACAATATGGGCGTGGCCTCAGCGGCCAAATGGCGTTTTCATGAATTGAGCAGGTTTTCTCTGATTTTTGTGTGGTCAACGACGATGAAAAATGATTGTTTCTCATGAAAACACATTAATTCTCACAGAATTATGGACGTTTTGGCGCATTTTTCACGGATTTCGCGGACTTTGCTTTTTCGCGTTCGCCGCCGATCGCCGCCTAAAAACCGCACTTTTCATTTTGCGCTTTCTTGACCGTTTTCAGACAGAACTGGTTTTGAGAATGATAAATCACGTAAATACAAGCATTTTGAGCGCTCGAACCGCGAAAACTACCGAAAAGCAACTGAAATTCACGCAGTTTTAGCGAAAAACCTTCAAACTTGACCAAATTTAACGCTCTTGCGCTTAAAAAATTCGTAATAGCCTATACAATCGGTCTATCGAGAGAAAAATGAGAAATTATCGGTTTTTCGTGGCTAATCTCACAAAAATTTTTTTTTTTGCTGTAAAAATTTGAATTTCGCGCCAATGTATCGCTCTATTTGGCGGGGCGCACTTGCGCTCATTGTCAGCTCTTGAGATTGTGTATAAAATCGACTTCAGATCGGTCTAATCTACTCGGAAGACACGAAATACACCGCGCACGCGATCTACGACATGCTCGCCGAAAAATCGGATATTCTGAAAATCAACGTCTTTTTACAAACCGACGGACACCTCAACACATATTCGATTCTTCATCGAGCCAGAGGTTTGAGCACGTTTTTCGGCCAAAATTGTCCATTTTCAGTACTAATCTCCTTTCTGACTACTGTCGATCTGTCGACATTTATGAAAACGTTGAAGGAGAAGGCGTTCCGCCCTTTGGAATTCAGTGTAGTCCACGTGGATAATCAAAAGTGGGTGGTCGAAATCGAAACGTTGTCAAAATTAGTGAAAAATCGCAGAACTCCCATCGCAGAGTTCTTCAACTATCTCGACCGTCAGGCTTCTGAAGAGGCGACGCCGATTGCGTCGGCGCGTCTGCGCAAACTGCTGCGCCACGTGGCACTTCTTCGGAATAGCCACGACGATCGGGCGGCTATGGAGACGTTCGCCGTCGAGAATCGCATTACGGTAGTGTGGATTTACGAGAAGTCTCGAAAAAAAATAAGTTGTATTTGAGCCCTCACATACGCTCTACAAAGCGCTGATCCTCTGCGATGGGCTCCGATTGTTGAGCAACTACAGTAGGCGCCGAAATTTGACAATCGTGCAAGAGTTACCGTACCTCTGGGAGCACGTGACCAACACCGAAGTGCACGGCTTTTCGGGTCCGATGTTCATCGGCACCGACGGCGTTCGTCTACCGTACTACGAGATGTTCATGTGGAGGCAACAGGCGGTTCGCCACGTGGCACACGTCAAACCCAGAGAGTCGCGGTTTTGCGGCCGCGTTGGCCAACAACACGTCCAGAATTGCTATGTGAGTTGAGTTCTTACGGATACTGTAGATCTAAAAATGTTTGTGTGCAAAAACTTGAAGTCTAGTACGTCATTTTTCGAGTTTATCATCACTTTTCTGTACGATGAACTTTGAACAGCTACACAGTACTCTTGCAAGTGGTCTTAGAGTGATGTAGTCAACTGAAAAAATGAAGCACAAGTCGTCAAGATTGTGTACACAACATTTTGAGGTCATAGGACGTCTTCAGCCGTAAAGCCAACCGTATGAAAATTTTCACTAACAGGAGTTCGTTCGATCGGCTCCACACGGACTTTTGCTCGATGATCTTCCGCCGTACACGTCGGATTGTGGATACGACAACAATCTGTGCAGTGACCTCCACGTCTTCCTGATCGCCGCCGTCGTCTTCTCGATTCTTCTCATTCCGATGGCGATCGCGTTCTATCTTCAACGAAAAGAGCATCTGATTCAGCAGATGCCGTGGCGTGTGCCTTTGGAAGCGATTTCGTTCGACGACGGCAGGGACGGATCGACAATACCGGCAAATATTCAGAGGAGACTGTCGACTACGACTGCAAGCACCGCCCGTGCCTCCTACGCCTCCATTTTCTCGGCCAACATCTGCGAACACGCGCATGTTAATAAACATAAGGTCTGATGTGAAACGGGCTTTTCGAGGTGGGTGTTAAATTGGAATATTGTAGGTGTCCTTGAAGCGATACGCTCAAAAAAGGGCAATAACTTTCACAAGACACGAGATGGAGGAGTTGAATCAGGTAATTTTGTCAATTTGCCTCAAAACTCGATGAAATTAGAGACAAAAGAGAGGGAAAACATGTTTTCACTTCTCGCGGATCCCAATTACAGCTCAAATACATGTCCCATACGAACATCAACGCGTTCACCGGCATCTGCTTCAATCAGGGCTCCGAACTGTTGGTGATGTGGCAATTCACGACCAGATACTCGCTGGAAGACTTGATTTTTGTGAAGGAACAAAAGTTTGGCCGCAATTTTCAGTCAACTTTCATCAAACACATCATTCATGTGAGTGCCGACGCCCGTTTGTTTAGCACGCTATATCTCAGCTGTGGGCGGAGTTATCAAAAAGTTATCAACTGACAAATTACTCAAAAAGACATTTTGCACATTTTATCAGTTGACAACTTTTTTGCATCTCTTTCGGCTGCTGAGATACATCGTTTTGAATCAACAATATTGTACGTCAACTTTTTCAGGGTGTCCATTACATCCATAACAGTTCGATGAAAGTGCATGGTGCGTTGTACTTGTCAAATTGCGTTGTCGATTCCTATTGGGTGGTCAAAATCACCGATTTCGGCATCAAAAACATTCTGAAAGAGCGGATGAGCCACAAGGAGTTGGCGCCGAGTTGCCCGTTCGATACGGACGCGTTGCACTACAGTAATCGCCCCCGGGGAATTGTATCATTTGCAGAAAATAAGCTTGCAGAATATCTCCAACAAGCCCCCGAGCATTTGGCATCGATTCTGGAGCGTAATGAGGATCCGACGGGCTCGGTGGAGGGCGATATTTACCAGGTGGCCATGCTCATTTATCAAATTCTCTTCTACATGCGTCCGTTTGCCGAGCGACAGGAGGATACAAGAGGTAATGCCGCGTCCAATGTCTCGGAAAAACCGTAAAAACCGCAGATTTTTCTGTCCAAAGTCGGCCGAAATTTGCGTGAAAAACGGGGGTGCGCACAGCTCAATGAGTGTAACCGTACCCCTAAAACTACGGTATTTTTTGAAAATTTGTTAATTTCTTGAGGTTATTTGAAAATATTCAAATTTTTTGCGCAAATTTTCAAAAAATACCGTAGTTTTAAGGGTACGGTTACACTCATTGAGCTGTGCGCACCCCCGTTTTTCACGCAAATTTCGGCCGACTTTGGACAGAAAAATCTGCGGTTTTTACGGTTTTTCCGAGACATTGGACGCGGCATAAGGGAGGAGAACAAAAGTAGTTTGAGTTTGAGTTTTTTAAAGTTTCAACACCCCCCGACGCATCTCGTTGTCACACTTCCAGACCTGGCCAAACTCATCGCCGACCCGTCGACTCCGCCGATCCATCCAAAAGTACCAGAAGGCACCAGTTTCACGATGCGTCTTCTTTCGATCATTCAACAGTGTTGGCTGCACAAACCGGCCGCCCGTCCCACACTTATTAAGATCACCGATGCGGCGAACAGGGAATTCGGACAAGAGTGAGTTGGGCACTCGATTCAAAACGATTTATCTCAGCTGCGGGTGAAGGTATCAAAAAGTGGTCAACTGATAAAATGTGCACAATCTTTTTTTATTTATTTTATCAGTTGACAACGTTTTGATAGCTCCTCTGGCAGCTGAGATATATTGTCCCTTATGAGGGCTACCTTCAAATTTCTTCAGCGTGAAAGGAACTTTGATCGATCAAATGATTGAGATGATCGACGAATATTCGGCAAATTTGGAGCAAATTGTGGCCGAGCGAACCCGAGAATTGGAGCAGGAGATGGCGAAGACCGAGAATTTGCTGTATCAACTACTTCCAAAGTTGGTTTTCCACATGTTTTGCATCGTACTGACACCATTTTCAGATCAATCGCCGACTCGATCCGCTGCGGCCGAAGTGTGGTGCCCGAACAACACGGATCCGTCTCGTTGCTCGTCGTGGACGTCTGCCAATTCACGAAATTCTGTGAGGCCTTCATTCCAGTACATGTACGATCACGACCACGTTCACGGTTCACTGTTCACTGTTCAGATCCTCGAAACACTTCAAGAGCTCTACTCGTCCTTTGACTATATTGTCCAGAAAAACAAGGCGTTCAAAGTGGAAAATGTGGGCGACGCCTACCTCATTTGTAGTGGAATTCCCGAAATGAGTGGCCTCCGACATTTGAGAGAAGTTTGCAAGATTTCGTTGAAATTACAGACGGTGCGAGCCAAAATCGGAGCATAATTTCGAGCTGCATAAACACTCGTTTTTGCAGTTTATGAAAACGTTCACAGTGCGCCACAGGCCTAGCCACGTGTTGACCATCAAAATGGGCATCACGAGTGGAGCGGTGGCGGCCGGAATACTCGGAAGCATCGCTCCGAGATTCTGCATCTTCGGCGATACCGTCAATATGGCGTGTCGGATGGCGAGCACCGGCGCCCCGGGAAAGATTCAGATTAGCGAGTTGACGGCGAACACGTTGTTGGAGAAGTTTCCCGCGTTCATACTCGAAGAACGTGGAATGATCGATGTGAAGGTGAGTTTTAGCGAAAATTCTGAATTTCTGACGTCTTCTGATTCTGCGTTTTTCTTTCGTCGCGCAGTCGCGCTCGCGCCCGCGCCACACATTTATACCCGCCCCTAAACGCTCTCCGCGCCATGAGTGTGTGTGGCGCAGCGGGTAACCATTTTGCCTGTCAACCAAAATGCCGCGGGTTCGAACCCCACTACCCCCCTATTCCATTTTCAGGGCAAAGGATCGTGTCTGACGTTCTGGCTGACCGGAGAAAAAGACAATATGCGTCGTCAGTCGTCGCGATCAAGTTGCATCTCACAAATCAAGTTCGAGCTGGAAAACTATGAATCGTCCGCTCAACCGCCGAGTAATTATCTCAAAGTTTAGAAAGAATGATATTATGTTTATTCGTTTTTTCTCGATCAATAATACTGTAGGACCCTGTAGAAAATCGCTATGCACAGATAGATGACAATTGGAAGAAGCGGACAATAGTCGAATTTAGTCTTTCTCGAGCACAAATGGGTCCAAGAACTCTCCAGAAACGGTTGAGGTGTCCACAAAGTCAGTGCTAAGATGGGTCGAATTGTAGACCGTCAGGAAGGTGTATCCGTACTCGCCGAGCGCTTTTACCGAGAAATCCTGCATAATGTGGTCCGACGGGTCTTCGTGTGAGTGGCAGCCCTGCAAAATGGACAAAAATAGTTTGAGCGCAAAAAGTTTCGAATCCGGGTACTCACCGCTCCGCCAGTTAGAATGAAAACGGGTGCCTCGGCGTTTTTGATGTGTGCTGGATCGGCGGTCTTGAATGGAGTCTTGTTGTAAATCGGCCACGTGCGCTCGTAAGTGTGCTTATGGCCGTACAATATCAGATCCACTTTGTACTGTTTGAACAGCTTTTCGAGTCCCGGAAACACGTCATCTCCCTTCCGCGACAGCTTGTCCTCATCGTCATGACACCCCTTCTCCGATTTGGTCGAGCAGTACCACGGCCGATGGAACATCACAATAGTCCACGTGGCTTTGTTGTTCGCCAGGTCCGCTTCCAGCCATTTGTACTGTTCCTCCGTCTGTTTGGCCATTCCTTCGGCGTAATACTCCGAGTTGAGCGCGACAAAGTGCACGAGACCGTAGTCGAAACTCCAGAAGAGGTTATTGTCGTACACTCCGTTCTTGGGCATTGTGAAGCGGTTTACGATGTGATTGAACTTGGAGTCCACCTCGTGATTTCCAGCGAATACCTGAACGGGCAAAGGTTGTGCGGTTTCAAAGCGGTAGGAGAAGCCTTAACTAACTAGGAATATCTAAGGCCACGCCATAGCTTACACCACTCACCATGTAAGGCACATACGCCGCAAATGGCTCAATCGCGTTCATATAGGCGTCTCCAGTGTTTCCATCATCGTCTTGAAGGTTGTAGGCCAAGTCGCCGATGTGAATGATAATATCGAATTGATGGTTGCGCGTGGCGATGATCAGTTGGTCGATCGATTGCTGCCCCTTGAAGATGCTGAGATCTCCGAAGATGGCAGCTCTCAAAGGGTGCGATGGATCCGGTTGGTAGAAGTGGAAGGTGTCCGAGATGGCTTGCGAACTGCCCACTTGATAGTCTGCAAGTGTCGGGGTAAGGGACACCAAAACAAATATGCCGTCTCAAACTCACAATACAAGTCTCCAGGTACCATGTTCTGCATAATAGCGCGATGCGTGTACCGCACCACTCCATTCGATCCTTGATCTTTCCAAGAAGTCGTGTTGGCTTTCGCGGTCCAACGCAACGCATCTTTGGTCATACCGTAGGCCACGTAGGGTGTCACACTGGGCACTGTAATTGACAATAGTGCATTTGGAGGGAGGGTGTTGTATGAAAAAGAACTTACATGGATCCATAGTGATCCAGGTGACCACCATCTCGTCCATTTTTCCGCTCACACTCAGATGCACTTGCTCTACTTTCGACGAGCTCACGGCTCCAAAAAAGAGCCCAAGAAGAAGAAGAAGCATCGGGAAGATTACTGTAGCACACTTTTTCTGCGACTTCGGGGCTCATCCACTCACATTTTATAGTTCGACGCGTGTTTGACGCCACCCCTTTTTCGATAACGTCATAACTCATTATCAAGTTCTTTGTAGCGAAACCAACCCGAGTCGGCAAATTGGGAAAACCGAGTCAAACGTCCAAATTTCATGGAAATTCTATTTTTAACCCCCCACGTTTGACAAAGATGATCACGGAAACTAATAGAGTCTAGGACACACCCACTGCACGTAATCTTTCGGTTTTTTGCAGACCATGTCAAGCTGGTTACTGTAGACGGGCTACCGTACTTGTGTATATCATTACTAATCGGTTAAAAGCCGATTGACAATCAAAAATGCACAATATCAATGTCAATCTTTCTCCAAATAGAATCGATCCATAAAGGTGCCGACTTTATCCGAGGTGTCCACAAAGTACGTGCTCAAATGCGTGCTATTGTACACCTTGAGACGAGTGTAACCGTACTGACCCAACCGGGTGACCGAAAACGATTGGGCGATGCTGTCGGATGGTCCTTCGTGTGTGTGGCAACCCTTAAATGAGCGATAGTCAGGGACACGAACGTTGAGGTTAAAAGTACGTACCGCTCCTCCAGTCAACATATAAACCGGAGCCTTGGCATTCTTGACGTGTCCCGAATCGCTCGACTTGTACGCAGTTCCATCGTAAATCGGCCACATGCGCTCGTAAGTGTGCTTATGGCCGTACAATATCAGATCCACTTTGTGATCGTACAATATCTTCTCGAGACCCGGCATCGCCGTATTTCCCTTCCGCGACAGCATGTCCAAGTAGTCGTGACATCCCTCTTTGCCGGACGTCGAGCAGTACCACGGCCGATGGAACATCACAATAGTCCACGTGGCTTTGTTGTTCGCCAGGTCCGCTTCCAGCCATTTGTACTGCTCCTCCGTCTGTTTGACCATTAATTCGGCGTAATACTCCGAGTTGAGCGCGACAAAATGCACGAGACCGTAGTCGAAACTCCAGAAGAGGTTATTGTCGTACACTCCGTTCTTGGGCATCGTGAAGCGGTTTGTGATGTGATTAAAGTGAGAGTTGGACTCGTGGTTTCCAGCGAATACCTGAACTGGCAAAGGTTGTGAAGTTTCAAAGGGAACCCTAAGATAACTAACTATTATACCTTTAATATATAGGTTACTATTCCTATATTTACCACTTACCATATAAGGTACGTAGGCCGCAAAAGCCTGTATATCGTTCATATAATCATCCCCATGGTTGCCCTCACTATCGTGCAGGTCGTAGGCCAAGTCGCCGATGTGAATGATCACGTCGAAGTGGTCGTTTTTCGTTGCATCGATCAACTGGTTTATCGTGGGTTGTCCTTTGTACACACTCAAATCTCCAAAGATGGCGGCTCTCAGTGGCTGCGACGGATCCGGCTGACGGAAGTGGAAGGTGTCCGAGATGGCCTGCGAACTGCCAACTTGATAGTCTGCAAGTATCGGGGTAAGGGGCGCACCAAAATAAATATGCCGCCTCAAACTGACAATATACATCTCCAGGCACCATTTTCGACATGACCGCCCTGTGCGTATACCGTACATATCCATGCGTTCCCTGATCCTTCCAAGAAGTCGTTGTGGCTTTGGCGGTCCAACGCAGTGCATCTTTGGACAGTCCGTAAGTGACGTAAGGCGTCACATTTGGTACTAAAATGGTTTAGGAGAGGTTTTGTAAAGTAGACTGTCAACTTACGCGGTCCCTGAGTGAGCCAGGTGACCACCATCTCGTCGATTTTTCCGCTCAAGCTCAAATGCACTTGCTCCACTTTATTCGAGCTCACGGCTCCCAAAAAGAGCCCGAATAGTGCATAAAGATGGAGCATTTGTTTCGCTGAGAAAATATTCTCCCAAAAAAAACCGTTTTTTCCCAATATTATATACTTGCTAATACCGGTCTAATCCCTCTCAAACGCCTCTTCGTTCCGTCATCATTTATTTCTTCGTTATCATTTTGTGTTAAAGAGTTGGAGACAAAGGTCAGAGTGACCAGGATTTCTGTATTTTTGCAAAAGTACAGTAATTTGATAGTATCATTCGGTGTATTTTTTTCATTTTTTGATTGATAGTAAGGGTGTTTGAATGTAGTATAGTGTTTGTTTGGGTTTCAAGGCCACACCTTTTTCTCTGACTTGTTCCCCTCAAAGAACTAGTTGAAGTTTTGCTGAAACTCACCAGCCAACCCGACAATATAACATTTTTCTCCGACTGAAAATGTCCATGACACCCTCATCAATGTCTAGCTTTTCGGCCGTCAAAACCACGACAAACCGGATCACACTTTCGCAAAACGGAGTTCTTTGCTTTGCATTGTCATAAATACATCGGGCACAATGTGTTTGGAAACTACTGAACTGCGGGGGACTAGCGTTTGAGGGGCGGTGGCCTAGAAATCCAAATGGGGCCAGATTGCCAGAAAGTTTTGCATTGAAACTGACGAGAAAACAGTGAGAGAACCCCCCAAATTTCTTCACGAAAAGTCTGCTCCCCTCGCATTCTATTTCCAGCCATTTTTGCACAGAATCTCCTCCACACACTGATATCACTTTGACACCCATCTTTGCTCTCTTTTGAGCCCTCCGTTCCCCTCATCGACCACTACACCCACGTTTTCGGCGCTGATAAGCAGTGGGCAAAACTGACTGAATGACAGGTGATAAGAATGCGAAAAATCATCAAGTGATTCCGTGAAATGACGATGCAATTCGAAAAATGTACATTTGAGCAAAGATATTAACAAAAAATTAGGACTATAATCAGATTCGAAGCCACTTTTTGAGTTTCTGGTCTTAGTTATGGCACGAAAACGGCGGAACACAGTTGAAGTAGATGCACCATGGGCAGTCGATCTCGACGTTTCCAAAGAAGACGATGAGGAGGATCAGGAACAGAGTGACGAGCACGATTCCAGAGATCACCACGTAAAACTGCAATAGTCGATGATGTTTTGTCGTGTCGAACAAAGATTACAGGTTCAAATTTTTCTGAACTCGACGAGTTGTACACCATTTTTATGTACAAACGAAAAAAAAAATTTCGGGGGGCAACCGGCGGTATTGTACGTTCAAAAATTGAGATTTCTGGGTGAAATATCCTCCTTTTCGAACTCTCTCATCATTCTGTAAAGTTTCATGTCGCGAGGGTGTAAAATCATTGAAACGGTAGTTTTTGGAACGGGGAAGATCATATTGTGGTGTACGGATCAGAGTTGAGCCTAAGAACTCAACGGAATAATTTTTTTAATCTTTTTTAGAAAATTTTTTCATGGAATGTGATCAACTGACGAAATGTATAACAAAGTGAACTGTGCTCATAGAAAAATTATTGTAAATTTAGCTTTTCATACAAAAAAGTTATTCGAGTTGTTCCGTGAAAATGTCCTTCCGTCTTCCGTTTGCCCCCTTTTTTTGTATGAAAAGTTAAATTTACAATTATTTTTCTATGAGCACAGTTCACTTTGCTATACATTTCGTCAGTTGATCACATTCCATGAAAAAATTTTCTAAAAAAGATAAAATTTTTCCGTGAGTTCTTCCGCTCAACTCTGCCCCACACCATCTGAATCGGCGGAAACATTGTGTATGGCCAACTGTGTGAGCATCAATTTATCTGCGAGTTGTGCCATTGATGGCGATGATTACTGGTACCGTTTCTCTCGTTTTCTGCAAAGAGGTTAATAGTTTTAGGTGCCGTGTGACTGAATCGTCGAACATTTGTGTTATGCGGGATATGTTTGTGACGCTGAGTGTTGACGCTTTTCTTCGATTCATTCATTTCTCACTGGAAGAGTCATTTCTAATATCCCGGAAAACTCAAAACAACTCAATAAACTCATTTGAATTTTCACGTGAGAGTCAAAAAGACGTACATATCATTTTAGAATTTAACAAAGAAAAAACGTACACTCAGCATCAGCGTGAAATCCCGAAAAAATGTGGAGGGAATATCTTTCTACCTTTGAAAAAGGTATACGACTTGACTCAAGTGTACAACTTATACCAAGAGTCGAAAAATGTTTCCACTTCCATGTGGAGTCTTCTAAGATACGCCTTTTCAGGACAACCTTCCGAGCCTTTTTCAGGGCTCTCTCAATACCGTACGAGACGGTGCAAATGTCATGTTTCGACGACCTTTTATATACGTTCGTGGACCTGTCTTTCTTTTTTGTGCATTTCGAGTTTGACGACGTGAACTCTGTAACGGAGCTGCTGCGGTTGTCTGAAAAAAAAGCACAAGTCCATATTAAATTTCAATATCGTGTTATTCGAAAACTCAATTTGCATCATCAGCTGGCTGCAGTCAACGGCGATCCGAGAGAGCGGAAGGAAACACGAGACTCGGCGCTTTTTCGACGAATAAAGTGTTGGATGCCGTGGAGCCGACTGGGTGAACGACCTTTTATTAGCGAAAAAAATTACCGGGAAATGTTTAAAATTACAAAGAAATGCCGCGTTCTAGGCGGTTACACATGAAATGAATGTTCAATTCTGGCCGGTCGAAAGATCGGAAGCCATGGATTGAAGGGAGAGCACCGAAGGGGTCTGCGTGAGCGAATCGCTGGCGAAAAGACAGGCGGTCGAGTTGGACGACGGGACCGGCGACGCACTCTTCGCCACGTGGCTTCGTGAGACGTTCACGTCGCAACACTCGCACGATTCGGCGGCTCGCCAGCGGATTTGAGAGCCGTATTTGCGTAGGAATTCGAGGATGACTCCGTTCGTCCAGCCGAAGCCCTCTTGCATCACGTACTCGCCGCCGCCTTTCACTTTGTAGCACGGCGACACTGCGTTGTACTGAAAAAAGCCGTGTATCTTTGTTGTTTGTTGAGATATGAAGAAGTTGTCAACTAACAAAATGTTCATTATTAAATTCTGTACATTTTCTCAGTTGACAAGTTTTTGATATCTCTAAAGACGGCAGAGATACACCCGTTACCTTCTCAAACATGCGTCCTCCACTGTTCCGCCACATGTTGTAGTTCTTCTGCACCCACTTTTCCACGAGATTCAGCGCCAACTCCTCTTGTCCGACTTTTCTAGAAATTCGGCCGATTGTTTCATGAAAGCCTACGCTTCCAAGTACCGTAATCCTTCCAAAAGGACATAGGTGGTTGGTGGCCAGCAGTTGGGGAAGTCCCATTGTTCGCCGGTGTTCGAGAGGGAGACGGGGATGCCGCCCGAGAATCCGGCGGCTCCGGTTGACGTGATGTAGTCGACGACCTGAAACGGCGTCAGTTGGAGACGCACACTTTATAACTTACCCTTTTCGAGTCCAAATCCTCATGAAAACTGCCAGTGTACATTGGGAAAAAGTTGGTGTCGTGGAAGCTGATCGCATGCTTTCCCTCCTCGAGATCGTAGTCGAACCAACAGCCGTGCTCCTCGCTCCACAGCACCTGTTTGATGGTCTCTTTGAGCACTTGATGCTGCTGCTCGTAGACGCCCGCACTGTCCACGTCGCCGAGTTCCGCGTACATTCTGCTGAGCGTTTTGAGATTTCCGCAAATGATCGAGTTCAGATCGACGGGCACCAGTTGCGAGGTGCGCGTGCCTTCGAGTTTGCCCGCGTACGGTCCGTGGACGGCGAAGAAGCGCGAGGAGAAGTCGCGGCCGCTGAAAACGCTCCGCGCGTTTTTCAATGGTTATTGTCAATTTACGAGCGCTCACCTTTCCGCTGCAGCAGCCAGATCGCCCCAAAGCACGCACTTCTTCTCGAAAGTGTCCAAATGTTCCGCACTTTCAAGATCTTCGCGGTAGGATTCGGGACGCGGACGGTCGGTTTCGACGACGAATCGGAAGAGCGGCGAGTTCCATTCGGGCACTCGCACCGATTTGTGCTTTTGGAAGAAGGACAGCTGGAAATGTGGAGAATTTATTGCTGGAGCGAGGTGTACAAGCAAAAAGTTGTCAACTGACAAAATGTTCATGAGGAAATTGAGCGCATTTCATCATTTGAGTAACAGTTTTAAGAAAAACCTCTTTTCTGAGTGTGGGAAGCGTTGTTCGCAGGAATTCCTTGTCCTTCGTGGCCTCGTAGTAGGCCTTGACGCACCAGGTGAGAAGGGGCGGTTGCGAGCGGTTGAGGTAGTAGATGCGGGTGCCGTTCGGGATGAATCCGTACCTGAGACATGTTTCTTGTTCCAGAATCTGATGGAGTCTGATAAAAACGTACGTCTCGACCAAAAACACCATATTGTCGATCATTCCCTTGACGGTGGTGAGCATTCCCGACGCGAGAAGGCCTTTGATTGTGAAGAACGAGTCCCAGTAGTACATTTCACGGAATCTGCAACGTTTTTTTTTGCGCTTCAACACTTGGTCAGAAGCGCGCCAACCTTCCACCGGGGACCACGAACGGATGCGGGACCGCGATGATCGAGTACTTTTCCGGGTTGACACGCACTTTTTGTGAAATCTAAATCCATTGTCTGCTGCTTCCTTTTTCACTTTTTCGCCAGTTTCACTCACTTTTCTATAAAGCGTCGGCCATTTTGCGTGTAGAGCGGCCGCGAATTTGCGATAATCTTCGTCTATGATGTCGCCGAATCGTCCAGTCTTAAAAAAAAGCGGGACTGGATGATGGGTCGTGGGCTCAAAACTGATGTACCAATGGAAGCCAGTCGTCGGGGGCGCATTCTTCGAGTTCGCCTTCCGGCTCGTCAAAGTTCTCGCGGAGGAAAAGCGCGAGCACGTCGTTTGTGATGGGAGTCAGGGCGACGAGGGCGTTCCATTTGGCCAGGGTCGTTTCTAAAGGCACCAGAATAGTTCATTTGAAGCTCTGAATGGCATAGGCCGATATAACTATTTCAAAAAGTACAATTATCTAAAGGGATATTGTAGAAACTGTACATCTTTTTGATCGTTTTCGAAATGAAAATGCAAAGCGTATAGCTTTTTCTAACTAGGGAATGGCCCGCACTTTCCTTCGGGGCTTATGCAATGGGACCTATATATGATTCGAAAGAGAATTTCACGGAGAATCCGAATCTGCTCTCCACTTTTTTGCTAAAGAGCAATGGCTGGCGAGAAAATCTGCCTGTTTCAGCCACATTTTCTAGCAAGTTCATCTTCGGCGACCTGTATCTCAAGAACCACGCGTCCGTTGCAAAAGTGGTCAATTAGTAAGTTAACGAAAATTATCTCGTGAATAACTTTGTAGTTGATCGTCTATTTAAAAAAAATTAGTTTTCGAGTTATGAACTGTTTTCCTAGAGCGACAAGAAAAAAGCGACGATAACTCGAAAACTAATTTTTTTTAAAATAGACAATCAAATACAAAGTTATTCACGGAGAGCAGATTCGGATTCTCCGTGAAATTCTCTTTCGAATCATATAGGTCCCATTCTAAAAGCACAAGATAAGTGCGGGCCATTCCCTAGGAAGCAGAAAGTTCTAAAACGTGTTTCACACATCGTACTTATCAGGATTTCGACCACAGATGACTAGTCTATTTATAGCGTCACAAATGCGCTCTACCGAAATCATTTTGGCCCGTCGAAGCGCCGCTGATCTTTGTCCAATCCCTCTTTTCGCAGCAAAACGACAACAGGGAACTTTTTATTGCGCTTGGCCAGAAAAACAAGCAGTCAGCCCCCCTTTTCTCCCGCTTTTCCCATCCGTTCTCCGCTCTCTTCACCGGCGTTTCACGTGAATCGGAGATTGTTCATTGCTCTGGGCTCACAGAGAGAGAGAGCCGTTCTAGTGGCAGCCGGTGGAGGATTCGGAAAGAGAGAAAACAACGGAATCAGGGTGGGGGGGGGGTCAGTGGATATTGTAGTTCTGCAAGTTCTGGAAGAGTTTTGCAAATCAAATGAAATACCCCCCGTTTGAAAGTGTACATTTCGGTTTCACACACGATTTACTCTAAACTTGTCGCGACTGTTTTCGACAAGGAAATGTGTGGAAATCCCACCTGCATTGTGCTTCAACGGCATGTCCACGAACGTCTTGCAGTCGGGGAAGAGTCCCGAAAGTTGGACTGCATGCAGGAGGCTCCCTTCGCACCACACCGCCGGTCCCTTCGTCATTCTCCAGCCGCCGGACGACGGGCCGCCTAAAAAATCAACATAATTTTTGGCGCGGTTTTTAAAGACGTTCTTCTCAACATTTCATTGGAAAAAGAGCTCGAGAAGGCGAGCAGAAGCTCTAAAATGCAATAGTCTGGCGTGTGTGTGTGTGTGGCTGAGCAAGGGAACAAAAAGTGGGCGGAGCCTGTTCATTTGATACTCAGCCCGGAAAGAAGAAGAAGAAGAAGAAGAAGCGAAAAGAGCGAGAGCCGAGTGACATAGAGAAAAAAAATTAACATTTTTCAGAAAAGTCATCATAAAACGACCGATAATCACCTGGATTTCTGGCGAAAATGACGTGGAAAAGACACATTCCGTTCACGTGAACGAACGCGTTTTTGGGAAATGATGGTCGACTTTTCTGCGAACCGACAATATTTCCCCAACACGTTTTTGGCTCCAAAATGGAGGATAGTCGAGGTTTATTAGTGATGCAAGTGCGCTCTACCGGACTGGCAGCTCTGAATTTTTGCAGAATTTGAAGCATTAAAGGAATTAATAAAGCAACCATCATGGGATCATGTGAAACAAAAAAGTGTTCTGAAACTGTAATAAAACTTTTTTTTTTCAGTTTCAGCATATTCTCACAACCGCTTCAAATGACTGACTTCAACGAAGACCAGCAAGTGCAAAGGGCAGAGGAATCTTCGAGTTCCCGGTCTATACGTACCCATTTTTGTGAGCCATTTTATCAGTGAAAAGTGGGCGGAGCCTAAAAGTTGTTAAGAAGATTATGGGGTCTTCGCGATCACGTGTCGACATGAAAAAGATTACGGAAAGAGCAGAGGATCGTAAATTTTTTCTGTTCCGCACTTAAAAATGGAATTTTTTTGATGGGCAAAGTGCGTTTTTATGACGATTTGAACTGACAGCAATCGGTTTCTGAAGGTATTGAAAAAGTTAGAATCCGGGAACACAATATTTCTGAAGTAAATGTTCGGTTTGAAACCGTAAAAGCTGACATCAGAATACTGGTTGTTCATAGCACTGTATCTCAGCTGCCGGCGGAGATATCAAAAAGTTTTCAACTGACAAAATGTACAAAATTTCTTAATGAACACTTTATCAGTTGGCAACTTTTTGACATCTCTACCGGCAGCTGAGATACATTGCTTTGAATGAACGGTATTGTGATGCACCGGTATTTAGGGGCTCTTTTTTCACTTCAAAGTCTGCGATATACTCATACGACTACTCTAAACTTTACTAAAGACTCCTAAAAAACTTTAAAGAAACCGAAAAATGTCCCGAATCCGAGTGCAAAGTACCCATTCAACGGGGTCTTTTGGGTACAAGTGTTGGTTGGCAAAAGAACGCAAAAATGTGAAAAGCATGTGTGCGTCTCTCTCTCGGATAGCCGCGGGGCCAGCCGGCCAGACACACTCCACTGACACAACACAAAAAGAGAGAGAGAGAGAGACGGAGACGGTCAGAGACGGAAGGGAAGAAGAAAAAGAAGAAGAAGAAGGAGAAGCTCGGGAAGAGGGAGTGTACTGGGTGCATGGCGCACTCGGTGCACAGCAAGAGTTTTGTGTTGAAATAGTGCTACTTTTAATATTTATCAACAATAAGTACACCTCGATCCACAGTTTCTAATGTTGACTATTTGAAAATGTACTTGAAAAGTGCACGACCGTGTACATTTACAATAACTTTAGAATTCACTAGCTACAGCCTAATTTTTAGCCGAATAGTAAGGGTAACGAAAGCGACGAATCGAATGGCTCTCAAAATTACAGACACATGGCGGGTCAGTGAAACGGAAAGTTTATCAAGGTCACTTGAATCAGTTGAACTACACTGCTCCACATAATCATTGTTCCACTTGGATTTTTCCCTTTCAGCTCAATTTTCAGAACAAGTTGTCAAATTGAATGGGTATTCAGGTTATAACATTTTTTCTCAACGTCGAAAAATATGGAAAATGGCTTTCTGGACAATCCACAAAATCATTGTTCCGCTTGAAAATATCGCACAAATTATTGACGAATTATTGACTGTTCTGCAGTTCTGCATAGTAATCCAACTAGTATCCTTGAATAGTTTATGAGCAGAGTGAAACGGTGCGAAAATTACATTTATTTTCAAACGTTGCACTTCAACCTCTGACGCTCGAATTCGACCATTTGCTCAATGATTTCGTAATTTATATCATAAACACATTTCAAGTGAATCGGATTACTTCTCAATTTCGCGCCGCCCGTCTAAACAATAGACTTTCGCGTCCGCCAACTGACCGGTTGACTCCTGCCTGCTCCCTGCTCTTTGTACCACCGCATTCTCGAGTAGTTTGTGCTCCGCGAGCAGTGGACAAGAAGCCTGTAATGCCACAGGGAAACGGCATGTTTGATGGTGGAAATAAAGTGCGCAATTCTAAATTGAAATTCCACAATACATTAATGTTTCGAAACGGTAAAATTATGGGTGTTTTCAAACAAAATTGCCTTTCGTACCTGTCTGAAAAATGTGGTGCCTATCCGTAATATGTGCATGCCAATTGCTGCAAACATTTTCTGAATTTCTCTTTGTGCACACACAAAAACATTTACTCATGGGCCTTATACCCAGTGGGTAGTGTTGTCCAATTTGAACAGAAACACGAGATAAAGTCCATAAAATTAAGAATTATTTCACGATATCGATTATTAATTAAATAAGGGGGTCTAGGCTAACAGTGGGTGGGGAGAATTTAAATAAATTAAAATAACTTTTTTTGGGGGGAGGGAAGGAAAGCATTTGGGGGAGAGCTGGAAAGAAATAGTTCGGCATCACAAGAAAACGTATCACAATTGGGGGAAAGAAGTGAGCTTTTGATGACATAGAATCGGGGTGTTAAACTAGAGAAGAAGGGCAACAAATTGCAGTTCTAGTAAAAATGACATAGAAATGAGAGCGAACAAAAAATCTATAATTTGACGGATCGTCCTTTGGTGGCCTCTTTGAGATCCTCCATGAATCCGGCCCGTTTCGAGTAGTTCTCTTCGGCCTGAACTCGCCGATAATCCGAAATCATGTCCCGTTCCGAGATCATTTTCTCGCGACGCGACCACTTGTCCGTATCGTATTTACGGTTGACCATTCTGCAAATATGTTGAATACAATTTTTTCAAAAGAATGCTCTAAAAAGTTACCTGAGCGTCTCCTCAAAGTCCTTTCTGCTCATATTGTCCATGTCCACTTCGGTGTCATCGATGAAATCGTCCATATCGTCGTCGTCATCGAAGTCTTCGTTGTCGTACTGAACAAATGTCTTTATTGAAAAATTGCAGAGAATAGGATTGACCAAGTGATTTAGAAAAAGTCAATAAATTCAAGTCATGTTCCTGGAACCCAAAAAATATAATTTCAATTCAAAATTTCTACAGTAATGCCTCTTCCTAAACCATTATCCAGTAGAATTCGATGAGAAAAAGCTCAAAATCTCCCATGTTAAGTGATTTTTGCTACAAACTACAGTACTACACAGTTTTCGAGTCGATCTTCTGAATTTTACCTCGTCCTCGTCCATCTCCTCGTCGGTGAAATCGTCGGCTCCCTTCCAGAAGGTTCCATTGTCCGCCCGACGGTCCCCGTTCGATTTCTTCGTCTTCTTCCGCTCCTTCTCTCTCACTTGCTGCTCGCGGAGCTCGGCCATCCGTCTCATTTCGTAGTTTCTCTTCGCATCCGCCGAATTTTTCGAAGAGGAAGTGGAAGAAGAAGAGGGACCGCCGGAAGACGAGGACGGTCCCAGTTTCCTCATTCTTTTCTCCCGTTCGTAATCTTTCAGCGATTTCTCCTCACGTGCCCGCTTCAACGCCTTCTGCTTTTCACGGTCCTTTTCGCGTTGACGCTCCGCTTCACGCACTGCCGAGATACGGTCCTCTGTAATTGAAAATGGATTTATAGGAGAAGAGAGAAATAGAAAGAACGCACTGTTATTCTGCGAAGATCCTTCTCTTCCACCAACTGCTCCAGAAGACAAAGACGAAGACGACGAGGGAGCGTTTCGGTGGTCCCTATCGGTTGACTGACTGCTTCCTCCTCCGTTTTTGGCCATCGCCATCGCCTGTTTGTAGCGGACGTCTCCCGGCAGATACTTCTTTCCGGGCACCGCCGCCGGGATCACCGGGGGCGGAGTCGGTCCCTTCTGGAACGGTTTTCGGACGGGTGGCCTGAAAAATTGCAAAAATTAGGGAAACGTCTGGATTTTCATGTCAGAAATTGGAAAAACAACCCACTTTTCCTTTTTCTCTTCACTGGATTTTCCGTTGGCCGCTGATGACGTCGTTTTTGAGTCCGAAGGACGCGATTTCGATGATGCCGAGGCACGGGCTCTGAAATTCGAATACAACTAGTTTCTTTATTTTCATTTTAAGTTGAATAAATGCTTAAAAACGTTTCCACAAAAAGCTAACCTCTCTTTCTCCTTCTCCTTCTGTCTCTGCTTCTCCATTTCTCGCTGTCTCTCCTGTTTCTCGCGAATTCTCTCCTTTTCTCGCAATTTCTCGCGTTCCACCGCCGACAGTCCTTGTTTTTGGCCGTTCGAAGAGGCATTTCTGCAAGAATGAACGATTGCGGGTCGAAAATGGGGGTTTGGGCCTACTTTTGTTGGGAAATCTGAAATTTGGCCGGTTTCGTTTGCAAATGATCCAAATTGACCGATTTTCCTTCCGCAATGCTGCTCGCCGCCGCCATCAGACTTCTGAAATGATTTTTTTAAAAGAAAATTGTGAATTTTACCTCACTAGGGAATGATCAACAGGTAAGTTGGCCTTGTGAGCCGTGACTGACATAGTTCGATAGCTTATACCAAGAGGATGAAATGTTCTGTTGATCGTTTTTGCTGCGGGCACCTGGATTTCTAGAAAATGCCGCCGGAAAATTTCCACTGAAATCCTGTATTTTAGGCAATTTTCCCCCCTCGTAACAGTCGCGTGAACTCCCTTGATATCAAAGTATTCGGAAACAACTGAAATAGCGCGCCGCCGCCGCAGTCGCATGGATCGCGCGTGGATCGTATATGGGGGGGGGAAGAGGCCGTGTGGCCGAGACGGCAGCTCGGTCTCTTCTTCAAATTTCCTAATTCTTTTCGAATTTTTTAGCAAACTTCCTGTATTTTTTGCAGTAAAAACGCAATTTCCTGATGCCCCTGTTTCTTCATAAGCACTTTTGCGGCCGGGAACGACGACTTGACAGAAATGTATCGAAGCGAAGGGAAGGTGAGCGTAAATTTGTTCGGTCCGATAAATTTTCTAGCTTCCAGGCCGTTCTCACCGCGACGAAATTGAAACGCCGGAAACGGAGGCAGACGGCAGACGGAAGAAAATTTTTTTTACGGAACACGGAAAACGTCCTCTACCACTATCAAGAAAACTTTTCTCACGGAAGACGGCAGACGGCAGACGGAACAAAAAAATCGTCAATGCAGAACCTGTTTCTCCGGGTTTATTTTTTTGAAAAAATAACTAAACAACAAAAATTTTGGATCTGGGTCAGTGCCCGTGGAAATTCGCGTTCTTCGGGGCTAGTAAATGGCTTTTAAGAAGCTATTACTCTTTTACGGTAAGAAGAAAACATCCCGGAAGACGGCAGACGGCAGACGGAAGAAAAATTTTTTTACCGAAGACGGCAGACGGAAGACGGAAGAAAACCTGTTTCCCGGAAGACGGAAGAAAACCTTTTTCCCGGATGACGGAAGAAAACTTTTTTCCTGGAAGACGGCAGACGGAAGACTGAACAAAAAAAACCACGGAAGACGGAGGACGGAAGACGGCAGACGGAATTCCGCTCAACACTGAATCGTACCGTTGCAGAACTGCAACCAAAGGATCAAACTTCTCTGGGGAAATCGGACATGTTCGTAGTCGATCGGACTCTTTTCCAACGAGCGATTGAAGAAACTATTTTGCATTCGAATTATTGCGACGTTCGCCAAAGAAGAAACGGAACGGACAAAATTCATGTGCGTTCGATCAGCTTATCCTGCCACACATTATTTTCAGAGGTTCGAGGATGAGCACGCGTGGGAGAAAGAAACGTCGTCAAGATCCGAAATCCGCTCATCAAGATGAAGAAGAAGGCTTGCCTCCGAGTCAACCGAAGAAACTGGCGGTGCAAAACAACGAAGAAGACCCTGAACCATTTCAACTGCAGAAGGAAGTGAGAGAGAAGACGAGCAACACCGAAGAACTTCCGCGTACTCCAATTCACGTGGAAGTAAGAGAAACGACGTCACGCAATCACATGAATTGTAACTGATCAAATTGCAGACACCTCCTCGTTTCCAGCAGTTGACTTCAGTTCCACTTGCGACTCGGCTTGCACACGTTTCCATCGACGAAAATCACGACGACCGTCACCAATTCATCACCAATGTCGACTAACAACTTCGCGCTGAAAGATAGCGCGGTTCGAATAGCATAGCCGACGGTCCTCCCTCAAGTGAAAGAAGTTTGGAAGCCAGTCAATATGGCAGATGGGATCCGATTGCATTCGGGTTGACCAATCTGTACGATGCGGAAACGGGAACGCCGTTTTCTCGAGAGCTATGCGAGGTATCGTCCCTTTCCGAAGTCTTGTGGCATAGTTTCAAATTCTCAGGAAAATCCTCGCAAACTCACTCGCAACGACAGAGAAGTCGACTTCTATCCATATCTGGAGCTGGCTAGAGAATTTCATGAATTCAGCCCAGCATTGGAAGAAATGGCAGTAGGAAAAGCCAAAGAAACGGACTGGGTACTGTTGTTCTATTCATTTTAAGCATGTCCGCTTTTCCAGACTAACAAACTGCTTCGTCGCTTGAAGAACAAGGAGAAAAGTATCAGCCCCGATTTGTGTGATGTATAACCGCCAAACGCCATAGTTGATTCAGAAACCGATTGTTCCTCAAAAAGGATTCAGCCTGACCTTGGCGAAGAGCGGAGAAGAATTGATCAAGCTCCCCGGCGGAGTTTCGTTCAAAATGGGAAACGCTCTTTCGTCGTACCAGTGCAGCAATTGGAGCTCGTCGAACTTTGACACAGATGCGAAATCCTTACTTCGCGCAGTTTTCATCAAAATTGGCGACAGAGACGATTTCTTCGTGGCGTACAGCTCCGCAGACGCACCGATCGGAAAGTACATTCCTCTGGGAAAAATATTCTACGAGAACGTTTCCAGTGAGTTCTCGGTACGGGATACCTTCTAGATGCACCGTTTCAGAATTCATAATCGACGGTTTCGAGCAAAATCGAACGGAAGAATTGGAATCGAAAGTGATTCGAATGTGTCGCGAGGTTATATCGAACCTGATGTGAGTTTGTTTACAACGACGTTGTTCAAACTGTTATTCCTATTGCTCTTTTCAGAGACAGACGACGCGCCATTTTCCATTCGCGCAGCCAGATCACAAGCAGCCAAGTAGCCTGCAATCTTCGGGAGCAACTGAAGAAAATCGGTGCAGCCATCAAATGGAATCCATACAAGCTACTTTTTTACTAGTCTCAAAAAACAAAACAAAATAAAAAAAACAACGTGGCGTCCATAATGGACCGTGCGCGATTCACCTATGACCATCCAACCGACGATTTCAGTTGTTTCCGAATACTTTGATATCAAGGGAGTTCACGCGACTGTTACGAGGGGGGGAAATTGCCGAAAATACAGGATTTCAGTGGAAATTTTCCGGCGCCATTTTCTCGAAATCCAGGTGCCGGCAGCAAAAACGATCAACAGAACATTTCATCCTCTTGGTATAAGCTATCGAACTATGTCAGTCACGGCCCATAAGGCCAACTTTCCTGTTGATCATTCCCTAGTCATCTCGCAGATTGAACATTTTTTTCGAAGTTTTCGATAAAATAAAGCTGTTGAAGCAGAAAATGTTCCGAATTTTCAGAAAACTCACTTAAAATCAATGGGAGCGGCCGCCTGAATTTTCTTCTTTTCCACCACTGGTTCACGGCGGTCCTGCGTCGATTTCTTGCCGTCCTTCGGCGGAGAAAACGTGTCTCTTCTAGAGAAAATTAGGAATTGAAGAGTGAGTCGGGTTCGATAGAAAATTCGAGGAAAAAATCGCTTACGTTCTCTCGTGCCTCGAGCACAGGCCCGCGAGACTGTTCGACTTGCTGGTGGCCATCCGATGGGGTCCGTTCACTCCGTTTCTCAGCTGCCCCTCGTTCTTCTGCTTCGCCGCCATCGCTTTGAACACTCCCGAACGGTACTTGTCCGCTTCCATATCGGCTTCTTCCTACAAAACATTTTTGTTGAAAATTGCTTCAGAAAAGTCCCCACTCACCTCTTCTTTCCATTTCCGTTTCTGGAGCACCTCCAAATGCTCATTGTTGCCTCCGAAGCGTGTTTGAAGTGACATGACGTCCATTCCGAACTGTTTTCCCATCTTTTTCGTCGCCTTCCCGCCGTTCGCCTGCATTCTCAGCATCATCAGTCTCTGCTTTTCCGCGTCCATTTTCTTGTCCTTCTCCTCTTTTTCCGCTTTTTGACGCTCCAAAACTGCACGAACCGCCGCCGTATTCACTCCAGATGACGTGGACGAGGAGGCGCCGTCGCCGCGCTTCGGAATTGTGAAATTCTGCAAATATTTAGTTGAAACGGTTTGAAAAAAGGAGAAATTGCAAACAAGCTATTCCTTTCTCAACTTTCACGCCTTTTCAGCCGTCCAAAACCTAGCCGATATTGATAATTACCCTGCGACGCTCTTCCTCCTGCCGTTCCTCGCGTTTCCGTGCCATTTCCCGCTCCTTTTCCGCTTTTCTCCGCTGCATTTCTTGTCTGGCCCGTTTTTCCGCTTCCAACTGTCTTTTCGCGTCGTTTTTCTCATTGTTCACCTGCAAAATGCGTCATTTCTCGCTTGTTCTGAGTAAATCGATAATCGCCTACCTCTTCTTGTATCCGATCCACTTCACGATCGGCTTTTTTCGCGTTTTTACTCGCCGCACTCATCATTCTCGCGAAATCCATTGCTGAAATTAAAGAAAATTGAAGAAAATCCCAGAATTTTTCGGGAAAGTCGGGATAAAACGGACGAAATAGCGAGAAATCGATAGAGACGGAGAGAAGAAGAAACGCATTTTTATTATCGCACAATGATTTGTACAGAACGCGGCCGCGACGCCCCGCAAATAAACCGGAATTTCGCACTAGTCGACGAGAGAATGTGCGAAACGAGGAGGCTCGAGACACGCGGTGGAAGAGGAATCGCCGGAGTTTCTAGGCCAGCCGGCGGGGAAGTGTGCCAGCACGGGAAACGCGTCAGTGAAGGCGTGCGGACTCGGCGTCTCTCATAAACGCATAACATCTGCGGCGGAAAAGAGCGCGAATGTCCTTCGAATTATTCTAATCACATGATAACGACGCCTAAATTCGACTTTTTCGAAGAAAATTCCCAAAAAGTCAAATGCCGTCTATAAAAACTTGTTTATCATAAATTTCCGGGCGAAAAACCGATATAGTCGCTAATTTTTCTCATTAAAATCCATAAAACCTCACTAAACCTCACGTTTGTTCGAAATTATCGATTTTTTCTGTAGATTTTAATTGCAGATGAGCGGTATTCGAACCGGAGCGGGTAAGGCCACCAAGCGGAAGCGAGCAGTGAGTTATCGTTTTTTTTTCTTGAAATATTGGAAGTGTGATAGAAAAAGTGTTTGAAAAAAGGGGGTTTTGGGTAAAAATCGATAACGATGTACCGAAGAATATATCTATTAACCACTTTTTCACACGACTGATTTAGCCCAATGAAGGAAAGTGTGCAAAATTGGTATTCACAGACTACCTGATCAGTGAAAGCGGAATGTGGTCATCTAAAAGTGAACTTTTTGAAACCGAGATGGGGACCCTTTTCGAGAACTTTTGAGAATTTAGGCCAGCCAGTAGTAACCTAGTAAAAACAGTCGGATTTTGGGTGAAAACTGATGAAATCGCTTTTTTTTAAACCATTTCTGGTTTTTGGCTGCGTTGAAAAAAAGTAAGTAAATTAAAAAGTGTAAAAATGTGTATTCAAATCTGTAACAGAGTAAATTAAAATGTGTATGGATAAATAGTGTTTGAAACAGTGCGTCCGCCAACCGTCAAAATAGGGAGAAGAAAATGTGAATGAGCGAGAGAAGGGGAGATTCGTATACTTGCTGAAAGTGAAGATTGTCTCTGGACGCCGAGATGGGGACACTTTTTGAGAACCTTCGAAAATATGGTTCAAGAGATAAACTAGTAAATTACACATTGCCCATCTAGAAGGCAACTTTTTGAAACTGGAAATAGGGATTATTGATTGATGCAATGTAAAAACAACTTGAAAACCATCTAAAACCGTCCAAATCAATGAATGTTTCAGGGAAGAGCCTTGAAAAAGCCGTCTTCGTCGTCGGGATCGGAGGATGAGGAGGTGGACACGTGCGTCGAGCTGAACAAGTCGAGAGTTCTGATTGTGGAGAAGGACGACGGAAAGAGCCGGGAGGACGGAGACGTCCTCATTCAGACCATCGACTTCCCGCACTTCAACTCCACTCCCACAACAAACACGACGATCTATCTGCAGATGGACCAGCGGTACACACAGGTACAAACTTTTGCAATACCGTGAGATGAAGTAAATGATCTTTACGAAACTGGAAAATGGTGTACAATACGTAAATTGAGCACTAAACTTTAATATCGCCGTTTAGAGTCTGTTTCAACGTCATTGTTAGTAGACGGGACATTAAGAATCGATAGTTGCTTATTGCTGTCAAACTTCATTGTTCCCTTTTCAGTTGGAGGTGTACGAAAAGGCGGCCCGACTGAACGGATCCCCGTGGAAAGGCCTGTTCTCCTACGTCTCCGGAAAGCTTTTGCAGTCTATAAAAGTGAGCACGGAGACCGAAAAAGAGAGCACCTCGATTTGGGTCCTGCAACGACTTTTGCGAGCGCCGAAGTAGGTTCCGAACCCATAGAAACCTACAATATTCATTGCAGACGCGTTACGCAAGCGGGTCTCGCCGTGAAGTACGTGATCAACCGGAAAGGATGCGTCGAGTTCAACTTTTATATGAAAAAGGAGCAAATTCTCGAGTCGATCGGCGACGTCACTCCGCATTTGTTCGAAACTTTCAAGTACAAGTCGCAGAATGTGTTGAAGATCATCATCCAGGGACCGGAAATGGTCAGTTGCACCGAAATCCTGAATCGACAGTTGTCATTTGTTGCAGGACGCCGACTTTGACCCGCTGGAAGAGTTTGACGAAGACGCACAGCTTAGGAACCGACAATATGAGACGAATTTTGGAGATTTCTTTAGTTATGTAAACGTTTACAAGGAAAAGAATAGGGAAACGGCGCCCGAGTACGCATTGAAGTTGGTTTCTCGGTTTTTGACGATCCAAAAGTCTCAATTTTGCAGTACGGACAAACTGAACTGCACTCTGATGCCCTACCAGAAGAGCACGGTCTCCTGGATGATTCACAGAGAAACTGAGAAGGAAACGGAGGATCCGCGTCCACGTTGGATGGAGAATTATGAGTTAGTTTTTTATTTTCCGGTTTCTAATGTACGAAAACATCCTAGTTTGACGTTTGCACACGAAAAATCCCGCATTTTCTGACGTACCGTTTCACTTTCAACATATCACAAAACAAAACAATATCAAGCACTAAGCAAAAGTCATGATCCCTCACGCATTCTATCTCTGCTTATTCCCGACTAGCAACTTTCCAGAGTGCCCGCCAACCACTCATTCCACTACTACCCGACCCTCGGAGCCATCTGCCGACACCAATTGGACACGGAAAACGAGCATCGACTGCTCAAATCGTTCTCATTGAAAGGCGGAATACTGGCCGACGAGATGGGACTGGGAAAGACGGTTCAGATGCTCGCACTGATCTCATCGCATCGTCGGAACGAGAAGCCGACAATTGCGGATGGAGTGAAAGACGGAAAGAAGGAGGAAGACGAGCTGGATGAGGAGGAACGCGCAGTGTTGGCCAGTGAGAGTGTCGCCGAGCAGATGCGCATTGCGGAGATTACATTTAAAGAAATGGTTTGACCCCCGTTTTTTTATTACAAAAAACCCCTTTTTCGCCTTCCAGAACACTGCGAAATCCAACCAGACGGGCGTCGTTTTGACGGCTAGCAAATCGAAAAAGGACTCGGTGAAATGCGCCGGATGCTCGCAGTACGTCAACCAGAAAGTGTGTGGATTCAAGAGCGAACTGTTCGAAAAGGAGGCGTTCAAGTGTCCGAGTTGCGTGAGCGGACAGGCGACGCGTCGATCGATTGGGACCACACTGATCATTCTGCCGGAGAGCTTGATATTCCAGTGGTTCACCGAAATTTCTAAACATTGCTCGGATAATATTCGCGTTATGGTAGGTTGAGACACACAAATTGCAAAGTTTGCCTCATCTTTGAAGGCTCATATCTCGAAAATGAGTAATTGTAACAAAATGTTGTTAGCTACCAAAAAGGGTGGAAATTTCATGCTGAACAACTTTGTCATACATTCGATTCGCTCAAAAAATGCGTTTCAGTTCTACTTTGGCGTCAAGAAACACGGATACCTGCAGCCGATCGAAATGGAACAGTACGATGTGATTCTGACCACCTACGACACGCTCAAATCGGAGCTCATCTTCACCGAGCTCAGTGGGCCAAGTTCGTTTTCAACAAACTCCGCAACAACCTCCAATCGGGTTTTTCCAGAACGATCTCTGCGAAGTGAGGAAAAGAGTCCGACGCAATTCGTCGCCTCTTCGTTGGTTCACGTCAACTTTTGGAGGGTCAGTTCTGGTTTTTCACTCATTTCACATCAAATTAGTTACTACCTAAACGATGTTTCCTTGTGTCACATTCATGAAACATCCGAATCTTTCTTGTCAGGTAATCGTGGATGAGTCCCAAATGATGCCGCAAGGAGTGAACACGCATTTGACGAAGATGCTCCTGAAAATCCATTCGGACAACTGGTGGTGTGTCACCGGAACACCACTCGTCAAATCGATCGCAGGTACGCAACGCTTTGGACATGTAAAAAAGACCGTATTGGAACTTTAGACTTGTTGAGAATCAAAACACTTCACTTTTTCCAGACTATGTTTGTTTTCACTGTTTCATCTATGTAGTCGTTATACTTTTCCCGTTTCATACATGTATTTAATAGGAATTTTCGGAACGACGCCGATCAAGCTAGGATACCGATAACTTTTGCAAAAAAACGAACTTTGAGAAGTGGTAGCTCAAAAATGAGGCGTCTTCGAGTCAAGTCATCAATTGCAAAGTTGTTCGTCACAAAATGCCCAACATTTGTCGTGTCGCCATCCTTATTCGGTTCCTTGCAGACCTCGGTCCCCTGTTCACGTTCCTCGACGTGCTTCCCTTCTCGAATCCCGACTTCTTCCTCTCGTTCGCCCTCCCCCAATACGTCCATCTCGCCGCAAAAATCGACGTCGAGCGTCTTGTCCCTGAGTTGGCGCCGCCCAATCTACTGCTGGAGACACTTGCTCGGATCATGAGCCGAAAGACAAAAGAAGAGATTGAGGACCAGTTGCACATTCCGAAAATGGAGCAAATCGACAAGATTGTTCGCTTCTCGGCCATTGAAGAACGACAATATAAGGAGATGAAGGAGAAGATGCAAAGTTCGATCGGTAAGGAAGCATTTTCAAGTGAAATGATCAACAATCACATTTCCTACATTTTTGTAGTTTACAACTCTTTTAAATAATCATTGGTTCTCAAGATATAAGGTTTCAAAGATGACAGACCCGCTTCATAAATGGATAATATAAGTTGCAGCCAAAATGCTGTCGGGCCAGCCGGACAGCGCGTTGCTCTCGCAGCTCGGATGCCGTGACAAGGTGCTGCAGACGATGAGGTCCCTTCGCGAAACGATACTGACCGGACAGCCGGGCAACCCGAAAGACGCCGGAAAATCGTACACCTACTCGCCGGATACGGTCATTTTCAAGTTGGTGCACTCGAAAAAGTTGCGCATCGAGGAGTGCTTCCGCGGGTTTATGACCTACGCCATGGGTTCGTTTTTTTTTGTCGATGATTGTAAGCTCAAAAAGCGGAAAACTTGAATTTCCCGCTAAAAATGCGGTAAAGCGCGCTTGCAGACCACACACTCAGTTTTCCATTTGTGAGCATCAGTTTTTGAAACGCTGAAAAGTTTACGGTTTCAATGAAACGGTAAACTTATCAGAAATCAATGCGAGTGCGCTGCTCTATCGATCTTTTATGTAGTGGGAATTTTAACATTTTCTACAAATTCTAGCTGAAATGAGCTCTTTTTGCAGCCCACGCCGCGGCGAACATCCTCAACAATCACAACGATGAGGCGCTCGAGTCCTACGAGTGCGCCGTCAAATTGCACTCGGAAGTGATCGAAGTACAGGCTTTCATCGAAGAGACAGTCGGAGTCGAGGGCCTCCAACAGGTGCTCGGAGAGGCGGCCGATTCGGACGGCGACGAAGACGTGGACGGAGATCCGGTGGAGGAGGAGCAGGAGGGCGAGATGAGCAAGCGGGAACGGATCCGCGAGGTGGCCGGCCATCTGAAGAAGATCGAGCGGATGAACAGAAAGTATGAGAAGACGGGGAAGAAACCGGAAGAGCCCGAAGAAGGCTCGTCGTCCACCAGCTCGCCGAAGCCCAAAAGAGCCAGACTCTCGACGGAACCAACAAAAGTTCAACCCGCAAATGCTCGGGACCTAGAAGAAGAAGCGGAGAAGGAGCAAGAGCAGCAGGAGGAGCAGGAACGACAGAACTACTCGCGACGAATGGCGCAGCTCGCGTTCAAGCCACTCAAAATGGACGCTTCCCAGGAAGTGCACTTGACGATGAACATGCGCGAGGTGCAGTTGAAACTGGAGAAGCCCGAGGAGGAGCTCAAGTGTCTCGACCCACTCCACACTGTTTTCAAGAGATTCTACAAGTTGGAGGTGAGCTTGACACCATTTTCAAACAGTTTTGCATGAAACATCTATTTCAAAACGAGCCGAAAGAATCAATGAAATTCGTTTAGAAACTCGTTAGCAGCACACATAATTGAAAGACTCGTTAAAACGTATAAAAAGTTATTCGCATTTTGAAACAGAATTTTTCAGCTCCAAATGGCGAATTCACTGAACAACGAGCTCGCGTCTCTCACCGACATGTTCCAGGACGATCGGGACTTTGTAAGTGAACTGCAATATCCGGTCGCCATCCTCATCCGCATCCTTCCAGATCGTTCAAATGGCGAGCTACTTTCACGTGCTCAAATGTCGGGCCGCCCATCTTCCCGACACGGCGCTCTACCTGAATCGCAAAAAAATGCAGCCGATCGTCGAGCTAATCGCCCATCAACTGCCGTTCATGGCGTTCTACACGGCGAAAGAGTGCGAGCCGGAGTTTGCGAGACTGCACAGATCGAACACGTGTGTGGGACAGTGTGTGGGCATCAACTACTGGTCCAAGTACACCGACGACAACTGTCTGCCGCACGAGGAAGTCATTATGAAGACGTTCGATCACATTCGAATGGTCGACGAGCAGAGGAAGACGATCGAGAACGAGATGAGAAGGGTCACCGAGTATTTGATCGAGATGGTGAGTGTTGGGGGGACGTATCCGGAATGTAGGACGTCGCTTCATTTGTAGACAATTTTCGAGGTTGATTGATCTGAAACTTTATCAAAATGTTCCCGAGGATCATTTCTATGAACTCGGTAACAAGTATCATCCTTTCAGAGCGATTTCACCAACCTCCTCCCACTCCTCTCGAAGCCACGCGACGATTTCGATGAAAACGAAAAGAACATCTGGTCGACCCTCACATGCCAACACTACCTCATCAAAGGAACGATGGAGGAGAAGGAGGGAATTCTCAAGAATCACACGGAACCGCTTCCGTGCGAAATTTGTGAGCTATGGACGAAAGGACATCGTCTGCAATTCGATGCCGGCTATTCGAGCTATCACGGTAACGGTCCGAAAGTGTTAGGTTTTACGGGTTTTTTGCTTTCAGGCAATGTTCGTACTAAAAGTGAGGTGCTCGAGTTGGTCACCTACTTGATGCACCATTACGCGCCGACCAAGAGGGAGGAGGTTAGGTTTATGAGGTTCGTCGACTTTGAGGGGTCATAACTGAGTTAGAAGACGTGTTATGTACCAACAATACCGATACAGTACAGTTTAATACATTTCCAGACAAATAATCCGTCCGTACTTTGAACGTCTCCACGACTTTATCCAATCGGTCCAAACGACGGCGCTCATTCTGCTCGAGCTCGTCTACCGTATCCACGAGCTGATTCAGTCGAAGCAACGACTCACCGACGAGCAGATCATCGCCGTGGAGGGTGTCACCGTGGGCAACGGACGGACGTGTCCGACTATGAGAAGACTTGTACGCATCTAACTTCTTTTGGCCACCAACCAATCGGATTATTATCATTTCAGAGATACGCAACGAGTCAGAAGAAGTTCCGCGACGAGCAGGCGGCGAAAGTGCGAAAGGAGCTGCGAGAGCTCCGCTACCTGTCGAATCTGATGCATGAGCAGATCAGCGGACGCGAACCGGAGACCGAGTGCCCCGTCTGCACAGTCGTCATCGACGAGTACCTCGTGTTCACATGCGGACACCGCATCTGTCAGGACTGTTTCGAGCAAATGCGCGAGGTTAATCGGGGGTGAGTTTTTGGAAGGACACTATACAGTTTTAAAGCTGTCAAAAAGCACGCTTCTGCGTGACCCGGAAAACGAGCCACATCTTTTCAGCCACCTCTTCGCATTGGGCCCCCGTACTTCGCTCCCGTGTCCGTCGTGCCGTAGCCAGAACCGGACGGCCGAAGTGATGTTGGCGAGGAACGGACACGCCGAGCAGAGCTCCGTGATCCGCGGAATGCCAGTTTCCGCCAAACTCACCGCCGCCATCACGCTGATGAGAGAGATTATTGCGGCGGACGACACGAACAAGGTGATCCATTTTTCGTTTCCATGTCTCCCCTTCAACTTTCGACTTTCAGATCATCCTGTTCACCTTCATCGATCCGTCGAACGTGCACATTTGGCGCTATCTCCTGAAGATTATGACAATGGCACGACTGCCGTTCGTCACGATGAACAAGAGTTCGTGCGGAAAGAAGGTCGTCGAGTTCGAGGTGTCCGCTCAGCAGAAGGTAGTGATTGTAGATGGGTTTGACGTCACAAAACGATGAGTTTGTGAAACTGAAACTAAACCGAACGTCTCGATACGACAATTTTGACACTAGTGTTCGTTTTGATAGTATTCAAACTTTTGTCAAGTCCCATCTTTGTTTTTGTCGAATCTCATTCCTAATTGATTCAATCATAACCTTATTCAAGCAAAAATCACCAGTGAAAACGTTTTTCATAATTAGAGTTAAAACAACAATGTGTAACAGTAATAGTAGTGCCAAACGTCTACTAAACAACCGCTCTCTTGCAGATCTTCCTGTGCTCGATAAACCATTGCGCGAACGGTCTCAACATGACCGGCGCGAACCACATCATCTTCCTCGATCCGCCCGAAAACCGTTCGACGCTCCTTCAAGGAATCGGACGTATCAATCGGTTCGGACAGAAGCGCGAGATGAAAGTGTTCCATTTGGTCGTCGACGGAAGTCTCGACACTGAGCTCAGGTCCTATGGCAAACTGAAGCGGTCCGCACACAACGAAAGTACGAAAAGTTGAAAAGTTGAGAACAAAAACCCATTTTTATTTGTTTAGAAAAAGGCTGGACAGTCGAGCAAATCCGTGCAATGTTCGGCATCGAGGCGCAAAATTTCGATGACCTGTTCGAGCAGCCGAACGAGGAGGCGCTGTTCCGAAATCTGCTCGAACGGTTGGGCGTCGTGCGGCGGGAGGCCGTCGCCGCCGACGACGGACTGCCGAGGCTCCCCGACGACATTCCGGTCATCGGAATGCAAAGACTGATGGAACGACACGCGGAAATGCTGCGAGGACGGCGCGATGAGCAGCCATAATCTTATTGAAATTGCCATTTCCATTCTTTCCATTTCCACTCTTTCATGCTTTACTTTTTCATCTTCCCCATCACATTGACCCTCATTTTCATTTTCATGTCGAATAGTCTTTTTTAATAAGAATAAATGAATAATCAGCTAGAAAAAAGGAAAAAAAGATTTCTCCCCGGCCGGGAATTGAACCCGGGTCTCGCATGTGACAGACGCGGATACTCACCACTATACTACCGAGGACACGCTCGTTGCCGAAGGCGCAGGGCATTCATATAATGGCGGGCCGCCGCGAGCAAAGCGACCACTTTTCATTCAATTTTATGCCAAATAAATATAGATTCAAAAGAAAAAATACACAAAAACGAGTGGAAATCAGTTTTTTTTTGGGGGAATAGTTAGAAATTCGGAATCGACGAAGTCAACAGAACACGTGTGAACACTGAGAAATGTTGGAAATGGAGAAAAATGGAAGAAAAAGTGGATAGGAAAGTACAAAAAAGGACAGAAATGGGATTCGATTCATACAAAAGATGCACAATAGCTCAAAATTGTTTCGATTGTGAGTGTGAGACCCAAGAATGAGAGAGAGAGAGAGAGAGAGAGAGAGAGAGAGAGATCGAAAAGGAGCGTGGAGAGGGGGATTACGGTAGGAGTACTGTATAGGCTCACTCGACTTGAGTCAGACAACTGCTCTGTCTTTGTATGTCGTCTCGATCGCGGAATCTGAAGTTTTTAATGGTCACGGTTGCTTTTTCGTAGTAAATCTTTAGTAAAACGGCAATTCTAAAATACCGTTTGTTCAAAGCGATGTATCTCAGTTGCCTGTATAGATATCAAAAAGTTGTCAACTAGTAAAATGTAGACACTTTTATAATGAACATTTCATTAGTTGACAACATTTTGATATCTTCACGCACAACTGAGATACGTGGCTTTGCAAACGTCGGTACCTTTTAAGCCGGTAAGCCTGACTTTTAATCGATTGCGCACTAGAGACACCACTGAACTTCTTTTTGGCTCCGCACACGTCGAACTGAAAATGATTAATCTTCAGAATACCGTACTTCCCGTTCCAGAAGCCCATTTTCAGTTGAAACTAGAGTTGGCAGCATTGTTTCGAAATTGTATGCGGCTTCTGATACAGTATTTGTTCAAGCTTTTGTTCAACTTTAACTCAAAGCCATGCATTTTCAATTAAGAACAAAACGAGAAAATGATAATAATTGGAATGCGTGGGTGGGTGGGTGGGGGTGTGGCACACGTGAATCGAATCAAGGAAGGAGGCAAAATAAGAGGAGGAGTCGGATTTCTTTGGTTTTTCGCTTCAAAAAGCTTGGATTTTTGTTGCAACTACAAACAAAAATTACGTGATTTTGGGTCTAGAAGCGGTCAAAATCAAACAAAACTTTGAATATCTTGACAGTAAAATGAACTTTGAATTTTCCGAACGAAATGAGAAGAATCAGTTGTCGATCGAGGAAAAAATGGGAAAAAAGGAGGAGGAGAAGGAAAAGAAGAAGAAGAAGAAGAAGTAGCACACACCGCCCACCCACCTGCTCCGTCGCTTCTCCGTGCACATCCAGCGGAACCAACTTACTTGGCCGCGGAGAAGATCGCGTAGGCGGCGACGGAAGTACTCGGACGACATGCAGAACAGGACAAAGTTCGCCACCTGAAGACAGTTCTTTTTTTGGTGTTTCTGAGAGGATTTGTGCACGAATCGGATCAGAACGGACAATCGAGAAAGAGACAGCAACATTGACGTTTTGTAACTGTATTCGTTGAACTCTATTTTCAAAAATACCATCGTAAGACCCCCAATTTTCAAGTTTGATACAGTTTGGACCATCAGAATTGGTAGATTTGAGCCAAAATGCAGTTTTAGTGTGCTCACTGATGTTTTCCTCAGAAATGTGCACTTTTGTACTGAATAATCCGGTCAGGGCTTCATTTTGAATACAATTTGGGACGGCACTAGTCTAAAATCGAGGAACGAACCGAAAAAAAGCAACGATCAATGGAAACGAGTTGTCGGAACCAAATTTTCTCAATATAGACACTTTGAAACCGTATTTTTAGCGAATCGGAACTTTGGGGACCAAAATTTAACTAATTTAGGCTCCCCCGGCCAAGAAAAGAGTGTTTTTGACTAGACGTCTGTCAAAATTCAGCCGTTCAATTAAATTATAGGTTAAAAATGACATTAATCAAAACTTCAAACGGAATTCGCGGAGAACAAGTCAATCCGAAGCGGTAAAAAACATTTCGAACCTTTCCGGTGATGAGCCATGAGCTCGCAATCGGAATCGCGTACACTTTGACCCAATCCGGATGCAAACCGAACAGCTCGAGCACAAATGGAAGGACGGACGGAATCTGGAAGGCCGCAATATTTGGGGAGTAGTAGATCGCGGTTGATTGGCACCGCCACTTACATGAGTCACGAAATAGCAGCAGATGATGGCCAAAACGGTGAACGTCACTTTGATGTCGCGCTTCTGACGGAGCTCCAGATCGGAAAACTTTCGGCTGCAACAAATTTGAAATGGTCCCTCGAAAAATGAGAGGCGTATTTATCAAAAATTTGTTCTCAATTTCCCCCCATTTCCCGTGAGAATGCTCGTTAGGCCGAAAAGAAGAAGGTTGCGGTGACATTATCATTGAAAACAATGACGATGATATAACTATACGAAAATAAGAAAGAGGAAGTCGGTGAAATGATCCAGAAATTGAGCCCGTTTTATTGCTCCAGTGTACCTGGATCGTTCGTGACTCTCGGCGGACCGAAAGTTAAAGTACTCGGACTTGCGGAGCATGAGCACGATGAGCATGTTGAAGATGAAGATGCCGATCGTCGGCGTGACCACTCCGAACAGCACTTGAAGCACTTTGAACACGTTTATCATCTGCTTCACCCACTGCGGCACATCGATCAGCTTAAAGAGTATCGTTTCATTGACTTCTACTCCAGAGATGTTGGGAATAAAAATTTTACTCTACGGAACACGGAACACGGAAAACGGAAAATTTTTTTTTTACGGAACACGGAACACGGAAAACGGAAAAAATTTTTTTTTTCGGAACACGGAACACGGAAAACGGAAAAAAACTTATTTCTACGGAACACGGAACACGGAAAACGGAAATTTTTTTTTACGGAACACGGAAAAAAGCGTTTTCAAGAGAATTCCAGTGATTTTTTTTTAAATAATGTTTTGTTTAATTCGATTATCTGACTGACAAGGCAGCTGTTTGACTCATGTGAAAGTTTTACTGAAAATTTCATAAAAATAACAAAACCAACAACACAACAGTAAACAACTACAGTAAAAAACGACTGAAAATGGAATCCACTTTTCACGAATATGGTCCGAATCCGAAAATTTTCAAATGTTGACCACAAAACGTCAATTGTCCTAATCTTTCCGGAGATAAATTTGATCTACGAGGCGAGCATTTTTCCGCGGAAAATATAGTTTATACGGAACACGGAACACGGAAATTTTTTTTTTACGGAACACGAACACGGAAAAAATATTGAAAAAAACGCGGAACACGGAACACGGAACACGGAACACGGAATTCCCAACATCTCTGTTCTACTCCATGATTCACAAACCTTGTTAACATTAACCGGAGATCCGTACAACTTTGTGCCGTTGCGGATCATCGCGTATCCGTACTTGTACTCGAAGGTGTGGAAAAAGGTGAGGAAGAGCGAGCCGATGATGATCGAGAAAATGAGGAAGAAGACGCGCGAGGTGCGCCAGTGGTAGCGGAAATGAATCGGCGACCGGATGCCCATGTACCTCTCGACAGAGACGGCGAGAATGAGCCAGCTGGTGATGCACGAGCAAAAGTTGGCCAGGAATATGGTCCACGTGTTCGACTTGAAGATGAACGAGCGGAACCAGTCGGACATGTACATCGGATACCAGACACCCAGCGACACTGGCAGCATTGTGAACAGAAGGATGATGTCGCAGATCGCCATCGCCGAGAGGAGAATGTTCGCCTGCAAAACGGGGTGACTGTAGCACAAGCGCTCCACTCTCTAAACACACCTCATTTCGCATGTTTCTGCTGAGCAGCACGCACAGATTGAGCACATTTCCGATGACGCCGAACAGAAATTGAAACGGGAAGACGTATTTGTTGAGGGTGACGTAGAGTCCCGGCGGTACCAGCGTCAGCAGTCCCGAGTCGTCGCCGTCGTGCTCTCGACGCTGAAATCTTGCCAACTTGCGAACTGTCTAGTGTTCGAAACGTGTTTCGAAAAGTCCTTAAATCCACGGTCTCCAGAGGCTTTCATGAATTGAGCTGGTTTTCTCTGATTTTTGTGTGGTCAACGGCGATGAAAAATGATTGTTCGACATGAAAACACACTAATTCTCACAGAATTAATGATGTTTTGGCGCATTTTTCACGGATTTCGCTATTTCGCCTTCGCCGCACTTCTCATTTTGCGCTTTCTTGATCGTTTTCCGACAGAATTGGTTTTGAGAATGATAAATCACGTAAATACAAGCATTTTGAGCGCTGGAACCGCGAAAACTACCGAAAAGCAACTGAAATTCACGCAATTTTAGCGAAAAATCTTCAAACTTGACCAAATTTAACGCTCTTGCGCTTAAAAAATTCGTAATAGCCTAAACAATCGGTCTATCGAGAGACAAATGAGAAATTATCGGTTTTTCGTGGCTAATCTGGCAAAAAACACGCATTTGGCTGTTAAAATTTGAATTTCGCGCACTTGCGCCCATTGTCAGCTCTGGAGACTGTGAAATCTCCATCAGTTTCATGCGCAACTTTTCTAGAACAAGTTACTGTAAATACTGTCCAACTCACAAACTTGTCCACCCATTTCGAGACGTCTGCGTTGAGGTACTTATCGCTTTGCATCCTGAAAAAGATCATATTCCGAAATGGCTTCCAGTTTTTCGGTATTGTACTGTTTCTAGACGCGCACTTTGAAAATGGCTTGTTTTGTAGTTTTCAATGTGGTTTGCTTATTTTTAGTCAAAGTATTTTTATATGTATGTAGTTCATTTTTAGGTGCAATTGAATTGAACGCTAAAATGTTCTAAACCTGGAATGAAATGTCAGTTTCAGTTTCAGTTTCTCTATAAACACGTTTCTAGACGGTAACAAGTTCAGCTATAATTGCTCATTTTCGACTAAACTGCAAGAGTTCAAAAGAGATTCATTCACCAGTCGTGTTTGGGCACAAGAGTCCAATTGAACCGGTCGGCGGTGTAATACTGACAAATGTTGGGCACGAGCCGGCAGACGGTCTCCGCGTGCGTTTCCATCACAAAAAAAGGGGTTTGTACGTGGAGGAAGAAGCGAAGCGGCGAAAAGTGAGAGGAGATGAAAAATGAGAACCGAGATTTCGGCTGGGGAGGAGCCAATTAGACGAGGAGAAGGTAAACAAGAAAGACGTCAGTCGGGGACCAAAAGTCCCCAAAGTGATTAGCACCTGATATTATAGATGTACACAGATTCCGGGTATTGTTATTCGCTTGGAAATGTTGTATAGTTGGGCGGGTCTTGACGAGGTTGTTATGGAGATGAGAGAAGGTAATTGAAAGATAGTTGGACAATAGTCGTCAAATGCCTAGCTCTCGAATGACTATTGTGAACTTTAGAATTTGTTTCTGCTCAGTAACTATTAAAAGTCGAGCACTTTTTTGACCGTTTTCGTTCGAGAATGATGGCATAGTGAGATAATCACACAAAACATGATTAAATCCACTTAACGGTTTCTTGAAACTGTGTACTTTTGTAAACCTTTTACTTGCACAGTGAAACACTATTGAAGGTGTATTTTATTCCTGCTCTATCGGCGTTAAAAACAGTATCAACCTGGTAAAGAATTTGAATAAATAGAAGAAGAATTAAAAAAGTTGGATGGTAATAGAAATGACCGCGAAACTGTGCCATAACGTATCTATAGGAATCACTCAAGAACTATGAAGTAATTGAAACAGCAAAATTTTTTCATTTAAGTGATTGGTAGAGTTTACATTTTCAATTAGGACTCATTAGAAACGGAAATTATTGTCAAACTAGTCAAATTTTTGCATTTTGACGTAATGCGATAATGGCGAAATCCTATAAAAGCACTTTTCTGATTGCAAAAGTGCATGTTATGAGTACAATGGACTATGCTTTGACATTCTGAATTCAAAATTCCCAAGTCTGAATCAGAATACGCAACATTTTCAATAATAATAATCTACTAAATAGATGGACTTACGTGAAAAGTTCCAGCATTTTCGATTCTAAGAACTAGCTCAATACAATTCTTTTCTCCTCTTTCCCATCGCTTCTAAACTTCCAGAAAAGTGGGCGGAGCCACCCAGTCAGTGGCCAATTAAATGCACTTAAGTCCGGTTAACAAAGGTAATCAAGAGGAAAAGAAGGAGAAGGAGAAGACGGGAAAGGCGTACAGAAAGACTGATTTGGCTAATGAGCTCTGTGCGACTCTGCGCAGAGCTCTTGAGAGATGGACTAACGAGCAACGGAATGATTCATAAGTAGGATGACGAGGAGGAGAGCACGTGGAGAAGGCTCTGATTACAGAATGGAAAGATCTAGAGAATGGACAGGAAAAGTGACTGGATTACGTGCAATTGAGAACAACTTGTAGTAGAGATTACATATCTCAGCTGTCTTTAGAGATAGCTACAAGTTTTCAACTGATGAAATGCTCATCTTGAAATTTAGTCCATTTCATCAGTTGACAACTTTTTGATGTCTCTACCGACAGCCGAGATACAGTGCTTTAAATAACTGGCAATGGTACCTTGACGGTTTCAGAAAGTCTTGAAAGCTTTATTTCATGTCGATATTGACTAGTTACGAGTGTAAACATTTTAGCATACAAATGAAGAGAGTTTGCTAATTTTCCAGTCAAAAACTGCTAAGCTATTTTTCAAGTGACGTATCGAGGAAAAGAATAATATCTGCAAAAGTAGTTACATGTTTCAAACGGTGCTGAAACTAGACTTAGTCCGTGAGTTGCAATCGAATTGACTGTTTCTAAATGCATATAAACGCAGATTGTGGTAATGCCAAAAAAAAAGCGTCGGAAGAAAGTGTTGCGCGTGTTTCATTCAGTCTACAAGTTAAAGTTTAGACTTGTCGGGAGCTTGCTTAAGGTAATCATATGAGTTTTGACAATGAATATCTAGCGAAATTAGATGAAGCTAAAGAAAATCAATATTTTCTAGTTGCTACATAATTAGAAGCCAAGTTGAAGCAGTAAAGTGATAATAACTAATGTTTTCCATTATTCCTGTTACATTACTTTCCTTATACCAGATTAGATAACCAATGTCACAAAAAGGCAACCGACAATAGCGAATCGGTTGGAAACGTTTACAGTTTCAAACGGTTATGAACTTTTACGTTTTTCGACTTCACAGTCGCTAGTTTATTGCTAAGAGCTTGTGAAAATACCCAATCTAGCCGTTTAAACCACTGAAAAAAAGTGTGGTATTCGCATAGACTCACGTAAAGTTTGTTATATTCTCCATCGTTTTTTCAGAATACTCGGAAAAGTGGCTTTGTCGAATGAAATCTTGCGAAAAGTTGCTCCGCCCGTGAGCCCTCTCGGCTAGTGTTGACGTTTGGCGGTGACGGACACACAAAATGAGTCATTTTATTGGAAATTCCCCCTCATTTTGCCCATTTTAGCAACAATTTCGCCTGCCTGGCTTGGCTCTAGATTGGATTTCTTCCTTTTCGCGCCTTTTCAGCTTTTCATTAGAGACAATGCAAAGTTGAGGTGAAATTAAATGAAAAAGAAGAGAGGAAACGTTGGATTTAGATTGGATTTTCGAGGCAAATGATGCAGTGGGGGAGGAATACTGTTTCAGACATTCTATGTGAATAGTTGTCTCTTTGTTGTGAGTCACTTTTCGATCTAAAATCAGTGCGGAGCCTCGATTTTTGCAGGTTTTTTGTGATTTCATGCTTCAAAGAGCTCCCAAGTACTTGTAGAATTTTTTAGGCGTTTAAGATTCAGCCGGGATTGAGTTACGAGCACTTAAAGTCGACGTTTTTTTTTTTTTGAAACCGGAACATTGGTAATTTGTAATGGACAATAGTCCCTTTCGCATCAAAAGACTTGACTTTCTTGGCCAAGTTTTTCCGGGTTTTCTCAAATTTCCGCACAGAAATCGGAAACTTTTGTGTGTTTTGCACACCTAATTGGCGAAAAATGACACACGTGGATGGCGAAACTAGGGGAAAAAGTCCGAAAAAAAAACGAGTGGAAAGCTCGGAATTTCGTCCGAAAAGTTTCACTTTCCATTGGCCAATCTAATTTTCGTCTCACAAACTTGGACACTCTTTGTTCCGGTGAGAATTGGAGAAGAAGAAGAAGAAGGAGAAGAAGAAGAAGGTACTGATTTGCCACGTCATAATCGAATGAGTCATCCAGTGTTTTGGGGGGCGAAAGTTTCAATCGAAAATCTGGGAATTCTCGAGTGAATTTGAGGCGTTTTGAGGATGGATTTTTGGTCTCAATTTTCAGACAACATTTTACAGTATCATCAAAACGTTATAGAGATAACAAACGGTTGTTGTTCAATGCGCAGTTTTTTTCGTCCGCGTTTTTGTCCGGTCGTCCGTCTTTTACAAAAAGTTTTTATTTAAAAAATTTTTAAATTATATGCTCAAACAGACAACAGTCTACTGAATGGAAGAAACGAAAAGTTACGGTTTTAGTCAACTTTGAGAAACTGTGCATTTCTTTGGAAATGTGTGCGTCCGTACCAGAGTTGAGCGGAAGAACTCAACGGAAGAACTCACGGAAGAATTTGTATCTTTTTTAGAACATTTTTTCATGAAATGTGATCCACTGACGAAATGTGTAGCAAAGTGAACTGTGCTCATAGAAAAATAATTGTAAATTTAGCTTTTAATACAAAAAAGTTATTCGAGTTGTTCCGTGAAAAAAGGAGGGCTAACGGAAGACGGAAGGAATAACTTTTCTGTATGAAAAGCTAAATTTACAATTATTTTTCTATGAGCACAGTTCACTTTGCTATACATTTCGTCAGTTGATCACATTTCATGAAACATTTTTCTAAAAAAGATAAAAATTCTTCCGTTGAGTTCTTCCGCTCAACTCTGGTCCGCTCCAAAAAGTACCGTTTCAATAATTTTACACATTCGCGACATGAAACTTCAGACGATTAGAATGATGTTCAACAATTCGTCACTTCTTCTGTAATTTGATATTTTCTCGTCGACAACGTCAATTTTATTGTTTGAACTATCGAAATGAGTGAAAAACGAGAACGTTTTGGTTTCGGATGCTACTCAAAACAAAATGTGATAGGAAAACAGTGTCGCTAGATGAAAAGTAGTTGAAACTGTCAAAAAATGGGGTTAAAAAACTCAAATTCCAGCAGTTTTTCTCGAGATTTAGTTAGTTAGTCAAAGATGAAACATGCAATTGTGGAAACAATTACAACTATTGTAAAGTTGTTCTCACTCCCGCGCACTAACTTTTAGATATCGTGAAAGTCGACAATACTTCATCGTATCATTTTGACAATGTTCGACAATATCGCCCGCCCCACAGCCGGATAGTCCCTCTTTTCGCTTGCCACGTCATCGCTTCTCCGTTCTCTCGTCATCATAATGTTTTCGTCGTCGGCCCGTTTCTAATGAGAAGTCTCCGTCGCCTTCAAACTTTCCGTCTCGAGAGAAGAAGCCAATTTCACGGTTGTTTTCATGCCGAAAACGACGGAATTTCAGACGGCGAAGAGAGGAAAACGTTTGAAACTCGGAGACACTCACGATACCGTCCATTCAAAGCAGTGTATCTCAGTTGTGGGTGGAGATATCAAAAATCTGTCAACTGACAAAATATTCGCCATGAAATTGTCTACATTTTGTCAGTTGACAACTTCTTGATATCTCAACTGGCAACGGAGATATAGTGGCCGAAAGAAAATACAGCCTCGAAATCAGACTATTATAGATCCAAACTTTGCGGACTTCCACTAGATAACGTACATTAAGGAACCAAACTGTTGTTACCATCAAACATTTCGGTTTCAACACTGTTATCAAAGTGTTCCCTTGTTCCTGTTAGCTTAGTTTCTTTTTTCTATTGCCTCACAAGTACATCCCTTTTCCCCCCGTCATTTCGCATGGATACGTGTCGTTTTCCATCTAAAACAAGGGATAATCTGAGCCTAAGACCTCCTCGAATTGGTCAGAAATGGAAGAAGAAGAAGAAGAAGAAGAAGAAGATGACGTCGAGGCGGAAAGTGACCGTCAAAGCGGATTAAACGATCACAAAATCTTCGTTTTTTTTTAGGAAAATGAATCAAAAACTTGAACGCACTCTTAGCAAGTTGACCAGTGTGAACGCAATAAACTGACTAGGCAATCGTTTCTCGGCTGAATTCTTGTCACCCTAGTGAAACAGTGAAATTGAACACTATTATTCAAGACAATGTATCTCGGCTGCTGGTTGACATATCAAAGAGTTGATAACTAACAAAATGTACACAATTTCCTGGTGAATATTTTATCATTTGACAACTTTTTGATATCTTTACCCGCAACTGAGATACCGCGCTTTGAATGGATGATATGAAAATTTTCACAATATTTGTGAGTACTCTTCATTGTGTGCAAGTCTTTTTCGCTACGAATGAGCTCACTGAACCACAGTTCACACTTTAAACGTGTTTGAAACTGGAAATAGGCAGTGGCCTTGATGTTTGAGCTGTTTTATTGAAGGAAATCAGTGGAAAGTTGTTTTTTTCGCATCAAAAAGTCCGGATATTGTGTATAATTCCAAAGAAAGACTCACAAAAAGTACTCGGACTCGCCCATCTCGCTCCGAATCCCAAAATAGCGTCGTCGTCGGTTTTGCGTTCAATTCTGCTCGAAACGTACCTGAAAGTTCATGAGAATGTCGATGAGGACCGCGGGGAAACGTGAAAAAAGGTCGGTGAAGCGTGTCTTCTTCTTCTTCTTCTTCTTCTGATTTCTCTTTTTCGCCGTCGTCAACGTCTTCTCGGCTTCTGCTCGTTTTGTCGGCGGAAAACGAGAAAGTGGGCGGAGCTTCAGCGGAAAAGAGGCGGCGGGCAGGCAAAAGAGTCAAGTTCAGGTTTCCAGAAACTTTGTGGACTTTTCAGTGCGACACGTGCTTGGTGTACTGATGAGAAAGAAAGTCTAGAGCCGTGCATTCAAACTACTATATCTCAGCTGTCTGTGTAGATATCAAAAAGTTGTCAACTAACAAAATGTTCAGCGAGAAATTTTGTACATTTTATCAGTTGACACATTTTTGATATCTTCACCGACAGCTGAGATACACTGTGTTGAATCAACGCCATTCAAAGGATCATCCAAGTCCTATCAGAAGGGGCACAAAAACAAGCGGAAATTACACCCTTTCTCTTCGCCTGAAACCCCGGTTTTTCCCGGTTTCAAATAGTCATTATCCATTTTGAGGCTATCGAGAATGACCAGTAATATCAGAAAAAGTGACAAATGCAAGGGTTGCCACGTCAGCAGCAGGTGATGATGTATGTCACACACTTTTTCGTTTCCGCTAATTAAATTCGAGCAAAAATGGGCATGACTATGAGCGAAATGATGACATAAATGCATTGATCGGGCCTCTGGTGTCAAAAGTTCCATAAGACACGTGTAAGTGGAAATCGAATCACTTTTCATTTGGAAATTGACATGTCAACAGGTCGCAAAGCGAATTCCATAAAAACATGAGTTGATTTCAAAAAGGCAATGAAACAGCGAGCCTTTCTCACTATGTATTAGAAATCAATTTTGTAAGCACTCGGCAAACAGTAAAAGTGCCCTGAAGGTTTCGAAAACTTCAGTTTACCATGAAACGGCCAAATGATTTGTTCTAGAGGAAAACGAAGAAAAAGTGCACGAGCGGCTAATAAATGCGTACATTGGAAGGTGTGTGTGTGTGTGTGCCCGGCACACGTCTCCCAAATCTCCAAAATTCAAATAATTAGAGGGTTTTGCCGGTGGGGGAATCTTGTTGTTCTCCACTCGAATTTTGAGTTCTCGAGCAGAAAAGTGCTTTCTGTCCCAGTGCCCCTATATAACAAACGAAGAAAATTTAATAAGGAATAACCCAAGGCGAGAAATGAAAATGAGGTGCTGAAACCGAAAATCATATCCAGTGCTGAAATAACTGTTGATATCACAATTGACACAAAAACACATATTTCGCAAACGTTCACTTCCAAAGCCCGCCCGCCGACAATGCTCCTGAATAGTGTTTTCCCTGTCTGCCCAAAAACTGTTATTATTGTTGTTTTTCTGCAAAAAGTGGCAACAAACGGGGACATTTTTGTAAGCTAACAGAGGAACATTTGAGAACATGTTGCAGCATAAAAGTGAAGGGCCCAATATTTTCAGCCACGCATCCATCACATCTCTTTTCACAACTCAAGTCGCAAGACACGCCATTATGCCCTAATAACGTTCGTATCGTCAAGTGCGCCAACGGCGGCTGCTGACGCGCGGAGAAGCGTGAAACGCGCAAGGAAAATTCCACTCTCTGGTTTTGGCCTAAAATTAATCAGTCTTGTGTTTTGCCGGAGATCCGATGTGTTGCTCTCTTAACTGTTCTCATTAATTGTAAAAATTGATTGATTAACAAGACAACGACGTTCAAAAAGTTAAGGGCAATCAGAAACGGTGATTCTTCCCCAGAACTCCAAATCCTTTGAACTTGTTTGTTTTTTCAGAAGATATGGTCTTGTTTTGAGTTTCAAACCAATGCCAATAACTGGCAAACAGTCTTTAAGTACTTTCCAGGGGTAGTAGACATAAATGTGATCCGGAAGGAACCCGATCACTTCTGTCACCGGCGAACATCGCCAATCGATCCAATTCCGTTTTCAGCTCATCGCCCACTCTCCCATAATCCCTTCCGAGTCTGAAAAAGTGGATAAGGAAGAGTTTTCTCGAATTAAATGCAACATTTTGCCGTTTCATAGTGATCATTTGAACCGCGGGAAAATCGGGTAAAACATTCAGGATGGATTCACAGATGGATCGGATAAAAAAGAATGGAGGGGTCATGGGACATGAACATGAAATTCGAGGTGGAAATGGATTGGGAATTCTTGGCGAAAATTTGTAAATGTCAAATGATTCTCCAAAAACTCCCAAAGATCACATCAGATGACAACTAGGCATGAAAATTGGAAGCGATTTTTCACATTCTTCAATTAAAATACTATACTTTTTGTACATCTAGCTCATTTGGGGGGGAGGGGGAAGAGGGGGCCGAAACATAAAAATGGGGAATAAAAAGTGGATAAAATGTCTTGGATTATTCTTCTCTATATTATATTGCTTTTTAGGTACTTTTGTGCGTATAAAATTGGGGGTTCAGTGAAATGACTTTGCCGAGTGATTGCTTGATTGGGGCGATGCGGAGCAACTGGTCGGCGGCGGAGTGAGCAGACCGCCCACGTGATGCACTGACGCCGCCGCCGCTTCGATTGCACACGACGGGGAACGGGGCGCCGACGAGGGGTACGTCTGCAAAATTGAGCATGATGACAAGCATTTCGGTGAACAATTGCAATTTCTTCGAATAGTAGAACGAGCGGCGTGGTGTTTGCAGACCACCGTTGTCAAAGATAAGCCAAATCGGTACTAAACTCGATCTTCCAGCCAAATCGGCCATTTTGCGAGACGGAGGGTTACGGTTGACAACGGTGGTGCGTAAACACCACGCCGCAATAATATTAGGGTTTTCAGGTATCCAAACAGTTGGGACGCGTGCGAGAGAAACCACGAGACGGGTCGAAGACAGGAAAATTAAATGGTTCCCTTTCCGTGCAACACTTCGTTTGAGAGACGGGACCACCCCCGTCCCATGCCGTTTGGTTAACCCTTTTCTAATTGTAACCATTGCATCTTTCTGCGTTTCCTTATTACTTTCTAGACGCCACGGTCACCACGAACAAAAGCTTTTAGCTAGTTATAATAATAACCAAAAATAACTAACCGATAATAGAAAACTGAGAGAAACATATTCAAAACGCGGCGCTTTGTCGTGGAACCGTCGCCTAGAAAAATTAGAAAGAATGAGGAGAAATATAACAAAAGCATGTTCTTCAGTGAAACAACTTCAGAGTTTCGCTTCAAAAACAGAAATTTAAAAAAACGAACTCCAACGCGATTGCTGTTCAGTCCGAGCATCTTCTCGTAATCCGTGAGTTGCCCCATGAAATGAAAGTTCGGAGCAATGCTCGCGTTCCGTTTTTGGACCCATTCGTACGCGGAATCCAGTGTGCACCTGCAGAATGATAGTGTTTTTGAAAAATTCTAGTCTTTCAGTCAGTTTCAATCCGATAAATTCGGAAGAAGTAACATCTTCAAGGCTTTTTGAGGTCTGAACTTTTGGCCCACTTGTAATCGAGCCTAAGATTTGCAGGTATCGTGGACTTGGATTGAAGTATTTTGGGTCCGAGTTTCAGACGGCCTTTTCGGCCTCTGATTCACTTATCTCGGGTACAGATAATCGGATCGGTCTGAAACTCAGAGCCAAATCATTTCAATCCAATTCCAAGAAGCCTGCAAAGTTTCAGCCCGATCGGATTGCAAAGCGGGTCAGAAGTCCAGGCCTCAAAAATCCTTCGAAAATCCTGGGCCGACCTTTTGCCCAGAACTGAAAATTGCAAGAAAAACATCGCCAAGTCGAAAATATAGCAAATGTCAAATTTTTAGTTAGTTTACACTAGAAAACGCGTACATTTCGGTCTTCATGAGGTAGGCCAAACAAATAGTCACACTTCTCGAGATGCCGGCCAAACAGTGCACCAGACACGCGGATTCGTTGCGACGGGCCTCTTCGATGAACGATATCGCTTCTGAAAGGCTGAAATTCTGGGAAAAAGGGCTGGAAGGGGGCCGAGTACCGGGGAAGAACTTGGTGAGATTGTGCGAGGCGTTGTCATCGACCGAAATCCGCAAATATCTCATGTTCGGATCCTCCTCGAACGCGTTCGGCAGATTCGACGTCACGTTGATCACGTGCGATATCGAGTGTCTGCAGAATTGATCATGATTGAATTGTGCAGTTGTTCAAAACCCAAACTCACTTATCGAGAACTTCACGATTTTTGGCCGTCTCCGCGTTGCCCAAGTACAGAAAACTCGTCAATTTCACCGGAAATTCGGCTCTCTGCTTTCCGCCTTGATCTTCGCCTTCCAGTCGCAGTTGGCTGCAAAAATTCGGGAAGTTACCATGAAAAATACTGCGCGTTTCAAATTTCTCTCATTTTTTCACGCGAAAGGCTCACTTGAGACTGAGGAGTGCGCCTCCGGTGGGCTGCTGCTGTCCGGGCATCGAATTCATCTGAAAAGTCGTGTTCCAGTTTTCGTCGGCGTCGTCGCGAAGGTCCGGGAACTGGCCGAGCAGCGAGGCGACGGGCTCCGCGAGCACGAAATGGCCGAAGTTGCCGGCCTTGAGAGTGCGGGCCAGCGCTGCCGAGAGTTGCTCGTCTTGCTCCGATTCGCCCGGGATCACCAGCACTTCGGGACACTGTTCCGGCGGGTTCTGAAAGCGAACATGTCAAAAATTCAGTTTTCACAGATTTTTCATTGTTTTGGCAATTACTCACATTCAAATCCTTTAATTCGGGTACGGTGGTGAGTTTCATCGATCCGCCGAGGAGACGTCGTTGCAAAAGAGCCGGAAGACGGACGCTGCAAAAGAATCTGTGCCCGATTGGTGAAAAGGCGATTATGACGGGCGGCGGATGAGAAAAAGAGGCTTTTTCGGGGTTACGTAGGCGCATCTGCTTGTTTTGCGGCAAAAATGTGCCATTTCCGATGAAAGTAGGTAAAAACAGCGATTTTTGGTTTTTTTTTGTGAAACATCGAAGAATTTCGCAGTTCTTAGCTCAAAACGCCACTTACCGGTTGGCCCGCTTCACCGGATCGCCTTTTGATCGACAATCCAGCACTATCACGCTTCTCTCGTGGAATATCCTGCAAAAATGGATTTTTTAAAGAATTTTTTGTAAAAAACGTGCCTGTTGAACTGTTCGGCACTGATCTCCTCGCCATTTTGAGATGTGCTCGGTTGCGTCGTGGCTTGCATCTGGAAAATAGAAAAAAAAAATTAAGGAAATTGGGGAATGTTCGCGAAAAATCGCAATGAATCCAGGAAAATCACGGAAAATCTGGGAAATGCGAGAGAAAATATCGAGAGAACACATGTTGAAAATTTCATAATTTTCGCCGCAGTCCCATTAAATTTATGGGCCAGTCGGGGGCGGAAATGCATCAAAAAACGATAAAGTTGTGCGTGGGCGGGAAAATCGAGAGGAAATCGGCAGAAAACGGTGAGAAAATCGGAGGGAAATGAGCGAAATTTGCGTGAGAATGCCGCGTTGGCGGCTGACTGGCGTACGGTAGGGGTTTAAAGGCGCAGCACAATAAGACGTGGGTCTCGAAGCGATAAGACACATTTTTTAAAATCTTTCTCCACTTTTGAAAAGTGAACGCTAGTCTAAATGAAAATCGCCGGTTTTTTCGTGTTCTGATGGCTATTTCCGAGTTCTTCAGCAGAAAACTAGTCGAAGAACACACAGAAGCCAAAAATGAACCGAAAAACACGGCGTCTGGCCGAGATTATGTCGTCGTCAGCGTCGGAGAGGAGAAAAAGAAGCAGAAGAAGACAACCAAACATATATTATCGCCTTCTTATCATTCTCCTATCTGATTAGCACCGGAAGCGAGCGGAAAAACCAGGAAACTGGGAAATTGCAGTTTTTAATGCCGCGTCCAAAGTGTCGGAAAAACCGCAAAAGCCGCAGGTTTTTGTGTCCAAAGTCGGCCGAAATTTGCGTGAAAAACGGGGTGCACACAGCTCAATGAATGTAACCGTAGTGGCGATCGCTTCGAGACCCGCGTCGTTCAAAACGCCATTTTTGCTATTTTTCTCCGTTTTTTTAGTGAATTTTTTGTAAAATGCTTTAAAAATGCTCACAAAAATTTCAAAATCAAGTGAAAAATGAATAAACTAGTCGATTTTCAGGTTTCCCCGCCCGCAAATATGGATTCCGACGATTCCGACGATTCCGACGATGTTGAAATCCAAGAGTTCTGTAAGAAAATATGTTTTGTGTGGAAAATGGGTAACATTTTACAGACATGTTCATCAGACTGATCATGTCCGTGGCACTGAAAAGAAGGGAATGGAAGAAGAAAAAGCAGGAGTCTGAGAAGAAAGAAGTTGAAGCGAAGAGGAAATTGTTCAAGAAAGAGAAGACTGAGAGTTTTAAGAAGTACTGTCGGCGACTTCGTTCTCTTCCCCACTTGTACAAGGTATTTCATTGCTTGGTTTTCTGAAATCAATTTCCGTCCAGGAAGAAGTCTTCGTTCCTGGAGAAGTAGTCGAACGGGTGATGGAAGCGATCGAAAGCGACGGAATCGCGGAAAACTGGACCTTTTCTGCTCATGAACAGTCAGTGATGTACCTCCAGTTTGCCACGTCCGGTAAGCATTTGAATAGTTTTTGCCACGAACTACAGCAAAATACTTGAGGACAATCATTCGGCTGCATGAGAAGACGAATCGGCGCATCGAAATCGACTATTTCTTCGATCGTGAAGCGCGTCTCGCGGGTCATCATTCAACATATTCCAACCGTTCGCTTACCATCGTCGCCTTCGGAATGGCGAGAAATTGAGGAGACATTCGTCAGGCGAGGGTTGCTGAGATGCATTGGGTGTCTCGACGGCAAGCACGTCCGAGTGAAGGCGCCTCCTGGAACCGGATCGTTGTTCTACAACTACAAAAGTTACTTCAGCATTTCCATGTTGGCGTTAGCCGATGCAGATCTCCGCTTCCGATATTTGGATATTGGTATAGTTACTGAACACTATCATTAATCAAATTGCCTCTTTTTCCAGGTGCTCCCGGAAGTGTCAGCGACACGTCCATTTTCAATAGAACGTTTCTGAAGACTATCCTCGACACCCGAGCCACTTTACCACCGCCCGTGCACTACAACGATCACCTTGTGCTCCCGTCGTTCGTCTTGGCGGATGGCATTTTCGCACTGACGCCGACTTTGATGAAGCCTTTCGGACGAGCCCAGCTCACCCATGAGCAAACAATTTTTAATCGAATCCTGTCAAATTCTAGAGTTCGAGTAGAGCATGCTTTCGGCGTTCTCGCTTCCCGCTTCCGCGTTTTGCACTCTCAAATCGAACTTCCATATTCCGATGCTGTTAATTTCGTTTCTTCCCTTGTGCATTTGCACAATTTACTCATTCCTCCATTTGTCGGACCGTTGGAGCCTGTTGTGGAAGCCGCCACTGAGCAGTTCCACGACGGCAAAGACCAACGAGAAGCATTACTCGATTTTTTGATTAACTAATAAACACAACAATTTTACACTCGCAAAATTTCATACTCGTCATATTAAAAATTAAAATTAAAATTGTCCAGGTTCTCCCATCCTTCTCCAGATCCTGAGGACGAAGCGGCGGTGGTGAGCGTGACGTCTTTCTTCTTGTACTTTTCGCACAGTTGTGCTATCTCTCCTTGAAGGAGAAGCTGGGAAGTAGGAGGAATCGAGCGGAGGGTCTCAGTCAGCAACTTGGTGACTGCCTCGAATTCCCGTCTCCCGTCGTTTCTGCGCTGGCCGAAGCTTCTCAGAACTTCGCGGGACTCCTTCATGAATAGCTTCAAATCGGCGTCGGCGTCGTCGCTTCCAGTTTGCCAGTCGTACTTCTCCCTCTTCATTCTTTTCGGAGTGTCGACGCCAACATCTCGACGGACGAATCCAATAGTTTCATTGTGAATTCTGAAGGATTTCGGATTAAGTCGGCCTCCTAACCTTTCACTTACGGAGGTGGTGATTTGTCTCTGTATACGTTGTCCAAATCCCATTTCTTCATAATATGGGAATGAAGGACGGGCTTTTGCACTCGAGCTCCCACTTGGTTTCATCGACGCCTTTCGTTCTACGCGATATGCGGCCACCAGCGTGTTCCAAACTTTCCGCAAAGTACAGCCTGAAAAATCAAAATCACCATCTTTTATAGTGGCAACCAGTGATACCTCGGTCTCTCTTGAGAAACTCCACCGACTTCTCTATGTCGGCCCACAGACCGTTTTTCAAAGGCGTGTCTTTGTAGTCCTTTTCTCGCAGATTCCAGAGACAAGGATTCATTTCAATTTGTGAAATGATCCGGCTACACTGCGTGAACGTCAGCTGAAAATGAGATGTTTCCACTTTTTCAAAACAAAATGTTTACCTTCGTATAATTATCGCCTTTCGTCATCGAAATCTTCGCATTTTTTCCACTTCCACTTGCTCTCTTTCCGTTCGCATCTTTATCATCTTCTTTGTCCGCGGGTTTGTCCTCTTGGATTTCAACATCGTCGGAATCGTCGGAATCCATATTTGCGGGCGGGGAAACCTGAAAATCGACTAGTTTATTCATTTTTCACTTGATTTTGAAATTTTTGTGAGCATTTTTAAAGCATTTTACAAAAAATTCACTAAAAAAACGGAGAAAAATAGCAAAAATGGCGTTTTGAACGACGCGGGTCTCGAAGCGATCGCCACTACGGTTACATTCATTGAGCTGTGTGCACCCCGTTTTTCACGCAAATTTCGGCCGACTTTGGACACAAAAACCTGCGGCTTTTGCGGTTTTTCCGACACTTTGGACGCGGCATAACAATTTATTTTCCGTTTCACCAAGGTTTCGAGAATTTCTTGCGCATAAGGAAACTCCCGATAACAAGTCAGATTTGATAAAAATCCCAAAAATTGTCCAAATTACACCCAAAAAAAGCGGTGTTTTCCGGGCGATTAACGTGCGGGACTGGACGACAAACACGGGAAAAAGGGGCGAAAAATGCGGAAAAACGACAGGGCGATGATCGGAAATCAGGTGATTGATAGGCATTTACACACGCCAATGACCTTCTGTTTCGCACGCGGAAATCGACGATTTATACGCATTTTTAGGCGGCCGCCCAGAATTTCGTCGACAATGAGAAGCCGAACGGAAAACGTCTTAAAATACGTAATTAAGCGAGCTCTCAATAGAGCGCGTTTGCATCATCTAGTTTCTTTTTTGAACTGAACATCGTTTCGTTCTCAAATTTCCCTTCTTCGACGTTGACATTTCGTGTTGAATGCTTCGATTCGAGCGCTGAACACAGCAGATTCGTTCAGAATCGCCAAACTACTGACAGTTTCCGGAATTAGCGCCGAAAAACAACAGCTCACGGGGCAAAATCGATTTCGGAACGCGTCAATTGCTTCGCGAATTGGTAGGCCACACACAATAAAACCGGCGGCAAAAAAAGCATTTTTCCATTGTTTTTGTAAAAAATTCGAAGAGAATGGCAAAAAAAATGATAGAAAAATGTGTGTTGGGTGGGTGGTTGTGAGAGAAATAAGAGAACACTCGAAGATTTTCACACGATTAGACGGGGCGAGAGAGAGAGAGAAAGAGAAGGAGAAAAAGAAGAAGAAACGAGTATTGTGGGCCTATAAATATACATGCGAAAGTGGGGGACGAGGGGGGTGTTCTTTGCAACAAGACACCGCTCACCAAAAACCACAATTCGGCTCCGAAAAAAAAAAAAAAGTCGAAAAATGGCCCTAAAACTGACGGCGAAACGGGACGAAAAACGTTTTCTTCTTTCGCCTTCCTTCTTTCCCATTTTTATATAATATTCATTCTGCCGCGTTGCGCCCATTTCGCTCCAATAAATTCCATTAATTTTTTGCGGCACTGAAAAGTGGCAAAAATGGGGGTGGCGAGGCGCTAAAAATAGGGATTTACGTCAAGAATAACGATTGTTCGCCCGCCTCTTTTTCTTTTTTATGAATGCGAAACGAGCACCGCCGCCCCCACTTCCTAGAATTTAAAAGGCTTTTTGAGGCCTGGACTTTTGCCCCTAACTTTGCAGGCTTCTTGGCCGCCAGTTTCAGGCCGATCGGGGTCCAGGCCTGAAAAAGCCTGGGCGGGCGCATTGTAAGCTTTAGACGCGATTGTTCAAGTCCAAAGAAAGGGGGGAACATTTCGAAAACGGGCAGAGGGCCGGGGGGATATCTGATATTTCCTTTCAGTATTTTCCCAAATGAAATTGGAAACTTTTTCTTTCTCATTTTCTAGTTTTCAAGGAAAAAAAGCGAGAGAGATTTGAATGAAATCTATTCAGAGGCTATTCTTAGCCCTTTTCACACGGTTCAAGAACAATTGAGACGGAAAATTGTGGAGAGAAATGAGTCAAAAATCGATAATTATTTTGCCAGAAAAGTTGAGGGGAAAAAATTTTTTTTTTATGTCGGGACGTCTCCGGAACACTGCAAAAACACGCGAAAAAATTAAAAAGAGCCCCCCCTTACACTCGAAAGTTCGATGGGAAAAAGCAAAGTAAGAAGATGATTTTTCATTGAAAAAGTCGGGCGAAAAAGAGAAAGAAGAAGAAGAAGAAGAAGAAGAAGGAGAAGGAGAAGGAGGTACAGGTGAAAGAGAGAGAGTGCGGAGAAAGAGGAGAGAGAGAAAGAGAGAGAAAGAGAGAGGGGGAGTGCGTGGGAGGACGAAGGAAGAGAGAAAGAGAGAGAGAGAGAGAGAGAGAAGGAGAAGAGCACTGCTCTCTTCTCTTTCGTTTTCTCAACCGCCATGAGGGCGCGAAAACCGATAGGGGGGAGAACGTGCAATTTTTTCGTCTGAAATATTTTCTCCTATTTTTCCGCAATTTATTTACTGTTTCTGAAACTGAATGTTCATAGAATATAAAGCGATATTATGCGATTGCGAAATAAGAAGGCAACAATATCACCTGTCATTACTGAAATTTGACGAATTCTCAGTGACATTTCACCCGATTTTTTCTCGAATTTCGAGTGCCGCGCTTCAAAGTAATCATTTTTTCGATTGGTGTCTAGACGAGAAAAAAAAGCGGACGAATGTTGGTTTCTGTGTACACAAGCGCCTCTTTTTTCACCGGATCCGACAATTTGTGTGCACTTTTGGAACTTTTTGACGGAACAGGAGTAGTGGCTGCCAGAGTTGAGCGGAAGAACTCACGGAAGAATTTTTATCTTTTTTTGAAAATTTTTTCATGGAATGTGATCAACTGACGAAATGTATAGCAAAGTGAACTGTGCTCATAGAAAAATATTTGTAAATTTAGCTTTTCATACAAAAAAGTTATTCGAGTTGTTCCGTGAAAATGTCCTTCCGTCTTCCGTTAGCCCTTAACTTTTTTGTATGAAAAGCTAAATTTACAATTATTTTTCTATGAGCACAGTTCACTTTGTTATACATTTCGTCAGTTGATCACATTTCATGAAAAAATTTTCTAAAAAATATATAAATTCTTCCGTGAGTTCTTACTTAACTCTGGTAGCTGCCGCCCATCACTTGAACAAATCCGCACTTCTAGGCCACACAATGTTACTTTTTAAAAGCCAAAATCTAGTTTTGAAAAACTGGGACAGCCCCGCTTGGCACAATGCCAGCCAATTGCATGCAATTTCCAATTTTTCTTGCAGAAAAGCGAAAAAAGAAGAGGAAAAGGGAGGGCGGTCTGTCGGAGAAGAAAAGATGAATGGGTGCGTGGGCGGATCACGAGAGAGAGAGAGAGAAAGCGATGAAAAATGGGCTCTTCCGGGCAAAAGAGCACTAGAGGAAGAAGAAGAAGAAGAAGAAGAAAAAGGGGCCTGAGACGGAAAATATCACCAGAAATTCTAGAAATCTTCGGAAGATATCACTTCTCCGAAACTGTAAATCAATTATATTAATCGCAGTCGATTGAGGGAATAATTCGATGCAAATGACATGAGGCCTTCTTGAAACACACTTTTATTCACAAACGAAGGAGTACATGACAAGACAGCGAGGTTCTAATATTGACGTAAACTCACACACACACACGCACGCAAATTCATGCTCATGAAAAAGTCTGACGAAGTTGGGTTCGCCTTCTTCTTCTTCTTGTTCGTCTTCCGAAGAATTACGCACTTTGCGTGTTGGTTTTCTGCTCTAATTCGCACACCTTTCATTCATTCGATATATCTCGGCAGCGAGTGGAGATATCAAAAAGTTGACAACTGATAAAATGTGCACAATTTCTTAAGGAACAATTCATTAATTGACAACTTTTTGATATCTCTATCGAGCGCTGAGATATACCATTTTGAATAAACGGCATCATAGCTAATGCTAAATTGAGCGCCGCGTTAAAACGGAGTGTCGTTGAAAACAAAAGCAGGTCTGAAATTTGTGGATTTTTTTCCGAAAACCCGAAATTTCACCCGAAAATGAGAGAAATGAAGTAAAACAGAGAATATGAGAATTGTTAATGACGGTTGTGACCTTAAATTAGCGTTTTGCCCACAAAAAAGCGCGCATTATTGCAATTTTCTGTGAATTTCAGTCCGGCGCCGCAAAAACTGAAATTTCTCAGTCATTTTTGCATTTTATGGGCCGTCTGTGTGCTCAAAATGACCGCCTTTGTCTGCTGAACAATCGTGAGGCAACTGTTTTCTCAAAACTTCCAAAAGTTTGTTTTTTCAAGTCAAATTTAAAAAAAACGAAATTACTCTTCGAATTTTCACTGTTACACGAGCACTCTGTGATCATTTTTGAGCCATCGGTCATATGAACAAAACGTGAGGCAAAAGTTTTGAGGGAAAACTGTGCATAATCCCAAAAACTCGGAAAAACGTCATTTTCGTATCCCGTAAATCGACACTGAGAGCCGCACGCAAAAAAGCGCGCGACAATTTTTTTTTCGTTGAAGCGGTAACAGCACAATGTATTGAAGCTAATAGAAACGGGTTTACCTTCACAACTTGCTGAAACTGAATTGCATTGTTCCAATTAGAGCATTTACTAATGTTATTCAATTCAGTGTGTAGGCAAATTGGTTGAAAATAACACATTGAAACTGAAAACTTCATTACCAAAAGCTACAGTGGCGACTCGAAAGTTGAAGTACTATATATGTATGGAGATTGGAGTGAAACACTTTATTAGGCTCATAGGATTCTCGCGGACTAAAGACACTGCCAAATTTCTATGATAAACTTCTCGAATCCCCCCAAAAAAAAACGCGAGGAAATCCTGTGAGCGAAAGAAGGAAAGAGCACTCGTAGAAGGGGAAAAAGCGAAAGAATGTGTGTTTTTTCGCCGCGAAGCACGTCGTCTTTCCGTGTTTCTCTCACTTCCGTGGGGGCAGCGACATCCACCCGCGCGCGCGCGGCTCTTAACGGCCGCCTCCGCCTCCCGGCCCGCACACAAAAAGAGCCCCTCTTTTCTGCACACACTAAATAAATCGAGGAATTGCCGCCATTCATATGCAACGAATCATTGATATTATGCACGGCGAGCGAGTAGCCGAAATTACCATACTTGTGATTGTTTTCCCTCAAAACGCATCATTTTTTTTTGAATCGATCTCATTCAGAACAAAACATTCGTTCGAGCAGTGTTAGACATGCGATAATTACTCAAATTCCACGTGATTATGAAACAGTAACAGTGATTCCTGGCTTGGATTTTCCGTATTCAAAATGAGGAAAATGTGGGACCGGTCCACGGCGACCAAAAATGTGGAAAGGTGTGTGTTTTCTGAAAATTGCCGCAATTCCAGCACTTTTCCGTTGTTTTTGTGTTTGATATCGACGAAAGAAGAGACATTAAAGAGAGAAAACATTGAAATTTTCGTGAAAACGCCGCGTTTGAGACGTTTTTCGCATATTTCGCAATTCGGAATTTTCATAGCGGCCGATGTGGATAGTTTTGAGACGAAGTGAGTGTCGGAAGTGATTAAGCACGTTAATACAAGTATTTTAAGCGTTCAAACGGCAAAAAGTATCGGCGAATGACTGAAATTCGCGCATTTTCAGCACAATACTTGAAAATCGATTCAATCGATTCATTTCTGAATGAAACCTGCTCGTTTGCAGCTCAAAAAGTGCGCAATGATTAGTTTAACAAGGTCATGCAATTACATCGTCGAAATCGTACAAAATTTGGGTAATTTTTGACGAAAACACGAAAAATGGCGTTAAATTTCGAATTACGCGCCAAAATGGTGATAAACCGTGCACGCTAGGCCCCACGCCCCTTTCTACGTTTTTGGTCGCCGTGGGACTCCTAATCAATTGAGAACCATTCGCATAACGTTAGTTTTACAAGTTTTCTGAAACTCAAATCGCGAAAAATGCGCTTTCTCCTCGCGCACTGTCTCCCGATCAATACATGAGTGATCTACTGTTTTCTCGGTCATGTAAACGAAAAAAAACAACGTTTTGAAACAGAAAACTGTTACACGTGGCCGAGATTTGGTTTTCTAGGCCAACTGATGTCGCTGCACAGAAACGCCTGGTCGTAGAAATAGTCAAAATTACTGTTTTGCAAAACAGCAAATTTGATAGGAGAACGTGGGCAAAAGTGATGATTGCGTAGTTGGTCTCGTCGAGTGCGTGGGCGGTGCCCCGGGTGAATGGACGAAAAGCGATAAAATTGGGGATGGAATCACGCAAAGATTGATGGCTTCCTCGTAAATTATCCATTTTCGATTCGGCCCTCTCCTTCCCTTCCCTTCTTTTCGACTTTTTCGACTAGAAAGCGTGAGAGGGGAAAGCAAAATCCCTAGAAGGCTCAACTTTGAAAATTTACCGTTTCATCGAGATGGCATGAGTTTCAGTACGGTTTCTGCTCACACCGTTTTATCCCTATCCTGGTCAATTTGCAAGTTTTATTGTATAGAATGTTTTCAGATAAGTTCTGAACAAAGGATTTTACGGTTTTTTTTTAATCTTGAACGTTTAAATGAAAGCTCTGGCCTGTACTGACATTGTCCCAGCACCTTCCTTTCAAAAAACAAACATTTTTTTTGCTATTTCACTTTCCTGTTAAAGTTTGGGAACATTCGCGAATGAGTAGTAGTGATATTGAATTCGCAGCAATAAAAGTGAAATTTCAGATTCTTCACGCATATTTCAAGCAGTTCTCGTCATTTTCTCGCTCAATTCCATCGCTCTAGCAGCTCACCAATCGCAAAATGAGGAAACGGACGGAGGAGTATTTATCAGGTAGTGTATCTCAGCTGCCGGCGGAGATATCAAAAAGTTGTCAACTGATAAAATGTGCAAAATTTTGTGATGAACATTTGATCAGTTGACACCTTTTCGATATCTCCATCGGCAGCTGAGATACATCAAAAAGTTCAGCACACCCCTGCTCATCCTCTGGATTTTGGCCTCCATCGCCTTGTTCTTCACCGCCCTCGTCACGTGTATCATGTGCTATTTCAAGCGAAAAATGCTGAAAATGAACATTGAGGTTTTGGAGAAATTGATCACCGATCACCGAGAAAACGAGCGCGCGAAGAAAACGACTACGACGTCCCGAACGAGTCCGTCCGTTTCTGGATCTGTGGCTCAAGAACCGCAAGAGATCACTGCTCGCGGCATCAATTTTAAAAAAGAGGAGAAGAAAGAGAAGAAGAAGAAGAAGAAGGAAAAGAGCCAGAGAAAGTTGAGGAGCACTGGGAGCGAGGGCGCTTTGACAGTCTCCGAAAGTGCGTACACGGCTGGACGTACTAGGAAATCAAAGGTGAGAAAGGTCTAGAAGGTCTACTGACACTTTACGGTAAACTTTTCAGAAGCCCATCGAGAAAGCTGTGGATCAACCGGCTACCGAAGGAACGGATAGGGTCCCAGAGGTAGGTATCCACTCGCGAGTTTTTCAATTCAATTCTTTTATTTTCCAGAAAAGTCCTCCCCAATCGTCGGGCTGCGAGAGCATTGCGACTGCCGAAATGAACATTCCGTCCGAAAGGGCTTATCGATAAACGTTTTGTTGCATTTTTTTTTTCCGCCGCTTTCAACAGTTTCAACAGTTTTGTTTAAACGAGGTACGTGACCCTTTTTACTATCATATCAGACAATCTGATAACGCTATCATTATCTCGATTCTCGTGTTCAATCTTTTTGAAATTTCGAGAATGAAAAGTAAGTCGGGTCTCAAAAATTCATCGACAATCCACGGAACCCCAGCGCCTTCCAATAAAAAATTCCCTTGGCGCAATTCACGCGCGCTAAACAAGGCGCGTAACGCGTAATTCCGGAGCGTCGTTGTAGAGTTTCTCCATTTCAATTTTCGCTTTTTTTTGCATTATCCCCATCTTTTTAGAACCGCTCAGTGTCAAAACTTATGATAATGATTAGAAATGAATAAAAAATGAAATTTTAACTGCTTCTGCATCAATTTCTAAACGTTTTATGTGAAAATTACAGAATTTTTTTCGTTTTGGAATCGAAAATTTGCCTCAATTATCTCAATTCTGTATATTTTTCGACGGTTGAGCGCTTAAAAGATGCGCAATAAACTCCTTGTTGACGGGACGGTTCGAATGCCAGTGTCCGAACTCGATTCGGCAAATAATCGTTCAAACTCCGTTTTTTTAAAGTAGTTTTCGACAAAATCCCTAAATTTGGTCAATTCTGAACGAATCTGCTCCGTTTCGCGCTTTAATCGATGCTTTTAACTCAGACAATCGCCCTACAGTTCGCAAAGAACAAAATTTGAGTGTTTATTAAGAGAAAAACGAAAGAATTCCGGTTTTCAATTGAAAAAATAAACTCCGAGTCGACGGTGGATGCAAGCGCGCCCCATTGACAACTCGCTTGCGCATTGGAGTGCTGGAAGGGGTTCCGTGGCAATCTGAAACGTTCAGATTCTTTTCTCATATTTCAACTCGTTTCCCTGCTTTTGTGCGTCAATGGTCGATCGACGAGCACTGCGAAACCAGAGGAAGGAGTGCTCGTCAGGTAAGAAGGACGGGCCCAAACATTTTCGGTTTCTCAACGTTTTCATGAGCACAAGTGCATTCAGACGACAGTTCGTCCAACTGTTCTGTTTCCCTAGCAGTAATATTGTAGAGTAAATTTTGCAGCGTCGCGGTGTTCGCCATCTGGCTTCTCATCACCACCGGACTCCTCATCGGCCTAATCGTCACGTGTATCGCGTGGTATTTCACGCGCAAAATGATGAAAATGAAGATGGAATTCATGAGGAAAACCAACGAGAAGCTGTTGGACAGGCAGAAGAAGGAGAAGAAGCCGTCGAGAGAGAAGGAGAAGACGTCTTCCAACTCGAAAACCCCGTCGGCCGAGGCTTCCTATCAAACATCAAAAGAAACGACGGGCACCAGCAGCGGCACGGCGACGGCGAAGAGTATGAAGGAGACGCTGGAGCTGTGGAACTCAGTGGAGAGACTACAGAAGCTGCAAAAGAAGGCGGCGAAAGAGGATACCGTAACCACCACCAAGACCCTGGACACCAAGACGGTCGGAAGCCTTCGGAAGGCGAAGGTGAGGCTTTCTCTGGCACGGTCTCCCTCGGCGCGAATGATTTCAATGGGGCGCACTTGCAACAGGCGGGCTGTGTCGATTTACGCGGCGGCCGATTAATTAATTTTCAACGGGAGGCCGCGTTATTTCCATGTTTTCTGTACAATACACCTATTTTTTTGGTACGCCTGGAACCTGGATTCGAATAATTAGAGCACTAGCTACGTTTTGATAGCAGAAATCTGGCATATCGTTGAGAATTAGCCGAGTTATTTCGATTTGAAGGTTTTGGGGTGGATTTTGATGCTTTTCGAATAGTTTTTGAAAACTGCTCAAGAAAACTAACCGCCGGAACCTGAATTTTGTGAAGAAAGATTCAGCGAACATTTTTATCGTTCGTTGGGCTCATGAAATGCAAAATGAGCTGAAATATCAAGGTTTGACGTTTTGACGAAATGCGAAAAAGACGCAAAAAATGAAAACTCTGTATTCTGTAAAAAACGGTTTCCAATCAGTAAAATATTGTTTTCTAGACGTTTTTCAAGTCAAAAAGAAAGAAATAAAGGTCGTAAACTCGAATTGAACTGCATTTTTCAAAAATTACAACGACACTCCGCAATTTACGAGCGCACTGTGTTTAGCATTAGCGCCTCCTGAGAGACCGTGTCTGGTAGACATGTACAAAGTTCTTTCAGAAAAAGTCTGCCAAGCAAAAAAAGACGAGCACGTCGACAGAAGACGCCGAGACAAGAACGAAAACGACGGAAATGGATAGTATCGCGACGGCCGAGGTCAAAATTCCGTCCGAAAAGGCGTATAGCTGAACGGTGTTCATATTAAAAATGAATATTTATTGAATGCGAGTTAAAACCATAAACGAGATCGTAAGAGCGAGGGCGGGAACGCCTGAAAATCAAAATGTTAGAGGAAAAGAGTGAAATGGCTCTTAAAAACGTACCGAAACGTGAGAAACTAGAAGAAGTGAGTTGATAAATGAGTCGGGCGGTACCATTTCCAGACATTTGAACATTTAGATAGGATCCGGAGGCCTTGGAACGTGTTCCCTCTTGATTTCCGGTTATTCTGCAAGTAATTTGATCTGCACGGGTTAATAAATGAAGCTGATTTTCGGATAATTTAGGAATGCGCGGAAACGGTAACGATGAAGACCAACACAAACTTACACAGTGCTCAGAGTCTTTCTCCACTCCGAATCGTATATATCTATGTCCAATTTGCCATTCGAATTCACGGTCACTCCGTCAACATCGACGACGAATTGCTTCGAATCGTCGCCAGTGTACACTAAAAACGATACAGCTCGTCTACGAGCAAAGGTATTGAAAAGTTGTCAACTGATCAAATGTTCATTAAGAAATTGTGCACAATTGTTCAGTTGACAACTTTTCGATATCTCCACCGGCAGCTGAGATACAACCCTTACCAAAAGTGACATTGAAATCCGCGTTCTCGTTCAAATTGAAATAACTGGGCGAAAAGATGAATCCGGCCTTCTCCTGGCTGATATTGTAGTAGTTCGAGGGAGTGTCAGTTGTCAGATGGAATTGTGCATCGCAATTTTCGACGATTATCGAAAAGTATGGATAAGGGAAGAGTTGAGGGAGCGAATAGGGGTCCGAGGAGAAATCGATGAGCTTTTTGGAGTAAGAGTTCGGGGAGCCGGTCCCTGAGCTCACGGTGCAAGAGTCCGACGCCTGCAAGTTGAAAATCTATCGATAAACATGTTCTGTTCCATACATTCTTTACATTTCCCGTTCAAAAATATACAAAATATTAGCACTTTTGTAAATTGAAAACTTTGAGTGTAACCAACCGGAAACTCGAGCCGATCCAGCACCAACTGTCGCTGATCCTTGGCCACCACGATCACCGCCGCCTTCTGTCCATCCGACGCCTTCACAGACACCGTACTCGTCTGTCCGGCTGCTACCGTAATCCCCGCGAACTTTGAATAGCCTGCAGTCGCCGAGGTGGGCGTGAAAATGACGGAAGCGTACGAAGTGGCATTGTCCAATCCGACGATTGTGAGCGAATTTCCAGTCGACACAAAGTTGACAGTCTCGAAATCCACGAGACGATTCACTGATGATTTCGACGACGAAAAATCGCCGTCCACCACGAAATAGTTGTCGAAAACGTCAGTGATGTGGCCGGAACGGGCCACTGTCACGGTGATCTGGATGAGAGTTAGGTGAGCGGGTAAAGCAAAAAAGGCAACTGACCTTTTCATCCGAAGACACTGTAATCGGCTGGTTTTGAAGAGAATTCAGCAGGAAGTAGTTGAGATTCTGGTCCTTTTGCAGTTGTTTTTGGGTCGCAGTTGGCACTGAACAATTACGGTTTCACAAACTTTACAAATTAATGATAAAGTTAAGGAATACACTAATCGGTACAGCCCTTTATTTTTTTTTAATACACTGAAAGTTACAGCCTACTTTGGCTGAAAATTGGCCGAAAATGCCCGCTTTTCAGTCAAAAGTGATATTGTGGATTATTACTGCTTCACAAGTGTCTCTCAGTAAGGATATGGCCCACCACGGTCTCCAGAGCTGAAAATATGGGCGTGGCCTCGGTCAAATATCGTTTACGCTGATTTCTGTGGTGAACGGCGATGAAAAATGATTGTTCGACATGAAAACACACTAATTCTCACAGAATTAATGAAGTTTTGGCGCATTTTTCGCGGATTTCGCTTTTTCGAAACTTTTTTTGGTTTTCCTAAAAACCGCACTTTTCATTTTGCGCTTTATTGATCGTTTTCAGACAGAATTGGTTTTGTGAATGATAAATCACGTAAATACAAGCATTTTGAGCGCTCGAACCGCGAAAATTACCGAAAAGCAACTGAAATTCACGCAGTTTTAGCGAAAAACCTTCAAACTTGACCAAATTTGACGCTCTTGCGCTTAAAAAATTCGTAATAGCCTATACAATCGGTCTATCGAGAGAAAAATCAGAAATTATCGGTTTTTCGTGGCTAATCTGGCAAAAAACACGCATTTTGCTGTTAAAATTTGAATTTCGCGCACTTGCGCCCATTGTCAGCTCTGGAGACCGTGCCCACCAAGATAACAACGTTTTTTTTTAAAGCTTACTAACAGAGAATAAGTTCAGTTTCGAAAGCATGTCAAAGAAGAGCACACAATACTTGAAAAATTCGTTGAATCAGAACTAACGTGAAGAATAGGTGATGGTCAAGAGGAACGACGAGGTGTTTCCGTTCCCGCCGACCACATTCACATTCGTTTCCGTCTGCGGGAACACGTAAAACACGACGGAAGAGTCAGAGTTTCTGGAATAAAGTGGGAATTTTTGGAATTGGAAGGCTAAATCGATGCTGGGCAATATGCACTCAATTAAAACACGCGCATATTGTCAACTTTACACCAACTTTACGAAACTGTAATCTGAACTACTTTTACATCATTACGGTTTCGTAATGTTTATTTCAAAAGATGTCGATGCGTTTTCTTTGATACCACATTTGCACGTACGAAAAACCGTAATTCATGAAACCGTAATTCGCAAGAATTAGTTCAATGAGTGTTTGATTTCACGAGTTAGGGGTCAATATCAAGTACTTCACTAGTGCATACACTGTAATCCGTTTATTCAAAAGGCTATATCGTCAGCGGTCTGAAGAGATGTCAAAAAATTGTCAACTAATAAAATGTGCCCAATTTCTTAATGAACATTTTATCAGCTGACAACTTGTTGCCATCTTAACACTTGTTTTTCCAACCCCAAATATCAAACTTTTCCGTGTCTGACTCACCTATTGATAACAGTCTTGTGGGCCAGTCCATCGGTCACACTGATCACGTCATCGACTCCGTTCAGCACATTCGTCACTCTGATTTGTGCGGACACCATTCCGGGCGGTCTGATCTGTGAAAAACAGCGGGCTCACAATAGTTTTTGGCATTTTTGAGGGGAAAAAGTGCAAACCGTGTAGGTACAATTGAAATTCGGCGTCATGTTCACCGGATTGTCCGCATTGTTGGGAATTTTCAGAATTCTTCCGGCTACCTGATCATTTGTGGCAATTTGTGAACATTCTGAACTTGTTGTTGTTCGTGGCGACGGTCACAAAATGAAAAACGCACCCAATTGTTGGGAAAATGAGACAAATGCGCAGAGAAGAAGGCCGGAAAGCCTCAAAATTAGCATTGTCTCGAATATGGTCGTTTTCAACGTGGAAAAGGGTGTAATTGAACTCTCAATCACATAAAAGTGGTGGTTTTTAAACGCGTTATCAGCGAAGAGGCGGAAAAGTGTGCAATCAGAGTGTGCCCTCACACTTTTATCGCTTTTTTTTTCTTTGGAAATGGAAATGTTTAGAGAGGGGAAAAGTCATTCAAACGTTCACATTATGACGATGATTCTGTCGGGATGATGATTTGAGTCACATGCATGATTCATTCAAAGCCACGTATCTCACAATTGTCGGTGGAGAACCATAGCCCAGATGCAGTTCCCTCAAGGAACTAAAAAACTAAATATTCCCTGAAGCATCTTTCTTCTTTACACACTTACATGAAAATTGAACAAAGTGCAAAAAAAATCGACGAACAGTTCGGATGAAGAAATTAAATTTTAAACGGCGAAGGCAAAACGTTGCGATATCATTCATGTTCTTTGATTACTTGGACTTTCTCTCAACTTTGCAGTCGATTTATATTTGAGCCATCACATCCTTAAAAGGAATCGGAAGCGACTATGCGTTAGTATAAGTACGACGGTTTTTGAAACAAGTTCATGCAGTCATTTTTTACGTTAACTGTGGTTTTTTTTTTAAATTTCTTGTGATAAAAGAGAAAAGAGAAAGACATTTTCGCGAACAATGTCTCAATGGACAATGTGTGTTGGCCGATATTGACGGGAGAGGCGACACTCGCGGTCCCTCGGACATGTCGGCTGCACACAAAACATGTGTCGATACGCGCGCTGTCAATTTTGGTTTAATTACCCAAGTTAAGGTACGAACCTGGGAATGACCTAAAGAAATTTAGCGTCAGCTTGCAAATTTTGGAACGTCTCCTTTAGGGGAGACAAAGTTAATAAAAGAAGAAAAATCGGATGTGAATTGATGGAGTTATGCTAATGATTTGGGATCATTGCAAAGATTTTACGTTTACGGTGGTTTTTTAATTTTTTTTTTGTTGTGATAAAACAGTGTTTTCTCGAATCTATTACTTTTGCACTATTTGTCTAAAATCACAAATGCCCTGATTTGATGAGTAAGAACAAGATTAGGCTTAAAAAGACACTAAAACGTTCAAAAAACGATAGGAACTATAGAAAAGTCAGAATTATATTGAATTCAATGCTAGTTTTCATTTTTTTCCGTAATGGGGCTATTCAGCGTATGCTTTTTTTCCGTTTTTTCACATCGCTGAATTGGATTTTTTGACGTAAAAAAACGGAAAACAATCATCTTTTTTCACAGCCTGAATAACCCCATAAGATCCTGACATAAACAGTACGCTTTATCGGTTTTACAGATTTTACGGCTTCTTGAAACCGTGAAAAAATTTTTTTTTTGAAATTTCGATGCGTATTGATTGATGCAGTTATGCTCTGCGCAAAAAATGATGACAAATCCTTGAAACCTTGAATACGATTCGACTGCTCAAACCACTTTTTTTGCATTTTTTTAAATTCAATCTGGAAATGTGTTCGATTTTGCAATGAACACGATGCGACTGGATTGAAAATCGGATTGTGGAAGGAGAAAAGAACATGTTGTGTCTACTTTTCCTGTTTCATCACCCTAATAAAATCACAAATTCTACAGGTGTACTATGTGTTTGATGCACAGCCACAAGAGTTGAGCGGAAGAACTCAACGGAAGAATTTTTATCTTTTTTAGAAAATGTTTTCCTGGAATGTGATCAACTGATGAAATGTATAGCAAAGTGAAGTGTGCTCATTGAAAAATAATTGTAAATTTAGCTTTTCATACAAAAAAGGGGGACACTTTCACGAAACAACTCGAATAACTTTTTTGTATGAAAAGTTAAATTTACAATTATTTTTCTATGAGCACAGTTCACTTTGCTCTACATTTCGTCAGTTGATCACATTTCATGAAAAAAATTTCTAAAAAAATTAAAAAATTCTTCCGTGAGTTCTTCCGCTCAACTCTGTCAGCCACCGGAACGAGTGAAATTCCTCGCGGATCTCAAGAATCATCAATCTTTGCGTGTGCCCTTCAATCAAATTCTCATCGAAACATGTGCCAGTTTTCCGTTTCGCTCCGGGCCAAAGGTCGCCGCAAACTCTCTCGCTTCGTGCCGCTCCTTCTCGACCTTATCATTCCGTCGATTCGAGCACGTGTCTGCCCGTGTCAAATGCCAATGAATCTTGTCGTTTTCCATCACATTCTCTTGGTTTCACCGCTAGACGCACTCACTTTTTCCGCAAAATTCCCCATTTTCTCTTCAAATATATCTGATTTTCAGCGTACTCGTCGAACATGTCATTGTCCTCGGAACGTGAGTTTAAGCTGTACTACAGATAAAAGATAAAAAAATGTTTGAAAAAGTGAAACGTGTATATTACGGGTTTCTGAAACAGATATATCAATAGGCTATTGCAATCCAAACGTTTCGAGCAATTTGAAAAGATGTAGGAAAAGATGTTCTTGAAACGTTTTTGTGGATTGTATAAATCAAGAGAATTAAAGTTCAATTAAGTACAAGTTTCGCAGAAGCCGAGTCAATTCTGGCGCCTCTGATGCAAAAGTACCTGGAGGCTCTGAACACTTCCGACTGGAAGGCCGTCGAAAACTTCTACCACGTCAATTCGGTCATGATCGAGAAGGGAAAGAGCTGCATGTTCGGAAATCAAGGTGACTCTTTGAAAAGCTTCTTGAAAATGACGAAGAACTTGTAGAAAGCGGCTTCTAAAGCCGATTTTTTGGAGTTCAATTCAAAGCGCTGTATCTCAGCGGTCGGTGGAGATATCGTAAAGTTGTCAACTGATGAAATGTGCACAGTTTCTTGATGAACATTTGATCAGTTGACACCTTTTTGCAATCTTCACCGGGCGCTGAGATGTATCAGATTTTCCATTTTTCAGCTATTGTCGATAGTTTCAAAGGGATGGGTGCGGATTTTGGAAAGTACGAAGTGCAGGTTAGTCCCTTTTTTTAAATAGTATGTTCAGGCCTCAAAACCTTTTTTCAGATCTCGAATTCTCGTTACGAAGGCGTCGGGGACTTTGTGAACATCCACACCGATTTCAGTTTTGTCACTGAGAAAGTAGGCACTCTTTAGGGCTCTCCATTAAATGCTTTTATGTGTTTTTATTGCAGCAAGGAGTCCTTTCCGGGCATTTCACCCAAATCTGGAAGAACGAGGACGGAAAGTACGCGATTGTTTACGATCAGTTCAAGATTTGAGCCTCTTTCCGGGATTAGCCAATACTGTTAATTTAAAGCGCTGTATCTTAGCTGCCGGTAGAGATATCAAAAAGTTGTCAACTGATGAAATGTACAAAATTTCTAACTGAACATTTTATCAGTTGACAACGTTTTGTTATTTACACTGACAGCTAAGATACGTCGTTTTGAAAATGATATAAAGGTGCAGAAACTGAAAAACTTCATTACAATAGTTGTTTTTTATCGAAAAATTGCACATTTTGAGTAATCGGATTAGAATGGAATCAGAAGAGGTCGGTCTGAATGCTCGCATCGCGGACAGTGACAATCTTCTCGGTGCGGACCGTTTCGTACTCGGGCAACTGTTCGATGTGCTTCGAACGGACGATCGGAACGCCGATGGAGCACGTCGCCAGGCTGCATGAGAGCAAGTCTTCGGGGCTCTGTAAAACGGGGAAAATTCATATGGACTTTTTCGTTTTTCTCATTCGATTCACTCGTTTCGTCTCCGTCAAAAGTATTTCGGAGCAGGGGTGTGCGGAAAATTTTTTTCGGAAAATTTCGGAAAATCGGTTTTTCCGAATTTTTTTTTTTCGGAAAATTTCGGAAAAATCGGAAAAATCGGAAAACTCACTTGTTCATTGGTTCAATAAAGTGTTTAAACAACGTTCTAATACAAAAAAATGCCTTATTATGATTTGAAATCACTTGAGTGGGCGGAAGCCAAGCAATGGAATATTTTTTTGCAAAAAAATTAGCCGAGAGAAGCTCTCCGGGTCCAGTGTTTTCCGATTGTCAGTGAGAATGAGACGCGCGGTTGAAAAGAGTCGCTCCGTTTCTGCAGTCGTTGCGGGAGTACAGAAAAATTTTCCGTGGAAGCTGTGAATTTTTTTTCCCCTTTAAAAAGCATACGGTGGTTTCGGACAAATTGACCTTGAATCCACACTAATTTTCCGAAAATTTTGCCGAAAATTTTCGGAAAATTTCTCGGAAAATCGGAAAATTTCGGAAAATCGAAATATTTTCCGCACACCCCTGTTTCGGAGTGAAGAAGCGGAGAGCCTAATTAGATCAGCTCGTTATAAAGAGCATTGGAGCGTGATCTATCTCATTTGGACACGGGGAAAAATGAACTATAGAAATGAAGTGTATTAAAGTAGAGGATGTGAAACTGAAAGTTATCAGAATAATCAAAACTGTTTCAAATTGTACTCTAATTTTTGACGGTGTTCTCAATAAGTATTCGTTATGATATCTTCAAAAGCCATTGTAAGTAATTTTAGTGTTTCCCAGCAATTTTCAACGAAAACAATCGCGCTCACCTCCTTCTCCGTTGTCTTCTTCGTCGTCTTTCCATTCGCCGGCGACGTCTTCTTCTTCTTCACCGACGGATTCCTCTTCTTCGAGTTGCTCCGCACCTCCGAAGCCTTTTTCGGCGCATTTCTGCGCTCGGCGAGCACCGGCGAGCCGACAGTCGACGAGGAGGAGGCCGTGAAGATCGGCTTCCCGTCTGCGCCGATTTTCAGACTTATTTCAGACATTTTTAGGAGGGTTTTTGCTATTGGCGCACTTCAAAAACGGCAAATTTCCAAGAATATCAGACTTTGTTTTTGTTTTTCGGTTTTTCCCCCTAATAACACCCGCCCAAAAACAAGACTCACTTTCTCCGATTATGATCTCCATGGGGACGGACGCTGCAAATGATGAGAGAATAAAAGTTGTTACTGTTTCAAAGACATGATTTGTTGGCGAAAGTTGAAACGCCGAACTAAATAGATTCACTATTTTCACTAAACATCTCAAAAGTTTTGGCCGTGGCCTAGGAGAATCCCTCGAAAATCCTAGGCCATCTAATCTTTTCTGCATTTTTTGCGCTCGGCGCAGGCAACAGTTTTCACGCCTGTGAGTTTGAATGAGGCGATAAGAGAGAGACAGACACAAAAAGCGCTATTAAAAATGTTCGAAATGGATGCTTACCGCGTCGAGAAACGAGCGCCGGATTCGGGTCGGACGAGTGTTCCGACGACATTTGATCTACAATTATACTTGTTTCTCAATCACCTGAAAATGTAGGCCTTTCAGGGCCAGAAAGACACGAGCAAGTGTGAAATATTTCGTAATCCCGCCGACGAAGCCCACTCCCCACACACCCCTCAATTATGCTTCAAACTACAGCGAAAAACGTTGAATTTTCCGATGAAGCTGGGCGAAAATGAGCGGGAATTCACGGAAACGTCTAGAATCGTGCAGCACTTGATTAGCATTCCCCCCGGGGTGGGTTGCGTTTTGGAACTAAACTCTCAGAGTTGATGAAGTGTAGGCGGGGAAACACAAAAAGATTACTCACCATCCTGAAGGGTGTCGCTTCGTTTTCGAGGCTCCGGATTGTGGATTACTGAAAACATTGTGGGATACGTCAAATTGTTACAAGTGAAAAACGAGTGCAAACTTTGAAACTTTTACAACTCGATGAAACATTAGAACTTTTTCAAACACCATCGAAAAACAATGAATCGCACCGAAAATGGTGGAGAAGGAAAAAGCGGTTCGAGAAACGGAAATGTGCGGAACGAGAGAGAGGCAATTTTAAAACAGAGTTGCCACGGGCCGGGCCGAAATTTTCAAAACTCCGGCCAAAGCGGGAATCCAAATTTTGAACTATTGATTAAATAAAATGTTTGTTTTTCGTAGAACTAACGAATTTTGCAAGTATCGAGCATAAAAAAGAAATGTAGTTTTCAAAAATAGTCAAAAATAGAAAAAAAATGGTAATGTCGGAGTGTCGTAGTTTTTTTTTAAATTTTGATCCCCGCAAAAAAAAAAACGAAAAAATAGATTTCCCCCAAAAATTTGAATTCGCGCCTTTTGAGCCGCGCCGACCGGGCCGGGCCAGCAAATTTTCGGCCCCGCCCGTAATTTGGCAAGTCTGTTTTAAAATGACACGACCCTCTCCTCTCCTGTCAATTTATTTTTTTTTCTCTTTTTTCCTTGGTGGTCGAATTGAATAAATGAGTTTTTATTAACGTTCCAATGTTTGCAAACAAACGTTTGTGTGAACACCTTGAAACCCTAATACATTTTTGTTTTTTTTTTGGCGGGCAAATGGAAATTTCTGTTTCAAGTTTACGGAAAAACTTTAGCAGCAATTTCTCATGCCGCTGTTTTCTTCCGAAATGAAATAGAGCACAACTCACTGCTCTCCTCCATTTCGATAATATTCTTGGCGGTCAGCATTCGTATAGAAGCCAAACGAAAATATTTGTTTTTCCGTATTATTTCTCACTTTTGCGAGCAAGAAAGAAAGAAAAAAGGAAAAGCGGACTTTTTCCTTCTTTTTATATATTTTCTTCGTGTCTGTTGTTGCGGCGGCTCTCATGGCAACCGAAGCTCCGCCCACTTTGCATTATAATCAAGGGGGCCGGGGGCACACAATATATACGAAATAAAGGAGGAAATGCGGTCGGAATCGACGGGAAAAAACAATAATGAGCGCAAACATAAGAAAAATACACATATTCATCGGTACCTCATACTAAAAATCACACAAATAAAGAAATACAGGATTGGTTGGTTGGTGCCTAGTGTTTGAGGAGGGTCTTCCACTCGGAGAAAGTCTTCGTCGGGTCCTCTTTTATTCCCTTTTCGACGTCCGCGCGCACGCGATCGTGCACCACTTCTCCGTTCGAATCGATCAATTTCAGCACCGGAATCACCACCGCTTTGTACTTTTCCGCCAGTTTTCTGCAATTTTCAACAGTTTTCGCCCAAAAAATGTCCGATTTTACACAATATTCTCGTCGCCAAACGGAATGTACGGCCAGTCGGGCAGGTTCTTCTCGTAATACTCGAGCTGATGGTCGGCCTCTTTGTCCTTTGAAACCCAGACGATTTCCAGATTCGAATCGGCCGATTTCTTGATCGCTTCGTAGAATTTCTTCAGTTTCGGCGTCAGAAACTTGCACGATCCACACCAACCGGCGGAGAAGTACACTACGACGACCTGCAAAGACAAAGACAGTTTCGAAAATGTTTCCCCTACTAAAACCAACCTTATTATCGAAATAATCCGGGGGCAAATTCCCCTCGACTCCCCGTTTTTTCATCGGAATCGACGCCAAAAAGTGGGCGCTCCGGAGGCTACCGTATCCGCCGAATACGGTATTTTTGAGCAAATTCGCGTAAATCAACGGAGGAGCCATCCGAAAAAATTATATAAATTTACCATGAAACACAGCGGTTGGGGGGCATGTATTGAGGGCGAGAACACGCAAACAATTCGAGAAAAAACGAGTACAAACACATCTTTGCAATACATTTATATGGGTTTCTACATCGAGATGAGACATATGCCTATCAAAAAAAAACGGGGAAAATCGAGAGAGAAACAAGGTGAAAAACGGGAATTTTCTACAGTTATCCTCTACAAAAGACGGGCGAAATCAAAGTCGAGTTCCGGCGAAATGGGCTCCGCGACGAGCAAATCCGGGTCGGAGAGCGATTCGGAAAAGTGCAAAAGGAATTGTTTCGCAGAGAATTCCGAGATGGCGCGTCCGTCGAAACACAGATTCACGCCCATCCTGTAAAATCAATGTTTTGCATGTTTTCGCTTTGAAACATGGAAAAGATTGTCCTGAAAAAAGCGTACAATTTCTGTGTCTCTAGCTGTCCGTTCCTGGAAATGACCTCCGTCCTGGATCCTCCGATCGTCAGGATCGCGCATTGCGGCGGATTTATGATGGCGGTGAAGTTGGACACACTTCCGAACATTCCCAGGTTTGAGATTCTGCAAGCATCGAACAAATTCACAGAATTTAGGGAAATTTTCAAAACTGACGTGAAAGAGCCGCCCTGGAACTGGTGGGGCTTCAGTTTGCTCTCCTTCGCGAGCCCGGAGAGCTCTTTGACTTTGCTCGAGATGGCGAGCACTCCGAGCACGTCCGCGTGCTCCACAATCGGAGTTATCAGTCCGGTGGGCGTGGCCACCGCCACCGAAATATCGATCGATCCGAGACGCACTATTCCCTCCTCGCTCCAGCGCACGTTTATCGACGGAACTGCCTGCGATTTTTCGACATGTTCGGTATTTTCTACGAAAAGAGCGTACTTTGAGGGCGAGGGCGGCAGCTTTGATGATGAAATCATTGAGAGAAACGGCCGTTCCGGTGGATTTCAATTTTCGGCGCAACGCGAGAATATCGTCGATTCGCACGTCGATTCCCTGGTATTCGTGGGGAATTTGTTGCTGAAAATTGGGACATTCCGGTCGAAAATGATAAAAAAGCAACTTTGGAGGCGGTTAATCGTTTGGCAATCACACTTCGGATGTTCGTCAGCGGAATGTCGTCGTAGTGGCGGAGACTGCGGTTTTTGGCGCCCAAAATGTCCGTTTTCTGGAATTTTCTTGGAATTTCAGGAAGAAAAATCGAATTTCTAGGTGTTTTACAGTTTTTTGGCTGGAAAACGGATTTTATTGAATTTTTAACGAAAATTGAGATAATTGATGGTTTTTCTGGATTTTTTGAATTATCTTGGAAAATCCGGAGTTTCAGTGGAATTTTTCGTGATTTCTATGTTTTCTCAAACTTTTCAGACACAAACCTTTTCAATACGCTTATTTTCGACCGCCGTTTCCTTTGGCGCCAGGGCCACAACTGGTACTGGCTTTAATTTTTCCGTTTCCACAATTTTCAGCACATCACTCTTCAGAATGTTCTTTTTCGGACCACTTCCGTCGATTTTCCGACCTTCGAGTCCGTATTGAATGAGCAAGAGTTTGACGGCCGGGCCGCAAAGCCTGAAATTTGGATTTTCACATTTTCTCTGTTTAATTTATCGATTTTCTTACCCCTGATGGTTGTGGGCGGCGGTGGAGAGGTGGCGTAGTGCCTGACCACTCGACAGCATGACTACCTTGAAAAAGCGGAAATTTAGAAGGAAAACGATGAGAAAAAGGATTCTTTCGATAAAAATGTGATTGAGCGGCCGCCTGGTGCAAGTGCGCTCTATCGCACTCGGCTCTTGTTTATGTTTGCTTTTTCCTTTGATTACTGCTCTATTTTTGCTTTTTTCAGCGAAAAATTGGTGGTTTTCTCATAGTTTTGCAGAATTTTTAAGAATCCGATTGTCCACGTGGAGTCCGAGAGCTTTTCGTTTCGAGACGCAACGAAAAATTCAGCTGTGCGCCTTCAAATCTACCGTCTTCTCTTTAATGCAATTTTTCATTTTTCATTGAAAGTACTCAATTTTCAGCATGTTTTCCCGGATTTTCTTCCGTTCCGCACCGAACTTCATTCGATGGACGCCCGTTCGGCTCAATTCCAATAAAATTGACCCGGCAAAAGCGAAAGCGTTCCAAGAAAAAGTGGATAAAAGTGAGTTATCTTTAAAACTCTTTAAAAATCAAGATTTTCAGTAAAAGTACGACGTGCGTATGCTCTCGGCGGCTGCCTCATGTTTATCTGGATCTCGACGCACGGAATTCTGCTGTACAGGTCTTGAAAATCTGAAATTTCGCGAAAAAACTGAACACTTTGCAGAAGACGCAGTGAACACCGCCATTTAAACGAAAAACTGCCGCCAATCTCGTGGGAAGAGTTTGAGAAAACTTATTTGGCGAATGGAGACGTAATTCGCTTTTTTCTGAGTGAAAACATGATTTTCTTATTTCTCAGGTCAAAACCATCATTTTCCAACCGCATTTCGAGGTGGCCAACGTGTATTTGAGCTCGGCGCGCGAGCAACAAATGAAGAAATCGCTTCTTGACAAGGTGGAAATCGAAAAAAGTTATCTTCTTTTGAAAAACTCCAATTTTTAGGTCCACACAACTCCGGACAAGTTTTCGCGTCCGCCAGACGTCCGATTTTATCTGGAAGCTTCTGCAGAGGTTGGTTATTGATAATTGTTAACAATGTTCCAAAAATTCGCAAATATTTGCAGGAGGTGAAGTCGCTGGTGACAGAGGCGGTGCAAAAGTACAAGCACCCGGTCGAGTACGAAGTCGATCAATTTCCGAGCTACCGCGAGCTCTCCTTCATCATCGGATCATCGCTTTTCGTTCTCGCCGCCGTTTCCCTCGCCAAATAGCTCATTTTTCACGGTTTTACTGAATTTGAATCTGCACCAGGAAGTTTGAACAAAAAAAACCTATTTTTATAAGAATCTGTGTCAAGTTTCGTGCATATAATATTGTAAAAATTCAAGAATTTCCATAATTGACCGACGTTTTCACTCGGCTCATTTGCTCGTTCATCGGAATGCCACGTCGACGGGCCTCCTGCTCGACAATCGAATTCTGCACGAGCATCATCTCGTCGAAACTGCCCTGACCCTCGATTCGGCCCCGATTCACGTACACCACCTTGTCCGCCTGTTGCATTGTCGCCAGTCTAGCAAAAAAAAAGTTTGTTTGAATTTTGAATTATTCTGAATACCTGTGTGCCACTACGAGCACCGTCAAATTGTGATTTTTGAGCAAATTGTCAAGAGTCATTCGGATTAAATAGTCGGAAGTGGCATCCAGGGCGCTCGTCGCCTCGTCCAGAATCAGAATCTTCGGCTTGGAAATGAGTGCGCGCGCGATTGCGATTCGCTGTTTTTGGCCTCCGGACAGTTTGCAACCGTGCTCGCCGACCTGCAAAAAACGGAGACATTTTCAAAACAGTTTCATGGAAAACATTCTCCTCACCATTGTGTCAAACCCGTTCTCGAATCCCTGAATGAAATCGAGCGCGTTGGCGAGCTGTGCGGCCTCCTCCAGATCAAACTGGCTGACTTTCGTCGGCTCTTTCGCGCCCATCAGAATGTTTTCCCTGATGGAGCACGTGAACAGCACGGGCTCCTGTCCGACCGTCCCGATTGCACGCCGCCACGCCGTCGCGTTCATCTCCCTCAGATCGACCCCGTCTACAGTAATCCGCCCCTCGGCCGGGTCGTACAACCTGAGCATCAGACTGGCGATCGAGCTCTTTCCGGAGCCGGACGGCCCGATGACCGCCGTGATCTTGCCACGTGGAATGTCGAACGAAATGTTCTCGAGTGTTCGTTTGCGGCCGGCGTACGCGAACGAGACGTTCTCAAAGTGGATGGCGTCGCGGATCTCGGTCTTCTCGATTCCCGACGTCAAATTCATCGAGGGCTGCGCGTTTTTGAGCTCTAGAAGGCGGGAACTCGCGCCGAGACCCTTCATCACTTCGTTGTAGAATCCGGAAATGTTCGAAAGACTCGCGGCGGCAAGCACTGCGTACAGACAGAACGAGGAGAGCTCTCCTGGAATCGGGTCATTATCACTTTTGCGAGTTTCTAGTACCATAAGTGATCTGTCCCTCGTTTATCAAATGACTACCGTAGAAGAGAATCGACGAAAACGCCGAGTAGCCGGTGAATTGGAACTGAAACGCTCAACTTTTCCGATCAATGAAAACCCAAACTTTGCTAGATGTTTCGGCAAAGTTTCAGCCCGAACGGATCATCTGATCTAGGCTGTTCGGCTCAAAGATCAGACAATCCATTCGGCCTGAAACTTGGGCACAAGATACTCCGCGCCAAGACTAAACGGCCTGCAAAGTGTGTACTTACAGATCCAATGAGACTTCCTTTCGCGAGTGCTTCCGTCTGCGAAATGTCCAGAATCGTCTCTCCTTTCTTCACGTACTCGTCGATTGATTGCTGCTCGGCACTGAGCATTCGCACCGTTTTCATGTTGGCCATTCGTTCGAACGCCGTCTACAACACATACTATTTTCATTTTCAACGGAAAAGTTGTTTTCACCCAAAAATGTTCTGAAACAACCCAGAGTCACCTGATTCACATCGGCTACAACTTCCTGCAACTGCCACGTGCACTGCTGCTGCACTCTTCCGAACATTTTGAAGATGGTGATGACGATCGGCGCGGTGAGAAAGGAGACGGTCGACAATTCGAGCGACGTCATCAGCATCATTCCGACGGATCCGAAGCCGACGAGCACGGCACGGACTCCGGCGCGCAGCGAAGTGGAGACCGAGTAGCCGACGATGATCGTGTCCGCCGAATGACGCGATCCGATCTCGCCCACCTAAATTTAGCAGAGAAAATTCGAGAGTCCTCGGCACTTTAGGAGAAATGTACCACATTTTTGTCGAAAAACGACATATCCTGTCGAATGACAGAGCTGTAGACGGCTTTTCGAAGTGCTCCCACAATATTGAGACCTGCAAACTGTTTTGCTATTAAAAAATAAGGGTACTGAGAGGCGTTTTCTAAATTCAACAAAACTATTGCATTTTTCAATAGTTTCAGCGATTTGTATTCACCGGCAATCTGAAGGCAATAAACCTTTGCGGCAGTGGCGAGTGCTCCAGTGGCCAAAAGTCCCACCAATGCAATCGGGTGCTCTTTGAAGAACTTTGCGATCCGCATAGTGATTTCCTGGCTCGCCTGGTCTCCGTGGTTTCCGTATTCATCGATCAGTTTTCCGAGAATTCGCGGAATTATCAGGAAGATTCCACTCGAAAGCACCATGAAACTGGTGCCCACTGCAAACAATTACAAGTTTTTCGGGTAGAAATTGAAAATTTTCGAAAACTAACGGAAAATCCAAGTTTTGTGCGGTCTCGCTATTTCGTACAATTCCATCAGATCTTTCCATGTCGTGTGGCGCAAGAGATAGGCCGCATTTCGGCGTTCTGCTCGTTTTAACTAAAAATTCGGATTTAGCCCCATTGGGATCAGGCATTTTTGGGTTTTTTTTTTGCTTTTCTACATTTTTGAGGCATTTTTCTGATTTTTTCAAAGATTTTGCGATAATTTTTTAGAATGCGTGCTTCCGGACACGCACATTCTGATTCAGCTTGATATTCTTCACTTTCGACGTCAAATCCCTTCGGAGCACTCGAATTGCTGTCGTTTTCGACTGGAGCAGCAGTCGATGCGTGGAGGTGGGCAGTTGGGAGCAAAGAGTGCTACGGAGTGCACAAAAGCACTGCATTTTCTGTAAATTTCCATCTTCTTCCCGCGTTTTTCCGGCGAAAAAGGAGTGTTTGTCGAAAAAAAGAAAACAACGACACTCCGAAATAACGGACGAACAATGCAAGTGCGCTCTATTGAGAAAAGATTAAAAATGCTAGAATTCTGCTGAAAATTGACTGAAAAACCGGAAAACTGAATTGAATTCGGCGGAAAATCGAAGAAGTTTGCAGAAAAATTGAAAATTGTGAAAATTAAACCGGAATTTTCAAGGTCTTCAGCAAATAATCAGCAAAGTATCGAGAAAACTTGAAAGTTTAAAAATTTCGTACAAAAATGCGAGTCGTCAGTCGCTCTTTATACCCAGACGCCACACACGCACTTCGGGCGGTCTCCTGACGTCTGCGTCTCCTCGCCTCTCGCTCCCACTCGCGCTTTTCACCCACTTGTTGTTTTTGTGCTCTGTGAGCTCTCAAAAAGCGAGTACTCGGGCAGAGAACGATCAGAATCTTCTCTCGTGTTGATGATAATCAATGATCAGTGATTGGAGCAGAAGGTTCAACCAAAAACCATAGAACACAAATAATTTATCGGAAAAAGACGTGGAAAAAAAGTACAGATCTGGAAAATAGCGAAAGAAAAAAGGGGAAAATGTCATGGAATGAGGATAATGATAAGCGTCGATTAAACGGAAAGAGATGTGCAATAGATGAAACGGAAAAAAAACGTCTTGAAAGATGTCAATGAGTCGGATCGTAATAGTCGGGATCTGCGGATTTGGATGAAGAAGGCCGGCCGGAAACTTGGTCAGTCGTGTCTGGAATTACAGTTTGTTGTACATGCGAGCTTTATAGAACCCAACAAGACTCACAAGTGCACGTGTTGGCGAGGAAAACGGCTTTGAACGAGGGCTGCAGAACGTTGTAATCGATTTGTTTGTGAAATAGCATGCATCCGCGCGTGCTCGCAATCCAATTCACGCCCAGACACTTCTCGCGACGACGCACGTGCGACCACGAACATTCCGATTCGCAGCTTTCTGAAAGTATTCGCTTTTTTTCACTTTTTGTACATGGATCATCCAACACTGACCCAAATCCGCGAGTCCTCCGACTATTGTCGCGTCGAAAGAGTTGTAGATGGAGTTGTTGTACAGCCGATAACACTCTTTCTTCGTGGAAACACCCACTGACGACTCTGCAACACGTACTTCTACCCCCCTCCAGCTATTTCACACGTTTTCCCCTACCAGTTGTGGTGGTGCCACGTGGCTGACACGTGTTCTCAAAATAATCGAAATCGCGAGAAGCGATGAGCGTCTCGCCGCCGTTCAAATGCAAATTTCCGCCGCTCAGCACACAAATCTGCAAGAGAACCCACTCGATTTTTGCTAATTTCTACTTGTCACGGCGAGCAAAAGTGTAGAGAAGGGGCGTGGCCTAATCTGAGACGCGTTTTCTGAAAATTGCCGCAATTCCAGCACTTTTCCGCTGTTTTTGTGTTTGATATCGACGAAAGAAGAAAGCACATTAAAGAGAGAAAACATTGAAATTTTCGTGAAAACGCCGCGTTTGAGACGTTTTTCGCATATTTCGCAATTCGGAATTTTCATACCGGCCGATGTGGATAGTTTTGAGACGAAGTGAGTGTCGGAAGTGATTAAGCACGTTAATACAAGTATTTTAAGCGTTCAAACGGCAAAAAGTATCGGCGAATGACTGAAATTCGTGCATTTTCAGCACAAAACTTAAAAATCGATTCAATCGATTCATTTCTGAATGAAATCGGCTCGTTTTAAGCTCCAAAAGTGCGCGTTGATTAATTTTAAAAAAGCTATGCAATTACATCGTCAAAATCGTACAAAATTTGGGTAATTTTTGACGAAAAACATGAAAAATGGCGTTAAATTTCGAATTTCGCGCCAAAATGGTGATAAACCGTGCACGCTAGGCCACGCCCCTTTCTACGTTTTTGGTCGCCGTGATATATATATTTGACAGACCTTCAAACTAAAGCTATAGTTGATGCTGGCACAGTAGAACTGTGAAATGAGCGAACATTGACGCATGCACGTCTCCAAAGTGACGCCCGCGATTCGCGACTCTTCGAATTTGACGAGCACGTGGTTGGAGGTCTTCAGGAAGCAAATAGCTGCAATCCGACAGATTTCATGTTGAGACTGCCAGAACATTGTACAAATGAACGATTTGCTCTGGAGATGACGTCGCTTTCGTAGATGAACGGAAACAGTCTTACCGTTTCAGAACAGTGTCATAAGACAAGTCAAAACGATGTTAGGTGCTGGTTTCTATCTCGTCGTTTTCGTTTTCACATTTCTAATCTGACATGCTTTTAACTTTATAAAAGTTCCTAATAGCACGGTCTCCCTCGGCGCGAATGATTTCATTGGGGCGCACTTGCAACAGGCGGGCTGTGTCGATTTACGCGGCGGCCGATTAATTAATTTTCAACGGGCGTTCGCGTTCTTTCCATGTTTTCTATACAATACAGCTATTTTTTTGTGCGCCTGGAACCTGGATTTGAATAATTAGAGCACTAGCTACGTTTTGATAGCAGAAATCTGGCATATCGTTGAGAATTAGCCGAGTTATTTCGATTTGAAGGTTTTGGCCTGGATTTTGATGTTTTTCTAATAAGTTTCGAAAACTGCTTAAGAAAACCAACCGCCGGAACCTGAATATTGTGAAGAAAAATTCAGCGAACATTTTTATCGTTCGTTGGGCTCATGAAATGCAAAATGAGCTGAAATATAAAGGTTTGAAGTTTCGACAAAATGCGAAAAAGACGCTAAAACATGAAAAACTCTAAATTCTGTAAAAAAACAGTTTCCAATCAGTAAAATATTGTTTTCTAGACGTTTTTTAAGTCAAAAGAAAAGAATTAAAGGTCGTTAACTCGAATTGAACTGCATTTTTCAAAAATTACAACGACACTCCGCAATTTACGAGCGCACTGTGTTTAGCATTAGCGCCCCCTGGGAGACCGTGAATAGTACTGAAAACAGGATAACACCAATATCCGTCAAGTTTTCTTGTCCTTGACTGATACATCTCTTCTAGAAGCTTCAAAGAAGAAAAAAAGAGTACTTACCCAAATTCTCGCTACCTTTCTCGCTCCTCTGCCGTCTTTCCTTGATCGCGAGGGCATCCGCTTGTTGCGGTTGCACTGCCGACACGACAGATGACGTGGAATCCACGAGGGGGCGAGGCGACAGGAACACTTTTGCATTCTGAAACATCTTTCTGCTGTCTCACACGATTCTCTTGTTTGTAGGACATGAAAAACTGAAAAACTGACTCGATTCCGCTTGTTGGGCGGCAGCGATGGTTCCGCGTAGACCGTCTTCTGCAATATTTCATTGAAGTTTTGCTCGGAATGCTCAAAAATGCTCACACTGAAGATGACGTTCTCTTTTTTCGGGTCCAACGGGAATTGCTTCACCGCGTGCACTCGTCTGCAACATTTTCAGAGTCAGAACGCTAATAATTCAGCTTTTCGCTAATGTCGCGTCCAAAGTCTCGGAAAACCCGCAAATCTCGTGGATTTTGCAGTCCAAAGTCCGCAGAAATTTGCGGGAAATCCGGGGTGCGCACAGCTGAACGAGTGTTACCGTACACCATAAAACTACGGTATTTTTTTGAAAATTTACCGAAGAAATTTGAAAAAAATTTCAAATATTATCGAGAAATTAAAAATTTTTTTCAAAAAAAATACCGTTGAAAAATTTACCCAAGAAATTTGAAATTTTTTTCAAATATTGTCGAGAAATTTAAATTTTTTTCAAAAAAAATACCGTTGAAAATTTACCGAAGAAATTTGAAAAAAATTAAAATTTCTCGAGAATATTTGAAATTTTTTTCAAAAAAATTTTTTTGAAAATTTACCGAAGAAATTTGAAAAAAATTTAAATTTCTTGAGAATATTTGAAATTTTTTTCATAAAAATTTTTTTGAAAAATTTACTCAAGAAATTTGAAAAAAATATCAAATATTATCGAGAAATTTAAATTTTTTTCAAAAAAAATACCGTAGTTTTATGGTGTACGGTAACACTCGTTCAGCTGTGCGCACCCCGGATTTCCCGCAAATTTCTGCCGACTTTGGAGTGCAAAATCAGCGAGATTTGCGGTGTTTATTTTAACCCCCACTATTATCAATCAAAAAGTGTCGAACCTGAGCTCGTTGGTAGTCGGAATCGCCGGAACACTGCTTGTGAGCACAATCGGGGCACTCGTGGTCGTGTTGCCCGTCAGAACGATGCTATTAGCACTGAAAGCGGCGGTGCGGAGCCCCGGAGCAGCCGTCGTTCTGATTTGTTCGGTGAACACGGCGAGACGGACTGTCTCGTTCTCGGCACTCGCGCATTTGTTCTCGTACATGCCGATCTGCAGTCCTTTCGACTTTCTGCAATAACATTTGTGCGTGTGCCTCGACTTTTGCGCGGAAAAACTCACTTGACGGGTCGTTCGTGTCTCGCGTACTTTGAGAGAACACAGTTTTGCGTGTTCACATTGTACATGACCGTCTTGCACTTGATTTTGTGGTTCAACGGCGCCTGAATGCACCGCCGCAGACACTCGTTCACGTCGTCAATGTTTTCGATGAGCACATTGCCCGACTTTTCCAAAAACTCATTGCTGTGCAGTAGGAAGCACGAGAAGACGTCTTTTGAGCGGTACAAGGAGTGTGACGGTCTGGAATGGAACGATGGAAACTTGTTATCAATGCTTATGATGAGCCAGCTGATAATTTTAAAATCTCCATAAAACCGGCAGATTTTTCTAGATCGCTTTCTGGAAATGCACTTCAACAGCATTTTCTCACAGTTTCATCACTACGATATTACACTATTCTTTCCTTTGGTTCATTTTGATCAACTAGAAATGGATTTTAAGGACCAAACTTTGAGGAACCGTTCAGGACCATGTCTCAACTCCATGGGATTTGGAGCTTGTAATAGTGAGACGAATACGACACTATAACTTGAGAATGAAACGGTTTCGTGCAAAATGATCAATTACAAAGTTGTTCAGCATGAAATTTCCAACGATTTTGTAGTTGACAACTATTTGAAATGAACAATAGTTCTTGAGATATAGAGATTTAAAGGTGGCCGACTTGAAATTCACTTCCAATTTAGTGTGTAACCCGAAAACCGTTTCGTCTCCCTGCCCAATCCTCTAAAAATCGCCGCTTTCCGCGCTGATCTCATCTCCAAATTGCTTCCTTTCGCCCGCTGTAAACGCGGGGTGACGCAACCGTAAATTTGCTGCCAAAAAAAAGGGAAACAAGTGAAAAGAGGAACGTCTTTTTTGAATCTTTTGGCGACGTTGTACTTTTTGAAAAGTGTCCGGTTGCGAAACGACTTCGGAAAGGTCAGAAAGAGCGTCAATGAAACATTGATAAAGTGAAACGGAAACTTATTCTAACAAGCAGCTGTAGAATAATCAATAAAACGGTTGCGAAACGTCCTATTTTCTTTACCTAGTGTTTTTCCAAGTGAAAAGAAAGTGGAGAAGCACTTTTTTCCGCTGTTTCTCTTTCGCCTAATGACCACCACTAGACCTCACAAAAGTACGAATGGAGAGCGGATTTACAACTACTTTATGACTATTTTATGAGCGATTTCGAGTAGTGAGAAGGAGGAGGAGGAGGAAGGCTTCTAGAAACGGAAGAGACAATCAACATCAACAAGTTCTTGTTCCATCTAAATGAATGAAGGAATGAAAAGGAATAATGATGATGAATCGGGTAGGTTGATAAGCATGGAATGGCATAAAACTAGGGACGGTCATGCAAAAACAGCTGCATTCGATCAAGCCTAAGCCTAAGCCTAAAAAGTTGAAGCTCTAGGAATGCACGACGTTTACTATTAGTCAGTCTTTGAAAAACGCTCGAAAAAAGGCAAGAGTTAGTGAAACAGTAGGACACAAAAAACCTGATAAACTAACCGAAAAAGTGATGCGAAAATGGAAAAGAGTGCGAATATCAGCATGTTCTTCGTTCTCTGCAGAAGCAGCAGCAGATTGTCACTTTCCACCACTGGCAATGGACTGCCCCAAAGAGAGAGAGAGAGAGAGAGAGAGAGAGAGAGAGAGAGAAAGACTGTCCGTCATTTCTAGTTTTTTCCTCTTTTTCTCCAAATCTCTTTTCTCCATTACTTTCCCACCGATTACGTAATTCATGTTCGTTTCGCCCTTTTTCGTAAGCCGCTTCTCCTAATTTTCAAGGCTCCGCCCCTTTTTGCCAATGTTCCAGGTCGGAATGAGACTTGCATGGCTTTGTAAAGAAGGCGATATTACAGTCCAGCAGAACACATACAGAGAGAGAGAGAGAGAGAGAGAGAGAGAGAGAGAGAGAGAGAGAGAGAGAGAGAAAGATTAGATTGAAATCAAACACACCGTATTTACACACACAAGGCGCGACGACATCTAGCCCATCTTTGGCGGGCGAACTGAAGGGGACCGGATGGAACTTTTGCGACGAGTTGAACGTGAACGGTTTGTTAAAGGGCCAGGGAACGCTCTTATTGCCACATTCACTGTCCGAGCCCCCCAGCGCTTACAGTCAAAGTTGTGGCCGTGGCCCAGAAAAGTTCTAGGCCTTGTGATCTTTTTCGCATTTTTTTTTCGGCACAATCTTCATACCTTGCAAAACATTCACACAAATCAGCATCCATACATAATAGTGCAAGAGCATCAAACTGCTCACAGGGAAGAGTTTTCACACCGGAGTTTCCTAGGCCACGGCCACAACTTCAACTGCACGCCGTTTCGTTCATTGGCATTTCACCAAAAAAATTTCACGAAAAAATCAAAAAATTTGAGGGGTTACCGGAGATGCTTAAAACAACGTTCTAGAAGATCATTCTGTCCCGAAAAAATGTTTGCGTGTGCTGATAAAACCGACAATTCACAAGCCCTTTATTATTGCTGTTTAGTCATATATATTATATTCGCAAATTCAATTCGTTTGAATGATAGTGGCAAAAGATAGGAAAAAAGGGAGAGTGCACACACACGCACACACACGAACAGAGCGTTTTCAGCCGAAAAGTTCGTTGGCACGTCTTCTGAATCGGTTCTCGTAGATGACGGACGCCGCCGAATCGTCGGCGTAGTCGAGCGGCATCGAACGCTTTCCTGAGAGCAAACTCGTTGACATTTTCTACTAAATTTCAAGCACTTTTGACAAGTGCCTGTGTCCAATGTAATCATGATCCCCCCCCGCCCTTTCCCTTCTGAAATCCAATCTCGAAAATCTCGAATTTCTTTCACTTTTGAATCACTTTTGGTGTGAAAATGGCTACATCATCATACTTTCAATTTAGGGGGGGCATTTCTCACCGAAAAGTTCGCGTCCTCTTCGCTTGTTGAACATGTTGGCTCTTTTGAGAAGACGTCTCGCGCCGTCCATCGAATCCACTGCAATTAAGAGTTAGAGAAGTGTCGGTTTCGATCGAGAAAAAAAAATCCCAAAAATGAAAGGGAACGATTTTGATGACCGATTCTATGATTTCCGTGATCAATAGCCATTAGACAGTACGCATTTGCCTGACGAATAGACGCCGAGAAACAGAAAAAAAGGTGTCATTTCATGTTGTTCGTGTCAAAAACAATAGAAAATTGGATGGACTGTTTCATAATGTGCACATCAATCGGAGCACTATTCAAGAGAACATTTTGTGATGTATTTCTTTACAGCATGTTAAAGTGAGATTCGTTCACACACACAGAGTTCAGTTTCAAAACGTGCACATTATAAAACAGAAAAAAATTTGATTTCGATAACTCCTTTTCTGTTGTCGAATTATATATGAAGTTTGTTCCATTTCTACTGGCTAAACTTGCTGACAATTACTAGTTTTACAATCCTGAGACTGCTTTCGAAGGGAAGGATGATATTATTGCAATCGTTTTCACATTTACCTTATGCCAACACTGAAACTGTAGTTCAGTTCCAAAAACAGCACAAAACGATGAGCTATTCTCAATTTGTCCCCCCCCCCGTTCCAAAAATAATCATTGTTATCGGCAAATATTGTCGCTTTGCCCCTCTCTCGTTTCTCACATTGATTCATGCGATACGCTCTCAAATTCAGCGTCGGTTCCTCTTCTTCGAACCAGAGCGGCGAGACAGCGACAGCGATCGAACACAGGGCTGAAAATGGAGAAATGGGGTGGAATTATTCAGGAGAGCAGACGATGGATAATAACCGGTTTGTTCTATGATTCATTCGCGGTCTCGCCGTGGAAATTAGTTTGGCGCAGATTATTCAAAGCCCTGTATCTCGGCGGGCGGTCGAGATTTTTTCAAAATTTTTCATAATTTAGAGCCTAATCACACTGTGAAGTCAACTGAAAGAGCGGACTACAAGGATTAGGTGATCAACAACAGAAACCTCAATCAACTGAGACTCGCCGATGACATTGTTCTTGTTCCAAGTTCGATTCGAAATGAAGTTTGATTCAGTTTCAAAAAGTTCATAGAAGGTTGATTGATAATATTACAAACTCATTTCCGCACCCTTTATCACGATCGAAACAAAAATTCTGATCAAACCGAGAAGTCGAAACGAGAAGTCGAAACGTGTTCCGCCGGCGCCAGGGCCACCTTTATGACCGCCGTGGCGCGCGTGCGGCTCTCGGCCTGCTTAGTATAGTGGTTAGTACTCCACGTTGTGGCCGTGGCGACGCTGGTTCGATTCCAGCAGCAGGCATTTTTGCATTTGCACTCACCGAAAAGCAAAATAAGCGTCGAGTAGTTCATTTTGAGAGCTCACACAGGAGGCACACACCAGTTGGATCGGGGTGCGCGAAAGTGAGAAACGTCTGGATTTGAGCCCGTTTCGAGAGTGTCGCACACGGCGCCGCCCCCCTATCACATTTCCACGATTCTTTCCAGAGCGATACGCCCATTTTGATGAGAAGAGGGGGAGCCTGGAGCAGGAGCGGCGGGGTGACGAAATAATTAGGGGGGCAATGGGGGGCGACGATGGACGGGAAAAGTATCGGTTACCGGGGAGAAAGATGGACGTGCGATGGAAAGAACGATCGAAACGTCATCCGAGACGTGTTGATGAGCGGAAGAACGTCATCTCAAAGTGGATTGGCAAAATTATTGCGAGTGGGTGGACGGATGAACACTATGATGTTGGTAACGAATAAACGAATTCGACTATGTTACAAAATGATTAATGGAGCGTGAAGCGGAAACATTTTGCCGCTCGAATTGTGCAAGCAAAGTACTAGCCGGACAATATCGAAACTGTTCTAATCACAGCAAAAAATGACCTAAAAATGAGAGGACCCGTTTTTTTTTGTTAAAATCGTTCGAAAGTATAAAGTGAGCCGAGTGATTTCCCTGTTTCAACAACACTCCACGTTGCCGTGAAAACCTCACGTCTAAAAGATGCGACAATGCAAAAAAAACGTGCATATCCACTCATTTCTCATTGTTTTCTACCGCAATTACATTCGTCTCATCGTATCATTTTTCTGTACACTTACCAGCTAACAATCGGTGAGCGATGCGCCAGTCACACTTTCGCCTTTCGTTTAAAAACAAATGCGCTTTTGTTAACAATGGTAGTTTGTCCCTTTGTTTTACTATCGATGCACCATGGGCAAGCAGATAGTCAAATCAAATCGATATATCTCAGCGCCCGGTGGTGATATCAAAAAGTTGTCAACTGACAAAATGTTCACTAGGAAATTGTGCACATTTCATCAATTGACAACGTTTCGCCATCTCTACCGGCAGCTGAGATATAATCAATATTGGAGTCACGACCCGTGTTTGCCGATTTTCCGATTTTCCCATGCCAAACCTGATCTGATTGCCCGTATAAATTCCCTCCTGATATTTGATATCTCTCTTCATTTCTATACGTCTTTTTCTCTCTATTTGAATAGTTCTTTCCGCCGAAACAATTGACGACATGCCCATTCTCTCAGGTTGTTTCCGTGTCCGTTTCGCGGCGGATTTAGAGCTAAAATTCGCTGTTTTATCACTATTTTATGAAAAAACACTGAAATTTGCTCAGTTTCGAGCATTCCATTTCGAAAATCAACTTTCAGAAGTTTTGTCAAGTCCAATATTGACGCAACAATATTATAATTGTCAGTTTCAAGAATTTGCTTTATGTTTGAGACTTAACACAAATGTGATCTTTCGCTTTTTTTTATTTCTTGATAAGAACTCACAATCTTTTCGTTTTTCGCTTGGATAATAGAGGCGAGTCCTCTCAGAAAACACTTTAATTGTGTCAATTGTCCATGTTTTCAGTAAACAATATCGAAAATGTCATCAACATCCGCGTCAAGTGAAGAAGGATCTCTCGACTGGGAAAAGATGATCTGGGCGGTCGTCTCGGTGACTGTCGTCTCGTTGCTCTCGCTCGGCGGCGCCGTCATCGGACCGCTTTTCGCCTCCGACACCAAGCACAGGTAGCCTTTTTTCCAAACTACTGTAGTTGTCGCGAGTTTTCTAGGCTAAAACTGAACATTTCGGTAAATTTACAACAAAAAACACACTCTGCTAAGTGGCTTTCTAGACTTTTATCAGCTAAACTTTCTATGAAATAGTATCGTTATCTGGGTCTGAAACAGAGTTGAGCGGAAGAACTCACGGAAGAATTTTTATCTTTTTTAGAACATTTTATTATGAAATGTGATCAACTGACGAAATGTATAGCAACGTGAACTGTGCTCATAGAAAAATAATTGTAAATTTAGCTTTTCATACAAAAAAGTTATTCGAGTTGTTCCGTGAAAAAAGGGGGCTAACGGAAGACGGAAGCAATAACTTTTTTGTATGAAAAGCTAAATTTCCAATTATTTTTCTATGGGTACAGTTCACTTTGCTATACATTTCGTCAGTTGATCACATTCCATTAAAAAATTTTCAAAAAAAGATAAAAATTCTTCCGTGAGTTCTTCCGCTCAACTCTGGTCTGAAACTGTCAACGTTTGCAGATGGCTCCACTTTTTTCTCGCAATGGCAGTCTCCACACTCAGCTCCGACGCCATTCTGCACATTATTCCGGAGGTTTGTACACTTTTTATTCGACGTGGCAACTGGGAACATTCGACTGATTCTCAATTATTAAGAGGAGCTTTGGTACAGTAAGACGGGTGACAGAAACACAAATTAGTATCAAATTAATAATCTTGCTTCGCAGCTAAAGAGACCACGCCCCTTTGTGCAAGCGCCGCACATGCCATGTCAATTAATTATTTTTTCTTTGAAAATACACAAATTAATGCGTGCTTTCGAGTGTTTTTTTAGAGAATTCGCTTTGCAAACCGACTTTAATTTGTGTATTTTCCAAGAAAAATGTTCAATTGAGATGGCATGTGCGGCACTTGCACATAGGGGCGTGGTCTCTTCAGCTGCGAAGCGGTCGCGTTGCGGCGGCGAACCGGAGCCAAGATTATTAATTTGCTAGTCCGTCCATGTGTTAACTGATCACACGTTTGAAAAGCATTCATTATGAGAACGTGTTGAAACTGTGATTCTCAAAGTGATGTCAGTTCTACATAGAAGTAGTTTTATTGAATTATTGCGTTTTGTACCTTCAGGTCATTGGAGTGCATAACCATTCACATTCGGAACATGGCAAATCGAATGGAACGGCACAGGTACGGTTGGGAAACGGGTTACGGTAACAGTCACTTTGAAGTTTTGTTTTAGGACCACGGACATTCTCATGAACATGAACATGGGCATGGAAACGAGCATAAAGATGAAGAGACTACGGTAGGAGAGTTACTGTATCAAGTTGATCAACTTTGTTGTTTACAGTTACAATGCGTGTACAAAAATCCGTTAACCGTTTTTTTTTCAGTGGACCACAATAACTCCCGCTCGTAAATCGCTTCTACATCTCTCGGTCATTGTGCTCACAATCTACGTGCTCTATTTCATTGAATTTTTCATGTTTTACAGAAAAACGCATTTGGTACGCGTTTCCCTTTGTTCCATCCATACTCTATTCTCTCTATTCAACACTTTAGCACTATTGTACATCTCCGACCATCTCCTCGCCAATCTCTCACCACTATCCGCCCATGGAGACCACTGCTTCTTCTTCTTCTTCCTCTTCTTCTTCTGCTTCTTCTTGTTCTGTCACTCAAATTGAGGAAAAAGAGGGAGAAGAGAACAATAATGATGGAGAGACGGAGAGAAGAAGGAAGAAGAAGAGAGAGAAAGCCGGACACGAACTGATCAATTTGAGAGAGTCGGAGCAGGATGGAGCGGAGATTTGTGGCCTTAAGGTGAGTGAATACAGTATTCCATGGTAGAGTCAATCAAAAACTGCTGTTTTGTTTCCAGCCCCGCGCCCTCATCATCCTGTTCGGCGACGGATTGCACAATCTCGTCGACGGCATCGCAATCGGCGTCTCTTTTGTTCTCTCGCTCAAACTCGGCTTCATGACGACGATCGCGGTGGTGTGCCACGAGCTTCCGCACGAGATTGGCGACCTGGCGGTGCTCGTCGACTCGGGACTGTCCATGTGCACCGCGCTGCTGCTCAATCTTCTCTCCGCACTCACCGCCTACATTGGACTGTTCGTCTCGTTCGTTTTGGGAGACAATCCCGAAGTTGTGAAGGTGTTACTCGCGCTCACCGCTGGAATGTTCCTATATGTTGCCTGGGTTGATATGGTGAGTCGGACTTTGAAGCCCGGACCAGGGGTGTGCGGAAAATTTTTTTCGGAAAATTCCGGAAAATCGGTTTTTCCGAATTTTTTTTTTCGGAAAATTTCGGAAAATCGGGTTTTCCGAATTTTTTTTTCGGAAAATTTCGGAAAAATCGGAAAACTCACTTGTTCATTGGTTCAATAAAGTGTTTAAACAAACACGCTTTCTCACCGTTTTTCCGCCCAGTTAAATATACGTCCCACTTTCCCATTACGTCAGCTTTTCTGAAAAAACAACACAAATCGCAACAATCGGTTCATTAGAATGAGAAAAACGAAAGAAATTGCGTAAAATTTAAAAATCAAATTTAAAAAGACGCTCGCTGCTAGACCCTTCCAAAAATTTTGTGATGCGCCTTTAAAAAGCATACGGTGGTTTCGGACAAATTGACCTTGAATCCACACTAATTTTCCGAAAATTTCTCGGAAAATCGGAAAATTTCGGAAAATTTCGGAAAATCGAAATATTTTCCGCACACCCCTGGCCCGGACCCTAAAATGTTGCAGTTGTCGCATCTGAAACATGACTCCCTGATGGCCGACCACTGGATCATCACCTCGATCCTTCAATTGTCGGGTTTCACGCTCGGATTCGTGCTCATATTCACGCTCGGATGGTTCGAACACGTTTTGGAGTTGTAGCATTCAAATATTCATACGATAATACTCGGGTACTTGTCTGTACATACATTGGTAAATAAACCCCAACTCAATTCGTTCTCAAATAAGTGCCCGCCGCAACGAACTCTATTCCGCCCTCGACGAGCACGGCGACAATCTCGAACGTTTCAGAGTCGACTAGCGTTGCTTTCGCCTTGTTGTTGCGGTCCACTTTGAACGGACAAAAGTAGAGGGTGTACTTGGAACAGATGACGAAGTAGACGAGCAAAAGGATGAGCGAGAAGAGGGAGACGAAGAGTGAAGGCGTCAGAATGAGCAGCGAGCACTGGCGCGCGGGCACGAAGAGCACGAAGAGCAGGCATTTGAGGCCGAGCGTCGAGAGCGTCACTGTGCTGGAATTATAGAACATTCGTGATTCATGATAGGGGTATAGGCAAAGTTCATTGGAAGTGACCTTTTAGTAACCCTAGAAACCGCGTCAAAAGACAATTCATGTGCACACTGGAACAGTAGTGTCGGTGCTCACCTAATCGCCATCATCTCGAACACCAATCCGATGCCGAACACTCGCAGGACACTCCAAGCGCCGGCAGTTGTCATGAGAACCCATGGAAGTAGGGGCTCGGCGGAGCATTCGCCGGAAACACGAAAGAAGAGGAAGAGGAGCAGGAGCACGGAGAGGTGCTCGAGCAGGAACGGAGCCCACGGAACGGGACGCGTCGGCGGAGTGGAAAGAGCTGGAAACTGACAATAGTTGGAAAGAGATGGAAGAATCGGAGGACCTTTGAGTCTCAATCGTCTCGCCTGTTCTCTCTTGAACTCTTTCTCGTTGAAGAAACAACCTTTGTCCATTCTCGATCTGAAAATGTACACAGTATACTTGGTAGGCCTAGGGTTTGGCGGTCCCAATCTCCGCTGGCGTTGGAGATATCAAAAGGTTGTCAACTAATGAAATGTACACAATGTTTTAATGAGTATTTTGTTAGTTGACTACTTTTTAAAATCTCTACAGCCAGCTGAGATACACCATCTGGAATTAACGGGAAACGGTAGGGCGCACGAATGTTTGGAAGGAGCACAAAATAAGACTCTCACGGCGCCGTTCCTCACTTGGAATGAAATGAATGATGTGGTTGGAAGCAATGCATTCCGTTTTCGCCTATTCAACACAATTCTGACTCATTTTTCTCTCATTCTTCAAAGAAAAGAGACCATTCCTTTTGCAATGCACTTTATGGCTAAAATATGATTCAAATGCTTCGAGGTAGGACATGCGATGGGAATTGATTATGAAATAGGAATAAAAAAACAAAAAAATACTGATTATTTTATTATTATTATTATTACTATTATTATTATTTATTAAAAAAATGCCGTGTACCCTTGACCGTCAAGGGATCCTGCCAATTTTAAAAAAATGCTCTGTACCCTTGACCGTCAAGGGTTTATGCCAATTTTTAAAAATTGCCGCGTACAAATTTAGGGCCAAAATGTGCATTTTTATTGGTTTTAAGAGGATTTTTTTGTGCACGCTTTCCGTGTATGAAGTCACCTAGTCGTGGCATTTCTTGTGGTTCTCTCCATTGCTTGTGCTTGTGTCCTTTGACATAAAAACCGGCCAAACGTTTGGCTTTTTTGCGAATGGCGGTTAAAAACAGAAGTATAACACGAGAATGAAGTGTTTTGGTGTAAGATGATCAACTACAAAGTTGTTAAACACAAAATTTGCAACAATTTTCCAATTTATCATTTTTTCAAATCAGGCCTTAATTATGATTTTTTAGAAAAATTATGTACTCCAATCGTGTACAACTTTTCATGCTCTATCTAGTGACATAATAAAAATTTTTTTTGAAGCCCAATGCATTTTATTGATTATGCACTAATTTTAGACGAATTCCGTTGTTCCACCGCATCGACGAGCGAGCAGAAGAGTGCACAAGCAAAGTTGAAAGAGAAGAAGAGTGCGGAAAGGAGAATGATCATTGTGAGCATAAAACTGGGCCACAGCACGAGAATGTCGCATTTCTGCTCTCCGGACAGAGCGTAGGAGCTCCAGATGAAGCCGACGAGCGATCTGGAACTCAGAAATGTTAAGGTTTTGGTTTGTTAAGCAAAAAAGGTTGAAAACTCACAATCCGAAAATGGAAAGTCGAGCGGAAGTCCTCAAAATCATCAGAAAAGCGGGCCGGTTGAGTGTCTTCTGGGCTTCCCATTCGTTGAGTCCCTCCGGACCCAATGGCTTCGGATAACTCTTCTGGAACATCAACTTTTTGATGTTGAGGTACGCAGTCAGGCAGAGCTCGAACAGCACGACCACTCCGACGATCATCATCCAGAACGGGAGCTTCGCTTCCATCGGACACTCGTCGCTTTTCGAGAGTCCCGTGACGAAGAAGTAGACGGGAACGGGTGTTAGAAGCAGGATCAGTAGGGTTCGCAGGTCTTAAATTGATCAATTTTCAGTTAATTTCTTGTCAGACTGCACTGTGCGTACTATGATGAACTCGAACAATTTCTAGCGAAGTGATAGGGAAACGGGGCAGAGACCAACTGATTCAAACGTAATCTTATGAAATTGTTTCCAATCAAACCGTCAGTTTGCTGGCGAAAACAAGTGAGGAGGGTGAAACTGGAAGTTTCTAAATTCGTGTCAAAAGCATCGAGACATTCAGACTCATTTAAACGGTACAGTTCAACGTTTCAGCACCAAATAATAATAAAAAGTGATAAGTCCTTGCAATCCAATTTCTTTTTAGCCTATCAAAAACGTGAACTCACAAAAATCCATGGTCACATCGGAAATGCCGCACACATTCTCTTCTTTTGAGGTCTGACGGCTTCCCATCGCTTCTTCGGCTTTTCCAGACATTTTTTCTCTGAAAAAAAACTAGTATAACGCAGGCAAACACACACACACACAAATTGAGCGGTTGACTGCGAGAGGTGCGATAATAATAACAATATTGACCAAGCCGCCGGACTGATAAGAGGGCAGGAAATTGACTCTTTTTTTCTCTTTTTCGCTTTCACATCAACCTTTTATAGGGTTTGTAGTGCATTGCATTCCATTCCAACAACAAATTTTGAGTGACTTTACTGCTGTTGTACTGTTTGACAGGAAGTTCCGGTGTCTTTGACAAAAGTTTGCAAAAAGGGTTTGATCTCGGGCGGGCTCGAACCGCCGGCCTTCTGTGTGTTAGACAGATGTGATAACCACTACACCACGAGATCGCCGGCGGGTTGAGGTGCCGAGCGCATATAGGTGCGTGGGGAAAATGGAAAAAGAGGCGGATGAGAACTTTTATTCTGTCACAAAACTTGTTCAACTATTATCTTTTCCAGACGGGCTTCGTTCACATTCTGCTCGACAACGAGGATCTCCGACTTTATTCATCAATCGCATTCGCTTTACAAAACGAGCATTTCTTGAAGAGACAACACGCACAAACACACACGATACCCATAGAGTAGGGAATGAGAACGAGACCACAAAAAAGCGAGGATGGATAGAAAACGAGCGGCGAGCACTCGTCCGCATCGGTCGATCGCAGCCAGAATGCACCGAAGATTGCACTGAAAGTACGGATTTATGCGTTTTTTGGCGCTCGGAAAATGCATGCATTTTATGGCCAGTTGAAACAGAAAAACATGGGCGCTCGCTAATTTGTATTCGACATGTTCGTGAACGTACTAGATGAGCATGACGATCCAAATGAGATCCAACGCCAGCGGTCTCACTTTGTACTTTTTCCGCTCCTCCGTCCACTCGCTCATTTTGTCGACCTCCTCCTGTCGCGGCCGCTCTTTTTTCAGCTGAAATTTGGCCAGCTGAAACTTGAGCGCGACGGCTCTTTCCAAAAAAAGGAACGCTCCGACACAAATCATCCAGATCGGGAGGCGTGTTTCGGCGGAACATCCGTTTATGTGCCACGAGCCGAAACAGATGAATGACGTGGCGATGGAGGAGACGAGAACGGTGAGGAAGATCGAGCAACGGGCTGAAAGGGCGGAGACGTTTAAAAGAGAAACGTATCGGAGAAAAAAACTCACAGAATTTGGCTTTTCGCGCATTTTCATACGGCTCGTCGGGTTCTTTCGGCGTGTGCAGGGCTTCCAAATCCAATTCCATGTGGCACGCAGCGTTTCGATCGATAAGTTTTAGGTGAACTGATAACGAGTAGACTCTCACTTTCACATCATCAAATTTTCATTTTCGGCGACTGTTTGCCGTGTGATAACAATTTTGCACATCTTGCCGGGCTCACATGCTCTTTTTTTGGCATTTTCTGAAGATTTTACGGCCAAGAAAATGAGCAGCACAAAATTCAAGAAGCCAACTATTATAGGGGCACCGGACAGAAAGGGCGCGCTATTGAGAAGAGCCCGCGAAAACCTGGGGGACTCTAAATTTGAATGGTGTGAGAAGAGAAAGTTAGTCCGCGGCCACGTAGGCTGCTGCAGAAATTTTTGTTTTCCTTCTGTTTTTCGTTTTCTTTTTAATAAATCGATTGTGTTCTCACCTTTTTTTCGTAGTGAATTTAATTAATTTTTTTCTTTTTTTCATGTATAGAATTTCTATAAAAAGCTATCGCAGTCGAAAAATGGTGCACGTCGTCAATGTTTTCTCTTATTTTCCGCAAACTGTTGATTGAATCTGTTTAGAAACGCATATTTCGAACATGAAAAAGAAAAAATTAATTAAATTCACTACGAAAAAGGTGAGAACACAATCGATTTATTCAAAAGAAAACGAAAAAACTGAAGGAAAACAAAAATTTCTGCAGCAGCCTACGTGGCCGCGGACTAACTTTCTCTTCTCACACCATTCAAATTTAGAGTCCCCCAGGTTTTCGCGGGCTCTTTTCAATAGCGCGCTCTTTCTGTCCGGTGCCCCTATAATATGAACGTCGACCTTTTCCTCCTCTTCTCGGCCATTTTCAACGTCTTGCCTCTCCGGCATTCCCATTTCGGATGCTCAAAGTGTACTATTTCGACGGATCCGGACGGTTCAGTCGCTTTAGAATCTCAATGGGGGGCTGTGAACAAATTCAGACAATTTTTTAAATTCTGGACGATTAAAAAAAGGGTTTATATGCCGAAAAAGGTGAAATAAAAGCATTGATTGGATGGATGGTTGGATGGAAAGACCTGAATTGCGTTGGGAAGGACTTTTTGACAAGGATTACGGTAGGTCGGGCTACAGTAACCGAAAGAGACGAGCAAAAGGAGCGATTGCAGTGGGAGGGGAGGGGGGGAAGTTTGAGCAAAAAAACATTGAAGAAATTGGGTTCCTAGAACGGAATATAAACGAGGAGAGACCCGTTTTCGAGTGAAAATAAGTAGGAGATGAGGCATTTCTGTGCGCGGGAAATTCCAAAAATTCAAGGCAGCGAGTGTAGTTGAGCGGCAAAGTAGTTGGTGAAGAGGCGGCCGGGCAGCACGGGCAGCAAGAATTGCTCGGCGCCCGGACGGACTCGACGCGTGAACGGGTCCGGCGAGTTCTCCTGCAATTCGCACGCATCAAAAGTATTGAGGCTCGTTGAAAAATGAATCAAACCTGCAATAGCGTCCTCAGTCGGTGCATGAGGAACACAAAGTCGGGTCGGTCCTCGGCAGTCGCACGCCAACAGCACTGCATCAGATCGTACCTGTATCGAAACAGTTTTCATTCCAAAATTCTGTTCAGATTGCGTGTCAGACACATCCTTCCAACTCACACAATATCGGGACAATGCGTCGGCTGCGGCAATCGCATTCCCGTCTCCAAGTAGTGTCTCACTTTCGCATTCGACACCTCGCCGTACGGAGACGCGGCACGAGTCAGCAGTTCCCACATGAGCACTCCGAACGACCACTGAAATTCGGGGTTGTGTGCACGTTTCGAACGCGCGGGCGCTTCTTACCACGTCGGTGGCTGAATTGAAGACTCGTCGATCACGAAGACTCTCAGGCGCGAGCCATTTGAGTGGGAGACGGGCGGGACCTGAACGTGTTTCGCGTGTTTCGGTTTACACACTTTTTGGGAGGCACGAGCGTACGAATTCACTCGGCACCAGAGTTGAGCGGAAGAACTCAACGGAAGAATTTTTATCTTTTTTAGAAAATTTTTTCATGGAATATGATCAACTGACGAAATGTATAGCAAAGTGAACTGTGCTCATAGAAAAATAATTGTGAATTTAGCTTTTCATACAAAAAAGTTATTCAAGTTCCGTCTTCCGTTCGCCCCCTTTTTCACGCAACAACTCGAATAACTTTTTTGTATGAAAAGCTAAATTTACAATTATTTTTTTATGGACAGAGTTCACATTTCTATACATTTCGTCAGTTGATCATATTCCATGAAAAAATTTTCTAAAAAAGATAAAAATTCTTCCGTGAGTTCTTCCGCTCAACTCTCACTCGGCACTAGGAAACAGAAATATTTACAGTTTCATGACTTCTCACTTTAGTTTTTCTTTGTTAGTCATTTTTGAAACACAATTTAAATGACGCTTTGCCACTCGTCACTAGAAATCTCACCTGTCTCGCTCTCGTCGATATAGCTCTCCTTGTCCAGCAAATCCACGGCCAGACCAAAGTCGGCCACTTTCACTATCCGATCCGCCGATATCATGCAGTTCCTGGCGGCCAGATCGCGATGAACAAAGTGTTGGGCGGCCAGGTAGGACATGCCCTGGGCCACTTGATGCGCCATATCGAGCAGCTCCAGCACGCACAGCGCCTGAAAGAACAGTTGGTTAGAGTGACTAGAAGAGCATCCGATACCATTGATTCTAGACACCATAGCTCAGCCGTCGTTAGAGATGGTGCAAAGTTGTCAACTAACAAAATGTACAAAATTTCTTAATGAACAACTTGTCAATTGACAACTTTTGTATATCTTCAACGGCAGCTGAGATATATCGTGTTGAATAATAGGTTTCCGTTTCAAACGTACTCGATTCGGATCGGCAATGTACGTCTTCAAATCGCCTCCTTCCATGTACGGCAGAACGACCCACGGATTGCCGGCCGGGGAGATCGAGATGCCGAGGAGGGAGAGAACGTGCGGATGGTCGAGGTGTTTCATGACGACGCCCTCCCTCAGAAACTTCTCAATGTGCGCAATGTCCCTGGCTCGTTCGCCTGTAAATTACCGAGCGCTCAAAGCTGAAAGTGTCTTGTCATCACAGGGCGGGCGCTCTCTCAAGTGTGCCTCGACACTGTTTGTTCACAAGGGCGGCGAGTTTTTTTGGTTGGGCCGGGCCCCCAAAAAGTTCGTTCATTTCAAACCAACCTTTGAGTGTTTTGACGGCCACCGGTATGAGTCGGCCCGCCGGATCTCTCATTCTCCCGCGATACACATTGCCAAAGTATCCTGCAAAAAAAAAAAATGGTTTTCCCGACAATTTTATCGATCCCTTCGAGTGAAGGAGCAACTCTCGGAGGGCAAACACCGGGAGACACAAGCAAAAAAAAGTGTGTGTGTGTGTGTGTTTGGATTGTGTCACACAACTTGCTCTGTGTTTGAGCAAGCAGCGAGGCTTTACGCGGATTACGTGGCAGAGTGCAAAATTCGAAATTTGTCGGACAGCGCGCGCAGTAAAAAAACACTTTTTTTCTTGCACATCCTCCCCAGAGTTGAGCGGAAGAACTCACGGAAGAATTTTTATCTTTTTTAGAAAATTTTTTCATGAAATGTGATCGACTGACGAAATGTATAGCAAAGTGAACTGTGCTCATAGAAAAATAAGCGTAAATTTAGCTTTTCATACAAAAACGTTATTCGAGTTGTTCCGTGAAAAAGGGGGCTAACGGAAGACGGAACTCGAATAACTTTTTTGTATGAAAAGCTAAATTTACAATTATTTTTCCATGAGCACAGTTCATTTTGCTATACATTTCATGAAAAAATTTTCTAAAAAAGATAAAAATTCTTCCGTTGAGTTCTTCCGCTCAACTCTGATCCCCCACAATCGTAATTGTATCCAGGAGCCAGGAGGGTCGGCGAGCCGGAAAGCACAACAAATAATAATATGCTGCGCGTGCCGTGGTGCTCGCGGGGGGGCTCACGTAGTTACGAATAATCGAGCCGTGGCGTCAAAAAAACAAAACAATAGTGGGCGCGCGTGTTTTTCTGCGAACCTTTTCCGACGATTGTCTCCAGAACGACGGCTTCCGACGGCAGCAGGAGGCCCTGCAGTGATTGGCGGAGGTCGGAGCCGATTAGTTGGAGCAGAGATTGCGTCGAGTAGGTCGAGGACACTGAAAAACAGAATTTTAGGGGTTGGGATTGACTACTTGTGAAGAAAATACCGTTTCTAACGTTCTTTATCTTCATTTCGGGGTTTGGAAATGGTTTACAGAGAGGTCAGACGCTTTTATAGAAACTTTTCGGCGTTCCCCTTCTATTTTCAGCAAAATTTCAGTCATATTTGCTTTTCAGGGTGTGTTTGTCACTCTATTTGTTCGCTTACTGTTTGTCATGCCCTGCCACCATGACCCGAACTCTATTTTTAGCGTGTCAAGCAAAAAACGTTCGACGCCGGCAAAAAGTGCCGAATGCCTGCTGCTGGAATCGAACCAGCGTCGCCACGGCCACAACGTGGAGTACTAACCACTATACTAAGCAGGCCGAAAGTGAGGGCGCGCCGGCGCGGTTATAAACCCGCCGCCGGCCGACAAAAATGAGGTCAATTTGAATTTCCGACGCCGGAAGCAATAGTCCCCGAGTGAATTTTTTTCGAATTTTCTCATTCAAAACGATGTCGTGACCGAATAATTTTAAGGATAGCGTGTGCGCGCACTCGATTAAACATTCAAAGAGCCGTTTTCCATCTTTCATAAGTCATTTCTCTTCCTTTTTGTTTCACAAACCGCTGGTAGTCGACTGTTGGCGCGAAGATCTCGGAAGACTGGACGGGTGGGACGGAGATCGGTATCGACTCGAGGAGGACTGCTCCGAGTCCGAGTCGGAAGTGTCCAGGAACACGGGGTTCATGAACACTTCGCCCATTTTTCTGGAGATGCACCATAGGTGAGGGAAATGGGAAAGAGAGAGAGAGAGAGATTTGAACGGAAAACATGGAACACCATACGCTACGGCTACGGAGTATTGGAATTTCAAGGATCAAGTGTGCTATTTGTGACCTTATTGAAACAGAAAATAAATCTATTGAGGTTATGCTGAAACTTTATGTACACGTTTTTCCAATTACGGATGCTTCAAGTTTACGGAAAAACATTGAAAACGGAAACCAATATCAATTCGAGTGAAAAACTTTGATGATAACAATTTGAAACGGGAAAATGTACTATACTGACGTGTGTACGTATAATGTATGCAGTCATATGTTTGTCCGTATAAAGAGACATTCACGTAAATCCATTTTTTATTGCAAAAGGTTGTCATGCAAGCGCCTAGAGACGAGGATTGAGCGAGAGAAGAAGGGGGACCTTTTTGGTGTGGTCTCTTTCGAAAAAATGTATGCTACAAAGTGAGAAGCGAACGGGTTTTTAGGAAAAGGAAAACGGGAGAACACATCTTTCGTTATTCGATCATAAAGTACACGTTTTGGAGTTTTCTGGAACAGTTATCTCATTTTATCCTCTTCTCCTCATAAATTTCAACACAAAACGGTGCGGAAAATGAGTTTTATCATCTTTTACAGTAAATGCGAAGTGACAAAAGACAAAAAATGCACACGGGGATTCGAACCCGCTACCCAGATTTCGTGGAGGCCGGAAGCAAAAGCGTTCGCCACTTGGCCATGCGGACACGATTGCCAGTGGCCGCCAGTGTTTTCTTAAACTAGCTCATTAGTCGTTGCTTACTGGATCAGTACATCTCGGGCATTCGTTTTGAAACTCATATGGAGACTTTTTGAAACCGAATTTTTGATATCGCAAAAGACGTTTTCCTGCTAATTTCAAGGAAGAATAAAAGCCAACAACTCCTATTCAAAATACTCAAAAAGTGCTCCAAGTCAGTGGCTGGCGCACAAATGCTCACAGAAACGTGTGCTGAGGGGCGCACACACACAAGAGTGATACACAGTGCTCGGAGCGAGAGAAAGAGCACTCGCGACGGCCAAATCGTCTTCCAAAAGAGAGAGAGAGAGAGAGAGAGAGAGCTCCTGTACACACAGTGTCCCGTGAATCCATGAGTCTGTGCGCACAAAAGAACGGGAAGCGAAATGGGTTTTCGGTGGGGGAGGTGTTCAGGTGAGAAATATGTCAGTTCGTCGTGCGCCGCTGCACTGGTTTTTCTCAGCAAAAGGCAGACAATTCGAGGGAAAATTCAACAATTGATTACGTTTTTCAATTGTTTTCTAATGCAAATTACTCGTTTTACAAACGTTGACCGTTTCACCGCCTCCTGATACTATCGATTTGATCGTCTGCACTTGCTTCTTGCGTTAAATTTAACGATTTTGTGTCAGCACTTCTTTGGAACGTTCTAGACGAAAATCCAGGCAATTTAACTGTTACACCGAACAGATACTATCGATTTCCGAAAGTCCCAAATGCTGGAAACTTCAATTGTTATCCTAAAACGACCCAAAAATCTTGGGAGAATACAGAGAAAACCGATATGAAAATCAAAAAGAGATGAAGTGGATTTCGAATGGATGAAAGTAAAGTGAGAGTGCCGAATGAAAGAGAGCCGCGAATAGTATCAAAGGTACTAAAAAAGAGTCGGTGGATGGATGGATGGATGGATGCTCTCCTCTCGAGCACTCTTTTCTCTTGAGCCAACCCCTTCGCCCCCCCTTCAAATTACTTGGCTCTTGGCTCCCCGGAGGAGAAAAAGAGAGAGAGAGAGAGAGAGAAAAAGGGGCGGAGCTTGGAAGCAAAAGGAACGTGAGAGCGAACAAATATTGAAGGAATTGACAATGTTTTTGATGAAAAGTATTCAAAAATTGAGTACTCTTGTACTGTTTAAATACGAAATAGTAAATGTTACTGTTACACTGAACCCATTAATCCGTGGAAAAAAGGAAACATGACGCTATTGAAAAGGAGAGGATTATCGACTTGTCAGCCGAACGTCAGCTCATTGCTCTTTGCATTTCGATCGCGTTTGACAGCTGAGTCGGGGGGGACCGGATCGGAACCATTCAGTACCACTGTTTCCGTCATTTCCTTATGCCTTGAACGTTTGACCCGAACTTTGCACACTTTTTCAACTTGTTCATCAACTAACCAGTGCTACAAGTGGTCCATTGCGACGGCGACGTCGAGAACGATTTGGGAGAGACCGAGCACGCCGAGCTGGTGCCCTTCTGGCAGTGCCACTGGATCAGCACCGCCACCAAGACTACGGTCACGACGATCAACTGCAAAAAATGGAAATGAATTGTAACTCATGGATCATGAGTCTCTGAAACTGTAACCGAGACGATTTTGAGTGAAACTCTCTCTCTATACATAGAACTTTCGGTTTTTTCAATAAATCTCCAGAAATCGAACATAGGCACCTCTGATTTTCTGATAAGAGTTCAATTTTATTGGGTTCTTCAAAATGAGCCAGGTCAGCGGTAAATGTAAGGTTTCTGAGAGAAGTTACAGCTTCACAATTTTCACTCCTCCGTATTCTTTGCCGTCCCGTGTCTGGACTTTTTGAAACATATATATATCAGACTTGCCAAATCCCGGGTCGGGCCAGCAAATCGTCGGCCCGGAAGTTAGACCTCAAAAAAAATATGCAAAAAAAATATGAAGGAAGAGGAAAAATGGCGTGCCAGAGTTGCAATCAATCGCTCCGCCCACTCTTGAGAAAATTTTCGTAATTTTTGTGAAAATTTTGCGACTTTAAACAGCAATTTCTATTTTTTAACAGGTTTTTATGCTATAACATTTCCTTTTTAAGTCTATAAAATTATGTTCGTTTCGAAGTTAGTTCTAGTTCGCTTTGAATTTTTAGGTGCATCCTCCCGGGCCGACCGGGCCGGGCCGGAAAATTTCCAATTTTGGCCCGGCCCGGCCCGTTGCAAGTCTGATATATATATAGACAAACTGCCCTTTTTTCAGTGTCAAATCCATGTTTTTCAACAAAACTCACAAAAAGCGCGGCGATGAGTGCGAGACTGTGTTCGGCGAGAAAGTTGAGCGGAATATCGGCAGAATTTCGCTGCAAAACTGCCGATGAGGATGTCGTTACCTGCAAATGCACTTTTTAGAACCGCTCTCCTTTTCCACCTTGAATTATGTTAGCCGAGATCAGAATATGTTGGAGAGTGGAGTGGAAAATGATAAAAACAATGGGAAACAGGAGAATTCTTACCTCTAAAACATCCCCGATCACATAGAAATAAGCCATCGCGGCAAAAACTTCAAAAACTGTTTCAAAAGGTGGCCAAGTACCTCTTTGTTCCAAAAAATGTTCCGCTCTGATTAAAAGACACAAAGGAGACCACCGCGGAAGAGAACGAAAGGAGGTATTCATTAACTTAAGGAGGGGCGAGGGATTACTGTAGGGGAAATTGCGCTCTAACGCTAAACTTTTGGATTGGCAGGAAAAATGCAGTCGGAAAGTGGTCATTTCCAGAGAAAAGCCTCAAACACCAATACCAATTTTTCAAAGCGTTGTATCTCAGCTGCGGGTGGAGATATCAAAAAGTTGTCAACTGATAAAATACAGCATTTCTTAACGAACATTGTATTAGTTGACAACTTTTTTATATCTCTACAGACAGCTGAGATACCGCGCTTTGAATCGACAGTATTAGAATTGCATGGTTACCTCTTTCGGAAAAAGCCATTCGAGTTCGGGTCGTGGTGGTGGTGTGCCCATTACTTGTTGTCTATTCGCATATCTCCAGATGATGTCGTGCTGAAAATTTGAGAAAATTTGAGAAAAAAACTTGAAGCGGCGCATTTGAAAGAAAACAGTGAACGAAAAACGCTAAACGGCGGGTGTTCGTGCGTTCCTAGTATACGAATATGACCTTCTCTATACACACACACACACACACACAAATTACATAAAAGATGGGAAAATTGGAAGTCCGTTAGCGCGAACGATCTGTGAAGGGCATCGAATCGGCGGCGGTGGCCACAGAAAAAGCGAGGCACAAAAAATGAGGGGAATTAGTGGAGAGAGAGGTAGCTCAAGGTTATGAGAGAATGGATCCGATTCGATGTGGGATGGGACGGGGTACTGTAGGATGGGGGGCCCTGAATTTGACTGTAATCGAACGGTACCCGGGAACCGTTTTTTTTTAATTCAAAGTTTTCACATAGGCAAGAGATGAAACATTTGAAAAAGTGTGAAGAGTTCTAACAATCAAGCCTCGTCACCCCCTCAAATCGCAATAACAAATGTTCGAGAAACAGTAAGTAACAGTAATTGCACTTTTTTGAGGCTCACATTCTTCGCTAATGCCGCGTGCAAAGTCTCGGAAAAACCGGAAAGGCCGCAAGTTTTTCTGTCCAAAGTCGGCTGAAATTTGCGTGAAAAACGGGGGTGCGCACCAGAGTTGAGCGGTAGAACACGGAAGAATTTTTATCTTTTTTAGAAAATTTTTTCATGAAATGTGATCAACTGACGAAATGTATAGCAAAGTGAACTGTGCTCATAGAAAATAATTGTAAATTTAATTTTTCATACAAAAAAGTTATTCAAGTTCCGTCTTCCGTTCGCCCCCTTTTTCACGCAACAACTCGAATAACTTTTTTGTATGAAAAGCTAAATTTACAATTATTTTTCTATGAGCACAGTTCACTTTGCTATACATTTCGTCAGTTGATCACATTCCATGAAAAAATTTTCTAAAAAAGATAAAAATTATTCCGTGAGTTCTTCCGTTGAGTTCTTCCGCTCAACTCTGGTGCGCACAGCTCAACGAACAATGTAACCGTACCGCTAAAACTACGGTATTTTTTTGAAAATTTGAGCAAGAAATTTGAATATTTTCAAATATCCTCAAGAAATTAACAAATTTCTAAAAAAAATACCGTAGTTTTAGGGGTACGTTTACATTGTTCGTTGAACTGTTTTTCACGCAAATTTCGGCCGACTTTAGACAGAAAAAGCTGCGGTATTTGCGGTTTTTCCGAAGACTTTAGACGCGGCATAATGTTTTGAACTCGTTGGAACACAAGAATCTCTAGGCCGGTCTCTTTATAGAGTGAGTGGCCGAATTGACCCATAATGCCACGTCATCTCGCCGAAACAACAGCCACAGCGGCTGATGAGTGTGTTTGTGGAAGCAATCAAAACGCGACACAACGGACAATTGTCGTTTTGGAAACCGAAGAAAGAAAGGAGAAGACAATCATCGGCGGCAGACACTTTTTAGGCGGTTTTATGATGGAACGAGGGAGGGACATTCCACAAATCTCATTCATTTCGAGGCAACATAGGTCAACTGAATTACTAGACATTCGGAAACTGAAAAGTTTTGTTATTATTGATAAACGTGATCACAAAGTTTCACGACAAGTTATTACAGAATCTAGAAAAGGACCTTTTTTCATCACTTTTATGAAACTGAACATAAAAATGAGCTGAAAGTTGTCTTGTCTCTCTCACAGAAACCAGACAGGGCGGCGGCCGGCTAACTAGGCCATTCACAAGTACGTCTTCGTGCAAAAAAGTGTGAATTCGAAGACGAACACAAACAGAAGAGCGAAGTAACTGTTCGTGCGTGTGTGTGTGTGCGCGGCAAACGAGGACAGATATTATGCGTTTGTGTGTACGGGAAAGCAACTAGCCGCTTACGACTTCATGCACCGCTGCATTCGGGCCGTATTTGTATTATTATTATTATTATTATTATTATAACTACTAGAGCGGGGCCATTTCTACTGATCACAATGACAAGTACGGTCCGTATGCTTTTGGGTTTTGGGACACAGCGCATTTCTTCAGGTCAAATACCGTTCATTCAACGCCCTGTATCTCAGCTGTCTGTAAAGTTATGAAAAAGTTGTCAACTGAAAAAACGTACACAATTTCTTGACGAACAAGTTTGCAGTTGACAACTTTTTTATATCTCTAACGACAAATGACATATATCGATTTGAATGGACAGTATTCCAAAACTGATAATTTGAGCTTCTCTTGTTCATTTTTGCATTTTTTTCAACGATTCTTTGCCAAAAGATGGAAGATGAAACGGGCTTGGATGTGGGCGAATCGTTAAATGGAAATGAATGTGGTGTCCACTTTCTCTCTCTCTCTCTCTCTCTCTCTCTCTCTCTCTCTCTCTTCTCCCATTTTAATGGTCACTTCCACTTTTTCCGATGGTTTTCGAGTGGCTATTTTGGGGGGAGAATTGGAAAAGAGTTCGCGTGGCAAAAGGGGACCAACTGGCATCAAAGAACCATTAAAATTGGGAAAAGTTGAGGGCGTCAGTGAGATTTTCACTCAAACCTCAAACATTTATAAGATAGTGTAGGTACGGTGAGTGATCGAATCTTTAGAAATTCAAGAAACTGTAAAAAGATGTAGGGAAGGTGATAAGAGGAGGTGTTTGGGTGGCGGCTAGCCGAAAAGCCTAGGAAAAGAGATGGTATTAGTCGGTTTGCGCAAAGAGAGAGAGAGAGAGAGAGAAGAAGCGGCTTTTCCCTTTTTTGTACGTTTCTCTGCAATCTCTTCCATTCACGCGCAGTTTCCGACGGAGAACTGATTGCGAAAGGGAAGGGAAAAGCTGTGAGGAGGAGGAGGCGGATGATGAATGATGGCTGACGAAGAAAACTGTTTAGGAGGCGAGGAAGGGGGGGAGAGAAAGCCGTATTCCTCATGATTGGCAATATTTCGAGCGATTTCTAGACAGACTTTTAACAAAAATCGCGTCATATTATTGTATCGTAAAAGTGAACATGTAGAAAATTAGGGAACTTGGAACTGTGAAGATTTGCTGGACTTTCGCTCAAGACAGAAAAGTAGTCTTTATTTAAAGCTTTGCTTGTTCAAGGAAAAATTGTCTTCAAAAATCTGACCTACAATTTCACAAAGTTCTAAAACCGAAAATATTGTCTCTTCGCAGCTAATCTGATGATTCTTTCTTAATTTCCAATGCCTACAACAACGTAATCTACCGCCAAATGAAAGAAAGAAAGAGAGAGAGAGGGAGAGAGAGAGAGAGAGAGAGAGAGATAAACATCAAAAGTGTCCTTTTCGGTCTGTCAACACACTTACGCTGACATATTTTTGCAATAATAATAATAATAATAGGGTAAATGTGTAGTGAGAAAGAGGAGACGTCTAACAAATTCTCAAAAAAATGCTACTCAACGCCATTCGATTCCTCGCATCTTTTCGAGTATTTTTTGTGTGCGGGGGGGGGGACTGAGCTTTTCGCCATTTTCTAATGCAATGATTTTCTGCAACACTTCGCCTTCCCCCCTCCAAATCTCATCATCATCGCGCGCGGGCGTCTAAAAGTACGGAAAATGACGTAAATTACCGTAATCTGCGCGGCATGCAGACATTCTTCACCCATTACCAACAATATAATCGCTTTTATGTCTGGAAGCCCGCCTTTCGAAAACTTTTTGCCCGGTTTTGCATTTTGAAAATCCAAAAATGCTTGGCGGCGGCCGGCCTCTTGATAACAGCAAATGCGGCGCCAGGCTCCCGCAGTCCCATGTGGTCTAGTGGTTAGGATTCGTGGTTTTCACCCACGCGGCCCGGGTTCGATTCCCGGCATGGGAATTTCCTTTTTTGCACGACAATTTCGGGTCAAAGAAACAAACGGGGAGAACGTAATGAGAATGGAAAATGACGTGGAACAATCGGCTTTTTCTCCCCCCTCCTCCTAGCAAAAGATTAGCCGCTTTTCACCAGCGGAAATGGGCGGCGCCTTCTTTTCTTTTCGCTTTTTGCATGATTTTGTAGCCACTTGACTTTGACGAAGTAAAGTGTGTAATGTTTAAAAAAAAACGGAAAAAGACGGGAGTGTCGTAATGGAAACGAAAAAAAGTGTGAGGATTACTGTACTTTTGTACTTTTAGTCGGTATAAAAATTTTAAAACAACGTATATGGAAAGCGTCTATGAAAAAGTGGGTAAACCCGGTACAAAAAAAACAATAACAAACAAGTGGATAATATGCGTCCACACGATCATCATGTCTGGGGTACTCACAGAATAACAACATGCCAATACACAAAAAAGTCAACTTCTTCTTCTTCTTCTTCTTCCTCTTGCGATCCGCTAACCGGTAATTCTGCCCCCTCTCCGCGCGGAAACATTATTACTCGATGATGCGGGCCCACGCACACACACACACACACACACTGGACAAAAGGATCATGGAGGAACGGGCGGATCATCCCTCCGGCACATAATTGACGATGGGGCAACACACGTTGAGCAAATAATGGAACTTTTGAGGTTTCCGATCGAATCGTGCATGCAACTGCGGACGGGGGCTTTTTTTGGCTTTTTTGGATGCACCATAGGATGGGCCGTGAAAAGTTAGATTAGAGGGATTCGGAGCTTGTGCCTGATTTGACGTCTCAATGTTGTCCAATCTTTGGAGACCTATATCTCGAGAACTATTGATAATTTCAAAAAGCTGTCAACTGAAAAAATGTTGGAAATTTCGCGATGAACAAGTTTGTAGTTGATCATTTCACGCAAAAACTTTTCATTATCGAGTTATGCTTCTTCTCTTTAAGACTCCAGTTGCAGCCTCAAAGTGTACTCTTCTTTGGGGACCTTAATCTCGAAAACGAATAATTACAGCAAAAAGTTGTCAACTAACAAAATTTAGGAAATTTTGTGCTTAACAACTTTGTAATTGACTATTTTCTATCAAAATGCTTTATTTTTACGTTAAGACACTTTTTATGAGTAGTGTTTGACGGATGACAGCAACAATATTGAAGATAATAAATAGTTGGTGAAACAGAACGTTCTGAAGCAGAAATCTGAGCAAAACGTGAAAATGAGCCCCCTCTCCGTCTGCCTCTCAACTACAGTAATCCGCACGTTAATCTGTCCAGTATACTCACAATTCTCTTTCCGCGCGGTAACTTGCCAACTCACACGCGGAACGAAATGGAAAAAGTCCGCAAATAATCGGTCCGTTTCTCTTCAAAAAGTATTCAATAGTCGAGCACAAATCGTTCGCAAAGTCTTTCTTTCGCGCGCCGCCACCGCCGCCGAAATTTGTTTGTGAAGAAACGGAACCAGTCAGTCACTTATGGAGCATCGAATTACCCGAAGGGAAAGTGGAAAGTTCAGTTGGGAACGCGAATGCGAGAGCTGCTTCGGGCCATTTCAATGCGAAATTTGCGCGCGAAAACGACTCGGGGACACGAATGGAAGAGAAACTGCTAGGCCATGTTTCGTTGATTTTTGCAATTTTCGATTACACTTCACACGAATCGGTTTCAAAACGGTTACAAATCAACAACCATCTTGAAGTTCTTCTCTATTCAGAAAAGAAAAATCTCGGTTCGAGTATGGTTTCAAACAAAAATCCCCCCGAACTGCAATCATTATTCTGTTGCGAGAATAGACCTAAATTTGCATGATCACAATGTCCCGATACACGGTCTCCAGAGCTGACAATGGGCGCGCAAGTGCGCCCCGCCCAATAGAGCGATACATTGGCGCGAAATTCAAATTTTAACAGCAAAATTTGTGTTTTTTGCGAGATTTGCCACGAAAAATCGATAATTTCTCATTTGGACCGATTATATAGGCTATTACGAATTTTTTAAGCGCAAGAGCGTCAAATTTCGTCAAGTTTGAAGGTTTTTCGCTAAAACTGCGTGAATTTCAGTTGCTTTTCGGTAATTTTCGCGGTTCGAGCGCTCAAAATGCTTGTATTTACGTGATTTATCATTCTCAAAACCAATTCTGTCTGAAAACGGTCAAGAAAGCGCAAAATGAGAAGTGCGGTTTTTGGCGGCGAAGGCGAAAATCAAAGTCCGCAAAAAATGCGCCAAAACGTCCATAATTCTGTGAGAATTAGTGTGTTTTCATGTCGAACAATCATTTTTCATCGCCTTTGACCACACAAAAATCCGAGAAAACCTGCTCAATTCATGAAAACGTCATTTGGCCGCCGAGGCCACGCCCATATTGTCAGCTCTGGAGGCCGTGGCGCGATAGTATGAAAAACTGAACAAAAAAGTATAGTAGTGTCGAAAAAGTGTGAGATTTCAAGGCTCTCGAGTAGAAGAGAAAGAGAGCAATGTTCCAAGCTGTGTGGCGGCCGAAAGACTAAGAAAACCGGTTGTTTGGGGGGGAGCACACGTCAGCTGAGACCCCCCGAGTTTGACCTTCGGCGCCGCGCGGAAAGCCGCTTTGTGGGAGACGACTCTTGAGAACGGAGAGAGAAAGAGAGAGAGAGAGAGAGAGAAAGAGAGAGAGAGAGAGAGTCGTCCCGATTCGGAACCACAGGAGCCAATATAAATATAGTTTGTGAGCCGAGTGACCACACACAAAAGAAGACGCAATTTATTTGATATCGAAGAGAGCCAACGTATTCGATAAACAACGTTCAAGGGGGGACGACGTATCTCAGCTGCCTGTGGAGATATCAAAAAGTTGTCAACTAATAAAATGTTCATTAGGAAATTTTGTACCTGCTTTTCGTTGACAACTTTTTAATATCTCCACCCGCAGCTGAGATATATTGCTTTGCGTGTCGAAGTTTTTAGGGTAGCTCGAATTCGATGGAAAAAAGCGAAACAAAGTACCATCGAAACGCTCTTGATCTGTCGTTTCCGCCCGCGAATTCCTCTCGACATTCCTACACTTCGTCTTCAGAATTCAAGAGCCTATTCATCTCAACACACACACACAATTCAACACACAATTACAAGAGGAGTACACGAATTAATCGGGGAAACGGGGATGGATATTAATTGAAATTATTCTAGACTGCGTCGGATTCTTCGGTGCACATCTCGGATGAACTCTCGGTAGGACTGTTGCGAAGAGCCGTCCTCCACAAGCAACTTTCTCATCGCCGCCTCTTCGCCGCTTCCCTCCACGACAATCAACGTCTTTCGGTGCCGAATTCCACGTGGCAACATTTGGATTTCCTGAAAAAGTGAAACAACTTTCGATGGGAACTTGAAGAAGAAGAAGAAAAGAACTGACGTGTTGCCCATCAACTGCTCCCAGTACTTCTTGAGCCAACGACTGCGGAAGTTGCGATCCGATCCACACGATCAAAACGAGGCCGTTGTCGATGAAATACGCCTTCTCGCTGCTCAGGAACTCCGCGCCCGCCCTCACTACCTTCGGATGTTCAGACTTCGAAAAGGAAGTGACTCTCGGATAGATCAACCGCATCGCGTCTTCCGTTCTCGTCCGCCGAATCATCTCCGTCTGCGCCACTTTTTCGTCCGCCGTCAGTTCGTTCCCTCCAATCATCGCCAGAATGCTGTTCACATAGAGCGGAAGCAATTTTAACGTCTCCGGAAGGATGAATTGATTCGGAGGTGCTTCCGGACTGCATTCCTTTCGAAACGTGGCCAAGATCTGTGCGCATCTCGCGGAAAGTGTCTCCTTCACCGTTTCCGGATCCAATTCGACCGCCTCCTTCAGCATGAGCGTGGCAACCGAGTGCGAATCGGCGAGTCTGTAGAGCTCATTGTAGTCGTCGGACAGCGGAAGACACAGATTCAGAATACGAAGACGGCGTTGTCCGTTCATAGAAGTGTAGAGGACGGCAGTTTGGACGAACGCGTCGGGTCCACTCAAAGTGCCGCCATCGTGCTCCAGTTCGGCGACGAACGCCTTGCTCTCGTCTATGGAGGCGAGTTTGAGGGGAACGTTCGAGATGGGACGGATTCCGGCGGAGGTTCGAACTCGGGCGGTGCAATCGAACGCGATCTTTTTTGAAAGGTGTCTCTCCAGATCGTGCATCATTCGGATGCCATCTTTTTCCGCTGAAAAGCCGGGGAAAGTGAGAATGGATCCTCCGGTGAGAGAGGACAATTGTCCGATGGTTTCCACGTCGATGAATGCGTTCGGAAAGAGGAAGAGGTCGACAGTGACTCCGGCCTCAACGCATTCGGAACCGAGTTTCGTGTATGACTGGTCCGATTTAAATTTAGCATCGAAAGTCGGCGGAGAACTCGAGAACACAATCAGTTTGCCGACACGATCGGAGCATTTGAGAGCATCCAGGCCTGCCTGAACAGTCGAATGCAGGATGGTGTCGGTGATCTTTGTCGGTGCAAATGCAAACGTTCTCGGAATATCGCGAAGAGCAGCACGGAGAGCCGGAAGAGCTTGGCTGATCGGAAGAAGGAGTCCGTCGACGAACGGAACGAACGGATCTTCGACGTCGGCTGAAAATTAGAAGAATTTCGACGGAAACATGGGGCTTTTGCTCACTCATAACCATCATTTTCGGCAACGTCGATGACAAATCGTAGAAATGGACGGTCTGATCATAGGTGGCCAGGCCGATTCGCACCGAAGCATCCAGTTTCCGGAGCACAGTTTCTAGATTATAGCAGAGCATCGGGAGCATTCCATTCGAAATCGAGTGCGAAGAGACGTCGATCATAAAGATGAATGCGGGCGGTTTCGGCGGAATTCCGTGCTTGCAGTACTCGGCGCCCGCCACCAGATCGTACGCTCCGAGCAAGAGTTCGACACGTGCGGGCCCTTCGAGCAGGGTGTTCGCGTGGCAGAACGGGCATTTGAAGAAGCAGCCGCTCTTCTCGAACTGCATGAATCGGCACGCGTACGCTTTGCATCGCCGACAACGGATTGGTCCCTTCGAGCCGACATTCACCACCGGCGGCTCGTTCTGCAAAAATGATAAATTTGAATGAAGCAGTAGAAAATGGTCAATGCCATTTTTTTAAGCCTGCAAATGTCAACTTCTAGCCGTTTATTTTTTTTTTTGACGAAAAACTGAAACGTGCCTCGTTTTCATTCAAAACGGCGAACGGAGAAACGAAAACGGCGAACGGAATCTGCGAACTCTTGAGCATTTCGCTCGTTTTCGGCGCCGAATAAAGAGTCGATCTCATCAGTTTCGGGTTCGCGTTTCCCTCGTCGCGGGCGGTGCAATTCCAGGGCGGAGGGGGATTCGCGTGCCGACAGCCTGTTCCAAACGGTTCCGAATCGACGACGTCTTCGAGCAGAGGACTCGGCAGTCCTTCAGAATTGAGCCGAGATGACGGCGGTGCGCAGACTGGCGGAAGCGATGGAGAATCGGGCGGCACGCCTGAAAATTTAAATTTCACATTCAAAAAAGGAACATTTGTTACCTATTTCGGCTTTTTCGACGAGCTCACACTTCTCCGAAAAGTCATTGTAACCGAAAGCGTTGCACCACTTCATTTTTCACAATATTTTTGAAAATGCGAGCTCAATGTTGTGGCAATGTGCGAAGGGGCGCGAATGCACTACTCAACGCGAACGAAGAGAACACTCTCTCTTCATTTTCCCAATACAAGTTCACAAATTAGTACAATTGATTAGGGAGAAAAAGGGAAAAGGGCAGCATCAGATGGGGAAACTGTTTTAGAAACAAAAATCCAAGTGAATGAGATTTCAGCAAATGATTATGTGTGGTGTGGTTATTACAGCAAGTTGAGGGGCAAATTACTAGAAAAAGAGAACTTTTCTTCGAAAAATATTACAGGGGAGGTTACAAAAAAAGAGGAATAGGCTCAAACATGTGAAAAAAGAAAGAGATGAGGAATATTTATGCTCTGGGAGCCCGTTCGGCAACTATGCTCCGCAGAAGAACAGCGGCCTCGTTGACCGTCTCCATGATGGCCTTCCAGTCGACATCGTCGACGTCTCCGAGTGCGTGATGTCGCGACATCCTCCGGTACACCGCTCGCAACGTCTTCACGTCCTCCTCCGGCGCCAGAACGCTTCCGCACGCGGGTCCGTTCTCAAAGTCGACGTCGTCCCATTCGGAGAGCAAACTTCCGCGCTCCTGAACAATGTTCTTGAAGAGGATCGCCGCTTTGTTGACCGTATCCAGCAGGGAAGTCCATTTTTCGGTAGGCAACTGGTTGACGGAGTGCGCGCGCGACAGGGAGCTGCAGATGCGATGGAGAAGACGGGAATCTGAATGAGAAAATGAAAAAGGGGAATCTGAATGGAGACTACCTTCGATCATAGAGTTCACACCCGTAGTTGGCACTTTTTCCGCTTTGGAAGGAGCTGGAGTAGTTGAAGTCGGCTTCTGTGGAGTTAACGGTGTCAACGGCATCTTCTGGATGTTAAGGGGGCTCTGAAAGTGTGAAAAATCTAGAAGAAAGATAGGGGACTTCAATCGTTACCTCCATTCGGATCGTCTTGGTCTTGTCGAAGATCGGCGCCAGATTCTTGCGAACCTCGTCGGCGTTGACCGCCTTCTGCACCAACATCGCCGTCTTCTTGCAGTTCTCCGAATCTGCGGGCGTCGAAGTCGGAACGATCGGAGCTGGAGACAGCATCGTCGTCACCTTCGGCGGACTAATAGACATGATCATGGGCATCGCCGGCAGCGGAGAATCATCAGTCTTTTCGGTGGTATCCATGCTCTCCGTCTCCTCCACCGAGACCGTCAACGGCTTCTGCCGCTCCTCGGAAACGCGCTGCTCCGCCCGTTTCCTGGCGTCGTACTCTGCGAGAACCGAGCGTGCGCACTTCTCCTTCGGATGCTTGATGCCCGCGAGTTCGTTGAGCTGCTTGCGAGAGATGGCGGCAAAATCTCCGACCGTCTGGATGCCCGCCTGCTGGAGCGCTCGCTTCGTCGCGTCAACAGCCGGTTTCGAAAGGAGCGACGAGAGATTGCGCACGATCCTCTCGATCGGATCGACGCACTCCATGAGCGGACGGTAGATCGGAGAGTTCGACGACGTCGGATCCTCAATCTCCAGAAGGCCGATGGGCGCACATTCAGAAGCAGACGGGAGAGAAGAGGAGGAAGAAGCGGCAGCGGAAGGAGCGGACGTCTTCTGCAACGGCTTCTGCGGACTTTTCGTGACGATAGCGAGCACAATTTGCGAGGAACGACGAGGAGTTGACGGGTTGGAGAGACCGTCTTTCGGAAGGGATTCCTCGCCAAAGTGCACACGGTTTTTCTGCAATAACTGGACTAATTTAGTACCGTCTCTTTCCTGCGATCTCATTTACCTTTTTCTCGCTGGCCGGCGTCTCTATTCCCCGCTTCGAAAGCCTCAAAATCGACGGAGTTCGCGGTGTTTTCGGCGGAGACACCTCCAGATTGTCATCCGAATCCTTCATCTCGACGTCGACCAATTCTTTCGATTCTGGAGTCATTTCACGAGGCTCCGGAGATTCAAGTGCCTTCTCAACTGACGCATCCGCCTTTTTGGCTTCTGGCGACTTTGTGGACCCTTCTGAATCAGTGGAGTCGGTCTTCTGGAGCATCGAAGAGCGGAGCCGTTTCTTCGGAACCGGCGAACTCTCCGGAGGGCACTGCTTCGGCGTCTTCTTCGTTCGTCCGCCCTTCCGTTTCGACGGAGTCTTCTCCTCGGTCGTCTCTGTCATTTTCGAGTTCTCCTCCGTTTTCTCGTCGGAATTCGCGAAAATCTCCCCGTCCGTCGTCGTCGTTGTGTCGAAAAGCTGTTTTCTGATCACCGGCGCGCTGCTCATGCTCTCCTCGGCGACGTCAAAGTTCATCGCCTTCAGCGCCGCCTTCATCTGTTCGGTCTTCTGGACTCCGCTCTGCGACTCCTCGTCCACGTAGTTTATGTCAGTGCGTGGAGCTCCCGCCTCCGCCAGCTTCTCCTTCTGCCGATCGGTCAATCGATTCTTGCGCTTCGACGACGGCGGAGTGGCTGTGATCGGCACAAAATCGCACGAATCCTCATCTAAAAGCGACGCCATTTTTGACTGACGACGTCGCGAAGAAGGCGTCGTCGGAGCCGAGGGGTCCTTCTGAACCTTCTCCAGCTCCTTCTGCTTCTTCTCCTTAAGAAGACGTTCGGCGACCTCGTCGGCCAGCGGCTGCTGCGAGAACTGGAAGGATTGGCTCTCTTCCGAAGGCTTCGGCGCGTTGACAGCAGCCGGAGGCCCCATTCCGTCCATGGCTTCCTCTTCGTCGTCGGTGAAAACTGTCGGAGTCTTCTCCTCGGCGGGAAGAGTTATTCCCGACTTCTTAGGGATTCGCTCCAAGATTTTTCTGAAAATTAACCGTATTTTGACGGTTTTGTGAACTTTTCAACTAACCTCAGCTGTCCAGAATACCTCAAAGAACCCTTGACCTTCTGGAAAGTGGCCTTCCAGAGGACGACTCCGACATCTCTGAGCAAAATCATTTTGGCGCCGAGAAGTGCCTCGAAAAGAGGCGTCCATCGCTCCAGAAGAGCCGAGGTGAACGGCTCGGCAATACGATCGGCAACTATTTGGACGAATTTCGAAATCGATCTGCTCATGCTCATCATGTCACTGTTTTTCAGCTTATCCGAATTCTCTGTGAAAATGACTACGAACATGGCGAGTGAATCGACGACCTCCGAAACTAGCGATTGTACCTGAATGTTCTATTTTTATCAAGTTTTCGATGGTTTCCTACTGCGGATTCGACAATTTTTTTGACAACGTCCGTCAATTTGTCCAAAACAGTTCCGATTTCCTTTGATTCGGCCGTCGCTCCTCCTTTCACTGTCGTTTCGCGAAGATCTCGCTCGAAATCCTCGCACACCTTCTCGAGTTCCATTTTCAGCGTTTTCACATCACTCTCGTATTCTCCGAACGGGTTGAAATGAGTACTTTGAGCCATGATTTCTGCAAAGATTCCAAGAGAATCCGGAAAAAAGCGGAAAAGGCTAAGAAGAAAAGGAGGGGATTATCCCGTAGAAGGATTAGAGAGTAACGCTGAAAGGTTTCGGAGAACTTTTATTGAAAAAGGACGGATTTATGGGCCGGAAATAGCGGAAATCCGACGGAGGAATGACGAGAAAAACGGTCCGGTTTGGGCTCGAATGCGCGAAAATGGCGCGCAAATTCACTTTTCGCGCCCAAAGTCGCAAACACCACGACGCACATTTGCACCGATTTTCGCACCGTACCAACACCGTTGGCAGTAAAATAATTTATTTATTTTTTGGATAAAATCACAGTAATCGCGTATAAATTACAACGTATCGGATGTAGAATTTTTTAGAGAAAAATTCACAAAAAATCAATAGTCGCAGTCCTCCTCGGAGACGGACGTAATCAGCCGGACGGGCATCAAAAGTCCGCATTCGGCGCGCGATTTTCCGAATTCTCGCTCAAATTTGCTCTTGATCAGCAGCCGATATTGTGCTTGTGCGGAATTGCGTCGAAACGATTCGGGTCTCAAATTATTTTTATTGACTTTCTAAAAAAAAAAAAGAGGACTAGAAGTTCCGGGCCATGCGGACTTCCAACTCACCCCGGCGTAATCGGTCTCGGAATCGGAAAATCCTCCTCTTCGCACAAAATGTGCTCGAAAACTGGGCTCCGCGTGCACAATCGACGATAGACGTACATCATAAATATCACTGAAATTTTCAATAATCAAAAAAAAACAACTGAAAAATTAGTTACCTATGGAAAGCATGACGAAAAACGCAAAAACTGGGATAATGACGGAAATGACGGTTTGGAGACTGAAAAACGGGGTGTAGCCGGGCGGAAATTGAACTTCTTCGTCCACCGGTCCGCCCCCTTCGATATTGTCTTTCGGATCCCACATGCCAACTCGGATTCGTATACGTTCCAGCAGTTTTGGGCGCTGAAAACTCAATTTTGTTGTTTTTCAGCACTGGATCGCGCAAATCAAATATATAATCGAGTTTTGCAACGCGTAAATTGGTTTTTTCAGTGTTTCGTTCAAAAAATCGAAAAAGCGTTTTCTAACATTTGCAAAGCGCCTTGGGATCTTCAAAATGCGACCCGGAACGCATAAAAACAACAATTAAAGAAAATGGGTCTCGAAGCGAAAATGAAAATGTCACTGTAGAAGTCACAAGAAATGCGCATGTACATGTATATGTTGTCAAAAATAAAAGCGACGCTTCTTCTTTGCTCGCGCGCACATCAGCTCCTCCTCCTTTTCGTTTCCTCGAGATAATCTGGAAAGACACTCGACTAATCGGCCCGCCCGTTTCTCTCTCTCTCTCTCTCTCTCTCTCTCTCTCTCTCTCTTTTCATTTAAAGGCGCATCCTTCTCTCTCATTTCCTAATCCGTGTTGCTCCGTTGCTTTCCATCGTTAATCTCTTTGGGGACGAGAAAGCTTTTATGGAAAGGGATTACGGTATTTATGCCAGGCACGACACGTCAGAATAAAAGTGCGCAAAAACACACATTTCGCGGGTACGGTTGGTGCCGTGTGCCGCGTTCTTTTTTCTCTCCAATTTCGGACATTCGTCTGGAAAATGCATCGTTTTTCGCCAAAAATAACTGAAAGAACGGGAAGTGACGACAAAAAACAGATTAGGCTGGACGTGTTCGGGCTCATTAAACGAGACGAAAAACTAAGTAAAAAAAGGGGCGAAAAACAAGTGGAAATTTGCATTCAAGAAGAGCGGAAGACGTCAATCAGAAGACCTTTGACATCAATGTTCGACGCCAGCGGAAAATAAAATGAGTTCTGAAGCCCGCGTGGGGAGAAAAGTGTTGCCCAATGAGCACTTTTGTGGTTTTTCGGCTAGAAATCACTAAATCCTCCAGATTTCTCACTAAAATTCGAGCGGAAACTTCTGGAAACTTGCGGATTTTTCGAATATCCGCCCACTTCAGGGCGAGTCGTCATTGACGACTTTGCCGCCGCGAAAAGATCAGCCAATGATCAGCTCGACGTCTTTTCAGAAAGTCACACGATTTCCGAGTCTTCCCTCTGATTCATGCGTCCAAAAATAGCGAAAAATGAGCGACGATGCTGTTCATTTCACACGAAGAAACAGAGATATCGACTGCGAGCGAATTAAAAATAAATTTCAGATAGTACAGGTAGTTTTGTAAAAAGCCGTGAGCGAATATGGAAATAGAGTGAGAATGTGAACATAGTTTGGGGGGCAAGGGGGCAAGGGGTCTATGGGTTCAAAGGGGAATGGGTTAAATTTCACAATTTCGGGTCAGAAATATCAGCGCAAAGCGCGTCCGCCAACGTTGAAGATTGTCAGCCAGCAGGCGAAGTCCGAGTCGGTGATGCGCGGATTTGTCGTCTGAAAAATAAGTTTCATTGTTGGAAAAACGCGTCATTTTTCGACGAAACGATTTTTTTTTCCAATTCCTTGAGATCTTTGACTAAATGCTAGCGGGGATAATCTGTTTTGACGAATTCAAACGACATGTCCGGCATTTCCGTCATTCCCGTGCTTGGGGCACTTTCGATGCAGAATTAGATACGAGGGGGCATGTGGTTTTAAAAATATTTCGAAAAATCGGTTTGCCTACCACATTGATTCCGTGATTCTCTGAGCAAAAGTGGGTGATGATGGCCTCGACGTGCTCGACGTCCTCTGCGCACAACTCGCACCGATTGACGAGTCCCATCGGGAAGCTGCGCGACGCCATCGTCTGGATCGCCCGTTTCTTGTGCTTCCGCCACGCCGCGTTCTTCAGCCGCTGCATCATCCGCTTCTTGTGCTCGCCGAGCAGCGGAGCCATAAACTGGCGGGACTGTGTCTGTGTGACACTGAACAACGGCATCGTCACGGGAATGCGCAGCAGCTTCAGGAGGCGTCGGAGGTCGTCGTTCGAGACGGCGTGCAGACGGTCCGTGTGCGATTTGTCGTAGAGAATGTGGCGGAGGAGCGCGTATTGGGAGCAGAGTTCCACGTGGCACCAGCGGCACGAAGTACGGAATTTATAGTCGTCGAGCAGCGGGTAACTCGTGCGCACCAGACGACGAATGTACGAGAGCACCGGCTCCACTTCCGCACCTGCAAATTTACAAGTGTTCAGAAATGCAGAGCCCAAATCTGTGTACCTTGATAGATAAAGTCGCCTTGCGCCAGATCGACGAGCCGGTAGCAGAGCGGGAAGTCTCCCTCCTGCAGCGAAGTCTCCGCCTTCTGCCGGTACCGCATATCACTTCGATTGTTCTGTTTTCCCTTCAAGATCACGCCCAGAAACGAGAGCCAATACTCCATTTCGGTGCGACTGACGCCCACGCGAAGCGCATTAGCAATGTGGTGCTCCGAGAGCAAGTGATTGAGGAACGACTCGAGGAAAGTGGCGTCGAATTCCACGTGGCAATACGCGCAGCTCGTCTTGCCCGTGAGCCCGAAGCGACGGCGACGGAACTCTTGCTCGGTGCGCAGGTAGTCGCACTCGAACGAGCGGAACAGAATCACCGCCTCCATGTACTCGCACACGTCCGACTCTTCTTTTGGCGGCTCAAGAAGCGGCACCGTCTGCATCAGAAGCACCGTACTCTTGAGCGAGTCGAACGCGGTCGCCACGTCGACATCGTCGAAGAACGAGGCCTCTCGCTTCGACGGCCCCGTGTCCAGCCGCACGTCGCCCTCCTCCTCCTCCAGCTCCTCGACGACGCTGATCATCTTCTGCACACAGTGCACGTCGGCCATCGAGAGCACGTTCGTGGAGTCGCTCTGCTCGTGGTAGACGCGATTCACGTGCGGCACCGAGACGAAGTGGCAGAGCATCTCGAACAGATTGGCGAACGAGACGTGGCAGCGGGCGCACGGATGCGGCGAGATGTTCAACGAGCTGAGGTACGTCGAAAAGAGGTCCGGGTGAAAGTCTTGCAGGACGTTATGCAGATGGACGGTTCCGCGCATTGCTTGTGAATCTGAAAAAAGCACATTTCCTGCTTTTTCTCGGAGCTGTCCGGGGAAAGAGAAAAATGATTTGACACTGCAGAAAAAATATATGACGTAAAAGAACAGATTTTTAACAAATTTCCATCGGTGGAAATCGAAAAACCCTTTTCGAGCGTGTGAATCTAGAGAAAACATATTTGTTTCGAAAACTGGAAAAAATTGAGGAGAAATAGGTAAAATAAATGTGCTTTTCTGCAGTGTCAGATTATTTTGAAACTTTCTTCCCGGATGTCATTTTTTTATGCAAAACCGTACACGTGAGTGGTTGAGGGACCCATCGGCTCCACGGGAACTCGAACGGCACGTAATTGTCGGGAAAGCGACGACGACGGTTGACGAGCGAACGACGGTCCACGTACATTCCGCACACCTTCTGAAGGTACGCCTGCGCGACGTCCTTCTCGGATCCTCGGCCGCAGTCGACCTCGTCGACTTCCTCCTCGATTTGCGTGAAATCCGGGTGGAAGAACGTCGAGTCGTTTGGCCTGAAAACACGAAAAGTCGATAAATTTGCAACTATTTCGGGTAACCGATAGGTCTGATTGATGTTGAGCGTCACGTCGAGGTTCGTCTGATCGATCGTCCTGTCTTCGATCGTCGTCTCGTCTTGGAAAATGACTTTCGTGCGAGACTTCAACGATTTGCACACAATATCCTCGATCGCGTACCTCTGAAGGTTCTCGTCGAAGATGGGCGTTCCGGCCGGCATTTGCTCGTTGTTAAACCATTTTTCGTAGGCCTGTTCCGAGTAGGGTCCTCTGAAAATTCCTTTTTTCAACTTTTTCTCCCGACTTTCCCCAAAAACTCGCCTATAATTGTTGGAGGAGTCGATGTAGTAGAACATTTTATTAATTATTAGTAGAAAAAGTTGGAGAAAAGAGCCGAAACTCGATGGAAAATGAGCGGAAGACGGCCGGAATCCGATGGCAAACCATTGAAAATCGTTTTTGGGCGCTCTTGCACCGCAGTAGATCAGAAATGGATGTTTTCGGTGCAGGTCTCATAATTTTTCGAAGACAATGCAAATGCGCTCCATTGCGAACAAAAGTGCGAATTTGGTTGGCGCGAGTTTAAAATTTGAAAAAATTTGTCGTATTTCATCAAAATTGAGATCTCTTCAATCTTTCAAGACACACCCAAAAAAATTACCATAAAACCGAAACGTCACACAAAATACGTCAGAAAGTGAAAGTGCCAAAAAATTCAAAACACTTAAAATTCAAAAATTCCGCCCAATTTGAAGTGTTTTATCCCCAGAAATGGGTCCCAAGAGACGAAGGAGAACCGGGGATAAATGGGCGGAAAATTCCGCCTAATTACCCATTTCTCATCGGAATTCCAAAATTTCTAACTGAAAGTCTTTTTCGTCCGTTTTCTCTCGTTTTCCGCTCATTTATCTTTTCGTTTCGTGCGTCGAGACACATGCGTTCTTCATGAATATGTTACCGATGCACGGAAAACGATTTCCCCTTTTTTGATTCTTCGTTTCTTCCAAAAATTGCGAATGTTGCGCTTTAACGCTCGAAAAATCGCATAGAAAATTTGAATTTCACGGCGCCTGGCCAAGAAAATGCAAGCACGACGGCAAGTTAAGCGATAGAGCGCGAATGCAACATCTGCGAAAAGGAAACCAGTCCGACGCGAAAAAAAAATGCAATTTTTAGAGAGAAAGAACCCAAACAAATCCGTTTTTCGCCCATTCGCTCTCATGTTTTTCATTTCGTCTCACCCATTCTGCTAAATACTGCAACACTCCCTGTTTCCATTTCCATTTCCACTTTCCATCGGCCCCCCTACTGTGTCGCTTCATTTTTCGACCTTTATTCGCTTTTTCTAGTGTTTGACTCCCCATTTTTGCTAGTTTCTTTCTTCTTGTGCACATAGTTTAGCGCTGCTCCTTTAAAATTACAGCATGCCCACACAAGCAATGGTTACTGTAGTTTTTAAAGGCGCAGCACTGAAAACTGAGCATTTCAACTTGATTAATCGATCGTAACAAAGGAAAAATTCGTGAAATAATTCAGTCCAATAGTACAGTAATTCAACGAAACTCTTCGAACAACGGTTTCGCGTTTTGTTCCTCTTTGTTCGTTTCTTCGCGGTCGTCACATTTTTATGAATGAATAAAAGCGACCCGGGGGAGGAAAAGCAGAAAGAAAGACTCTCTCTCTCTCTCTCTCTCTCTCTCTCTCTCTCGACCACATATTCCATGGGAACTGTCCGCTCTTTGCGCTCTTTTCGCCCCACCAAAAACAGTTTTCCGTCAAATCGATCGACTATTGTATGCTCAGCTTTTTCTTTGTCATTTTCGGCATCCGAGATGATTTCGACCACCGAAATGCCACGTTATCTTCGAAAATTTCCATATTTCTTGAGTGTGTTTCCCATAAAACCACCATTTTCCCATTCCATTTTGTTTGATTCGATTAGAAATCGGCACCGTTTCGTCGGTTGCTTTCTCCCTCGCAAACTTTTCGAGAATTCTATAATATTCGTTTCGAAAATGTCGGTGCTCTGGCAGGCTCTCAAGTAAGTGCGGTGGAGCGCGTTTGCTCCGATTTGCAGAGAGAACCCCCCGAAAAAATGGTCATTTCTTCTCGATTCTAGGCCCGAAATCTAATTATTTTCTCTCTCCGTTTCCGCTTTTTTGCCATTAATCTCATCTCGCCCGCTTCTTTTTTTTTCAGAAGAATGGAATCGGCGGGCAACTCGTCATCCGAAGAATCCATTTTTCACGAGCAGGTTTCTCCTTTTCCCAATTCAGTTATCTATCACGAAACCTACCGTAATCGTTCAAATAAACGTTGGCACACTTGCGGCGTCTAGTTACTGTAGGCTAGTTTACCAGAATTGCGTCAACAAGCACTTTCTGATGGTTACCGGAAATGTGCCAAGCACCCGAATGACGTCATGATTGTGTTGGCGCGCTTTTTTTTGCCTCACTACCGTACCTGGTTGACGCATTTCCGATGTATTATTCTGACATGTATGCCTTTTCTCAATGTTTGGTTTTCCAAGTGAAATGTGATTAGGGGGGAAACGAATATTATGCATTTCCGGCGTTTTCTTCTTCTCCCGCCGACTCCAAGTATCTTTTCTTTTCAGACCCGAAAATTGTTCCGTTTGTGCGACACTCAGAACGTCGGCCTCATCGGAAAGGTATGTAGCCGCGAGTGTGCCAGCAAAATTCGCTGGCGCACTTTCGGTGCTCCCTAGAATACCGTACTTTTCAGTCGGATTTGGACGTGCTCTCGGACCTGATTCCCCCCGAAGATCTTCAGAAAATCGCGCGTTTTATCGGCGAACAGAAGGTGAACGAGCCGGCGTTTTGTCGCATTCTCAGTAAGTATAAAAGATGTAGTCGTCTCGGAAAACAATAATATTATTTTTCCAGAAGCGATCGTCAGCCAGGCACTTCAACAAGACATGACTCGCGTAGAAACCACGGTGGCCTAGAACTTTCCGTCTGTGGCCTAGAATAATCCGAACCAATTTCAGGCGCCCATCTTCGAAGCCCATCAATATTTGGCCGAGCCGACGTTGGAAGACGAAATGCGGGCGATTGAGCAGAATAAAGCGTATTTGGACGATCCGCTCACAAAAATTCTAAAGTGAGAAAAGCATTACTGGCTAAGCAAACGCGCTCCACTGCACTCTCCCGATATGTTTTTTGCTGAAACTTTATCAAAAGTGCTCAAAATCGGGATTTTTCAAGTCAAAAATTAAAAAAAAAATGCAACGTGCAACGGAGCGCGTTTGCTTAGCCAATATTTAATAAATTTCCATGCAGAAAGGAGCTAGAAGACATCAAAAAGTACGAAGAAGCGCAAACGCCCGTTGACAACAACATCATCAAAAAGCCGATGTACCGTCCGATCCAACCGGAACCGTCCATTCCGAAAGTGTCCTCGTTGGCCGAAGAACTCAATGCGATCGGCAAAAAAGCAAAGGAGCCGGAGGAGGAGCTCACGCAGCCAGACCGCATTTTCAAAGTGGTTTTCGTCGGCGATTCGGCCGTCGGAAAGACGTGTTTCCTGCACAGGTACGGACGGTATCCAGAAAGCGCCAGACTTGCTGACGTCTTTTCAGATTCTGCCACAATCGCTTCAAACCGCTGTTCAACGCGACGATCGGAGTGGATTTCACGGTGAAGACGATGAAAATTCCGCCGAATCGTGCGATTGCCATGCAGTTGTGGGACACTGCCGGACAGGAAAGGTTAGCGCGTTTACAGTGCCTTGGCGCAATTTAGGGCACTGCTCTCGTAAAAATAAACTTCCGAATAGGGCTGAAAAAAATCGTTTCACGGATCTGTAAAACCGTAGAGTACTTTGAAATCCAGAAAGCACGAAAATGTGAAAATTTGCACGAAAAAAAAAGAAGAAAACTACTATTTTTTGCAGAAATTCATCATTTCTAACATGCAAATGTTTGCAGATTCCGTTCGATCACAAAGCAGTACTTCCGCAAGGCGGACGGCGTCGTTCTCATGTTCGACGTCACTTCGGAGCAGTCATTTCTGAACGTCCGCAACTGGATCGACTCTGTGCGCGCGGGCGTCGACGAGGCGACCGTCATGTGTCTCGTCGGCAACAAAGTCGACCTGTTCGGCAGTGACATCGCCCGCAGTGGAGTGTACCGCGCCGCCGAGAGACTTGCCCTGGTACGAATCCACGTGTGTTTAGCGATAAAATGAGTCTGCCTGATGCGAGACTACAAACTACACCGTTTTGGGCGCTGCTCTCGTGATTTTTTCTCTGCCTCAACGTTGAAAAGTCACGGAAAGCTTCTGGAGAATACAGGAAAAATCACGGTCTTTTTCGCAAGATTAGCCACGAAAAACCGATAATTTCTCATTTGTCTCTCGATAGACCGATTGTATAGGCTATTACGAATTTTTTAAGCGCAAGAGCGTTAAATTTGGTCAAGTCGCAAATCACATTTATCCATTTGAAGGTTTTTGGCTAAAACTGCGTGAATTTCAGTTGCTTTTCGGTAGTTTTCGCGGTTCGAGCGCTCAAAATGCTTGTATTTACGAGATTTATCATTCTCAAAACCAATTCTGTCTGAAAACGGTCAAGAAAGCGCAAAATGAGAAGAGCAGTTTTAAGGCGGCGATCGGCGGCGAAGGCGAAAAAGCTAAGTACGCGAAAAATGCGCCAAAACGTCATTAATTCTGCGAATTAGTGTGTTTTCATGTCGAACATGCATTTTTCATCGCCTTTGACCACAAAAATCAGAGAAAACCTGCTCAATTCATGACAACGCCATTTGGCCGAGGCGACGCCCATATTGTCAGCTCTGGAGACCGTGAAAATGTCAAAATTTCTTCCAGGAATTCAAGATCCCGTTCTTCGAGACGAGCGCCTACACCGGCTACGGAATCGAGAATTGCATGCGTCAGATGGCCGAGTGAGTGCTTCTCTCTTCTTCGGCCGTGGCCTAGAATCCCCCAACTCTTCTTCCAGAAGTCTTCAGCGCCGCGAGGACAATCATTTGGAGGAGGCGCTCAAGTTGGACATGAACGCGAATTTCAAAAAACGCAGCTGGTGCTGCATCTGATCACTTTTGCCATTAAAACTGAAATTATGGGTTTAGGGGACCAAAAAGTAGTTGTGATATGTTATGTTTGCTTGAAAATATTCGAGGGCTTGTGAATAATAAATAATAATAATAATAATATTTGTATTGAATTGAATAAACTATTCTCAAAAACAAACAAGCAACAATTGTTTCTCTAAAAAACGATCAAAATGAATGCGAGTTCAAAGGGTCTTCGTCGTGAAGTTGTTCGAGTTGAAATAGACGAAAAGGCAGGCGGCGGAGAGCCGAGTGAACAGTTCCTCCCGTTCCAGCCCGTGCGACCACTCCACACTTCCCCACGTCTCCGCCTGAGTTCTCTGCTCGAGGGTCGCCGCGTCAACCGCCTGTTCCGCTTCGATGTGGTGGCGCAGAGCGTTGTACGCGATCACAAACGATTTCACCTAAAAGAAGTGGAACGATCTTGGCACGATCTTCAACTATAGCCACCCCTTTGACCGGATGTCTATAGTCTTTCATAAATTACTATCAAGTACAGAAACTGACCGATTCGGTGGCGTACTGTAGTCCGATGAGCGCCGGGAAATTGTGCTGACGTACCCATCTCTCGATCTTCTCCTTGTCCGCCTTGCTCGCCACGTTACAGTCTGCAATATTTCGTATTTATGATCAATCTCAAGGTTTTGCAGTTTCGCTAAAATTGAGCTTCAGTTTGACTAAATTAAACATGGAACGTTTTGTCTTGAATCAAGGCCGACACAGGCTTTTCGAAAGCTTTTTAAGGATTCCACTTTTGACCCACTTGCATCAATCCGATCGGACTTTGCAAGCTTCTTTGACTCGGACTAAATTATGTTGGATCCAAGTTTTGGGCCCATCCGATCATCTAGTCAGGAGACAAACAGGTTTTAGGCAGAAAAGAAGCCTGCAAAGTTCAAGCCCGATCGGATTAGTGCAAGTGGGTCAAAAGTCAGCCTTCGAAAATCCCGGACAGGCGTTTTGCCCAACTTTTGATTTAAGAAATCCCAAAATGCAAAGAACACGAACCGAGAATGCTCTCACTGGGGCGCACATTCGTGCCGAGGTCCGCGTTGACGTTGCGGATGAGCGGCGTCCACTGCTCCTCCTGATATCTCTGCAGCTTCGAGCTTTCCGTGTTGAAGTAGAGCACCGTGTCGCCGTCGACGTAATCGAGAATCTTGCGCGTGATTGTGTCACTAAACAGGAACTACATAGGAATCGTCCAATAACGGCCAGCACTAACGGAGACTGTTCCAACGGATTGTCCTGTGCGGTGAACGCGAGTCCGGTGAGTCTCATTTGACCGAGTTGGAGGTGTTCGTCCTGGGCGGACCACTCTTCGGCGATCGCCAGCGCTAGAGGGTACGAGTTCAGCTGAAAATTTCGTAGAATTCCTATTACCACAGCAGGGAAATAATGAAAAACTTGGTAGAACACGTGCTGAATTGTTCGCCAAGGTCTACTTGATTTTAAAGGACCTCCAAAGGCGTTCCCTCTGGAAGTCCTATAAAATCGCGTAGGCGAGTTCCGCAAAATCTAAAAAAGCCGAGAAATTCAGCATGTGCTATTGTGCAACCATAATTTTCCTTCCCAATATTTCCAACACTTGTGAAACCCGAAAACTCCCCTAATCACAGTTCTCCACCACGTTTTGTTGTTCCTTGCCCCAAATCCTTGCCGATTTCTCACTTTTAACCCCGAGTTGTGCCACGTCATCAATCACTTTGGATTATGTGTGGGTTTATTTACTTCGAAACGCTCCGAAAAGAAACTTCTGGAAGGTTTCCCATAAAAGTGATGAAATTTGAGAAACCTCGCCGCAAATATTGTCGTCTCTCTTTTTCTCTGCGCCGTTTTTCCCCCGATCAGTTAGATCGCGTGTGACTTTGGAGGGTAGAGTGACGTGTCGACACGAAAATCGAGGAATTGTCGGGTCGATTATCGAAGGGGATGATCGACAAAAATAATGTCGATCGACAAAAAATGCGCGGACTGTCGACAAATTATCGATCGACAACACTTGCCCAATTTACTTGTCGACAGAATGTCGATAGTCGACAAAATATTTTTTGTCGACAATCGACAATGTCGATTGTCGACAATCGCTCATTGTCGATAGTCGACAAACTGTCGACAATTTGTCGACAATTTGTCGACATTCCCGTGGCCTAGAAAACATCACGTGTAGTCCGAGAGGACAATAAATTATCATCATTTTTCGAAACTTTTTTTCTGTGTTTATTACTTTTTTTGTACATATGACAATTGTTATAACTAGGGGCCACAACGGGTTTCACGAAACTCAAAAATTCTAAAAAAAATTTTGCTGGAATGTGTTCCCCTACTCTATATGAGTACGCTCCCAATTTTTTTTCCAAAATTTTCGGTACATCCCGAGTTACGCCCATTTAAAGTTGGCCTGTTTTCTCCCGGTCGGCGGCAGAGGAGGGGGCGGAGTCTCGCCTGCAAGTCCGCCGCACGCGTTTTTCGCCTCTGTTTGGTGGCTGAAACCAAAGAGGCAACATATAAATTGAAGAAAAATGATGTTCTAAAAAAGCAAAACATCTTTCAAGGTCAAAAGTTTCGAACCCGACACCTCCAGACTGCCGAGTGAGCACTCTGCCACTGCGCCAAACGGGTGGGGGCGCGCCGACCACCAATGGCAATGAGAAGGTCGGTTTGCGCGGCCCCCTTCCAGGCCACGGAATGTCGACAAATTGTCGACAAATTGTCGACAGTTTATCGACTATCGACACTGAGCGATTGTCGACTATCGACAATGAGCGATTGTCGACAATCGACATTGTCGATTGTCGACAAAAAATATTTTGTCGACTATCGACATTCTGTCGACAAGTAAATTGGGCAAGTGTTGTCGATAGATAATTTGTCGACAGTCCGCTGTCGATCGACATTACTTTTGTCGATACTGTCGACATAAATTTCCTCGACTTTTATCGACTTTTCGACAAACTCTCATGTCGACACGTCACTCTATTGGAGGGCAACTTTGACAAATATTTGCATTACATTATGCCCCCTTTTTTTCCTCATTTTTTTCTGTTTCAAAAATCAATTTTTCACATTTCAGCACCCGATTTCCGCATCGAAAACATGTAAGAACGTCAAATTTTCGGAAACATTAACGAAAAATGACCGCTCACAACGTTGCTCTTCACCTTTTGGTCGTTTTCGTTTTCGCAGTGGTAAGTTCAGTTTCTACTCATCATTTTAAGCACACCAACGTGGTTTTTTTTCCAGTTCCTGATAGTATTATATTGGGTTTGCCGGAAAGCGGATTCGCAAATAATTTCTCGATTTTCTTCGCGAAGATCCAGTCAAACGTCGTTGGCCTCGAAAAAATCCAACGCTTCGGTGAGAACAAGGCTTTTTTCATCTTCTACTCCACTCTACGAATAAAACATGTCATTTTGCAGATAAATCCCCGCCAATGCGCCATAAATCTTGTCACAAATGCGAATCCGGACGTTTTGGATCCTAAAAATGCTCCGCCCGCCTATGTCTAAATGTTGCCTTAACATTTAGAAACCCATGGTATTTCCGTCAATAAACGCTTGTAATTTTCCGTTTTCCCCCAAAATACTGGGGTTTTAACAAAAGAACCTTGAGAATCTGTCCTCCTTGGGTTTTCAGGGTCCGATGATCGAGAAGAATTTTATGGAACTGTTCGCCCCGCTCGTCCGTCTCATTCACCACCGAAACCTCCTGAAAATCGGCGTTTCAAATCATTATTTTTAAGGAGGCGTTGATTTTCCGAAAAAAATCCTTCGAAGCTACCTTGTAGAACTTTTGCCGTTTCGTCAGCGCCGACGCTTGATTCGAGATGAATCGGCGGCAGAAAAAGCTCAAATTCGTGCTCATTTTCACCTAAAAATGCTGAACAATTATTTTCTAATGAATATCACCGATAAACACACTGGACATGGACAGTTTGACACAGAAAACCAAACATTCTGAGCAATATTTATGACTGCGGGGGGCAATGTTCACTGGAAATGCATGCGGAAACGTTTGGCACAAAATAGTAGACAAAGAATGGGAAAAAGGCATGTTGGGGTTATTTACATGTGAAATGGGGCCTAAAACACAAATTAAATTCATGTCTGATGTTTTTCGACTTCTTCGATCAGTCCGTCGACGGTTGACTCGTCCACGAGAACGAATTTGCGGTTCGGCTTGCTGAACATGTGCATTTCGCCTGCAAAAATGGAAAAATTGAAAAGATTCAAACCGAATTTGAAATTTAAACTACCAGTGTAAATATCGAACCACATGGCGTGAAGATCGACGGTCTGCGACACCAGAAACTCCTAAAAGTACGAGTTGTCTCGTTATTTTTTAAATCCTTATATTTTACCTTTAAGAATCCGTGACTGGCCACATTTTCCAACTGCTGAAGAGTGTTGATTTGGGAGAGTTTATCCTCCACGTTCAGCTTATTTTCCGGATCGATTACGGCCGAGAAACTGCAAAGAAAAAGAGGAAAATAGAATCTTTAGAAGTTCTTTCTCGTATATAAAAGGCTTGTTTTTTGACTAAAAAATTAGAAAAATCGTACGTAAAAAGCGGATTATCGGAGACGAATTCGATGGGCCCGGCCTTCTCGTCGGCGAGCCGCTTCTCCAACTTCTTGATGGAGTTGAAGCCGTGCCGCCGCAACCAGTGGTCCATCGGCGACTCCGGATCGAACGATTTCGGGCACTTGTGCAGGTTGTACAGCGTGTTTATGGCCTTGCAGTCCGAGTGTCCGCACACGATCACGTGGTTGATCTTGCCACGTTTCACCGCCAACTCAAGAGCCGCCGGCTCCGTCGTCACCGACACTTCGTACCCCGACGGGCCTGTAAAATTAGATGGATTCAAATTTCAACGCAATATTTTCAACGGAAACCGTCAATTTTTCAAAAGAATATGTTTCCAAATTACCATAATTATTCGCGTGCGGGATCATGTTTCCCGAGTTTCGCACGACGAACATGTCTCCCACTTGGCTTGTCGTGATTCTGAACAAATTTTCGAGTTATTTAGCAATCCAAAAATGGGCGGTACCTAGCGGGAAGCATTCTCGAGTCCATGCACGTGAAAAAGACGGCGGTCGGATGAGGATTGTCGCGAATGTGTTCGAATTGTTTGACAAGATCCTTGCGGACCGTCTGCCGGAATCGGATCACTCCGTCCAGAATCTTCTGAAGTCCCGGCATCTGAAAAACCGCATTTGTATTGTATAAAAATGAGGAGAAGTACGAGAAAAAACGAAATGTGCGGAAGCTTGAGAAAAGAGAAAATGTTCAGAAAAGCCTTTACGGCAAAACCTTCATTATCAGGCAATTATTATACAAAAAAATTCTAAAAAATCAATTTTTGGTCTCCTGAGCACCGGGAGATGTCTCCAAGTCCTTGTACTTGGGGAATCTGAAAAAAAAAGAACTTGAAAAATTGAACATTTTGAAAGAAAAACGTACTTTTGGGGATGGTGGTCCCCGGCGCCTTTTCCTTCGGATTGCACGTGCGGAGCACGCTTTTCAGTGGCCGTGTCTTGAGCCAATTGAGCCTAAAAAAAATGTGGAAAAAAATGGCTGGCAGAATAGGCGAAACAACGCGCCTGACGCCTTTGAATGTCAGGGGCGCGCAGGCGGCCGTCGGCCTGAAAGTGAAGGCGGAAGGGGTCATAACGCCTGAGGTAAAAAGGCACAAATCGCCTTCTGTGTGGACAATAAGGTGTCCGGCGGCCTGTTGTCTCATTCTAGCAAAACATTTTTTGCAATAAGGATGACTACGGAGACTAACACTTAATCGCATGTCAAGTACTGGTGCGACAAAAGAAAAGAATCTCGAATACTGAGCATACATGCTATAATAATCATCTCAAACATTATCACTGAGTTGACAATGCCTCTTCCTTTTCATTTTTTGAATTTTGACAATGTGATATTTGGAAATAGTACGGTCACAGAATGAATGAGGTCTCAAGACACCTTCTTGTCCACACAAAAGACAATCTGTGCCTTTTTACCTCAGGCGTTATCACGCCTTCCGCCTTCACTTTCTGGCCGACGACTGCCTTCGACTTCTTGTGAAAGGCGATAGTTCGCCTTCGCCTGCACCCGACCTTCAAAGGCGTCCTGAAAAATCAAAATTTTCCAATGAAAAAGTGAACAAATTGTCAAATTTCAATGATCACCGCCTGATCTCTGACGATTTCCGCCGCTTCTTATCAATTTCACCCTAAACATTCAACAAAAACAGTAAAAATGATCGTTTTTCGACGGAAACTATGAAAACATTGAAACAGAAACGAGAGAGATAAGAAGCAAACGAGAGACAGAGAGAGACAGAGAGAGAAAGAGAAAGAGAGAAAGAGGGAAAAAGTGATCATTCATTGGAGAGGTTACGTGCCGTTTCGACTGTTACAACACAAAGATTAGACTGATGGGACGCAAGGTGAACTTTTGGCACGGAGACCAGAGAAAATTGCAAAATTTGAGAGATTTTTGAGGAATTCTTGAGACCCCGTACCTGCTGCCGCTGTCGGTTGATGGCGATTTCTCGGTCGGACGGCGGGAATCTGTCAAAGTACAGATTCCAATAGGTCACATCGACGGTTCTGAGAACACGCTTTCCGCCGATCTCTTTTCATTTCAAGACTTTTGGGCCACACTTGCGATTCGATAGGGTTCAAACTTTTCAAGATTCTTGGGCTTGGATTAAAGTATCTCTGGTCCGAGTTTTCTTTTCTGATCCACAAATCTCGGGACCGGATGAAACTTGGTCCCAAAATACTTCAAACCAAGTCCAAGGATAATTGCAAGTGACCCAAAAGACCACCCTGAGTTCGAGTAATTCACCTGCGAGTTCCTCTCAACCATGCCTGCCATTCCTGATCCGGTTCCGTCGGGGAGACGCCACTTTTCGGTGGATCGAATCCTCTGGAATTTCGGAATTGATTGAATGTTCGCTACACTTTCAAAGCAAAACAATTACAAAATCAATCCAACTGTTTCGCTTTATTTTACTTTACGAAATGTTTTCCTCTCACCTGGAAACATTCTGCCGACTGTTCGAAAGTTCATAATATCGGTTTCCAGACGCGTCCTCCGCCACGTAATTCTTTAAAAATGTCAATTTCGCTTCAAACAATCGGAAACAAATTACTTTTTTCGAAAAATCGCCTTTCAAGTATTTCCACAGATTGGAGGCGACTCGGCCCCACGCACCAGGTCGACTCATCTTTTCTGATAAACAATTTTCATAAATGAAAATGGGAAGCGAAACAAAATAAGAACATCGCCATTACAACGATTTTGGAGCGGAAAACCAGCACTAAAATTCCCAGCCCACTTTTTTATTATTCTTAATAATTAACAGAGAAAATATATACTTTGGCGGCTACGCCGAGCCAGAACTGTTCCGGGTCAGAACCCGTCACAACAAGACATTTTGTAACAAGAACAACATGCAGTTCTGTTCTGGCTCGGCGTAGCCTCATATTTTAAATTCTGTGATTAGTTGAACGAAAGAAAAAAAAGCAAAAAGAAATGGGGGATTAAAATGATGGATAACTGGAAAAATCGGATAAAAAGTATTTTTTATGGTTGGCTCATTCAACAGGAAGAAACTCAGATTCAGAAGAGCGGAAAATTTAAAAGCAATGTTTTTCCTGTTTGCATTGCAATCCGGCTTTTTCCGACTAAATGAGCCCATACGAAATAAAGGGACAAAAAGAAAATGACTGGAATTTTCCGGCGATTTCGAGGAGAATTTCATAGTGAAATTGGGATAAATTAGAGGGAAATACCAATTTGTCACAGAATTTTTTAAATCGGCGGCGGTGGCGGCGCAGCGGCGAGCAGGGAGCTCAGATCGGCCGGCCCCGGTGGTGGGGGTGGTGGCGGCGGCAGGAAACTGGGCATCGCTGAAGAGTTCGACGGCGGCGGCACCGGCATCGGCATCGACGACCCTGATCCGTACCATCTGCAAGAATTGCTTTCAGTTTGAGAACGTTTGAGAACGTCAAAATTATTATAATTTCACAAAACAGTTCGAACGAATCCTAAAATTTCACTAAAAAGCCCGCCTACCCCTTAGCTTTGGCTCCGGCTCCCCCACGTGCTCCGGGACTGGTGTAGAAGTCGGAATAGTCCTGCTGCTGCTGTTGGTGCTGTCCGTACGCTCCGACCGTCGCGGCTCCGTACGCTCCAGCGCCGTGTTGTTGGTACTGATTTGCGTAGGCGTATTGTTGGTAGTGATCTGGAAAAGGGACATTTTTCAGAAGTTTCCAGAGTGTTTACAAAGAGAAAATCAGTTGCTAAAGTCACGTTTCCGACTCGAAAACTGAAATGTTGTCAACATCAACAAAGTGTTGTCTTGCGATCCATCAATTCTAGAATTTTCTGGGGGAGACTTCAAAGATGAGGAAAATGCTGGAGAAATCATGTGTTGCCGTAAGGCTGCCCAGTTTACCCGGACTGCAACAGGCTGTCAAGTTGTTCTAACTATCTGAATTACTTCTATGGGTCATATTCGTTCAGTTTCCACTCATTTCAACTCACTAGGGTACCTGGTACATGCACGAGAGTCCACTAAAATTTCTGGAAACCCCTCACTTACCGTAATATCCCTGCATAGCCTGCGTGGCGGGCGTCTGTTCCTCTTCGCCCTTGGGCGGTCCGAACAGTTCGCGCGGGTTCTGGAAGCCTCCGCGATGTGCTCCGCGTCCGGCCGATCCTCCAGCTCCGCCGCCCCGTCCCATTCCCCCATGGTGCATCCCTCCTCTTCCGCCGCCACCTCCGCCCATCGCTCCTTCTCCCGACATTCCGCCCATCGGCACCGCGGCCGGAGTCTCGCCGAGCTCGGCCATCAGAGCAGAGTACTCGTCGTCCATTCCGGCTTCCTGAACATTAGAAATTAGGTAAGGATGGGCAAAATCAAGTACTTACCGAGGCGTACATTCCTTTCGGGTTCTTACAATCCTTGGAAATGTGTCCGTACGCTCCACAGTTCACACATTTAATCTGATTCGTGACGTTCGGCGCGTCGGGGCACTCCCACGATTTGTGCTCGTCTGAGCCGCAGTTCGAGCAGCGGGCGCCACTGAAAACGAGGAAATTGGTACTCGAAATGTATGGAACCGAAGCCGAAAGCTCGGGTTACTGCGAAAATCGAAAACTACGGCCAATTTTCGGTATAACTAAAGATCAGACGATCTTATTGCACTGAAAATTTGACGGAGAACATTGTATATCGAAACTGACAACCAAAATTCAAATTTCGGGTCTCATCGGATACTAGTATAATGAAAAATCCGTGAAAACATACTTGGCGAGGTCCTCCGGCCGGAAAGTGCCATTAAGGAGGGCGAGCTCTCTCAGCTGCAGCTTGCGCAGTTCGTTGTTGTCGGGAAGGGCGGTCGCCTCGGCGATGACCTGCCGGATCTTGTCGCACGCCTTCTTGATCACCGTCATGTCCGTGCCAGTCACGTACGCGTGCAACGGCTCGTTCTCGCCGGGCATCGGACCCATCCGATTCGTCAGTTTTCCCTCTTTTATCGATCCTTTTCCACTGAAAACACGAGAAAGTTGTGGATGAAATCTGGGAATCCGCAGCTTACCGAATAATGATCTTGGCGCCAGTCTCCGCTTCCAAACTCTTCAGCGTGTTTCCACGTGGACCTATCAAAAGACCCACAAAGTTGAGGTCGGGGAAATCCTCCTGCGGAATCCATACTTTGTCGTGCAGACGGATGTTCGGCGCACTAAAACATATTTTTGACATATCAAATTTTCCCTTCTAAAAATCCTCATACCGATAGTCCGCGGGCGGTTTGAAGTTCGGATTGATCTTGAGCAGCGCCTGAATCTTCTCGTGCCTCAACTGCTCCAATTCCTGCCGCTTGCGCACTTCTCTCGTGTTCAGCCGCTTTCCGTTCGCATCGTAAATCGGTTCGGGCGATGGAGATCTGCAAAAACGAACGAAAAATGGACGAAATTCACGGAATCTATCAATTTTTTATCTGAATTATTTAGAGGATTAATCGATTAGAAAATTAATTTCGCTGAAAAAGTGTGTGGAAAAATTATTGATATTTGGGATGTCGCGATCTCTCTAAACGCCTAAAATCGATTAGGATTAGGGCGGAACGCGGCGAGAATCTGGAAAATTCGGGTCTGTTCATTTTCCGACACTTTCACAGCCAATTTCAGCCAGCAAGTAGACCTGTAACACTCGAAATATGTCGTTTTGGGTCAAAATTGTCTAGAAAAATGGCAAATTTTATGGGTTTTCGGGGGGAAATCCTAGATTTTTCTTGCGAAAACTTACCTCTCTCTTCCCTCGGGAACTCCGAAATCGGCCAAACGAAGTTTACGGGTCGCGTCCTCAATTTCGAGTTGAACTGAAATGTCGGGCCAAAAGGCCCGGATATTAGTACGTTTTCGGAATGGCACAATGATTGGCAAATTACAAAAAAGTATGAAAAAAACAAAGAAATCAATTGGAATACCAGCTTCAAACCTGATTTTCCGCTCGGAAATGTGAAGAAATCGGCTTGAAAAACGACGAATCCAAAGGAAAGCTTACCCGATTTTTGGCGAAATTTACTAAAATTGGCAAAATAAACTTACGAAGATAGGCGTTTCGCTGGTCCTCCGTCAGATCCGACGGCAGAATCGTCGGCATTCCCGGCACGAAACTCTTCGTTGTCGACCACCGACTCTTGCGTTCTCTGCAATGATTTTGACATTGAAAACTGCATTTCCATTTCAAACCATCGGTGTTTTGAGTTGCCGGGTAAATTTAGCAGCCGTAAGGCAGCCCACAACAAAAAAAACTAACTTCCTGGCCGGATTGAGTGGCACGACGGCGCCCACTTGGATCGCCTCCACCGGCACTTCTCCGCTCTCGACGGCGGCGGCCAGATCTTCTCGGATGAGCGGATTGATGACAGGCTCCTTGATCCGATGCGGACTGTTCGGCACCATCGACGGCGGCGATCGATCCCTCCGACGGTCGCGGCGATCACGGGACCGACTACGACGGCGCGGAGATCGGGAGGATCGGCGGCGGCGGGAGTCTCGCGAGTCCCGCGGCGATCGCGATCGGCGGTCGCGTGAACGGCTACGATCTTTCTTCTTTCGGTCCTTTTTGCGGTCGCGCGACCTGGAACGGGACCGCTTCGACGAGGATCGGTGCGAAGGAGATTCAGATTCTGAAAAAAGAGGAAAATGAGGATGAATTGCAGAAAATCACTCACTCGCAGCATCTCCGGTTGCGGAAGAGGAAAGCGACGAAATTGTGGGAACGACGAGCGCCGGGGGCGGGGCCAAACGCGAAATGACTCCGGGCGGTGCGATCGGAGCAGCTCCGCCGTTCTTCTCATCCAACTCGCTTCCCCATTTCCGTATGAACGGCATCGGTTCCGTATTTCCGCCAGTTTTCGACATCTGAAAGTTGGAATGAGGGGCAAACACGTGAAAAATGAAAAATAAGATATCAGAAAGCGGTTGATACGCTTCGAAAAATAAGAATAAGCATGCGATAAATCGGGGGAAAATAATATTATTTTTCCAATCAATCGGGAATGAGGAGAAAAGTGATAAATTATGATTCCATGGCGACGGGTTCCTGATTCTCCACACCCGCATCCGCCCCCGCACTCTCGGCCGCCCGTTTCGCCTTCTCGGCACTTCGTTCGGCGGCTATCCGCTTCTCCGGCTCAATTTCGCCGCTCTCGACGATTTTCACGACCATTTGTGGTTTTCCGGACGGAGTTCCCTGCAAAAATGTGGATTTTTTGGGTGAAATCGTTCAGTTTTTGCGTACCTGCTGTTCGATCTGACGGACAATGTTCATTCCCTCGACGACGTAGCCGAAAACGACGTGCTTTCCGTCTAACCAGTCGGTTTTCTCTGTGCAAATGAAGAATTGCGATCCGTTCGTGTTCGCACCGCAATTCGCCATCGAAACTGTGCCGGGCATCGTGTGGCGGAGCTGGAAATGAGAAAGACAACTCAAAATCTGAGCAAAAACGGTAGGAAAAAAGAGAAAAAGGCAAACCGTGAAATTCTCGTCCTCGAACTTTGTTCCGTAGATCGATTTTCCGCCGGTTCCGTCGCCCTTCGTAAAATCGCCGCCTTGCAACATAAATTTGGGAATGATGCGATGGAATGTCGAGCCTGAACAGAGAAATAAATCAATATGGGTCTCGCGACGAACGCAGATATGCACGTAAGCGCAAGGCGGTGCAACGAAGTAGAACTCGCACGGTATGGAACTCGCAGTTGTATTTTAACGTTGCGAGTTCCAAATCGTAACAGATCCATTCGGTGCGTGTTCTACTTCGTTGTAGCACTAGACGCAACGATCGATAGTATTTGTGAAGGGTTGAAAATGATCAAAAAGTGGAGAAAATAGCTGACCTTCATATCCGAATCCGCGTTCTCCGGTGCACAAACACCGGAAGTTCTCGGCGGTGCGGGGCGTCACGTCGGCGCGCAACTCGATCACAATTCGTCCGATGTACCGAATTCCGATCTTCACTCCCAGATAGACACGTGGCAGAATCTTCTCGACGGCCGTCTTCGTTCCTTCCGTGCCGCCCGCGGTCGTTCCGCCGTCTTCCGCCGCCGCCGCATCCCCGGTCGCCTCTCCGCCCCGTCCGTACTTTTTGAGCCACTCGTCGTCGGCCCACACCGGCTTCTGCGAGCGTTCCGTCGCTTTCGGAGGCCGCGCAAAGTTTACACTGAAAATTACGAAACTTGTGTTTGGGTGGAGATGGGAGAATTACGCGTTAAAATTTCGTTTCTAGGGTGATTGTCAGCCTAGAAAGTCGTGTTATCTTTTGATTTTTAGGAATTAGTTCAAAAAGTGACCGAAATTTGTGTCTGCGCTTTTGGGCGGTCCCGTACCGAATGGTCTTTCCGAACAGCTCGCTCTCGTTCATATTATCGATCGCCATGGCGGCGTCCTCGGCCAAATCGAACTCGACGAATCCGAATCCGCGATGTTTGCCCGTCTCGTAGTCCATCGGAATCGAGATGGCGACGACGTCCCCGAACGGAATGAACGCCGCCATCAGCACCTTTTCGGTGACCTCCTCGTTGAATCCGCCCACGTAGAGCGTGCGTTTTCGGTTGTGCGGAAAGTTTGTGTTCATCTGGAAATGAGAGAGTCCGTCCGCTTTGAAAATCACGACGATCGGATAATATACATGAAAGTTGGCTGAAAACCAATTAGATTACAAAAAAAAACTATCTGAAATCGATTCGAAAAGCATTTCATTATCATCTTTGAATAAATTAGGAGGAGAAACAAAAAAGTAAAAGGTTGAAGAAATATTGTGAATTAATAATAGAAAAAGAACGAATTTTGGAAGAATGCATGATTACAGGAGGAAAAGAGAGGATAAGAATAAAACTCAAGATAAGTTTTTTGTTGTTGTTGTTGTTTGAATTTCACAAAAAGATCAAGAGCAAACGATGCGCAAAATTGCATTGCCACCAATGGATTGGGGAAGATTTAAGTGTGTGTGTGGACAAATCGAAAATTCGGAATGGGCGCATCTAGTACCGTCTGCGATCGCGACTTCTGGAACGACGTCTTCCGCCACCGCCGCCTCCGTATCCACCGCCGCCTCCGTATCCACCACCTCCACCGCCTCCGTATCCTCGGCCGCCACCGCCTCCCCATCCGCCACGATCACGATCTCTTCCGCCGCCGCCGCCCCAGCCGCCACCTCCACCGTAGCCGCCCCCGCCTCCGCCACCACCGCCTCCTCCGCCACCGCCGCGTTGCGAAGGATAGTGACCTGCTGCGTCGGCTCTGCAAACATTCGGTATTGATGGTTATTTTAGACGGTTTTCTGTGATTCAAAACGTTTCTGCTATGTTTTCTTAAGCACTTTTAGCATACTCAACCTTTTTTTTTGAAAATCGTTGACAACCAAAAATTGATGTAAAATGCTTTAAAAAACACAGGAAACGGAGCGGAAAAATAGGATTTTCAGGAAAATCCTTGAGAATGGCGCCTAAACCATACACTCACCTTCTTCCACGTTTTCCGTACAATCGGTTTCCCAACTCGGAGGAGATAGCCTTCAAGTGCATGAAATTGCAGAATCCTCCCTTGCTGCACGTGGTCACTTCGTGCTGCCGGCAACGCGACTCACGGAAATCCGTCACCGGACACAGTTCCGCGTAGATCGGCTGACCGTTGAACCTGAAAGAAATTGGGGGTATTGTGGCCTGATTTTTAATGTTTTCTATGAGAAAAAGTGCTCAGATGGCCCCTGTGCCGATATTTCTCCATTTCAAAGTCCGTCCGATCGGACCGTCCAGTGGCACGTTCTCTTCATTGCACTTTACCTCTTTGCCTAGATATTATCGCTTACCATCTATTGTTCAGGTCGTTTTTCGCCTTCTCCGCGTCCTCCTCCTTCATAAACTTGACGTACACGTTGCCGACCATGTGCTCTCCGATGTTCTCGCACACGTTGATCTCCTCGACCTCTCCGTACTTTCTCTCCATCTCCACGAACACCTCCTCGTAGAAGTCGTCAAAGTATCGCTGCTCTTCGTCGTTTCGCTTTCCAACTTCTGTAAACACAATTAAATGGATTTTAGTCTAAAACGCTCTAAAACTGACTGTCAAAAGCGTCGGCTTGACGAACATCCACCACGGGGTTGTGGTAGAAATTTTTGAGCACCACCGTCGGCGAAAAAGTCGGTGTGTGGTGGGCACGAGAGCATTTATCTCCGTGTCGGCACGCTCCCGTCTGAAATTCGAGCATTATTCACTGATTTTTTAAAAACTTTTTTGTGCAAACCTTGAAGAAGAACGAGCAGTTGACTTTGTCCTTCTCGGTTCCGTAAATAGAGGCGAGATACTCGGCTCCGGAGAGCCCGTCGCCGTACGACATCTCGAAACGGCTGGAAAATAAGGGTACAAAATGGAATAACGAGAAAACAGAGCAAATAACGATTTTGGAAGGCGTTGCGGTCTATTTGAGGGAGGATAGCTCAGAAATCAATAGAAGACTGACAAGTGGTGTGTTCAGTGATTTTCCAAATAAAATCGAGAGGTAACATCGCTCTTGAGTTCCATTGGAGGTTTTTATAAAATAAGAACAGAGTGGGAAATGAGAATTATGTGAAAGCTCTATAAATTTCTGGAAACCTGAAATTTCTGCATCTAAAATTCTGAAAATTCCAGAAAATCGGGAGGAGATCGCACGGCGCCGCAAGAAAGTCTAAATCGCTAAAAACTCTGGAAAAACGGCGACACCCGAAAAAAATCGATACCACTTTTCTTGGTTGCGAGTTTTCCGACAATCGCATGAAATGAACTCAAAAAGCACAACTTAACAAGGAAAAGAGCACAAAATCTAGAATCGACAGATAAAAATCGGCGGAACACGGCAAGACCTAAAGTCGGCGCCGAATTTTCTGAAAAATGCCTGAAAATTGGGCGGCCGACGGATCTACAAAAAATGGATTAGGTTCTGGAAAATTATCGATTCCGGATCGTCTCGTTTCGAGCACAAAACCGCACGATTCTCGTCTTTTTTTGCGGTTCTGCCGTCGACTGATTCGAATTCGAAACGCAGCAGTGCGGCGCGGTTTTGTGGGCGGAGTCCGCCGCGCGCGGTGCAAACACGCCGCACACTTTTTCGGCAATTATTGGGAGCGCGTCGAATCTTGTGAGCAAAAAATGAGCAGAAAACCAGTTGAAAAGGTGACAAAGAAAAGAATCTGAAAAAAAGATAAAGCATTTGTCAATCTGAAAATGACATTAACTCTGTTATTTTACCTGAAAAAATTAAAATCTAAAATCTTTATTGCTTCAAGTAGACATGCCATAGAAATTTGTTCAAATTATGCGTTTTCGTCTATTAAAATGGGCTAAAAAGTGAAATTCATCTACAGTAATCGGTGGACATCATCAGGGCGCGGTGCAAATAAATAGGGGGCGAGAAATAAATAAATTATGCAAAAATTAAAATAAAATGTAGGTAAGTACAAATGCTGACAATTTTTCACTGCAATTCCACATAGTTCGAGGGAAAAAGTCCGGATTTCGAGGGGTCCGTCGCCTTGTGGCCACTCCACCACTCGGCTTCCGATTTGTCCGTGACAACGATGACGTCACCGGATTTGAAGGAAAGTTCGTCCGCCTGCGAAGCATCGTAGTCGTAGAGGGCGTTCGCTTTCGGATGGGCCGCCGATTTCGATGGGGATCCGACGGAATTCTGCAAATTACACATTGAATTTATGAAAAACAGTGCAATATTATAGCGCGAAAGTTGAATTTTCTATATTTTCATTTCTCATTTCGTTCGGAATTGAGCAGTATTGCATTGTTCATCAATAACGGAAAGCTCGCCGTCGAAAAAGAGCATTTTTCATTCAAAAATTACGAAAATGTTGCAAATCTCACCTCTAACACCTTGACATAGTCGCCCGGGAACCAGCCGGCAATCGGTTTTCCGTCCCTGATCAGCTCGCCCTCCCACCAGCCGGCCGCCGATTTCTCGCGCACTTTCACCGTTTCGCCGAGCTTGATACCCAGTTGATTGGGCGCCGAAGCGGTGAAATCGACAATAACTTGTGCTTCGCAAATGACTTGCGGCGGCGACGCGATTTGTGCAGAAGTGGGCGTGACCTGTTGCGCCGGCGCCGCGGCCTTCTGCACGTAGTTGGCCGGGAAAATGCCCTCCTTTCCGTTGCAACGACCCTTCCACCAGTCGTCGTTTCTGAATATTTTAGGACATAAAGAGGCGGGGGAGAAAACTCGATTGAAACCTGGGAATTTTTCGTTTTGGCATGTTTTCAAGCAGAAAAATTTGGAAAATGAGGTGAAATTCAATCAAAAAGGGGTGTCAAGAGCAGGCGGGACTCACTTCTCGAGCACCACAATCGTGTCGCCCGTCTTGAGTGCCAAATCGGTCGATTCGGTGGCGTCAAAGTCGTAGATGACCGTGTAGAGCGAGTCGTCGTCTGCAAAAACAAAAACATTTTCGATTTGCGTTAGAAATGCTCACCTTGTCCGGCGGCAAGCGTCAAATCGGCCGGCACCACGTCGTACTGTGCTCCGACTGCTCCGACGACCCCGTTCTGCGGCGGTTTCGATGGCGACGTGATCGGAGTGGTCTGTCCTCCGACCTCCTTCACATAACTCTTTGGGAACCATCCGGTCTCGCCGGCCGGGTTCCGTCCCTTCCACTTCATTTCCTGCTTCTCGAGCACCTCGATGAGGTCGCCTTTCGCGAAAGAGAGGTCCTCTTCGTTGCGCGCGCGCCACTGGAACTGCGCGACGCACTGCGACATGACCGTGGCCGGAGGCGGCGCCGGAACGACCACTTGCGGATCCGTCGCTCCCATCGCCTTCGCGATCTCCGCTTTCCGTGCCGCGCGAGCTCCGATCTGGTCGAGCGACGAGCTCGGCGTGATGTTCGGCGGCATGTTCTGGATGGGCGGTTCGGTGGCCGCGTGCTGCGGAACTGCCGCAATCGCTTCCACAAACGCTTCGGGGAACCAGCCGACCTTCTCGCGGAGCTGCCCGGCCCGCCATCCCGGCTCGGCGGCATGCGACTGGAACACGATGATGACGTCGCCGGGCTCGAACGAGAGCTCGTCTTCGGAGCGCGCCTCGAACGCGAACAACGCGCGGCACTTGTAAGTTTCGTGCGTGTTGAACGAGGATTGGTCGACGGCCTTGCGAGCTCCCGGGGCTTGCGGAGCAGTCCTCTGTGCGCCGAACGGATCTTTTTCTGTTTCGGCTCCAAAGCTTCCAAAATCCGAGTCGAATTGCTGGCTAGCCTGATTGTTGTCAAATTGGGCGAACGCGTCGTTGAAGTTTGTGGGGAATCCGTTTTGAGCTGGAGTCGGGGCTTGTTGTACGTGGTGCGCCGCCTCGAACTCTCCGATCTTGCTCTTCGCGTGCGTTTGAGCATGAACCAAAAGCTCAAACACTTTTCGGTACTCCTCGCGGCGACCCACGAGTTTCTGGTACACCTCCTCCTGGTACTTCTCTTTCTTCGCCGCCAACGTCTCCACCTGCTTGATCGTCTTGTCCCTCTCCGCGAGCAGTTCCGCGGAAGCGTCTTCTATTGCCTGCCGCATGACGTCACGCCGCCGTCGGAACGCCTCCAGATCGTTCTTGCGCTGCGTCGTCTCTTTGTGCGCACTCTGCTTCTGTAGCAGTTGGTGCCCGAGCTCCTGCGATTCGATGGCCGTCTGAAACTTCGGAACAGGATTAGAAATGACAAAAGCAAAGCAAAAAAGAGTGCTTCAGATGGCCCCTGTGCCGATATTTCTCCATTTCCAAGTCCGTCCGATCGGACCGTCCAGTGGCACGTTCTCTTCATTGCACCATGGGGATTGAACTGACGACCTTATGGTCGAAAGACGATAGCGTTAACCACAACGTCATTGGGGACATCGAAAAGAGGGTAGAGGTGAATGTACAAAATGTGCAAGGGTCTACTAGGAGAGGTGTAGATTAGGCTGGTCGACCAGCCTAGTGTAGATGTTGATTCCCCCACGAACCTTCTGGTTGGTCTCCTGCAACTGTTTGATCCTCGTCACCTTCTCGTCCCTCGACGAGCGCATCGCCTCAATGGATTCGGTCACTTCGGCCACCGAATCCTTTGCTTTTCCTATGTCCATCTCGATGTCGGTCGCCTTCTCGTCGAGTGCCTGCAGCTGGAACTGCAGCGTCTTCTCCCTCTGCTGTCTCTGCGCGAGTCGCTCGTTCTCCTGCTGCTTCTGGTTCTGCATCTGCTTCACGCGGGCCTTCTCCATCTGCGCCTTCCGTATCCGCTCCTCCTCCTCCTTCCGCTTCTCCATTTCTGCGCGCCGTTTCCGCTCCTCCTCCTCCCGCTGCGCCTCGATCCTCCGCTGCCTTTCGAGCTCCGCTTGCCGTTCCGCTTCCGCCTGTCGCTCTTTTTCTTGCCGTTCCCGCTCCCGTTTCGCCTCCTCCTCCCGCTCCTTTTTCTCTAGTTCTGCCCTCCGTCGTTGCTCCTCTTCCTCGAGAATCTGACGTCTTCTCTCCAATTCCGCTTGTCCCTTCGCAAAATTATCCTGTCGTTTGTCCTCGAACGTCTTCGGCGCCGGCGTCTTTTGCGGCGGCTCCGCTCCCGGCTCGAGTTCCGGAGTGTTATTGGCCGAGCGCGAGTTGATGCCGCACATTCGCACGAGCTCCGGCGGCGTGACTTTCGGCAGCGCGTAGCCAGCCTTGAACATCTCGATCATGTACTGCGAGATCGCGTACTCCTCCACCGACAACTTTCCGTCCTTGTTCACATCCGAAAGGAACCAGATGTGCGCCAGCACGCTCGTCGCCAATCCCGACAATCCGAGGGCGCTGCGTCCGATCTGACTGCTCAGCGAGCCGACGCGATCCTTGTCGAGCGCGTTGAACAGTTGCGAGTATTTGAGTTTGTGGTGATGCGGAATCGCCCAATTCTCCAATTGACGTCCGTCGAAAACCACTCGATCTGTGGAAGACGGACTGCCGGCAGCCGCCGCCGAGATCGAGTTGTGACGTGGCGGAGTTTGTGAGATGGCAATTGAGCCGGCCGGAGCGGTCGGGTATGTCGGAAACGCCTGCGATTGGGACATGCGACGTTCGGGGGTGCCCGAGAAGTCGACACTTCCGTGCCGACTGCCGGGCCACGGCGGCTGCTGCATCATCGGCTGATGGATCGGAGTGCTTCTGGCGGGCACGACGAGTAGCGAGGGCGGTAATTGGGGAGGCAGCGGCATTCCAGCGAGGCAGTTTAACGCCAGACGCATCGCGATCGAATACTCGCGAATGTCGAGCCGACCGTCTTTGTCCAGGTCGGACAAGGCCCAGATCTGCAAAAATATTTCTACTTGTGATGGGTTTTTTTAATTGAAAATGTTCCTATAATTTCCGCAAACGGGACTTGAAGTAAAGATTTGAATTTAGCTCTAAAATGTCACTTTTTGTGGAGGAGCGCGCTTGCGCCTCTTGCAAACTCTGGAGTACTAATAATTTTCGCTTTTTTTGCAAATGTTCACCTGGGAAAGAAGCTGGGTAGGCAAATTGCTCCTCATGAGTGCATTTCTGGCGGTGACGGCGTCCATGTATGGCTGTCCGGCCGTCAATTGGCCGAACATGGCCGCATTCTTCTGATACTCCGCCTCGGACACTTCCCACGGATTCGCCATTAGTTCTGAAAACGTGTAATAGCTCTATCAACTACTATTATATGAGTCACAGTTAAAATATAAACAGTGAAGAGAACGACAGCAAAACGGAGGTGGGGGTCGAATGAGAAGGGAAAAAGAGGGAAGCGGGCGCGGAGACGCAGACGCAATCGGGCGACCGAAAGGAAACAAGGAGAGGCACGTCATCTTGCGAAGAATCGAAGCCAATTATGGTTGTTCTGTGGGAACGCCATGAATTGTAGAATTTTTCCATTAAACTTTTTATAAATTTCTATAAATCACAAAAACTTCTCTCAAAACTAATAGTAACAAAAGAGTTGTGCATAGAAGCCGAAGTTTGGATGCGAAAAGAAGAAAGGCCTGGGGAAAAGCTCTCGTTCTTTTTATTTCTTTCGCCTTGCTCGGTGCTGCGAGCGAGCGAAAAGAGCCGGGGAAGGGAAGAGAAACGAAAGGGAAAAGAGAGCACATCGATATTTTCGTCGGCCGGCGCAAGCTCTCGCGCAGAGAGGTCCACGAGAGCACAAACGGAACTTTTGGGGGCGAAAGGGGGAAGGGGTGCTTATGTAAATTGTGGTGGACGGACGCTTTCAAACGGGCCGAATTGAATGGGAAAAGTATCTCGGACAAAACCGAAACAAATCTTGTACTCACAAATTCAAAAATAATTGGCTCTCTACTCGAATTATTGAATTATTTATTATAGCTCACCGAGCACAGATCTTAAAAGTTAGAAAGCTACACGTTAGAAAGGAATGAGAGATCGGAGAATCACGGAAAGATTACTGGTTCCTCTGATATCGGTTGCCGGGCGGTCCGCGTTGCATTCGTCCGTCGTCGGCCCTTCGATCGACTGTGCCGGCGGGCAGCGGAAGCGAAGTGATGTCCGGGGTGTCCGAGAAGACCATCATGAACTCGCCGGCCTTCTTGCAGTCGCCGTTCTTGCCCACGTTCAGAGTCAGGCCGCCCTAAAAAATTAAACATTTTGTCAATTTTCTAGCAAATTTGGACAAAACCTGGAAAATTGAGGTGTAAGCGCTTCGAAACTTCAAAATATCGCCTCCTTTGAATGTTTCGGTGAATTCTGGATTCATAATAGACGCGCTGATCGATCCTGCAACATTTTCAACTTGTCTCTGATAATTTCTTGTGAATTACTGAAGTACCTGTCGCATCGGCCACTCGCATCGTTATTATCGATCCATTTTGCGTTCTTCGATATTGTCCTGCAAAATTTATGTTTATTTCTCATTTTAGTCAGTTTTTCACGAACCTGGATCTAAGACAATAACGGTGGTGTTTAATCCATTCATATTTGGCTGAAGTTGACTGAGTGGAATGTCTCCGGACATCTGAAAATCAAGATTTTATTGACTTTCAACCGAAAAACAAAAAGCATTCACATTTCCAATCGAAAATCAGATGATATCACGCGAATCGATACCGGCTCGAAATTCGGTTCGCTAGAGCGCATTTGCAAGTTCACCCCTAAAGTATAAATATTCAAAACGATTTTCACACTGAAAAATCTACAAAAACATCGCAAAAATAGATTTTTCATATCGAAAGGAAAAACATTGACATAACAAAAATCAATAGGACCTAATCATAGCTTGGAATTTCAATGGAAAAACTGTTCTAGACAAGTCCCCAAAAATAGCCAAATTTTCTTGTATTCTTGTATAGAAGAACACTTTTTGAAAGGAATTTGGCACAAATCTTAGCGATTTTCGAGAGCTCTTCGAGGCGTACGGGCGGTCCAACATAATAGAATTGCGCAGAAAAGAACCGCAACATAATAGAACTGGTTTTGTGTATTTATATGAGCATTTTGTCCGTTCCTCTCAATTAACTTTCGCAAAATTGTTCGTCTCTCGAACAATTAAGCAGAAAACCACAGTTTATGCCTAGAAAATTGGTTTCCTTTCGTTTTTGATAGTACAATAAAATTATTTTCTGTGGGTTTTCGAAGAGGGATCACGACGGAAGTGAAATTAATGAATGCAGTAAATCGATCACGAGATTCAAAAACTATCTTTTTCTCTACGAAACAATTATTCTACAGAAAGGTTTAAAAGGCGCTCCAAACAGTTATATTGTGGCCGGTTCTATTCTGCAAAGTTCTATTCTGCGTAGTTCTATTATGTCGCGGTTCTATTCTGCGCACGCTATTTGGGAGGCGTGTCCTTGGCTTGCTGCTAACTCCGATTCGAACCTTTCTTTTAAACAGAAAACAAGTAAATCTTCACCTTTTCACAACTTTAAAAATTTTCCAATAACAGTTGAGTTCTTTATAAGGACAAAGTTAACAAGGAATAACGCAAAAAGAAGCAAGAAAAATTGAAACAAAACGGATTTTATTCATCGGGCTCCTCGATTTTCACGACTTTGTCGATGCCCAAGTACGCGAGCAACTCATTATATTCATCCGTGGCACTTTTCTTCACTGGCGGCTCTTCTTCTTCTTTTTCTTTTTCGTCTTTATTCGGCTCCACGTCCGGAATGTTTTCAGGGCTCAAAATGGGAGCATTGTGGAGTTCGGTGAGATCCGGCTTCTTCTCCTCTTCATCTTCATCCCAAACCGGTTCCTCTTTGACGTCCAAAAGAGCGGTCAGTCTCGGACGAGAGCACTTCTTCCCTTTCGCCGCTCGTTTCCTTTTTCGTCCCGGCTCCTTTACCTTCAACTCCAGACCTCCCTCCTTGAACTCTTTGTACCACACAATCCGTCCGAGCTTTCCCAATTCGACGTCCGCCTTATCGCGCAGCTCGGTCAGAAACTGCGCGTTGACGGGAGTGCTCGAGGCGAAAATCAGTCGAACTCTCGTCTGCACATCGAATTGTTTCATTTTATGGATGTTCGGCGCCAGCGAATATCGGAATCTAAATGTTTAAATTGGACGATGCGAATGAAATGGGAATTCAAGTACCGTCCGCTAAAGCTGTTCGGATGTCGGGGAGATTTTCGCGACTCCGCGTAATGCTTCCACAACTCGGTCAGATTGTACGGCTGCGTCGCCGTGTTCGCCTTTCCGACCAGGTACGCGAGCATTTCCTCGTCCTCTTTCGATGTGAACTTGCAATGATTGTCCGATCCGGGAAGGGGGTACAGAGTCAGTCCGCCCGGCGCGTGCTCGTCGTACCACACAATGTGTCCCTTTTCGTCCACCTCCACACTCGCCTCGCTTCGCAGTTCTTCCAAAAAATCGCCGTTCACAGGAGTTCGCGTGGCAAACAGGATTTGCACTTTTGTCTGCACATCCAAATCGTTTCTTTCATGAATGTTTCCTGCCAAACTATGACGAAATCTGAAAATTCTGCAATATTATTCGGTGTCTAGCACAAAAACGGACCGATTAATAAGGCACTGAGTTTGTCGGATGGTTCTGCCGGTGCTCGCGTAGTCATTCCACAATTCCGTGAAGTTCTGTCGATGCTTCTCCACTCGACTCTTGCACTTTTCCACGAGGAACTCCATCATATCCCTGTCCTCCTCCTCACTGAATCGAACGAGCGGCGCGCGGAATCGTCCGCCGGGCGCCTCTAATTCCAGTCCATCCGGCTCAAGAGACTTGTACCGAATGATTCGGCCCTCCAGATCCACATCGACGAACGCGATCTTTTTGATCTCCTCGAGAAAGTTCAGGTCGACGGGCGTGCTCGACGCGAACAACATTTTCACTTTTGTTTTCGTGTCAAACTCTTTTATCAAGTGTATGTTCGGCGCGATCGCTTGTCGGAATCTGTGCGAAACATACATTTCAGTGAAGTTGAGTGCCCGATCTTTGCAGGCTTCTTGGACTTGAATTAAAGTATTTTGGGTCCTGATCCCGAGATATGTCGATCAGAGGTCGAGAAGACCGCAATTTTTGCGAAAACTCGGCCTTTGATCCTCATATCTCGGGATCAGATAATCCGTTCGGTCCGAAATTTGGACCCAAAATACTTCAATCCAAGTTCAAGAAGTCTGCAAAGTTTGGGTGCGATTGTATCATTAAAAGTGGTTCCATCAGGCAAGTCAATCTCACCGGCACTCCATGCTCTTCACGGGGCGATCCGTGCCGCGCGTCTCTTTGAACTCTTGCCACGTGGCTTTCATCTGGAGCACCGCTCCCTTCTCCGCTTTTTCCGCCAAAAAGTTTAGCATATCTTTTTTTTCGACATAGCTGAATCGTGTCGAAGGCATTCGAGCCATTCTGAAATTATTTATTGTAGGCCTTGTTTATCATTTTTCAGAGAAAAATAGGGAAAAGTGAAACCCAAAACGTTAAAATAGGCAACAACTTGATATAAATTCATTTCAAATGGAAGCAAGTAAAACAAAAGTGCGACAGAGCGCGATAACAATTAACAAAGCTACTAGACATATTCCGGCTCCTCAATTTTAACCAGTTCTTCCTGTTTGAAATATTCGAGAAGATGCGAATTTTCTTGATGAGACGACGTCAAAATGATCGGATCTTCTTCCCAGACGGGCTCCTCCTTCACTTCCATCACTTCTTCCACTTTGGCTCTTTTCACTTTCGGTCCCTCGCTTTTCGTTCTCAATTCCAGACCGCCCAACTCTTTGTAGCAGACAATCCGCGAGAACTTGTCCACTTTCACCTCCGCGTGCCGTCTCAATCGGATCAGAAACGATTCCTGAAGGGGTGTGCTCGAGCCGAACAGTATCATCACTTTAGTTTCCATGTCCAGATCGTCGATTTCCGGAATGCGCATTGCCACGGCTCGGAATCTAAAGGAAAGGGTTCGTCGAAAGTGTGACGAAAGGTCTGAAACGAACATTTGCGCAAGCGCCTTTTCATTTCAAATTGCGCAGGCGCAAATGCTCGTTTCCGACCTATCATCACACTCTCGGGTGTTACATTTCTAGCACGAACCGTCTGTACACATCCCACGCGGGTCTCTTCGTCCTTCCCGATCTCGCGTACTCCTCCCACACCTCGACCATCTGCTGCGGCACTCTTATCCCTCTGAACTTTTCCGTCAGAAACGCCAGCATATCTCGCAACTCTTCCGACTCGAACACATTCCGACTGTGCTGGTAGACTGATAGTCGGAGGCCGCCCTTCGCGAATTCCGTGTACTGGAGAATACGGCGTTGCGCGCTCAGAACCACTTCCGCGCCGTCTCTCATCAGGACAGTGAAGAATTTGTCGACGGGAGTGCTGGAGGCGAAGAGCATCCGGGCCTTGGTCGACACGTCGAACTTCCCCATTTGATGGATTCTCGGCGCCAACTCTGCGAATCGTTCTCGAATCACTTCCAGCGATCTCGTCGTTCTTCCCGACACGACGAACTCTCTCCATACCATTGACATGTCCAGTGGCCGCGTCGTCTCTCTACTCTTGTCCGCCAAAAACCGTATCATCTCAATGTCTTCCGTCTGCGCGTTCGGAAGTATGGGCGAAAAGGGGAGTAGGAGTTCGAGGCCGCCCTTCTCGAATGCCCTGTAAAGAGTGATCCTTCCGAAGATATCCACCTCGACCTCGGCGTCCTTTCGCAGATCCTCCAGGAACTGCTTGTCGACGGGCGTGTTCGAAGCGAACAACATCAGAACTCGCGTGTCCACATCGAAATCCGTCATCAGATGGATCCTCGGCGCTATTTTCTCTCGGAATCGTTTGCTGATCGAGCTGGCGGAAGACGTGGAGAAGCCGTTGAGCACGTATCCGCTCCAGAACTTGTTCATGTTCAGCGACATTCGCGTTTTTCTCGCGTGCTCGGCCAGACACTTCAACATTTGCGCGTCGCGCTCCACCCAATCCATTCCGTCGAACGAGACGATTCGCCCGAACGAGTCGATTTCGAGCGTCGTCTGTTCTTTGAGCATTTTCAAAAATTCGCTATCCACCGGAGTTTTCGAGGCGAACAGCAGCATCACTCGCGTCTCCACATCGAACTCTTCCATTTGATGGATTTTCGGAGCGATATGGTATCGGAATCTGGAAAAAATGTTCGAATTTCGTCCTAAAATTATTTCAAAATCTGCCCGCCGCCAGTCAGGCCACGCTCCCTTTTCCAACTTTCGGAAATGATGACCTCGTGAGGAGACTGTCCGCCGATCGAAAGCTCTGCCCCTCCGCCACGTATTCTTTCCACAACGCCACCATACTCAGCTTCTCCTTTCGAATTCGCGCCCTTCCGATCAGGTATCTCAACATCTCCATCTCTTCCTCTTTGCTGAAATTGTACCGGATCGGCGCCACCTCTTCCACTTCTTCTTCTTCTTTTTCCTCTGCGCTCTCTTCATTTTCACTATCCGTTCCCGTCGTGCTCTTCATTCCGTCATATCGTACAATTCGCCGCGAACCGTCCACCAGAATATCCGCTTTTTCGTTCAGCACCTTGAGAAACGCGTCGTTGACCGGCGTTTTCGAAGCGAACAGCATCAGCAACTTTGTCTCCGTGTCGAACAGACGGTTCGGCAGTTTATGGATGCGCGGCGCCAGCTGATTTCGGAATCTGCAAAGCTGGCAAGTGAGAGCTCCACCGAAATATATTTGAAAATAACTAAAATTCAAGAATTTCCTGTCTATAACCTTCAATTCTAGGTTCAAAATGTGCACAAACAGCAATTTCCGCTATTTAACAGAAACACGATATTTCGCCCTAAAATTTGAATTTTCAACCCACCGGGCACTCAAATGATTCGGTGCTCGATTGACCCCGTTCTCCGTGACATAATCTCTCCACAATGCGATCATTTTCATCGCCCTCCGCTCTTTTCTCGCCCTCTCGGCCAGCCATCTCAACAGTTCGAGGTCCTCTTTCTCCGTGAACGTGCCCTCCCCGTACTTCTTCGACAGCTTCAGCCCGCCCGTCTCCTCGTACTCCACAATCCGTCCTTTTCCGTCCACTTCGACACGTGCTCGTTGTCGCAGAAACTCCAGAAACGGTTTGTCGAGTGAGGTGCTCGTGGCAAACAGCAACTTTACTTTGGTTTCCATGTCGAACTCGGTCAGCCGATGGATTTTCGGCGCCAGAACCCTTCTTAATCTGTAATTTGTTTCATCAAATCTCCAGATGCTCCGCTTAATGGTTACCGTTCGCCCAGCGACCGCGCTTCCCGATTCGTTGCTCCGGACTCCACGTATTCTCGCCACAACGGTTCGAGCACGAGCCGATCCGTCGTGTTCTCGGCTTTCTGCGCCAAGAAAGTCATGATATCAATGTCCTCCTGCTTTGTGTACACGATAACTTTGCTGGGTTTATCATCACAAAATTTAAGGATCACTTGGTCATTTCTCGTGTACTTTGTGATGGCTCCCCGCTCGTTCAACTCAACTTCCACTCCTTCCTCGGCTCTCAGCTCCTCCAAAAAGTGCTCATTGACGGGGGTGCCTATGACAAAGAGCATTCGGATTCTCGTTTCCCGATCGAAACGTTGCATGCGATGGATGTGCGGCGCTAGCTCGTAATGTAGTCGCTCGCTGAGAATATAGGCGGGCCGTCGGCACCCCGTCTTCTCCTTGTACTCTTTCCACAACGTGTTCAGTGTGAACGGCGTCGATGAGCTCGCCGCTTTTGCTTTTTCGGCCACAAAGTCGATTATATCGATGTCTCCTTTCTCGCTGAACCCCGACATTCCTAAAATTGGAAGTTTAGGGCGCTCAATTAGTTTACAAAAGGTATGAGTAATGGGTGTTCGACCTTTGAACTTTGGAAACACTACAAAACTATCAATGGATGCTTTATTAGGATAGAAAAGTTCAAAATCTATTGATCCGGCTCTTCAGTTTTCGCTCTTTTCGCACTCGGGCCGTTCTCCTTTTCTCTATACTTTATGATCCTTCGAGTGATGTCCACTTTCACCTCCGCCTGACTTTTCAAATATCTCAAAAAGTGCGCATCGACCGGCGTGCTCGAGGCGAGCAGCATCAGCGCCCGGGTCTGCACGTCAAACTCGGCCATTTGGTGGATGTTCGGGGCCAGGTACTGCCGGAAACTGAAATTATATAATCTGTTTTTATTTCAACTTTGACCGTTCTCAACATTGTCAGAAGTCGCGATATTCTGCTGGAAAATTTTGAGAGTGACCTTCCTCTCTTAAAAGTGAAATTTCACAAAACAGTTGTTTGAAAGATCAGACTGAAAAAGACGAACTGGAAGCGGAGGTTGGTGGTTGTGCGATGCGAGAATCCGTTGAGTGTGTACTGTCCCCACATCACTTTCATACTCATCGGTTTCCTCGTTTTGCGCGCCTTCACCGCCAGGTACTGAAGCATGCGCTCGTCCTCCTGCCGGCTGTGATACTGGCCCGGAATGGACAGTTTCAGACCGTCCTGCGCGAATTCCCGGTACCAAACTATTCGTCGCTTCTCCTCCAGAACCACGTCGGCTCGCTCTTTGAGCACTTGCAAGAACTTTGAGTCGATCGGAGAGTACGAGCAGAAAAGCATTTGAACTCGGGTCTCCAAACTGAATTCGTTCATCGAGTGGATCCTCGGAGCTAGGATTTTTGTGAATCTGAAACGGATCATAATTTTGTTAATTAGAATTCTGATTTCATCCCACCGCTTTCTCAGACTCCTCTCCGTCAATCTTCCGTTTTCTCCGATGTATTCTCGCCAGACATCACGCATTTTCAACAGGCATTCTGTCTCCTGGGCTCTCTGCGCCAGAAACTTTAACATTTGCATATCCTCGATTTCGCTTTCGACTGGTGCCTTTAACTCCAAACCCTCTTTTTCGTATTTCAAAAGGGATCCGCTCGCGTCCAGCTCGATCACCGCTCCCGCTTCTGCTCTCAGTTCCTCCAAAAAGTGCTCATCGATCGGAGTTCTTGTGACGAACAGCATTCGGACTCTTGTTTCCGGCTCGAGCTCCTTCATCGAATGAATTCTCGGCGCCACGTGGCATCGGAATCTGTGAATGAGATCGTCGACGGGCAAACTGGTCTCCGTCTTCTCTTTGTACTCTACCCAGAGTTCGTCGAGCGGGACGATCGCATCCGAATCCAACGCCTTCTCGATCAAATAATAGAGCATTGTGTCGTCTTCGTCCGCTTCTTCTTCTAATTTCATTTTCTGAACAGAATTTTGCGAAAGAAAATGACGAAAAAAAATGACGGATTTCCGGTACGTACGTACACGGCGTTTTTTGAAATTTCGGCCACGTTAACGAAAAAACAAATTATTTGGGTCAAAGACCGAATTTTTCTCGACACGTTTTGTTAAATCGATAGCTTATCGAATTTCAAAGCGCACATGAGAGCCGGACTTTTGATTTCACGTCTAATTTTCGAGAAAATATTTAGACAGGGACTAGAAAAAAGTCGATGGGAGGGGCGAGGCCGTGGACGTAGAGTTTTCTAGTCCCGTGGAAAAACACTTGCTTTCAAATTTGAAAATAGATAGATGAATGTTGTCGGTTTTCAACCGAAATTGTGAAAAAAATCAATAAAAATTGCTGAAACTTTTGATATTACGAATAATGAGCAAATATTATAAAGTCATGAGCACTCTAATCTTCTCCAGCATCTCTTCGTTTCGCGAAATCAACTCGAGACCGCCGTTCTTGTGATCCCTGTACAATTCGATCCTTCCGAACTTGTCCACCTTCACCTCCGACCCGTCCGATCGCAACTTTTCCAGAAAAGAACTGCGGAGCGGAATTCTCAAACCAAACAGAGTGAGCACTTTGGTCTCCGCGTTGCGATCCTCTGTTTTGTTCATTTTGTACAGTTTCGGCGCCAAATTATAACGGAATCTGCAGGAAAATCCATGCAAGTAAGGAAACTGAGCAACTGGGACCAACCGCTTGCAGAATTCCAACGGATCGCGGCCGGTCTTCGCCGTCTTCGCGTACTCTTCCCATATCAAAAATATCGCTTGCGGCTGTCTTATCTTCAAAATTTTCTCCGTCACAAACTTTATCATTTGCCGATCCTCCGTTTTCTTTTAGTTTTCTCATAAAATGTCAGTCGATCGGAGATTTTGAGGCGAGCAACATGAGAACTCGAGTTTGTGCGTCGAACACTTTCAGCTGATGAATTTGCGACGCCAAGTGGTAGCGGAATCTGAAGAAAAGTTGCATTTCACGCTGAAACTCGCTCTTTTTATGTCTTCTTTTGAAACTAGGTAGATTTTTTATTCGAAAACACGAACCTCGCGTACAGATCGTCGGGTGTCCGTCGGGACCTGCCACTCTCGGTGTATTCCCTCCAAACCGCCGCCATGCTCAGCTGTTTCTTCGTCTTTCGCGCCTTCTCTGCCAGAAATTCGAGCATATCGAGATCCTCTCGGGTGCACAACAGATCCTTTCGGTGTTGCCCCGTCGTCTCTTGACTGTTTATGATCCCGGATTTCTACCTCAAAAACTCGTTATTATCGATCGGCTGGCTCGTGGGCGACTTTTCCTCTTCTGCGGTAAACATTCTGAGTGAATAGACACTTGACAGTCTGCAAAAACAGAAAAAAAGAAAAGAAGTGCGGCTGCCAACCGGGAATGATATAAAAGACGACTTTCAAAAAAGAAACAATTTATGAAAATCATAATTCGCGAGGAAAGAAGGAAAGAAGATTCCATTTTATCGTCCTCTGCCGATAGAAACGGCTCGCCACAAATGCGTTTCATCTGAAATTAGAAGAGTCCTGTTACAAAAATATTCACGAATTCAAAGAGATTATCGGGATCTTTGACCAGAAAAATGAGCTCGAACTTGGAAAATGTACAATGAAAACTTATTTCGAGAAAATGTCAATTCGCACATTAAAACAGAATAGATGAAAATGAGTATCGTATTTAACAAAAAATAAACAAATAACAAAATTTAACAAAAAATGCAGTATTTATAAAAATTTGAATTCGAAGTTCAACAGGTGAGTTCCAGAGATGTGTCATCCGGATTGAAATTCAGAATCGGGTCGGATTTGTCTTCAAGTTTCTGTATCTTTCTTTTCGGTTCTTCCTCTTCATCCTCATTTTCCTCCAATCGCTCCTTCTCCGAATACCGAACAACCCGCCCGTCCTCGTCCATTTCCAATTCCACGTACTCTTGCAAATATTTCAGAAACTTCTTGTCGGTCAACGAATCGGTGACACTCAAAATGGCCATTTTGGTGTCCAAATCGAACGCTTCCGTCGTCACTATTCTCGCTCTCAGAAACACGCAGAATCTGGAAACCGAAACGAGATGAATTTGAGGTTATTGTGCAAATTTTCCGAACCGTTTGGTAACAGATTCCCTGGATCGGTTCGTCCGTCCGCTTGCCACGTACTCTTCCCACAACGCCTTCACATAAATCGGCTCCCGCGGTTCCCGCACCTTTTCAACCAAATACTCCAGAAGATCCGTGTCCTCTTCTGCGGAAAATCTGACGCCGTTTAAAGAGCCTCTTCTCTTCCCCTTTTTCGTTTCACTCGCAGAATTGAACTTGGCTGCAAACGCGTCTGCTGGCATTGTGCCAGCTCAATGTTAATTTTCAACATACCCCGTTGCGTCACCCTGCTTCCGTCCACTTCGAAACTCTGAACCACCCCATTCCGGTCGACCGTCACCGTCGCGTGCTCGCGCAGAATGCTCAGCGATACGGCGTCGACCGGCCGGCTCAATGCGAACATCACTCGCAGTTTCGTCTCAGTATCGATATCGTCCCGCTGGTAGAGGTTGGGACACAAATGACGATGGTATCTGCAGAGTTTTATAGGTCAGCAAATGTGCTCCACCGAATTGTGTACCTATTCCGCACGCTGGCCTCGCTTCTCGCAATTCCAAATCGTTTTCGGTACTCGGCACACAGACGACTATGCACGATTTTCTGGCCGTCCGACGCCATCTCGACGATCAGCTTCAGAAGATTAGCGTCTTCTTCCTCCGTATACGGAGACGGGGCACCGCTGAAACGAAATGTTGCGATTGAGAGACGTAGACGCCCACCTCGACCGTCTTTTCTCAGTCTCTAGCCCAGAAATCTGCTGATCCGACTGCGCGCGGAGATCCAGTCCGTCGTGCATGTACTTCGTGATGCACCCGTTCTCGTCCACCTCGACGATGCGTGCCACTTCTTTCAAAAACTCCAAAAAGTGCTCGTCGACCGGCGTCGTCGTGCAAAAGAGCATTCGAACTCGCGTCTCCACGTCGTACTCGTCGACCGCGTGAATTCGGGGAGCCAGTTTGTGCCGGAATCTGGAAATTTCAGACTGGTTTCAGTACTTTTGAAGTCTCTCGTCCACCGGTTCGTCAAGCTTTCGACGGTGCGCGACGAGACGACGAGCTTCTTGTACTGCAGCCACATCGGCTCGAGCGGCAGCCGAACATCGTAGTGTTTCACTTTTTCGGCCACAAACTCGAGCATCTCTTCGTCTTCGTTTTTGCTGAACGAACGGGGCATTTTCCTGGAAAATCTGCAAAATATTATGGCTACACAAGTGTGCTCTACCGCACTCTTGCAGAAAATTTGACTTTTTGAGCAATATTCGATCGAAAACCACAAATAATATTATGTAAATTAAAAAATTCTTCAAAACTGTTATTAAAATGTGCGTATACAATAAAGCGATCTAAAATAAATTATTCAAAAATGTTGTCCAGTGCGGCCTTCAGCGATATTTGGATGGTGTCCAGTGGAATTTTCTGAAACTAGCCCAAAATTGGATTGAAATCGCATTCTCCCGATAACCTCATCACTGTCGCCCAGTTTCTCAATTGCTCCTTTCACTCTTTCGAGAATTCCAGCCAATTCTGGAGCATCGATGCCGAGCACGAAGCTTTTGAGTAAAAACAGATATCCTTTGGTGCTCATCGTGCTGGGAAGGCTGCTACTCGGCTCGTTTCTCGTCACAACCCGCTTCATAAGCGAATTGTGACTGTCGGTGACTTCTTTCATGAAATTCATGATTTCTAGCATCTGGTTGGTTGGGGAAGGCTCCGAACTTGTCGGTTGTGGCATTTTCGGCTCCTTTTCTGAAGAAACAGCTTGCACATTTTCCAAATTTACCACAGCTTCCTCAGTTTCTACCACAGCTTCCACACTTTCTACCAAAGTTTCCGCGTCATCAACACGTTCGGAATCGATTCGCCGCCGTTTCTGCTCGATTTCCACTACTTCCGCCGAATTCGCGCGTCTTCTCGGCTCTCGTGCGCTCTTTTTGGGCTGGCCTTTGTGTTCTTGGTACGAGACGATATGTTTTCTGGAGTCCACGTTGACTTCTGCGTCTTTTCGCAAAAGTTTCAGATCATTCGAGTCGAGCGGACATTTCAGGACAAAGCACATTCGCAGCTTGGTTTCTGTGGATATATTCTTCATTTTCGGAATTTGGTGAATCAGAACACGAAAGCTGTAATTGTGTGTTTTGCGATTGAGCGCGTTTACTGCACAACAAACCGGCTGGCAAGATTGGGAATCGAGCGCACCGTTGATTTCTTCCCGGATTTTTTGAATTTCCTGGCCAAAGCCGTGTGCGTAATCCGACGCGTCGAATTTCTCGAAATCTCCTCCATAAATTGCACCATTTTCTTGGTCCTCTTCTCCTTGACCGAACAAGAGCCGTCTGATTGAGCGGCTTTGAGCACCAAGTTTTTGCTCGTGTACTTGACAATTACGCCCTTTTTGTCCACTTTCACCGCTGCACTTTCTCTCATTTTCTCCAAAAACTCATTTTCGACAGGAATTTCCGTCGCGAAATGGATTTGAACGCGTGCGATAGCTCTCAAACTTGTCACGTTCAGAATATCTTGCGCCAAGTAATTGCGGAATCTGAAGAAAAACAGTATTTGTGTTGCGATCACTGTGAATAAGGCTTACTGGAAACAAAACGACTCCAAACTCCGTCCGATTCTCGAATCGAAGCGGTTTTTGAACTCTTCGAAGACTCTCAGCAATGTAAACAGTAAAAAAATATTTAAAAAAAGCATTTTTCTGAAAATAAATCTATCAATTTCGCTGATAGCTTTGAAATTTTGAAAATTGCCGAGTGCGTGACAAAAGGTCGGAAAACCAAAAAGTTCGGAAGAAAAAAGATCGGAAAGGCAAAAGGTCGGAAAAAAATGCCTTTTGGTTTTCCGACCTTTTGTCACGAACTCAAATTGCCGCCACTGACGACGCTCCAAAATAACGCCTTAGCGCGCTGTTTATCGTAAGTCCACGCCAATTCTTTTGCATTTTTTTTCAAAATTTCAGTCTTCGGAAATAATAAACAAGTTGAAATGTTCTACAAGAGCAGAAAATAATATATAAAAAGCGTTAAATTATTTATTAGACTCAAAATGAACATTCACAAGTTGATCTGCTCGAGATGTGCCTTCAAGGCTAGTTTGATGCTTTCCAAACAGATGTCCTGAAATTCGCGACAAAATTGAAGATTTTTAAGGTTTTCTCACTTGATCCTAGTCTCCAAGTCTTTCGCTTCCCTCTTCAACTCTCCGAAGAACGCCATTCAGTGCGGGAGTTCGTGTTCTGCGTAGAATGACGTGTCGACACGATAATCCGCGCATTTTTTGTTGATCGACATTGCTTTTGTCGATAATGCCGACATCAGTTTCCTCGACTTTTGTCTACTTTTCGACAAACTCTCAAGTCGACACGTCACTCTAGTTCTGAGCAGGAAACTTCGAGAAAGTAATAGAAATGCTCTCGTGCTCAAATTCTCGCCCGACGGCCGATGGGGCGGCGCCGATTCCTCCTGATGCCAAGAAACTGTTCAACGAGTGCGGTAGGCTGGTCGAACAGGCGATTTCAGGCGCCTTCTTCTTGTCCCGCCACAAACAGCACTCTGCAACACAAACAATCCGACAGAGTTCAAGAAATTGCCGACTTGGCCATCGGAATATCTCGTCGCACAGCTCCTAATCCTGCTCGAATACCAGCGTCGCCTTCCGGTAACTGTCTGCAAATGTCTGTTTCTCTCAAATGTGTCGTTCGTTACCGGGTCGGAAACGAGTCGACGCGTCGAATATCATCTGATAGATCATTGATCTTTCTGTCGAGTTGGAAACTGGCGGGGTGTCGGACTGGTTTCAGTTGGAGGAGAAGTCGATTATATCGACAGAGTTTCAGTAGTTGTGGAGAAGGATGATGATGACGTGGAAAAAGTGAACGTGGTCAATGAGGAAGAAGTTCGGAAGACCATCAGGAGAAGGATCAACATTTTTTCAAAGAGCAAAACGCCGGAGCGTTGGCAATTCACGAACTGTACTACTAATAGTAGTCTACTATCACACAAAGACTGAAGGTCACGCAGATCAACTTGGACTGTTTATTATTCAAAAAAAAACCACTTGCATACAGATAAACGAAAACTTTGAAAGACAAATTGGAGATCAGAGGTCATTCTGTCTGAGTTGCGGGTGCATCCACTCGAAGTCCTCATCGTATCCGTCGTCCTCCACGTACTGCAGTCCCATGTAGTTGGCGATATCCCTGACTGGCATCCTCTCGATCTTCTGCGCGATCACGAATCCCATGCACTCGACAAAGTCGCTGTACTCGAGGTAGTTGGCAAGCTGAAAAAGGATAGGATGAGCATTTTCACATGAAAACTATGGCATACCTCGATGACTTGCTTGGCCAGCTCCAGACGAAGTTCCGGGGCTCCGGGGTAATCGCTCAGTGTCGGCTCTTTTTCCAACTTTTGCGGGTTCACGTAGCAGTGAACGTTTTCGAAGAGGAACTCCCCGGCGGCCTTCACGAACGGGATATCGATCGGCTCGTTGAGGACGACTCCGTTCTCCTCCCAATCACAATGCCATCCTTCGATCGCCCGCACGAGAAGAGTGCTCGACTGGAGCAGCGACATCTCTCGGATCGTTATCGTTCCGTCCTTGAATCGCAACGGCACTTCGACTTTCGGTGTGCTGCTATCGGTCATTCTGGAAAGAGTTGGCATGAGAAAATGGAATAAGAAAGCGATGAGATCGATCGACGAGAAAGAGAGCGAGAGGAAAGGCGGTAACGGTCCGTAAGACGGACAAATGTAGAATGAAGGGGGTCTGAGCAGACGGCTGTGGTGAGCGGACATGACGCGACGCAACCGCCGCGCACCGATGACGTGAAGATAGGGTGACGGTGGTGCAAAGGGGCGGAGTCGGAGTGCGCGCGGAATACGAAAATGGCCGAAAGGGTTTACAACTGGGCCGAGTTCTGGTTTCGAAACGTCCGGGAGGTACAGATAGTATTTTTTAAAAACATTTCTTGGAGAATTACTAAAAAAAAAATCATACAATTTCGCTGAAAAGTTGTCCTTATAAATTTTATGCTCTTATGGCACTGTTTGTAGAGGTGCACGAAAATTATCTGACCAATAAAGAAGGTTTGCTTACGAATGATTTTATTGGCCTCGAAAACAAGATGATTGGAATCGAGCGGAAGAAATCGATTGCTTCTTTTCTAGAAAATTGTTTCATGGAATGCAATCGACTGACTGACACAATGTACATTTTGTCAGTTGATCACATTTCATGACGAACTTTTTCGAGTTTTTCCGCTCATCTCCGAGATTGGAATGATGGAGATCTTTATTCGATGTGTGGGTGGATCCACGCATCGTCGACATCGTAGTTCGGATCCGTCTCGAGGTACTCGAGCCCGAACAGCTCGGCGATGTCCTTGATCGCCATTTTATCGATTTTACGGGCGATCACGAAGCCCATGCAGTTCAGGAATTCGGCGAATTCGAGGTAGTTGGCGAGCTGGAAAAGAAAACGATTGGATTCGATCTTTCAATACTTTCAAACGAAAAATCGATAAAAACCCTATGACTCTCAAACGTTCTGACGTCTTAGCGCATTTTTGACCGTTTCCAGAGAAAATAGGATACGCCTCTGCTCTGGAGACCGTGGCCAATGCTCACCTCGATGATTTCCTTGGCGAGATTCACGTCGATCTCCTCGGCTCCGGGATAGTCGGCCATCGTGGCCGTTCTGCCGAGCTTCGACGGCTCCACATAGTCGTGAGCGTGCGCGAACAGAAACTCGCCGGCGGCCTTCGGGAACGGGATGTCGATCGGCTCCTTGAGAACGAGACCGTTCTCCTCCCAATCGTCATCGGATCCGGCGATTGCCCGTACGAGAATAGTGCTCTTCTTGATGAGCGACGCGTCGTGGATCGTGACGAGACCGCCCTGAAAGTTGAGCGGCACTTCCACTTTTCCAGCGGCGGTTTCGGGCATAGCTGAAAAAAGGGCAAGTTGCAACAAGGTTTGCGAGGATACGGAATACAGAATGCGAAGGTTTTCCAAGAGAAACATTGGAATTTACATCGAAGAAACAGGCTTTGACCACAATGGATTTGCGCAATGACGCCAGAAAAACAGAGAAACTCCGTATCACTACGCTTCTCATATCGATTGGTTTCAGAGATGAGCGAATGGTTCTAACATGGATTTCAGGTGCTGAAAACACAAACAGAACACGGTTTGAATTTCCCGGTTTGCGATACGAAGCGGAGCGCGTTGCAGAAGGTGTGTGAAAATGAAGAACTTCTAGTAAAATCTATTAAAAAGAGCGCTGATAAAGACTAATGTAAAGTAAAAATGATCAGACGGCATAGTTGTGGCAGGCAGAAAGTGTACGGACATCGGAGAGCGCAGAGAAACAGAAACGGACACTGGTCTCCCTATTCCTCCATCTCTCGCACAGTGCAAAACAAAAAGAGATGGAGAGGGAAAGCATGATTGGGGGGAAAATGTCCTTTACAAAAAATTCATGACTAGGAAAGGAAAATGCGCAAAAAGTATCACAAATTACAAAACCGAGGAGGGGATGCAATAGAAATTTGGAAAAAAAGTCAAAAATTGTGGCAATATGAAATAGGGAGATAAAAAGATCGGCAAAAGTTTTGGGAAAGGAGCAAATTTTGGGGGGAAAATCTATTGCGATTTCTTATTTTCCTCCTTTTTCGGCGACGCATTTCCGCCCCAAATGTCGGCGAAGGCGAGGGTTCCGGCGAATACGAGGACGGCTCCGAGCCAGTGTTGGGCTGAAAGCATTGAAAAATTGCGTGTCTAATTGATCTTTTTTGTAGTTAAAGTGTCGTGAAAAAAAGTTCGAAACAAATTTCACACAAACTCTAATCAAACAGAAGTCCCCGGACAGCAAAAATAGAATTTCAAAACGTATCCATTTCCCCAAAAATGTTACCAGTGAACGGATTCTTGAAGTAGACGATCGAGACGATGAGCGAGAGGAATTTGCGAAGGGTGACGACGAGGGTGACGGTGAGCGAATCGACGCGCGAATTCAGTTGGTACACGTACTTGATGCAGTAGTACCTGGAAATTAAGAAAAAAATGTTCCAGAAAAATCGGGGAAATTCAAAACTGACTGAAGAACACAACTGGCGGCCAGATCGACCCAAAGGGACGGAACTCCGGGCAGAATGGCGTACGGAGCACTGGCGGTCAGTTTCTCGGCCGCCGAAACTATGTCGCCGCCCATGATGAGGAAGAATGGCAAAGAGACAAAGTGCTGAAAAAAAACTATATTGATTTTTGGGCATTTAATTCGGAGGGTACAAAAATTAGGGGGTACAAGAGGGTACAAATTGTTTTGGGGTACAAATTTCATGGTTTTGGGGTACAAAAAGTCGAGGGTACAAAATTTTCGATTCTGGGGTACAAAAATTTACCGATTCAGTAGGCATTGATTAAGGGGTACAACTTTTATGATTGAAGGGTACAAATTTCACGATTTTGGGGTACAACAATTTTTTTCCCATTTTTTCATGGGCATCAATTCAGTGAATGTTTTTAGTTGTTTCACAAAATTTTTTTACTCCCTGAATGTTTTGTACTCCGAACCGCTTGATCAGTTCCAGAGATGTTTTTTAAATGAGATTTCATGAGACCCTTCGAAGCGTTTTGCTTCCGATAGACAGTGGTTCAAACGGCGACCCCGAAAGACTTCGAGCCTTGGGTCTGATGAAATGATGGGGTACAAAAGTTGCACGGAGCACATTTTCGAAGTTTTCATTCCAGTTTTGAATTTTTGAGAGCTCACGAGACACAGTCGTGTGTAGCCATGCTTTGTTTTATGCAGTATTTTGTGTCATTTCGAGAAACAATCTTTACTTGGGTAAATTTCACACACAACATCAGATGCTGAAATTCTGCTGTGAAATTGCAGAATTTAAAGGGGCCAAAACAGCAAAACAACTTGTAAGTAATAAATAACAAAGAATCAACCTAGACTAAAAAAAAACAAAAATGAGCGCAGAAATGAACAAGGATAAATAGAGAAAAAGAGATCAATATAGAAGAGAGATTAAATTAGAGAACACTAAAAAAACAAAACAATGAAAAATATTAGAAACTCTTCGTGTGCATCAAGTCGGACTGAACGATCTTTTTCGTCACTCGTTTCCGTTGAGTTCTGCAAAGAGAGTTCAATTCAGTAAATGTTCAACCTCATTGTGCCGTTATGAACATGTGTAACCAGAGGGTACGTAACTTGAATATATTACCTTTGAACTGGCGATCCGCGACTCTTTTCGATTCGAAGTTCAGATTGAAACCGTCTCAATTTTTTTCGTCTTTTTCTGAAAAAAGAAATTATTCTGTTATTATTTTTGTTTTTACTCTAAATTGAGTGGCGAGTATCCTTCACAGTCGCTGGAAGCGACCGAATCCGCTTTGACACGTCGTTTTTCACTCTTTGAACGTGTTTCTCTGTCGGAGCTGTCGGTGGAGGCAAGCGTTTCATGCAGTTGAACGTCCGAAGACGATAATTGAGACACATCGAAATCCGGCGTTGCATCAAGTTCGTTGAAAGAGAGTTCTGGATGGACAACGGCCGACGCATTAGAAGTATTGAGTAGTGCGTATTCATTTGAATCGCTGGAAGCGACCGAATCCGCTCTGCTCTTTTCTGAACTTGTTTTTCCGATGGTTCTGTCGTCACTATCTGCGTGATCGGTGACAGATGAAGGCGAAGGCCGAGGAGCGGAAGGCACAAAACTGAAACTATCATTACGAGAAGTTGAGAAGAATCCCTCTAACCTATGAACAGTTCGGCTCCCGTTCGAATGTGATTGAGTAGAATACTGTCGGCCGGGAAATCTCTTCGATGCTTTTCCATCATTGAGACCTCTGGAAATTTCTTTCCGTGTCCTCAGATTCATACGGTCTTCCATATTTTTGTAGATGAGTTTCGAACGGTTCGTCGGCATTTTCATGAGAATGGCCAGACTGAAAAATAATGCGTCTTGATTGGTTATTTGAAGTCAATAACAAACATGTGAACGCATAAATTGTCGCTTTTGGAACTGCATTTCTTATCACCACATTTATAACAGTCATCTTCTAATTTGACTCGTACGAATCGTGATTTATCTTCTTCCACTGCCGCTTCTTCGTCAGTAACAAAGATAACCTTCCTTTTAAACACACTCTTCGCGCTTATTCCACTGACTACTGCAAGAGAACATTAGTAAATTTTAAGAATCTAGCAAAATATATATATATATATACAGTGTGCTAAAGAGCTTGGAATTTCCATGATAAACGGCAAGGACATGTTTTTGAGTCCACACTCTAAAAGTTTGCATCCTCGTCTTTCAGCTGACGCGTTTCTGCAGCTGGTGTGGTTGACGAACGAAATGACTGCGCTGTTGTCGTCTAAAATCGCCTTGCACATCTCCCGTTTTTCAGCTGAGAAATAAAAAAGTGATTTTAGGCGAGTAAATTAAAAAGGATGGTACCATCTATAAACTTGATCAGCTTTTCCGCACATGATTTACCGTCTGTTTTTCTCTGGAATTCAAGTTTCAATCTGGAATTAATGCATTCCGTTCTATTAGTTGTCGAATAGTTGAGAAGCAATCCTGCTCTCAGGCGGCTTTGCAATGAGTTAGTCTCATAGAGCGAATCGGATCTATCCAGTAGCCATTTCTTTCTTTCTTTATCAATGCTCGAAGATTCGATAAGACGGATCATTTTTTCGCGCGAAACTTCATTAAAAATCCCTCCTTCCACAACACCGTCTCCTTTCTGAAAAAATATGAAATACTGCTTCCCATTGTATCACGACACTGACATCCACTCCAAACACGAACTCTTTCTCCTTCTGCGTTATTGCAAACTTTTTGTTGACTATTTCGTAATTTTTTCTGCGGTGAACAAGACAACGCAGAATTTGCGCATCACTAAAGTATTCGATCTGAAAAGTATACTTAGATTGCATGCCATTTGTACCATGGGTAACCTTGGTGTAACTTTTGAAGCCAGATTCTCCGTCGGTGATTAATGATGGAACAGATTTCTGTTTTGAAATATCGCAAGATAGAAACGTGTGATTCAAAATCCTTGCGAATTCGGCGTGATTTTCCGCACATTTTGATGGGCTTAGCATGAATGCAATCATGGAATGTCTCATCTTTCCGCTCGATTTAGTTCTGAAGTGTTGGTAATTTTAAATCAATATTCTCAATAGTGAAACATACAGATAACAACTGAGATCAGCTGAAATAGTGGTCACAACCATATCAGATAAGTCGAATGTGCTATCGATCTGAATTTGACCGGCCATAGTTTTGATGATTCCACTGTTTGCATTAGCCGCGTGTCTTTCTGAAATGTCATCGCATTGAAATTATTTGACACGCGTTTTACCACAAAATTCGGATAACTCTGATTCGGTCCAGGAATTAAATCCGGTGAGTGACTCTCTAAACACGGCAACCGCTTCTGCGGATGGTAGACATTTAATCAGAACGCCGATTAAGTCCAAGTCGACATAAGCTATACAAAACTCTTTTTCTGAAATTATGAGTGGTATAGTTGGGATTGCTCATGCAAAAGCCTTCAAAATTAGCAAACTGACTACTGGTAAAAGTGGAAACTCCATCTAAATGACTAAGTTGGGCCAAACTCTCGGGGGTTGTTACACAACCTCTACCTCTTTTCGACTTTATGGCGGTAGGCTGATATTTCAATTGATTTCTTACCTGGAAAAGAATTCGTTGGGACAAATCATATTCATAATCTTACTTGTTGCTCATTCACATTGATTGAGCGCGCTTGAAGATAACGATGAGCTTCTCTCACGCTTCTTCCATCCAGCGCGTCATGCATCGAAACTTTCATAAATTCTGAAACATCGGAAATACTGTCATTCTCATGTTAACTCATGGAGTCGGTACCGTTTATCTTCGGCTTCCGGCACGCTTCAAGTGCCGAGTAGTCCACTGTTCCTGATGTGGAAAGATAGACTAACACAACATAAGATTTGTCGGCATCGAAAGCAACCTGTGAGCACACTTTTACGGAGAAATCATTGATATAAAACTTACATATTTCTTAAAATCAGGTAGGAAAGGAGACACACAATTATAGTACTTGTATTGTGTGAGACCTACCGTGACAGTTCTCGGACGTGGCCTCTGCCTCTTTCCTAAAATGTTTTGTTAGTTGTTCTTGTCTATAAATTTCAAGTAACGAAATTACCATTCTCTGCTTTCCACCAGGGCAGATTGTCGTCGATATCTGTGAACGAGAACTTAGCGAACTTGATACACGGGGTTTCAAAAAAACTGGTAGTTGAAACAGTTTCGGATCAACGAGGTTAACGCTGAAATCAAAACTGATGCAACTGAATTGAGACGAAGCTGTACCACTGCTCAACAATATTTTTAATGCGCTTCACATTGAAACTTTTGAAGATCGGCCCTGTTATCCAGAATTGATCTTGTTCTGAATCACCTGAGCCGTCTTCATTATCAGCCTGAGTAGTCATTTGTCCGAGTGCCCTGAAAACCAACGAAAGGTGTCTGTCTATTCTTCAAAGTGTTTTTTTTTTAAATTTCGGAACATAACAAATTTTTCAAGAAGAAATTAGTGAATTAGGCCAAGTTGCTGCGAAATTCGCATAAAATGAAGTGAATTGTTGAAATTTGACACAGATAAATACGGATTTTATAGCAAAACGAGTTAAAACGCTGTAAAAACATTGTAATTTAGGGAAAAAAATTAATTTTTTTTTGTGGCCGCGCAATCCGCGGACTAGTTTTCTCTTTTCGCAGCGAGACCCGCGAGCCTCGCGCGGCCCTCAAACAATCCTAAAAATTATTTGGAATTTTTAGAAATTGAAGTTCTCAGCAGTTTTTTTCATTCGTTTTTAAATTGAATATCAGAATTTTTCATTTTTTTATTTTTCAACAATTTCACTCTATTTCCATTTTTGCTTGTCAATTTAGCATCTACTTGCCCTGAAAATACATATCGCATTATTTTCGAATATTTTTGAATGATTTCTCGAATGATTTTCGAATGATTTCGAATGATTTTCTCGAATGATTTTCACATCTTCTTAAAATATACATTGCTCGGCTCACGGTTCGCATTTTGCCATTGGCTCTTCTGTTGATTTTTAACTGTGTTATTTTTCGCTAGTTTTTCTCCAATAAATTGATTTGTCTACCTTGTTGTTCCTCTCACATCGCTTATCTTACAATTATTATGCTGTCTAAGTTTCAACTAGACATTTCATCAGACCCAAGGCTCGAAGTCTTTCGGGGTCGCCGTTTGAACCACTGTCTATCGGAAGCAAAACGCTTCGAAGGGTCTCATGAAATCTCATTTAAAAAACATCTCTGGAACTGATCAAGCGGTTCGGAGTACAAAACATTCAGGGAGTAAAAAAATTTTGTGAAACAACTAAAAACATTCACTGAATTGATGCCCATGAAAAAATGGGGAAAAAATTGTTGTACCCCAAAATCGTGAAATTTGTACCCTTCAATCATAAAAGTTGTACCCCTTAATTAATGCCTAATGAATCGGTAAATTTTTGTACCCTAGAATCGAAAATTTTGTACCCTCGACTTTTTGTACCCCAAAACAATTTGTACCCTCTTGTACCCCCTAATTTTTGTACCCTCCGAATTAAATGCCTGATTTTTGGCATTGAAAGGTAGTATCGGGGCACAGTCGCAAAAATTTGAATGCTGGAAGAACTTTCACTGTTTTCAATTGCTCATTTTGCTCGTTTCTTTTTCGTCACCCGTACCGTGATGAACATGGCCTCATCGGGGTGTTTTCCGTACGTCTCGTACATTTGCTGCTGGCAGATTGCGAGGTAGGCGGAGGCGAGAAGGGCGAAAGTGAGCATGCCGATGCCGATCGACCACTCTTTGTAGTGCTTCGACGCCTCCTCGTACGACAGTCCCGAGTCGCCGCCCTGGGCCGACGTGGCCAGAGTGCACACGATGATTCCGACTGTGATCGCGAACACTGAGATGTACTTTCGCGCCGAGTACCGTTTTCCGATCAGGAATACCGAGAGGAGGAGTGTCGCGAGCAGGGAACCCTGGAAAATGGTCATTTTTAGGAGTGAATCAATTCGCATTGTTTTTATGAAACATAATTTTTTGTGAATTTTCTGACGACACTTCATGCACTTTTTCCAATCGCCTACCGATCTGAAAATGATGTGAAGCGGCACGGGAACGTGGAAATTGAGCGCCTGATTGTTGACGACGTTCACAATGAAAAACATGCTGACTGTCCAGACGTAGCCTCTGAAAATTCGCGAGCAAATACAGAAGAATGTTCCCAAAAAAAAAGCGCTCACTTTAGTGGAATTCTATTGGCGACCGTGAAGAATTTCGACGTGAAAATGAGTCCGTGCGTGGCGATGAAGAGGAATGTGGAGAACGTCATCAGGTTCATCGCCGCCGGCTCTTGTCTGCAAAGATTCTTGTAGAAAATCGCATTTTTTGCTTTCTCCGATTTCCAGATGATCGGATCGGGCTGAAACTTGGACCCAACGCACTTCAATCCAAGTCCAAGAAGCCTGCAAAGTTTGGGCCCGATCGGATCATTGCGAGTGGGCCAAAAGTCCAGGACAAGGCCAGCTCTGTCCACACACCACAATTCATTAACCACAGAAACACATAACTTTGTACCGATTATTATCACCCAAAAAACAATTGCATTTTCTAATGAAAAACCGGTTTTTTTGTCACTTTCATGACCAAAAATGGGTGAACTTGGGCACAACATACACAGAGTACAAACTACCTTTCATGTATCTAAGAAAATTATGTCTCACTGACAAAATGCCAGTTTTTCTTTAATTTTTTTGGTCGGAAATGTTGGAGAAACCCGTACTTTGCAATATTTTCCACGAAGACCATGCATCCCATGCAGCTGCCGAGCACGCCGAATATCGGAGCCACCGCCGACGACATTTTCTGCAAAATCAAATCAGATTGTTCGGATAAACCAATCGCGCACTAATAAAAGAATGGCATTTGACAAGAGGACACTTATTGAAACGGTTATTGAAACACATTTGTGTGTCCGTGTTTTGTGTCCCTGCTTGCGAGAGATCGGAAAGAGCGGAGAGACGCGGACGGCGAGAAGAGGCGGAAAGAAAAACGTTTCTGATCGGTGCGGGAAGGTCATTTGAAGAGGAGAATGAGCGATTATGTCTACTTAAAGAAGGCGTCCGGAGAGAAAATTGGAAAAATAATCTGACACTGCAGAAAAGTACGTTGGCGTTGTTCCGAATCAACCCCAAAAGCACAGCAACAATGGTTGTCTTTTGAGCACATTACTTATTCTAAAGGTCCGTTCCACCGGTCACTGAATATGCTTCAACTCGACAAAAAACAGATTACGGCAGATTACTGTATGAAGCAGAAAAATTATTTTGTCGAGTTGGGTTGTGGAGAGTGAAATTGGAATACTGTAATGTGCTCAAAAGACAACCATTTTTGAGCGTGTGAATCCGGCGAAAACACGATTTGTTTGGGAAAATGGGAAAAATCGATAAACACCAATTTGCTGCTGAAAAAAATTGAGAAAAATCGGGGAGAAATCGGAAAAATCTGTGCTTTCGGGGTTGATACGGAGGTAAAAAACGCAAAAAAAAAACGAAAATAGCGGTTCTGTCACAAAACCAACGATTATATAACCGTCAGAGAATGGAAGAGAAAAGAAATGTGATTTGATAAGAGGCCACAACTACATGCTACAGACTACATCATCGGGCGCTACAAGTCACAGTCAACGATAAGATGAATGCGGAAAAAAAGTACAGTAATCTCGTCAGACAATCAACTAAAAATTAGAGCAAAAATATGATTACAAAACATCTTCAATTTTATTCAAAGCAAAAAAAAAAGTGCCAAAGTGGTGCGAAAAAAGTTACTCTCAATTTCAAAAAAAGTATCAGGCATGTCTGATGACATGCTCCGAAGTCCCATCACTTCGGTGAATATCGTAGTGAATCGGATTTCGGGCGTTCGACGCATTTTTCATTATCTGAATGTCCAACGCGCGGATTTTGTGCGGTGTAAAGTAATTTTCGAGGACCTGCAATTGTTATCTAACTTTCTAAAACAAAAAAGCACTTACCGCTTTCCACTTTTTCACAATTCTCCTTTCTCCGCTGCACTGGAGAACAAAGGCTGGAAAAAGATTAACGGTTTTTTGAAAACATAGAGAAAAGTCGTACATTCCGCAGCGAGACAGGGCATCGCCGTCGAGTCGATGTCTATCAGGCGGCCCAATGGATTTCCGCATTTCGAGCCGACGCACAGAATCTGGAGATGAATTCATTTTGAAGAAAAAAAGAAAGAATATAAACGTTCGTTTTTGCTTATCCGAAACGCGCTCAAAAAGTCAAAGGGAGAGAGAGACATCATTGATACCTGTTCTGGTTCTATACCAAAAAAAACCGTACCTTTCCGACGGCGTTGAACTTGATATCCCTGGCGATCTCCTCGGGCGTCGCGTCGATTCTGCGCACGCGGCTCCAGAAGCCGGGCTCGCACACGAGATACTGTGTGCCCCTCGCCTTGATGTCCGTGCTCAGACACAGCCGCACTTCGCACTTCTTGCACAGCACCTCGTAGACCACTCCGGATTGGGCCTGCGCGGCGATCTGCTGCGCCCGTTCCGTGTCCTCCTTTTGGATTCGCTGCCAGATTTTGTCCACGTGTCCCGCCACTTTCAGTTTGAAACCATCGGGATTCAGCTGGATTTGCAATAGCGCCGTTCGCATCATGTTCTCCTGAAAAGCATTGGGTTAAAATTGTGGGCAATTGTGAAAATATTCCGAACCTTATCCTTATTCGAGCTCTCCTGATCCTGGAGCTCCGGGCTGTTCGTGATTAGAACGCAGGTCGAGTTGACCGCACGTCCTCTTCCTGAAAACATTTCACAATTTCACGAGAAACCAACGGTTTTACACAAAAAAAAGACCTCTTCTCTGAACGTGAGCAATTTCGTTGGTCGCATAGTTGTACTTGATGACGAGATTGCACTTGGCCACGTCGAGACCCTCCTCGGCCACTGAGGTCGACACCAGCACGCGGATCGATCCGTCTTTGAAACATTTCAGCTTTTCCATCTGCTTCTGCTTTGTCGCCGCCGCCTGACTCGTGTTTCCCGTCGTTTTGTTCAGGCCTGCGGAGTGTTTATTATTAACAACGAGCACTATTTCCGCTCTTTCAAAGTCGATCTCAGACCCGCCCAGATTCCAGACGCCGTCCGAAAGTTTTCTTCACACTAATCAGTTCTTATGGAACTGTGTTGAAGACACTCTCCAACTATTCAATTCCCGAAAAAAAGGCTGACCAGAAATCCAATCCGAATAGATTTCTCGTTCTTTCAACTGCCCATTTTTACAGAGGATATCGTTGAGTATTCCGGCCTCGTAGCGGGTTCGCACAAAAATAATCGCGCGGAAATCCGGCTGCGATCTGTGAATTTCCAATAAATACTTCTCGACTTGCTCGATCATCGGATTCAGAGCCGTTCCGTTCGTCGCCAGCTGATTGTGGTATCCTGAAAGAAGATTCAAAAAATGTTCTAATTTGAAAAACACGTACTGTCCCAGATCATGGCCATCTCGTGCGTGAAATCCGCGCTTCTCATCTCCATTTCGCCTCTCAAATAGTTCAGAGCGATTTCCGGATTGAAATTCATGTTGTAGGTGAGTGTCAGATAGCATTCCTGGAAAATTGCAACTTTGTACCGATTCTCACAAAAAAAATGTGTTTAACTAGAAGAAGATAATGGAACTCGTAGTTTTGGCAATGTTTCCTTTTTCTTTTCGAAACAATTATAAAAGTTGATAAAAGCTCTTTTCCCGTACGGCTGCCGTACGGCTGCCAAATTTATCTGGACTGTAACAGGTTTTCGAGTTGTTCTAACTGCACTAGAGTCGGAAATGTTCAGATTGCTGGAATGTCCTTAAAGGGCAGCAATCTGGATATTTCCGACTTTACCGCGACTGTAACAGGTTGCCCCAAGTGTCTAAATTACTTCTGTGGGTCACATTGGTCATGCATGTTCAACAGAAAATACAATAAAACGAAGTCACTTTCAAAACGGTCAACGCCTCGTTCACTTTGATTTTCGTCGTTTGCGGATTGGTGAATTTGGTCTCCGACACGAGATTCAGCTGCGTGCACACCCAATTCAGGTAGCCCTGGTGCTCTTTTTCGTCGGGAGCCTTAAGGAACGACGTTGCGGTCGCGTATTCCCGGTCCCGCTCGTCTGGGGCGCGTGTCCGACCCTCTCCCACCGGAATACGATCGGATTCTGTTGAATTTGTGATTCTTTTCGGTTTTTTCTCAAAGAAAAAGGATTACTGAGTGCTTTGAGGATGATCAACTCGATTTCCTTCATCATTTGACACACTCGCCTCGTGAATTCGCCAATTGCTCCGTCTGTCGAACGTTCGAAGTAGCAAACAGCTGAAATTGCAGTGATTTGGCTGAATGATTTTAAAAGTTGGAAACGATCTGATGCTGCAGAAAGGTACGTTGACGTTGTTCGCCCGCGTCCCAACTCTTTGGATACCTGATGTGCCCAGAGGGGAAATATTTTTGAGCGTGTGAATCTGGAGAAAACACGATCTGTTTCGGAAAATGGGAAAAACCGATGAAGAGCAATATGTTGCTGAGAAATCGAGGGAAAATTTGGAAAAATCAACACAACGCCAGCGTACATTTCTGCCTCCAACAATGTTTCCCTTTAAAAACACTGACTATCTGGGACGATGGGCGAGTATCCCTCCAATTCGGCCGTGTTCTCCTTGACAATACTCAATTCCTTCACGTTCATATTCGCGCACAGATCGGCAATGTGCTCGATGACTCCGCCCGTGTCTTTTCCATCGCCAGTGCCCAGCGAGGCCGTCAATCCGATGATTTGCGGCAATTCGTGGCCGTCCGGCATCACGCCCGTGTTTTTCAGCTTATGGTATTCTCGCATGATATCTGCAAAGATAGCTATTGCATTTTTTTTCCGGAAATTTATTTTACTCACTCGCATACGGCGAATTTTTGAGCGTATTGTGGCACTCGTCAAAGAAAATGATGGTAAACGTGGAGAGGAAGAATTGTTCGACCTCGAATCCGTCCTCAAGCCCATTTTCGTGATCTTTGCAAATGTTTCTGTACAAAAATCGCGAAATTTAGACGCGTATCGGGGGAAGGGGAGATCGTACACAATCATCTGCGGAGTGGCCACGATCAGGTCTTTCGAGCGGATCGAATCACGGATCGGCACATTGTCGGCTCCTTGGATTATTTGCACCTAAAAATGAGTAGTTATAAGGGAAAACTCTGAAAAACAATATTCACATGAAACACATGGTCCAAATAGCTGGAGAGACTATCCGCTTGTTGCTTCAGAATCATCGAATTCGGCGTCATGAACAGGGCCTAAAAATTTGGGGAAAAATGCTTTTGAAAAATGTACAAAATCACCTTGAAGCGTCTGCCTTCGTTCTGACGGCTTTCCAGGTGATGTTTGAGGATATTGGCGGCGATTACGGTTTTTCCGGATCCAGTCGGCGCCGTCACGATCGTATTTTCACCACGAAGGGCCACTTTGCACAATTCATGCTGGTACTGGCGCAGGCTCATCGGACGTTCTGGAATTTTTAGACTGAAAAATTGCATTTCCCCCGGCTAGCGCCGGGATTCAGATTTGGCTTTTTGCATTGTTGAGCAATTCCAAAAAAGCCTGGCTCGCATGGCACAGGCAAAACGCATAGGTCTAAATATCGACCAAAAATGGATGTGGGCCGAATGACCCATCGATCAGGTATCCAAAAATTTGGGACGCGGCCGAAGAATACCACGAGACAGGGACAAGAGTCTGGACAGGGCAATATGAGACAGAAGTATGCAAAGGTCCCCATACCATTCCACCCATCCGTTGGCACCATCAGACGAGTCCACCCCCGTCTAAAGCCGTTTGGATACCTACCAATCGTTTTCCAGGTATCCAAGCGGTTTGGAACGGGGATGGTCCCGTCTCGTGGTACTAAAGAGTATCTTGCATGTTACGAGGACAATTTATTCTTCCGGACTCATGGTACCCAGTGCAGGCACTCCCCCCGGTGTCGTGGTTTCTTTCTCCCGCGTCCTAACTCTTTGGATACCTCATCGATGAGCCATTGGTCGTCCGTGGCGTTCTGCCTGTGGGTCCGCTGGTGCTGAAGTGATTTCAGAAAATGTTTTTTGAAACTAACGAGCATGGATTCTCTGCTGAACCGATTCGATGACTATGCGTTGAGTGGATCGCTCGTTCGGAATATGATCGAATTGCAGATTCACCATTCTGAAAATGTCTTTTTTCACTAAACTTGCACTGAAAATTGAGCAAAAACTTGTCTAAATGCTCTCTCTCTCTGTTAGCATTAGCAAGAGAGCAGAAATGAGCGTCTTTGCTCGAAAATAGTACACTTCGGGTGGTCTCTGCCCGTCTGCGTCTTATTTCTCAAAATACTATCGCTTTTTAGCATTAGCAAACGACGAAAAGAGCGATAAAACGACAATATGAAGAAGATGCGTCATTTTTTACCGGAATCGTGTATTGTGCTCGATTGCGGGTGTTCCCAGGTACATAAGCAGTTCGGTGGCCGATTCGTTCACTGGACAAATCACGATCCGTCCGCGGATTAGGAAACGGTTGTTGTCTATGTTTTCTGTAAAATAAAGTTTGGGTATTTTCCCCAGAAATCGCTTGATTTTCGTGGAGCTTGTACTTTCTGGACGATATTAACAAATAAAAAGTAGGAGGAACACCAGATTTCGGTCAAATTCAGTAATCTGGCCACGTGGGCTAATCCGATCGGACCAAAACTTTGCATGCTTTTTGACTCGGATCGGTCTGGAACTTGGACTCAATATACTTCATTACAAGTCCAAGTAGCCTGCAAAGTTTGGGTCCGATTGCAACTGTGTGAGAAGTTTTGAAAGTTCTTCTAGAATTCAAATGAAAAACAACTGAAACTTGTTGCAAAATTAGACCCCGGAGACTGCAAAAACACATTGACATTGTGCGCAAGACAGGACTGAACAACACTGCCTCTTCTCCGACGAACAGTGGTTTTCTGAACGATCGACAGGACGGCAGTGCGAGAGAACAGTGATTTTCGCGCGCGCGCGCGGTCTCCTGAACGTCAATCCGTAATTTCGGTGCGCCCGGTTTACGAATAGCATCTGGGAAAGCAGGGGATGGGGAAGAAAGATGATTTCGGCGGAAGGTCTCCCTTCTCGGGGACTGCCGCACGACGCGGGCCCGTAGGATACGCTGTAGTTCACCAAACTACGAATGCGTGTGCTTTTGGGAGGATGACAATTGTAGCTGTCACTCAAACACTCGTAAACACCCTTTGATCTACCGAAAACGTGGCACCGGACACGAACGGCCATCGATCTACGCGCGCGTTGCGGTCTCCGTTGCCGTCTTTCCGGCCGAACCGTTCTCTTTTTTTCTCCTCGCGCAGCCTGCCTCCCCAGAGACCGACGCGTTGCGCACTCTCAATTTAAAGGCGCATCCATAAATTTCGTCGAATCTGTTCGCTTTGACCTACGCGCGCAACGCGAAACTATTGGGTTTCGGTTGTTTCTCTCGGTTTTTGCGTCATTTTCTCGACGCGAGCACGTATTGCCGGCCGAAAAAAGTGAGTTCTAGAAGTTTTCTGTGATCTTATACTTTCCCCAGCACATTTCTGTAATAGTTTGTTTTTCTCAATTTGACACGAAAATTCTGGAGAAAGTGTGAAACCAACTGTGAAAAGTCTCGAATCCGCCGGCCCGCAACTTCATAATTTTGTCGATGAACTGCTGAGCTTCCACGCTCAAATTCTGCGAACTTCTCTGATAGATCGCGTACATCACATCGTAAACGGCGTAATCGCCGAGCAACGGGACCGTTCGCAACACGATTTTCTTCATAATCTCCAAGTTCGTCTCTGTTTGCCTCTCCAATTCTTCGCGTAACACTCGTACAATTTCCTGGTACATTGGCATTGAGTCCAGGTACGAAATGACTGTTTTCGGGTCGGTATACTTTAGAAATTCGGGAAGATTGTTCAGGACCAGCCTAAAACATTTTTTCGCAGTTTTTTCGTTGAAAATCGATTCAAGAATACCTGAATCCACTTCTTCGAACATTTCGATCGGAACACGCCAAAAGATGATGCAATCCCGGATTTGGCTCTGAAAATTATTACTTTTTATCATTTTCAACCAATTTTCAGTCAAAAACTCACTATTCTCGTGTAAAAACGCCAACAAATCTTTGTAAAATCGTTCATCGTCCGCCAGTGCCAATGGGCTATTTTTGAGCTCGTCAAACAATTTTCTCGAAAATTCCTCTCCATTTTCAAACTCTCCAATCAATTCTTCGATTCGCCCTTCTGGTGCCAACTGTGTTAGTCCACCAGCCTGCAAAAAATTGATGTTTTTTTCGGAAAAAAATCTAAAAATTACCTTATCCGGTTCTCTGAACAGCAATTCCAGACATCTCGTTATTTCCAGCTCGTAGAGGTCCACCAGAGCCACACACTGGCTTTTTCGGACCATTTTTGCGGAATATTAGCAATTTTTGATGTTTGCGCGGAAAATGAACGGAGAGCGAGAGAAAGAGCGAGAGGAGACAGGCGTTCAAGTGCGCTCTATCGCACTTTTATTTCGGGAGTGTTCTCTGACGCCGGCGCCTTGTTGAAAAATTCAATTTAGACTGAATTCGATGAAAGTTGCACTTTTCTAAATTTTTTCATGGAAAATCAAAGAAAAGGCAAAAAATGTAAAGATCGTGGCGAGACCCATTGAAAATCCGTGCTGCGCCTTTAAATTTTGCAGGGCTACTACGGTATCCGCTCGTCGCTTGTACAAACCACATTTCCAGGCTTAAATTCGCTGAAAAATCTAGAAAAACTCTTTATTTGCGCCGAAAAAATACAGAATTACATGAAATTTCACAAAAACAAGCTCAAAAACACTTATTTCAGACAAATCGACGCGTGAAGAGCGACTGGCTTGTGCGGTCCCACGAATTTTTCCTCGGCCACGAGGCCGTAGTAGAGTCCGGACGCGCAGAATGAGTCCTGAACATGCGTAAATTATTTCAGAAATGAAAGTTGAGGTTACATGTCGGAAAAGATCGTTCATTCGGTCGTTGTACAAAATGCGATCACTCCACGCCGGGCACAAAGTCCGCTGAAACTCCTCCTTGCCCTTTTCGTTGAGCTCGTAATGGCGGGAAGGCTGGAAAAAGCAGGTCTCCTCCTTCAAATTGCCCTTGAACGACAAGCTGGCGAGTTCTCCGTTGTACCGCTTCACCATCTGGCCCCTGCCCAATCGGAAGAACCAGTCGTGGATCGAGTGCAAATCGAAGCGGGTCCGCTCGACAGTCGTCGTTCTGCGTCCGTGCCGATCGACGTGCTCGATCGACTCGATGTTTCCGTCCTCGTCCCTCTTGGCCACAGTTTGCACCAATTGCGTGCGTGCCAGGTAGTTGAGCAGGTCCGTCTCGTGGAGTTGCGAGTTGAACGAGCCGGCCACGAGAATCGCGTCGTTGCGGAGGCCTTCCTCGTCTAATCTGGAAACACGGTAACTTTTTTTTTCAATTCTTTACTAGACACTTTCGCCACGGTCTCCAGAGCTGACAATATGGGCGTGGCCTCGGCGGCCAAATGACGTTTTCACGAATTGAGCAGATTTTCTCTGATTTTTGTGGCCAAAGGCGATGAAAAATGATTGTTCGACATGAAAACACACTAATTCTCAGAATTAATGACTTTTTGGCGCATTTTTCGCGGACTTTGCTTTTTCGCCTTCGCCGCCGATAGCCGCCTAAAAACCGCACTTCTCATTTTGCGCTTTCTTGACCGTTTTCTGACAGGATTGGTTTTGAGAATGATAAATTACGTAAGTACAAGCATTTTTAGCGCTCGAACCGCGAAAACTACCGAAAAGCAACTGAAATTCACGCAGTTTTAGCTAAAAACCTTCAAACGGATAAATGTGATTTGCGACTTGACCAATATTAACGCTCTTGCGCTTAAAAAATTCGTAATAGACTATACAATCGGTCTATCAAGAGATAAATCAGAAATTATCGGTTTTTCGTAGCTAATCTGGCAAAAAACACAAATTTTGCTGTTAAAATTTGAATTTTGCGCCAATGTATCGCTCTATTGGGCGGGGCGCACTTGCGCCCATTGTAAGCTCAGGAGACCGTGTCCCGGAAAAAAAAGATGAAAAAAAAGCGAACGAACTCTTTGAGCAACATCTCAATCTGCTCCTCCCTCTTCGCCGCCGCCTTTGTAATGTTCGAGTCTTTCGTGGCGATCTCGTTGACGTCTTCAAACGGAACCGAGTGAAGATTCAGGTTGACGAACGTCATTTCGATGCCGTGGATTCGGAATCTGGAGAGCAGGAAACCGGTGCGTTGGTTGGCCAAGTCGCGCGTTCCGTCGTCGTTCTGCAAAAAAGTCCTTTATCAGTCTTGCAAACTAGGTACTGGTCTAGATTTCTAGGAGTTTTGGACACCTGACATCGTCACTCGACGTCCGGGAGTCCGATTCTGAACACATTGCATAGAATGGCCAAGAAACTGGCAGGGAAATGTTAGAAAACGACGCAAAGCCGTCAGTGACGGCCAAACGTATGATAAATGTTGAGAAACTTACATAGAAATCCTTGCGAAAGGTGTAACTCTGTCCGAAAGTGTTCTGAATGAACCCGTCCGACTCCTTGGCTCCTGAAACTCTCAATTTTCCAGATATTCCCCATTATTTTTGGCCTACCGATCGCGTGTTGATGTCCGAGACGAACGTTAATGTAGCCGGTGGCCGAGAACCGGTCATAGTACTGCACTTGCGAGTGATTTTTGAACAGGTACAAGTTGCCAAGACCCTGGATTTAAAAATGAAAAAGTAGTGCTTAAGCCACGGCGACCAAAAGTGTAGAAATGGGCGTGGCCTAATCTGAGACGCGTTTTCTGAAAATTGCCGCAATTTCAGCACTTTTCCGATATTTTTGTGTTTAATATCGACGAAAGAAGAGCACATGAAAGAGAGAAAACATTGAAATTTTCGTGAAAACGTCGCGTTTGAGACGTTTTTCGCATATTTCGCAATAGGCTCTCCGCGGCCAATCGCCGCCGCAATTTCGGAATTTTCATACCGCGGCCGATGTGGATAGTTTTGAGACGAAGTGAGTGTCGGAAGTGATTAAGCACGTTAATACAAGTATTTTAAGCGTTCGAACGGGCAAAAAGTATCGGCAAATGACTGAAATTCGCGCATTTTCAGCAAAAAACTTAAAATCGATTCAATTGATTCATTTCTGAATGAAACCTGCTCGTTTTAAGTTAAAAAAGTGTGCGCGATGATTAGTTTAATAAAGTTATGCAATTACATCGTCGAAATCGTACAAAATTTGGGTAATTTTTGACGAAAAACATGAAAAATGGTGTTAAATTTCGAATTTCGCGCCAAAGTGGTGATAAACCGTGCACGCTAGGCCACGCCCCTTTCTACGTTTTTGGTCGCCGTGGCGCATGCTTCAATATTTTCGAGCGAATTACAGTGAGTTTGGTGTCGAAGAACGCCATCGAGCTGTCGAACGCGCGGTAGATTTCCGGATTGTCGGTTATGCTGAAAAATGTGCGAGTTTCGAGCAGAAATGGAGACGAAAAAATGGCGAACCATCCACAAATGACTCTGGCCGCATAGTCCGGGTTTTCGGCCGAATGGAGTCCTTGCACGTGGACGACGGCGAATTCGCATTTTTGCTCGTAAATCTCCTTGGCCACTTCGGAACACCACGCGCGGATCAGATCGTCCTGAACAAAAAAAAACAGTCGATTTTGACGCGAAATTCTATTGGCACTCACATCGGTTCCGATTCGTGAAATGTCGCCAGTGATTGCCACTTGTTTGATGTACTCGGGCATTCTGAAATTGCTGAATTATTTTCAGAACGCGAATCCGAACGGTCCTTTTAAGAGTCGCTCAGAAGCTCCGCCCATTTCTACCCCCAATCTATTCGGGAAAACGCCCGAAGAAAAAAGATCAATTTCGTCGTCAAAATTGGCTAGAAATGTCCGAATGTTTTGTCGGTTCGGTGTGAAAAAACGTTGAACGAAAACCAGTTTTGAAGGCGTCGAAAATGTGCCCATTTATGGGCTGGAAAATGGGGAAAAATGGGTGTGGCTCAGAAATTGTCTTATAACTCGTGAACGATCAGTTTTAGCTCAAAATGATCAACTAGAAAGTTGTTTGGAATAAAATTAGCTACAACTTTGCAGTTGACCACTTTTTGAAACACGCAATACTTCTCGAGATATAGGCGTTCAAAAGTGGAAGAACCAAAAATCAGGTATACAATAGCAAAAAGTTGAAAAAATTCAAGAGGAAACGAATAGTAGTCGGGAGGGAAAGGTAACCCGATGATTGTGTCTATTTGCAAAGGAGACTTCCACTAATTCTATGAACATTGCGCGCGGGGGAGCGAAAAGGAAAGAGAAAGAAGAAGAAGACGGATACGCCCTTTCTGCCGCCGTCTCTCTCGTCGCCACACACACACACACACACATACTATTTGCCTTTTTTGCTGATATTTTAGTGTTCATATGTTCGCCCACGTATTTCGTAATCTCGTATTAGTCATCGCCACCGTCTCCAGAGCTGACAATGGGCGCAAGTGCGCCCCGCCAAATAAAGCGATACATTGGCGCGAAATTCAAATTTAAACAGCAAAATTTTTTTTTTGCTGTTAAAATTTTTTGCCAGATTAGCCACGAAAACCCGATAATTTCTGATTTATCTCTTGATAGACCGATTGTATAGTCTATTACGAATTTTTTAAGCGCAAGAGCGTCAAATTTGGTCAAGTTTGAAGGTTTTTGGCTAAAACTGCGTGAATTTCAGTTGATTTTCGGTAGTTTTCGCGGTTCGAGCGCTCAAAATGCTTGTATTTACGTTTATTGTTATTATTAAAACCAATTCTGTCTGAAAACGGCCAAGAAAGCGCAAAATGAGAAGTGCGGTTTTTAGGCGGCGATCGGCGGCGAAAGCGAATAAGCAAAGTCGCGAAAAATGCGCCAAAACGTCATTAATTCTGTGAGAATTAGTGTGTTTTCATGTCGAACAATCATTTTTCATCGCCTTTGACCACACAAAAATCCGAGAAAACCTGCTCAATTCATAAAAACGCCATTAGTCCGCCGAGGCCACGCCCGTATTGTCAGCTCTGGAGACCGTCGGAACTAATTTCCACGTGGCACTCTCAATGTTCGTGATGCTTTCACAAATGTTCAACGATGCGAGAATCAGTGTTCGATTGGCCCCTCAAGCTGTAAAAGTGAGTTGAATTTCGAGATTCGATGACAGAAAACAATCTGGACACGATTTCAGCGATGCGCATTCGTCTCGTTTTGTGCCTTCTCGCCCTCTGTCTCGTGGGGAATGTGTGGAACGAGACAGGTTCGAGATCCACAACGGGAACTCTCAGAATTGAGACGTACAATCTTTTCAGCTCTCCGCCAACTCACCGACGATCTCTCGATCCTTGAGCGCGTCGTCAACGCGATTTCCATCCAGGAGGGACTCTCCAAAAACGCCACCAAACTGGCCGATCTTCTCGCCGAACTTTTCGAATTGGAATCGGGAGAAGGACTGATGAGACTGCAGAATTTTAGTTTGGATGGTAGAACTAGAACTGAGTCACTCGACATCCTGAGTATTGTCAGAGGTCTGAAGAAAGATGTGATGAATGAGACGAAAGGCATTGTGGCGCTCATGAAAATAAAGGACAAACTCACTGATCTCGAGGCGGGACTCAACGAAACAGCCACTGAAGACCTGGTCAGACGAGTCAAAGATGTGTCCGGGCCTGGAGTCATCAATAGACAGCTCTTGGACACGTATGAGTTTGAGAGTTCTCTGGAGCAATTGACGATTATCGGAAATACCCGGATCGGCGTTGAGTGGGAATCATTGGACTGTTTTACCAAGGCTGCTGTACAAGTATGCGAGCGCAGGCCAGAAGTTCACAAGAGGCTCGAAGAGTTCAAGAAGTACAAAGAAACGCTCAGCAATGTGATGGCTGTGAAAGATATGCACAAGGTGCTTGAACCGGTTCTCGTCATCTCCCAAGTACTGCGAGAGTACAGCCAACACTCAGAAGCGTTGCTTTCTGTTCCGTCGAAGCGATCCGCTTTGAAACATGAATCGGACGTGCTTCTACCGATCGCCGCGAACTATCAATTGTTCTCAAGAGTGAGTGCATCGCTCAACACCACTTATATGTACGCGGCGGACGTGGTGCCACAAAGGTATATTCGGACCAGAGAATTCTCGAAGAGAATCAAGGACTATGTTCGGTTCACGAAAGACATCCAAAGTGAGTGGTTCAAGGAGAAGATTGCCGACGGAAAGGACGTGAAACCGCTGGAAGATGCTCTCGAACACTCGCGAGTTCTGGGCGAGAAGGTGTCTAGGATGGATAAGAGATGGATAAATTTCCTGGATATTCTTCACATTGTCACCCGCGATCATTCACTAGTGGATGCGATTAGCTCGATAAAAAGTTTGGCAAAGAATGGAGAGGAATTGGCTGAAATCAAGGACTTGAAACCTTCCATCGACACTGTTGCGACTGCGGTCCAATCTTTGAAGCACATCACATGTGCTCCACCATTTGATGAACTTCAACAAGTTTATGCTTATGCAAAAAACGTAAGTACACTTGTCGAAGGAATGGAGGCGGCGATTGAAAGTGTTGTACAGAACATTAGCGAAAATATAACGGAAAGTGTGAACGAACTTTCTGAATTGACATGTAACATTTCTCAAAGTCACTACAAAGATTTACTTGCGCTACAGCACGATTTTAAGAAAAACCCGATGGTTCAAGTTTTCTCAGATTTTGCAAAGTCTCTGGTGGCCAATCTCAAGAAGTTTCCCGTGGAAACACTTGAAGCTGTCATTAAAGACGCTCCTGACTTTACTTCGATCAAAACAATGCAATCGTGTCTCAAGGAAACTGGACTTGTCGGCACTCTGAAGCTTCTCCAATCTGCCAACAATGACTCGGACAGAGTTGGAAAGGTGTTCCATTTCGGGAGCAATATCCATGAATTGGAGCCTGTTTATGTCAGTCTGGCCAGAGTTCTGGTCGACGTGATGAACGAGATGAAAGAGAACGTTGTGGATTTGGTGTCATTGGGAAGACGTCAAGCGGATGGCGGTTCGAATCCACTGAAAACATTGAAGCAGCCGATCGAGGTGGTGACGAGAATTTCGAAAGGACTGGATCTGCTCAGGAAGATGTGCGATGTGCTCGACAAGAAGACGCAAGTGCTGGCGGCGGCCGATGCACCATCTGAAGTCGATGCAGTCATCGGAGCACTTCCGACACTCAACGCATCCTGGACCAACACCACGAAGGCATCGATGAAGAAGCTGATCACGGACCTGGAGCGTTTGGACGAGTACGCCAAGAATCTGACGAGCGACGCCGACCTCCTGGAGATCGGAACCGTTTTCGACGAGGCCGCATCTATTGCGGGCGCCCGTTTGGACACCCGACTCCTCATTGATTCCGCACATCAAGCGCTGAAGAATTCGTCCTTTCAATCGACTTTCCTCGCACTCGAATCGCTCCAACTGGATTTTGCGAGCGACGCCGACGAATTCGCATTGGCCTCTTTTGCTCTCATCAGACTCCGCCCCTTCTTTGACGACTTTTTCGGAATCCATCGAGCTGTTGCAGGTGAGAGAGAGAGTATTTTTCAAATTTAAACCCCAGTTTTTTGGTTTCAGACCGCGGAACGTGACTTTGTAAAGCCGCCGACGACGTCACGACCGTTATTGATTTTTTAGAATAAAGCGAATTTTGTGGAAAAATGTCTCATTTACCCACTTTTTTTTTGCCAAAAACGACGCAGATTTCCGCAAACCCCAGAAACTCCGAAATGCGTCGTGTTTACAGCGCGGATTATAAAGCGCGCGCACTTGTCGCTAAACCCTTCAGTTTTCTCAACTTTTTCCCCGTCGGAAACGGGAAAATGAGTATCTTTCATGAAAAATACTAGAAAAATCAACATTTTTTGCAGTAACATGGGGCGGGGAAACAGCGAGAAACAACAACAATTTGGTGGGATACTAGAAGAAAATGAGGAGAAAGTTAGAATTCAACGGCGCGGATGGTCGAGATGGAGGTTACGATGTCGTCATAACTGCCCAGATCTTTACGGACCGTATTGATCAGTTTCTGCGGTTGAATCGCCTTCTGCGACTCTTTCGGCGCTTTCAGACCGATGACGACCTGGAAAAATGGAAAAAGTTAAACAGAATTCAAGGCAATCACCTCATTGACGTCCTCGCACGACTGAACACTGTAGAGGGTGGCAAAGTGCTCGGCAATGTTCTTTTTGATGTTTCTTCCGAGATCCGAGTCTCGGGTCACCAAATTCAGACTGAGCATTCCGTTCTCCTTCAGCGAATTCCTCATGTCGGCCAGTGCTCCGGCCGTCAAAAAAGCGGGCGGCGGGCATTGGAGCGCCGCGTTCTGGCTGCCCGACACGTCGACGAAGATCACGTCGTACTTGTCTTCTGCGAAAATTTCAACTTTTCTTGTCAACATTGTATTTTTTGTTCGACACGGTTAACTGACTAACTTCTCCGCTCCGCTCCTGCTCTGACCCTTTCATTCCATATTTTTCAAAAAAAAAAGTGGTTACCTTCATTTTTGGCGGCAACTTGCTGAATATGAACGAGAGCGTCCTGAATGACCACCTCGATGCGGGCGTCCGAATGCGGGAATGAGAAATGGGCGTTGGCGATTTTGAGCACTTCCGGATCCAGTTCGACGGCTGTCACACGCGCCTGAAAATTGGAACTTTTGCAAAAAAACTTGGGTGCGAGAGAAAGGCGATTAGCGTGTGAGAAGGCAGAGACGCAGACGCGGGAGACTTCGCGCCATCGCTAGCCCAGGCGTGGATTTAGAAATACGTTCCAGAAAAAAAGAGGCCCCTCACTTTTCGGAAATGCCGGACGAGATAGGCGGTGAGGAGGCCTCCTCCCAGTCCCAAAACGGCCATTTTGCACTGAGTATCGATGCGCGCCAGCGGGGCAAGCGGCGAAATTGCGAGACTTCCGATCATCATTCGGTGGAAATCGCACGCCAGCTCGTCCAGGTCCACCACTTGCTGCTTCTTTTTTCCGGCTGAAAGATAATTGAGATTTAGCGTCGGCCCCGTTACTCGCTTTTTTGTATTTCCACCGTACTCACTCTTGAGATAGGCTTCCGATTGGACCAGATTCATGGTGTTCAGAAAAACGAGTCTTCGGTAGTTGAGTCCCTCGACGGTCACTTCCTCCACACTCCAATTCCCGTTCACCTCCGACCGTCCACTCGAAATCGTTCGTTTCACATCGATTCCACCGACCGACAGGATTTCGTACTGCAAAAATGACGGTCTCTTTTTTTTCGATCAATTTCTGCCAATGTTCTGGATAAAAAACAATGCGTACATTTCCAGAATCGTCGGCGCGCGCGTCCAACATGCCCACAAATCGTCCAACGTCCGCCTTCACGCCCTCCATTCCCTTTTCGTATTTGTGATTTCTGTTGAGGAAAACGATGGCGAGCCGATCGCGTCCGCACTGGATTCGCAGCGCCTTCCGGCCTTTCGGCGACGCGAAAATCCATTCAGAGTCTCTGGAAAAATTGGTGTTTTTTTGTGAAAATAAATGTGCATCTCGCTGCAATCGCACTCTGCTGAGAAACTCTTTTTTCAAGGCCGAGAGGAACAGAGCGCGATACCTTCCGATGGGCACCACAAACGCGGCGAACGTGTCGATGCGTCGGACGTCGGCGTCGTCGACCACACAAATTCGGTATCGCGGTCCCAGCGACGGATCCTCGCCGTGGAAATCGATCGACACTTCGGCGTCGAGTTTTCTGAAATTTTTTGACAATGTCTGGGTACATTCTTCAATTTTTGCGGTTCAACCTAAAAGAAACAGGAGGCGAAAGAGAAGCGATTAGCGTGCGAAAAGCCTGCGCCTGCGCCTCTGCTTTCTCGCTTCTCCCTCGCCCCTGTTTTTTTGTCAGCAATTTCTCGATCAATCGCTCGCCCAGGCCTACCCGAATATAGTTTCCCAAGAGATTTCTCACTTTGAACACAAGTAGATAAACTGTGAGAGCTCCTGTTCTCCTCGAATCGCATCCTTCAGCTCGTCAGTGTCTTCGATGCGGTCCGAGCGGACGGCACTTGATCGCAGCACTTCCAGCGGCTGCAAAACAGGAAAATTGAACGAAAAAAAATGCTTTTCGAAGGACGAACCAATGGATTCGGCATCGGGGCGCGCATTTTGGTGGCGATGAAGCAGAAAACGGGCATCGGGAAGCCGGAGGCCTTGTTCTCGACTTTTTGCACTCGCAGAATGTATTGTTTGCTGAAAAATACATTTTTTGAATGGAGACTGTACTTTCGGGCAGTTATTTCTCGAAACTTTGCTAAAAGAAACCGGAATTTTTTGTAATGTCTAGAAATAAACGAACAGCGGGAAGAAGTGATCGATCCAGAATTCGGTGATGTGCGGCTGCGCGAGCGTCACGATGATATAACGGCCGCCGGAGGCGAGTACTCGGTGCACCTCGTCGAACATCCGCGTTACGGTAGCCTTATCGGCTTCCGAGGAGCGCGGAGGGAGCAGGGCGTCCAGCGTTCCCTTGTCGACCACGACAGAATACGCCCCGTCCGCCGATTCGAGCTGAAAATGGTTAAATTAGTGGGTTTTTCCATCAACTTGTTCCTACATTGGCGGCGTCTCCAACGACGAACGTCATTCCGGGCCTATCCTTATTTTTGCGTGTTTGGGCGGCAATCACGGACGGTTCCACGTCGATACTGTGGATTTGGTGGAATCCATTGTCGTACAGCTACAATATTTGCGATTTTAGAGTCAAATTTCGGGGGGAAAACCTGGGTGGCCAATTCGGAATTTCCGCATCCGAGTTGAAGAAAATGATCGCTCGGCTTCAGATACTTATCGACCACTTTCGACAGAGAGTTGTAGTCTCCGTACCTGGCAAGATAATTGTTTTGAGTTTGAACGAAGCTTCACGAATAGCTTACCATTCGAACGGCGATTTTCTTTTCGCGAAAAAATTCTTCCAGTACGCCGGATCGGTGAACGATTGCGGCTCGTTCGGAGCGGACATTCCCTGCAAACAATTTTGGAATTTTTCAAGAATCAAAGCAAATAAAATGCGGTGAAAATGCAACCACACACACACACATAAGAATCAAGTAAAAATCGGGGAAAAACTATCTTTATTACTTTTTATATCACATTTTTGCGAGATTTTTCACTGTTGATTATGGGTTTGATTTTTGGGTTAAAAACCGGATTCGAAGCGAAAAAAGAGGAAACGACTAGAGAGAAAATGGTGAAAAATAAGTGACAAGGCAGAAAACTCGTATTTACACTTTTTAGGGGGGAAAAATTATGGAAAATCGATTCAAATATCGTCGTCGCTCATCTCGTCCAACAATCCCGACATTGTCACACTTCCGTTGTTCAGCTGCAAACGTTTTTGGCTCAATAATTACATAAAAATTAGCATTTTGACAGACATGGCCTACAAAACTCTATCGGATTCTAGGCCACGTTTGCTAAAATACGATTTGCCGCGTTTTCAGCAAATGTTTAATGTTTTCGAATGCACGATTCAATTACTGTGCCAATTTTTCCTACAAAAATCAAAAAACAGTTAAAAAAAACATACATGTCCGAGAGCGCCGCCTCCCTGTTGCTGCGTCCGCCGTCCCCGTTCCAAATCCGTTTCGTTCCGCCCGTTTCTCGTTCCTGCTTCTTCTCCTTCTTCTTCTTCTTCTTCTTCTTCGTCTTCATCGTTCAATTCGAATCCCTCGTTCGTTCGATTGCTCAACGGTCGATATCCTTGCACATTGTCGGCTCTTCCCCAGTTCGGATCCGATTTCAGCACGGTGTTCTTGCAGCCATAGCCGAAAAAGACGATGACGATGCACATCGACGGGATGAGAATGATCGAGAAGCTCCACGAATCCTGAAAACAACCATTTTACAAACGGTTTTTCTGGAAAAATTATAAACTAACCGTAATCTGATTGAACATGAATCCGTGGCGCATCGGAAGGTATCGATTCTCCTTCAGCGCCCTCTTTACCACTTCCATCGTTCCGTTATGTTCCGACGGTGTGATTTCAAGCACGTGGCACATTATACTGTAGAGATCCACGTTGTTCGGAATGTCCGCCACCTGTAATTGATTTTTCAGAATTTTTTGAAAAAAAAATTGCGAAATTTTCGAATGACCGTATAATTTTCCGAGAAAGCGGGTCCTCTCATCACCAAGAACGCGCGCATTTCCGGCCGATCCGGGTCCATTCCGTGCGTCGACGAATTGAAACGAGTCGTTCCGTTTTCGCCGTATTTGCTGAAAAAATTACGGGAAAAGTTCGCCGTTTTTCTGTGCGAAAATCAACGAAACCTGTTCAAATCGTCTTTGGTACACGAGAAAGAGATGGCCGATCCGACTTGTGGCTCGAAAATGATTGTTCCGATGCGGGAGCTGTTGCGGTAGTGCCATCTCTCGGGAATTTCCTCTTTCCAGTGAATGTTCACGTCGTATCCGTGTTTTTTGATGGCTTCCGAGAGATTTGAGTATATTTGTCGGCCGATCTCGTCCGAATGCGGGTAGATCATGTGATCGCCCATCTCGAAGCCGGCGCCCGTCACGTAGTCTTTCACGCACATTACGTGCTTTTCGTCTGCAAAAAAAAGGGAGTTTTAATACAGAAATCCATGAAAAGAACCTTTAATCTCCGCATGTCCGTGATCGGCCGTCAAAATGATGTTCACTTCCGCTCCCAAATCGTGATCATCGAATTTTTCGATGAAATAAAGGAAGAGATCGTCCAATTTCTTGAGCGTTTTCTCCAATTCTCCGTTGTGGAATCCGTTTTTGTGGAGAGTATCGTCCGGTTCCGCCACGTACCACGCCACAAAATTGAGGGGCTCTTTTTCGCGGACGAACGCGTCGATGACATCATCGGCGTCTTGCATCCACGATTTCAGGTCGCCCACCACTGTCCACGGCCTGGAAACAATTGATTTTTCTCCCATTTTTTTAAATGTCACACACTAACTTTGCAATTTTTGGCCTATGCGGAATGTAGGGGAACTGCGATTCGCCGTTGGGCCAGTAGAAGGAGGCGGAGCGTCGCGAAGACTCCCATCTCTCGTTCGTCAGCCAAATCGGATCGGATTTGAACCAGAAATCGGCGCGCGACGCGTTCACGACACCCTCTTTTTTTGTGGAATTAAAGTAGTCGAACCTGGAATGTGTTTTTTTTTTGCATTTCTTGCGGAGATTTCCGTGTTTTCCGTACATTTTTTTGGTGTCCGAGTCGAAAAAGTAGTTGCCGACGATGCCGTGCTCCTCCTCGTACTGTCCGGTCGCGATGCTCATGTGATTCGGCGCCGTGTACGTCACGTATTGCGATTTTAGGCCCGAAGTGAACCACGTCGACACTGACGCCCATTTGTGAATGTTTGGCACCGGAAAAACAAAAACTGCAAAATTTCGAAACTTTTTTTGAAAAACTCACGAGTCCTTCGTCCAATAAATCGTATCGGAAGCCGTCGAACGAGATGAGCAAGAGTTTCGGATGCCTGGAGAGGCCCGACGTCGGGGCGAGCAGGAAAAATTGGAAAATCAACAATTTTATGTACATTTTTGCATTGGGGCCTAAACATTCGAGATTTTGCGGTGGAAAGATGCGGTTTACAAGGGAAAGTAGTGAAGACGTAATGGAAATCGGCGTTCACACGGAATTTGCGAAGAAAAATATAAAATTCAGGCAGAAATAACGGGAACTGTGTGGAAAATAAAATAAATAAAAATTGTTGTCCGAGAGGAGTCCGAGCGGCGGTGGCCGAGAATTCGAAGGAAGGCAGATAACATCGATCGATGACGCGATCGAGAACAATAGTGGATTCTGACGAGAAAATTGAATACATTGGATGAGCATATCACAAAAAAACATACTTTTATATAATCTTTCTTTGATTTTCATACTCTAGGACCATTCATAACCGTCTAATTGAAGAATATGTCGCACCAGATCTCCAACGAGAAAATTGAATACATTGGATGAGCCTTTCACAAAAAATGTCCTTGCGTAGAAGATGGATGCCCGATTCATCGACAACTACAACTGCAATATGGCCCCGATACTGCCCTCAGACGATGGAGACATTGAAGACGATTCATACGCGAAACTTGTCGCCGCAACGAGAAGCATCCATTCAGACCTCCCACTGTTCTGTTCTTCTGATCCCCTCTCCAACAATGTCATTTGTGCGATCAATAAATATTGTTCTGGTTTCGAAATTCAGTACAAGTATTCAAAAATTCAAAAAAATCAGCCAAATTCACAGTAGAAAAGCTATCTACAGCTATCTCCTTTTTTTTGCCATTTTGAAAAATGCTGAAAAAAATCAGGGTGGTACCATAAGATATGGAGAACATTTTCCGATTTTGACATTCGGCAAAATGTTTCTGGAAACTTCTTGAAAATTCGTTTAAAAAAAGCTAGTGTAGCTTTGATCAGTGTCACATTTAGCGAAAATTTTACGAATTTGCAACAAGTTTCCATAAATATTTTGCCGAATGTCAAAGTCGGAAAATAAATGTTCTCCATATCATCTTATAGTACCATCCTGATTTTTTCAGAATTTTCTAAAATGGTAAAAAAAGGAATTCCCTAGTTCGACTGGCTGCTATTCAGAGTTGAGCGGAAGAACTCAACGGAAGAACTCACGGAAGAATTTTTATATTTTTTAGAAAATTTTTTCATGGAATGTGATCAACTGACGAAATGTATAGCAAAGTGAACTGTGCTCATAGAAAAATAATTGTAAATTTAGCTTTTCATACAAAAAAGTTATTCGAGTTGTTCCGTGAAATAGGGGGCGAACGGAAGACGGAAGGAATAACTTTTTTGTATGAAAAGCTAAATTTACAATTATTTTTCTATGAGCACAGTTCACTTTGCTATACATTTCGTCAGTTGATCACATTCCATGAACAAATTTTCTAAAAAAGATAAAAATTCTTCCGTGAGTTCTTCCGCTCAACTCTGCTGCTGTTCAACACGCTGAGAAGTTTTTAATCTGACACAATACAAAAAACTACTGTAGATAGCGTTTCTACTGTAAATTTGGCTGCTTTTTTGAATTTTTAAATATTTGTAGTCCTACGTTGTTCATTCTTCGATACTGCCCCCCATTTATTAGACTAATAAATACTGTTTTAATATCAATAAAGAGACGACGATTATTGCTAGTTTGGAGTGGTTTCTTGACATGAAGAATCCGTTTCATAAGTCAGAATCGCTTGTTTTGTTTCTCATCAGTGCGAGCCTGAATACTGATGAAAAGGACCGAAATATCAAACAATTTTCTTCGTTTTTCCGGAAAAAAGAACATAACGGCCACATGTTTTCCTCTGAAACTTCAAAGTTTCAGAAAAATGTCTGGAATTTGCACCCCTCCGTCATCGTCATTTCAGTTTTCGGTTTGGGAAAATGGAAGGTGGGTGTGCACATCATTCCTCCCCCCAAACTCTCTTATCAAAATGATATATGGGGGCTCGAGTGATAAGGGAAATGTGGCAGTAGAAGTGGAAGGGAGTTGCCTCCGGCTGAGCACACACACACACACACAACTATAATTTATAACCCTCTTCTTCTTCCCCTTCCTTCCTTCCCTGCCTGCCTACCTTTTTTGACTCGAAATGTTGTGCCATTCATTTCAGAAATGAAGATTCTCATTCCGGTCCTGGTCTTGCTACTGGCGACCGTTCAGTATGGATCCGCAACTGATCCAACTACTGGTAAGTTTGAATTGCCACGTCATCTGAAAACTGTTGTACTGCTTCTTCATGTCTTGTACTTCATTTTTCTAGTTTACAACTTTTTTTTACGATCACTCCCTGGAGTACTGTAGCTCGTGGAAGTCGGTGGCCGAACTTCAAAGAGCTAGGAATAGAACAAGTGGTTGAAAAAAGTTGTAGACTGGAAAAATAACGTGCTAGACGTCTAGAATAGGTGCAAAACATTTTGGAAGCTGGGGAGAGACTTTGAAAAAGCCTAGAAAATCCTCATAAGGAACTTGTCAGAAACTTGAACCAATCTGCTTCAGATATATCAGTTTTTTTTACGAAAAAAATATGTGTTTCACTAGGACGATTTGTTGTTTCGGTGATTCGTTCGAACAGTTTCATCTGTTGCATCTAGGTTTTTTTTTGAAGTGACTTTCGTGTTTCACTCCTGTTTGTTACAGTTCTCTCAGTTCGTGATTCCGTTGACTCTCCAACTAATTCTTCTCCGAATCTGTGTCCTTGGAGCCGTCAAATACATCGACAAAAACCGACGTAACCATAAGCGCGCCAGCACCAGGCGACTGACGCACTTTTCGTGCAAAAAGAGCGCCAAGCCAGTTTTGTTATTGATCTGCGCGCATTCTGAATTTTGCGCGTTTCGTTGATTGTTCTGGAGTTTTCCAGACTATCTTTGTGCTCTCCATGCTCAGTGTGTTCAGACGGCGATTGCCGTCTCTTCGGAGGTCAAATAGCGCTCAAAGTGTCCCAATAAATGCACCAAAACGTCGGCAATTTCGATAATTTTTGTGTTTTCATGCTTTTGACCACACAAAAATTCTTGACTCCTAATGAAAAGGGTGTTGTCCCCGTTGACAACGAGTAGTTTCGATAAGCGAAGAGAAGCAGAGCAAATAGTAACTAATCGCTTCGTTTCGATTGGTTACAGTAGTCTTGAGACGTCATTCCATTCCATTGTTAACACAAACGTTTTCGTTTTCCGGTTCTCAAATAGAATGCCAATTGCAGACGCCGTATCCACAACGCCAGGAGGAACCGCATCCGCTTCCACTTCTTCCACACATGGCGACGCCGCGAGTGTAGCCACAACGTCGGCCACAGTATCTGGAGGCACTGTGGTCACTCAGAATCCGGTCACGGCGGTCAGTGGGGCGACTACTGGAACCACTGGAGCCACTGGAGCCACTGGAGCCACTGGATCGTCGTCAGACTCCACCGATGCGAGCAGCACTGTCGGTTCGTCGTCTTTAAAGCATATTTTGGAGCGTAGTTGCAAATTTGCCCTTGTCCAGTTCATTTTGAGCACAAAACCGTTTCCTTAATTCACGCTTGATATTCAGTGGTCTCCACAACGGCACTGCCACTCCTCCTCACTTCTTTCCCGATTTCCAACGATTTGAGTCCACAAGACGCCAAACTCATTCTTCAACAGGCGCTTCAGTTGGACCAACAGATCAACGAGTGAGTTGTGACGACCGTTGTTTCCGGCCTTAAAAACGTTTCAGTCTCAATGAGTTTCTGAAAACTGCGAAACAAGACACAAGACACGGATTTATGATTTTTTTCTGTGTCGTGACGCCAAAAAAATCGATAATCTGAAACTTTCAAAATTCAGCTTTTTAAATATTGTAAATAAGTGTGGTTCAGCGAAAAAACGATTAAACGAAAACGGAAAAAAATCGGAAGAAAGGGGAATTCTATCCGGGGACTAGAAAAATCTAGGCCAGCTCTTCCATTTCGCCGTGTACCTCTCTCAAAAAAAATCTTAAAAATCGGGGAATTTTTTCCGTAATTCGGGACTTTTGGAAAGTGAATGCCACACTTTGAAGTTTATTTTAAAAATTTGGACGCCACCTTTAAAAAGGTTTCAGTCTCAATGAGTTTCTGAAAACTGCGAAACAAGACACGGATCCGAACAATTCGCCGCTTTTCGATCAGCTGAACGCGTTCTCGGCGAACATCACCGCGCAGAACACGACGTTGCAGGGCTACATTCGGCAGTTGCAGGTGAGAAACAAATCTGGAAGCCGACAATTACAATACTCTACTCATTTTTCAGGCGCTTTCTGTAACGCAAACGTCGATTGACAACCGTCTGAACAGTGCCACCGATACGTTCGTCTGCTTCTCACAATCCAGTTGTGTTACTGTAAGTGTCAAAGTTCGCTCTACCGAACTCATTCATCGTTTTCAGGACATTCCGACGACTCCAGAGCCAACAACTCCGGGCCCAACACAAGGTTCGGTGACTAAACAGAGAGAGCATCGTTGAGCGTTTCTCTTTTGATTTTCAGCTGTGACCACTTGCATCAACCAGACGCTTGTCTCTACCGAAACGCCAGAAACGTACAACTTCCCCAGTACTGAAGTAGGCGGCCGGATGTGTGGCCGGGATGGGCGATCGAATAAAAGTGTTGTTCTAGAACGCCGCGGTGTGTGTGGTTAGCATCGGAGCCACCGTCACGACGAACAACGTCTCGATCGCCATCGACGCCTCGTTCGCCGGAAGTAACGCATGGATTAACCTGGTGGAGACGAGGACCAAGAGGACTATCAGGTTGGCATCTTTCCCAAGTGAAGATCTGAGCTCTCTATGAACACCAGAGATGTTGGGAATTCCGTGTTCCGTGTTCCGTGTTCCGTGTTCCGCGTTTTTTTGCAATATTTTTTCCGTGTTCCGTGTTCCGTAAAAAAAAAATTTCCGTGTTCCGTGTTCCGTAGAAATAAGTTTTTTCCGTTTTCCGTGTTCCGTGTTCCGTATAAACTATGTTTTCCGCGGAAAAATTCGATCACAAATTTTATTTTTTTCATTATTATTTTGATTAGGACAGTTGACGTTTTGTGGTCAAAATTTGAAAATGTTCGGATTCGGATCATATTCGTGAAAAGTGGATTCCATTTTCAGTCGTTTTTTTACTGTAGTTGTTTACTGTTGTGTTGTTGGTTTTGTTATTTTTATGAAATTTTCAGTAAAACTTTCACATGAGTCAAACAGCTGCCTTGTCAGTCAGATAATCGAATTAAACAAAACATTATTTTAAAAAAAATCACTGGAATTCTCTTGAAAACGCTTTTTTTCCGTGTTCCGTAAAAAAAAACAATTTCCGTGTTCCGTGTTCCGTGTTCCGTAGAAATAAGTTTTTTCCGTTTTCCGTGTTCCGTGTTCCGTAAAAAAAAAATTTTTCCGTTTTCCGTGTTCCGTGTTCCGTAAAAAAAAATTTTCCGTTTTCCGTGTTCCGTGTTCCGTAGAGTAAAATTTTTATTCCCAACATCTCTGATGAACACTTGTCTTCAGCCTGAACACCACCACCACCACCGCCTACAACTTCACCGCGTTCCAACAGATTCAAGTGCAATACTTTTCGGACGCTCGATCCTCGGTTCAGTTCAATTTCACCTATGTTGAAGGTGTGTCTCATCAAATTGCCGCCCCCCACTTTTCTATACGACATTTCAGTGGATACGTGCGATTTGAACTGTCAAAATGGTGGAGTGTGCAGAGTGAGTCAGTCGGGATCCAAGTATTGTGAATGTCCAAAGTGTTTGGCGACTGGAGACTTGTGTGAAAGTGAGTTGATACCTACAATGGTGGTCGAAAATCAAAAACAAAACGTTTTTTTAGACCGGGTCACTCCTTGCCAGTCGAAGCAGCAGCGAGTTTGTGGAGAGAAAGCCGCGACGCCGTACGGACAGTGTTATGAGTGAGTCGGGTGGCCTAGAGGAGCTGCAGAAATAAAGTTAGGCCATGTTCAGGAACGCGTGCTTCGACCAGTGCTACGCTTGCACTTGTGCTCTCGGCCCCGTGGACCCGGATGCTCCGCAGAGTTGCACGGCTCCAGCGGCCGGAGCCACGGTCCCAGCCATCCCCACTCCGATCACTCCGTCCGTTTGCCCGACAACCGCCGCGGCGCCAACCACTACTACTACCGCCGCCGCCCTCTTCACCTCCACCGTGGCTCCTAGTACCATTTCGTCCGCTGGAGACTCTACAGCGACCACAGTGTCTGTCAGCGGGGGGACTACTGCCTCGGGCGGTCCCTCTCAGTCCACTGTGACCGGCTCGGAAACCGGAAGCACGGTCACAGGAACAGATTCGACTGCCACTGGAGTTGTCACTTCGACTGTGGTTGTGTCGTCGACCACTCCTAATAAACAATAATATTTGAAGTAGCCAATTCACTATGAGACTTTTCGGAATGATTGCTATAAATATATGTAACGTTAGTTTTCCTCAAAACGGGTCCCTTGAAAATGTGAATATAATTGGTTTGGGGGGGAGGGTCTCTACCGTTTCACAACCAAGATATTATGCGACTAACGAAATGCTATTCACTTTTTCAAGCAGCACACGCCGACCAAAAACGTAGAAAGGGGCGTGCACGGTTTATCACCATTTTGGCGCGAAATTCGAATTTTATCCCCCATTTTTCATGTTTTTCGTCAAAAACGCGGCGTTTTCACGATAATTGCAATGTTTTCTCTCTTTAATGTGCTCTTCTTTCGTCGATATCAAACACAAAAATATCGGAAAAGTGTGCTGGAATTGCGGCAATTTTCAGAAAACGCGTCTCAGATTAGGCCACGCCCCTTTCTGCACATTTTGTCGCCTTGCGTTACTGCGCAGTAATCAATAATCAAGGCGGCCTAGAAAAGAGCTGCCTGCAGACATATCAAAAAGTAGTCAACAGACAAAATGTACAACATTTGTTAGTGAACATTTCATCAGTTGACAACTTTTCCATATCTCCACCGGCCAACCACCCGGATACATTGCTTCGAGTGGAGACTATCGCTCTGAAACCTGGTCCCCCGCTCTCCTATTCGCATCCGATTCGATCCATTATGTATAGGCACAAAGAAAGAGAGTCTCTCCAACCACAAATATACACAACACATACACCTTTTCACAACTGAATATCGTATTCGCCCTCCCCCTTCTTTTTCCTTCCGCCGCCATATAATTCTCGCCGAAAGATCGCATGACTGCAGCGCGAAAGTGACGGAGGGCGCAGAGAGAGAGAGAGAGAGAGAGAGAAACAGAACGAAAAGCATTGCGGTCAGCTGACTTTGCTTTGCGTGGGCGTGACCTGGCCGCGTGCCAAATGGGCGGAGCCTAGGCTTTTCGTCTTTTCGGCGCTTCACATTTCGCACAAAAATCATGCCGGCCGTGCGAAAAGCCCCGAAATCCAAGGCCCCAACGAGCAAGAAGGCTCCGGTGAAGCCGAAAGTGCCGAAAGTGAAGAAGGTATCGAGTTTGAGACCATTTTTTTTTTGTTTGAAAAAAGTTGAAATATTGTAGACTTCCGCCAAGAAAGCGCCGACCAAGAAGAGTGCCGCCAAAGCCAAGAAATCCGCCCCGAAAAAGGTACTCGTTGAACTTGGCCTAGTTCTCCACGAATATTGTAAACTTCCAGAAGTGAGCACACCTCCAAATTCACGATACTCATCACCGAAATGCCTTCCTCTCACCGAAATAAGATTTTCTTCATGCTTTTGTGTACATTTTGAAATTCTCAACTCAATAAACATTGATTTTCGAATTATCCATCATCCGGCAACAGTGTAATTAGCGTAATGAATTTGATGGGATATTGTGAGAGATGTGCAAATTTCGATGCTATAATACTCGGCAATCCCGGATCCCGATTGGACCCATTCAAGATCCTTTGGGGACCAAGTAAAAGATTGTTGAGGTTGTCTCAAAGGTGAAAATGGCATTGCCCGACACAACCATCATTATATGTACTTTTTGAAGCGTTACAAATGTATATTGTCCATGTTTCAATTCTCGCGCTTCTCCCTCTCTCTCTCTCTCTCTCTCTCTCTCTTCTATTATACTCCAGAGTGTTCCGTCCGATTTCTGTGCGTCTCCACGACTTCGCATACTGTCTCGCGTGTGTGTATGCTTTTGGGACCGAGGCCGAGGCTCTCAGGGTCTCTATACAACATTAGTTTGACGGGGGGAAAATGGGAGAAGAAGACGAATACGTACTTTTAAAGGGGAAAAATGGTCACAACTGAATTGATGGTAGAATTTTGCGATTTGAAGACGAGTCGATGAAACAGGAGAGATTTCAACTTTTGAGTGAACTTTGTCTCTGTAGTTGAACACGTTTTTCAAGGACCAATTTGAAGAGTATTGTAGGTCCTGAAAGTTAGCTCCTTTTCTAGGGCCCGCACAAAAGAATATCAAGTTAACTGCTTCACAACTTTGATATCAATTTCAGACTCATCTCTTCTGCAATAATTAGAATACCGACACCGCATCCCTTAAGTTAAAAGAATCCAGAAACGATCGTCGGAAACATCATTCGACCTCGAAACCCACAATATCTAATTGCTCGTCCCTCCGTCCGTCATTAGATCCGAATTCGGAGTGAAGTGAAAAACAGAAAGGCCACGCAAAGACTTTTTTTTTCATAAAGTGCTTGAAACCACAAAACTTTAAACATGTTTTTTCATTATGCCAAAATAGGCGTTTCCACACTCGAATCGCTATATTTCCGGACAAAATGAAAGACGCATTCTTGTACTCGAACTTTCGAAAATTCCACAAGAAAACTATAGCGTCTAATGGAAGATTTCAAAAAGAGAAAGCGTTTTTGAAACGGCAAGTGATTCTTTGCGGCGCCCCCCCGCATAGTCAATTTCCATTTGTGAACGGATGATGATGACCTGTGTTCACAGTTGACCCAGATTAGACTATTCCGAGTTGTTTCCCGGATCATTGAACCGACCTCTTTGTCACTTTTCGAAAACCGTTTCAGCAGAATCGCTTCTCTCCGACACATTTTTCGAGTTGTCATGCAATTGCACGCCGAATTTTGTCAAAATTTTGTGAAATGAACATTCTATACATTTTGAATTGTGGCCCAGAAAAAAAACGGTCTAGGAGTTGTGCTAAAAACACAATTTATGGAACATAATGTGTCGTGGAGAAAGCTTGGAAAATGTGTTCATTTTGAAACAGTTGAAAAATATTTTCTAAAAGTTTGTTGTACAGACAACCTACTACCGTAAAATGTTTCAAGTGAACTTACTGTTTCATTGAAACACTATTTTTTTGCAAATTAAACCTTCCGTGAATGTTTTCTACCAACAGAAATGCTTACATTTGTTGTTTAACTGAAACTCTTAATATATCTCAGCTGTCGATGGAAATATCGAACAGTTGTCAACTGAGAAGTTGCTCAAAAAGACATTGTGCACATTTCAATAGTTGACAACTTTTCAATATCTCTATTGAGAGTTGAGATATATCGCTTTGAATGGACAATACTCGGGTGTCCTTCTATAACAGCTGCAAAAACAAAAGTGGAAGCTACAGGCTAGTAACACTAAAATTCTTTCACTTTTAATCGTTGCTATAAATAAGAGTTTTAAAACAGTAAATTAAAGATGTTGAAACTATAGAATAGTTGTGTCACTTCGTTGCTTTCATCCCTCCCCGCTGACCTCCAATTCACATAATGCTATTATCCATTATGATTCGCGAAACTTTACCTACTTTCCGGAACTTTCTATTATAATTACATCCAGCCCGATGATTCCCTCATTCATCCCTCCCCAATTCGTTCTTCTAGACCGCGAAACTTTACGATTTTGTCTCGGCGGCGCGCAAAGGCAATGACCTTGTTCGTTAGTACATTCTCGCGGCGTTTCCCATCATTTTATCAGTCGTGTCGGCCGAATTCCGGCTAAAAGCGTGTCCGGAGGAAGCTCTCAAGAATCAGAACATTAAAGGATCCGAAACCGGAAGACGTTCTGTTCTGTCTGTTCTTTTGCTGGCGGGGGGGGCAATCCGGTTCTCCTTCCTTCTTTCTCGACGTACATAAGTGTACGATGTCGTCGTATTCATTGCGGTCGGTCGGCAAACTTGGAGAGACAAGTATCGAAGGTACTTTTTGGCGATGGAGACGGAAACGACGTCGTAGCTGGTTTTCTTCCACATCTCCTGCCCACTTTTTGTGATCGTCAGCTGACCATGAAGACGGGTTTCGTTTGCGACGACCGCAATGCACTAATTGAGATGCTGATTGGATTCATAATTGTCAGACAGCAAAGAAAACAAACGTTCACATTGTACGGCTTACCCATCGTTTTTTGCAGTTTCACAATCATTTTATCACTGAAACATTGATAATTTCGTACAGATTTTACAATTGTGTTATCGATTTTAATCGTATGCCTATTTTCTCGAACATTCCTCAATTAATTCTTGATCCCTGAAAAGTTCGACGTCAACCGCCCACCCGCCGCAATCCTCGACAGGCACTACTCGTCTCTTCTCTCTCTTTTTTTAACTATACACTCACTTCTAATTTGTTGCCATTCCATTCCAATCACACTCGTTTCTTTCTCTCCTTCGATTCGGACGAAGTGTTTGATGACGTCGTGCCGTCGTGTTTGTGTCGCTTTTTTGATGGAACCCTCAAAAGTGCAGCTTGTGGGGGTTTAGTGGCGGGTTTCACGAGTATGTTATAGTTTTTCGAGCATTCATATTTATGGTTTGATTTCCAATGTTCATAAAAAATGTTTAACAAAAATGCCTGAACTTTTGACTCAAGTCTTTTGGGTGCATTAATCGAATTATCCGGTTTCGAGATTTGTGGAAGACCTTGGGCCCAAGATACGTACAAAAAGCCTTGGACCTCATCAAAATAATGCAGCAGGGTCAATTCCTGTTAAAAAGGACAGATGATGTTTCAGTGCCTCATTTCGTTTGTCTACGATATCTTCTCTAGTAACTTTTACCGTTTTCCCTCTCGCCTTTTCGACGTCTTTCACATTCGCGTGAACGCTCGTGATTCTGATGATTGGAGAAAACACAATATTTCCGTTTTACACCCCCCGTCATTAATCTGAACCGTTCAATATGTTTCAATCCCAAATTCCCATCCATTAAAATTCAGTTTTATGTCCAACTTAGAAGACTTGTAGCTGCTTTCAGTTTCAACTTCTCGCTTTATCTGTTCTAAGACAGTGTTCCACATTTTTAGTTCCTCATATGAATCAGTGAGAGCCTCAACACCTGTTCCATTCAGTGCCTCCTCCAGAATCCTGTTCTATGCCATTCATTTCGATTCCTCCGAATGATGTATCCCGACGACGGATAAGTACAAGCGAGAGAGAGAGAGAGAGAGAGAGAGAGAGGCTGTCTGTCGGTGATAAGAAACATTTCCGACAAGAGATAAACTTGATTATGTCTTCACAGTGGCAAACCTTCTCTATCCTTTCCTTCTTTTGTCCTGTTTCATGTTGCAAACGAATCGATTATATATATCAAGTGGACATGCTACTTCAAATAAAACAGTTGTCTGTTTCAGGTTTCTTCACAACGACATTGATGTTACGGGAAGAACGTAAACATCTCATTGTTTAGCTACCTACCATTCATCTCAAATGTCCATTTCTGTTTCACTAACAGTCTACCCGCAACACTACTGGGTACTTTTTTTTTTAAATCAAGCTGAAAAAAAGCGTTTGTCCAATCTATTTTTCTTGCCTTCATTCTGCCCAATTTCTTCCATCGCCTCCTCGTCGTTTATTTCCAAACGACCTTCGCCCACACTTCTTTTCGCGCCGGCTAATCCCGTGCCTCCCGGAGCGGTCATCCTAAAATCATGGGCACAATTATCGTTTACCTCTTTTCTTTTCTCACATAGGATTTAATTGCAAAAAAAAAAAAGAAAAAAAGTTCATAAAGTACCGTCCTTCTTATCAAATCCGTTGCCGTATCTTTGCCGAACACACGCAGGCTCCGCCCCTTTTTCGCTATCCGCTATCCTTTATTCGCATCATTGTCCCTCGCTTTTCATCGTCCACTTCTTCCACTCGCTCCCTCCCTATCACCTTGCAGTTTCGTACTTTGCACCCCCCTCACCGCTTCAACGTGCTCCTTTAAGGCCTCGTTGTGCGTTTCAACAGCTCCAGTACTGCATACTACAGTTTTTAGACGCCGAAAAAGTGAGGAAATGTCGGTCGCCAACGTGGAACTCGCCAAATTGAACAAGTTGGACACTGGAAAACTGCCAGAGGCCAGCGTCGCTTTCGTCAAAAATGATTCCGGTATTTGACTAATAAAATAACGCCATTATTGGCGGGTGTAAAGGTTTTGAGAAGTAGCTGAAACAGAAAAATTGAGTCACTGTGAAGGGGCGTGTGTATAGAAACAGCATCATAACTCTAGAATAGAGTGTTTTAGAGAAACATGGTCAATTGCAAAGTTGTAGAGCACAAAATTTGCTCAAATTTTCCAGTTGATGATTTTTTGAAATAATAATTGGTTGTCTAGATATGGGCCTTCAAAAATTGATAAAGCGTTCAAAAATTGGTAAAAGTAAAAGTTGCGTTAAGATGAAAGGTAGTTGAAACTCTAATATATCGAAAATTTTAATGCAATCTCAACTAACCAAGAATTTTTTTTTTGATTCCGAGAAATTGCGCAAAAGCAACTGAGACCATTCACTAGTGAGCGTTATAAAAGTTTCTCAAAACTTGATAACCTTCAGAAACAGAAATGTTATGTTCTATATGAAGCGTCTAAAGTCTCGGAAAACCCGCAAATCTCGCGGATTTTGCAGTCCAAAGTCGGCAGAAATTTGCGGGAAATCCGGGGTGCGCACAGCTGAACGAGTGTTACCGTACACCATAAAAAAATACGGTATTTTTTTGAAAAAAATTTAAATTTCTCGAGAATATTTGAAAATTTTTCAAATTTCTTGGGTAAATTGTGACGGTTTTTTTTTAAAAAATTTAAATTTCTTGGGTAAATTTTTCAACGCTATTTTTTTGAAAAAAATTAAATCTCTCGAGAATATTTGAAAATTTTTCAAATTTCTTGGGTAAATTTTCAACGGTTTTTGAAAAAAATTTAAATTTCTTGGGTAAATTTTTCAACGGTTTTTGAAAAAAAATTTAAATCTCTCGAGAATATTTGAAATTTTTTTCAAATTTCTTGGGTAAATTTTTCAAAAAAATACCGTATTTTTTTATGGTGTACGGTAATACTCGTTCAGCTGTGCGCACCCCGCAATTTTCTGCCGACTTTAGACTGCAAAATCCACGAGATTTGCGAGTTTTCCGAGACTTTGGACGTGGAAATACCTATTTTCAGGCAAGACCCTGGCCCGTGAGACGATCATCAAGTACACGCCTTCGCTGGCCTACGCCGTCGTCCAGGAGCTCGATCCGAGCATCGCCGGAAAGGATATTCTGGTGAAGAACGAGGATGCGCTGCAGCTCAAACTCATCACCATCGAGGTACTGACTGATCCAAGAAGACAACGAGAAACGGAATAATTCAGACGGTGAAAGAGAACCGACGTCTTCTGCCGATCGCCCAACAATTCCACTCGGTGCCGGACGGAAGACACGCCGAATGTCACATGACTGACGTGCTGGCCACTCATTCGTTGGGACGATTCAACTTGGATCTCAAGAAGAACGTCACGATTGACTCGTTTGAGGTGAGAGTCTGGACAGTTTTCGAGTGTGGCACACATCTATGGATTTCAGCTGACCGATTCGTGGAGAGACGACGCCGGATTCATCGTCACCGACCGCAACACCTACTTCCAGGGCACTTTCGACGTCAAAAAACTTCTGCCGACACTTTTGCCGTCTTCTCGTGAGTTTTCTCAATTTTTGGTTGAAGACGTCACATTGTTCTAGGCAATTGTCATTCCAAGAGCTACAGTCGGGCTAGGATTGATAGTACAAAAAGTTGTAAACTACGAAAAACTGTTTTAGAGCTCAGATAAATCCGTTCAAAAATAAATTGTTCATAATGGGAAACCTGACGATTTTAGCGATTCTGAAACAGTCGACTTTTTCGCAGAAACGATCAGCGCCTACGCGAAAACCGACTTTGACGCCGTCGCCGACTTTGACTCGACAGTCTGCGGCTTCTCGCGCGACGCCTACCTCCAACTGCTGCTCGCCTCCAACGCCGCGGCGACCGCCGTCTTCGTGGCCAAGTCGTCGGGCTCTGTCGACGGCTACATTGTCGGAAGCGGCGAGCGAATCAACCATTTGTACGCGGAGACGATCGAACTCGCGCACGCACTTCTCAAGCAATACGTGCTGAGCCTCAAGCTGACCACCGTCACTTTGTTCGCCGCCAACGGCGTCTGGGAGTGTGAGCCGAAGGCGAAGCGGGAGGTGCATAGAAGACACACTCGTGCAGTTCCGTCTCTCATCAAGTGGGCGAAGGTAGGAAGTGAAAAAGCACGATTTTTGGGTTTTAGTACGCATCTGAAACGTTGAACTTTCAGATCTACGCATTGAATATGGGTGTTCACATCGTCTGAATCGTGTCGTGCGTCAAATTGCATCTAATCAATACTTTTCATCCTACCAAAGTGTCCTTACTTTTGTTATAAGAAATAAAGATGTTTGCCGTATTTTATGTGCAATTAATGGAATAAATGGAAAATGGTCGGCTGGTGTATAGTGTAAATGCTGACAATGAAACTGAAATGAAATATTAAATTTTTGCATAATACACACATCCAGACAGTCCAATTCATTATCATACTAATTGTAGTTCCATGTCACATACACAACACATAAACCAACACAAGTCAATCGAAATTATCAACCCCCGAATTGATGCCTACACTCTGTCTTCTGCTCTCTTTCGGCTCCGTTCGCCTTATCGGTCTGCGTCTGGACTGTCCTTTACGTGTTATCAACCAGAAACGTGTGCTGACAATCTGTTATTGATTGCCGCCATTCGTGCTCGAAAACCATGAAGAACTCGCTGCTGTTCTTCGCGATTCCTCTTGCATTTCTTACGGATTTTGCAAATTCCGCAATTATTTCTACTTCTTTGGGACAAATCGATGGATTCCAAGTTGGCGAGTTTCATCTGTTCAAGAATATTCCGTTTGCCAAGCCTCCGCTGGGCAAATTGAGGTTCCAGAAGCCGGAAAGAGCGGAAAAGTGGAAAGGAGTTAGGGATGCGAAAGGTGAGGCTATATCTCAGCTCATGGTAGAGATATCGAAAAGTTGGCAACTAATGAAATGTACGAAATTTCTCGATGAACATTTCATCAGTTGACAATGTTTTTCTATCTCTAGCGGCAACACAGATATATTGCAGAATACGGACCCGCATGCATGTCCAACTCAACAATCACCTCAAGCCCTCAGAAGTGGATCGATGAGGATTGTCTCCAGTTGAATGTATTCACTTCGAATAAATGCTTGGTAGGAACAAAATTGATTTCAAAGCAAGTTCACTAAAAGCAAAAGATTTAGAAGTCCCAGGATTGTGGAGTCGTGTTCTACATTCACGGCGGAGCTCTGAACTACGATTCGGCGGTCATGTTCAACGACACGTACCTCCTCGGCACTTTTGTGAATCAGGACGTGATTCTGGTCATTCCGGCGTTCCGTCTCGGCATATTTTCTCATTTCGTCGTCGAGGATCAATCCATTGCACCCAACAACTTGGCGCTTTACGGTTCGATCCTTCACGTGCTCACTTTTACATTGCCACCAAATGTTCTCTTCAGACATTCTGCTCAGTCTCGAGTTTGTCAAAGCTGACATTCACAACTTTGGGGGCAGCAATCGGAAAGTGACAATAATGGGTCATTCGTACGGAGGCGCCATCACCTCAATGCTCAGTTTCAGCACCAAGATTAATACGGATTTGAGGTCGGGTCTACTATGATCCGACTCGGTTCTGTGAAAAACCAGACTTTTTAGCCTATTCCAACGAGCCATCAGCATGTCCTCGGCGCACGACGCAAATACGTTGGCAGACCAGGTGAACCGAACTCTCACGTTCGCCCGACGAGCCAAATGCCTCCTTCCGAAGCCGATTGCTCGGAAAATGAGTCAAGGACAACAGGACAAGTACATGATGAAGTGTCTTCAGAATATCGATTCGTTCGAGTTGTTGAGGTGCGAATATCAGGTCCAACGTGACGTACAACGCATTTTTAAAATAAACTTCAAAGTGGGGCATTCACTTTCCCAAAGTCCCGAATTACCAAAAAAAAATTCCGCGATTTTTAAGATTTTTTTCAAAAAAAGTTAATGGCACCGAGAGAGAAGTACACGGCGAAAAGGAAGAGCTGGCCTAGATTTTTCTAGTCCTCGGATGGAATTCCCCTTTCTTCCGATTTTTTCCGTTTTCGTGCAAATTTCTTAAATTTTCAATCGTTTTTTCACTGAACACACTTATTTACAATATTTAAAAAAATTTATGTTTTTTTCTGTGTTGTGACGCCAAAAAAAGCAAAATTCAGAGATTCAGAAAAAATCAGCCACTTTTTGTAAAACCGAAAATGGGAAGTTTTGGATTTTTCGCATTACTTTGAAAAATAGAACTTTCTGTAACTCGCAAACTTAAAATAAAGACTCAGGAAATGATTAAGCGATGTGTTTAGTATTTACTTTTCAGCGCGCAAACCGAAAATTGAGCGAAAAACCCCGAAACGCAACAAAAAAAGATTCAGATTATCGATTTTTTTGGCGTCACGGCACAGAAAAAAACATAATTTTTTTTAAAAATATTTTATAAGTGTGTTCAGTGAAAAAACGATTGAAAATTTAAGAAATTTGCACGAAAACGGAAAAAATCGAAAGAAAGGGGAATTCCATCCGGGGACTAGAAAAATCTAGGCCAGCTCTTGCTTTTCGCCGTGTACTTCTCTCGGTGCCATTAACTTTTTTTGAAAAAAATCTTAAAAATAGCGGAATTTTTTTTTGGTAAATCGGGACTTTGGAAAAGTGAATGCCCCACTTTGAAGTTTATTTTAAAAATATGTTGGACACTCGCCTGTTACAGTAACCGGTTACATTTCTAGAATCCAACGTAGTCTCGAAGAAGAAGGCTACCCGGACCTGAAAGCGCTCATCATCCGTGAGCCGCTTTTCCAAGAAGGACCATACAGCAAATTTATGGATTACCCGAAGAAAATACCAATGTTGACCGGATGCACCAGATACGAAATGGATCACTCGCCCGACTTCAAACCCATCGCCGAAGCACTTCCGTTTGCGAACCCGAAAGAAGTTGAGATGAAGTATCGCAAAGATTGGAGGGAGGGGAATTATGGTAAGTTGGAACAAAATCGTATAGTACTAGTAATAGTCGCGCCACTTCCAGACTTTGGCAACCATTCCGACGAGACGCAAGCGATCTTCATTCAAACCAGAGAGCGAGTGAACAAGTTGTTGAGCAAAGGAATTGCGACGTACCTCTACGAGTACACGTACCCGAAACACGCCCGACACACCGACGACCTCTTCTACATAATGGGCGTGCATCGGTTCGATAAGGACGAAAATGAGAAGCAGTTGGCGAGAGTGTACGAGAAGATTTTTATGAATTTTGCAAAGTTTGGCGAGCCGGGCGAGGGATTCGAGTTGGCGAGCATTGAGAATTCCACGTATTTTGAGGTGTACTGGAATGAGACGTCTGGCGAACGTCCGCACATGAAAGCGCACTTTGAGCAGAATGTATGAGAAGTTCTTCAGAGTTCCGAGTACTTTTGATGTCCTGTTTCAGATTATCGACTACTGGTACAAAGACATGGTCGAATACGATAGAAATGTGACGGCGGCGAAGAATTCGCTTCTCAAAAAGCAAGCATCTCCTCGTGTTTACAAAGAATCGATCGAGTACCAGTACCCGTACATGTACTTCTCTGTGCTCATGATTTCCCTGATTTTCCTCAGCGGTTGTATCGTCGGAAGATGTTGTTGTGCGAAGGAGCCGTCGGAGAGAAACCTGTACATTCGATTGGACGGAAACGATCACGCGTATCATGCTGTCAAAGATTTCTAGCTATTGTCGTTGTAAAAATGAATGTAGAACGTTCCACAAAGCTCCGTATAAATCAGACTTGCCAAATTACGGGCCGGCCCGGCTCAAAAGGCGCGAATTCAAATTTTTGGGGGAAATCTTTTTTTTCGTTTTTTTTTGCGGGGATCAAAATTTAAAAAAAAACTACGCCACTCCGACATTACTCATTTTTCTATTTTTGACTATTTTTGAGAACTACATTTCTTTTTTATGCTCGATACTTGCAAAATTCGTTAGTTCTACGAAAAACAAACATTTTATTTAATCAATAGTTCAAAATTTGAATTCCCGCTTTTTGAACCGGGCCGGAGTTTTGTAAATTTCGGCCCGGCCCGTGGCAACTCTGATATAAATGGGACGAGTCAATTCGAGCCCGATCCTCTCGCTTTCTCGTCGTAACACCGCCAAATTTCAGTGCAATTCCGACAGAAAAGCGATGTTTTAGATACCACGAGGGCTGGCCAATTGACCTGGACTTTTGAAGCACTTGCAATGATCCGATCGGACCCAAAATTTGCAGAAATGTTGCACTTGGATTGAGGGCCATTGGGACCAAGTTTCAGCCCGATCGGATCGTCGGGTCCCGAGATATGTGAATCATTGGCCGATTTTTTCCAAAAATGCCGGGCTTCCGGTCAATTTCGGCTATATATCGGGACCAGATGATCCGATCGGGCTGAAAGCGGGTAGCCAAAGGTTCCAGACGGCGCTATCGTGAGAATCGGGGAGGAGAGAAAAGGATCCTGGCCGGAAATGAGCATGCGGACACCGGTGGAGACAGGGAAGAACAGTCTGGAACAGATTTCTCAACACATCTAATGGTTTTGAAGCGGTAAAGATTGGAATTTCACCACACAACGGTTTCAAAGAGTTTTGAAAATTGTGCCTTGTTGGTTCATTGGCATTCGACTAAAAGTTTCTGCAAATTACACTTTATTTCAGGAATCATCAGTTTGCACAGGAAGCGGGAGGGGGGTATATTCGAAATAAGTTTGTATGGGAGAAAATGCACCGTACAGAATAAAAGATTAAGGCGAAAGCCGCGCGAGAAAAACGAATCATTTGATCACAAGAGCATGGGAATATTCGATGATTAAAATGTGTGTTCTCACGAAACGGTACATCTCGACGACTTCTTCTTCTTGGCCATTCGGACGCCTCCACCGGACATCATCATCATCGGTTCGGACTTTTTCGCTTTTCTTGCCGGGACCTGAACACAGTTCAGTTAACTTTTAGAAGGCAGGTGTTCGTACTACTCACTCTGCTCAACGACGCCGCCGCCATTATATTATCAATGTACAATTGTTCGTCGTCAGAATCCGAGGAAGATGACGTCGAGTATCCGTCCATGTCCGGATAGCCAGTCGACAGTTTGTTCGGGGTTTTGGAGTAGTAATTGTGATGCGATGGCGAGGTTGGTAGCTGCAAAAAAAAGCACACTTTTTACGATTGATACAACTAAAAGAACGTACCTCCGGCGAGTACTTCTTCTCAAAGTTCGGACTATTGTTCGAAGAGCATGGGAGCACGGTCTCGTAGATATTTTCCGAGGGCGGAGGCGGTGGGGCTCTTTGCGGAGGCCTCGGACGTCCCGGATGAAGATTCAGGTTGAGATTCAAGTGTTGAAGCTGCGCACTCAAGTTGTGTTGACTTCTGGGCAGAACGCGAGGCGACGCAGGAATCCGAACCACTCTCGTCGACTTTTGAGCCCTTCTCGGCGAGCCGAGTCGATCCTCGTCGAGCAACTCCTCGTCCTCTCCGCCACACGTCTGATATCCGCAGTACAACGATTCGCCGACTCGCGAATACTTGACGCCCAGCAGATTCTTCGCGCACACGCAACAACAGAAGCAGTGTCCGGAGGCGTGCCAATGAAGATCGCCCTGCGACATGTGCGGAGTTTCGGAGGAGAACGAGAGCCGGCAAGTGGTGCAGGTGATTGTGGCCGAGGAGGAGTGGAAGCACTTCAGACACACCGGCTTGTTCGCTCTGCAAAATATTCAATAACTCTCAACTTTGAAGCTCGATATCTTGAGAACCAATAATTGTATCGAAAAGTTGTCAAGTACAACGTTACACGGCGACCAAAAACGTAAAAAGAGGCGTGGCCTAGCCATTTTGGCGCGAAATTCGAAATTTAACCTCATTTTTCATGTTTTTCGTCAAAAATTACCCAAATTTTGTACGGATTTCGACGATGTAATTGCATAACTTTTTAAAATTAATTATCGCGCGCTTTTTGAGCTTAAAACGAGCAGGTTTCATTCAGAAATGAATCGATTGAATCGATTTTCAAGTTTTGTGCTGAAAATGCGCGAATTTCAGTCATTCGCCGATACTTTTTGCCGTTTGAACGCCAAAAATACTTGTATTAACGTGCTTAATCACTTCCGACACTCACTTCGTCTCAAAACTATCCACATCGGCCGGTACGAAAATTCCGAAATTGCGAAATATGCGAAAAACGTCTCAAACGCGGCGGCGTTTTCACGAAAATTTCAATGTTTTCTCTCTTTAATGTGCTCTTCATTCGTCGATATCAAACACAAAAACAACGGAAAAGTGCTGGAATTGCGGCAATTTTCAGAAAACGCGTCACAGATTAGGCCACGCCCCTTCTCTACACTTTTGGTCGCCTTGCGTTACCGCAAATGTTGTGCTCTACAACTTTCTAGTTGATCATTTCACACCAAAACGTTTCTAAAGTTAGTCCGACTTGATTGCTCACACCAGAGTTGAGCGGAAGAACTCAACGGAAGAATACGGAATAATTTTTATCTTTTTTAGAAAATTTTTTCATGGAATGTGATCAACTGACGAAATGTATAGCAAAGTGAACTGTTCTCATAGAAAAATAATTGTAAATTTAGCTTTACATACAAAAAAGTTATTCGAGTTGTTCCGTGAAAAAAGGGCTAAGAAGACGGAAAGACATTTTCACGCAACAACTCAAACAACTTTTTTGTATGAAAAGTTAAATTTACAATTATTTTTCTATGAGCACAGTTCACTTTGCTATACATTTCGTCAGTTGATCACATTCCATGAAAAAATTTTCTAAAAAAGATAAAAATTCTTCCGTGAGTTCTTCCGCTCAACTCTGGTTCACACCCGTCTGAAATCTGCACTCTTCACTCGACCGCACTCAATAATTGTTGATAACGAAACAGTACTTGCGCGCGTTTTCCTAGCCCCTCACTTATTCTCGTTTGCACTCACTTTTGCATGTACTTCTGATCGGCGAGGACGTCATTGCATTGCGCGCACTGAAAGTGATGAAAGTGCCACGATCGTCCCTCGGCTTCGAGACATTCGTCGCCGAAGATGACCTGCAAGTTTCGATTCGATTCGATTCCATTTGTAATTTGTAATTTGTAATTTGATACGCGGCACATCTGGAATTCGCTTCCTCTTTTATTACTTCTCTCAGTGCGTCATAAATCCAGGAGATCTCGCGTAGGTCAAGTGGCATTTTATGGGTTTTCGGGAGGCGACTTGAACAGGCTACAGTTAACCGTGAAAAACCCCGAAAAGATCCCTTTTTTCGCAAACATTTTCATTTTCATTCTCTCGCTTCTCAATGTAGTAGAATCATAAAACACCACATGTTTCAGTTCGCTTTACAAGACTGCTGAAAGTGTAAGGGCCGTAAAAATGTTTTGCGCAACAAACCTCATCACACTTTGCACATCGCGGTTTGATTTGTTCGGCGTGGTGACGGCCACAGTAGATCTGAAAAAAAGAAACGTAAAAGAAGAAGAGCAAAAGAAGTTTTAGCTTATGAGGGGTCGAACCAAAGCAAAAGTTGTCCTACTATTTGGGGGCTCTACCACTGCGCCACGCGGGTCAAAGTGGCTTCATGGCTCTCAAGGCGTATACATTTAGAGCGCAAGCGGAGGATGTTCTAGTAAAGTAAAGTACGCTTCAAACTTTACCGATCCGTACCAAAATTCATGCGCATCATCTCTACACCCAATAGGGTCTAAATTTCAATTTTGGTGCAAATTGGTCCACTTAGAGCCGAGAAAAGTCAACTTTAAAAAAAAACACTCACCTGATTCTCGTGTGCAAAGTAAATCAGATCGACGAGAAGCGCATCGCAGGTTTGGCATCGAAAACACGCCGGATGATATCGTTTTCCGGTACGCGCGGCCATCACACATATTTCGCCCTCTTCCAGACGTTTCGGACACTGAAATTGTTGAATTCTATATAATCGCTTTCCCAGATTAAATCTTTTCCCCTCTAAATTGCTAATTTGTGTTCTTCTCCATACCGATAAGATCTGGGCACATTTGCACAAATTAAATGTCACTCCAGTCTGTCACACGACCCAAAATGTTGGTTCACTTTTTTCGGGACCCTTTGTACCCTAACAATCTTTTGGATCGCTCAGACCGTTCGGCAACTGACAGGTGTCTTCTAGTGGTCGACAACAAACAAAAACGGACTGGATTACAAGACAAGTAGCAACATTATACGGTCAAGTGTCCATGTGTCTATGCAAATATGGATAGAATTGGCAGTGAAAAAGGTTTATCAAAAGTTATGAAACATTAAGTTTGTTTAGGATTAGGATTAAAGTTGCTCAACTGTGACAGGTATTACGTTTTTTTAAAGCACTACTAATCTGGTATGTAATAAATACCAGGAACCAAATGGGATTGGCAAAGGTACAAGGTGTAATGTTGGAAAAGTAGTAGCATAGAATTGAAAGACTTTTGGAAACAGAAAAACAGAAAGTTGATCCCAAACTGAAGCCAACTTGCCAGAATCCTCCTGGTAACAAGTGAGGACCCCCCCCCCACCCTATAATTATCACTCATTTTCCTTCCAAACCCCTTCCTCTTGACACGCTATTCAAGAAGACAATCGGACATGACACGTTGAGAACGCCAAGAAGAAGAAGAAGAAGAAGCAGATGTTCCTAATGTGGATGCGCGAAAAAGAAGCGAGGGGGGTGAGAGAGAAGAAAAGTGATTGATGACGTGGTATCATGTGAGGACCATCTGCGCACCGGGGGGTGTCTAGGCTTCTGACTTTCGACCCTATAATCATGTTGTATACAGATAGATCAAAAGAGAGTGTTTGATCTACCTACCTCTCTACCCATGACCGGATTAGAAGCGGAGGGGGTGCTGCTAATCAGATTATGCGCGGAAGCGCGAGTATATTACAGTGTGTGTCGCCGCTTCTTTGAGAGCTGGCCCTGCTCGGTCAAGGGCATTTAGATATATTAGTAGAACAAACATTAGCCCTTCTGTTGGATTACTGTAGACTATCCAGCTTATACGGTTTCATTGACAGTGCAAGACTTGTTGCCAGGCTTTCACATCTCCAAAACCAGAGCAGCAATCCATGTGGCTCCAAACAATGACATTGAAAGCCTATTAATAAACATGTAACGATGCATAATTAGTGGGGGAGGGGGGGGACTACTAGCCTATAAGATGGATGCACCATGGAGAAGCGATAATTGGTGACGTAAATACATTTGTTACCAATACCAATTTCGGCTTCAAAACTTCGCCTTCCCATGTCCTTGAACGAACACCTGTGTTCCTTTACAACCCTTTTTTCGCGCACGCACTCTTTCCTCTTTCTATAATGAGCATGACCTTTCCTCCGTTCTCCAATTTCCTGCATTGTTTATGCTCAAGTGGCTGGCTTTGAGCGGCAAGACAAAAAAGAGAAGCCGATGATGAGCGCGCGAGCGAGCGCGGAAATACCGCGTCTAAAGATTTATGGCTTTTTGTGTGTGTGTGTGTGTGGGGGGGGGCAAGGCGCAAAGATGAAGAGGGTGGTGTTAATGGGAACGTGTTTGATTTACGGTTGAAGGCATCGAGTCAGACGGGTCCGAATGGTTCGTGTGCCGAAAATGGCGGGGATCTGCTGAACCGATCCGTGCCAATTCAAGGAGTTGCGAAAAGACGTTTCAGTTTCAGTTGATGAGCTGGTAAAACTTTATGAGCATCACACAATGTCCAAGTTTGGTACAGATCGGATCAAGTTTGAGCCCATAGCCCAAAGAATTTGAAGATGATGTTAATTCTAGTAAAATATCCTCGGAACGTCACCTTTTCACACTTGCCATCGTACGGCGCGTATTGTATGACTCCACTGCCCAGACACTCGGACTTTCGGGTCCGTTCGAACATTCGTAGAGTGTCCGCCTCTTCCGCATTCAAATCTTCACAGTACCGAACGTCCGAATCCTGCGGCGGAAGCTGATATCTCGACTGTCTCTGGCGCCATTTTTCACCAGCCGATCCTATGAACGGCACCTTGTTCTCCGGAAGACATGCAAAGTAGGCGTGGACCTGAAAGACATGGATTTGAAACGGAGGAAAAGGAAAAAGAGGAAAACATCTGTTCTACAGGTTTAGTACAAGATAATTGGTCAGCACTCGAAAAACGACGCACCATATTCGGTTTCAAACCGCTCGGAACCCACGCGTACTCGTCGAGCGCGCATCCCGAATCGTCGTCGGACGTCGAGTGACGATGCGCGTCGGCGGCGATTCGAATGCGGGAAGCTGGCGAGAGTCCGCCCTGGGCACGTCGGACTTGCGACGCGCCAATGTTGACCACTTCGAGACGACGTCGACGGATTCGGTCGCTCATCTGAAAAGGGTACACTTGCGAGAGAATTGAGCGGTTAAGTGGAGTTGTTGAAACGGAGCAGTACAGACTTTGCCGCGAAAAAAGAGAAGATTTCAATTCACAATTTCCAAAAGGCCAAGCCAAATCACCCGTTAGCCGACCACAAGGACCGGTCGCGGACAGGCAGGCCGAGAGACGCTCGTAATGTTGATTCTCAATTAGAGTCGTTCCGTTCTTCGGCATCCATCCTTCCATTTATATAGGTATAACATGGGACGTTTATGCTAATTTGATATGGCCTTCTTTGTAAAAGGAAAGAAGGAAGGCCGTTTTGTCTTCTCTTCTCGCCCTCTCATTATTATAACATATAGGTAATGGAACCGAATGGTAATGGAAAAGAGAGAGGATTTTGGATTATAAAGTTGAAGAGCACACAATGAAACAGGAAGTGTACAGTCCGAAAACACCGTACAAAATGGATGAGTAATATAATGTTTTGTTTGACAAAATTAATGAATTGAAGCGAAAGTGGAGTGTCGTGAAGCTCCTCCCTAGCAAAAGACATCGAGACGCAGGAGAGAAAGTGGGCGGAGCCACGCATGTGTTTGTGGCCGATGTGGTGAGGGGGTGACAGGTGTTATGATACATTGGTACTAAAGATAGTTATCGGAGGAGAGACGGGTCACACACACACCGTCCTCGTGGGCTCACTTTCTCGAGTCGAATGAGTATTAGGAGGTGCCGAGATTGACGAAAGAGATGAAAGGAGTTTAGGTTGATGTTATCCACTTGGGAACCATGAATTGACAACAGTTTTGTACCAGAGATGTTGGGAATAAAAATTTTACTCTACGGAACACGGAACACGGAAAACGGAAAATTTTTTTTTACGGAACACGGAACACGGAAAACGGAAAAAACTTATTTCTACGGAACACGGAACACGGAACACGGAATTTTTACGGAGCACGGAACACGGAATTTTTTTACGGAACACGGAACACGGAATTTTTTTACGGAACACGGAACACGGAAAATTTTTTTTTTACGGAACACGAAAAAAAGCGTTTTCAAGAGAATTCCAGTGATTTTCTTTTTTAATAATGTTTTGTTTAATTCGATTATCTGACTGACAAGGCAGCTGTTTGACTCATGTGAAAGTTTTACTGAAAATGTCATAAAAATAACAAAACCAACAACACAACAATAAACAACTACAGTCAAAAAAACGACTGAAAATGGAATCCACTTTTCACGAATATGGTCCGAATCCGAAAATTTTTAAATTTTGACCACAAAACGTCAATTGTCCTAATCTTTCCGGAGCAAAATTTGATCTACGAGGCGAGCATTTTTGCGCGGAAAATATAGTTTATACGGAACACGGAACACGGAACACGGAAATTTTTTTTTTACGGAACACGGAACACGGAACACGGAATTTTTTTTTACGGAACACGGAAAACGGAAAACGGAAAAAACGTATTTCTACGGAACACGGAACACGGAAAAAATATTGAAAAAAAACGCGGAACACGGAATTCCCAACATCTCTGTTTTGTACCCTTTTTTGCAACCATCAGGCTATGATGAAACTGAAATCTAGGATCGCATTCTCTTTCCCATTCCGCCCCTCCAGATCTACTTGTCAGATACCATTTTCACATCACATTAGTTGCGAAAGAAGAGCCGCGCGCGTGAATCGAGCGGACAATAAATCGAAATTGACACTTTTTTTGGTGGCGACGGGGTCGTGCCGAGAGGCGAACACAGCCGGTGCATGATTGAGAAGAGAATGACTGTTTTATGTTTGCTTGATGATAGGGACGAGTGAGGAACGGAACATCTGGTACTGGAACCAAGAGGTACCGTTCACAAATAGAGCAGATATTATGAGGTTATTGGCCTATAAAATGAAGCGGAACCGAAGGAAAACCGTGTTTTTCTCTACCCTAACTTCAAAGGCGTATATCTCTTGAATCATAGATTATCTCAAAAAGTTGTCAACTGAAAAGTCGCTGCAAATTTTGTGCTCTTCAACTTTGCAATTGATCATTTTGTCGCAAAACACTCGATTCTCAAGTTACACGCCAAAAACTATGACCCATTTCGAAAACGACATGTGCGATGAAGAACCAAGCGGAAATGATACTTTTTATACGTTTACCGCACAAAACTATATATGTATATATATATATATATATATATATATATATATTGATATGAAAAGAGAGATGGGTAGAGGGTATACGTTCCGATAGAAAACGGAACGGAGAGGGAGAGAGGGAGAGGGAGACTGTTTGCATACATATCGATAGGACCCTCCGTCGCCTTGTGATGGCCCGTATAAGTAGTTGATATAGTGTATAAATAAATCAGGTAGAGAGAGACAGAGAGAGAGAGAGAAGAGTATAATAATAATGAAAATGATGCACACTGAGACTGTCGCAGACTTTCAATGCTAACAATGAATTGGAGCGGAAATTTGTGGTCCCAATGAAACCGTACTACGAGTGATGGCAAAATTGAGCGAAATGTTGAACTCATACAATAGTTGAAGCCGAAAAACGTGTAAAAGTGTCGTTTGGTTGGAAAGTCTCGAGTGAACGAATCGAATAGATTTGTAACAATTTCTGCCGCCTCCTCGCCTTTCTTTCTCCCTTCTTTCTCTCATTTGAATGACACATTGATCACATCTTGGTCCCTCTTCTTCTTCTTCTTCTTCTTCTTCTTCTTCTTCTTCTTCTTCTCCTGGCCTAAAGACCCACTTATTCCATTCGATTCATTCGGGAAAGAGAGAGGGGGGCACGAAGATGAAATTTATATATTTTTAAACTTTTACCCCCCTCCCTCCCCCCTCTGCTCTTTGTCTAAAGGGGTCTCAATTTTGGGAGCACGGCACTCAAAAACAGGGCTTGAAGATGATGAACAAACTTGAGTTTTTAATCGAAAACGGCCTGTTTTTTCGGCAACCAAGCGAGCGCACCCATTTTTTATGATTTCCGCGCGGCAAACCATAAAAATGTACGCTTTATTGCGGAAAGTTTGGCGGAAAGCTGATGTTTGCATGAAATTCGGTATTTTTGGGAGAAAAAGAGCAAGGAAAAAGGGGTGGAAACGGCGAAGATTAGCCGCTAAACCCCCCACCGCACGCAGAGGGACCGAGATGGGAACTTTTGGGAACTTTGGAGACGACCGACAAATGATTAGCACTTGAAACGTTGAAAAAACAACGCAAAAACGAATAGTTTTTCGCGCTTCTGGACCTACAATAGCCGTTGGACCGACAGAACGACACTTCAATACGATCGTGTTGATTCTAGACAATGTATCTCGGCCGCCGGTGGAGATTGCGAAAAATTGTCAACTAATGAAATGTTTGTTAGGAAATTGTGCACATTTTATCAGTTGACACCTTTTTGATACGATTACGGGCAGTTGAGCTACATTGATTTGAATACACGGCTTGGCAATATGAAACTGAAAACGACGGATTCTAGACGTAAATGCGAATCCGAATCCAAAAAGGAGCGGGGGGTAAATGGAAAAAGATGCGCATGCGCGTTCGTCCGTTCCTCTGATTTTTATCTCGAATGTTTTCGCTGGTCCACTCTGCGCGCAACGACGATTTATTACCGGCTGAGCGAGAGAAAAAGGAAGGAAGGGGGTCTTCTAAGAAACTTCTTTCCTTGTTTCCTACTTTTGACTTATATGCAAACTTATAAGGAAGTCGTAGCGGTAATATGAACAAGATGAAACAGAAATGAAGATTTGGGGTGTTGGCAGTTAAGTTCCAAACATTTGTGCACTTTTTGAAACGGAAAAGTAGAAAGTTGATATTTCTAGTGAACCGATCCGTTGCAAACATCCGAAAGGACTGGTTCCTTCTCACCAATCTGTCCGGAAATTGGTCGAAATGGATGACACATTCTCGCCTTTCAACACCCCTCTCTCTCTCTCTCGCTGTTTATGATGATGCCGTGAGCACTTTTGTTGGCAAACGCATTCATAGAAGCATCTGTGTTGGCTGTTGCTCATGCTCTTCCACGTGCCACACATCTGGCAGTTATGGTTTGCCAAGCGTCTTGGCGAGTGGAAAGACAAAAATTGCAGCAGAGATCTGGTTTGAAGCCGACACAGACGTTGAAAGTGAGTTTAGGGGTACTGGGAACTGTAATTGCAACAAAAAAATGGTAGGCGAGCATTCTGGAGCGGATTCGGACAATTTCAGCTCAAAAAACTATATCTGTTTCGAAAAGTGCTCAAATAATTGTCCGTTTCAACAAACTCCAATGAGCCCAATGCAAGTCTTGACTTTAATCACACAATTAGTTGCCTACACTTTTATGTGTACTCGTGATTGAAACAGAGTTGAGCGGAAGAACTCACGGAAGAATTTTTTAATCTTTTTTAGAAAATTTTTTCATGAAATGTGATCAACTGACGAAATGTACAGCAAAGTGAACTGTGCTCATAGCAAAATAATTGTGAATTTAACGTTTCATACAAAAAAGTTATTCGAGTTGTTATTCGTTTGCCCCTTTTTCACGGAACAACTCGAATAACTTTTTTGTATGAAAAGCTAAATTTACAATTATTTTTCTATGAGCACAGTTCACTTTGCTATACATTTCGTCAGTTGATCAGATTTCATGAAAAAATTTTCTAAAAAAGATAAAAATTCTTCCGCTCTACTCTGGTTTGGAACGTCAAAATTGGAAAACAAAAGGTTGTGAACCACTGAGAAAGTCCTTCAATTTCTTGTTGACCGGGGGTCAGGACCACCTGTTGAACCTAATTGGTGCCACATTGTAAACACTAATTAGTAAACTTATGGGTTCTAATCCACGACCCCCCTCCCGACTATAATTAACTTTTCTTCGCCACGCGTCTCTTATAATATCAGTAAAAATCTCGCCTCGCCTTGACGCAATCAATCAAAAAGAGGAGCGTTGCCCTTTAATGAATATATGCATATGCATACGGAGGATCTACCGCGCGGAAGACGCGCGCTTTTGAAGTGACCGCCTGTCGCGCGACTCTTCACGAAGGTCACTTGTGTTGGGCGAGATTGTGGAGGGAGTCGGATGAGAATTGAAATTGAATAAACACACTTGAAATTGGGTGGAAGACCCGGATGAGGCGACAGTTTTGCCGACCGAAATTCGATAGCTTCTTGCAAAAGTTTTTGTTGGAAAGGGGAAAATGTGTTTCAAAGAAGTTTCGGTCTAAGACTGTTTAGCTTCATTTTTGGTCTTGACAACTGTTCCCTACGACCTTTTTCTAGAAATTTATGGCCCATAACTCACTACATGAAGAAATTCAAAACGTTTCTTGGCAAACACACAGAGACAGTACCCTTAAAGACCTTGCGACGCCGCGTGAGCTTGCAAAGAGAAAGAAGTCATTTGCATTGGAATGAATGAATGATAAACAAATAAACATTGAAGCCGCGAAAGCTCGCACTTTTCAAGGGCCGTCTGGTGTGGCGCTCTCCGCAAAAGAATGGATCGTATTTCATCGGCGGCCCGGAGCATGACGGTTGAGCACGGCCCATGATTGATGGCGAAAACGAAGGGGTTGGGCGACGCATTTTTTGAACTTGAAATGGATTAAATACAGTTTCAAATACTAGGTGAATAGTCGGGAAGTCGGATTCTCGGAGTCAACGTCGAGTGGTTGAAATTTTTGAAATAAAAGAGTTAAAAAGCATAATTCTCTCTAAACCGTTCAAATCTCGCTTTGAAATTGATAATATCTTTAGGAGTTGCGGTCTGGGCCAGAGATGTTGGGAATAAAAATTTTACTCTACGGAACACGGAACACGGAAAACGGAAAATTTTTTTTACGGAACACGGAACACGGAAAACGGAACACGGAATTCCCAACATCTCTGGTCTGGGCGACATCATCAACTTTGAACATATGTAACAGGACATTTTATGGACATTTTGAAACAGTAAAAATGCAAAAATCTAGCCAGAACGGGCAAATTTCCAGAAAAACACCCTTTACGCTGATTTCTCGTCTTTTCCACTAGAAAAACGATACGATACGTTTGGCTCTGATTTCAAATCGATAATATTTTTGGAATAACGACTAGGAATATATCGGTGTTTAGCACAACATGCAACAAAATATATGGACATTTTGAAACAGAAGAAAGAAAAAGTTGCGAAACCCTTCTTCTTCTATCCGTTTCGGGCGAAACGAATCGAGTTAAGGTTCGTTAGAGGCGGGCCGTTGAGTTCCGCGCGGAAGAGACAAACGGAAGCGATTCGAATTTGAACTACTTTTTGGGGGCCAAACGGGAAGAGAGACGGAAGAAAAGTTGATGGACCGGAGAGCGGAAAGTTGCAAACGCGATGGATTATCGATCGAGTGTGACTGTTTCGTGAAACTGAAAACGAAAGTGAAAAAGTTGATTTAAAAATTGTCAAAAATTGTTCGGTTTTTGATGCCAAAGAGACTTTTGAGTGCCGTTTTTTCGGTGATCTCAAAACTAAATGCGACTCTTGAAACCGGACTTTTTTCTCGGCAAAACGAACGAACATACGGAACATGTGGCTTCTTCCTTCACAAAACTCGAGTGAAATGGCCACTCACAGGTGTGCAGGGGCGTGTGTGTAACTTTCTATTAAAAACGAAAACATTTACACCCCATTCTATTACAAAATTCAAAGCCGCACTTTGAGATAACTCATCTGATTCGTTCGTCTCTTCTTATACGAATTACGCAATTCACTGGGTCCCTGGAGACGTTATAATAATAATGTGTTCGATTCAATTTGACATTTTGAGATGCCTTTATAAAGTTTCGATAGTTCCAATGCACGGTCTCCAGAGCTGACAATATGGTCGTGGCCTCGGCCACCAAGACCGTGACCGAATTGAGTGTGAGAAGCGATTTGGAGCTCGGATTGCTCACTGAGAAGCCGTGCACACCAGAGTTGAGCGGAAATGGAATTTCGAAATCCGGAAGACGGAAGAAAATTTTTATTACGGAACACGGAAAACGGAAGACGGAAGAAAATTTTTCTCACGGAAGACGGCAGACGGAATACGGAACAAAAAATCGTCAATGCAGAGCCTTTTTTTCTCCGGTTTTTTTTGAAAAAAATAACTAAAGCAACAAAAATTTTGGATCTGGGTCACTGCCCGTGGAAATTTGCGTTCTTCGGGGCTAGTAAATGGCTTCTGAAAAGCTATTACTCTTTTACGGTAAGAAGAAAAAATCCCGGAAGACGGCAGACGGCAGACGGACGAAAAATTTTTTTACGGAAGACGGCAGACGGAATACGGAACAAAAAAAACCACGGAAGACGGAAGACGGAAGACGGCAGACGGAATTCCGCTCAACACTGGTGCACACACGTTTATGGCGACATTGTCATTGCCAAAAAAAAACAAAAAAAATGGCGTTTTCATAAATTGAGCAGGTTTTCTCTGATTTTTGTGGTCAACGGCGATGAAAAATGATTGTTCGACATGAAAACACACTAATTCTCACAGAATTAATGACGTTTTGGCGCATTTTTCGCGGATTTCGCTTTTTCGAAATTTTGTTTTTTTTTCCTAAAAACCGCACTTCTCATTTTGCGCTTTTTTGACCGTTTTCAGACATAATTGGTTTTAATAATAACAATAAACGTAAATACAAGCATTTTGAGCGCTCGAACCGCAAAAATTACCGAAAAGCAACTGAAATTCACGTAGTTTTAGCCAAAAACCTTCAAACTTGACCAAATTGAACGCTCTTGCGCTTAAAAAATTCGTAATTTCCTATACAATCGGTCTATCGAGAGACAAATCAGAAATTATCGATTTTTCGTGGCTCATCTGGCAAAAAACACACATTTTGCTGTTAAAATTTGAATTTCGCGCCGCCCATTGTCAGCTCTAGAGAGCGTGCAATAGAGCGTTTCGGCTAACTTGTGTGAACTATTAAAAACGGTTACCAACGCGGGTTGTATTTTGTCCTAAATTCGAGTGTCCAGATGTTGCGTACTCGCATAAATAACTCTAGATGACAGTAACGTCGAAATGGCCACGAAACGAGAGGACTAACCACAAATATGTGTGACAAAAATGAATTCGTTGTCGTTGAATCCCCAATGGATATGGATGCCGAAAATAATTGTCACAAGTGTGGCGGCAAAAGTGAAAAAGCGGCCGGAAAAGTGTTTCTTGTGGGGGTGTGTTTGTGTGTCAACATACGGAATACTGAAATATTGCTCCCTTGGGGGCGTATACGAAGAATTGTTTCAAACGCAAAGCCAGTTGCGACTAGGTGAGAATAATAGGGATCTTAGAACTGTTCATTGACACTTTACGCTTGTGTAAATCGACTTGAGAAGGGGGAAAGATCCACGTCCACAGATGCCGGTGTAGTCGTCGCCGTTCACCGAGTTCAACGCGATACCGCCCAGATTCTCGCGACGAGCGTAACCGATCTTATAAGCCAAATCGTCCGCACTCATCGCATGCACCATAGTTCCATTCTCAAGCCGCACAGCTCCATTCAACTGCTCATAGTCGTGTCGGAAGACGGCCCGATTGCCGACAGTCTGGCACACTTCTCCCTGTCCCATTGCTCGCACCACTCCTCCGCCGGTCCCGTTCGATTCAAAGCCGAACGGCGAGATCTCCAACACCAATTTGTCGGGCCGCAATCCCACCTCCTTCCACATCTTGACAAACTTCTCGGTGGACGGCGCTTTTGGATCGGACGGATTCGCGAAGAACGATGGTGCATCGACCGAGGATTGGGAAGACATTCGCAGTGAGACGTGGGACAGTTTGTTGAGGAGAGAGATTGAGAAGTAGGAGGACGGGTTGCGGGTGTAGTGCGAGAATCTGGGAGGGAACAGTTGTATTTATATGGATTGTATTGGCTTACCGTGCCGAGATGGTTCTGTTGCACCCGTTGGACGCTTTTGACTTTTCGAACATCTTGGACAGCTTACGGACGAACGTGTTGAAGTAGATCTGAAAGATTCTTTCCAAAAAAAACTCCGAACAACGTGTCCGTTACATGATTCCCGCGTCGAATCGGTCTCTCACAATCCAACTGAACACCCGAAAACTTGTACTTGTCCATCACCGCCAGAACATTGTCGATCGCACTCGTCATGTTGTCTAAATCAACAATACTCTCTCTCTCTCTCTACTTTTCCACAGTTTTTGTGGTTCAAACCGCCGAGAATCGAGTTGAGATGACGTTCCGAATCGCCGCACGACAACGCGAGCACCAGTCCGCATTTGAGCATCTTCGGACGCATTTCGGTCAAGTTTCTCAGCGCCCGTTCCTCTTCGGCCGTTTCGAAGGTGATGTTGCCGCCGAGCACGAGTTTCGCCTGCTCCACAATCACTTCGGTGCATCGCTCGTACGGAACAATGTCGGTTTTGAAGACTGCTAAAAGATGGTATGATAATTGTGTTTCAAAAACTGAACGCAACTCACGATTGCTCTTCTTCAGCTCATAACGACACGAAACGACAAACTCGTGGTCATGACACTTCTTGAAGTCATGCTGCGTGAGACACTTTGAGCACACGTGAGCACGGCTGAGCGCCGAGAGCAACGGAAAAGCGGTGCGATTGTCGCACACGGCGTGCGGATCGTCGTGTTGAATGTTGTGAAGAGCCAATCCGCCGGCTCGCTCCATCGAAGCCCACACCGCTTTGATGTGAGCGCTTTTCGGCGACTCGTACGCGACCATCTGATCATATCGTCGGAGGTAGGGAACGTTGGCGATCGGAACCCAGTTGTTCAGGGCGGTTCCTGAGGATACGGACTCGCAGACCTCTTGCAAACTGTGAATATCGGATTTTTTGGAGCGGAGGAGTGAGATGAGAGCGGCTTGTCCGAACGGATCCATCGATTGGGTACGCTCGTCGGCGAGCGATTGAATCGAGATGGTCGAGGCGGACAGAGAGAGCACAATCTTCGAGCGGGCCACTTTGCGAGCGGTCGTCCAGTGGGTGTACACAGATTCCCATGTCATCTTGGGGACTTTCATCGACGAAGTGGCGGAGATGGGCGATGGATGGCCTGTGAACGGAGCGGATTCCGAATGGAGACGGTGGGAGTGGAGGACGATCAGTGAGGCGGTTCTGGAGGGCAAAACGAGTAGGAATATTGTAAACTTTGAAATGAAAAACGTACTTGTTCAAATGTTCATAGTCGTAAAAGTCCGAATAAGCGCTGTCGGCAGTGGTGGCCACAAGAATCTCCGTCTTTTTGTCCGTATCCGCCGTGAGCACGTCATCGATGAACGCCTTCAGATTCTTCTTGTCGAACTCGCTCGTCATCGCCTCCAACGTCCACGAGACTTCAATTCCATCGGCCGTCGACTCGTTGACCGAACGAATGATTTGCTCGGCGAGCTCCTTGCGACGGAAATCATTGGCGACGATGAATTGCCAAACTCCGGTGGTTTGCTTGGAGCCCAGTGACAAAATGAGCTTCGGCGCCACTTCGATGATCCGTTTCCTCCACTCATCGATCTTTTCGATCAACTCGCGAGCGCCCTCGGCGATCAAAACAGTTTCGCGGAGGTCCAGGTCGAAATAGTGGACGACTAGATGAGTACAGAACTCGGATTTCAGGTTGTCGATGGGGAACGTGGAGGGAACTTGCGATGGATCCAGGTAACAGAGCCGTGTGCACTTGGGAACGTTCGAGTTGATGCTCGTCCTCAGCATTTCCATAGCCAACGTGTGAGCGGGAAGCGCGTCGGTTCCACACTCTCCCGACGGATCGTCGGAAAGGGCGGAGGAGATTCCGAGGCCGGCAAAGTGTTCGGAGAGGATCCATTTGATCTGGGGGGGAGGGGGAAATGGAAGATGTGTTTTCCATGTGACCTACCTTCTCCCCTAACGCCTTCTTCGTCGGCAGATTGACACTGATCCACGTCTGTCGGTACACTGTCACCTCATTCATCACTTCCCAATTGTAGACGACTGCTCCGCGAGCCCGACACGCATCCTGATAGGACACACGACGTCCGGGCGTCTTTGCGAATTGCCCGTGAATCACTGTCAGTGGATCTTGGGCGTCTTTGATCTCGAACTTCCATCCACCGGCGGTCAGTCCGATGACAAGACGATGTGGGAGGAGTCCTTCTTCTGTCAACCTGCAACATCCGCTGTACTTTTGATTCTGAAGGTAACTTACTGTTGCACAGTCCCCTGAATCGTTTCCTCAAATGGAATCGAAGTGTTCGAGAAGAGCGGATTGATTTGAGTGATCTGATAGGGATCCTCGTTCGACGGCAGCTCTCCCATATCCAAATAAATGTGCTCGACGTGCTCGTTGATCTCTCGGAGCCGTCTCACCGCCTCAAACGCGAACACTCTTCTTCCGCTGACTCCGAACGTCACCGATAGTTGTTCGTTGGATGCGAGCGACTTGATGAACGCCGTAGAGGTACGGTACTCCAGATGGTTGCCCTCGAAACGAATGAACACTCCGTCGAGTTGTCTACAAGGACGTTTCTAAAACTTTCCGGGCGTTGGAGAACTCACTTGCTCTTCACCGCTTTCAAAACGCCGTCCGCAACCTTTTGCGCCATCAGATTATCCTCAAACGGCTTCGTGCGCACAACTCCCAACAAGAACTTGGCGCTCGGATGTCTAGATTTCATGCGAATAAACGTTCGCAGATTGTCAATCCCATAATCCGAGTACACATCGGTCACACTGTATTCCGGGTGTCCCGACGGTTTGTCGATCGGAATGCGGCCGTAGACAAAGTGCGTGCACGCGGTGATGTTCGAGAGAAGATCGGGCGACACGCGGGTTTTCTGGAACGTGTCTGTCTGGATGGCGCTTAGAACTCTGAACTCTTCTCACCGCTGGCGGATCCACAAAGCAATAAAACACCGGCTCGCCGTTTTCCGTTTCTTCCGCCGACGGCTCACACAACCCACAAGCCAACAAAACTAATGTAATCGAAATGGCCAGCGAAAAACTGGGTTTGAAGCGCATTTCGGCTGAAATCGAAAAATTGTAGAGAGAAAATGGCGAGAAAATGCCATTGTCTTGTCGGAATTCATGCTTTTATACTGGCGGATGTGATAAGAAAAATTGTGTGGGCGCCGGCGGATGCACATTCCTCCACATGTCGATTTGATGGATTCGATCCGATCGGACGGGGGAAAAAGCAACTTTTTCGCTATGCGATTCGGGTTTCGGACTGAAAATGAAAATCGAGTTTCAAGGGGGACAATAAGAATGGTACAATATTCGTCTTGCTCGACTTCACCAATTCTGTTGCTCTCTGAGCATTCGTCTCAAATTTCACCTTTCTCTCGAATTAAAACCAAACACCGCCTTTCTGCCCTACTTTTCCTCTATTATTCTATTCGGAAAAATTGCCTGATGACGTGGCAATGGGACGAATGTGAGTGGTTCAATTTCTTTTCAACTAACAAACAAACAATTCCGGTTTCGTTGGCGTCGCGCGCGCGCGCGCGCACTTTCCCCCTCTTTTGTTCGTCTTTCGTGTACGTTCCCCGTATTTCCTTGTTTTTGACAATTTTTTCTGAAAATTCATCTGAATAATGGGTTTTTTATTACAGATGGAATGAAGGGTTTGGTCGAATTTTTCGGCTGTTTCAAACGGCGGCCAAGAGAACTCGGAGAGCCGGCGAACAATGGTTGATAGTGATAATCGCTTTTAAATATTTTTTTTTAACGTTTATTCAGAAATTTTCAGCCGAAAACCGAGTTTTTGGCTGAAAATCGGGTGAATAATGCAAATGCGCTCTATTGAGAAAACTCGTTTTTGCAGTCAAATGACGGCGAGTTTGTCAGCGAAATTTTGCCAGTTTTGATGATTTTTCAATGGAAAAATATACGTTTAACAAAGCTATCGATGTTTTCAGCCGCCAGTTCGTCCGAGTGTATGGGGGCGGTCGGATCGGCAATGCCGGCTCCGAACCGTTCCGGGGAGCCGGCGAGCAAGCGAAAACTCGAAAATTCCACGGAAAACCTGTCGAAGCCTGAAGAATCATCTGGAATTTCCCTGAAAGAAGCGTTGAAATTGGTGTCCGTCGCGAAAATCGCGGTGGTTTACACTGAAAACGAAGAGCGATCGAAAGTCGACGAGATCCAACGATTTTTCGAGGAAAAAGTACTGAACTCTCTGGAATTTTCCGCGGAAAACCCGAAACCCGAAGTGAAAACCATTCAAGTAGCGAAGGAATCGCAAAAATCGATAAAGTACTTGAACCTTTTCGACAACTCGTGGCCCCAAATTTTTATAAAAGGCGACGCCGTCGGTGGAATCGAAGAATTGAAGGCGCTGAACGTGGAGTACGTGCGCGAATGGCTTCGCGAGCACCAGTACGATCTGATTGTGATCGGCGGCGGATCGGGCGGATTGGCTGCTGCTAAAGAGGCCGCCCGTCTCGGAAAAAAAGTCGCCTGTCTCGATTTTGTGAAGCCCTCGCCGCCGGGAACCACGTGGGGACTGGGCGGAACTTGTGTCAATGTCGGCTGCATTCCGAAGAAGTTGATGCATCAGGCCAGTCTTCTCGGACACTCCATTCGTAGGTTTTTGCCAAAGGACTTCTAAAACTAACGAATCTTTCAGACGACGCCAAAAAGTTCGGGTGGAAGCTTCCGGCGGGTGAAATCCAGCATCAATGGGAGCATTTAAAAGATTCGGTGCAAGATCACATCGGATCGCTCAACTGGGGATATCGGGTGCAGTTGCGAGAGAAATCTGTGAGAAAAACCGCATTGTTTTGCGATTTTTTAAATTCCAAAAATTTCCAGGTGACCTACATCAATTCGTACGGAGAGTTCAGCGGTCCGTTCGAGATTTCGGCGACAAATAAGAAGAAGAAAGTGGAAAAACTGACGGCCGATCGTTTTTTGGTCTCCACGGGATTGCGGCCCAAGTACCCGGAGATTCCGGGCGCCAAAGAGTTCACGATCACGAGTGACGACCTCTTCCAACTACCTTACTCTCCCGGAAAGACCCTTTGTGTCGGGGCGTCGTACGTATCTCTAGAATGCGCCGGATTCTTGCACGGACTCGGATTCGATGTCACTGTACGCAGTTTCTTGCAGCCTTTTTCGTTATAATTCAGTCGAATTTTGCAGGTAATAGTCCGTTCGATCCTCCTCCGCGGTTTCGATCAAGACATCGCCGAAAGAATTCGCAGACACATGAAGGCGTACGGCCTAAAATTCGAATCGGGCGTTCCGTCGAAAATCGAGCAATTGGAGGAGAAAACCGACGAGAAAGCGGGTCTTTACCGAGTGTTTTGGGACAAAAAACGAGAGGAAGACGGTCAAATCGAACAAGTTCACGAGGATTTCAACACGATTCTGATGGCGATCGGAAGAGAAGCGATGACGGATGATGTGGGTCTCGAAGCGATCGGAGTGAAGAGGGCGAAGAGCAAGAAAGTGGTCGGAAGGAGGGAACAGAGCTCGCTTCCGTGGGTCTATGCCATCGGGGACGTGCTCGAGGGAACGCCCGAACTGACGCCCGTGGCCATTCAAGCCGGGAGGGTCCTCATGAGACGGCTCATCGTAGGAGCCAATGAGCTGGTACGTTATTGAGGGAAAATGCAGAGAAACGAGCAAAATTCCGAAATCCCACTTGGAAAAAACACAATTTCAGACCGAATACGACCAAATCCCGACGACAGTGTTCACTCCGCTCGAGTATGGATGTTCTGGGCTGTCGGAAGAAGACGCGATCGCAAAATACGGAAAAGATGAAGTTATTGTCTATCACAACGTGTTCAACCCACTCGAATACACGATTCCGGAACGGATGGACAAGGATCACTGCTATTTGAAACTGATTTGTTTGAGAAATCAAGAGGTTCGGAAGATGTTCAAAAAGAAATTCGAAAATTGATCATTTTTCAGGAGAAAGTAGTCGGATTCCACATTTTGAGCCCGAATGCCGGAGAAATCACCCAGGGATTCGGAATCGCGCTCAAATTGTCCGCGAAAAAAGCGGATTTCGATCGGCTCATCGGAATTCATCCCACCGTCGCTGAGGTTTGTGATTTTCCAAAAATACTAAAGGAAATCGTGAATTTTGCAGAACTTTACGACGTTGACACTGGAGAAGAAAGATGGAGACGAAGAGCTGCAGGCGTCGGGTTGCTGAGGATAATAACGGCTCGATTAGGCGGAGAATTGGCTGGAATTTAGGGATTGTTAGTGATTCTTGAGCATGAATCCTTCAATTCCCTCACTGTCCGCTCAATTTTCCGTGGAATCGAGCCGTCGGCGGGCCGCGAGTAAGGGCAGCTTTGTGACGACCTTTGGCTAAACTCCGTCCGGAGCGCCTCTGGTCTGATGCGCCCCCAAAACGACCGCCCTGGAGGCCGTGCGGCCGGGATTACGCTCATTTTGATGCGCAATTTGAAACGTTTGAGAAGCAATGAGTCTAATCACGGCAACATACCTTCAGATTTTGATCTATTGCCTCTAACCTTTATTTGCATGCTTTATCACCCAATGTTTGATTCTGTTTCTATGATTATAGTAAGTGCCTTTTTCGAAATATAAGATCAATAAATCTCCCTTCCGCGTGCCTTCCGCGTGTCATGTCTCTTTCTTTTCGCCCTCTTTCTTTCGCTCGGCTAGTCATGTGGTTTTGGGAGAGAAAACGAGACGTAGGCGGCGAGCGCGACGGCAGTAGTACACTTTTCACTGCCCCGCACTCCTCCCCAACAGCTGATCGCAATTCGGTTTTGCATCTATTTTAAGGTAGACAAGTGGCCAATCCGTGTTAGAAAATAGATTAGTTGATTTAGAATCGTCACCTGAACTAGGAGAACGTGAAGAAAAAATTTTGGTTTCTATACTTTTTTCACAGAAAAAGATATTGCGTGTCAATGTTTCAAGCATTGTAATGGGGCGTTTTTTTACATGGCTGAATTGAAATTTTTGACGTAAAAAAACGGAAAACAATCATTTTTTTCACAGCCTGAATAACCCCATAAATGTTTCTCCGTTCAGTGACCTTCACACTCTCCTTTCGGCCCAATCGCTCTCTCTTTCTCTCTCTCTCGATAGACATTGAGCGATAGCAGTGTATGCATCGACCCTTCCCTTTCCCCATTCATTCAATGCTAATCGAGTTGCCAGGGCACACCTTTTGTACGCATTTAGTACGATTGATGTTTAGCATTCTACAATAATTTCTGTTTCATTGTAGCCTATAGGTACCGCAACGGGTTTCACGAAACTCGGAATTTTTATAAAATTCTTGTTGGAATGTGTTCCCCTACTCTATATGAGTACGCTCCCAACTTTTTTCTCGAAAAGTTTCGGTACATCCCGAGTTACACCGCTCCAAAGTCGGCCGAAGAGGGGGCGGAGTCTCACTAGCAAGTTTGCCGCACGCGTTTTTTGTCCTTGTCTGGTGGACGAAACCAAAGAGTCAACATTTTAAATGAGCAGAAACGATGTTCTAAGAAAGCAAAACAACTTTAGAGGTCAAAATTTTCGAACCCGTCACCTTCAGATTGCCGAGTGAGCACTTTCCCACTGCGCCAGCCGGGCGGAGGCGCGCCGGCAGCCAATAGCGTAGAAAAGCTGGCTGCACGCGGCCCACTTCTAGGTGCCAAATTAGTGTTTTTGCGCGCTCAAATCCAGTCACTTTTCAAAAAACGGAAACTAGATAGATGGAAAAGTTCGACATGGTCGGAAATTTGATGCTGAATCCGATTTTGGGAAAGTTAGCCGCGTGTAAGGTACCTGTGACCCTCAAAACCCCCAAAAACTACAATTTCGGCCAAACTGGCTCTACTCAAATGAACACAAATCTGGTCCTAGAGGGTCTAGAGCTCTGAAAATTTGTATTTGGGTTCTCTGAGAGTTTATCTATGGATTCCAAACATAAAAAAGTGGGGTCATCGCTGAAATTTTTTTGCTAACTTTTGTGGCACTTTGACGGCCTGTGAAAAAAAAACGGAAACCAGATTGTCTGATTGTGACTTAAAAAACGGATTCCCCATCCCTTAAACTGTCGGAATCACTTGAAAGAAATGTGGCCACACGGGCTCTCAGACTGACTTCCATTCTCGTTTTCGCCTTTTTTTTTGAGAAAATGGTGCGTTTTCGTGGGAAACGGAACTAGTCATTAGATTCAGCATGGTCGATTACATCAAGTAAAACATTATGAGTATGGTACTTGGTCTGGGGACCTCGGTACAGGTCCTCAAGCATGCGCGCGCGTCAGGCCACGCCCCCTCTCATTTTACTCTTTGCAATTAGTCGAATTCTGATAACATACAATGTTCAGTGATTCGCCCCTCATCCCAATGTTCCACCACGAGAATCATCCGCTGTCGACGGAAGTTAGGTTCCACTACGGAGTCTCAACCGAATCGCGGGTTATGGATCTGGTCAACAATGACAAGTTGATCAGCGAACTGAGGGAGGAGTTCAAGAAGGCGTTCGGTATTATCATTGCATCCGAGTTTATCGATCTGAGAACTAGTGAGTGATTTCGACTACTTTTGACTTTCCAATTATTTGCCAACTTTCAGCGAGCTACGGTGATCCGGTCACTTGTTCGGCGGTCTTCTGGAACGGCATCTCCGAATGGCCATCGACGCATCTCGACGTGTTCGTGTCGATCCGCGACGCGGTGATCTACAACGGACACGCCTATCCGACCAGAACCGAAGCGATGATTGATGAGGAGCTCCGACGCGAGAAGGCGCAAGAGGCGCAGTTCCGAATCATGAAAGACACGCAAATCGCCGAGGAGCAGTTGGAGATTCGTGAAATGATTGAGGCGCAGAAGAAGGAGATGGAGGCGATGAAGACGGAAATGGAGAAGATGAAGATGGAGATTAAGGATCAGGCGGAGAAGCTGATGAAAAATACGCACAGCGACGCGCACGACGCGAACTGCGACGGATGCCGTCAGCACATCCGCGGCCACCGCTTCATGTGCTCCGTGTGCCACGACTACGACCTGTGCGCGACGTGCGAGGCGAAAGGAACCCATCCCGAACACACCATGTACCGCATTGTGCGCCCCGCCGGTATCGCTGACGCCGACGCGCCCTGGTGGCTGAAGAAGGAGGCGGCGGCGGCGGCGGTGAAACTCGATGTCATGAAGCAGAATGATGATGATGAGGTGGATGACTTGGAGATGTTCGATGACGAAGAGGTCTTGGCTGCTCTTCGTGGAGAAGGCGAGCCGGAGGAAGAGGAAGAAGAAGAGGAAGAGCTTCACACCGCCGTTGCTCCGACTCCAGAGCCACAGGAGGAAGAGTATGAAACTGAATGGTAGATGTTCAGGTGAGTAGCATCAGAGGCCCACAAAGTACTTAAAAAAAAGGGCTGTTTTTTTTTCAGATCGCCGACTTCCGAACCGACCAGCAAAACGCCGACGATTCTTCGAATCCATCATTCACTTTTTTTCTTTTTCTTCCAATCCCCCCAAAAAAATGTAAAAAATAGTGTACAAAAACCCAAAAAAAAAAAGAAAGAGCCGAAATCTCATAGCCCAACTCAGGAATGCACTCCCCCTTCAAAGGATCTGTTCTGCCTCATTTATATTGCATGCAACTTTTTGTCGAAATTCTCTTTGTTTTGAGCACATTTGTTTGAAAATAAATCCGATCATCGACGATTTTTGCTCTCTTTTGTCAAATTTATACATTTTTATATAGGCACGTGTGCATTGCGCATGCTTTTTCAGGTAAAATTTCGCTCGAACCGCGAAAATTACCGAAAAGCAACTGAAATTCACGCAGTTTTAGCCAAAAACCTTCAAACTTGATCAAATTTGACGCTCTTGCGCTTAAAATATTCGCAATAGCCTATATAATCGGTCTATCGAGAGAAAAATGAGAAATTATCGGTTTTTCGTGGCTAATCTGGCAAAAAACACAAATTTTGCTGTTAACATTTGAATTTCGCGCCAATGTATGGCTCTATTGGGCGGGGCGCACTTGCGCCCATTGTCAGCTCTGGAGACAAAAATGCAAGCAAAATTGCAGAATCTCTAGAACGTCTGAATATAAACTTTTTGAAACCGACAATTAGTTTATAGAAATTTAACGGCTTCAAAATGGTTGTGAGATTTCAGAGACCTTCCGAGTTGCTCGATTCTCTTGTTTTTTCGTTAAAGTCATTCCGTCGAGTGCAGTTTAACGAAAAAAACAAGGAAAACATTTCTGGACACAATAAATCCAATTGTTCGTTTTCCCTTCTCCCCCCCCCCCCACTGTCGTCTGTCACATGTGTTTGACACATGAAAAAGTGAGGATGGGCGGGGCGGCAAAACATGAAGGTCATTCATCCGTTTCGTTACATTCTCTTCTCTTTTGTTTTGTTTTGCTTTTTTTCGATGGAAAAGACACGTTTTGTCGGTTTCGTCTGGTTTTTATCAACGCTTATGAGATTTACAATGACTTTCCGAAAATGGTTGAAATTCTATCCGATTCTGTTTTTCTGCGGATTTTCCTACGCTTCAGTTGCCATCTACCATATAAAGTACGAAAAAAAGTGTTCCGAGATGGTGGCCTCGAACCCGCGACGATCAGTTTACAAATCCAAAAAAGTACCACTGCGCCAGGCGCACAATCGTCCACAGGTGACAAATTATCAACAAATCGCGAGCGGGATGAGAAGCAGTTTATAGCAGATTGGCGCGAAACACAGTGTATAACAGAGAAATCGCGCTCGTTCGCGATTGATGTATAATTAGTGAATTATTGACAAATCAGCGAACGAGTTGTTTATCATTGCGCTTTTCTTAATTCGAATTTATTCATAATTTCGCTGCGTTTTCATTGCATTTTTACTTGTTTGTAAATTAAGTAAATCGGAGTATTTATGGGACTATTCAGCGTATGTTTGTTTTCCGTTTTGTTTTCTCGTTATTTTACATCGCTGATATGGATTTTTTGACGTAAAAAAACGGAAAACAATCTTCTTTTTTTGGGAGAATTGGAGGAAGAAGTTCTTTCTAATTCCCTTTATCTTTCTCATTCTCATTCTCTTCATCTTTATTATAGGGGCACCGGACAGAAAGGGCGCGCTATTGAGAAGAGCCCGCGAAAACCTGGAGGACTCTAAATTTGAATGGTGTGAGAAGAGAAAGTTAGTCCGCGGCCACGTAGGCTGCTGCAGAAATTTTTGTTTTCCTTCTGTTTTTCGTTTTCTTTTTAATAAATCGATTGTGTTCTCACCTTTTTCGTAGTGAATTTAATTAATTGTTTCTTTTTCATGTTCGAAATATGCGTTTCTAAACAGATTCAATCAACAGTTTGCGGAAAATAAGAGAAAACATTGACGACGTGCACCATTTTTCGACTGCGATAGCTTTTTATAGAAATTCTATACATGAAAAAGAAAAAATTACTTAAATTCACTACGAAAAAGGTGAGAACACAATCGATTTATTAAAAAGAAAACGAAAAAACTGAAGGAAAACAAAAATGTCTGCAGCAGCCTACGTGACCGCGGACTAACTTTCTCTTCTCACACCATTCAAATTTAGGGTCCCCCAGGTTTTCGCGGGCTCTTCTCAATAGCGCGCCCTTTCTGTCCGGTGCCCCTATAATAATGCATATTCTAAGAAACTTCTGTCACAACTGTAGTTCAACAGTTACATACCTTCATCCGAATAATTTTTGTAGGAGGTACTAGTTTACAGACAAATATGCGTTCACCGACGAGAAAGGATTATATTAGGAGCCGGCCAAAGACTGCTCCGCTCCTTTCCACGCCGACGACTACATCACACCGGAAAAGAAATATTCGAATGATGGAAAACAACACACCGAAGCGATGTTTCTGTCGCCTTTCCGTCAACGCGAAATCCGAAGGCATTGTCGAACAGGAGCTAGAGACCAGTTCGAAGAAAGGTGGGCAAGACGAGTTTTCTCAAGATCCTCTGAACTCTTCAACTGATGAATCGTTCTGTCAACAATATCTTGTTCCTCTACTCCGCCAAACCGATTCTCCAAGTGAACGGTTGAAAGAAAATGAGGGGGAGGAAAGGAGAAAATCAAAATTTCATGGACCATCGTCTGTCGGAGGAAAATGGATGTCAATCAATTTTGCACGAAATGAGTTGTACGGCAGCGAGCGCTGTGTGCCACTCGACTTTGAAACGTGTGAAGTGAGTAGAATTTTCATTGTTAATTTTCAAAAGAATCTCGAAAAACTCACAAAGAACAGGCGTCCAATCAACTATCAGCAAATATTGGATATGGCGGGCGAGTTTGGAAAGAAAGGCAACAACGAAAAAGGCTTTTGACATGGCCGCGGTACGTTTTCAGTCAGCGTCCTGTCACACAAAACCTGGAGTTGCAGATCAATAAGTCTTTCAAAAAAGACGCAAGAGAGGAACCCGCTGAATACGATAACTGGCATAACGATTCGTTCTAACCGCGGGGCTTCTCGATTGATAGTGCGCTTGAATTCGATCGAAAGATTGTTTTACCGAGCGGTCGAATCTTCCGTGTAATGCAAGTTCTCAGCGTAGCGTCCAGATCGTCTCAGAGTGGACTTCGACACATTTCGCTCCACACGCTCGTGCACTTATTCGGCATGCAGTGGACATGGTACATGAAAACCAAACAGAGTTTACCTTCTTTTTTTCTGAAATTCAGATTTCCGCAGAGGACCCATATTTCTCGTCGACTAAGCGAATTTCACATTCTTTTTTTTTCACTCATTTTTTGTTTTCACATAGAAGGCGATGTAATGTTCGAGAAATTGGGGAAAAAAAGGCATGCGGACAACTGTGACACCCGTCTGCCGCTTGAGTTACCGCTCCCAGCCAATATTTTTCGACGTTACTCCGCTTTTCACATTGTTCTCTGTTACTTTGTTATTTTCCCAGTGAATAAATAAACTGATCTCGTCTCGAGTTCGATTTCTAAAATATGAGGCTCCCGATTTGCGCAGGATTGGTGCGCGATTTGTCAGTTATTAACAGACTTGCAACGGGCCGGGCCGGGCCGGGCCGGGAGGATGCACCTAAAAATTCAAAGCGAACTAGTTTTGCTTCAATTTCGAAGATTCATTGTAAAAACCAGCAGAAATAGAAAAAAAGACGAAAAAGGCAATGTTATAGCATAAAAACCTGTTAAAAAATAGAAATTGCTGTTTAAAGTCGCAAAATTTTCACAAAAATTACGAAAGTTTTCACAAGAGTGGGCGGAGCGATTGATTGCAACTCTGGCACGCTATTTTAGCAATTTTGCCGCACGCGTTTTCCTCTTCCTTCATATTTTTTTTGCATATTTTTTTTGACTTCCGGGCCGACCGGGCCGGGCCGGGCCGACGATTTGCTGGCCCGGCCCGGGATTTGGCAAGTCTGGTTATTAATCAATAATTCGCTTCATCGCGTGTACCTGGAGAAAAAAGGCGCATAAGAAGCCAAAGTTCGCGTGACCTTCAGAAGGCCCGTAGACCAGAAACCTCTCAATAATTCGGTTAGTAGACTAATGTTAATCCAATCTTCTTATCACAAACACGCTCGACTCTGATGATCTGGTGGATTTGGTGGCTCATTTTCTGCCTCCTATGGAGCATCGCCGTTTTTGGAGCCAGTTTTCGGAATGAAAGTGAGATTCTTTAACTTCTCTTCCGTGTTCCGGGTTTTTCTAAATTCTTCCTTGCGACTAAAAATACAATATCTTTTCCCGAATTGTTGTCCTCATTTAGACCTTCTGAAACCGTAAAAGTACACGTGTCTAATGGAAAACTAAAAACAACGGTGCCCATCGGCTCTAAACTAATCCATCGGCCTCCTTTTTTCTGTTTTTCCCACTTTTATTGCGTCGAAAACACGCGCGTTGAAAATGTCTATTCTTGAAAATTTCTGTTTTTGAATATTCATAAACTGTCTTCAGTCACTTGTTATTCAATTCTTATGTATCTCAGCTACCGGTAGAGATGCCAAAAAGTTGTCAACTGATAAAATGTACAAAATGTCCCAAAGAACAATTTGCCAGTTGACAACTTTTCGATATCTCCACCCGCAGCTGAGCTACATTTCTTTGAATCACAAGCTCTACTAGGAAATCTTAGAATGAATTTTCCAAAATCCTCAGAGCTTTCCCACTTTTCATAGACACAACGGTTTTCATCGGCGATTTTTCAACATAAAGTTCGAGACAGAAACTAACTAACAAACCCACTAGATTTTCAACAAGTTCCGCTTACAATCGTTTGACCTACGAATTGTCAATTTGCGGCTCCCTTGAGAGTAGCGCGTGAAATTGCCTTTATTTGCATAGACCCCCCTCCCCCTTCTTCAATTATTTATAGCCATCCAATGGGGGGACCCGTCTGTGGCCGGTCACGAGATGACCACCAGCTGCTCTCGCCCTCCTCGTCTGCCGTCTCTCGAATCCCGCTCACTCTCTGCGCGCCCCCCGCTTCCATTTCGCACCTCGTTCTCTCTAAATCTCTCGTGGCTTCTCTCCTTCGTCGTCATCGTCATCATCATCATTGGTATCTTGTTTGTTTGTTTGTCAGCCTTTTTTCTCACTTTTCATGACGCTTTTCCACAAAGTTTTCCACAAACGCTTTTCAGCAACAACGAACAAAAAAAAATGCGGTTTCAGATGTGCGATTTGTGTGCCTATTAACTTCTTTTTAACTTTCATTTCTATAGGTCTTCTCAATTGTCGTCAAAATTTTCTTGTCGCGACGGAGCGCGTTTGCATAGCCAATTACTAAGAGGACAAGGGGTTGGAGAATTGCGAAAACTGATGCAAAAAGCGAATGCGTACTTCTGAAACCAAACTTTTTGTGTTGAGAAGCCGCGTCGAATAGTAAAAACAACATAAATTTGTTCGCCTTCTGTTTCACAATGTTCTCAAGTGTTCTTCGAAATGTTTCGATGAACGCATCAACTATTTTTCAAATTTCAGATCGAAAAATGGGCGGAATGATGTCGAGCGAGCGCGTTTTCAACGACACAAAAGCGATTCACAACGTGGATCGACAAATGCTCCATAATCAGTCAGTTTGGGGCACTTGTAGAAGCGCTGAAAAAATGGAAACGCGTGTAGTTGAACGCTAGTTGAAACCGACACATTTGTCAAAGTTCCACGTGTCGAGAAGCTCATTGCGAGGTCAAAACGTGGATGTTTGTGTGCATTTTGATGTAAGAATGCAAATATTTACCCGTCCGGCCAGTTGTCAGACTTCCAAGAGCTACAGTGGCCTTAGAAGTGGAGGTACAAAAAAGTGGTCAACTGGTGAAATGAAATAAAAGTCATGAAGAAAACAGTAAAACAGTTTTTCGAACACAAAAACCCTTCAAAGTTTCTCACACTTTTCGCACTCGAGAGCAGAGCAAACTCCACTCAATTTTCTGACGTCTCGCTCACACTAGACACACTAGACAGTTCGCGATGCAACAAAAAAAAACGGATTGGAAGGAGGTTGGGTGTGAGAATAAATAGATTTTCAGAGGAGAGCAAAATAAATAAATTGTCTCGCGATTCGGCGAATTCCGGAATTGCAATTTTCCCCAAAAAAATCGATGAAAACGTTACTCGTTATCAGTTGTCGTCTCCGAAACCTCACTCGCGCGTCACTCTCTTCCCGAAAAATGATTTTTGCGAAATTCTGGAAAAAGACGGCAAAACTGCTGTTTAGTTGCTTGTAAGTCGCCTGAACCGATCAAAAAAATTCCGCTCCAACTTTTTGCCGATCTGATAAGAAGAAGCACATTGCCCCGGAGCCGGAGCACAATCATCACTTTTCGCCTCTCCTCAACGCCCGTTTCATTCGCCGATTTTTTTGTCTTTGCGCAATAAAAGTGACCCGAAACTTGGTTTCTGGACTCTAAAAGTGGCCATATTGTGAAACGGAAACTGAGAAAATTCCAGAACTTTAGACTTGGTTTTAGGCAAACTTGCATCCAGGCTTCGCGAATTCAAATCATCGTTTATCGATCGAGAGAACGAAACAATTAGTTGTGTTGCAGTGACCCGACGTTGTCAGTGAGCACACCGGAAGTGACGAGCGAAATGCACGAGCGACTCAACTTTCCGAAAGTCGAACTTCATTTGCATCTCGATGGAGCCGTCCGATTTGACACACTGCTCGATCTGTCGCAGTAAGTCGCTTCTCTACTCTACTCGACTGATTCTCCCTTAATTTCTCTGGCTTTTTCAGACAAAAAGGAATCTCGCTGGCCGGAGCCATGACAGTCGACGAGCTCAAAAAGGTGTTGGTGACGCATGAGCCGGCGAATTTGTCCAAAGTGCTCGAAGCGTTCGAAATCTTTCTCCCAGTCATTAGAGGCGATCTGGCAGCCATTGAACGTGTCGCGTTTGAGCTGTGCGAGGATCAGCACAACAATGGAGTCGTCTACTTTGAGGGCAGATACTCGCCGCATTTGCTCCTCTCCACCGATTATCCGGTTAGTGTTTTTCTGGATTGGGCTGACTGGAGTTGAGAGAGAAGAGCGAAAAAGAGTTATTCACTCAAAAACCGTTGCAGGAAGTGACGGGAGCGCATGTGGTTGCCGCTGTGAAAAAAGGATTCGATCGTGGCGAGAAGCAGTACGGAATCAAGGCCCGATCGATTCTTTGCTGCATTCGAGGACTCGACAAAAAGTTCCCGCAGCTCATTCTTGATTTGGGTAGGTTTCGTTTTCAAACTCAACGATCCTCTCTTCAAATTTCAGCCACCGAACTCAAGCAGCTCGGCGTCGTTGCAATCGACGTGGCGGGATCTGCTCACGGAGCCGACGAACAGTACGAACCGGAGGTCGTCGCCGCGTTCCAAGAAGCGTACCGTCGTGGCATCCACAGAACCGTGCATGCCGGCGAGTCGGGCGGACCGAAAGAGGTGCTGAGAGCGATCGAGGACATGCATGCGGAGCGCATCGGACACGGATACCGAGTGATGAGGGACGAGGAGATGTACACGCAGCACTTTGTCGCCAACAAGTCGGTTCACCTCGAGGCGTGTCCCTACTCGTCGGTGATGACCGGCGCGGTCCCGCTGGACTGGAAAAACCATCCGATCGCGCGTTGGGCGCGCGACGACGTCAACTTTTCCGTGTCGCGCGACGATCCCACTTGCTTTGACAACTCGATGCTCAGCGAGCTGGCGCTCTGCGAGAAACAGATCGGACTCAACGTGCACCAGTTGTGGAAGGCGGTGAGTTTGTCTCTAATTGATGTGACCAATGAATACCGATTTTTTAGCAACTCAACGCAGCCCGCTCGAGTTTCCTTCCAGCGGAGGAGAAAGCCGAGCTGGTGAAGCGGATCGAGGCGGCCGAACCGAGACTCCGCCACTAGAAATGACTAATCTCTTAGAATTTCCCATTTTTTTTCCCTTCACCCCATCCATTCCAAACTTCTTCCACTGGACTCTTCGATTTTAATGCCTACTATAACGTTTTTTTTTAATAAAGGAACAGCCTTCCTTTCCGGTAACTTCACACCCATTTTCTGTCCTTCCATATTTTCCTTGAACGCCGTAAAATCCATCCGTGCCACTTGCTTTTCGACGGACCGCCGTGTACCTCGGAGTTTTGCTCACAAAAGATGTCGGTCCCGTTGCGACGTTGAAGAAAATGACCGTCAGACGCGTGGTCAGGAAGGCGATCGAGGCGAAAATATCAGAAATCGCTTCGCTTGGGATCGGGATGTCGAAGATCTATCGATCGATTGGTCGTTTACTAAATAATCAGATGTAGAATAAAATATATTGTTCTGAAAATTTTTTGGTGTAATCTACTTACCTAGTGCTTTGTTTCTCTAGTTGGTCACTTTTTCGTAACACTGTACGAGAAATGATCGGCTAGAAAAATGCCAACTAAATTTTTGAATAATCAATTAATTAAAGGTACGCAACAAACAAAGGAGGGGGAAAACAAGGAAAAGACGACTCTACAACGAAATTTTTGGGCAAAAAAATCGATTCAATCACATGGCGGCTCCGTTGGCTTGTGCGTTGAGTAGCTGATGCTCCTGGAATCGTTGCGAGACCCGTTGTGTCATCTGAAAATTGAAAATTGCCGGAGATGCATGGAAAAAGGCGAAAAGTCGATGATTTCTCGCGAAATACAGCAGTTTCTCCACGTTTTCTAACACTTTTTTTTGTAAAATTTACCTTGAGAAATTTGTCGAGACAGTTGTTGGCGCACGACTCCTCTTTTCCGGTCACTGTCCGACTTCCGAACTCGTTGACGCATGAATTGAAGCACTGCTCGGCGACCGTGTTGTACTGGGTCAAAAAGTCGCGGAACGTCTGGATGTTCTGCTCGGAGGCCATCTGAAAACAGGGGGAAATTGGGTGAAATAGCGAACGCTGAAGGAAAATGAGAGAAAAGACGATAGTTCTTAGAATATTTCGAAGACCTGCAACTTTAGCACGGAATTCGCTTCAATAAAGTTCATAAAGAGCGCAAAAACTTATTTTCTTTCTGAAAAGCCAGAATTTCACTAAATCGACGTGAAAAATGACGTAACTTTTTCAAAACTTGATATTTCGTGATGTTCTAGGTCGCAAAATGCGCAGAAATAAATTGCGGACCCGAAAATATATAATTTTATGCGAAAAAAGTCTGAAGAACGCTGAAAAACCGAACATCAACTGTAGAAATAAATTTTAACTCACTGACCGTCGGCGACCTTTGGAGTGTCGTAATGTCGCCCGGTTTAGCAGCAAAAGCGGCATTTTCAGAATTCGTTGAAAATCAGAAGAGAACAAAAGTAAAAAAGCGTAAAAGTGACTATTTTACAAACTACAAACTACAGTGCATTTTCGGAATCCATATCACATTTATTTTGCTTCCTTACAGCAAAATCCCATTAGTTTTCGAAAATGCAGTGAAATTGGCGCTGGAGATGCTGCTCTTCCAGCATCCGAAACTGTCATAGTGGAATTTTGATGGGCGAGGTTTCTGAGAAGCCTCGAGAAGGCAATAGAATCGTGCTGCGAGCATCAGGAACAGGAGCCTGACGGAACGCCACTTCTTTGTGAACTCTGCCAGGTTTTTAGAGGTGGCGGCCGACGGAGGTGTTCCGAAGGGCCCTTTTGAATCAAAACAAATAGAAGACTTCTGGTGGATTCTCCAGGCTTCTCAGAACCCTCTCCCATCAGAATCTTACGACGTCTCGTCCGGGTGCTGGAAAAGCAACATCTTCAGCATCAATTTCACTAAATTTTCGAAAACTAACGGGATTTTGCTGTCATATGGATTCCGAAAGAGTATTCTCTCTTTTACTTCTTCTTCTTCTTGTGTTTCTATGCCTTTTCACTTTTGTTCTCTTCTGATCTTCAACGAATTCTCTGGAATTCTCTAGCGAATTCCGAAAATGCCGCTTTCTGCTAAACCGGGCGACGTTACGACACTCCAAACGCTTTTCTCGTGCGCTGTCTGCGGCTCTTCACTTGCCACGATCTCTCGCTGGGAAGCTTCAAAATGACGGCTCCATGGAGCTGCAGAGCAATTTTACGACGCAAAGATCGAACAACAAAGCAAACATTGAAATAAATTGCACTACTTTCATGTCGAAAAATAAACGAAAAGCGCGTTTTTCGTCCGTCTACCTCAATTTTTCCAGAACATCAAGCAGGGTGCAAAGTCTGGTACGTCGAATGTACTCCCACGGAAAAGGTGGGAGGGGATTATTATATTCTCGCACTTGTTAACATGCCCTGCGTCTTCGCGCGAGCCGCTTCTCATTTTCATTGCGTCCCATTCAAAGTGTTGTCATGGAAATATGCATCTTGGCACTTGGATTATGTCCATTTTTCTTCGTTTTTCCGTTTTACTTTCAAGTTGTGCCCTTCTAAAACTCACAATTTATTCGAAAATGAAGTTTTCGTCAGGAATTCCAAGTTTGACGTCGTTATATCCGAATTTTTCGAAAATTAGCGCTCATCTCGTGTCAAAAATTTTCTCTCTCTCACTTTTTACTTTGTTTCATTGCTCGACGAGCGTTAAAGCTTTGCGTGTACATGTATAATCTTTAGAAATCAGTGTGGTTGCGAGAAAAAGACCGACTAGAGTGTAGTGTTTGACGGACGGCAAATATTCTTGTTTTATTGATCGATTCGGCTGTTTGTATGGCTTTGCCGCCCGGTTTTATTTGCGACTACTACTAGAGATATTTTGTGTGTGTGTGTAATCATTATTTTCAGTTGACCTCTAAACATTCACACAAATTACTTCATTTCGACAAAGAAACATGGCATTGGTTAAAAGAAAATTACTCTCTTGATCTCTAAAATCTCGAGCTTTTTCACTTTTTTTTTACATTTTTTTCCTCGAAGCTCCAGTTTCGATTTTGGAAATCGCCAGCTTCACAGAGTTCATTTATTGCCAAGGAAGTGTCTAGTAAATTTATCATTGTGTTCTTCTTTCACCAGACTCGCAGTTTCTCGTGGTCTTTTTCGCGTTGATCTCTCGTACTTTCCCGCCAAAGAACGACCAATTCGCTTCTTTTCAAACACCTTTGATCCGTTTTTTTCCTTTTTTCTTTGGGCGGATGTCTGATGTGTGAAGTGAGTGTGTTTGCACTTTTTTTTTGAAGATTTGAGATCCGGTTTTATGTGAGCTAGAGTTAAGTCGTTTATTCAAAGTACTGTATCTCAGCTGTCGGTGGAGGTTTCAAAAAGTTGCCAACTGCAAAAATGTTCGTTATAAAATTGTCTACATTTTATCAGTTGACAACTTTTTGATATCTCTACAGACAGCTGAGATATTTCGTTTTAAATAAACGCTATTAAACAACAAGCAAACACAAATCTGCGCTCTATCACATTTTTAACGGGAAATTCAAATTTCTAGGTGAGAGAAAGCTCGAAAACTTCCGTTTTTCGTCTAAACTTGACATTTTGAAACAAAAAGTTCAAGACAGAAACGAAGCTAATCAATTCGAGTACATTTTGTGTATCCCTCTAGCCGTCTGCCTAAATCTGACTAGATTATAGCGCGTGTGAGCCTTATAATAATATTATGCACTTCTTATAAAAGGATCAAAAGAGCGTTTAGATTTGGACAAGGAAGCGTGAAGATCAACGAAACAAGTGAAGGACTAGTTTTCCACTTTTTTTTGGGGTTGCAGAATAGACTCTTGTTACTAGCCAGTGGTTTGTGTACATTTAAAGCGATATATCTCGGAAGGGAGTAGAGATATGAAAAAGGTGTCAACTAAGAAAATGTTCCTTACGAAAGTGTGCACATTTCATCAGTTGACACCTTTTTGATATCTACATCGCGCGCTGAGATATATCGCTTTGAACATGTAAGACGATTACTGTAGCTCCAGAACTGTGCATTTTGCCGTCACATCACTCAAAAATGTTCTCGATCTCTGCACTTTTTGCACTTTCCCGCTCCCGCCTTCAAACCTTATCACTTGTCTGACACGTGTCACGCTTTTCAAAGATCGCTCCAACCTACCTTTTTTATGTATAATATATTTGAAATTGTATTATTATTATTACACAATATCTGTGTCATTCATTCATTCATTCATTCATTTTGAAACAGAAACCCCCGTGAAAATCACACACAATATCGGGCCGAGAGAGAGAGAGAGTGTGTGAATCGCAGACGACGCAGACGACGAAAAGTGAGAGATAAGCGGGTGATCTGCGGCGGTCTGCGTCTCCGCGGTCCCGCCGATCAGTATAGTTCTGAAGAGTGTGTCTTGGGCCGCGTGAAATATTGTATGCTTTCACTAAAGTCTCTCCACACCTTGTTTCGTCAATGTTTTGACCCTTTTTAGTGGATTTTTCCATTTAAAAGTCGAGTTTTTCACAAAACTCATTTTTTTCGCCGTGAAGGAGTGGTGCTAGATTTTTGGTGCCAACGTGAAATATACTCAAAAAGAGGCGAGGAATCGAATGGCGTTGAGTTTGAGTCGCTGCGATTTTTTTGAACAAAGTTACAGTGCTCAAACCTTCAGACATTGTGTTTTTACACATTTTGTGAAGTGTACAGTTTCAACTAGCACACGAAACTGAAAAACATTTCTAGGCGCGCTAAGGAATTGATCGGGCCTCACTTTTAGCACTTTATTCTCTCAAAAATCATCTCTAGGCCCTGATCTGCGCGGTGTTTTTTTCGTTTTCTCCTCGCTCTACCATAACTCAAGAGCGACAAATTTTGGAATGAAATGCACAATTGCAAAGTTGTAGAGCACAAAATTTGCAACAACTTTACAGTTGACAACTTTTTGAACAAATCTTTGGGTCTCGAGATATAGGCGTTCATAGACAGTGCTTGACTTTTGAGCACAACTTTTGACGGCGCTCTATCTAATTCTCTCCAAATTCCGTCGCAAACTGACTATTTGCTCGCAGTTTGTACAGAAATGCTAGTAAACACGCGAAACACGTGTGTATTTGACGAGAAAGAGGCTGGCGCTCGAACTATTGTAGGCGTAGTATTGATTGACTGAGCATGCCTTACAAATCCATTTATCTCAGCTACCGGTAGAGATATCAAAAAGTGGTCAACTGATAAAATGTACACAATTTTCCGATGAACAATTTATTAGTTGACAACTTTTTGATGTTTCTACAGGCCGTTGAGATATCACGTGTCGAATGTTTTCGTTTTCAACACCCTACTTTTCACTTTTTTTCACACAGACAAAATTCAAGAACTCAGCACATACTATGAAAACCACATTCTTTCATGACAATACTGAAACTGTAACTGCAAGTCTAGAAAAAAAAAGGTTCGTGGTCATATATCTACAACAAAAAAAACAGTTTTCTCCATCGAAACGATCACTTTTCGCCTTGCGATCACTGATCTCCACTCCTTCTCCATTTCATTTCATCAAGCACGTGACACCCGACAGTTTCTCTTCGCTCAGATCGTTGTCTAACCACCGAGAATAGCGATGAGGAGGCCGTTTTCATTCCCGTCGCTTTTTGTTGGGTACAAAAAGTGTTCAGGTTGAAAATACAATTTTGTAGCTATAACTTTGCTGCGGGAAATGTCTTAATCTCCTTGCAAATCTCGCGTTTTTCCCGTTTCGAAATTTTCTTTTATCGAAACGACGTCATGAAACGACGTCGAACTTTTGTACTTTCCCCCTGCCCACTGTTTTGCCGATCTTTCTATTTTTAGCCGCATCATTCATTGTTTCCCCCTCCATGACGTCACTGATTTCACATCTTTATCAAGAGTCGCAGAGATCTTTGAAGATATTCTCTTTCGACAAGTCAGAGAACGAGCAAAGTATCAGCAATGAATCAGAATCTCTCTAATCCTGTCTAGCTCCGCCCCTCTCTCGTGCGGCTCCTTCTGATTTTGATAATGATAATATAAGAATCCAATCCATCCACACTTCCAGACGACCTATGACATTCAGCGATCCAATGGAACCGCCGACACATCAACGCATTTTCGACAGTGAAGGCGGTGAGTTGTTGTCGACAAATTTGAATGTTTCACTCGGTTTTCGAACCTGAATAGTTTGCACACAAAGTGAATAAAATGAATGCGCCACGGCGCCCAAAAACGTAGAAAGGGGCGTGGCCTAGCGTGCACGGTTTATCACCATTTTGGGGCGGAAATTCGAAATTTAACCCCCATTTTTCATGTTTTTCGTTAAAAATTACACAAATTTTGTACGGGTTTCGACGATGTAATTGCATAATTTTTTAAATTTAATTATCGCGCACTTTTTGAGCTTAAAACGAGCCGATTTCATTCAGAAATGAATCAGTTGAATCGATTTTCAAGTTTTGTGCTGAAAATGCGCGAATTTCAGTCATTCGCCGACACTTTTTGCCGTTTGAACGCTTAAAATACTTGTATTAACGTGCTTAATCACTTCCGACACTCACTTCGTCTCAAAACTATCCACATCGGCCGGCATGAAAATTCCGAATTGCGAAATATGCGAAAAACGTCTCAAACGCGGCGTTTTTACGAAAATTTCAATGTTTTCTCACTTTAATGTGCTCTTCTTTCGTCGATATCAAACACAAAATATCGGAAAAGTGTGCTGGAATTGCGGCAATTTTCAGAAAACGCGTCTCAGATTAGGCCACGCCCCCTTTCTACACTTTTCGTCGCCGTGAATATTGCCAGAACACAAAAAAACCGCAATTTTGTGCATCCAGTGCGCTCTGAAAATGTTTCACATTGAGTTAAATGCAATGTGCATTTGTTTGCGTGTAAAAAGTTCGGACGAAACTTTTAAAGTTTCACACTCAACGCATATCCTGAAATTTTGTAACCACACTTGATGCTCCCGAAAAACTCCGCTAAAATGACGAATCCAGAATCAACCTTTTCTAAGAAGTATTTTCATAGTATACCACACACACACGCCTCGTTAGTCAAGGATTAGGATTAGATTCGAGAGTACGGAAAAGTTTTAGAGTGGGGGTTATTAGTCACCCGAGAACCAATTATTAAATCAGGAGATTAGGAGGAAATGCAATAACAATATTATCCGTTTCAACTCGCTTTCATCTGTTTCACCGCTCACTGGGTGTATTCGTTTATTTTAAGTTTCAACAGGTTAAGACTATACACGGCGACCAAAAGTGTAGAAAGGGGGCGTGGCCTAATCTGAGACGCGTTTTCTGAAAATTGCCGCAATTCCAGCACACTTTTCCGTTATTTTTGTGTTTGATATCGACGAAAGAAGAGCACATTAAAGAGAGAAAACATTGAAATTTTCGTGAAAACGTCGCGTTTGAGACGTTTTTGGCATATTTCGCAATACGCTCTCCGCGGCCAATCGCCGCCGCAATTTCGGAATTTTCATACCGGTCGATGTGGATAGTTTTGAGACGAAGTGAGTGTCGGAAGTGATTAAGCACTGGCAATACAAGTATTTTAAGCGTTCAAACGGCAAAAAGTATCGGCGAATGACTGAAATTCGCGCATTTTCAGCACAAAACTTGAAAATCGATTCAATCGATTCATTTCTGAATGAAACCTGCTCGTCTTAAGCTTAAAAAGTGCGAGATGATTAGTTTAACAAAGTTATTATGCAATTACATCCTACAAAATGGTACAAAATTTGGGTAATTTTTGACGAAAAACATGAAAAATGGGGTCAAATTTCGAATTTCGCTCCAAAAAATGGTGATAAACCGTGCACGCTAGGCGCCACGCCCCTTTCTACGTTTTTGGTCGGCGTGTAGCTGCTATACAATAGTTGGCTCCGGGACATTTCGAAACCGGACATTTCGAAACCGCGACATTTCGAAACCGGACATTTCGAAACCGCGACATTTCGAAACCAGACATTTCGAAACCGCGACATTTCGAAACCGCGACATTTCGAAACCAGACATTTCGAAACCGCGACATTTCGAAACCAATTCAGTACAAGTATTTAAAAATTCAAAAAACCGCAAAATTCGCGGTAGAAATGCATGTTAAGTGTATTTTAGCAATTAGTTATGATTTCGGACTATTTATACTAACACAAACGTATAAGTTATATACGGTATAACTTGACAAAATTATTCGCGTCGGCCAGGAGCTTGACAGGTCTCATTGTAAATCCGTTGTGCGGATATAACGGGCGGAGTGCTCTTTTCGGCATTATTCTGTACAAATACGATTTCCAGCAAGCGGATCATCGAAAATAATAAGAATGTTCGACAAAAACACAGAACAATATGAAAAATTACTGTCCATACTGCGAATATGGCGGTTTTTTTGAATTTTTAATACTTGTACTGAATTGGTTTCGAAATGTCGCGGTTTCGAAATGTCGCGGTTTCGAAATGTCTGGTTTCGAAATGTCGCGGTTTCGAAATGTCTGGTTTCGAAATGTCGCGGTTTCGAAATGTCTGGTTTCGAAATGTCTGGTTTCGAAATGTCTGGTTTCGAAATGTCGCGGTTTCGAAATGTCCGGTTTCGAAATGTCCCGGAGCCCAATAGTTGGACTTCTTGTTAGTTTGCCTAAAAAAATTGTTAGAAAGCCAGAACGTTTTTGAGTGCCATTACAAACATTCTGGGGGAAAAAAAGCTGGTGCGCTCTTTAGACTGTTTCAAAAATCTTCAAACGAAACTTGCAAAATTTTGTGCAGAAGCCGGTCCGAGTGGCACAAAAGACGAAGACGAGGGACCATGTTGTCTGGTGTGTGGCCGCATCGCGAACACAGGCCATCATTACGGAGTGACCGCGTGTCTCGGCTGCAAAACGTTCTTTCGGCGGGTCGTACTGCAGCGCAACTCGCCAAAGTGCAAGTACAAGAATCAGTGCAGACTCGAGAAAAGTGTGAACGCGAAGCGGCTGTGTCGGAGTTGTCGCTACAAAAAGTGTCTGGAAGTCGGGATGACGGAAGACGGTGAGTGTCAACTGGATCGATATCGAACTTTTTCTGATTTCTTGAAGCCCTCCACCCGTGTCGCGACGTGATCGGCCGTCGAAACCGCAACAACTCGATCGACTCGTCGCCCATCTCGTCGCCGCCCTCGATTCCGTCGCAACTCTCGGTAAGCACCTCTCCCGCTGTTGTCCACGTCCGTGAGCTTGCAGATATGCAAACTGATGACTCAGGCCGACGGCGACCACGAACTTTTGCAGACAATCACCGACATGGACACGGACATCCGCACGCGGACCGCTCACATTCTGGGCGAGCCGGCGAACGGCGATCAGCAGATTCACTTTTACAGCCCCGTGAGTTTTCGGCATCGGGAAGAACATTTCTTACTAGGGAATGGCCCGCACTTACCTTGGGCTTTTGCAATGGGACCTATAAATGATTCAAAAAAGAATTTCACGGAGAATCCGAATCTGCTCTCCACTTTTTTGCTAAAGAGCACTGGCTGGCGAGAAAATCTGCCTGTTTCTGCCACATTTTCTAGAAAGCTCGTTTTCGGCGACCTGTATCTCAAGAACCACGCGTCCGTTGCAAAAGTGGTCAACTAGTAAGTTAGCGCAAATTATCTCGTGAATAACTTTGTAGTTGATCGTCTATTTTTAAAAAAATTAGTCTTCGAGTTATGAACAGTTTTCCTAGAGCGACAAGAAAAAAGTTAGCGCTGGGGTCAGAGCGACGATAACTCGAAAACTAATTTTTTTAAAAATAGACGATCAACTACAAAGTTATTAACGAGATAATTTGCGTTAACTTACTAGTTGACCACTTTTGCAACGGACGCGTCGTTCTTGAGATACAGGTCGCCGAAGATGAACTTTCTAGAAAATGTGGCAGAAACAGGCAGATTTTCTCGCCAGTATTCCCTAGTTAGTCTTTTTCACGAATAACTGGACGAAAGCATTGTCCAGCAAAACGATCGCCGTCGTAGAAAAGCACAATATGAAACAGAAACTCATTTCAGTCTCAAGACTACACGAACGTCTCGGTGAACCATGGAATCGGACCGTCTCTCAAAGTGGATATTATCCTTCTCAAAGAGTGGGTCAGCCGAGTGCCCGGCTTCTCAGAACTCTCCGATCGATATCAGGTAGACTTGCAAAAAACCACACTTCGGATCACACTTCATTCTTCTTCTCATTTTCAGCAACACCTAATGCGTCGTTTTTGTCTCCGATACACTGTCATCGAGCACGGACTGTTCACTGCTCAGATGCCGTACCATAAAAACGTCTGGTACGTTGTGATATACTTTTGCTTGTGATATTGTATCGCAAAACTCTTGCAGGTTCCTCTCCGACCGCACTTGTCTCGTTAGCGAGTTCGACAATCTTCCCGAGCCGATTCGTCGCCATTTGACTCCGGATATTATAAAAGAGCAACAGTTGTTGGCGCCGTTCACTTCGATGCTCATCCACGAGGTCGCCAACCCGTTACGAAGGCTCAAACCCGACTCGATAGAGATTGCGACCGTGAAGACGTTGATGCTGTTGAGTGAGTGAAGAAACTTGGAGCCATAATGTACAGACCAACTTACAGAGCCCACTTGCCTTCGTGAAATCGGTGGCGACTATCTGTCGACAGATCATGACTTGAAAACTATCAACGAGATTCGGAATCGTGTCATCAGCGGACTTTATAGGCATTATTTGAAGAATGGAATCGATTCCGAGCAGTTACCCATTCGAATCAGTGATGTGGGCAATCAAAACGCTCTTCTAGAACATTTCTAAAATCGTTGCAGATCCTCCATCTCACGGGCGGTGTGGAAGTGTGCGCGGATCGAGCTCTCGAGGAGATGCACTTGCTGCGCGTCTTCAATTTCTGCTCTTTCGACCAATACAGCTCCGACGTGATCTTCGGCTTCACCCGCGACTTTTAGGATCTTTCATTTCTTTTTCTGTGAAAAAAACCCTTCCTCAACTTCTTTCATTCTATCATTCCATCATCATCATCATCATCAACAATAAAAAGTGAACAGTTTAATTATTGATTACAATTGGTACAAACAATTAAAAAATACCGTAACCGTTTGTGGATATTAAAAAGAAAAATTTTTAAAATCGTCAACAGCACTGTCCAGAATATCAGAATAGTTGCAGGCTACGTCTGCTCCTTGTCCCAGAAAATCATTTGCTTGCGGATCTTGTAAATATGATCGAGCACCTCGTACAACTCTCCGTCGTGCCTTTTCCGGCTCTTCTCCAACTGCTCAAACGGATAGTCGATCTCTCCGGCTCCGCGAAGTTCTTTGATCCTCTTCGGAACTCGCTTCCGCCGTCTTTGCTCCTCGATTCGTTGCAGCCGATGCTCGAGTATCTTCGACTGCTGCTCAAGATCCTTTCGCAGAGATTCGAGTCGTTTGACCTTTGGAAATGGATCGTGCCACACCAGGAACAAAAAGATCTTTCGATTGTCCGAGTCTTTGCACTCGATTGTGGCTATCAGACCATCGGCACGGTAAAGATCGAATCCGTGACTGCAATGGATGACTTTGAAGTCGTAATTCGATCCGGTAATGCTAAAAAGAGGTGTCGTTTGAAGTGAAAACTAATAAAGAACGAACACATAATTCTCGCTCCTCTTCGTCGGATCATATCGCCATCTCCTAAGCTCGTACATTTCAAGTTGGTCTGAACGATCGCCGCCAAACTCCATCCGCTCCAATGTGCGGTCCGTGCTCGACAGCCAGCGACGAGCGAAATAGTACAAACAGGTGCTCGGGTAGTGGAATCGTTTGATGGTTCCCGTCTTGCACTTCATCTTTATCAAATCATGGTAGGACAGCCAGTGCGCCGATTCGATTGAGAGCTTTTCGAGGTGGAAGAACTGAAAACGGATTGTATCTACATAGTGTAGACCAGGGGTGTGCGGAAAATATTTCGATTTTCCGAAATTTTCCGATTTTCCGAGAAATTTTCGGAAAATTTTCCGAAAATGTTCGGCAAAATTTTCGGAAAATTAGTGTGGATTCAAGGTCAATTTGTCCGAAACCACCGTATGCTTTTTAAAGGCGCATCACAAAATTTTTGGAAGGGTCTAGCAGCGAGCGCCTTTTTAAATTTGATTTTTAAATTTTACGCAATTTCTTTCGTTTTTCTCATTCTAATGAACCGATTGTTGCGATTTGTGTTGTTTTTTCAGAAAAGCTGACGTAATGGGAAAGTGGGACGTATATTTAACTGGGCGGAAAAACGGTGAGAAAGCGTGTTTTTGCGGCCACAAGTTCAACGCGCTTTTCCGATTTTTCCGATTTTTCCGAAATTTTCCGAAAAAAAAAATTCGGAAAACCCGATTTTCCGAAATTTTCCGAAAAAAAAATTAGGAAAAACCGATTTTCCGAAATTTTCCGAAAAAAATTTTCCGCACACCCCTGGTGTAGACCCTTTTTCCAACTTTTTCAATGCCAACTGGTCTCCAATTCCGGTCCATCTCCTTTTCGGTAATCTCCAACTCCTTGTCGACTCGAATGTATCTCAGTACGACCTCCAAGTCTCTTATCCGAGTCGTCATTCCGTTTGTCCCATCGATCCGCAGCTTTTCGCAGCGGACAAAGTGCGGTTGGCTCAGAAACATGGGCAGATTTTGAATGAGGCTCAGTGTTAGATGGAGATGAACGGGCGCGTTGAAGAGTTGGATGAGGTGCGCGAAGAGGAACGAGGCGGCGTGCTCCGGAACGCGACAGAAGAAGTGGTGGCTTTGCTTCATAGTCGGGTGACCGTACCATTGAAACTGGAACCCTCTAATCTCGACCGTCTTCGTCTTTATCACTTCCACACCGTCCTTCCACAGTTTCTGATTCGAATCGATAAGGAGTCGGACCAACGTCTCCTCTCCCTCTCCGATCGCTTTGATTTGCAGAGTGGACGAGGTGAAGTCGAACACCAAACGCTTCGCATTCAGCTGTCCTCTCTCATGCGCAATGGCCTTCACAGATCTTTTGGCCTTCTCCGAGAAGAGCGATAGATCGAATCTACAATAGTTGGCTTGGGGGGACCGTCTCTCGACTTTGACTCACAAATTGATAGGATCCAATCCCTCGAATATTTCGACAAGAACGATTGCGGGAAGATTGAAGAGCGGAAATACTGCCGACTTGGCCGGCATCGTTTATGACGAATGACGGGAGGAGGCGATGGAACGCGGTGCGCACATGGACAATATCGACCGGAAAACAATGTGGGATATTGCTATGCAAACGCGCTCCGCTGCACTCTTCTATTTGCTTGAAATTTTATTATAAAAAATGCTAGAAAAACGCAGCTTTATTGTGATAGCCACTGAATTCAGATGAAATAGGCGAGCATCAAGTTTATGAGAATGTGGAAGGCGACAAGAAGCCGCCACTGTATGTGTTCCCGAAACCGATCCGGATTGACGTACGTGGGACCGAAAAGACAAACTTCTGTGAACTTTAGACCTGTTATTTGTACGTTCCTCACTTTCGCGCAGCCGATCTTCTCGTTATGCCGCGTCCAAAGTCTCGGAAACCCCGCAAATCTCGCCGACTTTGCACTCCAAAGCCGGCAGAAATTTGCGGGAAATCCGGGGTGCGCACAGCTGAACGAGTGTTACCGTACACCATAAAACTACGGTATTTTTTGAAAATTTACCCAAGAAATTTGAAATTTTTCAAATATTGTCGAGAAATTTAAAGGACCAGGGAACCCAAAAATTTTTTGATGTTTTTGTGAAATGTTTTTGTGACTGTTTGAATTGTCTCTTATTGCCTCATACACTGGTGAAATGCTGCCTCTCAAAAATGCCAATGAACGAAACGGCATGCAGTTGAAGTTGTGGCCGTGGCCTAGCGCCAATGGCCGAAAAAAATACATAAATAAATACGCTTCTCGGCCATTTTATTTTTTCCGCTTTTTTACCGGTTTTTTCCAAAAATTCACGGTTTCTCCCATTTTTCAGTTGATTGACATTTGTTCGGCACTTACTTATTTTTTTACTGCTAAAACATTGTTTTCATTCAGTCGATATGAAGTGCCAAAATGGGAGAAACCGTGAATTTTTGGAAAAAACCGGTAAAAAAGCGGAAAAAATAAAATGGCCGAGAAGCGTATTTATTTATGTATTTTTTTCGGCCATTGGCGCTAGGCCACGGCCACAACTTCAACTGCATGCCGTTTCGTTCATTGGCATTTTTGAGAGGCAGCATTTCACCAGTGTATGAGGCAATAAGAGACAATTCAAACAGACACAAAAACATTTCACAAAAACATCAAAAAATTTTTGGGTTCCCTGGTCCTTTAAATTTTTTTAAAAAAATACCGTTGAAAAATTTACCCAAGAAATTTGAAAAAAATTTCAAATATTCTCGAGAAATTTAAATTTTTTTCAGATATTCTCGAGAAAGTTAAATTGTTTCAAAAAAAATACCGTTGAAAAATTTACCCAAGAAATTTGAAAAAAATTTCAAATATTCTCGAGAAATTTAAATTTTTTTCAAATATTCTCGAGAAATTTAAATTTTTTTCAAAAAAAATACCGTTGAAAAATTTATCCAAGAAATTTGAAAAAAATTGCAAATATTCCCGATGAATCTAAATTTTTTTCAAAAAAATACCGTTGAAAAATTTACCCAAGAAATTTGAAAAATTTTTCACATATTCTCGAGAAAGTTAAATTTTTTTCAAAAAAATACCGTAGTTTTTATGGTGTACGGTAACACTCGTTCAGCTGTGCGCACCCCGGATTTCCCGCATATTTCTGCCGAGTTTGGACTGCAAAATCCGCGAGATTTGCGGGTTTTTGGACGCGGCATTACAAAACGCTTCACCTTGGATAAAGACGGAGAACTTGTCATTTTTCACGTAATTGTGAAACCGAAAATCACAGTTTCAACGACCCCGACAATTGAAAACGGCAAAGTTAGACCCGTTGACCCCTCGCCATTCGGCCCATCAAAAATTGGCTCAATTTCGGCTCAAAATCTGCGGAATCTCATCTAAAAAGAAACAAATAATATCGGCAAGTTCATTGATGCATGAACTTTTCCTTCTTTTTCCCATTTTTTCACCGCGCAAAACTTTCAAACCACCACGCGTCGGGAGAGCTCATTTTGTAAGGGACTCCCGAGGTTCTTTGTGTTTTACTCTTTTCTCGGTCCTACGTGGCCGGCTATTCTTGAGTTTGTGTTGAGAAAGTCAACTTTCGGAGCTTCACGGATGATGTGATGGGTTCACATTTGCATTGTTCATGGAAAATGCGTCTAATTAGCCTGACTAGGCGCGTTTGAAGGGGGGAGGAGGCGAATCTTTGCTCATTGATGCCGCAGTTCCTTTCCTTCATTTCCTTCCGTTCCATTCTTCCCGTTTTCTCAAAAGGATCCCTTTTTCTTTTCGCTCTTCTTTGTTCGAAGGCTCCCGGAGCTCCGGAGCCACGTGCTCTTTCTCCAAACATGAATTTACATATTCATCGATGAAAACGAGGAAAAGGGCCTTCTTTTTGATGCCCTCGGGCGGGTTTTCAAACTTTCTGCACCTCAAAACATGATGTTTAGAATGAATAACCATTCTCTATCACTAAAATCTAAAAATCAATAGTTTTCTCTGATCACTGTATCAGTAAGTCTTCAAATTATTTCATTTCGAATTCCGCATTCCGCATTCCGCTTTTCTACTTTTTCAATTCAATCCAAAAGAGTGAAGATCAGAGCAGAAACGGCGCCCGCCAATTATTTCTTTCTTTTCAAGGAAGGCTAACCGAATTTAGAGTTTGTCAGTCTCTCATTCACAACAGAAGGGTCCTCACTTCAAAAAATCGTCTAGTTCGAAGGACTGAAGTTCGCTACTAAAAAAAATGAGATTAATTGTGGACAAATCAAGTTTATGGAACTGTATTGTAATGTTATCGCTTCCGAAAAACCCAAGAGAACCTAATGAAATCAGGGCTATCGAATCTAATTCGATTTTTAAAAAATCCACGTGGAATTGCAGTAGTGTGCTGTTAGTCATCAATGTTCAGTAGATCATACATGTCTCGTGTTTTCAACCCCCTTTCTAATAACCTTTTTAATTAGATTTCCCCGACTCAAAGGTTTGCGTGGGCGAATAGGCGGAGCTCACATTTCACAAATACATGGTAAAGTGTGTCATAAACTTGGTTTTCAATAGTACACAATTTACGTGTTTTTTTATGTAAATGTTCCCTATATATTGACTGACTTTTATCGCGTTTTACTCAGTAATGAAAAGCCAAACGTTTCACAAATAATTTATCGATTTTTACTAGTGTTTTTTGAAACCGAACGTTTTCTTATCACATATTTTATGAATCGTTGCAGAAAAAATGATCCAACGATTGTTTTTCGGCCTCTTCTCGTTGCTGCTCGTCAAAGAAACAATGTGTGTTCGTAAGTTTTTCCTCGTTTTTTTTTTCAGCGAAGAAAAGAAATTCGGGGGGCCTTGTTTTTAAACAAAAAATCAATGCGAAACGGGAAATGGACACCTTGTTATTGTAGTTTTGTGTGCCGAACATTGCCAACACACTATAAAATGCATGCTCTTTTTCTTTATATTATTCTCTTCTTCTACTAATTAGTGCGGCTTCCGGGGGAGGGGAGGCTCAAATTTTCGAGCAGATATACGAGAAATTTGGCTTTTGCTCTTCACCTTGCAACTTGTGAACAAGTTGGTTCATGTTTTCTTGAAGCAATTAGAGTAGAGCACTTTTTGAAACTGACAATACTCGTTTTTTATAGATTTTCAAGATCTTCTATTATAGTTTTGTGCTTTATAGACTCAGTTTGTCTCAAAAAAAGGACGAAGCACACACACACACACTGACAAAATTTCCATAATCTCGTCATGTTTTCAATGTGTTTTCACCATTCTTCCGTTCACCAAACATCCGCACAGAAAGGGGGAATGTAGACAGGAAGATGACGAATGTGGTCAAATTGAATTCGGGAGGGAAAATGAGGGGCTTTCAGAGCTCCTCGAGCCACCGCCCCGCCCACTTTCTCAGTTGGTAGATGGAGATGAGTTTGTTCTTTTTCGAAACGGGACGATTGAGACTTGATTGAAAAATCCTCAACTCAACTACTACTGGACTAGTGTCAATTTACCTTTTTTCGATTACTCCTTGCAAAAAATTGGGAAAAAGCTTGCTTCTTTTTGCTCTTTTTGTCTCTCTCTCAAGTGAGTGTACTAGGACAACTCGTTTGCTAATGTTACAATATTCCAATCATCTTGAGACCAAGTTTCAGGCCGATTGGATCATCTGGGCCCGAGATTTTCGGCCCTAAAGCACAATCTCTAAGCCAAATGATCCAATCGGTCTGAAACTTTCAAGACGCTTCTAAATTTCCAATCTTTCACCTTTCCCTCAACTTCCCACTTCATTATTAATTAGCTTCTCAGAGTGGATGAGTAATTCAAATGTATTCCCAATAAATGGCGTCAATCTTTCTCCCACGCCCATTCAAAAAGTTCCACTTCCCCGGAAAAACCTTTAGAAGGCGTTTTCTGAGAAAAAAAGAAAAAAAAACAATGCTCGGGTTGTTTTTTGATTTTTCCAGTGTTCCTGAGATGTTTGCTTTTTGAGCAGCGCTCTCGATTTCAAACTCAAACCCAATTATCGCTGATTCTAGAAAGTTTGAAGTGAAGTGCTTCACATCCCCTCGTGCTCTGCCTCTTCCCCGCGTAGACAATCACAAATCCAGAGCACACTAACTATTCTTGCAAATCGTCCAACCAGAAAGCTCTGGCTTGTGCTCATTTATGATGAATCATCTCTGATTCCTTGAGCCTCTTTTCCCGCTTCCTTCTCAGAATTCGCTTCTTGAGAATGTAGTCGTCGGCCACGGTCTCCAGAGCTGACAATATGGGCGTGGTGGCCTCGGCGGCCAAGCAGGTTTTCTCTGATTTTTGTGTGGTCAACGGCGATGAAAAATGCATGTTCGACATGAAAACACACTAATTCTCACAGAATTATGGACATTTTTCGCGGATTTCGCTTTTTCGCCTTCGCCGCACTTCTCATTTTGCGCTTTCTTGACCGTTTTCCGACAGAATTGGTTTTGAGAATGATAAATCACGTAAATACAAGCATTTTGAGCGCTCGAACCGCGAAAATTACCGAAAAGCAACTGAAATTCACGCAGTTTTAGCGAAAAACCTTCAAACTTGACCAAATTTGACGCTCTTGCGCTTAAAAAATTCGTAATAGCCTATACAATCGGTCTATCGAGAGACAAATGAGAAATTATCGATTTTTCGTGGCCAATCTGGCAAAAAACACAAATTTTGCTGTTAAAATTTGAATTTCAGCTCTGAAGACCGTGGATCAGTCTAGAAATGCATTGTTTGTCTTTACAACTTTTCAGTTACGCTTGGACAAAGTGCGATGCGAAACTTTCTAGAAATCACTAGAAACCGCGTGGCTACACAAAACGCTTTCGACCCATATCTCCTTCAGAAAGCCTTTCAATACAACTCCCTTTTCACACAAACACATTGTTCCCCCTCACTTTTTTTTTCGCCCATTCCTTTGTTGGCCGCCGTTAATTGCGTTTTCGGTGCGGAACTCGCCGGCGAACCTCATTTTCAGCTTATGGATGACGGGGGGAGGGAAAAACAAGTTTCCATTAGCTTCCAGTCCTCTTCCTTTATCTCTTTAACTCGATTGTATTGTATTCTAGGAACAAACAGTGGACGCGAAGGGAATTCTCCTTTGAGAATGGGTAAGAGAAGTGTGACAAAACAAAAAACATTTGGCAAAGTCTCGAAACCGATATTATATGCTTGCAGACAACGAAACGTCGGCGATCCTGAACGACATCTTCATCGGATACGATCGACGGGTTCTTCCGTTCGTTCAGGGACCGGTCCTGGTCAATATGACTATTGTCCTCGGAATATTGATCGAATTGGTAAGAAACGTGTTCTGGGGGCCCTTTCTAGAATTCATTTTTAGAAAGAGAACCAGCAGCTGGCGGCCTACGTGATCTCGCATACTCAAAGATGGTACGATGGACGGTTGAGCTGGGATCCGGACAAATATCGCGGACAACGGGAAGTTATTGTGCCGCAGAACATGGTCTGGATACCCAAATTGTTTGTCTACAATAGGTTAGTTTGAAGACGACGATAATAACACAACTATTCGGGTTTCACTGAACCTATATCCATCACATGAAACGTTTTTTAATCAATAAGAAAGTGTTCATTTTAATAATAATAATTTCAAAGCATTTCAGTTTGGAATCAAAGGACATGTTGACTGAAAATCGAGCGGACGTACGATTGTATCACACTGGACGCATCAAGGTTCGTCTTTTTTTGGCAAAAAAATAAAGTGAAATGTTCAGATCAACATTCCGCAGTACGTACAAGCAATCTGTCGCATCCAGACCCAAGCGTTCCCATTCGATTGTCAATTTTGTGCCGTCGCGTTGGCCTCGCCACTTCTCAACGTCAATGAGATGGTGGTGAATGCGACGCAACCGCCCAGCGATTCGTATTTTACCGTTAGTTATAAAAAAAATATATTTTCGAGATCACGAGCAAACTATTATTATTATCCAAATTTTGAAACGTTAGTCGTTTGCAGGGAAACGCCGAATGGTTTCTGTTCAATGTGACCGTTCGTCACATGACTTTTGAGGAGGAAGGAGAGTCACGGGTTGAGGTGAGCAAACGAAATAGTTTTTACACGAGGGAATCGATGATAGCACACTTTTTTGGGATTTAATGAAACTGCAGCTTTTGTAGATATCACGGTCTCCAGCCAGAGCTGACAATGGGCGCAAGTGCGCCCCGCCCAATAGAGCGATAATTCAAATTTTAACAGCAAAATTTGTGTTTTTTGTCAGATTAGCCACGAAAAACCGATAATTTCTGATTTTTCTCTCGATAGACCGATTGTATAGGCTATTACGAATTTTTTAAGCGCTAGAGCGTTAAATTTGGTCAAGTTTGAAGGTTTTTGGCTAAAACTGCGTGAATTTCAGTTGCTTTTCGGTAATTTTCGTGGTTCGAGCGCTCAAAATGCTTGTATTTACGTGATTTATCATTCTCAAAACCAATTCTGTCTGAAAACGGTCAAGAAAGCACAAAACGAGAAGTGCGGTTTTTAGGAAAACAAATTTTTTTTTCGAAAAAGCAAAGTCCGCGAAAAATGCGCCAAAACGTCATTAATTCTGTGAGAATTAGTGTGTTTTCATGTCGAAAAATCATTTTTCATCGCCGTTGACCACAAAAATCAGAGAAAACCTGCTCAATTCATGAAAACGCCATTTTGCCGAGGGCACGACCGTGATATAGAAGTAACTACCGTCAAAAGCAACACTTTTGTACAAGTTGGAAGCAGCTTCTAGCGCTTACTCTCAACTTGTACACAAATGTTGATTCTGAAGGAGGAGTTGTCCTATAAAACTGTGAAACTATTCGCTTTCCATTCTTGTGCTCCAACGGTTCAAAACGATGCAAATGAACTTGCAGATCCACTACATCTTCCACCTGCAACGCCGTCCCATCTACTACATCACCGTCATCGTGGCGCCCACATTTCTGATCTCGGCCCTCTCCATACTGGGCATTTTCAGTCCCGGATCGAATGATGGTCCCAGAAACGAGAAGGTACATTCGTTTTCGACCTACTTCCGCGCCCAAAAAGTTTGAAAATCGTTGTCGTGCCGCCCCACCCCACCCCTTTCATTATTCCCCCCGCGAATTGCTGTGAACCATCATTTAAATTGTAGAATCAAGGTAACGAAAATGTGAGTTTGACACGAATTTTTGTCGGCAATTTCCACGTGCTTTTCTTTTTTTTTTAATTTTCCCACCCTTGCCACGCTCATTTCTCTCGGTTTTCGTCATAAGTTGGCATGAAACGTTGCATGCGCCCCTTCCAATTTAACGCTTTTTAGGCTAGACGTAACTCGAAAGAAAGTAGGCCCTAAACTCGTAGAATTTGCGCATTTTTCCTCAAGAGCCTGTCATTATTTCCAGGTATCGTTGGGCCTCGGAAGCCTTCTCGCCATGACTGTACTTTTGGGCATCGTGGCTGGAGCGATGCCGAAAAGCAACGATATTCCACTTTTGGGATACTATATACTCGTGGTAATTGTGCTCTGCGCCGTCGCCGTCGGCATTTCGATGGCTTTTCTCGCGGTTAGCCGACATTATATTCATAAAGGTATTATCGATAGTTCATCGAACAAAAAATCGGTTTATCATCGCTGATTTGCAGTATTTACGGCGACCAAAAACGTAAAAAGGGGCGTGGGGCCTAGCGTGCACGGTTTATCACCATTTTTGTGCGAAATTCGAAATTTAACCCAATTTTTCATGTTTTTTCGTCAAAAATTACCCAAATTTTGTACGGGTTTCGACGATGTAATTGCATAACTTTTTAAATTAATAATCGCGCACTTTTTGAGCTTAAAACGAGCAAGTTTCATTCAGAAATGAATCGATTGAATCGATTTTCAAGTTTTGTGCTGAAAATGCGCGAATTTCAGTCATTCGCCGATACTTTTTGCCGTTTGAACGCTTAAAATACTTGTATTAACGTGCTTAATCACTTCCGACACTCACTTCGTCTCAAAACTATCCACATCGGCCGGTATGAAAATTCCGAAATTGCGGCGGCGATTGGCCGCGGAGAGCCTATTGCGAAATATGCCAAAAACGTCTCAAACGCGGCGTTTTCACGAAAATTTCAATGTTTTCTCTCTTTAATGTGCTCTTATTTCGTCGATATCAAACACAAAAATATCGGAAAAGTGCTGGAATTGCGGCAATTTTCAGAAAACGCGTCAATCAATAATCAATATTTAGAAGCGGTAAAAAATAATCAATAAACGTGTTGACAACTTTTGAGCTCTCCTCATGAAACTGTAAACTTTCAGAGCAAATGCCTTCGAAACGCCTCCTCCGATTCATGTTCCTGAATGAGTACCGAAAAAGGAGATCGACAGTGTTCAGAGGAGTGCACAACTATCGATTCAGTCAGGAGTGTGATGAGTGAGCGCTATTCGAACAGGTTTCGAAACGGCTATAACGATACAATTCAGTTTGATGTACTCAAAAGTGCCGGAGATTCAGTCGATGTGCATGATGATGGAGGAAATTGCGGACTCGCATCGAAGCATGCGACGCAAAGCCGATATGAAGGCGAACAAGAAATTGGTGAGTTTTTAATCGAACGGTGTCCACGTGAACATGAAGTTTGTTTTGCAGATCGAGCGAGAATGGTCGCGTGTGTTCGCCCGCTTCGACTACTTTTTCCTCGTCGTCTTCGAAACGCTCAACCTGTCGGCACTGGCGGTTTTCCTGCGAGTCGCCTGGCTCCCAACGCCCGAACTTAGGGAACAGATACTCTAAAAGTCAGACTTGCCAAATCCCGGGCTGGGCCAGCAAATCGTCGGCCCGGCCCGGCCCGGTCGGCCCGGAAGTTAGACCTCAAAAAAAATATGCAAAAAAAATATGAAGGAAGAGGAAAACGCGTGCGGCAAAATTGCTAAAATGGCGTGCCAGAGTTGCAATCAATCGCTCCGCCCACTCTTGAGAAAATTTTCGTAATTTTTGTGAAAATTTTGCGACTTTAAACAGCAATTTTTTTTAGGTGCATCCTCCCGGGCCGACCGGGCCGGGCCGGGCCGGAAAATTTCCAATTTTGGCCCGGCCCGGCCCGTTGCAAGTCTGCTAAAAGTGTATTCTATTGTATTCACATTTACTGGTTCCCGCTTTTACGCTGTCCGTTCAATCAAATAAACATTTGTCTGAATTTGAAGAGACAGTGCAACGGAAATTGTTTATTGCACTTCAAACAACCTGAAACAAGTGAAACGACCGGAATGTGAAAATTAACAAACGATGACAAAAATCATTAGAAATTTGGGGGGATATTATGCATTTACAGCGAGCGTACAGCCGATTTACATCAAAATCTACAACTTTTCACAAAACTCGGACGCATCGTTCTGTGTCGCTTTGCATCTAGCGTTGTCACACTTTCCATTCAGGCCTAGCTTGTCGTAAGGGATAATTATGAGGATGAAGGAGAGAATGATGAGACAGGTACCGATTAGGAAGAGAGTTGTGACCTCGAGGCCTCGGAACAAGATGTCGATCACTGAAAACGAGTAGGTTTGTGGCAAAAAAAAACGTGAATCTGACCGGTGTTTAGTGGAATTCCACAAAGCATTCCGACGGAAATGACGAGTGGATTCAGAAGAGCGATTCCGAAATTGATTGTGAAGTTGAAGGCTGCAAATGGACACGGTTTCAACTGGACAATTATTGATTAGCTTCCTATATTCCGAACGTTAACGTTTTCTCCTACCGAACTTTCCCACTTGTCAACTGACCCATAGAAAGCAGAGCGGCGCCGACCATCGGCCACCAGGGAGCGTAGGCGAATCGTAGCGTCTCCACACCGGTCAACGCGAGAACAAGCGGCGGGATCCAGTTGATGATCAAATTCAGAAATCCCAAGCACGACATGAAAAGCGACACGTCGCCGAGAGACGCATTTCCGATGATCCTCTTGAAAGAGACCTTGTAGACGGCGGCCATGAACGCGGAAAGAAAGGCGAACAGGATGCCGAGCCATTCGATGCGCATTTCGTGGTCCAACGAGATGACGACGACGCCGCCGATTGCGAGGATCACGGAGAGGATCTGAAAGTGCCGACGTTTCGAAAACCGACATCTCTGGAAGTCTCGTGGCTCACTTTGAACACGTTGACAGTGTCGCCGAGCAGGAAAATGGCGAGAATGTAGACGAACGCGGCGTTGCAGGCCGAGATGGAAGTGGCCACGCTGGGGGTGATCAGAAGAAGGGCTCGGACGTACGGGTAGTTGGCACCAACCCAAAAGACCACGAACGGCGCCACGTAGACGAACAGATTCCGCACGGATAGTCCCTTGTTCTTGCCGAACGTCGAGGCGGTTTCACTGTAAACTTGTACAAAGTTTGAGAATTTCCGAAGTTAACCGAAAACTCTTTTACCTGACAATCACCCGAACACTCCTTCTCGTCCTCAACCAATCCACGAGAATGTAGACGGGAAAGCAGAGAAGCATCAGATTCGTGTTGAACCACATCATAAAGTAGGGAGCGTTGAAGTTTGTCTGAAAAATGTTGCCTACGATCCAGTTGTTCGCGTCAAGATGTACCGTGTCAAAGTTCAGCGCGGTTTTACTGAACTGCGTGGAGAGACACCACGTCAGCGCCACCAATCCGATGATTGTGGCGTTGAGGCAGATCTGGAAATGTATGAAAATGAGCTCATAGACTAGAGTTGAGTTAAATGATGAGTTGGTGAAACAGAACTCACCATAACCGGTGTGCTCCTTCTGACTTCAATATTATTCTCTTCATCTATCGTCTTCCTCTCGAAACTCTCGAAATCGCCCACTTTACCGCCATTGCGAACTGTATCACACGTCGAACTGCTACTGGACATTCTGAAAATATGATTTTCAGACACTAGAGGAGGTTTGATATTGTCGAGGGGTCTGGTAAACAATGACAATCGGCACTTGAACCCCGCATTTGCATAAACAGACAACATTCATCATTTTGTGACTGACCACTGATGGTTCTACGCGTTTCACAAAAACGTAGAAAGGGGCGTGGCCTAGCGTGCACAGTTTATCACCATTTTGCCGCGAAATTCGAAATTTAACCCCATTTTTCGTGTTTTTCGTCAAAAATAACCCAAATTTTGTACTATTTTGACGAAGTAATTGTTTAACTTTGTTAAACTAATCATCGCGCACTTTTTGAGCTTAAAACGAGCAGGTTTCATTCAGGAATGAATCAATTGAATCGATTTTCAAGTTTTGTGCTGAAAATGCGCGAATTTCGGTCATTCGCCGACACTTTTTGCCGTTTGAGCGCTTAAAATATTTGTATTAACGTGCTTAATCACTTCCGACACTCACTTCGTCTCAAAACTATCCACATCGGCCGGCAGGGTGAGCTCCCGAGACTGAATTCCCGAGAATTGCCGGAAAAAGTGATGAGAGTACTTCCCGGGAAGCGCTTTCCCGAGAAGTGTGAAGACTTCTCGTTCCCGGGAACGAGAAGTCTCGAGACTTCTCGTTCCCGAGAACGAGAAGTCTCGATACTTCTCGCTAGCAAGACTTCCCGGGAACGAGAAGTCTCGAGACTTCTCGCTACCAAGACTTCTCGGGAACGAGAAGTCTCGATACTTCTCGTTCCGGGGAACGAGAAGTCTCGATACTTCCCGGGAACGAGAAGTAGACGAAAGTCCTTATTCACGAAAAAAAAATCCACCCTCTGGCCACAAAACAGAGCGGCGGCCCCGAGAGACTCTGTGCAGACCGAGATTGTGATGAAAACCGATTTTTTGCGGACGAGGTGTTGGGAAAACATTCATGGAAGAACTGTCTACTTTTTAAAAACGATTCAATTCTCAAACTTGTTGTCCACGAGAAGTACACAGCTTCGTGGCCGGGGAAATTCCTCGGCCGCGCTCCTCAAAACGTTCCTGGGAGAAGTATGAGAGCTGAGAACAGTTCTTATAAGTGTAGACTTGTAAAACATTTATCATTTATTGCACAAAAAATTGGTCACGTTCGTTCACAGGTCTCGGCATTTCTCGTTCACAAGAAGCCTCGTTCTCGACACCAAGACTTGACAAGAACGAGAAGTCTCGAGACTTCTCGTTCCCGAGAAGTCTTGGTAGCGAGAAGTATCGAGACTTCTCGTTCTCGGGAAGTCTTGGTAGCGAGAAGTCTCGAGACTTCTCGTTCTCGGGAACGAGAAGTCTCGAGACTTCTCGGGAACGACGCTTCTCGAGAAGTTCTCGCATCACTTTTCCCGGCAATTCCCGGGACTTCAGTCTCGGGAGCTCATTGCGAAATATGCCAAAAACGTCTCAAACGCGGCGTTTTCACGAAAATTTCGATTTTTTCTCTCTTTAATGTCTTCTTTCGTCGATATCAAACACAAAAATATCGGAAAAGTGCTGAAATTGCGGCAATTTTCAGAAAACGCGTGTCAGATTAGACCACGCCCCTTTCTACACTTTTGGTCGCCGTGCGTTTCTCGATAAACAGCATGCAAAACAAAAGCTCTGGAAACTCGATTGCAATCTAATTAGAAGAGTTTGCAATCTAATAAGAAAAAGCTATATTTCGCAATCTAATCAGATTTAATTGAAGTTCCAGTAAAATCGTATTAGATTACAATATATTTTTCCTGAATTGCAATCTAATAAGAAAACATTGCAATCTAATTAGAAAAATTGCAGTGATTGTAATCTAATTAGAAGATTTTGCAATCTAATTGAAGCAAATTCTATTTCAAACGAGTTCGTATTAGATTGGAAAGTGTTCTAATTAGATTGCGATCGAGTTCCCAGAGAGGGTGTGAATTTTTAAAACTTTTTGAAAAGGTAATATTTTTGCGAAAATCTGCATGAATTCTGTACGCAAATCAATGTAAAAGAGACCTCTTATCACACTTGTCTCTTTATTATCAGAAGCCTCTTCTTTTCCTGCCTTCTCCTCCTCCTCCAACATTTATCATCTCAAATTGCTTGTCCAGTTTCCCTCTCGCTCGCTCGCTTTCTCTGTCTGCCGCCCTCCTCGTTTCGCATACTCTCTCGTCGGCGCGACGGCCGAAAATCTGTTGTTTTTTTTTTCACTTTCCTGCCCTGAAAACTTTGTAGAAGAACGCGAAAACTCACGGAAGCAAAGGCAATTGAGTCGCTGACGCTGTCGCGTGTTGAGGTCCCATTTTGACAGGAAAAATCGGGGGAAATTCTCGAAATTTTCACCGGAAACGTCCGGAAATAGGCGGTCACAAAAATGACGACAACGGCGGCTCCGTGACGGTCAGCTTCTGCCCTTTTTTCTGTGTTTTTGTCCGTCGGCGACGCAGACGGCGCCCCGGAAAGCGAGAGAGAACGCGAATCGCAGAGACGCAGACATAACGGAGGCTTCATCGAGCGGAGCGCACAGTGTAGTCCGTGATGGTGTTTTAAAAGGAATTTTTATGAAAAGCAGAGCCTACACAACTCGCCGACAAAGAAATGGAGAAAAATCCCTGCTGAAAATAATTGTTTCCAGAAAAACTGTCTTAAAATGTGCGGCGCCAAAGTGGTGTTATCATCGAACGGTAAAAGTGGACTCTGACCGGGAGAAGCGAAGAAAAGTGATGTTTTAAGTGTGAAGAACAGGAATTTAGAGACAAAAGCAACATGAATCGAATAAAAGCGTGACATTTTACAAGAGGCGAACAGAAATGTCGACGTGGAATTGAAACTGGGCGAAAATTGTCATTCGATGTCTTCTGCGTCGAAATGATAACAAAAAATGCTCCGGTAGATCTTTCTAAAATTGCAGAAGCTGAAAATTTTGTTAAGGTACCGTTTGATTTCCACGCGGTCATGAAAGCTGGGGTAGTCCGGAGATGTATGTCTTGTGTGATTTTCGTGAGAACGTTTCGGAAATTTCTCGAAAACGTTCTGACTTCTGGCTACTATGTGGAAGAGTGTGAAATCTAAGGTTTACATTTTGTTAATATCAAGTAATCAAGACTTGTTTTCTTTCTTTTTGCTTACAGAACCCTTGCGAAGAATCCGGATGCTTGTTGCGTCTTGCCAGGAACTCAGCAAACGTTTGTAAGTTTAAAATTGCTGAAAATGCTGAAAATCTGAAAAAGAAAAATTCAAATTACGGCGGTCCAACATAGTAGAACTGGGCACAATAGAACCGCGACATAATAGAACTGGTTTTGTGTATTTATATGAGCATTTTGTCCGTTCCTTTCAATTAGCTTTCGCTAAATTTTTCGTCTCTCGAACAATTAAGCAGAAGACCACAGTTTATACCTAGAAAATTGGTTTCCTTTCGTTTTTGATAGTACAATAAAATTATTTTCTGTGGGTTTTCGAAGAGGGATCACGTCGGAAGTGAAATTAATGAATGCAATAAATCGATCACGAGATTCAAAAATTACCTTTTTCTACGAAACAATTATTCTACAGAAAGGTTTTAAAGGCGCTCCAAACAGTTCTATTGTGTCGCGGTTCTATTCTGCCCAGTTTTATTATGTTGGACCGGCCAAATTGCAAGAAAATATTGAAATCGATGCGAAACCCGTTGTAAAAAATTCCTGTGCGCCTTTAATTGTCACGAGGATACGGTAACACTCGTTTCACTTTTTTTGAAATCCTAAATTTCTTCTTTGCACTTTGCCGATTTATGTTGAAATTCTGCGCGTTTTCTTGCTGTTTTAAAATGAAAAAATACGACATCGTGAAAATTGCTTTGTTTCGATGTTTCTGCTTATTTTTTACGCAATTTTCGCGAAAAACTTTAACAAATTCGCTAATTTTCGAGAAAAACTCTAATTTTGTTTCCAGAGTGTTCGGATCCGACGATGGCCGTCGGTGTCGGTATGAAAACGGTTGCGAACTTTGAAGAGCAGCTAAAAAAGTGGAACAGGCCGAATTTCTGGCAACATTTGCATCTGGTGAGATATTTTTTCGATCATTTACGAATTTCGGCACAAATTTTGTGGTTTTCGCGTTTTTTGCCGGGTTTTGAGTGTTTAGGTTAAAAAATTCGTAAATGTTATAAGAACACTAGAATTTATCGAACTTTGCAGCAAGACCCCGCCAAATTCGTCTTCGGCAACAATGTCGGATTGATCATCGACGATCCGGTTCACATGGATATTGTGAAGGACATTTCGACAGAATTTCACCGAAATTTACTTCGAGAACGTGATGCGCTCATGAGGTGAGAGAAAAATCGTGAGTCTCTGGAAACATTTCAAACATTTCAGTCAAAGCCCCGCGCCGTTGGATGACGTCACCTACCTTGATATCTACACCGACCTCAAGAAAGTGTTCAATCCGACGAATAATTTAACTTCTGATTTGCACTTTTTTCTCGATTTGCACTTGTTTCAAGAGATTATTGGCGGAACGGCAAAGCGCGCCAGCTTGTCGAAGGTCCGCGAGACGATTTACAGTCGTTTCGTACGACTTTTCTCGAAATACCGACAATATATCGGCGAGAGAGCGGTCGAAATGCTCGTGGAACGATTCGTACAGTTCTTGCGAGAGACTGTCGTTCAATTGTGGTCGGAATTTAATGAAATTCATGTTTCACAACTGAAATTTCGATTTCCAGGTCGTTGAGAAGGATGTCGTTGCAAAACGAGTACTTCCCGTCGCCCGACGAATTCTACCGCGACGCCGTCGCCCGATCGGTCAGCTTTTTCGGCGTTTTCGAGCTGATCCGAAGAGTTCAGCGCAACGAGAATACGGTCAGCATGGTTATTGAGGTGAGCAATTGAAAATTTCCTGAAAATTATGAACATTTCTTGCAGATCAGCCGCATTTCATCAGCGGAACTGTCGAATTTGGTCTTCGACCCGCTATTCTCGCCAATGTTCCCACCGCAATTCGTGCGAGCCTTTGGAAATTGGCTCAAAACATTCCGAGAACGAATTCGCCGCTTTTATGTGTTCAAATTGGCCGTTTTTTGGTAGAAATTTAACGGAAACCGAGAAAATTGCAAAATTATGTTTACAGTAAGCTAAAAGTTGGCAAACCGGTGACCCCGAGTCAAGTGGCGCTTTTCTGTCTGGACGCTCTCGCCGAGCTGCTGAACGACGATCAATTCATGCTTTTCGACGATAGATGGGCGGAGCATTTCAAAAATTTGCTCGTCGAGCTGAACATATGCGACCCGGACGAGCAAATGGAGAAAGAGCTGAAGATGGACGAGTTTCAGAACGTTCTTATTCACGGTGAGCCAGTGCCCACAATTTTCACCTCAATTTCATGAATTTTCTGCAGGAAACTCGCGTCTGTGCTCTCAACTCTCGCACATTTACACGAATCCGCACATTCAGGAGCAAAGATCCGTTCTCGCACACCTGTTCCGTTTTGTGCTCCGTTTCTCCGCCGATTTCGTTCGTCACTGCTTTTCGATGCAAATTGGCGAACGCGGAAAGCTCTACTTTGTGTACGACGGACAGTTCGAGGAACTCGGATTTCCGGGCGCGTACGTCGCGATGGACGGCACCGAAGAAGATTACGTGCAAAAATTGCGAAAAGACGAAGAATCTGCGGTTCGAGTTTGCATTTTGAGACGGACATTTTGAAATTGCTCAACTTACAGAACATTGAGAGCGGAACGGAACCGCAGACTGTCTATGGAGCTGATTCTTCGGTAACTTTTGGGCAAATAAACGATAGGAATCTGAAAAACTTGATTTTCAGCTGCCAGAAGTGCCACTCGACTCGGATCCGTTCGACGATTCCGTTCGCAGCAGTGAAGAGGACTTGGGTTTGTTGACCCCGGATTCTCTGGATTCCTCGACGCATTTCATCTTCCCGCCGCCGCATTACTTTTCGCCGAATCCGTTTGATCCGTACTCCGCCAGAGTGCGTTTATATATTATTTTGAATTTTCCACATAAGAACTGAAATTTTCAGAAGCCGTCGACGGAGGCCGTTTTCAACCAATGTCACACTCAAATTTCAAACAGACGCCGAAAGGTTTGAGTTCTTCATGCAAATGTTAGTATTTCACGAAATTTCAGGCTCTGTCACATCTGTACCCAACTCCGCCCACATCGCCGGAGCCATTGGTACCGGTTTTCGTGGAGAATCTATCAAAAACTGATAAATTTGCAGCATGTACCATTGGTTTCATCGTCAAATTGCAACAATTTCACGGCGCCACGCGAATCTCGTCGTGATCGACGACAAAATAAGGTCTAGAAAGTTTTTCAGCGGTTGTTGAATATTTTTATTTTCAGAAACATCGTCGCAACGTCACTCCAGTCGCCAATGCAAGATTTATGGAGACGGAGGAGGAGGAGAACGAGGAGAACCTTCCGTTCTTTGACAACAACTCGAACCAAATGGACAATTTTGCCGGGAACACTCAGGGCTGCCAGATTCCATTGTACTTTTTATGCTTTTCTCACATTTTTCTATTTTTCTCTCGAAAATACCGCTTCTCAGAGAGCTGGCAGAAAAAATGCCGGTTTTCTACGTTTTTTTTTTTTTGAGAAATCGCTCGAATTGCGCCCGCTACTACTTTTTTGTTGATTTTCAGTCGTAAAATGCTCAAGAATGCATTTGATCTATTTTGGTGGTGACCTAAACCTAAAAAGTGTTGACAGTGGAATTGCAAGAAAACCGTTGAGAAACGAGCATATTATGACTGAAAATCGCAATGAAACACAGGCGAATATTTCACGAAATTACTATCAGAAATCTAAGCTTCTCGAAAATGTCTGCATTTCTTGCAGGTGGATCATGTACAATTACCCGCTCATCGAAACGTGCAACGCTTCAAACAACGAGAATCCGCAGGCAATGGAAAATTGAGGAAGTTGCCGGAGAAGTGCACGTTTCCCTCCTGTACCATTGTTTTTTGTTCTGATTTCATTATTTCCCATCAAAGATAATCTATCGGTCCCCCTCCCCCCTGTCTGTGAAATTCCGATTTTTCCGGAATTGTGCAGAATTGTTCTGTTCTGTTCTGTTCTTCGATGCAGGTAAGAGGCCGATGGATCCATTTGGGTTAAATATGGAGCGCGCGTCGATTCAAAAGATGCGCTCTCTGTATAATATTAATCTAAGTAGATCCACATCCTTTGTCTAGTTTTGTTGTTCAAAAATTTCTGTAAGTTTTCTTCAATCTGTTCCATTCGTTGCTATCCGCCCCCCTCAAAAAACATCCCGTTGCAATTGTCGTAGAGAAATGTGTTAAAAAACTAACCCCCCTGCATGCATGTAAACGAATCGAAAGATTTGAATGTGTTCTGTTACATTTTTGATTCTCTCATTCCCCGCGTCCGTATCGAAACAATTGTATCATTAGTACTCATGTGCCATTAATAAATTGCCGGGTGTCGACAGTTTCCGGCGGTTTTGTCGAAAGGTGAGTGGTTCCAAAAAAAGCGAAAAGTTTATTCATAATGGGGAAAAATTGTTTGTTGTAGCTTCTTAAATAGTCTAAAGATCAAAACGCCAATTTCGCACAATTTACGTCACAATCGGCGGCGGCGGTGGCGGCGGGAAAAACATGACGAAAAGACACACATACTGTGACAAGCATCATGAGTTTGGGTGATCTTTTCAAGTGGCCTGATGACAGCGAACTATGGTATTTGTATACTGTTGCAGTGGGTACTACTCACTGCCTTCCTGGAGATAGCCTCAGTCATCATTGTGTCAAAATTGGAGTTTATAGTTTCAGGCGAGCATTTATCATCATTATACCCATAGAATCAGAGTAGAGCAATCAATCAAATCACAGGAGATTTAGTTAGAAGAATGAGAAAAAAATGGCAATCAAGAAACGTCCGAGGCCGTGGTGCTCGTGTCGTCCTCATCGCTTTTCGGTGTCAGTCTGCCCCTTCCCAGAATCGTTTTTGGCGTGATTTTCAGATTTTCCAAGTGTTTTTCCATAATTGGCAGCCGTTGAAGCGACGTTTTGAAGAGCATAAACGCGATTGTTCCGATGCGGAAGTAGATGAAACTGGAAAAATAGGAATTGTCCATTCAAACCGATGTATCTCAGTTGGCAGTGGAGATATCAAAAAGATGTCAACTGATAAAATGTTCACTAGCAAATTGTGTACATTTTATCAGTTGACCACTTTTTGTTTAATCCACCGGCAGCTGAGTTGAGATAAAAATAGAACTGGCGTGCTCTTTTACTGTTTCAAAAAAGCAGACTTGCAACGGGCCGGGCCGGGCCGGGCCAAAATTGGAAATTTTCCGGCCCGGCCCGGTCGGCCCGGGAGGATGCACCTAAAAATTCAAAGCGAACTAGAACTTCGAAACGAACATAATTTTATAGACTTAAAATTTTATAGACTTAAAAAGGCAATGTTATAGCATAAAAACCTGTTAAAAAAATAGAAATTGCTGTTTAAAGTCGCAAAATTTTCACAAAAATTACGAAAATTTTCTCAAGAGTGGGCGGAGCGATTGATTGCAACTCTGGCACGCCATTTTAGCAATTTTGCCGCACGCGTTTTCCTCTTCCTTCATATTTTTTTTTGGGATTTGGCAAGTCTGCAAAAAAGCTAACCTGTCTGGCTCAAACGTGACAAAAGATCCGAAATGTTTTCCGCAAATGCAATGCCAATCCGGTCCGTACTCTCTGTCGAATGCCAATTTGAGATGACGAGCAATGTCGTGCTCCAGATGATACGTCTGCAATTCATTTGGTCGAAACGAAAAGTCATTGTGACGATCATCAGGACATTCTTCATGTACAAATGCAAATGCGCACTCACCATGATGCTTTTAGCGGCCAACGAGCACGCTTCCTGCTCCATGTGACGTGGCATTCGGCTGTGCTGCACGTCGGCCACGATTTCTCGACACTTTCCGGTACGACGACATTCTAACTCAAACCTGAACGAAAATTTCAAGTGTTTTGACACTTTTACTCGACTATTACAAGTAGTAGGTGAAACTGAAAAAAGCGTTTATTCAAAACACGATATCTCAGCTGTCGGTGAAGATATCAAAAAGTTGTCAACTGACAAAATTTGCAAAATTTGCTGATGAACATTTTATTAGTTTACAACTTTTTGACAGCTCTATTCCCAGCTGAGATATAACGTTTTGAATTCGCTTGAATTCTATTCGAGGGTTAAAAACACATATTGTGCAATAAGACCAACCTGAGCGCCTTCTCGTTATCCATTTTTTTGCAACGGTTTTTTGAGGTGGCGAGACTGAAGGATCGGGCGCGCGAGATGGTTCTCTGCGTCTCCGACCTCAACATACTCTCTCGTTCCATCGTCAGAAAGGGGGCGGAGCCTGAAAATGTTATTCTATTTGCTCGCCCGAGAAAATGAGAAAAAAGTGGGGATTTGCAATCGAGAAGGTCAATAAAAGTGGATAAAATTGAGTTTTCTGGTACAGAAATGTTTGATAGATGATTTGAAACATTGAAAAATGATAAAGTGAGGACGGAAACATTCCAAAGATTCCCGGACAAGACCAAGTACTTTGCGCACGCAGAACAAAGAACAAAGAGTGGAAATTGGGTGGGTGTGGTGGTTTTTTGGGAACGGGATACGTTAGAAAATATAGTAAAATGTTTACGGTTCCAAAATGACATGAACAAACGTCAGCGAGCACAAATTATGATGGTTATGGCTAACAACGTTTCTCAGCTGCCCGTAGAGATATCGAAAAGTTGTCAACTAATAAAGTGTTCATTAAGAAATTGTGTACATTTTATCAGTTGACACCTTTTTGATATCTCTACCGGCAACTGAGATACATCGACTCAAAGTCTTGAGTATACCCAGCCAGGACCGAAACAAAAATAGAACTGACAAACCTGCGAAATAATGAGCGATGCGTAACAGATCAGTGCTCACCGAGCCCCTCCCAGGAGGGGGTTTTCCACTCGAAATGACACTGATATATGTATACGGCAGGTGAGAATGATATGTTTGACGAGCCACTCGAGACCGTCGTCACTGAATTCTTGTCGCAAGGAGTCTGCGGTTTGTTGTGGCCTAACGATTGTATGTTTGTGTACTAGTCTTTGGAGTTGATCACTAGAGTACGGGAACATGACTCATTGTCCACTACACAAGCCTTGTTGATTCAGGAGTATCTCTATCTATCCACTTGAGACTTGGCCCGGGATGTAAGATGTTGTCAAGGAATGGACCAGAGTTGAGCGGAAATGAAATTTTGAAATCCGGAAGACGGAAGACGGAAGACGGAACAAAAAAATCCACGGAAGACGGAACAAAAAATTCCACGGAAGACGGAAGACGGAAAACGGAAGACGGAACAAAAAAATCAACGGAAGACGGAAGACGGAACAAAAAAATCCACGGAAGACGGAAGACGGAACAAAAAAATCGTCAATGCAGAACCTTTTTTTCTGGTTTTTTTTTAACGAAAAAAATAACCGCTATTCACTGTTTCACCTGTTCGAAAAAGTTGGCAAAAAGTTGAAAGAAGAGTAGTGGTTTAAACATCATTCCTTCCGATCTTGTTTCATTTTTGCAAGAGCACTTCACAAGACGTTCGAAAAGTGTTCACTTTTGTTGCGGAGTTTGTGGTTTGGTGGTAATTCAAGTTTTTTTCCGAACACACGGTGTCCAGAGCTGATGTAGAACATTGGCGCGAAATTCAAATTTTAACAGCAAAATTTGTCCAGATTAGCCACGAAAAATCGATAATTTCTCATTTTTCTCTCGATAAACCGATTGTATAGGCTATTACGAATTTTTTAAGCGAAAGAGCGTTAAATTTGGTCAAGTTTGAAGGTTTTTGGCTAAAACTGCGTGAATTTCAGTTGCTTTTCGGTAATTTTCGCGGTTCGAGCGCTCAAAATGCTTGTATTTACGTGATTTATCATTCTCAAAACCAATTCTGTCGGAAAACGGTCAAGAAAGCGCAAAATGAGAAGTGCGGTTTTTAGGAAAACCAAAAAAAATTTCGAAAAAGCGAAATCCGCGAAATCCGCGAAAAATGCGCCAAAACGTCTACAATTCTGTGAGAATTAGTGTGTTTATATATTATTTTACATATTGTCAGCTCTGGAGACCGTGCGCGAAACTTTTGTAATGGGGCTATTCAGACTGTGAAAAAAATTATTTTTTTTTTCGCTTTTTTACGTCAAAAAATCCAATTCAGCGATGTAAAAAATCGAGAAAAAAACGGAAAACAAACATACGCTGAATAGCCCCATTAGTGCAGAAGTCTATTGGTTCTGGGACTTTTATAAAGTTTCAGTGGTTTCGGCACACAGCTGCATTAATTCGTGGCGCAAATATTGAGCAGACGATTTAGCTCACATTAGCAAACTTTCACAGACGGTGATAAAGAAAATGAGCACATTTTGAAACGGGATAACGAAAGAGACTTGCAATATTCGGATCGGACTCCAACTTTTTAGGCTCCTTGGAATTGGATTGAAGTATGTCGAATGAAATTGTTTTGTTTCGGGTCACTTTTATGTAAATCTATATGCAAATTTTTTTTGCCCTAGCATTTGCCAGCCAAGTGTTCGATAGCAGAGTTGAGCGGAAGAACTCAACGCAAGAACACGGAAGAATTTTTATGTTTTTTAGAAAATTTTTTCATGGATTGTGATCAACTGACGAAATGTAAAGCAATGTGAACTGTGCTCATAGAAAAATAATTGTAAATTTAACTTTTCATACAAAAAAGTTATTCGAGTTGTTCCGTGAAAAAAGGGGGCAAACGGAAGACGGAAGGACATTTTCACGGAACAACTCGAATAACTTTTTTGTATGAAAAGCTAAATTTACAATTATTTTTCGATGAACAGAGTTCACTTTGCTATATATTTCGTCAGTTGATCACATTGCATGAAAAATTTGTCTAAAAAAGATAAAAATTCTTCCGTGAGTTCTTCCGTTGAGTTCTTCCGCTCAACTCTGTTCGATAGTATATAAAAATTCTTGTGGGGGCACTGAAAAAGTGTGTGTTTTTATAGGAAAACCGATAAAGTTTGTGTGTGCCACACGTGATAAGCGGGGGAAATGACGCGGTTTTCCATTTGATAAGCGCCTCATCACTTGCTTTTGCGACCTTCAAAGTTGATCAAATCTTTCCAAACTTTGTTCACATTTTCCCTGTACGCTTGAGCGTCCACCTGCCAAGTTTGGTCCCAATCGGTTGACTTGGAGCCGAGAAAATAGGATTAACAGTTTATTTAACAGTAAATAATTGGTGCTTCCATCTATATGTTAACGTTGAGGCCTTGAAACTGTAATGTATTGTTGGTTCTTTGGGGTTCTTTTCATTTCAGAGTGTGAAAGAAATGATTTGAACATGAATTCTTCAGGTTTCCTTCAACATTTTTCCACATTCCACTCGAATTTAATGATAACGGTTTCCGAATGGTTACAAAACACTATTACAATTAAATTTTTCAATTCTTGATCGATGACAACATGCTACATTTATTAATTAAATATAAAAAAGAAAACACTCAAAATTCCAGTCATTTTTCGCTCTCTCAAAACGCATTACTTTACAGTTTCATGAGACAACATTTCTATTTGTGCCCCTTTATTGTCAACACACAAAGTTCCCTTTCACCGCGCCGCGCGAATAGATGAACCAGACAAAAAAGTGAAAAAAAAGTTGACCGACAGTATTTGAACTAACTCTTGTTTTCTGCGTCGCCCAACTCTTCTAATCCACTCGGGGCTGGCACGCCAACAAACTTTTGTGTGTCGGCAGTTTAGCCAATGTTCAAGTGTGCCTGTTCGTTCGCCATTTTGTCAATTTTCAGAATGAAATTCATATTTTCCATCGCTTTTCTGTCGCTTTGTAACGCCGACGGCCTACCGCTGGTTTCAACGCCGATCAGTGCGAACACGGAGTTTGTGATTTTTGGCACCAGGTATTGTACTTTTCAATTTGCACCATTTTTGCAGTCGGGTTGAAGTAGCTAGCAGAGTTGAGCGGAAGAATTTTTATATCTTTTTTAGAAAATTTTTTCATAAAATGTGATCAACTGACGAAATGTATCGCAAAGTGAACTGTGCCCATAGAAAAATAATTGTGAATTTAGCTTTTCATACAAAAAAGTTATTCGAGTTGTTATTCGTTTGCCCCTATTTCACGCAACAACTCGAATAACTTTTTTGTATGAAACGCTAAATTTACAATTATTTTTCTATGAGCACAGTTCATTTTGCTATACATTTCGTCAGTTGATCACATTTCATGAAAAAATTTTCAAAAAAAGATAAAAATTCTTCCGTGAGTTCTTTCGTTGAGTAGCTAGGGTCCAAGTTTCAGACCGATCCGAAACTTGGACCCAAGAGGCGTAAATTCAAAATTTTCAGGCATGGAAACCGAAATCCTGAACAGTTTTTGAGTGGAATCGACCGGACATGGGGTCAGGAGGGAGCATTGGAGTTGACTTCGGTGAGTGAAGCCGTCGATTAATGCTGCTTTTGAAGCTGTAATAATTGGAGAGCAGAAAGTCACTTTATTATCGTCGAAATGTTCAGATTGGAAAGCGACAAGGCTATGGATTGGGTGCGGAACTGCGAAAGTTCATAGGAAACTTGACGTCAGAGAACTTTAATGCTTCGGAAGCCAAGTACTACTCGAGTTCGGCGAACAGATGTCAGATGACTCTGCAGGTTTGTAGTCCTCATCTAGAAACGTCTAGCCCTGGGTGTTCAGGTCGCCCTGGCCGGTCTGCACACTCCCACCAACTGGGGCGACTGGAATCGTCAGCACTTTGACGACTGGTCGCCGATCCCCTACACGATCTCGGATCCGCTCCTCCGCATGTACTCGGTGCCTTCGTGCAAACGATCCGATCAAGTGTGGGCGCCGATCGACAACGACGATCTGCCAGAGTTGGAGAACCTGAAGACGGACAACGCGCGCATTTTGGAGTACTTGACGCACGAGACCGGTTGGAACATGACCGCGAATCTGGGAGAGGCCGCCGATTTGGCCGACAACCTCATTCAAATGGATTTCTACAACACGAGCTATCCGTTGTGGCTGTCACAACCACAACTCGACGGGCTCAACGGAACAGCGCTGAAGAGCACTATCATGGAGTTTGGTACCGTTGTTTCTTTTCTTTTCTCTCACTTTTCTCGCTAATAATGCAATTTTTTCAGCGGAAATCCATCCACGCTCGTGTGCCTACTACTACCCGTGTCGCTATCTGATGGGCGGTTTGTGGTTGGATGATATCATTCAAAAGCTCAACGACGCGAATTCCACTAAAAATGCACTAAAACTGATCGGATATGCGTCGGTAGCCCGTTTTCCTTTCGCGTTTTTTAGTGAAAACCAGCGTTTTTAGCACACCGAAGTGACGCTGTCGGTCATGAAGTTGATGGGAATCGAGCGGGACGAAGTGACGACGTCTGCCGGATTCGTGATCGAATTCCGAACACGTCCGAACGTCGCCGTCCGTTTATTGAACCACGATCCGAATCCCGTTGACTCGCACGTCATCTACGCCGCCAATTTGACCAAGGAATTGTCGGACGTTCAGGAGTCCGACGGCTTTATACGATTGACCGATTTTATACGGATTGTCAAGTCGGAGGTCTAGCGATTAAGGTGTCCAAAAATAAGTGCTAAGTTTTCAGAGCTACTCGGATTGGCCGAAACAATGCGACGCTCCTTCGTGTGCCAAAGATGATCCGACGAATTCGACGTCGGCATCCTCATCCGCTTCATCGTTCATTTCTATCATGTTCCTAGTTTTCATAATCGTACAATAGTCATTCAGTACAAAGCTCTCAAAACGATATACGTGTAGCAACCATGTAATAAAAGCCAATTTTCGCAATTAACCTTGAACTTGTCCATCAACAATTTTGGTTAAAAAACAAAAGAGATAAGGAACTAGCGCCGAAACATCAACAATCTCTGAATGTGTCAATGAAAACTGAAGATCAGACTGTCTTCTTTGTGACCTTAACCGGTATAAAAGGAAGCGACGGCGTCTCCTAGCAGAGATCAAACCATATTCCGTGTGTTTTTGTGCTACACCATTTTTCCGAGAAAACCGCTCAAACTTCCAGCAATGAACCTACTTCTCCTTCTCTTCGCCCTGCTCCCAACGGCCACCAGTGGCGCCCATCTGATCCCGAAAAAGTCGGCGACGATCGACAAGAACACGGTGCTCGTGCTGTTCGGAACACGTCACGGAAACCGTCATCCGGAGGTGTTCCTTCAGGAGAACCCGAGAAGTTGGGGTTACGAGGGCAACACCGAATTGACGTCGTTCGGCAAGCGTCAAGGACTCGGCCTGGGCAAGGAGATTCGAAGTTTTATTGGCACTTTGGTAGGTCGACGAGCGAGAGATTTTTGATTTGAGGCCAAAGTATTGCAGATCGGTCGCAACTACAACTCGTCTGAAGTCAAATACTACTCCAGCTCGGCGAACCGATGCCAGATGACTCTTCAGGTATCTCTAGAACCATGCATTATTTCAAAATGTGGTCAACTGAAAAGTTGTCGTAAATTTCATGCTCTACAACTTTGTAGTAGATCATTTTGCTCTAGACCGTCACCGCCGCCATCCACGACCCGGAACAGTGGGGAGATTGGGACAAGAAGTGGTACGATCACTGGTCGCCGGTCCCCTACACCATTGACGATCCGCTGCTCAGAATGTACGCTGTCGAGGAGTGCAAGGCCAATGATAAGGGTACGCACATTTTTGAATCAAGATGAATCAACTATCACTGTCATACGAATGAGTTTACACATTCTGAGCGTTAAACGGTGGCGTCCAACGTGACATAATACAACATATTTTTAAAATTAACTTCAAAGTGGGGCATTCACTTTCTCAAAGTCCCGAATTGCGGAAAAAATTCCCCGATTTTTAAGATTTTTTTCAAAAAAGTTAATGGTACCGAGAGAGATTTTTCTAGTCCCCGGATGGAATTCCCATTTCTTCCGATTTTTTTTTTCGTTTTCGTGCAAATTTCTTAAATTTTCAATTGTTTTTTCACTGAACACACTTATTTACAATATTTAAAAAAAAATTATGTTTTTTTCTGTGCCGTGACGCCAAAAAATCGATAATCTGAATATTTTTTTTTGTTGTTTTTCCGGGTTTTTCGCTCAATTTTCGGTTTGCGCGCTGAAAAGCAAATACTAAATACATCGCTTAATCATTTCCTGAGTCTTAATTTTATGTTTGCGAGTTACAGAAAGTTTTATTTTTCAAAGTAATGCGAAAAATCCGAAACTTCCCATTTTCGGTTTTACAAAAAGTGGCTGATTTTTTCTGAATCTCTGAATTTTGCTGAATTTTGAAAGTTTCAGATTATCGATTTTTTTGGCGTCACGAAACAGAAAAAAATCATAAATTTTTTTAGATATTGCAAATAAGTGTGTTCAGTGAAAAAACGATTGAAAATTTAAGAAAATTGCACGAAAACGGAAAAAAAGTGAATGCCCCACGTTGAAGTTTATTTTAAAAATATGTTATACGTCACGTTGAACACCACTTTTAAACGGTCATGAATTAGTGAAAACAATAATAATCGATAACAGTTCGAAGAAAACGTTATACAATTTACGAATTTCGGGGGGAACTACAAAATTTGACTCAATCGTTCATGTTTTTGGGCGTAAAAAGTGAGGGCGCTCGAGAGAAACACAGTTTTCCAGTCTGGGGTCCAATCTCGAAGGACACTCTGCCATCGCTCAAAAAGCTGAAAACCGACAACGCCGCGGAGCTCAAATATTTCGCCGACAACACGAAATGGGACTTGGAGAATCTGGGAAAAGCGGCCGATTTGGCCGACAATCTCATCGAAATCGATTTGTACAAGGCCGAGTATCCGTCGTGGATCAAGGCGCCAAAACTAAAAGGGTACAATACCGAAAAGCTGAAGGCCAAATTTTGGAGTTTGCCGAGGTGCATCAGAATGCGTGCGCCGATTATGCGCCGTGCGGGAATCTGATGGCCGGCTACTGGCTTCAGGACATTATCAACAAGTTGGTGAAGGCCAGTGACGGAAAGGGACCGAAACTCATCGGATATGCATCGGTGAGTCCGATTCTGGGCGGTTTTCTAGACAGATATTGTCGTCTTGAAAGTGGTCAACTGGAAAAAGTGTAATATTAGACGTAAATTGAGATTCCAGCACACCGAAGTGACTCTGTCCGTGATGCGAGTGATGGGCTACGACAAGGACGAGTTGACCACTTCCGCCGGCTTCGTCGTCGAGTTCAAACGGCTTCCGAAGCCCGCCGTCCGTCTTCTCAACCACGATCCGAATCCGATCGACGAGCACGTCATCTACCCGGCCGAGCTGGTGCCGAAGCTCAAGAAACTCGCCGACAAGGACGGATTCATTCCGCTCGACGCGTTTTTGGCGTTTGCCAAACCGCTGGCTTTCGCCGACTGGAAGGCCGCTTGTAACAAGTAGCACTTTTCGGATTTTGTAATAATTCACCGTTTCAATAATACCATTTCCGATCGGTAGACATTAATTTTTCCGTCGAAAAAACTATGAAGAAAAAAAAGCGCATTTTTCGCGGATTTCGCTTTTTCGCCTTCGCCGCCGAAACCGCATTTCTCATTTTGCGCTTTCTTGACCGTTTTCAGACAGAATTGGTTTTGAGAATGATAAATCACGTAAATACAAGCATTTTGAGCGCTCGAACCGCGAAAATTACCGAAAAGCAACTGAAATTCACGCAGTTTTAGCGAAAAACCTTCAAACTTTACCAAATTTAACGCTCTTTCGCTTAAAAAATTCGTAATGGCCTATACAATCGGTCTATCGAGAGAAAAATCCGAAATTATCGGTTTTTCGTGGCTAATCTGGCAAAAAACACAAACTTTGCTGTTAAAATTTGAATTTCGCGCCAATGTATCGCTCTATTGGGCGGGGCGCACTTGCGCCCATTGTCAGCTCTGGAGACCGTGCGACCTACAATAACAGTACATTTTTTGGATTTTTCTGGAAAAATTAGCGTGGCTCTCTCGATTTTCGACCGGAAATTCAACATTTGACCCTTTTTTCCATGTTTTTGTAGGTCACTTTGTGATCCGAAACGATTGCACTCATTTTGAGCGTTGAAAGATACTTCTATACGGGAAGTCGTTTTTTCGTACCCCAATGACCTTAAACATGCCGAAGAAGGAAGTAAAATTTCGGCGGCCTCAAAAAACTGAATGAGATCGAGGAAACAGTGTTGTTTGTCCTTTTCTATCATCTTTTCGGACAGAAACCAGCAATGTTTCATAATAACAAGGCGAAATCAACAAGAGGGGGATGGAAAAGCGAAAAGAGATCCGAAAGAACAGTTCAATTTTGTTGTATTTGAGCTTCTTGAAGGAGACGGGCGGCTATCAGGTAGGCGAGGCGAGAAGACGTTTCTTGCTCGGTCAGCTCTTTGATCTGAAAGCAAGAAAACGCGTTTTTAAATGGGCCTGTCAATTTCTCATGTGAACCTCATAGGGCTGGCTCATTTCGTAGCATGTGGTGAGTGAGTTGAGGTAGATTGAGATGGAATAGTCGCGAAGGAGTCGGACGCAGGCGGCCGTGCGGACCATCGCCAAACGGATGTCACTCGGGACGATCTGAACCGGAATATTCGAGGTTTTATATTATACGATCGGACTCTATTGCGACAACAACCAATAAAACGACACGCGCGGAAGTTCTGCGCCTTTAAATTTGAGGGTGAAACGGTAGATTGCAATTTCCCCATTTTTCCGACAAAAAAAAATCATTTGTGATAGAAACTCGTTTGAAATCGGGACTTTTGCCAGGAAAACGTGGGAAATCGTGATCTACCGTATCATTCGTGCGCATTTTCTACTATGAAAGTTTCTGGCCGATCCGATAACCTGGTCTGAGTCAAATCCCTATATTTCTTCAGTTCAGATGATCCAATCGGCCTGAAACTTTCAAAGAAGACACGCGAAATCAAGACTGAAAATCCGGGCCACGTGAAATGCGATTCCCACCTGAAATTCGTGCACATGTGATCCGTCCTCCTCGAGCGTCGTCTCCGGAAGCGCCGTCGTCACCCACACGCTTCCGTTGCATCCGATAATGACGGCCATTCCGTAGGGAAGCGTGTGAAAGTGCTTTTTCGACTTTTTGATCAAATGCGGAGGAACCTGAAAGGAAAAAAGCGGTAATTTACACGTGAAATCTCCTTAAAAACTCGCTGCCAACGCTACTATCAGTTTAGTTTTCTTTCGAAAATGTTCTCCGCCACCTCGTCTCCGGCTTCTTCCCGACGCGTCATAAATGCGCTCAGAAGTTTCGTGACTGCCGACGATATCCGCACAAAGCTTCTCGACTCGATTTTGTATCGATTGGAGGAGCAGGACGACAGAAACAGTGAGCCGGATCCGGTAAACTCGAACATTTTTGTAAAATAAAACTAAAAACACACTTTCCAGTACTGGCAGCGTAGGGAGACGCGTAACATGTACAAATGGGTGTTTCTGACCGTCCTCTTCGGTTTTTTCTACATTTTGCGGTGCGGAATCGAGCGGGTCGACGTGCACAAAATGAAAAGAAAGGACGACACGTGGGTGGAGTACCGCGAACGGCAGTTGGAGAAGACTTCCGAGCAGTTTGGGAACCGCCGCAACAGGGACAAATAGACACCGTTTTTTGTTGAATAAACTGATTTTTATGAAAACAAACCCTGATCAAAATTCCCTGCTGCAATTTTCCGTATTTATTGTTTCTCGTGTGCAGCATGAGTGTTCCGTCGTGTTGAACTTGTTGCACTTCGGCGCAAATCAGCTCGCCCACTTTCAGAAATTCGCTCATTTTCTCCTCGTCTTCGACGTCTTTTCGACGGAAATCACCGCCCGGAAGGAGCACGCTTCCCAGCGGAAGGTTCGCGTGCAGGCGGGATGCCACGTCGCACTGAAAATTTTAAATTATGCTTGAAAACTATTTTTTTGAAAAATTTCCCGCAAACCTTCCATCTTTTCGCCTGAACTTCGATGATCCGGGCGACGACGACGTCTCCGACTTCTCCGGCGTACCTCTGCTTGATCGTTTTGACCATCAGTAGCCGATTGAGCTGCTGAACGACGCCGGAAAGCGAACTGACGATTTCTCCGTCACGAATGTACGTTCCGTGGCCTCTGAAATTGAGAATTTTTCATTTTTCAACGCGAAAATGTACCTCATAAAGTGCTGCGGCGCATCGGAGACCGAGTGTCCGGGAATTACGATTTTCGCTTCGTCGATGTCATTCCGCGCCTCGCTCATCGAAAGCATCATCCATGGCGAGACGAGCGGTGGTCCAGTGATTTCACAACCCATTTTCGAATTTTGCTGCAAAAAAAGCACATTGAAAACTTGTGTCGCCGACGAAAAACGACGATTTTTGACGAAAATGAGAAGCGTTTGCAACGACGCTCCGAAATAACGCCCCCGCGCCCGGTTTATCGTAAATCGACACCGGTTGCCAAACGGCGGAAATTCAAACGATCAAAGTCCTTCGTCAAATTGTGCATGTAAATTTAATCGTTCTCGTCACGGACTTTGACGAAAAAGCCTCAAACTAGTACTAGTGGCTAAAAATAGAAAAAGGGTTAGGTTGTTGTGTGCGTGACGAGACGAAATACCTGTAATTTCTGCTCTGACATCAATAATTTTTGTTTCTTAAGCTTAAGCAGACAGTTTAAAATCTGTTTTAAAAAAAAGCTTCAATCAACTTGTTCCGGCCAAAAATTCTGAAAGTTTCGCTACTTTTTGAGCACAGAAACATTTCGCGTCGAGACCCTTCGCCCTCAAACCGTTCTGCGGCTTTAAACTTCCACCGTATCTCACCCCCGAAAATTCTTGCATTTTCTCACCAAAAATCCTGGAAAATGGGCAGAATGACGCAAAAATCGTCGAATGAATGGGTTCGTTCACTTATTAATGCAATCCCATTCATCAAAATCGCCAGAACTTTCTCACACCTCTGCCGCGGCGCCGACTACCGTACCGCTTTTGTCGCAAAAAAGAATCGGTAATTAATATGTTTGCTGAATTCTATACGCGAAATGGAAATATATATATATATAGCGTTTTTTTCTTTCCCGAGACCTATTCATCAAAAGTGTGAGCAGAAGGAGCCGAAAAGATCTCGCCGACGCCGCCCATTTTTCCCTTTAAAAGAGGCGGCTCGACGGGCGGTGGCCCTCACTTTTGCTTTCTGCTCACGTCTTCCGCACCGCTCACATTTCCGTATTCCTCGAACGTCATGAAGTCTGTGCTTTCCGTCGCCCTCCTCGTCCTCGTCATCGTTCAGTGAGTCTCAAAAGATCGGCGTGGGAAATGCGTTTTTTTTTGTGTCATTGTCTGGTAACTTGATATTTGTATAGCCGACAGAGAGAGTTGAGAGAGAGTTGAGAGGCTTTCGGCGCGGCTTTACTGTAGACAAATCTGGAAAAGTGTATAGAAAAGTGTATACACCTTCCGAATGGCTCGCAAATTTGTTCTCTTTTCTTTCTTCTTTCTCACGCGTCTGAAAATAGATTGGGTATACACTCTTTAGAATTCAAGTTTACGAACTTTGTCCAATAAATTTCCCTATTCGGGGCGGTGGGGGGGGGGGCAAAATTTATGAGTCTGTGTATGTGTGGGTCGAATGACGTGTTGACCCCCTCCCTCCCCCGGGGGACTTGGGGGCGAAATGTATTAGGAATCGCAGTGTCTTGTGATGTGATGGGGTGTGCATCGGAGATCACATTCGTACTAGTTTGGGATTTTTAAAAAAAGTTCCAGATTGATCTCCGCTTCGATGGCTTCTTCCTCTTCGGCGCTAGCCGACGGACAAATCGATTACGACGCACTTGCCGCCAAAATGTGAGCATTTACCGTTACGACACGTCTACTTACTTTCTCCCAATTTCATTTTTTCAGGGAACTGCTGCGCCCGAACCGATACTGGAAACGTGCGCACAACATTGACACGCGGGCTCTGAACCAGTTCAAAAATTGCTATTTCTCGCCGATCCAGTGCGTTCTCATGGAGCGTCGACGTAAATGACCGACAAAATAACAACAGTTTTGTGTGTTTGTGTGTGTGTTTCCGCGAACTTTGCCCAAGTCTTTTGTGTTTTCTCTCTTGAATGAAGAACGTTAAGTTAAGAAGCGCATTCGAATTTTGCTTCACTCTTTAATGTACATACCCAACAAGTTGGGGAGAGGATTGAGAGTGGGTGGACAGGAAATGAGCGGTTACGGACCAGCGGGTATCTAGCGCGCATGTGATTGCTTGTGGGGGGGAGTGGAACAAAATTGGTGTTGGCCCCCCCCACTTTTGGGGACCATTTCACACATCTTTTATGAGGAAGAACAACACGTTTTACTTGAGCATTTAATTTTCCGATCGATCAAAGGTTTTCAATTCAAAATTGTAACGTCGTGCACGGTCTCCAGAGCTGACAATGGGCGCGCAAGTGCGCATTGGCGCGAAATTCAAATTTTAACAGCAAAATTTGTGTTTTTTGCCAGATTAGCCACGAAAAACCGATAATTTCTCATTTGTCTCTCGATCGACCGATTTTATAGGCTATTACGAATTTTTTAAGCGAAAGAGCGTTAAATTTGGTCAAGTTTGAAGGTTTTTCGCTAAAACTGCGTGAATTTCAGTTGCTTTTCGGTAATTTTCGCGGTTCGAGCGCTCAAAATGCTTGTATTTACGTGATTTATCATTCTCAAAACCAATTCTGTCGGAAAACGGTCAAGAAAGCGCAAAATGAAAAGTGCGGTTTTTAGGCGGCGATCGGCGGCGAAGGCGAAAAAGCAAAGTCCGCGAAATCCGCGAAAAATGCGCCAAAATGACATTAATTCTGTGAGAATTAGTGTATTTTCATGTCGAACAATCATTTTTCATCGCCGTTGACCACAAAAATCAGAGAAAACGCCATTTGGCCGAGGCCACGCCCATATTGTCAGCTCTGGAGACCGTGTCGTGTCGCAAACAACATGAAATAAGATGAGATGAAGAAAGCAACGTTTGGTCCCGATTGGCTCACAAGAAAAGCAAGCGGAGGGAATAGATCTCGAGTTTTTCGGTTCGATTCATAAACGTCGACTGATGTTCGCTCCCCACACCACAATACAGACACATTACACCCCCCGTCGCTCGAGAGAGGCGTACCCGTAGCCGCCCGGGAGGCCCGCCTCCTGGTCCCTCTCGCTCACATCCTCTTTTCGCGTGGTCCCGGAGAGCTCGAAACGATGCTCTTCGCGATCGTTTACCTACTTCTCGCATTCGGAGTCACCAATGGATATCTCGAGGACTCGTGGGCCATGTTCTCTTCGGAACGGCCCGCCGGACCGAAATGCGTCGATATTCCGAGCAATTTGAGCATTTGCAATGGGATTGAAGTGAGTTTTTCCGGCGTTTTTTATAGAATCCAATCGATTTTCAGTACTCCCAAATGCGTCTGCCCAACATTTTGGACCACGAGACCGTCTCCGAGGCGATCCACGCGTCAAAAGACTGGGAAAGCCTGCTGCGACTCAACTGCCATCCGGACACACAGGTTTGGACCCCTCTCAAAAAATCAATCGATAATGGGTGAATTGCAGCGATTTCTGTGCTCGTTGTTCGCTCCGGTGTGTCTCATGCAAATGGATCGAGAAATATTGCCGTGCAAGAGTCTGTGTGTCGCTGTGAAGGAGGTAAAACGGTGAAAGACTCTTAGACTGGTGGTGCTAATGAAACATACAATATGCCAAGAGCGTTTCGTCACATCTTGCACAGAGTTTCGTTGCGGTTTCAGGTTTTCCACAAAAAAAAAATGTTTTTGAAAAATGTTTGCCGCTTCGAAAAAGTATGAAATTTGAGGGGAATATTGTTCTGGACTAACGACACTCTCTAATGCCCGGAAAACCCGCAAATTTGCGGGAAATCCGGCGTGCGCACAGCTGAACGAGTGTTACCGTACACCACCATAAAACTACGGTGTATTTTTTGAAAAAATGTAGCCGAGAAATTTGAAAATTTTCAAATTTTTTCAACCCCGCAATTTCCCGCAAATTTCTGCCGACTTTGGACTGCAAAATCCGCACTTCAGGGCTGTGAAAACCGAATGGCCAACTACGGTTTTCCGTGGCCAGAGATGCTGTCTTGCGAAAAGTTCGAGGACGACGACATGTGCATCAAGCCGATGCAACCGGCAAAACCACCAGCAGGTTTGTAATGAGAGCATATATCTCGGCTGTGGGTGGAGATATCAAAAAGTGGTCAACTGATAAAATGTTCATTATAAAATTGTCTACATTTTATCAGTTGACAACTTTTTGCTATCTCCAAGGAGAGCTGAGATAGATGGCGCCGTTTACATAGCGACCTATCAGTTCGCTATCCAATCCATCATTTCCTTCTTTTCTCACACTTCATCCATCATTTATCGGGCGCCTCGGCGCGGCTAATCAGTCAAAGTCTCACGGACACTTCAAAGGAATACCGCCGAGCGCTCCGCTTATCACCCGCCACCAACTAAACACTCTTTTTTGAGGGATTTTGGTCGATAATCCGATTCAGTTGTTAGAAATTTTGCCGAACTACGCCTGTTTTGAAGAAAAGTCACATGTAGACAAGTTGAAACCGACATTTTTTGATTTACGCAACGCCGAACACGTCATTTGAATTTTTGCGTTACTATTTCAGCGCTTGGCGGGTGTCTGTAAGAGTCATGATGGTTCTTGTGAGCGGTTTGAAACGTTTTGCCGCCGGCGGTTGCCCCCGGGCACGGCTCAAATTACTTGCGTATTACAGTAATGTGAGGAAGCGCAGCGCGCAACAAACTGAGCGCGAGCGAGCGAAGAAAAAGTATTCGATTTCAGGTGCGGTACCGCCGTGCTCCGCGTGCTCGCAAGTCGCCACCTACGAGAACCTCGTCGATCAGTTCTGCAGATCGCATTTGGGTGAGATCGGGGACACTTGTGAAACGTCACACTTTAGTAACACTCGCCCGCTTTTTTTTGGCGCGAATTTTAGATTCGAAACTGAATACGATGCAACGAACAGAGAGAACAGAGATTAAACGGTGCAAGGAGGTTGGCACTGTGCCAAGAAATGCTGTTTTATCGATGCGCGCCACGGCGACCAAAAGTTTAGAAAGGGGCGTGGCCTAATCTGAGACGCGTTTTCTGAAAATTGCCGCATTTTCAGCACACTTTTCCTATGTTTTTGTGTTTGATATCGACGTAAGCACGGTCTCCAGAGCTGACAATATGGGCGTGGCCTCGGCGGCCAAATGGCGTTTTCTCTGATTTTTGGGTGGTCAACGGCGATGAAAAATGAGTGTTCGACATGAAAATACACTAATTCTCACAGAATTAATGACGTTTTGGCGCATTTTTCGCAGATTTCGCTTTTTCGAAAAAAAAAAATTTTTCCAAAAAACCGCACTTTTCATTTTGCGCTTTCTTGACCGTTTTCGGACAGAATTGGTTTTGAGAATGATAAATCACGTAAATACAAGCATTTTGAGCGCTCGAACCGCGAAAACTACCGAAAAGCAACTGAAATTCACGCAGTTTTAGCCAAAAACCTTCAAACTTGACCAAATTTGACGCTCTTTCGCTTAAAAAATTCGTATTCGCCTATAAAATCGGTCGATCGAGAGAAAAATGAGAAATTATCGATTTTTCGTGGCTAATCTCTCGAAAAACACAAATTTTGCTGTTAAAATTTGAATTTCGCGCCAATCAATGTATCGCCCCATTGTCAGCTCTGGAGAGATGGTTATAAACGTTGTGAAAGTGTAAGTTTTCAACGGAAAAGGTGTTCAAACATGTTTTTGGCCGTTTTTCATCTTGAAAATCAGAATCCGGGCCGTCGCGTTTCTAATCCATAACTATTGTAAAATCATGTGTGCCATCGTGGTTCTTTTTAGTTTATTTGGGTTGAACGAGCGTTGATTTTTACAGTGATGAAAGGAAAAGTGACACAAATCTCGTCGACGCACATTTCGGTTCGAAACGGACGAAGTCTGAAGAAGGGCGATCGGAGGAGGAGCGTTCCCGAGACTGGTCAGCTAAAAAAAAACGCTTTTTGGAACAGTAAAGAGCAGGCAAAAACTATACTGTTTCTTCAAGACAATATATCTCAGCTGGGCGTGGAGATATCAACAAGTTGTCAACTAGCAAATTGTTCGTCTAGACATGATGTACATTTCATCAGTTGGCAACTTTTTAATAACTCTACAAACAGCCGAGATACATTGCCATAAAAAACCGTTCCATTTTCCAGAAATCCTTCTATCCGCCGAGTCGACCGGTTGTCCGTGCAATGTTTCGTCAAAAGCGAAAAACGAAAAGTTGTTGGTTATGGCGAGCCGGCAGCCCGACGGAAAGTACCTGGCCAACCTAGTTTTGCCGTGGAAAAAAGACAAGGTACGTTCGAATCGTTCCCCCAAAAACCGATCCGATTGTATCAGAACTTCAAACGTGCGGTCCACCAGTTCCAACGTCTCAACTGTCAATCTCTGGGCCGTGAGATCCGTGAATCGGCGTCCCGTCGTCCGCATTATTACGAAATGAGACGCCACAATACCGGAAGATTCCAGTTGTTCTGATCCGTTTTTTTCCACCGCCCCCCAAATTGAGCTTTTTCATTGATTTAATCCTATTTTCGTTTAATTTCACTGGTCTTTTTTGGTTTTATTTTGATTAAATAAACGACTGCATGCATTTGAATTAGTCAGAGGAGTTGTGTCACTAAAAAATGTGATCAAGCTACTTGTACGTACCACTGAACAGATCGATAAAAGTTACTTAAAATCCTTCATCTTCAAACCGTTTTATCTCAAGATCCTGTGACTTTTTCAAAAAGTGATCAACTGAAAAGTTGTAGCAAATTTTGTGCTTAACAACTTTGTAATTGATCATTTTATCCCTAAACCAGTCATTCTCCAGTTATAGTCGAATTTCTAAACAGTGTCCACTAGAACATGCGATTTGTTAGTGTCTTTGAGGCTCCAAATTGTGTCCTAATTACGAATGGGCTAATCAAATGGTGCAACTGACTATGAACATTTTCGTAAATTATCATGACTTTTTGAAAGAGTAACTATTTTTAATGTTTTGTGTCCGCCGTTTCGCTTCTCTTCTCCGAAAAACGCCTGACCTCCAATTATGTGCAAAAGAGGAAGAAGAAGAAGAATGCGGAGCTCCAGACTCTGGCCTTTTGTCTTCGAAATGACGCGGACTCTGCAAATAATTATGAGCTCCCTCTCTCTCTCTCTTTTTTCTCCTCTTCCTTCAAATTTCTGCTTCCTCTTAAACCGAGCTGAAATTGGTTTTTTTTCCGGTCATCTTTGTGTGCGTACAATGCGTTTTTTTTTGCCTTATCACAACCGTATACGTCCATTTCTCAGTTTTCCAAATTTTCATTCGGATTTGAGCAAGATTACAGTTTGCACATTAGAATGACCCGCCAAAAATGGTATCAAAATGATATCACGGTTTCGAGAAAGACTGAAGAAAACCACTAGGTTCCGTTGTTTCTTACTATACAAAGAGCAAGAAGGAAAAAAAATTTTCTCACGGAAGACGGAAGACGGAAGAAAACTTTTTTCCCGGAAGACGGAAGACGGAAGAAAATTTTTCTCACGGAAGACGGAAAACGGAAGAAAATTTTTTTCCCGGAAGACGGAAGACGGAAGAAAATTTTTTTTTCCGGAAGACGGAAGACGGAAGAAAATTTTTTTCCCGGAAGACGGAAGACGGAAGAAAATTTTTTTTCCGGAAGACGGAAGACGGAAAAACACTTTTTTCCCGGAAGACGGAAGACGGAAGAAAATTTTTTTCCCGGAAGACGGAAGACGGAAGAAAAAAGCGTCAATACAGAACCTTTTTCTCCGGTTTTTTGGAAAAAAATAACTAAACAACAAAAATTTTGGATCTGGGTCACTGCCCGTGGAAATTCGCGTTCTTCGGGGCTAGTAAATGGCTTCTGAAAAGCTATTACTCTTTTACGGTAAGAAAAAAAAATCCCGGAAGACGGAAGACGGAAGACGGAATTCCGCTCAACACTGGTGTGGAGCCAGTGATATGCTCAGTTGTGTTGTCCATCCAAACGTCTTTTAATAATTTATCTTGAAAGCCTCCCCCCTCACTCCGCCTCGCCGTCTCATGCAAAAACAGAAAGAGATCCGGGGCTCTTGACGTCGGCGTCTTTCTTCTCTCTCTCTCTCTCTCTCTCTCTCTCTTGTCGCCCTCTCCGTTTTCCGTTTTCATCACCACCATCTCATCATCATCATCATCGAAAAGAAGATGCTCATGGAGCACAAGGATACATACACAAGAATGCTGTGGGAGAGAAAGAGGGAGAAGAAGAAGAAGAAGAAGAAGAAGATATCTTTGTGTGTCTCACTCTCCCGAAGCATCATCTCTCCGATTCGCCCCGTTTCCTTGAATTTCCATGCTTTTCGAGCATCGAAACCCTTTACGATCCATCTATAAAATTGCACTTTCTGACTTTGATTTTCTCTAGAAGATTCCCTATGCCAAAAAGCGGACGGTAGCTTTTGAAATCACCAAAAATTCCCAAAAAAAAAAAAAACGTTTCTGTTTCAAATTCCTTGCATAATCTTATCAAGTTTGGAACTTCACTAATAGCAACAATTAGTTGGCGCTTCCTCAACGATTTCCGGTGTTTTGACATCTCATCGCGATGTCTGTCGTACAATATTCTGTTTCTGTTTCAAAACCTACACAAGTCTTCTCTTCACTTGTTCAGTTTCATGATAGTATCAAAATGTTCCACCTCAAACCACTCTTCTTCATCTCGGCCGCACATTGTTGTAATGCTCTCGGATAGATATACGCATTGAAACTTGATCGTCGGCCGATCTTTTCCTCTTTTTCACCTCTTTTCACTCGTGAAGAACACCTGCTCGGGATGAAAACGCGAGTTTCTACGAACAACCGAAATGTTTCGTTGAAGAGTTCGGTTTGTTCGAAAATCGTTCAATACTCAGCTCTCGATAGAGATATCAAAATGTTGTCAACTGACCAAATGTACAAAATTTCGTGATGAACATTTTACTAGTTGACACCTTTTTGATATCTCCACCGACAGATGAGTTATATCGGTTTGAATGAACACTGGTTTTCGAATTCCCAGGCGCCCGTTTCAACAAGTTTACGAATAATTTGAACACTTCATCGTTGTGATCACAATTTTTTTTGAGACTTTGTTTTCCTTTTCAAGAAGTTAGTCAATTTTTGCTCAAGAATTGACCAAATGCTCCCCCTCCTCATTCGTCTAAAAGCCCATCCTACTCATCCATCCATCCTCTGCTCCTTTTCCGAACAAAAAAGTGTTGATGATGATGTGTGTGTGTGTATGGTGTGAAAAGAAGAAAAGGAAAGGAAAGGAGAGAAAGAGAGAGTCCCTTTTCTGAATGAATATAGAATTAATTACTGGAAGAAGAAGGAGAGGAGCTCTTCTTTTTTCGCTTTTCCCACTCGTTTTTGTGCTGGAAACGGGGCTCTCCGCGAGCTTCCAAGTACTCATGTTCGTCGCCAAAACTCACTTTAAACTTTTTTCCACTTTTTTTTTGTTGTTCGAAACGAGCTCTCAGTAATGAGAAACACCATCTTTTTGCCCTCTTTTTTCCATTCCTCTTCCTATTTATTTATGCCCCGCCGGGATGACGTCGAGGAATTTCAAATTTTGTAAAAAAAAAGAAAGCCTGACTACATTTTAATGTTCTGTTGGCTTCTGGCTCTTCAAATTTAGGAAATTCACACAGTTTCAGGTCAATAAATGAGCATTTTGAAGCGTTAGTGCCAAAAAATCAAAATTTCAAATCAAAAAATCACATTTTTTCCCCAAAAAATCAAAAAAAGAAGCGAACGCCGGGAATATCCTCGTCCTGGGAGCTGCGGCGAACGGTGTCGCGGGTGGCGCAGTGGTTGAGCTATAGTTTACCAATCCGTCCGTTTTGGTTCGATGCCCCCCCCCTTTTTGTATTCTCTAAAATTCCAATTGGCCCGTTGGAAAACTTGTCACTAATCTTGCCCTTTTCATTACAAATCACAAATCCCTCCACTAATCGCCTCTATTCTTCCCCTTTATCCTATTATCCCTATCATCACAAGACCGCTCCCAACTTTTTGTTATTTTGCTCGTCACTTATCATAAATATCACGTTCTCCTCCCGCTAAAAATGGTTTCCATGGTGATTTGCGCGAGTTTTCACCTGCCGCTGGCTGTTTTACACGGATTTTCAGTTTCACACAAGACACATAAAAAGGCGACGTTTCTCTAAAAAATATTAATGCTAAGAAGTCATTTGATGCACTAGCTTTTCTGCTTCAAAATGTCAGACAAGTAGGTCTAGAACTCTTGAAAATAGGTTAAAAACATGTACAGTTTCAACACCATTTGAATATTAGCAACATGCAGTAGGTTTCAGTTTTGTTTTGTTTTTCTAAAGCTTCAAATCGAAAAGTTCGGTTTCAAAACATTGCAAATACTTGTTAATCAAGGTATCGATTGATAGTCGATAGACAAAAAATCTATAAGTTTAGTTCCACCAACGAATTCTGAAGATGTTCGATCCTTCTTCTGACAACCCTTTATCCGTATATTTTCGATATTATATAAATAAGTCTGTGGCTCTCGCGTTTCCGCATATTTTCTCGCCGCCACAAACACAAATCTGCTCGCTTTCCGGTGATTATCCCCCCCTCTTTTTTTTTCGCTCGGAGTCTCGTAGTCAGGAGTCGTTTTCCGCCGTTTTCATCATTGGCTTTCCTATTTATAGTCGTGCGCCAAGCTCGATTTCAAGCCTCTAGAAAACTTTACAGTTTCGTCTAGCTTAAAATATATCTCTAAAAAACTTACTCAATTTCGTTCATTTTCTCTCTCAAAAATTGGCTCAATTAACGATGAGTGGAGGGGTGAAATGGGGAAGTGAAAATGAGAAATCGGATCGGGGTGGGAAAGTTTGTTGGGTTCATAATGGCTGAAAGTTGTCTCCGAGAGGGCCGTGGAGTTGAACTTTCGAGAGATTTCAACTTGCCCGCACTACAGCGCTCGCTTTTTGACACATTTACAATATCCCGATCGGGCCCAAACTTTGCCGGCTTTTTGGGCTTCGATTGAATTGTTTTGGGTCCAAGTTTCATATCGATCCGATCATCTGGTCCCGAGATATACTGTGTTGAAGCGAAAAGTGCATATATCTCGGGACTAGATGATCCGATGGGTCTACAACTCGGGCCCACGACACTTCAATCCAACTCCAAAAAGCCTGCAAAGTTTAGGCCCGATCGAAAAAGGTCCAACTGGGTCAAAAGTTGAGACCTGCGCCGGCCTTTTGCCCCCCACACTAGTAATTGTGTAAATGCGCATGAATTTCTACACAGACATGCTTCTGACAACGTTTTTATATCAAAAATCGATAAAATCACGCTAAGACGCAAAAATTTCAATGAAAACAGCAATTTTCCGACAAAACACTAAAAAATCGATAATTTCTTCAACATATTTTTTTTGCTGTTTCACGATTTCAGATACTCTCAACTTAATCTGCGCCAGTTTGGTAATGACAACACGTGTTAACACGAAATGAATTTTTCTTCGAAAAACACTGTATACTTTAAAGGCGCACAGCAAAAGTTGTCGGCGCGGGTCTCGCAGCGATTTACGGTTTCGATCAATTGTGCAGCACTATTCCGTTCGAATAAAACGGAAATTTGTCGAGTTTTTGAAACACGTAAAACCCTTCGCATCGGAATATTCCGCATCTTATTCTTTCTGCTCTTTTTGCTCCAAATCCAATCCTCTGTGCTCTCTTCATGTGCTCTCACACACACACACAAAATTGAATATCGAGTTTCACGTATTCCCCACCCCTCCGGCCCCGCGACTTTTCGCTATCCAATTTTTGCCTCTTCTATCTTTGTCTACCTCGTTTTTTTTTGTTCGCGACGACTGACGTCTTCTGACGTCTTCTGAAGGCTGACGGCCGAAGAAACGCATGTACATGTTGAAATTGGATAAGAGAGAAAAGTGTGAAATTGGAAATGTAACACTTTCCGTCCCATTTACAAACCCTATCCATCTTGCCTCTTTTCGACGCCTTCTTGTCGTCTTCGCCCCTCGTTTACGGGTAATTTGAGCCTCCGCCCGCTCACCGAGCCCCGTTTTTGCGCCGCTGAGCACCCGAGCACAAAATTGAATTGTTGTTTTTTTTTGTCGGAAAAGTGAACAGCACTTTCACTTTGTTTCAGACGTCATCCGAGCACTCTCACTATTTTTTACTCTTTTTTGGCGCAAGCAAAATTGTATGTATTGTTCCTTTTGAAACCGATCGATACGTGTAGAGCTCGTGAAACCGTAACCTTCAAATTTTTTGTGTTTCACTACCGTCCCTTGAAAACTACAATTGTCACAATTAGCACTTTAAAAATGCAACTCGAGAGACGAATTGTATTTTCAGCATTTCCGCCTTCTCCACCCGTAATATCCCCGCAAAAAGAGGACATAATTGCCCTCGATTCTCGTCATAAGGATCAGTTCGAAATCGAAGGATGGCTTCGGTGGCGGCGTGGCTTCCGTTCGCACGAGCCGCCGCAATCGGATGGGTTCCCATCTCGAGACAGCCGATGCCACAGGCACCCGTCGCCATTCAGGTCTGTATCTCGCCTCTGGATGGAGATATCGAAAAGGTGTCAACTAAGAAAATGTTTGTCAAGAAATTCTGTACATTTTATCAGTTGACAACTTTTTGATATCTCTACACAGCGTTGTGATATACTGTCTTAAACAAATGGTATGGACACATCGTTCACTGTTCATACATCAAAAAGCGTTTAGAAACATTTATGAGAATAAGAAAGTGTGGTCCCTAGAGTAACTGAAATTCGATAGCCATGGACATGACATGAGTTGGGAAAGAATGTTCAAAAAAGAAAAGAGTACAATTTACAGGCCAAAGACCTCGCGGTGGACCACGTTTCGGACGAGAAGCTGGCGATCAACATATCGGGACGGCGGTTCGAGACGTGGAAGAATACGCTGGAGAAGTTTCCGGAAACGCTTCTCGGATCGAACGAGAAGGAGTTTTTCTACGATGAAGACACCGGAGAGTACTTTTTCGACCGCGATCCCGATATATTCCGCCACATTTTGACGTTTTATAGGACCGGAAAACTTCATGTAAGTGTGACTGCGCCACGGTCTCCAGAGCTGACAATGTGCGCGAAATTCAAATTTTAACAGCAGAATTGGTGTTTTTTGCCAGATTAACCACGAAAAACCGATAATTTCTCATTTGTCTCTCGATAGACCGATTATATAGGCTATTACGAAATTTTTAAGCGCAAGAGCGTTAAATTTGGTCAAGTTTGAAGGTTTTTCGCTAAAACTGCGTGAATTTCAGTTGCTTTTCGGTAGTTTTCGCGGTTCGAGCGCTCAAAATGCTTGTATTTACGTGATTTATCATTTTCAAAACCAATTCTGTCTGAAAACGGTCAAGAAAGCGCAAAATGAGAAGTGCGGGTTTTAGGAAAAAAAAAACAAAATTTCGAAAAAGCGAAATCCACGAAAAATGCGCCAAAACGTCTATAATTCTGAGAATTAGTGTGTTTTCATGTCGAACAATCATTTTTCATCGCCGTTGACCACAAAAATCAGAGAAAACCTGCTCAATTCATGAAAACGCCATTTGGCCGCCGAGGCCACGCCCATATTGTGAGCTCTGGCGCTGAAATAATAATAATCAATAATAATCTCAAAACGTTCCATAAATCTCATGCTTTACGGTTTCAAAAAGTTATGAGGCTATTCAGGCTGTAAAAAAAAAATGATTTTTTTCCGTTTTTTTTCGTTTTTTTACGTCAAAAAATCCAAAAAAAACGGAAAAAAATTATCAACCTTTTGAAACGCAGACTCAATAATTCCAGTACCCCCGCCACGAATGCCTCGTCGCCTACGACGAAGAGCTCTCGTTCTTCGGCATAATGCCCGACCTGATCTCCGACTGCTGCTACGAGGACTACAAGGACAAAAAGAGGGAAAATCAGGAGAGACTGCTCGAGGAGCGCGTCGAGACCGCCGAGTTGAACACCGCCAAACTGAGTGTGCAGGAGAAGATGTGGGCGGCGTTCGAGAACCCGCACACCTCGTCGATCGCCCTCGTTTTCTACTACGTCACCGGCTTCTTCATCGCCGTCTCGGTTCTGTGCAATATCGTCGAGACGATTCCGTGCTGGTATCAGGATAATATGGCGGTGACGTGCGGAGAGGCCTACGAAGAGCAGTTTTTCGTCGTCGACACCGCCTGTGTCATCATTTTCTCCATCGAGTACTTTTTACGCTTGTTCGCCGCGCCGGATCGATGGAAATTCATGAGGTACGAGATACTTGAAATAGTAATCTAGTATTATAGGGGCACCGGACAGAAAGGGCGCGCTATTGAGAAGAGCCCGCGAAAACCTGGGGGACTCTAAATTTGAATGATGTGAGAAGAGAAAGTTAGTCCGCGGCCACGTAGGCTGCTGCAGAAATTTTTGTTTTCCTTCTGTTTTTCGTTGTCTTTTTAATAAATCGATTGTGTTCTCACCTTTTTCGTAGTGAATTTAATTAATTGTTTCTTTTTCATGTTCGAAATATGCGTTTCTAAACAGATTCAATCAACAGTTTGCGGAAAATAAGAGAAAACATTGACGACGTGCACCATTTTTCGACTGCGATAGCTTTTTATAGAAATTCTATACATGAAAAAGAAAAAATTAATTAAATTCACTACGAAAAAGGTGAGAACACAATCGATTTATTAAAAAGACAACGAAAAACAGAAGGAAAACAAAAATTTCTGCAGCAGCCTACGTGGCCGCGGACTAACTTTCTCTTCTCACACCATTCAAATTTAGAGTCCCCCAGGTTTTCGCGGGCTCTTCTCAATAGCGCGCCCTTTCTGTCCGGTGCCCCTATAATAGTTCATGACTCATGATTGAGTTTCAGGTCGATAATGAGTGTGATCGACGTGATCGCCATAATGCCCTACTACATTGGTTTGATATTGACGAACAACAAGGATGTGTCCGGACTTTTTGTCACTTTACGAGTCTTTGTAAGCTCTTTTTCATGAGCGCACGCTCATTTGATGGCTTTCAGCGCGTCTTCCGAATATTCAAATTCTCGCGTCACTCGCAAGGCCTTCGAATCCTCGGATACACGCTCAAATCGTGCGCCTCCGAACTCGGATTCCTCGTCTTTTCGCTCGCAATGGCCATCATCATTTTTGCGACAATTATGTACTATGCGGAGAAAAAAGTCGAAGCCACTCGGTTCACTTCGATTCCATCGGCCTTCTGGTACACCATCGTCACGGTTAGTTGTTGTGACTTATCTTCAAAACAATATATCTCAGCTGCCGATGGAGATAGCAAAAAGTTGTCAACTAACAAAATATTCATTAGGAAATTGTGAACATTTTATCAGTTGACAACTTTTTGATATCTTTACTGACAGCTGAGATACGTACTAGTTTTTGAAGAACGAATGGAAACATTAGCTCACTGACATACGAATGTCAAAACGTCTTCTAGAAACGGTGTATTCTTTAGCTAACCACGCTCGGCTACGGAGACATGGTCCCATCGACCATAATGGGCAAAATAGTCGGCGGAATCTGCTCGCTGTCCGGAGTGCTCGTCATCGCGCTCCCGGTGCCCTGTGATCGTGTCCAACTTCTCGCGAATCTATCATCAGAATCAGAGAGCCGACAAACGACGCGCGCAAAAGGTATCGCCTTGGATTTTTCGCGCACTTTTGTGAATCGGACAATATCTTTACAGAAAGCCCGGCTGGCTCGCATTCGAATAGTGAAAAACGCCTCCGGACAAGCGTTGTTCAACAAGAAAAAGGCGCATGAAGCGAGAATGCAGGCTTTCGAACAGGGTGAGTTTTTGGTTTCACGCGCTATAGTAGGATTAGGAGAGGGGCTACGCAAAAGTTGTCAACTGCAAAAATGAAGTTCTAGGTGTCGAGATAACGGTCAAAAATTTCTAGAGCAATCTGATCACTTCTAACTGTTATATGGTCCCTCAAAGTTGACCCAACGCATTCTTTGCAGGTCACCTCTCGTTCGACGCTCTCCGAGACGAGGACATCTTTGAAATCCAGCACCATCACCTCCTACAATGCCTCGAAAAAGCGACGGAACGGGAGTTTGTGGAGTCGGAAGTGCTTTTCGAGGGCGGCCGGAATACGCCTCCGCCGAGCGAGACCGCCTCACTTCGCGGAAAAGCGAAACGGAAACGGAGATTGTGAGTTTTCAGATGTATTTTTTCAGTTGTCAATGCTTTTTGAATTCAGATGTTGTGTATCAAAAGAGAATGAAGAAATGGATGAGTTGGATCGAGAGACTCGCGTCACTTTCAATCAGAACTTGAATCAGGTACATAATCGCTTGTATCTCAGCTGCCCATAGAGATAGAAAAACGTTGTCAACTAACAAAATGTTCATCAAAAAATTCTGTACATTTTATCAGTTGACCACTTTTTGATATCTCCACCCCCCGCTGAGATATATATACCAAAAGTTGATATTGTAGATCTGCGAGCCGAAGCCTGACGAATTGGAACAGAATGACCATCGAAACGACAAAATCTGTGTGTCCCAACTTTGAAACCTCATTTTCCTCGTCTCTTCTCATAAAACCACGGGTCCAATGACTTTTTCGTAGACTTCCCATCGGTTTGTGCCCATTTTCCAACGAACTGTTCCCTTTTCCCCTCGTTTTTTTGTCTATTTCCCCTTCCATATCGCTCTCCGTCTTCATTTTCGCCGATTAGGAGCCTCTACAACAATTCTTTCGGTCTTTCAGCTCGAACTTTTAGTCTCTCTCTCTCTCTCTCCTTTAATGAACTTTATTTATTATTATTATTATTATTACATAAAAAAAATCACCCGAACAGCCAAACAAATCACACATTGTCCGCTCGCTCGCCACGAACGTTATTTGAGAATGGATCGCGCATCTGAAAGCGAATTAAATACAATATTTGCATAGAAAAATCGTTGTACTTACCAAAGTGACGTTATCCGCTTTGGAAGTGGCCGAATAGGCGTAGACATTAGTGGCTGCGGCCCGCTAGTTGTCACGTAGCACGGACGGAATTGGAGGATCTAGAACGTGTATATCTCAGCTGGGAGTGGAGATATGAAAAAGTTGTCAACTGATAAAATGCACACAATTTCCTAATGAATATTTTGTTAGTTGACAACTTTTTGATATCTCTACCCCGAGTTTAGATATAACGATTTGAAAAAAAAACGGTAAGTTTTGCAAAGAACACCGCTTCACTAATCGGTTATCTCAACTGTTTTCGAGCCCTTTTCAATTTGGTTGACGTTGTTATTCTCAAACCTACCATCGACTGAAGAGCATTCCGGAATGACTCGTTGACCAACGCATAGACAATCGGATTGACGCACGTCGACGAGATTCCCACCAAATGGCAAAAAATGTACCTGCAAAAAAAGCATTGGAATCGAAGAAAATCGATCGGGGCGCGAACTCACATATTCTGCGAGTAGTTGATAATCTCCAATCCATTGAGCACATGATACACGTTCATAGGCGCCCAGCAGACGGCATAAGTGAGCACGAGCAGGAAAAGGAGCAGAAGAGCGCGTCGGGACCGATTCTGCATGTGCATCCGACGCGTAATGTCCACCGTCCGTGACACTTTCGATCGTTTCTGGATTGTGGAGCCGATTTGGAAGTAGGCGAAGGCGAGCGCGGCGAGCGGCAGGATGTATTGGATGCCGAGCACGACGAACGTGTACGTCGTCTTCGAGACGATCGCGTCGTCCCAGTGCTCTTGCATTTCGGCGCAGATTTCGGGCGTTTGACGGCCGCAGTAGGTGAGCTGAAATGAGAGATCACTTTCAAAAGTCTTGAAGGTAATATTTTTGAAGCGACGCCGTATGATTTGGAACTCGCAAACCGAATCGAATGTTAGATTTTGAGAAAACTGAACGCGAGCTTCTAAACTCTCAGAAACCGAAAACCTCACGGTCTCCCTCGGCGCGAATGATTTCAATGGGGCGCACTTGCAACAGGCGGGCTGTGTCGATTTACGCGGCGGCCGATTAATTAATTTTCAACGGGAGTTCGCGTTCTTTCCATGTTTTCTGTACAATACACGTATTTTTTTGTGCGCCTGGAACCTGGATTTGAATAATTAGAGCACTAGCTACGTTTTGGTAACAGAAATCTCGCATATCGTTGAGAATTTGAAGGTTTTGGCCTGGACTTTGATGTTTTTCGAATAGTTTTCGAAAACTGCTCAACAAAACTAAGCGCCGAAACCTGAATTTTGTGAAGAAAGATTCAGCGAACATTTTTATCGTGCGTTGGGCTCATAAAATGCAAAATGAGCTGAAATATAAAGGTTTGAAGTTTTGACGAAATGCGAAAAAGACGCTAAAAAATAACGGTTTCCAATCGGTAAAATATTGTTTACTAGACGTTTTTCAAGTCAAAAAGAAAGAAATAAAGGTCGTAAACTCGAATTGAACTGCATTTTTAGACCTGCAAATTTTCAAAAGTTACAACGACACTCCGCAATTTACGAGCGCACTGTGTTTAGCATTAGCGCCCCCTGGGAGACCGTGGTGCGTCGTATGATTTTGAGCTCGCAAGCCTAATCTAATGTTCGATTTTGAGAAAATTTAACGCGAGCTTCTAAACTCTCAGAAACCGAAAACCTTACCATTTTAGGAGTGGCTCTATCACTCCACGGATCGAACGGAGCCAATTTGGAGCTGACTGCAAGAGCGTAGGGAAGAGCGACGAGGATCGAGATGATCCAGACGAAGAGGTAGCAGAGGAGGGGCGCAGTGGCCGCCAATCGCCATCGCACCGGGCACAACGTGAGCAGAACACGGTCCATTGCGATGAAGGCGAGGGTGAGCGAGGAGACGAATGTGTTGACGGCTTGTACGCCGGCTAGCTGCAACATTTCGCCTTTTTTGTGTCGAACATCGACTAAGGAAACCAATGGAACTCTTGACGAAAGTTTTTGAATGATTTCAGGCGTCAGAAAACTCACAAATTTGCACGACCAATCTCCGAACGGCCAAAACAGATTGAGACTTGTGTAAAGGGTGACGGGAGCGGTCACGACGCACAGAATCAGATCCGAAAACGCCAAATTCACTATGAAACTGAAATTGCGCTCATTTCTCTCTTTCGGCTGTCAGTGTAAGCGTACCTGTTCCTCAAATTTCTCAAATTGGCGGTTCTTGCGAACGCGAGCAGGACGATGAAGTTGGCGAGCGCGCCGAAAGAGCACACGAGCCCGTACATTGGCACGATGGGCGAACCGTCAAAGTTGATTTTGTAGAGACTGTTCTGGAAAAGCGAAAGTTTCTTTTTTAGAGCCTCAAAACGACCGTTCGTGTTTCATACAGTCGATAGAGCAAAACTAGTTGTTTCGTTTGCAATACTTTCAAACAAATACCTGATAAGTCTGCATTTCGGCAAACCACTCGCAATGTATTTCGGTCCATTGGCCCGTCGAGTTTGGCGGTTGCATTCTGCAAACTTTTTATTGCTTTTCTTTCCTTTTTGCGATGTAAAACAACAAGAAATATGAGAGGAAACGTGTCTAGACACTTGAGAAATGGTCCTTATCGATCTTTTCAATTCCATTTTCGTTCAAATATTCAAAATCATTGAAAATGCTTGCGTTTGCTTTGGAGAATTCCCCCTATTTCCCATTTTTTATTCATCATTCATTGCGCGATGAAGTTCCTGGTAGAACACATTCAGTTGAACACTGATGCCTTCAATTTCACGTGTCACATTTCAATTCCAATTTCATTTCGTGTGTCCCGAAACATTAAACCCTGGAAAGCCGTAAAGAATGGAATTCGGATGGCATTCTCCTGGATGAATGTATAATGTTCATTAGAGGATATCATCGGAGGATTTGAACGTTCTAGACCAACGAGTGACGTCTACACACTTTTACAGATTACAGTTTTACTGACTCTTACAAGTGAATTCTCTGGCTTCAGAAACTAAAGAAATCAGAACTCAAAAACTGTAATATTTTTGGGACGAGCAGAAATGGTGCAGCTGCACGACGACCAAAAACAGTGGCCTAGCGTGCACGGTTTACTCTGGAAACTCGATTGCAATCTAATAAGAAAAAGCTCTATTTCGCAATCTAATCAGATTTAATGAAAGTTCCAGTAAAATCGTATTAGATTACAATATATTTTTTTCTTAATTGCAATCTAATTAAAAAACATTGCAATCTAATTAGAAAACATTGCAATCTAATTAGAAAACATTGCAATCTAATTAGAAAAATTGCAGTGATTGCAATCTAATTAGAAGATTTTGCAATCTAATTGAAGCAAATTCTATTTCAAACGAGTTCGTATTAGATTGCAAAGTTTTCTAATTAGATTGCGATCGAGTTCCCAGAGTATCACCATTTTGGCGCGAAATTCGAAATTTAACCCCATTTTTCATGTTTTTCGTCAAAAATTACACAAATTTTGTACGGGTTTCGACGATGTAATTGCATAATAACTTTGTTAAACTAATCATCGCGCACTTTTTGAGCTTTAAACGAGCAAGTTTCATTCAGAAATGAATCGATTGAATCGATTTTCAAGTTTTGTGCTGAAAATGCGCGAATTTCAGTCGTTCGCCGATACTTTTTGCCGTTTGAACGCTTAAAATACTTGTATTAACGTGCTTAATCACTTCCGACACTCACTTCGTCTCAAAACTATCCACATCGGCCGCGGTATGAAAATTCCGAATTGCGAAATATGCCAAAAACGTCTCAAACGCGGCGGCGTTTTCACGAAAATTTCAATGTTTTCTCTCTTTAATGTGCTCTTCTTTCGTCGATATCAAACATAAAAATAACGGAAAAGTGCTGGAATTGCGGCAATTTTCAGAAAACGCGTCTCAGATTCAGAGGCCACGCCCCCTTTCTACACTTTTGGTCGTCGCCGTGTGCAAAGCACAAACCAAACCACAAAGAGCTAGCAGAAAACATAAACACATGATGGCCAACTAGTCGGGTTTTCATAAAAAATGCATTCCATCAGTGTCTTCTTCCAGTCGGTTTTCAGAGAAAACATAAATCTTGCGGATCGATTGTTAATGCCCGAATAAGGAAGTGATGATGCAGGAAGGAAGATTGAGAAGAAGATCGAATCGAATTGAATTCAGGCGGCAGAATGATGAATCGGCTTTGCGCTTTTTACGAGTCGAATTGACAAGGACGAAGAAATTAAATTAGAAATGAAAAAAAAGGAGGAGAGGTCAACTGGAAACATGCTCCGTTTCGAGCATTTCTTTTTTGTCAAGGAAGGACAATAACTTGAGCAGGAAGTAGAACAGAGAACGTTGTTTTCGAGTTTGGAAATTATGTAGTAGAACTGCTAGTTTCTATTTGTTCATTCCCTGATTGAACATCACTAAAACCGTTTTGGTCCGCTAGACATGGCGCCAGAAACTGTAATTTTGTTTGAGAGTGAAGAAAAAAAGATTGGTCATTAAGTTTTTGTCGAAACTTGACAAGATTGTGAAACACAAAAAGTGAGCGTACACTCGGAAATACACAGAAAAGCGGGTAGAATGAAGGTAATCGAGGCGGAAGGAGAGATTCAATTGAATTCCGGGGATGATCAAAAGAGTTGAATGGCTCTGATGAGCGTATTTTTTGCGCGGTTTTTTTTCCCTGTAAAAAAGATACCAGGAAGGAACAAACGCGTACGTTTTCGGTAATGGCTAATTCGATTTTCCGCAAAAATTAGTAAAAAAAAAAGGAATCCTCGTACTCTGCAATTCCCGCCTCATTTCCTTCCTTGTTTCCGTGCTCGTGCTTGTGCTCAGTTAGTCACACTCGCCCGCGTTTTTTTGGCGGGAATTTTAGATTCGAAACTGAATACGAAACAACGAACAGAGAGAACAGAGATCAAACGGTGACACGGAGGTTGGCACTGTGCCAAGAAATTCTGGTTTTAAAAGTTTAGAAAGGGGGGCGTGGCCAGGGTACTCAGGTAAAATTTCAAACTTTTCTTAGCTATTTTCAAACTTTTCCAGGCGCCACCTAAGAAATTCTTGGAAAAGTTTGAGAATTGCTTAGAAAAGTTTAGGAATTTCTGGAAAAAGTCTGAGAATTTCTGGAAAAAGGCTTAGAAAAGTATAAGAATTTCTGGAAAAAGTCTGAGATTTTTTTTGTTGCTATTTTTGTGTTTGATATCGACGAAAGAAGAGCACATTAAACAGAGAAAACATTGAAATTTTCGTGAAAACGCCGCGTTTGAGACGTTTTTCGCATATTTCGCAATTCGGAATTTTCATACCGGCCGATGTGGATAGTTTTGAGACGAAGTGAGTGTCGAAAGTGATTAAGCACGTTGATACAAGTATTTTAAGCGTTCAAACGGCAAAAAGTGTCGGCGAATGACTGAAATTCGCGCATTTTCAGCACAAAACTCGAAAATCGATTCAATTGATTCATTTCTGAATGAAACCGGTTCGTTTTAAGCTCAAAAAGTGCGCGATGATTAGTTTAACAATGTTATTATGCAATTACATCGTCGAAACCCGTACAAAATTTGGGTAATTTTTGACGAAAAACATGAAAAATGGGGTTAAATTTCGAATTTCGCGCCAAAATGGTGATAAACCGTGCACGCTACGCCCCACGCCCCTTTCTACGTGTTTGGTCGTCGTGGCGATGTTCTTTTTCTAGATCATTTTACGAAAAGCAAGGGAAAAAAGCGTAAAAGTCAATCATTTTCACTAATAGCCTTCATGAGCTCTATCGTTTTGAAAAGAATAAGTCTGTACGTCGTTTTTTTTCGCCGAAATGTCAAAGCCATGGGAAATTGAATGAAACGGGAAGATTTGGCGGCGCAGGAATCGGATTTGAATCGATTTCCGAGTGGGGAGACTTTGAAAAATCCGGAAAAAACGCTACAGACTCCAGACAATGATATCATTTTGTGAGAGATGTGTGTGTGTGTGTGGAGAACGGAACAAGGTTCCGAATTTAATATTCAAAATCAAGGTGTGCTGCAGAAACAGCACACATTTTTCGGGTCTTTAGCAGATTTTCTAGAGCATAAACCTCGATAACGTCACAAAAACAAGAAAAAGACGTTCAATTCTATGGCCGGCATATTTCTATTTTTTGGGCGGAATAATGTCCGAGATGATAGAGATTATAGGGTTTGTTTCGTGACGTTTTTCGGGTGTTCGATGAAGAATCTAGAAAAAGGTTTTAAAATGGGATAATATTAACTGGAACTGAAGTTGGGGCAATAAGCATGTAAAAAAAAAGGTGTTTCCTTAGACTGAGGGTCTGGAAAAGTGCTTAAACATTTGAAAATATGGATGAATTTAGCTCTACTCACGTTTTTTGAACAACCATGATGACCTTTTCTAGTTCCTATCCGATTGAGGATTCAGTGAAGAGGGCGAGCTGCAAATTGGGTACTATATATTCAAAACTATGTATCTCAGTTGTCTGTAAAGATATGATAAATATGTCAAGTGATAAAATGTTCATTAAGATATTGTACACATTTGATCAGTTGACAACTTTCTGATATCTCCACTGGCCGCTGAGATATACGGTTTTGTATTTCAAAAGTTCAATAGAGGTACCAGAAAAGTGACAAAGCATTCTCACAAATCTTGCCATTACAAGTTCAAAAACTCATCGGAACGAGAGCAAATGTTGAGAAAAACAGAGAAAATTATAAAGAAAAGGGGGAGGCAAAAGGAATAGGAAATGTACTGGACGAAGGGGGGGAGGGACGGCGAGTCTTCTTGCATACTAAACACATCTTGTTAATCCTTCAGTCTACACTGTTTTTTGCCGCTTCAGGGACCTTTGCCGTCAATTTGACCTTTTTTTTTGGGATCTACGATAAAAAGTTCTTTGCAAAACATTCATTTCTCGAAACAGAAGCGTGGGCTCTCGAAATGAGCCAATTGAGGCGGTGATTAGAAGGTTCACATTGCGAGCAAAAAGTCGTTAAACGACCACTAGCATCCATCTTCATTTCGATTTCGAAAACGTGTGAGTGAGTGACCAGATGTGTACAACGGGCGACGAGGAAAAGTTATGATGGGAACGCGGGCAGTCGAGTCAGCTGTGATCGAGCTGGAGGCATCGGATGACGAGCTTGTCAAACGATGAGGTACTTTTAAAAGGTTTACGGTAAAAACAATAAGAAAAAGTGCTACTTTTGCAAGGAATCGCGGTTAAAGGAACTCAACTTTCTTTCCTGAAAGTGGTAGCTTTATGGTAGCGTGTACCGAAGTTGAGCGGAAGAACTCACGGAAGAATTTTTATATCTTTTTTAGAAAATTTTTTCATGGAATGTGATCAACTGACGAAATGTATAGCAAAGTGAACTGTGCTCATAGAAAAATAATTGTAAATTTAGCTTTTCATACAAAAAAGTTATTCGAGTTGTTCCGTGAAAAAAGGGCAAACGAATAAAAACTCGAATAACTTTTTTGTATGAAACGTTAAATTTACAATTATTT